CCAGCAAGACGATTATCCCAATACTCCTGGAGTCCGAGGCGAGAGACCTCGCTCGTGGCTCCACGATGCCAGATGCGCCAGTCCTGCGCACTGGACAACTTCTCAACCAGCTTTGCCTCTTGGCCCATTATTTCAATCACTTATCTGACTATAAGAGCCAGTTTGAGTCTCAAGGCGTAACGTAGTGTTAGTGGACTTGAGAACACTCGCACACACTTACACACGTTTGCTCCACTGAGCACGTTAGCAACAGCTTTCCAATGAGTTCTCTCACTTGCAAGTAAGCAAGCAAGTGACGCAAGTCTCTTGCTGCGTTACATCCTGTAGGTTCAATTCATCCAAATTCATCGCATTCATATGGACCAAACCTGGTCAGAGCCAAGTGGCAAAACAGCATGGGAGTCCACTCCTCAACCTTGTCGGTTTGGTGCTCGACCCTGGCGGGAGTCAAGTCCCTCAGGGCGACCATTCTGAACGTCTGGACCGAGCTGAGTCCATTCATTTCACTACCATCCTGATGGCTTTGCCTTCGTAGTATTTGGGGGATTCGCGGAACATGGTGAAGAGTTTCCTTTAGGATCCAGATAGATTCTGACCATTTCCCTAAGGATCTAGCTAGTTCAGGTCATTCAGAAACGTCATTTCATCTGGGAACAGGCGTCATTTGGGGCGATCGTGTTACGTGTGTGCGGGATCGATTTCCATGACCAACAGTATATCAGGTGTATTAGTATTTATTTTGGTGTCAAAAATATGCAATCGAGAAGGATATTCTCATTCGCATCGACTACTCTAATTTTGTGCGCGAGTACAACGAAAAGTTCAAAATAATGCGTGCGGTGGCGGCGCTGGCAAAAAAACGTTTCAAAGCAACTTCGTTCGATATGCAACTACACGACGAGGAGCGTTGCTGATACAAAATGAAAAAAATACGAGTATTGCGTAGCGTGGGTCAAAAATTATCGCAACCAAGCCTGTGCAGGAGACAGGTCGAGGTCACGTTGATAATGTACTTTAGTTAATGGTGTTTACCCACATTTAGGGTGGAGCCCTGATTGATCAAAAGGAAAGGAAGAGGTACACATTTTTTTCAAGGCCGGAGAATGAGACGATTACGAGTACGACGTTCAAAAGTGGGTCTGAGAGTGAGTTCTCAGAGTCTTCTGATGTGAACGATGTGTGTCTTCAGAGGAAGTATCTGCACGATGAGTTATTTCAGTAGAGTATTCGCACGGAAGAGACCGACACGCTTTTGGAGTTGACTGCTTTGTGCACCGAACAAGATTTGACTGCTTTATGCAGCGAGCGTTTACTTTCGCAGCATGCTGGCGCTGGGACAAACCGAAAATAAAAAGTTTATGGTGCGGTACGTGACAGAAAACACACGATTCCTGTGACTTCGACCTAGCATTTTCCTCCGAAACCGAATCAGCCGGCTGTTACTTTGCCGTTCTCTGACACGATAAAAAGGCTTTTTGTATTTTCTACATGCACATTAGCACGGTGTTTTTAGCATTGACTGTGGTTCACCTCATTGAAAAGGCTTGTGACAAATTTCAAGTTGAATCAGGTGGGAGTAGCCTTCAACGGAATTCATATTTTCATGTGTTCATATTGTACAAGCAAGCAAAGTAGATGGGCAAGAAATTATTCTCTCCCTGATGCTGTGGTTTACAAGTGGGGAATCAATTGTACGACTCACACAGTGACAACCGGATGAATACAAAAATTAGAGAAAGCAATACAAGGGGTGAAAAATGAAGCTGTAGCTAGGTGTGTAAGTGTATCAAGTTTGATTTGGAATATTAAGCTTCGTCATGACATGTCAAATGAAAGGGCATGACTCAACGAGAAAGGAAACAATGACGCAGAAAGCGGTGTATTGGGTATAAATCTGGCTCCAGGTCGGGTGTGAGTACATCCAGATCCAATACGACACCGAATCCTTATGATAAAATTTGAAAGTTTCTGTATGTAAGTATAAAATTGAGAGAATTTGTTTTTCGACGCAGCAACAAGGTGTGAGTTGCGGAACATACCTCGAACTCATCGAGGCCCGCCAATGTCCAATTCTTTACCAGCGGTGACACGTAGTAGTAGCGACTCGATGGCGGCAAGGTCACGCCCTTGCTCCAGGGATGCTGCAGAAGCGTTAAAGCCGTATCTGAATTTCATTATTCGATTTGTTTTCTGTTTCTCGCGAACGCGAGTGCAGCTGGATTAGCAAGAAGAAGAAGAAGCAATCGCAATCCAAAAAAACAAGTCATGAGCCTTGATAACCATGACGCACGAGCGCAAGATCAAGAAGAAAACACCAGCACTAATCATAAACTGAATACAGATCCATTGGCTTTCCCTGTGCATCTACTGGACAGACAGCGGTGGTCGGGGCGTCCCGTTGGGCGTAGTTCAGCTTTTGATCGCGCATGTGCCGCTTGTTTTTGACCAGTTCGAAAACAGTCTGGCGGTTGATGTTTACACGCCAGACGTCAGCCCGGCTTGTCAAGAGCAGATCCACCACCGCGAGATAGCCCCCCGTGGCGGCGAGCATCAACGGCGTTAATTTTGTCGTTTTCGCCTCCGCGTCGACGTCAGCACGGTGCTCCAGCAAGGACTTGCACACGGCCAGGTGATATCAAATGCAAAAATGTCTGGGTCTGGAAACTTGTGATGCTGGGTGACGTGTCATGATTAGGCCACAAGTGCTGGCACAGCATGACAAGTTTCTGAGCTTCTAGGTGTTGCCTATTCTGCATGTCAAACACAAACTGCGTTTCTGCATGACAGAAAAATGGAGCGCTTGGGTAATGTGCATGACAAATTCAAGAGTCATGTGAGACAAGCATGACAAACTTGCATTCTTCCAGACCCAGACATTTTTGCATTCGATAGGTGACCTTCCCGCGCGGCGAGCAGCAAGGGCGTCCATCCCATCTGGTTCGGCCGGTTCACGTAGCCGGCGTATCCTGTGCAAAAGTATCGCACTCGTAGTAATTGCATTTATGCATTACAAATCTCTTTTTCAAGGTACATCAGCATTACAAATTTAATTTGTAGTGCTGGGCTAATTTGTAATGCATTTATACGAGTACGATACTTTTGCAGTGCATACGGCGAGGCGACCACTTATTCTGGACTTTTTCCGCGGCGATATGTCAAACTCGTTTTCGTTCACGTGGCTCTGGTAGAAGAGCGCCGTGTGCTCGCGAAACGTGCCAATGTCGTAGTACGCGACCTTCTTTTCTTCTTCAACAGCTTTCTCTGCCTCTGTGCCCGTTGTACTATTTTTGCCAGGAGCTGCTGCTGGTTTGTTTCGGTCCACTGCACTACTTGCTCCTTCTGCCGTGGGTGGCAGAACGCCTGAATCCAGTCCATTCAAGGCCAGCTGCGCGGGCGGCTGCGGCTGCATTGCAGCTGCCATGCTTCTACTAGCGTCCAGTTGTGCAGTTGGGGTCGGCACACCTGCACCTATGGGCGGCGGCGCGACACCGAACGGAGGCATGGTTATAGCGGGATTCAAAACATTTCCCGGAGTCGCGACGCCAGTGCCGAAGCTCGCGTTCGCGAAAAACGGATTGGCGCTCTCTGAGGTTTGTTGCGTAGGCGGCAACTGAGGTTCCTGCGCCGTCGTCTCGCCGAATGTAACGCGCTTCGGTGGCTGCGTCGTACCTTGATCAGCACCGACGCCGGCCGCGTCAGTCGCTCCCGCAGTGGTCCTCCTCGCTGACAGAATACCGGCCTGCGACCCGCCGGAGGCTGGTTGTATGAAAGCTACCCCCGGTATCTGCAATTTCGAACTAGATGCACCTCCTCCGGAGGCAGCTCGATCCCCGGATGTGCTTGCTTCCACGCCGCCGGCGCCACCGCTCGCGGCCGGAGGAGCTATCAGGGCGCGGGCCAGCGACGCACGGCGCTTCTCGGCGTGCTCCTGGTCGAATGCTCCGTCGAAGTCGCTCATGCGGTTTTCATTCAACCGCAGTTCCACTCGCTCGAGGACCTCGTCTTCCGCCGCCGAGGCCGAACCTTCCGTCTTCGCGGCGAAATTGCCGAGGCAGAACTCCACAACGGTAACCCAACCGCGACGACTGGCAAGCGCGAGAATCGACGTGCCGTATTCGTCCTGCAGAAAGTCGGACAACTGCGCAAAGTGCGCCGCGCTCTCCTGAATGCTGCGCTGCGCTTGCGGGTGAGTCTGCTGTCTTTCGGCTTCGAACACCAAACTCCGAAGCGAATCCAATACGTCCCGCTCCTCCTGCTCCCCAAACTTAGCGGTGGAGAGTAAGACCGCGAGTGCGCGCAAGGCCTCGACCGGGAACGGAAGCAGCGGCGGCAGCCGAAGGACACGCGCGATGACTTCGCGTTCATGAAGGAGCAAGGGTGAAGATGCATCTACTTGTACTTCCGATGGCGACGAAGCCTGTGCGTTTTTCTCCGGCCTACCTGTTCCTTCTTCCTCGCCCTGAAGGCGGACTCCTTTGCAAAACAACTCCGCATCGATCCCGTACCGAGCGGCAAGCTCGGCGAGTTTCGCCTCGGACACCCGCCCGAATTCATCCGAAAGCTCCTGTACATGCTGCACTAGCAACCCACCACTTTTCAGCTCCGCGTCCGGGAGAGTCGCCAGCGCCCGGGCCCGCTTCTGTCCCGGACTTTCGGGCCGGGGCGGGGCGGAGACTAGGTGCGCGGCATCATTTCCGTCCCCGGACGGAGCGCCAGTGGGATTGGTGACGTCACTGCGCTGCGCCGCCGGATCCTCGCTGGAGAGAAATGGCAGAGCAGCTGCAGACTCCTGTGGCTGTGGCGTTGCCGCGACGACCTCTTGGCCGGCGATGCTGGTACTCATGCTCCGCCGCACGACGGATTGCGGTCTCCATAGAAGAAGCTTTTGTAGTTCGCTGCCGAAGTTGTATATTACCAGATCATGCTAGTAGCCTAGGTAACCTAAGTACTCTTTGGAAACGATTTATCAGAGTAAGTAATTTCCTATCAGCATGCCGAAGGCCAAAGGCGCGCACTTATCTGAGTGCCACTACACTACGGATAACATCACGAAGACTCGAACTACCATCCGCTGCGACGTCGATGTCGATCATGTCAGATACCGATGGTAAAGATTTCGACGCAGGTACCTTTTCACGCTCCATAGTCATATTATCTCACTTAGCAACTCGGCAATCTTGTTCCATCTGGAACTTACGGATACGACGCTGATAGATGTGCTCCAGTCTCTCACATGATGATACGACCTTGCAAAACTACTTAACATCGACTTACGAAAGTACTTAACTCAAGCTTGTCGGGCAATACTGCATCAACGGGTCAACTTGTGCTTCTGCTTGTCCAGCGAACAGCAATTTTTCGCTTAAGGTTAGCTATGGCACCTCTTGTTAATAAAGCCTCCATTGATATACTTGTCTTCTTCATTAGAGCGAGTTGTATTTCGATCGCTGTTGCTAGTGATGAAGTTCACGCACACCAGTGCGCAGATTGGTCGTCAGAATCAAGAGGGTAGACACGCTGGGCACAGGCTACGGGGTACGCCCTGTGTGAGTCAATAAAGGGAAGGACCGACTTTATTTGCCACGTCGAGCAGAAGGCATATGCTTTCGTTATCGTTCTTTCGTCTAAGTCACAATCATGTGATCGCGCGAGGACGAATGCGGATTGATAGCGTTCTCTTCCTCTCCGCGGAGCACACCAGATGCGGCGGTCGACAGCGTTTCCGCTGCAGTCTGCAGGGTGCTGCTCATCCACTCGCCGGCCGATATGGCAGCGGACTCGACGTACTCGACCACCTGCGAGACGCGCCGCACGTAGACGATGAAGGAGGCGAACTCCGCGAACGCGGCGTCCCGCGAGCGTGGCCCGATCTCCACGTGGCCCTCGTCGGCCCATTTGGTTCCCCAGGAGTTCTGCAGAATCCAGTAGGTTTCGCCCGAGAAGCGACAGAAGTTCAGCTCGTTGCACTTTTCCTCGTTTTTGCCCAGATCCAGGCACCGCTGCTCCGTTTCCGCGGGAACGTGCAAGCGGGCCCGGCACTTGGTCTCCCCCTTCTCGCCCCAGCCCACGAGCAACACGGCGTGCTCCACGCGCTGCCACGAGAAGTGCTTCGGATCGTCGACCTCGTCCGGGCGTTCCCGCGCGAGGGACAACGTTTCGCGGTCCTGTAATATTCGCACCTCCTTCGTGTCGTCCACAAAATGCATGTCGACGGCGAGAGAGATCGGTCCGTTCTGGAACAGCTCCCGCATCATCAATTCCTCGCAGATGTGGCTGAGGCCGCAGGCGCCGATTGCGCCGGCGGTGTACTGAAACTCGGTCACCTGGAACTGGTGTTTGCAGAAGGGGTGCGTCTGCTGCTTCTCGAGCCGCAGCTTGTCGTCCCCGATCTCGCGCAGAATGGACCAGCACAGGTCCGTGACGCCTGGGAACTCGGTCAGCCACAACCCCTCCAGCATCGGGTCGCCACCCCCGCAACCTTGGTTGTAGTCTACCGCCTCAATCTGCTGGGCCATCGAAAATCGCTGGTACTGCTTTTTTGTCGTGCTAGTGCTCGCACCGTGCAGCTCGTCACCCGCCGACCCGCCATCAAAATTATCTGCGCCGTTGCTCCCGGTCGTCATTGCAAGCGCATCGTGCATCAATTTGGGGTGCTTCGGCCCGCGTGCGGACTCCTGGCCCACCTTCATGCGCTCCTCGATGTCCTGGACGATCTTTTTCTCCATCTCCGTCTCGATCACGAAGTCCCTTTTCGTCTCGGGGTGCTTGATCCAGAAGCGGCTCGTGGCCATGCCGGTCAGGCCCGCGGCGAAGCAGCTGCCGCAGTTGCCCTGGTCGATTACATCGGGCACGAAGCCGCGGACCTCCTCACCACTCTCTCGGAGTTTTTTTCCAACGAACCTCCAGTCGAAAAACTTCAGCGTCCTCCACATGTCCTTCTGTAGGGGAAGTTTGCTCCACCTCTTTTCCTCCTCGTGTGGCTGTACCCCCCTTCGATGGGACCTCCGCGGCGCTTGTCCTCCTACTTCGCGCTTGTAGTTTTGGAGATCCCTGCGTAGCTCCGCTTCGTCTTGGGGCGTCTTCCCGGCGATAGCGCCGACGCGGGCGGCTTCGTCGGCGTCCAACACGTACAGGTAGAAGTCGTCGGGACTTGCGGTCGCGGGCATGGAGCAGTCTACGGGTTCCGGGTACTCCTGGAGCATGTCGGCCACACTCAGATCGTACATGTGCATGCCGTTCCGCTCGGCGTACTCGGCCAGCTCAATCTTGCGCTGCATCCGCCGCTTCTCCTGTTTGTCGTTGACGTCATGGTACCCCGATAGATACTTGCGCTTCAGGTTTTCCGCCCGCCCGTCAATCGTGGTCCGAGTAATCGACCGCGAGGATGCAGTTGCGCGGTCTTGTTGCTGCTTATTTTTCATTCGGCTGGACTCATACAGGGTTGCTTCCGAAGCGGAAGACAGATGGGTCGACGTCGGTCCCCGCTTGATTCTTTGTCGTCCTCTCGCTGCTTTATTGCCTGCCCCCGCGCTAGTGCTGAGCAACGAATTCAACGCGCCGCCGGTGGCGCAGAGCCAGACGAGGTTGTACAGCAGATAGAGGAGTACCAACAAACAAATCGTGAGCACTGCTTTCGCCAAAACCCGTTGCCACATGGGTCTCTGTCCTTTCGTGACCGTGACAGTGTGCTTGTTCACAACTGCTCCTTCCGCAGCGCTATGCTCATCGTCGTGAAGATCCTGTTCCCGACCGCGGGCGAAGTCGTCCTCGTCCTCCGCGACCGCATCGAGTTCGCGCGCAAACCGACGGGCGCGGGCCATGCTGCTCGAGAACCGCTCCTCTTCGGACGTAGACGACGTGGATCCCACGCTGGCCGAGCGGTCACGCACCGCGGGCGACAACGGTTTTATCTTGGCCTTCCGGCCCGGGCAGGCGCAGGAGACCAGCCACTTAGCGAGACGACCGAAAAGCCCTTCCTCGCTCTGCAGAAAGACCAAGGCGAGAACCACAAGGATGACGCAGACCGCGGCGACGGCAGTGCCGAGCATGACCTGCAGCACGCGTCCGACGGTCCAAAACGAGCCGGTCTCCGCACCGGCCGACGCCGCCGCGGCGCCGGAGCTCATACGGTCCTCCGCGATGCGCTCTAAATGTGCGTGGTCCAGCGCATCTCGCAAGTTGTTTCCGGCACTTGCACGGGAGGAAGAGGAGGTTGCTTGTGCTGACGTTGACGTTGTCACCAACTCCCCGACGGCCACGCCAAATCCTCCGTCCCCGATGGTCGCTTTCCCGCCTTTCCCCTGGTGGATTTCGTGCTCGCCGAAGCAAAACCGCTTGCGCTGGTCCGCGCGCTGCAGCGCCTGGTCCCGACCGCTGCGGAACAGGTCGTCGTTCTCGATTGCGCTGCATTTGGGACTGCTCAACTCCGCCCAGGTGTACTGCAGCACGCCGTAGTAGCAGAGCTCGTTCTCGATCAAGTTGTGTTTGTCACTCGCCGGGTCCTCGCGTTTCCGCTTGTAGCTGCCGACCACCGTCCGGTGGCAGTCTGCGTACTCGTGCATCACGTGGAAGTCTTCCTCGTCGACTTTTTTTCCGATCGGGACCGTAAACTTGTTCGGCGCCCACATGTCGTGCCGCGTGATGGTCGTCGAGGAGGATTTTTCGTCCTCCTCGTCGAACGCAAACTTCAACAGGGGCCCCATGTCGTACACCATGGTGTACGACCCGCGCACGCCGGGAGAAAGGTCCTCCGGAAGGTGTAGTCCCTGGAGCATGTCGCTGCTCTGATTTTGCTCGGCTATAATTTTCGAAGATTTTTGCCTGTCGTGGTCCGTTCTTCTCTCGAAGTCCCGGCGCTCCAGAATTTCCACCTCTGGATCCTCATAGCTGTTGCCCTCTTTCAGCAGCATGGTCAGCTCGGCGACGGGCTGAAATCGGTCGGTCAGGAAGTATTTTCCTTTCTCTTTCGCCGTCGCTTTCGCGGGCGGTGTGAGCTGCTGCCACCCGTCTCCCTTGCCCGGAATCGTAAGTCCGCAGCGCCGGTCGAAGTTCGTGCCATCGAATCCCGCCTCAGGTTGGAGGCGCCCGAAGGTAAACTTCCAGACGCCGGGAATCTCACCGAAGTCACAATGCACCGGAAGGTCGGCCCTCGCCAATTTTGTCAAACGGCAAAAGTGCAAATAAGCGAGAAACAGTGCGCAGGCTGTTCTTGACCTCTTCGATTTTCTTCCGCGTTGCATTGTCCTCCGTGATTCTTGCATGCTCCGTATCCTTCCTCGTAAGCGGCGGCGTGTTTCCGGAATCTCGGGCGACCCTGGTGGCGTAGAAGGTTCCCTGCTGTCTTTCTGCGAATGTGCCAGAAACTCAAATGAGCAGCATGATGCGCCGCTCGCCTTGCACGGCAACGCAATGCTGGTCCCCGAGGCCGCCATGGCTTATGTTGGCAAGCGGTAATGAGTACCGTCGCTAGGCTTCAGCAGGAGCGCATACTCTCACCTGCAAGGTGCTGTAAGCGCAAGAAGGCAACTCATCCTGGAGCACTAATTGACGAGGTCGATGTGCTGACGCTGAGGCTGTAGTGTCTATATCTATGCTTCCTAGGGAATGGGCCCCGCTTCTGCAAAATTGACAACTGCGACAAATAAACATTCGAGCTAACTAGAACTACAGTCGTGTACTTACAAGTCGCTGGGGCACCGTAACGGAGTACGTGATCGTGCTAGTGCAGAGCAGAAAAATGAGGAGTACAGCCCCGCCACGAAAAAACAAGAACAACAATTGGCGTATAGAATTAGAAGTGACAGGGCTAGTTTAGGCGCTTGATGCACTCTGATTCGAACCTGTTAGGATCAACCTGAGAAAGTAGTCAAGTATGCAGCAACATTGATGTTGATCGGCTTTCGGGAGTGCAAAACCATTTCCCTCTGTTGACACAGAAAAATAATGCACCCTATCAGCATGAGAAGATTAAAACAACAAGATCATTCTCGTTTTCATCATTTCGAACAAGAAGCTTGTTGCTTGTGAAATGTCTATTTTGCTACCATGTCATCTCTTTTGCTATCGCTTGCTTGTGATTTCCGGTTAGTACAGATTCGCAGACGATGTCTCTCTGCGTCGCAGAAAATCACACTCAGTGTGTACACATCCATGAGTCTCATCAGAATCCGAATCATACAGCACATAGTACTTGATGCAATTACAAGCTCACATGCTCGTGCACACGATACACCAAGACTCAACAAAATGAAAAAGCTTGCAGAAATGAAAAGTAAGCGGCGCTTGAAAAAAACGCAGAAAATCAGGCTTCCAGAAATTGACTGCAAGAAGCGGGTCCCTCTCCCACTCAAAAAGAACCAGATGTACTTACATGCAGAAGTCATCAGCATGCTTTTTTTCATAGCTGTGCGGCCAGGGCCCAACTGGGAACTTGCGCGGTCTTCGGGATCCCTTCCACGGACAGGAACCGCAGCTGCTGGCGCGGAATGAACGGTCGCGGAGGCGCTCGCGGATCCGGCGGACTTCGCACCCCGTCTAGAAATTGGGAAAACTTATCTTCCTCCTCCGCTACCGGTGCCCCGCCATTGTTGATTTCCTCCGCCCGCAGCGGATTCTGCTCCGCCACGACCTCAGCCTTGCGAACTTCGGAGAGAATGGACAAAGGGGGCCGCGGCTTTTGCGGCTTGCTTGGCGCCAGTTTTCCCGACAGCTCCGCCTCGATGGCGTCACTTTCCCGGTCGGTCTTTGGAGCGGCCTCCGCTGGCTTTACCCACTCCAGCCCGCACTCCCGCACCAGCGCTAGGTGTTTCGCGCTGCCCGGCTTCGGAAAGTTGTTCGGGTCGAGGGGCTGCACGCACTCTGGATTCTCCCGGAGTTTTGCGCTGGGAAAACACAGCGGCTCATCCTTCGGCATCGCGGAAAAGAACGTTTGGTAGGCGACGAACTGCTGGTCTCCAGGCGTATCGTAGTGGGTCAAAAAGTTCCGACCCGTGTCCAGTGTCCAGTTCTTGGGGCACTTCCCGCTGATCGGCTCCGTCTGCCCGTTGCCCTGGCCGACACACACCCACTGTACGCCGCACTTTACACTGTATTGCTCCATTTTCTGCGCCGCTACCTCCGCCCACTCCTCTTTGAACTTGGTCATGGGTAGCGCCCGGTACCACGACATTTGCAGCCCGGACGGATCTGCGGCTGCCATAGCACCCCGCTGCTCAGAGTCCATGGCTTGCTTCTCCTGGTCGTTCGGAGGTCGGTACTCACTGTAGACAGGGGTGGAGAAGGTTTCGATGCGCCGGCAGGGGCCGTCGTAGTCGTGGCCCGCGAAGCAGTAGCCCTGCGAAAACGACCACCCCGCAGGGCACCGCAACTCGGGAGTCGCGATGGCAGCTGGGTCCGACACCTTAACACACCCCTTCCGCGCGGTTGGCAAAGGCGTTGGCAGGAAGTATCGCACCCTGCGCGGCATCTGAAATAGGTCTGCAGCGATGGCATCACGGTACACTTGCTCGGTAACGGGGTTCATCTTGAATGTGCTTCAAGAAAAAACAAGGAATACATCTAAGAGTCTACGCAAGACGAGAGTTTGTCTTTTAATTTATGGTCGCAGATGACAAGAACACCAACGCGACTGAGTTTGGGTAGAGGCGCTTCTAGTACGAACACGCACATTCGACTCTCTCAAAGTCCTAACGACTCACTGCATGGTCGAACTTCAAAGCGAACCCATATGACGATTCGTTCTGGCTCAGTCCTCCGATTTTATCTCTTGATACTTTTGTGCATTCAGGAAGAAGGCTCATAGTCGTGACGAGTCCGAAAACACGTCATCAAATGCGGAACTGCGTAGCTCCATTGCTACTTCCCAACTTTTAGTCTGTGAAGACTCGGCTACATCTTCAGTCACAGCGACAGTGCCTTCACGTTCACTATCAGTTGCATACAATCTTTGTCTTTCTTTGAAACCACGTCGTCTGCACACGTCTAATAAATTTCCGGTTTAAAATCTTAGGGTTAGGACCTGCAAGAGAGATAAAGCATAGCCGCGGCGTAATTCGCGCGGCCGCTAAATGCAAAAAAGAAAAGATCCAGCTCCCTCCGAATATTTTTCAGTTTCTGCTTGGAAGATAATTTTAGCATTTGGCAAAAATTCAAGAAACTGTTGCTCGTCTTGCCGCTACTAGCTTTTGACAAGGTACGAATTCATTGGCTCTTCTCCTACTGAAAAGCCGGGCGGTCGCAGGAAAAACTACTTTACTCCACCGCTGATCCGGGCAGAATGTTTTTCCCGTACGCCTGCACGGTGTTTTGTAGCAGCATCGCAACAGTCATGGGTCCCACACCCCCGGGAACCGGCGTGATCCAGCGAGCGCGCTCCTTTGCAGTGTCAAATTCGACGTCACCGACCAGTTTGCCAGTGGCTTCCACGCGGTTAATGCCAACGTCAATGACGATGGCGCCGTCACGAATCCACTCACCTTTCACGATGCCGGGCTTGCCCACCGCCACAATTACGCACTCCGCTTCACGGACGAAAGTTTCCAAATCTGTTTCACTTTCAACAGTATTGATTTTTCACGTGGTTGTCGCTCGCATCTAAAATCAGATTTTCTACCCGAAGGCGCAGATTCCAATACGACAAAAAGTTCTACTTACCTTCCGGCTTTGTGAACTTATGCGCGACCGAGACCGAGCAGCCATTGAGCAGGAGTTCCATCACCATCGGACGCCCTACGTGGTTCGAAGCGCCCACCACGAGGCAACGAAGCCCATAAGGGTTGACCCCGGTGGACCAGATGAGGTGCATCACGCCGAAGGGGGTGCACGGCCGCAGCCCGGGCTCGCGGGCCATTAGAAGCCCCAAGTTCTCCGGGTGAAACCCGTCCACGTCCTTCTTCGGAGAAATGCGGTGCAATAAGTCGCTCTGAATCGCTCGCAACTCGGCTGTCGGGAGAGGCAGCTGGACCTGAAAAAATAGAAAAGGACTCGCTGCATGTCGTAAAAAGTTGCGGCCCGAACAAGGAGGTTTTGTGTGCAAGGCTATTGAGATCATTGAAGTCACGACTTCGCTGCACCATTCCGAAACTGCTCGATGAACAAGCTCGTACCAAGATTCCGTCGCATTTGTCGTCCTTGTTGAGCTTGTCAACAAGGTCCAGCAGTTCCTGCGGTGTGGTCTCCGCCGGCAAACGCATCAGAGTGCTGTCAATGCAAACCTCGTCACAGGCTTTTTGCTTCCGGGAAACGTAGACCTTGCTTGCAGGATCTTCGCCTACCAGGACAACGGTTAAGCCCGGAGGCCGCGGGTCTTCAACAGTGCCCGCGCTTAAGGACCGCACACCCTCCTGAACTTCGACTATCTTCGCGGCTAGCGCCTTGCGAATCCCGGCGGAAATCGCTTTTCCATCGATCAAGTGGCCGCGAACACCATCGTCCGGCGGATTCGGGCCGTAGTTGCTCTTTTTGTAGTAGGAAGCCACGTCCCTCTCGTTTCCCACTCGGCCAAAAGGGCTCACGCTAGAGGACGAAGACGCGACTCCGCCGGCCTCGCCGACGGAGGAAGAAGAAGAAGACAGTACTTCGGGCATGTTCCTTTACCTTTAGTTGCAGAGGTCGTGTATATATCCCCGTCGCCCTCTAGTTGTCACGCAGACAAACTGCTTCTCTTTGTCTTTCACGAAACTGAACCGAAGACAAATTGCAAACCACGTGCTTGCGAACGAACGCAAAACGCTTCTCTCTTGACCTACAATGCTTATTTGCTCGCCTTGCGACGACCGCCCCCTGGTTACGCATGGAAATTGATTGTTTGTTCGCATCGCGGGTTCCAACTCGACTTCGATTTTTAGTGGTAGGTTTATGTATGTGGACGACCACAGAAGTAAAGCAGAAAACGCTACGCGGCAAGACCGAGAGGAACATCAAATTTCGTCTTGCAAAGACAAGAAGAAGCGTATGGTTTAGGAAAGCACAGCATTTAGTACTCAACCTTTAACTTTTTTCATATGCGTAAATTCCAAGGCGGAAAGCGAAAATATCTACGGAGAGCGTATTTTTCGATCGATGGATGGATGTATTCTCGATCTCAAATATTGATGCTCTATTTGGCTGCGCGTAAACGAATGGACACCGAAGTTCTGGGTCTCGTACATTTTTGGCAAAAATGCAGACATCCTCGTCTACATCGGAAGCTCCCTGGCCGGCTCTCCTCGGTCAATCCGCGCTGCCCAGTATTCCCCGCCCTTAGCCTGCTATCGGGCAAAAAAACTGGCTCACTGCGAAGCTTCCAGATCCAGTTTCACGCAATAATTATCTCTCTCCCGCATAAAAGTGCTGTTTCGCCTGACAATCCACTGCCACCTGCTAGTACATTTTGATTTTCAGAAAAGGAACGAGCCTATAATGCACTTTCAGCAACACTGTTGCACAACTTCAGAGTCAGACACATGCTTATTTGCAAAGGAAATTCCGAACATTAGCTGCAGCAAAGCAGTTTTTTCTTCTTTCATAGCTTCCGTTTCAGGTATTCCCCCTTTTCCAGCCGCGGACGCGACAGCAGCCCCTTGTACGCCAGCGTTTTGAAGTTGTCCTTTCTGGCCGACTGCGCCGCCGTCGCTTGTCCCGCGCGGCGGCCGTCCCGCGCTTCCCGCAGTTTGTATTCGGACATTTCCGCATCCAGCACGAGTCGATCCCTTTCTACCCGCTCGAACACGACGGTTTTGTTCAGGTCAATGAATTTCTGTTATCCTGTGCAAAAATATCGTACTAGTACAAATTGCATTACAAATTCCCCCAGCATTACAAATTGAATTTGTAATGCTGAGTTACCTTGGGAAAGAGAGATTTGTAATGCATAAATGCAATTACTACGAGTGCGATACTTTTGCACAGGATATCTGTACCCACTCGTGGATTTCCAACACGTGCCGGCCGACCTTCGCTAAGCGGCCGCTCAGTGCCGGGCTGGGGAAGACGTGCTGTGCGTGCATCTGTTTCAGGACAGAACAACACCGTCTACTGGACTGCGTCAGAACACTGTTCTCCAGCGCCAGATGGTACATCGAAGAGACCTTTTCCCGTGCAAGCTCGGGAACACCAGGAGAACAGCAGGTCAGCACGCCCGGTGGTCCTCTTTGATCTTCGCTTGTCATCGTCGCGGTTGTAGTACTATCATGATGTGGTACTGTACTAGCAAGATAGTCCGCACACACCTCGTGCTCCATCGCGAGGTCCCAGAGGCTGAAAAAGCGCGCAACGTCCTTTTTTACGTGGAACATCTCCAGTAGAATGCGGTAGGTGTCGAACTTCGGCTGCGCGCCAAACGCGCTGTACTCGTGGAGCATGTCAATCGCGTACCCGTCAAAGCCGCCCGACACGTACACCGTCAGGACTGCATCGAGCAGGGCCGTACTCATCTCCACCTTCCGCTCCTTCGCCTGTTGCACGATCATCCACGCCTGTCGCAAATTCAGCATGCGCTCCTTGAGGGGAAGTAGTCGGGGTTCCAGGTGGTGTCGCTGTGCGCTGGTCGGTCCGGAGCTCATCGCGGATCGCTGTGCTGGCAGTAGAATTGGGGCCAGGGCGCCCTGCTCGAGTTTCTGCTGCGTAAGCGAAACTTGCCGCTTGCTTCTCGCGCTTGACGTTCTTGCGCCCGGAACCTCGACATACATGGCGCGGGCGAAAACCTTCAGCAAGTGCTCGTAGCACTTTGGGGTGAGCGTCAAGTCCTTCTTCAGCATTTCCGCTAGCACGTGGTTGGCGCGCAGCTTGCTGTTTTGGAGGTGCGAGGCAGCGAGTAGTAAATCCTCGTACACTTCGACTGGCACCGGAAAATCCTCGGCCTCCAAGTGCTGCTTGTACTGAAACGCCTTGGCGGCGAAGTCCGGCCGTTTGGCGAGCACGTGGATCAGTTCCCGGTACGTAATGTCCGTCGGGTACAAACCACTCGTGCGCAAGTCGTCCAGTAAGTTCAGTGCCCTTTCCGCCTCCTCGTTGCAGCCACAGGCTTTGATCATGACGGTGAAGAGCACTTCGTCCGGCTGCAGGTTCTGCCAGGTGCGGAGAGACTGGAACTTCTCAAACGCTTTCGCAATCTGGCCCTGTTTCACCATTCCGTCGATCAAAATCGTCCAGTGGACGAGGTTGGGGCCGAGGTCCGGCCACTCCTCCTCCATCTTGTGCAGCCAGGCTTCCGCCATCTCCAGCTCGTTGCAGGCACAGTGCACGTGCATCAATGCACCAAAAACCTTGGATGTGGGAGAAATCAAGTCGTTCCGCATGTGCAAGTACAGGGCGCGGGCTCGCGCTGCCTTAAGGGGAAGTTGTAGCGCATCTGACTCTACTGGCGGGCTCGGTTGCTCGGTCGGCTGATTTTCCGACAGGCTCGCAGCTCTGGACAAAGGGCCAGCTGCACCCTGTGCAGCACCGTGCTGTGCCTCTGCTTCTTCCTCTCCACAAGCCTGATCCACCACGGCTACTGGGTTTGGCAAAGCGGGGCCAAGCCCGTCCTCCTGCAGCACGGAAAGGATCAAGCTGGTGAACATATTCATATTCGCATCCACCGAGAAGCCGTACGCTTTGATTTGGTCGTGCAGCGCGTAGGCTTCTACCACCCGGTTTTGTACCACCAGGCTTCGCATAAGAGTTTGCAGGTTTTCTGTGGTGGCGCGGTTCTCCGCTACCAGTGTGGAAAAGTCATCCGCAAAATTCCGCAGCGCTCGATTCTTTTCCACTTTTTCCAGACCCGCAGAGAAACTGCCCTTCACCGCGGCGCCGAGACTGTCGAGGAGATCTGGATCGATGCCGGTTTTTTCATATTGCACAGCAGTTTCCCGGAGCTGCTGGATGAGAAGCCGACCCGCGTCGCTTTCGCGGCCCGGAGGCGCGGGTGCTTGTTCTTGTGCGCCCGCAGTAGAAGAGCAGCTTGCCGTTGGGTTTTTTCCGCAGCTAGAAGCACGACCAGTAGAACCTGCGCTGCCGATTTCCTGATTATTTTCCGCCTCTCCTACATCTTCTGTGCCATCAGGGGTAGTACAACCACTAGCATCGTCATTCTGGCGCATCGTCAAGACATCAAGCACGCCGCGCTGCGGCGAGCCTTTGTGCGGTAGAGGACGCTGTGGGTCGGGCAGCTGGCTTCGTTCCTTACAACTTGTTCCCGGTGCTTTGTCAGGAGCAGCATGTGACGCTCTTGTTCGTTCCTCTCGCACAAGATCGAGCTCTTTCGAAAACGACAGGGGGTTATTCGTTGGCCCACTGCTCGACGAGGCGGTGGCAGACGAAGCTGAACTTTTCTCCTCTGATGCCCTCCTGCCGCGATCTGAAACTCTGCCTAGATCCATCAGGGTATCTTCTCCACCGTGTTTCGTCGCTCCTGCTTGTTCACCTTCGCCAACAGCCTGATCAGCGCTGGACCTTTTCCCAGCGACCAGGCCGCCCCAGACGATGGGGCACTTCGGTTTTCGCTTTGGGCGTTTGATTCGCCAAAACGGGGTGTCAGCTGTGATATGCTCCTTGCCATCTCCCTTCTGCGTGACCCGCGTTTGCGCAATGTTCTGCAGAACTTCCGCCTTTTCCGGTAGCAGAGACGGGGCAGGCTGCGTCAGGTCCGCCACACTCATCGGCGGCCCGTGCCGGATATATAGCCAGTATTTCCGCGGCAGCGGCGCGACCGGGCGCACGCTCGACCGGCGCTTGGACTTGGAGGACGCAACGGATGTGTGAATAGAAGACGAGGAGGAGGAAGCAGAAGAACCGGAAAGCTGCTGGAGCGCGGACTCTTCGAAAGATGTGGTAGCACTATTTTCAAAAATGGGAAGGAGATCCGAACCCGCAGCCCGAAGGCGCGTAGGACGTGAAGAGGAAACTAGGCGCATTTTCTTTGTGACTACGTCTACATCAATATCGACCTGGGGATGGCAGCGGAGAACTTCTGTACTTAATCCACCATGTATACAAGTGAACCAGCAGAAAACCACGAAAGAATGAACGTGATCGAGCAGCAGGTGCAGCAGCAGGTCTTTGTGACTGTGCCGAAGCGATGGCACTCACAATTGTATGAGGCGAAGTGAGGAAGGAGCCGCAACCGGTGCTGTGGTCCTTCCTGGCACGACAGGACAAACAGAAACACTACAAAGTTGAGGAGCGTCCATTACACTACGGCTCTGACGTAAAACAAGCCCAGGTGATCATCGATCACGCTGTTCTTGTCGTTGTCGTTCTTCATGATTATGTGTCTCAGCCAACAAAGTAGAGGGCAGACGTTTCCATACTCATCATCATCGGGATGCCTCTTCGCTGGGTACCAACTCGGCGCCAAAGTAAGTAATTCCTTCTCTGGGCAGAAAGGCGTCATGAAATATCGATGTCATCTCCGCTTATACCTGTCGGGGTTTGATGCGTTTTCGAAGATCTGGTAGTCGTGCTGGTGGCAGCTCTTCTTTCATCTGACTCATTCCAAGGACCCCCTCGATTTCCTGCTAGACCGAGTCCGCCAACTGCCGTGGCCGCTGCGTCTGCTCTTCCAGTTGGTAGCTGGCCCTCCTGAGTTGCTGCTGCATTATTGTGTGGCGGCTGTCGAAACTCGCCGTCAACTCCTGGTACAAACAGGTCATCCGTGCTTATTCCTCGCTCGCGCGCTACCTTGAGGACCTCCTCTTGCAAAAGCAGAAACCGCTCATGCCGCCGAACGGCACCGTCCTGGTACGCCCAGCGCACAAACATCGTGGTGCTTAAGCCGACAAAAATGACAAACAGCAACCACAAAACCGTCTCCACGAAACCCTCCTCGTCCTCAAACTGCTTGCTCTGCTGCTCCAGATGGCGAAACGGGTACGGGTAGACCGGCATTGGCGATTCTACTTTTACTGCTACAACTGCATCTGCATCACAGCGGCCTGAACTTCAAAAAAACAAGCGGAAATTTTAGGAACACACGGAACGGGTTCACGATAGCAGGTAGTTTAGGTAGTGAGAACTTGTTTCGCAAGAACGCACAATAACTAACCGAGGCGGTAGGCCGATTGTGCTTTGAGACCACGAGAACGAGAACCATCATCAAGATACACCGGACCGAAGGAAAGACTAGACCCCTCCTACGTACCTGACCCTGAGCACGTGAGCAGAAACCGTGATAGTACCGAACATCGTATTCATTCTGCGTTTCAGAAACAACGCCTGGAGAAAAGTGCTGCTGCTGGCGACACTTTAATTATTTTCAGAAAAAAAACCTTTTGATGTTCAACATCTTATTTAAGTTCTTTACTCGTCAAAGATGTCTTCTTGCTACATTTACTGTACAAACTCGTCGACAAGTATGTCCGCAACTGTGATGCGGACACATAAGCCGAGGACGACCAATCGTTCACATTTTTGAGCAACTTTCATCAAGACTTTACAGCGCGTTGTTGATAGTGTCCCTCAAGTTGAGGTCGTTGCCCGCTTCCGCCGAGAGTACGGTTCGTCGCTGAGTCCCACTACCTTCATCGTCCTCGTCGTCCTCAGGATCTGGACGGAGCGGTACTATTCCTTTCGTGCCTGAAGTTTTCGCCGACGCAACACGGTGCGTGATGTCATCGTCGTCATCGCCCGAGAAAAATTCGTCGTCGTGCAGGTGTCCGTGGATCTTTTTGGTGTCATCTTCGTCCGAGATAATGTCCCGACCCCTGTCGACGTGCAAGCCGATGTGGTCGCCATGAGCGCCGGTTGTGGCCAGCAAAGCATCATGTTGCTCCTTGTTCGTTTTCCGCGGCGGCAAGATTGCCGGTCGGGGCACCAGGCGACACACGGCGAGCAAATCTGTGAAGACCAGCTCCTTGTCCGTGCTCATCTTCAGACTCACGCTCCACGCGAGCCGGTGCGCTTCCCCGATGCTGATCTCGAGCGCCTTCGCGAGGTCTTTCGCGTGCAGGTGCTGGTGGTCGAGCGGCACGCGTTCCCGACCTGCGTCCTGCTCTTGGCTGAGCCGGAGACCATTGCCCTCGATTTTGTCGAACACGTCATCGCCGAAGCCGTCCTGGTTGGTGTGCGTGAAGCGTTCCACCTCCTCTTCGAGTTCCTTCGAATTTTGCCGCAACAGGTTCCCGTCCTCGGACTCTAGTGTCGCGATGGTACGGCTGGAGGCGAAGTGGTGCCTCTTGCCGCACTTCGCGCTCAACCGCCGCCAGGACCGCACAAGCTCCATGTACGGATGGTGATCGGCCGCGACGTGCGAGAACATCTTGAACACCTCCGCTTCGTTCAAGTGCCCGGTCTTGGACTCGTCGAAAATCTCGATCAGGCGGTTAAACTTCGAGGGGGTGAGCACCAGCTTGAATTCGGTCTTCAGGGCCTGGCGCAGCGTGGCGTGGGAGAAACCGCCCACGTGGGAAAGCGGTAACTGCATCAAAATTTCCCGCAGCTTCAGCTCGGCATTCACCGGTAGGGGGAGCATCCAGAGTCGCTCCGCGTAGGTAATGACCGCTTCCAGCCCGAGTCTAGGGACGCCACTGTTTTCGTGCAGACTCGCTTCCTTCATCATGTCGGAAGGATCCAAGAACAACCCGGCCTCGCAGAACACCACGGGGAGCAGCTTTGGGGGCAACAAGTGCGCCGTGTCTTCACCGTGTGCTTTGTCCACCGCCTCGTGGTCGTCTTCGCCCGTCGCGCCGAGCCTCGCGATTTGTTTCCGGTGCAACACGTGCTCGAACGCCCGCTCGATCTCCAGACGGATCAGGGGCGGCAGCGTGTATTCGTCGACCTTGGTCTGCCGGTTTACATCTGCATCGTACACCCCAATTTTTTCCAACGACAAGGCCGTCGCCACCTGTTGCAGTAACTTGTTCATCTCGACAGAGAGCTCACGGAGCAGGCCCGTGTCCTCGTAGAAAAATTTCTTCAAGTCCAGCTCCCCCCGCGCTTCCCCCTTCGTCGGCGCGCCTCCGGTTTGCTTCGAGTTTGACGGCGATTTACTTTTCTGCCTGCCCTCATCTTGCCCCGTTACGAAGGCGGTGGGCCGGCTCAGTGCGTCTTCCTCCACCTCGTTGTTCTCACCCCCGCTTATCCCGGAATCCCGCAAGTGATGATCCTCCCCGCGCCAGTAAGTCGCTTGAAACACGGGCGCCGTTCCCTTCATCGAGGCCCGAGCGGCTTTCCGCACGGTGGTCGTAGTGTCCACGGAGATCTGCTTCGCCGTGCCGCAGAATTGTTTGATCACCCGCATGTTGCGCGACTCGTTGTAGTTCGGCTTGGCCGCCATGACGGCGAATCCTCCAGTTTCGAAGGACAGGTCCGTCCGCAGCCGCCCCATCTGCAGGTCGTTCTGGTGGGCCACGCCGTGCATCAGGCTCTGCGCCATGTACGGGTCCTGGTATTGCATCCGCTCAAAATCTTCCACGGATAACGCGTACACCGTCGCGTCGCTCATCGTGACGGCGTAGTTCCGCGGTGGGTTGTGGAAATGCACCAGGGAGCCGTGGCCCAGGATCGCCAAGGGAGCGCAGGAGAGCAGCAGCTCGGCCGGGTTTTTTCCGTTGAAGAGGTCGAGGTCCATGTACAACCCGACGCGGCCGCTGTCAATCACGTACACGTAGTTCCCAAACTTGCCGGGTTCCGCCAGCACGGTGTGTTTCGGAACCTCGACCAGTTGGAAGTACTCGTGGACCCCCAGCCGCGAACAGATGTCCGGGAACAGCTTCAGAAACGCGTCGTGCTCGACCTGCTTGCGGTACGTGTACCGCAACGACTTCAGCCCGGGCATGCGCTCCAGCCACTCGTTCTGCGCTTCCCGGAACACCTCGGCGCACTGGTCTTCGGTGTACGCCAATGCGGTCCGCACGTCGCGAAAGGTGTCCGAGCCCTCGGTCACCAGACCGCGCCGGTGAATAAAATCCTGCGTCTCCGGAGTCAGACCGCAGAGGATGACCTGGTTGTGGTTGGAAAATATACTATAACTTTCGAATATACTATAACTTTCGCCCAATCGCACGGCGAGGCAGTATTTCTGCTTTGATGCTGAGTGATGTAGTGGAGGACACTGTTCATTCATAACAATGAATATTTAGCAAGGTAAAGGGTTCCGACTCCTAGTGTAACCATGCATGATAAAATTGAGAAGACCAAGACATATTTTTAGTGTACCTCAATGGGAAACCCGGTGAGCTGTCCGTCCTCGCATTTTTTAATGAAGGACTTCAGCTTCTTGCAGGCCGAGATGTCGAAGCCGCGCGAGTGCTCCAGGTCTAGAATCAAGAAGCGGATTCGCAACCAGTCCGCGTTTTGCTTGTACGCGTCGTTTCTCAGCACCAAGTGCGTGATCATCGCGACGGCGTTGCTGACCGAGCCGAAGAACATGTACCCGTTCAAGCGAATCAAAAACACGTGCTGGGACGCGATGTGCTGCAGCATCTGCGTCTCCAGGCGGTCCCGGTAGTCGCGCGAGAGCGCGTACTCGCCGCTCGTGACCAGCCGCACGCTCGGCATCAGACTGAACTTGTAGATGAACTCTCCCATCGCCAGGCCGACCGCCAAGAAGGTGGCTGCCAGGATGTTCTGCCCGGACGCGAGGAAGGCGATGGGGACGACGGAAAGTTGGAAAATTTCCTCGATATCAGCGTTCGCGACGGCGAACACGTAGTTGTCGGCGAGCAGGCCGGTGCCGGCGTGCGCGAGGAGCGCGGTGCAGAAAAATCGCGGCACATACTCGACGAAACCCACCCCGGTGCCGACGCAGATCACAAGCAGGATTATGCCGTAAAACAGCGCTCCCCGGCGGTCCTTCGGGGTGTTCATGATCGTGGCATTGAACACCCCTTGCTCGAACAGCCCGTAGCCAACCACCCCGCCGCACGCGGCCACGACGAAATTGATGGGACTCAGCATCTTCATCTCGAGGTTGGCATCGACGTCCACTTCCGGCAGGTGCTCATCCAGTGCCGCGAGCTGCATCACCAGGTCCAAAAACCCGATCAGCATGAGGGGAATCAATTCCACCAGTTCGTGCTTCCAAACTTCCCAATTCACGTCGTCCCAGTGCGCCTCCAGCCAGTTGGTCTCCCAGTACCAGCTGTACCCATCCGTCTCTTGCGTGTGCGGGAACAGCCAATAAAACTTGCGCAAGTCTTTCTGCTCCAAGCCGTCGGTAAATTCGAAGAGGCAGAACAGCGAAAAGATCGCGCACGGGATGCCCAGAAAGCAGACAAACAAAATCGGGTGCCGGAGTTGCGGGTACTTTTTACTGTGCACGTACTGCTGCGCGAACCAGAGCCCCGACCCCATCGCGGTGGAGACCAAACAGTTCCAAAACTTTTTGTCGTTGATCTTCCAGCTATAGTAAAAAACCTTCAGCGAGATGCAGGTCAAAAAGGCCTTCATCACCACCGCGGGCAGGTACTCCGCGACGGACGCCAATCGTGCAGTGGACGCGACGAGAAACATCACGGCAAACGCCAGCGTGCTGCACAAAATGTTAAAATAGATGGTCGCGCCGATCTCGTTCTGCAAATTGTGGAGAGCTGCTATGTCAGCTGGACTCGTTGTACTACTGGAAGATGCAGCCAGCCTGCGGTGCGAGTCGTCGAGGTGGATGCCGCGCTCGTCCTGGATCTTGTGACTGATATGTTCGCTCGCATGGGCGAGCAGCGCAACGGGCGTGACGTCCACGCCGCCGATCTGGCAGGGGATCGTCTTGTGGTTCATGGACATGAAGATACTACTCAGCGCACAGGAAATCAGGCACATCTTCGTCCCGACCGCAATCCAGTTAGGAATCGGGAACAGCATCGAACTGTACGCAATGCCGAGCCCGAGCGCGATGCAGGCGTTGGTAACGCCGGAAAGCAGCGCGTACATCAATCTGCCCGGCCCGTTTCCCAAGTGGTGGTGCGCATCGTGCGACAGGTGCGGGTTGTTGCAGGGAATGCGTTGCCGTCCGTCGCGGACGGCCGCCACCTGTCCGTCGGTGAGGCTGGGCAGCGGCTCGGAAAACGGGACAGGAATACGGTGCTTCTGTTGCCCCGCGACAAGGTCCGTCTGGGTCTGCAGTCGATTTGGTCCCAGTTTGTCGCTCCGCTCCCCCTCAAGAGACGGATTATTCTTGCTCATACCCGTCAACCGGCCCAACATTCCGCTGATACCTCCAGAGCCCTTCTGCTCGCCTACCTCTTCCACCGCCGGCTTTGATGTGGCGCTCTCCATCTTCACCGGAGAAAGAATTTCAATCTAGTAGATTCAAAAGTAGAGGGGAAGACAGCGAAGAGTATGCGTATGGTAACTTAATAGTGACAAGCCGATGGCCCACTGCGACGCGGTGCGTAAAGGAAAGTCGAAGTGGCAAATGGGGTGTAATGGTACTTAGTACAACATATGATCAACATGGGTGGGCAATTACTCAAGCTGTTCATGTTATCTAACTGCAATGAGAAATAGAGATTCGACTCATGCTACTATCTAAAGTTTACTCGCCTTTTTTTCTTCTTCTGAACGACAGCGAAAATCAAGCAGAGCTAGCACGAAGAGGTTTCAAAACCAGATTGGTTTCGAGTGCACGATGAAAAACGTGAACGGCAGAAATGCTGACCAACACCGAAGTATCCAGAAAACATAGTTCAACCGAAAAACACAGTGAACGATTAGGTAAGCACGCCTGTACATTTCACGAGGGCGTCATGCCATGGCGGCGAATATGTCGCACGAACCGAGGAAAGAACGGAGTATCAAACCGAGAAAAGCGTAGTGACAGCAGAAGCAGGACCGAGAAAGTTATGGATGCTACTATTCCACCGAGGAGTTGTAACTACCAAAAAACATCTTATTTTTCGGGTATTTTTCTGAGGTGGTCTCCTGGCGATTGCCTTGATTAAAGTTTCGCGCAGGGGTTGAAACCATACGATGCAGATGCTCGCTACTGTGCATGAGGAACAGAATATACGAAGGATGCGCCCGGGTGGCATTATCACAGCAAGCTACGTGCTGCCGACAGCGACGCTGCAGGGTCGCTACTTTCATCATTTCTTATTTTTGCTTTTCTTTCTTTTTTTTCTCGATTTCGCGCCTCATGCTTATCATGCCAAATATGTTCATCATCGTCTCATTTTTCGACCAGATCTTCTTTCCCGGGGGCAGATTCTCTACTTTCCTCTCGAAAGGGTAGAAGAGAAGAACAGAGTAGAATCTTGGGAAAAACAAGATCTGTGTGGTCGAAAAGGGGTCTCCTCAGTCTGCTACAACTGATATCATCGCTTGAAGTCTCATATCGGATTTAAACTGTGTCGGTCTGCAGCATCAGGATGCCACTTCGTCAGCAAACCATAGATTTGCGGACTAAATTTGTCAGTTTCGATAGTATAGATGTTGTGTGTTATGATCAAATCGTCGGTTTATCTTTATCCTGCGTCTCATACCAGCGAATAAACATACGAGTTCGCGAAGTTGCCCTTGCGAACTTTAAGGAATTCATCGCCAGCAGGAGCCACGGCAAAGCGTTATGGCGCCCTGCTTTGGATGACCCAATCGGGAAACCACCCCTCCTCCGAGAATTTGTCGCTCCGCTTGATGCGCCCGAAAGTCCAGCCAGTTTCGTGCCGCTCTACTACTTCGATCCATTCGCCCTGTCAAATTAATTGGTAAATTTCGATGTTGAAATATGCCGAATCTTGTTTGCTCAGTCTCTTGCGCTTGCAAATGCATCCATGCGAAGCGGAGTATGTAGGACGAAAAGCAAGATAACAGACGTGGAGAAGTGGGCGGAATGAAAAGCGCTATGGAAAAATATAAATACTTATATACCTTCTGGACGCTGAGTTCATTCTCTGAACTCCTGTCGAATGGTGCGAGCGCTGGCATGTGCGGATGCTGTTTTTTTTTTTTGGCGATTGGACGACGACGACTTCGATTTTTTCAATTCATTTTCAGAAGATCCATCCGTGCGTGCGCTTAGTGTCTTTTTGTTTAGCAAGGGGTAAGCACAAAAGTAAAGTGTCATCGATGACGCTGAAGTATCTGCTACCTTTGATGGCTCGGGGACTGGTGGCACGCGCTGCACGACCCAGGCGGGTACCCAGCCGGAGATCCCTGTAGCTTCATTCCTCACATAGGTCCACCCAGTGGTGTGCTCCTCGATAATCTGCAGTGACTGCCCAACCTCTATGTCAATTGTGTTTTCGCCGCGCGGTTCGAAGCGGGATGTGGCGATCCCTTTTTCCGCCGTATCGCGGGTTCCTCGATTTCCGCCGCCCTTGGTATCCGAGGGAGCTGTTTTAAAGTTTCGTATCCATTGCGAATGATTTCTGTATTTTTGCAGCATCGCTTCATCGACAATGGGCAGCAAAAAATCACTATGGCTCGTCGCACAGCTCCGGGAAGTTATACTTGCTAGCCGCGAGGAATCACGTATCGGGGACAGAAGGGAAACCTCAAAAATCTACTTAATTCATGCGACTCGCGTGCCGTGCTTTCCCTGCAGTTTTATCCTGCGACCACGACTACGACGGCGAGATTGCTTAATAATAATACCTGGTGCGGGCTGCGTCGTTCGTTGCTCTTGGTGCGTCGTCGTGTGGACCTGTTGCGTTGTGGACTGCCCGTTGGAGTTAACCACCGTCACATTCACGGTCACATTTGTCTGCTGATGTTGCGAAATCGCGGGGGGTGCCTGTCGATTTATGTTGGTTTCAGCCTATTTTCATTATATCAAGGAACTCAGCAAATGTTCAGCATCCATCGATATGCAGCTTCCAAAGTAAGTTTAGTATACATAGTACGACAAAAGTCTTTTGGTTTTGCTTGGTCGTGCCATCAAGAACATCATCAAGCCAATCAACGTGTGTCGTGTAGTCGCTTCTTCTACCTCTAGGTGGGCGAGATACATCAACTTAACGTAGTGCATCAGTAAACAAGGATCAGGAGGAAATACCGGTGGCTGATGCTGCACAGGCTTTGGAACCTGCGCGGGTTTTTGGGGTAGATCGTTGGTTGAGGTTCCGTTGGTACTGGTGATGGGTAGATGTAACTCCTTGGGCGCAGCTTCCGTGGGTGCAGGCGTCGGTAGCGCGGGCACAACAACGGGTGCCGCCGCCGCGGGTGCGGGGGGCTGTTTGTTCTTCGTTTTCGTAGTTGCTGCTTTCGTGCTCTTTGTGGGCGCACTGCTGGTGGCCGGCGCCGCGGGGGTGGGGGCGGTCGGCTGGATTCCTGGCGGCGGCCCGGAAGCTGGTGGCTCGGTCGCGGGAGTTGGAGCAGGTGCTGGTGGCTCGATCGCGGGAGTTGGAGCAGGCGGCGCCGAGGGCTGCTTCGCCGTTGAGCTATTCTTGCTATTCGCCACGGGCTTTGGTTCCGGGGACTTGACCACCTGTTTCGTGTTTGCTGGCGGAGCAGGCATGCAGATCGGCTGCGTCTCGCCCTTACAATTCTGTATGTGTGTCTGGTAGTGCTGGTACTCCCCGATCCACTCGCACGTTTTACCCTTTTCGACCTGATATTCATATTTAGAGAAAATCAATTTATTTCGTATCATTTGCGATGCACTTCATTCTTTTCCTCGTCATCATCTTGGGCTCCGCTCCCCCAAAACAACAGCAAAATGACAAGTAAGTACCTTCGGATGATTTGCGCACATCACTTTCAAGCTGGATAGCATCCGCCAAAGCAGCACGTGCTCGGACTGGGTTGCGGCTGGGCCGATGGGGTAGAGGTCCAACGGGTCGTTTAGTGGTGTCTTACACACAGGACACGGAACTTTGTCTGTGGTTTTGTTTGGGGATTCAAATTTGGTTTTGCTTTTGGTGTGTCTTTATCTTTTTTAAACAATGTTGATGCCAATGTTTTACAAGTTTACTCGTTCAGTATCAATTGCTCAGCTCTGCAGTTCTGAAAGTCACTGGAGTTCCTTCTTCGAGTACGCGACAAAAGAAAAGCAGCACCCTCGAGGACTAGGCTAAGCAAAGTTTCCGAAATAAATCAATCCAAGTACGTGCGAGCACATCCCCCGCGGTTTTTGCTCGTTGCGCCCAGGTTTGGATTTCCGGGTGCTGGTCAAACCACTGGCCGAGGCAATCGCCGCAGAATAAGTGCGAGCATTTGGTGAGTTTCGGACTGCAGCCAACCACGTGCACATAGCAGATCTTGCAGATAAACTCCTCTGCCTCCTGCACGAGCTGGTCCTCGCTTATTTTCTGCTCCCCGTCCTCCCCGATAACCCGCTTCTTTTTTTCCAGGTCCTTTCCCAAGTTCTTTTGCGCTGCGGGGTTATGCGACACTTTTTTTGCTGCGGCGGCCTTTTTTGCCTTTGCCTTCTTGTCCGAGCCGCCGAGCATACACTTCTCCGCTACTTCAGAGTCCTTATCGGCGAGGAGGGCCTTCTTCGATTGTGCCACCTCCTGCTCTGCAGCGTATCTGTCAAGCAACGTGGAGAAAGAAATGAAAAATACGTTGCGAGAAAAAAGTAGTGGTCTTGCAATGAATCCTTCGCTGTGCGTGTGACGGAGAAAAAAACTTGGCTTGCAGTCGCCGTCGTCATCATTATCAAACAAAACTGAATAAACTTTATCAAGTACGCGTCTATGTCGAAGTTGTCGTAGAGCGCCTCGTCGTGGTAGTAATCTGCTTCTGTGCCGCATTCCAAGTAGTACTCCACACTTTCCTTGATGACCGCGAGTTCCGACAGGTCAAGAGTATCATTGTCGCACGCACGCAAGAGACACTCCAGTTTTCCGATGTGCCATTCGTGCCGCTCCTTGAAACGTCGCTTCCTGAAGTAGTTGTAGTTGATTTCAGCGTTATTCACGTCGGCAATATCTTGCCACAAAAAACGCGTTCTCCTAGCCCAAATTCTCTGACCTTCTCCTTATGCAGCCCCGTAAATCTAGTCACTCACTACGCGAAAGCAAAATCAAAAAGCAACAGAAAAAAAAAAGTATCTATTCTACTCTTCGGCTTCGTCCTTTTCTCTGGCTGATGGATTTTTCTTGGACAGGACAGATTCGATGTCGGCCTCAAACATTTCAATGCCCTCATTGAGCCCATCTGTAAAATTTGATTTATTTGTTGTTGATTTTTTTCTAGAAGTAGAAGTAGGGCTTCCCATTCCTGCATTTTTGCATGTAGTAGACCGCTGCAACTACAAAAGGGAAATCGACAAAAACAAAAATGATGTGAAAAATCAGCAGAGTACCAAGCTGTTTTCGAAGCCAATCTTCTGCGTCGCGTTTTTCCTGAGTGTCTAAGTCCTCCTCTTCGTCCTTTGCCAGGGCGAAAGTTGAGTATGCTTTTGTTTTCAGCTCGCGCTCAAACTCCTTGAATCGCTGCATATTGAACTCGATTCGCTTCCTTGCCGACTCCAGCTTGTCCTTGTTTTTCACCTCGGACATGCCGATCCATTCTCGGATCTGCACACGAAACCGCTGCAGCTTGTTTATCGCCTTTTTCAACTCCTCGCCGAGTTTCTCTTTGTTCGACTGGTTCGAACTGCTGTTCGCGTCGTCCCAGACGGTGTCAAACTCTATTATCCCATCGTCGACCTTTTTCAAGGTCATTTCGATCTCCTTCTGGAGCTTCCTCGCCGCCGCAGCCGCCATGGCGTCCGGCTGCTCTCGTCAAGAACGGCGGGAGAGCCGGTCTTGTCAGGAGTTTGCTTCACGCGGCACGAAAAAACGTGCTGGCCCGTATTTTGCAGTTGGTCTTGTTTGCGTACGTTCTTTGCCAGCAGACGAAACCCGCTGACATTCGGTGGTCGGCGGCTCTCTCTCCCGAGCAGCTGAGCGCTTGCGCGAAGAAGGAGGTAGTTCCCCCGATCACCAGTGGACACCGGCTTGTTTTTCACTCGTGCGACTCCTAGTCCCGCTGGTCTTGGTATAATTTCTGTTTGTCACAATGTCGTGAAGAAACAGAGCGGCGGTGCGTGTTGCGCCCGTCTCTCGTCCCGAAGGCCTGGAGGAAGGGCTGGCTGCTGGCGGGCTGCTAGCTTAGTTTTCGCGAAACGATTCTCTGGGCTTTGGTAATCGTATTGATGCTGCGATTGAATTTGAAGCTCGTGTTCGAGGACTTCTTCCGGATAATATATGAATCTTTATCTTATCCGTAGCCGTACAGTATAGAAGTTTTTTTGGAATATAGGATTGGTTTTTCTTGTAGTTATTGTTTATTCGTTGTTTGATAGATGTTTTGTCAATATGTTCGTTTTTGATCAAGATGGTATACAACAAAAGTCAGCAAATTGTGGTACTTTATTCTTGTAGACACACTCGATTCAATTTCACTTACAAATCATAGTTCATAACTGTGAATTCCTTCTTACTCCAAGAAATGTATACTGTTACTCGAAAGCGGGTATAGAAATAGAATATCCGAGTCTATTTTTATACAGATAGAAGAGACGATCTCCAAACTTATTTCCTGCTTCAACAAACCAGTCCTGATGTCAAAAGAGATGCCAAGAGGGTGCAAAGTTGTAGTTGTACAGATTATTTTTACAAGCAAATGTTGTCAAGAAGAAGATCGCTACTTCCACAAGAATAAGCAAATTCAAATTTTGTAGTTGGATCGACAGCAAATCATAAAGTAAGCATCCATTGGGTTATGGGTTGCTGTTCCAATAATTTGCTTCCAATTTAGCATTTCATCTTCGTCTTGTTCCATGCAATAGCATTTGGTTCATTTTTAGCATAGAAAAAATTCCACCGACGGGCTTCTGATCTTGGATCTTTCGTATAGATCTCTTTATTACGGGAAAAAAAAACTGCTACGTTTTTCAAAGGAGCATTCATTTTCGTCAAGTAGTACCATTTTCGAAAAAACGCACTCGTTGAGTTTGATTTTCGGATCATCTTCTTGTTCCTCCTGCAAATTTGTTTTTGTAGGCTATTAATATGCTTCTTGTGCTTCCATTTTTTATTACATCTCACGCATCGGGCCGAGACTGTGAGGCGCAATGTCGACGCGTGCATCTCTATTGTCTTGGGCTTCATGCGCTCTGTCCCTGTCGTGCTTGTCTTTTCTTTTTTCCATATCGATATAATTCCTTGCGCTCATTCGCGTAGATATTTGTGAATAAATTCACTTTTCTTCTGGTTGCATTTACTTCAAAAAAATGTGATACTCCTCGGGTACTACCTTCGCACGATATCTCTAGCTTTTTTTGCCTGGCGTTTCGTATCCTGCTCTCGCTTTCAATTGTAACATATGCTTTCACTGGGCGGTGGCACGTAGTAGAGGGGCAGCTCGAGCCACCATCTCAGGCGAGCGGCGCGCGCGGAACTTTCTGACACAATCGCAGAGAAGCTCTTTCAAGGTACTAAGGTTGCCCAAAAAGCAAGCGAACTGTATCCCCTCCTGCAGAGCCACCAACTCCGACGAGTCCGATGATTGTTGGGCGCAAGTTATTAATTTGGTACGTCAACGTCTGCCGATCCCCTATATTCACGTCGTTCACGACAGCAGCGGCGAGGCGGCGGAGGGTCCTTGCGTACCAACTCCGGGGGCGCAAGAGGACTTCTACGAAGGAGCGTCTTTGGGAACACATCTGGGATCACGGCGTCGCAGGTTCTCCAAGCTATTCGGCGTTGCAAGCGTTTCCAAAGTTATTATTTTACCTCTTTGTAACGCGGAAGATACTAGCGCTAATTGGTGGCTTGTGCTTGCGTAGGAAGTGGAATACAGAATCTCTTTGAATTCATCGTATTCGGCTGCGGATAATACCACAAAAAAAACGGATGGGCACCCAACTTAGTAACATCCGGCGACGTCAGGAATTTGACGTTATCAATTCTCTTCAGAAAATCCCGCTTGGTCTGGGTCAGGCTCAGGAAACAAAGAACGAAGAGCAAATGGCTATTGTGGTAGAAGTCTGCGATGTTTACACGTCCATTCTTGCCAATAATTTCGACACAAAAAAAGTACATAATGACCAAAAGAAGCTAAAAAAGAAGTGCGAACAACAACAGAAGTAGATGTTGTGAAAGTCAATAAAAAGCGAAGCAAAATTAAGAAAAAAAGTGGAGGTGCAGTCTTCTCGGTCTCGATATTTTTCGAAACTTGGGAAAACTGAAGGCATAGACCAGGAGCGGCAATAAAAGTAACGCTCCACCAAAGTGGTTGGCAAACCGCAGACACAGCCAGAGCGAGTGTTGTAACTTACTGTAAATATCAATATTCTCATCATCTGGAATATCAATATCTTTTATCTGCCGACTCGCCACCCTAAAGGCTTCGCTCCTAAAAAAGCTTGAGCTGCGTGCGCGGATTGTAGCAGTGACGTGCATTTGCGTAAGTGATAAAATAGATCGAACAATTCTGAAAATTTTTTTCGATGTGCGCTTTACCGTCGCGCAAATTCGAATGTAATGTAAGTGCGATATTTACTCTGGTTGAAGAAAGTGTGTGAAAAAAACAAAGAAAAAAACCGAGGGTCGCTACTGACGGTAATTGCCGCTATTCCGGTTGTTCAGGGACGTCGTGGTTTCATCCAAATTTCCCGGCCGCTCAAACATGGAAATTCGCGCTTTCACGTTTCCAGTTAGGCGCTTTCGTGGGGAATTCTCACCCTCCTTTTCTTCCAGTACCCTGAAAAAGCAAACAATAACGGTTCGCATCATGCAATTACAATTGAAGTAGCTCTAGATAGTTGGCCCGAAACGGCTTCACGGTCTTCAGACTTCCATTTCAAAACGCACCGCACGAAATCGAAACAAACAGAAACATACAAACTTGAACATGTTCTGCACCATCTGCTTTGAAAATATTACTATACCCTGGCGATCCCTCCTTGAAGACTTCCCGCGTAGGCGGGGGCAGGTTGGGCTTGATTTCGGCCAGGGGCGCTTGATTTTCGTCATCGTTGTAAAAACTGTCATCGTGCCCCCCGGCGCCCCTGTGACTGGCAGGAGTCGAGATGACACCTGCAATCGAAAACACTCAAGTGAAGAGCAGAAGGGCGAATCTATTCTTGTTGATGCACGACGCTCATTGATTCATGTCAATCTTTCTTCTTCTTCATGCAAAAGTTGTAATTGCGACTCGCTGCTCGGAGGAAAATTCAGAAAAAAATTCAAGGAAAAAAGACGTGTAGCCGCAAGCCTCGGAAATGAAGTAAAGAATACTGTTCCGATTTCTCGTACTGAACGCCCCCGTTGTTCGTCGCTCCTTGGGTGGCAAATTGAACAGTCCACGGAGTCGTTGAAAAATGTAGGACAGGTCCTCATCGGACTCCAGGATCTAAAAGATAAAGAATCATGATAGATTGCATAAAAGTTTCGTGAAAGCGCTCAGAGACAAAACAGATGTGGATTTCTTGCATTCCAAAAAAGCTGCGTGCAAAAGTAGGGGTGACAGCGGACGCGACAGAGCCGGGCTAAAGAAGAAGTCATACATAAGTGCTTAATCTATGAGGCGATCTACGTCTTCGTACCTGTTGACACTGCCGTTGTTGCGCCTGGACCTCTGACAATTTCTTTTGCAATCGAGACACCTCAGCTTGCAGGGGATGGTCCTTCGTCTTGTTGGCAAACATCGACTTGACCTGTGATCATCATTAACATCATCATGTCGAGCTTCTTTCGTGCTCGTGATTATGTTAGGGCCTAATAACTGCTGTACACTTAAGGGAGCTCTCGCTACTGGTATCCATTGGCTTAGCACTTATCACTTTCTTGCGATGTGGTCGCACAAATGAGCACAGCAGGCCGCTTTCTTAGTAGATACCTCGTCGAACCGCGGCGGCAGGGACTCCGGATCGAACCCACCATCCTCAATGCCCTGTATCTGCCGCTCGTCCATTTTTTCGTTCCACCTTCCCTGGATAAAATCGACCATGTTCAGACGCTTTTTGTACCCCTTCTGCTCTATTTCGATCATGTCACTGCGCATGGAATCGATCTGCGCTAGCCTCTGCTGCAGTTCGTTCTTGATCTTTCGGTTTTCTGCCTCCAGCTTCTTCACCGTCTCAGACCGACCGGGGGATGGGACTTTCACGCCAGCACTGTTGTGTGTTTTTCATTTTTTCCACGTCCACTAGACAAACCTTCTGCTTTATTGCACTTAACGAAGCTGGTCTCAGCTTTATTCTTGCGCATTGGTATTTCCTTCAGAAGATAGAAGTGGATGCATAAGCCGTACTTGGCCCGCTAAAAAAAGTTCTTTTTGTTCGCAGATATATGATCACGTATACTAGATTATACGGATTGGAATTCCGTGGCTTCGAGGGCGTTGAGCATTCCGTTTGCCCTGTAATCTGGTCTCGATCATAATCCGGCTCTATTCCCCCCGCCGCGCCACGGGAATCTCGACGATAGGTGTTCGAGAGTCTCTGCTGTCTCGAGCTGGACGGCCTCGGGTCGGTCAGCGTCCGCTTGCTTGTCGTTGTCGTGCTTGTCCGGCTGCCACGAAAGGCTTCCCCCTGTGGCTCGTATTCGTACTTCCGTGTAGCCGTGCTGCCGCGGGACGCCGAATCGCGGTGTGGCTCCCGTTCGGAGGTCGAGTACCGACTGTAGGAAGACCGTTCCGGCTCGCGGTAGGAGTTCATCTGTGCAGACGTTCTGGTCGTGGCGCTCTGCCGAAAGCCCGTACTATCTTCCTCCCGCCGGGCAGCGTAGCGCTGCGCCGCGCGTTCCTCCTGGCGGCGCTTCTTCTCGAGGAGGTTCTGCTCCTCGGACGCGGAAAGCCGCTTGACGATGCAACCTACGTCGCGAGGGTGTAAAGGATCCTAACATAAGTTAGTACGCCGAGAATGAACACATGATAACTGCAGCCGCACTTTGCTTTCTTCATGACGACAGAGGATGACATTACCATCAGGACACCGGCGACACAAATCATAAGTTGTGGCCCCAAGCAAGTAAGCCTAAATGCCTGAGCAATCAACATTCGCATTCCAATACCTGGAAACCATCCTGTGCTCTGCGCGGATTCCTCGTAGAGATGACCACCCCACCATTCCGAGTTCCCGTCGATCTCAACCACCCGAATGATATCTCCGACTTTCACCTCGAGCGTGTTGTCACCTGTGGAATGAATTTTTCGAGCCTGGGCGAGTGAATACTTCCTCGTGCTCGTCAGGCAGCTAATTTGGCGGGTCACATTTTTAGCTTTACTTAGAAGCAGTCCTTGTGGTTGTGTTTGTGATGTCTGTCAGAATAAGCAATAGCGGCCAGCATCGCAGAATCATGGGAAGGAAAGGATGTACCTCCATCTGAAAACGCGCGCACAGCTTTTGCGTAAAAGCACCGATCCTCAGACATCCGGCAATCTACAACGGGAAAAGAGGTAAGCCCAGGTAGTGAGGTCGTGGCGACGATTGGTGACTGCCTTCCCCCGCCTTAGGAGCTTAAGTTTGTCAATATTGCGCTCGGGTCTGGCAGCTGTGACCCTGCCTCCAGGGCGGTAAGGAGGCAAAGAAAGTCGAAGTGGTACGGAGGCCGCGCAGAGGCCTCGATTCGTGGTTGTGACAGACAAAATCTTTTTTTGCCTAGAAGTTCGGCCTCGAAGCACCGGCAGCTGCAGGTGCAGCAACAATGAAAAAAATACCCGTATCGAGATCTACATTATTGTATTGGAAGTGGCACGTGAATATGTTTTTTTTCTCTTTATTCACACTTCTTTTTCAATACGGTCCGGTGGTAGAGTCCTCAATATTCGCCCTCTCCTCGTTGCACCCGTTTGAAATCTCAACATTTTGATTTTGTACAAATTGAAATATCCGCCACTGCCTCGTCATGGAGTATGAAATTGTATTTACTTTCTTTCCTTATTTTTATCGTTAACATCATGAGATGGTGTTGGAAAACAGACAACCAAGAGAAGAGCCTAAGTAGAGTACTGCATCCCATGCGGATCTAATTCGATTCGATAAACTTAAACACAAATTACGGTTAACTATAGGAAGACCCTTGCTGATGGCATAGTAGGATACATAGAATTATGCTCCCGGGTCGTCTACATTCCTTTCCAGTTCAGCTTCCATCTTTTTTGAGGTTGGTCGTTCACTCTCTCTCAACACGTGTGACGAGGTGGAGTTTGAGGAAGCAACGTATCAGAATGGCAACGGGAGCAAGAAAACCAACGAACCGTGTGAACAAAATTGATCCAAACAATGTCGCACGGCACCTTTCCGCTTGCTCGACGACCTCCACAATTTCTTCAGAATGAAGACGAGCTCTAGTTCAACTTCAAACATGATGCAGACATATCAATTCAAAGGGTGGCGCTACTTATGAAGACACCATGATTTTGTCAATCGCTAGTGTACAGGCTTGCTTGAATGCTCTTGTCCAAACACGATGTAACAGAATTTCCTTGCTGAATAGGCTAGTTGTAGATGCCATCGATGAAACTTGCCTTTTTCTAGTTTGTTTACGTTTAGCCTCAACAGTTGCAGCTCATAATTGTACATTTTGTGATTGTGAGATTGCCGTGAAACAATCGAAACGATTGGCAGAATTCCAGTACGAATACGAATAGAAACGAATGATTTAGTTTTCAATGCGTTAGCTTGGGATGATGTAGTCAGTTACTGTAGTTTATTGGACGACATCCTTGTAATATTAGCTGGCACTTCTCCTCAACGTTATTCCCCAAGTGGAGAATTCCCATTTCTCACCACTGCATTTCCGTCGAGGGGGCTATCCCCAACTGTTTCTTGAAGGGAATGCAGCAGCAGCTCGCTTTTGCGGATGACCACGTCCAGGTCCGATTGCTCTTGCTCCGAGTAGTCGTCCAAAGGACTCAGCTCACTCAGCAAATCTGGCTCTTCGGGGGGACCTGGTGTTCAAAACATATTTCTTGACGCGTTTCGATTCATTTTGTCTTTGACATCGATCATCCTCCAAAAACAAAGCTACAGTACTGTACTTGAACTTGTGTCGTTGCCAGCTGCAGGGCATCCGATCTAAGTACCATCGACCTACACAAGAAAACGAAATCGAAAAGCGTCTATCAGTCAATACAAAATTTCACACCACATGCAGATGCAGCATGACGCAGTGCGTTAAACGCACTCGCACGGACTACAAGTATAATAGATCATAAGTATTTTTTGCTAACACTTATACCTACTTCCTCCGGGAGACCTGGCTTGTTGAAAAGAATTGAAGCCCCATCGACCTCGTCCTCCCGTTTCATCTGTCCAGTGACACACTCCTTAATTTTGTCCTCGAGCTGCTCCCCAGTTGGCTTGGAGAGTTGTGTTTTCTGCCGCAATCGTGTCAGCATGGCATCGATCTCAGAAAACGGATTGGCTATTTGTTCCTCGGCAGATTTATTGTGCGGATCCGTTAGTGTGATGAGTTCTTCTGTTTTCTTCTTACCGGTTTTCTCCTCCTGCGCACCAGCTGCTGCAAATTCTTCTTGCACCCATTTCAGCAGTTTGGTAGTTGCGGAACAAGCTATTGCTCCTGCTTCATCCTCAGGTTTCCTTTCCTCCTTCGTACCTGCTGTCGATCCCTTAGAGGTGCTATCTTTATTTCCGGCTTTGATCAGGTAGCGACGTTTTTGCTGCCCCACGTTCTCAACATCGGCATGTCTGGCGGTTGCGGCAGGTCGTGCCGATTTCTTTTCCAGCTGGGAGGTCGACGGCCCATGGGATGCCGCGGTGTGCTTTTTCGCAGACAACTGTGCGCTCGGCCGCTTTATTTTTGCCACAGAAGAATCTTTTCCGTTGTTCAGCATGGGGTCCAGAAAGAGCGGATCGTGCAACAGCTTTTTCAGCAGGCTGCTGTTTTCATCTTCTGCTGTGCGGCTCCGACTCAGCTGCAACCTTGCTTTTGCAATGTCGCGCTTTTCCTGCAGCTTGCCGATTCGTGTGCCGGCGAACGAGGTGAAATCCCGCGGCGGGGTCGTCGGTTTGGGTTTTTCTTTTGACGTGTGGGAAGATGCAGCTTTCGCTTTCCCCGTCGTGTTTGTTCGCCTTGCTGTTTGCGCTGACAGAACCGCACTAGTTGCTCTTGCTGCAGCGGTGCTAAAAGGTATTTTTGTAGCTTCTGTTCCTGCGAGACCACTAGCTCTATTGTTGTTGGTCGCTCCCTTATTCGGTTTCGCCCCTCCTGGCACAAGTGGCAACTCTCCGCGTCCCTTGTTCCAAAACCCCGCACCAGTGGTGGCGGTTGTGCGAACTTTTGCTTGCGAACTACTAGTGGGCTTTGGAATGTACGGAGCCGCGCTGGTTCTCTGTTTTGTTTTCGTTCCACCCTTGAGTACTGCTGAGGACGAAGAGGAGGAAGATGCGCTTTCCTCACTTTCCAGAACTGCTGGCGCCGCCGATAGTAATTCGGTATTTTCTGATGACGATGCCGACTGGTTTCTCCGGACGACACTGCTGCTCCTTGTCGGCGACGTTGACTTCACTTTTGCGGTGAAAACCGGTGGTCGCGGCTTGCACGAGCTGGAATTTCTTTCGTCGAGAGCAGGCTCTTCTTCTTGTTCGAATGGTTCGGCTGCTGGTGGTGCATTGTTTCGTTCGCCTTCCATCGCCGATGAGGGGGACGACGTGTGCAACCCTGCGCCAGCTGCTGGGTCTTCTTGACGCAAGGCAGAGGCGGAAATTTCGAAAGGAGCTCGTGCGCCAACACCCGTATCTTTCTGATCGCCGCCCACGTCCGACACTGCGCTCGAGCTACTCGGACTTCCCAGCGTCGACAGCGCGCTTTCTTCCCCCGCGTAGTCGGCCAGCGCGCCCTGGTCGAATTTCAACGCCGTTTCTTTTTTGATCAAGTCCGCAACCAGCAGACTAATCGCGGATTTTCCGGAGAATTGCGGTGATGCAGCTGTGGCGCCCTTCGGTGTCTTGTCCGTCGTACTGATCGCGTGTATCATGCTCGTTTCCTCAACTTCGCTCGTCCCGAAGGTGGACGCCACTCCCTTGCTTTTCCGCTTCAAACTAGAGCCTCCTCCGGGCGGGAGACAGACTGATTTTATCTCTGTCCTCAACCGCCGCGCGCCCATCGGCGAATCCAGGACACTACCGATATTCACGGGTGAGTCCAGCGCTTGACCTCTCGCGGCGCGAAGACGTTGCGCACTCCCAGCAAGGACGTCCGCCGTTGCGGAAGACGAGGAGGACTGCTGAAGCCCTATCAACTCCTCAGAGGAGACTGGAACACTCTCAGTAGGGGAGGACGGCACGATTGAAACTTTGCTCGGCGTTCTCACCGACTCCAAGTCATCCTTTTCGTTGTTTTCTCTTATTCGTCCCCGTGCTTGTTTCTCCTCTGGAAGTACCGTCGGTGGGGCTGAAAGGAGCTCCGCGCGACTTCTATCATTCCCACGCGGGGAAGCAGTGCCGAATACCGGCGATGGAGATGATTCGCGGGTGCCGTTGAGAAGTCTGCTGGCTGCCTCCCGAATATCAGCGAACGGGCTGCGACTCTCGCTTGTCGTCTTGTGTGGAGTCCGCGTTCGCGCTGGTGAGCGAGATAGTGAGCTCAAGCGGATAACTGCAGAAGAAACTCCGCCTAGCTGCTGTACAACCCCGGTCCCAACATTCGGCGACTCTTTCGAAGAACTCCCAGATTCGAGCGGGATAGCTGCGTCGGCCACAAAATTTTCCCTGCTGTCCTTAGCCCCAGTCGGTGTTGCAGCTTGCGAAACTGCAGCGGATGCTGAAGCCGGCATTCGCTTACTGCTGAAAATGTTCGTGGCCTGCAGTGCGTACTTGGTTCGCGGAGACGTTAGATTCATGTGCTCTTCTTGACCGGCGCCGTCAGACCTACTCGAGTTGCTGCGGCTGCGATTTGTTCTCTGTCGCATTGTGCCATACAATGCCGCGTTGGTCCTGCTCCGAGAAGAAACGGTTGCTGCAGAGGAACCCTGTGACAGACATTCCTCCACCCGAGATTGGTGATTTGCCAGAATCCGAGACATTCGCTCACGCGGACTGACAAGTTGGAGCTGCTCGTCCTCCTCGTAAACAATTCCGCCTTTGGCTTTGCCGCCAGGTCCGCCTTCCCTTTTAGGTTCGTCGTTCTTTGGCGAAGACGCAAGTTGTGGCTCAAGATGATGACCACTTGTTTCTTGTTCTGTCTGGACCTGCGAGTCTCGCACTTCCGCCTTCGGTTGTACTGCAGTTTGCATCTCTTCAGCCACAGCTTGCGGAAGACAAAATTGAACTGAGAGGTCCCGCTCCAGGTGGTGATTCCTCGGGGAACCGTTAGCGGTGCTCTCTTTGCTTGTCTCCTTTGTTTGCTCTCCAACTTGCTGATGACCCGCAACACGACCTTCGCGGTCGCGCGGCTCGGAAGCGCTCATGCTTTGTTCCCCATCTTGTTCATCCTCTCCTTCCTGCGCCAAATCAACGCGAGCGCGCCGCGCACGAATTTTTTGTTCCTTTCGCAGGTCCGGCGACACCCATGTGGCAAATGTCGTCCCACCAGACGTGATGTGCTGCGCAGGTCGTGTGTTTCGAATTCCCCGACTAGCTGCTGACGAGGATGCAACCGATCCAGCACTTCTTGTCCCCCCGACAGGTGCAGCTCCCGGTTGCTGGTGCCACTTGGAGATGGCGTGTGCAATGCTGTCAGAAGTTTTACTTTCCGCAGAAAAAACTTCGTGCGCACTGTTGTAGCCGCTGAGGCTTTCCGCCGCAGAAAGGTGAAGATGATTTGCAGCTGTTGTCCCACCTCCACTGCCGATCAATCGCCCTTCCGAATCGCTGGACGCAGGGCCGAAACCAGAAACCGCATCTACTTCTGCAGTGTCTCGTCTACTTCTCGGGTTGAACACACTCTCGAGAATGGCTTCGGGACAGAACGGAACAGGTCGTGCCTTCTCGGGAGAAGCGGATAAAGCGCGCCGGTCCATGGTCACATTCAGGGAGTAGACGTTCTGAAACAAATCGCCGTCGTCTCCGGGTAAGAAGTTCCTCGCCCGTTCGGCGGCGGCCCGCTGTGCGGCCTTCGCTTCTTGCTCTGCTGCCGCTATTTTGAAGGACTCGGTTAACAGATCACGTTTGTACAGCAAGGGACTTTTCGAATCAGCAAAAAAAGCTGTAGAAATGGTGGCACCGGGGGGCGCTTGATGGAACCTGTCGTAGTTGAGCCATCAGTTGCTATGCCGGAAAAATTTGCCCCATTCTAAAGCAATGATGCAAAAGAGGAGGACTACACTATTTGCAACAAAACGAAAAGCAAAAATCACCTGGTCGGTTCCGCAGAAACACCAGCAGATTCAGTGCCTGCGACTTGATTGAAAGTCGTCTCTCGGTTTGCACGCCGAGACTGCCGCGCTGCTGTTGATAGTGGGTTATGATCGGCGTTAGTACCCCCGCCGATGAGATTTCTTGAGAGGCGCTGATTGATAGCGCTAATGTCCGACACCAAGCTGTCGACATGGCGAACCGACTCTGCAGTCGAAGAATTCAGCGTATCAAGCATGTTGCGGCTCAGAAGCAGCGCTTCCGCGGGTTCATCTTCCGGCATTTTGATGCTTTTCCACCTAGAAGATATTGACGAGCTGGCGCGGCTCCGGCTGCCCCGTTTCTGTTTGAATAAGGTTGTAGTCGTAGCTGTGGAAAACGCAAATTGGGAAGCACTGACATTCAAATTCATGAGCGGGAGCAGTGTGCTGCACTCCTAAAAAAACAAAAATCGCGCGCTGTGCAAATAGCTAATCACGATCCTGCTTCACGAAGCGCATCCGTTAACGACTTCGAAATCTCATTCGATCGAAACGAAATATTGCGAATCGCTACAACTACAACAGATTTCGCGAGACTTTCGATCTGTCCGAGTCCGCCAAGCTAATCTACTACTTCAACAGCGAAAGAGATGTAATAAAGCCGAGAAATACGAATGAGCGAATGAGCGTGACTGACATACGAGTGAGGAATCCAGAAGAACATCACTTCTCCATCAACGGCCGAAAGTGCTAGCGTTGCGCCGACATCTGGTACGTATTTTCCTCTTGTCCTTACGTGTGTGTGAGTGCGTTCCCCTTTTCGTCGCCTAGCAATGTTCAGTCCTCTAGTCTGCCTGGCTTTCGCCAATAGCCTCTGTTGGTTGGCATCGCTAGGAAGCTCATGGTAAAGCCCATCAAGAAGATCCAGATGTTGAATCTTAAAAACTAGAATCAAGCCACCTACAGGAGCCTTCATCTTTTCGCCCGTGTCCATGGAAAGGAATAAACGTAAACACGTAAACACACTTACTACAACACTCCCGGAACTATGTGAATATGGATATAGCGCTATTTGCTCTCTAATTGTGGCAGATTTTCTTGCTACCCGGTACTCCTCCTTCTGAGAACAAAACAAAAAATACTTTGGGACAAGATACATTTCAGTGCGTGGTAAATACAGATATTGTGATGCGTAAAAAACAAGGTTATCAAGTGCGTTTTACTAGGACATGACCTACAACGAGTAGAACGGACACATCTCGTAAACCCACCTCGTCCAAATAAAATGTACATGGGATGTTGGTATCAAGTGTGAAGATTTTAGAGGAGAGCAAAAAATCTCCATCTCGATGTATCTTCCTCAGCCTAAAGGTGAAGAATTCAAAAGGTATGGTTGTGAACGAGGAATTGCTTCGCTGTCGTTTGTACTTTTTTCGTCGTGCTCCGGAAGAACAAGCGCTTCGTTCTTCATCATCACTACACACGACTACTGACACTACAAAGCTGCAAAACAAGTCTCCTCTTTAGGTTACACAACACTAAAAAGTGCTCGCTTCGTCGCCTTCGCTGCGACCGTTGCGACAAACGACGACGACGAGGAAGCGGCACTGTCGGCAAGGCCTTCCTCCGTTTCGTCGGCAGCCAGCATCGTCTCGGTTCCTCCGCGCAGGGCGACCGTGCTGGTGCTTTTCGCCCCCGCATCCGTGATGCAGCCCTTGACGGCGAAGGGGATTAGGGTTAAAACCGCGATGACGAGAATCATGACAATGACAATCAAAATTCGGCGGATGAACGCGGAACGCGACGCCCGCTCTTCCGCCAGATGCCGTTGGTTTTCCAGGTGCGCGATTTGCATCTCGGCCTCCAGCTGGCGACCGGACGAGGACGCAGACCAGGAGCGGTCCAACGCACCGTAAGTTTGTTCCTGCTTCGACTGGTGCGCGTGCGCCAGTTTCGTCTGCTTCTCGATGTCGTCGGCTTCATTGACATTGTAGAAGTCCGCCCCAGCTCCTCTCGGAGACGCCTGCTCGCCCTCCGACTGCTTGCTCGGATGTTGTTGTTGCCGGCGCGTGGACACCAGCGTGGACTGTGTCGGCGGGCGGGTGACGAACAGACTCGCAAAGTGGTCCACCAGCATGTCGATGCTCTGCCTTGCCGCCGCAATGAACGTCGGATCCTCTTCTGGTTCCTGCAGGTCGCGCCCACTGTACGGCTGGAAGTCGGGGTGCAGGGATTCGTCGATCGCAATGGAGGTGTGGGACAACTCCCGCTCCTTCTCCTCGTCGGCTTCCGGCATGCGGTCAATGCCCCCGTCGCTCGCCTTAGACTTCGAAGCCTTCTTTAGCTCGTAGTCGGGCAGGAAATCGGTATTACCAACAGCTTCTACCGGGGCAGTTGCACCAGAGGTGGTGGAACCAGCTTTCTCCTCCTCGTCTTTGGTTTTATCTTGTTGTTGGGACGAAACGGGCGTGCCACCGAATCCAAACGAGGAGAAGGCCGCCAAGGAAGAGACCATGATGTCAGAGAGCGATCCGGGAGATTGCACATCGTCGCCCGCCGCGGAGCCTGACGCCGATTGCTCCGGCTCGCCCTCCGGCTCCAGTGGCGCGTTCCGTGCCGGGCTGCTGGCCTGGCTTGGAGCCGCTGCTTCCGACCCGGTCGTGGTGTGCTGCAAAACTGCGACATTCTCAATGTCGGTCGGAACCGTGCCCATTAAGGCATCAGCTGCAGCAGCAAGCGAGCTGCGGTTGTTCTCGGTAAGAACTGCCTGCTGTTCCGCGGTTGCTGTTCCAGCTTCTTCTGAGGAAATGCCAGAAGAGACATGCAAATCGGCGGAGCCCTCGGACCTCTTGGAGCCTTCTTTTTCGTGGTAGTCACCGACTTCCGCAATGCTGCTGGTGGTAAGGTCAACCTGCTGCTCCGACTGCTGTGCGACTACTTCAGCCGAAGCTGCAACACTTGAGTCAACAAGTGGTTCCTGCGTGTGTGCGCGAGCGGAATACTGCGATTGCATCAGAACGTCATCCTGGGTCTTCTTCGACAAGGAGACGGACGGAAACCTGGATGTCCCGACGCTTTGGTCGCCGGTCTTGTCGAATCGCGAGTGCATGACGCCGCGCATGTGCTGGCTCGGGGACGAGCTCAGTTCGTCGTCGTCCTTCGATCGGTGCCGTCCGCGGGGGGAGCCGTTGGAGCTGTACCGCTTGGACATCAGTTCGTGCACCAGGTCGTGATCCGCCGGGTCGACCGGAAATAGGTCAGGGTTGACCAAATCAACCGCGTGCTGCTCCGTGTTCCCCGCCGAGCTCCGCTCGTTGTATTCGTCTGACGAGGAGTTCGTTTTGGACGAGTCGCGACCCTTGGAAGTTGGCAAAACGTGCGCGCCCCCGAAGACCGCCACGCTCGGGCGCGAGGCCGCTTCTTTGGAGGTTGCCGGCGAAGCAGACTTCGGCGTCGAGGAAACCGATGCGATTTTGGCGGCTTTTGCAGCAAGCTTCTCCCTGTCCTGCTCCAGTTGCAGCCGCTGCTCTTTTTCGCGCTGGAGCGCCAGCTGCGCTTGCTCCGCCCGTTCTTGCGCCTCTTGCGCGATGCGGGCCTGTTCGGCCAACGCAGCCTGGCGCTCTCGCTCCGCTTTCGAAAGTTTCCGCTGCATGCTGTTCTTCTCCTCCTCGGCCTCGCGGTGAGCTTCCGTCAAACTGCTGTCGTTCTCGCGCTGCAGGCGCTTGCGCTCCTCCTCGAACTCCCGCTGTGCTCGCAGTTCAGCGTCGCGCGCACGGGAATTCGCTTCGGCCTGCAGTTCAGCACGGCGCATGACCTCGCCCGCGAGCCGGTCTTCGAGCTCCTGCTCCAAGCTGGCTTTCTCCTCGGCGAGTTGGCGTGCGTGTTCCTCCGCCGCAACCCGCGCGTCCTCGATTTCGCGCTGCTGCTGCGCGTACTGCTGTTCGCGGAGCCGCTGCTCGCGCTCGAGTTCCAGCCGTGCTGCCGCGTCCTCCTGGACCTTCGCCGCCAGTTCTCGCTCGGCGCGCTCCGCTTCCTCGGCGACTTTCCGAGCGGTCTCCTCAGCAGCGATGTTCGCCACGCGCTCGCGCTCGGCTTCGATCGCGCGAGCGGCCGCGGCTTCGGCCTCCGCCTTCGCTTCGCGGATGCGGGCGGCCATTTGGGCTTGTTGCTCCTGAATTTCCCTCCGCAAGTCGGCCTCCATCTTGCGCCGCTCCTCGGATTCGAACTTAGCTTGTTCCTCCGCGAGCTTGCGAGCCAGCGAATGCTCCCGCGCTTCCTGCTCGCGCTGGCGCTCATCCAGCAGCCGTCGCTCCTGGCGCAGGTTCTCTTCCTGCATGGCGCGCGCGTTTTCCCAGGCGACCCGCTCCTGCTCAAGTCGGTCCTCGTGCGCTTTCTGTCGGCGCTGCAGCTCGGCCAGGTCTTCCTGCAGTTTCTGCGTCTGCTCGGCGTTCCGCGCTGCGGATGCACGTTCGACCTGCTGCTGCTGAGCCTCGAGACGCGCACGCTCCTCAGCCAAGCGCCCCTTTTCCGCAGCCACTTCGGCAGCGGTCTGAGCCTCCAACGAGGCTCGGGTTTGTTGCAGCTGCTCCTCAAATTTCTGCTGCGCCTCATTGCGAGCCTCCGCCGACTGCTGCGCAAACTCCTGGCGTAGCTGGCTCCATTCCGCGCGCTGGGCCTCGAGGTGCGAGCGCTGCGTCCGTAACGCTTGCTCATGCTCCTCGCGCTCCTTTTCGAACTGCACCCGCTCACGCTCCATCTTCTCGGTGGCCTCTTGCAGCTCCTTTTCGTATGCGCGCTTCGCATCCGCTTGCTTCTGCGACGCAAGGTCCTCCGCAAGTTGACGCAGCCTGTTAAGGAATGTGCGGTAAAACTTTCTTCAGGAAACATGATAAACGAAATTGCACAAAAGATTTGCGATAAGGTTAAGGAAAAATCGCATCGGCATTGTCGAAAAGATAAAGGCTCTATCTACCTGGCTTCCTCGTTCGCCCGCGTAACGCTGATCTCCTGTTCCCGCTTTTCGAGTTCCTGCTTCTTTTCATGCAGGTCAATCAAAAAGTCCTCACGCTCCTTGCGGATCTTCTGCTCCAAGGATGTCAGCCGCTGGATGTCTTCCTCCCGCACCTGCAGCTCTTTCATGTACTCCATCTGTTGCTGCGCTAGTTTGGTTTCGAACTCCATGCGAATTTCCATTCGGTCGGACTCGCGCCGGGACATTCGCTTCTTCTCGTCGCGGTCGGAATCCTCCGAGCTCCGCCCGCCCTTCGAAGAGCTGGGGGTGATGGACACGGAATCCGCTTTCTGTCGACGAGAGGTCGGAGGCGGCTGCGATCCGGAAAGTCGCCTGGCTACGGAAGCGCTCAACGGATCATCGGCAAACTGGCTGGAACCAAGACCGTCGCGGACGTTCTGTCGAGGTAGAATATCAACATGATTGTTGGTTTTTGTGAGCTTCTACATGATACGGTCGACAAACTTCAAGAACTATTCTAACACGATATTACGAAACATGATCAGATGGCAAAACAAGCAAAAAACCGAATCATTAAGTACCACATCATCCACAGACCGCTTCATCTGGTCCGACCCGATGTCCGACGAGGCGGAAGAACCGGACTTGGTGCCCGGAGCGGCCAAAAGCTGCGACCGGCGCTCGGCAATCATGCCCAGAATATCGCGCGACAGCGTGCGGGAATCGGACAACAATCGCGTTGCCTCCTCGTCCCCTAAACCCAGCAACCGCAGGTCGTCACTGGTCAACGCACGCTCGGAAGGTCGCTTTTTACTTTTCGCAGAGGCGAGCGACTTCTCCGACTTTTCCGACTTTCCGTCCGTCTGACTTGACCTGGGCTCCGTCTGCGGCGACGAATGCGGAGAGGACGACGTCGGTTCCCCAACACTAGCGATCGGGGACAGAACCTGTCGATAGGTGCTTCCCGGTGTAATGTTCTGCTCTCCCTCCGGAGCCACACGTGGCGAGGCAGCGGAGGACGTCGTGAAAGTCTGGTGGCTAATGTTTTCTTTACGAGCTTTCGCATCGAGAACAACATTAGAAGTAGTGCTGCCAAGAATCGAGGCGGTGTTTATTTCTTCTTGTTGCTGCAGCAGACTTCTTTCCTGTTCTGCCTGGGCCTGCCGGGCGGTGTTCATGGTCACCGTGACTTGTGTTTCCTCACCGGACGACGCTGCGGACGAGGACGGCAGCGGCAGTCGGACCTTCGGGGAAACGTTTTTCGGGAGCGGGCTCGCCCCCTGCGACAGCGACCGCGGCGACGACCGCGAGGAGCCCGAACTCCGGATGGACCTAGGGGTCCGCGACTGTCCACGGGACGACTGCAGCTCCTGCTGCGCGGCTCCTGCGTCCGCCTGCATCCTTTCGCTGGCGTAGCTGCGCGGTGTGGACCGACCGCGCCCCGACCGAACGGTGGACTTCGACGAGGCCGCGGCATTTGACAGCGGACCGGCGTTTGGTGCCTCGGAAGGCGTCAACGAGCCCGTGTTCACACTCCGCCGGCGCTCTTCGTTCACCCGGGCAGCCGCCATGTTCAGCTTTTGAATCGCCGCGGCCACTGGACTCTGCGACCGGACGACTTTCGGGGTGGCACTAGAACTATTCCCGCCTTTCTTCGTGTACAGAGGGGACTTCAGCTGCACCCTGGCTTTCGCAGTAGCGGTGAGCATTGTCAGGCGGGAGGACGGCCCGGCAGAAGTAGAGCCGCTCGCAGGAGCACCTGCTCTCTTAGGTGACACGCTCGAACTTTTCGACGGAATGACGCTCGCGCCGGCGGCCATTCGGCTCGCCTTCGCGCGGAGCAAGTACGCCGGACTCGCGCTCTTTGCTGCCGCGGCCTTGGCGGAGGCAGACAGCACGCGAGAAGTAGAAGAGGAACTACTCGGTGCTACCAGATTTTTCGGCGAAACGTCACCGCGAGTCGATGACACACTGCTGGTCGCAGTCACGCCGGCCGAAGTGGAACTCTTCGCGGCAAACTTCTGCGAGGCCGTCAGCCTCGTGACCAGAGATTTCAAATCCACACTGCTCGTTGCGGTTTGCGGTGCCACGCTAGTCTTCGACGTGCTCCGCGGCGACGTTGGCTTCGTGGAGGTGGAGGATGAAACGCCCTTATTCATCGATGCAGCAGCCCCCGTGGTCGAGTTGGTCCGTAACCCCCCGCTCAACCGGTTGATAACCGCCTGAATTCGGTTTGCCTTCTTCTCCGCGCGGAATTCTTCAAGTCTGATCTGCTTGGACGCGGTGATATTCCGAACTCGTTCCAGCAGCGCCTCCTCGTCCACCCGCACCGGCGGCAGGCGGGCACTTCTGGTTCCGGATTTCGGGTTCGCTTTGACGACTTTTTTCGAGCCATCCCAAGTGGGCTTGCTCATGGACTTTGGTTTCGACTTCATCGTGCTGGCTCCAGCCTTTGCAGCCACGCCACCCGGTACGCGAGTTTTAGTCCCGCCCAACGCAGCAGCTTTGGCGCTTATTTTTTGCGAATGCTCGCTACGCTTACTCGCACTGGATCTGGGCGTATAGTTGGAAGACTGCAACAACGCGTCTGAAGCTCGCGATTGAAGCAACACGTCTTCATTATATGGCTGCGACTCCAGCAAATCGTCGTCCCGGTAATCCATGTCCATTTTTAAGCTTTTGTTTGACTCAAAAACGAAAATGTATCAAATCAAAAGTGAATTCCTGCATGTCTTGTGAGCAGAGGACTCCCTCCACATCCTCTGCAGGCTTGCAAAAGGCAAAAGGTGTTCAGATACATAGAGATGGAAAATGTAAGCGAAAAAATCATGTGAATTCATGTGGGGAAAAAGAATGCGATGAAAAGATGCTAAAGACAAACATGGTCGCAAAAAATATGCAAAAACTCAATACGAATTCAAAAAAACGAGACAAAAAAGGGGTCCGCTGTTGTGCAATTTGACGATTATTCAATGATGCCAGCATGGTTTTGTCGCGAAAAAGCACGATCGACAAGAAGATGAAGACGCGTCCACGAAAATAGAAAAATGCACGATGGAATTACGACAAATTTTGCTGCACGGCAACGATTGTTTCTTTTTTTGCGGTTTTGTTGCTTTGGACGATTAGGGAAACCAGGAATGCACGATCACAAGCCGACACTGATGCTGCTGTACGCACTTTATTGTCACGAACCGAAAAACTTTGCGAAAGGGAAAAACCGATGCCGGGATCTATCAGTAGGAAGTCACGACCGACAGAAATTTGCAAAAAATCGTTTCCGATAATTTTTGACTTTTACGAGTTCGCTGAGAGTTAGTGCCATGCTGTATCCACAAAAGAGCCACGACCGATGAATGTGAATCCAGATTAATGTACCGAACGCGGCAGGCGACCCTATCAATCGTTTCGATCGGTCGCTTCTGCCGATCGCTGCCCTAAGCGTGTCAGCCAACTGCACACAGTTTCTAGCAGGAGCAGCTGCAGCGCCGGGTTCCTATACAATTTATCAAAATATCAAAGCGCGGTCCCAAAAGTCGCACTTGCCACAACTGCAAGGCGCTTTACTGTACGTTTTTACCTATTCTGTGTCGCAATATTAAGACACGCAATCGAGACACGGCGCCGTGGAACCAGTGCTCGCTTTGTGACACACACAATGTGGAGTGAGATTTGTGGTGCAAAAAAGAACTTCTGTTCTCTATGTATGGTGGCAGAAAGTGGTGAATAAAAACCGGTTTGAACCTGCTCTCGTGTAGCAGGGTTTTTCGCTTGCATCAAGTACAACTACTTTTCACTTGTTGTCCGCAAATTTCAAAACAACCGATGTTTTTTCGACTGCTAACCCTGCTTCCTCGGCAGCAGGGGCTCCGACAGGTCTTCCATTCTCTTGCTCACGTCTCGATCCATCTCGTTGCCCCCTCCGATCGGTATCGACACACCCGGTAGTGTGTTTGACGTGCTACGACGACGGTCCACCAGCCGTTCTGAGTTCTCCCCCTGCTCGTGAATGCTGTCCAAGCTTTCGCGGTTACTGGTAAGCGTTCCAAGAGGTCCAAGGGCGATGCTCGTCTGCTGGGCCCACTGCGTCTTGCGCACGGCCAGGTTGCGCCGCTCGAAGCGAGCCTGTAAATAATGTTGTAGTCGCAGTTGTTTGAGTTTGATGCCTTGCGCTGGAATTGATTTCAGCTCCACGATCATGTCTAGCGTTTGGCTTTAACGGTCGGGCTGCAGTTCTACGAAAAACCAGAAAATTGTGCGTGTTTCAGTTTCTACGGACGAACAACGAAACCGAGTCTACTGCTACCAACGGCACAGAAATGTGAACGTGAACGAACGAAAAGGCTATAATAAAAGTTTGCACGGGTCGGCTCGAGGAGCGGCGGCCGTCAATGTCGCTCGGAATCACCACCATAAGACTGGTTGGGCGCCGGACACTCGGTATCGAGGGTGGTGAAAAGTCCTTCGGTGAGTCCTCCTTCCGTGCGGACAGGGAAACTGACGTCGTGCGTGTTTCGTCTGGAGTCCATCCGCGCGTTCCCTTTTGTTGTACGATGATTTTACGACACATGTGGTTGTACGAGACCGACTTTACTTGTTTTCTTTTCGTGTGAACGAGTTTTGCTTGATTTTTTGGACGAATCTCTTCTGTGTGGTGCTTGCAGGATTAAGTACGAGTCAACGTTAAGTGCAAAGAAAAAAACGCTTCGGTATGACGTATTCTTGTATGAATGTAGTACCTGATTTGCCAGTCTGATCCCCGCCTGCACGACTCGACCTGCCGCACGAAACCTGCCTTTCGCTGATGACAGCAACGACATTCTCTTCGGGGTTGACCCTTCCTCCGGTGAAGTAGAACTCGCGTCCTTCTTACCTCCCGCACTACTCGCATGTTCATCCGCAGCGTTCGTCGACGAAGCCGGAGACAAAATTGGTGACTGCTTCGGATGAATAACGTGATGCACATGGGCATGGTCCATCTCGCCCCGTTTTTCTGGATGCAGAACCAAATGGTGCTGGTCCGCCTTGTGGATGCTTTCGACGCTCGCGACCGGCTGTGTCCGCGTGGCCCACTCCGTTGGGTCGTCCATGAAAGTTTTATGCTTTGGGACGTAGTCGACGTCGCCATTTTCCGATACGGCGTCAGGAGACTTGTCGCCGGCGAGGGCGCTGCTGCTGCCAGACAGAGGAGAGATGGATTCCTGCGGCAGTTTCGCCGCGGGCGCGAGGTGCTCCGTATGCTCGACCTCCTGCAAGTGCCGGACAAACGCCTTCTTCGTGATCAAACCGCGGAACTTCCCTGCAGAAACGACGGCAACAAACCGGAGACCAAGTTTGTGGAAGATCTGGTGGACGAGAAAGAGTGGCGTTTCCGGCACAATTCTGATAATCGTGTCGTCTAGTAAAGCGCTGTAGTCAAGCCCCGGGTTCTCCTCATGTTTCTTCTGCCGGTCGAAAAACCTGATGTTTCACATAGGGGTAATCAACATATCGTGCAGATTTAGCTTCACTTTCGTTTATGTTTACATTGCATCGCGTTCGCAACTTTTCACAAGATACTGAAGTCACTTCTTAACGCACGTTTTTTCGCCTCTGTGACGTGTGGCGAGAAACAGAAAGTTGTTCAAAACATTACATCAATAAAAACAATACACTGGCGTTTCGTCGTCTATTCTGTTGCCTCGGTGGAGGTAGCTCGGACTTTTATCCACCATGGCCCTTAATTCGTTTGCGTGAATGTAGCCGAGCAGCACCCACTCGTCCCCGCCCGCGTCGCCGAATTCCGACCGCACGAGCGGGAAGCCGTTGTAGTTCGGAAACACTTCCAGCATTTCCGTCATGGTGCCCACCGTGTTCGGGTCCTCGACGCAGATACAGTCAATGTCGTCGTCCATAATGTCCGCCGCCGTGCCCTTCACGATATGGTCCTCCGGCTCGTGGAGGTAAGGGTACTTCCTTAACCGTATGTGGCAGTCGTAAATGCCCTCCCCGAAGACGTCGCCCACCCAGCGCGCAACCTGCACCGCGAGCATGAAGGGCACGATGTGCTCCAGCGCACCGGTCAGCTCGAACATGATCACCACCAGGGAGATGGTCACCCGGCACACACCGCCCAGCATGGCTGCCGCCCCGATCATGGCGTACACCCCCGGATCAATGAACACGTTCTCCGGGTCGAGCTGCAGGTTGACGTACCAGAGCGCGTTCCCGAGCATTCGGCCGATGCATGCGCCGCAGAAGAGGGACGGGACGAAAAGCCCCGCCGGGATACCGGTGCCGAAGGTTATCGTCATCTGCAGAAACCGGTAGAAGCAGGCCAGCGCGAGGGTCCCGAGGGACACGAGGGAAAAGTTCGGCGTGCCGTCCTCGACGGAACAAAGTTCCAGCTCGTCCTTCAGGTTCTGAATCCTGCTCCCCTGCGCAAAGAAGTCGCTGCAGGGGGCGAAGAGCCTGTGGATGACGCTGGTTCCGAGGGGAACGAGCAGGACGTTCAAGCTGTTCACGACAACCGTAAACGCCGCGATGCAGGCTACCTCGGCGACAACGGGGACGTTGCACCTCCACCATACCGACGCCCGGGTGGCACAGAGATCGCCGTTCAACCGGACGAAGATCGCGCCCAGAACGCCCCCAATCACGCCCAGAAAAGCGAAGGGGATGTACTCCATAAAGTGGATCATGCCCGTGTCGGTGACTTGGAACATGGTCAATTTGCCCGTGCCCGTCGGGTCGAAGTACTGCAAACTCAACGCCGCACAAACGGCTGCGAAAAATGCTCGGGAGCATGTCCGGGAAGGAAAGAAAGTCGATACCTGTGATGTGCTACAGATCATGCTTTGCTCCTTATGAAAGACTCAAAAATCAACGCGATTGCAATGGATCAGAAGTACTCCATCCAACTAGGTACATTCACGGTGGAGCTTGTTCTATGACACCAGTACAAGGAAGTACGTAAGTAAGTAAGTAAGTAAGTAAGTAAGTACCTCCTCAAAACTGAAGAGCACTCCTCCAAGCGGCGCACCGAACGCCACGGACACTCCGGCCGCCGCGCCCGCGGACAGCAACTCACGCACTTTCGCATGTGATTCGGCGAAGTTTCCCGGCAGCAAAGTCGAGCATAACATGGCCCAGCAGCAGCTCACGTGCACCAAGGGGCCTTCCTTCCCCAGACACATACCAGCAGACACGACGAGGCAGAGGCCGATGCATTTGATGAAAAGGGTTGGTGCGGACAAGACCGCGGGCATGTGAAAACCACCGAGAATGGTTTTAATCTCCGGAATCCCGGATCCTCTCGCCGCCGGAGCCACGTTCTTCACCAAAATCGCCGCAATGACGGTGAGCAGGACCCCGGACACCGCCAGGACGAGGCTACGCCAGGTAGCCACCTCGAAGCCGCCCTGACTCTGGCCGAGAACCTCGCCCCAGGTCTTCAGCTGCCCTTGCGGAGCGGCGGTCGTGGTACCGTCAGGAGCGGTAGTCACCAGCGGTTGACACGCGAAGTTTGCGACGACCTGGTGATAGATATACATTGGGAATGGGACCAGATCAGCAACTACAGTGATGGTCTTGATAAACATAGTGGATAGCAAACACAAACTCAGATCAGAAGCACATCAACTACGAAAATCAAAATCAAAATGACGAAGGACGTAAAAATACGTCGTGCCCGCAACAGTCCTTCGCCGTCGCAAAAACGTTATCCACACAGTAGCCGTTTCGCCAGGTGAAAATTTTCTCGACCATGATTTCGATAAAGCTCGCACTAGCCGCCCCCATGAATCCCCCGATTCCGGGTATCACCCAGCTGGACGCCTCGAACCAGACGCGTTCTATCCTTCCGTGTTCCCCCGACTCGAATTCCGTCTGTCGCATCACGTCTTTCGTAAGTTCCCTGCGGAAAGAAACGGTAGAAAACGCGTCCCAGGGCGTGTAGCTCAACTTATTCGTCCGCTGCGCCGATGCGTTGAAGCTGCTTGCCTGCCGGCGCCTGGAGCGAATGTTTTCGCCGCCATAGCCACTGCTACCAGAACCGTAGCTCACTTTCTCACTATTGTAGCTGTCTATTTTATTCAGGTTTTCTTCCTGCAGCGTCGCTCTGTCCCGCTCCTCCCCAATGCCCGCCACCGCGGACCCCTCGGAACGAAGTTGCGCGAACGCTCCGCCTGCTGGGCCCCCGAGGGACGTCGAACTCGCGGCGGTAGTTTGCCCAAAACTAACCGTCTTTGCGGAAGAGGACCCGGTTTTGTTGGACGACGGTTCATTGGGGACGTCTTCGTCGATAATGAGTGAATCAGCAACCGCCGCCGCATCGTCACCATCGCCGTCCGTGAACCGTCGGTCGACCAAGTTATCGCTCATGGTTAAATTTTTCGAAAGCGCTTAGCTAGCGCTCATAGTGCATCATGCTTTGTTTGACCGCACCACAGCCTCCCCGGTGCTAAAATGGAAACAAGCCCCTGGGAGGCTCCCAGGGGCTCCTTTTTATCGCAAGTACTTTCGGTGCTGGCTCCTTTTTATCGCAAGTACCTGGGAGCAGAGCTCCGAGCTCTGCTGGCTCCTTTTTATCGCAAGTACTTTCGGTGCAAGGGAGCACGCTAATTTTTTCTCAAACTTCGCGAAACTACTACAGTATATGTCTAGCTTTAGCGTATCTCCACCGTCTCAGATGCTCACCAGGACATCAGAAGAAAACTAGTATGTACTGTAGGAAACACACGACGACACATTGACATTGTTGGGGTATTTGAAGTGAGTACTCCGGAAAGGGAAGAACCTGTTAAAGATGCATGGAAGACGATTGTCACCGATTTTCCGTGCACCCTTCTAGTGGTGTACCGCATGCGCCGGGAAAAAGCAACAAACGTCGCAGCATCAATTCCAAGTACTGAGACTGATGAAGCTGAATGAAAACGAAAGAACGCGAAAAAAAAAATGGCAATGAAGAAGCACGATAGATTTTGATTTATGAAAAAAACAGAAAGAAAAAAATAACGAGCGCGACAAGGAAGATCGATTATGCCGGTTTCAACAGTACTGTACGATTGATACTTCTTTTTCATTTCTTGCAGTACGAAAAAAAAAGAACGACTTTGCGAATTGCGGACGACGACGATGTACTAAACGAGGCAAAAAAAAAGCTCCTCTGTGTGCAGCAAGAACGCGAGAGCGCAGTCGTTGAACAAGAAGTTTCGCAAATCCTGGGCACAACTAGGCTCTGGCTCACGCAAAATAAAGTTGCACGGGCAAATGTTGCGTTGCTTCTAATGATGACTTGTAATGTACAGCGAAGAGCATTGTGATTCTGACTCATTCTGCCAGGCTGAGGCATCAACACGACAAACCTAGAGTCTCAAAAACTCTGTGAGCAGCTGTGTATTGATTTTGTTCCTTCGATTCGCAGTGCCCAGAGCCGAAGCAGCTTGGGAATTGTGATGCATCTTCATGAAGCGCGCATCGATTCGCTCCACGAGGAGCATCGACGAAAACAGCGCTTCCACTGTCACCACCACCTCTTCCCGGGCGCGCGACTCGCTTTCCAAACAAGGATACAGCTCCCGGTGCTCGATCTCCAGCCAGGCACGCAGGAAGACAAGAGACCGCAAAACACCGTGGAGGTAGTCCTGCGAGTACTGGAGCAGCACAACATACCAGCAGCCAATAAGCACGGCAAGGGTAGACGGTTTGTCGTCAGGGGTAGCAGGTGGTGGAGCTGTTTTTTTCACTTTCGCCGTGTGCAGCAGTGAGCTTTTAGAAGAGCTGGAAGTGCTGGATTTCGAGTTGCTAGTAGCGGAGGTACTGACTGGCCTATCCTTATTCTTTCCGTTTTGCAGCACAAACTCTCCATCCTCGGGGGTTCGGGACTTCGCAGATCCGCGGGAAGAATTCGCGGGCGCGCTGGGCGGCGATGGCGTCCTGCTGCTTGTTGTCACAGGAGGTTTCTGTCTGTAGTTTGCGAGAACGAAGCTTGGCAGGTACTTCTTGATGAAGTGGAGAAATGCTTTCAAGCACCTACGGATGTAAAACGCCTGGTCCATCGGGTTCGTGGCGCGCAGGAACAGAGTAAAATCCTCGTTGCACAGCGCAAGGATCAGCGCGCCACTCTTCACCAGCACTTCCGCGACCGGCTCCTCCTCCGGCGGGGGCGTGTGCGCCTGCCCGCTTGTTGCGCTCGGTGAAGAGAAGAGCAGTTCTTTCCCGGCTCCTGCTTCTCGAGAAGATGTTGTTCTGCTGCCAGGTGTTGTTTGCAAGTGGAACCGCTGAAGCGCGTCAAGATGATCTCTGATCGCTGCGGTCTGTATGGCGGCGGAGCTAGGCGGTGGAGACTGAATTACCTCTCTGTCGTCTCCCAGAAGATCCACCCCGTCCTCGCCGTTTCCGCCAGCTACGACCATGCTCAGGTCCTCGCCGGCGTAAGTACTCGAGCCCGGTGGTGTCCCCGCGTGCGAATCAAGCGGACTGGCGTCATCCGGCGAGAACGCACCCTCTGCGGCGAGTAGCGCCGCGGAGATCGCTTTTCCAAACCCCTTCTCCGCGATCTCCTTTCCGGCCGGAGACCCGGTACTAGTAAGTACTACCGGCGGGCCGGGCGTTGTGACCGCAGCGGTCGACGTGTGGTCCGACGCCGGGGACTGCGGCCCCGCGGACTGCGCTTGCTGCAGAAGTTCTGCTGGGGAGAAAGCGAAGTTCGTCAAGACCCGCATCCCGTCCTGAGAGATGAGAACTTCGATTTTTGTCAATAGCGCGATCTCCAACGCGTCCAGGTCGTCCCCTTCGGGCAAGACTTTCAGCCAGCGCTTGTCCCAGAACCGAAAGGCTTCTTGCGCCAAACCTCGATACAGCGGTCCGCGTTCCAGCGCAACGTCTGCATCTTGGAACTGGAATGGAGCTGCGCTCTCGTCTTGCGCGGAAATCGGCGAGGGCGCGCGCGGAAGCGAAGGCCGTTTACGACCTTTGGAATTGCTTCGGCGAGAACTGCTACTGCGCTGCCGTTCTGAAGTTGATGAAGTAGCTCTTGCTGTTCCATCCTCAAAGTAGTTCTCATCTGGGACGGGTGATATACTTCGCGAAGTCCGCTCTGCTTCATCTCGACGGTGCTGCAGCACTCTCTTGCCAGTCCTTCCCTCGAGCAGGCACAGGTAGTCTTCGAGCTCTCGCCGGCTTTTGTGATGTTCATCGCTGGTGTCTAGTACTTCTGCTGGGCTCCGGTCCTCGCGCGATGGCGGCAGGAAGATCCGGATGGGATTTCCGGGGCTGGACAAGTCGCGCGGCGGCTTCAGGATTCCCTGACCGTACAAGACCGCTTCATGCGCGTTCCGCAACGCTTGGCGCATCCTGTGGAGGAAAGCGACCAGCTCCGCACGGCCCCGGGGCGACAGAAAGCGCAGAGACGCGCTGGAAGCGGAGTAACCGTGCCCATCTTTCGACTTCCTTCTTGTAGAGTAGTACGACGGGGAGCGGTGCGGCTGCGATGGGTAGCGGATCAAGTTCCCCGGGTCGGGGCTCGAGGGCGCAGAGGAGTCCGGGGTCGGGAAGCGCAAACCCAAAAACGGAGAAACGGCGTCTTTCGGCTTCGATTTGCTCGACGTAGAGGAACACGTTGTGCTGACTTCCGTCTCAACCGTTGTTGCAGTCCTCCCACTGTCGGGAGCGCCGCTTCGAGATGAAATGGCTTCGGGCAGCCGGGGAGGTCGTGCTCCTGCTTCGGCTTTGCTGATGCTTTCGACGGTCGAAGTAGGTGCTGGTGTATTTTTTCCCAGCTCTGTTATTTCCTCTTTGAGTTCCAAAGAAATCGGTGACGTCCTTACAGTAGCGCCGTACGTCGCAGCTTCTCCTCCGAATACGGTGGACGATGTTACCGGCACCACCAGAAGGTGCCGGAATGGGTCGCAGGTAATTCGAGGATCGGTCATGTTCGCCAGCAATGCTGCGTCGTACTTGATTTTGTTTTTCGTCAAACTCTGTGGTCCTTTTCGGTTCGGTGAATGGCTGTTCGTCCGTCCAGAAACCAGCCTAGATGTGCTGGCTTGACCCGTGGAGGTTGTACTTCCGCCAAACTTCCACACTACCCCGTCATTCAGCTCCTCTTCGTAAAACAGCAGAATGGTCCGCATCACATCGAGCTTGTTCCGAGAGTAGTTCACCTTACGCTGGAATTGCCGGATCTCCGCGAACTTTTGCAATTCGTAGCTCGCGCCACGCTGCCACGCATCTCGACGACGGACAGAGAGCCAAATTTGCTGGTCCTGCGGCGATGCGATCGCCTTGGCGCCGGTGAGCTGTTCAGCAGTGCGACCAGCCAACGCCGATTGCTCATCGCCACTGAAATCGTTAGTGGTGACAACGCGAATGTTTTGTGCCATCCTGGCTAAATTGTGCGACTGAAGCTGCTTGCGCCAACTCGCTTCCTTGAGTCGTGCTAAAATCTCCCTTCGGCCCTCGATTTGGGTGCGCAGAAATCCGAGAAATTCCTGACTCTGTGCGACGCTCGCGGCGTTAAAAAGATCCTGACCAGAGGTATTGCGCGTACGATCTCGATCGGATAGAAGGGATGGCTCGCTTGCAAAAGTCGTCAGACCCCCGGTGAGTGGAGGAGCTGAAGATGTGGAATTGCTGGTGTGCTCCTTTTCAACCTTAGTGTCGTTCTCAATCGCATCTGCTTGTCCCGCATTGACTTTTTTCGCATGTAGTAGCGTTCCCTCGTCACGGTCAGCTTCCTTGCCCATGCTGCTGGAAGCACTAGCAGTCGCGCCAAACAGCGCCGCAAAAGGTTCTCTCCCTGCAGCTTGAGCTTCACCTCGTGCGGCCCTAGTTGCTTCCTTCCCCGTACTATGGGCATCACTGCTGCCCTCCACCTCAAAGAAAATTCTTGGTGGGACCCGATCGGGAATTTCTGGCGTCGCGTTGTCCATGGGCGACAAGTTTCCCACACTAAACGCCCGTTTCACGCTCAACAGCTGCCCCCTGTCATAAATCAGCGGTCCCGCGGGCGTGCGCTGCAAAGACTGCAGGGCATTTGTCGTCACACTGCGCTCGAGCGAGCTGCGGGGCCGGGCAGGAATTCGGTTCGGTAGCTCGGGCGTCGTTGCGTTTACTGGGCTGTAGGCCTCGACGGGACCGAATGCGGTAACTTTTTTCAGGGTCGGTGGCGCGAGCTCGCCGGCCGGGACCACCCTTGGTCTACTGCTTGAGTTCCTGCTTGGCCAGGTGAGATCACCTTGCAGACTCAGGTCAGCGCCTCCTTGTAGATGAGAAAACGCGTTGCGAAGCTTCTCCTCTGTACCACGACCTGGCGGTTCTGCTTGGTCGCGTGCTGGAGAGACAGTATTGTTGCTCGCCTCCTCCTGCCCACCACCACCTGCTTTGTCTTTTAGAAAGAGCGCGGGCATGGATCTCCGATTTAGCAGTAGCAGGTTCGCAGCGCTGTTTTCCGGACTTCGCAGTGGACTCCGCGTCCGCCTCTTCGCGCGGTTTCGCGACCAGAAGTACTTAGCAAGGGATTTTACGTCCTCGCGCTCCACTTCTAGCTCTCGGGAAGAACTGGAAGTGTGTACTTCCAGTTCCTGTGCATCCAGTGCCGGCGGCGGAATTCTGCGATTTCTGGCCGAAGAGGAGGCTGCACGACCATTTCCGCTCTCTAGTTTTCTAGACGCACCTGCAAACAGCGCAGAGAAGGGTGGTTCTTGACCTGCGTCCTTGCCCGTAGCATTTTTACCGCTTCTTGTAATCCCAACCCGCTCGGGCGTGTCCCCGGAGCTGGTTCTATGCAAATCCGGCGAGTCCTTGAGCTCCCTAAGTTCCCGTGCCTCCAGGATTTGGCTCGACGAAACCGAGTCTAGGTCGCTCCAGTTGATCGAAGGGCCGGTGGACGAATCGGTGTCGCTGGAATTCTTGTCAACGTAGGACTCCAAAGTGACGGACGACACGATCTCGGACCCACTCGCCGTGCTCCGAATTGGTGGCGGCGGTGCTAAGGCGGTCTTTCCCGCAATCGCCGGGTCCGTCGCGCCGTGGGGCAGAATCATCGGGTTCGAAGGTGGTGGTGACGAAAATGGAACACCAGGAGGTGTGCGTACTGGAAGTTTTTTTCCGACGATAATTCCGCTTGTTTTCCCGTCTCCCTCCTCGTCGTGTGAAGATTTTTTGAGCCCCAGTGAATTTGTAGCTCTGAAATCCATTCGACGAACCCGGTACTGCATGTTGTCCTCTAGTCTCAGCTCGTACCTGGCTCGGCAGTTTGGACACCCGGCCGCAAGCTTCGCGTGCACGAACCGCGCGTCGCGTTCCTCGACAAGCACCCCGGCTCCGCATTGCTGGCAGTTGAACTCAATCACCGTTGTGAACAGCACCCGCTTCTGCGCAGGTATGCTGACGTTCCGCTTCAATAGCGCTTGCTCCTCCTCTTTGCTCAGCGGGTCGAGGGGGATGTCCTCGAGGTTCTCGTCGAAACCGATGTCTGCCTCCGACGCCTCATCGCCGGAAAAGTTGTCCACCGCCTTGCCCTGCCGGACCCGGGTCGCCTGCCCAGCGACGGTGAAAAGGGCGCGGTCGCGGATGAACGCCGCAACGTCCTCCGCGATGGGGCTCAAGGTGAAGTCGTTCCCAGTGTCAGCTCCATCTGCCGCGAAGGTGGTTCCGCCGACGATGGAAAGCCGGGGGGATTGCTCCGATTGTTCCTGAAGATCCTCGTTGTCCCACACAAAGGGCGCCAAGGGATCCATGGTCGCGCGGGGCGCGTGCGGGGGATTGTGGGCAGTCTAACCACACGTCGGAGGTAAAGCTGCGATAATGCGAAAATGTAGGCTCGGTGAGGAAAGGCTGAAGTCCAGCGGGTACAACGGGCTTCATAGGTACTGCAGCGAGGGTAGATAAGTATGAATGCGAACAACACTACAAAAAAGCAAAACAAGATTTCATGACCACTTGTTAGACATATTTACACGGGTAATCAAACAAAGGGGCACTTATGGGACATATGGGAATGGGATCTGTAGTTTCTTCTGTTCTTAGTATGAATGCGCGCCCTACTACTTAATCTCAAAAGGGGCAAAACGCTACTTGGAGTCCTTTTTACCAACAAAAGGTGTACTTGACAACGCTGTTCATTTTTTTTTTTTGTCTCGGTTCTTGCGTGTGCAACTCGGCCCTCAGAGCTATTTACCATCGTAGGAAAGGAAGAAACCGCTCATTGACACAGAGTGAGTAGCGTCACATGTCACTGACTGACTCGACAAGACGCCTTGGATGTCCCGTGGTCCACATTGACATTCACACGACTTCTGAGCACGTTTTTGATACTTGACCTTGAGATTGACATTGCACGAAATTCACAGGACACGACCACAAGGTCAGAGTAGACATGGTCAGGATCGAGAACGACAACATCTAACAGACCGACTTTGCACGACAGGGGGATCGGTCGACCAAGATCCCTTGCACCACGGAAATGACCATTGCCGAAGATCTGAATCTGGTGATGTCGCACCGAGTTTCTTCGCTGAAGTATCACGATTCTTGAGGATCCTTGGACTTATCGGCTTCGACACACACGAGAACGACCACCATCAATATGTCTCCCCCAGAACTAGATAGAACACCACGACCATCCAAAATCAGTAGACTTAGAGTTGAGTTGCCATTTCGCTCTTGAGAAGAAAAACTACACTGGCTCTGGCGCGTCTGCGTCCTGCTATTTCGTAGCGAGAACCACCTGCGCCTGTCGCTTTATCTTTGACCACACGCATAAAAAAGTCGCTTATTTTGTCGGCGAAGAAAAATTGTCTTATGCCTCACCACCGTCCTCACGAAATACAGTTATCAGGTCGCTTACCCCCCTGCCTTCCGCCTGTCGCCTTGTCAGCCACAAATCCGGATAGACGAAAATGCCTCGCACCCCCGCTTGCGCCGCAGCATCGGTGTCGTCATCTCGGTCTCCGATGTGCGCCACGATTTTATGCCTTTGCTTCAGCTCCGCGAGCACATCGCGCTTCCACAACATGGAGCGAACCCCTCGAGGTCGGTGCCGAATTTCCCCATCCGGAAAACCGTGCTGCCGCAACCAGTCCCGCGTTTGCTCCTCCGTACCCATGCGCCGACCGGACACGTAAATCACGGCTCGTGCGCTTCCACTACTAGAAGCTTGTGGGGGTGGAGGAACCTGCACATTCGCCAGATCGCCCGTGCCAGAGCTCGATGACGAGGAAGCGTTGCCTGAGTCGACGTCCATGGCGACAGGCGCGGGCGCATGACTATTTCCATCCTTCGCCGACGAGGATAAAATGGCGTCTTTGTGCTCGTCAAACGGCGTCATGCCGCTCCAGGCCCGGAGAAAGGTCCGGCACCAAACGATCGGCTCGTCGAGATGGTAGTACTCACCATCCAACAAAGCTTCCCAATACGCTGAGCTGCCCTTTTTACCATGAGTCTCCGCGAACTCAATGCGCTTTGTAATATTCGCCACAGTACCATCTACATCCACAGACAAGAGCTCTTGCCTCCTGCCGCCCCGCGAGCGTGCCCCGCTCGGAGCTGCGTTCGAAAACAAGGACCTGATATTACCCGGTTTGCCGCGACTGCGATTGCCTTGCTTCCCTTTGTGGTCGGTGGTATGATTGCCGAAGTTCTCCTTCGCGCGCCCACTCTTTGCAGATTTGCCGTGGTTTTTTGCAGACCCATAGTTTTTCCCCTTGTGGTCGCTGTGATAAGTCTCTAGATACGAATCACCTTTGGCGCTGCCGTGCCAATTCCTGGCATCGGAAGATGTAGTGCCATACCCATTTGCAAGCGGTTGTGCATGAGTAGGAGCGGGTGCGGCCCAAAACTGCGCGTCTGCTACCACTGGCGGACCGTCCCAGCCCACGCTGTCGCCCATCAGCTTTACGTTCACGGCATTAATGTTACCCACTTGTCTACTTGTGTTAGCGTTAATATGCACAAAAACAGACGGTAAAAGGAGAGGCAGGTTCTTGTTTTGAATATGACTTAGTAAGCTCCTTCTGAATAGACGACCTGGCGCGATGTTACAACTAGGGTGCTTGATATCGCGCACCGTGAAAAAACCTCTTTTCAAGAACATCCTCGTCAACAACGCACATTCATTTCAGTATCCTACTCGAATTTATAGGTAAGCTAGTCCACTCAAATGCCATCCACTCAACACATCAAATTCGTTTGTTATCGCGTTTGTTATCGTATTGGTATTTGCCTTGCGCAACCTTTTTCATGTTGCTAAAAGCGATCCACAAAAGCAAAAGGATCGCATTCGCAGAGCCTCAAATCCAGCTGTTTTATTCAGGCGGATCTTTTAACCACCGGCGGAAGTACATTGCGATCCTCGTTTGCTTGAGGATCATCAACAGCGGCACGAGCCTCTCCCTCTGTACTTCCTTTTATTACTACAATCGGAACAAAAAACGATCGATCGATGGAAGCCAGCAGGGCGACACCAAATTCAAATGAGGAAACAAATGAAGTACTTACTTAGAAGGTAAAGGGGAACCGGAACCGCGAGGAACAAAAAATCTTCTGCGCCCACGTTCCGCGGATAGCGTGCCTGCTCGCATCAGCACGCGGCTGTAGCGGATGACGTGCATGCTCGTGCTATCAGCCCGCCGATGTAGCTGTAGCCTTGTGCCGAGACGTGTACTTATTCGCAGCTCTTTCTTTTCTCATTCTTTTCTACCTTCCTCCGATGATGTTCATTTTGATGTGTGAAAACACGCAGTGTGCATTTCCTTTTCCGCCTGGTTCTGGATCGAAATGCCAAAAGCTTCATTTCTATGTCTGATCACCGGCGCGGCGTGAGCACTGTCGCTGCAAGCCAGCCCGGGTTTCGTACATTTCCAACTGCGAAGTTTCGCAAACTCAAGAAAAGTGCCGCAGTGTTTCCGCAAAAAAATGTGTGTCATACTCCACAGCTGCAGCTGCGACACTCATCCATAATCGTACTGATCACGATTCATTGCTGGTGAAGCCTGTGACACTAGGACACAAAGAGTCCTCTGCACGTGCTACCTCGCCGCGGCCGCAACCGGACGTGGGTGTACGATGTGGGGCTGATGCTGTTGCGCGACTGGTGACATGTGCCTTTGGTTGCACTTGAAAAAGGGTGTAAAGACCCCAACTCGCTGTAGACCGAAACCAGCCGTAGAGCTGCTCTTCCGCAAATGCGCGGGCGAAACGCGACCCGCCACCGGACCGGCCGGACACGTAGCGCCGCCGGCGGAGGGTGACGCGCTAGTTGTCGTGCCGTTTGTGACGTTGCTGACACTTATGTTGTTCGACGCCCCGCTGGTATTCAGAGAGTGGGCCGTGCTTTGTAGCCGCATTTTTGGTGGTGGCGCGTACAGGAAGCGCCCGACGGAGCGGCTGTCGTGATCCGTACCTCGGTTCAGAGGATGTGCATGTGGTCTTTCGCGATCACTGTTGTGTTTGTAGTCCTTCTTGTCCGAAACAGCAACCCGCTTTTCGAGCGTTTGGAACGTCGTAGTGCAGCGCAAGGGAGACGGGCTCATACCTAAGCGCGTGCGCGGCCAAAGAGACATGTTGTTGTTCGTCCCGCTTTGTGTTCGTAGCGAAGCAGGGCCGCCCCGGTGTTGCATGCCACCTCTGGTGAGATTTCCCTGAAGTTTCAGTTTTCATTTTCAACCCTTTGCTCGCGTCTTATGGCGCGCGAGTTACTGTCTGACATATGAAGCTATTTTTCAAAATACCACCCGTCATTCAAAAATAGTCGCAATGCTCATGGCGACAAGGATTGAGTTCCAAACTTTCCGCTTAACGGTCGTTCGGAAAATCGCCTACTAACTAGTGTAGAAGTAGACTTCCAAAATATTCGACGCAAACAAGTATACCGTTGAGGAAGATGAACTGCCTCCGGACAGCGGCCCGAGCATGCCTCCAGATCCTGGCGTGCTTGTTGAGTTCAAGCCCGGAGAAGTCAGCATCTCAGCGAAGTGTCGCGCGCCGCCGAGCATCGTGGGTTTCTCACTCGTCGGCCGTACCTGGTTCGCGATAGGCGGCTGCTGCGCGGACACACTCCCGCTGCCAGTGCTCGTCGACTTTCTGGGTAGGATCCCCGCGCCGCTCACCAGAATATTGCTCGCGCCACTCTTATTTCCGACTGCTGCGGGTGCGGGAGGTGCAGCCAGGTGTGCATGCTGCGGAAGAATGCCGCGTGTGTTCCCAGGAACTTCGTGTGCTGGCGACGGCCCTTTTGGCTGCACACTGCTAGTTTGCTGATTTTGTTCCACGATTATGTCGGCGTCACTTTCATCTTCATCGTAATCGAGTGAGGACGGATTCACGATGTAGCACGGCTTGTTATCCGGGTCCGGGGGAATTGGTGGCGGCAACCTCTCCAACGCGAGAGGGGGCACCGAGGACGGATGTACAACTTGGGGTCCTCCGTGCTGAAAACCGGAGGCGGGGAAGAGCGTCGTTGCCGCAACGGCGCCTGCCGTTCTAGCGCCGCCGCTGGTAACCGTTGAGCCAGGCATAGAATTCAGAATGCCGCGATTGCGTAAATTCTTCGCGATCAGACTGCTCGCTGGATGCAGCTTCGAAGACGGATCAGAGCACAACTCCTCCTCTTGACTGGCTGACTTTGAGGATGTGGCGACACTGTATCCCGTGTTTTCATCGAGAACTGCCTGTGCGGCGCCACGACGAAGACTACGGAGAGCAAGCCGGATCGCAGGCGGCGCACTTACGTACTGGTGCTTCACTTGCAGAGTGCGCAATCGCTCCTCGGTTGTCGCACCTGATTTGAAATTATGTTTATGACGGTCACCTTTTCGGTGTCGAAAAACGTACACCTAGGACACATAGTAACATCACTGAATCGATGAACAGTTTCGCACAAGTACCAGCGCCATCGCTTCCCATCGGCAGCAACGCGTGCATCAGTTCGTCGTGCTGAAAGCGCAGGGTTTCGCCGATTGTGCGGCTGAGAACGATTTTTTCCAGGAGCATCTTCAAGCTTGTCTCCCGCTCGTCCGGCCCATGGCACGCTTTGCCGGCATACTGCGCAATCCGCAAAGACTCCAGTTGGTGCAAAACCTGCACAATGTCTGCTGACAGCTGGTCGTGCACGGGAAGGTACTCCTCCTGCACTAGCTTCAAGAACCTCGAGCTCGTCTCCATGTATTGTCGGCAGTTGCTTCCAAAGCTATCTTCGGCTGTGAGAGGCACTCGGGGAAATCTGTTCGCAGCAACCGAGCTTGTTCTCTTCAGCAGCTGGGGTTCGGCGCGCGGACGCTCTGCTTCACACGCCGGGGCTTGCTGCATGATGTTGTGCGCCTGCAGCTCTTGGTGGCTGAACTCTGCCGGGACACTGGGGCTGGTGGTGCTCTTGTCGCGGATCGGAGCAATCTGCGGGCCAGGGTCTGCTAGAACGGGCGACGTTGCCGCAGCCTGCGCTTTGTCGAAAGGAAACGTTGCTCGGGTGCCTTTCTTCGTCAGAGCAGAACCAGCTCCATACGCGGTTGGATTTTTGGTTCCATTGATGCTGTTGGCATCGTGTCTAGTTTGCGTCGGGTCGTCGTCGTTGACGAGCTCCGGAGACACTAGTTCAGAGTGTGCTCCTGCTTCCGAATGTTGACCTATGGTTGCTACATTTGACATTGACACCTCCGGTGGTCTTGGTTGGATTTGTGAAGAGGACGGACCACCAATCACCCCCCGAGAAGCGGACGAGGACGAAGATGGGTGCGCTTGCGCAGGCGCGCCAGTGCTGCTTCCCTGCTGGTCCCTAGTGCTAGCAGTCGTGGACCGTTGTTCGTCAGTCGTGCTGGCAGTCGAGAGGTGCTTCACCTGTGCAGCCAGAAGGTCGATCGTGCGCTGCTGCTGCTGTCTTTGCTCCGCCTTGGTGAAGATGGCGCTCGTAGACGTAGTACCGGTTGCAGTTGTACCTCGAGCAATGTTGCTGCTCCTGTTCCCCCCACTGCCGGCCGCATCTGCTTGCTCGAGAACTAATTCTGCGGGACCTCCCACATCGACTTTGAAGGTTGCGTCGTCAACTACCTCGTTCCCTGGTTCGCAGCTTAGCGCAGAGAGCATGGAGTGCTGCACGAGCGGGGAGTCACTGATCAAGTGCTGTGGAGAAGAAAACCGGTGGTTCAAACGCAGATTCGCCTGCTCGTTGGTGCGGGTTAGCAAGCCGGAGCCCGCAGGTCCGGAGGAAAACGCGGGACTCGGGGTGGAAGCGGCGTTCGGTTGCACCTGCTTCGGGAACACGGTCGCCAGTTCCGACAGGGTCTGTAACACAGGTAGTGCGGCCCGCAATTCCGTCTCGCGGTCCAACCGGAAGCAATACGTGACCACGAGAGTGCTGGTGTGTAGCGCAGCTGCGCCCCGCATCTCGAGCAACCGGGCCAGGTGAGTGCGGGGTTGCTGCGTCAAAACGGGCGTCGACGTGTTGGTGCTGGCTTTTCTAGCCGCGGGGGCGGCCGCGCCGTTCGTCACGTCGTCGCGCGCGACTACTTGCAAACACTGTTGTTTGTGGATGTTGCATACATAGTACATATCGTGATCTAGATCTCCTGTCGTGTCTGCAGTCTGACTCAAAGACTCAGATCGCAAGCCATTCACTTCTGTTGGTGCTGCTCTCCTGCAAGTACCATCAGAACCTTAAAAGTGAAAATGAAAAATCCAGAGCGCCTCCTTGTTGTACCTCCATAAAAGCGTGCAGGTTGTGCTGCAGTGACGACGCAATCCTCTGCTGCTTCAAGCTACTTCCGCGCAACCGGGTTGCCGTTTCTGTCGGTGAGTGGCAGGAAGCGAAAGTGTCGTCGAATGGCAATTCAATGAAGCGGAAGCAGGTTTTCCTGTCGGCGGAGGAAATTTGGAAACACGTTGCGCACTGCGGAGATTTTCGCATGGCTCCCTGCATGTATATTTGTCGCAGTCGGTCTAGTTCCAGTTGCCCCTGCTCGACAGGCGAAAGGTTCTCCGCAAGCGCCTGGCCTGGGGGTAGTTCGCCGCGCAGCCTTAATGCGTTCTCCAGAGAAGCGACACGACGAAGGGCGTTACTTGACGCAGCGGGGTTCCCTCCGTTGATAGAAGGACCTGTTCCGGAGGTGAAATTCCTTGAATTCCACTTGTTGTGTGCCGGGGGGGAGGAAAACAAGCGCCCGACTTTTGAGGTCGCGCCGCTACCACCAGAACTGGTGGAACTGCTACTCCCGCCCGCCATCTCATTGGGCGGCCCAGCCAGCAGGTCGAACATGCCACCATCGGAAAACTCCACGAAGCTCGCTTCCAGTGGCGTCTTCTCGCGTTGCGAAGAGGCCGAGGACACAGCGGGAACGCAGAGACAATGCAATGCGCGGGGAAGCAGTCCGTGCTCCGGCAGGTCCGGCGTGTTCCATTTTCCCTCGACCGTGTGCCTGAGATGGGACATCAGATTTACGTTCTCTCGATCTATCTTAATGTGAACGATATACGTAGCAATCTTCAGTTGTAGAGTGCGAAGTATATGAAAAGGTCAACTGTAGTACGTTTTCCCCGAACCCGGTGCGCCAAAGAACAGGAAAGTCGCGTTTTTCTGTTCCCGAAGGTGCGGAAAGCAGACCCGCTCGAAGACGGCTTCCTGGTTATTCGCGGCCGCGAAAAGACCCGCGACTGGAATGAAGCTGCAGTGTAAGATTTTTTTCCGCTAAAAAATATTCGTTCTCGCAGGCGGCTTGCGCACAGTCACAGCTATCGCTACGAATCAGTGATGTCAACAAGAAAACTGAAAGCGCACCTGTCGCGAAAGTGAAGCCCGTCATTCTGCAATCGCACTACATGGTGCTGCGGATCATCGTCTGCTGATACACACCCACGAGCAAAAAGCTCCACCTTCATTGTCCTCGAGGCAACTTGGTAATTACTTAATTCGTTCTCCTCGCGGAGACCCTTCTTCTTGATCAATGCAAGGTACACGTGACACGCATGGCAAGTAGGCGTCTCAACTTCATCAAGCTTGATGATCGCTAGGCGAAACCAATAGAGCACCTCGCTGGCAGATGATACCCTGTGAGGTCCGCGCCTCCCCGATCTTTCTGAGTAAGGTTTTACTGAAGACAGCGAAGTCTAAGTTTCCAGTTTATGCTGCGACAACGCCTGTGACCACGGACCTCCACACGAACGGTAAAAAACTTGAGACCGGTGTAGCTGCGCTTCACCAACTTTGCTCTTTTTGTTCGCCTCGAGATATTTGAAAGCGCGTGCTTTTTATCAACTCAGAATGAAGGACAACCGCTTTTTGCAAGACGAAAATTTGACAGCAGAGACTAACTCTAAGAAAAATCAAAAATCTCGGTGTTGGATACCGACACGCCGAACAACAAAAGTCATAAGATAATGCGCATTCTTGTAAAGCGCTTGTGTGCCTTCAGGCGAAGGGATTTCTTATTTTGCAATACTTCCTCGTCGATGACGACAGCGTAAAGATTCAAGACTTTTTAGTCACAACTCTTTCTTTCAAACAGTGAACACCTTGTCCCTTTCTCAAAACATATTACTAGTATATTTGATACATAACATTGCGATAAAATTCTCCGAATCAGGATAAGTAGCTATTGAGTCGTAAAGAGCTTAAAATTCGTACTTAAACGTAAAAGACTGAGAAAATTTTCGTTGTGAAGCAGTCTGTCGTAGCAGTCATAAGTGGTTTTTCCTCCTTGTTCGACCTAATCTGCAATGCCTCTTCCTACTTCTTTTAGGCCTGCAAATTTGATAACACCTCCGTCCATGCTGCTGCCGCAATGTTGCATAAGCGCATCAAAAATTCTAGTTTTTCCATAAAGCCCGTTCAGTCGTGGTGTACAATGAAAGAAATTGAAATTCTTGAAAAAGTCCTGAATAAAATTACGCTCCTCTTTTCACTGATACTAGCTCTGCTGTGCACGACAAGAGAGTACAGTACGTGACTCGTAGAAATGGACTCCCACTTGAACTACAAGCTATAGTAACATAATTTGGTTTTTGGCTTTTCGCAGATTTGAATTTGTCGTTTCTCTTTCTTCTTGCCTACTTTTTCAATAGCAAGATGAAACTGAAAGACAAAAAATTCCTGGGAGTACCTATTAAGCTACATCTTCGCCTGCTATATTTTTGGTTCGAATTTCGCTCCCGTAAAACAACCTAAAGCATTCTGGTTTTTCAACAGAAATTTGAAAAGGTCGCGATTATCGAGTCACGGTCATCGAGTTTTTTATGAAGTTTTTTGTCGGCGTCTATTGGATAGAGGTTTCGTTTTCGCAACACAGAGATGGTAAACGTAAAGAGTAAAAAGCCCGTTAGAATAATCTTTCCGTAGATCATAATTGTTTTTTCAGACATTCTAGCTCAAAATCTGCCGTATTTCGAGTAATATTTCCGGAGTTCGGTTGTTTAAGTTACTGAAATAAGAGGCTAAAAATACAAAGCGAAACGCTGAACTTTTTCAATCCAACGAGACGCTACTGAAGATCGATTTTATTCTGGAGATGATATCACTCGTTCATCTCACTGACTGTTGTACGAACTGGAAAAACAGCGAACTAGTACTTAAATAAGTTTGAAGGACGAGCCGAGTAATTCTGAAATCAGGTCGTCTTTTTTGTGAAGCAGAAAGAGAAGTCGAAGAAGAACCTATTCAATTTGTGTCGAGAACTTTCGCCAGCATCTCGTGAAAAGGAAAATTGTGCACTTGTAATTCTTGTGCGATTATTGCTACCACTACCTATAGTAAGTTTTTTGAAAGCAACAAGAACCGGTAAAAGAACATCAACATTGCCTGGAGGTGGAAGGAAATCATGGACTACCATCCCAGAGAAGAAAAAAAGGATACTCCTGAAATAGTTTCATCGTAGTTGTGCACAGGAAGAAACGCTTTCGCCCTCAGGCCGATCAACCAAAAAAAAGGGGGGAAAAATCGAAACGATAACGAAATAATTTGACAACATACAGAATCAGAATCTTTGATTACCTCGACAATGCGAGTCTAGGCTCAGTCTAGGTGGTCGGAAGCTTGTCAGGAATTGGAATATAGCCATTGTAAGTGATAAAGATAATGACGTCAAAATTGGCATTTAAAATCGTCGCAACGATCTAACGCTGTCTATCCGATAGAAAGCCACACAAGGAAAGTCTGACTTTCTCCGAATTTAGCGATGGTTCTTGAGAGTGTTGGGTGGATGCTCCTACGGAGAAGCCGGCTCTAGTGACATATTGAAGAGGTGGGCCCATAGTACATAGAGCAGTCCCGAAATCTAGAATTCTTAGAAATTTTCGGACAGTTTTTGTTATTATCCTTTACCTCATAGAAAAGGTGCTTTGTGAGAACTTGTAGAAAGACGTTCGGGTAAGTGAAAGCGTTCTTCTTGCTCTGAGTAATCCATTTGATGTAGTTGTAACCGTTGGTCCGCGGTCTTCAACGCGACTATGTTCCTGGTTCTCTTTCGTCCCTTCGACCGGGACGGCCGCAAGGACGGATCGGGACAACCAGAAACGGCGCACGACGTACTTGCTTGATGTATGGATGTGTCAGAGTTGAAATCGACAAAGTTGAAATAATTTGTCATGCATAAAATGGATGCCAGTTGGAACCCAGTTTCTAAGTGGCGCATGGCAAATTTCGGTGGTTCCTAAATCCAGTTTGTCATGCTGTTTAGGCAAAGAAGAGCGCTTCTCTCATGCTACTTTAGCAGCTCGAGCTGTAGCCCCAAACAGGCTTACAATCGGCCGCACTTGCCTGCTCTGCAACACACGTGCCGCGGGTCATGCATTTTATGCATTACAAATTATTTCAACTTTGACGATTTCAAACCTGACGCTTCCATATGATGTTCTTTTTTACTAGGTACTTTTTTCCAACCTGTTTCTCCTCGATCTTCCTACGTCGGTAGCTTAAATAATGTTTTTTTTCGAAAAAGTTACGAAACCGTCGGTCTTGGATCTTGTCGTTTTCATAAGATTGAATGTTGATGTTCTCTTTCTTGTAATTGTGTCTTCAACCCGCACAACGGGTTGAGATGCTTTCTGTTTTCCGTTCTTCGAAATCTTCTTTATGGCAAAGGTCACTTTTCATGCGAAAAAACTTTATGTTGGAACTTCTGATTTACTACTTTCCATTAGATCTAAACTTTATGTTATTTACCTTCGCCTTCATCTGCTTCACTTTCGATAAAATTCAAAATTGCACATATGCGGATCCTGATTCTGAAAGTCTTACAAATCGGAATCCCTTTCTCACCTACGCTCGCACCGTGCGCGCATGCTGAATTTTTAATGTGCAGGCAATCACGTCGTCTTTCATCGGATTGGGGATCAAATCAAGGCAGATCCCTTCTCCCTTCTTCACTTGACAGCTCGGTAACTTGACAGCGACGACGCTCGGTAACTCCACTGATTCCCCTGAGGCAGACGCGGCCTTGCTACCCAACTTCTCGTAACGCTCGTTCGTTACCTTGTTGTAGTTTTCGTGGAGACAACATCAATTACAGCATCAAAGTGCCCCGAAGATATGCATACACACTAGGTCCACCCAGTCATTGAACATCAGAAAGAATCAGAGGCAAAATTATCAATACCGCGGTTGTCGCGACCGTAATGGTATAAGCATCACACTCGGTTACACAACCCATATAGTGTTTGATTGGTGTCGAGTCGCCGACACGCTTCTGCCCGCCGAAAAGGTGCGGGTAGGCGACGCGGAAAGCCTGTGGTGTGGGTGATTATCACTCTTGCCGCGCTCATGTGAAAGTGAACCGAAGCTCGAGGGAATGACAATAAAGACCTTCTTCTATATGAATTAGAGTTTAGCATAATTGTTTTCTCCTCCCTGGGTGGGGCCACACGATAAAGGGCAAAGCAAAGCTAAGGCTTCTGTTGTAAAGGAACCTCCACGATGCGGCCATCGAAGCCCTTGGCTCTTGAGTCGCTAATATCCGGAATCTGCCTCTGCTCCGCGTCCTTAAGGTGAAACAACTTCCCCTGCAACTCGCCGTACACTTTCCCCCTGAAAGTTGTGGTCAAATGTGTTTCGCTTGCCTCACTCTGCCAGTACCAAGCGATCGTAGATGAGAAAGGTAAATAGTATTTCATCGTTACCATTTGGGCTTGGCCATACTGTAGAGTTTGTCTTTGATAAAAAACCGACGCGGCAACGAACAAAAAAATCTGCCGTGTGGCAACATTCTACCAGTCCTCGAAAAAGCCGCTTTCGATGTTCACCAGGTGTTCTTCGTTCTGTATCTTTTTTTCGCGGACCTCATTGCTGACGAAACTAGATATACAGTTTCTGCAGAAGATACTCCAAATCCCACTGCAGTGGTACGGCAGAAGCCCTCGGCACACAGGGTTGATACAGTGAGACTCTTTTTCAACCACCGGGCATTCAGTGCAATCCTGTGATAATATTTTGACCATGCAAGCATTCATTTGAAGTTCATAGTCCTACTGACAACGTACCGAATCTGAACACGCATTTATTCGAATAATGTTCCTATCCTATGTATTAATAGTACCTGTCCCTCCATTTCCTTTTTCTTCTTGGCCATGCGGTTCGCGTTAGCTTTGATCTGGTTTTCTTGCTTTTTCATGGCCATGAATTGCAATGCTTTCTCCTCCAGAGCCTTGGTGTCCGAGGAAACAACATCGTCAGAATTTTTCAATTTCAGGTCCTTTAGCGTCTCCTTCGCCAATTCCGCGTTGGCGCGCTTCGCCTCCGCGACAGACCCGCGGTTCGGGGCCACCCATCCATGGTAGTTGAAGTTGTTGTACTGAGCGCGTGTGCCATTATAGCTGGTGTTCTGGTAGAAGCCCTGTTTGTTGTACGTACTGTATTTATTGTTCGCGGATGACACATACTTCGACTGGTGATGGTGGTGGTGGTGCCCCGCCTTGCCATTTCCCTTGGCCGTCCTGTTCGTCGGAGCAGCCGGAGTTTTTTCGTGGTAGCTGGTGCCCGCGGAAGAAGCGGGTGGTCCTTGGCTACTGTACGTCGCCGTGTAGGTGCTGTTTTCAGCCACAGCTGCAGTGGCTCGCTCTTTAACGCCGGCAGCACCCGTCGTGGAAGCGGGGCAGCCAAGAAATTGCTGGTCGGCGGTTTTCACGTTGGTCTTTGCAGAGGACATGACGTTGCCGTTGGCGCCATTCGTCGTCGCGCAAGGAGTCACCGGCAGGGACAGCCCCGGCGGCGGCGTCACCACCGCGCGGACGGAAGATGTCGTGGTCGTGGTTCCGGTCAGACGGAAGGGCGCGGGAGCCGAGATCTGCTGCTGCTCCACCTCAGCAGACACAACCAACTGCCCCACGGGAGTAGTACTGGCCGGGCTGGTGAAGCCGGAGGGGTCCGAATCGTTGTTACTCAGCGAGGAGGTGCGGGTAGAGTTCGTTTTGCTACAACCGGCGGGCAGAACTGGAATCCCCAACGCAATGGCTGAAGTGGCAGCAGCTCCATGGTAAAACGCGTGGTGCGGGATGTTGGTGGCGGCTGGCCCGCTGGGGTAGGCGGAACAAGCAACAGCGTTGTTGTAACTGGACAGGTTGTAAGCAGCCTCGTAGTGCGACGCATCGTAGCCGTGGTACATCGCACCAGTGAGCGACGTGGTACAACTCCCCGCACCAGGAGCAGTGGCTGAACCCGGGTAGTGGTGCAGATGATGGTTACAGTAATGCCAGTCCTGCTCCGCCGCTTGGTACGCCGCGGCAGCCGCAGCCGCGTACATCATGTCGCCGGGGCCGGCAAACATGTTGTACATATTGTAATCGAACGTATGAAAACGGAAAATGGTGTGGGTCGTGCGGCGAACTACTTCGATCTTGTTCGTGAAGCACAAAGCAGATACTTATTCACCCTGCCCAAGAATTGCATTGCAGTTCACCCTTGCTGTAGTGGTCTCAGTCTTGCAGAGTTGGAACCTTTATTGTCATGTGGCATTGCGCAGCTGCAGTCTCTAGGTGTGGGTGCGTCTGTCGAATCGAGTGTCAATATGATTCCCCCGTTTTCGACAGTCCTGCAACCACAATGCGCGATCAGTTCAAAATGTCCCAACTGAGACAGACCTACGAATGTTTTTCGTTTTCATACGACGTCGTGGTGGCAGTGTACTCTTTCTCTTCGTTGTTCTTATCGGCGGAATCGCCGTCGTTTGGATTGGCGCAGGCCCTGTGAGGGAGAACATAGTACCAACAAATGATTTTTTCGGTCATCAAAACAACACTGAACAAACTTGAACTTCAATACAGTGTTATCCAATCGAAAAAACAAATATGATGTATTATGATTCTTACTTCGCCTCCGTTTCTTCCGCCGCTGGAGAGGGGTACGCGAAGAACTCCATTTTGGAAAGTAAGTTTTCGATCTGTTTTTCTCGCGGGCTTCTGGAAGTCCAGGTCGTCCTCGTCTCGTAAGTAGTTGTCCAACAGTATTGATTTTTTGAAACTGCACTCTTCTTGCCGTACTTTTCAGTACAGATCTTAGTCCGCACCTTCGTAAAGCCACGGAGCAAGGAAGTTTATTTCCTAGATTTTTTATATTGTATATCAGATTGCACTTCGCGGGAAATGTTGACCCCAACGGCACGGTGCAGGTGGCCGGTGTGAAGATCATCGTTTTGACCAAGTGCAAAGAACAGAAGACGTGCACCGACGCACACACAAAACAGACCACCACTGACCGGCACAAAGAAGGTCGCAGCTGATGGAAAACAAAAAAAGAGAAAAAACTGACCGAGGAGAGAGGACGACTCTGTTGTAGCCGGATGGCAACCTAACGTTTAACAGGCGCACAAATGTAACCAACTAGCTGAACACCGCTGTTTCGAAACAATCCATTTGTGTTTACTGGACAGAGTCAGTGTTTAGTTTTTTCTTCAAAAATATAGAAAAAAGTTCACTGGGATCCAGTGTCTAGCCCTCTGTTTGGTCTCGCCTGCCTCTAAGCACCGAGAGGGTGTTCATCTTCTGCTTTTCTGCTGATTGCATAGCGAAACCTTAAGCAAGCAAGCAAGCAAGCAAGCAAGCAGGCTCTCTTGATTCGCCAGGTCCGGTAGTGAGTATCTAGCTTTGCTCGATTCGAAAACTCTGCAAACTGCTGTGCGTAATTGATGTCTTCACAAAAAATGGATATACTTTCTCGGGGGGTCATTTACTTGAGGCTTGTGGTGCTTCTGACTGTTTGGGATACAGAGGGTGATTTCCGTGAGGCATGATGAGCAGGAGTCGAAACTCGTTTATTATCTTAAAGAGATGAAACGTTATGAATAATGAAGGCTACCATTTTCTGTACAACTACAACACACGTGAAACACGGTGAGACTATGAAGGAGACAGGATCAAAACATAGGCTGCAATGCAAAAAGCTAATAAAAGCATAAAGGTTGCCACTCCATACATAAAAACAGGTATGATTGACAAGCTGTTGGAATTGGACATGCCATTGCTTGAAAGGTTTGCGCGACAAAGATTGAAACTGTGACATCAGCATGCTGGTCATCAGTAAAGCTTCTGGTGGTCTTCTCTTGTTGGTGACTACGAAAATGAAAACAAACAATGAAATCGAAATCAAAGTACAACTTCCGATTGTTGATGTAGATGTTGTCTGATGCAACCTGTGTGTTGTACACAGACAAGTTGTTGTAGGGAAGTAGGAGCAAGTTACTTTCCTATTTTTCCCTTCATGCACTCCAACGCCTTGGCATAGCCGCCTTTGTCGCCGCTTGACTCGTACGCCTTCATCGCAGCCATGTTTGTCCCTTCGACATTCATCAGGTCACACAACTCGTCCGCTTTGTCCGGTTTGTTTTCCATCGCGCCGGCAAAGGCCCACTGGCAGACACACCAGTGCTCAATTGGGCACTTTTGATCCGGGTGTTCGTGGCAAGGGTGTTCCTCCCCACACCAGTTCGGCTGCCCGGTAATCTGTGCAGTTGTTGTATAAATTGATTTTCGACATTCACAAATGCTAAGCACCATAAAACTACTAGAAGTAGAGCCGAGCCTTATGTTCCTGTTGTCACATTGCGCTGACAAGTACTGCATCACATCAGCGGGCAAAATTATCGCGAGGACTGACAACTAATAACTTCGTCCAAGCCTCGTGCCAAAGTCTGAAAATCAAAGCTCCAGTACATAGTTAAGAAGTACATAGCTGTAGAACTTCAAGTCCAGGTAATTGCGACAGATGAAACGGAAACCAAAAAACCAAAATGAGATATGCATTTCTTGAAGTGCTTCCTTACAAAAGAACTCAGCACACTGTACCTGGCAGAAGTTTTCGCTGTAGCCCTTCATGTTGATGCAGATGTGGTGGCTGCCGGCGTCGTCGTTCTGCTCCGTGCAGTACCCATCGCGAGTGAAGCCAGTCTCGGCTTCGGTGGATTTCTGCGCGCACGGCTGGAGATTGTCTCCCTTGATGTTCTTGAAGTTGCCGGAGCCGTGTTGTTCCTCCGTGACACTCTGCCCCGCCGTGATTGTGTGATTTCCCGGGGCCGCGGGTCCGTCGTCCTGCATGAACACGATTCCGGATTCCTTCCCCTGACCGTGTCCCAGCTTGCGGTCCACAACAGTAGCGGGCTGCAACAGATTCTTGCGGACGTTGTTCGGGATCACCACTGCCGCGTCGGTCGCAGCCGGGCCAGCGAGAAAAAAACCAGCGACCCGCAGCCCAGCAGCGCACTTCATTGTCTGCAGGAACATGTTGGTGTAAGACTAAGACTTGGTTGAAACTCGGGGAAGTAGTTGTACGGGAAGCTACAGGGGGTGAGGACAAGAAGGGATGCGGGAGACTGTATTCCTGGCTGTGCAAAAAAAAAACGAATCGGTAGCTGCATCGGTCTAGCACTATCCAATGACGAAATAAATAGAAGTTTTTTTACTTTACGAGATCAAAATCATACACATATCGCTTACGCATACGCGGGACGACGATAACTGATACTGGATTTCACGACTAAACCAGAGGTACGACGTACGGAAAGACGTTTCAAATCACGACATTTCTTGTACGGAGGACAGGTAGGCACGATAAAGGACTTTTTACCGACACCGATGACAGGACATCACAACGACCGGAAACGAACGCTAAGAATCATACCGATCAGAAATACACGAATCACCGACCCGAGGACAGAGAGTACCGAGTGCCGAAGCGGATACCGGGGTACAAACCATAGGAAATACCGAGTTTTTTCTCTTGGGTTGGGCAGTGCTTTTCCTACATGCGCTTGCGGTTTTGTTTCAACCTGAAAAACAATCTACAAACTCTTGATGTGTTTGCGCATCAGCAAAGAAATGTCATGCATTTTTTGCATCTACGTCGAAAAAACCATGGAAAATGTGATTGCGGAAATGCTGCGGCCACAACTCTGTGTGTTTGTATATGATTCTTCTTGTTACTTAGCTTCATTTTTTTCTATGATTTTTCGAATTTCGATTTCAACGAGCAAGGAAGTGGATTCTCGCGCATATCAAAGTGCATACAGCCGGCGAATTTACCGGTCCCAGGTTGCCAGCGCTCTCCTTTCGTCCTCGTCGGAAGAGTCATCGCCGCAACATGGGCCCGATCCCCGAAGTGCTGTCGAGGGTAGCCGTTTCACCGGAGATTGCGAAGTGTAGCTTTGATGGTGGCCACCATAATTCGGTTTGCTCAGTGTTGGCGGCGATCTGTTGTGCCCTCGTGTCGTCGTGTTTTGCTGTTGTACATGATGCTCCGGGCGGAACGGATGCTGATGCGGGTCCGGCGACCAATGATTCGAAGAAAGCGCTGCTGCTCTGGTGTTTGTTCCATTTGATGTGCCTGGGATCGCTATGTTCACGTGTCCGCCGCCTCCGCGCGTGCGCGTTACGATGGCGGTTGCGCGTGGCCGCCGGGCGGACTCGTTTTCGTCCACGACCGAGACAAAGCTGGAGAGTTCCAGCTTTCCGTCCTGCTGAGGGAAGTCGAAAAACGTGACGCCTTCGCTGCTGCCAATCAGAAGCCGGGGCCCAGGGAAGCAGCTGGCATCGGTGACCTGACCGACCGTGTGGTCGCGCAAGGGCATGGAATAGCTGCTCCGCGGTTGGACCATCTCGTTGGCGTATTCGTCGTGTTTGTTGTACGTGTACACCGACAGCGTCCCGTCGATCGCAATAATCGCGAACCGGAAGTCCTCTTCCGCGGTCGGCGCCATCAGCCAGGCGACACTCGCGGCGGACGGTAGGGACGCAATGCGCGCGGGTATGCAGTAGATCAAGGTGAACGTCGGGTTCTCAGATCTAACACCCGGGGGTTGGAGAATCCCGCACGCCACGTCCGTGCTGGCGCCGTCCAGGAGAATGAGACCAAAAGTGGAACTGCCCGAAAAGGATCCGCCGTTAGAGACAGACGAAAATGATTTCACCGCGACGTCAGCAACCTCGGCATGATTTGCAATTTTTGCGCGCCGACGAAAATCTTCGGCATGTCGTGGCGAGGCCCCGCGCTGGAGCGGAAAGATCTTCACCGCATTTCCGCGCTGGCGCAACGCCCGCCACCGTTCGTGCGGGGCGTACTCGAGTAGTCGTATCCCGCCATCGGAGCAACCCGCGATCGCCCGCGTGCCACCCTCATCGCTTTTCAGTTGCCTCAAAACAGTGGCCATCACTACTGTCCCCGATGTCGACGTCCCATTTGCGGGCAGGAGCGGCACTTCGCCTGTGACCCGCTGGGAAGTAAGCGAGTATAGCCAGCACTTCCCCTCCGCACTGCCGAAGAGCAGAATCTTATGAGTTTCGCCATCAAACAGGAGCGCCGTAATTGCCGGCTTATTGTTATTGCCAGCGTCGATCGTCGGAGAGTTGGACAAGAGATTTGTCGAAGAAGTCGCTGTGGACGGGGACGACGCACTCGCTGTCGTGCCTGTACTATTGCTCGCGCAAATGTCTGGCAGGTACATGTCTTGCAGTCCCCGCGTTTGTAGACGCTGGTGTGTCTCGGAAATGGTGCCGGTCGCCACGTGCCGCCCCGCTTTCCGGTGCACGATTTCGCCGTTCTCCAGACCCGCGAACACGTCGGTGGAATCGCTCGCGACGCAATTGATCGCCGACGGCAGACTGACGGACCACAACTGTTCCGAATCCTTGTTACCGCCGCGGGCCCGCCACATCGTCAACGCGGAAACTGCCCTCGAGTGGCTACTTGTACTGCTCCGTCCGTTCGACAGCGCTAGCGGTGGCGAGTTGGTCGGTAGGCTGGACGCCAGCCGCGCAGAAGAGCTATCGGCGGAGCCACCAGTTGTTCCTTCCGTCGCTGCCAGCAAAGTTCCGTCGTCAGAATTGTAGGAGAATGCCACCACGTTCTTCGTTCGCACCAGCGCAACCGGAACGGGGAGTGGCACCGCCGCCGCGGCGTTTCGCGCAACCGCCTTTTCGCGCTTCACCCTTGCCGTTACGGCTTCGAGCTGCAGCAGCCTCTGCACGGGCGCCAACGCCACCAGCGCCGGGCGGTGGCACAATTCCAGGAAGTACTCCTCGAGGTCTTGGGACCTCCCCTGCAGGAAGGGCCCGTCGAACCGTCGGGTGGTAGTTTTGGGCGGGAGCGCGGGCAATCGCAGATCGGAGCTCGTGATCTGCTGCAGGCGGTCGTGCATCGCCTGGACGTCACTGTACCGCACTTGCACCTTGTGGACGTCGGTTCTGTGCGCGTTAGTGTGTATTTCAACTTTCAACGTGTACAACACATATTGCCGTCCACTCACCCCCGCGGGAAGAACGCCCTGCAGCAAAGACTCAGCCTTTGCCTTCACAATGTCAAAGCGGTCCACGGAGACGGAGAGGCCGGGTGAGGAAGTAGCCATGTTTCTGCGCGAGCAGGTGTGACGAGAAACAAGTAGTTCCAACTTCGATTTCCTTGGAAGCAATATTAAGCTGCCTGCTGAAAAGTCTGCGGCGAAAGAAAAAAAACTTTACTTTCATGTGCTTTTTTTTGAGTTAGACACGAAACACAGTACAATCTCGTTGGAGCTCTTGCGAGCGAGACAGAGTGATTGTGATCCAGAACCAGAGTCCACATACGAACAAACGCGCGCAAGAACGCGATCAAGTTTCGAAGGAAAAATGAACAACTCCGAGGCGAAGCAAAACGAAAACGGATCATTCAATGCCATGAACAGACCTCGATATCTACGCGTCAGCGACCGGGGCGCAATGCTCTTATTTCACTTGCATGCATAAGCATATAACATAAAAATCATCGATCTTCACGAGCATCACGGCATCAAGTCGCCGCTCGCATCGGTCAAGCACTAACTAGATCAAGATCATCAGCTGCATCCTGTCTCTCAGCTGCCTCTCACCGGAGCCTAGCCGTGCGGAACAACACGCTAGTAGAGAGCACACCTACGCGTCCGGATTTTGCGAGTACGCTGAAACGGAACAGAAATGTTTGGCGAATAAATCGAAGCTCTTGTTGAAAAACTTGCAAGCACTTGATGACTCTGTCTGTACATTCGCATTCGGTTGCGGGGATTTGTGTTCACATTCATTTACATATGCTACTCGTGCACGTACTACTGGACTACTGTGTTGCTGTTCGTGAGATGATCTTCATGAATGTCGCGGTCGCTTGTTGATGATATGTTTCTTGTATGAAAAGTTGCAGAAAAATCACTCGGACGCCAAATGCGGTACCTACGGTGCCTGTAGAGTGTCAAGATATTGCTCTAATGTGGGGGCGCGAATTTGGTGTGTCGGGGCATGTCGCAATTCCTTCCAAGGGCAGACATGAAGAAATTGAATCTTTTCTTCGTCGTCGGTTATGAAAGTCATCAGCTCTTTTGCCGTCGGAATTGATGGCACCGGTGCTTTTGCGTTTCCCGCTTTCCCTTCGTTCACGGTAGCAGCAGCCTTGGGCCATTCGCCAACCTTTATTGCGTTTGCGCCTGTCGCGCCAGAGCCTGCCAAATCATCGCAAGCAGGAGCCGTACCTGACACGTCAACATACTTCTCGGTTTGCTCTTTTCGCTCTTGCACCATTGATCGTACGATGCGACGAATGGTCGCTTTTTCATCCTCTATTGACGGTGCATTTTGTGCCTGGGCTTTGCTCTGGTCCGCCACTCTTTTCTTGGCGAATAACGTCTCAAATATGTGCCAGCCGACTGCCACGCCGACTGGGCCTATTTCGCTCAGGATGCGGTTCGCAACCTCAAGCTCTTCGCGGGTTCCACTCCCGGAGACGGATACCAAGCGCACCATATTGCGCATATACCTGGTGAAAAGGCTCAGGTGCTCCTTCCGACTGCGCTGCACGTGATAAGCGTTGTCGGGCTGTTTCTGTTCGGCAGACATGCTGCCGTCGGTTGCTTCTTTGCCAGTGTTCATCAACGACTCCGTGCAAGCAGCGCCGCACCAGGGCCAACACAACGCACACCAAGGCTCAGATTGGTCTGCCGCAGGCTGCTTCTTCTGAGACTGCAGCTCTGGTATTGTATCCGGAGACGCAATGGCGCTGTTGGCTGACTGTGCATCGTGCCAGAGGTAGTATTTCTTTTTCGCCTGCTTGTGCGGGAAGTGCATGAAGGCTTCCGCGTGTCCGCCGGCTTTTCTCGCTGCTTTCACTAGGACGTCGATGCAACCAGGGGACCCGGGAACCGGGTAAAACTGGTAAATGCCGCAGGCGCCGACCCGGGCAGCATCCACGAAGAATCGTTCGATCGGATCTGGCTTGGTGGCCTCGACAGCGACTGCTCGCGGGTCAATTTGGTCTGTGCTTCCGCGGCTTTGGTTAGACGGGGATTGCTTCTGACGTTTGGGAGACGGTTCACTGTCGCCAACGATCTCGTTTTTGTCGTCCCGGTTCACATTTCCTTCGTTCGTGGTGCCAACGGCGAAAAGCCACTGCAGGGCACTGATTGACAAAATCTGGTCTGCAACCCCGTCCCGGAATGGCAACACGGCGCCGAAACAGTCACACAGAACGCGCTCTTCTCGTCGCCTTGTCTTGTCATTGATGCGAAGCATCTCGCTGCTACGATCCAGCCCGATCATGTAACTTTGCGGAGAAATTTGTTCCTGGAAACATTTCGTCGACAAGCCGGACCCGCAGCCGAGTTCAAGAGTTACAGGGACTGAAAGGGATTGCCTTCCTTTTGCAATTCCGTCACTCGATGCTATTTGCTGCTGTACTCGCCGCTCCAAGTGCCACCCAGCGACCTTGGTGAGTTGCTCCTGTGTGTCCTTTGTCTGCTCGTGATACAATTCGGCGCGCTGGCGGTAGTAAGCGTCGGCCCTACCGAAGGAAATATTTTCAGGTGCTTTCTCAGCCATTTTTTATTCATATTACATGTTTACAAATGACGCACAGGTGTAACTAATTGATTCGCAACAAGAGCAGAAGTTTGATCTCCATCTCGCTATCATACTATACATAGACTCACAACTGCTGAGCAAGTAGAACTAGAAGTCGACGGTTGAAAATAGTATACTCATACGAACCAACGGTGCCTGATCCAAAGCAAGGAGAAAGAGAGCGAGTACATGAACATCCTCATGCGGCTAGATTTCGATCACCTCCGCCTGCATACGCATCATGCCTTCTTATACTCTTGATGTTCCTGCTGTGCGGGTGTTGAAAAATTCAAACAGCACACGCTTAGGATCACGGCAGTCCATCGATGCCTGGCCTTGATCTTCAAAAACATTTCTCCATTTCAGTGGAACTCCTTCGACATGGTTGGACTCTTTAGAACATCGCAGCGGGATTGTCTGTTGTCATCTGATAATCCCATCGCGCGTGTGTATCACGTGACGCGGAAAAGCGCTCCACCCGAACACTACCAACACCGCTCCCAGCGAGCGTGGCCTCAGCAAGGCACGCCCCCGGACGAAAACATGACTGAGGGAGCAAGGGACGCGGGTGGTAGGGGCAATCACTTTGGAAATGGAACCACGGAAAACCACTGGAACATCCTCGAGGGCCGGGCGCAGCCAATAACGCGCCACCACACTGCGCTGCCCCATGGGAAGGGGCGGGGCGGGCCGCGACACTACCTAGAAACATGCGCGCGCCCTGTTTTGCTGCAACCCAAGGCAGTGCCACGCGCCAAAGGGCGGGCGCGAGTGCATGCTTGGCCCCCCCTGCGGCCGGGCGGCTCGCGTTGCCAGAGCAAGCGAGGGAGGCCGGGCGAGCAAACAAATACGCGCGCGGAGACGGGCCAGGCCCGTCGCAAGGGAAGTAAGGGCCAGCAAAGGAGGCACACCCCCGGAAGATAACACAGAGGGCGCGCCCCACCATCCTGCCGCAATGCCCTAGACCGGGGCGGCGGAGGCCTCGGCGCCATTGGCTCGCTTCGCCCCTTGCTGCGCCTGCTGCGGGCGGCCGGGGCGGCCAGGTGCGGAGACGGGGCGGCTGCTAGGCTACCACTTTGGCGGCGTAGCCTTTTGCCTCGGGCGCTTTTTTGGGGGGCGGACCCGCCGGCGGCGTCGCCGGCCGTGTTTTTCGTTGTCATCCGTCGGGCTTTCGTGTTGCCCTCCCACATCATCTCGCCAAGGGCCCGGCGGGCGTCGCCGCGGACGTGGCGACACCCAAAAGCCCCGCGGGGTGGCTTCCGCGCCAAACCCCCGGGGCCCCTCCGGTTGCGCCACTTCAAGGTCGCGCCACTTGCTGCACCAAACTACTGCGTGCCCGGGGGCTTCCGCGGCGAAGGGGCCAGCAACTGGGCGCTCTGCATTGCAATGCGCCCGGCCGGGCCGCCTCGTCTTCCTGCGGAAGCTGCGGAAAACCGGCGCGCGTCTTACTGCCGGGCAGGCGGCCGCATATTTCTGAACGCGGCCCTGCAAAGGCGTAGGCGTCCCACTTTCTCACACGCCCGAGCTCGGGGCCTCGCCCCCGGGCTGGCCGCGGCGGCACCCCCATAAACATAGGGCCGCCCCCTCGGGGCTGCGGGGGCAGCGCTTTAGCGCTCGGCAGCTGTCGCAATGGACACAACCCAAAGCGGACGGCGTTGCACGCCCTCCCCAAATTCGCGCGCGGCCTTTGTGGGCCAGGAAGTGGCGCCCCTGTGCGCCTTCGGCCAGCAGCGCGCGCCAACCCTCGGGCCGCAAAGCCGGGGCAGCCGGCAGGCTGCGGCTGCATACGCGCAGCCGGCTCGGCTCGCGCCCCTGCGAGAGTCCTCGCATGCCCTTGATGTACTCAGCGCCAAGGCCCCCGCGCAAATGCTTCGCGGCGCCCTCGCGGGATACGAACAACGGGCGGCGCCGATTCGAATGGGTAGCCAAGGCGCGCCCGCCCCCTTTCCTACTGCGACCGCGGTGGTTCCTGGTCGAATCTGGCGGAGGGCCAGGTCCACGTGATGGAACGGGGGTGAATATGTATCGCCAAGACGGGCGAAATTCCAAGCCGTTCTGCAAATCCCGATAAGCAACAGCCGCGAACACATTTCGATAAAGTGAACATCAACAAAGAAATTCAAGCACAACCTCGATGAGATCATGGAGGTTCCATCTAATGCACAGGGCAACGCGATTCGGTTTACGCTCAGCATCTTTATCTGACTGCAACAAGCATTTGGGTTTTCATTCACGTTCGACAGCCCAGCGACCACGAGCTCATCTTGTTTGTTGGAGAAATAACAGGTGGCTACAGGTCAGACTACAAACTTAGAACCGCCAGATCTTCACCACCCGATCCTTACTTCCCGAACAGGCCTTTGCTCCGTCCTGCGCCCAGTCCACCGCGTAGACTTCGTCTGCGTGCCCCGGGAGGTCTTTCAGTAACTTTTTCTTGTTGATGTCCCACACTTTCATGGTCGAGTCGCTGGACCCGGAGAGCAACAGGCGCGAGTCCGCGGACCAGGAAATCTGAAACACCTTTCCCACGTGTCCACGCATTGTGTGCGCGAACCGACCCGTTCTTCCATCCCACAAGCGAATACTTCGATCGAAGCCCGCACTCGCGATCCACCGCCCGTCTGGGGAAAAGAGTGCCTGGTTGACGAGCTGCTGGTGGCCGGTCAGTCGTTTCTTCTCAAAAGTCGGGTCCAGCGGCTTCCAGAGGAACATCGTGAAGTCATCGCTGCCGGAAAGCAACCGCTCCCCGCCGGCGACTTGCAACGCCTCCTGATATCGGGCCAGAGCGAGCGTAAACCGTTGCGGGTTGTTTTCCTCGCAGGCGCTTCGATCGACGTTGGCATTGAGACTAGACTTCGACGCCGCTGCTTGCTTTCCATTTTTCTTGTTTTTGCCGTTTTTTGCTGCGCCAGCTGTCTTTGCGTTTTTCTGGTTCTTTGTCGCGATGGTCTCTTTCTTCGCTTCCGGAACGGTGGTCGCTGCTGAGGAACTTGGCGAGGACGCACCAGCTTCGGTCTGCGCTACAGCTTCCTCCTTCTGTTCGACTGCTGCAGTAGTTTGGGCTACCTCCGGGAGTGGTTTGTTCGCACGGTGTTTTTCCTTCAACTGTGCAATCTTCTTTGGCTCGTAATGACCCGTCCGCAAAATGTAGTCCAAGTTCAGCGCCAGGGAGTTGATCCAGTGGGCGTGGCCCTTCAACGTCTTCAAGCAGGATCCGGTGGACGCGCACCACATTTTGATCAACCGATCGCGGCCGGCGGTGTACAGAACACCCCCGGTGTTGCTTCGCTCGCCCGACCACCGAATTTGCATGACCGCGGCGGTGTGGCCTCCGAGTGTCAGAACGCAGTTTCCCGTGGTTACATCCCAGATTCGGGCGTCACTGTCTTTGCTCGTCGAGGCCAGCAGCGGTCGCGTCGGTGAGGTCTTGTTCGCCGGAACGCAGTGCAGTGGCTGCCAGACAAGCGAAGTCACCGGCTCGCGGTGACCGGTCAAGGTCGCTTTTCTCGCTCCCGTGTACGGGCACCAAACGAGAATCTTCTTATCCATACCCGCGGACGCCAGAAACGCGCCGTCGGGGCTCCACTCGCAACTTAGGACGTGGTGCGTGTGGCCTGTGGTGTGATGTGTGCATGCGAGATGAATATTCAGCGCTTTTTAAATTGAATTATGGCCTGCAGGCACGGGCAGCCTGCATATGTATGACGAAAAGAACAGTAACAAACCATCACAACATAACAACTCTAGGCGAAAAATGAGAAAAGTTGTACCTTTGAAAACGTGCACACACACTTCTGTGTTCATGTCCCACAGCCGCAACGTGGTGTCGCCCGACCCCGTCGCCAATAGCGTGCAATCCGGCGAGAACCGCGAACACAACACAGCTTCAGAGTGTCCTTCCATACTACTGGAACACCTGGTGACTGGCCTCACCTTAAAAATCGCCAGTGGGTAAAAGGTGAGCAGAGCGACCTTTTCCTGCGTGAAATTGTGCACGGTCAGCTTTTCGATAGCGTCCGCCAGCGTGGCTTTCTCACCCTCCAATGGGACCACGACCGATCTGTCGTCTCCCCGGTTCGCTCCCATTTCAAAGCTGTACTGCTCAGGTTCCTCATTCTCTAAAACTTGATTCAGCAACTGATTCAAATCCGCCGTGTTCGCGGTGACCGCAATGTCCAATTCGGGGCCTTGCGGATTCAACTCCGCGTCGCGAAATTGCAGGATCAGTCGCTGCTGGTTCGCACCACTTGAAGCCATACTTGTCGTGGTCTGCTCGACGCGTCGCTCCTTGCTCGGCGCGGACGCGGTATTCATCTGGGGTGCATTGTTCTCGGCGGGCCGCTTCAGAGAAGCCTGGGCGTCGACTGCAGGAGCTGCCTGCATCGTCGCTGTCGTGGTCGCTTCTTGTGCTGCTGTCATTTTTCTCCTTGACGGGTAAATAGCGATTGATACACTCGTATCAGGAAAAGAGAAGCCAGACAAATTTTGTAAGTAGTCGACGTCTGTGGAAGCAAGAAAAAACGTAAGTTGCTCAAGGGATAGGGTTAATAAAGTTTTTTATCTGCTGTCCTTCTACCTACATTCATATCTCTCTTGCCAATATGCATCCACCTGTGCGTAGAATTTCGCGACGTAGTCAAAAAGTCAAAGCATGATATCACACTGTGGACGATGATCGCGATTAGAGAATTGATCTCTACTGAGAGGTTGTTATTCTGATCGTCAAGATCTTTGCCACGAGGACCAATCTGTCAACACAAATAGGACCGCTTCCGCCTTTCATTGGAGTTTGAATTTCACGATCACGGGCGACATTGCTTGGAGAACGAGAAAAAGGAAAAGATCGTACGCGCAGGCGTTCTTTTTTGCGTAGATCGACAAGAACCTCGCTTCAAAAGGACCATCGTCGTTTGCCAGGAAGGCGACTGGAATTGTTGCGATGCATTTATGACGATCCGTGGACACACTTGGACACGAAGCTCAGGGTCTCATGTTGCGCAATCGCAAATTGTGTGTTGCAGCTTGCTGGTGTCTTCATTTAGTACTACTTACTATGTATACTTTGTTGAAAAAGTAGTCGAATCTATTTTACACACAGACACAGAGGCGAAGTCTAGCCGTCGAAGTCGACATCCTATCGCCACGGAAAGGGCATCGAGCAACGGTGAAGGTTTCATTTGGAAAAGATTACCGAAAAGAAAAGTTCAAAAAGTCATCAAGTTTTGATTTTGCAGAGCGGGTCCGTCGATGCCAGTGTGACCTCAGCTTGCTCTGCAACGCAGAATTCGCTTATTGTCCCTGCTCGTGGCGCCTTGATTTCTATCGTCGCCTTGTCGCTTTCAATCTCGGCAATCAGTTCGTTCGCTTCTACTTGGTCCCCAGGTTTTTTGACAAAGGTTACGTAGAGATTGTCACCGTCGAGTGGTGCATTTACCACGATTGTTTCGGAAGCTGCGTTGGCGCTGCTCGTCGTGCTTGCTGCTGCTTCTGCTTTTGCGCTTGCAGGAGCAGCGGACGACAAGTCAGTACCAGTACCAGACCCCGTCGTCGACGTCGTCTGTACTTCGCAGTCTCCGCTACCAGCGCCAAACCTCCAAGAACTTTTCCTTTTCGCGTCCCCCACGTCTCCTGCGGTGATTGCTCCGATTCGCTCCAATGCGGTCACAACGTCCTCCGCCTGAAGCAGGCAGTCGCCGACGCCGTAGGGGATGTAGACACTCGGGATTGTGCATTCGGAAAAAACGAGGTTCCGACTGTACGGCAGCTTGCGCTTCAAATCGGTCACGACCGGGCCAAGTAACCCGGCGTTTGGATTCCCGTCGACGACGAGAACGTCGATAGGCTGCTCGTTCTGCAGTTCGGCGCGCAGGTAGTCAACCAGAGCGTTTGGCGTTCGGTTGTATGAGAGGATGAAGAAATCGCAGTTGACCTGAAAATGATGAATGTTGTACGGAGTGGGAGAAAACGATGTGATACGACATTTCGGCACACATATGTAAAATCCGAAACTTGAAAGTACTTGTCTTTCACTCGGTCTACTAGTCTAGCATACACTTACATCAACAAAGTTCGCTTTAGTACCTGCTTCTCCTCGACAACCTTGGCAGCCATCTTCGCTTCCGGGCCCCATGCGAGAACCACAAGTTTTCGCTTGCTCTTCGGCTTTTCAGCAGTTGATGCGAAGGAAAACTTGACTTGCAACACATCGTTCAGCCCTATCACGGTTTCCGGCGCCTCCAGGGGGAACTTCCCGTGCAAAAGTTGAAACGCTGCGGTGGGGACCACGCAAATGACCATGCGGCCCAAGTCGTGCAGTCGCACCATTTCCGGCATGCTGGCCCGAAACGCGTTCATATCGAGCGGCAAAGCCATCACGGTGTTCGCATCGGACGCGAAAGAGGAGTACTCCGGCGTGTTGTGGTGCTCGCCGACGCGCGCGAGCCAGTGCGCGCGGGTGGATTTTGACCCGTCGGCGTTTTCGATTTCCTGGACATCAAACGACGCAATCGAGCCGCCATCAAACATGTAGATCACGTTTCCGTGGGTGCCGGAATCGCAGTACCGGTACGCTGCGTACTTCATGTGGTCTCGGGCGTGCTCGTTGAAAATTGTGTGCGGTCCCTTGACGAAAACCAGATTGTTTTCCGGGAGAACCGACCGCATCGCGGCGCCCACCTGCATCACCTGCGACTCGTGCGGGAGAAAGTTCACAAATTTGTCCGTGTGTCTATCCTCGATCAGATTCAGCTCTCCGTACACCCCGCCCCGGCTGTCGGCGTTTTTGTCCTTTTTGTGGTTCTCCTGGTGGACGTAGCGGCAAGCGCGGTTTTTTTTGTCGGCCTTGTCCATCTCCTGGTTGATGGTGCGCGCAAAAATGTCTGACCCCATCCCGGCGAACTCGGCGTGGTTTTTGCTTGTCAAGTACTCCGAAGAGAGGGCGTGAATTTTGCCTTGCTCAGCTCCAAAAACGGTGAGCGCCCCCGGCTGCGACAGCTCCACGGCCTCCGCACGGGTGAGCACGTTCGTTCCGCAGATCGCCGCTTCGATCTCGTTTCCAATGGATACGTTCGCGGCTTCCAGGGCTTTTGCGAGGTCTGCGCCCGTTGCAGTTGGCTCGGAAATGTCCGCGAGCTGGGACAGCAAACACTCCTTCAGCTTGTCAAACTGATCCAAGACGACGGCGTCCGGTGCGGGATTCTGGTCGTTTGCATGCCCCCCTGGCCGAAAGGGAAAGCGGCATATCACGTAGGTCGGCCGGCCAGTCCGCAGAACCTGGTCCACGGCATTCTGCATCGTGGCAATGCCTCCCTGCACATCCGGCGCCCAGGAAACGAATCCCTTGTCAATGACACTTTCGTAGCTTGCGAAGCGTTCTTGTAATTTTGCCAAGCCGAAATCGTCTTCGTTCTCCGTGGCAGCCGGGTGCAAGCGGCTGCTGATGCTCGAATTGTTGGCGTTGACGACGAAAATCAAGGGCATCGGGAACCCGCGCTCGCGCGCTTCCACGAGATGCGCCACGGCGTGCATTGCGCCATCGGTGTAGAACCCCGTGTCGCCGCTTGCAATGACGGTTACGGGCGGCTGTTTTCCCTCCAGACCCATGCAAAACGCCCGAGCGGTTTGCATCTCCAAGTCTCTGCCGAGATCGGTGCTGCCGGTGCTGACGTGCGAGTCGCACGGATAGAATTTTCGTGTCATGCCGCTGAAAATGTCCGGATCCTCGGTCCCACTCATGCCTGGAAACGGAACTCGACTGCCCGCGTGAAACTGCATGAAGTGTGCCTTGGCGATGAGGCGATGCGCCGTGTCGTTCTTGTAGCCCAGCCGGTACAGCTCTTCCAGCATCAGCGGTGAGCGATAGTAGGTGACAAACCGCAGCGCATCCTGCACGTTTTTTGTTCCCCGTTTTTCCATGCAGTACTCCGCGAGGCCGGCCGCCAGGTGCGTGTAAATGACGCTCGGGAACAGGCTAGCGCCATTTGCCGCTTTTGCGAAATACTTGTGCACGTGCTTGGGGAAGACCAGGTTCGCGAGAAACGAATCCAGTAACGCGGCCCGCGAAGAGGAGGATATGCCCAATTCTGCATTGCTGTTCGTGCCCCCTGCTTGTAGCGTTGCACTACTAGAAGCCGAACTTGCAACGCTCTGGGCGAGCATCGACTTCCGGCGCGAAACTTCATCCTGCAAAGACGACGCCGTGCCGAGAGCAGTCAAATCCGACAGTAGCTCATCGTACACAGCCGTGTACAGCCCGTGGCACTTTCGAATCTGTTTGATGAACTCTTTCTGCGACGAAGCCTGCTTTGATTCGTACGACCGCAATGGATTTCGGCTGTCATAAAGCGCGGAATGCCAGTCATCTGCAGGAGAATCACGGTGGGCGGAGGAAGAGGATGCTCTTACCGCACCACGACCGTTAGAACTTGATGACGAGGAACTTGCACTTGCTTCGGGCGAACCTTTCCTTGAAGAAGCCGCTGCAGCAGCGGACGACCAGGCCCGGTCGTGCACACTGATGAACCCCTTGGAACGGATTATCGCCTGCTCTTTGCACCCATACCTGGGTACGAATTTTCTCCATACCCGAGGACAGGCCATTACGTCGTGCCTCCCAGTGATGATTTGCATGCCGCGTTACAGCTGATCTCCCTGCACCATCAACTACATGAAGCCGATGGCGCTCTATCTCCTTTATCTCCGGGGATCTCGAACTCTTCGGCCGAATCATTAACCAAAACCTATGCTACTCACGCACTAATTTCTTCGGGCGGTATCGAGTGCGAGTGGTAGTACGCAGGACAGTCCCGGCGGAAAATTGCGTTGAAGACTCTATCCACCTCCCGGCTCGACTGATGAATCGCTCCCCTCCTCACCTCCTCCTCGTAACACCAAAGTTACTTGCCCTCAATCTGCGTCTGCCCTATGTATCACATGCTTTTCCGTCTTGATGTGTGCCCGCAGAGCAAATGAACCAATCGGAACAACTCTGAAGCGAATGGGCTCGCTTCGAGAAAAAAAATGAGGATGAGCTCTCTTGCAATTCGTTCATCGGCAAACCGCCTGTCTGGGCCTGCCGTGGCCCCAATCTGCCGGCGCGAAGACCACGGGTCAGCAGCTGCGACCACATACACGCGCCAAACTTGCTGCCGACCTGCCACCGGCCTGGCAGTGCGCGAAGGGAAGTAAGTCGCCCGGGAGGCCCCGGTGGAGCCCATTGGCTTCTGGCCTGCCAGGGAAATGCGCCCAAGCGGCACGGGCCCGCGCCCGCTGTACGTTCTTGCGGGCCGATGCGACCAGGGAGGGGTCTGCGCCTCTGGCCCCCATGATTCAACAGAGCCGGCGGGGGGCACTCATGCAAGCGCGCCGGCAGGCACTCGCGCCGCCCCCAACTTTTTCCGCGGGGCGGGTCGCCATTTGGTTTGTCGTTTGATGCTTTTAATTTTGCACACTACGACGACGATAATTCAATTTGGTATGATATCCATGCCGGTGGACTTCCCACTTTGTGGCTGTGGTTCCGGCAATCTGGCGGACCCGCTGCCCGCTCGTCGACTCCTGCCCGTACCGCAAGGCAGCCAACGAACGCGGCCGGCCAAAGGTTCCAGAGGCTGCGCCACTGGTGCGCCCGCGCAGCCATTCGACGCAGAGGAGAATGAAACACACACTCAGGGCGGCGATGCCCATGGCCATACCGGCCACGAGCTTCCGTAGTTGGCAGCGGCCTCCGCGCCCGGATCGACGGCAAAAAGGCCGCGCTCCGCCATCTTGATCTCTCAAAACATGGAGCGGCCATCTTCTTCCATTTCTACCTGGTACACACAAACAGCAAACAGCGCACGGCAACATCCACACTCTCACTTAAATTTTTCTCTCGACAAGAACTACACAAGCAGCACACGCCTCGCTCCATTAGCACAATTTTGGGATTTGCCTGTGCTCCCTCCCTACTCCAAATGAAGCTCCTCCGCCACCTATCAGAATCAGCGTCATCTACCTTGAAACATCATCAACACGAAGAGTAGCCGCAGTGGCAGTAGCGAGCAACGCTACATATTCTGGCATGGCAATTCCAGTTTCTTTTTCCGGCTTCATCAATCTACCCGTATTTCCGGACACTTGTCCAAAAAAAAGTTCGCAATCGCGAGCGCGTCTTGAAAAAATCTTATGATCAACTTCTCTTTTTACACTGTATTCATATTTGGTTACACAAACATTAGAATCGAAGTCTACACGGTAAGAAATCCAATCGCAGTCTTCTTTCGACTTGTAGCTTTATTACAGCTACAACGAAGTAATCTTTCATCTTTACAAGCATCTTTATCGGGCGGACGCGGATACTGCACAGAAACGCATTTCATCAAAATGTTCGTTCAAGGAACGCGAAACCAAAAACTACTTGAGGTCCTCGGTTGCCACTTGTTTTAACTGAGTACTTTTTTCTATCACCGACTTTAGTTTGCAAAAGCAGGGATTCCGGTAATGGCCCGCCCGAGGACCAGTGCGTGAATGTCCTGGGTGCCCTCGTAGGTATTCACAGCCTCCAAATTCAATACGTGTGTCATGATTCCGTACTCGTCAACGATTCCGTTTCCGCCCAACATGTCTCGGCATTCCCGAGCAATGTGCAGTGCCTGAAAATGGTTCGACTCAAAAGGCAATCGCGACAAAGCTACTTTTCTCACAATATCAAATGCAAGAGTTGAGAAGATCGGAAAGAGGAAAAACCATCGACCGAAAAGAATCAATCACCTACCAAACAACCGTATTTACATCAACTCAATACCTTCGTGCAGCTGTTTCGCTTGGCCATGGAGATGAGGTTGCTGTGGAGCTGGTGGTCCTCTTTCATCCTGGTGATCCGCGCTACCAACTGCCTTCCCAACACGATGTCTGTCCAGGCGTCCGCAAGCTTCTTCTGCAGAATCTGGTTGCTCGCCAACGGTCGCTTGAACATGTGCCGGTCCAACAAATACCGTCTCGCGATGTCCACGCACTCTTCCGCCGCACCCAACGCGCCCCAGGCGATGCCCAGTCGCGCGGAGTTCAAACAGGTAAACGGCCCCTTCATACCGACGATGTCCAGCATGTTCCCCGCCGGCACTCTCGCGTTGTCCATCATGATCATGCCCGTTGGGGAGGCACGGAGGGAAAATTTGCCGTCGATCTTCGGCGTCTGCAGCGTCTGTTCACTGTTGTCCGCACGCTCGATGATGAACCCTCTCACTTTCCCGTGGTGTTCTGGCACGTCTGGATCGTGCACCTTCGCCCACACCATGAACACGTCCGCGATCGGAGAATTTGTGATCCAGGTCTTGCTGCCGCTCAGCAACCAGTTGTCCCCGTCCTTCTTCGCAGTTGTCGTCATGCCCGCGGGATCCGAGCCGTGGTTGGGTTCGCTCAGCCCAAAGGACCCCACAATCTCGCCGGCGGCGAGCTGCGGGAGCAGCCGGTCCTTCAGCGCCTCACTGCCGAAAAGATGGATCGGCCACATCACCTGATTTAGAATTAGACAGGACAGTTTTTGGTAATGATAGAGTAAGAGAGCACCTTCGCTTCTGCGAGTTGCTTGACCATTCGCATTTATTTCACATTTCTTGAATATTGTAGTCAGCAGTATGTTGTTGAAAAACGTTTCATGCCAAATGCCAAGTCCTATACCAAGCTCGACTGCACACTGAGTGTTGACCGGTAGCCCGAGTCGCACTTCTCGACTTCTGTGGCGACGAGGCCGTAACTTGTCACCGAAGCGCCGGCGCAGCCGTACTTTTCCGGCAGCACCAGGCCTAACAGCCCAGCTTTTCCCATCTCCCGGATGATGCCCCGCGTATCACCTTCCTCTCGTCGAAAGTGCTCGCGCAACCGCGGCCGTAGCTCCGTGTCAGTAAACTTCCTGGCTGCGTCGCGGATGAGTATTTCGCTCTCCGTGAAGGTGTTCTCCAAGAGTAACGGGTCCTGCCAGTGCTCCTCTGGCACCCATTCGAAAGGCTCACTGATAATCTTCTTCGTGTTCACAGAGGAGGAACTGACTGCGGCGGATGCAGCGGGCGGAGCAGTTGTGTGCATCGCTGGTGGTGCATGTTGCTGCTCCTGCTGCTTCACACTGGCGGCCGCGGAGCCGAAACTTCTTCCCGCCGTAGACGGTGTTGGCGTGGAGCTGAAACTGCGTGTTGCCGTACTACCGGTGGAAGTTGTATACTGGCAATTTTTCCCACCGAAATTGACACTTGACGCGAGCCGGCTCTGCCGGAAAAGACGCGACGCTATGGGTCGCATGGACGAACTAGCAGATGACATCGACATCGTATTTCTCGATTCAACTTCAAACACAAACAGACATACACATAGATTATTTTGTCTCCAGAGTTGTCGTAGAAGAACTTAAACCTTGACCTTCAAAACGAGGCTGTGTGAGTTGAAGAATTGGTACTTAGATTCTTTTCATGATCACGGGTACTTAAAAACATTCAGGGCAGGAATGCAGGAGGGTAGCCAATTTAACCTGTAATATCAAATATGGCGCGGCAGTAGTTTTTGCAATATGTCGAAAAATATCGACAAAGTTGTCTGACGTCAAATCTCCCCTCGTTCTCAACACTCACTCTGGAACATGCTTCGCTCCTTCCTGTTCCTTCTTTTTCATGAATCTGTCTCTCAGAGCACGCGCAAGGGCAAGCAAGAAAAAACTATAGTGGACCACTACCGATTTCTCTTCGAAAAATTCTCATCTCAGCGAAGACCTCATACTTGCACAGAATCACAATCTGGAAGCGGAAACACCCGGGCCACTAAGTTAGTGTCGCAAAAATGTCAGTGAAGGTCAACTTTTCTTGCTTGTGTACTGCGAAACAGACTTTGCATTTCTAAGACTTGCACCAACTATGCCGCATCCGGCCAAAACCTGTGAGTGCGTGGATCCAGTCCACGAAGATGAAGAACATTCTGTTGTACAAAACGATTTCTTTACGTCAGCCATTCTGCAGCGACGGATAGGGATTGGCGGATGCATTTGCTTCGGCTTCTCGTGCCTCTCTTCTCCTTTCTCGCCATGCACGGTAGCGCGCTCGTCCAAGGCTGTACCAAGCGTCCACCATGAGTCGTAGCGTGTGGCAATTTTCGGCCAAAAGACCTCGCGCGCTCGTTGCTGTGGTCGCGCCGTCTCGTGGGCTGCTGTCAGAAGTTGCGTCGTTTGCCACAAAACTTGACTCGCTTAGCTGGTCTTTATCCTGGTCATCAGAAGTTGCATGCGTCATACCTCCTCCTGTTCTCGCCCTCATGTTCCTCGCTGCCTCTTCTCGCAGGGCCGCGGCTTCTTGGTGTAGCATCAAAATCCGTTCCTGTGACAGGTCCAACTCCATTCTCTGTTCGTGCACCAGCCGCTCAGCGGTTTGCAGTCCTTCTTGCAACAAAGCTACCTCGCGCTGAACGTTTTCGGTGTGGAGCAGCTTTTGCCGCAGCGAGGACGCTCCCTGTTCCTGCTTTTTGAGCGCCGCCCGCACCTCCTCGGCGTCACTGCGTGCTGTTTCCAGCTCCTCGCGCATGTTCTTGACAGCCGAAAACGTGGCCTGCATTAAGCAGTTCAGCTCGTCCGGAGACGCCCGTCCAGGCCGGCTCGGCGCGGGACCGTCGTAGCTCTGTTTGCTCGAGCCTCCGTGTCGGTAAATTTTCACATCCGACGGAGAGTTGGTCGAGGAGTTTGAGTTGCGCCTTCTCGGTACGACCGGCGAGCTCTGATCTGCGGTCATTTGTGCGCTAGTATCTCCTGACGATGCCGGTGACACCAGGATGGCGTCGTTGCGAACCTGCAGAATCTCGTGCAGCAGCTCCTCAAACCGGTCGCAGCGATCGGCCTTTTCGCGCAGACTGGCCTTCAAAGTGGCGATCATCTCGTCCTTGGCTTCAAAATCCAGCGCATCCGGTTGCTGGCCGTTCGGCCGCGGCGACCAGGCCGCGGAGCCCGGGGACAGCGACCCTGGTGGACTCTGCTCCCGTTGCAGGTCCAGCTGCGTGTTCTCATCGCCGAGGTTTACGGACTTGCTGCTCATTGGCGAAGCGGCGGAGAAGTCAGGCACAAACCCGCTCAGTTGAGTGATCGCAGACCCGAACCACCCGGCGGATTGGTCCTCTACTTGTGAGCTGGTCGCCGGGCCTGAATTTTTGTCTTTGCTTGTCTTTTCCTTCCCCGTCTCGGACTCTTCAGGCACGACCAGGTCAGACTCCGAGTCTTTGCTTGGATTGCTCCTATCGACAAAGTAGTCGTCGTCACCCGCGATGGCAACCAGAAGATTTTGGTTTGTTTGCTCTCCCTCTCCGTGGACGACCCTTGGATTCTCATTCTGCGCTTGCTGCTCGTTCATTTCCGCCCCACGACCTCTGGGACCACTGCTTTTAATACCCGGAGCCGCGCCCCGCTTTTTCTTTTCCGGCGTCAGCGAGCGATTCCGTCGTTTCGTCCGCTCGATGTGCCGTCCCCGCTCTTCGACCAGCTTGTCCATGTTTGGGTCGGTTAATGGCTGCTCGCGCGCTTCTAATCTTTCCTGCTGCCGCGGCGAAAGCTGCTGTTGGTCCACCACAGCGCCGGTCTGTTTGTCCCGCACCCAGCGCGCGACGGGCCGTGAGGTGAGCTTCAGAGCTGGCGGATCACTCGAAGATTTGTTTGTCGACAACTGTTGTACTTGTTCCTCCGCTCCTGAGCTCGTAGTCGTGAGTGATGGTGCGGTGCTGGCAACCGAAGCACCACCTCCACCAAGCCGGTTCGTTGCAGTGCTGGAACTGGACTTCGACTCTTGTTTCGAAACCACGCGGGTCGTCAGAGGAGACTGAGCGCTTGCTGCAGCTTCTCTTGTAGGTTCTGGCTGAGACGCGTCGAAGCTTGCGTTCGCGGAAGGAGGACCTTTATCGCTGATAACTAACCGCGGAGGGTGATGGTGGTGGTGAGGAACCGCTCCTCCAGAAGGCCCGTCTTCGTCGTCTTCGTCGGTTACGGAAGTGGAGTACTCTTCATATTCAGATTCTGACGCTTCTTCAGGGTCGACACGTTTCACTAGCGTGGACATGATGCGTGAGTTATCGCGGGGTCATCAAACTTCAAAGAGACAAAGGACTCGTATTACCTGATGGATCTACAAGGAAAAACATGGAATGTGGTAAGTAGGCAAGCTGAAGAACAGGACTAGGTAGTGTTCTTCCGCTAGCAAGTTAGAGGGTATGGGTAGGGGCCTGCAAAGAGTAATCAAGCATTGGTTCTTACATGCGCGGCAACTCGCAAATTTCTGTGCACTTCTTCGAGAAGAATTCCAATTCTTTCAGCACGCTCTGTCGTGCAGCAACATCTCCCTCTCTCTTCGCAGCTCCGCATTCCGCTCCATTTGCTGCAGAGGTTCGACTCAAAAAGAATAAGAAACCGATCGAGATTTGGACGTATAACCGAGAGCATAAACACACTACTTCAGCACCGACCGAATAACGGTCCAAGAACGAATCACCGATCTACGTCTACCTTCATCTTGATATGAACACGGCAGACCTCTAAATCTAATGCGTTCGCGTCGCCTGGATGAGTTTCCACGTCGATGTCGCAGTTCTCACTATCTTTTTATACCAAAAGTACGCACCAAACGTGGTTCGAAAATGGTGGACATGATCGATTTCTGTTTGCAGATTTATTGTGCTTTTCGCCAATCTGTTAAATTGCCTTGTCACGGCAGGGCCACATCACTCTACAAGTAGTACGTCCTTTTGCGAGGCTGCTGCCACTGAAGCATGCGCAGCTGCTCGAGTTCCGCTCGGGTCATTTGCTTGGCAGACTGACTGTCTTCGTAAGCCAGCTGCTTCCCGTGACCATCCGAGCCGTCCGGGTGCAGTTCGTCGATGGCCAGATGCTGCACGTCAAGACCGCACCGCAAAACGAGGAATCGCACGGCAAACGCCGCCGTCAGCGTAAAATCCTGCTTGTCCGTCAAAATGGACGACGAGGTCTTGCTCGAAGCGGTCGCCGCCGGCGTCGTTTTTACGTTGGTTGACGAAACCAGATCCTGAATATCTCTGGCAGCTTCTTCCAATTTCTCCAGAGTCCAGAAGCTCGGCTCGTTTTCCCCCGTCCAGTAGTGTGTAAAGTTGGGGTCCGGAACGGGAGAGCGCCCGCTTCTGGTCTCCCGTTCGGCCCACTGCTTCCAGTGCCCTTCCGAATCGTCTTCCGGACTCAAGAGCTGACTCACAAGCAAGCGGTGGGGATCTTGGTGTGCCTCGCTGTCGGTTTGCGACCACATGTAATCCTCGTAGCGCGGCTGCACGGGCGAGAAGCGCGAATCCAGGTAGAGTATGCGTTCCCCGGGTGTCTGGAACTGCTTCTGGGGATAGCGTGGAAGAAAATGGGTCTCCTCCACGTCCCCGTCGTGAAGCGAACGTGTCAATACCAACGGCAGCAGCTGTTTGCTCTCGCTCTTCTCTTCCCAGAATGATCTCTCGTCCGAATGACGCCCTTCGGGGCTCGATGTTGGTTCTTCAAAACTGGTAGCGTCCACCGGCTCTGAAAGTAACTCCAGAAGCAGGACAACCACCCGCAAAAGCAACGCCACCGGAACTTTGCCATCTTGACGCACTGTTCTCGGAAGTAGACGCCACAGCAGTGCCAAATTGCTTTCGTCAACAGATCCGTTCGAGGCCGCGTCATCACCATCAAGGTATCGCTGGATCCCGATGGTGAGAAGCGCCATTTTCCCGCCAACTTGCACGATTTTCTTGCCAACGAATTGCATCAGGGAAAAGAAGTTTGCGAGTCGAATGCGCTCGGCCTCTCGCTTTTCCTTCATGAGGCGCGCAACGTGCACGGCGAGGAAAAGCTCGTCGTCCCCTAGCGTCGCTTGCTTCGCGCGGGGCTTCGTTTCTTCTTCTGCTCCAGCGCTGGCAGCACATTTTTTCTTGTTAGCTCCCGCGGATTTGCGTAACTCTTTCAACATAACACCCAAACGCTGGTCTCCACGACCAAACTCTTCCTCTAGTACCTTGCAGTCCGGATTGTACCGGAAGTAGAGGGAGGAACACTCTTCATTTTCGGACCCGTAAGAAAACGTGAGGTCCCTCCTGCCACTATCGAGCCCTGCAAGACGACTGTGCATGCCGTCTCTTTGTTCACTCTGCAGGATCAGCTGCCAGAAGAAGATGAAAAGCGGCTCTCCCTCTCGCGAGTACCTGCCCCCCAACCCGAGGCCACCGTGCACGAAGGAGTAATCGGTCCACAGGCAGTACGGGCGAGTAGAAGCCGTTCCTTCACTGCTTTTCGCGACGGGTGCGAAGGAGAGCATTCCGATCTGTACGGTCTTCGCGAGATAGTCTGCAATCCACTCAAGTTCAGACTGGATCTGTTTGCCCTGTGCAGGCGACAGCCCCATGAGTGCGGCGTCCTTTTTCAGCAACTGTTCGCAAACGACCTCCTCGTACAAGTAGGTGTCCAGAACGCGCTCGTACCACACGCGATCCCGCCAGCCCTTCCGATACCTCATGGGCATGTACTCTGTTACATCGCGCCACGGCGGATAGTGCTCTTTGTCCTCGTCGTCCGTTGAATCTTCTGACTGCCCGTCAGCTTCGTCGGTATCTTCCGCGGCCGAGTAAACTTCTTCTGCGTCGGAATCGTCGGACACAAACCCGGGCGACATCAACCGAGGCCGCCTTGCTGGAGGCGCAGCTTCCGCGTCCTCTGTGTGGGTTTTTGTTGGATCCTCCCGCTCTCCGGTGGCAGTGTTTGCTCCTTCGCCCATCGGCACCCCCCGTTGTCTGCGAACATCCGCTGCAGCGTCGCGCTTTTCGCGCCGCTTCATTTTTCTCAACTTTGTTTTTTTCTTTTTCTGCTCCGCCGCCTCTGCCTTTGCCTCTGGTGATTTGGGCGGTCGCGCGACGTCTCGGGCCCTTTCTAAGTCGAACAACATCTCTGCCTGTTCAAACCGCCTCTGCCGCAACAGGAAGCCCAGAGAAGAAACCTTTCTGCGCCTCGCCGCTGCATACGCGTCCAAATACGATGTGGCCGCCAGTTTCTTCTTCTTGCTTTCCTCTCCCCCGAGTGTCCTCCACAGTTCTTCTGCTTTCTTCTTCTGCGCACGAGGCGTCCCGTTCAGTACTCCGGCACAATCCGGGCCACAGTCACGCTCGCAATCTATGTCGTACTTGTGTATCAGGTTCTGGATATCACGGCTGATTTTCCTGCCGACCAGGCCCTCATGCTTCTGCGCGCTGTACGAGATCGACCTCGATTTCAATATCCTGGTCGGGAAATCCACCAGGTTCACGATTAGAGATCCAAAGTGGTCGTGTCCTTTGTCGGCAGAAGAAGCACCGGGTCCCGTAGAACTGGCAGATGTCGACTTGCTATCGTCCAGGGTCAAATCCGCCAGTTGCGCGATAGTTTCTCGTGCGAAAACCTTTTTGCGAAAAGCAGCGTCCAGGTTTTGCAACGGCCGTCCAATGTAGTGGGAGACGCTTTTTTCGATTCGTTTCCGATCCCAGCCTCGTGCGGTCATTTCAGCGAAAGAGAGCAGAGGATCTTCCGCATCGCCGCCCGTCGCGTGTGGTTTTGAGCTGCTCGCTGACGCGTCGTCAAGTTTCCGCTTTTTCGCGGGGGGGCTTGAAGGCGAGGCACTCGGATCGGGTGGTGCTGTCTCGTGTGTTTGTTCTCGTGGCAAGAGTGTACTACTGCTGCTCTTCTCTGTACTACGAGAGGACTGAACTTCCTGCACGAGCGAGGCGGCGAGCTCGCTTTCATCTAGGAGAATCAAACACACCAGACGCTGAAAGCCATACTCCGTTGTAGTTGCTCCCATATCAAAAGACTGCCAGTCGTGAGCTATCCGGGCAGCGGACGGGTAGCCGGCGCATCGCAGCGCTCGTCTTCGAAGCAAAATTTGCGACACCGCCCTTAAATCCTTCAGAAGGGTGGCGCTCGCGGCCGGCAGACCTGCGAGCGCCTCGGCCTCAATGTCTTGAAAACGCTGCTTTGCACTGAGGTAGATCTGGCGGCATCTTGCTTCGTACTGGGCCTTTTGCAACTCTTGGAGATCCTTCTGGTTCTCTGCATTCTGGGCTTTCTTAGCACGTTCTTGCTCTTCCATCTGCAGGGTTCTTCGGCGTTGCTCCTGCAGAAGTCTCCCGCCCGCACCGGTCTTGCCAATAAGCAAGTCGGCCACTTGATCACGGCAACGCGGCTGCCCCAAGACCGCCAGCAGAACCAGGAAGCGGTAGATTGCCACTACCGGCGTGTCAGTGAACACTGCGAGAGTGTGCCCTGCGAATTTGTTGACTTTCTTCAATAACGCTAGCTCCTCAGTGAACTCGTCGTCCTTTGCTTGCTCCATGTGGTCGCGGATCTCCCGAACAAGCATTTCCGACAACACACCGCCGCACTCTTTCAGGGCCTTCGAGAAAGTCGAACTCCGCTGCTCGACGAGCAGTCGCAGCAGCTTCCCGTTCTGCGGCGCTGGATTGGTCAGCAGCACTAACAAAAAGCTGCAGAAGCTGTAGGCCTGCAAAGTCCATTTACTTTCGCCGGCCTCCTGGAAAATGTCGCCCACCTGGTGCAAGATCTTCGCCGCATCAATAACTTGGAGGAGGTCAGTCGCTGGCTTCCTCTGGAGCATCATGCTCCACAAGTTAAATTCCTTCGGGAAAACGGCGCCCAATCCCGCCGGCTGGGCCTTTGCAAGATGGTAGCTCCACAGGAACAATGGATTCTCTTGCGGCCATGACATCGCATATTGTCCGGCGGCTTGTTGCAGCTCCTCCCTAACTTTCTCCGCGTTGGATAGGCAAGACAAGAGCCTGTTCCACCGGCGCAACGACTCCGTCTGCCTGAAGGGCGGGTGACTAGAGGAGCTCGATGACAACTCGTGGACCCGCGAGACCACCTCGATCAAAGTGTCAGGCATCGTCTCGGGTATGTTTGGAATTTTCTGATCGGTCGAGGTCTCGTCGATGTAGGAAACCCACCAAGGGACAAGCTGTTCTCCGCCACTGACCGCCTGCTTCTTATTTCGATCTCCGTCTCTCAAAGTCGACGCCACTGGCTTCCCAAGGGCTAACGCGTAGTAATCAAGCGCCAGATCCGCACGCACGACGCTTTCCTTCGACTTTCGTGGCATGACCAACGTCTGCAGTGGCGTCATTCCGGTCGAGCTCAACACAGCACCGCAATAAGTCACGACCTTTCCCCTGCGCTCCAGAATCGCGCTCGGGTCCAGTATGGCTTCGGTGGATGGCGCGGAGTGAAGCGCAACAAAACTCTCTCGCAATCGATCTGTTGTCACGTATTTTCCGCCGGCGTTCTGGTCCTTTCTGGCCCAGTGCGTCCACCAATGCAGGACCGTCTGGCGGTTGAAATAGCTCGCGAACCACAGCGGACTGGCACCGCAGCACATTTCTCTTGCGCTGTCTGCAGCCAGACAGCACTTGTTGTTGTTCTGCGTGCTAGCCTTTGCACATGAAGCGCCAGCACTGCAACTTCTGATCGTGTCCTCGCCTTCTTCCAGAAGAACTTGCAGTGTCGAAACCGCGCCGCAGGCCGCTGCGAGGGAAACCAAGGCCTCGCCCAGTGTCGTTCCCGGAGTGACAGGAGCATTTCCACCCTCCACCTTGCTGCACAGGCTCACAGCCGGGAACGGCTGTAGCCTCTGCGTCTCCCTGCGAGACCTCCAAATGCCAGACACCAGAAGTTGCAGGGCGAAGGCGTCCGACAGCGAACCGGGCTTGAGCGGTTCGCGGCACACGGGGCACTTCTTGTTGCCCGGCCCGCTCCCGGACTCGTTCTTCTGCTCGCGTGGCAAGTAGAAAAAAGCGAGGGTCCTGCTGCGAATGGGACGCGCGGGAAGCGCATCGTCCAGGTAATCTATGTCGTAAAATTCAAACTCGTTTTCCACCGGCGCGTCAGGAGGTTGTACTACAACCGCAGCCGCCTCGTCCTGTCCAAGAACTGCTTCGGCAACCACTGCGGGGCCCGCGCCAGCATCTTCTACTTGCATATCATTGTTCGCAGCCTCAACGTTGAGAGCGGCTGGAGCAGCTTCTTGCCCCTGTGCCTCGTTTTCGAGGGCCTGTTGCTGCTCGTCAGCGCCGTCATCCTCTCCATAGTCACCGAGGCCGTCTTTCCCGATCCGCTTCAAAGTTACGGTTTTTTTCTTCGTCCCGTCGGCTTCTACCGTCGTGATTTGGTTTGTCACCTCCCAGACGATTCCGTTTTTGTCCAGCGCGCAAGGTTGCACTAACTCTTGAAACGCACAGGCTCGGCAAAAGCGATGCCCACACAGCGCTCGGTATTGGTTTTTCTCGGTCAACGTCTCCAAGCAAATGGGGCAGCAATGCTCTTCCGTCTCAGAATTGGTTCCCTTGTTGTGGTCAGCCATTCTCGCTTGGCGCTCGGAATGCTCCCCGCCGTCCTCAACTTCCTCCTCGTAAAAGTTTTTCGGAATGATTTCGGTGCTTAGGTCTATCCACTTCTCTTGTATCGCCCAGCGAAAGAAGGCATGGTGGTCGATTGTGAGCAGGAGGAACAGTCTCGGCAAATCCTCGAACATGATACCCGCTCGCGTCATCTTGAACTGTTTCACGATTTCAGTTGTCGGTTGGGCGAAAGATGTTGAGCTGCGGGACTTTTTCTTCATCTGGGCGGGAGTAGTTCGACAATTTTTTGTTCTTTTCGGGGCTGGACCAGCATCACTTTGCTGCTCGTTTTCCTCGTCCTGTACCGATGTCACAGCCGCCAGAGCCAGACTTTGCTGCAAATACAATCGGAACAGGTCTGCCACTGCTTCCTTCATCGGCTTCACACGATAAATCTTTGCGACGTCGGGCGCGACAAAATTTGCTTTATGCCACGCAAGCACCTCCCTGTACCGGCGGTCCGCGTTTTCTACCGGATTCATTTTGCGCATCGTCACCAGGCTGAATTTACTCTCATCCTCCGAGTCCGAACAAAAGTCGTCTTCTCCGCTGGAGTCGCCCGCCGCAATCACGAACCCGTCATAGGGGAACTTGCGAAGTTTCCGTGGGCGCCAGCGACGAGGCACAAGCAGCAGGTTCCGGGAAATGGTCTCCAGCAGTTTGAGACGCTCACGCTCCATTTCGGCGAGAAGCGATGTTTTGAATTTTTCAGACGTATTTTCTGTTACTGGCACCTTGACGCCGCGAACCGTGATAGTTCCTTCTGTTGTCTTGCTAGCCAAGAAAATGGCCCTCTTGTCAACCTTCTCATGCAGCTGCACGCCCTCCGGATGCAACAGGCGCGCCAAGCGCCTGCGCACCCCGAAGGCGGCACGACTGCGCAACCCCGACATGTGCAAGTCCACTCTCTCGAAGTCAAGCGACGGGTAAACCATTGATTCGAAAACTGCAACCGTTCTGTACCCGAAGGTACTATCGCGAATCTTAGAAACTATCGAATGGTACACGCCTCGGCGCTTCTCTTCCTCCTTGTAGCAGCGCAGGAAGGCGGACCAGACGGTGGTTGGGGTCGGCGTGTCAAACAAGTCCTGCAAGGCGGCCGTACTATCCCTGATATCCTCTGTCACTCGCTGCAACGCTGTGTGGAGCAACTCACGCCGCGCGGCGTCGTGACCGTCACCGTCTTTCGCGTGTAGATCTTTCAATAAAGCCTGCAACCGAGCCTCGGCTGTCTTGAACTTTTTCGCCGTGCCCCTGCCTCTGCTCGCAGCTGCGGCCTTCGCCTCCCTTCGCTGTACCGCAGCGCTGACATCGCTGAGCTTTCGCCCAGTTGCAGTTACCATCTCCGAGTCGATACTGTGGTTTGTCACCTTCACCAGGTCGGGCAAGCTTTTACACGTATAATTGTTGTTGAGCTGTTCAAGTGAAAAATTTTCGTATGAACCGATCGCTGACGGACTTGCCGAGACGATTTTTGCTTGCTTTTTGCGCATCTTAAGCATCTTCTCTTCTGCAGCGAGACCCTTGGCCTGGAAGGAAGTTTTGCCCTTCCACGTGCCCGAGTAGAAAAGTTCCTCGAAAAACTTCTCATCCGATTTGCGCGCACTTGCTGCTTGCTCGGGGTTTGCCAAACCGAGCATGCCGGCAAGTTCGAAAGCGACGGTGGCAGCATTCTCGGGATGAATATCCGTCACCCCTAGAATGGCAGACTCCCCCAGGTTGATCTTGTTCCCACGGAGCTTGTTTTCCTGAAGAGAGAGAACAAGGGAGCTCCTAATCGGCACGTCGAGCACAGGTGCTACCTTGCGTGCGAACCAGAGGAGGGCGTCTGTCGCCCCCATCGCCACAGCCTTGCTGCAGAACCTCACGACAAACTCGTTCATTAGCGCCCTCTGTCGCCCCATGAAGTCGAGTTCGCCTCCAATTTCTTCATACACGTCCTCTGGGCTCCAGCCATTCGCATGATTTGCCAGGGACACACACCGTCGCCAAACAGAATTGTTGCAAAACCGCTTGAAGCTTTCGCTTTCCAGCCTGGAAATGGTATCTGCAAAGTCCACCTCGGCTTCATACTCGGCCGCGGCAACCAAATTTGTACTACTGGCAGGCATCGAGCGCTTCTTTGATGGCGAACCCGAACCGGGCAGCAAGAATCGAGGCACCGTCGCGATTACGGGACCCCACCACGGCGCGCCGCCCCCGATGGCGCTAAAATAACCCTGTAACTTCGTTAAATCGTATAAACACGCGCTTGGATCGTCCTTGTTGCTGCAACAAACCGTATTGCCAATCTGCAGGACTCGCATCAAAGGAAACACTAATCGTCGCATGCGCAAGCTCCGTCGACTTGGATCTGCAAGGAGATCGTATAGAGCGCGAAGCAGGGGCTCGGTGTGAATCGTGTGCTGCTCCTGTGCTTTGCTTCCGGTTGTTTCCACCTCTACTCCGCTCGCAAAACGTTTTTGCAGCTCCTGCGCTTTTTTTCGGTCTTCTTCAGTAGTCCTATCGCGTTCTAAAGTTACCCATCGGTTTTTTTCCGCTTGTTTACTCGGGTGCGAAGACGAGGTACCAGTCGCGGTTTCAGCTCTCCAGGTGGTTTCCGCGCCGAGTTTGATGTAGTGAAGCATTCTCGTACATTTGACCATTTCGTAACTCGTGAGAATGTCCCGCACGATGGTTCGCAATCCGTGTCGGATCGCGTAACTCAGAGCCGTTTCCCCGTCGAACGAGTTTTCGGCCGCGAAAAGCACGCAAGCGAGGTGGGTGATGAGAACTCTACCCTCCAGTGTTGTCATGTTTCTCTCGGGTGGGAGTTCGATATGTTCGCAATGGTAACCGAGCAGGTCGTGAGCAAAGAATTCAACAATCTGGGTTTTCTCAGCCACAACCCCGACGGACAGCAGTGTGTAGTCGTAGAAATCATCGCGATCCTGGGCCGATATCTTTTTTCCGTACACGCAATCCGATAGAAGAGACGTACTACCGGTTACAGCCGCGCCGTACGCCAGCAACCGCCACGACCAAGGATCCACGGCACCTTCCAAAACCCGATCCACTTTTTTCGTTGTTTTCGCTCTGTCCCCAGGATAATCCGTGTTGTTTCCGGCGCTGCTGACATCTCCTCCAGCGTTGTTTTCCGCTGCAACTGCGGGCGCCCCTGCTTGTGGCGGTGCCTCCTGATGGTGTGCCACTGGTGCATTACTTCCATTTGCTCCATTCGCTGCTGGCGACAACATCTCACTGTCGCCCTGTTCTATGTTTTTCGGAGAATTTTCATCCTCGTTCGGCTGAACTCTAGCGCCGAAGCCGAACTCTCCCGCTGTCAGAGTCGTGTGTACGATCGCAAGTTTCGCTTCAACCGCGGCCTTTCCTTCGCTCTCGTCTGGTGTAGCTTTCTTGCTGCCCGAGGAAGAAGCCGCAGCGGTATCGGCGACAACGTGTGGTGGGGGCCAGAACCCAAGAAAGGCGCCATTCTTCAAGTCGCAGCGAACGAAAAAGGTGGCAGTCGCAGTTTTTGAAGTACCAGTGGACCACTTGCAGAGCCCCAGCTCCCGCTTGGACAGGGAGGCAACGTCGCAAACGTAAAACAGCTTGTCGGCCCTCTTGCTTTCATCAGCCACGACGCGCGACGGTCCTTCTTGGTCGCTCGCTTGTTCGCCATCATCGGAAAACGCATCCCCGATGAGCAGACCCGCAGCCAGCTCCTCAACGTATGGGGCAGCCATGATGTTTGCTCGGCGCTCTAAGTGTCTGCGAATCTGGTCCACGATTGATTCTACAACGATTGTGACACCGTCATATCGTAAAAATAGGAATTTTTCCTCTGTCTCTGACCTTGTATAGCCGGTTATTGAGTGAGTAAGTAAGTATTTCCGGAGTTTCTTTCTGAAAGTTTTCTTTCTGAAAGTAGTAGAGGTATGTGAAATTCGCCACGTGTCCTGGTATGTTGGAACTTCAACTTTTCACCTTTGAGATAGTCATAATCTTTGTTGTTGTTCCGCATGAGCTTACTAGCAAGAACCTTTTTGTATTTCCACTGCAATGCTGTTGAATTGGTAGAGTGAAATAACATTGATTCCGGACAGGAGGCGCACAACCGATCGAGAAAAAAGGAGCGAAAAAATTTCTGCTCAGCGATTTGGGTTCTGACCGATTATAGCAGGGTCAACAATACTGCGCACCGATATGTGTGGAGGAAGAGCAGAACCGAATCGATTTTCGTATCTATTTAGAGAGTTACGTACATTTTCACTAGCATCCGAACACCGGCACCCGATTATTTTGAGTAACCATTTTAGAACAGTATGTAGATTCCGATCGATTTTGTCCTCGACCAGACGGTTTTCGGCGCAATTCTTAACAAAGGATCTCAGAACCATCACCATGCAGTCGTGCGCTTTGAAATTTTGCTCTATTTCTTCGTCCCTCTGGTCTGTATCATCTGCCACTAGGAGTACTTTGGACCAATCTTCTGCGACTTTCGGTAGCGACTCTTGTAGACCGTTCTTGCGCAGTTTGTGTGGCCGTCCGTTGGGTAGACATACCGGCCAATCTTTGCCCGTTTCAGGCGGTACTTGAGCATCATCACCTTCTTGATGTTCCATTCCGGCATGTGTCGGTGCAACTTGCGCTTTACCCCGTTTGCATCCCGGTTCGAGCGCCCAAACCACGTCTTGCTTGGCATTGCGGGTCGGAGCACAAAGCTATTTTGTGACGCTGCGTCCGGAAAATTTTGTTTGTCCCTGTCGTAGTCATTTTTACCCCGATCACGAGGATGGGCTAGCTCCGGCCGCTGGAGATCATTTGCTTCTCTTTTGTACAGGGTCTCTTTCCCAACATTGGGGAAACCGAAGTACTCTTGCACGACAGCCGGACCGGTCAAAAGCATCGCGTACTTGCCCAACGCCTTTGTCTCAAATTCAGGTGACACGTGCTTTGCTTTCAGGGATTGCGTTGCTATGGTCCCCGCTTCCGGCGTGTAGAACCATTTGCAGAACGGGCGGGGCAGCTTCTGCTCCAGTGGCTTTCGTGAGTCAGCCGCCTGCGCAGCGCGGTCTAGTTCGTTTACGGCGACAAGGCGCAGCGAGCCATCTGCCGACGCTTTCTGCAACATCTTTCCCGTTTTCTCACCACAAACTTTCACAGCGTGTTGGGAAAAGCTCGTAGTTGGCCTGCTGCTAGTACTGGAAAACTCGGTTCTTTGTCTACCACCATGCGCACCTGCACTGCTCGCGTTGCAAAACACCACGGTCGGCTCTGCGACGGTATCGAGAACGCCTTTCATCTGCAAATAGCGGAGCCGGGGACTAGCGGTGCTGCGCCAAGCCGCGCTCGCGTTATTCGCCGCATCCAACTCGCCACCCTGACTGCAGGAAGGCAAAACGCGGGCGCCCGCGAGCAGTGGCACCAGCCCACCGTCAACCACGGCTTCGCAGTCGAACGAGCGCACGACATCGTCTGAGGCAAAGCGCCAAAGCGTTTGCGCGATGCGGATGCGTTCGCGCAGATTTGCGAACGACACCACAGCGGGCAAGCTGCTTCCCACACCGTACAGGTGAAAGGCTGGCTCGCTTTCGCAGTTGCGCGACGTAACTGTTTCATGTTCAAATCCATTTAGCTTAGTCGGAAGACAATAAAATCTCAGTCTTTACTGTATTTTGAAAGATTTTTATGATGTAGCTCTCACTCTGTCGACTTCAAAATAAACTACTCTATTGATTTCCAAAGATCATACTCATTTTCCGCAGCTCCGTCGCAAGCATTCCGGACTCGAGCGTGTCGTGGGGCGGAAAGTATCTTTCTATTTGGTCGTGTGCGACCGCGCAATTTCGGGCAACCTGCCGCGCCCGGCATTCCAGGTGAGAGACGACGAGGTGACATCGCGACAGAGCAATCCGATCCGCGATCTCCTCCTCTTCTTTTAGTATGCTCGTGTCAATTGGAATGACACAGCATCCCTGCGACCAGAGGTAGGCTGACACCGGCAAAATTTCCACGACGGAACCACAAACAGCAACGCGGCGCTGGTCCACTTGCTGATGTTGCGCTTGGGAAATCAAGGTTGGCGACGGACGAGCGCTGCTACAACTGCTGGATGAAGAGGATGGCAAGGAAGACGCGCTGCTGCACGAGGAACTCGTGCTCAAGGATCGATGTCTTCGAGATGCATTGGATGTTATAGTACCTGCTCCAGGTGCCGTGGGAAACTTTATTTCCACACATCGACCACTGCCTACGCTCCGTGGCGGTGCAGGAATTCCAATCCGAAGCCGAAGCAACGGCTGCGTGGCCATGGGTGGTGTTGGTGTGTGCCGCCTTATTTCAAACGTGATAGATACGGTGGATGCAGAAATGTTTAAGTGCAGAAGGTGCGGAATACTGTAAGCTCCTGATCGATTCGAAAGCAACTTGGGAAAAAAACAGCTCGTGAGGATGCCCCCCAGGAAAAAATGTGTCCAAGTTGGAAACGAGATCAAGAAACGGCGATATATTGATGATCTCTTTTATGGAGTGAGATGCGCCGTCAAAAGAAAAAACACAAGCCTTGTGATCGACACAGATAAATTACTATTCGGCTGTTGAAACCGAACATGAGCACGTGCAGCACGAAACAATATTTACCTTTCAACATTTCGTTTGAAGTTTGCAGACAAGAAGAATGGTTGGCATTTTGCAAGCAATCAAAAACAAAGAACGACGAAAATTCCATCTCACCATTTTCAAGTGAAAAGGTATTCTCGTTACGCGATGAAACCAATGCACGTTTGTTAGTAGTTTGTGCGAAACGTCCAAAACTAAGTAAGTAAAACCTTTATTCTACTGTACGATCAATAAACTGTTAGCAACTTCAATCGTCCTCCACCACAGCATCCGGGTGCGCCTGTCGGAACTCCTGGATTCTCCTCGCCAGCCCTAGATTCGGACGCAGCGTGTTCGGCTGCAGCGGGCGGATCGGTATCGGTAGTTCATCGCCATCTCCTCGGCGGCGCAGCCGACTGAGGCAGCAGTTGTCTCCCGGATACTCGGTGTAGAAGGAATCGTAGACCACCTCTTCGTGCTGCCCCGGGATGGGCGGCTTCCCCTTCAGGCGGAACCGCTTCTTGGACAGTTTCGCAAATTCACCCCGCAGCAGCAAGTGCTTTCTGAGCGCGGACAGCTCGTACGAGTGGATCTCTCCGGGCACGCATACCGGCTCCTCCATGACCTGCAGAGTGATGGGGCAGAGGAAATCCCTCGGAATCTCGCACGGGCGAGGCGTTGCGGGAACGGAATCATTTTCATCTACCGATCCTGCATTTTGTTCAGTTGCTGGGGGTGCTGCGCTTGCTGCTCTTTCGCGAGCCGCTTCAACAGCCGCTTCGGCAAGACGATTTCTCGAAGACGCCAACAGCGTGTCCATCACTTTTCCCGTCCACGCTCCGCAATTTGTCGTACTACTGTCAGCACGGCCTCCACACCGAGAAGGAACAGCAGCACCCGGTCTTCGCCCCGGCTTCGGTTCGCAAAATTTCATGACCAGTTTCCCTAATTTCTTCAGACCTGGAAAACAGGGTCCGCGCTGGTCCCGCTGCTGCCGAAGCACCGCCTCCACAAACCGCTCGTTTCGCTCATGCTCCTCTCGTCGAATTCGCTCCACATCCACTCCCACCAGTGCGAGAGACGGGTCCTCTAAAAGCGCTGCGGTCCACCCGTTCCACAATCCTTGCGTTTGCGGCACAAGGTTCCCCAGCAACCGAGCCCGCTCGTCCGTATTGAGAACACTTAGCGGTCCTGGTTGTGTGGGAACCCCGGTGTTCAACCACGTGACGCGTCGACCATTGGTGTGCAACGTGTCTGATGTCCCGTTGTCTCTGTTGCCCGTGGAGGTCGTAGTTTCTGGTCCGGGTAAGAGCCCTGGTCCGGTTATGGCGGTGAGGTCAAGCATGGTCGCTATCCGGGGATGCTGCCTGTTTATTACATCCTCCGCTGGTTGCGTCTCTCCTGCTCGCAAGGCCGTTGTCTGGACCGTGCCACCGGGCGACGTGTTTGATGTAGCTGCGCCCTCTTGATCTCCACCCGTCTGCCCACGCCGCAAATCCCCGAAGGACGGGAGTGACGGATCTGTTTCTGGACTGCGTTCTGAGATGGGCGACAGTCCGTACTGGCGCTGGCGCTGCTGGAACGCAAACACAAGTGGTCGCAGCGCGTTCAGCTGAATGTCCAACGCCTGGCCGACCGCGCGCCGAGCATTCACGGCCGCTGCCTCGTCAATGGGATTCAGAGCCGCAAACAGGTCGGGGTTGGATAGTTGGCGCATTTGGTGCGTGTATTCACGGATCTGGTCCAGTACCCGCGCACGTTCCTGAAATCCATCGGGGCGCATCGCGGCAACCACCACTCCAAGCTGTAGTGGCGGTGGAGGATTTGGGGCAAACAAATCTGCAACCATGAGCAATGCCCGGTTGAAGCTTACGACGAGCCTCACAATCTCGCGAGCATTCATCACGTCATACGGCATTTCCGAACGAGCGACCTCCTCCTCCTGCGCGGACGCAGTTGTCGCGGGATTGTGCACCTCGTAGCCGTGCTCTGCCGCTGCTTGCTGCATGGCCGCCGCCTGAATCGTCCTTTGGAGAACTGGCTGCGGATTGGTGTAAACGCGGTGCCGCAGCGGCGTGCCGGCCTCAGGATGCCAATCCGGACTCGCCGAAGCCAAACCGTTCAGGACCGGGAACTGAAAGGAGGTGACTCGGTTTGGTTCCCCCTCGCCTGGAAGTAGCGCCGGGTGATTCGGGTCGGGGGCGCCTGCAGGCACCATGATCGTCCGCCGTACAACTCGAGGAGGTTGGGTTGGCAGGGTTCTCGCGTCCACCGGGGACGCTTGGCTGCCTGCCGTAGTAGTTGTAAAAACCCGTTGCGGCACCAGTAAATGAGTGTCAGTACCATCCTCATTCGCATCGGCTGGCGAATTGTTTGGTGTGAAAGTTGTTGGCGAAGTCTGGGCCCACCAAGCGCTCGCTACTACCTGTTCCATGGAATCGTCTGCATGTTGCTCATCGCGGTGTACGTCGTCTGCTGGCGGCAGCGCAAATGGGTTTGCTGCAGAAGCGTATGGCTTTGCCCCGGGTGGGGCACTCCCTGGCGTTTGCACCGTTCGCCGACGGACAACGGGCGACGCGGCCGCCGGATCTGCCAGCGGCGTTGCCGGCGCGCTTTGCACATTCGGGGGCTCGACCCTTTGAAACACGATGCGACTCGGCGATAGCGGTTGGAGATGGCTCGGACCCTGGGTCGAACGGCTTGTCGCGACCGGGGACTCCGGTACGCCGCGGTTCGAGCGGCCGAACGGCCTTCTCGTCGAGGAATCGCGCGGACTGTAGTCGGGGCTAGGTGGTGGAACTCGAATCCCAGACACATTCTGCCTGGATGTGCTTCGCTGTACCATGTTCGGACTTTGGCTGTGCGATGCGGGTGGGGGTACTGGCGGCGCCTCGAATGGATTGGTGTAACGCCCGGTGCGAAAAGATCCACCCGCAAATTCGCCTGCTGCACTTGTTGGCGACGAGCTGCCGCCGGTACTGCTTCTTGTGCGTGGCATGAGCGGTAAAATAGGCCCCTCTGGTACCTGTGCGGGTGCTTCATCGGCGAGCGTTGCCCCACCAGATGATGTTCGTTGTGGAACAACAGCACCCAGGCGTGGCGTTGTAGTACTTGGCGTTGCAGCCGCTGACGCGCCTCTCCTCGGCGTTCGTGCTCGCAGTTCCGCCTCCGTAGGAGACCTCAGATGCTGCTGCAATCCCGTGAAAGAGTCAAAGGACGTAGACCACGTCGCAGGGCTGGAATCTGCATCCGCTGAGGACAGGCCAGTGTCGGAAGACCGGCCGCCTTGCAGAAATTCCTGGGCGTTACTTTCCAGCACGGGCTGTACATAGGCTGCATAATCCCCCGCGTCAACGCGGGCCGAGGCACGTGACAAAAGCGAAAGGCTGGCAGCAAGAAACGCAAACCGCAGCCCCTGAAACGAACGGGGCAGTTGTAATATACAAAACGCAAACAACGATGACATCCTCTCCTGCTCTACTGTACTGGTCACCAAAAACCGGCCCCGTGAAGTCTGTCAACAAAGTGGATAGTGTCTTTGCAGTGGTAGTGCAAAAGTTCAATCAAGATACTTATCATGAAAAAGTGGTTTGAGCCGTGGCGCAAAAATCGTTTCTTAGCTTGATGCGAAAAACTAAAACCGAAGGAACGCCGATTTGCAGATTTGCCTCGCCAGTTGCGGAGGAGAAAGAGCGACCCTCTTTAGGCACGTTTATTCCTTTATTGTGATGACTCTATCGACATCCACAGAAAATTCAGTTTCCAAGCTTCGTGTCTCTTGAAAAAAACGAATGATGTCATTGAGAGTTGTTGAAGCACTACTCTTTCCCTTTATTTCGCTTCATGACTTTCTTCGTATCTGCAGCCTGTGACCGTCACAATATGATATTTATCGCTATATCCAGTGTTACGACGAAACAGAAACGAGTTGACTGTTGATGCTATCTTCGAGTTGCAACAGCTCTTCTGCAGCAGCTCTACAACATGGCATAGAAACTTAGATAAATCAGCCTGGATGCCGAGAGGAAAAGAGTGAAACTACTTGGAAAAAATCATAAAGCCCTGGAGTAAACCTTCACACAGAAATTCCAGGGGCGCCTTTGTTTTCCCTGTGTTCTAGGTGTTACTTACTAACTTACGTTGATTTTCTCTCGCAAAGCTGGTGCAACAAAGAAACTGGGCGTGTTACAACTTACTTGTCAGGTCTGATCGGAACGTGGAAATGATGCCAACCAAAAGATAACAGGCCTGCCAAACACAGTCCCTTCCTTCCAAACGTGGAATTTACATCTTTCTTGATTGGCCAAGGAGCAGTGTGAAGTACAACAAACTAGACTTTAAAGTATTCAAAAAGTTAAAGTAGTTCTCGATCTCGAAAACGAACCATTTGTGATAAGGAAGAACTGAAGCTCGTTTTCTCGAGTACATAAAAAATGAGGTGATGCTACCGTTTCTCGAGTCACCATGTCGTTTTTTTGGCTTTCTATACCTAACCAATTCAGGGGATTTCTCTATTGTTACACTATTTTGGTGGATAATGCTTGCGCGCCAAACCGGGGACGAGAGCCGTTCAAATGCCCGGCACATCAAAGTGATTGACAGAGCGCTGGAAAAAAAGTTGATATTAACAATTCGTGCACCACTCCCTCGCCTAGAAATTAGTCCGGGCTTCTACGTTGCTACCCTACACCTGGCGGGAGCTCACGCCTTGCACGTCAGACTAGGCGTGTCCTGCGATACGGTGGTGGAACAGGAGGAGATCATACTGGCGTGCGACTTTGTCGTGCTCAGAAACGACGCTCCGGTGTTACCAGTCCCCTCCTTCTCGTGCATGTTCCTTACGTGGTCGAAAGCTAGGCCGGATTCCAACAGAAACTGCTGCTCGTCCGGCTCCGCAGCGGCAAACCCGTTGACGTAGCGGTTAGAGAAGGTGCAGGTGAACGGCGTGGACATCGGTTGGTACTCGAACGCGTTATAATTGATGGTGACCAACGAACCGGCCTTCAAATCTTCCCGCGAAGTTAAAATCATGGTCCGCACGAATTTGGCCTCTTGTCCGGGTGTCATCTTCACACTGGTCGTGAGCAGATGAAACGCGCAGTTTGGATCGTACGCGTGTTGGCAGAATCGCAAGTCGGATTTCAACGAGTTCCAGGATTCGGTCTCAGAGATCTGGATCGAGTGCATGTCTTTGTCAGGGATGATCAGGATGTCAGGATCGCAGCGAGCGGACAGCAGCACCTCGCCGGCGACAACGTCCTGGCAAACGTGGAGCCCGGATCCTAATTCCGCCAGTGGCCCCTCCATGGGCTTCACAACGGTTTTGTTCGGGGCGGAGAAGTGGAAGTCACACATTTTCGGTCTGTTACTTTTGGATACTTATCGAAGAAGATGTACTTCACGCACTTTCTTCAATGTGACGCAGCTGCAATTGGCTAGGGCAGTAATAGCTTTGATCTTCAGACTTTCAGTTTCAAAGTGGGTAATCGTGGAAGCGAGTGGAACAGCAATGCTTCTCTCGGGGGTGATCGGTTGGTGTGCCGACGTTTCGCAATCATGTGATTGCCAAAATAGAAGAGGCAAAGCGGCTAGCTCTTTGTAGCTCGAGGTTGTGGTTCAAAAGCGTAAAATTGAGTCATGAGAAGATGAAGGTGCTGCTGTTCTGATGCTCGGCGATCAGAAAATTCGGTTGTACTTGTGATGTAATAGTTGAGGACACAAACTGTGACAGAAGTAAACCGGCGCTAATGCTCCTGATCTAGCTCGTCCTTTCGGTTTATTCCCTCTTTCAGTCATCGCGACCGACCTTTCGCTCCTGTGTGGATTCCAAAAGCGGAACACTTGTCCTCATCCGTTCGGATGCAGGCCTCGTATAGCAGCCTGAAGCTTTCACGCCTACACTGAGGGCAGAAAGTTTTTACTTGCTTCGTGTTCCTCGCAGGATGGCTAGATAGACATAGAATCGCATTGCTTTATGATAAATCCGTTAAAGATTTCTTTTCTCTTCGATGGTTTTTACTCGTACGAGAATTGATCCATTCTTCTTCCGTGCGCGGCATAAGAATGCATATTCTGGAATATCAATATTGAGATACATCAACATCAGGGCACAAGAGGAAAGCAACACTCATCAGCAAGCTCCCCAGGTGCCCTTCACACGGCCGTAAGTATCCAACGAAATACACGTACACCTTCGTTGTCAATTTTTGCCAGAAATAGATTCTTCCTGCCGTTGCTTGGAAATAGGTAGTCTTCTCCGTCGTGGTTATTTTCACTTGAGTGTACTAGTACTTCCAAAATGCTCGACTTCATGTTACTTTTTCGCCGCTTTTTTCATCACCGTGCCCGCCTTCGGTTTTGCAACCTTGGGCTTTTCTTCTTTCTTCGGTTTTTCCACATTTTCCTTCTTTTTTTTCCCCGCGGCCGCAGACGAGCCCGCAGCACCGGACCCACCCTTCCCAGCACCCTTGGCCGGTGTGATTTTCGGCAGCTTGGCGCTCGCGTTGGTCGACTTCATGCCGTGGTCTTCCAATTTCGCAGCGAAGGTCCGCGGAGTCCCCGACCTTCAAAGGTGAAGATGTTGAGCGAGAAGTTGATGCATTTCAAAGCCGTGCACGAATCAAGTCGACAAAATCCTTTGGACTTTGCCGCGACCTGCAGATGCGGAAAACTGAGCGATAGAGCAAAAAAAGCAGCAGACACAAAAAACGTAGATGAAGACCATCGGGTAGTAGCTGCCCGAGACACGAAGAACGCAAAAACTCATAAAAAAAAGGAATTAACGAGATTGAAAAACATGCATCATGATCATCTTTATACAGAGCGTCCACATATTCCCCGTTTTCCCCGATCATGAAGTAGGTTCCAAAGTTCCACTTGATTGCCTCGAGGCCGCCTTTCTGCTTTAACCACTTGTACAGAGGGGCGGCGTTGTCTCCGTTCACCTCGATTTTGTCCATCATGAACAACTTGCCGCAGTCGTCCCCCAGGCATTTCTGGACGAACTGCTGGATTTCACCGCAGGGCTTGCTCTCCTGCGAACCGAACTGGTTGCAGGGGAAGCAGAAGATCTGCAGGTCCTTCTGGAAGTCAGCTTGCAAATTCCGCATTTGCTCGTAGTGGTTCATCGTCTTGCCTCACTTGGAAGCGACGTTGACCAGCAGCGCCACCTTCTTTCCGTTCATCGCAGCCTTGAAGTCGACCGCCTTACCGGCGATGTCCTTCATTCCGGAAAACGAAAAAAGCGTGGTCGCCATTTCCGAGGAGGTCAATCAACCTTACGAAACAGCGAGAAGCAGGTGCTCAAGTAAGGGGAGGTCGAGGTTGAGTGAAGTTTCGCTTTTCGCGTATACAGCTACCAGGGGAAAAAACGGCTTCTTGTTTTTTACTTTAGGTAACGAGTAGAGTAGAGCGTCTGTTTGTGAGTGTGACCCGGCAGTGTTACAAAAGCTTCGATAAAAAAGCTTTACCGAAACAAGTATCCTTCACGGTGAAGGTGAACCTGAAGAAAGGGAAAGGTGGAAAACACTATATTGAAATCGTAACCGTAAGTTCTTTCGAATGCTTGTTTAGATCCTTCCTGTCTTCTGATACAGATCCACAGCAGCTTTGGCCTGAACCTCATCCTTGGAAGTGGAGCACGGGGTGCTTCACCAGAACGATAAAGTTTCGCTCTTGCAGTGTTGTAGGGCTACAACCATGCGGATCAACGTTGAAGGGACCTTTTCGTTTTCTCACATGTCAACAGTCATCCACGCACAGACACAGCGCTGTCCATTGATCGCGCGCCCAGATGTCATCAAACATGCATTCGTTATGATGTTGCTATGCCTTTCGAACCTTACAAGGAAAAAAAATTCGGTATTTCCGAAACCAAACTTCATTTTTGCATCTACTTTGTAGATGCTTGTTCTCAGGGTCGGACTTCCAGCCCCCTCGCGCAAGTCCTTATCGCGAAAGCTAGAAGGTAACAGCAGGAGCTGCTGCAGATCCAGATTGCGAGCAGGCATCTACTGCAGAAGTCGGACAGATCTGGCTGACTTCCGGGTTGCAGCTAAGAAGCGAGGCCGGCATCGTCATCATCTGGCTGTCGGTATCAGGGCCCATGTACCGAAGCGCCACCGCGCGCTTAATGTCTGACTTTTTCGCACGCACAAACAGCTGCACACAGTGCCCGCCTTTGGTCAGCTCCTGTACCTGCGGTGCTGCCACTCCGCAGGATTCCCCGCTTTCCACGCAGCCACGGGCTACGCACTGGTCCCTCTCCGTGAACAGGCGGCACTGCCCGTGCGTCAAAACCTGGTTGCCGTCAATCAGCAAGGTCGTCGACGTTTCTGGCTGTTCCGGCGAAACGTCAAACAGGTACGAGCCCGCTTGCAGGACATTCACGGACCCCGAGAATCGCACCCACCAAATCAATGGCTCTGCGGCTGCGGTCGGGAGCCAGGTGAGCTGGTTACTCCCCAGCCGGTAGTCTACAAAGGGTGCTCGCGCCACGCCGTCCACGTTCGCAGGTTTCCAACCGCTTTGCCAATCTGCCGGTTGCGTGGCAGCACTGAAGAACTCCACGGACAGACCGCCTGGATTTAAGTCCGTCTCGCGGTCGTGCAGCTGGGAGAAATAGAGGCTGTATTTCTCTGCTACCTCATCCCCCGGCGCGACGGGATCTTTGCTACGGTGCGCCTGTGGCATATTGCCGTACGTGGTGTATCCGCTCCGGCTCTTCAGTGGGTAGAACGACAGGGGGAGCTTGTCCATGGGGGCAAACACCCGGCGGTCCGGGCTGTCCAGACCTTTCACGGGCTGACCCGCGACCACCTTTTTCGTCCCGCCGCCGCACACGCAACAGGCCTGGAGGGGCGAAACGCCCCCGCTCGCGAAGGTGGCGATCCCTTGTGATTCCGTCCACCCCGCCCCGGCCTGGCCGTCCTCCGTGCAAAAGTTTTGTGCTTTGTAGTGAGCACACCCCCGACCGCTCGAGTCCGCGAACGTCGCGGGAGCGTCGTGACACTGCAGCCGAGCGTGCTGTGCGTCCGGAAGGTGGTCCGGAAACCGCTCGGCCACATCGTGCTCCGCGGGGAAGGGAACCCCGAAGCGGTGCTTCGGCAGGAACACGTAGTCTCCCCCGGGAGCGGAGTTCTCCTGCGGGTGCTTTTCCTCCTCGTGTTCCAGCTCCGACAAAGGTGCAATTGGCTCCAGGTCGTCCAAAACACGCAGGGGATGTTGCGGCAAGTACGGATTGCTTGTCGGAAAGATCGAACCCTGCAGGGTCGCGTGCGAATAGCTGTCCCACGCGTTCTCGTTCTTCCTGCTCGACCCCGGGTCGGAAACCAGATCCTTAATGTTGAACTTTGTTGCCAAGACGGGAGCAACAAGATGGGGAAGTTCGCGCACGACCGACAGTCCAACCGCGACGGACATGCGCCGTCGTGTCATTTTTTCCGACGCAAAGCTACTATGGCCGCGAGGAACTGTTTGCGTCAAGGTCATTTTCAACGTAGGAGTCCATCCTGCACTCTGGCGCATTTTTGCGCCACTTCTGTCATCGCCTGGGTCTTGCTGGGCTTCATCCCGCCCACCACAACCGCGATGCACAGGAGTGAGAATAATGCTAGCGCGAGCCTGCAAGAAAGGGATTATTGTGACATATCTGTTGTCTCGTTCCAATTTGTCAGAAGCATTTCTGGCGCGCACGTGGCATTCTCAAAATACTTACGCGCATTTTCGTCCCACACAGACACACTCTCGTCCCTTTATTATTCTTAACTGCGTGTCTCTGTTTCGAATCTCGAGCTATCTTCGCTGCGGAGTACCTATTGACGACCTGTTGAATCTGGACTCTACCCAAGTACAACTTCGGTCGAACACAATGAAAGAAGATGCAGTGGCTCCAAACCAATTGCAGAACCAAACTCCATGTCACATAAATCGTTGTGGATTTTCTTAAAAAAGCGCGATGTGAGTTTTCTTAAAAAATTCGAGCGCAAATTTGATCAAGAAATGTTCCGCTTTCGTCAATCGTCAATGTCAATTTCTCATGTTGCATGATAGACCGCTGAATAAAGATAGTAAGTGCACGATATCTCGAGTTGTAGGAATCTTCCTGTTCGCGTGATGAAGCGAAGGAACCCAGTGTTAATAGCGCATCAAGAACTGGGGCATTATGAGAAGCAAGGAAGATGAACAAGAAAGCGCCCCTCCCCTTTACTTCTTCCCAGCCTTCTTTTTCTTGCCCTTTTCCTCAACTCCGAATTCGGCAAAAAGTGCGTCCAAGTCTTCTTCGTCATCCTTTTTGGCCGGCTTCTTCTTCTTACCCGCGGGCTTCTTGGCGCTGTCCGCATTGGCTCCCTGCTCGCCCTTGGAGTCGTTTCGGGTGACCTGCTTCTCTGAAACTTGCCAAGACTGCGGCGGGAAGTTCGCGCTCAGAATAGCGTCCATCTCCGGGTTCGAAAACTTCTTGGAGGCCTTCGCATCCGGCTGTTGGTGCGTCGGGGGCATCAACGTTTTCAAACCTGTGAAAAAATGATTGTTGTCAATTGCCTAGGTGGTAAGTAGTTTTGATGCGACGAGCCAGAATGATCCAAACTCAACTGGAGCGACAACTACTGTGTTTCATTCAATAGGTCGATATAGAGAAAGAGGTGAGTGTCACTTTCATGCAGCTGTACTACGGTTAGATGACTTTTCGAGACCACTTAAGTACACGTACCTTTCGAAAGCGCGGTCCGGGCCTTCTTGATCTTGTTTCTCAAGCTGCTGGAGATGCTGAGATTGCTCATGGCTTGCGTCGGGCGGACGGCCACTTCGAAGAAGTGAAATTTCGTAAACTTGGATGCCAAGAAAGCCACAACGTCCAGAGCGAGTTCCGCACGGGATTCTAAAGTGTCTTCCGTGCCTTCCGGGAGGGTCTTCAACGTGCCCGCGCGGATCCAGGCCTCGTTGATGACGTCCTCGGCGAGTTCGGCCTTCACTGCGGAAAAGACGGCTTCCAGTCCGCTGCCGTTGCACTCGTTGTCGTACTGGGCAAGCTGCTCCTCGCGCTGCTTGATGTACTGATCGGTCTGCACCTGCGATAGCTTCTCCTGCTCGGCAGCAGCCTTCTCACGGGCGGCTTCTTCCTGTGATTTTCGGAGTTTTTAAAAGACATTCATCATCCACTGAAATAAATTGGTGAAGATATCGCAAGACGAAAATAACACAGCTATCTTAGTGGAAAACGCGGCAAGGGCAATCTGCTTGTTCAGAAATGAGAAATGGGCTAAACATAGTACCTGATGCTTTTTGCGCATTTCCTCAGCCTTGGCCTTTTGTTCCTCCTGGGCCTTCTTTTCCTTCTCCGCCTCTTTTCGGGCCTTATCCTGCTCCTTCTTCTTGGCGGCTTCCTCCGCCTTCTTCCGCTGTGCCTCCTCCTGCTTGCGCTTCTCGGCGGCCTGCTTGCGCTTCTTTTCCGCATCTGCCTGTCGCTTGGCTTCCTGCTCCATATCGATCTTCTGTTCCATCACTTCGGCGCGGGCATCCGGCTCGTCATCCTCGTCGACAGCCTGCTGGTTCTTGTTTTTTTTCTTGTTGTTCTTCTTGCCACCCTGCTTCTTGGCCGGGGCGGATTCCTGGAAGGCAGTCGTGTTGTTTTCGGCCGCCGCGTTCTCCACCGGCGGGTCGCACATGACCGGCTCCTCACCGAGCTGCTCACGGATCAAAGCGCACACCTTCGGGACCTGTTTTTGACAATAGGCAGAAGTTCGACTCGAACTAGACAGATGATGGCATAATTATGTGTGTCGTGTCTACTGGATTTCCTACATCGGTGGACGGTTGTAGTTGGCTGCTGTACTTGCAACTGTGAAAACGAAAACGGAAAAATGCATCCATTCGTAACTAAAAATTACCAGAGCCTCGCCACTTTCCAAATCCTTTCCCCGAGCCAGCTCGTCCGTCAGGTCCGCCAACAGCGTTTCCGTCTCCTCGACTGTTTTTGTGGACAGCAGGACCGACTGGAACTGGTCCGCGGACACGGTTTTCGCATGCTGCTTCGCGAGTGCGCGCAAGTCCCGACGCAAGACCTTCAGTTTGTTCTTCTCCTCCTCCTTGGCCTCCTTTTCCTTCTTGCGCTTCTCCTCCGCCTCCTTTTCTTCCCGTTCGCGGGCCTCCTTTTCCTCCTTCTTCTTGCGCTCCTCTTCCTCCCGGGCGCGCTGCTTCGCCAGCTTCCCCTCGTTCTTCTTCTCCCACTGGCGCTGTTTCAGCAGTTTGATACGGGAGTCGTACTTCTCCGCGAGTTCGGCCAGCGTCAACAGCCGCGCGGACTCGTCGTTGCGGTACTTCTGGCGGATGCGCGCGTTCTGTCGCTCAATGTACCGCTTCTCCTCGCGGTACTCGGACTTGTCCGGGTCGTCCAGCGCGTCGTCCCCCTCTTCTTCGATGATCTTCATGTCGAAATCGCGCCACGACTCGAAGTCGCCGGTCCAGAACTTGTAAAAGTCGGTGACCTTTTTCATGTACTTCTCGAACTCCGGCGTGCCCTCTTCCACCGAAACAAACGCCGGCAGTTGGGGCACCGGCTGCTTCAGGGACCACTTGCTGTTGCGCTGGAACACGTCGTGGAAGATGTCGTAAAACTGCTGGTCGGTGAGATCCTTCATCTCCGCGAGCTCCTTCTCCTTCGGGATCGTGTCGTCGAAGGGCAGGGAAGAATCGTACTTCCGCCGGCGGACCGGGTCAGACAGAATGTCGTAGGCCTCCTGCAGCTTCACGAACTCCTTCGCTTTCTGCTCGTCGGAGCCCTTCGTCTGCTTGTCCGGGTGGTACACCAGACTCATGTCGCGGAACGCCTTCTTCAGATCCTTCTCCGTCGCGTCGACTTTCACTTGCAAAAATTTGTACAAATCCACGCCCTTCAAGTTGTCGTCAAGCTGTTATTTTTGTGAAATGAATTTGGAAAAAAAAGTCAATCGCTTTCGCTTGTGCGAAAAAAAGCCGTCGATAGCTCGGTACTAAAACCTTTGAATTTTTCGAATTGATTCAATCAAACACAAATCATACCTTGAAGATTCCCGCCTTCGTGAAGCTCTTCGGTTTGTGGCGGTCGCCCTTGAAGCCAGCGGGAGTGGCCTCGTCGGTGTTCCCCTCGGATTCCACAGATTCGTCAACAACCATGCGTGCCTCTTCCATCTGGGTAAAAAACCCGCGACCGTACGGCTCCATCCGCATTGTCTCGACCTTGACACTGGCCGTCGCCGGCGTGTCCTTCTTTTCGAGCGGGAGCGGCCACAACATGGGCAGGTGGGAGGAGGAACTGCTGGACTGATCTTGCGTCATTTTGTTTTTTGTTTTTGAATGCAGTACAAACGAAAATGTAAACGTACGTGTAACGAGAACGTCTGAAGCGAAAATATTTTTACGAAGAATGCGCGAATGTGTTGATATCTAAAGTTTATTGGCGATATGGATGAAGTTCGGCAATTGGAAATACTATCACGTATTTTCGTTTTGAAAACACATGAACGAACTCGATTTCCTGTTGTGGGTGACATTTACGAAAAAAAACGATGCAAGACCATTACCGTTAAAGAAGGCTACCTTGAAAAAAATTGAATGTGCTCTCTTCGCGTGATGTGACTTTTGGAACCATGTCAGAATTTTTGGATCGTCATCTAGTCTGATCGTCTGCGTATTTTGGAGCTGCAGAGAGCTTTAGCTTGAGCTTGTTGGATGAAGTGCTGAGTAATGCATAAGAATGATCGCATCAGGTGAGACTGATTTCAAGCATGGGTCGCGCAGCACAGATCTTCTGTAACATTTTTTTGACTCGTGAATGGTAGATCCCATCTTCAAGCTTGTTGTCTCAGTTCAGAATCATGGAGTACTTAATTAAAAAAGCTTCGGCGGGAAACACATTTTCGTCCCAATCTGCAAATGCAATCTCGATCTTCGTCCACTTTCGTGGATTTTCTGTGGGTCGATGGTGTTCGCGCACTTTTCAAACCTGATCCTTCAGCAAATTTTTTTCTACACAGTTCTTTCGTGTCATTTGCAATTGCGCATCTCATCTGAAAACACTGCTACTATTGTACAAGCGTGTTGGCTCTACCAACGAGACTAAGACTCTGTGAAAAAAAGAAGTTCGTTTGTCGCTAAGAAAGAGGGATACTACGAAAATGAAATCGCAGAAGCATGATTTCGCGAAAGTTCCCAGATTACTCATGTTAGTGACATGGCAAACACACCAAAGTCGGATCACTGCCTGCTCCTACCCAACGTTCGCAAAAATCGGGCAGCAGCATTCTTCGCGCCCCTTCTTCCGATGCTCCGCTCTCATTTTGATTATTTCCGAGTTTTTTGCGTTGTACGCATCTTGGATCTGCTTTTTGTCCATGCTTACCAAGCATCCGTCTTGAACGGCAGCAGCTATTCCATGTTGATCGCCAAGTTTCTTCTCCGGATCGCAATTTTCGTAGGCAATTTCGACCGGCGACTTGTGCGCATTTTGGTCCCACAACGTGACAAGGCGATTCCGGCGCACATCCAGATGAAGCTCGATCGTTTCCTTCGTTCTGTGGTCCGGCCGGGTCACCCGCAAGCAATTCGGATTCACAACTTTCCACTTTTCTCTTGGATAAGGACCGCCGCCACCTCCATGAAGGGTCAAGCTTTTGTCGGTGGTTGAGGGGCCGCTGAAATCCAACCAGTCCTCCGTAATGTCGAGAAACTTCTCATCGTGTTCAGGATCTGGATCATAATTCACTTGATTGGCTGCCGCTTTCCACGACCCGTAGAACGCCGGGTTGAGTACAGTCGCTTTTTTGGTCGCCCTCTCGTCCGTACTAGCGCTTTTCATTTTCATGCCAGCACTCATCGCATGATCGCTCGCACCACTCGGTCCTTTTTCTGCGGCCGAGGACCGACCGCTCGGCGCTGCTCCACTTGTTCTTCCCGCCGTTCCGTCGCTTGTGCTTTTCCGTATTATCGCTTCGTGCGTGATGCTGGTTCTTTTCCCGAATTCGTACGGCGAGTGCTTGACGTAGGTAATCTGCGCCGAAGCGGTAGTGTTTCCGTGGTAGAAAAAGTAGGCATTCAAGTTGCCGTGCCCCGGCTCGTCGGGCGCCGGGCTGTGCAGCGTGATCGTGCGATCGGTGCCCGGAACCGCCAACCGAACCGTTTCTCCGTCATTCCCCCCGACAACCCAACTCTCGGCAGCGTACGGCCCGCCGGCAGTACCGACCAGGGTTGCCCGGTTCTCCCGCTCGACGCCGTGGAAATTGATCCACTCGGGCGAAACGTCGAGAAACTGCTCGTCGTGCTGCGGATCGGGGTCAAACCCAAGCTGTCCCGGGGCCGCCTGCCACAACCCGTACAGGCGCGCGTTCAGCTGCCCGGGAACCCGTCCCGGAGGAGAAAAGTTGGCCATGTTAGTTGATGCGTCTTCTACTTGTGCTGGCCTCACGGTATTAACTACGTTTTGCTCGGGGAAGGATTACGTGGTAGTTGAAACATCAATTTGGAAACGAAAATAGCTGAAATAAATCCTTGAGAGTTACAATCCGTCATCTACTGGGGAACTCATCCGTACACTGGCGATGGGGCGCCTTCACCAAATCGACACTGAAAAAGAGTAGCGAAGGAGCAAAAAACCCCTGATTACGGTTGCAGGTATATTGACAAAAATGCGACTAGCTTGACCTAATTGTTCTTCTGTAGGTACTTAATACGTGATCGATCATGCAAAAGACACGAGACCGAATCCATATCATCCCCGACAGCTGTCAAGTGGCATCTAATCTTTTGAATCCGACCGATCCATCCACTTCTACAAGAGCGGGGTATATATTTTCAGATCGCGCGGACACCGAAATCGCATGCACTTTCGCGTACAGCTTTAGTTTTCCCAAAGACAACTGTCGTTTGCGAAACGAGAGGTACCGCAAACCTACCCAAACACGTTTTCACCCAAGGCTATGATCTCCCGCCTTTTTTCAGGTGGCACTTCCGCGCGGCTGGTTGACTGCGGCTGCGCCCTCTTTTTCTTACTTTCTTTCGCTTTTCTTTTACTTTTTCAAACGTGCTGTCGTCGCTGTTGAGAAAAATGCCACAAAGGAATGCAATGACTTTCTCGCTAAATGTCGTCTTCATCAACCCCATCGTCGTCTCCGTCGCTGTCGCTGCTGCTGCTTGCCTCTGCTGCTTTTGGGGCGTCTGTATTGTAGATGCAGAAACAGGTAAATCAATGTAAGTATTGAGAGTTTCTTCGTCCCGACGAAGGTACGTCCTTACTTTGATGAGCCCAAGTGTGCATTCATAGACAAGCGCGAGATCATCTGAAAAAACGCTTTTTATCAAAATCGTACCTGCGGCAGGTGCAACCTGTGCCATTGGCGGCTGACCCGGGGCCGCAGCCTGTGCGACGCTGGCACCGCTCGGTCCGGGTGCACCAGCCCCCGCACTCGTTGGATCGAATCGGCGCATGGCTGGTTCGGGATCTGGTGGCAACTCCGGTCTTCGCTGCGTTGAAGAGAGTTCCCCAGACTTCAACTTCTGATGGGTTTGCTTCACCATGGTCAAAAACCATTCTGCGTCGCCGTAGTCTACGGTTCGCATCATCACAAACTGGACCAGACCGTGGTGCGGCATGCGCTCGGGCGCGATTTCGTAGGTGCCGCCCCACCCCTCGCTGCAGTAGTGCCGCCAGCAGTTTTCGAACATGCGGTCGCGCTTTCTACCCTCCTGTTTTTCGATTCGGTTTGTTCCGTCGTTCGCCGATTAGTGTCAGGCTCGTTATTGAGAAGATGCCAAAAATATGCGAGATAATTTTTGGGGTACTATGACGCAGATCTGGTGTGCAGCAGTTGCACGCAGGGGGAAACGAAAAATATGAATTACCAATCATGAGGATGAGTTTTGTTGTGCTTACTATACCTTGACGATCATAATCAATGGGTCCGTTGGGAACCAAAACGGGTTTCCGTTTTCCGTAAATTTGAACGACTGCTGGTCCGGTGCTTCGAGGATCATTCGCTCCTTCAACTGCCGCACAAGTTCCTTTCCCTCCAATCTGTTCGGTAGAGCCTCGCGCTTCGCTTCCAGACCCAAGCGGACGGCTTCGCCTTTGGCGTATGCAACCTGGCGGTGGAGATGAAGATGTTGACGATGGGTAACTAGAGATGATACAAGGGAAAACACAATGAATGTACTGTGATGCTGAGGACTCACTCCACTGTCATACCTATCTTGTCAAAAAGTGTGCGAAAGAAAATGGCACGAACGGGTTTATTCTTATAAGTACCTGGATAGGCCCAGTATCTCGTCGATTCTTGAGAAGGATCTCCTTGTCATGGAGACTCGCAATGGCATCTTCCGCACTTGCTACGTCCTTCATTCGAATCTGTTTTTGTTTCGGGGACATATTGCAATTTTGAATTCATAAACATAAGGTCTCAGTGTAGCAGGTGCAGGCAGATGTACACGACACATCGGCATCAGTAACAGTTTCTGCATAACAGAGGAGAGGGCTTGTGCCTCGGTCGTGAGCACGAGAAAAAGAAAAACCAACGTACGAATGCGCAGGTGAGGCCGTCTTCGTGGTAAAGCGAATGCCTCTCCTCGCCGGGTCGCTCGCCGCGCATCTTGAAAACCTCCAGAACGTTGCCGAACTTTTCGAAGGTTTTTCGCAGCAGCGTCTCCGAAGCCTCCTGCGGTATTCTGCCAACAAACAACTTGACGCCGCCCTTTCTTCTTTCCACGTCGGGTCTCGCATCATTCATGTCTCGTCGCGGCTCCCGGTCACGGTCCCGACCCCGGGACCGCCTGCGGCTGTCTCGTCGACCACGCCCGCCCATCTTTTTCTCCGATCAAAAATTGCAATCGGAACAAGCACTACAACGATCTAATCGGAGACATTGCTTTTTCAAACAGAAGAAAAATTGCGGGCGGTTTTGCGGATATTTCGAGACGTGGTACTCACTAAAAAGGGTAAACAAGGCGTTCTTCGTGTTCTTACTTCATTAATTGCGATACATCTTCGTTCCTGAAGATTATGTGTACTATCATGTGTATGTACAGCTTTACTTTCTACTAAGCCTGGATTTTGGTTTCAATCTTTTTCGTGTCCGCGGGCCGTGGAAGCAGCGAGCCTGATTTTTGCTGAGCAATTTGGCATCCTTAGCCACTGGACGTAGAGAAAGCTCCGTGCGCACAAGTGCAACGGAACCTAACAGAGAGAATTTCCTTCATTTTTCGATGAAGCCTTCATTTTTTTTTTCCGTGCGCATCATCTCAAATTTGGTATTTTGAAAGATAGCAAGTGTAGTACCAAAAGGGATCTCAAAAACAGTAGTAAGTACGCACGAGGTTTACTTTCTGTGTTGATCAGAGGCGCAAGAGTGAGTCAGGATCGGAGTATTCGCTTAGGCTTAGGCTTAGAAATGATAAATGAAATCCGAGTATAAACAAAAAAAGTTGCTGCAGGGCGAGCTGCGAAGTGGTTTGTGTTCCAATTCGAGGTCTACTCCTATCGCGAGCTAGTGATCAAAGGCTTCAAATACAAGCTTCTTTGTCTTTCGGCACTTTTAGCACAAAACGAATGTTGCTGTGTACACGTAGCGAAAGGACAACATAAAAAAATACAATTCATCACGCTCGTTGATCTTTCATTTGTACGGCTGTCCTGTATGTTAGGGAGAATCCCATCTTGTACACAGACACGAACTATCGACAGATCATCACAGTACCTATTGCGTACATTTCACGAAGTCGATGAATCTTTGGGCACACACGATATTTCCAAAAGAGACCGACCTTGCCCGTGAGTGACTAGACACCAATAAAGTGACAGCACATACAGCACACAAAGACACATCCTCACGCTTCCACCCGAATAAAGGAAGGACGAGAAGTGGAAGAACAGTTCTCTGGCACAAGGCGTACTTCCGCATGCGCGCATGTTGCTACGCCAGTCTTCCGCGTCGTAGATATGTGTCATCATGTCCTTCGCAGTTGCATCTTTGGCTTAACGAAGCAGAGGTTTTTTCAGCGCTGGGAGCCTCCAGTATATGACGAAAGCATGACCATGATTATGCATGGTGACAGAATTATTTTCTTGGAAAGTGATAGCATCTATATGACTTCAAACTCAGACTTCCTGTATTTTTTCTTTTCTGGCGTAGTACGAGAATCCGGACCAACCACTCGAATATATCCGCCTGGCGCGCTGCACCTCGAGGAGGTGAAGCACAGGTACCTCGTCGATAGAAGGATGACTCAGCCTGGAGCAAGGTTAGCTAGAGCCACTGAGTCCTTGAGCGCAAGCACCAGCTGCTCTTTTACGGACTCCACTTCACTTTGCTCGCTTCCCTTGACGGTCACACGTACTGTGAGCTCCCCGACATCCTTTACCGCGCCGGCGCAAAGCGCCACCAAGTGCGGACCGTCGTCGGCCCCCTGGTGCGCCGAAGCCTGACTGACGAGCAGGAATTTCTTCGGACCCGCACCGGCCGCTGCTCCGGCGCCTTGCTGCAGACCGTGGAAGTTGCAGCACGCGGCGGCCTTGCCCACAAGTTTCGGCAGCATTGCTTCCGCCTGCGGCCCGTCCCGAATCGGGAACTGACAAACTTCGCCTGCCTGCGTCGTCAGGTGCGTTTTCGCGTTCGCACCGATGTAACTCGCGATCGCATCTTCCTGCCACCGCTTTGCTTCCAGTATTACCGTCGCGGGCAGGGGCAATCGAAGATTGTCAGCCAGAACGACGGTTTGCTCCTCAGTGCGCGTTGTCATCGTGTGCTCTGCGCCATCCGGTTTTGTTGAGCTACTGCTCGCGGAAGTTCCAACGCCCAATAAGTCGTCGCCGAAATCGATAGGTGCGGACGCGGGCGAGGGAGCATCCAAAAGGTCCATCAAATCATCGGACGGCCCCGGCGCGGCTGCGAGCTTCACTTCAGCGGGCTTTGCCGGTGCTGCTTCCGTGATCGTCACGGTCTTCTTGTAGCTCACCTGAAAACCGTCTAGTCCTAGACTATCGGACGGATTCTGAGCCGAACTGAGTACTGTCGTCAAGTCCACCGTTGTTTTCAGCTTGCCCGACCGCTCGTCAACGAAGTCGCCAGAGACCAACGCAAACTCGCCGTCTGGAAGTAATGGGTTGCGAAGTTTTACATCTGCTAGTTTCATCGAGGGTGCAGTCGTAGTACTTCCGAACTCATTTGCCAACTTTTCCACCCTCAGGTCGAGTCGCAAGCTGGTTTGCTTCCTGTTTTTCACGCAACAGTAGATGCAAAGATTGTCGTCCTTTGCCCATACCGTCCATCGTTTATTCAGCAGTTCTTGCAGTTCCTTTTCAGACACAGTCGGAAGAAAGTTCGTGGCCTGCTGCTGCTGTGCCTGTGCTGCCGCCAGCTGCTGCGCTTGCAACGCTTGCTGCTGTTGGAGGTACTGCTGCTGTTGCAGCATCGCCATTTGCTGCTGCTGAAGCAAAAGCTGCTGCTGCTGGTCCACTGGTGTGGCTGTTATTTCACGGAACAATCGTATTCGTATGTCGAACTTTTTTTTATGCAGACAAGACCGCGAGCAGGGGCCAGAGCCACCACTGCGGCATACAAAGCGACAAAGAGTCTACCCCAGAAAGAGGAACACCAGCCCGCACGTACTACAAAAAACAAAAGAAAGAAACCTGGCTGCGACGCAGTGGCCGGCTTCTGTTTCCGCAGAACCGAATACTGCTGCTTGTTCTGCTGCAGCTTTTCTCGCATTGCGGCAAGTGGATCCACGGGCTTTGACGGCGAAGGCGGCGACGTGACGCCAGCGGCTTCTGCTTGCCCGTTCTGCTTCAGCATGAACAAGGATCCCTCCCCAGGCGGGAGATTGTTCGCGGCTGCCTGTGCTGCTTGCTGCTGCTGGATCAACTTCAGGTCTTCCTGGTAGTTCGGGAGGTCAGCGTAAGCGTCTTGCGCAGAAATTTCTTCGACCACTGGCGGCGGCTCCTCCTCAAAGAAGGGCGTGTCTAGATCCATCCCAACCGGCTCCGTAACCGCCTCTTGGTCGCTGGAGGTGAGGTTTTTTGCTGTGTCTCTTACTTATACTTCGTGTCGAAGAGGACTTTCGCCGATAACTTACCGCGATCGTACTTTGGTTGTTTACTATCGAGCAGTAGAAGAAGTATGAATATTTTCTTTTTCTATCACCTAACTGCGTCAAAAAATGCAGAGTGAGTCACTACTTCTTGTACTCAAGCGTTATACCCTAAAGACAGCACGTCCAACTCTGCCGCGGGGTACGAGCCCTCGAGGCCCTGCCTTCTGGTTGAGCCCCACTCCACAAGGTAGAAGGCGAGACTGGCACGCTCCGACACTTCCACATGTGGTGACATGACCAGTTCTCCGAGCGCTTCCACGAGCAGATTGCAGTACTCGGCGAATTTCTCGTCATCTGCAGCGCCAAGCCTGGTTGTTAGTTCATTCATCATGTACTACATGCGGGTGCATGATGTAAAAACATCGGTCTATTTTTGACGGAAACACGCCAACTCTAGCACAAAAATTATAGCGATCCAGAGGTGGTCAAAAAGATGAAGATCATTATACTCGCAGTACTTACTTGCAGAGAATTTTGATCGCCGCCCAGAGACATGTGACTTGTGTCGTAGGGGGCAGGGAGGACTGTCCCTTGCTCAACAGCTCGTCGAAAATGTTTTTCAAGTACGGCGCTTCGATATGTGACGGGTACTCCCCCAGAACCCAGGCACAAGCAGCTACCATGGCGGGGGCGCAATTTTGTATCTGGGACAGTTCGTTATCGTTTGCAAGGAGAATAAACCACGTTCTACATGATGCTGGCGCTACTTTGCGGCTTTCATCTAGTTTTCAGGTCATCCAGAGGGTCATTTCAAAAAATGAGAACGTCCACAAAGCAAGCAGCTCTTGTTTGTACCCCGTTCCCACTGGTGCCGTCCCCGAGCAGCAAAATTTGCGCCACCGACACCGCGTAGGGCCTGACGCCCTCGACGCGCGCGCAAATGTCGCAGAATTGGTCCGCGACGAGCTGGGAATGCTCCGAGTGCTTCTTTTTTGCGATGTCGGCAAGAGTATGGATTGCAAAAATGTCTGGGTCTGGAAACTTGTGATGCTGGTTGGCGCACCATGAGCAAGCGACAAGTGCTGGCTCAGCATGACAAGTTTCTGAGCTTCTAGGTGTTGCCTATTCTGCATGACAAACGGCGTTTTCGCATGACAGAAACATGGGGCTCTTGGGTAACGTGCATGACAGATTTCAGAGTCATGCCAGACAAGCATGACAAACATGAACTCTTCCAGACCCAGACATTTTTGCATTTGATACAGAGTCAGAATGTACCAGCCGAAATCTTCGACAAGTTCATACTGCTCCTGCTCGCTATGCATTGCAAAAGCATCGCAATAGTATAAATTGCAATACAAATTAGCTCAGCATGACAAATGGAATTTGTCATGCTGTTTTACCTTGAGAAAAAGACTTGTGATGCATATTTTTTTTTTTAAATATGGCTGCGCATGGTTGACAGATTCAGATTCATGGAGCGGCCCCCGGGCGGAATACTTCTGGTGGTAGACGTGGCCCAAGGATTTGCGGCTTCGCGCCGCGACGACTTGATGGGGGTCCCGCACCCCCCCTCCGCTTCCAAAAATACTGCTTGTGCGTGCATGCTGCAAAACCTCCGACACCGCGGCACAAAAAAGGAGCAAGCCCCTATGCACCATACACAAGCGTAGAGATGGAAATCATCGGGATGGAGATATTGGCGACGCCGATCAATGACGCCAGTGGCAGCTAAAACCCGAACGGCATGGGGGTAGCTACCAAGCCGAGCGCGCGGATTCGTTTTCCTTTACGTGTCGAGCCGGTAGCAGCGGCACACGCCACATCTCTCCATCTTGCAGCGTCCGGAAAGATGTGTTTGGGGGCATAGCAATGCGGGGGGATACTATCTACACCGGCTAAGCTGAGCCTGAATTTGTCATGCAAAATTTCTGTTCTTAGAAATACAATGTAGCGCAAGCTTCTTAGACAAAAAACTTTGTCAGGCGAGCTTGAAGAGCTGCCCTCGTCCTGTCGTTGGTTTCCTGAATGTTAATTGTCTGCGCTGGATTGCATTGAGAGCCAGGCATCTCGAGCGACGCAACACCACCCGTTTTAGCAGTGAAGGGAAGCTCAATTGAGGTCCACCGGGCGCTACCACCCTCACGCCCAGTGTTCAAAAGATACAGTCCTAAGAGCTGGAGAGCATCCTTAGCCCCCGACAAACCAGCCACAGAACCCGCCGCCTCTTGGGTTCCGTGGAAGTCGAACAGGAAAACAAGACCCCAAGCTTGAAAGGCCCAGCGGCTTGCTTCTTGCGAATGCAGTAAAGCGCGCCGGAAACGAGAACTCCACCGAGCTTAGTGATCAACGCGGAGTTATACACACTTCGCTGCGGTCAACCTTTGCGCAGGGAGTTGGGTTGGTTTTTTTTTTTTCCGCGCGCTATCTGTTTTCAACTCCGCTGCGTCTTTTGTCCTGGCTTGTGTATTATTTCCTTTTCTTTTCCCAGGCTCTTTCTTTTCTCAGATAGTCTTACTTGCTTTCTTTTTTTTTTTTGCGGAGTCGGTCGAGCTATTTCTTTTTTTTTTCTCGCGGAAAATTGGACAACGGAACGAAGACATTCTTTGTGGGTTTTCGTCTTTCTAAACGAGACATCGGCCTCGCCAGCCATAATCTGTCCGCTGGCCAAGCGGGAACAAAAAAAAACAAGGCCCCTGTTTACGCCATCCCCCCAGGTAAGTCATCTCTTAACCTTCCTATGGCGTCAGGTCGGTAAGAGGTAGAGAATCTATTCGATTCTAACGATGACGATGAATCTACGACTTACGAATCTTAAGAGCGGGCGGGAAACGTGAGCTGCACCCTTCTGGGCAGAGGTCTCGTTTGCCAACGAACACGATTGTCTGCAAAAAAACAAGACAAAAAATGCGACGCCAGAAAAATTCTCCATGCAATGCCTGCAAAACAGAGACTGCGACAAAGTTTTTTCTTTCGATAGCCACCCGTCCTTGTTATGCTTGCGTCTCCAAGCGGCGGGTATTCTTAGAAATACAAAAGCGAACTTTTTCTAATCTAGAGCTAACAAGTCACCCAGTCAAATCTTAAGCCACCCCCGCGGACCATTTAGAGACCGCGCAGCCTGAATGTTTCTAACTACTGACCCGGTAGCAGCGGGCGAAGCTAGTGCGCTAGGAACTAACTACTAAACTACGATGGTCCTCATTCCTATTTTTTGATCTTAATGGCGCAGCGGTGCGCACGTCGACCGTTATGAAAACATATTTGCAAGTAGTACGAGTACGATACTTTTGCACAGGATACTCGCCCATCGTCAACAAAGTTTTGATGTACTCGTCCCCGCCGGAATGCAAATTACTAGACATCTGCATCAGCTTCTCGGCGATCTTCGGAAAGGATTCCTTCGACACGATCTTGTCTAGGATCGAAAGCGCGACAACCCGAATGGTTTGGTCCTGCTCCTCGATGGCCTCCAGAATGGTTTCGTGCAGCTCGTTTGGCAAAGGAAGCTGCGTGTGGTCGACGGAGGTCCAGCGCTTCAAAAACTCGTCCACGATTTCCAAGCCAAGGTACCTTTCGATCATAAAGAAAAATTGCGTCCACCACAGAAAATTTCTCATCATGAAAATTTCGATGACAAACTCGATCGCTTTGAAGACTTGTAGGTACTTATTTCAATCATTCTTTTGAAACGAGGCAGAAAGCCCCTCTAGAACCATTTCATCTCTTCCAGCATGCACGTACCTGAGATTTCTGTCCGATGAGAACAGAAATGGGCGGATTTTTTCCATTGCCTGTTTGACGACCGGCAGGTCCGGGGGTGACATCACTCTGGTGATGCATCGGATGACTTCAAACTCGACGCTTTTGGCCCGCGTCGTCTGCAAGATGTCCTGCAGCGGGCTGCCCAGTTTGCCCGCGAGGCGAGGCTCGAGCGGGCACAGCTGGGCGAACACCTTCAACAGTTTGATCATCAGCCAGTTGTTGTTCGTTTGCGTCAGCAGCGTGAAGAAGTGCGGCACCAGAATCAGGTAGTTCCGCGCGTTTTTCCTGGTCAGTTCGAGAAAGGTGTTCACGCACGCGGTCAAGACTCCCTGGTCCTCGTCCGTGAGACGCTCTTTCAGTTTCGGAAACGCGGTGCGCAGGGCGAGGGGATACCGGAGGAACAGCCGGAACATGCAGAGAACGACCTTTTTTCGCAAGTACGGCTTGTTGCTGGAGAGCAGAGAACACAGGTCCTGGATGAGCTCGCGGCCCATGTCCGGAGTGCAGATGACCGCAAGGTTGGACAAAGCAATACCTGACGATGTTTACTTATTTTGATAGGCGATTTTCAAAAAAAACAATTCATACATCCGGTCGGAAGACCACACAACTCCAGTCACTTCTAAATAATTTTGATTCTTTCACATCTGTCAACTCGAGATGAAATGTCGTCGTTCGGCGATTGCACAAGAATTCTCTTGATAGTTATTCTTATTCACCTAGTTCCGTCGGCGTTTTTTTGCCGCTCATCAAGCTTTTTTTGAAGTGGTTGATAAGCATCAGTCCCAGGTCGTTTTTTTCCTGAAAGCAAAAGGCCGCAGCGAGGTAAGCTGGTCTGCGGAGGGACATTTTTTCGCACCGCGACATGCAGTCCACGATCGCGAAAGAGGCCCACATGATGTCGTAGCTGGAATGAGTATTCAGTGAGTCGGAAGTTTCATGGTGGTGAAGTGAAGATGAAAAAAATCTTCTCCTTCATTATCCAGAAAATGCACAATAAGCACAACTCACATCGTCGCTGATCATGTTAGTGTATTCAGACCAAGAGGACCTGCACACGCATTTGTAACATGAGTGAGAGAAAACCTACCCGAGCATGTTTAGGTAAGCCAACTTCAAGACGGCCATCGACTTGACCTGCATGTTCGAAGATTGCAGTTCCTGCTTTATTTCTTGGACGCTTTGTTGGATGTATTGATCTTCGGCTCCGCGCGCCCCGCGGATGCCCTTGACCATCGTAACCAACGTCTTCTCGAAAACCATTTTGCTGTCTTGTTAACTTGATATCCAACCAGCCCAGCAGGAAGCACCACAGCGGACTCACCCACTGTTGTAACGGTCGTGCGACGAAACGATAGAACCTTTGCTGCTCTCGACGTCGTGAGCCAAGTCCGTTGCCACTGTGTTCCGGAGTCCTCGTCAGTCGAAGGTCAAAGGAGTTCTCGAGCGCTCCAAAGCAACACAAGTGGCAGCGCCGGCGGCACGAAATCGCTGACCTCCATGCTGCTCGAGCAGGCGTTGTCACGTCATTCTTGCTATCCAAAAGTGGACTTCAACGTGATCATGTATGCACCCTTTAGCGAGCAGAGGACTGACAAATGATTACTACTCAATGAATACGCAGCTTGCCGGCGAGGAGCGATCACGACACAAATGAAGACGACGACAGATGATGAGCAGGAGTGAAGCAGAGATTGCTAAAGAACATGCAGAAAGACGTAATGGATGTTCATGCACGTGCATACGCGCCATTGGGTGCCGGATGATAATGATCTGCCATTTGGTTTTGAGGTACCGAACACAATACTTGCCTCCCAATGGGCAGCGGCCAGAGAGCTCGCAGCGCTCCTTACTTGGTCTTACAGCAATCCATTGTGACTTTCTTTTCCATTCTTCGATCATGCAGATGAATGCAAAAGAACGAGGTTCTTGCAGCTCTGCGTAATAATTTTCTTCGAAACAATTATCTTGCAATCTTGGAAGCTATTCACCTACTTAGAGCTAACGAGGGAAACGGAAACCGAAACGAAAAAAGTAGTAAAAAAAATTATACAAAAATCACTCTCAAAGCGCCCCTACCGTGCTGTCGGCGTACGTAGCCGTACTGTTGAAACTTTGAAACGAAAGTAAAACTTGAGTGCGGACACCGTATTCGGCGTCTTTTATTTAATGCGTCGTTGAAAACTAGTCACCAATTCCGAAGTCCGTTGTCACGTAGTTCTAGACTAACGAAAACTAGGACAACTGAGAAAAACTTTGCGGAGAGTACTACAGAGGTCGATGTGTGTCGCCGTGACCGCCTCAGTAGGCGGTTTTGTTGATACATATTTATACATTGCTCAGAGGCAGATGAAGAACTCTTCGTCTATTTACGGAAAAAAAAGAGCCGATGCAGAAAACGCCTTTTCTAAAACGCGCTACATTCGGTACCTGTAAACGGCGTTATCAAAAAAAGTATTGGCGTTGTTCCGGTTGGCAAACGATTTCACGTCCACCAATTTTGCGTTTTTGACAACTGGCGGCATGACCAGCGTGGGATTCACGGGCTTTTCGAAATCCCAGTCAAACGCCCAGTCCGGCGTCCGCCCGTTTGTCTTCGTCAACCCCAAGAACCGGTCGCCGAGACTGTCGTGTGCCGACACAGCATTCCGCTTCTGCTTTCTACTCAACCGAGGCACCGTTTGCGAGGCCGCGTCCTCCCGATTCATGCAGACAAAGTTCTCCGATTTTTCCCCCGTAAGAGGATCCTCCGTCCGTGGCTTCGGCGGCGGCACGTCGTCCGACTCGTCAATCGGCACCTTCACACAGGGCTCCACGTTCTCGCACTGCTCCGGGCGGAGGAGCTGGCAGTGGTCGAACTTGGGCAGATTCCAGACCGAGCCGAAATTCTTCTTACTACTGCGGAAATTGTCGTAGTCCGGGTTTTTCCGCGTGTCCCCGACGACGTCCGTAGCCGGGGTGGAGAACCAACTCGAGAGAACCTCCTCGCTGTTGGACCCCATGCGCGTCAAAACGAACAGGAACGCCACGGCCGACATGTTGCCCCAAAAATTACTTAAAGTGTCCAGCGTTTCCCGTTGCACCTTGTTGGCGCGGACGATGAACCGGGCCAGGGCGATCATCGCCCGATACAAGAGAGCCTGCATGGAATTGGCGGCGGAGCCGTACAGTTCCTGCGAATTCAGCATTTCGGAGGCTTGGTTCTTTTTGTCTTTCACGTAGTGCTGAATGAACCACGCTTGGTTCTCTTGCATCACCTTCTTGGTGTGCGCTATGCCTCCGAAGCCAGATTTGCAAGAGCACTCCGTATCCGAAAATTTGGATGCGGGCTCCTCAACGGGTTTGTTAGCCGGATCCTCTCCGGTTGCCGCCGCTGCACCCTCCTCGCCCCCGGAGGGTTCTGCCGGCCCCTGCCCGGTTTCGAGTAGGGACGTCGCTTCTGTTGCATTCGGTTCGGAGCTCTTCGCAGCCGCCGTACTGTCGCCCTCGACCTGCTTCTGCGCCTCTGCATCCTTGTTGGAACACATGGGGTTGTCGTCCTTTGCCGCCATGTCTTTCTTCACTACCGCGAAGGTCTTTAGGATGCGGTCCAGGAAGCCGTCGGACACGGCGTTTTGCCGCATGTCCCGGTAGAACGCCATGTCATTTTCCGTGTCGCCGCTCCGGGTCTTGACGAGTTTGTTCCCCAGCGGACAACGCGCAGTTGCACCATCTTCGACGTCCTTTTGCACTGCAGGCTCGAACTCGCTCATAAGTGCGAGACTACGGTCCTGCGCGAGATTTTCTAACTCTGCCTGCTCCACAACGTTGTCAGCCTCTTGCTTCGCCAGCGCTTTGACGTCCTCCGCCACCGATGTGGTAGTAGCACCCGCTGCGGCACCGCCCGCTGCAGCACCGCCCGCTGCAGCACCGCCCGCTGCGGCAGTACCGGCCGCTGCAGCAGCACCGCCCACTGCAGCACCAGCCGCTGCAGCACCAGCGTTATTCTCCGTTCCCCCGATAGTTATAGTGTGTGAGTGCTTAATGACTTTCTTGTGGGGGCACTCCCACCCAGGCGGAGGACTTCCTCTTCCACTCTTTGATACAGTTCCCGAGGGTTCCTTTTCTAACTTCGCAGAAAGATCTTCTGACGGCTCCTCCTCGTGCATCGCGTCGGTGCTTTCCGCTATGTCTTTTTTGTCAGCGTCAATCATGGCCGTGATCTTGGGACCAAACACATCCGGAAGCTTTGCGATCGCCTCCTTCACCTGAATCATTACCTCTTTTGGAACCACAGCCAGCTCGCGCAGGACCGGCCATTCGAACGCACCCTGTTCCTGACTGACTGCGACGAAAGAGTTGGCGTCCTCCTGGCGATGCTGCGCGTCCAGCAAAGTCTCCGGGGAACCGGGCAGTGGCGGCAAGTGCCGCGCTTTCGTGATCCTGGTCGTTAGGAGCGCGGGCACCACTTCGCACACATCGGCCGGGCCCGCGTGCTCGCAACCCGCTTGAACATTCTCAGCGGTCCCCTCGACCGCCAGCCGGCATCGGTCGGGCTTCACTCCTTTTGCTCCCGCCGTTCGCCGACAGGTCTTCGCGGGTGCGAACTGGCAAAAGCTTCCGAGCTCGTCACACTGACCCTGGTTTGTCGCCATTTGGCAGCCAGCGTGACTCCAGGGGGATTGCCGGTTCCAGGCTTCCCGCATCAGTTTCCGTGCATTCAGATGCGACGACCGGCACTGAAAATGCTTCCACGCGCAGCCCTCGCTTTCAGAACACGTGTCTCTCTTCTTGTGTGCTCCACATTTGGCCACCTCGTGGGCGGTTGCCACCTCCACGTTCGCGGGCTGGCACCGGTTGAACTGCAGGCGGCACACTTTCGCATCTGCGCAGGCCTGCGGGTCCGCGATCCCCTCGCACTGCCCGATTACCGGCCGGCACTCCTTGGGCGCTTCGACCGCCATGCCACCGCCTGCGTTTTGCATAGCGTGCTGCAGTAACAGGTTCTTGCTCGTCCGCGCGCGGCAGGTGACGCCAACCTCCTCGGCGACCTGGTTTACGGCCGCGAGGTAGTCCTCCTCGGTGGTGTGTGCAAAAAGCAACGGCAGCCACCGCTTGCCGGGCTCCTGCTCTTCAACCTGCGACTTTTCCAGCTCGGGCTGTTCCCCGTCGTGCTCCGCCGGCAGGTCGCTCGCGTGCGGTACGTCCATGGTGTTCGGGCCGCCCTCCTCCGCTGCCAGATCTTTGGGCTTCACACTGTTAGGGTCGATTTCCTGTACTTCGTGGTCCACGGCGTTCAACTTGTCCGTGTCCAGCTGTGGTAAATCGCTCGCACGTTGCGTGTTCTTCTCGTCCTCTTCTAGGGAGGTCTCCAGAGCGTCCAACGATCCAACTGCGGCCTTGTTTGCCTTGTCCTTCGCGTTGGTCGCGGTTTTCACCAGTTGCTCCTGCAACCCGTCCTTCGTCAGCACCTTGGAATTGCGAAACTCCTCGGCTTTTTCCTCCATCTTCGACCGCATTTTGCCTGTGATGTCGCCGAGCGACAGCTCTGCCTTCATACCGGGGTCCATAAATTTCTGTTCCGCCCTGCGGAGGCGCTCAACTACATTCGCGGCAAAATCCGAGTGGCGCCGACGGAGGTGCAGGTACGCGAAGGGCACCTCACCGGGTGGTCCCGCACCGTAGTTCACTGTGTGCGCGCGGTGTGCGAACTCGTCCTTGGCGAACAACGGGAGCGGCATTGGCGGATCCTCCCCGTGGTCACGATCGTCAGGAGGCACTAGGCTCTCCAAAACTTCCTCCTTCGGCAACCCCTCCGGCGTCAGCTCAGCCTCGGGGGTGTTACCGCCTTCACGTGCGCTCTCGGAATCCGTACCACCGAACAAGTTCCGCCGCAGTTGCGCCAGGAAACCTTCGTCCTCATCAGACGCCGGCTCTGCCTTTTCCGCTGCTTTCAGAAGTGTAGACTTCGGCGGAAGCGGCCGACCCATGCGCAGAAAATTCTCGTACACCAGTCGCTCCATAGCTTTGTGATAGAGATGCGCTGCATCCTTGGGATCCACCCCTTTCTTGATCGTGTCCGCAGTCATCTCTTTAACTGTCTTGAACCTTTTCTTCCCGCCCGCTGCTTCAGCGCCGGCCACCTCTGCCCCCGCCGGCGCTGCAGCAGTCGCGCCTGCAGCCCCGGTTCCGTTGGTTTGTTGTCCTGCCGGTTCTTCGCCTTCCTCCGTCTCACCCTCGACCGCGTCCTCCACCTCCTCGGTCTCTTTTTCCACTTCAGCGAATTCCCTCGTGCGACAGGCGTTTACCTCCATGGCCTCCTCGTCTTTCTCTCCGCCCTGATCGTCTGCGCCGGCCTGCTCCACCGCCTCGGCCGTCGGTGTGTGGGGCTCCCCGGCAAAAGCGGGGTACCCGTGTGATTGCAGCTGCTTGCGGGTAATCGTCGGGATGGACTGGAAAAACGCCTCTGCGCCCTCCGACGACGCGAAGTGCAGGTGGTTCTGCATGTTTTTCCAGTATTGCGTGTCGTAACCGTGGAACTCGATGTCGACGTCCTTGTTTTTCGACTGTCCAAAACTGAACGCCGCTCCTATCAAAATGAAAAGTCCCCCCTCCCCATATTGAAACGGAAACTTCTGTTGCTGGATTTGTATACACAAATCAGCCCTGTCTTGCAGCGAGGCACTACAGGCAACGCCTCAGCCTGCGTAGGGGTGTTTTGTTGTAGGCTCTTGGCATAAGAGGGGCCTGCCATGTAGGTGAAACAGCATTACAAATCGCCTCCCTAAGGCGGCGGATTCTTTGGGTTTGCCTTCTTGCAAGACAGATGTGATTTGTGACCTCAAATCCGCAACACAAATTTTTGCAAACATACCTTTTCGATATGGGGAGGGGGGATTTTTCCTCTCAATAGCTCCGGGATCCGCGAGCTCGCCGTCCAGGCGGCGGGCGATGAACTGCCGCATCACGTCCGCCCCGTAGTCGCACTTTGCGTACTTGATCAGCTCCTCCTTGTAGATGCGCTGCTTCTCGGTCCGAAAGTGCTCCTTGCGCTCTTCCGCAGTCCTCGGCAGCGGCCGCACGCATTCGGCCCCCTCTGCGCAGGGCCCGTGCTCCACGAACTTGGCCACGGGCACTTTCTTCAGCCCCGTGGGCAGGTGCACATCGAACGACGCCGCGGTCGCAGCACCGAGGGGCAGGACGTCTCGGCTGTGCCCGCCGGGGTGAAACCTTCCCAAGGTGCCCGCGCTGACCGCACCGTCTTCGCCGCAGTATTCCAGTCGATCGCCAGGTTGGAGATGTGACCTGTGGAGGTGCGAAACGGATATCTTGAGCGCCTCCTCGAAGAACAGCTCATACTCGTCGGTGTCCGGGAAGTACCGCCCCAACCGCGCTTTCCGATTGGCTAGCGGCCCGAAGTGCTGTTCCGGGATTCCTGGCGCTTGATTTTCCTCTTTTGTCACGTCCGTCGTGGTCGTCACTTCTGCCGGAGTCTCTGCGAAAGTGCTGGCGTTTTTCGTTTTTGCCAGAGGCGCGGAATTTTTAAACTCGATCTCCAGACCTTGCAACCAGACCTCGCCATTCTTCCACTTAGTGGGCTCGCGATCTCTGTGTTCCTCGGTGATCGTGTAAGCTCTTTCCCCAGGTTCGAGAATTTCGTCCCCATCCTTCTTCAACCTATTTCTTTTCCTCTTGAACAACAACGACTGCATCGTCCTCCAACTGTCGTTGTCGTGTGCCGGATCTTTGTTGGTCGCACTCTTCGCCTTCTCTTCCTGTTGGGGTTCGGATTTTGAATCTTTCTTGTCTGATGCCACCTCTCCTGTCTCAGTATCTTTGCTTTTGCTACTGCTACTTTCAACCTTTTGTTCCTCTGTAGGTTCTTTCTCAGTTTCACTAGTGTTATCTTCCTTTTCCTGCGCGGAGGCGGCGGACCCGGTCGTTGCACTAGCACTCTTCGTCGGTTCTCCAGCATCGTCACCTGCTTCTGGTGCCGGTTTATTTGTGCTGCTAGTACTCTGAACAGAACTACTGTTTCCTGCACTGCTGGAGCTACTCCTGCTCTTCTTCACAAATGCTGTTGCATGTAACGTTTGTTCATCGACGCGATTAGTACTTTCTTGCAAACGCCTTTGCGATATCGCTAGTTCCGACGTTGTAGATTCATTATTCTGTCCGCCGTATTCAGCATTGTCAGCGCCTTCGTTTTCATTCTGCGCGCCGTCTTTTTCGGCTTCTGCGTTTTCCGCTGCAGCAGCGGCGGCAGCTGCAGCCTCCTTCGCTTCACGCAGTGCGTTGCAGTGGTCTTTGGCATTCTGCGAAACTCGGCAGACGAGTTTTCGGCCGTCTTTGCCGATGCCTTTGTTGATCGCTGCGTCCTCCGCTGTGTTGCCGTCAGCAGTCCCTATTGTTTCGCCTTTCGGTACGTCCCCGCTAGTCGCGTCGCCTTCGCCTACTGTCGTACGATCTACCGTGATGTCATCATGCGCCGGCTCCCGATCCCAAACACAAAGCCCGCCCTTGATTGGGTGCTGCGTTGGTTCGTCCAAATGTGCAACGTACACGCAGGAACCGCACTCGGTCGACGCGGACTCTAGGCATCTCTGCTCGTTGGTTGGTTCTCCGCAGCAGGTTGCCTCGTCAGCTTCGGTGCAGTCGGGGCCCTCGCAGAGTGCATCGATCGGACGCGGATGGTGGACGGGGCAGGTGAGATGCAGTGTGGGCCATGGTTTCATTTCTTCCTGGTCTGCTGCAGATCTTTCCCCGCCTTCTTTTGTCGTAATCGCATCTGGATTATCGCCGTCGCCGTCTTGACCCGCAGCTCCGTTTTGGTCCGCGTCCCCGCTTTGGTTCTGGTCCGCGGATGGTACTTGGGGATCCTCGTCTGCCTCTGCGGTCGTCGTCGTATCATTCTGGATTGCATCCGCTTTCTCGCCGCCATCAAAAGCTGTTGCTTTCGAAGAAGCTAGTGGCCCATCCGCGGCCTCCTGATGCCCCCGAGTGCTTGTTTGGGAAATCGCAAGCTGTGAAGTTGTAGTTTTACTGGCGTCCACTTGATCCTCTGTGCCATTGCTGGCAGCTACTTTGTCATCGTCTTGAATTTTCTGCTCCGGCTCGGGATCAGTTGGGTTAGTCTCTGTGTTCGCAGCACCATTTCCTTCCTGATTCTCCTTTTCGGCGTTCGCATTTTCGGCGTCTTCCGCACTTGCCTCTCCTTCAACCGGCTGTTCGTCCTTCTCGGTCTTTTCCGGGTCCACTTCCACGGCAGCACGCTCATCCTGTTGCGGCCTCGGTCTGATGAAGCCCGCGAACTTGGGAGAGTGTGGGCGAAACCCGTCCTGGCAACGCTGCTGCTTATGCGAATGCAGATCGAAGTAGCTCTTTCTAGTTTTCGTGACCAGGCGCTCTAAATCGAAATCGGGAAAGCTCTTCATGCGCACCGGCCTCAAAACTTTGACCATAACCGTAGACGAGTTGGCCGCTGCGTAGTCCGGTGGCGTTACCACTTGGACGTACGCGCCCCGTAGCACGTCCTCCACCTGCTTCGTCCCCTCAGTTTCCGGGGGGATGTTCGCTTCTGTTTTAGTTGTCGTTGTGCTGCTCGTCTTATTGGCATCATCTTGAAAAGCAGTATGGCGCGACGCGGTACTTCCTTCCGTAATCTGGTGCAGTGGAAATTTCGTCGTCTTTCGCGACAGAAACGAGGAGACTCCGTGCGCGTTAGTAGACGCAAGTTGCGTTTGGCCAATTTCAAGCATTTCAGTTGCCGGCGGAGAAGCGCCAGCGGGTGCAGCTTCTGTCTTTCCTTGCCCGACGGCACCATCCGCATGCTCGGCATCAGCTACATGCTCAGCACCTCCCTCGGACTCATGCGTCGCGAAGTCCTCCGGCAAAACGTACAGTTGCGCTAGATCCTGCTTGCGCAGCCCCGTGGTCTTGTGTTTGAAGACAAGCCTCGCAGGTACGAGCGCGGGCGGAAGGCTCTCGTCGATCTTGCCCTCCTTCTCAGGCCACACGCGTAAAAACGTGCTGTCTTCTGCCGATCCGGTGTCGGCTATGTTGCTCCGGCGCTTTCCGTTTTCGTCCACCTCCTCGCTAGGCACAAATGGTTGCGCATCCGTCGTGCCCGCAAACTTTCCGTTGCGGAACGGAAACCGCATGGCAAGATCCTTTTCGTCGCCAATCTCCACCAAATCCCCGGTTTTGATCACCCCTCCGTGACCGTCCTGGATCACCTCCAGACGCGGCACCCGAAGCTCGACCCACGCGCGGGTCTCGAACCCGCGCGGGTCCACGTGCGCGCGCACGTGGTGGAAGCAGTCGCTCGTGCCGTCACCCACCAGGCCCCGCGCCACCATCTCGGCCGGGCGATTGCTGCGGAAAACCTTATCGATGTGGGCGGGCGTTGGCGATTCCGGGACCTCCATCGACGCGATCTTGTCCAGTAACCCGGTGCACACATCCGCCTGCGGATCTTCGGTCGGGGGCTCCCGGGTGATCACCTTTTCTTTGATCGCGTACTGCGCCGAAATGCGTTTGCCGTCCCGGTTCACGGCGTTGCCGTCCTGCGGCATAAAGACGCGCTTCTCGTCCACGCCCAGGGCTTTCGCCAGACTGGTTCGCATCTCCTCGCCGTAGGGGCAAAAGTCCGGCAGCGTCGTGCCCTTGCGGCGCGGCAAAATCGAGACCTTGAGCGTGCGTAGCGCGCCTTCGCTGTTGAAGCGCTCGTCCGCGTCCGCCAGTCCGTTGCTGGAGGTCATCGTCCCTATGCGGCCCAGGGCCGCTTCCTGCATCGCCTTCGGGTTTTTCAAGCGACCCCGCGCCTCCTCCTGCTCCAAGGGCGTCAAGTCCCGGTCTGGCTTCTGTTCGTCAAGCAAATCGCTCTCCTGCAAGTTGTCCAAGCTGTCACGCATCTCCCTGTACCTCTCGTACCGAGGATCCTCGACGCTGACCCGGTGCTGCGGAGCGCAGTTCTCCTCCTCTGGGGCGTCCTTGTCTGTGGCTAGCCACTTGTCCAAGACTTTCTTCGTCTCCCACTGCTCCGGACCCCCGAAAAGCTTCAACGACAGCTTCTGCTCCTCGAAGTTCAGCAACTTCTTTTCCAGCTGCTCCCGCGCCTTTTGGTTCAGACTGGACTCGTCTGGGGCCTCCTCATCCGCGACGCCCGCCATCCGCGCGATCATTTTGCACATGTGCGACTTGCCGTAGCTGAGCCCGTCCTTCTTCAGGTTCTGGAAGTTCGCGTAAATGTCCTTCGCCTTCGCCGCTAAGCTGCTGGACCCGCTTTCCGGGGCGAACCCGTAAGCGCGATAATAGGCTGTGCGGTACGCGCCGTGTAAAATGTCGGTCGTGGGCACTGGCTCCGATGCGCCCTTCTTCGTCAGCGGAATCTGGGATGTGAAATGCAATTGCAAACAGGCTATTGGAATTGGTGCAAGCGCTCATATTACTCTTTCAAAAGTTTGCCCTTGCGCGATTTGGTAGACCAGATCATGATCGTGTAAATAAGAGCACCCTCGACCTTGACAATATTCTGCATTTTAACGCAATAAAAATGAACTTTTACTGTACCTCTATTCGTTTAACGGCAAGAATTTGGGGACGCTGCAGCGAGGTCTCGACCACGTTGTAGCGGTCGCCCACGTACCCGAGCGCTTGTCCCCGCACGCCGCTGTATGCATCGTACATGTCCAACGCAGTTTCTTTACCTTTGTGTGAAGCGGCGGCGGCAGCCTGGCCAGCCGCCGAATCTTTTACCTGCACCCGCAACTCCTCCGCATGGATTTTGGCCTCATCGGCGGCCCAGTGCGCTTCGTACGCAGCGGCCTTGGCCGTAGACCCCGCGCCCCGCAGCCCATCGACGACGCCCCCACGCATCTCCGGGAACTCTTCCCGAAGTTCATCAACAAGTTCGCTACGCATGTTTGCCCGCACTATATTTGCGCGCTTCATACCGTCTCCTGCATCAGACAATGTCGGAACTTCCGTTTCGTCCAGATGCTCAGAAAAACTGTCCGCAAACCCCGAAGGCACCTGTGGGAGTGTAACCGGGATTCAGTTGGTGGATCTATGCAAATGTTTTGTTTTTCCTGTCGTGACAGTCAGTCCGCTCCAAATCACTAGGTTAAGCACGCGCAGCAGACGCTAAACACGTCGAAGGAGCTAGGGTCGTGCTGTGGTGCGCTCTCATGTTGCATCTGCTCTGCAGCTGAGGCTTTACATATATACATCCTCGTCCTCCGAAATTAATAGAACCACGAAGACGTAGTACCTTGCGGTGCAGATTTTGCCGAAAAGCGTTGCGTCCCACTTCCAAAAATTCCGACGCAGGCTGTTCGTGCTTTGCATCTAGTGGTGGCACCACAGCCTCCTCGTTGTGTTGTGTTTTGGCAATTTTCCAATGAGCATCGTCCGCTACAGGGGGCTCTATTGCGTCCGGCTCGGCGTCCGGCGGGTGCTCTATTTTTTCTGCGTCTTCACCTTTCGGTTCCACACCGCCGTTTTTAGCCGTGGCTGTGGCATTGTTCTCTGCGTCGTGATTTTCTTGTTCCTGGGACGCTCCACCTGCTCCCTCCTGTGCTGTTCCCGCCCCGGCACTCTCGTCTCCGGCCGCCTGCGATCCCGGCTGTTCCGCCTCTCCCTCGGGCAGTTTGGGCCTGTGTGAGATGATCTCACCGTACATGTTCGAGGCTTCTTCGTTCGCCGTGTCCCACAATTCCTGGTTGGACATGCGCGCCATGGCGGACCCTACGGGGGTCCACGCGGGCGCGTTCCTCCGCGACACCAGCAGGTGGTTGAAAAGCTTGCAGGTGTACTGACGCAGGCGGCCGAGGTCCCCCTTGGGCACGTGCGGATTTTCGTCGAGCTCTGGGTGCACGCGGAGCGGGTCGTTTTCGAACACGTCAGCGCACTTCTCGTCCTGAAAGCCGCACTTGGAGCGGCACTCTTCCCAGTGCTTCTCTTCCGGCGTCAGCTTGGACGCGTCCTCCCGACTCTTGTAAAACTCAAACCGGTACGCTCGCGTCGGTTCATTAGCAGCTTTGTTTTCACCATTTATTGGGAGGACAGCGTGGTCTTCTGTACTCCTCGGCCGCGCGCCCTCCAGACAACGCTTCGGCAACTTCGAGAAGTCGTAGGCGCCCCGGACCTCCACGGTTTTTCCGACCTGCCGTTGCTCGCCCCGGTAGTGGCGTTGACACGCGTCTTCCGACTGCTTCAGCTCGGCCGCGAACCGATGCACGTGGCGCTCGGTCAGGTTCGGGTCCTCTTGCCAATCTTTAACACCCTCGATCTTGATCTTCATGCCCTCCATGGTCCACCACTTATCCCCGGTGGCCATGTAATCTGTCGGGTCGTACTTTTCCAGGAGCTCCACCTGTTTCGCGGTCCAGCGGTGCGGCTCCGGCTGGGGCAGGCCGTCTGGGCTGAGCCCCGCTTCCGCCACGTCCTTCACAAAGTCTTTGGGCAGCAGCTCGGGGTCCTGGAACACCTCGATGCCCGGCACTTGCACGGGGCGGCAACGCTTGTTCAGAAAGGCTTCCTCGTCGACCGAGAAATCTGGGTGGTTCGGCGACATCATATCCCAGAGAAAAAAGCTAGAACTACATCGATCGTATCTATTTTAATTTGTCCTGTTGTGCCACATAAGTAGACAACGGGACCGTCCAAAACACCATGCAGTTGGCGCGCCCTCGCCCGTGGCGAGTGGAATTATTCGATCTAATCTTTCTTTGCATGCCAGAAATAATACGCGACTCTTGTTCCTTTTTTCTCTGCAATACATCACGCAACGCACGTACAAGGGCTTGATAACCATCCGCTCCAGCTTCTCCACTTCAGCGTTGTGGTCCGCCTGCCGCTCGGCGTTCTTCTTGACCTGCTTCTCCTCGTCCTCCTTCAGTTCCTCTGCAAGTGGTTTCGACTCCTCGCCAGCCTCCTCGAACGCGGACGCGATTCTGCGCCGCTTCAAAGAAGCTCGTGGCGCCGACCACGTCGTCACGGATGAAGACGAAGCGGGTGGAAGAACATTTTCGCCTGCAACTTCACCAACGGGCCAAAGGCGAGTGCTGGCCTGATTGCGCACTCCAGTCTGGATCGAATCGGCGGCTACTGACGTCCTGATCCGCTGTTGCGGCCGTGACGCGCTGTGCGCATACGGCGGTCCTCGTGCTGCAACAAATGCAGTTCTTCCTGCCTGTTGACCAGAGCGAAAACCGCACAGAGCTGTACCAAGCGTCGGTTCTTCTGGCAACATGCTGGCACGACCGTAGGAAAAGTGTAGGCCGTATGAACTGCCGTCCTCTCGCAGGCACGCATCTTCGCCGCCCGCAACCGCGGACAGCAAGTGTTGTGTTACTACCATGAGCGCTGATGCAGCTGCTCACACCGCCATTCTTGCGAATTTAACGAGTAGTGGCTCGAGATCAACAACTTCTCGGGCACGTGCGCTCGGCCACCGACCCATACGGCCATGCCGTGGATTTGTACTGGCGCAGGTCATTCACATGCACAACATCCGGTCATTTGCACGCTGATTTGTACTACACTCTGGTCATTTACACGTAAGTACTTGGAACTACACATATGTTGATGGGCCCCATTTGTAGCTACATACTGGCTGTCCTCACTGATCCACCTTCGCATGCGATGCGTATTCAAAACTTCATCAAAATAATGCTGGATGACACCTCAGCCGACCTGTACTAGTTTCTTCGAGCGACAAAACACCAAGTCACGACACGACTGTCACGAAAGCGAACCACTGGAATACAACTCCAACGATTTTTGATTGGACACAGACGAACACGAGAAAGTTTCTGGCAACCCTCTTTGCTCTTGATGTAAGTACATAGAATGATCCTGTGAGCATCTGCATCTTAAGAGGTGAACAACGAAGCCTGAATGAGCCTGTAATACCTCCCACAAAAGCCGGCATCTGTGGCGTGCGCACCGCCGCACTCAACTTCTACTTTCTCCCGATGGCAGCAGATATGCGTCTACTTATCACTACTAGCACAGTGTCAATTCATTTTTACGACGGTCTGTCGATGCTGACCGCCGCAGGCTGCAAGCCCGCGGCAGTTTTCATCGTAAATCCTGCATGCTAGCGCATACTGCTGCGAGGAAGCTGCCTCCAGGAGCTTTCTTCATTCAAAACTGCGCCAATCGATAGCTGTTGCGACCCGTGTTGAGGTTTTCCTAGTTCATCATACAGAAGTGCTGCTATCGTATCGTTGGCGACTTCGTGCGCGTCATGTGAGAGCACCCTCGCGAGAGAGACGCGCTGGGTTGTAAGAGAGGTTCTTATCATGTACTCGATAGAAAGCATATGGTCAACAGCGCAACTACGTGCTGCGCTGCACGACGAGGACCAAGCCGCGTTAACGTGGTTTCCAGACGAAAGCGTAGGCACTGTGGCTGCACCTCACGTCCGCTGTCAAACAAGTGGCTTGACCAAATCATTGCATGCTTCAGGTCCATTTGTTCGGAGGCATCTAGCTAACCTCCTTGCTTTGTTGGAAAAAAATAAATGCGTGCCATGCTATTCAAAAATGCTATTCAGAATGCTTGCAGTAACAGTAAGCAGTTGCAAGCAGTATAGGCAATTACATGATCGTGATCCAAGTACTACTTGCATCTTGGGCAGCTCGCATAAAACAAATACTTACATAGATATGCTCTTCGCCAGAAAATTTATTTTGAGGTAAAAACAACAGGCGGAAAGTAGAAGAACAACGTTTAATTATATATACTTCTTACACCAAATAAATGTAAAAATACACAAACTTCCTTCGAGAAGGCCAGCTCTGCTCATGCTGACGCAATATTTGTACCTACTTATGCGACAGACGACATGCTGGCCCTTCCCAACGAATCCCATGCAAAAGGAATTTTCATACCTGCGGCAGCGCGCTTCTCGTCTTTTATTCCTTCTTCTTTCCTTTTTGTTCCTGACTCTTGCTCTTATCGAAATTTATGAATTGAAGCGGAAAGTTTCTACCCCTCTGTTCGGGTCCCCAAAATTTCTTCATACCCTTCTGATCGTCCGAGGACACGAGCAGATCTCGATCTGGCTTTCCACTAGCAGACGTCGTAATGCGACGAAGCAACAACTGATAGTCGACGGCACGTGGGACCCGAGTCCTGGGCGTCGCTTTTTGTAAATTTCCGCGTTTCTCAAAATTGGCTTTTGCCTCTTGTACATCTCTTTCAAAATCGGCTTGTGCTTCCTTTTCGCGAACGACGCCGTGGATCATCAAAATGTCATACACGCCCCTCTGTAGCTTCGCTGCCCGATCGCAAACTGACCAAATGAAGTTTTCGTCATACGATGGCCCTTCCGGGAGGGGCACTGACTTGCGTCTTTCAAACAAAGACTCAACTGCCGCCCCCCTGCCTGCTGCCTGTAACACAAGCGCACCGGTCTGCGTACTACGTTCAAGAACATTCAGCGCGTCCTGAGCATACTCGCCCAAGTCCGTCAAGATCTGCGACAGAACTTCCTTCTGGTCCGTCAATCCTGCCAACTTATCAGCAGGCTTGTGCATCATGTAGGACAAATACGCCACAACGCGCGCAGGTAACTCGTAGCTGTTATTGTTCCCAGCTGCTTGTGCCAGGTCAATTGTCGTTATGGTGTCCTGGTGACCCACTGGAGCTTCGAGCGCGTTACCCATATTTCGTGCCTCGTCACCGCCACGCTTACTCGACACCATAGCCTTCTGATTGCTTGTCTCACCCTCATAGATCGTGAGCCAGGGTTGCATACCGTCGGAGCACAATGTTGTCCGGCTTTGGGCGAACCTCTTCCGCATGTGCAAAGTTGCAGATATCGTCGGGCTACTTTCGGCATCAGTGAACGCCATCAGGTAAGGCAAGACCCAACTCAGAAACGCGCAGCGAAAATCCCGCATGCGAGCGGTGCTGTCCGTTGAAAATGCGAACGCTTTCACCGCAAAAGGAGACCCTTCTAGCTTGAGTTTATGATTGGCTGCATCGTTCTCCCGCCGGATCTGCTGGATGAGCCGCAGCGCAGCGTCTTTCGTCTCCATGTCTCGCATCGACGTCCCGCCTCTGTTGTGCATCCTGTTGTGCTCCCCTTCTATTGCACGTTCAAGAGAAAAGAGGCTGTCAGATTGTGCCCTCGCATACTGCAAACTATCCGGCGGGCGCTGCAATAGTTTCCAGTATGCGTCTTCCGCTTCACCTTCACATTGCCTCCTGCATGCCTCGTCGTCTTCCCGCAAAGGCATGGCCCGCCCTGGAAGAGTGGAAAGATGATGCTTTTGCTGCTCCGCAGCTGGCGTAGAAGCGATGGACGAGGACACCTGAACCACTCCGGGGACAGGAGCACCGCGATTCATCGCAAGCCTCGCAATGGACGCCCTTCTAGAAGAGCAGCATCGATACCACGGGCGCCGCTGCCCCTCGTCCTCGTCGATGACTCCGGGCCGCGCTGCCGGTTCCTGCGCCAAACGGTCCCGACCAGTGTCTCTGCGAGTCAGGAGTTCCTGCTCGGGGTTTTGATTCTGTCCGCCTTGCCGGTCCCCCGAACCGCTCTCGCTTTTCTTCAGGTACAGATGATCGAACAACAATTTGCCCACATCCTCCAACAGCTCGATTGTGTTGTAAGATGTCAGCACATGCCCGCCGATAAACTTCGGGTTGAAATGATCCATGTTTTCTGTAAGTATAATCCACAGGAGTCGCCCCCGCATCGACGGACCTTCCCACCACTGCAAGGCGCTACGAGCCCGCCAGCCAAACGCCAACAGGTGCGCTACCTGAAGACCATCACCAGATTTTTGGGTTGATAAAGTGTCATCGCCGGCTTGCTTCGGTTTTCCGATGAGAGCAGCGGCAAGCTTGTTCGCCGGCGCTACCACATCCAGTGAATACCCAAGGTAAGCTCTGCGGACAATGACGTTCTTGTTCATATTCTCGGGAGTGAATTTTTCACGCCAAAATTTCGACAAGAGCTGATCGCCAAGCAGTGCGGAACGCAGCAGCAAGGAGGCATCACTGTGGTGCTCGTACGCACTATAAAAGCGAAACAACGGCGGCTCACCGTTGTCGCGCATCTGTCGTAGCTCTTTCTCTTGCCGGTCCCAAAGCCGCAGTCGCTGGTAGGCGAACTTTTCGGAGACATCGCGCACGAGCACGAAGCCGCCACGCAGATTTATCAACATGCTGACCCAGTCCGTGAGCACAGTAGTTGCGCCTTTGTGGGGCACTACGTCTGGGAGCAATCCGGCAAAGGCAGTGCTGCGAGAGAGTAGCAGTTCAAAGTCGGCCACTGCCGGAAGCGTACTCCGGAGAGGTGCATGCCCCGGAACCTGGTCAGAAGAAACCAGGAGGGGTAGGTTTCGAACCACAATGTTCTCGTGGTAGAAATCCTTCAACATTCCGGCGAACTCAAACACAAAGTCGCCCTGAAAGTCAAGCGTTTTCTCGGGGCGCAAGTCGGATCGGGCCACCAAGGATTTCCGGAGAAGTGCAATATTCAAAAACCGCATGAACAATTGCAGTCGAGAGAAGCTTGGTTCCAATATCTGTTCGCAGAATGTCGTCAAGGCCGGTACCTCAGTCGACATCTGTCCCTGTTCCAGATTTTGCAGTTCGAGCATAAAGATTCGCATGCCGCGATCATCGCCTCTGTGCTTCTGCACTAGCCGGCTTAGCTTGTCTTTCCATGCTGGGGCATCGAGAACCTTGCGACGTACTATCCGTGCGATTTCAGTGTCGTCAAGATCATGCGTCACGCTATCCCGCCACATTTGTTGCATTTGAGTTACGGTTTCCTTCCACCGGGGTCGAAGCGAGTTCGCGGAGTCGCCCGGCCCTTCCGTGATCTCAAACACGTCTTGGAGAAGTTTATCCCGATCCGCACGGTCAGCCACCAATATCTCGACGCTCACGCGAGCACCAGGCTCTGCAGCCTGCTTGTGCTTCCCAGAACCCGATACCGATTTCCCGTCAGCAGCAATGAGGTCTGTCAGAAAACGCACTCGGCTAGCAAGCCAAAGATTACATTCAGAAAACAACCGATCGTACGGCTCAAGCTGCTTTCTGTTGCTCTTTCGAATTTCTTCCGCAGTTTCGGACTCAAAATCGGCTATCGCTATTACTTCGTTCAATTTACGCTCCTTCCCGCGAAGAAGCCCATGTACGTACTCCGTGGCGGGAGCGCCGACCATAATCAAAGTGCGAAGGATTTCCAGCGCGTTCCTCACCAAGTCCTTCGCGCGGTCATCTAGAGAAACCCCCTCGAAAATCCTCTCTGTCTGCCAACCGCGGAATCGCTGCATCAGCCGGAGCATTTCAGTCAGGACCAGTTCCACCTTCCGAGCCAACTTCTCCGCAACGGTGGAACCCATCAAGACGGCCCATTCTAGACGGCGGCGCCCTTCTCGAGTCGCACCGATCTGTAGCCTTGCAAAATGATCGATCAGGCTAACTGACAACGTCTCACGTGGCGCCTCTCGGTACTTCGGCTTGACCTCCAGGACCAGACACAACTTCTCGAAGACACCAGCAGTCTGGGCGTCCAAGTCGAGGATGGAGTGGGGACCGAGGTCGCTTTCACCCTCCTCGCTATCCGACCCGGCTGCTCGCACCGCGACGAGCTGGCTCGGTTGCTCGCGCTGCTGCTCCGCGCTACTTGCAGCACTAGCGCCCAGCGTGGGCTTTGCCTCAAACTTGCCCATGATCGCTTTGACGTCGTCCTCTGATACCTGCCATAGGGTTAATATCAGGGATTTAAGTGAGTACTAACCTTCTTACTTATGTCACTGAAGGTCTTGCTCTTCACACAACTGTTGATCAAAAATTTTCTGAGATATTGAATCACTGCACCTCCTGCGGCTCTACAAAGACGCCACTGCAGATTGATGATATTTCAAGTGGAACCACAGCAATCAACGAACCCCAGCCATCTTCTCACTCTAGAGTAGCTACGTCGAACTCAATTTCGCGGCAATACCTCTGTATTCCGTAACTTGACGAACTGCGACCACCAGCTCTTCCACGCCACTTCAGCCTTGTCTGCCTTAAGGGTTTCCAGAAATTGCGCTTCAATACTTGTCCCTTCATCGAGCTGAAGAAACCACCTCGGGTTCAAAATAAAGCCCGTCAATTGGCTCGCGTACATTTTGTACGCCTCAATCAGCAAGAGATCTCGCGCCGCCTTTTGGACGGGCTTCATCTTCCTTTCCACCGCATTCCGCTTTTTTTTCAAATCGGACTCGAGCAGACCTTCGACGAAATCCAGCGCCTCATTCCTTTTATCGTACTCAGCCCCGAGGTTGTGTATCAGATAGTATGCGGCCAAACGAAATTCTCCGGACGAAATCAGAAACATGACAAAGTCCAGCTTTGTCTGTGCCTCCGCCTCTTGTTCCTTTAATTTTGCTTGAGTCTTGTCCTTCGCCTCCGCAAGAGCGTTTTTCGAGGAAGAGGATGACCTACTCGAGGATGCGGATCTGCTTCGACTTCCTCTCCCCCGCCGCTCGGATGAACTTGGTCGCCCGCGACTGCCTCCCTTGCTTCTACTTCTTCGCAAGGGTGAGTTCTTGCGCTGTTTTCCATCACCCCGGGACCGGCTTCGTTTACGGCGGCCACGACCCACAGGACCCTGCCCCAGCAATCGCGGATCCACTTTGTACTGTGCGCGTCTCGCTGCCTTCAGCGCTTTCAGGGTGTAACGGATCACGTGCGGCTCCAGTTCTCCCGTCCCGTGCGCTGGGATGATAATAAAATGGTACGCTCTCCCTGTTCAAACTTGTGGTGGGAGCCCGTAATAGTTGTCATTGTCCACCCTTGGCGCTCCATCTCTTGAAACACCTGCGTGGCCCGTGTGTGGCCATTGAGGTCGAGGCCAGCAGCAGGCTTCAGCGAGACGCCGGTCGCGAAGGGTGTGAAAAAGCTTCCCCCTGCAAGGCTCCAAAGCACGATGACAAAAAGGGAAACACGACCCGGCGCCAATTTGCGCGTGGTCGTGTGATTCATCGCTGAGGATACGGACATCTTGGGTTGTACTTCACTGAGAAACAGTTTGAACAGTAGAGGGAAACTCGAAGAAGTGCGAAAAGAAGTAGAAGCGTACGACTTCTATGTGTAGATTTTTGTGGAAGCTCGTCCACCTTCGAAGAGTCCTTCTGATACGAAGAAAGTGCTGGGAAAAGTCTGCACAAGCGGAAATACTTCTCCGCTGTTTCAACTTCCTACTATCACGTAACGCACTCCTCTAAAATCGATACTTAGCAGCGACGTCAATAAATTTAAATTTCGATGATGAAGATTAGTTTGAGTTTGTGGTACTAGATTAGTTTGGGTCGCTCGTTCTTTCAAAATTTTCAAAATACACTTCTTGGAAACTGATACGCGAAATCCCAGAACCACCTGTAAGCATAACTCGAGAAGGTGGTGTGAGTTCGTGCTGCGCCGTCGATAAGTTAGACTTAAACTTCGAGTAGTGCACTAGACAAATAAGAAATGAGGGTGACAGGCATTACTCTGACAAGTTGAAATGAGAACTGAGCCGCGACCATTTACTCTGACTCACCGACCTCCTGAAATTTTTCCTGCCACGGCAACCGATAATTGATCGAAATGACAATCTTTATTTTGATCTTAAGTACTCAAACCGAGTTTGAATTGCATCGGGTCTATTTTTTCGGTTTCGCAAGGGGCTTTCATGCGAATCCAGTTTACGGATCGTCTGTCAAACTTTTCATTTGTGTCGTAGCCGCATGCGTCGAGATTCTATGCTTTTAAAAATGCAACTTTTTTTCAACAGCGAATGTTAGTTTGAGCTGCTCGCTCATGGCAGGACTATTCCATTTACACTTTGGATCTTGCGCTCAACGATTCTGTTTGTCTGTTTTTTCACGAGTCAAACTGCTACTGAAAAACAAATTCCTCCAGGTGGTAAGATCAACATTTTCAGCCATTTTCTCTGCCACAAAACCCGCAATGGCCCGCCCGAACGCGACATTATCCGGGAATCTGCTCAGTCCGGCAATCGCTGCATCCAAGTCCGCTGTTGCGTCGTCGTAGCAGGAAAAAGCGCGCCCGAGGGCCTCTGCAAATTCCGTCCGAGATTCAGCGAGCAGCTGGCGCTGCAAGTCCGTGGTGCACAGGATGTCCTCCTTTGGTCCACCGGACCGGTGGCACACGCACAGCAGCCGTGCCGCCACAAACTCCACAACGGTAATGCCGAAATGCTCGTCCCGCATCGTGTGAATGGCGACTTTGCTGGACCGCAATTTGGCCACCACGTCCGGAAACGGAAGGTTGCGACAGATTTTCACACGGTCAGACAGCCCCAGCTCTTCGACAAAATGCTCCAACCCGCCCGCCAGGGCCTCGTCGTCGGCGTTTCTCGTAGACCCCATCATGTCCAGACAAGCGTCCAAAGGAAGCATTTTCTTTCGCCACGCTTCGGCAAACGCTTCAATCTGCAGCCGGTGGTCTTTTTCAATACGGAACTGCGCCAGGGAAACAACGCGATTGGCGCGCTTCATTCCCGGGAGTTTCGTTCCCCTGCCTACTGAAGTTGTACCACTTGTTGTGTTTCTCGTCTCAGTAGACGAAGTAGTAGTATTTCTCGCGGGAGCGACCTCTACTGCTGGCCCTTCCGTGGTTATGCTGTTCGTTTTTGACGGGCTTTCTTTCGACAGGAGCTCCTTGTCCCCGGCGGCGACGAGATTTTCCAGGTCCGTCGGGGGAAACAGTAAGTCGATGTTGCTGTTCTTGAAAAAAATTCGTAAAATGCGACTTCGGGTCCAGCTGGAGTTGCACCACACGTGATCGGCGAAGTAGCCGCTAAGTCCGTACAGCAAAAGAAACAGATGGTAGTAGCCGAGTTTCACTTTCGTCAGCACGACGCTCTTCGAGATCCAGGCTTGGTTGTTGTACATGTGCACGTTGTTTTGCACCCTGGAAATCATGTCAAAGCTCATCGTGGGGTAGTGAATGTAGGTCGCGACGAAAGTGCTACCGAGCCACTTCGCGACCGGGAGGGCGAACCCGAACCCGGTGCTCTCGATGAAGATCTTATATTACAATGAAAAATGCCCCCTCCCCATATCAAGACGGAAATCTGTGACGCAGATTTTTTTTTTTTGATTGGGCCCCACGCTGGATTTTTTCATATAAATTCATCACTAAAACTAGGAGGCCGGTGTGCGTTACTTAACATGTGATGCAGTTCTACGAATTCACCTGCCTGCCGCAGCAGGTCAAACAGGGCCGACACCTTTCACACAGTTAAGCAGTGCGCGTGTATGCGTGCATTTTTGTTTTTTGCTCTTACTATCGACGCCCGGTCTTGCAGGGCTCTCGCCCTGTCGTCTCTTGGGCTGTATGCTGCGTGATAATTGACGCCGAAGATCTTTTTGTACTAAGCTATTTGCAATCAGCTTCAATTTTTACTGTTTTCTATCACTTCCCGGTAGTCGTATCAGGTTTGCATCATGTGTGCATTATCACTGCCCGGAACTGATAGAAGAGCTTTTCAAAACCCCAGACGCAGATTTGTGGCCACAAATCAGCTTTGTGATGCTAGAAGGCAAAAGATGCGGACTGTAGTACTGTCTAGCGTGGGAAAGCCTTGCAGCTCCAGGATGACAGGAGGCCACTGGAAGTGGGAAACAGCATGACAGATTGCCTGCAATTTAGGCCGCAGCTTCGTCTCTTGGCCCTCTAGCATTACAAGCCGATTTGTGTACTCAAATACAGCATCACAAATTCGCGCATCTTCCGTTTCCGATATGGGGTGGGGGCTTTTTTCACTTTGATATCTTACAGGGGCACTTCACGCACGCCTCGACCGCGACCAGGATGGAGCACAGATTTTGCAGCAACAGCGTAAAAACCGGGAATAACCTTGGGTTGTTGGTCAGCGCGAAAAGCTTCACGGGGACAAACGTCAGCGTCCTTTTCCCTGGTCCCTGCTGCAGCGGAATGCCAAAACCACTCTCCACTCGCTGCAGAATTTCCTCCTTCTTTGCCGCATTGCTGGGCGTCGTGTAGATTACAACGTCCGCGTCCTTCAAAATTTCCACCACCGCGCACCACAAAACTCTTTCTCCCCCGCCCATGCCGGAACACTGGGGATGGAAGAAGGCAACCGCGTTGCGTGCGCGCAACCGCTGTACGCAGCGGAACAGAACGAGCACGAGGAGCCATGCTAGCAAAAAAGTGACAGAGATAGAACTGATAGTAGAAAGCGATCTAAGCGCAAACATCTTGAAGTACTACTTCACCCAGGCGAAGGCTAACCGAGCGTATGTTCCTGTTTCTCTTTCATTGCCTTCTCCTTCTCACAGACGAGATCTGTATCGCCTAAGGCTATCTTCTAATTTGATCTTCGCAAGTCCAGGAATGGTGGGCTACTGCAATGATGATGATCCCACGACACAGAAAGGGAAAATAATACGAAGTAGACAGACAGAGCATCCAGATCATTGGTCAGCTTAATTCCGCTGCAGAAATATGGATCTCCGTACTACTTTGATGATCGGCTTTTAGACAGCACGTTTGAACACCTTTGCCACCCTTTTGCACAAACTCTGATGCATGGCGGGTTCAGAAATCAGAGTCGCACACCTTGTGTTCTGTACTATCTTATGGCATTTCTTTAGCACTACCTGTACCTTCGCAAAATAAACGCCCCATATTTTGTCATTGTCCAGTTGAAAGAGGTTCAATCTACGTCTTCCAGCTTGACAAATTCTGATCCTGTCAGCTCCAGCAGGAAAATCAATCCCTGTGCGGCCCGCACACGGCGATCCGGGTGTTGTTCGAAGAATTCCGCACCGAGACAGGCTCTTACTTGCGCGTAGTGCCGGCGAAAGACCTGAGATTGGTTGACATGATAGATGAGTAATGTTTTATTTATCGATGCAACACATTGTGAATAAATGTTCAGTTCATAATGCAGAGAATGGCTAGTACAGCTGCCTCTGTGAACAATGGCTGTGTCTGTGTTTTTCTTTTTGCATACTTACACAATAACAGAGCCAGCGATTTATCGCGAAAAAACATCACACTGTACCTTCCGTGCATTCAAGATCTTCCTTTTCCTTTCGTCGTCGGCTGCCGAGCCGAAGAGCCGGGCGGTGAGCTGGTCGAGAAAGGCAAAGCCGGTGGAGTTGAGAACGCAAACGCGGTTCGAGTCCCAGCACTCCCGATAATCGGCATAGGTCCACACAAAGGTGTCAAAGGCTTTCCTTTCGTTGATCCATCGCTTCAAGGACTTCCGGTACCCGCGTACCTCTGGGTCGAAAGTGACCACCGTCGGATGTTCGCGGCTGAGCAGGTGGCCGAAGGCGTCATTTCCCACAACATTCTCGTCAGCGTCGAAATTCTCGTAGAGAAACAGAATCGAGGATTTGTTTTTGTACTGGGTTATCTTGGGATTCTGTCTGCCTTCTATCTTGTCAAAGAGAGATGCCTTGCTGCTTGGCGCTTGTTGTACCTTAGACGCCTTGTTGTTCTTTTCCGGATGAATAATTCCCTCCTGCGAATTACTGTCTGCACTTTGCAGTTTCCCTGTTTGCTGTTCTCTGCTTTTGCTCAACAACCGGTCGGCGGCACCCGGAGGCGCGGCCACCGCGAGGGCGCGTGAGCTGTCTAGTTCTCGCACTTCGGCGGTTTCGTCGTCCAGCCTATGCATTGCAAAAGTATCGCATTCGTATAAATGCATTACTCAGCATGAGAAACGAAATTTGTAATGCGGATTTAGCTTAAGAACAAGATTTGTAATGCATGACTGCACTACGAGTACGATACTTTTGCACAGGATACAGCCCCAGAGGCGACAATGCTATAGGAGCAGCTCCCGCGGTCTTACTTGTCTTGGACCCGCCCGTGTAGTTGTTCTTCCCGCCAACAAATGCACCAGCTCCATTGCTGCTCCTTCTCCCGGCCTTTTCCTTCTTGACCGGGGCGACACCGGGCGTGCCGTCATCCTCGTCATCCCCTTCCAAGTCGAAAAAGGGAACGTCATCGTCTTTTTCCACTTTAGCGCCAACATCTCTATCTTCTTCCAGCGTGAAAAATGGTTCTTCAGCAGCACCTCCACCTACTGGCTCGCTCGCCGCGGGGGCGTTGGGGTCCTTTTTGGGCGACCCTTCATCCTGCTCCGCGCCCGGTGATGCTAGGTGCAAGGTCGCGCGGCCTCCGTTCTTTACCGCGACGACAGCCGGGTGCGGGTCCGGCGGGTGGAACCACCTTCTGACCGCGTGGAAGTTGCGCGCAACCCGGGACAGGACCGGTTTCTCCTGGTGTGTCAGGTTGAAGCCGAGCATAGCCCACATAGCCTCAGACTCGAATTCCACGCACCGGGTTTTCAGTCTCTGCACCATCTGGTGAAGCACGGAATCGGAAGTGCCGTCCGGGTGAACCAGAATTTGTGCCAAATTGTCCTCGTCCATGAGCAGGAGCACCCCCTGCAACAGCGGGAGCATGCAGTCCCGCAGCACGGCCCCGCACAAAACAAACGCCGGGAACGTCTTCACGCGGGCCTGCGGCGCAATGCCCACACGCGCATTCGCCGGAATGGTGGTTGAATCGACGTTCAACACCGAGAAGCTCTTTTCCTGGAGTCCCTGGTCCCCACCGTGGTTCAAAGCGTCCATCCTCTTGGAAAAGGCCAGCCACTTGTCCCGCGCCCGCGCCAGCAGCCGGAGCAACGAGGCCTCGGGGTCGTTCTGCCGGCCGCTGCGAAACTTCATGTACAGGTTCTGCGTGGTTTCCAGTTTCGCAGGGTCGCTGAAGAACAGCATGGACGCCAGCACTTCCCGCAGAAGACGGCGCGAAGCGTATCAAGATGAAAAATCCCCCCTCCCAATATCAAAACGGAAATTTGTGATGCTGATTTGTGGCCACAAATCAGCTTTGTATTGCAGAGAGGCACTGCGGCCAGATCCCCAGGCTGGGTAGGGGCGTATGGGTCTAGTAGTTCAGCATGGCAAACGGCCCCCCTTTAGGCCCAACAGCATGCCAAATCGCTTCCATAATGGTGCGGCAGCCTCTGCGCTTGTCTTCTTGCAAGACAGACATGATTTGTGACCTCAAATCCGCTACACAAATTTTTGGAAACATACCTTTTCAATATGGGGAGGGGGGATTTTTCCTCAGAATAAAGCAGACCAGCGCTGCGACACGTCGTCGCCGTCGGCCAGGGAAGTGTATCAAATGTAAAAATGTCTGGGTCTGGAAGAATCCAACTTGTCATGCTGATTTTGGATTCTAAAAAAATCTGTATTGCGTGAGCAGTAAAGAGAGTCCAAATTTTGCAGCACGGAAAGAGCATTTGTCATGCGGAATAGGCATCAGGAAGCCCTCTCAAAATCTGTGATGCTAGCGCATGCATCACAGACTTGAGGAGTCATGCGAAATGTGCATGACAAACCCGGCAATCTTCCAGACCCAGACATTTTTACATTTGATAAAGTGGTGAACAGGTCGATGTCGTCGCGCCGCCGGTTCACCTCGCTTTCGTGCTGCGACATCGCCTGCACCAGCCAGTCGCCGACGCGACTGCGAAAGGCCGTGACCGTCAGCTCACCGCTTGCGTCGAAGCGGTCCCGCCCGCGAAACAGGCTCAGCGAGCACTCCAGCTCCGATATTTGCGACAGGAGCTTGATGCGTCGCTGCCACGCCGGGCTTTCTTGCGGAAAAGCGGCACTGGCTTTCGACGAGTTCCGTGAAGATGAGTTGTAGAACAACTCGTGTAGCTCTGGGGCCGCGCCGGCCCCCGCCCAGGAGTCCTCCGACCCGCTGGCGCCCAAGGCCGCGCGCAGGAACGCAGTTGCGTCTGCGAGCCGGGTGCGCAGCGAGGAATCGGTGACCAGGGCCGACTGGTGGTTCCGGCCTAGGGCCGCAAAATGGTGCTGGCTCGAGTGGTGCACGGAGTCGCTGCCTGCGTCAAGAAAAAACGGGAGGTACCCAAGGACCACCGATTCGTGCGTCGGGCCTGTGTGCAAAAATTTTGTCGTTCCCGCTTCCATATTGCCTGTCTTCCCCAGGTCCAGCCCCGCTTCGATCTTTTGAATCAGGGATCGGCGAACCAGACGCGTTACCGCACTGAAATCCGACGCAATCAGCTCATCTTTCGACTGGCCAGTGGCGTCCGCAGGCCCTAACATTTGATCAACACCGGTTCGGTTTATTTGTTCGGAGGCTGTCTTACTGCTGACGGTCCCGGCACGGCCGCCTTTGTTGATGAACGCGACCCCATCGATCGCCGTCCGCAGCGCCGGGGTGAAATTTCGCGTCAAGAGATTGGCGCGAAGCGTTTTCCCCAAGTAACTGACACGCAAATCCCGAGGCAGCAACCCTTGCAGCGGAGTTCTGGTTTTCTCGCACACCCGCAGCAGAACGCGCTCGCACTCGGCCAGCGTCAACGGCGAGTAGGATTGCATCAAGGGAAAAGGAGCTGACTGAAGTGTGCTGTCCTCGCGCTTTTGAGTACCGATCTCTTGCTGCGAACCATCTCCAGCATCCGGCGGCGTGCCTTCCTTGCTACTGATGCCCTTCGGAGGACCCACCGTTTCAAGGAAGCGGTTCAGTAAATCTTGCCCCGAGGGAGGATTTCTATTTGGCGCGTAAGAATCGAGTAGAGCGGTCAATTGCTCCTTGTCCTCAATTTCTACCAAAGACCTCGTTATTGGGAGCTCTTGCACGTTGCTTTCTGCTTTACTGTTGTTTTGTCCTCCAGCAATTCCCTCCGCTTTGGAAATTTGTCTTTCGCGATCTCCAAAACTTTCCTTCTCCGGTAGTTGTCGCTTCTCGTCCGGCGAGAGCCCCCGCCAAACAATGCCGTGCGCCCCGAGCACCCGCTGGGCGGCGGCCTGTGTGGCGAAGACGTGATCTCCCAGCGCGGCCATGCTCTGCGTAGCTTTGCCCATCTCCTTGCCGGCTGCAAACAAGATCCGCACGCAGTTTTGGTTCAGGTTCGCTTCCCCGATGCCGACCAGCACCTTCTCGGTCGCAAGTGCGGCCGGCGGGGAGACCAAGCGTAGCCCTTGTCCGCGGGCGAGCGCGGAGCAATACCCCTCGGTGGTGGTGGTAGTAAGTAGAAACCCGATGCTGCCCCGCTTTCGGATCTCCGCATTCCGCAAGTTGCACCACATCTGCACGGTCTGCATCCAGACCGGGGCCTGCGCGAGACGTCCGGCTCCTGGCGAACCGGCCCGCGAGTTCGGGGCACTGTTCTGTTCATACGTGTTGAAGAGAAACGGAATCTTTTGCAAAGGCCCGCGGCTCTCACTGCGCCACTGTACATGATTTTCTAGTTCCGTGCCACGACCTTGTGGTTCATCACGAGGATGTTCTTGATGATCAGTCTCTACTGCACCTGCCGCATGTCCACCTTGGTGTCCGACTTGTTCTTCCCTCTCTACTTGTAGAAGAACTTCTAAAGATCCGGTGCTTTCTCCTAGAATGAAACGTTCTGAGTCGTCAGTTGACGCTCCCAGATCGAAAACCGCCTGGTGCTCGGGTTCGATTTCTGCATCTCGTTCGTTTGTGACCTCCAGGGCATCGTCGATGTGAAAGATCTGTGACTCCAGGCCCTTTTGCATCTGTTTCGTTTCGTCGCGCATCAATTTCATGAACTGCGACATGCCCGGGAGCTCCTCTTCCGACCCCAACCCATTACTGTTCGTGGAGACGCCCGCGAAAAAGGCCCGCTTCCGGGGCGTGGGAACTTCAGCTTGCTCGCCCTCCGCGGCCTTCAGCGGAATTTTTGACTTTGTGCCCACTCTGCTCAACGACGGTAGTTCTTCCTTTTCCTCCTCCACCTCCAAAGAGCGCGACAAAGCTCGCTCACGCAACGACTTCTGGCGATTGATGACGGCGGACACTTTCGGGGCTATGGGGGTCGAACTTATGGCCATCGTCGTTCCCAGCGCGTCTTTGCTGCCACTGGTCACGAACGCGAAGGGTTTCGGTCGTGGAAAATAGGACTCTGGCTCTTTACTTATCCTTCGCTGTAGAGACTGCAGATACGCCTCGTCTTCAGCTCGAGATCGATCGTAGCGCTCCTTCGACGACGGCGAAGGGAACGGACTGTAAGCCTCGGCGCCGAACCGAAAGGGGCTAGCACTACGGCTGCCGAAAACGAGGTCGGCAGTGGCGAGCTCAAGTTTGGGTCTCTGAAAGTAGTTCGAATTCGACCTTATTCTACTTCCGGAACTGCCATAATATACCGGAGAAGATGAGCCCGTTAAGACGCCGCGAACTGACGGAAAGTATCGACCACCGTAGGCCAGCGGCCTTGATGGCACACTGGTGCCCCGCAGCGATTGGAGAGCCCGCCCGGGCCGGCTTTGCTGGTGGAACTGCGACTTGTGAAATTCTAAAGGAACATAATCGTCAAAATCGTCCGCACTGCTGCTGCTACTGCTTTCTCCCGCCCGTGGTCCCAGATACTTTTGCGCGAAGTTTGTCCCGGAACTAGGCCCCAAGAACGCCCGGGAAAGTAGACTTGTTGTTGGCAAAGTTTGATCTTCCCTGTACGGTGCTGAGCTTCGTGCTCTGAGTGGCGATCCTCCCAGTCGCGCGGGTGGGGAGAAGTAGCTGCTCCGCGACCTGCTCTCAGCACCTGGCAACGCGTTCGCGCTGGCCGCATTCAGACGTCGATTGTAGTGTGCTGCATCGCTATCGCCAATGTTTCCCAATCTGTCTCTCGTTGTCCGGACTTGCTTTCGCGGCACATAACTCTGCAGTAGCGGAGCGGTCCCCCGTTCGGGCGAAGAGGGACCTCCCGCCAGAGCTTCGTAATCACCATCTCGCTTCCTCGAAACAAAGCCACTTGATGCTGTATCCATTCCCGCTCCTGGCGACACCGACAACTTTCTTCTCGAATTCGCTTGAAACGTGCGGATGTCGTTGGTTCGAATCAACAGGGCGTACGTCGGCTCCAATCCGTATTCCCGCACCATATCGTGAACGAGCATGTCGTGTGCCTCGAGCTCTGCCAGCTTCTGCTTCACCGACGCGGGCGAGCCGCGCTGCAGCCCCTTCAGCGCTCCCGGCTCCACCAGTTGCGATTGCTGCACAAACGTGAGGGATCGCATGATTCGCTTCAAGTCGCGCTTCCCTACCCGCGGGAACAGGAACTTCGGTGGGAAATCCTGCGCCTCCCGCAGGTAGTCGGTAGTTTCCCGCCGCTCCCAGGAGTCCTGGAATCGCCGCAACCACTGCTGCAGCGCCCGGACCACATCCTGCTCCACGGGCAGAAGCGGTGTGGGCAGGGAACACAGCCCGTTTTCGTTCTGTAGGGCCCAGTGCAGAAACTCGCAGGCCAACACGCGCCCAAGTGCTTGCACGTCGGTCACAACCGAAACCGGCTCGCCGGGCCGCGCAAATCGGCGATCACGAATATCTTCGTTCCGTAACGCCATCGATACCGGTCTTTGGCGGGGCCTGCTAGCCTTTTGATGAAGAAGCTCTTTGGCTCTGGTGCCACTTCAGTATCATTTGCATTTCATCGGGGTTGCGGACGGGGAATACGAATAGAGCCAAACCTAATTGATAGCGATTATACGTTTTGGGAAAGTAGATCCCAAGCTAGTCAAGGGGCAGAGATTGTGGTTTATGATTACACTGATGTTTTGGGGCTACTGTACTTAGCAAGCGTCAAGCTTGCTTACTGGGAAATGAGACAGCATAACACTACTTCTACGTAGTGACAAAACACATGGAATTCAAATTCATATTCAGCACGTGGGGGACATAAATTCAAATTTAGGGTAGCTGCTTACATTTTGGATTCACAACAAAAGTCAAGCAGCTTGAGGTTGAGTCACAACGACGTAAACGGACGAAAAAGTTCTTCTTTAACTTCATCAAAAATCACACGAACGAAAGAAACAAACGGAGCGACGCGCACGACATCAGACAGTTTCTTGAACGATAACAGTGCTCCAACACCCCGGGAGGCGACAATGGAGAAGCAGGTAGAGCAGCGCGAAACGGAGCACGATACACGACTGACAAGACGACGATGAAAGTTCAGTGTCTCAAATCTAAAGAAAAGCAACCAACACGACAGGCACGAACTTGACGCCTTGAAAATCAATCCTGCCTCTTCCTTAGAACAACTAAAATTATTTCCGGATCGTCAAAAGCTGCGCACAAGCAAGCATTAGGTCTTTCGGATTGTATTGTCGCGTAGATGAAATGTAAATGCGCGTCGCTTGTGCAGGAAGTCAATCTTGTTTTGACGAGTGAAAATGAGCCGAGTGCGAGCATGGGGAGCAGGGGGAACAGAATCACCACGTGCTATGACGGTAACACCATATCTTCCATGTCCACGTCCTCGTCAGCATCTTCCTCCTCCTCCTCGGATTCGTCTCCTGGCGTCGTGTAGAGCCACCTTGTCAGGTACTGGCAGTTCGTGGGATTCGGCGTGCTGTTCGAGAAGATCGCGCTGGCGTCGCACTGGTCGCGGACTTTGCAGCGGAGGCACGGGATGTCGCGCATCGCGTCGAAGCTGTATAGCGCGTGCTGTTTGCGGATTCGGTACCTTATCACGATTCCAGCACCCGCTGCGGCGTCCGCCTGCATGTGGCTACTTAATACCGTGGCGGAAGACGCCGCTGGCGCGCTGCTTCCGCCGCCGAAGAAGCCAAAATCTTCTCCAAACCCCACGTGCTCCTCTGCGGGATCCTCCGCATTCGGCAGAGCGTCAGTGGCTACCCCCAGGTCGAGCGACGTTGTGGCGTCCACCACGCGGTCAAGCTGCAAGACCCGCAGAATCTGGGACATCTTCTGCACTTCGCCACTCACGCCGGCATACTCGCACACTTCCTCAACAGTGAAGCCGCGGTTGGGCCGCGTAGACAAAACCTGTTGGAACGGTAAGTTGGTATGCCCAGGCTTTGAACAAGAATTGAAGACAAATAAAATTTCGGTGGCAGTCAGTGTACCAAAGTCAATCTCCCTAGCGGATAACAGAATTCGTAATAATCATATGAAACAACAACATTGCGCAACGTAATGGGATCAACAAATCTGTACCTCCTTCGCTTTCGCCTTCAGCAATTCGATTTGCTTTTCCTGCAACTCCCCGTTGACGTACCAAAGCCCGCCTGATATGTCCTTTGCCGGCGTGACGTGCCAGCCCATCCAGACCGCAGTTCGCTTGCTGTGAACGGGTTTGATGTCTTTGACCATCTGTTTTTCTTTCAACTTCAGACATATGTTCTTCACGTGCTGGAGGGGTAGGCTCGTTTTTCGCTGCAGATCCTTGGTCTGGATACCGTGGTCCTTGGCTTCCATGATAAATTGGTACACCGACTTCTGCTCCGGGGTCAAGGTTTTTAGCCTGTTCGAAGTATCTTCATTCACCAATCTGAACTTCGACCCTTCCTGCGTTTTTATCACTGCTATTCGGTGCTGCTTCAGGAGCAGATTCACCCCGCTGATGACGTCTTCGCTGCCCATCTCGCTCTTTGCCGTCAGCTCTTTGGCCGAGAGCGGGCCCTGCTCAAGCATCCGAATGATCACTTTCTCCGCCATGGTTGTGGTTTCGCTTCTAGGGGTCCGCTAGGGTGGTGCGGATAGGTGGAAAAAACACTAGATGGTGGCGACCGAGGCTCTCTGGCCCACCTAGTGTGTAGCCCTATCAAAACGTACCTCGACTTCTTTGCTCCGCTTACTCAGGTGTGGCATAAGTCTGCGAGTCATGTTGATCATGAGTATCTGTAAGCTACCAGTACTTGTTGTTGATGCCATCATAAAAATAGAATAACGACTTTCTATACTGCTGGTACGTAAAAAATCTCGACATCACTACAGCCATATCTGTGACACGACCTGACGACAAGAGTCCACAGAATAACGATTGAGCGAAACCGCGGAAGAGCAAGATCGTTCTAGCACACCATATGCTTTTTCTTTTCACAGATCCAGTGGTTCTCCTGGTGCTTCTACACGAGCTCAGGCGGATCCAGCGCTTCATCTTTATGAACATTTCACGGTCTGTGAGGATCCTCTGGCATGCTAATCTTTGATTTCCGACGATCACGATATCCATTTCCATAGTACTGATCTATCGTCATAATTTACGCGATGGTAGCTGGACAACCTGGCACGAAGCTGAATTTTTGTTTCAGCCCAGAACCTTCACCACGAACAAATTTCCTGATCCAAACAAAGATAGGCGCTCTGCGGCCTTTGCTATCAATTTTTTTCTTACAATTTTTGTCGCTTCATGGAATTTCTTCGCGGTCGTGGTCAATTTCACGGTGTAGCAAAAATTTCGAGGATGAACGTTTGTGGATGAATGTCACCATGCTCCTGCGCAGTCAGAGCATGACACGATCATCTTTCATGGTGTCGCTAAAACAACTACATGGCAGTTCGTGCTTGTCGCGATAGCAGCGTCGGTAGAGTGATCTTACTTCCACTATCACACGCCCGACTGCAGGTTCCGCAAAGTTTCTTGGAGTTGCGGCACAGAGGCAAGCCGCAGCCCCATCGGCTCCTCCTTTTTCCGCATGGCGCAGTAGGCCTGGATCTTCCCAATCAGATCGTCCTTCACCTGTGCTTCTTCGAGCTCTTTTGCTCGTTTCTCCGAGACCCCGCCTCTTCCCGCAGTCGCCTTGGCGCGCGCTTCCGCGGCCTCCAGCTGCAACTGTCTTCGGTCCTCCGCCGCCTTCGCTTGCACGTCGCCACCCAACAGTTGCCCCTGTCCAACGAAAGCATTACTGCCCCCGCGGGACCCCCCGCGGCCGTTGTTCGGTGGTGGTGGCCCGCCACGTTGGTTTGGTATCAGCGGTTGGTTCGCATTTCGGAGCTCTTCCTGCTGCAATCGCCGGGCCAGTGCTGCGTCATCGTGCGTGCGGGCTTTGGACTTCCCGACGCAGCCACCCATGGAAGGAAGTGAGTATGGGAGTAAAGGAGAACGATGCGCGTTCGGTGTTACTGATATACCTTCGAATTCGATTGATATCTCGTCACTTTATAAATTCGATTACTGGGGTTCTTCTAAGAATGTAAAGTGGTGTAAGAAAAGGGCGAGGAAGTCAATAAAGAAGGGTGGGAATGATAAATCGCGCCTGCAATGGAAATTGGAAACATAATCATCTTCATAGTTGTTGAGAACGGAAGCTTTCACTCTGCCCCTTAGCAATAACTTCGCTCTATCGCTTCTTCAATTCTAGATTTCCATCGAATACCGACACATGCGGTGCTGCTAGCTCACCAGAACCGAACATTGATTTAGGACCAGCCGAATTTATTTCTAGAATCATGCATCAACTCAGAACGTGTAGAATTTGATTTTGGTCAGCTATCGTCAAAAACTCACCTCCACTCAACAACCGATGCTGCATGAGATCACTCCGCGTTGTACCGAGGAAACTGAGACGAATTGGGATCAGTATGTAATTTTCGGAAAAGCGTGCCGCAAGATGAATGGGCTCCATTTCTAATTTGCGATATCTATACAGTTACACGTACAGTTGGCACATAGCAACTGTAGCACAATTTGAATACAGGTTAAAATCGTTCCAGCATCTTGGTCTTCGCTTTTCTCGAAACAGTGTTAAGCTCTCTCGCTCAATTTCATTTCCTCGAAACCACAAATTTGCATTTTTTTAGACGAAACCGCTTCTACTGTCTGTTTCTTTCGTAAAATAACTTGATCGCAATCTCAATTTGGTATCGGATTTGTCTTCTAGAAATTGGTAACTGTAACAAGCGGATAAGAAAACTTTCCTATATTGTCATTTGATAACTTACGCGGCGCTGGCAGGGGTTGTTCTACTTTGCTACCCTCGTTATTAGCCTTGCTTTAGCAGCAGCTCGATCGCAGGTTGCACCTGCCCGCCGGTTTCCTCGAGCGCCGAAATACACTTCGCCGTGTTTGTGAACCCCGTGTGGCGCATCTTGGTGAGCTGGGTTCGGTATTTCGTTTCCGGGTTCTCTTTCTGCGCCTCGAGAAACGTGTCAAACGTTTTGTTGAACTGCGAACCGGGCGTAACTTTCATCTCCTCCCGCTGCTTAGCGGTAACCTAGGTGTGTTTCGTTGTCGTACGGTAGCGTTGAAATGACTAGCAACATCCTTTTCCAGTGAAGTATGCAATAAGTGGTAATACCTCCGACTAATGTACTAAATTCAAATGCAACAATTTCGTCCCTCTTTACCATGGCGTTCATGGCGGTTTCCATACTGGCAATGGCCTGCATATTCTGTGGTCGGAACAGCGAGGCGACGAAGCCCGGGTTGGAGAAGCACTCGTTGTCTCGCTCTGTGGTCTCCATGTACTGCGCCATTAGCTGCTGCAAATTCGGGTCTTGCATCATACTTGCCATGGCGTTCGCGTCGCATGCGGTGTGCCATGCTGGCAGCTGTAAGTAAGTAGATATATTTTTGCGGCATTTATTGCACGACCCATGTGTTTCTTTCGTGTGCGTGCTTCAGCATCTCCACTCCTGCAAGAGCTATGACAATGTTCAATTTTGCCGAGACTAAAGAAAAAATCTGAAGAAATGCAAATATTGGTCAGGATCCACTTCCACATTACCCCTTCCGCCGCCTCCCTTTCGAGCCTGGCTGCTCGTTCCTCTTCGTCTTCCGAGGTGCTGGATTTTTTGCTCTCTTCTTCTGGCAAGTTGAGTTGTTGATGCATGGAAGTAATCATCTCGATGCCCCCAGGTACGGACTTCAGTTCCTGGACCGCCAGCTCCGTGCTCTGCAGCACTTCGCGCATGGTACTTGGGTTGCGGAACGCCTCCGCCGCCGTTTCCTGAAACTCGGAGTCTCGCAGCATCTCGGAGAAATCGGGGTTGGTCTCGAGACTCATGCGCACTGCGGGATTCATTTTCATGATGGACTCCAGAAACTTCTCGTCGTTCAGCAGAGACTGCATCGCCGGACTATTCATCATCTGCTGCATGATCTCGGGATTCATCAGTAAATGCTGCTGGAGATCGACCAAGACCTATCGAATTTTGAATCATGTATTAAGGATGAGGATGTGTCCACCTTGCATCACACACTAGAACAAGAACCTTTGCCTTTCACTGACTTCCCGATCACACTTGATTTTCATGCCGCCCTTTAGAGAAAATTTTCCAATATGCATACTGCGACTTGTCAGCCCTATGAGAAGCTGTACCTGCGGCATGTAACCAAGTTCTTGTTTCTTTGGCTTCTCCTTTCCTGCGGTCTGAAATCCGGTGGGTTTTATTATTGTGATTTCTGACTTGTCTGCGACACCCTGCTCGTCCAGTGGTCTCTCTTCTAGCTCCTTGCCCTGTTATAGAAGTTTAAGTTTTTGCAATGAAAACTGAATGAAGATTTTTAACTACTAGTGATTGCTAGCGAGATATGATCAGTTGCAAAATAACAGTGTCAGTGATATTAAATGCTATGACACCTTGAAGAGCAGCTTGTAGCTTCTGTCCATGCCATGCTCTTTGACGAGGATTTGCTTCAGGTGAGACTGCTTTCGCTTCGTGTTTACGTCTATCAAATGCAAAAGTGTCTGGGTCTGGAAGGATCCGAACTTTTGATGCGCATTTTCGAACACAGAAAACTCTCTGATGCATAGGTAGCAAAAGCTGCCCCCTTTCTGTCACCAAAATGGGGGATTTCTCATGCGGGCTCGGCATTGCGGAAGCTTCTCGAAACCTGTGATGCTAGAGCTTCCATGCCAGACCTTCTGTCTGTGTAGTCATGCAAAAACAGCATGAATCTTCCAGACCCAGACATTTTTACATTTGATAACGTCGACCTTCAGGACGCGGTCGTCCCATATTACCGTCACAATCACCAGCATGATACCGCCGGCGTGGGGCTTCTATGCAAGAGCTTTCCCGCTATTTACTTCAAAAACAGTCCTCTCGGCTGCGCTGGACGGAAGTCCTAGTCTTGCTTTTGGTCGAGCAAAAATGCAGCGTGTCAATTCGCGGTACGACGCGAAAAATTCATTTCTTTTTTTCAAGTACTTCTGTTCATTCAGCAATAAAAGACGTTGCTATGACGTGGAATAGCGATAAATGAAATTGAAGTTCCACATCTATCCTAATTTTGACCTCAACCATGACACCTGCTTCGCATCTATGACGACACACCCAAAATCGTTGGCAAAGCCCTTATCGATAACTTCCAGTTCCGACATCCTCAGTCTGCTCTCATTCGAAATTGATCGACGTCCTAGCCCTCTCTCTGACGACGCTATTCTCAAGTCACATTTAGATTTACGACGTCGATACGACATGAGTTTGAGCTTTTTTCGTCTGTTGAGCACACAGGCACGGATGCATACGTATGGAGGAAATGCAGATGCGTTTCCATCCTCACGCCAAGGGCGATCTGCCTCACAAAATGGAAAAATCTATATTTTTTTTCGTTTTTGCAACGAGGGCGGTAGTACACAGGTGGAAGACGGTGCTCGACTCAGCCACGGCCGCTGCAGAATTCAAGTTCCCCCTGAGCTTGTCCTTTGGAAAATCGATCGCAAGCTTCGAAGCACAACCGGGTCTTAGGAAAGACAAAAGAATGCTTTGCAATGCAAGCTTTAAGACGACATTGCGGTAAAAAAATGCTCTAACCTTCGAAAAGGAGGAAACAGCTCGGAAAATTCTAATGGTATTCTTTTTTACATGAGAGGCTTCTATAATGAGAAGAATGCGGCAAAAAAAAGGACAGAAACTCAAACTCTCACCTTCACAATCAAAATGTATGTGTTGAGAATCAAATCACATCTTCGCCGCGGGTGCCTCGAACTGCCGGGCTAATTCTGCGACCTTTTTTGCTTGCCGCACACCGAGGTCGAGCATGATCTCTTCTGAACCGCCTGGCACCGCCATCGCTCTGACTTCGCGACTTAAGCGCTCCACCTTCTCCCCCTGCCCACCCCGACTGTAGGACAAACCGCCGAAAATTTGCGCCGCTTCTCGCGCACAGTATTCCATTGTCTTCGTGCACTGGACCTGGGAAGTGTGTCGTGGGCACTTATTCAAACACTTCATTATGTGATGGATAAGTCAATTAGAGACAAGCTGCAGCGATGTGCTGGGCATCTGCCTCAGTCATACCTTTTTTGAATGCAAAGGCAACTATTCCAAAAATCACCTTTGCAAGCGCCGTCATTCCGCCGAGCTTCAGATCCGCTTCTTTCTTCTCCATTTTGTCCATGTTGTAGCACAAGGTTTCCAGCCATGCGTGCGTTGCTTCTATTTCGCGGGTCATTTCCCCGATCTTCCATCGGATCACCGGGTGGTCGACCAGCTTTTTCCCGAAGGTCTTCCTCTTGTTGGCAAACTTAATGCTTTCTTCCAAACACACTCTGGCAAATCGGTTGGACATGTAGCAGATCAGCAGCCGCTCGTGATTAAAGTTGGAAACAATGTACCTTGGTGGTAAAGATTTTTATCAGGGATTTCTAGCAAGAGTGGGGGGAAAGCGTCGCAACAGCCTGTCAAGCAGCCTGAATCCCGTCTCATTCATCGCATCAAAGAAAAAACATAGCATCAAGTACTTGAAGCCCTTGTTTTCCTTGCCGATGAGATTACTGCACGGGACTTTCACGTTATCAAACGTGACATAGGTGGTGCCGGAGCACCACATACCGGAGCAGTCCATTCGCCGCGTCTTTACCCCGGGCCCGCGCTCCACTAACAGCATGCTCACGCCACCCGCCCCTGCCTCGCCGGTTCGAACGGCGACCGTGAAGTAGTCTGCCCAGATGCCTGAAATTTTCAAACATACGAAGTGGTTGCCTTGAGTTCGATACCCGATCCTGATCAGCATTCAGTGCGCAAAAGAATTCAGTACTTCTTTCACCATTCTCAAACATACTGTACCGTTGGTGATCCACTTTTTCTCCCCGTTCAATATGTAGTGGTCGCCCTTCTTTTCTGCTCGGCACCGAATCTGTGCCACGTCGCTGCCGGCCATCGGCTCCGTGATCGCTAGTATGACCTGCTCAAACGTTACAATCTCAAACGTTACAATAGAATCTGGGATTTGTCTTGCATAATGACCATGACAGACTCGCAGACCGTTCCATTTTCTGCAACACAAATTTCGGCAGATTGTAGTGCGGTTTGGGACTCCGTAACTTGTGATGCGCAGTCCTATGAGACTTCGCCAGATCATGCACTTCTTGCATCGCAGATTTCCAAATTCTATTGTAACGTTTGAGATTGTAACGTTTGAGCAGGTCATAGCTAGACAGATGATTTTCTCCCCTCGCAAAACGGGTCCGACGACCTTGTCTTGCAACGCCGGCGATCCTATCAAATGCAAAAATGTCTGGGTCTGGAAACTTGTGATGCTAAAATGTCCATGATGGAAACACTTCCGAATGCAGTCCAGCATGACAACTTCCCAAAACGCTCTCTCATAGGCAGAGCATGACAAACTGCGCCTTTGCTGCGACTTTTGTTGGTTATGCAATACAGATTTCCCAGGAGTGTAGAGCTAGCATTGCAAGTTCCATCCTTCCAGACCCAGACAGTTTTGCAGTGCATAGATCCATACCGCAGAACCGGTGGCAGGCCAATGCAGAGGCCGCCGTTGATCCCCCACCCGACGCCGCCGCTTCCGGTACGACTGAATTCGTCGATAACGATGAATTCGTGGAAGGAGTCCAGCTCTTCCTCCTTGCCCCTCAAACAGGGCGGCAGGTTCACGTGCTTCGTTGGAAAGGGGTGCCCGACGCAAAGCGCGTGGATGCCGGAGTCGCCGATTTTTTTCAGCGTCTCCTTCGGTATTTCCTTGGCCTCGTCCCACTCGTGGCAATAGGGCAAAATGTGCTCCTCCACCATCTCGCGCACGTACTTGCGCAGCTCGATGTGGCTCTGCTTGTAGTACGGCGAGTACTGCCCCTGGTACCAGTACGGATCGCTGAAGGGGTTACCATCCCCGAAACTGTCCACCTTCCACTTCGAAATGTCCATTATGTGATAAAATTACTTAATACGTGTTTGCTGAGATAATTCCCTTCAATTTTATTCCAACCGAACTTTATGGATACACAGCTTCGTTTGATCAATTATGGGAATGGTGGGGATGTGAGATTTGATGCAGGTGCTTACACAGGGTTCGCTGATTTTGCCCCTGAACCGATTTCTTTGAAGATGTCGGAAAAAACATTTACGGGTAGCAGAGAGACAAGATAGAGTAGGTACGGAGGCTCTACGCGTTGAAACCTGTTATCTGGACCGACCTTCAGATTTACAAATTAGGCAAGCCATGCTCGTCCGTCGTTGGATTCTGGAAACACACACGCAGTAAGCTCATGCCACAGAAGCGATGCCACGCCGAGGCCTTTGGTAGTAAGTACTATTGCGCTTGGTAATATTGTCGCGATGGAATTAATACGTACGCGTTGTACCTTCAAGGTGCAGTTCCGTTTCCCAGAAAATCTGTCTCGTACACGGGATTCAGTTCAAAGCGATTCTCTTGATTTTCATTTCCACTTTCCGGCGCCGCAGCTGCCTGCTGTTTCATCCGGCGCTTCGCCGCAAAGCGCGCGAGGTAATTCGTGGCGTTGCTGGCAGCCGCACTCACGACAACCTCGGGCAACTCGACGCTCGGGGTGAAAGCAGCGACTTGCGAAACCTTTTGAAAAGCCGGCGGGAGATCCTCTACGTTGCGCCGCTTTTTCCGCACTCGTGCGCACATCTCGCAATAGAATTTCCCACGATGTCTCCCGTCGAGCGCAGGCAGCCGGGTCTGCTGTTTGCAAAGCGCTTCGAGTATTGGCTCCACTAGTGTTTGGAAAGAAGCCGCTTCATCTACTGTTTTTCCCTTCTTTTTCGCACCCGTTACGGTGCTGCCTATGGTACTTCCGCTACTGCTTGTTCCGGGCAGACCCAATAGTACCGCTGCAGCTCCATTTCTACTTCCGATCTCTTCCTCCGGCTGCAAATCTATACGATTGCCAAGGCCCGCACAGTACGAATGAAAGAACTTCCAGCACCCCTCGCAAGGGAGACCTGTGCCTTCGCCTTCGTCAACGGCCCTAGAGCAGCACACGAAAGTGCGACTGCTGGAAGTAGCAGATCCGCTGGACGTTGAAGAGGATGCGGTGGAGGACAACGCCATAGACAACCCAGAGCCAACTAAACTTGTGATCTTGTCAACGTACTGCACTAAAAAGTATTGCTCGGAGTGTGATTCACACAACGCGTCCGCTGCTTTTAGCCTAGACTTCTGCTCTTTGCGCAATTTTTCAGCTTTTCGTCGCTCAGCTGGGAGTAACTGTTTGCGCTCCGTGAGTTTCGCGTTTCCAAGCAGGTTGGTGTCCAGGCCCAGTGACGCTTGCGGGTCATTCTCCTCTTCGTTCGCACTCGCTGCATTGCTAGACTCTGAGGCATCGATTTGCCGACGGGCGAAAACAGCCACGTGCAGCGTATCTGGATCTTCATAGTCGTCTCCCCGCTTCCTTTTGCGGGAACCAGTGGCAGCTTCGGATTGACTCGCCAAAGAAAGATGAGTTTTCACCACCTCGCTCGGCCTGCCGGTACATAAGAGTACTCGCTGCAGACAGTGTGTGTGCACAGGGCGGTAATACCTTACGGCAGACGAGCTGCTGCTCGTGGTCCCCTCCGTTGCTTTGAACGGAACTGCGATTTGAGTGGAGAGTCCGGAGAGCTCATGTCCACAAATCCCGCACGTGTGTCCCGCAAGGCTCGAAACCGCAATGACCGCATCGGACGCCATTTCTCACTCATTGCATACAGAAAAAAATTTCTTTGAAATTGAGAACAAAATGAGAGACAGACAAAACTGAAAAGTGTCAGTTAGCAGTGTAAACAGGACAAAGACTCGATGGATACCTTCATATTCTTTGCGTGAAGTCGAACAATAAATAAAAATATGTCTGGCGCTGTCTAGGAAAAAAGACGAGGTAATGGTGACCCTGCGTTTTGTGGTTGCTATATGAAACTTATGATGGGGACACAAAAGCAACACAGCGCCACGGTGGAAATTGCGAGATGACTTCTAGAAATTCACAATTTGGTCTATCTTTTTCTGAAAGAAAATCCGCTCAAAGAGTCGATCGTGCGATATCTCAACAACAACTCTCATTTTTTGAACTTAGTACTTTGTCTGCACTTGAAATTGCGAACAGCAAATAATTTTTTTCCCTTTAGTAGCATCAGCGTCCAGAAAAACGCCGGAAATTTTCCGCAAAATGGGCACATGTGCAAAATCCACCCAACCAGGTACGCGCACACCTGGTTGGTACTCGTCAAAAGCAACTTATTCTCGCCAGCTCGCAGCTGTTTTGCGTTCTTGTGATATTCAAATAAAAAGTCGTTGGGACTGCTGTCGCCTGTATGAAATCATTCTGATCGTAATTGCGTCGAGGTCTCATCGTACAACAAACATGAATCGTGATCCCGCCTTGCTACATGTAGCCCGCATTCATGCCCAAGTCTCTGCCGCTCCGAAACTGTGGGCTGTTGGTCATTTCCATTCCCTGCGCCCTGGGATCCATGTGGTACGTGCGGCCCGAGTTATCGAAAAGAGTTGTTTCGTCCGCCTTTCTGAAGGGGGTGTCGTAGTGCTGGTAGTGGGGCGCATACATTTGGTGCGTTTGGGGGGCCGGGTTTGCCATGTGCCCGCCGAACAGGAAGTAGCAGGAGCCGGCAACGATGAGAAGAAGCACGATGTACTGCCACAGGGAGGAGCCTTCACCTGAAAAATGTGTTGTAGAAGAAGAATCACTAAAATCATCCATGCCTGGTCACCACACGACCAAAGAAAGAGGGCAGGGCAGTTAGTTGCCAACCGCTGTCACGCAGAGCCGAAATAATGTACGTACCTTGTGAGTAGTCCTGGGTTTTTGTCGCTGCGACTGGTCGGACAGGTTTGGCGCCCGGGAGCTGGACTTGTATCGTTTCGAGGAAGCCCTGCTCGCCCTCCACAACGACCGCTGCATTCCGGCCGGTGACTTCCTGCAGCAAAACGTTGACGGACTGCAAAGTCGCGGTGGATTTTTCTTGCACGACCTTAATGCTGGGGTCGGACGCTCGCACCTGGACGTCCCTTCCGCCGGTCCAAATGCGGAGAGACACGGCAGGGGAAGCAGAAGCTGTTTTTTTTTTTCGGAGGAGATTCTGAATCAACATTATCAACTTCAAAGTCATAAACTTTCTCAATCCATCTTCAGTCTTCGTGTTTCTTATTCTTTCCAGAAGTCGATGAAAAAAATTTGCTTCAGAACCACGAAGAAAAAACCTCGAGCACGGCAGAAATGGCAAAAAAAATCAATACTGAGTCGCAGCCCCTGCGCGATGTCGAGTTCCCGGCCTGTCACGTCTAAAATGACGAATCCGGGGGTGAATGGCAGAGTCAATTGCCCCGCGGTGACGCGACTCGAGTCGTCGAAATCCGTGCTGCTGCCGTCCCAGACGTCCACGCGCAATTTTACGGCTTCTATTCTCTCCGACAGCGTCAGCAGCTTCGCCGTTTCCGGTATTCGCTTTTTCAAGTTGCAGGCTGGCCCACCGTCTAAGTCGCCGGGCTCGATGTGGCTGATCTCGAAAAACGTGGACAAAACTGCGTCTCCCGCGCACTTGATTTTCGTGTTCTGGATGAAAAACGGGCTGTGCGTTTCAAACACCCGTTTCTCCTCGTCCAACAAAGCAAGAGGTATTCTGTAGGCTTTATCCTTATTCCCATGGTGCGTCGTCAGCTGCACGTCTCGCGGTGCCTTGATCGTCGCAACCTTTTCGACCAACACGCTCGTGCTCTGCTCAAACTCGCCGCAGTAGAGCACTTTTGCTTCCCCGATGGCTTTTGCGACGGCGGTCCCGACGTTTGCGTTGGCGAAGTGCAGCACACGCGGGTTGGAAGATGACCAACGACCGTTGGGACACCTGGAAGATGTTAAGTAGGTTTGCACAGATTGATAATTGCATGATGGAAGCACGATTTGTCGAACACGAGATGAGGTAGAAACTGCAAAAGAACAACAACCAATGGTCGAAAAGAAGAAACTTGCTTCGTAGTTCATCTACTCCAGTAAAATATACCTTTTTGCGTCCGCTACAGCATCGGTCGATCCAACATTTAAGTCCAGCGAGCTTTCGGATCTGATTCCAAAGCTCATGTCCCAGTGTTGCTCCAGGTATGGTCCCAGTCCGCTCAGACTCGCGGACCACAACGCCTCCACTTGCTCCGGGAGAATGGCGCTCACGTCGAGATACAGCTCGTGTGCGTTGGAAGTCGACTCCGTCTCTGACAACCTTCTGTGCGACACCACGCGGGCAAGCGTGCTCGTGGTCATCGCACTCGTACTACTGCTGTCGATCTGAATCGTACTCGTGCTTTTCCTGGATTCCAAAAGCAGATCGGAAATCTCCTTCTCCACAAGCTTTTTGTGCGACGTCTCCGAGTACTCCTTCACCCGGATCACCAGATACCTTGTCTTGCTCGCAACAAAAAAGTTCGCGCGCGCGCCCGTGTGGAGCAGCAAATTTTCCGCTGGCTCCACCCCTTCTTCAACTTGGATGTTCGGGAGCTTACTCTGCGGCAACAGCGTTTCCCTCTTCGTGCAAACAGGCAAGACCTCGTAGAATGTCTGGTTGTGGTGCTGCACGGTAAACTGGACTGCAGAACAACCGACGTCCTTCGCTCTGACGCGGATTTCGTTGCTGCCCGCGACTTCCGCGGTGACGATGGAATTGTGCGCGGAGAAAGCGGTGAGCTCCACCCCGCTGTCGGGGTAAAGCATCTCCGTGCCGCTCGCAAAAAGCGAAACCGCAACGACTGCGGACGACCCGACCGGGAGGGTGAGTTTCCCCTGTCGCTGCTCTTCCGTCGCCCAGTGTAAGTGGTTGGGCTGGTTGCTGTTCTTCTTGTTGCCGAACCTTTCCAGGCAGTTTTCCTGGCAAGTCAGGAGTTCATCCTCACCCTTGTGCAGCAGCCGGATTTCGTCGATCTTCCTCGCGGACACCGCCACAAGCCCCGGCTCCCGAGCGCTGTGCTGCATCAGCAAAACCCCGTCTCCCTCTTCCGGCCCGGTTTGCAAGAGGTTTTCCTGGATCGTGAACGTGCTGCCGCCGCGTACCTGTGCCACGTCGACGGTCAAACCCTCCACTCCGCCCGTGACGAGGGAAGTGAAATCCAAAGCGGACTGCAGCGGCAGGAAAGTGACCCGGCTGGACTCGCGGAGGATCGGTCTTCCCAGCGTGATGGCCTGCTCGAGTTTCAAATTTGTCCCCCCCGCACAGGAAATGTCGACCTGCACGCGGCTGGCACGGGACGCGGCTTCCAGACCTTCGAGTTTCTCGTCGCCAAAAGCTGCAATACCCGAAGACGCAAAGACCCCGTCGCGCAGCTCCGCGCTCATTTGCGCGTTGTTGTGCAGTCGCTGCCCCGCGTCCACTTTCCATGCGAACATGCAGCCGTCGCCGTTCTGCGGATCTCCGATGAGTGCCGGCGTGAATGGCGTCTCGTCTGCGGTAAAAAGCTGCGCCACAAAATTTCTGGAAACGCTCAGCTTCATGTCGTCCGTCGGCTTTGCTGGCGCGGCAATCAGCGTGGCCCTCTTCGGCCAAGCAACCGTCACGTGACCGGATGCGGTCGCGAGCAGCTGCTCGGACTCGGCTTCACGAACCTCCACTTCCACCGTGGTGGAACCCTCAGAAGTGAGGTGCAGCAGCCCCGTGGAATGGTCCACCGACACAACTGACGGGTCCTTTGAGGTATACCTGCAGGTGACGACGTGTCCGTGTGTGATTAGTCTCATAGGCAAGCTGAGTAATTCAGCAAGGCACGATTACTGAACTTTAGATGTGTAGATAGCTACTGCTATGCACAGAAGCACTGTATAAAAGGAACCAATCAAGCAATACCTCAGAATCGTTCCCGATGTGGCTCCGCCCAACAGCGCAAACTCCGCCGTCTGTCGTGGTAACCCGACCAGTCGGGCCGGGAACAGCTGCAAGCGCGGGAAGATCTTGATACTCAGAACCGGGCTCAAGACCGATTTGTCCTTCGTGCTACACCGGGCCGTGTAGTCGCCTACTTCCAGGTTTTTGAACCGCAAGAAGCCGTCGTCCCCGACTCCCCGCAGGAACTCCAATCCCGTGTACTTCGTCATCTCACGCTGCTGTTGTCCGGAAGCCCCCTGGCTAACCCGGCAGCTGAGTCCAGCGGACTTCCAGAGCTGTGGGCTTAAGTGAACGAGCCCACCACTACTGGAGGTGCCGTACATGTCAAGACGGACGAGAACTGGTTTTCCCAGTTCGCCCTGCTTCTCCGTGTGCCGGAATTCCAGAGCGCCGACCTTTTGGAAGTCGAAGGAAAGCTCAATCGGTTTCGCCCCAAGCAACCCGTCGTCACTAATGCGCACCTCCCCCTCGCCGAGCACCTCGCTGGTCAGGTGCCACTGGCCCCGGCAGACGTTCTTCTGGCAGTCCGGTGCGCGGTAGCTAGCAGGCTTCAAGGCGCTCATGTCGCCGATAATATTTTCCGGGACAACCTTGTCTGCTGACGTGTCAGATGATACAGCTGCGGCAATGGTTGAATTGGTTTTTCCGCCCTTTTGCCCCCCAGCGGTTGTTCCTTTCTGGTCCTTCAACGGCATAATCTTCAGCTCCTTGGACTTGGACAACTTCAGCGGCCACTGCCTGGATCCGCCCCGAATGGTGAACAGATACCATGCCCCAAACACGAAGGTCGATCCGGGCGTCCCCGGCCACTCAACTTCGACCGGGTGTGCCGGGCGGAGGGTCACTTTGTCCTGCTTTCCCAGGTACGCAGCGGTAATCACCACCTGTGCGCCGTCGCTCTCTGGCTCCGCACTGTCCGCTGGGCACTCGACTTGCAGTTTTGCGAGCGCGCCGTTCTGCTTCGCCGGAGTCACCACCGCGTTGCTCTTCCACTCCATGGTGGAGGGGTATTTCAAGGAAAGCAAAGGTCGGCCGTTCTGCGCGTACACCACCGTGACGAGGTCGTGCTCCTTTCTGGACCCGCACACCGCCGACATCGGATACAATGCGTCGCGGAGGGCGAACTGCTCCCTCTCCCGGGAAAAAATGCGCAGGAAATCGGGTTTCGCGCAATGCAAATGTGCGCGGGTTGTGGTTTCGAGTTGCTCGGACGGCAGGAAAATGCTGCCCTCCAAGACGACAACGCCCTCCGTGTCTTGGCACTGCACGAGAAAGCCGTCATCCGTTTCTTCCGTAATGGTCGCAATCTTGTCCACGTCCGCTGCTTTCGACGTACTAGCGCCCGGCGCTGCCATGAGCTTCAGCTTCTTCGTCTTCCCGGTCTTCTCCACTAGCGGCCCCTGGGTGAACTTCAACAACACCTTCGCGCCGAGCTCGACCGCTGCGGTGGTTAGTGGTTCTTCTTGCTTCTTCACTGTTGTTACGGCGGATGCTGTGGTGGTGCTGGTCGCCGTGGTTGTTGAGATTACCGGAGGCAAAAACGGCAGTTGGTTGACGAATTCGATTTGAATCGGGCGGAAGAAGGAAATTTCCTGGGCGTCAAAGGGTACGGTGTTGGCCGGAAAGTGCAGCGTGACGTCGCCCGTTTGGGAGGGTCGGACCTTCACCGAGCCGCAGGTTCCGAACCTGGGGTTCGTCGTGTCGACCGCAATCACCTTCGCGATCCAGTCCGGTTCAACCAAAGACGCTTCCGGCATCAGGCCGGCACAGGAATGGAACCGCCAGTCGCTCTCGTCTAACCCGCTGTTGCGCGGTTGGGGAATTCCGACAACCGGAACATCGACGGACTTGGCCACGCCGCCCTTCTCCGATGTCATGATAAAGGGCACCTGCTTGCTGACGGGCTCGAAAGCGAGCTTGCCAAGTTCTCGGACGTGGACCATGACCTGTTGATTCATTTGATTCAGGGATGAAGATTTCATTGTGTTTTCGAGACACCGAAGTCGCACGTTTAGCAAAGCTACGCAATAACACGCAGACGTATACAAACCATAAAACCATTCCGAAAGTTTAAGCTAGCAGTAGCGAGTCATTACCTCAACGACGTTCTCGAAATTTGCCCGGTCTCGAATGGTCACCCGCGCATCGGTGACGGCAGTCTTCGTGGTGATTTTTCCGGTGGTGTCGACAACCACTTCTAAGGAGTCGGACAAATACTCGTAAGACCCTGTGCCACCGGTGATGGTAAGAGAAAACTCGTGCTTCGGCGGAAGGACCACACTCTCGAGGGAGGCCTTCAGCGGTGTGTACACCTGCACCTGGAGCTCTGCTGGCTTCAGCTTCGAGAAAGACACTGGAGTTGCTTTCTTCTTGTCTTTTCCCCCCGGCTTGGTCGAGAAGAGCTTCAATTTGTCCATCTTAAGCGACGCTTTGCCGACCGTCTTCGCGACGAAGGGGATTGCCCACGCCTTGCTCGGCCTCGTCTTTTCCTTGTCCGCACCACTCGAAATTTCCAGAGGGCAGGGCTTTGCGCAGTCGAAGGAGGTCTCGATGTTGTTTGGTAGTGCCAATGTCGTGTAGTCGCTGTTCTCCAGTTGGAGCCAGGCGACGTACTTTCTGCCTTCAACCAGGTTGACTAAAGACGGCTGCCGGTAAAGGCTATTCCAATCATCCATGGTGGTAAACGCAGGTCGGGTGCCGTCGTCCGGGCGAACCACGATTCTCATCAAACTCGGTTCCGAGGTGGCAACCATAGAGGTCGCTGTGTTGTTTGCAATGCGGTTGTCTTTCACGGTCACCTGCGCTCTCGCGGGGCCGGTGGAAGCGGCAGTGCCAGTCGCGATTAGACTCGCGAACCCGGTCTTGCTGTCCACGTCGATAAGCTTCTTATTCGAGGCTTCGAACGAGAAATCCGGGGTCGGCAGGGTCAGGAATGGCAGGTCCGCGAGCTCTGACCCAGACTTGTACACTTTAACGCCGAACTGCACTTCGGCCCCCGGGATGGTCCAGAGGTAGGTTGGAAAGAGCATGACGTTCTCACTGATAGTCAGCAGCACGTCTTTCGCGGCGACCTTTTGGTTCTCGGTTTTCACAGAGACAAGGGTTTGCCCGGTCGCTTTCCCGCGGACCATCAAGACGTCACTGTACTTGCCCTCCTCTTCCAACTGGGTTCGCTGCCCGGATACGTAGGCCCTGGGAGGTGGTATTGTCAGATTTGATATTTTTAAGGCAACGACGACTTTCGAGCGCGCAAGTCTACTAGGCACATAAATTGGTGGTTCTACTTCGAATATGCAATTTTAATACTCAGTTTCCCGCATCTGCGTGTGCTGCAAGATATTGTGGTCCCGGATGCGCCAGTCAAACGAGATTCCCTCCAAGGACGTGAAAAGATTTCTTTCCGCGTCATATCCCTGCACTGCCAATTGGTCGACGTCGTCGACATTTATTCTCCTTGCGGGCGTCACGATTTCCAGGTCCTGGATGTCGCTGACGTACACATCGCAAGGCTTCGACCCAGTCTGCGGATCCTTTGCGAAGATGATACTCTTTCCGGAAGATTTTGGCGCGACAATCGCATAGCCCGGGCCTTGTTCCACGATGGAAACGATATCCTGTTGAGAGGGAGAGGTCGAACATTGGTATTTTCTACAGAAGCGTATCGAGGTGAGATGAAATTTGGTTTTCTAAAATTGACAGATGCACAAATATCAGTCACAGTCGATCTTCCAGTAAGGGAAAAGCAAAAAACACATCGCAATACCGGCATCAAGCTTTCCCATGAGTAAGTTCCGCCGTATGCTTCGATGCGGTACCGCACATCACCGTGATTTGGTAATCTGACGGTCTTTGCTGAAATCTTCGATTGCTCAGTGAAAGCCGCCGAAATTCGTTGTGATTGCGCTGAAGTCGCGGCGATCTCTCCCCAAATGGACAGCAAACACCACACCCAGCAGCACAGGCTGGCGATGCAGCGCATCGCGGGTGGTCGTAAAAGCGGAATCATTTCAATCGTAGCGTCGTCCGCAACTACTGCGAGTTATTCAGGAGTCGAAAATCTGCTTCTGCTTGTGAAACATGTATTTGTCGCTTCGGGCCGGTCGCTTGTGGTGCACAAGTTCAATCATTCTTACAGCAGTGTGCGGTCGTCGTCCGTTAGCCTGGCTACTTTCTTGCGCTCTTTCCGCCTCGTAGTGACGTTCCAAAAGAGCCTATTTCTGAATATGGTCGAACAAACATATCACAGCCTGGTACAGTGAGAGTGAGAAAGTATGGCAAAAAGATTTCTTTTCGAAGATCATGCGCTCCTTCGTGAACAGAAGAAGTCAAGAAAAACGTAGGTTATTTCTGAAGCGATCTCTTGAGTCTTTTTCGATCTACAAAGAAGGTGTTGAGGACCTGTACTTATCGTCTGTGAATCCGGAGCACTTTCGTATTTCATTGATCAAACTCAGCAGCGGAGAGGAAAGAAGGATCACCAAGCACGAACTGGATCTGTACGCTTCTCCTGAATAACGTTAATTCCACATACTGTGCTAATGTATGGATCTACTAAATTCCGTTACCGTTGCTTATTCTTTGTTATCTTGGCGGCCAGCACGCGTTTGCGAACAGCACAGTGACGATATCATCGGTAGGAGACGATCTGTGACAAATAGAGAATCATATTTCAAGTCAAAGAAAAGCTCGTTCTCAGGGGTACAGGAAGGGCATCGCATTTATCGCAATCGCAGTTGAACTTGGACTTGCAAGCTCGATCTACACGAATTTTCATCGAAAGACAAGGACCCGATCTGTAATAGTCGGAAGGAAATTGATTTTTCTGTGGCGCTAGCTTTCTCCTTGTTCTGCGGCGTCCACAAATCTGACAAGACACAATATCCGGCTCCTACTTCAGTGGCTTTTAATACATGCAAATTGTTAGGAACGCTTCACTTTTTCTTGACCGGCTTCGCTTTCGGTGCGGCAGACTTCATGGCGGTGGCTTTCGCTTTCGGTGCTGCCTTCATCGGCTTCGCCGCTGCTTTTTCTTTCGGCTGCGCCTTCATCGCCTTCGCCTTTGGGACGGCCGGCTTCTTCGACCCGGTTCCGGTCGCGGCGTCAGCGTTCTCGGCTGCTGGCGTGGTATCTTTCTTTTCACCCGACGCCGCGGCCGGCAAAAGCTGTCCGACGGGCTGCTTTTTCTTGCTGGCCACACCTTCATCCTGTTTTTTACTGCTTTTGCTCCCCCCTGCACCGTTTCCGTTTGTTTGCTTCCGATCAGCAGCCGCCGGGAATATGACCATCACAGCAGTGCGGTATTCCAAGACCGCAGCGTCCGCAGCCATCGAGTCTTCCGAGCCGCCGAACCCGAAAAACCCCCCACCGCCTCCAAAGCCCGAATCGCTATCACTGAAAGAGTCGTAGAAGTCGAACGGGTCGCGGTTCTTCTTGCGGCCCATCTTCATCTTCGGCTTTTTTTTGTAGTCCGTCACGAACCGCTCGCCCGCGGCTTGGTCAAAGTCGGCCACCCAAAACATCTTCTTGGGCACTTTGTTCTGGTCAAACTGACCGATGAAAGTCCCCTCCGCGTAGTTCCCGCGCCAGGCAAAAAATTCGTCTCTCGTCATCGACTTTGGCAACTTGGGGGGGAACGTCGACAGTATGGAATGTACCAAATTGTCGCCCCACTCGCCGTAGGGATCGTCGTTGTCATCGGTCTCGTAGATGCGGAACTTTATCGTCAGACCTGATGTAAAGGGATCTTGGACCTCATTTCACCCGAAAAAAAGCTTAAGCTCTAGCTCGCAAATTACTTGCATACATTGACCATTGAAATCGCAAGAACGAAAGAAAAAAAAACCTTCTCGTACCTGCTGCATTGGCTGCCTGCGCAGCCAGTGCCTCTGCCAACTTCAGCTTCTTGATTTGGCTGCTGTCCAAGGGGTCGCGTGCGTTCTTCACTGCTTTCTCCTTCTTCGGCGCAGCAGCAGCAGCAGCCGAGGAGCCATTAGCGGCAACAGGGACCGCAGAAGACGAACTGGACGCGGCAGCTTGCAGAGGGCGCCCGGAGAGCGCTGCGAGCGCACTGGATAGAGACACCGACTCGTTTTCCTTGGACTTCTTCTTTCCGCGGGGAAAAATTCCGGCGTCCGAGTAGGTTCCCTGGCACGGGAACATCAACAAACCACCATCCTGCATGAACAACGGATCCGCGAGCAACTCCCGAAAACACTTCTGCATGTCCGACATAACCTTCAAGTCCGCCCCCGTCGGCGCCTTCTTTTCCTTTTCCGCGCGCTTCTTCAAAAAAGCCGCGTCACTGAGAAACTCGTCGCTCTCGCTGAACGTGATGCCCGCCCGCACACTGGAGATGCTTTCCCACAGGTTCTCCACTCTCTCGACACCGGCCTGCGTCACTTCCTCCGGATTCCTCGGGGGTTCGTCGACCTCCTCGCTGTCCTCTTGGAAGAGTTTGCCCGCCTGCGCAGCGCTCTTCGCTCGGGGCTTCCGCGACGGTGTGGGGGCGGCAATGGGCGCCGTGTTCTTTCGGGCCTCGTATGAGGGGAAGACCAGACGAAAAAAGGTGCGGACGTAAAAATTGATGTCACTGGCCTCGTTCCCGAAGTATCCGTCCGCGTTCCATTCGGTCGATCCGACGTAGTGTTCTTTGTGCGAAAATTTCCCTTCATCTAGCGCCCACACGTCAACCAGCTCCTCGCTCGCGGCTCCGTCGGCCGGCTCCGCTTTGAAGTGCCGCTCGATTTGGTCGTCGTCCATCCGCCGGGGTAGCGTTTTCCCGACCGGGAACTTTTTCAGCAGGTAGTCGCCGCTGCCGTCACTGGAGTAGCAGTGGTTGAGATACGGCTGCAAGAAGAACTTCAAGTTGCCCCCCGCGCTGCGCTGCACGGCATCGACGGCGCGGCCGACGAGGGCGTCTTTGCCCTTCAGGCGTTCGACCTGTTCCTTCGTCAGCGGTGCGTCGGCACTGTGGCTGGACCGTGGAAACACCTCGGTGTTCGTGTAGAGGTGGAAACACGGGAACCCTACCGTGCCCCCGTTGGGAAGAAAGTTTTTGTTCTGCACCAGGCCGCCGATCATCGCGGTGAGTTTCGTCTGCTGCTCCGGCTGCGTGAGCTGACGGGGAATAAGCGCGGTCGCGGAATTGCGATCGGCGCGGCGAATCAGAAACGCTACAGTCATCCGAATACCGTCGGTGATTTTGTGAATCTCGTGATCAATGTCGGAAAAAAAAGCCGCGCACCGAATGTGCGTCGCGTCCGGAACAGTAACCTTGTTGTTACTAAAAAATCTCGATGGCGGTTCCGCGCCGGCGAGCACTTTCATTTCCCTCGACCCCGCGGATATCGTCATCGCGCCTCCCTGTTTTTATATGAGTTTAGAATTTCATACTTTCTGTTGTTGTATACTTGCTTCCGTATTAAATTATGTATCGCACAAAAAAAACAAAGCAAAATACGGCGCAAGAAAAGAGAAAGCCTACGGCGATACCTCGTACTAGCATCCCGGTAACGAAACAACGAGCGTTCCCAGCATGTCGTCACCCCGTGGCGTGTCTTTGTGCTTGACAAAGTGCCCGTCTTTTTGATACACATTCAAGGAGTACAGCTCGATTTCCAGCGGCGTGGAAACTTGCAGCGCAATTCCGATTTTCTGAAGTGCTCCCTGCTGCTTCAAAAAATCAGCAAGAAAAACGTCGCCGACTTTCACGCTGAACTTGTCACTGGAGAGCTGCAGCGCATCTCGGATGGAAGCATCCCGCTTGGTCTCTGCACCGTGCCCGAAGGCCGCCTGCGGCATCTGACTCAAGAGCGGTTCCAGACGAGATTTTTGGTCCTGTAAAATGGTGTAGCGCTTTTTCTCGTCCTCCGAAAACTCTCGCTGGTACAACATGCTCCCAGACTGGGTCGGCGGAGACTTCAATTCGGTGAAAGAAGGCGCCAAGATCGGAAACAGCTGCCCGGTCGCGGACAGCGAGACGGTGGGGATCGCGCCATCACTGGTCCTGATGGTGAAGCTCGTAGCAAACGGAGACGCAATGCCACCCAGCACGGCCCCGAGCTCACCCGCTTTTTTCTCGTCGTACTCGTTCGAAAACGAATCCTGGTCCGAGCCGCTGCTCGCGTCCGGCATCTCGACGTCGCCGTCCCCCGACGCCGGGGATCGGGAAGCTAGAACGTTACTAGCCATCCTTATAAAACTGAGTTGTACACCGTTCTGGTGTCCTTTTGTGTACTAGTCAAGAACTTTGCTTCTTCTCTACTCCCATCACTGTTGTAGTTGACGACAAGAACTACCATTACTCTACACAAAAGATCAAGATTGCTTTGGCAAATGTGTCGACGATTGCTCGAAAACGAAAAACTCACACAACCCACTCGGGTGCGGGTCTCTATACCCTCTTACACCACCAAATCTTGACTCCGTGAGGAGGCCCAACCTACTCTCATCTCAAGTCTATTGATTGTGGTTGAACAAGTCGAAGGAAAAAACAAAGCCAACAATAAGTGCCTGCCAAAACACTACCGGGTCATGGCAATTTTCCGCCTGCGGCCTAGTGAAATGTTAACGAAAAAACCTGTGCCAGTATAAAACCCAGTACACAGCCGCTCGGTTGTCGAGTCAAATCTGTACTCATCGAACATTCGCATGCTTTGGCAAATATTCGGTTTTCCGCAATATGTCGTGGCGTCGCTGATTCTCTACTAGGTTACGCTTTTACAATTTTCCATTCGCTTTTCGGAAAATTTTGCAACGTCGTCGCTTTCCGGCGTAGCAAGGAGTACCCCAAGAACCCGACCACCGCACAGATAGCGCTCATGACGTAGAAACCGTCCACAACCGTCGTTGGTTTACAGTCCGTGTCTTTCGGGTTTTTCAGGCACAGGGGATTGGGCTGGGTGACGGTAAGCCAGTCCACCATCGAGAACGCTAAGGGAGTGACCCACATACTCCCCATGTTGCCAAACGTGTTCAAGAGCGTCATGTAGGTTCCGCCGATGTCCTTCGGCGAAACCTTGGCGTAGTAACTCATCTGCGCCACAAACATGGTGGTGGAGATGAAGACTCCGATGATGCTGGTCACGCCAATCAGAAAGTAGTAGACGATCGGAAACTCTGGTAACTTCGCCACGTTGGGACAGTAGTACACCATCGCCATGCTAACGAAGCACATAAGGATGCGCGGGAGGTATCTGAGGAAGGCGTTTGGGTTGGATTTTGTATTGCTGCTGTCGAGATTCATAATCATACGTAAGAAATCAACCCTTTGCTCGCCTCTTATGGCCTGCGAGTAACTGTCTGACATCAAGACTCAAAGTAGAACCGCAATTCAAGTAGTGCCGCACGAGAAAAACAGATGTGTGTCAAAATCGAAAAATTTGATGTCTCTATACAGTGAGATGCAGACGTCAAATGGCCGGTTGCCCGACGTCCACTTAGAGAGAATCAGTGGCACAAACACGGACAGAACCGTGCACGCTGCGCCAATGTACGCGATATGTTCCTTGGGAATTCCATGGTCCTGCATCTTCAAGGTGACAATCGCTTCGCACCCTGCGAAAGGAATCTTCCAGAAGAAAAGGATTGCAACAAGTCCTCGAATCGTCCTCAGCCGCCACATCGCCAGCAACTTATGGAACTGTCAGGATTGAAATCGTCAAAGTTGAAATAGTTTGTGATGCATAAAATGGATGGCAGTTGGAAGCCCAATTTCTAAGCGGTGCATCACAAATCTCGGCACCGTCTAAATCCAGTTTGTCATGGTGTTTCGAGACAGACGGTGTATGATGTCATGCTACTTGAGCAGCTCTATTTCAGACCCCAAACAGGCTTACAGTCGGCCTCTCTTGCCATCCCGGCAAGAGAGGCACTTCATGCGTTGCAATTCCTGCATGAGAAATTATTTCAACTCTGACGATTTCAATCCTGACACTCCCATACAACTGCTTGTAAACCTAGTGATAGATTATGGCAATTCGTTTTCGATATCGCGCTTGCTTTTTTTTTGCAACAACGATGTTGAATATTGCGATTTATTGAAAAACGATCTCTATCGGTTAAATATTTCACAGTAAGGTCTTTTCTACCTCATACAGCCCTTCGACCTCTTCGTCCTTCGCCACGGGTTTTTCACTTTTGAACACCCCGACCAACATGGTAGTGATCAGAAACGCGACGCCGCACAAATACATGAACTGGTCGAAGCCGAGGATTTTGAAATGATTCAAACTCAGGGCGCCGATGAAGGCAAACGCGTAGCCAAGCGTCTGCCCCGCGCCGTTACACATGGACTGGTAGCCCACGTTTTCCTCACGCAGAATGGTCAGCGCCCACCCATCCACCGCGATGTCTTGAGTCGCGCACAGAAAGTAGAGGAAGAAAAAACTCGCGGTAAGGCCGGTCATGTTGATTTCGCCGAGCGTTTTATCCGGGTGGTGCATATCCAAACCGCCGCACCACTCATTGAAAACGTTGGAAAGGAGGATGAGAACCACGCCGATAAACAGTTGGGTCTGCATTGGTTTTCATACAAGTCAAGTGCTTAGGTATTTGCCACTTTGAAAAACTTTTGTACAGTCTTTTGATTTCCTGCACCCAGTATAATTCTGTCTCTATTTCACAACTTCCGGATTGAAAAGAAGCATCAAAAAATAAATACCGGTATCAGCCAGGTTTTTCTCCGCCCCACTTTGTCCATGTAGCACGAGTCCACAATGGGTGCCCACAGCAGCTTCATCGAGAACGGCCAGTGCGTCATGGAAAACAGCCCGATCAGAGAGTAGCTGACCCCTCGCTCTTTCAGCAGCAGTGGAATGGTACTGGCGAAGCCCATCGGAATACCCTGCAACGTGTATAGCGCAAGCAAAATGGCGACGTTTCCGTAGTCGCCCCGCAAATCCGGCTGGAGTTTCGGCTCTGAATCCACGTCGTCGTCCACCTCTTCCGGCTCCAGTACCGGTTGCAATTCACTGTCCTTGGCGGCACTCCTGCCCCTGCCGGATTGCTTCACCAGTGCGGCCATTTTCCTTTTCCGTGCGAGCGACGTCAACGGTGTTTTGTTTCGTGCCCGGTTTGCGGCAGCGGTCGCTGTGGTTTTGGACGCAGATTGCGTTTTCGCTTTCGTATTTAGCTGACCGGTGGAGGAACTAGAGGAACTGCTCGTCGCTGCGGCAGTAGTGGAGGATGAAGTAGCTCCGGTAGTTGTGCCGGCCTTCGCACCGCCGGGACTACGCCCGCGCGCCGCTCCGCCGCCCGGAGATTTACTATTTCCTCCCGCGCTGCTTCGGCGGTTGGCACTGCTGTTTCTGCGATTGGTCGGAGACTTTCCTTTGGAACTAGATCTCCTCCCTCCGGCGACTGACATTGTAGCGCTTTAAGGAGCGAGAGCGAAAGTGGTCATCGAGTGAGAAACAATCCTAGTGTTATTTGAGTCTAAACTATAGAGACTACACCCGTACTAGCTCCCGATTGGCGTGACGGTACATTTAGATCCGCACTGTAGATTGCTCATAAACTTGTGCTCGTCCACCTGAATTGCCAGCTGCATCGCAAAGAGTTCCTCGAACATTCGAGTGTTTGATCGTGGGTTGAAAGAGAGCTTGGAAAAGGAGAATGGAACTTTGACGTAAGTTTGACGTTGCGTTTGGACCACTTTTGAGAACACATTTGCTTTCATTTAGAGTTTCCCGTGTGTGCTGACTGCAACGGGAATCACCCAGAGCGAGGGTGAAGATGATGCGCGTCTAAGCAATTGTCGTGGTTCAGAGCTTGTGTCACGTTCGTTCATCGAGTCTGGCATAATTCGTAAAAAGAGAATGCGTTCTAAGCGGTCGCAGTGGGTTTTGCGCGTGGCTTCGGACCCCAGTTTTTCTCTGGGTTTGGAAGGAAGCGTGCAACTTTTTTAACCGTTGTCGTCGGTGTGATCACGGGACTTGGTTCTTCGTCGAACAGAGTATCCCAATCAAGTCCATCGACCCCGTCAGTGAGAATTGCTCGGTCCAGCAGTTTGTTTTCCAGTGCAGTCGCGACCTGCGCCTCTCGTTTCGCCTTCTTTTTGCTTACTGTTTGTTCTTTCCCCTCTCCCTCTTTCACCTTCAGCGCTGCGGAATGCTTTGCCCATTTGCGAATCACGTCGTATACGACTTGGTTGTCCGCGTCGGTCTTCACAGCGTTCGCGTCTCGGTGGAAGTGGCTTATTCTGTAGCCAAGCTTCTTTATCGCCGCCCGAAACCTGCGCATGGGGACACAGTCCGCGCGGACGCTGCTGCAGAGCGCCGGGAGGTTGTAGTGCAGCGGTACGTCCAGGAGCTCTTCACTCATGGCAGTGAGCATGCCTTGGATTTTTCTCCATTGGGTGATGTGGGGAAGAAGAAAATCCTTGTCCGTGCACTTGGTGATTTCCGGAACTGGGTTCTTCTTCGTCTCAGGAGAATTCGTCCCTGCTTCGGAAACTTTTATCTTCTCCCCTTCGTTCTTACTGCTCACGTCGTCCACTTTTCTTCGCTTGGCATCGGAAGTCTCGTCCTCCTTCTTTTCCTCGGGATCCTCTGCTACGGCCGTAAACAGATTCAGTTCACACACTGCCAAGCAGGCGTGCAAAAAAGTCGGATCGTACAAAGGTCCGAGGTAGCACGGTCCACCCAGCGACATGCGGCCGCCGCACTGCCTGCACTCACCGCCGACGCCGTTTTGGACCTTCGCTGGCCGGTACTTCAGGCCTTTTTTTGGCTGTGCAGGTTTTTTCGGCGCTCGCGCTTCGCTGACCGCGGTGAGAATTCTGTTGTCCAGAAGGGATTCCGGATCGACTACATCCATGTCTTCGTCATCGTGAGCGGTGGTGCTGGACGAATTCGGCTCAGCGACTGGCTGTGATTCCGCATCATGTTCTTCTTTATCCGCCTTGGTGCCACCATCGGCTCCTTCTGTTCGATTCCCCTGCTGCTCCTGCTTCCCCGGCTTGTTCTCTCCACCGTACCGGGGCTTCTTTGGCTCCGGAAATTCTTGGCTGCCCAGAGGCTGGATATCGAAGCTTTCGCACTGCACGCATTGGAAGACAATACCCGTGTTTTTGGCCAAGTCCTTGGCTTGCAGCGGAGAGTCCCTTACTCGGACGAAGACGCGAATGTAAAAATCCATGCTCGCGCAGACGAGAGGCTCCACGACCCTGAGTTTTCAAAATTCTTGAGTTAATGAAAACTTCCACAAATCAACGCACAAAAAAAGAGAAAGCCGGTCTTTGTACTTGTACAGCAGAAAAATTGTCCAAAAAAAAATTAGTCTTCCATCGTTCCAGTACCTCTGATGCCTCGCGGCCGTCGACTGGATGGCGTTCAGCAGCAGCCTCAAGCTCATCTCGTGCACGTATTTCGCCTTCAGCGGTGTGCCGCCATAACGGTAGAAGCACGCTTCGGGGTGGTTCCCGCCGAGAATGGGCATGTCCGTCGAGGTGACACACAGTAGCCCTCCGTTCTTAATCCCGCGAATCGCAGCGTCCAGAAATGGCGAAGCAGTGCCGTACGGGTCGAGGTCAATGACGTCATACGCCTTGAAACCCTCTGTGTAGCAGTGCATGATGGCATCTCCGTGGTTTGGCCGCACTTTGTCGCTCGGGACGTCGTTTGCCTTCAGGTTTTCTTTCATGTGCTTCACCGCGGTCTCGTCAAAATCGTTTACCGTGATGTTTTTCACGAAAGGGACCTCCTTCCAGTACCGCACAGACCGAAGGCCAGACGCTGCCAGGGCCTCAAGAACGGAGACGCCTGTAGATTTGTTTGATTTTTTCAGATTGAAGCATACTTCCCATTGATTTTTTCTCCACTTCTACCACGAAGCAGGGCACGAGATGCAAAATTTCCATCCTAGAAGGCTGGCTTCACAAAATTCCGAGTTAGAAGGATTCATACCTTCATAAGCTTCATAAATTTGCTTCCCGTCTAGTATTCGTTTTCTTTCCTTCTCCTTCTCCTCCAGTCGCTTCATAACCGAGTACACTGTGAGTATCACAATGCTCAAATCTCGGTTGTACACCTGCGCTGGGTTGTAGAAGACATTCTGCTTGCTAGCATCATCCCGCTTGGACGAGGCTGAAGCCGCTGACACAGAGAAGATCTTCGCGCTGCCCTCCCGGATGTCGCTGGACGCAGCAGCTGGCGCACCGCCGGTCGCAGTCATTTCCGAAATGAAATAAAGGCGTAAGAACAAGAAGCGTAAGTATCTATTTCGAAGTCAACGACTGAAAAGTTTACAAAACAGCGAAGAAAGGTGTTGGCTCTAGATCGTCGTAGCTGCTCATATGCCTTTTCATCCTGGGAAACTAAAAGTGAACGAGCTACATGGAGGGGTCGCCTGGGCAGATCGAAACAGTGTACAATGGGTCGTGGCTCCTAATGCCAATACGGTTTGATGAACTGTATGATGAAATTCACACGAGTGAGATCCAGATCGCGAGATCCATAACAGACTGACATTTGATCATCAAGATCTTTGCTACTGCTTTTGTCGCACGTTATCATTTTCGCATCCGATTCTCTGTTCTCTTGCGGCTTGTTCATCACGGACAGATCGTTAAACAGAGAAAGATATTCTGCCGACGTCACAGGACACACAGAACCACGTGCACGGTTCAAATCCGAAATATTCCTTTCGTGATCTGGGTCAATGGTTAGTTTCAACTTTCGCCTGGACACAAATCCACGCGGGCACTAGATTAACGTCTGTGGATCTTCGATCTCGCTTAAGAGCGTGCATCGTTGCTGTTCATCCTCGCATACGTACGCATGCATTGATATCACTCCTTCGCGAAAAGAGCGCCAACTCGGTTGAGCTACAATGGTCTGATGCGGTGTAATGTTGATGTAGCAAAATGTTAATAGTGGACTTCAAAGACCTAACTAGAAGTTCACTTCTGGAAATAAAGGCCGACTCGTATAATGAGTTTTCTTCAGCTTTTCAGCTTTTCCATTGACGGACCAGCGGCCGACGAAGTTTCCGCTCCGAGCAGGAATCGCACACCGATTCCAAAGAGCATCACAATCAGGCCCAGAAACTGCCACCACGCGTAGGATTCGCGCAAAACAGCAACTGCGGCGAGAGCCGCGACCGCACGATTCAGGTTTTTGAAAATCGCCATGGAGTAGCTCCCCGTCCGCTCAATCAGCAGCACTTCAACCAACAGGGTTACCGACGCCATAACTCCCTCGCCGAAAACGATCACGAAAAGCAAGGTTGCGTACCTCCCGTGCCCGTTCGGCTCCTTCAAAATTTGCTCGCTGCGCTCTGCCGGACGCCAATATCCACCCAAGAAATAACTGCTGTCACCGGGCGCACGACCGCTTCGTTCCGCGACTAGGGAGATAACGAGGTACGCTACTGCGCTCAAAGGCGCCTGGATGCGCATGATGTGCAGCACGGACGGGAATTTCTTCTCCGTGTCAGCTACATTAACCGCATCAAAAGTTGGATCGCCGGCAAGCAAATCGGCGTCATTTCCTCCGGGTGCCGCAGACACAATCTCCCTCCCCTGGACCAGCGGGCTGTCCTCCCGGTCGGGCTCGAATGGCGTCCCGCCGACTTCTGGCGTCGGTCCGCCGAACGAAGAATTGGAAGATACTCGCTCTAACGTGCTCTCGTAGGTTCCGGATACGCAATCGATCACGATGATGCGCATGGCCGTGACCACTGAAGCGGCAAACGCCCAACAGAGACCCAGGCCGTAGTTTTTGTGGTGAATGAAACCCGCGTCGTGGAAAAACTCTTTCGGAAGGGAAGACAGCGTGCCGCCGACAACAATCGGCAAGACGGACAAATACGCGTAGAAATTGTACTGGATGCTGGGTTGAAAGGCGATGGTCAGCGCGATTGACAGAGCCGGCGTCATCATCATAACTGCTTCCAATATCGAAGCCGGGAGGTACAGGAGCCCGTACATCTCGGTGAGCGTATTCAGGACGTTGAAAAAGGTGAACAGCGCCAGCATCCCAAGCGGCACGCCGCAGAGGGATATTTGGGATTTTGATCTGAACTGTTCGACAAGGCTCTGGAGCTCGTTGCTCCCGGTCGGATTGGTGCTCAGATTCCGCTGCTGGCTCTCCGGTACAACCACGCGCTTCTTCAGCAAATACAGCGACACTACGATGAACCACGTGGTCGTGATAAACATGGAATGGAAAAGTGGCACGTCAAAGTGAAAGCGCAGGGATCGCAGCCAATACGTCCCGCTCTTCTCGTCGCGATGGGGGTCACTCACGACAAGCTTGAAGAAGAGCACGAAAAGAATGTAGGCGAAGGCCTGCAAAATCACGAGCAGAGCGCTGTAGCGGTGGAACCGGTTTTCCATCATACCGCGGACACATTCAAGAGGGGCAGCGGCATGAGGTTGCCCCTGGCCCTTGGCGCTGTCGGCCGATCCCTGGCGGACAAGAACGGGAAGCTCCATTTTGAAGTGATTTTTCGACAAAATGATATCAAATTGAAAATCACGGTCACTACCTGTTTTCTACTTTTGGTGATGCAGAAGTGATCTTCGCAGTGACGCTCTTTTAACCTTTTTCCAAGAAGCACTTCGCGAATGTATGATTAGTGACTCAGGCCCCGACAAACCGATACTGTGCATGCATACTGAATCGCTCGCTGTCATTCCCCGCAGAAGACTACTCGCCAAAAGACCCATCTTCCCCTGTCGACAGAACGATAACTATCCAGAGAACTTCGGGCGGCAACTTCAAATACGCGACGTCAACCTCAACGCTCAACCGCACCTCAATCAGAACAAAAAAAAAGCATGGATTTGGATGCTTCTGATTTATTGCTGCGCAACGTTCTTCTGATGAAACTAAACAGATGATGATGCCTGTTGCACAAACTTTCACGTCGGAAGCACGCTCGTTCTTTCGCGCGATCGTTGCCGATGCGGAGGCATTGGATTTCCCGACCGCTCTCTCGTAAGTTCACGCAGCAACATGGCTCCACCTCCCGACCGCTCCCGTGAGAGTTGACGCGAGGACAGCTCAGACAGTGTGGTATTGGCCGTAACTTGCCGCAGGAGCTCCGACGTGACTTGGCGCTGCAGACTGCGAATTTCGCCCCCGACTGGCACTCCGCCCAAATCCTGGTCGGCCAGCACAAAATTTTTCGCTGTCACGACCTGGATGGCGTCGTCATCTAGGTCTTCTCGAAGTGTTTCGGGCAGTTTGTCCAGACGCTCCTCTACCGTGCGAATTCTGACTGTGCCAAACGAGAACCGTAGATACACGCCGAAGACGATCACTAGGATGCCGATGAACTGCCAGTAGGCAAAGCTCTCACGCAGGACCGCAACCGCAAAAACAATCGCAAGTATCCGGTTGATGTTTCCGAAGATGGCCACACTGTACGCTCCGCATCGCTCTATCAGACGAAATTCCGCAAACACCCACAAAAAGCCCATGATGCCCTCGGCGACGACAAGGAATGCGACGAGTGTCGCGAACCGCTTCTCCCCATCAGGATCCTCGGCCAGAATTTCCTTACTGCGCTTCACTGGTTTCCAATCGCCGTTCACCAACCCGTGGCTCCGCTCCACAACTAGGCTGAGAACGAGAAAACAAACGCCACTGGCGGGCGCCACAGCTCGGAGGATGCTTAACGCATCTGGCACAAGAGCGCCGGCGGTTTGTATTTCCGCGCGACGGATTTCGGGACTTCCCCCTGAATCCAGTGTGCGGCCTTCCTGCAGTAACGGCCCGCCAACAAAATCGTCAGTACGAAAATTTTCTTCGTCTCGCGGGTGCAACTGGGGCGCCGGCTCGCGCTCGAATCGCGTTGTGGCACGGTCATGTCTCGCATGCGCGGGAACAGTCCGGTAGAAGCCCTAAGGCCCAAGTGAATACCTAGATTTTCCATGAAACCGATGAGACCGAAGGTCGTAAATGTCTCGAAAGACGATACAAAGAGAAACGGCGCTTCGAAAAGCACTACCTAAACGCACAGTGGTATCGATGGGACCGAAAAACGTAATGTCTCGAAAGACGATACAAAAAGAAAAAGCGCTTCGAGAAGCAATACATAAATGGCTGGCGTAGATCGGCTTGGCGAGGAATAAGGACTCGATCTTCCTGTTTGTAAATTTCAGCTCGCATATCCGGGTCTGGTCGTACGCAAGTCAGTTCAGCAAATAAGAGTTCGTAGTACAGCAAAGGAAAGCTGTCTTGTCGTATCGTGTGAACAGCCTTTCGTAAGTCGTCCTGTCGGGGAATTAGGTCTCGGTGTTCCAGCTCGTTATTCTCCGCTCGAAAATGCGGGTCAGGTCGTATTCAAATCACGTCAGCAAAGAAAAGCTCGTAGTGCAACATGGCTCCGTTGGTGTAGTGGGCTCTCGTACTCGTTTACAGCTCGGAAAGCCAGGTCTTGCCGTACTCAAAGTTCGGTAGTAACACAAGGAAAAAGTTCTCGTAAAGTCCTGGTCAGCGTCACGCCGGGGCTGGGGCGCCGGCTTGTGGGGCCTCGTCCGTCTCCAGATATCCTTCTCGGGCGAGGAGGCTTTCGAACCTAGACGCAGCTCCTTTTTTTCTTTGGTTTATCGCGATTCCTACCGCCTCGGGGGCGTCGTCTTCTTTCTCCGTTAGTAGCTCGGCGTCTTCGAACAAATCAAATACGTTCTCGGATGTGTCGTTCGCGGCAGGGTCGATGGAGTCCCATTCTTTCGGATTAATGTAGCAAAAATCGGCGACACTCGAAGAGACCAGTGGCACAGTCGCCCACTCTTGCTGGTTCCAAATCGGGCTCGTCGAAGAAATACGGAAGCGAGGCCCAGGTCTCTCTGAACCTTGCTTCTTCTTCGCGACGTCTGCGGCAGCGGCATAAATCTCGTGCGCCGTAGCCGGGTTCTTTTTTACCGCAGCTAGTGGCAGGGAACATATCCACGTCGTTCTACCGGTGAGGAGATCCCCATGTCGAAGTACTAGTTCCGCCACGTTTTTCGCGTAAGCTGCGTTGGCGGCAACTGAAGGCTTCATGAGATTGGCGTCCGGCAGCATTATGTTTGCTGCGAAGCGCCTCCCTGAACTCGTCTTCAGGTAGGCAGTGTTGTTCCTGCCCCGGTAGAACACGTCGTCACCCCGGGTGTCGGTCGCGGGCTCGTCGGAATCGGGCTCGTTCTCGAGCTGGATCGTCACTCCTTCTTTCCGCATGGTCGAATTAGCGCGAAGTAGATCATAGCTGATTCTGTGGGGGAGCGCAAACTTCATCTTGTCGCTCGTCAGAAGTCTTAACCTATCCTCTTTCTCGGTGCCCGATAAGCCCCAGCACGCCGCCTGTAGGAGGAAGTCGTAGCGCGTCTCGTTCAGCGCGATCAGCTCGCTCGTGGCCGCCCTCCGGATCGTCCTGTCGTATCTTTCTTTCCAATTTTTTATTCCCATCAACCCTGCGAAGAAGATGTCCCCGGCAGAAATCGGCTCCCCTTCGGCCTCTGCGAAACCCCGAACGAACCGGCTCAGGTTTTTTGATGTGACTCCGTAGAATTGCATCAAGCGCACTGCTACTTCGTTCGTTATCTCGTTGAACAGAGGTTCGTCGTAGTATTTCAGCACCACGAGGAGGTGGCGCACTCTGCTCGTTGTAGCCCACCCTGGGATTTGACTGAATTCTTCCAGCGTCGGTTTGTTGCCCAGTAGCCGGAAGGCCTCTCGGGTGATAGCTAAAGCGAAGCAGAGGTGCTGGCGGCAGGCGGAGCGGTAGCTAATTCCTACTTGGCAAGCGATTGGGAAACCGAAAAGTTTGGCGCTTTTAACAATCCTTATCGCTTTCCCGAAAATTCGAAGGCATTGCTGGATCGCGGTGGCCAGTTCGTTGCACTCGGTCGCGGCATCCTGGGAGTCGTCATGGCTTATCACGATTGCTTCGCATTTTCTGACCGCCAAGAAAGTTTTTGTCACCTCTGCCATTATCTCGAAATGTTCTGCAATCATCGCTGTAACTGTCGGCAGTCTGGGTCCCACGTCGGTTTTTCGGAAAGCGATTTCCAGATCGGTGTCATCGACGCACCCCATAGCTGTTTTTCGGTCCTTTGCATGTGGGAATTTATCGCACATACTCTGGATGAAATCCGACAGGAAGCTCGGTTTCTCGTCGACCGCAACGGCCTCGCGCTGGTAAACTTGACTGATATCTCTTTGCGCGTAGCACATCGCGGCACGGAAATCGCTTCGGATGATTTCCTGGGCGACGCGGATCATCGCTTTCGCTACACCGATACCTTTATCGTCAAGCTTTCCGTGTTCGTCGTAGCAGAGATTGATCGCGGCTTGGGCTGCTGCCAACCAGGGAGCTAACAGTAGCGCCCCCGTACACCAGGCGCTGTGCGTCCCCTGCACTCCCAACCTGTAATCTGAGACGCGTAAAGTCACCTGGTCAGAAGTCAGGTAAATTTTTTTATTACTGAATCGGAGCAGGTTGTGTATGAGGAACACGGGGCGCGCGCCGACTGATTTGAACACCACGCGCGAGGTCAATCTTGTTAAGCAATTGAACATTTGCTTCAGGTCCAGGGAAATCACGAGAGTGAAATCGTCGCGGCTGATCGAGGACTTCAATTTTCTTCGTCGAAATTCGGTGGACAAAAGGCTAATCCCCGGCATCCCTCCGAAGGTCACCCCGTAGTGTCTCGCTTTTTCGTAAACCAGGGCCATAAAGTGCTGACGCAGGATCTTCTCTTTCATCCTCTCGGAGAAGAGCTGCTTGAACGTTATCCGCAACTTCTCCGCGTCCAGTTTTTGACTGTCTTTCGCCAAAAAAGTCCCTATCATTCTTGCGGCTACCTGGTCGAGCACATCGTGCAACTTTCCGGCGTCCGTTTCATCTCTTATCGCCTTCAGCTCGCCGCTGATGATATCCACAAGCGTCTGCAGCGTCCAACCTGGCAGGCACGAAAATACCTTACCGCGGATCCCTGTCGGCCCTTGAAGCTCCTCGCTCATTTCGGCGATCGCGTCGGCGGCTTCCGTGGTGGTGATTTCCAACGGGTGGCAGAATTTTGCGTGCTGTAGCAGTAAATCCAGCAAATTCCGATACTCTGTTCCCGAATAGTCGTACTTTGCCCCGGTGAATTCGATCATGGTCATCGGCTTCGCGAAGTGTATTCGTGCCGTGTTGATCAGCGCCGTGGGGGGGGAGTCGCAAACCGTCCCGTCGCATACGATCCCTTTTACGGACTTAATCGGCTCGCCTCTCGCTCTCCCCAAATAGACCTGCTTCGCGGTTGCCATCGTCTTTTTCTTCGATTCGGCGCGCCCGTCTTCGTCCGGGTTCGCGTTTAATGAGCTCACAGGCTTGTCTAAGTGAAGTCTGCTAGAAAATTCTCTTTTTTTTACTAGCGACGCTTTTAGCAGGGTTTCTGCGATTTTATCTTCGAACTCGGAAAGGCTGCGGAAGTGATGGAAGTCCGTCCGGGCGTCGTTAATCGCGCGTGCGAATTTCGCCTTGTCGATTTTCTGGCCGCGGTCGATACGAATCGCGTGGCTGATCCCTTTGTAAATTTCTCTCTCCGCAATAAATTCCAGCGACATCGCCCCACAGAAGCCTCCGCGCGGAATTATACTTCTGGGGATCATCTTGTAATCCTCGAAAGCCCCGTATATCCATCCTTCGTGCTGGCTCGCGTTGGAGTCAGCAAGCACCTGCAGGGGGACGAAGTCGCACGCGTTGTTGTCGAAAACGCTGGCTGGGTTGGTTCTGCTGCTCTCGGTCAATATCGGGCTCATGGCGATTTTCCCCTCGGGGATGTTGGTCTCGATCGTCCCGCAAATCCCGATGGCGGCGTGGTCTTGCATTATCTCCGGCAACTCAGTCTCCTCACCATCAGCGGTCCACCTGTACGTAACTAAGTGCCCCAGGTCGTCCAGCAGCTCTCGACCTTTCATGAAAACTACATCGGGAGACGACGCATTTCGATAGGTTGGCCCTTCGAATGTAAGTGGGTCGTGGTCGACGGTGATCTGCTCACAGAAGTCGATAAGCAGCTTTTTTATTTTTCCCCGGAAATTCGACGAGGACGAGAGCCGAATCGAGTCCAGGAAGTCCTCGCGCGACGCGGTTTCGTGCTTCATATTCAGGTCGAAACCCAAGAAACAAATCGCCGCAGAGTCACATTGTTCTTTGTACACGGTCAGGATTTCTTGCAACTGGGCCGAAGCATGGCGGATGTTATCTTCCGTCACCTCCTGGTCCGCTTTTGCACTCGGCGTCACATAGCATTCTGCGGAGAGAATTCCGTCGCCCGCCACTAAGCTGAACCAGAGGCAGTAGTCCTCCTTTTCCGGGCATTGCAGGATTAGACTCGGAGTCACGTCGCCCGCGGTCCTGTAGTGAACTGTCCAACTTCGGGAGAAGGATATCCTCTCGCGGCAGGTGCCGATCGATGACGCCTGCCCGGGTCTCGGTGCCGCCATCTCGTAAATCGCGGCTAGTCCGGATTCGTGGGATCCCCCGATCTGCGCGCTCGACGCGAATTCGACTTTCCTCAAGCAAATTTCGTGTTTTGTGCGGCCCTCAGATCTTGTCTCGACGGGGAGGCTCGCGGCCGGGTCCAGCGTTTTGAGCTCGCTCAGCCCCAGACGAAATAAAGCGCTGGCGTTCATTTTTGCAGCCTTCTTCAGGACTTCGCTTGCTGCTTTTACCAGCCTCTCGCTTTTCTTGTTGATCGACTGGATGTTGTAGTGGATCAAGTATATCAACGTCTTGTCCACGGGGTCGGATGTTGAAGCGGCGACCCCATTCGGAACGCTATACTTGGCGCTGGCGGAGGTGGATGAGTTGCGTGATTTGAATATGTCCGAAATTTCTTGGAATAAGTTAAAAAAATTTTTGGCGACGCCAAGGGGCCGCCCTATATTGAGTAGCAGGGCGCGCGCAGGCGTCGCCCCTTCCTCCCGCGCAGCAAAAGAGCAGACCACCGGGGCCCCCAGAGTGTGAGCGCTTCAAGGCTTGGGGGCTTTGCGCTTTTGGAAAACAGAGACAAGCCGCGGCCGCACTCTTTCGCCGCCGATTCTGCGCGCTAAGGCCTCTGCATTTACAGGGCCGCGCAGATGCCCCAAGGCGAAGCCAATGGCGGTCGGCTGGCTTAGCCTCCGGCCGCTACCCTGCTTCGCCACCATCGCGGAGGGGCGGCGGTCTGCAATCGATGCACCACCGCCCGTCCGGCAAAGGAGAGGGGGCCCGCGCGCACCTTCGGAGCACTCTGGCGGAGGTCCGCGGATTATCTCCGAGGGACACGTCGCCCAGGTCTTGAAATATGTCCGCGACACAAACGCCTCGCGTCTTGGAACATGTCCGCAACACAAAAGCAACACGTCCGCAACACGTCCGAAATATGTCTGAATTTTGTCTGCAATAAAAAAAAACACGTCCGGAACTTGTGTTTTGAACAACGACGAAAGTTGTGTTTTTTTGGATGCAAAAAACACGTCCGGGACGTGTGTTCCTGAACACAGCCAAAATCGATGCCGTAGCATCGTGATTGTTTGTGTTTTTTTTGATGCAAAAAACACAACTTTTGTCTGTGTTCAGAACACACGTCCCGGACGTGTTTTTTTCACCCAAAAAAACACGAGTCCATTTGTGTTTTCTTGTGTTCGTGCGACTTATTGCAGACATATTCCGGACATATTGCAAGACAAGACCCGGACTTATTCCATTCATAGTTTTTCCGGCGATGATGGTTGTTTGTCTCGTGTCTTGTGGTTGTGTTTTTGTGTTGTTTTTGTGTTTCCGCCGGAGCTCGCGAAGGCGTCGCCTGGCACCACGAAAGCCCGGGCGTGGAGGTGGACGCCCCGGCCGGTCAGATCCTACCTCCCGCTGCCACGCCCGTGTCCCCGAGCGCCAAAAAGACACAAGCCGGGCACTTACCGGGAAGCCTTCCGCCTCTCCGCGCTCTAGTCCCGCCGGCGCCGGATCGTTCCCCCGACGCGGGGCAGCTTCGCGGCGCCGGCTTGGCTGCCGCCAAGACCGCGCCTGGCCTGCCTGCAAAAGAGGGAGGTCCCGGCTGGCTTAAGGCCCGGCCTGGCGGCCGCTCTGCTGCCTCCTCTGGCCGTTGCCTGGCGGCCCCAGAGAGCAGACACGTGCATCGCACCGCGAACCCAGTCCCCGACGAAAAGCCGGGACTTATTTTTTTTATTTGTTCCCGACATAGTCGGGCCCTATTTCTCATCCAGGGCGCCCGCGCCAACTATACGTAGTCGCGATCTGCAACTCTTCAGGCCCGGCGCGGCTATCAAGGGGGTCGGGGCCGTCCACTTCATCGTCGAACCATTGCGAAAATGGGTCACATCCACCCCGCGCTACTGCTTTCCGGATTGCTTCTGGATGCAGAACTAGCTTCTTGAAGAAAATCGCGGCGCAGGTGAACGCTCGGCTCGGCCGGGCACTCGACTTGCTGGCGGTGGAGATTATCCAGTCTCCTCCTGCGTCGATGTTCACGTGCATTTTTTTGAAATTGGAGCCGCTGTCGATCTTCGGAAAAAGCTTGTCGACTAGCGCGACGGGGCCGCTCGCGTAGTCTTCCTCCACCGCCCCCCTCTTCCGTAGGAGCGTCTCGGCCCTTTCCAGGAAAACGCCACACGATTTTGCGTCGGAGTTGTATAGCCTCAAGGCGCAGCACCAGCTCCGGAACTCCCCACCCTGCGGCAGGTACACGAAGAACTGCTGCACGCGCGAATAGAACAATCTAAAAGCTCCTAAATTCTCGCCCTCGAGATCCGGCGGAAAAGCTTTCGTGCTCCGCTCGCTCAGATCGGCTCGCACTTCCTGCAGGTCCGCCGAACCGTCCAGGATTAGGAATGAAGTCATGGGGAGGCTCTCGGAGGGGCACGAGGACAGAAACCGCACCGCCAGGCTCCGCATCGTAGCAGCGTCGGCCGCTTCGGAGCTGATCGGCAAGAGCGAATTTTTGCCGTCAAAGGATACCAACGTCCCTTTACGCCCCTGATACCGACTCCGGATTTCCGGATGGTCTTTGAAGGAGGCGGCAGCACTCGGCTCGAAAGAGAGCAGGGCGGCGCCAGTTTCGAACGGAAATGGCGTCTCCTGTTCTTTCCTTACTCTATCGTCGCTTGTCCGGCCTAAGTCAAGTCTTGGCGCGGTGCGAACTTGGGGATCCTCGGCAACCGCTAGTGGGGGAGCTATCGGGGGGATGGCGGTCTTCCTTCTTTTTTTTCCCGGAGAAGTTTGAGGCGGGGGGCTGGGGTTCTTTATCCCGTTCGTAGACGTGGTCGGGATGCTCCTGCTAGAGGAAGAGGTCGTCGGGGCGGAGCCATCTCCATTCCCGGCCATGAGTCGCGTCCCGTCGCTAATTTGCTTAGTCACCGGGAGATCGGGGTCGGTGCCTGTCTTTTCCCGCTTTTTTAGCACGCTATCGATCGCCGTGGCGCGGGACTTCTTCAGCTTTCGGATGTCCCCGGTGAAGTCGATCTGCGTTTTGATTTCTTGCAGCACGGACTCGCGGCTCCCCGACATCTTCTTCTCGAGTTCAATACACAGACTTCGAAGAGCCGCCCAGTCTTCTGGGTTCTTTTTTGAAATCCAGAACTTCCGTTCCCACTCCGCGTCACTCCCTTTCAACAACCAGCGGACCACTCTCTTGCTATTTTCGGCTCTCGCCTCTTCAACTCCGGGGTCCGCGGCTGGGGCCGCGGGCTCGTCGGGGAAACCTTTGAGCAGTACGGCCGGGCCTTTCTTGATTGCTGCGCTGGGTTTGTCGTTGCTTTGCCCCGCGGTTTTCGATTTTTTCGAATCCTTGTCGTTTTCGTCGAGCCTGTGTCTCTTTGCGGCCGCTACCTTCGTATGATTATCCCTAAATTTGGCGAGTTGCGCGAGGGTCGTGGCCTTGACAATTCCTGTAGCAGGGTCGCGATTCTGCAGTTTGGTTTTTATGCTCGTCGTTCTTCGAATTAAGTCCTTTAACGTGCTCTCGAGGTCGGCTTCTTTTCTGGGTCGAAGGAGGAGGGCGTCGGAGTTGCTGGAGGGGCTTCTACCGTCGTCGACTATCTTTAACCCTTCCGTCTTGCAAAACTTCGCGATTGCATCGTCTGCCGCTTTGGTCAATTCTGATTTGTCCGCCAAGAAGAAAACTTCGCACCTACCGTACACCGGGTCGAGTTTTTGTTTGTCCCACCGGGCGATCTCGGGACGCTCCTTGGGGGCCTCCTTACGGAATCGTTTATCTTGTGCCATGTACTCTTGCTCGAGGTCGTCCAGCGCTTTCCTCAGCCTCTCGACTTTCTCTAAATCGTCCTTGTTTGCGGCGGCGTGGCGGCTAAAACTATTTTTGCACCCGTTTACGTACTTTCTCCACTTGATTAGCTTCGCGGTCCTCCGCTTCTCGTCGAGCGCGGTGTAGGAAGGGTAGGCCGTAATAATGTTCGGCTTCACATTCAACGCAGCAGCTAGCTTCTTCTTCCAGACTGCTGCGAAGGAGGCTCTCCCTTCAGGTCCTTTGAATGGACATTCCAAATTCAAAACTAAATTCTTGGCGCCGCGTAGTAATGACGCGGCGTTCGGCACGTGGTTGGCGATTATCGGCCAAGAATCGACTCCGAAGGAGGTGATGAACTTGGTTATTATTTTCTTCGCGGTTTTTATCTTTTTCTTTTTGCTACTGTTTTCCGGCTTCGCGGTGGTATTCAGATCCGGGTCGTCGGGAGTGTCTCCCATAATGGGGGGGTCGTCGGCGGGGGCGCGGCGGCCCGTCGCCGTCAATTCTGGACGGCTTATGCTAAACTCGCCTTTGCATTTGTTTTCGCTATCCAGGCTGAGTGAGTGAGCTCGTGGCTCCTCCAAGTCGCCTCCGTCGGGGATTTTTTCGGACCAACTGGCGCTCTGGAAAGCCCGTTTTTGGCTCACCACCTTTGGCATCGCGTCGACCACCAAACTCCTGACGTCATCACGACCCAGGATCTTCAACTGCTCGCAGAGGAGGTTGTTCGCAGGGGCTAGTCTCGCGGTGCCTGGCAAAATTTCGTCAACATGGATCGAGAACTTACTAGTTATCGACCATATTTCGACTTGCGCGGCGCAGATAGGGTTGTAGGTCGTTTCGCAGGTAACGGGGGTTGTGTTACAGGGCATCCATATGACCTCATTGACGTGCTGTAGTCGAAGCCTGCTTGGTTGCTTCATTTTATCTACTGGCTCGTCGTCGCTGTCGCGGGCGGCCGGCTCCCTCCCGCGCTCTTTTCGCTTCTCCTGCAGAGTGCGGTCTTTGCTACTACTAGCTGTCAGCTCGTCAACCAACTTTTTCCTGTAATCCCTTACCTCCATCAGTAGTCCTCTTAGCTTTGCGTCCTTTTTCGGCATAATATGTATTCTCCACTTGATGACTAAGTACGCGAACGGGGCGTCGTGGTCTTGGAGATTAGTACTGAAAGAATCCAGGTCGAACTCGTCTCCAATCGTGCTGGCAATATCGTCGAACAAAGGCACCGCATGGGGGGCCGGCGGCGAGGCGTTTTTCTTGGATCCCACTGTGCTGAGCAGGTCGTCGAAGAGCGGCACCTGAATCAACGCGCTACCGCTGCTCGGAAGTGCTGTTGTCGACTCCGCGGTCGGCGGCAGGGCGGATGAGGTAGCGGGGTCGTCGAGCGAAGGCGCACCGACCGGCTTCCTATACGTCATGCCTTTTTTTGAGATTGACATGCTGCTTACCGGGAGTCCAGCGAGAGCTTCGGCTGTCAAATTCGCGACGGACGACTCTTGAATGTGCTTTTCACCGTCAGCGGTGGGATGTGCGCTGCGACTTGTCTTGTCTGTTGGAAAATGTTTACCGGAACCCCCGCGGAGAATCACACCCGTTTTTTGCGAGTCGTCTTGCATGGAGGGCCTCGATGTAATCCTAGCAGAAGTCGGCTTGCAGCTATGCGCTTTGAAAGCGCTTTTCGACGGAAACACCTTGTTACAGATCCCGCAACAGTACTCGACCGCCCGGCGTTCCTCGTCGATTATGAGCTTCGCGGTGGCGGGCACTGGAGACATAGATATCTTTGGCGTGGCCGCTGTCGGTCTCGGCAAAATTGGATCTGGCGCTACTATGTTCTCCGACTCCGACGAATAATCCACAAATCTGCAACTTCCTTTGTTTGAACTGGGCCGCTTTTGAGCGACGAAGGGCGATATCGGATCGGAAAAAGAGTCCTTGCTCCATTTGGAACTGATGGCTTGACCGCGCTCCAACGACTCGCCAATCTTTCTTCGCTTCGTTGATCGCTCGCTTCGATTGCCAGGCACTTTTGAAATATCGTCGCCGGTCCTGTCGATCAAAATCTCGTCGCGAGAAGGGGGGGCTTTGACTAGATCCGGGATCTGGTCTTTTCCAGTAGAGCTTTTCGACGAAGAAGAGGATGGCGAGTCTTCAGACGAAGATGATGGAGGGGGAGGCGGGCGGTCTTTCGCATCGTTCAGCGAACCCGGATTGCTTTTGTCCCCGACATCCGCTTTCTTCTTATCTTTTTGGCCTCTTTGTTCTTTCTTCTTTTTGTGGTTCGGATCTTCCAGCATGTGGGCCTTCAGCGAAATGACTTTGTTGAAAAGTCTATCGCAGATGCTACAAACCCAGGCCCACTCGTCATCGTCGAAAAATGACGGGTCGGCGGCGGGGTTTTCTCGTAACCACCGGAGGGCTTTCGTGTTCTCCTGGTGATTCTCACCTCTTTCGACGTGGAGTTCGAACTCCCTGCGTGAGTCGAACTTCGTGTAGCAGTAGATGCACACCAGCGGGCTGTTGATATCTTCGCCCAGGACACGCAGACAGGATTTCTGCGAAAATTCCTCACTCTCGCCTTCCGGGACTAGTTGGCAGAAGGGTGCTTCGCAACTTCCTGATGGGTCTCGCTTTTTCTTTTCTGTACTATCGCGTCTGGAGGAAGAGGCGGCCGGCGGGTTCGAGCCGGCTTTGCCGCTGGGCTTTTGTCGTGGTGATGGGTCGGTAGCGGCTACCGCTCTGCCTCCTACTTCGGGCCGTCCTCCGTCACTTGACAACACCGCGGGCAAGGTCCACGACTCGGTGTCGTGCAGTTTGTCCCAGGACGCCGCGAACGAAAACTGCGGCACATTCGATCGGGCGATTCTCTCTGTCGTCCAAAAACGAAAAGCTTCTTCCAGGGAGAAACCTGCCGCACACTTCTCTTGAAAGTCAACGGTCCGCGTGGACCTCCACCAGATCACGTGGCGTATGTCCTGGTCAGAGAAATGGAGTATCACTCTTTTACTCCCTTGGGAAGCCTGCGCAAAGCAAGTAATCTCTTGCTTGAAGCTCTTTCCCCGCTCCGCCAACTGAGCCAGGAACAGTCTCAGTTCGTTTTCGGTTGCCCTCAGCTTCTTCTCTTTATTGCTCTTGTTCCCGAGAATCCGCGATCTTTGTCGACGAGCTGGCCGTTTTTTCGCATTTGTCGCCAAAAGTTCTCCCTCCTCGACGAGCTCAATATGTTCGCCGAGAAGAACTGCGTCGCCGATGTTTTTTCCCGACGGGTCGCCCCAAATTTCGGTCGACGTCGCCCCGGACTTCACGATCGCCCCCTTTGGCGTCCATTCTGTGGCAGAGTGGACCCGCAAAAACTTTCGGCGTTTGATGAGGTGATCCTGCATCTGCCAGTCGTACAAACCACCGCCGGGCAGCGTGCTGTGTAGAAACTCTCCGGTCGATTTTTCGATCACGAACTGCGCGCAATCCTGGCCGACTCTATGCACAACTGTTCGGACAGCAGTGAGGGAGTTCTCGTACTTCAGCGCCTCGATCCAGTTTAGGTTCGAAAGAGGTTTCGGGTCGCATTTCGAGCTCCGTTTCGGTCCCCGTGATTTCGGGTCGCGTTTCGAGCTCCGTTTCGGTCCACGTGAAGTCGGCAGATGGGAATCGACCTGCTGATCGCGCACTTCGTACTGCTCGGAAAATGGGTCGTCGTCGGTGTACTTCGCAAACCTAGCGAAGATCGATGTGGACAGTCGCGGGGAAACAACGGCGATGGTCTTCGAAATCCTCCCTCGCTTCTTTCGGGGGATCTTTATGAACCCATCAGTCGCCGACGATTCGTTGCAGGTCGAGGCTCCGGTCAATTCGCTGATGGGCATCGCGCTGATCCCCCGCCGCCGGTCGATAATCTTCGGCACGTCGCGTAGCGTCCATTTCTCCGGGTTCGAAATTGTCCTGAAACGTGCTCGCAGTGTTGGACAGAGATTGATGTGGGCGTCGAGGTGTTTCGTGGAGTTAGTTGTTGTCAACTGCGATGCTACCAAGAGCTTCTTGACTCCGAATTTTCGTTGCTTCGGCGGCGGACTGTTCTTCGTGGTCGTTCCCCCCACCAAAATCTCCACCTTTTTCTTCAGCAACATGGCCGCCTGCAGAATACCGCTACGCCAGGCCGTGACCGCTAATTCGGGGGGCGGCGGCGGAAGAAAAGGCCCGAAACGGATTTGGTTATCGTGGAAACTGTCGTCGTAGTGCTGTAGTGAGTTGTACTTGGTAGTCGCCGGCAGCACGGGCGGCAGCTGAGGCACGTACATCCCCGGAGGTTGGTATGGGTGGTTTTTATTCTCCTAAGGTTTCTACCGGGGTAGATTTTGCAGACTTTGTCCTCTTTAGGGGTTAGTTGTAGGTGTTAATTCTTTCCTGCTTTGTGTATCTTATTAGCGGTGACAAGATCAAAATGTGGTCATGCAATGAGTTTGGAAAATATGAGGATCAAGAAAGGAAGAAAAAGACAGCAGAAAAGCCGCTTTGCAGGGTTTGAAACTTTTAGTCGCTCGGGGAGCCGATTACGAAACGAAAAATGCGAAGCGATACCCTCGTTTTTACCTTTTCCGATGCGATCGTGTGTCTTTGTTTGTTTTTTGGTGCTAAAGACAAATCTGTTTTGGAGGAGAATAAGGAAACCAAACAAACGACCGAATCCGACGCGTTGTCACTAGCGGCTGCGTCTAGAATCTGTTGCAGCAACTTGGAAGGCTGAGGGCAGCTCGTGGACACGTCCACCGGCACGCGGGCCACCTCCTAGTTGTGACGGCGGCACAGAAGAAGTACGTTCCTCACCGTCGTCTGCGTTGCCGTTCTGTGGGGGGACCGCGACTGGACTTCGTGTCGAATCACGACCATCTGCCGCTCTCCCGGCCATTCCTCGTCAACCTCCCTACTGGGTAGGCGCACGTTGCTCGGTGCACTAAAAGCGGCCGCCGCAGGTGGCTCTCCGGAAATCTGGCGCGACGAACTCACGCCCAGCGACCGCTCTCTTGTTACTAGCCGCGAGACAACCCGCGATTGCGCGCTGGAAACAACTTGCCTGAGCAGCTCTGACGTTGCCTGCCGCTGCACACTTCCAATCTGCGCCGGCACTGGCACGGCGCCGAGATCCGCTTCCGCGAGGGCCAAACTCGCTCCTGCAACTTCCGTAATTTCTTCTTTGTCCACGTCAAACCGGATCTCCCGCGGGAGACGCTGCATCCGGTCGTCGATCGTGCGAATAATGACGGCGCCGAACGCAAAGCGAATCCAGACACCTAGCAAAATCACCAGAATGCCGACTCCCTGCCACCACGCAAACGACTCGCGAAGGACCAGAACGGCTGCCATGCTCGCCAGCACGCGGTTCAAATTTCCAAAGATCCCCACCGAGTAACTGCCGCAGCGCTCAATGAGCCGAAACTCGGCGAAGACCCAGAAGAAGCCCATAAGCCCCTCGCCCACGAACAGCCCGATCAGCAACGTCGCGATCCGTCCCTCCGCCAAAATTTCGTTTCCCCGCTGCAGCGGCTTCCACTGGTGCGTCGCACTGTCGCGCTCGAGGGCGAGCGAAACCGCGAGGTACATGATCGAGTTGAGGATAGACACTACCCGCAAAATTTCGAGGATGTGCGGCATCGCCACACTTCTCACGGCGCTGGTGTCGCGGGACGATGCGCGACTAGAAGCTGTGAGTTGCCGAGGAGGGATAGGATTTCTTGTCGTGGCGTCGCCCAACAAAGGTCGTTCCTCGTCTTGTCGGGGGTTGTTCGTCTCCGGCACGCCATCCATCCCATCGTTCTCATCCTGCGGGTTGCGTTTGTGCTTGCCTCCTGTCGTTTCGCCTTCGGACTCGGTCTCGGTGTCCGTCTCCGTTATAAAACCATGATCCACAGATCCCTTTGCCAGAAGTGCTTTCTCGATGTCCGCCTCCTCGATCGGTACAACCTGGCCTACGTTTTCCAGCTCGCGGGAATTTTCCTTTGGAAAGAAAGACCGGTACTGCTTTACCACCTTGCTGATGGTTGCAACTTGCTCCTGCTGCTGGGCCCTCTCGTATTGACCGGATATGTTGTCGACGACCACAACCCGCAACACGCGAAACAGCGCCGCACCAATCGCCCACTTCACTCCAGACGCATACTTCTCGGTTTGCTCACGGTCCCAGGCGTCCTCGAGCAGAGCACTGTCCGGCGGAATGGCCGCCAGGATCCCCCCGCACACGATGGGGATGACAGACCCGTAGGCTGCCCAGTTGTAGCCCAGAGCGGGCTGCAACATCGCCCCCACGACGAGCGTCAACGCTGGCACCGTCATCATAATGGACTCCAAAATTGAAGCGGGCAGCATCATCAGCGCGTACAGCTCCGAAAACCAGGTCAGAAAGTTGAAAATCAACAAGGCCGTCAGCAGTCCAACCGGGATGCCGAACAAGGTTCGGGTATCCGCGGTGGACACGTACGATTTGCTGTTTTTGTCCCCCCGTGCTGCGCCACTGTCAACACGGTCGCCGGTAATGTTGGTGTAAGCAAGCAGGGCCGACAGGGAAGAGAACACAGTTAGGCCGATGATGTGACTGTGGAATAACGGCACATCATACTGGAGCCTGACGGGGGTTAGCCACTCCGTGCCCGGTCTCGTTTCGTACTTGTTGTGCTTGTCCGAGGTGAGAAGTTTGAACGTCAAAATATTGAGTGCGTAAGCGAGGGCTTGAAACGAAACCTCAGCTACATCCTGCACAAGATTCTCGGTATGAAGTCGTTTTTTCTTCCCGGAGGAACTTCCCTCGGACATGGACGTCGCCCCCGTCAATTGATGCTTCAAGTCCGCACTGAAGCCCCGCATCAGCGGGGGCGGCGAAGGCGGTTCAGTGTCTCCTACTGGGGCTGCCATAGTGAAAACTCCTAGTAGATGAAAAAGTTGTAGAAGTAGAGAAAAATTTTTTTATTTCCTAGTTACTTCGGTCTTGCTTCGCAATGGTCCTATCTCAGTGGTGAGACAGGGACCGCAGCTCCAGCTAATACTACCGAGATGAGAGCTGCCCTAGTAACAAGGTCTTCAACAAAAAAACCTACTTCATCCGGGACATTGGGTGCCTCGCACAATCTCCCAGCACGATATGCCAAAGGCACGATAACACCAGCGAGAAACAACGACAACGAAGTACTTAGATTCGGCACGACCACGAATAGAAACGAGTGCGCCCCCTGACGGATTCGGATACGACTACGAATACAGCCATCATTCAAGCACAGTCAAGGGCGATATCTTTGGCCTTACAATCGGATCACGACGGTTTTGGGAAGTCGTCCAACGAAAACTGCACAGAACTCCGCGGAACAAGTAGTCAGGAGAACGGAGTCGAGAAGATGTGACTGCTTCTTCGGTCGTGCTGGCACTTGAAGTGCTTGTTAAAGTCCCGTTTTTCAGTTCAGCGTTAAACAAGCATCCTAGAGCGTAAGAAAAAAAGTTCGCATTTCAAGAGAAGATAAAGAACTGAAAGATAGGTCGTACAGCATTTTTGTAAAATAAAACCGCAGGCTTTTCTTTTTGCGGGAGTAGTAGAAGAGCTTCTCGCGGAAGAGAGTTTTTGAAATTCATTTTTTTGCGTAGCACTAGTCACCCGACAGCTAAAAGTTTGAAACAGATCTCAAGTTACTTTAGTGTATCTTTGTTGCTTTGTTGCATTGCAGATTCCTGCTCGTCACCTTCGATGTTCCACGAGATACAGATAAACTTAAACCTTAGCTTTTTTTCTGGGGAATAAAAACTCCTGCATTGATCGAAATCTGCTTCAAGCACTGTGCAAATCTGTGCGTAATGTCAAAAGTCAGACAGCTATCGCGAAAGACGTACATGTAGCAGTACTTCCAATCTGGCCGACCACAGTTGATGTAAACTTGAAATTGACCTGTTTCTCTGAGAAATTGATCCTGCCTCCGTTTACCTTGAATGGCATGTTGCCGATGACGAAGAACTCTGCATGTACTCTTCGGCCAACCCTCTAAAGGCATAGAAAAGCAGATCAACTACAACATTTTGTTTCCGACAGTTTATTTTCTGCAAGTGCTGACAAAGTATAAACGTCAAATCAATTTTTCGCGTATTCAAAGTAAAAGACTTCAATCGACTTCGTAGATCGACAATTGACCAAAAGAAAATTTTGCGTTTCAAAAAAGCTCCTCGAAGAGTTTTTTGTTCAAAATCAAATCAAGCAAGTCGCTCCTTACTCAGAAAAATCACCGTACTCCCCTTCTTCCGCGGCTTGCACGGTCTCTGTGATTCCCTTCTGCTGCGCTAAGCTCGAAGCCTGCGCTGTAGCGGGATCTGCCGCTGGCGCGGGAGCCGCTGCTGGTGGTTGTGCCTGTGCGGGAGCCGGTGGGGGCTGGGCTCCGTATGTTGGCTGCGCGTTGTACTGCGGCGCAGGTGGCTGCACCGGTGCAGCCTGCGGCATCATCGGCTGCTGTGGCTGACCGTACGGATTAGGTGGCGGCTGACCGTAGGGGTTCGCCGGTGGCGGCTGGCCATACGGGTTCGGTGGTGGCTGTGCTGCCCCGTACGGATTTGCGGGTGGCGGAGTGTATCCCATCGCCGGCGGCTGGTATGGGCCCGGCGGCTGCATCGGCTGCGGTGGGTACATCTGCTGCTGCGGTTGCCCGTACGGTGGCAGCGGCGCTGCGGGTGCAGGTGGCTGCTGCTGATACACCGGCGGCGGCTGCTGCCCGTACGGATTCGGTGGTTGCGGCGGCATCATCGGGGCCTGTTGTCCGTACGGCGGTACTGGCGGCTGCTGTCCGTACGCAGGCGGAAACGGTTGCTGCTGCTGCATGCCGTTGCCCGCCACTGGAATCGATTGCTGCAGCGTACTCCCCATGAGGCTTGGGGGCTCGCTACTCGCCGGTGGCTGATTTCCGATCGCCGGCGGCGGCGCGGCCATGGCGCTGTACTGCTGCTGCATGGCCGTTACACTTTGTTGCGGGCCGACCACGAGACTAGGCTGCGCGGTAAACGGCTGCTGCGGTGCTGTGTCAGCCACGGGTGCCGGCGGTTGCGGAGGCGGTGCGGACATCGAGGGTCTTTCGATCGTCAACCCGGACGCGCGGGGCGTACGCGGCGTTTGGTTGCCGCCCGTCTGTACCAAGTGCTCCAAGCGGGCAACTTTGTCGGTCAGGACATCGAAGTGGAAGCTCAGCTTCCCACGCTGGTTATCTGGTCCCATCGGCACCTGCATCGCCTCCTTCTTGCGGTCCAGGTCGCGACCGGCAGGCCACTCGATGGACCGATACCTTTGAAAGAACAGAGACATAATTTCTTCAGTTTCAGTGAGTACAAACGACCCGCGACCCAAAGATAAATAAATTTTGCGTACTAGTAGCGCAAGTGAGAGCACCGGTGACAAGCATTTCAAAACTACATCAGTAAAAGTACTTGTAAGCCATTCTAGCCAAGCTGATCCACTGGCCGGCTTGCGGACCGATGACCTCGCCCTGCACCTCCACCGTGAGCAAGTGACTGTCCGGCCCGTCGAGCGCCAAGGCTTTCTTCAAGTCGTCCACCGATAACCTCTTCGGCCCGTCGAGGTAGAAGTCGGCGCGCTGCCAAAAGTTGGGGTCGATCGGCGTGACCTTCACGTTCTGGAAGCCCTTGGCCGCCGCGATGGCGAACCCGTTGCCGACCACCCGGCAGTTGCAGAACGACAGCACAAACCGCAACTGCCGAAACTGCTGCTGCAGTCGGGATTCCGCGTTGTACTTGATGTGGAAATTGCGGACCTGCACGTTAAACGCGAGCACGGGCGCGTATCGGACCACGGCCTGGATGCTGTCGCAGCCCAGCCACTTCATGAACTCCTGTTGCTCGTTCAGCGCGAGCGGCTTGGACGTGGCGGTCTCCACGAGTCGCTGCAGCTTGTGGAACGGCGCCAGCCCGCCGGGATACTCCGTGGCGACGCCCTGCGCGATGTGCAGTTGCTGCATCAGGTTCTGCAGGAGCACAGGGTTCTTCGAGTCGAATTCCGACACGTTGTCCCGGAACCTCCCCAACCCGCTCTCCTCCGCGTCCACCGTGACACTGGTCACGCCCAGCACCGCGTCGAATTTCTGTGCCAGGTCCTGGATCAGTACTTCCTCTTCCAGATTCACAAACCCTAAGAGCAGTAACCCCGTCGCGGGGTCGAGGAAGTACTGCTCGGCGTCCGACTGCAGCAGCCCCAAGGCCGCGGTCAGAGATTGCACCAGGGTCTGCCGCGCGACGTACGCGGCGCCGGGCGGACTGACCTGCGCGAGCAGCGTCGCGAAGTCCTTGATTTGCTTCTGCTCGAGCAGCTTTTGAAACTGCGCGCACTTCGCTTTCAGACCGTCCTTCTGATCCGGGTCGAGTACTGGGTTCGAGAAGCTGTCCTCCTCGGCCACGAGCTGCGCGAACTTTTCGTAGTCGTACCGGCCGTAGACGTCTTTGAAGGGCATGAACCGCAAAACTTGCAGCGCTTCCGTCATGGACAGCACGTGCTGGATCCCGGCGCCGGTCAGGTCCTGGTACGCGGTGATTTGCAGAATGGACAAGACGATGCGCTTGTTCTCCAAGTACCCCACTTTTTCCGTGTCGAGGGCCCGCAGCCGCGGTTTCAGCAGGTTGAGTTTCATCACAAAGTTCGCCTTCATGAAGCCCGGCACCCAGGTGTCGAAGCTGGGGGGCACGACGGAGGAGGGCTGGAACAGCTGGCGGAACGTGTTCAAGTCCAACGCATTCTGCGAGGGCCGGCCCGCGGCTTGCAACCGGGGTGAATTCAGTTTCGACATCACGACGTTCCAGGCCTCGTCGAGCTGCTTCTCGGACAAAAGCAAGTCGTACTTCATCAGGATCGTTTTGAACTGGAACAGTTCCACGCGGCCGTCCTTCGCAAATTGCGCGAACGCGTTGTCCGTGGAGCCCGCTTCGCGCGTCAGGTTGTCCGCGGCGTACTGGATCACGTTGCGGTAGTACACCTCAAAGCCGTTACTGGCACTCCTGGACTCGAAGAACGTCTGGCGGAACTGCTGGAGATTCGGGGCCAGGTTGAACTGCGAAATCTTGCGGATCTGCCCGGGTGACAAACCGACCTGCAACGCGTTCAGTCCGGACACGAGCTCGCTCTCGCTCAGCTGATAGGACGATGGGAAGGCACCTGTTGAATGATTGGAGAGAACGTGAATCGCAATCATGTTTGACAAAAAGAACTCTTTCGAAACTTGAGTTTCTCCACGTGGTTCCTTTAGATGTTTTGAGTTTTTTCACGTTTCATCCTCCACGTCATGCATGTAGTAGATGTTTGTACTCATCCTCTAGTTCAAAAAACTCAAAAAAAACAATTTACGGAAGAGCGCATCGAGCGGCTGTCGGCGTTCACGGAGCACGACGAACAGGTGGAACGCGACGGGTTCCACAAATAGATCGATTTCTGGAATCATGGGATCGGCCGCCGCTTGCGTGAACTGCGACACCCGCGGAGTGACCGTTCCGGCGGATGCGGACCAGCACTTTTGCACAAACGCCGCGACGTTCACATTTCCCTGTCGATCGCGGCTGATGTGCGCGAGCACGCGGGTCATGTTCAGTAGGTCCGTGTAGCCCACCGACGCCAAGGCCGCACCAAATTCGTCCTCGGACAGCAGCCCCTTGGTTTTCGGCTGCGCTCTTGCGAAATCGAGCAGCGCGTCCGTCAAGGCGTCCTCCATTTTCGGAAGGGTGGCTTTTCGCTTTTCCGCCTCCGGCACGAACTTGCGGAGCATCCGCCCGCCCTCCATCACCGCCCACTCGGGGCCGGACAAGACCAAATCCTTGCTGTGCGAAATCACGTCGATGAAGTCCTGCACCGGGATTTCGCCCTTGCGTCCCGCCAGTCTTGTGAACACCGCGGCCCGCTCCTCCGCATCGATCTCGCACGGGAAGGCGGACAAAACCTGGTCGCATTCCTGCCGGTCGATCGTGCCACTGTTGTCCGCGTCGTACAGCTTCACCACGTCCGCTAGCGACTTCCCGGACTCCGCGATCTTCAAGCGCAGCCGGTTCAAAACGATGTTGTAGTGCTCGTCGACGATGGCGGTTAACCGGGCGGCATTCTGCGACGAGAACGAGAACTCCAGAGTGATGCTCTCCTCTGCGTGATTTTTTTGAGTAAACGAAATTAACAAATCGAGTACACAACGAACTTGGAGCGCGTTTTCTTCACAAGAACTTGGTTTTGGAATAACCTCCAAAAAACATCAGAATCAATAAAGGTAAAAAAAGCACTTTTCGCGTTCGCGGATGTCGGTCGACCGCCACCGGTGACGTCGACCGTCAACGACTTGGTGACGACGTTCAGGTCCCGGCCCTGCGGCCATTCGGGGCCGCCGTAGGCAATTTCGGACTTGGTCAACGGCACCCACTGGTTGGTCGTTGCGTCCAGTCCGTACAAGAACAGTGTCAGCATGTCCTCCGCTTTTGCGTCCGCTTGCGTCGCCGCGACTAGCTTCTTCAACGACACCCGCTCCGGCCCATCCAGGTAGAATTCCGCCGCCTGGAACCAGTCGGTCGGCATGAACACTTTGGACACGCCGCCCATGAACCCCTTCTGCTGTTTGGGCGGTGTGAAACTGTTCAGCGCCACCATCTGCTGCCCGAAACTGAGGTCCAACCGGAACTGCGTGAAGTAGTCCTTGGCCGCGCTGCTCTTCACGCACATCTTCTCCAGCATGACGGAAAAGCACGTGACCGCGGGGTAGTAAACCGCGTTGTTCGTTTGCTGCGACCACTTCTGCAGACTGTCGAGGTCACCACGACTGATGCCCGCCTGCATCTCCACCAGTGAACCGGACAACTTGTCGAACGGAATGACCCCGTCCTTGTACTTTACCTCGAAGACCTCGCACAGCTCCGCCTGCTTCTCGATCGGCAGGCGCAGTGGGCAGAGCACGCTCCGTCCGTCGTTGTAATCGATGGCCCGCGCCGGCTTGCGCTTCATTGCGAGTGACCCCACCTGGTCCGCCAATCCTGGAGAAGCCGCACCGGATTGGGATTTGCTAGCCCGCCGGACCAGCGCCTCCTCCTCCGTTCGCAAATGCTCAAACCGCGCCGCGATCTCCATGACGTCCACGACGCGGCGACCAAGAACGTCGGAAATCGTGCCGAGATACAACAAGGACGCGGACTCTCCGCTCAAGTACTCGAGCACCTCTTCTGGATTCAGCTCCAGTCGCGCCCGCAGGTGATTGACCAGCGCCTCGCAGTCCACGCGGTAATTGACCGCCGCCGCACCGGTTTCCCGCTGGACCTGCTGCGCGATGTCCTGCATCAGGGATTGCAGCGAGACGATGTTCTTTCGACTCAAAATCTGCTGCACGTCCTGCACCGATTTGAGAATGGCAATTTTCCGCACGTCGTCCAGCGGCCCCCGGTTCACGTCGACCTTCTCCTCCAATTTCTGCAGGAACTCGTGGTAGTTGTAGGTTTGGTACGGATCCATCGGGCCGCCCTTGTTCGGCGCGAGGCGGAGAATCTGGTTCAGTTCCACCTCCCCACCGAGTTCCACTGGCATGGAAAGCTTCAGGGCGAGACAGAACTCGTTGCGCGTGATCCAGCGGGTTTTACGGAGATCCAAATGCTCGAACATCTTCAGCAGACTGCCGATCTTCTTGCTGCTCATGGTCTGGATTACCTGGGCAAGGTCCTCGAACTTCTGCACCGGCACCGGGGCGGACAGGATGCGCGCGAACATCGCCTGGTCGAGGAACTGCTTCCGCTCCCGATCCACCAGCAGCCAAAGGCGGTCCATTTGCTGTGGCGTCAGCGTGCAGTCGTAGTTCTCCTGGACGAAAGAGAGGAACTCGGGCTTGTACAATTTCGTCAAATCTCCGCTGGTCCTCGGGATGCTGCGCCACAGCATGTCGATGTTGTAGTTCGCGGACTGGTTCTGCTGGATGTGGTACGCGATCTGGCGCAGCATCAGGAACAAGTAGCTGTCCAGCGTTGGGCTCATGCGCCCGAACAGCTCGACGAAGTGCGCTTCCGAAATGTCGCCGCCGGTCTCGCCCTTGGCCATGAAGTTGTGCAGCATGCGGACCTGGTCGCGGCTGAACTCCGCGTTCAAAGTCTTCTTGAACGCCATGAAGAGCTCGTCGACGTCGATGTTGCCGTCGCCGGACTCGTCCATCTGGCGGAACAGGGCGGACAGGGACTGCCGGCGCATGAGAATCCGGAATCGGATTTCTGCCATCAGCATGTCGTACAGCACCGGGTCCACGTTCTCCACCGACAACACGTCGTCCTCGGCCGTGGCGGACCGCTGCAGCTTGTTCCGCTCCTCCATGTAGGTTTTCACGAAAGCATCAACTGGAATGGCCAACGGTATGTCGGTCTTCAACCCGCGTTCCACTTCGAGCATGTCCGGGGATACCCGGTACGCAGCCTTCCACAGACACTCCATCAGCACGGGGTTGCGGGTCAGGGTGGGTTCCGCGAACCGCTCGAGAAACTTCCCGAACTCGGCCTGCTGGAGGGCGTCGTCCTTCCGCGCGCTGAAGACCTTCACCTCCTCCGCTACACCCTGCGCGAAGAAGATGGGCCGGCTTTCCTTCTGGCGCTTCTCGAAGATGCGGCCGAAGATGTTCTGCGAAAACTCCTGCTTCGCCCACCCGTTACTGGGTTTCGACAGCGCTTCGAGCAAGCGGCCAGCGTTTCTTGTAGAAACGGTAAAATTGAACTCGAACATCGGCTTCTTCGTCTGCGGCTCGACGTTGACGATCTTGGTTTCCGTGAAACGCAGATCCCTTCCTGGCATCCAGGGCTCCTGACCGAGGCGAAACGCGAAGCTGCCGAGCAGCTGTGCCGGTGCGCCGCCGCGCGGCGAGATGCTGGCCGTCGTGTTCTCTGCCGGTGCTTCGCCGTACAGCTCGAAGGTCAAAGGCTCGGGCGCATTGGGGTCCATGGCTTTTCGAATGTCGAGGGCGGCAAGCTTGTTCGGGCCGTCCAAGAAGAACTCGCCGAACTGCCGCCAGGTGACCGGCTGGATCTCGGATTTCTTGAAGAACCCAGTCGCTTTTGGGAGTTCGAAACGGGGTAAAGTCACTGAATAGCCCGCGAACTTCACCACGAAGAAGAATCCCCGCCAGGTGAACTCTTTCGGCCCGGTTTGCTTCAAAGACATCTTCTCGACTTGCACGGAGAACGCGAACAGCGCCGCAAAGTTCTTATTCTCCACGTAAATGGTATCGGCGGACAGGTAGTTCTGCACTGCCATTTTTTCGTTGGCGGACAACGTTTTTGCGACCAGCTTCGACGTCTCCATGGTTTGGAAAACCTGTTCCAGCATCGGGCCCTCTTTTTCCTTTTTCACTAGCAAGTCCTCCAAACCGTACACCAATGCGTTCTGCTGCGGAAGCGACAGCAAGTCGACCATTGGGCTGGGGTCTTGCGAAGCACGCACTGCCTTCTTCGGATCGGACCCCGTAGTCTGCGCCGTCCCGCATAAGTGGTCCATGCGCTGTCCCAGTTCGACCAGATCGAGCGTTTGCGTTTGGCTGTCCATCAATGTCAGTTGGAGAATACTTGTCGCTTCGTTCTGTAACAGGTTCGCGATGTCCTGATTTGATAAACCCAGCACCCGCTGCAGATTGGGCCCCAAATCCCGCCACGGTACGCGGCTCTCGCGCTGCTTCAAATCGTTATTCGGGAACGCTTGCGCCAAACAGTCCTGCATGTTTCGGAAACGCTTCTTCTCCATCATTTGCTTCAAGTACGTCGCCGCGGGTTGCAGTGCTTGTTTGTCGTACGGCTTTGGCAGCTTCGCGTCTGCGCGCTGCATCTCGATTGCCGGGTCGAGTTTCTCGCGGAATTTCAGGAAAATGCAGTCCCCCGCTGGCCCGCCCTTCGTCGGCATCAAGCGGAGCAGATGCTCCAAGCCGCGGGAGGTGAGGCCCGGAAGCGCGTAACGCAATACCCGAATCACCTCGTTCTTTGGCAGCATGGACTGGGCGTTGACGGGTGCACCCTGCGTGCTGCTCGTGTACCATGTTTCCAGCACCGTCATCACCGTCTTCAGTTGCTGCTTGGTCAACAACCGGACGTCGCCGAACATCACCACCGGTCGTCCCACGTTCTCCAGCACCTGCATAAACCTCGTCTTCGACAACTTCTCCGCCTTCGCGTCGTTGCACAAGACTGCCCATAATGCGTCCTTCTGCGCGTCGGAGAGCGTCAAATCGTACTTCGCGACCCAGTTCTCCACCTCGTACTTCGTCACTTCCTGTTTATCCGTGCCGAAGCCACGCGCCCACACGGTCTCCAACAGCGGGTGCGGTGAGGAGACGGTGGCAGCCGTAGTTCCGGCCATGGCGACGCCAGCGCCTTCCGCCTCGACAATGCGACGAATCACCGCGAAGTAGTAGAGTTCATTGTTTTTATTCGCTCGGCCGAAAGCCTCGGTGAAGTCTGCTTTCGAAACCGTCGTCTTCAACGGGTTCGCAGCCAGGGATGCTGCGCTCACGATTTTCAGCTGTTCGAAGAAATTTGCGGCCTGCAGCGGCGCCAGGTTGCACCCGAGCTGCCGTAATCCGTCCTCGAGCATCTTTTGGTTTACTTCCCCGAGTCCCTGCGGGTCCAGCTGCCGGAACGTAATCTCCGCGGACTGCTTCGGGTACAGCTCGCGCACGAACATCGCGACGACGTCCACGAGGAAGGTGGTTGGATCGATTTGCACGTCGGTCACTGTGAACGGCAGTCCGGTATTCACTGGTGCTTTCGGCGCGGCCTGCGGGGGCGGCATCATCGGCGCTGCCGGTACCAAGGACCCCATCGGCGGGGGTCCGCCCGCGGTCGCTGCATCTGCCGGCGCGAACTTCTGCACAAACGCAGGTAAATCGAGGTCGCCAGTAGTTAGCAGTGGTAGTGTTGGAAAGCGTTTTTCGACGATGTCAGCGCGCAATGTTGGAACGAGTGTCACCACGACGGAGACGAACTGCTGCTTGGTCAGCGATTGACCGCCCGGCTGCGTCATGTAGGCTGCTAGCTCCTCGTAGACTCCGGGGGCACCTGGATTTTTCCACGGATTTATTTGTCGATGCAGTCCAAAATCTGTTTCTTTCATCACAACAGCTGCGGATAAAGCTACATCAGTCGACACTTCAAGAAGTCATTAAAGTAAGTATTTGTACCGACACTCAATCCCCGCGCCTTCCGCTTCTCCATACAAGCGTCCACGATTTTCTTGCACAGTTCCGGGGTGGTGATTTCGCTCGCGGTTCCGCCCTCACTGCTGGCACCACTGCGGTCGACCGCGTAACTGAAGAGGTTTGCCGAGATGGTCGGCTCCATGCTGCCGATCTTGACGTTCTCGTTGGGCTGAATGTCCCGCCCTGGGTAGCAGTCGACAAGCATGTTGAAGACGTCGTTTTTCGTCTGTCTGTCGCTTTCGATAAGCACCTGGACCGGTTCCGGAAACGCATTGAACAGCTGGAACACTTCCTTTTCCCGTAACCGTCCATCGGCATCTGCGTCGAACACCTGGCACACTTGCAGCATGTTCTTCTGCATCGCGGGCAACGCGGCGGCCATCGCAGCTATTGTGGCATATGATGTGAGCAGATACCAAAGAATTCAAAAGAAAAAGTTTTGTCCCCATAGTACACAAGTTGCAAAAAGCGAAAGTCAAAGGGTCGCAGCGAAATCCAAAATGAAAAAAAACGCGCTATACCCATGACTTTCTTCAGCGCTTCCGGCGGCTCCTCCTGCGCCGTGTGCGCCGTGGGGTCGGGGACGGCGGAGCCAATCGTCTCCAAGACGTTTTGGTAGGCCTGCTGCACGGGATTCTTACTTTGCATCAAAGAGGGTTTGATTCCCAAGACCGCTGCCAAAAATTCGTCGTAGTCAATGTTCCCAGTCCCGTCCTTGTCCGTCATGGCAAACAGCTTTTCCAGTTGTGCTTCCGACGCACTTTGCTCGAACATGCGCAGCGTCTGGAAAAGGCTCACTTTCGTGACGGATTTGTGCCGGTCGGTGGGGTCGACCGTCGCGATCTTCTCAAACAAGTTCGCCACCAACGTCTCCAGCGGCGCGCCTGTGGTGTCCGCGGACTTCAAACTCGCTTTGATCCTGGTAAACAAATCCAGCGCCCACTTTTCATCCGCCTGCACCTGCCCGATGTTCGCGCCGAAGTGGTACGACAAAGCGTTGTCAAATTCGGTGTAGCTCACCCGGCCGTCCCCGTCTGAATCGACGAAGGTGAACAGCTGCTCCCGCTCCACGGTCGTCAACCCGAGGGGCATGGACTGCAGGTACTGCACAAACTCGGCTTTGGTCAACGTCTGGTCCCGTCCCTGGTTGAAGCGGAAGAAAATGTCCTTCGTCTGCACGCCGCGGCGCTGCACTTTCTCCCGGATGATCGTCATCAGGTAGCCGACGTTGACGCCCCCGATGGTCGTGGCGGAGTACTTCATGTCCTCCGGCCGCGGGCCGCCAGCAGCGGACGCGTCCAGCGCAACTGGGAGGTGGAAATAGAGGGCATTACGCAAAACTTTTGGGAAGCAAGTCGGAGACATGCAGCAAGCTAGCACAAGGAAATCACTAAGCAGAAAACCTACTTAAAAATGACGTCAGTTTCTGTACGGGGCTCTCCGGAATTGATCCACCGGAAGAAAGAGGTCCACTGCGCGCGTCCCTCGGCGTCTTTGTCCACGACAACAGAGATCTTGTCCCACTCGTCGTCGGTGAAAATGGTGCACTCCCGTGTGGCAAACCGCCCGATCTCGGACCGCAGCGTCTCCATTTGCAGGGGTGCAGATCCGAAGCTTTCAAAAGAACTCACCAAGCCCTTCGGGTGCCCGCGACGCATCGCCTCCATGTCAAACTGTAGTGAAGAAGAAGAAGTTGGAGTATTTTATTAATTTTGCACCCCTTAAGACACAAAAACAAGATGACCGCAGCTAGCAAATGAACTACACAAAAACCGAGTTCGTCCTTCTTCTACCTGTTTGATCCACTGTCTTGTCCACGTTTCGACTTCCTGTGTTTTCGGCGCACCTTTCAGCAAGTTCTCCAACAGTGGCAGGCTCAATTTTCCCACGTCATTCGGAGCAGCGCCCTGCGTCAGCTCCTTCAACAACCACAAACCTTCTTCCGCGGACAGCCCCAGATCGCCGCGACCGAGCGCGTGCTGCCAGTCCGCCTGCGGAATGGCTGGTTCGTTTTGCGGCCCCGTGGTCGCCAACGCGTAGACCCCGAACGTGTTGTGGACCGTGGCGTTCTTGTACTGCAAGTTGCGACTCAGCCGGTTTACCAGGCAGAACGCCATATTCTGGTTCGTTACCTGGGGTGACGTCCGCGAGCTGGTGGCATTCAGCGCCCGCTGCGCTGTGCTGGTGGCGATCGGCTGCGGGGTCAGAACCCCCGTCCCCGGCTGCCCGCCCGCAACGCCGACCAGGAACACCGACTGCGGCCCGAACATCGCCTGGAATTCCGTGAAGTCCACAGACCCGTCGTTGTTCTTGTCCGCCAGTTGCCACAACCGCTTCAACTGCGAGGGAGACAGGGAGTCGTCGAACGCCGTCAGCAACTTCTGGAAATGCTCCAGGCGCATGGTTGGAGAGGAACCCACCAACGCGTCAAACACCTGCTGCAGCGACTTCCCGCTGGATTGGATTGCGTTCACGATCCGCTGGATGATCTCCTTCGCCCAGCGCTCGATCCCCTCGTACTGCGAGCCCTTCACGATGGCCTTCTCAAACTCCTCGCTATTCACCACGCCGTCTCCGTTTACGTCGATCTTCTTGAACACCATCAACCGCTCGTCGGACGAACCGCCGACGCCCAACCGCCGACACCCCTCGTCAAACTCCTGCTGGGTGATCTTTTGGTCTTTGTCCGTGTCAAACGAGTCGAACGCTTCCCGGGTCGTCCGGAACCCCTTCTGCAGCAACTTCGTGAACAGCTTTCCGAGCAGGATCACGTAGTACTCCTCGGACACCAAATCGCTGTTCAGGAAATCATCAAACCCGGACTTCCCGAACTGCCGCTGGAAGGTCTCCATCGTCAAACAGCCGTCCGCACTCTTGTCGAGCGCGCGCCACAGCGTTGCCAGCTGGTCGTCACTGAGACCAGGGTTCATGCGCCGGATCAAGTTCAGGAACGGACCTTCATCGACCAAGCCCCGCCGGTTGTTCTCGACAAGACCGTTGTAGACGTCCACCGTGTCCTTCCCGGACCGCGCAATCGCGCCCTTCAGCTTCGAGAAGATGTCGATCGTCCAGAGAATCGGCTGCTTGTTCGTGGAGATCTCCGCCTCGGTAATTGCGTTCTTCAAGTCTTCGAGCGAAATCAGCGAATCCGTCAACGCGCCGGCGCCGCCGCGACTGGCTAGCCTTGCAAACAGCATGTCGATCTCCAAGTCGCTGAAACCTAGTTGCAATTCCTTGAACGCGCGGTTGACATCGCCCTTCCCTAACTTTCCGTCCTTGTCGGCATCGAAGGTGGTGAAGGCGACGCCCGCCTGCGGAAAGCCCTTGTCTTTCAACTTGTTGATGATTCGGTTCAGGCAGATGTAGAAGTAGGCGTCGTCCATTTCCCCCGCGTCAACCACCGTGCCGCCGGACTCCAGCGCCTTGGGCGCGACGAAGGCGGTGGTGGTCAGATTTCCCGTGCCGACGTAAGTTTGGAACGCATCGACAAAATCGTTGAAGTGGACGTAGCCGGAGCTTTCCTTGTCGAACACCTGCCAGAGTTTCTTCACCTGGTCGGGGCGCACCCCGAGGGAAAAATTCCCGAGTTGCGTTTCGAAGTCCTTTCGCGCCAGCACGTTCCCCTTCGTGACCGTGAAGAAGACCTGCTTCCACTCTTTCCCGGCCCACTTGCACGCGGTCGCGAGGCGGAGGAGGCAATCCTTCCGCCACTGCTCCAGCGGCGTGTTCTTTGCTTCCGCTTCGCGCAGGGCGGACTCGAATTCCTGGAGGGACACGAACCGCCTCTTGCTGACGTCGAGCATGGTGAACACTTGCTTCAGCTCGTCTGCGTCGATGCCCAAAGGCATCTTCAACGCCTCCTGCGTGAATTCCTGCGTCGACAGCATCCCGTCCCGGTCGAGGTCGGCCTTCTCGAACCACGCGCGGGCGGAAACCCGCTGCTGCTGCAACCGTCGCGACATGCGCTCCAGCACTTGCGTGAAGAGCTCCTGGGTGACCGGCACCTTCGCCTTCTGTCCGCCGGCGGCGAGCGCCTTCACGCGACTTCTGTCCACGTCGACCCAGCGAATGGCGAGGTCGACGCTGCCGAGCGCGACGCTGCGCGGGTCCGCGAGATTGGTCTTCATGGTGAAATTCCCGCGCACCACGCCCATGCTGTCGCGGAGCAGGCTCTGGATGGGGACGCGGACTTCCGCGAGCTTCTGCTTCGTGCTGTCCGCGTACAGGCCAATGGTCAGGCCGCGGCCGCTTTCGGCCCACATCAGAAACTGGTCGTTCACGCGAACCGGAACCCGACGATCCTCGTCGAACCGACATGTTCCCTGGGAGGTTTGGAATTCGATTTGCGTTTTCGTTTACCTAGCGCTGCATAACAGCATGCGCTGACTTTCAATTTGCTTTGAATTTGTATCCATTCATCAGATTTAGAAGTGACGCATTTACATAATGCAACGAGTAGATTTTCATATTAGCCTCTTATTACCTGTGCGATATTCGTGAACCGTACAGCTTTTGTGGCGATGGGCCGCTCGTAGCCGGAAATGTCGTATTGCAGGTAGACCCGCCCGGAATCCAGGATGTTCGTTGGCAGTTTCGTGAAACCGGAGCACTGGTAGAACTGCACGAACAGCTGCTGGATCTGAAATTTATTGATCAAAGACAGAACTTCAATCTTTCGAAACGACGGTGGGTTGCACGACAAATCAATTGTCACAAAACGACGGACTAAAGAGGATAGATGAAAGAGGCATGATCTCTGTTCTGAAGCTTGGTTTTTGCGCCGCACCCACGCGGTTGACGTGAACTGGATCCGGCTTCACATCCTTGTAACCTGTCTCTGGTTCCTCTCTCTCTCAACTCCATCATCTTGTTTCTCTCACGATTAACACTCAGGCTCCCCGCCACATATCGCCACTTTGCATTTTTCTTTTGCTATCGTGCCTAAGTAAACTCTTTGTGACTCTGGTAAAAAAAGCCAAATCTCGGTCAAATCGCGGTCCACATGATTTCGGTACAAACGAGACCGCAAGCAACGCCAGTCTCGGATTGATAAGTGGTCGATAGGCATAGTGTACAGGTGGTGCGCATATTTTTCATAAGGCTCCGCCATCCTAGTCCGCCGCTCGAGCCTCCAACTTTTGAACCCAAGCCTCACTGGTTTTCTTGCAGCATCTTGTCCAATTTTTGCGAAAGCGGGTTATTCTGCGCTTCAGCTACGACGGCCGCCCTCCTTTCTTCCACGCGCTTCAGTGCCTCTTCTTTTGTTTGGATGTGCTGGTGCAGAATCTTTGTTGCTTCTTGCCAATCCTGTGTCTCATTGTACTTCTGAATCGCCCGGCGGCGCGCGCTCTCGGGCGTCTGTTCCCACTCTTCTTTCGAGCGCTCGCGGAAGTAGCGCTGCGCAAATGCCGGGTTGTCGAGGTACTGCTGTGTCTCGCCCCAGCGATCGGAGGCAGAGGTAGGAGAGTTGGAGCGTCGAGGTGTTGGCAGGTTGTCCATCGCTGGAGCCCCTTCCAAGGTCTTGCTCTTCCGCTTCTCCGTCTCCTGCCCCCACTGTTCAGAGGCACTATTTCTTCGCGGCGTATAGGCCAGTCCAGATTCGAACTCCAGGTTTTCTTCGTGCCGCGGCGTCATGTGCTCGCTCACATTCTTACTCACCCCTTGACTGATTTTGCTCTGAACTACTCGTGGCGTCGAAACGGCCGGCCGGTCGTCCGGTTTCGCAGTCGGAAGAGACAGCGGGGACATCATGGAGATCTTGTTTACACCCACAGGAGGAGAGGGGCCAGTTTTACTGTTCAAAATCTCGTCCGCGGCCTTTGCCCGAGGGACATTAACGACTTGATCAACAGCAGTACTCGCCGTAGCGCCCTCCGCTTTGAGATCCGACATCAAAGCAAACATATTCCCATCCTTTTCTCGCCCGCCGACGGCGCCAATTTCTTGATTAGCGTTCTTCATATCTTCCTCATCAACCCCCCCTGTTTCCACCATCGGCATTTGCTGAACCGCAAGCTGCTCCCCCTCCGCTTTCAACATTTTCCCCGGTGCTTGTGGTGGTCCACGCGGGGAGTAAATGGCATCAAACCTTTTCACCTCTGGTGGCACCGTGTCAGTCCCGAGGATCCTGTCCACCAGGTCCCGCACCAGCTGCGCATCGCGGTCCAGCCGAGTCTGCGCCAAATCCGACGCAAAAGACTCCAATTGCTTTCTCTCGCTGTCTAACTCTGCGAACATGCGCTCTCTCTCATTGTTGACATTCTCCATCATAGCTGCGATAGTGTCGCTTTCGTTTTGAAAGTTCTGCCCCCCACTTTCCTTTTCCGGAACGGGGGGCAACAAGCCCTCTGTTTCCGGCGACATCGCCGCGTTTTTCGCCAGTCTGGCCTCAATTCGGAACCGTGGTGGTGGCGAGCTGGTTCTCAACTGCGATACCATCGGCATTTTTGGAACAGCAGCACCCTTGATGTTCCTGTCGCCGTAAAACCCGTTCGCTTCGCGCATCAGTCCCTCCTCTCTCTGCTTGGTGAGATACTCCTCCCATTGGCGCTTCTCCAAATTGTCCAAAACAGAATCCAACTGGTCCAAAACATTCGCATTGTCTTTTACCTGATCCACCAAAGCCGGATCGAACTCCGGTTTCGCCATCTGCAGAGACAGCTCGTCCTTGTTTCGCTGGTGCTGGAAGTTGTGCAGTAGGTCGAGGACGGAGAAGCGCAGTTTCATCTTGTACGACAGGTGCGCGATCGTCGTGTTCGGGTCCTTCTTGCTGACGAACTTCAAAGTCCCCGACACCATCGGGTTCGGGTCCAGCGGTGTGCAGTTCAGCAAGTGGACCAGCGGCAAAATCGCCTCCCCGACCACCACCGGCGGGCCTTGCGTGGCAGCTAGCGCCGGGTTCTGCCCCTGCTGCTGCTGTTGTGGGATCGCGAACGCCTGCAGGCTGAAGCGGATCGCGCCGGTGTTGAAGAACTTGATGGCCTGCTCATTCATGACGAAGGGACTGCAGGTGATGATGCTGTCGTAGCGGGGTTCCAACCCGGAGGCCGTCCGCGAGGAAACCGTGTCGAATTCGTAGAAGTCGATCAGCACGTTGGTCATCAGACTGTTCTCCGCCAGGAAAATCGGCATGTTCGGGAAGAAATGCTGCGACAAGACCTTGAATTCGATTTTCGCCGAGTTGACGACCAAATCCAGTGCGTTATTTTCGCTGCTTTGCTGCATGTCGGCGGAAATGTCCGAAAACCCGGCTTCGCTGATCACGTCGTCGTCGCGTTCCACCTGGACCTGCTCCAACTGACGGATCTGCTTCTGGAGGTCTTTGACCTGTAGTTGTAGGCAAGTTCATTTTCAGTTTTGTCAAGTTCATTCTCCCTTAGTTAAATTTCAGGATCGCTTGGGGACAAACACAATGCGTTTTCTATCTGTGTCATAACAGGTGGATGTAAGAACAATGCGCCAGCATCTCTAAGCGTCGCACTCAGTAAAAGTACTATACCTTAGTTTCCCTGCTCTTCGCAAGCCGCTCCCACTTTTCTCGGTCCGCCAGCATCGCTTCGGATTTCGTTTGCATGTCTGCCAAGTCGTACTGGTGCAGAGTCTTCAGTTCTGCGTTGATCTCCGACTCGCGCCGCAGGATGTTTTGCAGCGCCGTCATCTCCTGCGCGAGGTCTGCTTTTTCCCGTCGGAGCTGCGACACCACCTTCGTCAGCCCCTCGATGGACCCCACGTCGCTTTTCGAGGGTACAGAAGTGGCTCCGCGCTCGACCTGCGAGGAAGCGAACGCTGCGGGGACGACGGAACTGGTCAAGGCTAACGACAAAGACTTCTCCACGGCTGCGCGTTCTTCTGGCGGAAGCGAATCACGCAAAACTTGGAGCTGCTCTTCCACGGCCTTCGCTTGTTTCTCCCTTTCCTCGAGCCGGATCCGAATCCGTTCGTTTTCCTCCCATGTTGTTTTGTACTTCTCCTCGGCGGCGGTCACTTTGTTTTTCATCTCGGTGATCTCGAAAGTTACTTTTTGCTTGTCCGCAATGGCGCCCTCCAGTGCTTTTTGCTTCTCTACCAGCTCCTCTTCTAGCCGCTCGAGTCGTTTCGCGGACGCGACCCGCGTGTCCGCGGTGCTAATGAAGGCATTGGAAGTGAGGGAGTTGATTTTCTCCATTAATTTCTTGTTCATGTCATCGGACTCCTTCACTTTTCGGTGCAGGCTGGCGTTTTCTGTCTCGTCGCCGAGAGCGAGCGCGTGACGGAGGTCAGATTCCACTGCGAGCTTCTCTTTCTCGAGACGATTTACCTGAGATACATTGGCATTTCAGGTTGTTGAATAGTGCAGTTATCGTAAGTATGTTGCACAACGTCGAAACAGAGATGAACTAATTCGAGAGGTTAGGGCTAGCTTAGTGGAATTCACGCTTTGACAAAAAATACCGTCGCGGTCATTTCTTTTCTCTCCTTGTGGAAGCTGTCTCGGTCTTCATCGAGACTTTTCTGCAGTTGCTTAATTCTCTGCTCCTTGTCGTCCAGCTGCTCGCGGTAAAACGCCACCTCCACAGCGGACACGCCTTTGTTCCCTCGCGCGCTCATGACGCCCTCCATTTGGTTCGTCAGTCGCTCGTTTTTGTCCTTCAGATCGCCTATCTGCTTCCGCAAAGCCTCGGTCTCCTCGACCAGCATCCTCGCGACGCCACTCCTTTCCGGTGAGGGACCCCGGCCACCCGGCGACAATGCCGTCCGGTTCCGCAGCATCCCCGTGCCGGTGACCGCCCGCCGGGTCTGCTTCGTGACCCCCGGCGACTTCGGCCCGCCGCCGCCCGGCCCGGGGGATTTGGATCGACCCGTGGCGGGGACCCAGGGTTGGGAGGAGGAACTCGCGGACGTGCCGGTGAACCCGTCATTCAACGCCTTGTGCAACCGTTCGACCTCCTTCTGCGAAGCGGGCTTGTCCACCACGTAACCCTCGCGCTGCATCTCCTTCTGGATCTGTCCGAACCGCACGCCCAGCTGCTTCACCTGCTCCGCAAGCTTCACGTTGGTTTTCTTCAGCGACATGTTTTCCTCCTGGACGGAATAGAGTAAATCTTGCTTCTCCTTCACATCCATCAGGTCACTCCGGCCGTACCGCCCGCTGCTCGGATCCCTTTTCAGCTGCTGGACCACGTTCAGCGGCAAGCGCTGCACCGGCCGCTCGGCCTTGTCGCCGCTGCCGCCAGAGGCCTGCGTCATAGTGTCCTAGGGGTGAAGGTGTTATTCCTGGTAAAAACTAGGGAAGGGGTCGCGTAATGTAATGTTGTTTTAGAACCGGTATCTTATTCGCTCTTTGCACTTATCCTCTAAAACCCGCATCGCGTGCGGGTCTTAGAGAAAAATTCCATTTTCACTAAAATTTTTTGCGAAAAGAAAAAGTTCACTCGTACTTCTAACGGGTCGCAAGGTAAGTGGAAAAACGATTTGGTTTGATGGCGGGTAAAGAATTACGATGACAGATGAAAATTGTGGTGTGCCGTTTGAGGTGGAGACAAACTTTGTCACAACACTGGTTCCAGTTTGAATCGCTTCGAACTTTGTGCCTCAACAAAAAAAGAAGCTCCGAGCTACCGTGAGCTTGTGTGTATCCAGAGTGCCAAAATCTACATCAAAAACACGCAAACGCAAACTTCAAATGTAGTACGAATGAGAACCGAATTAAAGCAGTGAAAAACGCTCACAAACCGATGCCGTTTAGCCGTTTTCGATAGCACAAACCGATTCAATTTTGGTGTTTGTTCCCTCAATGCCGATGGGTTTGCTTTTTGATTCATCACGACATCTCCTGTAATCTCACATCACGACAATTTTGCGAAGGTGCTGCTCCCTCAGAGCAGCTTTGGAAATGGACAGCTCCGATAACTACCCTCCGGACGAGCAAGAACAGCCTTTTTTCTACGATAGTCAGTTCTTCCTCCAAATAAAGCGGCAACCATAATGCTGGTGGTCCCGGCAGACACTTGCAGCTGACGCTGCGCTAATGAAGACTGTAGATGATGAAAATGCAAATCCAAATCTGTACTTTTCAGCTTGCTGCGAAGAATTCGTTCGTTACCTCTCACGAGGCTGCTGCTGAAGCCTTTATGCTGTCAAAAGCTTTGAAGTCTTTGTGTATCTTCTTCCCGCCTTGCTGTACTCCGTTTGCCCACTTCTTCTCGACGAGATGAATCTGTTTAGTGGAAAAAAAGAATAAGAAATTACGTTGGTCTCAGCACACCCTCTAATCGAGACAGAGATGTGTGGTCGTACAGAGAGACGAAACAAAAGGTGACTTACTACACAAAAATCCAACAACCCGTCTTACCCTATTCTTCTCCAATATTTTTGTTCGCAGCGGCTCCTTGACGCATTGCCGCAACAGCGCCGCCATTTCATTCCCGTACTGCAAGTACGACGTCTTTGCCGCCCGCCACATGGTGTTTTCTTTTTGTTTGCTTGCACTGGTGGATATTAACCAAGTAGAGTGGACTCACTCAGACATGAATGAAAATTCTTTCCGCAATTGCAGAGGCTTCACTTCCAGAACAAGAACGCATGCTTGTCGAATGAGCACAGAAAAAAACGAAAACGGATGTGAACATCGTGTCCCTCGACCAAGTGGCTGCGCCGCTTCTTCCTCAGCAGCAGCGGAATTTGCTTCTGCGTCATTTGGTATCGTTCAAAAGTACAAAAATCGAAGTACCGAAAGTTTTACGTTAACCCGAGGTAGTACCACAAGTGAAAATCCAATCGGATGTATGCGATTTTGCATGTCCTTCGGAAAATGTCTCCAAATGAGATAGTACTCTGAAAATGCGATGCATCTAATCTATCACAATCATTGAAACAGGAAAAAGCGACACTTGGTTCTTCGTTCCACGCGTCTAGAAAGTGCAACATTCCAGCGCGAAACCCGATTACTCCACCGTGACACTCTTTGCCAGGTTTCTTGGCTGATCGATTTCGCACCCCCGGAATTTCGCAATGTAGTAACTCATCAGCTGCAATGGAATGACGTTTAGAATCGGCTGCAATAACTGGTCTATTGTTGGGATTTGGATGACGTACTCAGAAAACTGGTTCAGTTCGTCGTTCCCTTCGTCCGTCAAAATGATCAGTGACCCGTTTCGCGCGTGCACTTCTTCTATGTTGGCTTTCACCTTGATGTACCTGAAAGTTGCATTTTTGACCGTCCGAGTCGGAACATGATCCACAAAACGAATAATCTTCTTCATTTCCGACACTTTGCTAGGTGTACACGTAGTCGTAAGTTGTCCCGCCTCGGTGATTCGATTTGGATGAAAGAACCAGAAGACAAAACAGAAAAGCATCTATCTGTACGTTGGGTCATTCCTCGGTGCAATCACTACCACCGGCATAAACTGGTCGATCAGCGCAATTGGTCCGTGCTTCATCTCCGCAGCGGGGTATCCCTCTGCGTGGATGTACGAGATTTCTTTCAGCTTCAGCGCCCCCTCTAGCGCCACGGGGAAATTCAATCCCCGACCGAGAAAGAGGAAGTTGTTCGCCAGGCGGACCTCCTTGGACAGCTTGTACACCAGATCCTTCTGTTTCGTGATGATATTCGAAACCGTTTCCGGCATCGCCAAACACTCCTCCGCGAGTCGCTGGAAGTCGGAGTCGCACAGGGATCCACTCAACTTTGCCAGGTACAGGGCGATTAGAAAGAGGGAGAGAACCTGCCCAGTGAACGCTTTCGTCGAAGCGACTCCCACCTCTGGGCCCGCGTGGATGTACATACCTGTTCTTAGGTTGAAATGATGACTTCAATCTCATGCACGAGAATTTCTCCTCGCACCAAACCAAACAGAAGTCAAAGGAAACTACACATAAAGCGCGTCTAAACAACGAACCTGCAACGGTTTCCCTAGCGATGGTTGACCCGACGACGTTGACTATCCCAAAGGTCGCTGCGCCGTGCGCATGGGCCAAGCGAATCGCCTCCAACGTGTCTGCCGTCTCGCCAGACTGGGAAATTCCGATGATCACGTCGCTATCTCGAATCAGAGGTCTGCGGTACCGAAACTCCGAGGCGTATTCGACCTCCACCGGAACGCGTGCCATCTGCTCGAACAAGTACTCCCCAATCAGCGCAGAGTGCCACGAGGTACCGCACGCACACATCACGATGCGGCCAGCATTGATCATTCGTTCGCCGATGGTTTCGCCGCTCTCCAACTGGTGCTCTAGACCACCTGAAGTTTGAATGATTGAATTTGAAATCAGTCAACACAGAAGCAAAAGGATCTGAGACTCATGCTGTTTCGACATCTACCACTTTTCCAGAAGATACTAAAAGTATCCAAAAGAACGCCGCAGAAAGAAGAAAACTCTCCCTGCTACCGAGCGTCATCGTGTATTCCCCGATGGCTCGGTTTCTCGGCGTCGGTGGGGCGTCCGTCGGGCTCTCCGGGTCGTTCTTCTTCAGCCGTCCCCGCATGCAATTCATCAGGCTGGTTTTTTGATCGTGGATCTCTTTCAACATAAAGTGTTCGAACCCGCCCTTCTCGATCTCCTCCATCTTCATTTCTAACCGCACGATGGGGTTGTCGATCCCCGCTTCCGTGGACGCAGAGCCCTGCTTGTGGATCTGCCGGGCCTTCTTGGCCAGCTTCACCAAGTCGTGGATCTTGTAGCCCTCGCGGCTGCACTCGACGGTTTCTCCGTCGTTGATGTAGATCACGTTCCGGGTGTGCTGCACAATGGCGCACGCATCAGAGGCGAGGAAAAACTGTGGGTTTGACGCGTCCTCGCCCAGACCCAGAATCAGCGGACTCCCGCGTCTCGCGCCGACAAGAACGTCCGGTCGGTCCTTGAAGAGAAAGACTGCGCCGAAGGTGCCGACGCAGAGATCTGGTATGTAGAAGGATGTGAGTCAATTCTGGCCTGGTATTTCATCGAACACCGATATCTTCTGTGCTTGTTATCAAACGTGAAGATGCTCTTTGATCCGACACGCTTTTATTCAACCAACGGTACAATAGATTCAATTTCTTCAAAGTAGTGATTCGTCTGTACCCAAAGCAGCGCTGACCACCGTCGAGAGGTCTTTTTCTTCGAGCTCCACACGCATGTCGTCGACAAGCATCGCCAGCACTTCCGTGTCCGTATCCGATTTGAACACGTACCCCTTATCTTGCAAATCCGATTTCAACTCCGCGTAGTTCTCGATGATCCCATTGTGCACGACGGCGACGCTTCCGCTCGTGCTGGTGTGCGGGTGGGAATTGTAGTCGCTCGGCCTGCCGTGCGTGGCCCACCGGGTGTGCGCGATCCCAACCGTGCCCGCTAACCGCTCACCCTGCGACTTGCACAGGTCCCTCAGGCTCTGCACCTTGCCGGCGCACTTTTCAACGAGCAGATCCTTTTTCCCGTCGTGGATGCAAATCCCGGCGGAATCGTAGCCACGGTACTCCAAGCGCTGCAGCGCCTCGATTAGCATCCGGCACAACTCGGGATTGTTCCCGATGTACGCGAAAATGCCGCACATAGTGGGCGAGCGTGCAAGTTACTACTACTAGCTTCGCCCTGGCCGCACTGAGGTGGAGTTAGCCGTCGCAGTGACGACGAAAATTCGTATTTTTTACAAGCGGCAACGAAAACGATACATCTTTGGTTCTGGTTAGTTTGGTTTCTCTTTCTTTTCCCTATGTCTCCTCGACCTGGATGCAAGAACGATGTAGGGCGATCAAAGTGATTTAGACTACTTCTTTTGAAACAAGGACAAGAAAAGCGTGGCGCGTGACTAGCGAGGTCGGTAGATACTCATTTTTCTATTATGCGATGCATGTGCTACTAGGAAAAAGGGCAAGGGGGGTGGGGACGAGGAAAGATCCTCGCGTGAGACGCTGGACGATCAATGATCATGATTGTACAAAACGCTATGGTGACAGCACGACTTACATCAAAAGACCGATCGGAAAGACTTTCGCCGCAGATCCGAAAGACAGGAACACACATGTTGATACGGAGGTGGAAAAGATTCCACATACCCTTTTGCAACAAAATCAAAATTCTCAAAAATTTTACAGCAATTCAACTCGTCTCCAGTCGTTTGTTATTCATTGGTCGCTTCTTGTTCTTTCAGAGCAAGAAACCTTGTTTTTGAAACATTATCTCGCGGGTAAAAATGTCACCTCTTCAGCTACTCCCGTCATCCTCCGCGCCGACTTTTGTTACGTCCTCGTCCTTGTCCGGCGCCTGCTCGTAAAGCAACAGATCTGCCACATGCGACTTGGCTTCCTGTAGATTTTCCACGACATTCTTTGCCGCATTGTACACTTTCGCGTCATCCGCGGAAACAGATTTCAACGTGTCCTGCCACTTGTTCATTCCATCTTTCACACCGGCCCAGTCGTTCTTCAAGTCCTTGGCTGTGACTTTTGGCTGGAATTCGCCCTTGAGCTGGATAGTGGATGAGGGGTTCTTTCTACTGTTCGACGCGCCGTGTCTTGCGGATGATGAGGGTACCGCATGACGCTGTTCTTTTCCCTTCTGTATGGCAGACGAGCTACTACTGGAACTGCTACTCTGTTTTCTCTTCTTCGCTGCGTCCTCGTGAGCGTGTCGCGCATGGAGCTTTTTCGCGTAGTCGTCGACACTGGCCTGCAAATCCTTCAGTCTTTTCTTGCGCTCTTGGTCGGTCTCTTCGTCGTGCATCAGGAATTTCGTGACTTCCTCAAAGTGCCTCCACTTCTCGTCTTCATCTTCTGGCGATGAACTTTGTTCCACCGCAGTGGTTACTGCTGAGGGCGGCGGCCCGTATTTGTCAGGAGCGTTGGTCGAGCTAGAGTCGGTGAAAAAATCGTCGCTGCTTGTGCCGCTTGACTTTGTAGTCCTACTCGTTGCTGCCTCTGAACTAAAACTATCGGAATTCGCTGGATGCTCTGGTGATTGGGAGTTAGGAGAATTTTTCAGACTGTCTGGACCTGCAGAAGACGAGCTTGTCGGCGTTTCGTCCATGTTAGAGTCAAAAGCATCCGCGGTGTTGAGGGGAGGTAGTTCCGCCGATGAAGATGCTGCTGGGGCTTCTGATGGCATTCCTTCTCCGCTGCCTCGTTGCGCCATCTCCAGCACCTTGTTTGTTATGGAATCGATGTCAGTAGTGGAATCCTGCGTGTTTTTCTGCTGCACAAACTTCTGTTGACGAGACGATTTATCTGCTTCATCTGGGCGAGTCTTACCAGGTAGCTTATCGTCGTGTTCTCCTATTCTCACTGACGGTCTGATTTGCACATCTGCAGTGCCGCTACGTTCTGCCTCTCCTCCGCCACCCCTGCTGCTCTTTTCGATGAATGCACTACTTTCTTCGACCTCGACTTCAGGCACTAGTGGTCGCTGTTCTACTGTTCTTCTCCGAACAGCCCGCCTTATTTGCTCGCCATTTGGCACGAAGTCGAAGTTGCTCGGGTGCTGTAGGTCCGATTCTGGTCTTTCGGAATTTATCTCCGGCCGAGCTGCTGGCGCTGCAACTGCGACTGTGTCGTCGACGTCTTCATTCGTACTGCGGATAATCGGCTTCAGGCTCGGACTTTGCGAAACCGGGTCTTCTTCACAAGGCCTCTCGAGAAAGATGGAAGGCTCATCGTGATCTAAGCCCTGCCTTGTAGGACGTCCGTCGGCTTCTCCACTGTCCTCCTCATCTAAGTTCACGATGGTGTGGCTCAATCGGAAGTACAGTGTCCACCAGCACAGAAGTACGAAAGACCGTCGTGCCGCACGGTTTCCAGAGAGGAGGTCGCACATAATTTTTGAAACTAGTCTATCAATGCGCGTAGCATTCGCAAATCGTACACAAAATCTTGCTATCATAGGCTGCGCTAGGCTGAAAGCGCACATGTAATCTCATCCTTCCGCAGAAAAGCACGCTGCGCGTCAGCACGCAATTTCCCTCGACGCGCCCGCGATCCATTCTCTACTTATCACGTCCTCTTCAAGTGCTCGATTCGAATGCAGCCGTCACACGCTCGAGATACGCAAAATGTGCGTACAAAACGCACTTGCGAACGATCACGATGGTGTCATCGTCGGACAGAAAAATGCTCCCTGATGAAAACGCTACCGTCTGCCCTGCAGCGGCACGCACGCGGATCTTCTTGGTCAGGGTTCAATTGCTCGCTGGCGGCGAAGAATTTTACAAGTTCGTACAAACATCATTTTTGTAGTTCTGACCTCTGTTTATTTCTTTCCGCGTACAGATCATCCAACATCTCTGCTGTATCCTATTCTGAAGCAAACGAGTATCCTATTTGAGTAAAACTTCCTGGCTTAATATCCTGAGTATCCTATATCCAAACAGTATCCTTTTGTCTCAGACGAGTAGACCTCGCGTCGTCGACTTCGTGTGGTCTTTATTGCAAACAGTATCCTATGAGTCTTTAACAGTTTAATATTATTTTGTCTTTCTCAAGTATCTGAAGTGCCAGCATTTTACCTCTCGCGATGCTGAAGCGGAGCGTCCTTCTACCGGACCGGCCTAATATTGCGCCACCTTCCTCAAGCCCGCATCGCGTTGCTATTTTTCACGGTCTGAAACGCCTCCACCACCACCTTCGAGCTGGTCTCCCCACCCTTCTTGGGTGGCACGTAGTTCAGGTTCACGCGACCGTTGACAACGAACAGCGGGTTGGGCTTCTGCAGCACCTCCTCGGAGACCGCCACACCGTCCAAGAACTGCTTCAAGATGGAACGGAGTTGCCTGTTTGATGATTTTTTTTTCCGAAATTACAAAAAGCACGGCAGCTCGTTTTACTTTTTTGATGCAAGTAGACGCGTGCAAATCTATCAAAGCAATTGAAATCAATCAATACGTGTTCTCGCTGCGCAGCCTCTGTTTCTCCTTTTTGATTGCGAGCACGTCCAGGTGGACCTTGTTGAAGCGCTTGAAGAAGTTATCCATGTACGTCCACTCATCCTGCGCGTTGCTATCGGAGAGCACTGTTAAGGGTGATTTTCGGTGTCTATCTTTGCCTTTGGTTAGCACGAACCGCATGACAGCATATCATCGTGGAAAAACAACCGATTATTTTAGAAAAGCGAAAGGGCGCGATTACCTTCTTTCATCTCTTCTTTTATCATAGCATATTGGTCTTCTTCTTCCTCGGGCGAAGCCTGTACCTGCACCTCGCTTGGCACCATTTGCTCGCCACTGTGGAGATGTTTTGCAATTACGTTTCTCCAAGTCCCACCTCACGAGGACACAAGCAAAACGGAAAACTAATTGCACTTCGCAAAAAAATGGGAGACAGAATGTAAACACAAATATACAGGTGGTTAAAGAGCTCCTTCTTTTGCTTTTCCAGCTTGAGAATGTTTTCGCTCTTCTCGGCGGCAAGTCTGCTTTGGAAGTCCGCGATGTATTGCTGCAAAACTTCGTTTGGCAACGTCTCTATGTCCGCGTCTGTGATGGATTGTTCGATGTAGATATTCGAGCCGAATCTCGCAAACCTAAACCAACTGCCATTCGCACAAAGACGGCGTGCGCCATTCCCTCCAAAAACGAAAAACAGTACCTTTCAGTGGCGTATTCTGGTAGAACGGGAGCACCTTTTCCCGCTCGGTTTCATATCTCCTGCAAGCTTCGGCGAGTTTCAAGATGCCCTCGCCCACGCCGAGGTTGTCCTTGAGCTTGCCTAGACAGGTTTCTGCGTTCACTGTGAGCTCCGTTAATCGCTTGTGCTGCTCGTCCCGGAACTTGGTCATTTTCACCTGATAGCGTTGGCACGACGTTCAAACCAATTCTTCTTTCATCACTGCCAGCATGACAAAAAGCACTTGCGCAAAAAGATGGAAAATCTCATTCACATGTAGTTACCTTCAAATCCTGAAAGTGCTTCAATAGGTGCTCCTTCTCTGTTCTCAAATGCGCATTTCTTTCCTCGCACTCCTGTTTGTTCTGCAGTATCTTCTGCTTCCAGTGGACGATGTTGGCTTGCATGCGCTCCACCTGTTGGTGTGTGTAGGGGCGGAGAAATCACGCGGATAAACTAACTTAAACTTTGCATGATGCATTCGCAAAAAAAAGTGATTTTGCAAAAGGCTTGCAGCTTTTCTAAGCCTCTACATGTTGTACCTGTCTCAACTTCTTTTCGACGTGCTTGGACAGGGTTGCATCCCGCGCCAAAAATGTTTTGTAGTCCTGCGTGTTCTGCTCTGTACTTATTCGGTACGTATTCTGTGTGTTTTTTTGGTAGTTCAAATAAATGTTTCTTAAGGTACGTTTGCACCAAAAACAACAGCACACCGGCAACGCCCGAACTAAAATAGGCTGAATCAGTACCAGCGCCGCGTTGCACTTGTCCTTCATGTTTTCTATTTTTTCCTCGAGGTTCGACCGCATTTGGTGGTCCTCCTCGATGTTTTTATTCCTAATCAGCTCGTACAACGACTGGTGTTCGGTAAGGTCGAGCTGTTCCTTGTTCTTTTCCTCGTTCATGACTTCCATGACGAGGTGCTTCAATTCCCGTTTCCTCTTCTCCGCGGACTGTCCCAACTCCGTCTTTTCCCCCGACCAGTCGGTCTCAATCGCCTCCTATCAAATGTAAAAATGTCTGGGTCTGGAAGATTCTGACACTTGTCATGCATGTTTTGCATTGGCCATGATGTCTGTGATGCATGCCCTAGCATCACAGATTTTTTGAGGGCTTCGCGATGCCTATTCCGCATGACAAATGCCCTCTCCGCGTAGCAAAAATTGCATTCCCTTTGCTGCTCACGCAATACAGATTTTTTTGGAATCCAAATTCAGCATCACAAGTTGCATTCTTCCAGACCCAGACATTTTCACATTTGATACCTCCACCTCCTTGCGGAAATCTTGCTGCAGCTCCTCAGGTATCAAATGCAAAAATGTCTGGGTCTGGAAACTTGTGATGCTGGGTGGCGTATCATGAGGAGGCCACAAGTGCTGGCTCAGCATGACAAGTTTCTGAGCTTCTTGATGTTGCCTATTCTGCATGACAAACTGCGTTTCTGCATGACAGAAAAATGGGGGTCTTGGGTAATGTGCATGACAAATTTAAGAGTCATGTGCGACAAGCATGACAAACTTGCATTCTTCCAGACCCAGACATTTTTGCACTTGATATCAAGCCTTGACTGCTGGATCTCCATCAAAGTCTCCATGTTCAGCAAATGCGTGCGAATCGCAAACTGGTGCTGCTCCTCCGCCTCGTCCAGATCGCGGTCGAGCCTGGGGTGCGTGAGGCAGATATTTTTTGCCGTCCACTACGTGAACGAGAGCGAAAACTACTGCCATGGATAAAATGCAAAAGCAACAATTTTTAGAAAAACAACCATCTCAAAAACGTACATTTGCATGATTGCGTCCTTCCTGTCCATGTCCCTTTCGTGGCTCTGCGCAATGATTTCCACTTCTCTTTTCAACTGTTTCGTCTTCGCTGACCGCATGATTTTCAGCCATGACTCCTGAATCTTCGAGCTGTTGTACTTGCTGTGCTTCGTCTCGATGAGAGACTTCTCCTTCAGCCAGTTTTTCCTGATTTCGTTCAAGTACTTATCCCTGTCCGCGTCCTCCATGACCTTCACCCGGTCCTTCATCTGACCCACCGTTTTCGGCGCCATCGTGGAGGAGGTGTTTGGCTTTGCGCCGGAGCAGTAGAAGTACTGTGTTGAAGGACGTTGACGTACGAGTTACTTTTTGTCCTTGTTTACTTCGTTGTACTAAACCGGACTTCCTGCTCTTCTCGCTCTTCAAAACGCGGTAGCGATGATCTGTCTATTCGCAAGTCGGCGCTGCACCCCGGTGAAAGGCCGGCAGCGCGGGTGTCGATCACGATCTGCACCGGAGTAAGATCAACTTCAAACTGCGACTCGTCTAGCTCCGCACTTGAAGTGGGTGTCGGGTGGAAGATTTTTTCTCACTTAGCAAATACTTTGTAGTCCTGTTCCTGCAGTTCAGCGTCTCCTCGAACAACTGCGTGATAAGATCAGGGCTCGGAGAGTAGAGGTTTGCGACGACGCTTTTATCGGGGCGGAGACGCTGCAGTTGCTGACAAAAGGGGACGTTGCCAATCGTCAACTTCTTTGGGACTTTTTCGACTTTGGTACAGGTTCAGCGTCGCTTCCGCCAATCAGAATACACTAAACCGGACAACCCGCGCTTTGCAAAAAAACTGCGGGAAGGGCGGTTAACCCGAGAAGGGTAGAGTACCCCCGTGGGGTTCCATTGTGAGTTTCGAAAATATTTCGCGGCAACTAGCCAACGCAGAACTAAAGAAGAAGTTTTTGCATTTTTACACAAAAAGCTGCCCTTCGAATTCGATTTACGATATATGAAAGCTTGGTGGCAAGAACAACGCTCTGATGGCGCAGCAATCGATTGTTCTTCAAGCACTCGATTCTCACGACTGCACGAAAAAGCTGTAGACACTGACGATCCACTCCACTCTCTCAAACAACGATGAAAGCAGTTCTCTCCCAACGGAAGCAATACTGCTTGTACATCAAGAACAACGCCTGAGGCACGTTCGGAAGCGTCAGGACTTGTCCGGCTTTCCGTTTTGGAATACCTAGCTGGGTTTTCAATAAAAACTTCACTTTCGATTCACGCGTTGTCAATTTCGGCAAAAAGTGAGCAGTTTTTGATTTTTCTTTCGAAGATCACTGCACGCAGTGAAGCTCCGAAGCAAAAACGAAATGAGGAATAGGGACTAGCACTATTCATCATGTGAGGCAAGAGAATTCATACAGTCAAAATGCAACAAGTTTTTTTTTCTTCAAAAGAAAGAAGTGGTCTGTCAATAAAGACTCGTTTGTTTCATTATGGACGCGAATTCATTCTCGTTTATCGCACCGTCCTGGTCCTTGTCAAACTCGTCAATCATGGCCTGTAGCTCATCATCCGAAAGCTTTTCCCCAAGCTCGCGCGCTACTCGCTTCAGGTTTCGGAAATTTATTACACCTGGGATTGTAGGAGGAGGTCGAGGTTGGGAGTGACATGAAAGCTTTTCTGTGCCGTGCATATACAACATACGGCTCAAGTAAATACGCTTCGCTTTTCTACAACACTGTATCTGTACCTGTCCCGTCTTCGTCAAACATGCGGAAGGCTTTTCCGAGCTCTTCCTGCGGGTCCTGGTTTGCTATCTTTTCCGTCATTATTTCCTTGAAGGCTTCATAGTCTATGTACCTGAGAACAGATTCAAAATTTGAATCGAACAGATACACACGACTTGTTCCGGAGCTTACCACATCAACCTATGCGTAGAAAGTGCATGCAGTTGCATCACACAATGTATTACAATGAAAAATGCCCCCTCCCCATATCAAAACGGAAATCTGTGATGCAGATTTGTGGTCACAAATCAGCTTTGTGATGCTAGAAGCCAAAAGATGCGGACTGTAGTGCTGTCTAGGGTGGCAAAGCCTTGCAGCTCCAGGATGACAGGAGGCAACTGGAAGTGGGAAACAGCATGACAGATTGCCTGCAATTTAGGCCGCAGCTTCGTCTCTTGGCCTTCTAGCAATACCAGTCGATTTGTGTACTCAAATACAGCATCACAAATTCGCGCATCTTCCGTTTCCGATATGGGGTGGGGGCTTTTTTCACTTTGATACAATGATTATAGTCACGATACCCTGTCTCTGCCCTATCGTATTCCCGCATGTATTATGGATTGCAAAAATGCCTGGGTCTGGAAATTTGTAATGCTAAAAGTGAATGATAGACACACTGCAATACGCAGCTATGCATGAGAAATTTTTTGGCTGCCATGTCTTACGTATTCCGCATGGCAAGCTGCGTTTTTGCATGACAGGTAGGAGGGCCTTTTCGTCCCCATGCAACACAGATTCTCGAGTCATGCCAGACAAGCATGACAAACTTGCATCCTTCCAGACCCAGACATTTTTACATTTCATATGTATTCGAGCACTTCCGCTTTTTTTGTGTTCTCGAACCCCAGTGCTCGCATGGCTACCTTCAGCTCGTGGTAGTCAATTTTTCCCGTCTTCTCGCTGTCGAAAAGGTCGAAGGCTTCTCTTATCTCCTGCTTCTGCTCGTCGGAAATTTCAGGTCTGGCCACACGCCTGAACAGTAGAAATTTGTTGCATTGATTTGAGTTGAAACTCTTGATCTTAATCAGATTTTCTGTGGATTTCGAGAAAGGAGAAGGACGCCAGCTTGCTGCATACTAATAATCATTCTACCCGGTGCCTCCGGGTCGTGACCTGAACCTGCTCGTGGTTGCGTTTCCAAATCGCAAAAGCGATGTCCCGCCTTCCATCCGTCGCGACATGATTTTTGGATTTCTAGTCTGGCACTACTTTCGACCGAACAAAACTGAATTAAACGAATTCAATCGCTGTTTTGAATAGCTTTCTTGAATAGACGAAAAATGCTCGAGCCTATCGCAAAGGCAACCTAAGTCGAAAAAAAGGTCGGACTGATTTGCGCGCTCGAAACCGTGCGGAGAAAAAAAGGAAAACACACCTTTGCAGCTGCTGTCCAGCTTTCTCACACGCATTTGCAAATTTGTCATACTGTGTCACAGCTCTCCTCTGATGTTTACACGAAGCAACAAAATTGCAGTGGCAAAGTGTACAACGAACACATGGAAACTTGTTCTGCGGAGAGAACACGAAGATGGCAGAACTTCAGCTGCACAGTTCAGAAAACAAGAGGCCGCGCAGTGGCAGCGGACCCTGACCAGCTTGCACTGACAGACTGCGACTCCGATTCTTACATAAAACACAACGAGCGCGCTTCTGCATACTTCAAATCTTCTTCTGGTAGTGGGATAAAGGTCAGCGATACACGGGACGCAGGCGAATGATGCTCCGCTGCCCTATCTTGTGTTACGCCCACGAGACCTCAAACCTTGAAAGGTCCTCCCCATCCTGCGTGAATTTCAGGCCCCTGGATTCGAAGAAGCGCCGCACCAGGGGCATCACATTCGCGTACTTTGCTTCCGGTCCGGGCAGACGGACAAACGCACTCCCTCCATCAATTTCCTTTTGCCGCTGCTCTGCCCAAGCCTCACTCTCCATCACTGCGTCCTCATATTCGGACGGCCACATCGTTTTGCCTTCGATGGAGTAGATTCTGTCTCCGAGCCCGATTTCAAAACGGGTGTTGCCTGGGAATCGGACCCTATCCGGGTCCCGGATCCAGAAAACCTGACCCGGGGCTGTCGTTGTCCCTGCTTCCACGTGAACAACCGAATCGAATATGTTGGTTACCGCACTATGAAGCAGGTTTTCCACATCTTCCGCACGTTTTCTCATTGCGATCTCAGAAAATAACTGCGAGTTGAGCATGACTGCGTTGACCGGGTCCGGAACGAACTCTTTAATCTTAAGAAAAAGCTCGACCGGGAGATGTGCAGGCGAAACCCGGCCGCTTTGCCTCCGCACGACGCCCATCCACACACGCAGTTGCTCTTGCAACACCGATTTGCTCAAACTCTCGCTTGTTGTGACGATGCACTCGTCATTTGCTTTTGAAAACGCTGCCCTCACACGAGGTCCACCCTGCCAAAATTCGGCCGTTCTACCAGGCGTTTGCGAGGACGCCGCACCATCCTTCGACTTTTTATGGTCCGGATTGGCCAGCCACACGAGAGCGTCTTGGGATGCGGGTGGGTTAGAGCAAAACCAACCAGCTCCCGCAGCGATGCGGCAATTGCGATGCCAATCATAGATATTCCATAAACCTCTTCCTTCATCCGCTGCGCTTTTGCATTCCTTTAGAAGGGCAGCAGTGGAGGCTGAATTCGCCTTGGTTGCTTTTTTGTAAGATTCTGTGTTGACACTCCGCTTTCGCTGCTGTTGCTCCATGAATCTCAAATAGCTGCTCTCCATCCAGCTGATATAGTCCTCTGAATGAATTGGACACGGTTCGCCTCCTGGCTGCATCGACATTTTGTACAACTTGCGAAGAGAGATTGGATTATTTGCCTCCAGTGCAAAAAGAAGCACATGAAAGTGTCAAAACTGCGACTTCAAGGACCGCTAGCATAAGCAACAGGAGAGGATGAATCACAGAAGTTTTCGAAATGTAAACAGTACAGATGTAGTTTGAAGCACAACAGGACTTTTTGAAATGCAGAGAATTCTTTCGCGTGATCTGGATCTGTGTACGAATATCACGATGCATTGATGTAACGAGCCAGATGGAGCCTATGAAAGACCTTCGTCGCTTTTTTGATCGGCCCCAGGAAGAAAACAATCACTGGGCAAAGACCTCTTTTTCAACTAATATCCCGTGAGTGAGATCGGAAATTGCTCATGCTCACACCAGGCAATCTCGCGTGGTGCAGTACTAGGGAAGACTCGCAAGTACGCTTACGAAGCATTGCCTTGCCCGGATGAACACAGAACAGTTCCGCAAGCTAAATTTTCAACCACAATCACCCACTTTTGTCCATGCCTGCGATACTTCTTCATTTTATGCGATTCTCATGGCGTTTGGATGCGTTGTATCTGCGTATACGTGTGGTTCCGATGTGGTATCTGCGTATACGTGATGATGAACTTCAGGTTGTGTGTGTGCTCAACTAAGTTGCAGTGGCAACCTTTCGTCGCTACTCCGCTTCAACACTCAAGTCGGCAAATCCGGGCGACGCGTCCTGCGACGCCGTCTAGTAGCTGCGTCCCATGAGCACCCACCTCTTCGCGGGCTGATCCTTCTTGAAGAAGCACTTCTGGCCGACCGGCATCTCCGGCTGAATCAGCGGGATGCAGAGCGTCTTGATGGCACCCGACAACGCCGGCGCGAATTCCTCACCGTTCTCGTCGAGGTTGTTTTCCGCGACCTTCTTTTCGTTCTGCTCGGAAATCTGCTTGGTGAGGTCCTTGATTTCCTCTTCAGACTCAATCGTCTCGCACCAGGGGCACAGGAAGAGAGTCTTCTTGTCGAGGTTGGCTTTCATCTGTAGATAGTATTGGTGTAGTCGAAGAAGATAATTTTTGGCGATACTTTCCGCCTATAGCGATGGAATCATACAGTTTCTAATTTCGGATTTTTCAGTAGCACAAAAACTACAACCATCAAACCCAAGTACCTCTTCCCAAGTTTTGATCACCATGATCATTTCGTTCCTTTTCACCGTCGCTTTCTTCAACATACCGGCGTGGATCTCCTCCAGCAATTTCGGGATTCGCTTTTCCAGCTCGTCGAAGGGAATGGTAAATTTCTTGAAGTCCGCGTCGTACTTGTTGTACCTTGTCACGACCGTGACGACGTTCTGCTCGAGATCCCGCTCGCCCACTTCCAAGCGGATTGGCACGCCCTTCATTTCCCAGTGGTTGTATTTGTAACCAGGGTTGTAATTTTTCCTGTCATCCACGTGCACCCGGACGCCTAGCTGCTCGAGCGGCTTTGCCAAATCGTGGCACTTCTCGCCGAGCTGCTCCCACGGGAGCTTCTTACCCGGGATGGGCACGAACACGACCTGCTTCTGGGCGACCTTCGGGGGCAGGACCAAACCCGTGTTGTCGCCGTGGACCATGATCTGTAAGGTAGTTGGCGTTTTTTCATCACGATATTAGGGTTACACTCCACGAAGGCACAAGTCCAGAAATGTTCATGAACCTCCTGCCCTAAAAACCTGTATACACCAAAGAAAAACATCAGTCCTCTAGTACCATCGTCCCGATACTGCGCGTGGTGAACCCCCAGGAGGTTTGGGCCGCGTACTGCTTCTTGCCCTTTTCGTCCTCGAACTGAATGTGGAACATTTTGGAAAAGTTCTCGCCCAAGTGGTGTGACGTGGCACCCTGCACCGCGCGTCCGTTGGTCGGGATGAAGGCTTCGACCGTGGTGGTCATGTAACCTCCGGCGAACTTTTCCTTTTCGGACTTCACACCCTTGACGACTGGGACGGCCAGGACTTCCTCGTAGGTTTTCTCGTACAGGTCGAGAATATCGAGGACCTGGAGTTTCATTTATGGAATATTTTGAAGCATAGGTTTCTTTGTACCTTTAAAAACACAATCATGCCCTTGGAAACGATTGCATCAAGTCTAAGGCCCTGTGCTCAAACACGATCATACCATCTTCTCCGCGTCCTCCATGCTGGCGTGTGCGGTGTGTCCTTCCTGCCACAGAAACTCACGGGTGCGGATAAAAGGGGTGGGGTACTTGAATTCCCATCGGACGACGGACGTCCACTGGTTCAGCTTCAACGGCAAGTCGCGGTGCGATCGGATCTGTTTTTCATTTTTGCATACGATGTAGGTGGTGCAGAATTGAATGCGGTTTCTTTGGTACGTTGAGCTCGTCAACGCGTCTTGTTTAAACTGCGCATCAGAAACTAACCAACAAGAAAGCAACTGGTACTTACCCATTTTGCGTAGGCCGGGTACATGATAGTCTCAGACGTTGGGCGGATTGCGATTGGCTTTGGCAACGGCGACTCCCCAGCGTGCGTGACCCAGGCGACCTCCGGCGCGAAACCCTCAACGTGGTCCTTTTCCTTCTCCAGCGCATCTTTTGAAACGAAGAGAGGGAAGTACCTGTGTGGGGTGGAGATTCGGAGAACTTTATAGCTGAAACTCAACATCAGTTTCTTCAACACATTTCGATTTCATCAAACCCAAGACTGCAATGACTACAAATCCACTAGGTATGCAACTTCAAAAGCAACTACAAAAGGATAAACAAATTGCTAAAATTTCTTACGAGTTTTGCACGCCGAGCTTCTTGATGTGCGAATCGATGAAGGCTTGGATCTGTTCCCACATGAAAAACGCGTAGGGGCGGAGGATGTAGCACCCAGAAATTTCGTAGTACTCGATTAGTTCACCCTTTTTGATGACTTCTGGGTACCATTCCGCGAAGTCCGTTTCCTTGTCCTTCAAAATGGACAACTCGTGCCCCGCGGCGGCCGGCTTGTTCTTCGCCATGGTGGGCGTGATTGTGAATCGGCACTTCTGATGGAAGATGGATAAAAAAGTGTGTTTCGGTAGGAAGTGATTACAAAAAGGGTTTTTGTAATTGTGTAGAAATGGTCGCGTTCGTGAATAAACTTGGCGGACACAGCAAGATGTCGTGTGTGCCACAAAAATGATTGCGAAACTATATGTGGTCGTGAAAATTACTACTGAATGTGAAACTGCGCTACAACTGGAGCGGCCTGATGTGATACAGGATAGCGATAAATTACATTCTGTATTCGTCGGCGGCAGATGAGATCCAAGCAAGGAAATAGCTCATGGATCTGCACTTCGAGGATCGAGATCTTGCCCAGCTGGCTTGCAAAGAAACCTGGAACCTACGATCCTTCTTTCGAAACTAAAACTGCTGGTTTTCATATCTATCGGTCGCAATGCAGATCGCGTCACTTGCGAACGGCTAGTGAAGTTCTTTCTAGAAGTAAAAGTAAAACAAAGTCGATCTCGTGCTGGATCTGTAAAAAAATACGAGTCAACATCTGCGAAGATCTGAAGCGAGACGCGGCTCTGGAACTAAATCAGAACAGATCGGGGCGGTCTCTTTTCAAATTATGTCATAGAAGTTGTGACACGATGCGAATGGCAGCATGCTAAGCGTAGGCTAGAGTTCGTTCTTCCCTAGCTTCTCCTCTTCCTCTGTTTCCGCGCTAACCCAATAGCGATTTTCGCATATTATGTCTTCGATGAAGCCCATTCCTTTCAGCCGCAGCCTGTCCTTTCTCACATACTGAGCCGCGAAGGCTTCGAAGCTCATGCTCTCCCACGTGGGAAGCTTTAACGAAAAGCACTCGAACCCGTAGTGCGCCACGAAATGGAGTAAATCGACGTGGTCCGTCCCGGTATTTGCGAGCATCGCCGGCTTATCAAGTGCAAAAATGTCTGGGTCTGGAAGAGTGCATGTTTGTCATGCTTGTCTGGCATGACTCTCCAATCTGTCATGCACGTTACCCAAGAGCTCCATTTTTCTGTGATGCAGAAACGCAGTTTGTCATGCAGAATAGGCAACACCTAGAAGCTCAGAAACTTGTCATGCTGAGCCAGCATTTGTGGCCTCATCATGAGACGCCACCCAGCATCACAAGTTTCCAGACCCAGACATTTTTACATTTGGTACGGCTGGTACTCGAAAACCAGGTAGTGGACCATCGTGTGCTGCAACAATCTCTCCGCCCCTTTGAGCACGTAGAGCTCCGCGCCTTCCGTGTCGATTTTCAGCAAATCAATTTTCTTCAACTCTGCGGGAAAGTGCCTCGCGTTGGTAGCTGCCGTTGCGTCTGAAAGTCCGAAAAGATCGTCCAGCGTGACCACGGCAACCTCCTCCTCTTCCATATCTGGCGGCCCATCGAGGTACCCCATCAAGGCTAGACTCGTGTAGTCGTAGCGGGACAGTACCTTCTGTGCCCTTGCCGCGGCACCAAGCGCTGCCCCGATGAGATGGAAGAAGCCCGGTTGCGGGGTTGCATTTTTTTCAGCTGCATGATCCGCTTTCGTGTCTCCTTTGTCATTGTCATTGTCTTTCCCCTCCAGTCGCTCCCGCTCCTCGAGAATATGCTGTTCATTCATGGCTTTGACGTGTGCAATCTCATCAAGTGTGAGCACAGGCCGGCCTTGCAAGTGAGCCGCGAGTTGAGCGGTGGTTGTCACTACTCCGCTACTCGACGCTGCGTCGGTTTTGTTCACAAATTCTTTTTCCGGCAATAATTTCCCCGGAACGACCGGAACCGGGCCTTCCACGTTCTCTTTCCTCCAGTACGGAAAGTTTTTGCGCATCAGATTTCTGTTTCGCTTTACCATCTCGAAGCCAACACCGATGCAACCAAGTTCGACGATGGCCTTGGCCCAGTCGCCTCCGTCAAAAACACCGACGTCAAAGACGACTTTTCTCCTGGTTGGCTTGGCGGCATCACTGTCAACAAACGCCGGCTCGGATATTCTGCGCAGCAAGTCCAGCGAGCCCTGCAATCCGAAGTTGCTGTGCACCATCCCGAGCATCGGGGAAATTCTTGTGTTCGGGATGTGTTCGATAAAAGTAGTGTTCTCACTCTCATGTAGCTCCGCCGCTGCATCTACTTTCACCGAGCTACTTCTTCCGCCGTGATTCCAGCGGTTTTTCTTCACTTTCACGAAGTACGGGAACCGGGGCTTTGCGTCGACGGAGATCACGTTGTCCTCTACATCGTAAGTCCCTATCACTTGTTCCACCTGCCCAAAAAGTGGCCAGGACAGCAGGTCCGGCTGCCGGAGCGCGAGCGGATTCAGCTCCCGCGCGAAATCCTTCGCTAGGGTTTTAAACGACGCGGAGTGCTGGGGGTGGTGAAGAGAGAGATAGATCAGAAAGGACAGAAAGCCTTCCCGGCACTCCTTAAAATGCTCACGGAAGTAGGCGAAAAGACTTTGCGGCTTGTTTTGATCTTCTACTTGGGCAGCTCTCGTCCCGGCTTCGGCTTTTTCATCTTCTGGGTGACTTCCTCCGGCCTCGTAAGTAGGTGGGAGCTCTTGCGGATCGATGATCTCTCCGTCGATTGTAAGGACTTTGTTCGTGAGCTCGACAAAATCGGGACTCGCACCCATTTCCGCCGGATAGGGGGCAGAGGCCTGCAGAACACGCTGAAGACTGGTCCACGGTTCGTCGGCGCAAGTCTTCGTTGGCGGGGGCGACATGTCCACTGCAAGCTCGGCGCTGGCATGGTCTCCGCCGAGGAGCACCAAGCACGACAAAAGCAACGACGCAGGGAGGTGGGACGTCATTTTGTCTTTTACGGCTCTTTTCCTCCGGCGCGGCCTATTATTTCTGGATGTCCTGAAGATCTTCTTCGTCAAGTTCAGCATTTTCACACTCCGATGCTGTAGCTCGATGCAAGTGGAAAGCGAAAAATCTGGTTTGTCTCAACACCAGGAGGATCCATATGAGAAAGTACTCAACCCTTGGAAATTATGACGAAGTCCGAAATAACAAACCAACCAGACAGAAGAAAATTGGCACCAGAATCGAAAAAGTGCAAAATTTTTGTGGCACTGGTCGAGTCTAGCAGACGAACACGATGCGGCAATGCTTTGAATCGACATCAGGAACAAATAGAAAAACGCAAGGCAATTTGTTGTTTATGAAGAAGACAGTTCTGATTATGATCTGGTAATTGTAATTTCGGTGCGACAAACAGCCCAATATAACCTTGATCAAAAACGAAGCACATTTGCAAGAAGAAATGTCCGCCTGAGATGACTCTGTAGCCTTAGCGGCCTCTCTTACGTGCTGCACCGCTGCAATGACCACTAAGCAAGAGGAGACGAAACCAAGTGAGCATGAAACAGGAGGAAATTCGACTGTACTGGAGTCTTCGTAAAAATTCATAGTTCAACTAATCTCCTTTTGATGTGTACCCAAGGACGGGGACATCAAGGTTTACGCTTTTGCTCTCTGTAGTAATCGGTGAAATACTTTTTTTTTGTATTTGTTGGTACGGCCTTATATGTACGATAACTTTTTTTTGCACTGGAAGTAGTGGTCTACCCGTCCTGCTGCACAAACGGGTTTTATTTTTCCCGTTGCAATATATCAACGAACCTGCTTTATTAGAGTCCCACATACGCATGGGGGCGACATATTTATTTCCCGATGGCGTTAAGGGCTTACAGGTGCAAGCAAGGAGGCGCCTTCGCTAAATGAAAAAAATATGATCAGATTTCGAGTTTCCATTCGTCGAAGAAGTGGACAAAAAACAAGAATGCGCCTCCTCGATTCAGAGACGAGGATAGAAGCTTTTCTGTGGATAGGAAAAGTTCCGAAAGCGAATTAAAATTTCACGACTCGATGTACGAATGAACACGCTGTGAGTACATCGCGCTACTGTGTGTAAGTAAAGAACGACGCTCCAGCCCCGAACATGCGTCGGTAGGCTGATTGTCAATTCAAGTAGTTTCCTACTGTCTATCGAATTAGGCCGTAACAGGGCGTTGCCACTGAGAAGCGTTACCGGACAGGTCGTCGTCGTCCTCGGGAATGTAAGAAGAAGTCCAAGAGTTGTCAATGGAGCGCAGCGACGGCTCCGAGAAGAGCCTGGGGGTCGCGTCGCTCCCGCGGGTAGCCCGTTGCGAACCGGCTTGCCAGGACACTTCGGAACTGTGGTACGACGTCAGGGGGTCCTCTCGGTGCCTGGTCGCGTCGGAGTTGGACGTGCGAAACGCGTAGTCGCTCCTGCTTGACAACTGGTCACTTCTGTTGTACATGTCGTATAACGCAGGAGGATTAGAACCACGCCGCGTCGCATTCCCAACCTCGTGGAGAAACGTCGGCCAGGCGAGCGCATCATCCGCCTGGCCCGCCGCGTGGTGCTCGTCCCTGACTAGCTGTACATGCGTTCCTGAGGGAGCGGGGCTAGCCATCCCGAGTCCTAGCACCCCGAGCGTCGTATCATCTACCGAAGAATGCGCGTCGTCGTGTCGCTCGAGGAAGTGGTGGTGCCCGATTGTGGCCCCCACGGAAGACGGGCAGCGGGAGAAAGGGCGGGCTACGGGGTAGCCTGCTGCGGTTTTGGCTTGCACGCTTTGCTGACCACCGGCAGGGTCGACGTTACAGATCATGCCATTCCGACCTTGCATCGACCCGCCCTCCAGCGCTTCGTCCTGCGCAGGTACCGGTCGATTTCCCGGAGAGTGGTCCGGTGACTCCCTACTCTCCGGCCGCAAGACGTATCGGGGTAAAAATCGCCTATCCTCGGGACGCAGATGCAGCAGGCCAGCATTGTCGCGAGCACCCGAATTCAAAACCGCAACGTTACTGCAGCGCGACGTGAGCTCGCTGCTGTCGCGGCTCCGCGAAGTTTCCGCAGACAGGCGCTCGCCTTCTTCGCCGGCCTCCGCCCCGCTTCCTCGACTCGTCTGCTCCGGCGCTGCTCTTGGCATGTTACTGGAGTCCACTTCGAGCACATCCACAGCTTGGTCTGGAGCGTACTTGTACCGCTCCACACCCTCCCCCCACACCATGGCGCGGATGCGGTGGAGTTCTGGTCGGTCGATGACTCGACTGCTTTCCTATGAGAGTGCACAACTCCCCCTCCCCCTCATTTGTATAGCATGAACGGCAATACAAGCATCAGCAAGAATGCCGGTTTTGCATGACAAATCTACACTGGATTGTAGTGCTATTTGGGCTACGAGAGCTTGTCATGCAAACAGTGCCAAGAGGCAAAGGGTGTACTTGCCATTTTGCATGACAAATGAGTGGGAGGGGGAGTTGTGCACTGTCATATTTCCCCCGATGACGACCTTGCGTTGCTCACGGAGGCTTGTTCGTCCCAACCTTGATTCGCAGCGACGGAGCTGCTCGGGGAGGCATTCCGCCAAAATGCATCCAGGCACGCACGGGGACTTTGTCGCGGCGCTGCGCTGTGCGTGGAAAGTTCGCCAGTGTGCGGTTTCTCTACAACTACTCCCTCAATCGCTGAACGCCGCTCCGACGGGTCCACTTCCCCGGTGAGTACTATCGCGTTGATGGCGTGCATCAGCGCCTCCTCCGCAGCGCTGTCGCTCCGCAGCTTCCAGGACGCACGCGGCCCGGAACCCGCATTGCTGCAGGGACTTGGTCCGGAGTGGAGAGGCGGCTGCACCGGATCCATTGACAATTGCTGCACGGTGCTGACTGACGCAGTAGATGTTGGACGATCTGATGTGAAGTTACAGAAAGCGGTTCATGCTGACATGGATCAGAGAGGACAACATCTGGCAACAGAACTTTAAGGATCGGATACGCTAGTAAATGAATCGGGCAGAGACTGATGAATGAAATGACCGCTACCATCAAATGCTGACACCTCACCCCAACATTTCGGCTCACGACATATTCTTAGTGATTACCTGAAAAAGCGGACACAGCCGTGTTATTTCCACCAGCACAAGTTTCCTGACCAGCCGTCTCCTCCGGTGCAACGGACCAACTGTGTGCGCTTCTGGTGGGGAGGCAGTTAAGGAGGGCCCGGATTACGAACACGTAGCAGCACTCTCTGCAGCCGAACCGCTGGCACTGGTTCCTTATCTCAGTCCCTGCTAACGACTCTAGCGCCAGTCCGTCGGGTGTGGGTTCCTGAAGGGCAGATCGACCCATCTGCGCCGCGTGATGATCCGTGAGTTCTTCAGGAGGATACAACCTTTTTCCTGCTCCCCTGTGTTCTTCACAGGATTTCGCTTCTGACGCTGCGGCAATTCGGCTGTTGCCAATAACGGTTGCGCCGACCGAGCAAGACGGCTGTAGGTGCTCCGCAGGGACGTTGGTGTCCTCCTCCTCGACGTCGTCCCATGGCAGTTTATTTCTTCTAACTTCGCCTGCGAGAAATCCTAATCCCCCTGCGCGAACCGTCGCGGGTCGCCGTGCTCCGGCGATTGGCGCCGGGCCTTGCTTCGTCGACTTCGGCGAAGCGCAAGGGGACGGCGCGCAACTTGACGTTCCACCTTCAGATAGTTCTTGCTGGTGTTCCTGCTGCACTCCCCCGTCGTCAGAGGACCTAAGCGACAGCAGTGGTAGGTTGCTCAAAGACGGCCCGTGCGGCCAGTTGGCCACGCGGGAAGACGGGGTCGCGGGGGATGTTGACCCGCATGTCGTGGTGAGTTGACTATTACTGTGGGATGCAAACCGTCCCCGGTCAACCGGACTTTTTGGAGCTACACGGTGCCCTTGAATCCTCCGTCGCGGGGAGCGTAGACCGCCCCGCGCGGAAGAGGCGGCGGGAGTGTTCGTGTCACCGTCGCTTGTGTCCGAGTCCTCGCTGGACGGCGACCGAAAGCGCCGGACAAAATCCACTTGCCCGTATCTCGTCAAAGCTGTTTGCGCCACCGCGGCCGAGAGTGCAAGTGGCGGAACGACTGAGGACGAAGAAGAGGAAGCAGACGGCTCGTTCCGCGGCTGCGCTTGACGCCCTCTCGTACTTTCGATTGTCGTGTGCGGCAACGTGTGAAAGGCAGAAGCGTCGATCCTCTGTTGCTGCTCCTGCGTCTCCGGGCTCGCCGCACTCACAGGATGCTGTGTGTGCGGCGGCACGTGCAGCAGTGGAGGTAATTGTACCTGGCATGAAGCCGGCTTGCAAGAAGAATGCTGCAGCTGCACGGACGACGCTGGTATGGACTGCGACGGGTCGAAACGGTTTCGAAGCGTGGGACCGCTGAGATTCGTATACATCAGCGACGAGTTGTCTTGTGCATCTTTTATTTGCGCGGACTTGTTGTCTCTCTGCACACTGGGGGGAGCGGTGTACTGGCGCGTTGCGCGTTCCTCCGTTGCGCTCCAAATGTCCTCATCATCTGACCAGTACAGGCGGCGGTCTGCATCAGTTACAAAGCGTGCGGAGAGTGGCGTATTGTTGCGTTCGTCTGCTGTCCGCTGCAAACCCGTCACTTTGTCGGGCTTTAGAGATGCTTCGGTAAACTGCTGCTCTTTTCCACTTTCTGCGATTTTTGCATCGGATTCCACATCATGCCGCCCGAACGTCGTTGGGCCAACGACAGAGGTTCTTGAAATGAAAGACGCGCGTGCCGCAAAAGCAGTCGCTTCCAAGTGCGGCGCCGAAAAGTTGCTAAGGGCCAGCTGGAGGGTCACCAGAAGGGTAACAGAGACGCTTTTGGTTCTATTCCATCTCGACATGGTCGGAATAGTGAAGACTGATAGCGTGGGTCAAACGTAAAAAAAAATATCAATAAAAATCAAAGCGCTCACACGAAGTGAAACGGTATTCCGAAACACCCAAAAAGGGAACGTGTCGGTACGTAAATTGGCTGAGACTTGTTCGTTTACGTAATGAAGGATCGTGTCTACTTATAAATATTTTTTCAAATTAATGGCGGCTTCCAGTTTCAAAGGTAATAGGGCTTTCTCATTGATGATTCTCCTACTTAAGATTCATCGCTGTTGTTTTCGAGACAGAAACAAACATTGTACTTGCAGAAAAAAAACACAACTGCTACTATTACGAACTTTGGGAGATTGAAGGTACATCTTTATTTGCAGATATCATGCTCATCGAGACACAGTAGGCGATGAACAAGGGTATCATCACAAGCATTGACGAATGATCTTTCTTTTCTTCTTGATATAGCAGTTAGCTAGATCTTCTTCTCTTGCTGTGCCACACTGCACGTGCGTCAGTAGACTACTACGAACAATGCTACTGCATACTTGCGAAGAAAAGTCCGCGTGGTCCGGGTACTGTGCCAGATCCCCTTCAAATCGACGCGTTGCTCCTACCTTCCACGCCCAAAAAAACACTAAAATGTTCTAAATCCCTTGGAGATGACAAGATTCCACCATCTGCAAGTTTTGCGTAAAGTTAGTTAATCTTAAACCAAACTGGTGCGTCGCAATTCGATGTGAGAAAAGGTTACGTTATCTGCTTAGCATATTTTCACGTTTTCGGTTCAAAAAAATATAGATATTCGTGGGCAAAACCAAAAGAGTAGGTACTACCAAATAGGCTTGACCTCCCAAGCCTCCTAACTGCAAACCACTTTAAAAATAATCACAGCGCCCGACCACACGTCCTCTTCCGCTCGTCACAGTGAGAGATTTCTCTTGCTGCCACCCGTGAGCTTCTTGCCGGTCGCGTAGAGAAACTTATCCAGCGAGCTGCTGATCGTGAAGATTCCGCCGATAATGACACAGAGGCTGGTGAGGAAGTGCGAGAACGGGATGAATCCCAACCGTTTCTGCACGAGGAAGGGCGAGAAGTCGTAGACTAGAAACACTCCAGGCAGCCCGGCTAGCTGCTCCGTGTTCACCAGTACGTTGCGGCTGGCCTCCGTGGAGGAGTACTGGTGCGAGTACTTTTTTGACGTCTCTGGGTACCGATCCTCCATGAAAATCGTGGGAATCAATTTGTTGTTATCAGAAGGGAAAGACGCCGCAATGAATCGCCATATGCAAGGGAGTTCTCATCTGCATCAATTTGGGTCACATTAATAAAATATCCTTGTTTGCTACGAGGGATCATGCGGGCGTTTTTCACTTCGATAGATGTAGTAGTGAAACATGAAAGCGCCGTGGTCCACAATCTTCGACGTACCTTGTTCGTTTGATGTTTGTAGTGGTTCTGGTTTTCGAGTTTTACAACTTTAGTAAACGAACAGCGCACTGAAAAGACAAAAAAGAAAGAAAGGGAAAACGAACTGAGTGGGAAAATAAGTGTCTTTTTCTTGGAGGGGTTCGAACTGACAGGAAAAGAAGAGTTTTTGTGGAGGGCGGGGGTGATCGAACTGGGCAACATACAGAGAAGAAGGAGGAGGGGGGGAACGAACTGCACACCAGGGAGAAGGAAAAGGGGGCCTCCGCGGTGCGCGAACTGACTGCGCGCGGCACCGTGCCGCCTTGGGCAAGCACAATGGACGCGCAACAAGGTGCACACAGACCCATGGCGACGAGAAAGAGGCGCGCCAGCAGCGCGCCGCCATTCGTTGTAGCGGCAAGAAGCAACAGAACGATGCGCGTAGTGGTTGCAAATCACGCAGGACTGGACAGGGAAACACGCGACCAACCGGAGAAAATCGAGCGCCCCACCGTGTCTGAAGACGGGCCGGCGGCTTCCCGGCGGGCCGTCGAGGCCTCCCCGGGGCGCCTGTGCGTAGCTGTATGGCCTGCCACATAGGCGGCCGCTCTCCCTTGGCCCTTTCCTTGGACCTTTCCTCCAGATTTTGGCAGATTTTCGGCAAATTTTGGGGAGCTTTCAAAAACGCAAGCGCCGTGGTCCACGATCTTCGACGTACCTTGTTCGTTTGATGTTTGTTTGTATTGATAGACTTCTAAACTTCGTGCAGTAATCCAAATGACAGCCTTCACTTTCATTATTTTCGCGAGGTTCTTCATTGAGCACCTTGAACAAAAGACTAACACTGCCACTGGAAGAACATCCCCTGGCTGAACGACCCACTGGCGTACCTTCCGGCGTATCATACTGAAAAGCGCATCCCATAGTGCAACCATTTGCAATACATTTGCGTTTTTCATCTCGCTGGTCAGTGTGACGAAAATCAGCTATCTGTGCTGATGGCACGCTTTGCAAACGCAAAATAAGAACATGCCTACTCCCCAAAATTATCTGGTCGCAAGTATGTGCGATGTGCTTTTCTCTACAGCATACAGTGGCGCATCCACGAGGCCATTGAAGCGCGGACCAAACTGCAAGCGATTGATGATGTGCGACGTGTTATCCTGAGTAAAAACGTACCCACACCAGAGTCAGGTTGGGGATTTTGCAACACAAACCTAGGAGTTTTGTGAGTCACGCATGACGCGTTGCACTCTGCAGTGTAGTGCAGGTTAGCAAGTGCAGCCGCCTCACAGATTCATCTGCTCATCCTGTTCACAGCATCACAAATTCCAAAACACGATTGGAAATGGCTCCCATGGGGATGCGCATTACAAGTCTTCCTGTCTTTGCAAATCTGCATTACAACTCTGGTGTGGGTACGTTTTTACTCAGGATACGTGTTGAAGCCCTCGGAAACGTCTCGGATGTTGAACTCGTGGACGTGTCTGTATGAAGTGCAAATTTGTCTGGGTCTGGAAGACTGCATGTTTGTCATGCTTGTCTGGCACGGCTCTCAAATCTGTCATGCACGTTACCCAAGACCAAGAGCACAAGACAATTTCTCAGCCATTCAGAAACGCAGTTTGTCATGCAGAACAGGCAACACCTAGAAGCTCAGAAACCTGTCATGCTGAGCCAGCACTTGTGGCCTCCTCATGGTACGCCACCCAGCATCACAAGTTTCCAGACCCAGACAACATTTTTGCATTTGATAGTCTGCCCTGGCGAACAATGGACTTCCCCAGCGCCACGTGGACATTCCCGGCGACCTTCGACACGAGCACGTCGCCGTCGACGACGCAGCCGACGATGTGCTTGCACTGTTCGGACTCCTTCAGGACTTTGTAGTAGCTGAGCCCCGCTTGCGTGTACGCCTCCTTCAACGATTTGCAGTCGTTGCAGCACGAGCCCTCGGGCATGTTCGAGGCCGCTGCGTAGCACGACAGACAGGCTCCTTCTGGCGCCACCGGGTCCTCGCCAAACCGCCCGAACCGATCCACGGGGTACTTCTGGAGCCCGCCCGAGTCGATGTTGATTTGGTTCTCGCCCGACGAATCCACCGTGTCCACGGAAACCTCGTCACATCGCAGGTCCGGAAAGGTGATATTCAGCCCGATGGGTAGCTTCTCGTCGGTCGTCGTGTCCACCACGATGTGGTCCGAAATTCTCGTTGACAGGTAAAATCTTAGCTCCCCCGCGATCAGGATCAGCATAGAAATGTACGTGAGCAGTGATATCGTGCCCCCGCTTTTCGTCTTTATGTTGTAGTCGTCATGCACCTTTTTGCAGAAGTTTTTTCAAAAACGCTATATCCTCGACATTTTAATCGCGTCAAAATTTCCATTTACGAAAAAAACAAAGCACCCAGGGTAGAGCTCGGCCGCAGTGGAGAGTACTTTTATGCGTATTATACCTTGTTGTAGATATCAAACTTCTTGATGAAGGAGTCGCCGTCCCGCGCTGCCGGAGTCTCTGCACCGACGTTCCGCTTCCGTATCCCGCCATCATTCATGTTGAAGTTGTCATCCATCTTGCAGCCGAGAGAACCCTTATCAGGGAAGCGCACGGCCACTTGCAGACCGCAACAGTTATGGCTGTAAGTAGAAAATAAACCAATGAGAAGCAGGTCTTTGCTGTTGACCAAACTGCTCTCTCGCAAAAGGACGCGCAAGAGACAACGCTAAAGACGGGGGCGCGTTTCAGACGCGCACCACGTGCGGCAGACACACGCTCACTCAAGCAAACTCAATGCTCGCCAGAAGGCGCTTTACCTACTAGTCCTCTCCTTTCTCGCTTCGCTCCTTCTTCGCTCAAATTTTTCGTGTGTGAAATAGTAGCGCTGCAATTGATCGCTGTCCTTGATATGCATGGCCAGCACATCTTCGTCGCATACACGGGTAGGAACACGCACGCACAGGCCCGGGAAACAGAGAGCCCGCTCCTCTCCTGCGCCAAAAAAAAAAGGCTTTGAATTATCTATAACTTCCTATTGATTCCTCCTCATTTTGCTCCGTTTACGTCCAGAAAAAAACACATAATCTACTCAAAAGATTCCATCTGTGACTCCTAGTTAACGTTTTTATGCAATTCATTGAGAGTAAAAAATACGTTTATTAGGAACTAATTGCTATGCTAATTTCTAGCTTTCTTGCAGTTCTTCAAAAAAACACATCAGTAAGAACAGCCTCACTCCTTCCCGTAGCGGGCAAGCAAGTATGACCATTGCTTTCCAAGAGAGTGCAACAATGTGCCGTCCTCCCCGTCGTGGCCGCGTGGCGTCCTGGTGACAGGTGCAACCGCCGACGAGGCCATACTGTCGTCCGGGGACGCTAAAGACAACACGGATGCTTTTACGCCCTGGAAAGTGCTGTTTGAGTTGCTCGTCGTCGGTCGATTTCGTGCGGCGTACAGATTCGCGGGCGGGTTTAGCTTTTTCGGCGACGGCGACTTCCTGTGTGTCGTTTTTGGCGAGTTACTCCTTTTGCTCATTCTTGATCCCGTTCGCGGAGACAAGTCTTCCTGCCGGGCTCCTCGTCGCGATTTACTTGTGTGCTGCAGGTCAGCCAACAGGCCTGTCGGTACGAAGGGGTACGCGCTCCTGGATCCGAACCCTGCAGTTGCGCTGCTTTTCTTCGTGCTCGATGCAGCTGCCGAGCGCTGAGAGGAAGAACTCGTCGCCCGCTGATTTCGCGACAAAGTCGCAGGCTGGGAGGGTGGTCGTCGATTGGGAGAGGAAACTTTTTTTGCCCCCGTGCTGGCACTGCCTCTACTGTCGTCATTGTAGAATAACAGCGGTTTATTCCGCGGATAATTCGCGACATGCAGACTCTGCCCCGCAGTTTCCGACGCAGAATTCTCGGCGGACAGAGATACTTCCGGTATTCTTGCCGGGAAAAATGCTACGCTCTTTTCCAGACTCGCCGCTTCGATTTCTTGCTCATCGTCGGCGACCGCCGGCGTGACCACTTGCTTCTGTTCTTTCAATTGTGTCTCCAACTCGAAAACTCTTTGAAAGAGCTCCAGATTTTTCGACGTCTTGCAGCGCAGCTCCTCCTCCAATGCCGCACGGTCTAGGGGCTTGGCTGCGTTGCTACTTCTGACAACCGGAGTGGTCCGCAGTAACGGAGATGGTGCCGTGATGCCGAAGCGAAAGGGCCGGGGTCCGTTGTCCTCCAATATCTGTGGCGATGAAGGAGGTTTCTTGTCTGCGATACCAACCGGCGTGGCCGCTGCGAACTGTTGTTCCCCGTCATTTCTATCGCTAGTCTCTTGATGTGGACTTTGCTCCTCTGGTCTTCCGAGAAGCGACGCCTGAAACTGCTCCAGGCTTTTCGCTAGCGGGGAAGAAGTTGAAGCTTGCGCAGTGTTGAAGTTGAAGTGCAGCAAGGGCGTCGTCCGAGATATCTGTTGTTCCAGCTTGTGGTGGAGACTGCGCATAAAATTCGGGCTGTCGCGGTTCAACACAGCAGTTTTCTCGACTGCAGCTATCGGAAGTTCTTGCGAAGGAGGCTGTTGTAGTATCACCGCCTCTCGTTCTTGTCCTTTCTCGTCGTCACACCGCTCTTCGTGGAGGTCTAACCGCAAAAAATCCGGGTCGCGCGAGAACCGAAATCGCGGAATGAGCTCTGTTTCGTCGCTCGTCTCCGAGTAAAACAACGGATTCGGGGGCCCCTTTGCCGCTGCGCCTGATCGCACGGGCGGGGAAAACACCCTCGCTTCGGGCGAAAGCGGCTGCTGATCTGCCGCCGGATGATCCTTGCCGAGTTCCGGCGCCGCCCACTGAAACCCAGCAACCGTGCCGAACTTCTGCGATTGGGCTGCCTGCGCCTCGCCTTCCGGAAGTAAGATTTCTTTCGACGCTCCCGCTTCTGAGCGCTGCGGCATCGGAAGTTCCAACGGTAACTTCGATTGCAAGTTTTGCTGTGCGAGGACTTGCTCCTGCTGCTGCTGCTGTTCCAGCAAAGCCGCTTGCTGCTCACTTCTCGACGCGCTAGTTGTATCCGAACCACGCTTCTTCCCGGCTAATTCTCGCATCCACAACGGCAAATCATCGTCGTTCCCGGATGAATTACGATTGTTCAGATCTTGCTCAATGTAGCTCGCCGTGGACCTCCGCTTTGCTGCGTTCACGTTTTCCCAGCCTTGCCGCACTTCGCTGGCCAAGGCGGGCGAGGAGGTGCTCCCCCCGGCGCTGCGCTCATGCGCTCTTTGCACGTTCTCCAGCACGATTTCTTTCTGCAGCTCTTTTATCTGCGAGGCCATCGCGGCCACGAGCGCCTGGATCTCCTGCTGATCTTGCTCGGAGACGAACGTCTGCTGGTGCGCGACAACCAGCGCGCCATCGTACAGCTCGAGGCACTGCGCAAACAAGTCCTGTTGTCTGGCGTTTGGCGGTCCGTCGCGGAACATGGTTTCTAGCCGCTTTAGGGCCATCTTCGCCGACTGGAGGGCGGGCGATGAATCCTCAGCCTGGGCTTTCGACTGCCGAGATTGTTCATTCGCGTTGGTTGTATTCGTCAGCTGCATCACTCCTGCTGGCGCTTGTGGCAAAGCGACGGACAATCGGTACGCGCTGCTCAGGTAGATTTGCGATTCCAACTCTCGGATGCTATCCGCGACGAAGAGCCCCAGTTTTCTCTGCACCTCATCCGGGACCGCTTTCGTCGGAATATTTGCTTGTGATACTGCTGGCTGCCCAGCTGTTGTACCAGCAGACACCATAGCTTCCGCTTTGGTTGCGTCAAAGTAGGACTGGCAAAGCTCGCGAATCTTGGCGCGGAGCGCCTTCTGCTGCGTCGAAGCGGCGTTTTTCTCCAAACTTCCGAACGACTGATCCAAACGCTTCTCCGTGTTGTGCAGCTGATTCTGCAAAATTTCGCGCGGCAGCGCCGGACTTTGCGGGCCGCTGCTCGACACCGCAGCAGCCGCGGGAGCGGCGGGCGCCGCCGGCTTGGACAGTTGCACGTCCGCGGGCTGATCCATCAGCATCAGCGGCTCCCCGCGCGTCGCCCGGGCCAGGAGCTGCAACAGATCGGACGCCGCGACGTCTTGCAAAACGTCGTGCACCATGCGGGCGACGCGGTCCACGTGCTCGCACTGCGGCAGAAACCCGTTGCGCTGCAACAATTCCGCCTCGCGGGCGAGCTCGGTGTGAATCTGGCACAAATCTTGCAAGTCCGGGAGCAAACCAATGATATCTTCCGGAACCTTCAACTCGTCCCGTACCCGCTGCACGCGTTGCAGCGCGCGCTCGGACGCTGCCCTCTGCTGCTCGCGCAGGTTGGTTTTGGTGCGCAGCGCCACCGCGCTAGAAGTAGTTGCATTACTAGAAAAATCTTTCGCAGAAGCAACCCCACTTGCAGAAGCTGCGTTTGTCTTGCCCCTCGCGCCACCGCCCAAGTAACTGTCTCTCGCCCCCGCTCGCGCGTCGCGCATTAAGCGATCCGAATGGTGCGTCATGATGTTGTGGGCCATGCTGACGACGCTTTGCGCTTCCAAATGCTGCAACTGCCGGGCAGCCGCGGCGTTCAATTTGAGAACCATCTCGTTTGCTCTCCCGACGCCGAGCTGCGCGGTCGGCACGATTTCCGCCTCGGCCAGATCGTGGATGTGCTCCACAAAGTGGAAGGCGGTGTGGAAAAACGTTCGCCTCTGCTCGGAGAGCCGCTCGGCCTCCTCCGCCTCCACACCCGCATACTCGTACACCTGGCCGACCTCCATGGCGCACTTTTCAATGCGGTCCACCGCAGTGCCCGCCAGGCTAGCGAGCGCCGTGCCCTTGTTGTTACTTTTCACAATCTGCAGCTCATGCTCGGCGACTTCCATGGATTCGAGAACAACCTCGGTTTCCAGCTCCCGCTTCTGATCACAGATCGCGCGACGCAGCATCGTCATCGGGGCGGCGACCGTGGCGCTCGTCTGTGCAATTGTGAGGAGTTTGAAATACTAATGAAAGTCGAATGCGAAGTATGTCTAATGTCTGTCACCATAGACCTCGACGAGACAGAAACTACAACTTACTGAGCGGAGAAAACGAACATTACTATCGCGAAACAAAACAAAAGCACGTTATACCCTTCCGTCTCCAGTGCCCAACGGCAGTGTTCCGCGCATTGACCGGTCGGACATTCTACCGCTCAACCTGTCTGCGTTCGCACTCAAGGACCGATCTAACAGACTGAGCTCGCGAATCTTCCGCATTTTCGCGTATTGGTTCCCAGTCGGTGCTTGCACGGAGAAGAGTTGGCTTTCGAGAAAGAAGACTTCCTGGTCTTCCCTTGACGACAAGGCGCGCACGGATGAACGGCTTGCCGCACCGACAAAACTGCGCGTCGTCATTCGGCTGTCCGTACTGAACATCTGCGGCGCGGCACCGAGCGGCTTCTTGCCCAAGGCGAAGTTCGTGTCTTGCTGGTTCAACACGGTGAGTTTATCCGGCAAAGGGGGTTGGTTCGCGCTATCCACCGCCCCCGCGGTTCCAAAGTTCTTCATCAGCCAGGGCAGCAAACTGGAAACCCCGAGGAATCCAACATTCTCCGCATCCTCGTTGGTCGCCAAAACCGCGTTTCCGTAGCCCAGAATGATCTCACTTTCCAGTTCCCGGAACTGTTCCCGCGTCAGGTTCTCCAGCCGGGAGTTCACCAACGCTAAAGGGTCCTGCGCCATGGAACTGGAGGCACTGGCTTCCGTCTCGAAGCAGAGAAACTGCAGCAGCAGCGCGCGGTCCGCTTGCGCGAGCGCCGCCGTCTCCATGTGGAGGCCAGTGCAGAGCTTCTTCACGCGCTGCAGTGCGGCGATGCCCTCCTGCTTCAGAAACGCATCGTCCGGGCGAAGCGCTGGGATCTGCACGTTGGGAAAAATCCCGCTCAAGCGCTGCGACGCGGGTCCCGCGCCGAGCGACGCGGAAAACAAGCCGGTGTCGGCTTCCCAACTTGCCAAAGCGGTTTTCATCGCCGCCGCGTTTTGACTACCGGCCCGCTTCTGCTGCAACAGCAACTGCACGTAATCCCGCGCGAAACGGAGAACACCGGTCTCCAGCTCCCGCATCTTCAGAAGAGAAACGTCCTGCAGGATGGGCAAGTCCAGCGTCGTGGGTTCGAACCCCACACTGGACATCTCTTGCAATAGTTGTACGTCGCGGGCGACAGCTGGGTGGGACGTCATATCCAGAAACTCCGCTAAAATGTGCGACAGCGTATCGACCTTCTGCCCCACTCGTCGCACCGCGAAGGCCCAGTCAGACGCATCATCATCAGCGGCCAGATTCCGTGACGTCGTCCGAATGTCGGGGAACTCAGAGGCTAAACGGCCGGAAACAATCTCCGTCTCCACGTCACGCAACAGGCTCAGCATCAAATCTGTTTTGGGGTGTGGAATTCAGGTCTGGAAAAGGAAAGAGAAAAAACGTTGGGACAGTATGCAAGGCTTTTGTTTGAAGCAGTAAGGTACAAGTAGGATCGAAACTAAAAAGTGTTCTATTTATACCATCCAGCGTCCGAGACGCATCTGCGGCTTCCGCAATGGTGGTACTCAAGTCGCGCATGAGCTCCAACAGATCCTGTTGCCGTTCCGAAGTCTCCGATTCCATGAACAGATTCGCGATGCGTGTGCAAGCGCGCGCGGCCGCGGCTGCCTCGGCGGTGAGCGGCGGAGTGGCTTTTTTCGTCTTGTATCCGACCACCATCTGCATCTTCCGGGACATCATCAGCTCAGCCTCCAGCTCCCGAATTTCGTCGATCAACATGCTCACTGCGCCGACGGAAGTCGAGTCTGGCATCTGTCCGAGCTCCGAAATGCGACCAACGATGCCAAGCTGCGCGCCGGAGAAGCTTGCTGAATCCCCCGGCACGTTCGCCGCGAGCTTCCGCAGCCGTGCCTGCGTGCGGATTGCCTGCGCTTGGATTAGCGGGTGCACTTTTACTTGGGTCTTGTCGGTCTTCGCATCTGGTGCTGCTGTGGGAGTTGCAGCTGTGCTCGTGCGGTCCTGCAGAGCCAGGAGCTCCGCACGGGCCAACTGGTCCATCGCAGCCAATTGCCGAGCTTGTCCGCTTTCGGCAAGGCGACGCAGGACAACCGCTTGCATGTCAGACACAGCGACTTGCTGCAGCAAATCGTGCACCATGCGGCCAACCTGTGTTTGCGATAAATCTGAAATTCTCATTCGAATAAAACTTGAGGACACCAAAATAAACACGCATCATTCACTCAGGTTTCTGAAAAGAACCCCTTACAACGTAGTACATTCTAGTGAAAAAGGCATTGATCTTTAAGTGACTAAGTAAGTACCCTCGTCAGCTGCGCCGCTTGTGGTCCCGGCATTGACGTCGCGACGTGGGACAGCTGGAGCTCGATTTGCCGCAACTTCGACAAATCAGTGACAAATCCCGCGCCGGCCTGCTCCTGGTCCTGCAGTTCCCGCAGCTTCGCGACGCGCGCCAACACGCGATCCGACGCTGCTTGCAACCGCCGACTTGCTTCGACCGCCATGGAGTTGTCCGCGCTCGTGCCGGAGGTGTTTGGCAACGTCTTCCTGCCTGTTTTCCAGGTCAGGTGGTTCTCCAGAATTTTCTGACTCAATCCGATCAGCGCATCCGCTTCCAAATGTTGCACCTGCGCCATGGCGGCCCGGTTCATGCGGATGGTCACCTCCTGCGTCTTCGGGTCGCGGTTCACGCTCGACGCGGGAATCTCGCTGTCGCAAAGCTCGTAGATGTGTTCCACAAACCTCTGCGCGGTTGCGAGGGAGTCCTGCTTGGCGACCCGGTTCTCCGTTTGCGTCGCGCCGAAGTTCGTCTCGGCAACTTCCACCGCCAAGGCCTCGATCCGCTGTACGGCGAGCGACCCCATGCGCGCAAGTGTGGACTCGTGCGCCGCGTTCGCGGCCGGTTCTTGGGGGGAATCTTCGATCGCGAGAAGATTCCTTCGTTTCCTCTCCATGCTCTCCAGAACCACGTCCGTCTCTAACTCCCTCTTCTGCTCGACCAGCGCCCGGCGAATCGCGCAGACCGCGGGGTTGGGCACCGAAACGCCGATGGAGATTTCTCTGGCGCTTTGAAACAAGCGGGACACCGACATGCTGGAGGACGCGCCCGGACTTCCGGACCGACGGCGCTGCTGCTCGAGGTAGTTCCCGAGGCCTTCGTACTTCACGAGAGCAAGTTGCAAATTTTCCAACGACTCCACCGCGACCGCCTTGGCGGCCTGATTCTGCGACGGCGCTACATCCGCGAACAAATCCGCTTCCTGTTGGTCGGGCAGTGTGCACGTGTTTACCCTCAACAAAGAGTTCTTGTGCAACGCGGAGAATCGGCTTCCCTCCTTCAGCGAGGCCCGTGTGAAGTAACTGGAAAGCGGGAACCCGCGCTGTGCCGCGTGATCGCCAGCGGAGCGGAGTTTCATACTTGACACCCGCTTCTGCTGTTCTTTAAAACCGGAGGATGAATCAGCGGCATCGGCCGGCGAAGCAAGCTCGATATCCTGGTCGCCGACGACTCCGTGGTGCTCTTCCGCTTGCAGCAAAACTTCCTGGCCCCAGGCGATCAAGATTTCTGTCTCCAGCTCCTGGACCTGTTCCCGGACCATGTTCTCGACCAGAAACCGCAGCTTCGCGGTGGATTGTTGCTCCTGCGTACTGTCGTTCGTCCCCGCGGGCTTCAAAGCGACCTGGCTCAGTTCCCTTATCATGTGCACCCGTTCCGCCTCGGCGCCCGAAATTTCATACAGTTCCAGATCGGCCCAGAGAACCTGCAGGCGCCGCAGCGTTCGGACGCCCTGCCTGCCGAGCTCGTGCTGATCGACGGTTTCGTGGAGATCTTCCTCCGGGAACTTCAAGTTCGGGAAACTTCCACTGACCTTCGACGCAAAGCTCTGCGCCCCGCGCGCTCCACCCTGAGCGGTCAGGAGGTCTTGAGACACCTCCAAAAAGATCTCCTTTTCCAGCTCCCTGATCTCCAACAGCAGCAGATCCCTTTGATAGGCGTCCTCGCCCGAGAACTCGCGGTTGCCGTGCGCCATCATCTCTTTCAACGCGGATAACCGGCCCGCGTGCGGTTCGATCGTGCCGGCGAGGATGTGGAACAGAGTTTCAATCTTCTTCTGGGAGTGCGCGACGACATCCTCCCAGGCCCTCGTTCCGGGCAGCTCTACGGGGTTCTTCATCCTTATCTGTGCCGCGAGGTCTTCGTTAACATCATCGTCTTTCGCGGCGGAGGAACTGCTTGCGGCCTGCGGTTGTGCCACAACTGGAGCTGGCGGTGGGACTGGCGTTGCCTCCGCCCTGGGCGTCTCCTCGTCGTGCCGCACGAGCGTAATCTCCACGTCTTTGTGCTCCTCGAGGTGTGCAGCTAGCTCCTGGTGCTTCTTCCGCATGTTCTGCTTTTTCTTCGATTGGTCGCCATAGACCTTGTCCCGGAGAACCTGGTCGAGGTACTCGTCTTCGAGAGATTTTTTGCCCTTGTTGTTCTGCTTCTGCGACTCGCCTTCCCCAGCGGAGCGCGCCGCGGGGTTGGACGTGAGCAGGCCCGGGCTGCTGCGCCGCATTCTGGTAGTTGTACCTTTCTTGTTACTTTGGTTTTTGTTCTTTTGTCTTTCTTTTTGCTTCAACTTTTCCTCCCACTGCACCTGCTTGGCCGCGCTCCAAAAAACGAAAAACCTGTCGAAGAGCTTCTTCTCCCCGTGGGTGGTGAGTTTCTGGGCGGCGGCGGTTCGAACCTAGAGTAAGAGGAAGGAAGAATGGAATATGTGGTTAATCTCTTGTTTTGCGGTGATTTTCTAAAGCCTTGAAATAGGTAGGGATCGTGGGTAGACTAATGTGGGAAGTCACTGTTTCGGTTTTCTTGCAACAGGAAACGAATTGGAATTGCAGCGGCTCGTGGTGCGATTATTTTTTTAACACGTGGACGACTAGTACGAAATGGCAATTGTTTCAACTTGGTAAGACGACAGACACAAATCAATGGACGAGAAGGAATAGGACGAGGAAAGCCAAAGCGTGCACGATTCTTGAAGCAAAAAGAACGAACCGACAAAATAGCAACATTTTCTACACAGCAACAACCGATGTCTATGTCACCTGTACTACGATGGGAGACAAGCAAGTAATCTGGCAAAGAACCTGCTGTGTTCATTACGTTAATACGATGTGATCGGAATGCCGAGATGAAGATGCGATCAAAAACAAATTACTTATGCCATAGACATACCTCTGCGATCTGCCGTCGGACCTGCTGCGTGAGGTCAGAAACGTCATCCGCCCCGTCTTCAGACAACTTCGGCGGTTGAAGCAGCAAGATCTCCAAAAGATCAAACAAAGCTGCGGCGCACAGCAAATCCTGCAAGCAACTCCTCGCGGAACAGACCGTTGTCAAAGCAGCGAGATCGCGCACACTAAAGCCTTTCTCGGTCAGCATGTTCCTTGGCACTGCGCGTTCCAAAAACGTCTTGACGGATGCTTCCCCCTCACCTGCTCCTGTGCCGGCCGCTGCGTCCGGGCCGCCGCCGGGTGAACTTTTATCGCCCGATAGCTCTGTCCAGGCTTGAAAGTCCGAAACGAGACTGCAAACCCGTGAGTGGAGTTTGGAGTCCGTCCGTCCATCATATGCTTTCAACAACGCGCTGCACCACGGAGATATGGGCTCGTCCGATCCAGCGCTTCCATCGTTGTAGTACAGAAACCGTTTCTGCCCCGGGTACATCAATTTCCGTGCGCTCTCCCCACCAAAATTGCGCATGAGGCCGGTCTGGAAAGTATCGACTGCAGTGCCCTCCGTAGCTTCAACATTCCCCGTACGACTCGCTCGCCGACTTACGACCCGACTGTGCGACGTGCCGTCCGGGGAGGAGACTACTTCTACCGATACCGTCAGACCCCGGTCTGCGTCGTCGGGGGAGAATTCCAAAATCTCCTGTCCATTCACTTCCAGCGCGTAGACCCGGCTGTCTCCATCTTCGAAGCCTAGTCGTTTCCCGGTGGTCGTCTTGTTGAAGCCGAGGTCTTGCTGGATTGTCGGCGCACCGAGAGCAGCGACGACCTGTCCAGCTCGAGGCGGCGGGTGTGCGTCTAAAAACGCATGAACGGGCGAGTGCACTGGAAAAATATTACCGGATTGATATTCCATATGACTCTCAAACCCGTTCGGGACCGCACCGGTGACGCTGCTAGTAAGGCTGTCGATCCTTTGCACACCGATCGGAAACTCCTGTTGCTGCGGTATGTTGCGTGCTTGCAGTCGTGCTTGCTCAGCAGCCCCGGGCACTGCCACTTTTATGTCCGCCGTTCTCACAGACGCTGCCGTTGGACTTGTGCTCCCCTCGGTCGCTGCAAGGGATCTGTAGTACCGCTCAGCCGAGAAAGCCGAGCCCTCCGCACTCGCTCCGGGTCGATAGATCCGTCCTGGTGTCGGCGTGTTCGCCTTTTGGATGATGTTCTCGTGCTTGTGCACGGGCTCAAAAGTTTCCGGACCGCTTTCTAACCCCTCGGGCTCCGGTTTCTTGTGCTCCGCGACGGCTGCCTGTTCGGCCAACATTTCCGCCTCCGCGTGCTCTACTAAGTCGCGGAGGTGATGCTGCGAGTCCGCGGAATCCAGGCTCGGTGTGGTCTGATTGGACGTGATTCGACGACTTGCGTTGCTATCCGATTCCGCACCTTTGGCGCTAGATTGTGGCACTTTGCTGATTTGCTTCGTACCGGTGTACGCGTCGCCGAGCGGCCCGGAGTACGTGCTGTGGGCCTCGGAATCGCTGCTCTTTGCTCCGTCGGATGCGGCACCCGTGAGCGGCTGCACGGGGTCAACGGACGACACGGCCTTTTCGACTCTGTTCGCACTCACGCTAGCAATCACTGGCGCTTCTTTAATGACGGTGGTCGGCATCAGACTTGGCTTCACCTCGATCGCGTGTTGAGTTCCGTTCGTGCTCAATCTACGGGGCGGAAGTATTTTGATGTGATGCTCGGTGGTACTGGTTTGTCTTAATCCGCGCGATTCGCTTGTTGTACGAGTTGGCTTCGTTTGCTCCTGCGCTGGTGCGCTCGCTGCGACCTGTACAGCCTCGTCAACTTCTCCCGCGCCCGTGTCTGCGCTTTCTGCTATCAGCGCTACCTTCTGTGCTTTTTTGTCATCAGAGTCCGCATCCGTGGCCGCGGCAACTCGCGGAGCAGGAGCGGATTTACCCTCCTTCCCCTCTACTCCGCTCACTATCTTCGTTCCGTTGAAGCCGGTTACTTCAGCGGGCTTTTGGTCCTCAAGGTGCTCTGTCATTTCTTCTACCTCGGTCGGGTTCCTTCCCGCTTCAAACATTTTTTCCGTCACAGAAAGTTTTCGACCCTCGTTCGCGACCTCACCGACTGAGCTTGTGCTTGATCTGTTCAAGGGCTTCTTCTCCTGGTCTGCTCCTTTCGCACGCGCTTTCTGCCCGGTCGTCTCCGCATGAATGATTGGATGCGCGTCTAGGTATTTAGATAACAGAGCGCTTGAGCCCCCGTCCGTACTGGCGCCGTGGTCAACGGAGTGCACGAAATCGAGGCGGTGGTCCTCCTCTGCGGCTTGGTTAGAAGCAGCAGGGGGCGCTGCAATTCGTGCGGCAGTCTCCTCTACCTTTGCAGCTGCTGCTGCCGGCGCTGCTTTCATCTCGGAAGCAACTGCAATTGGCTGCTTGCCAGTGCTGTTCGCGTCTTTCTTTCGCTTTGTCGACGATTTCAAATCCATGTGCACACTGCCAGATTCCTTGCTGGATGAAGATTTTTCCGACTGCGAAGAAACATTCACGTTCATGACCGCGTCAGGATGAGGAACATCCGCACTCTTGTCCTTGCTACCTGCACCGGTATTTGCAGCAACTTTCGCGCTAGCTTTGACGTCTGAAGATGCCGGTTGCTTTCCGGGCCCACGAGAAGCAATGCCTGGAGCTTTCCTAGCAGTTGAATCCGTGCGGACTGGCTCTTGCGGTGTCCCTGTCGGCGGAAAATCTTCCGCATCCGCGCCACCTCCCATTAATTGCTGAAAAAAATGGTCCGTTTTTTTTGGACGGCCGATTTTGCCCGCCATACCACCCACGCCGGCAACTGTGCTGCCTTTGCTTGATGGCGCTGAGCTACTTGCCACACGACCTATTCGACCGGGCGCCGGCGGTGCGGGATTGCTCGTTTTACTTGACACCGCTGAAGAACTCGGCGCCGCCTTTGCCAGCACCGGGCCGCGCGACTTTTGTTCAGCACCCGGCGGCCGCTTCGGTTGCAGAGACGACTTTTCATCCTCACTCGAACTCTTTGCAACTTTCGCAGCCTCTTCTTCACTCGAGCTGGCGCCTCCACCGATGAGAGTGACAGCGGGCGCGGAGTCATCGACCGTGACGCGCTTGCCAGGAAAAGTACTTGCTTGCTTCGACGTAATTTCCTCACTTCTTGCATCAGCATGATCCGGTGACGACGGAACAGCAGCCGCCTGGGAGTCGTGGTCGTCCTGTTGCAAACTCGGGCTGGAAACGTCTTCCGAACGCTCCGGCCGAGCCGGCGCGCCCTCGGAGTCGCCTGCTGGGCCGATATCTGCCTCGGAGTCGGTGCCCGGCACCGAACCCGCGGACAACACCGAACCCCCACCGCCGCCCGAATGGTCCTCGTCACTGTGTATGTTTTTCGTCCCTGCTTCCGAATTCGTCTGCAGGATTCTTTTGGACTCGGTCAGACTTGCCGCAAGTGGCTCCCCTTCCGGATTCGACGGCTCTACTGATGCGGACAGCTCAAACTGCTCGTCTGTTGCCTGCAGCAGTTCCTGTCCGCGCGTGGAGATCATGTTGCCACGGGCGAGCGCCGCATTTACGTTCGTCGCTTGTTGCGATTCTGGTTCCGCTGCCTGTTGTTCCTGCTCCACCTCGCTTTCCGGCGCCGAACCCTGGAAGGAAGCATCATCTCGATTGCCTGAAGGAAATGCTGGTGCCCCTTCGTCCGACGATCCACCCGGAGGTAAAACGTCGAGATCCTCTGCCTCCTTCGGCTGCTCCTGCTCCTGATCCGTATCAGTTACACTCATGTCATATCAAATGTAAAAATGTCTGGGCCTGGAAGAGAGCAACTTGTGATGCTGAATTTGGATTCCAAAAAAATCTGTATTACATGAGCAGCAAAGGGAATGGAATTTTTGCTACGCGGAGAGGGCATTTGTCATGCGGAATAGGCACCGCGAAGCCCTCAAAAAAGCTGTGATGCTAGGGCATGCATCACAGACATCATGGCCAATGCAAAACATGCATGACAAGTCTCAGAATCTTCCAGACCCAGACATTTTTACATTTGATATGTCACTGAAGGTGTCCCGGGGATTTCTCATCGAATTCGCTGGAACGGGGGCTAAGCCGACTTTCTTCTGTTCTTTTTGTCCGACCGCGAGAGCATTGACGTTCGCTTGCGACAGTACAGGACCGCCGTTGTCATCTTCCATTCGCATCAGCTCTGGCACCGTACCCCCGTCACTGCTCGCTGGGAAACCGCTGCTCTGTACGCTCGCCTGCAGATTGTCACCTGCCGCAGCTGCTGCTCCGCTGCTCATCGGCACGTCAACATCCTCGTGCGCTTCGTCCGTCCCAAGCTGGCCACGGTTGAATACGGGCTCGCCAACATCTTCTTGCGCTTGCACCTCTATAGCTGCATCGTGCTCCACAATTTCGTCTGAGTCTATCTCCTCCGCCTGCTCCCCGGCCGCGGTCTGGGCGGCGTCTGGTTGCCCTTGGTCAGCGCCGGGGTCTTCGTCATACTCTTGGAATTCCCCATGTTCGTCGTAGTACCCGGCGCCGCTGCCGTCGTGATAGTTCCCATCGTCGTCGTAGAAGCCTCCGTAATGGTCATACCCCTCTGCATCGAAACCGTGCTCGTCGTACTGCCGAACGTCTGGCTCTTTCGAAGCAGCTGGTGAGGATCCCCCGAGATGATCGTCACTTGATGCCGCAGGTAGATTCTGATCTTCCGGTGAGCTTTGACTTGTTTTTACCGCTATTTCTGGATTAACTTCACCTGGTTCAGTTGTTACATTTTCCTCTTGAACTGCTTCCAGATCCCCCGCCGTGCTTCTCCGCTTTGTCATTGCGTCCGAGAACCGCTGCCCCAGCGCCATACCAGCTTCCGCCTCGTTGTCCGAGTAGGTGTCGCCGTGAAGGAGCTCTTTTTCCTCGTATTCCGCCTGGTGGTGGTGCTCATCCCCCTCGACAACAGGATTCAGACCCTGTTCCGGCGCGAGCAGGGGGCCGCCCTCCGGCACGATTGACCTTTTGAAGGGACTATTGCCTCCTAAAAACTTGTCCGTTTGCAGCATGTTCAGGAAGCTCGGGCGCGCGGTGCCAGTGGTTGGAGGCGGCGTGAGACGAGTCGACGTCGATGGTGCTCTAGTACTGTCCGCAGACTGCTGTTCTTTAGCCGTGCTAAGTGTCAAATCACCCTCGTGCACCTGCTGCTGTACTACTTCACCCTCCTGCGTCGGCTCGTCGTAATACATGAGCAGAACTTCCTTCGCCGCAGGGTCGACTACATCAAGACCGTCGTTGCTATTCGCTACGAAGTCGAGAAAGGAGCCTAAGTGTTCCTTCCCTTGCAGCCACGCGTTACCGTACTGTTGGAACAGAACTTCGGCGGTCGCCGCGTCCTGCATTTTCTGTTTGATAGGCGAGTCTCCCAGCGAAGATCTATTTTGCCCGAGTTTTCTTGTTCCAAACGACGCTTCCTTGCCGGCCCGCCTCATCGGGCTATCCTCCTCCGCCACAACGCCCGCTTCATCCAGCGCCTGATCCCAATAGTTGTTGGTTAGACTGTTTAGAAACCGCATCTCATCTCTTTGCACCAAGGGGATCTTGTCGGGAGAATCAGGCGGCATGTCGTAGAACGGCAGTTCCACGGAGACAGCGGGAGTGGTTTCTTCGGCCTTTTTTCCAACATCTTCAACCTCAGTTGTGAAAGCCTCGCTAGACAATGTGGCCGGTCCTTCCGCTGCTCCCGCTTCTATCCCCTCTGCAATGAATTCCACCTTTTTCTTTTTTGTTTCGTCTCGCTTGACGCGGTCTCCTTCCACTGGCTCCTCTTGCTGCAAAATTTCCGCAACTTTCTTGCTCTCCCGGCGCAGGTCGAAATCAGAAGACGAGCTGGACGCTTCTTCCGCCTCTTTCTCGTCCTTTTCCTTCTGCACAGCTTCGACTTGCGCTGCGAAAAACTTAAGCGGGTCCCCGGAGACCTCGATCGGAACCGCAGGGCTCTTCGCGACCACAATCGCTGCATCTGCGTACTGCCCGTCATCCTCAATACGGTCAAAATTTGCTAAATTTCCCAAACACAGCACATGGCCGACCCCCGGAATCGCAGCGTCCTCTGCCCTTGCCACAACTGTGCCTGCTTTCCAGTCCTTGTATTGCTTCCTCCATCTGGGCACCACTATCCGCTGCTCCACCTGCGAAAGACGCTCGATCGTGAGACTGGAGAAAATTGGTCGCGTGCGGTTGACAAAAAAGAGCTCCCCCTCAGCGATCTCAGGCGTTGACAGAAACGCCCCGAGAACGAGCCCGGTGGCCCGCGTCCACGCGGCTTCAGACCCTACTTCCTGGGACCGGATTAGATGCCCCTCCGCTTCGTACACGAACTCCTCAATGGCCAAATCGATGAACCTCGGGATCTCCGCAAGTGCCGCGTGGTTTGCAATGTCCACACTGTCTGCAATCAAGGGTAGTTTTGCGGTGTGCACAGAAAATAGAGCACAGCAAATTTTCTTGTAGTCCTGAAACAGCGCCGGGTCGATCTGAACCTGGTCGCGAACTTTCCGGATATAGCCTCGCTCAAACAACGCCGTCGCTTCGACGTCCTTGGAAACTACTTCGTGCGTGGTCAGAAACTTCCCATTAGCGTCAATCAAGTGCAGGTAAAGCACCAAATCCCCAACGGGAGCAAACTCAAAGTGAATCATATTTGTATTTCAAAGTGGTGTTATCAAAAAAATACAGTGTGTCAAAGTGCATGAAAACCAAAAGTGAAAGCGATTGATACAGAAGGGTGGTAAGTAGTGTAAAACGGTTTAGTGTACAAGAATAGCAGCAAAGCAAGCTTGCGCTTGATACAAGCGCAGTCGTCCAAAAAAAGGTGTACAAAAAGCACGCACTAATTTCTGAAAAATGAAAAGCACGAAACGTTTCGAAGACTTTGAATATGACGATGGGATGCTTTGATAGCAAAGAACAGGACGATCACGATCTGAACTTTTTTCACGACCGACCCACGATTTAAGGACTAACATCACGTCTTGAAGCCCGACCTCTTTTTGTGACCGATAAATGTTGGCACCGATTCAGAGCAAACGATATGTCGAGTCCCAACCAGCAAAACGAAAACGCAAGACGTCATGCGCTTTTCCAACTCTACCACTACGGTATCACCGGATTCCAAAGTTGTACCTTTTGGAATCTAGGAAAAGTACATTCTGTCAATCTCACGGGCTGCGACAAGAAACTTATTCTACAGTGTTGGAGGTTGCCCGTTGTGAGGGAAACGATCACGATTACGTCTGGTAGTACATTAATTCAGTTTTTGAATACAGTATTAGATTCGTGGGCACTGCTTCACGGCAGGAGGAAGCCCCACGTGTATTTTTCCACCTACATACGTGAGAAGTAAAAGTCAGTAGAATAGTCTTTCCGTGCTAACTAGGATCAACATTGGTAAAGAACTGAAACTGTTTCCGACAGCTAACATTAATTTCATTTTCGTAGCAACATCCTACATTTGAATTTGAAACTTCGTCCTCAGAGATGATACACTTTACAAATCGTAGTTTCATTGCTTGTATTGCTGCAGAATCCTTCAAGATGACGTACTAAAAATTCTGATCATACAAAGTACACGCTCACATATTTTCAGCTTGGCTGGTTTGTACATCGCTCGCTGGATTCGCGTCTTCCACCAAAACCACCCCGTCACCGACTTCCAGCACCCGCAATTCCGGTGGTGGCGCCGCGCTGTGCTCGCCCTCGATACGTACCTTCGCTTTCGCTTTTCCTTTCACCGCTGGTGGTGGAGATTTTCCGGCGACTTTCGGCGTTCCTGCCTTCTTCGCGGCGGCCACGGGGGACTTTGCGCTCGCCGCTTTACTACTTGCTCCGGCTTTTTTTGCGGCTACCGCGGGAGACGTCGATTGGAGATCCGATGCCGCTTTCTTGGTCGACGTGCTGGCTTTCTTTTTTGTCGCTGCTTTCTTTTTCACGACAGGACCGTCGGGAGCAGAAACCGGCATTGTGTCGACGACAATTGGTATAGTACCGTCATCGTCCGCGTTGTTCACAATTACGACCGGTTCGGCCGGTGGCGGAACGGCTACGGGCATCGCAGACTGCGGCAACGTCGGACTTTCCGGCTCCTGCAACTGGGCTGCTTGGGCGGCGGAGCTGCGAATCGGCTCAGGAGTCGTTGAAGGTTGGGCGGTGTCGTCTATCACCGTCACGTAGGCCCGGCGGTCAACATCCTGCGAAGTTCATGCGTTTTAGACATACAGCAGGCAAAGGCATCTTCAGCAATTACAACAGTCAACCTCAGAGTGAGAATACAAGTGCATCCAATGCCGACAAAAAAAACCAAAGAATCTATACGTCCTTCTTCTCCTCCTTCGCTGTACCCATGGGCGTAATCCGCTTATCGAGCAGCTTCTGCAGCCACGGCGCAAACTGGTACGGTGTCGGCGACGCAAGCCCGCCACCGCCGTCTTCGGGCGAGCTCGGGGAGGAGGGTGGCGCTGCCTTTGCCGGTGATCCTCCAACGACGCTTGCGCCGCCAGTTCGCAGCGACGGCACAAACAGCAATGATTCCGTCTGGTCGCTCCCGCGGACCAAATAACTCCTCTCCTGCGGTGGTACGTACTCTCCTCGTAGCCTCGCCTGCAGCATTTTGTGTTCTTCCGTGTTTTCCAACCGTCTGCGGTCGCGAAACACGCGGTCTTTCGCCTTTGCCGGGGGCGATTCCGGTGGCGAGGCAGGTTTTGGCTCTTCGGCGCCAAACAGGTAGCGCGACGTGCCCGGTTTGCGGACGTACTGCTTTCCACCCTTCGCGACAATAGAAAATGCTTTTTTGAACGCGTTTTGGAACAGGGTGTTCTGTTCGGCGAAAGAGGTTTCCAGATCGGGCGTGAAGTAGTTCGGCCTTTCGATCAAGTTTTTTTCAACCGAAGTATCCCGGTCCCCGTCGGGCTGCCGAAGCGAGAAGCCGCCCACGGACGCCGCACGGATCTCCTCTTGATTGTGTTTTTTCATTTCCGCTCTTCGTATCCGCTCCTTGCGCTCGCTTTCCTCTTCTTCTGCAATTATTGCGGCCAAATTCTTCATAGGCGACAACTGGACGCCAGTTATTATGTTTTGTCCGACGGCAAGATTCGCACGCGCCTGCTTGATATTGTTGCCGAACGCCTCTGCGTAGGCCTGCGCTTCTGCTGCGAAGTCTGTCGTTTTCGGTGCTGCTACTGGTGAAGTTTCTTCTTCTTCATCTTCTTCTTGTTCTACTCTTGGAGTGTAGTGGTCTGCCATCGCGGGAGCTGCCGGTCGCACAGAAGGCTCTAAGTGCGGCACTTCTCCTTCTGGGATTCGTACCGGTCCCCTGGCAACATAACCACCCCGCATCGGCGTGTGCTCCCGAGGTTCCGCGGGTTGCTGCCGGGTAGAAGTATGGTGCGACGACCCCGCGGCGGAAAGCGGACCCCTCGAAGGTGGTCCTCTGGGCGCGAGCGCCGCCAACCTTGCGGACTCGGCCTTCTGCTTCAACACTGCCATCCTCTCTCTCTCCGCCGCGGCATTCGAATCACGACTCTCCTTCGACATCCATTTCTCGTAGAACGCGGCCAACGACTGCGTGCTGCCTCGGTGGGTGTCTCTGGATTTTGAGTGATGATCTTCCGCCAGAGCTGCTTTAAAGCTTTTGTGCTCCGACTCAGCATCGGATGCGAACTCCGCGTACACCTCAGAAACTTTGCTGTTTCTTGTAGTACTTTGTTCCTGCTGCTGGTGATGCCCGGCATTGTTCACCGAGTTTGTGTCGTGCAAGTGTGTAAACAGGTTGTGCGTCTTGCGCGCCCGCAACGCTCCTAAAGCGTTGGTGTTCGGAGTGGGAAGCGGCACTTTTTCCGCTTTCAACTGCGGCACAGCAAGCGGTCCGACCGGTGTCTCTTCGAACCGCCGTGTCAGTGTTGGCGCGTTTCGTATCGGTTGAATGTTTAAGACACCGCACTTCAGGCGATTCAAGGCCGTCAGAATCTCTGCGACATTCTGCGTTCGCTGCGAAATCCCGTCCGGGCTTTGCGTCCTTGGCGGGGAGGACGTGCTACCGATCCGTCTCGCCATACTGGTCGGCTTCGGGGAACTTGCAGGGCGGACCAACGCGTTTGAATACTGGATGGGCGACTTGTTGGTTGATGTCACGGCGGTGGTCGGAGCAAACACAGGTGGACCTCCTCCGGACTCTATCGTCGGCTCCGCGTTAGTTTGTTCCCCCTCCGCTGCGTACCGCCGCGCTAGTATTTCGTTGGAGAATACTACGGGAGGCTCGCTGTTATTCCCGCCCGCTCGGTCGCTGGCGGCCGCGCTTTCTGTTGCAGACAGCCCGCTAGTGAGTGCGTATTCGGAAGAAGATTCGTATTGTTCCGCGTAGTACTTCATCGGAGGCGGTTTTGCTTGTCCCAGCGGCTGCTTCTCATCGGGAATAGAGCTCTCCTCTTCAGAAGAATCATCTTCCGGTTCGCCGTAGTAAAGCAACGGCAAGCCACGCAAATCCGCGTCGTTCTTCTTTTTCGGTCTCAGCCACGGAATGCAATGCTGTCCCTCCACCAAAGGACTGGCAGTGCGGACCGAGTCGTCACCTCCCGATGAGTTATACGATTTCGCGGGAGAAGCAGATGAAGACCCACCGAACCACCGACTAGCAGGGCCTTTCAGGAGAGACGTGAAGAGGTTTCTGTTGTTGGATGAGGAGGGTACTACCGCTCCCCTCCTGCTGTGCTTCATTGCTCTTCTTCTCGTTGTCGATCCAGATGTGCCGTTTTCGTGCGCGTTGTTGCGCTCCGCCTGCTGGTCTAGTGCTTCTCTGCTGCTGCTGGAACACAGAAAGCTTTGTAGAGGTTCCACCGCTGCTGCGCTCGAGCTGTCACCAATCCGCTGCGACGCCTCGATCGTTTTTTCTTCTTCGTCGTCGTCGTCGTCGGACGAGCAGTCCTCGCTGCTGTCATCTTGTTCAGGCACTGGATACAGAGCCGTGTTCCCGACTAGCGTCTGCTGGTACTCTGACTCCACGCCGTTTATTTCACGTTCTTCACTGAAACTACCACTTCGCTGACTGTTCTCGTTTCTTTTCCCCAATACGCTGTCGTCCTCCGTGTCCGCCTGGATGTACTGATTTCTCGCATCATCTCCATCGTGACCACTCTGTTCGGGAGCACAAACTTGGTTCATCTCTTCCTCCCACTTCGCGCGATAGGACGCTTCGCGCAAGGTTGCACTCGGTGCTCCCATCAGTCGCATCATCTCCAGGCAAGCGTCTTGACCCAGGAGCTTCTTGTCCAGCATGGGCTTGATGTCACCTTGTTCATGTGGTTGGCTCAGTGTTGGCAAAACAGTTGATCTTGGTGTGAGGCACGGAGGTGCTTGATGTTCATTGTGTTTTCGCTCCCTAGCAGCGCTGGTGTCGGTAGCAATCGTTGCGCTATGCAGCTCGTCGCCTGTTTGCATCACGGCCTCCACTTTCTTGGGACTCCACCCGGCTACTTCTTCTGCAAATTCGAGAAGCTCTGCAGACACATCTGCTTCGCCGTAGAGCTCCTGCCCTAGCAGCTCGCGAACGAGGGCGGCTGCGCGACTTCCGAAAGTTGGCGACGGCTCGGGGAAGAAAAGCATGCGGCTGCCGCTGCGGTTCTCGAGCGCATTTGGGACTTCTCTCCGCTTGGCCTCGTGGTCGGGGCTGTGGTCTACGTTGCAGTTATTATCGTCTTCGGTTGTTCCCAGAATGTCGGCGGTGTTTCTGCCAGCGAGCTGGAGATACTGCCTCTGTGCCTCTTTTGCACCCGAACCGCTGCTCCCGCTGTTTGCAGTGTAGCTTTGCACCGCAAGGGCGCTGGATGGTGCTCGGGGCGCACTTGGAAAGTCAAAGATGTTTTTCTTCGCACTTGGCGGCGTGCCTCGCGCTCCTGCTGCGAAGCCGAACAGCGAGGTTTTCGGAACGCCTGCATGCCCAGAGCGCAGATCGAATTGCTGCGCCGGTAACGACACGCGCGGCAACTCTCGTTGTTCTAGTATCGGCGTGCGAGCTTGCTGATCCGTTTTTGCGGGTGAAACACTCCTCTCCACCTCCACGCGTCTTCGCGGTGGGGAAAAATTTCGGAACATTGCCGGCGGGTCCGCAAGTGCGGGAACCGCCAAGGGGGGCGGCGGTGCGAGCTTCAGTGCGGTCGGCGCCGGAAAATTGGTCCGCGGGGAGTTTATCGTTCTCGGAACTGAGACGGCTCTTGCCTTGTTTGCTGACGACGATGTTACCGATTGATTTTTCTGTGCGGCCAGAAGTTCTTCCAGCGATGGCAGATCCGCTCTCCGGTCCTTGTCGTTGACGTTCAGGTTCGAGATTAGCGCCCGCATCTTCCGGGAGAAAGTGTCTGCGGTCTTGCCGGGCTGCGCAGAGTGCTGCTGCATGTGTCGCATGTACTTAATCAGGTCCTCGCGCTCCATATCTAGCACGTCCGGGTGAAATTCGTCCACGCCCAAGTGGTGCGCAATCTTGCTCTGTCGCGGGGGTGTGCCCGTCCGCTGAATCGATGAGCCGGATAGTCGCTGTTTGATAAGAATGGCACTGTGAAACAAATGGACATGACCGTCGGTCATCGATCTTCAAAACATTAGAGTAAGATGATGTCTTTTCTGACTAAAATCAAGAAGTTTACGTACCTCCAGTCCCCCGCCTGCGCGCGCGGACGAGTCCGACTCCGCCTCTTCCGTGCTCATGCCCCGTGGGTTCACCTCGAGACTCGAGGCACGCGAGTCTTCTGGTACGTCGCCCGCTCCCGGAACACGGACGTTGATGGGCAGTGGCAGAGTGTCCACCATCTTCCACCGGTCCTCCTTTCGCAGCGCCGTTAAGTTCGGTTGATCGCGATCTCGGTCGAACAAATTGGAGCGCAGAAACTGCGTCTGAATCCACTTCTGTTTGTCCCAAGCTGTGCTCACGGGCGGGGGAGGCGGCGGGGGAGGAGGCGGCGGCTCCACGACCGGCTCTTCCACTTTCTCCAGCGCCATCAACGCGGTCGCTTGACGCGTGATGATGCGCTTTTCGATGTTTTGCGGCACATGCGCATCGTCGCTGTCGCCGGACTTCGGAGACAAAGACGTCGCAACCGGAGACGCAGGCGATCTAGAAGCGATTTCCTTGCTCGGCGGCCGGTTCAGGACCTGCTTCTCCTTCTCCGCTTGCTCCGCGGCCAACCGCCCTAAGCGCCGCTCCTCGCGCGAGGGACGAGAGTCGCTCGCAAACGCGGGGCCACTCTTTTTTCCCGGCTTTGCCGCTTTCGGCTTTGCGGCCTCCGGGTCGGTGGTGGTTTTGGCCTCCGCCGCCGCCGCCGGGACCGCATTTCCCCCTCCTGCTACCACCGGTGGCGTCTCGCTACTTAAGCCGATCGCGTTCAGCACCGCCTTCCCTGCAACGGACCTCTCAATTCCGCTCGGAAAAATGGCCTCTCCTTCGGAGTTGACGCCCGGCGGCAAGGTCCGGAGGGCGGGGTAGGAAGCAGCTCCTCCACCCACCTCCCGGGAATAACTCCGCTTTCCCGTTAGTTGCGAGACCTGCGATCGGCTGGACGCAACGCTCATCGGCGGACTCGCCGCGGTTCCTTCGCCGAACATCTCGCCGATCAGCAGGGGCGGGGAATTTCCCCCCCGGCCGCTTGGATGCGCCGCCGAAGCCGTAGGACTGCTCACCGCGGCTTTTGGCTTCGGCGAGGTTTTTCCTTTTGGGCTGGTCGCTGCTGCTTTGGTGCCCGTGCGGGCACCGCTCTTCGCCGGGGCGGGTGCCGCTTTTTCCGGTGGCAAGAAGAAAAACACCCCCGGGACCGGGTGTGTGTGCTGGAACCCCTCCTCTGTTTGCGCAGTAGATGCGCTTCGCGGTCGGTTGGGTTTCACCTCGGCAGCAGGAGTTGTAGACAAGTCGACTCGCGGCGTCAGAGACGCGTCCGCAAATCGGTGCAGCGGCGAGGAATACCGGCGTGCACTGCGTATCCGCGCGGACCGTCGAGCCTATCGAAATGATACAACGCACTTACGTAATCGCGTTTAGGTCTCGAAAGTCATCAATGTGCAATTGAGTTTTTCACCGTTGACGCCGAGTGGGAAAAAATGCATGAAAAAATATGTAGTTCTTACCGCTCGTCTTCCCTCCGACTTCAGACGCTTTTGTCGAAGCATCTCACACCGAATGTCTAGTAAAGCGGGGTGAATGCAGCTGCTGAGGAACTTCAGAAACCGGTCACGATTACTGCAAGCCCACAGCACCGTGTCTTTCACCTGCAAGAACGTGCATAAACAGTAGGCCAGTGGCCTCTAGAGCAGCATTGATTTCGCACAGAAACAGATCCAAGGAGTGGGGAAAACAAAATTCCTACAAACGAAAACCAGTCAAACGCACGACTACCTCCGGCGGCCAGTCGACTCCACAGCCGAGAGTTCGAGAAAAGAATAACCACCGATCGCGATGCTTCTCCACATCCGCGTAGATGTGCTGTGCGATAGACAAGTTCAAGTCTACAAACTCGTAGCGCTGCATCAAGCAGGCCGAGACGTCCAATGCCATGCAATCCATCCTCGCAGACGTCCGGCTGCAGTCCCGGCGGTGCAACTCCTTCTGCTGAGTTCACGCCCCGGCGGCGTGCTGCAGACCGCTGCTACTCAATGGCGAGACCAAACGGGAGGAAAACTTTCCGCGGCGTGCCCCTATCATGTCAACGTTTTTATCTTCTATCCGGTGTGTCAGTCGGGTGCTACTATCTGTATTCAAGGCCGAGAAACTAGAGGACGCTCGTGTTTGTTGAGAAAGCGCATTCCTCGTATTTGTTGTTGATCGAAGACCTCGAAGTACTTGGCCAGCGGCCCGAAATACTGTTAGTACACGATCACGAAGTCGACAGCGATTTCGATTAGCGATCAAAACGAGCGAGTATTAAGTCCTGTTTCTGGATGCCACGAAAAACGATGCGAAGTATTTATCCGTCCTGCGATGGCTAGTGCAATGCGATCTTCAGGCGCCAAGCGTTCAGCTTGGTGCAGTAATCTTCGCGCATGGAATTGCCTTGCGAGGCTAGCGCGCTCCACGCAAGGCCCCACGGCGAGGGGGGACGAATGTACCGAGCAGAATTTGTACACAAGATTCTAGAACTGGCAATTCGCGCCGAAGCTTGGACAGTTTCTTGAAGATCGCGCACCGCCGGTGCGGCGGGCACCTTCCCCCTGCCTTCGCGCCGCCGCCCCTACCCGGCGTACACCACGCGGGAGCCCGCGTTCTTAATCCGAATGCGCACCGCAGATGTCGGGGGGGGGGTCCTTGCGGGGCAGAGCGGCGGGGCCCCGCGAGGTGGGGCGGCGCCAAAAGTACGCAGGAGGGCGCGCGGCGGCAGGGGCTCAATTAGCCAGCGCAGTGGAGGATGCGCAATGCGCCTGCATCGTGTTGGTCACGCGCGTCCCGCACGCGAAAGGATGGCAATCCGGTCGAACGGATTGGAGCTCCGCGACCGGGCGCCTAGCGCGTTGCAGGGGCAGACAAGGTTGAAGAAAGGAGGAAGGAGGAACAGGGCGGAGCTCCGGGGTTCGGCAGAATCCGGATGGTAGAAAAGAAAACGCAAATCATTAAAGGATCGCCATTCGCGGAAAAAGAGGGCCAGAAGCGATCGCACTTCCTTGGACTAGGAGCATCCCCACTGACCTTCCATCAGGTCAGGGGTACAGACCTCCCACCAGGTCAGTGGTCAAAGCCCTAGGATCTTCGGACCTCGTTGGTGTGGGTTTCGGTGCCATTATGGATGGCGATGGCTCTGCGGAGCATCAAAGTCGTATAATATGACACACATGAGCGCTTGAACCGTTCCCGCATAATGTAACTCCATAAGTATGTTGATAAACATACATCTGCTTGCTCCAGTGATGCGGTTCGGGTTTTTATGGTTGTAGCGGTTCAGGTTTTTTTTTGGCTTTTTTTCGCCTTTTTCTTGTGCTTTTTGCGCCAGCTTTGCAAGGGCGCCAGCTTTTTGGCGCGGGGGCGTCGCCTGCCTTGGGCGCAGGCCAGAGCGAAACTTATCGCGCGGGCCGCCAACTGGCGGTCTTGCTCGCCAACCTCGCCACGGCTGCTGGCGGGAGGCAGTTTTTCGCCGTCGCCATCGCTCCAAAACGACTGCCGCCAAGCTGCCGCCAACGCTGCCGCCACCACGTTTGGCGGCACCTTACCACGACCTGACGCTGCGACTTTGCCACTGCCGCCATCGAAAAAAGATAAAAAGACTAATATTTAAATATTAGTCTTTTTATCTTTTTGGTATGGCGGCAGTGGCGAAAGTGCGGAGTTGGCTCGTGCTGAAGTGCCGCCAAACGGGGTGGCGGCAGCGATGGCGGCAGCATGGCGGCACCGACGGCAAACGGGAAACCGAGGCTGTGCCAACTCGTCCGCGCGTTGACCAGCGCCAGCCGAATACGCTACGGAGCGCGCAGCGGCCCTCGCAATGCTCGCAGGTGGCGGGGCTGTCGGAAGCTGCTTGCCACGCTTGCCGGGCGGCAGCGAAGTGGCCTCCGCTAGGCCAATGCGCCCCGCGGCAGTTGGGGGCTGCTCGCCTTGCTGTGCTCGGCGACGTGTGCGCCTACGGTAGCCCAACTCGGCGCGAGGCGGGCGGGCGCGGCTTGGCGCGCTTGCCGCGCGACAACGTATTGGCTTACGGTAGCCCAATACGTCGCGGAACTGGCGGGCGCGGCTTGAAGCGCCCGCCGCGCGACGACGTATTGGCTTACGGTAACCCAATACGTCGCGGAGCTGGCGGGCGCGGCTTGACGCGCTTGCCTCGCGCCGACGTATTGGCGTACGGTGCCCCAGTACGTCGTAGGGCAGGCGGACGCGGCGCGGAGCGCTTGCCGCGCGACGACGTTTTGGCTTACGGTAGCCCAATACGTCGCGGAACTGGCGGGCGCGGCTTGGCGCGCTTGCCTCGCGCCGACGTATTGGCTTACGGCAACCCAATACGTCGCGGGAAAGGCGGACGCGGCGCGGAGCGCTTGCCGCGCGACGACGTGTTGGCTTACGGTAAGCCAATACGTCGCGGAACTGGCGGGCGCGGCAGGCCGCGCGGAAACGTATTGGCCCAAAGAAGCCGAGTTCGTTGCGGAGCTGGCGGACGCGGCGGGCCGCGCTCCCCTTCTGGCGGCCCCGCGGAGCGGAAGGAGGGCGGTGCCGCCAATCCCGCGGGGCCCCTGTACCAATGTGGCTACGCGCTTGCAGGGGGCGCACAAAGCGACACCAGTGCCGCCTTCATTGGTACAGGGGCCCCGCGGGATTGGCGGCAGGGCTGTGCCGCGTCTGCGGCTGGTTTCTCATTCAGAAGGGCCATCGGAGGCCGGCTTGCTTTTTGGCTTCGTTCCGGGCGCCTTCAGATCCCGCGCGAGGCTGCATGCTTCGCGCCGGATCTGAAGCCGCCGGGGCCGCCCTTTTGCGTCACAAATCGGCCCCCGAACAGCCCGGGAGCCGCAGGGGCCGTGCGGGAATACGCCGGAGGGCCCCTTGGGGGAAAGAGTGGCGCTCGCTTCCCCCGCAAGGCTCTTGGGGCACTGCGCGAGCCGCCCGGGGGCCCTTTAAGGGGTTCCGGTCTCGAATACCCAGCCCCGACGCATCCTGGAGCAACCCAGGAACCACCTTGGGGCACTCCGAGAATCGGCGGCCCGCCCGGAGGCGACGGCGGCCCTTCTTGCGCGGATCGGCGGCCCCTTTTCCGCGGAAAAATCGCGCGCGGGCGCGATTTTTTCGCGAAAAAAGTGAAAAAAAAACAGCCCCGAAACCACTACTGCCACAGCAGTAGCAGTAGCCCGAAGCATCACTGAAGCAAACAGCATAGTGCCACTTTTGGAAATTTTAAAATTTTTGAAATTCTGAAGAATTTTCTGAAAATGATGGAGCACCATCATAATCTGACAAGAAAGACAACCTATTTTCTATAAATAAAGAGCAAGCGCCTCCACAACAAGGCACTCCACTGCTGAACTCCGAAAAAACGCAAAAAGTCCATTTTTTCAAAAGTGCGCGACTTTTCATATGTCCTTCAAAATTCGCAGAAATCACATGCTAGGTTAGAAATTAGCAAAGGAACTGCGAGAATTAGCCAACCACTTAAGTAAAAGAGTGCCAAGCTTGGAAATTTCGTCGATTTTGCATGACCGGAATTTTTCAGGATTTTTTGAGAATTTCTAAAACTAGTGAAAAATCTGGCACATGCCACATTTTGTGCATATGCTACCTTCTGTATAGGAAAAACATACAAACATCATTGCTATCACTCTTTGTAAATTGCATTTTGTTGCATAATTTTTAAGCAGGAACTTTTTGAAAATTTTTCAATTTCGAAAAAATATCCACTATCACTTAGTAGATGCACTAACTGAGTGGAAAGTATGCAAATGAAACAGAAAAAATACTATTTTTTCTTGTATAGAGGTCATTTAATCGATACATCTGCAATTCTGCGACATTTTGAAAATTTTGAATTTTTTTTTTACCCTTAAAAAATTAATGCTATGTGGCCATAGTGGTAGAAAAAAGCTTTGTAATGTGTTCGGAGGTGTATTTGTATCATATAGGAATACTTTTGTCCAATAGTATTTAAAATATGCCACTGCTGCTGCTAACAGAGCCTCCAATTTGGATTCCTGGGCCGTGAGCTTCTCTTTTTCCTCTACATTGCCCCCTCCCCCCCCCCCTCCTAGTACTGCCCACTCCCCCTGGAAGAGAGACGCCCTGTCATGCCCTGGAGGAGGCATGCCCCCCCTCCAGCCCGACCGGACGCCGCGCCCGTCGCAGTAGGGCCCCCCTTTGCCTCCTGTTCCATGCTGTACTGTGACCGGAGTTCCGCCCTCGCGGGTGCGTTTTTTATCGCGAGGTCACCCATCGGGGCGCACGTTATCAAGGGGATGCTTTGTCTTGCCGGGCATTCGTCGTGGACCCGCGCGGGCTGTGTAACAAATCGCATGCGCTTCGGCGTCTTTTTTCCGGAGCAGCATCCCCGTCCGCTGCGATTACGGGCCGCCGGGCCGCGCTCGCCTTGGCCCGTTCCGTTCTAAGCTTCTACGCTTTCCCGGGCTGGTGCAACGGCGCAAAGCATTGCGAAATGCCTTCCACCCGCCCGAGACTTCGCGCAAGGTCGCCGTCGGCAATTTTCCTAGAGCGACGCTGGTACGGCAAGCACCCAAGGCACCGGGCCGCGGAGGTGCGGGCAGAGAAGAACCGCACCAAAAACGGCCCACGCAAGCCTCGCGACAGAAGCAGGCCGGGCCTGCCGGACGGAAGAGTGCAGCGCGGCGGCGGCCAACCCGGCCGCTGCAATAACATTCCTGCGGGCCGCACCGCTTCGCTTTTCCATCGGGGGTGGGTTGTTTTCCGCCCCACCCGCGCCCGCACCGATGCCAGTGGGCGTACGCAAGAGTGAAACGGCCCGGCAACGCGGGGGGGCCTATCGATGTTACACAGAATCTCCCCTGCCGGGAAAAGACGGGCGCGGGGGAAAGACGGTCCGGCCGCGTCAAGTTGCATGGGAGTGCCAGGGGGGTGCGCATCCTCTGGCCTTACGCACATGTGTTCGCAGAAAGGGAACCCATGCTCGAGGTTGCATGTCGCTGTTCTGTTCCAAAAGAAGAACGTTAATCATCAGAGACGTACGAAAAATGAAAAGCGTTGTGATCTTGTGCGTGCGACGGAACTCTTCAGATCAAAGCCACACACAAGGCTATCCTCTGGAGGAATGGTTTGATTTCCCTTTTTTTGAAGCGATCCTCGTCTCACTTTTTATTTACTCCGATCGTCAGGTATCGGGGGACTGGCACAGCAAGAAGCCTGTGGACCTCTTCACGGTGACCGTCGGTCGTCGCGCCAGCAGCGCCACGCACTACATCCCGGAGACGCAGCACAGCATGCTGGACCTGATGGAGCGCATTTTGAAGGACCCGAACGACGAGAAGCTCGCCTCGAAATTCAACAAGATCCGAAGTGTGCCGAACATGCAGCAGCAGCTGCGCGGGTAGGAGCAGGTTATGGGGATGAAAAATAGCCAGTCTGTGTAAACAAACTTTTTCCCACGGTTCATCGCGAAGGATGGGGAACTGCATACGCAAGAATTTTGAAGGTTTTGCAAATACTGTCCTTGCCTGGCACTCAAATGTGCCCGCGCACTGTAGGCATGAGTTGCTTCATTGATTCATTTTTTTCTTCACACCCATTAAATGACAGGAATGTTCTAGTCGTAAATAAAAACCAGCAAAAATGGAAAAATAAACCAGCAAGGATGAATGAACGAGACCAAGTGAGTATTTTTGCGAAGCGAGTTTCACAAAAAAATCTTTTGAAAGTTACTAGCTGCATCACTGTGGTTCCGGATTTGAAAATTGTAAACACGCCAGAAAGGCGGGTTCTGACTTTTTCCTCAACCCCCTGAACGATGTGTTCGTCTAGCTTAAATGTGTCCGAACCTTTTCTGCAAAATGATATTAATTTCAGTGATCCGCACAACTGCCGGTGCTCCTATTCGGTTTCGCGTCTTTGCATGGAATTTTTCTCAGCACCCTTCGAGCATGGTTACGGTGTGCGCGCTTCTAGAAAGAATAAACTAAACACGAATCATTTTGCGCACACCTACTTACGATGATGTGGTCCTTACAATAATTACTTCGAAAGTCAAAACCGCCATGCGCTCCAGCCTTTTGCTCGATCTCCACGTCATTGCTGCCACTTTTCTGCGACGAGAGCATGTCGGACAGCACCGGGGGACAGTCGCTAGAACGCAACACGAACAATGACCCGGAGACCGGAAATTCGTGGCACCAAGCAGAAACCGCAACAGGCGATGATGACGAGGACGAGTGGGGCGCCTTCGGGCAATTCCAGCAACCGGAGCTGCAAGAGAACCACCTTGATTTTTTCGCAAACAATGACACGGCAACGCAGCAACAGCAGCAGTTTTTTGCTCCTCCCGCCACCGCTGCTGCCACTGTCATTGCACCGATTGGCACCACTGCTGTTGAACAACCAACCTCGCCAGATCTGTTTTTCCAGCCGCAAGACCCGGGGGGCACAACAGGGGGGTCGGTGCAGGACTTCGGGATCGCACCGTCGGTTCCGGCGCAGCTCACTCCCGTGCTAGAAAGCGGGAACACTACCGGGCCGTTTGTCGATTTCACAGGAAATGACGACTCCGGCAGCACACGGCAGCCCGTTCTCGCGGGCGGAGAGGAAACGCCGCAAGAACCGGGGCAGGGCGCTTTCCCGCCCGGGAATGAGGGACGCTTGTTCCCGGCGGATCCGTTTTTCGGACAGGAATCTGCGGGAGGGACGACCGCGGCAGCGAACTCCGGCCGGTCGGCGTCGCTCGGAGAAGCGCCCTTCTTCAACACAATGGACCCCGAAGACACGGCTTCGTCCCCAACTCTGCCCGCAACTACCGGCGGAAACACGCAATTAGCCGTAACCCCAATATTAACCATGAATACAAGCAATGGCGGAGGTTTCGATGACTTCAGTAGCCTGGGAGCTGCACCGTGCGGTCCAGCACCGGGAAATTACAGCCAGGTAGATCCATTTCAACCGCACCAGCAGCAAAGTAGTAGCAGCAGTCGAACAGGAAACGCCGACGCACAGGATTTTTTCTTCACAACCGGCGGCGCGCCCGTGCCAGCAGAACAGCCGGCGTCTTTCGGGTCGGATAACTTCGGTGATTTCTTCGGCGGGCAGCGCAATGACAACGACCCGGGGGCAACGTCGCAAATGCCGCCGCCGTCGCACTCCACTGAAGATCCGGGGGCGCCGTTGGAGCGGCCAATGTTTGGCGACTTCGCGGAAGGTGGAAGCAGCAGCTCGTCCGAGGGTCTGCAACTCGGTTCCGGTACGGTGCAGCAACTAGCCGCGTCTGCGGGAAGTTCGGGCGCGCCTCCGCAAGTTGCCGTTGGGGTGGATGATGTTGACTCGGGACGACCCGCGACTCCGGTGGACGAGCAGCAAAGAAGACAAAACAACCGAGCAGGAGAGGAACATCAAGATTTCATCTTCCACACCGCAACGCAGCCAACCGCAAGCGAAGATCCGGGCGGCACAGAGCAGGACGGTCCTTTCCAGAATGCAACCGAACCTCCTCCCGGCGCGCGCGAGGACCCCGGTGGCACGCAGCAAAACTTTCCCTTGTTTCCAAACCCGCAGGAACAACCCGGCGCGAGCGACGATCCCGGTGGCACGCAGTCGCATGCACCGCCACCCGTTACCCTGCCGTTGCTGGGGACCGGAGGGTCGGCGGGCGACACCGGCAATTCGCTTGCACCTGCGGAAATAGGTGGAGCGCGAACGCCGGACGACCCATTTGCTGCACTGGCCCCGCGAGATATGAATGTACTTTTTACTCGTGAGAGCAGATGAAAGGCGTTCTTTCACTTTTGCTTTTGGCGTGATGTCATGGTAACTTTTAGCAGTTGTACTAGAGTGGACGAGAATATGATCTTACTCATAGATACATAAGAAAAAATCAAATAATTCAATCAGGTCACGACAACTACAGCCCCCGGTGAACTGTCTACCGGCGGTTCAGGGCACGGCGAAACTGGCGAGACGGGATTCTCCTTTCCAGCCCCGATTGGGGAGGAGGGGACGGGCGGTGGCGGCAGCGTTGGGGGGCCCGCCGATAGCAGTGGCGATGAGTTTTTGGAGGCCCAAAGACCTCCTGCCGCAGGCCACCAAGATGCAAATCGACACCAAATCCCTGACCCTTTTGCGCAGGCTATGGCCGCAACGGGCGGCGACGGCAGCCGAGGCGCCGCACCGGTAACAGCCCCTACGCAGGAATCCACGGGCGGAGCACAAGAGGGTCAGGATGTTCTCTTCACACACGCGGACGCAACGACCGGCGGGTCGCACGAGACCGCGGAGAGTACGCCGCAGAACAACATGTTCAACTCTAACACGTCGAGTAGTTCGTCCATCGATCTGCTGATTGAAACCCAGCACGCCGCCCGCGTCGAGCAGTTCCAGTCCCACGCATCAGTGGAGTACGACTTTCCTCCGAGATCGTCCAGCCAGGGTGACCAGGGCTCGACCGATCTGACGCCAATAGTAGAAACAGGGACGGGACCTGCATCAAGCTCCAGTTCGGTGGTGAACGTTCAAGCCCCGTTATATTCGCCGCGCCGCGACTTGGAGTTAATGCAGCAGCATCCGCATCAAATAGATCCCGGCGGCATAGGCACCAATCAGATGTCAACGGCATCAACGGCGGCAACTTTGCTCCAAGCGACAACCTCGGTAGATTCGTCCGGCCAATCGTTTTTGCAAGATCCAGGGCCCCCCGGCACTGCGACAAGCACGCAAACGATGCAAGAACCGGACTTCTCCTTGCTCGCCGGCGATTCGGGCAGCAGCAGGAAAGCGTCAAAGCCGTTGTTCACCCCCGGCCCCTCCACCGATGACGATCCAATAACGGTAGACGACAGCAAGAAAGCGGATTTCGGTTCTCTCCTCGCAAAGATCGAGAACACAAACCTGAATTCGCCGTTGCACCGGGCGAATCTGCTCGGACATCATCACACGGAAGACTCACCGAAGGGGAGCGGGAAAGGCAGCGGGAAGGAGTCTGGGTCACAAGGAACTTCCGCTAGCTATGTGAAGGTAGAAGATGACTTTTTCTTCGAACAATCAGCGGCTACCAGTACCAAAGGTGGCGCGGTTGGGACAAGAACAGAGACCGCAGAAGAGCACGCAGACAACTACACCGGGCGCGACGGTTTCGTGGACTTTGAGCCCCCTTCTACAGCGCCGGCAGAACTGGCAGTTTCCGCCACCGCTTCGTCTTCAGGCGACGACGATGGTTTTAAGAAAGTGGAAACGGATGAAAGTAGTGCACCAGATACAACTTTTGCCACAGGTGGTCCACTGCCAAAAGACCCAGTCACCGCCGCGAAAAACAAGGTCGAGGATGATCTTTTCGCTGCCGCAGTGGTCCCGCAACTACCTCCACCCGGTGCAGCTCCTGCGCAGAAAGACGATTTCTTCGGTGAGAGTTCTTCCGTGTCGAAAGGAACGAGTAAGATCGCAGCACAAAATGAGGATCCGTTCGGCGATCTCGCAAAACCGCCTGCAAAACAATCCGCAGAGCAGCCAACGAGCTTTGGCGAGTTTGGCGCTGCGACACCAGCATCAAATGCGGTCTCGGATAGCGATGCTTTCGGCAGTTTTGCAGCGCCGGTGGCCGCAGAAGCAGGGGCGGAAGAAGGGAAAGATGACTTTGGCGAGTTCGGAACGGCAGCTATCATAGAGGATGAAGCCTCAGCGGCGAGCAAGGACGCGACCGAGGACGAAGCGGTTGCAGTAGTGGAAAAACCTTCACTTCCTCCGGAAACTACAGGTTTCGACACCATTGCCAGCTCAAAAGAAAGCAGCTCTGGCCGCCCACCGGACCTTGCGCTTGGGGGTGCTGTACAACAAGCAGCGCTTGTCGATAGCGAAGAGGACGCAACTAAGTCCAGCGACGTGCCGAAACGAGAACCTCCGCCCGAGGTAGCAAATGCGACTGATGATGATGGCTTCAGTGGGTTTGCAAAGCCACCCGCTGAACCAGCAGAGAGTAAAGAAGCCAGCAGCTCAGTTAGCAGCGTGTCCAAACCGCCCGCCGCCGACGATGGTTTCGGCGATTTTTCAAAACCTGTGGCCGACGACGCTTTCGGCGATTTTTCCAAGCCCCCACCCGCTGACGGATTTGGCGACTTCTCGAAGCCGCTAGACGAGGACGGCTTCGGGGACTTTTCGTCGAAACCAACTGATGACGACGACGACGACGGCTTCGGTGACTTTGCGCAGCCAACCGATGGCGACGACGATGACGGCTTTGGTGATTTTGCACCAGCACCCACGAGCGCGCCACCAGAGGATTTCGGTGGGTTTGCCGTCGCGAGCAGTAAGCGCGGTTTTTTTGCTCTGCATTTCACTGAACATCAGGGAGTTTGTTGTTGACACTACGTTGTGTACTTCACGCGTCGCTGAGCTGTCGTCGATTTTATTCCTCGCAAAAACTTGTACCTTCCTAAATCATCGCAATGTAAAAACCGTTTGATAAAAAAACAGGCTCGAGTAAAGGCCCGACGTCTATTTCCGCACCCGAGGCGTCAATGCAAGAGGCTGCGGAGAAACCGTCGCCACGGCTTAGGCTAAAGGTATACTGGTGATGAATTCAGGCGAGGTTCTATCTAGTGCTGCTTCCACTGCAATTCCAAAATGAATCTTCGATATTCAGCTTAGAGAAAAGTGGTGGTCTTGTTCAGAATCGTTTTCTACTCACACACGCTCAACAGGTCGCTCCTGACCCGCAGCAGCCTGCGCCCGCTCTGAGCGCGTTTGCACTTCCCAAACCCCCCTCCCCACAAGTACCCAAACTGCTCGCTCCCCCGACCGCAGTAAACCCACTTGGCGACCTGTACAGATCGAATGCGGCATCCTCCTTCAACCCGCCGCCACGGAAAAACAGCATGGATGAGTTCTTATCTTCCACCGGCCCGAGCGCTGGTTTTGCACCAGCAGCATCCCCAGCTGAAGGTGCGGGAAACGAACCAAAGGACGGGAGGCTTACGGACGCGCAGATCCGGGAGTTTCTAGATTCTTTGCCAGACCTGTCGTGGATGAATGCCACTTCGCTGCGGTTTCCATGACAAGGTGTTTTTTTGGTCAATGCTTGCTCACCGACAAAAGTTATCTGAATAGTACAAAGCGACTGTCAACACCTGACAACATTCAACATGATTTTTCACTTATCAATCACAATGAAATAGCATCCGGTCGGACGGAATTTTCGCACGTGCGGTTTTGTCTGACATATGCTATGGATGTACATCACAAGCGCAGAGAATTTTTGAAAATGCGATTACTAGACGCTAAAAAGCAGCACGGGCCCGCTCCAAAGAAGGCAGACACGACATCATGATACGCAATGATGTTCACTCGGTGTGCCCACAGCAAGGCAAGTCGGTCCCAGATACCGCTTTTATGCACAGATGCCAAGCGAAGTGAAAGATCCGCTCAGCTACGATCCGCAAATGCCAGCAAGCTATCAAGGATCACGGCGCCAACGGATGCGCAGACAGATCTCTTTTTCTAACACTAGAGCCAAAGGCCTCTGGTTCTGCTGAAGGGACTAACTTCGAATAAATAGCTCTCACTTCTATCTAGCTACGAGTTTTTGTCTACTTTTCAGAAGCAACTCAGTCTTGTTTTCAAGTCATCGCACCGTTGTGCTAACTGTGTAAAACAACTAGGTACGTACCTAATTTGTGTTTTTGTGTAGGGTTCATATTTGAGTATAGTAACTAAAAAGCTGCTACGCCCACGCCCGAGTTTGAGTAAAGTAAAATCAGAATTGTCACTTAGGACATATAAACCTTTTGAAGAATTTCCCCCATTGTCTCTGAGAAGCTTTGTACCCCAAGATGGCGACAGGTGGTCACAAGGAGATGTCTCCGCGGAGCGCATACTTCATGCAGCTGCGCCGCGCGAGTCAAACATTCGAATCGGGAGGTGAAGTTGGCCAAGCCAGCATCATCTTGACGAAAGACATGTCCCAATTGGCGCACTTCCCGACCGGGGAAGAGGCTCAGGTAGGGGACGCTATTTTCACTTCTTTCAAAATTTGCCCTGCACTTTCTGGCATTGACGTACTTACTCGCCCGGCTAAGTTTTTGTTGCTGCTAGCGCAATCACAAGGACAACTGAACCACCTACACAGGATAGCGTCATGCGCAAGTCGAAAATCGTTTGTACCATGGGCCCGAAATGCTGGGACGCTGCAACTTTGGTGAAGCTGATTGACGCTGGTATGAACATCGCACGCCTGAACTTCAGTCATGGGGATCACAAGGTATATAGACTTGGTACTAGACACATGTCTACTTCAAATTTGTTTCATTTCCGACACCTGACACGATGATAAATAGGCTTGACCAGCAGCGCCAAATCGCTTTTTCTACTTCGCGAACAGACCCACAGCGACACCGTCGCGCGCATTCGGGAAGCAAACAAGGCCCGGCCAGAGAAGTACGTGGCAGTTATGCTGGATACCAAGGGCCCGGAAATCCGCACCGGCTTCCTGAAGGACAAGAACGGCGTGCAGCTTGTCGCCGGAAACTCTATCGTGCTCGACACAAGCGAGGATTATGATTCCTATCTCGGGGACGAAACGAAGATATGCGTCACGTATAAGGCCTTGACAACGTCCGTAAAGCCGGGCAACATCATCCTCTGTGCGGACGGAGTGATCAACCTCAAGGTTGAGCAAATCCTCCCCAATGGAGTCTCGGTAAGATGTTTTTCAAGATGTTCCGTTAGTTGGCCTCGTCAATGTATGGTGGTGCCTACAGATGTAGTCTTGATTGATATGCCGTTGTCTGATAGATTGCATAGCTGTCCCATTCATCGCATGGAAAAATGAAAAACTATCAAAACAGTGCACCATCCTGAACAACGCCAAACTTGGGGAGCGGAAGAACGTAAACCTTCCCGGTGTGTACGTCGATCTCCCGGTCCTGCAGGAAAAGGACAGAGAAGACATCCTGAAATTCGGAATCCCGCACGGAATCGATTTCGTCGCTGCCAGGTACGATATGCTTGATCGAACAAACTCGCTTGTCGTGGTCGAGTTGAAATTGCAGATTTTATCTATAAAAATTCTGTAAAATACAAAAAATACGAAAACAGTTTCGTCCAGAACGCGGCCGACGTGAAGATGATCCGCGAGACGCTTGGCCTCCGCGGTCGCGGCGTGAAAATTATTTCCAAAATCGAAAACGAGGAGGGTCTGAAGAACTTCGACGAGATCCTCACCGTCACCGATGCCGTGATGGTGGCGCGGGGCGATCTTGGTATGGAGATCCCGCCGGAGAAGGTGTTCCTGGCACAGAAGATGATGATTGCGAAGTGCAATCTGGCGGGGAAGCCGGTCATCACTGCCACGCAGATGATGGAATCCTGCATCGCCAACCCGCGACCAACCCGGGCGGAGGCCAGTGACGTCGCCAACGCCGTGTTAGACGGAACCGATTGCGTCATGTTGTCCGGAGAAACCGCGAATGGCGCTTTCCCCTCCGAAACCGTGCAGACCATGCGGAGAATCTGCGAGGAGGCTGAGAAAGTCATCGACTACGGATCGCTCTTCATGGGACTGCGCAAAGGCGTTATGGAGCGTACAAAGATTGATGTGATTTCTTTCTGATTTTTGTGCTGGAAGACTGGCTTGTGTTTAAAATGCTGCATTTCTTTGAGGGTCGCAAAACACTGCGGCTAAGTCGTTCGCGAAGCCCCTGAGTGCTTCGCTTAAGTGCTTCGCTTAAGTGCTTCGCTTAAGTGCTTCGCTTAAGTGCTTCGCTTAAGTGCTTCGCTTAAGTGCTTCGCTTAAGTGCTTCGCTTAAGTGCTTCGCTTAAGTGCTTCGCTTAAGTAGTGCTTCGCCTAAGTAGTGCTTCGCTTAAGTAGTGCTTCCCTTAAGTAGTGCTTCGCTTAGGTAGCGCCTCGCTTAAGTAGTGCCTCGCTTAGGTAGTGCCTCGCTTAGGTAGTGCCTCGCTTATGTGCTTCGGTTATGTTGTAGTTCTGCGCTGCTGCCTCGCTTATGTGCTTCGCTTATGTAGTTCTGCGCTGCTTAAGTAGGCTTGGCTTCGCTGAGGTAGTGCGTCGCTTAAGTAGTGCCTCGCTTAAGTAGTGCCTCGCTTAAGTAGTGCTTTGCCTAAGTAGTGCTTCTCGCTTAAGTGCCTCGCTTAAGTGCCTCGCTTAAGTGCTTCGCTTAAGTGCTTCGCTTAAGTGCTTCGCGCGTAAGTGCTTCGCTTTTAAGTGCTTCGCTTTTAAGTGCTTCGCTTTTAAGTGCTTCGCCTAAGTGGAGTCTCCCTTCAGTAGTGCCGCGCTTAAGTAGTGCGGCAGCGGCTTTTAAGTAGTTCCCAAGTAGTGCAGCTTCAAGTAGTTCCTAAGTAGTGCGGCTTTAAGTAGTTCCTAAGTAGTGCGGCTTTAAGTAGTTCCTAAGTGGTGCGGCTGTTAAGTAGTTCCTTATGCGTTTCGCTTATGCGTTTCGCTTATGCGTTTCGCAGAAGCAAATGCTTCGCCTGACTGCTAGCTTGGCTATGTCAAACAAAAAACTAAAACTACAGACTCCAACAACATGGATACCGTTGAGGCAGTTTGCTGCTCTGCCGTGCGAACAGCCATCGACATGTATCAACTGCAAAAGTGTCTGGGTCTGGAAAGATTCGAATTTGTGATGCCAAGTCTACATCATGATAAAATCTGTCATGCATGGCTAGCAAAAAGCCTCATTTTTTGTTTCGGAGAGAGAGGATTTGTCATGCGGATTAGGCATTGGGATAAGTGCTCAAAATCTGTGATGCTAGAGCTCGCATGCCAGACGATCTGGGTCAGGCAAAAACTGCATGACAGATCTCGCATTCTTCCAGACCCAGACATTTTTGCAATCCATAACATGAACTCACCGCTGATTTTGGCGCTTACCGAGACTGGGCAGACCGCACGGATGGTTGCGAAGTACCGACCCCCGCAGGTAAAGAGGATATGGATTTGCATCATTACTTCATGTTAAGTTACAGTTTGCGTTGCAGCGCACGTAAAGTCACGCAGGCTGGTCATCAAGGAAGATCTGCAAATGTCCAACATTCTGAATCAAACAGCCCATCATCGCTGTCACCGCTTCGGAAACCACCGCGAGGCAGCTGCAGTGCGTGCGCGGCGTGATCGTCATGTTGACGGCCTCTTTCCAGGGGACAGAGTCGGTTTTGCGCAAGGCCTTGGACAAGGCAAAGGAGCTGGACATCGTGAATAAGGGCGACAGCATCGTCGCTGTGCACGGGCAGAAGGAAGAGTGTGCGGGCCAGAGCAACTTGATGAAGGTCTTGCCAGTGCCGTAAATAGTTACTAACGCAGCAAATAGTATTGTGCTGTGTGAAGGTCGTTGGCGGCGGGAGAAAGAAGAAAACCATCAAACTGTTCCTCTTATATCCGAGGGTCTCTTGCCGTAGATACATGCCGTAAACTGTGCATTTGCAAGAGCCTTCACCAGGGAGTCACTGACCAGAGGAGTGCAGTATGCGCTCCAGTTTCAATCATAGCTTTTCCAACTCTTGAAAGAGGATAGTTTGCAACGCCAAATTTTCCCGGTGCGAAGAGGACATCGCAAGACAACGGCTAGAGATGATTTTCCCCCGTCAATTATCGCAATGTCAAAGAACAAATCGTCAGAACCCAAAAAGATCTTATCGTGTAAACATCGCAACAAGGTGGTTAGAATTGGTTTATCGTCATGACGTGTATGGAGCATAAAAATGTCTTTTCAATCGTAGAAGCACAAGAAGCGCTACCCCATGAGTACTTGAACCTTCATATACCCGGAGTGCTCACGACCCGAGCACAGACCTCCAAATGTACTGTATCGCAGTGAATAACCAAAAGGAGTAGAGAACAAGTAGAAAAGAAAACAGCACGACGCAGCAGGAAAAGCGACATCTATACAAGCGCAATCTGGTCCAACTAGCAGCCGTGTTCGTCTTGCTGCCGATTTTGCGCTGTTACATTTTTCGGGATACGGAACCGCGCAGGGGATGAGGTTTGATGAGGCCAAGGAGAGACATGCTAAAATCTTGCTGCAATACGCGAAAGTTCATGCTGCTTCTATCATCCGAGTGAAGGTTTTGAGCGAACCCGAGGGAGATCTAGTCTACACACGCAACCAAGAACTGCACTCAGCTCAGACAAGATGGACCAAACGCTTCTCCCGCCGGCTACGCAAAACAACGACGGTATTGGGGATACGGTTTTGCCCGGAGGAGGAGCAACTCAGCCCTCCGGCGACCAGATCGCGGACACAAAGCTTCCGGTCCAAAATACGAATGTCGAGCAAACGCAGCTTGCCCAGACGCAGTTCGGCGGAGCTGCGGGATCTTCCGGGGACACGCCACCGGCATCAACAACCGTGGATCAGACGCAATTCGGTGCGGGGAATAATGCCATGGCGACTCAGTTTGCAACAGGTGCCGCTGCCACCGCGAATGATCAAACCCAATTTGTCACTGGACAGCAGCAAACACAGCTGGACAACACGGTGATGATGGGAACTACGCAGCGGCCGCAGGAAATGACAAGTTTGGACGGCACTCCGAATCCCGGGGGCGGCGGAAACGTCCACTACACTTCGGAGATGGCGGAGTGGGCCTTTGAGCCCATGCTTTACGTGATTACGGCTGTAGGCTGCTTCCTGTCGCTGCTGGTTCCCTTGCTGGTGGTGTCCTATCGGATTTCGGACGGGTACAGAGCGCGCAAATTTGTTCCTACTTCTCATCGGCTTTTCTACATGATATCTGGCAGCAGGAGTCAGTCGTTTTTGCACAGAATCAATTATTGAAAAGCCCACCACAGATTCACCCTCTTCTTCCTGTCCCTCTGGTTCCTGCTGATCACCTTCGCGTCTCTCCCGGTTGCCACGTGGGAATCCGTCCGGCCGTTGTCGCAAGCGGAAATAGGAACCGTGATTTTCAACCCGGTCACCGCGAAGGACCAGGATTTGTTCCTCCAGTACGTTCGGCGGGATCTACTGTTGTTCGTGACTTGGCTGGCGGTCTTCACGGTGTGTTGCCTTTTGGTCGTCGAGTACCCCATCCTGTCCCGAGCGATACTGTTTGTCACCGTATCGCTCGCTGCGTATTTCTACGGCATGACGGAACTCCTGCTGAACAAATTTTCCAATCACCCGAGAAGAACGCTGTTTCACGGACCGGGGGTGCCAAGTTGGCTAGTACCAGACGCGTTTCTGGAATCCAAGATTGTGCGGAGCTCGTACTGTTCAGTTTCGGAGTTTTGTCATGCGGTTTATGGAACAAACGGAAACGAGAAAAAGAAGTCTTAATTTGGTGCGGTGCAGAAGGGCATAAAATTAGAACTGGCGTCAACCTTGCATAATTTGAATAGCTGCCCCACATCCATAATCACTACAGGTACGACTTCACCCGCTTTGGCTTGTGTATCTTTTTCTTCACCTCCGGCATCCTTTTTGGTGATTACAACCGCGAGCGGAGCTCTGGACCGTACTCCGTTCTTTCCACTGGGGCTTTCTACGGCTACGTCTCGGATAACGCAAGCGACAAGTGGGACGGGACGCAGTTTTCTTTTTCGGCGGAAACAAAAGTCGACACCTTCCGCTCCATTGGATACAGAGACGCTGGCTCCAGCTACTGCGTCGCCCCCGTACTAGAATCGGCGGAGACGAAGAGACCGCAGTACATGTGGGCGGTCGGGAAAAACTGTTGCTTAGCCAAGGGCGATTTCTGGTGCACGGCGGAAAGAGGGTATGACCTCCTCGAGTCCGATGACGACGCGCTGGAAGCGGGGGACGCTCTACCGTCAACCATAGCCTGGAAGGAGGCGAGCGGGAAGCAGCAGGCGGTCCGCGCGGTCGTAAGCGACGCCGATAACATCGCTTTCATGAAAGCGGTAAGAGCCGCGGTAGCAGCGTACGCGTTTCCGTCGCCGCCAGACGAAGATACAGTGAAACTGGTCATGTGGACCAAGGTAAATGTTTTGTTGTCAACATATTTTGCACAATGCTCCACCCTGATTTTGTAGTGCTCGTCAGATTTCGGGTTTGTGATGTATACGCGATTTTATCGAAAACAAAACCAGAGCAACGACGACGTCATCAGCTCATTGAAGAGCCGGGGCGGAAAGTTCGTGCTTTTCACTCTTCTCTTCGCGCTCTTTGCCGGTTGCGTCTTTGCTCTAGCACCCGGAGCGGGCATAACGAGGAAGGTAAAGATAGTAGGCAGGGTGGAAAGGAAACGAACTGGAGAGCCAGCACAAATCGGCAGGCTGAACATGAGAAAATAAGGAACAACAAAAATACACTGCTGTTTTCCACGTCCTCACAAGGCGTTGCGCTAATGTGTTAGAAGAAACGTCTACCGTTGTCTTCGCAGACCCTGACTGTATGAGTCGCGTTCACACAAAATGCCTTATTTCATCTTCTCTTAAAGGGAGAGGGACTGAATTCGAATTGGATACAGCTGCAAGTATACAAAAAAGGCGCAAGCTCGTTTCGTTCCGTAAACACACCTCGGGGGTACGAGTGAAAATGAGAGAACTGCGGGTCGTGGTCTTCGGAACGAAAGGATTATCACTATAGGTGCCCAGGGTCGTGGCGCAAAAAAGTATATATGATAAATTGAATCACCTGTTACAAATCCAATTCGAAAACCATCTCCATCTTGTTCAAAAACAAAATTGAAAACAATTCTCCCGTTTCAGAACCAGTATTGATTGAAAGAGGAGGACCACTTTTTTGTGCTTCTCAACGCAAACAATTCGCGAACATGCACGCCTTCGAGACGTTTCTGGGGGGGGGAATTCTCCTCCTCTTGCTCGAGCTGTTGATGATCGCGGTCGTCGCCTACAAAAACGAAGCCGGAAAAACTTCTTCCACCGAGATCGCGGCAGATGCCGAATTCAGCGAACCGGTGGGAGAGGAAAACGAAGGGAAGGCATTTTTCGAGCAGGAGCACGTCGAGCAGCAGCCGTGTCCTCAGGACAAGGAGAAAGTTGACTACTTGGCAAGAAAGTGCCGCGTTCCGTACGACAAGGATGCGGGAGTCTGTGCATGCGAACAGCAGCTCACGGAAGTCACGTTCCAGGGCAACAAACAGCAGAAGTGCCGGTGGGGTTGCAAGGAACTAAAAAGCGACACGTTCGGGTGCTTTGGAAACCAATACAGTGGAGTGGTGGAGTGCACGTCGACCGAGAAAACGCAAAAGGCAGCGGAAGACCTGCCAGAGTCTACTACTTGAATTGTCCTCGCTAAAAGGTGCTCGCGCGATGTGGTGGTCACTCCATTCGTGCTCGAGTGTGAAGCCTTTGATAGAAGTGGATAGCACATCGTAGGTACGTTCTACGAGAAGCCAGAAGCTTCGGCAAAAAAAGATGAGTACAACAGCGCGCCGACGGTAAGAATGCGCGATGCTGTTTGCCACGTCCTCACAAGGCGTTGCGCTGCTGTGTGAGAAGAAACATCTGTTGATCTTTCCTGGAAGAGGAAGCGACGCGTGTACTTGCAAATTTGTAGCGCTCGTTGAATGGCAGAAGAAAAAAAATTCTGTAGAGTAGCGGCCCGTCGTATCACTCATTATTGCAACTCTCGCTTACAGCAGGTCGGTCAAGCAGAAAGGTGGAAAGAAAACTTGTGTGAGGCTGCTCACGATCTATTTGAGGAGTTGCTATCGGTGTTTCGGTTCAGGAAATTTCTGCCCTTTGATCAGAAAGAAGATACTGCGGTTCCGTCGTGTACTACAAAACTGCTCACATTTTATTTTCTTTGATTGTACTAACCGCTCCTGGGAGAGAACCTGGATATACAATGAATTGTCAGCGCCACCCTTGGTTTGTCTCTACATTTGATTTTTGTTTCCCTACTGAGCAAACATCCCCCAACGGCTATGCTTCCTTTCGCGCCACGATGTTAAGAGCCGTGAAATTAGTTGATGCCCACACCCATTTACACATGTGCCCGCTCGCTGTACAAGCTGCGACAGTCGAATCTTTTTCTCACCTCGCGGTCTGCGCAACTTCGCCCGGCGATTGGGAGACTGTGCTGGAGCTCGCAGAAGCGAGGAACCCCCAACAACAAGGCTGCAAAATAGTCCCCTACCTCGGTGTCCACCCATGGTGGGCGAAGCACAATTCGACGGAGCGCACCCTGGCCGACTTGCGACGCTTGCTGGAGCAGCACCCAAGACTGCAAGTCGGAGAAATCGGGCTGGACAAAATTCACGGGAAGAGGCGGAAAGACTTTCCAGCGCAGAAGGAGCTGTTCCGGAAGCAGCTTCTGCTCGCAGGCGAGTTTTCCCGGGGCGTGCAGGTGCACTGTGTGCAGAGTGGCGGCGGTATAGTGGAGGAATACGATGCGGTTGTCGCCTCCGGGTCACCAGGAGCGCAACTACTTCCTGTGTACACAATCTTGCATTCTTACATCCTCGGCCCGGATTTAGTGCCTCTGTTCCTGCAAAAGATCCCCAACGTTTACTTCTCCTTCGCCTATCACAACAAGCCAGAAGCAGTGGAGCGACTGCGGGCGACGCTGCGGAAAGTTCCCTTGGACAGAATACTCGTCGAGACCGACTCCCCCGCACAGACACCCGACGTGGTGCCAGTTGTTTCGGCAGAAGATGATAAGACACTAGAATTTTGCGAGGAGGTAGTAACATCGACGGAGAACGATGGGTCGTCCAGGTTTCAGTTTGTCACGAAGACGGCTTTACAGCCGGACGGATCAACGGTTTTACATTTCTGCCCATGCTGCGGCCCCAGCGGGCGGAGAGACAACAAGCCTGAGAACATACGTTTCGTACTGGAGCAGGTTGGAAGCATATTGGAAAAATCGGCAGCAGAAGTGGCCGAAATCGTTGCAAGAAACGCAGAGAGGATTTTCAGTGATGACCTATCAACTTCTAGCCCCGTGGATCGGGGAAAGACATAAATTACGAAGAGCTTTGCGCTGCAGAGTTCTTGTTCCCTACTGGATGCTAGTGCACCAGTTTTCGTCAGAGGCATGATGGTGTGTTCATCCGCTGGACATTTTATTTTTTGTCTGTATTTACGCGCGCCTTGATTCTTTGTTTTGTCTTGTACTGGTGGTGGGGAGGAAATGAATTCAAATAGAGATACATTACAGCAAACGAAATCGCGGGGAATTCTTTATCGTTTGGTCGTCCTGATGGATTTTTCAACAAGCTATAACTCGTCCTCTCTTTACTCATTTTTTGTTTTTGAACTTTTCACATCGGTTCTGTTTTCTGTTTTTGATGAGCGCATATGAGTATCCGCATGCTTCTGCTTTAGTCTGATAGCCCGGTAATGGTAAAGATAGCATTGCGGTGCCGGATGAAACATCAAGCGTGTAGGTGGTCGGTGGTTCTTTGGAGCTGCCTGCTTTTGCGACCAGCGGCCGCGCTACCAGAGGTTGCCGTCTGTCTTCGCGGCGTCCCGGGCTCCCGTCGGGCCTTGAAGCATTGGCACAAGTATGTCTGGCCCTCTCTTGGAGGGGAAGAGAATGTGGATCTGTTTCTCGTATCGCCGATCCAGAAGCAAGTTCTGCAGCGGCACCACTGCCTGGAGTTTCCAGAAGAAAAAGCCATCGAGAAGAGGTTCTACCTGTCGCTCCACGACGGGGAAGACGAGGCGACCACAGGGGGCTTGGAGGTGAAGAAAGATGAACTTGAGTCAGATACTAGTACAAAAAAGCTAGAGCCGCACTGCGAAAACCGTGCTATCCCCGTGAAAGACGCTTTTCTGCGCAACGACGTCGATATGGAGGCGTTTCACGACGAGCACACCCCCGCCTGGCGGGCCTATGCTTTTCCGCTCATGTTCGAAGCGGATTCGAAGCTGCTCGGGGGGCTTCCCTTCCCCGACTACGACCAATTGGCGTTTCAGGAGAACTACCAGGTGCTCCGGCAACCGACCCGCTGGCGGGATTTGTCGTGGAAGCTGGAGAAGCATGAGCGCAGCCACCGAACCTACCTGCGCCGGTACATCAAGGCGGCGCCGCAATTTTTCGACCTGTGGAAGTGCGAAGAAATCATTTCCAACTCGGAAGTGTATGCGAGGAATCACAAGAAATACAGTCATGTGCTTATTACAATGAAAAATCCCCTCACCCCCGAACCTGGGCGCATTTGTATTGCAAACCTTTGCAAATGAAACATTCGCCCTCTTGCATCTATCAGCATCACAGATTTCGAGTCGTGAATCGAAAAAAATTGTATTGCGCAAGATCCCAGCAAGAGCGGCGCTTGTCATGCGAGCAATGCGATATACGCCTAGACTCTGCATCAGAAAGATTCATAGTCCTTTCATGCATGACAAAAAGTTTTCATTTGGAAACTTTGCATCACAAATTATTGCAACTTGGGGGGTGAGGGCATTTCTCATTGTAATAGTGCTAATCTCGCGGATGGACTTGTTCTTCTTCGCGCCCCACGCGAACATATCAAATGTAAAAATGTCTGGGTCCTCTGGAAGAATGCAACTTGTGATGCTGCATTTAGATTCCAGAAAAATCTCTATTGCATGAGTACCAAAGGCAAGGCAATTTTTGCTACGCGGAGAGGGCATTTGTAATGCGGAATAGACATCAAGAAGCTCTCAAAAAATCTGTTGTGCTAGGGCATGCATCACAGACATCAGGGCTCATGCAAAACGTGCATGACAAGTGTCAGAATCTTCCAGACCCAGACACTTTTACATTTGATAGAACATCCTACCCGCGACGCGGGGCCTGACGTTCGCGAACTTGGGCTACGACTACGAAGAGCCCCGGATGGCCGCGATCCGGCCCTACCGGTACGGCTGTTTCATCCCGCGGGGAATGGACTGGGTCACGGGCGTGGCAGATTTGCTCGCTTTGTGCGACCGGAAAGCGGCGCGCGTGTACATGAAGGGGCGGCTCGATCTCTTGAAGCAACCCACGCAGTTTTTGGAGCTGGCGGACCTGGCAAGGAAGAGACGCGGCATCTACAACAGTGAGCTGTTTTTGGCAGATGCGTTGGAACTACACCAAGTACCGATTCAGCGGTACGAGGCGGCGTTTTTTCGGTCCTGCGCGGTGCCGGTGGACTTCGAGAAAGAGCTGTTTGTGAAGGAGTACGACGTGCTTTTGCTGAGTGAGGTGGAGGATTTGATGCTGGAAAAAGAAAGACTCAACCCAGTTAGTTCTACAAGCGAAGTCGCAGGAACAATCGATGTTGACTCTCCGTCGCCAGAATCTACCTCCAATCTGGAAGTGGAAGAGCAAGAACCTTCTGAAGCGAAAGCAACAGCAATGCGGAAGCAGCCTGCACAAGTAGAGAAGAAAAAAGTAGAAAAACCTACCGACCTCCAGACGACCATAGCGAACCGCAAAGGCTACAAGAATCGGTGCCGAGTTTGGAGCGAGTTGGGGGTGGCCGGAAAGTTTGAGGCTCCCCGGCCGCCGGAAAGCCGGGTGGAAAGAGCGCGGGACTTTTGGCACATTTATTTAGTACCGGGGAAGCTGCCGCACGAAGTTCTGGGGAAGATGAAACAGCAGCTGTTTCTGTGGAAGGAGCATCAAATTGTGCCTCAGTACATCTCCACGGCGAGGTTCGACGTCGACTCGCTGATCAGGCACTTCGCTTTCAACAACACCAAGGTGGCAAGCTATTTCGCGCACTTTTATCACGAGTTTCGGAAGTTTGCGGTGTTGGACAAGAAAAGCGGACAACCTTTGAAGGTGCAAGAGCTCGCTGCAACGACAACATCTACCTCATCGGCGTTGCTGGACGAGAGCAGCAGGAGGACTACAGATCATTCATCTATTCCGGAGGAGTCCTCAAATGAAGATCCTATAAAAATCGCTCTCGCCGGCCGTCGCACGCAGTGGAAGAAGTCCACTCTTCGACAGAGTATGCACAAACTCACGAGGAAGAAGGCGCCGAAATTTGACCAACATTCCCTGGAGAACATCACCCAGCGGCTGATGTACTGTGGCGCGGACGTGGGGGAGCGGTTTGAGCGTCATTTGCAGGTCGCGGCGCCGCACTTGGAACCGCAAGCGCGGTTCGAGCTAACCGGCTACCCGGGCGCGAGCACAAAGGGGCAAGCGCTTTACTTCGGACCGGCAAGGGAGGGCCAGCAACTGGTTTCGTATTTCTACGCAAACGCGATTGAGGTCAATATCAAGGCGGTGGTGTGGGACAACAACATTTTGCTGGAATTCGGGAAGGAGATGCTGCAAAGGTATTACGATGCCTTGCTCGAGGAAAAAGAAGGGCAAAAGAATGCTGTCGTAGAGCCTTCAACATCCGATATTGGAAATGGCACGGATGCAGCGACCGAACGAAAAGCCTTTGAGACCGCGCTGATCGGGTCGGGCACCAGTCAGGAGGTGATAGACAAAGTGCTCGCAAAAGGCGGAGATCTGGACACCCTGGTACAGGACCCGCGGACGTACATCAACGAAAGTCACTGGGACGGCAGGACCGGGAAACTGGTGCAAGACACCCGGATAACCGGCAGCAAGTACCGGGAAAAGGTTTTTGTGTCGCAGAAAATAACGGAGGAGGACAATGTGCTCCAGTCGCAACTGATGGGGCTGTGGGACTACTTGAAGTTGGCAACGACCGCAACGGATCGGGCAAAGAAAATAGCGGAACTGGGAAAATTGTTTCCTTTGTTTCACTTTCCAAGCACGAGATTTCACGTGTGAGATGCGATTCGCAGCAGGCTGGGCATGATGTCTGCGAACAGACTTCTGTATGCCTCTCTGTGTAAAAGTTCTTGATGTAGTTGCCACAGTGCGTCATCTAACTATGAGCAGCCGTATCTGCTGCCAAGTATTTCGATTATTGAAATGTGTAGAGCAAAAATCGAGGATGTTCTGAAAATGATCTCCGAAGATATCATTTGATCATGTGCGATCCTTCGTGAAGCTGCTGCTCCGATCAAATTATGCTGTTCGTTGAAAAGATCCTCCGAAGGTGTCGATCGTGAAAACAGTGCAAGAAATTCACGTTCTGATCAAAGTGAAACATCTCGATCCAGATCCTCATTCACATCTTCATCCGTGCAGGGCAAATCAATGGTACGTTTGAAAAGGAAGTTCTCCTCGAGTAGCTAGAAATTTTCACGACATCCGCATCGCGCTTTATACCAACTAACTATCTACCACGACCTACTTCTTCTTCTTCCTCCATCATTTTCTAAAAGCGACACAACTTATTTTCGAACAACATGGACGAATCCCTAGCCCACGTCCAGAAGGACCTGGAGCAGAAGGCGGAGGAAAATGAGAAGCCGAAGAAACAAAAATTTCGAAAGGATAAGCCGTGGGACACACCGGACATTGACAAGTGGAAAACAGAAAAGTTTACCCAGGACGACAACCCGTTTGGATTACTGGAGGAGTCTTCCTTCGCGACTTTGTTTCCGCAATATCGGGAACAATACCTGAAGCAGGTGTGGCCGGACGTAAAAGCGGCTTGCGATGAGCATGGTACTCCTACAATCGTGTTGGCTTTTTTGTATAACTGCAAATTCATCTCCATCTGCCACAGAGGTTTTTATGCATAGTTGTCATGCGTATTGAGAAGTGGTCGTGGTCGAGAGTACTAGAGCTCGTCGAATACTCACACGACAGCTGGAGCCTCACATATTATACCGCCTCAATTTTGATCCTAAACAGGCGTCCGCGCTGAGCTCGACCTGGTTGAAGGTTCCATGACGGTGCGGACGACGAAAAAAACTTTCGACCCCTTTATCATCATCAAGGCGCGCGATTTGATAAAACTTCTAGCAAGGTCCGTCCCGTTCCCGCAAGCGGTCCGAATCCTGGAGGACGATATGCACTGCGATGTGATGAAAATCAAGTCCTACGTAAGAAGCAAAGAAAAGTTCGTGAAGCGAAGGCAGCGACTCGTTGGGCCGAACGGGAGCACGTTGCGAGCGCTGGAGCTGCTCACGCAGTGCTACCTGCTTGTCCAAGGTAAAGTTTGTGATGCAGATGCAAAGGAATTCTCATTCTATAGATGGTGCTACTATTCCTGCGATTCCTATCATTTTCTGTCCTGGCTTTGTTCGCTGCATCAGAATCAATAGAGTCGTCGAAATCAGAAGCAAAATGTAACAAAACAGGTCAAACCTGCTGCATTATGGGCCCGTCGCAGCGGATTAAGCAGGTGCGTAAAATTGTGGAAGACTGCTTCAAGAACATCCACCCCGTATACCACGTTAAGGAGCTGATGATTAAGCAAGAGCTGGAAAAAGACCCGGATCTCAAAGACCAAGACTGGGACCGCTTCTTACCGAAGTTCAAAAAGCGAAACGTACTGGCGATACTTTTTAATGTTGCACGTGTAGAATTTGTTTTGCATGAGGAGTATGAATCGTGTTGAGCAGATTTATCTTCTTCGAAAGGCGTAATACTAATAGTGCTTGATTGACTCGCTCTCGCATATGAAGGATCACTTAACTTTTGCAATACAAATCTACGCCAAAACAACAGATCCAGACAAAGAAGCTGAAGAAGAAGGCGAAGAAGCAGAAGACTTTATTCCCGCCCGAGCAGACGCCGCGGAAAGAAGACTTGCAGATGGAATCCGGTGAGTACTTTCTCACAGAGCAGCAGCGGCAGAAGAAAAAGGACGACGAAAAGCGGGAGAAGCAAATCGAGAAGACGCTGGAGAGAAAACGGAAGCGCGCCGCGGCTTTCGAACCGAGCGAGGACCACCGAAGTGCAAAAGCGACAAGAAGTAAGGACGAGCAGGGCAGTGGTGCAGGTACTGCAGTTTCGGCGTCGTCTTCTAGACCTGCAGGAGTTCTTGTTTCTAGCGCGGCATCGAGTTCCTCTGCCGCTGCAGAAACCAGTGCAGGCAAGAAGAAGATGAAGAAAAAGCAGTCTGCTAGTAGTACGACGAGTGCAAGAACATCTTCTGTGACCGGCGCAGCTTCGTCCTCACAAACGAGCGAGCTGGCAACCAAGTTGAAATTGAAAAGTAAGAAGAGCAAAACCAAATCTTCCGCAACGAACTGTCTGCTCTAGCAGGACATCGTGCAGCTTTGCAGCGAACGACATTTGCTTCAAAAGTTAGAAGCTTGAACGCTTTTTGAGCGAAAATGAATAACATCATTATTAATGAACTGCAAAAGAAAAGTTGCCGCTTTGCCTCTGTGCTGTTCGCGATTCTCATGCAGATTTATACCGGTGACAGATGTAAAAAGAAGAACAAGTCGGTCTCTAGTATTTTTGCGAAGAACAAAGCGAGTCATGATCAATTTTTGAGCACTTGAAGAACTACACCGAGAGCCAGCAGCAAAACTCGATGGTCGGTCTTTTTTTTTCCACTCTGGCCTGAGCGGCTTCTGTTGATTTTTTTTTTTATTTGTGAAGCAGCAGGATCAGGACAAACACAAAGAAACTTTGCGATCACACTTAATACCCAAAAACAGGATTCAAGATCTTCCCCCTCTTTAGATAGTATCCGACTCATTTTAGAAAGTTCCCGCAGTTGCATCGTATTTCTAAAACAAAGTTATTTGCATTTTTAGTTCTCGCTGACTATCTTGATCGCTTATAACTGATCTAATACCTTCGCTCCAGCAGGACTTTTCTCTCGGATGAACTCGGTACGTATCTCAGCACCTAAATTTCTCGACCAATGAGAAATTACGTTTTCCAAAAACGCTAAAAAAATGATCTTGAAAATTATCTATTACCCGCAGTTACGAATGATTTTTTCAAATCTCCCAACAACGATCCCAACATATAGTTCCGCGACCTGAATGTTTTGATCTTTTGCAAAAGGTAGTACCCCGATCCGTAAATCCAAAAAACAAAATTGGCGATCTTAGAGCAAAAATCGCAGGAGCAAGACCGCGCGCGCCCGATTCGGTTTTGGTATTGTAGAAAGTATCGCCTAGAAGTAAGTACTCTATTGATGAAAATTCGAGGCAAGTGTCGCTCGATCGGCAATATATAGTAGCATTGGAATTGCTCCTTTCGCGCGCAGACTTCACGAGAAGACTGTCTGAAGCGCGGACGCTTTTCCTGGGCTTGCGAATCGCGCAACCCCGCAAAGAACCCTGGAGAGAGTGGTCGAATCTAGCACCTCACTCTGTTCGTTGCAACGACGACCGGAATCAGAAAAATTCTTGATCAGAGCAGCGGTGCGCGCGCGAGAAAATTCTGCAGTTGACGGTGCAATAGTCAGCTGGAACTTACTAGTTGTATAGAACCGGAAATAAAGTATAGAGAAAACAACATCATCACCACAAACCAACCTCACAGTCAGTGTTGCGACAAAGCTCTCCGGTGGGAGGGCCGGAAGAAGAAGAGAATCTGGCAAGATGTAGCGCTAGAAGGGCGCCGCGCTCCAGAATACTGACAAAAAAAAATAAAAAAACCAAAAAAATCATTTATCGAAAAGAAGTGAGGAGAGATATTTAGTAAGAAGTCACAGATACTACACTACGTAGTTGTGATTTATTAGTAAATCTATTACTGGATATACTTTCTCGTTTTCTACTGAGAAAGCCAAAACTTTCTATACTGTCCGTAGTGATCCACGGCTTGCTGTGACAAACTCGACGCAAAGCGGTGTGTCATAACAGACGAAGTGGTTCGCAATTACAAATCGATTGTAATTAACTCTGCTGACGTTTGAGTTGTACCGTACCTGAGATATTTTTACGAGATTCTGACGACACCGCGACTAAGAATTGAGTAGATACCTTTGTACGACGACATTATTATATCCTGCATACTAACTATCCCTACTTCCGAGTTATTACCGACAAGTACTACAAAATCAATTTCTACGAGTTGTTGTTGGCAACGAACACTGAAATCGAGTATAGTTCCAATAGTATAGCGAAACGGTAAAAAATCATGAGGCCACGCGCCGCGTCAAATCGACTTTGACGATCCGGGCGCACCACCACGACCCTTTACCACGTAGAGCCGATTTTGGAATAACGAACGACACGAAAAACCACCACATTGGACAATACACCCACGAAAATAATCAAGACCACCACCACCGCCGAGCGGTTACTAGCGAAAAAATCTAATACAGCTTTACTCTCGGAGTAAAAGACTACAAATCACCGACGCCGGTACCCCCGACGCCAACAACTACAGTCCCCGAAAATATTAAAACTCGAAGGTGGAAGTAGAAAAGCCAAGAACATCATCATCCTCTTCGCGTCGATCTTCTGTTTATTTTGCCTTCCCCCGAGAACCAGACCAACAACGCCCTTCGTGCTCGATGGAGAGTGATCAGCCTCCGATTCTCGCGCAACTAAAAAAAGACCACAGTCGCACCTCCTCCTCCCACGACCAGCTTGAAGACGACAACAGCACGCGCAATCATGTCCTGCTAGAGGAGGGGGAAACGACGACATCAAACGTGGAAGCCAGTTTCGTCGCGAGTTCCAGTAGCATATGCATTGCAAAAGTATCGTATTAGTATAAATTGCATCACAAATTTTGGCAAGAAGAAAAATGGAATTTGTAATGCTGGTTTACATGAGGAAGGAGATTTGTACATGCATATTTGCAATTACTACGAGTACGATACTTTTGCACAGGATATAGCACGCCCCAGTCGGCCGACCCGGAGACGACTGCAAGCATGAATGTGGGCGATCTGATATCGACAGGAAAAATCCCCCCTCCCCATATCAAAACGGAATTTCTGATGCTGGATTTGTGTACACAAATCAGCTTTGTATTGCAGAAAGGCACTCCGGCCAGATCCCCACACTAGGCACGGGTGTATCGGTCTACTTGTTCAGCATGGCAAACGGCTCCCCTTTAGGCCCAACAGCATGACAAATCGCTCCCATAATGGAGCGGAAGCTTCTGCCCTTGTCTTCTTGCAATACAAATGTGATTTGCGACCTCAAATCAGCAACAGGGTGAGGGACCCCTGACGGTTGGCCACGCTGCATGTTCTGGGACCACGCAAATTCTAGCCTGCGAGGAGGGGGGAGCGCGCAAAAAAAAGGTTGGCCTACGGATATCAGGTGGAACTAAGGCTCAAATCAGCAACACAAATTTTCGCAAACATACCTTTACGATATGGGGAGGGGGGATTTTTGCTTTTGATATCTGACCGCGACGACGACCACGAGCAACGGGCAGGAAACAGCGACCAACGAGGGGGGTACTACGACCAGTGCTGTTGCTACAACAGCTATGGGTGCGCAGCCACACGAACCCAATGCCGAAGTTCAGCAGCTCAACGTCTCCGGCTCGTCCTCTGCAAGTATGAGCAGTAGTACGGGAAATAACAATTTCCCCAACACCGTTTTTGGCAATGCGTTGCAGCAAAAGCCGGAAGGGGAAGCAGCACCGGCAGTACGAAACACAGAACCACCGCCGGCGCTCGGCGGAACTGCGGATGCACAGTAAACAGAATGATATTTTGTGGCTTCTTGATGTTTTCGCTGGTTTTTTTCGGTCTCCTGTGTCTTTATTGCATGAAACAGAATCATAGATCGGCGCTCGCACTGCGTTTCTTGAGCACATTGGGAATATTAAACGTATTACGTTGTTGAATATCAAACAATTCCAGGTCTACATTCGCTCCGCCACCACGGACGCAGTCGGAGGGAACTGGTTCAGGTCTCCAGGGCATGCTTACGAACTTCCTGCTCATGGTACATTTTTTTTCTTATGCAGCCTCAGTTGGCTCTTCTTGTTGAATGATTACGCTGACACTACAGTTCCGACCTAAGAACTACTCTACGAAATTTCAACGCAAAAATATCAAAACTTCCCAAATTCAGTCCGGCGGAGGCTCCAAAGCTGCAGATCCACCAGCAGCACCGCAGCAAGTGTCGTCCTCGCAACCCGCAGTGGTACAACAGCCTGCTACCCTGACCTCAAGCGAGCAGTCCCAATCGAAGGAGACGATTTCTGCGGACACCAGTGCCAAGCCCGCCGCCGCGGAGCAGCAGACAAAGTCGAAGAACAGCACGAAGCAGCCGACTAGCAGCTCCTCCTCGAGCTCGTCGAGCAGCGGAAACAATAATGCCAAGAACAAAAGCGCCGCGGTTCCCCCCCTGCAAAATGCCTCCACGACGCAAAAAAAGCTTGGAACCGACAACACGCCGCCGGTGACGAGTCGGTCGAACGAAACGTGGACCGGGAACAAACTGGAGATAAAAAACCACATAGACGAACTGCGGGCCGAAATCCTAGAGGAAAGGGCGCTGAAAAAGTCAAATAGCTTGACGGCCTTGCGCCAGCACAGAAATCGCCAGGAGGAGCTAGATGGTATTGATAGGGGTGATTTTTTGCATGAAATTCTACTTTGTATAGCATTTTTGATTGTCCGAGTCTTGTTCGTATCTATTCGGTAGTGGTCATGTGGTCCTGAGTATTAAGCATTCTTTACTCGTCGTCGCAGATACTTGTTTCAAGGAAAAACCACCACCCCAAAAATAAATCAACAATTACAGACCAAGAAAACCCCATCCGCGTGGCCCGCTGTGAGTTGAACGCGATTCAGATGCGCCCGGTGGTGAATAGTGAGCTTTCCGTTTATGTTTCTCTGAAGGACATCCGGAACAACCGGCACTGGGAGGATAAACCGCTGTGCACGCCGGTGATCCCAACAGGGTTGGAGGAGGACAAGCCCCTCGCCGACGAGGAGAAACCGGTGAAGTACCGGTGGAGCCGTGGCCCGGTCATCGCGCCCTGCGTGTACCACAAGCACAAGACATCCATACTCCGGGACACCAGCAAGACCTTTCAGTTCTACTGCAGCCGGGAGTGCTTACACAGAGGGTGGCGCTCGCTTCCCAAAGAGATGTGGCAGGAAAACCCGATGAATTCCGCCATGGAGGACCAAGAGAAAACCCAGGAGGAACGGCTGGCACAGAAATTCCGGGAGCAGCAAAGGCTCGACTGGGACATACAACTCAAATCCGACTGGGAAACCATCTCGGAGGGCAGGACGTATAGTCCCAGCATCGAGGACATCAACCGGCCGCTGAGGTAATATACTAGCTTATGGGATTTTCTACTTTTAGTAGCGAAGGTATAAAAGGAGTCGCGCATGCTACTGCCAGGCGAATCCTCCCGTATGTCCAAAATTAATGTTGTTGTGCAAGAACGTCTTCGCGTGTATGAGCAAAATGAATTTGACTATGTAGTATCGTACTTTCATCTCACGACCTTCATATGATCCCACAGGTTCGAAGTGATTCCGCTCGACAAGGAAGGCGAGGCAGTGGAGAAGTTCGCCAAATCATGTACCACCGGCACCGTCATTCCTACCCCGAAGGAAGCGAGAACGCGAAGAATGTTGTCCTTTGGGGGGTCCTTCAACGCGGCTTTTTTGAACAAACAGTTCAAAATTATGAACTGGAACGTGCTCGCCGACCTCTACGCCACCGAGGCCCAGTACCCGTATTGCGAGAAATTTGCGCTGTCCTGGATGTTCCGCAAACACCTGATCATCAAGGAGATCAAATCCATCAACGCGGACATCGTCACGCTGCAAGAAGTCCAGGAGGAACACTTTTTCGAGTGGTTCAAGCCGAATTTGGAAGAAGCGGGCTATGAAGGTATTTACTATGTATAATTTTGGGATCTTTGTATCTGGTAGTCGCAATAAATTATGTGTTTGTCGCTGGATGAAGAACGCAATAATTATGCGTGGTTCAACTACATTCGCTCATTTTTTGAGTTTGACATCTATGAATCAATTTGCACCCCTCCCAGGCGTGTACCAGCAGAAGAAGCAGAAAAACCCGGTGTTCCACCGAGGGCGCTACGCCGTCGAGGGTTGCGCGACGTTCTTCAAGAAGAGCCGGTTTTGCCTGCGCGAGAAGCGTATGAAGTGTAAAAATGTCTGGGTCTGGAAGAGTGTTAAACTTGTCATGCAGGTTTTCCATGACCCATGAGGTCTGGAATGCGGGACCTAGCATGACAGAGTCTGTGAGGTCTCTACTATGCCTATCCTGCATGAGAAACTCCCTCCCAACTTGGTCGAAATTGGACAGCATTTGGCCTTCATGCAACACAGATTTTCGCACTATTCGGATTTAGCATGACAAGTTGCAATCTTCCAGACCCAGACACTTTTACAATCCATAAAGCGCACGGTGGAGTTCGATGAAGAAGCACGATCGGTGTTGGAGAACGAGTCCATGCAAGCCCGGCTCTCGAAAGGTATCATTTGGGTTTTATTTCTTCTCTGCGGGTCGTTTGGAAAACGAAAAGTTATAAGCAGGATGTTGTATGATTTTCCAACTTTATAATTCATCAAAGAAAGCACGCCAGCAGTTCATTGTGCAGTGATGAAAATTGTTCACCACAATAAATAAAAATCCCAGGCAACATCGCTCTAATCCTGATCCTGGAAGACCTGGTGCAGAAGCTATTGTGAGGAAAAATCCCCCCTCCCCATATCGAAAACCCATTCGTCTGAAAATTTGTGATTCAGATTTGAGGTCACAAATCCTGTCTGTCTTGCGGGAAGGCAAAGCCAGAGAGTCCGCCGCATTATGCCGGCGGTTTGTGATGCTGTTGGGCTTACAAAGCCGACTTCTGTCATGCTAGTCCCCTACGTCAAAACCTCTCGACGGAGGCTTAGAATATGCCTGCAGTCCTCTCCAGCACGACAGACCTGATTTGTGTACGCAAATCCAGCATCAGAAACTTCGTTTCGATATGGGGAGGGGGGATTTTTCCCGTTGATAGAAGCCTGACATGTCGACCCCCGACTTCAACCTGCACCCCAAAGACGGCTTTCCCCGGGTGGGCCCCGGCGGCGGGCACACCGTCGGCGTCGTGAATACGCACATCCTCGCCGATCCGGAGTTCACCGACGTGAAACTGTGGCAAGGACAGCTACTAGTGAACTCGCTGGATCGCTACTACCATGACGGGATGCCGCTCCTGGTTTGCGGCGACTTCAACTCGACCCCGCAGTCGGCTGTGTATTGATCGTTATTTGCAATAGAGATAAAGATTTTTCTCGTCGCACTTTCTCACCTCGGAGCTTTGATTCTGTTCTTTGCATGTTTTTGACACAGCAGGAGCAAACAAACCATGTTCATCATGTTCAACAACTACTTAAAAACAGGTACGAGCTGTGGCACGACGGCCATGTCTCTCCTAACCACGAGGATCTTGACCGGCCGGATATCTGCGGTTTGCTCGCCAACCCGTTCATTTTCAAGCACGACTTTCGCTTGATGAGCGCGTACGAAGCCTGCAGTGGAGAGGTACAGACATAGGATTTTACGGTTTTATTATGCTTTCATTCTTACCGGGGAAACAGACATCGTTATTACTTTACTTGATTCAAAAATGCGTAAGACTAAGAGTCAGAAAAAGAAACACCAAGACGTCATGTGGTTCTCATCGCGTTCATGCACCACAGCTTCACAAAAATCCTGAATGTTGAAAACACAACAGGAAGCGCAATACACGAATTACACGGAGGACTTTACCGGAACGCTGGATTACATCTGGTTCACTCCGGACAAAGTTGTCGCCCTCGCCGTGTCAGCGGTCGACGATGACACCACGCTGCAGCAGGAAACCGCGCTTCCCAGCTCCACGAGGCCGTATTGATAGTTTTTTGTCGTCAAACTCGATATACAAATTTCGATGTTGATCATGATTGGCGTTCGCGTCGCATGATGTTGCGTAATGTTCTTTACTACCGTCATAGATTGATTGTTTCATCGTGAACTTTGCACCGCATAATTCACTGGAACTAACTGTGCAATCAAACAACAGGTCCGATCACATTTCCCTGGTGACCACGTTTATGTTCGCAGAGCCTCGGACGAAAAACGCCATTGCGGACAAGCAAAAGGAAACGATGACGGAGCTGCAAAAGAAAAATAAGGCTAAATTTTCGAAGGCATACGAAGAAGCGTACGGGTATTTAATATACAATGTTTTTTTTATTTTCTGTTCCGCTAAAGGGCACACTGCCAACATCATCAGTTCTTCTGGTGTAGGAGCGGCTTTGGTGCTAATATTTGGAATTTTTCTCCTCATGCAAAACGTCGACGGCACTGCTGGTACAGCGGAAACATGGGTTGTAGCAAAACGAAATTACTTACAAAAAACAGGTTCCAATCCGCGGAAAACTTCTACGGCGGTCCGGAAGCGTCGCATTACTATGGCTACCACAACCAGTACTGGGATGAGAGCCAGATGTACCACTACCAGCACCAGGACTACAATGAGATGAACGCGGCTTACCAGCACATGAACTATAACGGCGGAGCGAACGAGTGGTACCCGATGCGACCAGCGTCTGGCGGGCCGATCGACAACACGGGCGGCAACATGCTGCACAACATCATGGGCGCTGCTGGCAACGCGAACGCGGGTCCTCAGGACATGATGGGAGGAGGGGGTCCGGGTGGTAAGCGACAAATGCCACTAGGCGGGCTGAATCCCGGTGGAGCTGACATGGGGCAACAGATGCAGTACGGAGGACCACAAACCGGCACGACGTCGGGGGGACTCGGAAACGCGGATTCTAATACCTTCCAACCGCAGCAGACCAGCGCGATGAACTTCACACCGCCACGCGATCACGGTTCCACGGGCCACACGGCACAGCCGTTTTCGCCGGGCTTGGTCCAGGACTTTGTGAAAACGGACCAGTTGGCGGTGAACGAATCGCTGATGAGCGAGGAGGACACGAACATCCGGAGACCCTTGTCCGCGATGGAGTTGCGGGGCGGGGGTCAACAACCGCGGGACCAGCAGGGCGCTGCGAACTCGGACTTTGGCGGCTGGCCGCAGCTCAACGGGAATGCCGCGCTCGGAGGTCATCTCATGGAGACGCCGAACAGCAGACAAGGCCCGCCGGGCTATTCCGACGAAGAGCAGCAAGCCTGGGCGAACAATATGGCTATGGGCAATGGACAGATGATGGACCAATCGATGATGATGCAGAATCCGCAGATGCTGCAAAATCCGCAGATGATGCAAAATCAATCGCAGCAAATGATGGGCGGGAATCCCAACATGGCGTTTCAAGCCAACCAAGCAAACGCTTGGGGGCAGCAGCAGGGAGGCGCAAACGACATGCAGATGCAGATGGGAGGTGGTCCACCGCAGCCAGGGTTGTCGCAGCCACAGCCGCGCGTCGCGCAGCCGCAAGGCGCGAACCCCTTCAACAACACAAGCATGTCTGACCAAGAGATGCTGCGGAACACGATTCTGCAGGAGCAGCAGTCCGACTCTGCGCACGGTGTCGAGATGGGCATGTTTGGTCAGCAACAGAACATGGTGAACGCGGCGCAGCAGAGCAAGCAACATCCTTCAAACCAACAGACGTTTTCTGCAGACTCGCGCATGAATGAGCACCTCGCCCGGCAGATGAACGACCAACCCGCGCAGCCGCAGACGTGGGCCGCGACGGTTTCTGCCGCAGTCGCGAGCACGCAGCAGCAACAAGCAGCTTCGCAGCAGGCAAATATGGCCGCTCAACAACAGCAGTCCGATGGTGCCACATCAACATCGCAGCCGCAGAACAACAACATCCCACCGCCAAAGCTTTCCATGTCATCCGTTCCGCCTAAGGTTCCGCCTCCACCGCCGCCACCACCGCCGCCGAGCTTGCCACCGTTCATTCCGAGCGGAAACTTCTCGGCGACGTCCTCAGTTGGCGAAAACGTGAAGCCGGAATTCCGGGATATGCTGCCGCCCCCGACGTCACACCTTCCGCAGCATTTGATCTCCTCCGGCGACAGCTCGGCGTCGAACAGCGGCCAGCCCAGCAAGGGCGCCTCGGGCCAGCCCAGCGCCTCTAGCTCGCAGCCGCCGAACATGAAGGGGGCCGGGAAGATGAAGCCGACGAGTCCACCAGAATCGAGCTTCAACGGCGGCGGGGGTCTGCAGCGATTGGGGTCCTCTTCCTCGCGGTCGAATTTGCCACTAGACCAGCAATCCGAGATGTCAAATCGGAACAGCAAGGAATCGATGCGAAACTCCAGCTACCCAACCGCGACTGCATCCACGGACAGCAAGCGCGCGGTTTACGACAGCTTCAACCGCCGACAGCCCTCCCGCGGCTCCGCCTTGCCCCCGGGCTCCGCGGGGTATTCCGCGCTAGCGGGGAACACCGGCGGGGGTGGAGAGAACGGCAATTCTGCCACTTCTAACACGCAGAATGGTGGCAAGGGTCTGACGCGGAACTACGGGTCGCGGGAGCACCTGCACCGTCCGACGGAACCCGGCTCTCTGTTTGAGGGGAGCCACAGGAGAGAACCGGTGCCGGCATCGTCCTCTTCCTCCAGCCATCAGCAGTCGCCGCAAGAAGTGACAGACAGCTGCTGTGCAAAGTCGCCAGAAGAGAATTCCGAGTTTATCCTGAGTAAAAACGTACCCACACCAGAGTTGTAATGCAAATCTGCATGCTGAAAATGTTTCTCATGCGGAGCCCCATGAGAAGCGTTTTCTAGTCGTGTTGTGCAATTTGTCATGCTCCAATCAGCATGGTATGCTAGATATGTGATGCTGCTGAGCTAGCTCAAACAGCACTACACTACGAATCCAAATTTGTCATGCAAAACAGCCAAAACTTGTGGACTTGTCTAGCCGATTCCCCATCTTGACTATGGTGTGGGTACGTTTTTACTCAGGATAGAGTTTCCGTGCGTGGAATCCCCGCCCTTCCCCAGCCCGGACAGCGAATGGACCACGTCTCCTTGCGATAATGGTGGGAACGGGACATCAAACCATTGGAGCCACCAGCAGAACACGGGAAACAGCGCAGCTTCTAGCAGCAGCTCTTTCACGCTGAATGCGTCTAGCGGAAAGAAGGGGCCCGCGGCGGGCGGCGCTTCCTCGACGTCCAAAGGAGGTTCATCTGCGTCCGGGGCGCAGCAGCTACAGCTGCACGTCGGGCAGACGGCGCGGGCAAAAGGTAGTTCAACTGAGGGAGTTGCGACGGATTTTGCCGGGGGCGGGCAAAGCCAGCAAATGCAGCTGAACATGGTCGGTGGTCAACACCAGCAGTTTGGAGGTTCCTCACAACCGTCCTCGCAGCAGCCATTTAACGACGGACCCCCTCCTGGCATCCTGGTACAGCAGCCGCACAGCTCGTCCCAAAGTACCTCGTCTCCCTCGCACCACATGGACGCGCAGAGTGCCGTGAATCTGCAGCAGTCCGGTGGTACGCAAACTTACCATCAGCAGACGCCCAATTCGTACAGCGACCGACCCACGCCGCGCAACCTGTACAGCCACTTTTCGCAGGAGGACGACAGTAACTCTGTTGTGCCGCAGTCGGGCGGGGACCAACATCAGCCGGGGAACAAGGACAGTTGGAATAACAAGCAGTACAACCACAAACAGGAGTCATCAACATCCGCGGAACCTTCCGGTCTGAAAATCGGTACCAAGCCGTCTGCGCCGAGTTCGCAGCTGACGCCGGCTTTGAGTCAGGATCAGCAGCAGAGTGGCGGCAGTCAGCAGAGCTCGACCGCCGGCAGCAACAGTGCCGCGCAGAACAACATCGGTCCTCCGCCGCCCATGCTGAACATCGGTTTCGACCACAACAGTCTACCGAAGCGCCCACTGATTTCCGTGGACCAGCACTGCAATCCGGACGTCGGGCCTCCACCGGGCGTGACGCCACCGAACTTCGGCGGGGGTGCGAGCAAGCAGTTCGGCCAAAACATAGCAGGAGCTGTTCCGCCGTCGAATAGTACTAGCGCAGGTCCGCAGTCCGCACAGCAGCAGAATAAGGGGGCCCACAACTTTCCGCTGAATTTCCCCTCCGGGCCACCACCGCCGTTGCCAAGCGGGTTCTTGAACCAAAACTCCGGAAATAATTCGGGCAGCAACAATCCGAACCCAAGCATCCACCCACGGGTACCCATGCCGCGCGGGCCCCCGGAGCAAATTCCGACGGTCCCGGTGTCGCTGCCGAAGGTGGACACGCCTAATCACACCACGTGGAACACGACCGCCGACCGCAGCAATGACCGCTCGTTTTCTCGCGAGACCGTGTCGGTCGCCGCGGCGCGAGGTATGAATCCTTTGTGGTAGTGACAGCTGCCATGTGCTAGCTGCGCTTTGCCATGATGTGCTATCATCTTCGGAAGGCAAGCCAGTGGTGTCTCCGGATATTTGTACGCATAACTCCTGTAGGTGGTCAACAAGCGGCTGCCGCAGAGAAGAACCCTCTGCAGGGCGCACCAAAAGTAGACGGAGGACGCTTGCGGGGCGGCAAGTAGTCGGGAGAACTGCTGCAGCCAACCCGACATCATAGCCAGAACACGCGACAGAGCCACATCAATTTTGTCCACCTAATAGGTCGAGTCGAGAGTGCTTGCAGTCGGAAATAAGCGGTGTTGGAACATCCGAATCGAGCATTGCGACACGCCTGTTGAAAGAACCCAAGACGCATGATTTCGCACGACCGGGGTAGATGGATTCTTCATCGCAGAAGATGGAATCTGCCGAAGTTGTGTCTGCGGTCTGCTCTTGTGACCCGAGGGACTATTACAACTACGATCAAATTGTAACCAAGACATCATTCGATGTTGTTTGATCAGAGGCGACGATTAGCACATCATTCCGATCATCATTGTAAAAGTAACCCTTTTGACAACTATAGCCTTCAAAAATCCATTAGGCATCACGTTCTAGAAAAAACTTTTAAAAAAATTTTCAAAAAAAAAGCGCTGAGACCAAATCCGACGGCACTGAATGTTGTTGCCTCGGATTTCTGTGTTTGTGTATGGCGGGCACGACTGTTGCACCTGCTATGCGCGATAATTCAGTTTTTCAAGTGTTCGCGGAAATAGTCTTTGTTTCGTCAGAGGCTCGCGCGAATTTGCTGGTGTACGTAGATATAATTATCCGTGTGTGGTCAACTTCAACTGGAGGGAGAGGAAAAGAACAAGCAAAGCCGAAGGGCAATGAGAGAATTAATGATCTACTGGCCTGAATCATCCAAAGCTTTTCATCTTTGTGTAACTGGGACGGAAATCACTACGCCTACCAAAGCACGTGGATCTAGAAAGAGCAGGTCATACGTATTACCTATGTTTGTTCTAGGCCGCGACTACTTATGCTGTTTGTCTCAGCGTTTTTGTTTGTGTCAGCACACTTTTTCGCGCCACTTCTCATTTTCCGACTTTTTCGTCCAGTAGGCATGCATAGAAGGCAAAGAAAGTTGTTCGACCTGTTTGATTGATCCACAACGCAACTCTTGAAGATGTCGCAGAGAGCAAGGAAGAAACAATCGTTGGAGCGGTCAACGCCCAGTTTGTCATCCAGTAGCTCAGAAGAACGGAAGAGCGTCGAAAAGCCAGTTGCAGACGACGAGAGCAGCGGGGATGAACTAGTGATGGCGGTCGGGAAGACGAACAAGAGACCGAGACTCCCATCGAAAAGCGAAGACAATATGGTGTTCGCGAAAAATGCAGTTTCGAATGGTAAAAAAACAGCTGCGGCGGGTGCCTCCCCCAATTCCGCCATGAAAGCGAGTATGAAAGCGGCTCCGTCGTCTGCGAAGAAAAATGCGGCTGCAAATTACGTCCCAGACTCCTCAAATTCAGGACCTGCTAGTCGTGCCGGCAATGGCAATAACTCGGGATCTGCGTCCTCCAGCTCTTCTAGCAGCGGAAACCAGAGGTTATTTCAACAGCAACAAACCAATCAGAAGAAGCCAGTCGCGGTACCAAAGAATGTTGACTCGCAGCCTCCATTAGAAGCTTCTCCCGAGGAAGACAGCAATGACAGCAGCGCAGTAGGCGGGAACAATTTTCAAAACGGGAACACCGACAGCCAAATGAGCAGCTTTGAGAACAAGACTGGCCGGTCGGCTGCTACTTCCTCCCAGCAAGTGATGAAAAAACAGAACTTGTACGGTGCCGCGCAGAACCTCTACTATACCTCAAAGGAATATTTGGATCGATTGTCAGAGGAGCAAAGACTCTTGAAGAGAAAGCGCGACAAGTTTGTGTACCGCGAGCCCGAGTTTATTTCTGATGCGGAAGTGGCCGATGCGGAGGCACAGAACGACATGAAATCCGCCTTACTGCTCTCCCCGCGCTCCGCCGCCCTGCGCGGTTTGACAAAAATCACAAAGCACAACGGGCGAAGCGGGAAACAGGACTTGATTTCAAGAATTCTCTGCCGTTGGTGGTACTGCTCTCCGGTTGTTGTAGAGAGTGACGAAGTGGAAAAGGAAAAGCAAGCAGCTTACGCGACGCAACAACTGGAGAAAAACAAGTTCGCGAAACTTTCTTTCGAAGATTTTTACGAGAAAGTGCGGAAGTATGGATGTGTCAGAATCGAAATCGACAAAGTTGAAATAACTTGTAATGCAGAAAATGGATGAAAGTTGCAACCCAGTTGCCAAGTGGCGCATGACAAATTTGGGTAGAGCCGAAATCCAGTCTGTCATGCTGTTTGGGTAAGGAAGCCGCCTTTTGTCATGCTACTTAAGCAGCTCTATTTCTACCCCGAAACAGGCGTACAATCTGCCCCCCTTGCCTACTCTGCAAGACAGGCACTTTCTGCGTTGCATTTTATGCATGACAAACTATTTCAACTTTGACGATTTCAAAGCTGACAGTTCCATAGGGAGCCCGCAGATGATTTCGACGCGGAGCAGGCGGCGGCGGCCGAAAGTATCGCCGGAGATGGTAGCAAAAGCAAGAAAAAGAGTGGAAAGAAAAAAACGAAAGCCGAGCTGAACAAAGAAAGGCAAGAGTTCGAAAAAACGCTCGTTCACTTCGTCTACGAGATGGGCGACTTTCCCGGCGTGTTTCGGAACTTCAAGGGCGACCTGTTCGACTTTCGGAAACCGAGGATGTGCTACAATCTACTGGAGAAGAAGACGGAAGCGGAGCTGAAAGTCCTACTGGAAACGGGGTTGCGGAACCAGCGATCCGCGTTAGAGGAAAAGATGGAGAAGAACAAGTGGAGCTTTCCCTACGACACGGACCTTTGGGAAGATTTGACCAGGCAGCTGGACGAAATTGTGGCCAGTATCGCACGGGGAAAGACAAAGAAAAAGACGGAAAATAATGGAAAGCTGTGACGAGCGAACACAGAGACTGAAGTACTATGTGAACCAGATGTAGGAAAACTGTTAGCGCAATACGGCTGTCTCATAGAAGTAGAGAAGATTTGTGCGTGGAAAGAATGTTTTCCGACGGAGCTTACTTCCTTGTACTGATCGATGTTCTAGTCGTGTACTCCGGTAGCAAGATGGCAGAGATCTTCTTCAGAGGGGAAAACTACGCCGGAGAGAGACTGGAAGGTGGTCAAAACTTAGAACACATCCTGGTAAAAATCTTCTTCGTCATTTTTCTGATGCAGTCAGGCTAGTTCGTTGTGAGGTAGAAGATCTTGTAGCTTGTCTGCCTATATTTTTATGAACCACCTCTAGCGACACGACTGGAACGGATTTCTAGTACCGCAAAGTTCGTATTAATAGCGCTGCATGGACACTTGTTGCAGACGAAGTCCAAGAGCAACTCAAAAGATGGCGAGTACTGCTGCTTCCTCCTCCAAGGCTAACAACAAGCGGCCGCAGAAAAAGGGGAAGCAGCCTCAGGATCCAGAGGCGGACAAGTTGTTTGCGAAGTTGCAGCAGCAGGAGCTGCGGAGACAGAGCAGACGCGAAGTGGAGGAGGAGGACGACGAGGAGGACGAGGAGGACAGCGAGGACGAAGATTACGGCTGCGAAATGTTGAAAAGTCACGTCAAATTTGAAATCTTTAGTTCTTCGCAACTGTTGACATGGGAACGTGAATTATTCCTTTCACTCTTGTTTGTAATCGTTCAATGTCCACCCTCTTATTGGGAATTTGCTTTCTGCAAGATCAAGTGTTGACTTCGTGACTCGAGCATTTCGCTAGCATAAATCAGAGTCCTCCGACGAAGAATCCGAGTCAGATGATGACTCAGACGAAGAGGAGGAGAGCGACGTATGAAGGTGCACAACTTCTCCTCCCCCTCATTTGTATGGCATCAACAGCATTACAAACACCAGTACAGGCGGACACTGTGCATGACAAGTTCATGCGCGGCCAAGTGTAGTACTGTTTGGATTTCCTGAATTTGTCATGTACGCGATGCCACAAGGGAGCAAGTAGATTTGGGTTTTTGCATGAGAAATTAGGGGGGACTTGTGCACTGTGATACGACGAGGACTCCGACGACGAGGATCCGGACGAGACATATATCAAATGCAAATATAGTCTGGGTCTGGAAGATTGCAACTTGTGATGCTGTCTTCGGATTCGAAAAAAGGCTGTATTGCATGACCAGCAACAGGAGCCCAGTTTGTGTTACGTGCAGAGGGCATTTCTGATGCGGAATAGGCATCAGGAAGTCCTCTAAAAATCTGTGATGCTAGGTCATGCATTACAGGCGTCATGGGTCATACAGGATATGCGTGACAAGCCTGGCAATCTTCCAGATCCAGACGTATTTGCATTTGATAACATTCGCGCGATTGCAACGCGCCGCGACAAGGAAATACAAACAGGAACAGAAGGCCGCCGAGGATAGCAGCGACGAAGACGAGGACGACGAGGATGACGAAAGTTCGGAGGAAAATAAACCGCCGTCCGCGAAAAGGCGAAAAGTGTCCGCAGTGGTAGAGAAGGAGAGTAAGGCCAAAGAAGCGTCAACTGCGAAGAAAGGAGGAAAAACCACCACGCCGAGGCTAGATCCGCAGAAGAGTCCGGTTCCGAAAGCGAAGGCGAAACCAACTACCGGGACGAGTAAAGCGGCCACGCCTGTAGTCGCGGCGAAGGATGCGAAGTCCGTTGGGAAGGACACTGCATCAAAGACGGGGATATTAAAACCGAAATCCGAGCCTTCGAAAGGAAAGAAGGACAGAGTTTTCGAGGAAAATGACGAAAGCAAAAAGAAAATTTCCAGTCCAAAGCGCTCGCCGTCCGTATCGCCTCAAGTACTAAAAGAGAAGCCAAAGAAGCCAGCGCCGAAACAAGCATCTGCTGCGCCATCGGTCGTGGCGTCGGCGCCAACATCGACAGCAAAAAAGCGGAAAAGGTCGCCACAGAAAATCACTATCACCGAACAGATGATCGAAGCAGAACGCCGCTGGTGGCTGGAGCCCGGCGCCTTCGAGCTGACCGAGAAGAAGTGGAACTCGCTGGAACTCATGGGTTTTGTTTTCCAACCGGAGTATGTTCCGCACAACGTGCCCTTGCTGTATGAGAAGAAGCCGATCTACCTTCCTCCCCAAGCGGAGGAGATCGCGACCTGGTGGGTGTCGGTCATTGGGTCACATTATGAGAAGAGCAAGATTTTTCGCAAGAACTTCTTTGCCGATTTCACACAAACCTTAGCTGCGGAAGCGAAGCTGGTCAAGGCAAAGTTTGCGCTGCCGCCCGCGGGATCTGCTGCTAATGCCGCTAATTCTTCCAGCAGCTCTACCGGAACATCAAATGGACACGGCAAGCAGGCGCAAAGCAAAGAAACGCTGCACGAAGCCTACTGGTTCCCGCTGCCGAAGGAGGTGGAGAAATCTTTGCTGAGCAAAGAGGGGAAGGCGGAATACTGCAGCTCGCTGCTGACCGTGAAGGACCTGACAAAGTGCGATTTTTCCAAAATTCACAACCACGTGATGCACCAGCGGGAGAAAATGAAGGCGAAAAACTCTAAGAAAAAAGAGGCCACTCCGATGAAAAAGCAGAAGAAAAAAAAGAAAGCAGACAGTAGCAAGGATGAAGACGAGAACGCGGATCTCGATGCAGCGGCACAGGCTCATCTGTCCGGTCCGCTACCGAAGTACTGCCTTTTGGACAAGGCCCGTGAGCCCGTCGGGAATTTCCAGTGCGAGCCACCAGGTTTGTTTCGCGGGCGCGGGCAACACCCGAAGCAGGGGATTGTGAAGCCCAGGTGCATGCCGAAAGATGTGTGTTTGAACTTGGATCTCAACGCCGAGCCGCCCAAGTGCAGCATCCCTGGGCACTGCTGGGGGGACATTTACCACGACAACACGGTCTCCCTGCTCGGCTCCTTCTTGAACAAGCAAAAGTACATTCAAGTTGCCACCTCCTCCGCCGTGAAGATGCAGCCGGATGCGTTGAAGTACGAGAAAGCGCGCAAACTGCACAAGGTGATTGAAAAAATTCGCAAGGACTACATGAAGAAAATCCAGAAAACGGCAGGAGCGGAAATCACATCCGTGAAGGACTTCAACCACCGCTTGTCCACCGTGCGGGAACATTTCGGCTACACCGGCCGGAACTTCTCTGTGGAAGAGCAGAAGCACGGTAGCAATCCAGACGCGGCGGTTTTTGTCGGGTGTCAGAAGCAGACCGCGTTTTGCGATTTCCAGTATGCGGTGAAGAAGGGGCAGCAGCTCGGTTGCGCGGCTTATCTGATCGACAAACTCGCTTTGCGCGTCGGCAACACGAAGGATGAGGACGAGGAGGCGGACACGGTTGGGTGCACCACGCTGCGCGTCGAGCATGTCATTTGCCAAGGGAAGGTTGTGGCGCTGAAAGAGGAGGAGCTGAGTAGTTCTGTTCTCCCATCAGACCAAAACCAACCGCTGCCAAACAGCGATGAAAAGAACAATCCTCGCAGCAGCGCGAACGCGCTCGAGGTCCCCTACAATCCCGTGGAGGACATTCGGCAAATGTCTCGGGAGCACAGCAAGGAGGACGTGCAGCCAAGCCCCTTACACGGCGCGGAGCCGGTCTTGCGTCGGAGCGCTGCCGTGCGCCAGAGCTTCGACGAGAAACTGCTGAAGGAGCATCTGGAGTACCGCTTGAAGTTTTCCTTTCTCGGGAAAGACTCCGTCCCGTACGAAAACGAGGTTTTGGTCCCGGAGGAGGTGTACAACTGCGTGCAGCAACTGCAGCAGCGGAAGAAGAAGAAGGACTTGCTGTTTGATTTGATCGACAGTAGCGATCTAAACGCGTACTTCAAGGAGTTTTTGCCGGGATTGTCCGCAAAAGTTTTCCGCACCTACAACGCATCGATCACGTTGGAACAGGAACTGGGGAAATTCTCGTGGGAAACGCTGAAACAGGAATTCTACCGCAAGCACCAGGCGGAGACGGCGAAGTTTGATCAGGTCATTTTCAACAGCACTGCGAAGAACAAAAGTAAAGAGGATTTGGCGATTCTGAACGAAAAATTGGAGCAGTTGTACGAGAAGCAGAAGCCGCAGCTACTGGTACATTTTTACAACCAGGCGAACCGGGCGGTCGCGGTGCTCTGCAACCACCAACGCAACGTCGCAGCGACGCACGAGGGGCAGATGGACGTGCTGCAGCAGAAGCTGGATTTCTTGAAGGAGGAAATCGAGTTTCTGAAGGACCACATGCGGGAATGGAAGGGGTGCAAGTCGGAGGCGGCGCGAAAGAAGCTGTTGAAGAAGTCGGAGCAAGGGCTGCAGGACCTCCACGAGCAGCAGAATATAGCAAATCAGGAGAAAATATCAAACGGGTTAAATGGAGGTGATAATTCAACATCGCCGAACAAGCAAGGTGGAACTGGAACAACTTCTGCAGCAGGAAAAAAGAAGACCCAGGAGTCGCCCTCCCGAGAAGTCAGTTCTCCCGCTGTCGGCGCCGCGGCCGCGGGAAGTAGTGCGAAGAGAAATGCAAAGAAGAAGAAGGAGACACAAGAGCAACAAGCAGAAGCAGCGGCTAGTACCGCCCAGCAGGTGAAATTTAACCTGAAGTCCGTCCCGGGGAAGCTGGAGTCTTGCAAGGAGAAATTGCTTTCGCTATCGCAGGTGCTGGTCCGCACGGAGGACTTAATGAAGCGGCGGGAGGAGAACAAGAACGTTGCCTTGGGCACGTCGAAAATCAATTACATGGACCCGAGAATCACGATCTCGTTTTGCAAAAGGGTAAATCTAGAGGTCAACAAGGTGTTTAACAAGGCAATCCTGAGCAAGTTCCCCTGGGCCGTGGACTGCGACCAGGACTTTGAATTTCAGCAGTGAGAAATCAGCTGCCGTGAAAGTTTTTTAGATCGAAACCATGACCGACGTCGTCGGAGTCGACGTGTGGGCGAAAAATTGTGTCATGTGTGAAAAATAAGAGATTTTCAAGCGTAGGCATACTGATATCTAGTAGTTTGTCGCGCATGTTGCGCAGACAGTACTTGGCGCGGCTGCACGTGTTTTCTATTGGGGGTTTGTGTTTGTCGGTTCGTGTCTTCTGTCGCTGGTCAACTGAAAGAGGATTTCGTTTCAGCAACATCAGAACCTCTGCAACAGGGTTCGGTCTTCTACCACTTCTACCATCGTCTTAACTTCGTGTGAGCTGCCATCTGCATCTCGTGTGCAATGTCCTGAAAAGTAAATGCACTGCGGGTTCGGTCGTGATTATGTCGTGATCGTCTTTCTATTGCGAAGTGTGCCTAAGTGAGGCAGATGCCGATTTTTTTCTTTTCGCAGTTTGAAAACTGAGCTTCAGTTCCAAAGTAGTTTAGACGCTTAGATACAGTATTTTTTTGAAACTTTCGCCAAGGAGGATGAATCAACATGAGTCTCTTTTTGAGCACTCGCAAGCGCGGCGGAGGCGGGCGCCCTTTTCGATGGCGAGACCGCGGCACAGATGAGACGCGATCTGTCGCCGGTGGAACGCGGAATGCCAATGTGCCTCCGATCCTGTTTGCACCAGAGTTCGACGGCGCAACTGGTGCGGAAGAAAACCGCGATGAGTTAGACCCGCCGACAGTTCGAGAACTTGAACCAGCTGCGGACCCGTTGCAAAAGACGGTAGTGAAGGCCGTGCGATTCGCGACAGATCTAGTTTCTTCGCCGTCAGAAGTAGGGGAGAGCGTGCCTGTTGCAGCGGTGCCGGACAATATTAAAGCTGCCTCGGATGGTGCAGCTCCACAGTCAGCCATTGTAGTCACCGGACTGCCAGTGGATGATCAGAGTAAAAACGAAGACTCCTTTCTCTCAGCTTTCCAGAACGCCTTTGGAAAGCAAGACTTTTCCAAGATCCACCAAAACATTTTCGGCGAGGAAAAGAAAGCACGTAATGAGCCTGTGAAGGCGAACGCGGACGCTGGCGAAGCTGCGGAAGACGAGAAGCCGCAAAGTACCAAAAGTGTCGGTGCACAGTGGGATGCGCATGCCGATCAAGGCACAGGCACTGCCGCAGCTGCTTTCTCGCAGCAGGCAGTGGCGGCGTATAACGCTGCGTCAGCACACGCAGACGATCACAGTTACCACTACCCTCCGGAGTCGGTTGAGGTCCAGGGTACGGTGGTGAAAGACCCAAATACGGCTAGTAATAATGCAGCGCAATCGTACGAACAGGTGGTCTATCCCGGTTATGCAGGTGATACGGCAGACGCAGAGAAGCCGCAGTCTACTGCCGCTGCAGAAGCTGTACAACCCCCCACCGACTCTTTCTTCTCCGCATTTCACAAGATGGTCACCAGCCCGTTTCGCAGCAGCAAGCAGTTCCCGGCCGATGTCACCCTCCTCCCGTCGACGCAACGGAAACGCGAAGCCATCTGGAGCCCCGATCGGCAATTCCGACGGCGTAGTACACGGCCGGAGGGGAAGAGGGGCCCAATCCCGCACTGGTCGCGCAGCGGGGTGAATTTCGCTTCCAGGGTCGTCGCTCCGAAAGTGTTTCCGCAGTTAAAGCAGACGGTGCTCGATCAGCTCGGACATGATCTTCATGAGAACAAACAGGAGGAAGAGCTGGTTGTGGTTTCGCAAGGACCTTCGCAGTGGCAACAGGGAAAAGTTTTGGTGAACAGCGGACTGGAAAACGCAGGGCTGTTCTACGCTCCGAAGACGTCGAAAAGCCGGTTTGAAGAGCACCGGCTCAACCCCCTGTTTGGCGGTCGAGACGCTATCCACAAAAACGACGAGGCGGGGATTCTGAAGAGGGCGGTGGATATTTTCGTGGAGCGCAGCGCTGCCGTGATCAAGAGTTTGGACGAGGATGAGGAGTCGATCTACAGTCTGACCGAGGACGGTACGAGACGGAAGAGAGGGAAACTAAATCTTCGCGACGATGCAGGAACTACAGATGGAGCAGATCAAGTACTGGGCAAGAAGAAATACAACGAGGAGGACTTCGAAGATTGGCTGAAGGCGAAGAGTGCTTCGCAGGCAATTATTATACAAGAAAAAAACGTTGTTAGTGTAAATTTGTGTTGCAGAACATGCAACAGAGTTACACCTGTCATGCCAGACAGCCATGAAGCCCTCTTTTCATGTGTGTTTTGCCGTACAAGCCACGCATGACAGGTTTTGTCTGTCATGTAGAGCAAATTTGTTATGCTGTTCCTCAAAGAAAGTTACACTTACACGCTTTTTTTTCTGGATAATTATGGATGCGCCGGGCATGATGGACTTCGAAAGGGCGCAGCGGAAGTACGAGCGGGACGTGAAGCGGACCTGGGACGGCATCCTTCGGGGGAAGATTAGTGACGGCAAACTGGAGAGTACGGTGACGGATTTGGTGCGAAGGGGAAATGAATTGGAGGAAGCGAAAACCTCATCAAGCGGCAAGAAAGCGGGAGCTGTTGCTTCTGGTGGCGCTGATGTTGAGAAGGGCAAGGGCAGTGTCGATGCGGCGAGGAAAGCGGTGACGAAAGAACTTGGCGGTGCCTACTCTGGCAAGTTGTTCACTGCGACGGATGAGCCCAGCACAGCTATAAGCACGGCAGGCACTCTTTCTTCTCCTCCTAACGAACAGAAGCCACTAGGAGCTCCTACGCAAGTTAACGCGCCAGAGCAGAAATCGTGGGCAGCCTTTCTCCCCGACAAAGACGAAACAAGGAGGAATCAGGGACGAGAGAATGGGCTTCTCACCGACGCAGAGCGCAGGCGTAGGTTCCTGGAGTGGCAAGGCCGTGGAGACTTCGAAACGGACGCAACGGCTACTCTCGGCCCGTGGCGCAATATGGTGGATAAGCAAAGGCGAAACGACCCGGATCCTTTGTTTCAAAACCAAAGCGCGGAACCGCCGTTCGACGCACAGGACGCGGCTTTGCAGGAAGTACGACGGGACATGGAGATAGCGAGGTTGGAGGAGCAGCGGCAATCTTTGAGGAAGGAAAGAGACCACGACCAAGGAAGTAGAGGTTCTGTTACAGAAAAGGCCCAGCCTGCTGCAGTTCCCCCTCGCTGGACGGCTGAAGAAACCGCGGATATGCAACAGGTAGTGGAGAAGCCGTATGTCAGAAGTAGTAGAGAATCCGTGGTTTCGAAATCTCCGACGTCTCCGGCGCGCAGTCCTAGTCCGGTTGTGCAGAAAACATATGGCAATGGGAAATACTTTTTTCTGAAAACTTTTTTTTTTTGCCACATATAAATTACCCGTCGCGGTGAGTAGATGGCTTTTTGCCGGCAAAAATCGACTGCGTGGCAACAGCGTCTGCAGTGGTATCCTGAGCTCGCTAGCCTGACGGCAAGAAGAGTACCGCACTCGGGGCTCACTGCGTCATGGCTTTGGGTCCGGCGTGGCCGGCGTAGATGTCGGAATGCCAGCCCCTACAGTGCTGCCGCTTTAATGAAAGCAATACGCGGGCAGCCCAAGGCCGGACGTGCTGCGGGTTGGAGCCAACAGCAGGCCCACGCCCCAGCAGGAGAAACAGGCGCCCGCGCGCAATTTCAAAATAATTCAAATCCATGCGCAGCAGCGCTGACGACAGTGATGCCAGGGCCGCGGCGCTCCTCCGGGCCTGGGTCTCGGGGTGCGGTTCTTCGCCCCAGCCTGCTTTGCCAGGAGGCTAGCAGAGGTCCCTCCTCGGCTGCAAGTCGAAGTCCTCGGGGGTCCCCCCAAGGGGTCCTTCAAACCCCCCCCCCCTTTTGGGGCCTTTGCCGAGAGCTACTCCCCATTGATATCTCCACGAAGGGGGGTCCCCCAAACCCCCCCCCTCAAGGGGGGGCCCGGCCGCGCTTTTTGTTTCCGCAAGTTTGCGGCTTTTGCAAAAATGTGTCTGGAACACTGACAGCGCGAATTCGGCCAAGACGGGGATCTGTACAGCCTGGCCCGGAACAAACCCAAAGGCGCCGAAGTTCTCAGCCTGATCTGTATTTGTCCATTGGGGCACTTCGAAAGCTGGGGCGGGCGACGTCTAGAGGCCACGCGCGTTTCAGACAGCCGCATCTAAGCGAGCCATTCAGAATTTCGCTGACTTACCCTGAGCCTCCGCCCCATACACAAAGGCCGCGGTGGGGGCATTGTGTGTCAAGTACCTTGCAGCCAGAGCGCCAAGGACCGAATCCATGGCCGCGGCTACTCCGGAGGCCGCATCTCTTTTGCGTCCCAGGTAGCTAGCTAAGTACCAAGAGCCGTCTACCCGCTTAGACAGATCTATTCTGCGCGTGCCCGCTTGTATGCCTATTGAGTGCCGTGAGTGTAAGATCATATGTGGCGAAAAAAAAAGTTTTTTGAAAAAAGTATTTCCCATTGCCATAAAACAAAATCTCCGACGTCTCCGGCGCGCAGTCCTAGTCCGGTTGTGCAGAAGAGAATCCGCCGCGTCACGGCGGATCGACAGTGGGTGAACAGTCCGCACTTCCATCGGTCTCCGGACGGGAGTCCAGCCGATGGTGCTCGCGGAGTGCTGCACTGGGCACGAGACGCCATGACCAGCAGCAAAAAGCCTGATGGCGATTCTTTGTCTCGAAGCCGGCTAGACGCGAGTAAAGCTAGTGTAAGTAAAGATTCGCGATATCTGCTTACACACAGCGAAGGAATGCAGCATGGTCGTGGCCACCATCACCACCACCACCATCACCATCATCACAGGGAGCATCACCATCATCGTCGTGACGACAATATTCTGAAGCAGGTGGAGTGGACACTGTCTCATCGCACAAAGAAAGAGATGGAAGACGAAGAGATCAATGACTTACTGCAGCAAGATCAGCGCACCTTCTTTGGCATGGAAATGTCTGCGCGCGTCGACGCCTCGTTAAACGAAAAGGATTGGCTGCGGAAAGAGTGGAGCTATCGGTTTCCAAGGACTTCTACACCTAGCTTCGGTGCAGGCGGCTCTACGAGTGGAAGACCGTCGCATCGTGAGCAGAAATTGTCCGGCACGCTGAAAACTCGGGCGGGGGGACCCGCACCCCCGATTGTTCCGGTTGATGATGATGCGAAGGCGGGAGAAGCGGAACACGACGCCTGGATAGCACCGGAGCCGCAGAATGGTAGAAAGCCCAGAATCGTTGACAAGAGCGTGCAGTCACCGCCACAGAAGTCGCCAGACCACCAGAATGCCCTGGCTTTTCTTCCCTCTCCCAAAGATTTGCGTGCAGCTTTGCGCGCGGTGAGGCAGGAGCTGCTATTGCAGAATCTGGAACGAGGTAGTAGTTCATCATCCAGCAGCTCTTCTTCCAGCTCGAGTAGTGCTACGGGGGAATCGGCAACCGAGACTACTGAAGAAAGCATCGACAGCTCGGAAATATCGCGCCTTGCGAGCAAGATCGCGGACGAGGAAATGAAAGAGATGGAAAATGCAGAAGAAACAGTAGGAGGAGTCCTCAGCGACGCGGAGACTTAGTTCTTTCGCTGGCGCGGCTTCTTCGAGGCTTTGGCTTTCATGCACTTCCACGTCGTAGATACAAATGATCCTGGGATGAATATCTGCAATGCTCAAGCTCAACGTCGTTGATCGTAAGTTGTTCGCAACCACTCCTCCTCGTCGTCTTCATCGTGGACTAGAATCGAGTCGTCTTTCATCTCGCGATGAATCGTGAATGCCCTGGAGTTCGACGACATCGCTTCGCCTTGCAAAACTGCCCCCTCGATGATGTAATCGAGAAGTGTGATGCAGGAGTAAGACAACAATAGTAGAGGCGGACTTCGATTCTAAAACAGATAAACACACGGAAGTTAATTTTGACAAAATGGATTTCAAGGTTGCGGAGAAGAATCTTCTCGGCGCTGCCGAGGAAATGATGTCCCCGAAGCGCCAAACTTTCCAGCACGGGGACCACGAAGACAACACCGATAGGGATCACAATAAAGCCGAACCAGAAATAAGCAAAGAGAAGGAGCTGCAGGAGCGGCACAAGCATTGGCAGCACGTGGAAAAGAATGAGCAGGATGGAATTCACCACCGCAAAACCGTCCTGGACGGGGACAGCGACGCCTGGCACGAGGAAGACAGTACGGAGCAGTCGGACGCGAATTCCGACCAGATTCCCTTACATTCGAACAGCGAGGGGTCGGACCGGGTCGTTCTGCATTCCGCACTGCAATCCGACTGCGACAGCGGGTTCGCGTCCCAGGACGAAAAGCTGGAACTGGACAAAAACCTCGGGATAGCGACGCACAAAATGGCGCTATCGCAATTCACCCGGCAGAGCGCGGAGTATGTGGCGCACCTACACGACGGGGAACTTGTTGACGTGCAGAAAGCGGTCCGGGAAGCGATGAAAACAGATATGGAAAAAGCCTTAGAGCGGACTTTCAAAGAGCTGAAAATCGACAAAAAATACCGCAACCCCCCGCCGGAGGAGGAAGAAGTAGGAGAAGCAGGAAAAAGCAGAAAAAAAGTGTCGTTTTCGACTGGTAAGAGCGGAAAAGCAACAGCAAAGGCGAAAACGAAAACCCCTGAGCCCAAGGCTGTAGGTGTAGCTGCGGCTGCGGAAAGCAGCGACACAGCTACTACAGTCGATGGTACACGGAGCAGGCGACCAAAGGCAAAAGCAAAGAAGAGAACTAGTGCTGCTTCCCGTAGTGCATCAGTAGGGAAAGTAGAAAAAGATGACCAACAGGACGATACTTGAGGGCCATGTTGACCGACCAGCCAGAAATCTGTGATTGAGCAGTCGCAAGAAGATCCTTTTTGACGCGATCGATCTTCGTTCCTATGTATCGCTTACCCTGCGCTGTTTGTTCTACCTTGCTTTTCATGTTTTTGACTCATGCCAAGGCTCTTCTGTCTCAATGTAGATCCCCTGTCTGTCGTCTCAACGCAGGTCCGATCATGGTGGTGGACGGTTTCTCAACGCACTCGTTTGTTTGTCGTGGCGTCAACATGATCTTGTCGACAGCAACTGATTGATCTTTCATCACTCTCGTTCGGTGACAAGAAGTTTGAGAAATAGGTGCTAAAACTTTTTGACGGTCCGATGGATTACCTCCGCAGCTGCCCCTTCGGTTGTGCACGTGCGAGAGAGTTCTCTTCAAAGTTGTCGAATCGCCACCCCTTTATTTTGCGATCAAAAACAAATTTTACGTTCTCCCTAGCTAATCCCATTCAAAGGAGTTACGATGCCCCCAAGAACCAGTGCAGACCCTTCAGCAGCGTGCCAAAATTCAACTGCTACAAAGTTCTCAAGGTTTCTGCTTCTGCGTCAAGCGCGGACATCAAGAAGGCTTACATCGAGGAGGCAAAGAAGCACCATCCAGATACCGGCGGTAGTGCGGAGCAGTTCAAAAAGGTGTCCGAAGCCTACGAGGCCCTCACAAAAGACAGGAAGGGGCACGACCAAGTGCACGAAGGGACGAGGAGTAGTAGTAGTTCCTCAGCAGCATCGGGCGGTGGAACATATGATACTAAATCATCCTCCTCCACCGGGGGGGCTCAAAGTAGAGGGTCATCTTCTACGAAAAATCCGTTCGACTTCAATACCGGCGGTTTTTCGTCGTCCAGTCGGCCAGATTTTGGGTTCGACTTCCGGAGTTACGACAGCAGGTCGGCGCCAGGATCGTCCGGCAGCTGGTACAGTGATTACGGGGTGCACGAGGCAGAGGGGTACGAAAATCCTTTTGACAACTTCGATGTGTATGGAGCGAAAGGTCGTTGGGGCCGCAGCGGTGCTGCGGGTCGTTCAACATCCGCCTCGTCTTCATCAACGAGAGACAAGAAGCGGCGGAGCAGCGCACCGGGATCCGCGTCCACGTGGGGCGCGTCGCCAGGATATAATGGGCAGAGTTCTTCGTGGGGGAGGGGGAAGAGAGGTAGCTCTTGGAACTACCGGAATAATTTCGATGAAACTGCTTTCTACGACGAGGACGAGTACGAGGCGTATGAGGCGTTTATGCAAGAGAAAATAGCCCGGAAAGCCGCGAAGAAGGCCGAAAAACGACGGCGGGAGCAGGAAAACATGCGAAAAATGTACGAAGATTTCGGAGCAGCTGTCAATGGGGAAAACGAGGATGTTTACGAGGAGTTCGAGATGTATACAAGGAGACCTCGGGGCAACAAGAAGCCTGCGGGCAAAGTAGATAAGGGCAAGGAGGAGGACGCGAAGACCAAAAAGGGTCCGGCCGAGAAGAGCGCGAAAGAGCCTGATTCTTCTCAAAAGTTCGGACGTGACAAAGCTGAGGACGGCGCGGAAAGGCAAAACAAGGAAAGTCGGGGGACCACGAAGGAGTCATCTAATGCGCGAAAGCCAAAAAGTGAGAAGGTTCGAAGCGCGTCTCCGAAAGAACCTGCGGGGGACAAAAAACCTGCATCCGGTTCAGAAAAAGTCGCAGCTGCACCATCGTCGAGCTCTGCCAGACTTGACCAGCCGTCGCTGTTGCGTGTGAGCTGCTCCGACTTCCCTCGTATCGCGGGGGTGTACCTGCGACTCACTCGGCTTGCGAAAAAGCATTGGCAGGTGTTTGAGAAGCTTCCCGATAGAATAGCGTCGGATGAAGGTTGTGCCCCTCGCACTGGCCATGAGCCGTGTTTTTTCAACCGGTTTGTGATGCCTCCTTCGAAAATCGAAAAGCAGTCGCAAAACTCTGAATCGCAAGGAAAAACGCAGAAGAAAAACGAGAATCTGGTTTCCTTCTTTAGCACCTCGCTTCTGCAGCACCAGTGCGGGCCACGGAGTCAATTTGTTGGTACGGACGAAATTGCTGGGAGCGCTTCCTCTCGATCCACCGTGGCCGAGCGACAGCTCCAGTATGTACAGGAGATCGTGAACAACGAGAGCACGGATGATCATGCTGGTATTCTATTCCGGCTGCATCACACGGCTTCAGGGAAAAATCTGTCTTTTTGCTCCCTGGGTCCGTCGTGGGTGACGGGCGAAATCGTTCGTGGAGCGTATCGCGTTACGAGCAAATCAGAAGGAAACCCGACGGAAGTTCAGCTGATGATCGAAGACGAAAATGCCTGCGAAAGCGCGTCAGACCCTTCGCAGTGGTCACTGCCAGCTTTGGACTTTTTCCTGCGAAGCAGACATCTGTTGACAGAGGACGCGAAATTATCTCTAAGGTCGGACTACGAGGGTATGGTTTCCACGTTTCTCGCAACGACGCGCCACAAGGTGTATGAGTCGTCGGAAGCGGCGGGAACAGGGGGCAACAACACACAAAATGCGAACTCCGCTGCTGATGAAGAAGAACGCTGTAGCAGTGATTTCTCTTCTTCGACAGTAGAGGACGATTCTTACGACGGAAATAAATCTTCTCCCGAGGTAGACGCGGACGACAGAGAAACCCAGGAGCACGAGCAGACCCAGTTTGATCCAAATGCGTGGCAGAGTGACCACAACTTCTGCGGTTCGACGCATATACCTAATATCGACGAGGATGACGCTGACACGCCCCGGCACCGCAATTTCCGGGGGAATGGAACAGCAAAAAGTCAAACGGAGGACAAAACAAAGAGCAAGGCGAAAAAATCGTCTCCAACCTCCTGGAGACGACATGAAAGTAAACTAGGAAAAAAACAGAGCCACTCTCAGGCGAACAAGAGTAGTGCTAGGGCGCACAGCTTCGTTGATCACCATGCCTATTCTTTCTTCACCATTGACCCGTATACGGGAAGTGCGCGGAAGCACCGTCGGAATCCTATGGTCGTTGTCCCTCGTGTGAAAGGGTCGAACCGTACCCGCGATAGGCGGGGCAACTTGAACTGCAAGAAGAGGCAGCGGTCTCGGTACGATTGTTACGATTGGTGAAAAAGTACTAAGTTTTTGGCTCAGAGGAGAAAATGAAATGAATCAGAACTGAAAGAAGTTCAAAGACGCCACAACATAGGTTCCTAATGAAAGAACAATTATGTCGGCTTTTGCTGTTTGGCAAGAACCTTAGTGTGCCCAGTAGTGTCGGTCCTAAAAATAGCCCTAACATTGGAAAAAAAAAAGTAAGCCAGGAATAGCTTATTCTCGGTTCTTTCAGTGCATGTGCATCTAGTATAACATCTCGGTTTTCTAAGTAGATTCACTTCTAGCCTCGTGCTTTCGGTCTATTTGCCTCGTCCACATACACCATTCGTTTTTTTCGTCCAACGATTATCGGTTTTCTTTTGTTGATACGGTATTGCAGTCGCGCTTCTTTTCTGCGATCGTTCATGTCGTCTGCGTTAAAAATTTTCAATCTTGCGACTTTGCTACCAGGTACCCCCCAAAATATCTGGATCACTACACAAGAAGCCTATCCCATATTTTCCTTTGCGCGCATTATACACGAACTAATTCGTTTAACTGATTTTCGACTTTCCCGCACTGTGACTGTAGTTTTAGCCTCTACATTCCTCAAGTCCTTTTTGAAATCGCTAGCCACAAATGTCATCTTCAGAGGAGGACCTCGAGGACGATATTCCGGAGGAGGGTGGCCATAAGATCTCCCGCGCTACTAGCGGTAGCGCCCAAGAGCGGGACAGCATAGGCCTTACGGTCGTACCAACTTCGAAGAAGGCGAACGATTTGACTGCCAGCGGTGGCTCATCGCGGAAAAAGCCGGTACCCGTGCGAACTGGAACCGAGGATCTCAATGCCGACGTGCCGGTGGGTAAAACCACCGCCGCTGCGGCTCCAAAGCGGCTCAGCATCCCGGAGGCCGAGACCGTGAAGCCAGCAAGGCCTATGCCGAAGGGTAGCAGTAGTCCCGCTACGACCGCGAAGAGTGAAACACCAAAACCAGCGGCAGCGGAGGAGAAAAAGACCGAGGAGAAAAAGATCACACCAACGGCAGCAGTGGCAGTTTTGCCTGCAGCTACCGTAACGTCAGAAGCTTCCGACACCGGAAAAAAGCTACCGACCCCGAGCGATGCCACCAGCACCAAGCCCGCACGGCCGCCGCCAAAGAGGAAGTCTGAATCGGACGAGAAATCGAAACGAAAATCCAAAAAAGAGGACGATAAGGAGAAATCCAAGCGGAAATCAAAGAAGGAGGACAACGATGCAGAGGGGACCGCTCCGGTGAAGAAAAAGTCCAAGGAGGCATCAACGTCGGAGAAGAAATCTGTCAGGGTCGACGACAGCAGTAAAAAAGAGGACGGCGAAAATAGTAGACCCGCGCGGCCCGGACGGCCGGGGGCGAAGCCAGCTTCAAGGCCCAGCGCGGGGATGCCGACGGTGCAGAAAACAAAGACCGAGGGGGTTTCAACCGCTGGTGGCGCCACTGCGGACAATGAGGAAAGCAACGAATCCGACGGACTGCAAAGCCACCCGCACAAGCAGTCGTCCGTGATGCATTTTGACGAGATTCTGAATGCTAGCGACGCGGAGGAACCGACGTCGTTCGCGACCGCGCGCGACGAGCAGGCGTGGCTCGAAGCTCAGAAGGCGAAAGAGGATTTTTTAGCCTCTATGGGTCGGTCGTTGAAGTCTCCGACCGGGCCCCGGGCCTCGGAGCAGCTGGAGGAGCGCAGCGCGGGGGTGGCGACGCTTGGTGGGGCCGTGGACGGGTTGGATGACGAACCCGTCAAAATGCCAGTTCCCGAGCACGGCCCGGAAGCGGTCGGGAAGGACGGCGAAGAGGCGAACGGCGAGGACTCTGCGCCCTCGGTCAAGCAGGCCGCGGCGGCGGTGAAAGCGACCATCAGTTCTATGGCGGACGGCGACAGCGACGAAGCCAGCCACTTGCCAAAACAAGCGGCGGCAAAGCGGCCCGCGCGACCCGTACCAAAGGCATCGACTAGTACAGCAGCAACCAGTACTAGCACAGAAACTACAACTGCAGAATCCAACGAGAGCCGTAGCGTCCCCCCTGCCGATACCAGTCAGGTAGCATCGATCGGGAAGAGACCGCCGTTCCGGCCGAAAACAAGAGCGTCGACCGTGCCAAACTTTGAGAAGGCCGGGACGATGACGACCGACGGGGACGGAGCCGCAACCACCGACCCATCCAACCAGGCAGCGACATCCACACTGCTGGAAGAGGAGGACAATTCGGATTCGCAGTCCGAGGCGGAAGACAGGAAGAAATTCGTGGAGAACCTCGACGGGGACCCGGACCGCACCAAGGCAGACCTGCAAATCTTCCAGAAGAAAGCACAACAGATGGCGCCAATGGACGTGGACGCGCAGAACATTTTGTTCGGAGACAGCACGTACGAACGCGAGTTCAACGGCGTTTTCTCCACGGCGCAGGACCGACACAAGGAAAAGCTGCGGGAAAAGAAGGACCATTTGAAGCAGTGGGAGGAGCTACTGATGGAGAAGCCTCTGCTGGACTTGCTAGAAATGGAGTCTATGTTTGAACCGAAAAACTCCGACTTCCCGAACGAGGACGCCATCGTGCGGACGCCGATCAATCACAGCAAGTTGACGTACACAAAGAAGAAGTGGTTCGGACTGGTGCAGAAGGAGAAGGAAGACACCAACGAACACTACGGACTTGCGGCCATAGGAACGCCAATTTTGCAGAAGAACGGGGGCATTAGAGTATTAAATGAAGTTTATTTCTTTTTGCAGCGATCTTCATCTTTTGTTCGTTTTTCGTTTTGTTCAAGAAGGAACTCATCACGTAGTAGCTCTTGTCATGCAAAGACGCATATGTGTTTTTCCAAAATTCAAAATCAGGGTGACTTGAGCGGTTATTTCGAGTTCGACCTGGACGACGCTTTTGTTCCCCGTATAGACGACTTGAAGGGCACCGGTCCCGACCGGAACGCCACCAGAAGGTATGCCTTGGAGGTGATGGGCAAGTGCTTCAAGGTCGTGAAAGTGCAGCAGCGCGGGAAAACGGGCAAGCGGTATTTGCAGTTTCGAGAGGACGGGATCGTCTTCTTGAAGCCGAAATCTTCCGAAGAGGACGACCTGGAGCACCACCGCATCCCCTACGGAAACATCAAGGAGATATTCCTGAAGCCGCAGGTATGAATTGCAAAAATGTCTGGGTCTGGAAGATTGCGAGGTTTGTCATGCTGATCTGGCATGGCCCTTAAATCTGTATTGCGTGGCCACAAACAGCCTCTCTCGCCTGTCATGCAAAAACGCAGTTTCTCATGCGGAATACGCAGCACAGAAGCACGAAGCAACTTGTCGTGCTTGGCGGCGCATTACAGTGCATTTGTTATTGACTGACTTGCATCACAAGGTTCCAGACCCAGACGTTTTTGCATTTCATAGCAGGGCAAGAAGAACGAAATGAAGGAAGCGAGAAGTACCGCCATGCGGTGTGTGTATATGGAAATCGAAACTCCGGGGGCGGAGAAGGTGAAAACCAGAACTGGGAGCAAGGAAGAGAATAACAAAAACCTCGCGGTACCACCAGCGTCGCCGGGCAACAATCCGTCCGGCGCCAGTGCGGTGACGGCTCTCTCGGTGGTAGCGAATGTGACCAATTTGGCGACCCCCAGTTCTAAAGCGGGGGGAACCCCATCTAGTTCCTCAACTTTTGGTGCTTCGGAGCCCGTGCCGGGGGTCTTCCTCTGTTTCCAGAACATGAAGGACGCGGAGATCGCCCTTTCCGCGCTGGTCTGGTTGATCAAAATTGGTCCGTTGCGCGGTATCAAAGTGGCGACGGATGACGACAAACCGAAGTTCGTTAAGGGCAACGAGGTGCGGAGAGAGAGGCCTCGGAAACTGATGGCGGCTGGCTTTTCGCGGAAGCTCTACGCCGACATGACGCACTACTGCGGCGAAGTTTCGCCGGAGGGCAAGCGCCACGGGCGGGGGGTCATGTACAGTGAGGGCTGCGTCACGACGGGGTACTGGAGGTACGATCTGCAAACCGGCCCGGGGACGGAGTTGCATTTAGACGGAACGTCATTCACGGGGATGTACAAGGAGGACAGAAGAAACGGCTACGGCATGATGCAGTGGGACGGCGGGGCGGAGTACCAGGGGGTGTTCGTCGCGGGCAAGGCCAGTGGCGCGGGGATTCTCATCCGCAGTGACAAGAGTTACTACGTCGGGCAGTTCGACAATGATGCCATGCACGGCCAGGGCGAAATGATCTGGGCGGATGGAACGAAGTACATCGGCCAGTTTCAGCAGAACAAGCGGCACGGCGTCGGGATCATGGCGTGGGCCATGGACAGAAACGAGCAACAGGTCGACGCGGAAGATGAGGAGCAGCCCAAGTGGAGTCGGTACTACGGCGAGTGGGTGCGCGGGAAGCAGGAGGGAATTGGAGTTCTGTTGCTGAAAGACGGAACGAAGTGCCCCGGCGTGTTTCATGCAGGGCAGTTGACAGACTGGCTCGATACGTAGGGAAATTGTGCGTTTCTTTGGATTGTTTTTCGATTTTGTAAAACTCGTCTTGCAAAGCAAGAGCATATTCACACATAGCGATCAACTGTGTACTTTTCACAAATCGAAACATGATGTCGTGATATTTTTTTTCCTGTATTCGAAAGTGTGTTGAAAAGAACATTTGACAAGGAAAACGAAATCAATGTGTACTCTCATCCATCTCTCGAGCGTGTTCCACGGAATGGATTTTCGTTCTATCTTTGCCTGGTAAGAAGTTCGGCGCAATCGTTTGCCGTCGCTTGTTTATCGTATTGGGAAATCCTTTCTTTTAATCGTGTGTGTCGTTATTAATTTCCAAGGTCGCGCTCACCTTTGTCGTGTCTCGTCTGGTCTGCCTTGGTTTAGCTGAGAGCAGAGCGATGTCGACTACTTGGCTGATTTTGGTTTGATGTCGTGGACGAAATCGTCGTCCCGAGAGAGAACAAAAGTGATGAGAACCGGCTTGATGAAGAAAGGTCTCTGGCACGTACTCCCGTAGCATTTTCACTGCGTCGTTTCTGTATGTCCTAGAAGGGAGCAGAGTTCTTGGTAGCTGCGGCTGCAGTCCAGGCGTATTCGTGCTTTACCAGGCGAACCAAATTATGGTGCAACTGAAAGTGGGTACGCGGCCCTCCAGCGGGTCGACGGCGAAACTGCGGACCGTCCATGCAGCCCCTATGCCCGGCTCCGCGGTCCGGGCGCGGCAGCTCAGTCGACCCGGAACGGCGAATCGTGCGGTGGTGTCAAGTACGATGTTGCCACCGATCGACATCCAGCCGGGACAGGAGGACGTTAACTTCGCTGTTGGAACTACGGTTGAACATCACCAGGAGCCGCTCCACTCTGGTGAGGAAAACGCGTCTCGAGAGCTGGAAGATTCTTCCGCAGGCAGAACCAACCACGACAGGTTTTTCCTGGCGGAGGACAGCCAAGACCTCGATCAGAGCGCCTCCTCCGCGAGCCGACACCACAGCTCGACGCAGGAGAGCCGGCCTGGGACGCACAGAAAGAAGAAAAAGTACATTATCGAGAAACAAACATCTCTACGCGAGCTCATCGGGGACCAGGCGGTGGTCCGCCCGGATTCCCGCGCATCAGAGACCTTCGAGCAGCTGTTCTCACCGGAAATCGCAAAAGAGTTGTACGACGCGCTGGAATCGGTGCAAAGGTTGACTCACGACAGGGTAGCGGATAGCGAGTACCGGATTTCCAAATTGCTGCACCAGAGCCCGGCACTGCGGCAGCAGCTAGAAGATACGGTGGTGAATCAGCGCGCGGTCGGACACCAAGCGGGCCAGCAGCGAAACCAGCAGGACATGTTGAACAAAAATGCGTACAATACCCCACCGGACTTGTCACGGCCAGGCACTGCTGCGTTTGTCACTTCCAGTGCAGACGAGGGGGTAGAGATTTTCGAAAATCACAATTATGACCAACAGATTCCTCACGACGGTCGCGGACCGCTAGATGCCGAGCGGTCTTTCCAGGAGCACTTGTCGCTGATGGAGTACGACAAAGATCCCGCACAGAGCCAGATCGTACCGGTCACACCAATGTACGACCCTGCAGCACACCAGCAAAGTTTCCACACCGCCTCCATCATTGCGACGCACGCTGCGTTGCGCGAGCATTTGACTTCACGTGGCGGGAAGAGCAAAATCCAAGCGGGTGAGACCACGGAGCTAAACTTGGACCCAGTCGCGCTGCAAAAGTACAGCATCCCGGGTGGTGGCATCGAGTGGGACAAGGTTGAGAAATTGATGGGCACGGAAGCGAGGCTGCGGCAGAAGCGGCAGCAGGAGTTTCGGGTGAAAAAAACAACCGAGCGGAACCGAGCGCTGAAGATCCGCATGAAAGCAGACTTGGAACTTGCTGCCAGCAATGCGGAAAAGCTCGGAGCGACCGACGGCGCCGACATCCTCCCGAACGTCGTGCAAGATGAGCGGGTGAAGCGTATTGAGAGGCCAGCGAGTCGGAATCGTACCTTCACCACGGAGCGCCGCGAGGTGCCACGGTTAAACAAAGTCCCACTTGCAGAGGAATTCCGACGGAGCGATTTAGGTATGAATATGGTTGCGATGGTTGTATTTGATATCGCCTCTATTTGGAATCGGCGATCTTCTTTCGCACTTGTGAATGAGAATGACGTTAGCAATGAGATCGAAACACACACCTTGCAGGCTTCGCGGAACCGCGCCTCGTCCGGCAAATGCACGGCGTGTTTTCGCCGAAGAGCGCGCCGTACTACCTGCGCAAGAGCACGGCGGAGGGGGAAACGACTGACGAAGAGTGGCAAGAGTTCGCGCCGCGGACGGCTGCTAGCGAGCTTGCGCCGCCGAGGTTGGTGCGTGCCGGGCGTTTTGTGGACCATTTCCCGCAAGGGCCGCAAGATTTAGTCTTGCAAGGCTCCGGGTGGAAGCCGCTAGTACAACAGCAGCCACTCGCGATACCACAGATAGCAAACAACCGGGCCGCTGGAGCTGGAGGGCCGAGTACTCGAACAATGACCGCCCCGGCGCGGCAACTGAACACGACGAAAACGGAGATGATTCAAATCGCCCTACCGCCCGAACCGAGGGCCGTGCACTTCCGCGAAGAGGTGTCGCAGGAATTTCCGTCGATTTCCTCCGCGGCTCCGTCGCCCGCGTCCCCGGAGCTGCCCTTCAGCCCGTCGCCGCAGAAGCCCTTAGGTGCGCTGAATGCAGGGACGTCGCCGAGCACCCTGGTTGCGAATGCCACGCCGCTTGGCGCCGTGCGGAGTCCGTCGAATTCGCCTGTGAAAAAGCCCCGCGCACGGCCGGCTTCCAGTCCGGCGGAAGGAATGAGTCAGCAGTTGCCGCCGATGCCGATGTATCCGCAGGAGCCTGAGGGAGTGGGTGTGGAGCTGGAGATCGTTCCCATGCAGAGGCCGAGGAGTAGCGAGACGCCGCCGCCGCGACGTCCGAGCACCTCCCCCGAGCGCCCGCGTTCTGTAGACGAGCTGGCACAACCAAAAAAGCGGCCGAGCACCGCTTTTTCGGAAAGTCTGTTGTCCGCACGGGGAGAGACGAACCGGCTGCACTCAGCTCGGGGACACTACGAAGAAGCGCTCGTGCAATCGGTATGCCATGTGGACTACGTTGCATAGGTCGATGAGTGTGATGAATGTTTTTCTGTTGGCAGAAATTGTGTTTTTTGCGCAGCAAGATGGGCTTTTCAAAATAAAAACAGATGACGCCTCAGCGGAGGGAAATGCTAACGCCCGGGAGTAGGCTAGATCGCGGCGGCTACAGGCCTGATATTCCAGCATTGAAGCCAAAGGAAGCACAACTGCAATGGACCAAAGAGTTCTTGGAGGATCGCGGCGAGTACGAACTTATGTTTGTCGTAGTTGTGCTTACAGAGACTGAAGTAGTTGTGAATCGGAGTCAGATGCTAGCTTTTGTGCTCAGCTTGATATAGAATTTCCGTTGCTCCCTCCTGCAAGTGTGAGTTTTTCCAAATCGAATCACCCACTAGGCCCGTGGTAGCCGAAGTAGACCCAGACCCAGGCTCAAGCGCCCCGATGTCTCCGACCACCTCTGCCATCGATCGCAGCGTGGAATTCGAAGCTCCGCCGCAAGCGTCGCTCTCCGACGTGGACAAAATGTCCGACCTGCCGGTACCTGCACAGGAAACCGGATCGGAGAAGACCAGTCCCCGGTCGCGGCACTCGTCTTCTAAAGAGGGGTCGAAGCAGGGCTCCCCCCGGCCGCCCCAAACGTGGATCGACGCGGTCAACTCGCGGGGACCCTCGCCGCAGGATATCGACGTGGCGAAAGAAATCATTTTGAAGCCGGTACTGGACCGCGCCGGCGTGACGGAGGACCCAGAAGTTGGGGATGAGGAAGCTGTTGCGGAAGTTGTAGAGCCACGGCCATCCACGCCCAGTAAGGCACTACAGTCAGCCGCTAGTTCCCGACCGGTGAGCCGCGGGACCAGCGGAACGCCCTCGCGCCCGGTCAGTCGTGCCGATTCCTCCCGTCCGATCAGCCGTGGCGAATCGCAGGGAAAGCTCGTCATGCACCCGCGACCGGGCGGCGGCTCGCAGCGGTCGACACCCGTGAATTCTCCCCGGCGGTTGTCCAAGGATCGAGCTAAGGCGTCCCGCACGGTGCAAGATTTGGAGGAACTGGAGCGATTGGAAAAATTGGCACAGGAACAAGACTACTCGATCGAGTTCCCGCACCCGGAGAAGATGGAAGTCTCCATAAGTACCGAAGAAGGGGCGACGTCCGTGCGTGTACAGAAGATCCGCTCCATGGTGCTCAAGGAAATTCAGGAGAAAACGAAGCCAACGAAGCTACTGGAAAACGTCAGCCGGGACAACAGTAAGAGTCTTGGGGCGTTTTTCGTTTTCAGTCCTGATTGTTTTTGCTACGCCATAGTCATGTGCACCTGTAATGCTAACGGACTTTTCTCAATAGTTTTGAACTCAAAACTCACAGTCGGCCTCCCGGACAAGATCCACGACTACCTCTCGTTTCCACTGTACAAGCGTCAGCCGAACCCGGTGGATCTGGAGCATTCCGTGGAAATGGACATTTGGTACCTGCTTTTTGCAATGGCGATAATTTTTGTACCGTTGTGCTGCTTTCTCGGATATGAAGCATGCTGTTATTTGAACAGACTGCTCAAGATGAATATCACAAACGCAAACACTAGGTTACGGAAGGGCTGGAACCGCAAGGAAAAGTGGGAGATCAAAACCGATCCTGTGGACAGGTTTCTGGCGGGCGCGGGGCAGGGAAAATTTCATCGGACCCGGTAGGGAAAAGCATACAGAGAATAAAGCACACAAGTTGTTCATTGCAGAGAATACAGCCAATGTTCTTATTTTCATTGTCACGAAGCTCTCGGAAAAAACTAAGATTTGACGCGAGAAGCAACCTGCTGCGCGAAAAGACGGATCAAAAAGCGCACGGTCAACAGTTTCAAGATGATGTAGATGTTGCAGCAAAGAAAGACTACATTAAGTAAGTACTTTACTTGATACTTCACCTGGCAGAGTCGGGATCACGGGGACACAAATTGAAGTAACTCCTCGTGAGTACAACTGGTATTTGTGTCCCAAAGTGCTGAGTTTTAGAAGGTTGCGCTAAGGATTTCGGTATTCATTGCAAATGGCCCTGCAGAGTTTGCGACAAATCGTGAAATGTTGAACTTCTCCAGAAATCGCTTGGCAGAAGTTTATCTTTGCAAAGACCCATTGCAACAAGGTTGCTGACAAATCGTGAACAAATCGCACAAAGTCGTCTGGGAAAAATCGGAAAGATGTCGGCATCTTTCAAATTGGACGCGGTTGATTAGTTTATCTTGTCGATCGCCGAGCATCTATCTTGACCGTGAGTCCTATTTCGGTGCGATGAACCAGGATCAATTCAAAGATCAACGTCAACTCAATAACGAAATCTAAAGCTTTTCGAAGCAATAATAAAAAACTTTTCGAACCAAGCCACAAGCAGTTCTGCCCTACTCCCAGTCGAAATTAAAACACGAAAACGCGCGTGGATGTGTCCGAGTTAAGTGCCGACCGACTACGACATGCCTTCGCCCGTGCATCCGTCCATTGGACTTCCGGGTGTCTCTAAGGGGTATGAGTTGCCGACGTTATTGCAATGCCCCGCTGGGACGTTATCTCCTGCTCCAGAAAAGCAGGCCGAGGCGCCAGGTCAACCTGAGAAGATCTCACACCCTCCGCCGGCAGGACAACACCCCGCTTCTCCGTCGCGATGTGGACCGGAGTCCCGCCTCGCCCACCTCCTGCGGAAGCACTTCGCGGAGCCTCCCAGCGCCCAGTCCTTCGCCTTCAACGTTTTCGAGCACTATGTTGAGATGTCGGCCGCCATTGCCGTGGCCATCGACGCCTACCTGAGCGACATGCACTCGCTGCTGTTCGTGACGCTCTTCGGGCTCATCCTTCCGCCGCTCTGCCACGCGATAAACACGTACTTCGTGCTCTCTATCGTGAAAAACGAGATGCCCGAACGCGAAAAGCTCTACGAGTCCTTCTTCGCAGCCCTGAATCTGAACCGCTTGCGGGAGGCGCGCAGGTTTCTGAAGGGTCAAGCGCCTATCTGGAGTCTCCACTTCAAAGACCGCCTTGGCAACCTCACGCTGTGCGCCATTCCGTCGTGCATCATCAGTCTCTCTACCCTCATGCGCAACGTAGGTGACTTCAACCGCGGGCTGGTCGTTTTCGAGCTGATATTCGTTTTCGTGATGTCGGCGACACAGGTGCAGGTAGTGCACACGTGCCACGGACCACCGGGCAACATGCAGAAGTACCGTGTGTGGGGAATAAAAACTGGAGAAGATTCTCTTCCGTCTGACGGCGCGGGCAAGCTGCTCTGCCACGCCCTCTCGGCTTTCCTTATCGACGTTTCTCAGGTGGCCTATCGGCTCCTTCTGCTCACCCTCCTGACGGTGTTCTGCGGCTGGTCCGCCACGGTCGCGGTCCTCGGCGTGTACGCGATCGTCACGACCTTGTTGGTACGGATCGGGCTGTCGCTGGTGCCGGCTTATCTCGGCTACGTGGACATCATGAGCTGCATTACAGGGCTCGAGACGGCGCTCTACGACTACTGCTGGCTGGAGCCGGTCCCCGTGTACTCGTTCTACAGCGAGGCACACTTTCCGCTTCGCGCACTACAGGCAATGGTGATGGTGTGGCTCATCCATCTGAACTGGACAGATGCGGCCGTCGCCGATTTGGACGAAGATGTCCTCGGTCTGACTGTCGGCCTGGCTGCCGTTTTCTCTGCTTTATATTTTGCGTTGTACCCGGTCTACATGTACGGCGTCAACAGGCATCGTTGGCGCGAGTCGAAAACTCGAAGAGACGAATTCTTAGCTACCATGTACAAAAAGCGGGTCGAAAGACTACAGTCGAAGATTTAGGAGATGGATATTTATTTTTTACGATCACACTCACAGTCACAATGGAATGTGACACAGACATTCCACCTGCATATCAATAACGAGGACAAGTTATAACGTTCTGGCTTCTACAATCTACATCTACTAAATTAATTGGCGGTTTTCGTTTTTTGGTTTGATTTTTTTGTGTAATGCTAGGCCTAGGCTTATCCTTATGTTTCAGAGGTCAGAGGAATTGTGATCAGCTCGGATAAGAAGGTCAACAAGAAGTTTCAAAAGAACACCAAACAGCAGGAAGTAGAAGCAAATTTCGGTGTCGGTGTCGAGCGTGTAGGTCTCTGACAGTCGATTTGTCGTCCTTGTTCCTGTTGCCGTTCCCGGGAGTGAAAGATATCATCGGTTCCGCCACTGCATTGATTGATTTTCTTCCTTCGTGCCATGCATGGCGTGTCGTTGCTCAAGTGAATTCGCCAAATTGTGTTGCAAAAACTCTTTGTCGTGAAAACCGGTTCGTTGCAAAACCGCCATAAAAATCGTGCAAATCCGCCAAATTCGCTTTCGTTACGCCAGTGAAGCAACATCATTCTGTCGTTCCGACGTCGACGTTTCCGAATTTTGGAATTGCAGAACGGGGACCTAAATAGAGCACTGAAAAGCAATTGATAATTTGGAACAAAAGCTAAAAGTGAGACCGTGTGAAAATGCCGGTGCGCAAAAACGATGCGAAGCGCGTTCACGCTCCGCGCCCGGTAAAATTGAAAAAGGGCTTGTCCAGTAAGCCCATTGCGACACTCGGTAACGGGGAAGCACAGCAACACGAGAAGCTCAGCCTGTTCGCTGTAGAACCTCTTCAACGAAGCGATCTTGTGAAGTGCACGGGATACAAAAAAGCCGTGACGACGCTCTACCATGCCACCAGTGAAAAAAGTGCAGCGAGCATTGTTCAACAGCAACGGCTCTTCGGCGGAACGCAAGGCAGTCTCGGGGGCGGTATTTACCTTTGCAAATCGCCTGTCGAGGCGAGGATGCGACAACGCGCTGTCGGCCAGGCTAAAGATGCCGTGGTCTTGGAATGCACGGTGAAAACTGGCAATGTGGCGGTTGTGCGATCGGGCAAAAAGGTGGACGTGGCGAAGTTGAAAGCGTTCGGGTGCAGCACCGCTAAGGAGGAGGGAAAAGATGTGTGGATGGTGCCCAGTTCTAGTTGGAATAAGATAAACGCAAATCCACCGCTATCACGATGAGAAGGCCGTGCAAAATCCTTCCCCGAAGATTTTATCGTACTTCTCCGATTCTGATTCATCGTCGTGGTGAGGAATAGAATTCGGTGGACCAACGCAGAGTACATTACTCATATCGGTTTCGGAGTGTAACAGTTTTTTGTAGAATGAACGGAATGAAATGACATACCAGTGGTCAATTGTTGATTGTAAGCAAACAAAAACTGACTCAGCCCTTCGTTTTTTTTGTTTCCGAATTTGAAGTAAACAAGTTAGTATGCAGCAAACTCCGGAGCACCAGTCGAGAAGCTGTCCTTCTGTGTTATGTTGACTTCCTAGTGACTGTGTCAGTCTGCAAGCGTCGGTTTTCAGCGGAGCTCAGTTGATAATGTCAACAAACTCTGCTACCGGTGCCGCATTGAGGCTCTGTTGCTGCGTTTCAAAATGTCGTGCTTGGGCACCCTGGTATGGCAACCAGGCGTTCTACTTCGGCGTAATAATAAATCAGTGGCTTCCATGGATTCAGTTTCAGGGGAGATATTTTTCGGGAACGGTTGTTGTAGCCTATGGATCGGTTTCGGGAAAACAAAGAAAAAACAAAAAGGGAACGCATCGCAAAGTCGGGGCCCAAAGCCATTTCATCGTTTTTTTTCGTAAAGAAATGAAATGACTCATACACAAGAGTTCAGCATGAAGAACTGTAGACGTCGTTTAGAACAAACAAATAGTCGAAGGCAGCGTACTTTTAGGAGGTACTACTCCTCATTTTGTTGCTCGTTTCATCATTCGATTCCTTCGTGTGCGTCTGTCTCGCGTTACCGCAGGAACAAAATTATGCCGGGCTGGGGAGTTCGTAAACAAAATCAGAAAGTACGTGCGCCGCTCTCCGCGAGACAACGACAGGCAGCGCCGGTCAACAACGCGAAACCCAGCAACAATGCGTGGCAACCTGTTACGCCATACGATGTCGCGGCGGTTTCGCAGGACATGGGGTACGTGACGCTTTATCATGCGACATCTCCCCAAAACGCCGCGCAGATTGTCCAGTCGCAATGGTTAAAACCCGGCAACGGCGGGGAGTTAGGTCCCGGAGCGTACTTCTGCGCGGACCCAGATAATGCGAGATTTCGACAGCGCGCAGTGCCGGGGAAGGGGTACGCAGTAGTGCTCTCTGCACGGGTAAAAGTCGGCGCCACGGCCTGTATTACAAGCGGCAAAGTTGTCGACGCGGAGTTTTTGCGCAGCTTCGGCTACGGGAGCGCGAAAGTGTACGAGAAGGATATCTACATGATTCCGGGGTGGGGCAGCTGGCAGAAGATTACAAATATCATGTATCACACCGGGTAGACGGGGCGCGCCTGGTTTTTTGCCACACATCTTCATGATCCAAACGAAAGACATAAGCAATGTCAGTGTTGCCGCCGATGTACATAATTCTGTGAGAAGCGACACAGTTTCTGTACTAAGGCAACAACGCAGTTGTATCATGTTGGGAAAGTCATTCACTGTAGTACTGTGTAGTTGGTCAAATCGTTCATTTACCCATTCAAATGCACTACTGTTTGCGCACTTGCTAGGTTTTCGTTATTTTTCCTTGAGAAGCTGCAACGTTTCTGTCTTTTGCTGTGTTCTCGTCCAACGATACTGCGGAAACTTTTTGATTTTGGATTTTGTCTGTCGGCGTGAAAATTCAAGTAGTGGTGATCCCATAGCACGGGAAGCAGCACAAGCATCGGTTTTGGTTCATCCCCTGAGTATAAAAGATCAGTCGTTTTGCGTCCTGCTTCTGTCGGTTCTTTGAGCAGTTTCAAGACAACATCAGCATGTAGTCTATCGGATCAAGATTGGTCGCTTCATTCCCGAAAATATTTTGGATATCAATTCTTTTTTCGAACTAAATCAGTGCCCCGCCCTGCTGGACAGAAATTGACGCACCCACCAGAATATCCCCCGAAGAATTACATATTCATACGGCATTTCAATTTTCGTAACACGCAAGGAAAGATTGGTATTTACAGCAACATCTTACTTTACACAAATCTACAGCGAGTACACACAGCAGCATGGTCTCTTTCCGGGGGAAGAAGAAGGGGCAACTGCCCAAGGTGCCGTCGCGATTGTCTGTGCGAAAACAAAATAACAAGCCTTGGCGTGGTCAGCCGCAACGGAAATCGGAACAACGGGACACAAGGGCGAGGCTGCGGGAGATGGCACGCGAGAAACTTAGCGGAAACGAAAAAGCGAGCGCGATTGCCGGAGAGCCCCTATCTCACAAGAATGTGATGAGCTACCAAAAAGTTGTTGGATGGAAACGGCTGTACCACGCCACCTCGAAGGAACGTGCTGGGAAGATTGTTCTTCAGCAACGGCTTATTGCAGGAGAGGAGGGATCGCTGGGAGGGAACATTTATCTCTCGGAAAGTGCCGAAGAGGCCAGGCGGAGGCAGAGGGCAGTGGGGGACCACTCCAAGGCTGAAGTTCTGGAGGTCACTGTGCGGCTTGGGTGGGTTGCCGAAGTTGAAACGGATACGGTAGTCACCTCTCAGTGGCTGAAAAGATTGGGCTGCAATTCTGCCAAGGAGTACGGTGTAGATGTCTTTTGCATTCCCGACGAAAGTGGGGAGTCCGGCGTCAAGAATATACGGTTTGCTCCGGAATACAACGACGATCTGAAAAACCGGCGATCAAGCTATTACAGTGAAGGGCGCACGTCGCTTTGTTCCCGTTTTTCCAGTCGTTCGTGGTATTGACACGCATTTTTCTGTGTGATTTCATGCACTCATTTTGTTGAACATGAACTTGCGCTATTGTTAAAACCGATGGTCGCGCACGCACTTTTTTTGACTTCTGATGCAGTTTCTTTTATTGACGCTCGAGATATGTACTTGATTTCGCTACTAGAAATGCAAACGGAAGAGCTAGGTCGATCGTGCTCGTGCAAATGTGCGATTGTCAGAACTCGCATGGATCCTCGATGTTCAGTGTAGGCACGCAACAAAATTAAAAATGAAATTGAGTGTTGATTTCGAGGAGATTGAGAAGAGTGCAGCCTTGTTGCAAATGGAATTCCGTCTTATTGTGTGAGTATGAGAGAAAAAACAATGCGAGACACCGCTCGCTGGCGCAAGCGCAGCACCGCAGCAGGTGTACTCACAGATAGAGAGTGTCGCTTATGGAAAAAAATTGTCATCTTCGAGCTACTACTGCTTATAGGTGGACCACTTCCGCTCTGTTGTTTCTGTCTGGTTTCAAATCAAGGCAGCGTCAGAAAAATGGGCTCGAACCACAAGGGCGCGACGATTTTTCGTCGCCCAAACGATTCGCAAAAGCCGCACACACGACCGATTTTCCCGCACGATCGGAACCAGGACGTTACTAATCCGATGCGGTGGGGCTCGGCTTACTTGAATCGTATACGATTGTTTTTTGCAATTGTGTAGTTGCACTCTTCTTCAGGTGCGCTTTTGTCTTTGGCTTGCATCCAGTTCACTATGAAACCTCCTCAGGTACCGCAGCCGCGTGGGATAGCGGGCACTACATGGGTCCGGGGTTTGAGACCGAGTCGGGGCGCGATATGGAAATTCCGACCAACCACCGGCCGCACAGACACGCGCCCAGTGGTCAAATCCCTCTGCCGGCAAAGTTTCAGCGCTAGGTTCGGAGAAGAAAGCAGTGAGGAGCGCATCTATGTAAAAACAAGTTTTGTAAAGATTGGAACTTCATTGAAATTAAAACTCCTCTGCGACTCCAAAATGTATCGAGCTTGAAGAAATTCGTAATGTTGATTGTGGATTGAAAATGAACTATGTCCAATGAGAACTACCGTAGCTGGGCTTTGCTTCGGCCAACCAAGAAGATAATTGCAGAGGTATTGACTTGCCAGGAACGAGATGCGAAAATTGCTCCGCTCCTTCCTAAGATAAAAACGATCCCGATCTGATCATGAAGATCATGTTGGTTGATGATGCGTTTTCGTTTGTTCCGAATCATTTTTTCGCTCCTCGTCTCCAACTCGGATGATAGCAAACCACCAGTCCTATCCCCATGTGGCTGCGGATGTACATGTGGCTATTCTGACACCATTTTCGTAGTTCTGATTTTCGGTTTCCGATCGAGCGCGACCGGCTCTACGGACGAGCATGCATCATTCGCGTGATTTTTTCTGCCACACAAGTTTTTCCCCACTTACTTTCAAAAGCTAAGTTTCCCCTATGCAAGCAGAACGAATTCTAATTCTTGTGTAGGATTAGATCGATATGCAGCCAGAAGTTCCACTAAGTCAAAGCTTAAGCTTTCGATAAATGATGGCTGTGGAAGGTGTTTCCGAAAGATCTGCCGAAGCAATTTAGAAGGTGTGACTTTTTAGATTTTGTTGGACAAGATGGATCATTTCTGATTTTTTCCGTTCTGCTATCCACTGTTGGAGCTGCACTCCAAGATGGCTCCGGCGAGTTCTCCGACGTCTCAGATAGACCCCGCGGAGGCGAGGCAGCGCTTCTTGAAATTTTTCCAAGCCCTGCAACTCGCCGACGGGCTTCCGCCGAATGAAGCCGCAAAAGCTGCTATTGACGCTTCTAAAACTTTGAGCAAGCCTACCCCGGCCCTGCCATCGGGGCGAAATTTTCCCAATGCCGAGGAGCTTGTGAAAAGGTTCGCCAGTGCGGCGAGTGCGTCATCAAGGTACAACGTGAATATTGTGTCCTGCTGAACTAGAAAAACTGAAACAGCTGCCTCTGCCGGATAGGGTTGTCATTTCCCCGTGCAGCAACTCAGTGAAAAAAAAAAGTAACTGAAATTCTTACACATCAGCGACGACAAGCCTGCGCTGACCGCAGCGACCTGGGAACAATTCGCGGAATTGTGGGGCGATTTCTTCTGCGCAAACCAAATACTGCTGCCGAAGGGAAAGCCAGCGACCGAGACCGACCCTAGTGTGGATTTGGATCAGCTGCAGGCTCTGTACCAATTGATTGAGAGCGCGGAAATTCCGAAGGAACCAGACGCGATGGACGTGGATGCGGAGGGGAAGGAAAAGACCTCCCCAAGAGCCGCTTCCCCCTCGGAGATGGTGGTTCGACACCTCGGCAATCTGTGTAACGCGATCTCAAAAGAGAATGTGGCCGGGGTGCAGCGGGCGGTGGATGCGAAAAACAAATCCAGCTCCTCCTCCGCGTCTCCCAGTGGCGGACCCAGCGCCAGCAGCAGCAGCAGCGATTTGCTGCACCCCGGCGGACAGCAGGCTGGGGGATCATCAAGTTCCACTGCAGTCGGCGGGCCGGCAAGTTCACCAGTTGCAACGGGCGCGGATTCAGCGGTAGAAAATTGCATTAGCAACTCGGACTCCCCTGGTGAGTTGCGCATTTTGTTCCTGATTTTCTTCCACCCTTGCCTCCAAAATCCGGATCGAAACGAAGACTCGGCTAAGTTGCTGCGCGCCTTTCGAGGGTTGTCGGAGAAGGGAAAGGAAATTCTCGCAACGTGGCTTGCAGACTTGGATATCGCAATGCTCCGAAGCCAGCTGCAAACAATCCAACAGTATAGAAGCTTTTGTTTTTGATGACGTATTCACGTGCGATCAACGAACGAATAACACACGAGCACTATCATGTGGAAAACCACAATTTGCTGAGTTTTGCGATTCAAATCCCTCAGGTATCTAAGCATCACTTTCCTGGACATTTACCACGAGGAGGGCGCGGACGACGAAAACGCGCCGGAGCACGTGTGGGACATGTTTGTCGTGAAGAGTTCGCAACTGTGCAAGAACGCGCTCTCCTACATGGAGCTGATCTGGAAGGCGAACCAAATAAGGATAAAACGGCGGCGGGAGTACCGCAAAGAGGAACTCACCAAGGGCACCGCCGCCATGCTATCCCAGAGAAAAAAGCTGGCAGGGCATATTTGTAATGCAAAAATAAATAGACAAAAAAATCTGTATTGCATGCCCTAAACAGCATGCTATGGCCTCGCCTATGACAGATTTTTCTGTGTGTTTATTTTTGCATTACAAATCTGACCTGCCAGCTTTTTTCTGTGGGATACATGCTTCGCTCCGTGTCCAAGGGCATGGGCGCGACCGGGGGGGAGGTTTTGCCCCCGGAGGAATTCCGCAACGACGCGATGAACGACGTCGACAACGTTCTCCGCCACGACTACTACCACGCGGTGTACTTTGAGTTTTACCAAATGCAGGACGAGGACGAAGCGCTTTCCACGAAACCGAAGCCAAAACAGGCGAAGTCACTCCACGATATCAGCGAGAAGTCGGCCCTGAACACCTACACTTTCGGGCTCCTCGAGCACAATTTCTGCCTGGACGCGAACAGCAAGTGCCGCCTGCTGATGATCTCCACCGCGGACCAACAGCGGCACGAAACCCGGCAGGAAATCTTGTCCCAAGTGATGCAGGGGCAGAGACGGGTGAATCCGTATTTTACCTTGAAAGTCCGGCGCGACAATTTGATCCAGGACACGTTGATGAAGCTGGGCGCCGCAACCCCGTCCTCGTTCCGGAAGCAGCTGAAAGTGGTGTTCGAAGGGGAGCAGGGGGTCGATGAGGGAGGCGTGCAAAAGGAGTTTTTCCAGCTGTTGCTCGACCAATTGTACGACCCGAATTACGCCATGTTCAACTACAATCCCGATAACAAGACGTACTGGTTCAACCTCGGGTCTTTCGAGAACAACCTGCAGTACGAGCTCTTTGGGACGCTGCTCGGCATCGCGATCTACAACCACGTCATTCTGGACATCAGGTTTCCCCTCGCGGTGTATCAGAAACTGCTGTCGGACGACGCAACCGGCCGGGCGAATTTTACGGTGGACGATCTACTGGAGGTCTCGCCAGACATGGGCCGCAGTCTACTGCAGTTGCTCGAATTCGAGGGGAATGTGGAAGAGGTATTGAGGTTGTTTTTGTTGAAAAAATACATTTTTCATGCTGCACGTCGAAGGATAGGTAGCTTTGTCTTTGTGAAGGGGGCAGTGAGAGTGACGTTTGGTACATGACAGAATGATGTTACATCACGACCGCACATCAGACCTTCTGCCGCGACTTCGTAGCGAGTTACGAAAGCTTTGGTGCGGAAATCCAAGTGCCACTGAAGGAGGGCGGCGAGTCGATTCCGGTCACGAATGAAAACCGTGGCGAGTTTGTAAGCCTGTACGTCGACTTATCAAATGCAAAAATGTCTGGGTCTGGAAGTATGCAAGATTTGTCATGCATGTTTCTCATGACCCATGATGCCTGTAATGCATGACCTAATATCGCAGACTTTTAGAGGGCTTCCTGATGCACCTTCCGCATGAGAAATGCCCTGTCCGTGTAGCACAGATTGCGCCCTTCTTGCTGGTCATGCAATACAAATTTTTTTCAGAGTCCAGAAACAGCATGACAAGTTGCAATCTTCCAGACCCAGACATTTTTGCAGTTGATGCGACTGGTTCTTTAACAAGAGCGTCTTTGACAAGTTTCGGTCCTTCAAAAAGGGTTTTCTCAGGTGTTTCCAGCCGGACGACAAGGAGAAGTCACGTGTTGTGCAGGGACGTACAGTTTTTTTTTGGTTTCGTGCTCTCTGTTTCAGTTTCTTTTCATCCGCTGCGGGGGCCTTGCGCATGATCAGAAGCCAATAACTGAATGGCCATACAAAACTTTCGATTCTCGCATGGTCACTACAACAACAAAAAAATTATTCAACAGCCTCCGGCCAGAATCTTTTCCTATCCCTGTTCCGTGCATCGGAGCTGGAGCTGCTAATTTGCGGCAATGAGGTGCTGGATTTCGCGAGTTTGAAGAGCAACACCATCTACCAGGACGGGTTTGAGTCCGACAGTGACACGGTCGCCTGGTTTTGGGAAATTGTGTTGGACGACTTCGTGGAGGAGGAGCGCAAGTCCCTTCTCTCCTTCTGCACCGGCTCCAGCCGCGCGCCGCCGAAGGGCCTCGGCGCGCCGGAAGCGAAGCTGACGATCGGCCGGCAGGGCCCGGACTCCGAGGCGCTGCCCACTGCGCACACCTGTTTCAATCATTTGCTCATCCCCGAGTACAGTGATAAGGAGAAGCTCCGGGCCAAGCTAAAGCTTGCCATCGCGAACAATCAGGGATTTGGGTTAATCTGATCAATGTATTCGTGGCGGAACAGGCTACACCTTGAAACAACTTTTTTGCGGAAAGTGATGATAATTAAACAGACAAGTCTCAAAACCCCTTCTAGCAGTCCCTCCCTATGCTAGCAAGATGATGATGATGGTTCATAGCAAGAAGCATTCGACACACTTTATGCAACCTTCCGGAATTCACATCCAAAAAGAAGAGATAGTATGTTTCTTTTGGAGTGTGAAAATCCGAGTTCTCGATTCAGTCAATCTCCTGATGAATTTTTCAAAAGCAATACAAGACAGAGAGTTAGAAGCGACATTCGTGGAACAGACACAGGAGTAGCCAAGTATCGCCATTTCGAACCAACGACAGTGTAGTTTGTGTTCCTCGCTAAAGAGCCACGACGTGAAGCAACGTTGTATAAATACACCAAGCGCGTGAGTATGAATTCAGCTTTCGGAACATGCACTGCCTGAGAATCTCGGTCTTCGATGAGTCCGTATGAGAGATGCACTGCAGCCTTTTGGAATTTCGGTCCTTCTACTTTCTTCGTCCACATACAGAAACTTCTATTTTTTCGTACAACGCCAACCAGTCCAAGAGACGATATTTCGTTCCGTAGTTTTTTCAAACGCGCACGTCCTCGTCATCTTTTGATTCTTTTCATGTACAACTGTAACCCGTGCTTATGTATAACACGAACCACTTGATGCTTTCGCACCAATTCACATCAACAGGGCAAACCCGTGCTTTAGGACCCCCTACTCTATTTATCCTAGATTAGGTGTGGTTCCCCCGGCCAATACTTAGTGTTGTGACCTTTCCAACGGAGGTGTGGAGGAAGAACACTATTTAGTTAAATGCTTTTGTGCAGCTGTAGTCTTGCATTTTTTTACCATAAAAAACTGTGAACTCTCGCAATAATCCTCGCTCGATTCATGTTTTTTTTGTGACGTCTCTAGTATCAGGAGGAGCTACTTCTTTACTCTGTGTATGACTTTGATACAGAACGGAAGGCGGAAAGAATTCAATCATTGACAGACTCCAAAAATTCAAAAATCACAACATAGGTGTAGTTATACGAAAAAATAAACAGTGATCGCCTATTTTTTGTTCGACGACTTGTGTCGAATTTAAACTGCTTGGATATTGGGTCAACACAATATTTGGTAGTATTACCTGAGTCTTGTGAACATCATCATCATGACGGCGGTGATGCCAGCCAACACGCAGTCGCCCCTGCGGGTTTTGCACGTTGCGGGAAGCGGCTGTGATGACTTTTACTTCAAGGTATAAAATTCAGCTGGTGCAAAAAATATCATCATCTCTTTTTCATCCATGATTGAAGAACAATGAAAATCCTTACGCTCCCATACACCAGCTTACAGCAAAGAGAAAATCACAGTCATTTGTCACTCTTCCAAAAATTTTTTCTTCTCAGGTTTCCTTGTTGTACTCCAAGGCAGCTTGGGTGTTCCCGAAGGAACAGGTGACCGCGTACTACGCGATCGGGTGCCCCGACGGGTCCTGGTTTCTCTTCGAGAATGACGTTTCCAACATCGAGGTGGAGGATTTCGCCTGCTACCTGAAGGAGCACAACCAAACACAGCACGACAAGCGTTTGTCCAAGACGGACACCCGCGCCAAGTCGCGGAGCAGTAGCGTGATCTCGACCACCGGCTATTATAATGAAAAATGCCCCCACCCCGGAATCTGCAGAAGTTTCTCATGCAAAGTTTCCAAATGAATGCTTTAGCTTTTTGCCTTGCATGAAAGGACTACGAGCCTTTCTGATGCATAATCTAGGTGCGTTAGGTGTCTTTTGCATAAGAGATCCGACTGCGGTTGGGCTCCTTCGCAACACAAATCTGAGCGATTCAGCATGGAAAATTTGTGATGCCGATATATGCAAGACGGGAAATGTTTCTATTGGAAAGGTTTGCAATACAAATGCTGCCAAGTTCTGGAGTGGGGGCATTTTTCATTGCAATACCGGCAGCGAAGCGTGCAGCACCACTTGTACATCTAGCCCGAGCGTGGTTTCGTCCGACTTAACCCCGCACCAACAAGAACAAGCGAAGAACGTTTTAATCCAGAAAAAAGCGAACACGAAGGATTTGCTGAAGACGAAGAAGAACCTGATCCTCGCGGTCGGGTCGCTCGGGGAGTTACTCGCGTTTCTCTCTACCGCCAAGCAGACCCAGAATTTAGATGTCGTCGTCCCGCACATGTTTGACTTTCCCGGCATGACCAGTTACCGCGCGCTGTTTGAGGATATGCTCGGGATCTCCGTCTGCGGGCCGGACAACGTGCACAACGTGGTCGCGCAGGACAAGGCGTTGACGCGGTCCGTTTTGCAGGAGGTTCCGGGCGTGAAGATCCCGAAGGGGCAGACGTTACGGATCGTGGAAAACACGAATGTTGAGATGAAAAACCTCTCCCCGGTGGAGCAAGCCGTGAAACAGCAGCTCCACATGCAGCCCCCGTTCGTCGTGAAGCCGGCGCGGGAGGACAACAGCCGGGGTGTCGGGCTGGTGAAGAAAAATGACTCGTACGAAGCGATGCTGGCGAAAATCGAGATCGCCTTCTCCTACGGCGACACGGTGGTGGTCGAAGAGTTCATCCCCGGGCGCGAGATGCGGGTCGGGGTGATCCAGGAGATGGCCAAGAACGACTTGAACGAGGACGAAATCGTGACCAAGCCCATCCCGGGGATGGTCGAGTATTTCATGATGAACCCCGACATGCCGATCCGAACGGAGACGGACAAACTCACCTCGACGGACAGCAACAATAACGATAATGAGGAGAAAGAAAAAAAGCCGTCGACAAACAACTTTGTCCAGACGAAATGCGCGCGGACCTTCACTCCCGAAGTCTCCCCCGAGTTGCGCGCGAATTTGGAAAGGCAAACGGCCCTGGCCTTCCAGGCCCTGGCCGGCCGCGACTACGGGTTGTTTGACTACCGTGTGCATGAAGAAACCGGGGAGGCGTACATCATTGAGTGCTGCTCGTTCTGGAGCTTCTCGCCGATCTCCGCGATTTCTCTCCTGTTGGAAAACTCCTACGGGCCGAACAGTTTTCAGCAGGCCGTCATGAATGTGTGGCAGCTGTGCGCGATCAGAACGCAGGAGATGCGGAAAAACGACTTGGAGGTCGAGGAAGTCTTCGAGGCCCAGAAGGAGCGGTCGAAAAACAGCTCCTCTGAGATTGACGAGGAAATGGAGGTCGAGCAGATGCTGTTGAGCCCGGATAATTCTGGTTCGGGTTCGACTGAGTTGAGCTCAAACTGCTTGCGGGCCCGCTTCACGCCGCTAGTTGCCGACGATGAGAACGATTGCGTCTTCAAAACGAGCACCAGTGGAAACCTGCACGACCATTCTCCCGTGATCCGCTTCAATATCAACAAGAAGCTGGAGCTGCCGGAGCTGCCCTGCGACATCACGAGCCGCGAGAACACGCGGACGGGTGACGTGCAGCAGCTCGCCAACACGATTGCGGCCGTGAATTTCGGTGCGAATTTCTTGAGGAGTGTGTGCACCGAGGAGGTAGTACTGGACCGGCTGCGGTGCTTCGTGCACATCATGCTGCTGCTGTTCCTCTTGCCGGTATCCTTTTTGTACGCGGTGTACAATTATTGCCTGGTTTCCTTCGACGAAAATTCCGCGCAACACCTTTCCTTCCGCAAAATGAAGAAGCTGATGGCCCGGAGCGTGCGGAACAAGCAGGACGGGGAGAAAATCACGATTTTGGTGACCGGGGGGAAGATGAGCAAAGCGTTGCACCTCGCCCGGTGCCTGAAGCGGGCGGACCCGAAGAAGATCAGCATCGTTCTCGTGGAAACGAAGAAGTACTGGGTCTCTGGCGCGCGGTTTAGCAACGTGGTCGACCACTTCGAATCCGTCGCCGATCCGGTCCGGGAAGACGCCGAGCAGTACCAACGGGACCTGCTTGCGTTGTGCGTGAAGTACAATGTGCGGTTCTTTGTGCCCGTCAGCAGCCCGGTGTCTTCGGTGCATGATGCGAGATTCGGGGAGACCTTCCGGCAGTCAACCCACCAATACAGCTGCAACGCCCATTTGTGGAACAATTCCGACAAGAACCACGCGTGCCTGGACCACAATTCGTGGTCGCAACTGTTGCTGCACCAGAACCAGGCGGTGTGCCTGCGCCCGGAGCTGTGCGAGCAACTGGACAACAAACACACTTTTGCCGAGTTCTGCAACAAAAACAAGCTTCCCGGGATTCTGCAGTCCTTCATGGTGAAGTCTGACGACGAGGTCTTGCGGTTAAACGACAAGTTGCTTTTGGAGAAAGAACAGAATACCAGCAGCAACAAGACCTACGTGCTGAAAAACCTGACCTACGACCCCATTCACCGCTTGGACTTGTTTCAGCTGCCCTGCAGCGACCAGGAGATGCTGGAGGACTATTTGGAGAAGGTCCGCGACGACGGCAACGCGATTAGTGCCACGGAACCCTGGCAGGTGCAGGAGTTCGTCGCAGACGGTGCCGAGTACTCCGCCGCCTTACTCGTCCGTGGCGGCGAGTGCAAGATGCTTACGGTTTGTGAATCTTCCGCATCGCAGTTGAACTACGCGCATGTCCACGTACCGGAGATCGAGGACTGGGTCTACGAGTTCTCAGCGAAACTCGGCGCGGATTGCTGCGCGCTGATCTGCATGGACTTCATCTTGGCGAAGGCTTCAACTACATCGGGGAAGAGTAGAACGGTGCATCCGCTGGAATGCAACCCGAGGCTGCATTCCCAGTGCTCCGTGTTCAGTACCTACAAGATGCAGAAGCAGTTGGGTCAGGCTGTGTTGGGCATTGTGCCGAAGCAGGCAAATAGCAGTCCGAAGAATTCTCCTGTGTGTGGGGGAAAACCGAAGCAGGTGCTGCAGCCCGACGAGCACTGCCGCCAGCTGTTTTTCCTCGCGAACGAGGTGTTGAAGGTGATTCCGGTTTGTGTGCAGACCAGCATGGGGCTGCGGTACGGAAACAGCACGTCTCTGACCGACTTCGTGCACCGGATGTGCACGGAGCAGGACGCGGACTGGGACCCGGCCGATCCGCTGCCCATGCTGTTCCGCAACCACTTTCAGCTCCCGCTGTTGCTCTTCTCGACGCTGTTGAGCACGCGAGCGTGGAAGAAGTGCGACTTCTGCATCGGCAAGGTGGTCGAGACCGGCGGGGATTAAAAATGGGATGTTGGGAATCTTTTGTAAAAAAAATGCGAATTTGAAATTTGGTACCACATGCAAATGAGAATGGATGTTGAACCTGCAACTGCAATTTACAGAATTTGACTAACATATGCAAGAAGAGCAACCACAGAGATAGTTATCCCCTGCTGCTGCCCAACAGCGTGTAGTTATATCACCTGCGTCAATTGATTGTAAAAGCTACACCGTCCTCGTTGAACCTGAACATGTGCATCAAACTTCTTACACAGTGTGAAGTAAAAATAGCTCCTCCATTTGATAAGCATGCTGCGCTTGTTTCAATGAATTTTTCTGGTCGAAAACACAAAACGGAAAACTAGTGTGAAGTGGAAAAAAGCAAAGTCGTAGTTACAAGTCCGCAGCGAGAAGAAATCTTTATTGAATTTGTTCCCTACTTTGCGCATATAAGTACGATTTACCGTTTCCCGAGAAGTACTCCCTTTCTTTACAACTTTACGATTTTGTATGTGCAAGACTACAGCTCTTGTTGTGCTATTTTCGGTAGTAGTTTAACTTTGACACAAAAAGCATTTGGAACTAAATACCCTACGGATATGTTTGAGTCGAACGATCTGCGAAAGGAGGACTACAATTATCGACACGCTACTACGACCATATAATCAAAAGCAGGGAGGTTGCGAGAACTGATCGGTATGCGCATCTTTTCTGCATCTACTCTTTGCATGGTTATACTGGCTGCCAGTACTTTTTGGGTTGTTTGACAAACGAAATAAACACCCTCCAGAACCTCGGCATTACTCCTTAGGAAGTCCAACACTCACTGGTTACTAGTAGAGGGTTGCACGGTCCGATCTATGTGAACTGTATCAAAAAAAGTATGTGGAGACAATCATGTTTGTGCTCTTTCCAATATCGAATACTCACCGTTTTTGTGTCTTAAACCTGCCAATTTCTTTTTCTCGTTTCACAGTACTCTTATTCAGTCGTAGTTCTTTATCCGAGAGCCAAGTACCAACTAGAAGGTTGCAAATATTGATGAAGGCGAGAAAAATACACTGCAGCAGCAGAGCAAGAAATTAAGACAACAAGAAAGACTGCTGTACGATGAAGAGTATCTCTGTAGCTGGGCTTGCATTTTATCGTTTACTGTTTCTGCATTACACTCCACCAAGTACTAAAAACGAAGTAGCCCCTTTTTTCCCAGCAGATCGTGAGTCCGTTTCGCAGTGTGCAGCGTATCTTTGACGGGACGGGGTCTACCGAATCTGCTGGAATAAATATCAATCTGAGCTGTGTTTTCGCCGTCATAGCAGGAAATTTCTAATATTGGGATCGCGATGAAATGAAACGCTACGAAGAGAATCTAGATGAAAAAAACGAAACTTCAAGTAGTGGTTCTAGATGCAAGAAAGAGTAAAAAGCTAACTCATGCCTGTCTGTCTTCTCGCTGAGCCCTCTTCCCTTGGCGGTTGATGGAAAATCGAGAGAATAGCTTGGTATGACAGTTGGCCATTTGCACCCTGGGAATCAAATGGTTAATCGAGATTTGAGACGCAAACTGTAACTTTATTGGCATGTTTTTACACGGCATGGTTGTAACCACGTACGAAAAATAAAAAGAAACCAAAGCGAGGTGTTGAGCTTTGGCATAGCAGCTTGCTTCATCTTGATGGACTTCACGGTTCGTGATGTTCATGAATCGCAATTTCCGTGAACACACGAATCGCAAAATGACGGAAATGAATCGGTGACATTTTGGTCGAGGAGCCCCATCGTGCGGACCTTTTCACATCGGTTGACCAAGAAAAGACATCGGCCATCGTCGCACACAACGCACGCGCAACATCGGTTTTTTTTACATGCTCGAAAATCGTCAAGCACAAGGACAGGCTAGCAACATGGAAAAATCGTATTGATTCGCACGAATTTTCGAAAGGAAAAAGCAACTCAATCAATCGTAGCAATCGTACACACGACCAATCGTTGCAAGGCGGAAGCAACCCCTTTTTGTCGCCCAAACGGTGATTTCATGTTTCCGACCGACCCAATTCTCCCAACAGGAAAACGAAAAACCCCACCAGTGGGCCCACTCTTAGAGTAGGAAAAAAGCTTGGTAACTAGAGGAGTTTGTAGGAGCTGTTGTGCAGCAAAAGTTTGTAAAACCTCAAACCTAACGAAAACTGTGGAGTCTTTAAAAGTAACTTGAGTCGACGACTCTTTTCAAAAACTTGTGGAGCCGGAACACTTTATCGTGTCCTGTGGAGCTAATTCCAACCTGTTCAACCACGTGTTGACGCTTGTGCAGCTTGTCTTGATGCGGTGAAGCAAATTACACGACAAAAATTTCAAGTCAAAAATTTCAAAAACCCCTCCAATACAGGTACTAACCAAAACCCGCTTTTCCTTTTTCGAAAAGCAAAAACTACCAGCAAGATGGCGACCGAAATCAACTACTACATGATGACCAAGGTCGAGAAGAAGGAGGAGGTCTATGCCCCTCTCTCTTCCGCCTTGACGGAAGTGACGGAGAAGATGGAGATGGAGAAGAATGTCCTCGGCATGGACGACGAGTCCTACATGAAGCTGATCTTTGGCGGCGAGAAGATGGCCGAGTTCCTGGTCTACATCTCGCGTGTGGACGTGTTCTCGCACAACTTCTCCACCGTGATGTCCGATGATTTGGAGATGCTGGCGGTGCTGAAAAAGCTGAAGTACCTATCCCGCGTAAAAACGTCTCCACCCCATAGTTGTCATTCAGATTTGCAAGCACAAGAGCATTTGTAGTGCGCATCCCCATGATAGGCATTTCCGATCGTGCTTTGGACCTTGTAATGCTGTAAACAGGATGAGCAGATGGATTTGTAATGCGACTTCCCTTTCTAAACTGCATCACACTAGAGCCTGGAATTTGTAATGCGTGACTCCCAAAACTTCGAAGTTTGTGTTGCAAAATCCCCATCTCGACTCTGGTGTGGGGATGTTTTTGCTCAGGATAGTACTCGCTGAACCTCCCCGTCGGACAGCTGCTCGCGCTGGTCGAGGACACCTTCAAGCTGTGCCTGAACGACGTGATCGCTTCTTGTATGCAGCAGATGCGCAAGCTGCTGGCCAACCGCGTTTCCGCGGATAAGAAGCAGGCGAAGGGGTATTTTTATCAGCTGTTCAAGGACGTGCTGAAGGCGGAAACGTCCGTGATTCCGCGCAAGATTATTGAGATGTACATGGAGAACGCGGAGGCGCTGGAGTCCATCGACCCGCACGCCGTGTACCCCACCTCCATCTACCGCCGCTGCGACGGGCTGACGCTGGCCACCGAGAACGCGCAAACGATTGAAGCGTTGATGGAGACCAGTCTGACGACCACGATCAAGATCACGCAGAACGTGCTGGACCCGGAAAAGAACCATTTGTTGAAGTCGGTCTACGAGCCGCTCGGCCGCGTCGTGATTCTCATTGACGACAAGTGCGATGAGTTCGGCTACTCGCAACAGCTGCGGAACTACTTCGCGCACTTCAAGATCGACGTCATTCTGATGGTTTTCGGCGGGAACGAGATCGACAAGGACATGTCCAACGTGGAGCGAATCCTTGTTTCCTTGAAGGCCAAGGGCGTGTGCCGCAACGAGCCGGTTTTGATCGTGGGCGGTGGCGTGCTCGCGGACATCGCGGGCTTCGCGTGCGCGCTGTACCACCGCAACACGCCCTACGTGATGCTGTGCACCTCCATCGTGTCCGGGATCGACGCCGGTCCAAGCCCGCGCACCTGCTGCGACGGGTTCGGGTACAAGAACCTGTACGGTGCCTACCACCCGCCCATCCTCACCCTGACCGACCGCGCGTTCTGGGGCACGCTGAAGAAGGGCTGGGTGCGCCACGGCATCGCAGAGATCATCAAGATGGCAGTAGTTAAGGACTTGAATTTATTCGAGCTCCTCGAGCAGGCCGGCCCGAAGTTGGTGCAGACCCAGTTCGGCTCCACCCCGGAGTCCCAGAAGGACCCGGAGTTCATGCAGCTCTGCGACGCCATCGTGGGGAAGGCGATGCTGGGCTACGTGAAGTCCGAGTACGGAAACCTGTGGGAGACCCACCAGTGCCGCCCGCACGCCTACGGCCACACCTGGTCCCCGGGCTACGAGCTGCCCGCCGGCATGCTGCACGGCCACGCGGTCGCCACCTGCATGGGCTTCGGCGCATACTTGTCGTGTATCAAGAAGGGGTGGATCTCCGAGACCGAGATGAAGCGCATTCTGAACGTGATTTCCACCATGGAACTCTCCCTCTGGCACCCCATCATGGACGACACCGACACCATCTACGAGTCCCAGCGCAAGATGACCGAGAAGCGCGGCGGCAACCTGTGCGCGCCGGTGCCGAAGGGTTCGATCGGTATGTGCGGGTTCATCAACGACATGCCCAAGCAGGAGCTCCACGACCGCCTGCAGGCGTACAAGCAGCTCCTCCTGGACAGCAAGTTCGCCCGCGACGGGCTGGGCATCGAGGTCCACTGCGCCGACGTGGGGCTGCAGGACCCGTCGAGCGTGATCAAGCCGGCCACCGTCGAGGACAACCTGGCCTGCACCCCGGTGCCGATTTTCGACAAGAACCAGGATATTAGCGACCGGGAGCTGTCCAAGGCGAACCTGGACCTTTTGGACAAGAACAACCTCTCCTTCGGCAAGGGAAAAGCGGCCCAGGAGGCGTTGCTGCCCGACGCGTACCGTGTGTCCTCTGACGAGGTCCAGTTTTCCCCCGAGCACAACAAGAAGAAGGCGCAGACGTACCAGGACTGGATCGCGTCTGTGCAGCAGGACCGCAACGCCAACTGGAAGAACAACGTCGAGTTCGAGATCCAGCCGGACACGCCGCTGCCGCCGCAGTGCAACCACGTGCAGATGTTCGCGGACGACGTGGTCGAGAACTACGCGGTGAGCCACTCGACGCCGGCGAGCAAGGCCATCCAGCACGCGGCCACGGTGACGCAGGCCGAGAAGTTATTCATGCCCTGCATGGTTGGCTCCCTGGAGGCGAACTTTTTGAAGATGCAGACCATGATTTGCGGCGCCAAGAAGGTGTTGGACGTCGGTACCTTCACCGGCATGTCCGCGCTCGCGTTCGCCGACGGCGGCGCGGAGAAGGTGGTCACGTTGGAGGTGGATCCCAAGATCGCGCAAGTGGCGTCCAAGATCTTCTCGGATACCGGCTATTTGGAGCAGAACGTCGAAGATTCCGTCATCGATTTGCGCGTGGGGGACGCGGTGGCGTCCATGCGGCAACTGCAGATGCAAAAGGAACAGTTCGACATCATTTTCCTGGATGCCGACAAGGAAAACTACGTCAAGTATTACAACCTCTGCATGGACCCGGCGCAGCCCCTGCTCGCCCCGAACGGGATTATTCTGGCGGACAACAGCATGTGCGCGTTGCTGTACGACCAGGATACGGATGAGCGCTCCACCAAGTTGCACGAGTTCAATCAGCACGTGAAGAACGACCCGCGGGTGGAGCAGGTCATGCTCACCGTCCGTGAGGGTATCACCATGATCAAGCCGAGGAATGGTATGCGCTCCGTGGCCTCCATGGACATTTCCACGCAGTACATCGAAACCGACTTCGACGGCTCCTCGGCGGCCAGCGACGTGTTCTAAATTGCGTCGTCAGTGGCAAAATGTGAAAATCGAAAATACTTGTGAAAATTACTAAAAGTATTCAAGCTCCGCAGTAAAAAAAAGCAGTAGCATGAAATTTAAAAAAGCTCTACAACGAACAACTCCTCCGTAGTATGACACCGTATGTACTTGTTCTCTTTTGATGAGAAAGGTAAAAAGAACAGAAAACTGTTACCAAGCATAATTTAGAAACACGAGGGAAGAGTCGAACTACGACCTTCCTGCTGAAGAACACTAGCTATGTATGTAGTTACGTTCATCTTCTAGAGTCTTTGATTTGATCCAGTTTTTGGCGCTCGTGCGAGACTCTTTCGTGCTCTAAATCTTTATCCTCACGGACCTACAACGACAACTATTCGGAACACATTTTGGTGGTGGTTTGAAGCTACTGCTTTCAAAAATTCTTGTGTGCAGAGAAGTATGCAACTTTGAATGACGAAAGCTGGTAATCGCAATATTCAGTGTATTGCTGGAGGTGTGCAGCAATTTCTTACCGATTGGAGCTCTATTACAGGGATACGTAATCAAGTTTTGACGTAGATATCTAGGTATGTATTCCAAGAAATAAAAAGCAGAATTTGCGGAACACCGTCGAGGTGCTATCTTCAGGTTCCGACTTCGACAGTCATACAACCATAATGTAGATAAGGGAAGTAGACGAAACACGTAGATATCGTGGCACTGAAAAAAATTATAAAAACATTTCACTCGCCAGATCGAAGGGCTCGGGCGGAGCTATTCTCTCGATTTTCGGAAAAGTATGGTACTACTCCGATGAACGACCAAGCACTACATGATAATATCGAAATACCTATTGTATTAATTTAAAAAAATAAAAAGTAATTGGGAAGTACGACAAAAATTTTGTGGACCTACCTTTTTTTATTTTTTGTGCAGTCGCTGGAGTTGCTGGACGTGCCACGGTTTTTTCTTTCCGTCAAACGGCGGAAAGAATTTCGAGGCGCTGAAAGACTCCTTCCATCCTATTTTCACTTTCCTGTATTGACGCGTATAAATATTATGTATGTTTGTTTTCGTGACTAGCCGGCAAGTAGAGTTTTTAGTTAGGTCGTGGTATACGCTAGTTATGCATTTCGTTTCTGCGGTGAACCGGTACCCACGGGCGCAAAACGATCGACCAAATGCTAACTAGGGGAGCACCCACGTGGTAGGCTGGGCGCAGCGCTACTTGGTCGTAGTGCTCCAGCTTCCGCCATGTGGGACCCCGTGGGCAGAAGTATCCACACTCGCGCCGCGCCCATTTCTAGCTAGGGACTCACGTAGTCGCTTCCTTCTTCATTTTCCAAAAAACCCCTCACAGGATGTGCTTTCACAATTATGCTCAGTTCGCTATGCTACAGTGCTTTTTTTCAAACTTCCCTTTGGGATTTTAGTTTTCAATATATGAAAACTGTATGGTTTCGTTTGGGAAATGAAAAGAGATTCATCGCAACTACACCTTTTGAAGCGACCTAATTACATGCTGCTTCTGTCATAATTGGCTGCTGGGCAGCCGTGTGTGTTTCTTTTCCAACTTCCATCACCGTCGTGTGTCGTGGATCAAGCAAGGAGGTTTTTATCCATGGGCCAGGGCCCGTGCGGGTACCGGCGCGCTACTAATGTCAATGCAAGATCATATCCGTATCACACCGAGAAGGTGATATCTACGATGATCGTGATTTTCCCGTCGCAGGGCAAAGTGAATGCGATCCTCATGTCTCTGGCTTTTGATGAGTCAGAGACTTCGTGTCTGCGAATGGGATTAACTTTCACTGGTACAATAGAAGAAAGAGAAACACACGGCACACCCACTATGGTCGCTCGAAAAGAAGTGCGCACATCATTGTCCTTCCTGTTGCGGAGAGAGTTATGTCTTGCATTACATTTGCGAACGACCTTCATCTGAGTATCTATGACAAAGGTAGTGTTACCTTCGATTACGATTTGCGGCTTTCATCAATGACATAAATGCTACTGCTAAATTGACATCTTGCTAATCGCAATCTGGTGCTCATTCTTTTTCGCTTATCGTTTTCATTCTGCAAAATTCAAATACAATGTAAAGTTAGAAACTACCGACTCACCGAAGATTCCTGCCACAAAGGAAAGCGCAATACTTTTGCGAATTTCTACCCCACATTCTTGAACGGTTTCAAAGCCCGCGTGCACCTCCGCGAAGATGAAACCGAATGAGACCGGCTGGGTGTTGTTCTCGACTGAGGAGGAGGACAAGCTGTATCGTTTGGAAGACCATGGCGCCGCCGAACCTGAACTGGTGGAAAAAAAGGCCAGCGACAACGACCTGGCGACAGAGCCACTCGAGGTGGACACGTTGGTGGCGCAGCTGCAGGACGCCATCCAAAAACTGCCAGAGGAAGGCATCGGCAAACTGGAGCCGCAACGAGCAGGCGCCGACTGTGGGGCGCCTGTTTTGAAAGGTTTGGGCCTGCTGAAAGTGAGGCGGAGCCTGGAATTTCTAGACAAGATTGCTAGCAACGAGCGGGAGGGGCTTCGTGGGCAGCGTCTGGCGCAGGAGGTAAACGAAATGCAAGGCAATTTAGACGAAGCCAGGAAAATGTTTGCCGAGCGGTCGCGACAACTCGCCCTAATGCGTCGCAACGGTGACAATGACAAATCCTCAGCGAGGGGCGCCAGCGCTAGTGCCCCGCCGAATACAGTCAATGCTGGTACTTACTTATGTGCGTGCGCCCTTTCCGGCGCCGGCGCTGGGCTGGAGACTTCGCTAGCTATTTTGTTTTTTTGCGATTCGATGTTGTGTTCGTGTGCTGTTCGGAGTTGTCTACTGATTACAGATTAGTATCGCGCGGAGTACCACAAGAACTTCTGCTCGATTCCGGGGTAGATCGTAGCAATCGGATTGCTACGATCTGAACAAGTGCAGTAAGCAAGTTCATTCGACGCACTATTCAAAAACCCAGGCGCTAGCGCTGCAACTTCTGCCATAGTTGGTCCTTCTCCCAGCTCCAGTATTAGCACGACAGCGGGGCGCCGAACTGTGTTCGTCAAGTTTCCTTCTGGGTACAAGTACGACAACGAGAAGTATTTTCGTGCCGACCACGCGGATGTTGGAAAGCAGATCGAGGCGATCGTAGGACGCGAAGCCGTTTTGGAGTACACAAACAAAAACGCCCATGGGGAGCCAGTGCAACACGCGGAGGCGTTGTTTCGAAGCGAGGCGGACGCGGCGAAGGTTGTGGAAAAAGGAGAGATCAGGCTTGCCAGTACAGGAAAGGTGGTTGAGCTTCGCTGGTTTGACCATGCGCGCCAGGGCCAGGCCTGTCGACCGCCCGCACCGCGAGGTCGACAAGGGCCGTCTCGTCCCCGATCCCGCTCTAGGCATCCGCGACTCACTCGTTCCAAGCGTCGGCCGTCGCGCTCCAGGCTCCCGCGATCCCCTTCCACACCTCCGCACCGCCGCGAGTACACGTCTCGGCAACTCCTGCACGGGTCTCGGCGGGGCGTGCGCGTGCGCAGCCGGTCGCGGCGAGAGCGGTCTGTTTCGTCTCGAGTGTCGCGATCCCGGTCTTCGAGTGTAGCGTCACGTCGGTCACGATCGCGTCACAACCATGGACGTCCAGAACGGCGCCGCGTCTCATCTCGCCGGGGGAGCAGCAGTAGGGAAGATTCGTTGTCCGTGCGAAAATACCGAAAGCGCGACCAGGGTCGTCTTTCGGAAGATGATCCGCGGCAAAGCGAGAAACATGTTGCCCCAGACCATGGTTCGCGAGGTACGTTCTGGCTTTTGTTTTCCTGTAAAACACACAGGGTCTTCTTCCTTACCCTTGCGCGAGTCCGGCAGAGAAAATTATTCTAATGTCATTGCAAAAATGGAAGTCAGTGGACACAATTTTTACGGTCTTTGATCGGTTCCGTTTTCTAGTTTGGTCAATACCGACTCTTAATTCACATCGCAGATCAACATAGAGACACTTCTTTCGCCGGCGGATCGGGTAGCGGGCAGTCCGCTGTTATTACGAACCTGCGTCCTCTTCCGTTGTTTGTACGAAACAGGGACCAAGCCGCGGCTGGAACGCCCGACACACCAGCTGCAAAAAAGACCGTGCACTTTGAGGAGGTGAACCACGAGCATCAGATCTCGCCGATCGGCGTTCCATCTACCGGACGGAGCAGCCTTCTAAAGGAAGAAGCAGCAGACAATGACGTAATCAGTGACGAGAGCGATCAATTTTTGATCGATGGAGATGAGGATGAGAATTATCAACTTGCTGAGCAGCCGGAGGACTACAACCAGAAAAGCCCGGCTGAAGAGCGAGAGCGTGACGAGTTCGGAGAAGTAGAGCTCGACCATGATAAGGTCGACGCACCAGAAGTGAAAGAAGAGGAAAAATGTAAAGAGCTCGACCATGCTAGGGTCGATGTACCAGAAGTGAAAGAAGAGGATAAAGGTAAAGAGCTCGACCATGATCAGGTAGACGCACCAGAAGTGAAAGAAGAGGAAACAGGTGCAGATATGTAGTTTTTATTTCTTGAAGATCCTGAACGTTTCAGTGTTATCGTCGCGTAGGTTTTTGCGCCATCTTCGAGACTGAAAGCGTTTCAGCGTTTCAATTATTGCATTTGATTTTCCCGCAGGTCACGATGGAGAAGTCGTAGAACAAGAGCGTCCTGTAGTACTTGTGCCTCAACCCGCTCCCCTCCAGCCGCAGCTCCTACCACCGGAGACGAAAGCGGGTTTTGACGCAGCCGTTGCGGCGTTAATGGAGAAAAAAGACAGCGCCAAGAAGTTGCGGCAGCTATGCGACCAGAAGGGAGGAATCATTCGTGACGCCAAGGACAAAAATACGGAGCTCTGCCAGAAAATTCTGGTCTACGGAAAAGACAAAAGCTCCGACCGCGAGTTTTTGGAGAACGTGTACCGATTCGTCTTGGAAAAAATCGAGCGGGAACGAGAGGAGGGGAGGAAAATATGCGCGGCGGTGCGGGAAAGTGCTGATATTTCGAACTTTGACGAGGTGGAGATTCAGACGAAAGCCCGCGAGGAACAGGACCGAAAAACGAAGCTTCTGGAGGACCTCGCAAAAAAAGTTCTGAACGCAGTCAAAGCGTGTCCCCCGCCCGGAGATGTACCAATGTTTGAGCTGCGTAAAACGCCTCTATTTTTTAGCTTTATTACGGTGGTCAGGTGGCTCTCGCGCTGTAGTAAGTAGTTCCTCAGGCCGAGTTCTCTATTTCACTAGAGATCTTCGACGAACGTCGAGAGTGACAATGATGATGCGTTGTATGCAAAACCATTTGATAAAAACTCAGGGTACGAAATTGGTCAAGGACGCGATCGACTTCTTTCGAGCCGAGAAGAACGTAGCCAAACGAAAAGAATTTCTGGCGAAACAGAATAAGGAAGACAAACGGGCGTTCCTAGCTGGCGAAAGTAAGCAGGCAAGTGACGATGAGCTGGACACCCTGGTTTTGGCAGAGCTTCAAAAGTTTTCGTTCCTTCAGTAATCGAATGCTGCAGCTTCTTGGGCGTCGCAATGCTTTGCCATATTCTCATCCATCTCTTCCAGGTATCGTACACTGACTTCGTAACAAAGTCTAAAGAACTAGTCTGTGCAGCGCATCAGAAACAGTCCAGATCAACGTACTTCGTACAATAATTTCGTGACACACGTCAGTACAGCTCCCTATTCATGGATTTCATAAAAAAGTAGTCTCGCACCATAGGCATAGCGTTCTCGTCTCAAGACAGGCACATATACGCAGTACGAAAAAGTTTTTCCGTCCGAAAGTAGAGGTAGAGCAGTTCTGCCGTTCTAGTATCGGATTCTTCAAAAGAACCGAAAGGTCTCTGGTGTTCGTACAAAAAGAAGTACCTATAGCTATGCCATGAAACGAAAACAAAAAGTGAGAAAAGTCGGTGTCTCGCCCTCTTCTTTGTGAATTAGGACAAACGTAATCGAGAAATAAGAAATGCCGTCAACAAGAACAGAACCGTCCAAACGCAATCCTCACGTGCAAAAAAGAATCGTGCTTCGTATTTACTCTTTCCTTCCAAAAGTAAAATGCGAGTATTCAGGTATTTTTTCCCACGCAAAAAACAGCCACAGGACTCGGTTTATCGTCTCGCTTCTTCCCCGGAAGTGAGCTGTAGCAGGAGCGTTTAGAACTGTGGTTTCTTCATCAACTTTTCTTTGACTTTTTGTTGAACTTTTAACCGTGTTTTCATAGTAACTTTTCTGCGAGAGTAGTGTTTCTCTTCCACTTTTTTTTGCACGTAGCGACGACAAGAAAGATGACGTCGTCCCTGTTTTGTTGAAAATAACATTTGGCAAAGCCAAACCAAGGTCGGTCGTTTTTTCATCTGCTGGTTTTTGCGGAGGTTTCTTGTAATTCTCAAGTCACTAGCGATGCTGTTATAGGTTGCTGCGCTACAAGTACAAGAGCAAGAGGAGGAAAAAGAGGCGGTGTCTACTTACGACAGCCCTCAACAAAAGCAAAAATTGTCGTGAAAAATACGTACCCCGTTTGATCACGTATCTTGAAACACAAATTACCCAGAAAACAAGCTTCTGCCTCACCCTGAAGAACTACGCATTCACAACGCGCAAAAAGCTTGATTTCGTAGGTGAGGGATCGAATCTGTTTCTGCGTGAGAAAGTAAAGTGTACGAGCACGACGAATCGTCTGCAAGTGCGGTGAATATTATTAAAAGTACGTCCACCGTAGATCAAGACAGAAATAAGTATCGGCCAAAGTAGCGACCAGAAGTTGTACCTCGACCACGCTTGAACCAGCACCAGATGGCAACGCAGCAGCATTTGAACACAGACTACTTCGCTCGGGATGCGAGCAAAGTGGGCGACGGCAGTCAGACACAGGAGGGGTACCTGGAGGTGCTCCCGAACCGACTTTACTGGACCTGTTTGTCCGGAATCCCGAAGAACACAAGTACGCACCATTTCTTTTCCATCGACAACGAGTTGGTGTACGAGCCCTTCTTTGCGGATTTCGGACCGCTGAATCTGTCCAGCACCTACCGCTACTGCAAATTGGTGAAGGCCATCCTCGATGACCCCCAGCTCGCCAACAAAAAGATCGTGCACTACTGCTCCCAGGACCCGAAGAAGCGCCCGAATGCCGCCTATTTGATCGGCGCGTTCCAGGTCATGGTGTTGAAGCGAACCGCAGAAATCGCCTACAGACCGTACTTGATTCTCGCTTTTATTTTCTGTCGTCCATTCAATTGGTCGCTCTTTCTTAAGATGGCGTTTGGAGCGCGACCATGCTGGCTGAACGATTTTGATAGAGAATGAATGTCCGTGTACCTCAATTTCGCAACTGTATTCATATATAAATCCAGGTTTAACAATATCCGTCCGCCGTTTCTGCCGTTTCGGGACGCAACGTGTGGTGTCTGTAACTACCACTGCACGGTCTTGGATTGCTTGAAGGGATTGGAGTATGCCATGCGCATTAGATGGTTCGACCCGAACACGTTCGACGTCGCCGCATACGAATTCTATGAAAAGGTACGTTTGTCACTTTGTCTACGGGTCTTTCGACATTTTTTTTTCTGTGTGCCCTTGGTGGAACGTGGCTATTTTCTAACTCTTTTATTCCTGTACCTATGAAAAATCGACAAATCAATTATATCGAATCAAAAATCAGGTCGAGCATGGTGATATGAACTGGGTGATGCCGGATAAATTTTTGGCTTTCGCGGGTCCATCTGCCACGCCTATCGATCCCGATGGTATTGTTGCTTTTTGGCGTCTTCTTTTTGCACGGATGAGAAGTTCAGCTGAGCGTGATCATCGAGCAGCTTTACAACGATGTCATTGCTATTGCGAGTAAGAAAGCATATGATATCGACGTAGAAATCTTTTATTTCCTGATGCGACCACTCTAGTGCGACATGAGATTAAAATTCGAATCATCCTGTCACACTCTAGGTTTTCCGGCCTTCACTCCGGAGGACTATGTTCCCATGTTCAAGTCTGCTAACGTCAACATGGTGGTCCGCCTGAACAAGAAGCAGTACGACCGCAGGCGTTTCACAGATCACGGCATTAAGCATGTGGACCTCTACTTTCTGGACGGGTCGTGTCCCAGCCGGGAAATCATCCAGAAGTTTCTGTACGTGGCCGAAAGCGAACCCGGCGCGATCGCAATCCACTGCAAAGCAGGGTTGGGCCGAACCGGAACCCTGATTGGCTTGTACGCCCAGAAGCACTTCCAGTTCCCGGGCCGCGCTTACATCGGCTGGAACCGAATCTGCAGACCAGGAGCAATTCTTGGTATGATTTTTGCTTATAATGATTAGGCACTACAGACAGTGGTAGTTCATGGCGAGTAGATTCGAAATCTGGAGTTTTCCTTTTTCTGGCTTTTGCGGGCGAAAAAAGTTTTTTTCAGTGCGGAAAGCCGAAGGATAAATATCCATAGAAGTTGTACAACAAGAGTGATGGTTTGAATAGGTCCATACCAACAACCATCACAGGCCCGCAGCAGCAGTTTTTGACAGAAATGCAGAACGAGATGATTCAGCAGGGCATTGCGCACCGAGCAAACCTGATGGGTCAACCAAGAAACCAGGAGGAGTTGCAATTGCGAAGAGAACTTGAGGAAGCCGAGAGACGCGAGGATGTGGGACAAGGTAATAGATTTGTCTACTCAATGATTTTTTCCCCGGCGGAACAATGATACGAATCACGTGTGAACAAGCACGGCACTGACTGAACAGATGCTGTGCGCCGGACCGTCGGTGCGCGGTTTTTCTGATTTTGATTTTCTTTCTGCCCACCTAGAAGCGAGCACGCATGTTGATTTTCTTTCTACCAACAAAAAACAGGTGACCGTCTGACCGCTGCAAAAAGAGACATGTACCCGGGATTTGGCGGTTTGAAAATGGGAGGGTTTTCATCGGGCAAACTGATGGGCCGTCCGCCGAAGCCGCTACGGGGCATGTTTGGTCCGCAGCCACCAGCAATGCTCAGCCCCGCCTGAGTCCGGTGGTTACGTGAAAAAAATATAATATGCGTTCACCATAATATGCCGTAACTTAAGGTTTCTCGTTCTATCGCAACTAGAAAGACAGATATAGAAAATTCTTTAAGACTTCACTATACGCAGATTCCGTTTTTACAAAAGTCATAGGCCCTCAATTTGAGATCAGTTTCAAGTTTCTAGTCGAGTATTCTCAACAATATTCTAATTAGCAACACAGCCGAAATTTTTCTCATAATAGTTTGTAAAAAGTTTTTGTCATAGTGGAGGTATTTGCATAGGTTTCATAGGCTTCAAAACACTGTACACCTGTTTGTTTATAGATTTTTTCGATCGATGTCTTTTTCGATACTTGCCACACACATTTTTTTTTAGTGCAAAGTAGTTTAAGACAGTCTCTGTTTCTAGTGTCGTATTTCCGTTTGCAAAATTTATCACTTTTCTTCTGTATGATTGTTTTTTCAGTTTCGATGTCATATTTACGTTTATTTTCTGTTTTTCGCTTTCTTTCTAGCGCTCGACCCTCAACAGCCATACCCTCACCCACCCTTTTTTCGATGAGTAAGGTCCGACCCGAAAATTCAATCACCACCCCTTTCCCCCACCCGCGTCCCGCTTCACTCGCGAATTTTGTAGTTTTTCCCGATGGTATACCCGCAGTTGTTTTAGCACTTAGAGAAGAAGTGTAGTTCTAGCACGCCGTAGTGTCCATATTGCGTTAACCATCTTACTGCACTGGCATTAGGTAACGTCTAAGTTTCGACTGCAATGCAGTGAGGCTCGGCCTCTGTCAGAACGCCTCTAGCTTCCACAATTCGAGAGTTGGTTCCATCACGACCAACGTCCTACTCTTTAGCTTTTTACTTTGATGAGACTTTCGATTTGTGTGTCCACCGGTCGTCGAGTTTTCAACGTATTAAGTTATTCTTGTTTACGAAACAGCCCAGAAATTAAATGAGCCTACTAGTAGTCACAACAAGCAAATCACAACCACCGTAAAAGTAGGCTCCGCCACGAAGACGTAAAAATTCACACTGTAAAAGTTAACTTTTACAAAAGTAAGAGGAGGAGAAAGTAAGTGCTATAAAATTTGATAAATCATTCTCGTTTTATCCGGTACGTTCCACTAGCGCGGGTCAGGAAGACATACAATATTTTTGGAGCCTGTCTCAACGACACGAGTTGGTAGGCAGGTTCTGAGAAGGGATATGACAGGGAGGCCAAGCTACTCAAATATTCCCCAGCGATACAGATTTTTTTACCTTCACCACTCCGACTCCTTTTCAAGCAATTTTGGTGCAAGTAAGTACAGTCATTCGATCATAGGGAATCATCTCGTTTTACAATGTACAAGAACAGTTGATTGCCATAGGCTTTTTTACGGGAACAGTAGATTGTAAACTCCTGGGCGCATCGCGATAACTCGAGGATTCTTCACATTTTATATGTACACTGCTGCACCAATAATCGCAATAGAAATTGGCTGCTTCAAGCGGAAAAAACTCGCGGAAGAGCAGTGCCACTGAGCAGAAGAGTGATGTTCTAAGTAGTCCAATCCCCGGCGGCGCCGAAAAAAAGCTCCAAAATAGCTACTACATGATGATCCGAGATACTAAGAAGTAGACGAGCAGTTGTTTGGAACATTGCGGAGCAAAAAATTGAGAGGAAGTTCACACCTCTCAGCATTCCTAAGGTTTATCATACATACACCTTCACCTCGGTTTTGGGGCTCTTTACGAGCCAAGGGACATCAATCACTGATACCGTCTACATGAGAAGTTCCGTTCTTTTGCCCCTAGATGTGCGAAACGAAAATGCTTGATGAAGATTTCCAGCCGTCCATGACTGACTATGTAGAATTGAAGGAGGTAAAAGAAAAAGCATTGCTGTGTTTCGCTTAGTTTCTTTCTAAAAAACTGCACAATGAATTTAGTTCTAGTATCTCAGACTTTGTTCTAAAAAATCTTGCCAATCTGAACATCCAAAGCGTTCCGTTCCTCTCCAAAATGACGGACACCTCCAGCTCGTCCTCGTGCTTCGAGGGCTGCTTCAGCTTTCTGGGCTCCAGCACGAAGAGCACCTCCATGATAAGTTCGGGAATAAGTGCGTCGGCGTCCTCCCCGAGCTCTGCAAGCACGTCGCTCCTTCCGCCCCTGAATATGGATCCACCGACCAGAACCAGAAAAGCGGGAAAAGTGTCCGGGAAGGTGCGACTCCGTCCGGACGTGGAAGCGGACGTGGTCAAAGATCTGAATCTCCCCCCCGGAACCGCACCCGAGTCTTTGTTCGACGAGCCACTGTTCCTCAGTTTGATGGAAAAGCTGATTGGGCAAGCCAAGTACTTGCAGAACAACCCAAAAGCGGGCGTCATACCACAGGAAGAGCGCGCAGCGAAAATCGTGGTCGACGCTCTGAGGCCGTACTCCACGGAAAAGGGCGGGCCGTTACAGATCGAGGTAGCCGCGATAGTACTGTTTGTAGCGTCGGAGTCTGTTCGAGAAATCAACACGGTAATCTGGAAAAGCGAAAAATGGAAAATTGAAATTATGCGCTCTCACTTATAGTCGCCTCACTCTGGTGATTTCCGCATCAGAAGCAGAATGAGCTTCCGCTTAGTTCGTGACTGTGCAGAACCGCTTAGTTATCACACCTTCCACCCTCAGTATCTGACATAGGTACTCACCGCTCTACTGCGCACGCGCCGCCAGCGCCAAGCATGCTTTCGCTCCGCCCTCTTTCTCAGCTGCCGCCGAAGAGCCATAAATCGTAATTTGCCTGATCATGATGATGATCTTGATCCGCACTCCTACATCGCTTACAACTTCTCAGCATGTTTGCGCAGCAGTGGCCTAAGGATACTTCTCATCATGGCCACTTGATGTGTTTCTCTGAAGAAGATCGGGAACAGTACAGCAACATCAACATCTCCCCCCACCCTTCACTCAGGTCCTCACCTACGTGCCAAAAAGGCCGAACGTGAAGATTACCTACCCTTCTAGCACCAAATCAAAACGGACGGTGGGTTTCGTGGGGTCGCACTTCGACGTCGTGCCTGCCAACCCCGAGGAGTGGGCGCGCGACCCATTCAAACTCACCCGGGAGGGGGACAGACTGTACGGGCGTGGCACCACCGACTGCCTGGGCCACATCGCACTGGTCACCACGTTTATGAAGTTCTTGGCGGCGAGCAAGGTGCAACTGGACATGAACGTGGTCTGCGTGTTCATCGCGGCAGAGGAAGGCGGCGAATTCGGGGTCGGGGTGGACAAAGTCCTGGAGGACGGAAAATTGGAGGAGCTGAAAAACGGTCCCGTCTACTGGATCGATTCGGCAGACTCTCATCCCTGCTGCGGCACTTCCGGCGTCACACAGTGGGAGCTCAAAGCGACCGGTCGCCTCTTCCACAGCGGCTTGCCGCACAAGGGGATCAACGCGATTGAGCTGGCGAGCGAAGCCGTCAGCGAAATCCAGCGAAACTTCTACAAGGACTTCGGTCCAGTCTCGGAGCAGGCACGATACGGGTATAAGATTTTTCATGCAGGGTGGATACCTCGGCTTCGAAAACACTTTTTGCCAATTTGCGAATTCTGCGTGAGTTTTTGAACCAATTTCATCACCAAATCCCACAGGTTCACGGTTGGTAGCACGATGAAGCCGACACAGATTTGCTGTTCCGAGGGCAGCCTGAACCAGATCCCGCCGTGGTGCAAGATCAGCGGGGACATTCGGCTGGCGCCCTTCTACGATATTCTCGAGACCATGGATCGTGTGGAGAAGTACGTGGAGCACATTAACACGAATCTCGAGTCGCTGCAGACCCGCGGTCCCCACTCGAAATACGACATTAGCGCCACAGCGCCGGAATCGGAAATGCAGCGGGGTACTGTCGAGATTAGCTGGGGCCAGAGCAAAAAGAACGCGCTGCTGTATGCCGGAATCGCGTGCGAGCTGGAAAGCCCAGGGCACAAAGCGCTAGTGCAGGCCACGGTGGAAGCTAAAGGTACTTGCAGAGATTGAAATCTAAGAAAATTTTTTCTAGGCGGATTAAGCACAGCAGCTGCACCGAAATCATGATAAATTCATACGAATTCCAGTTCGAAATATTTCCTACAAAAATAGGTCAAGAAAACTGCAAGCCCTATTCCATCACGGGGTCCCTGCCCCTGGTCGCTTTGATGCAACGGCAGGGCTTCGACTTGCAGCTGGATGGCTTTGGACTCATGAGCGTCTACCATGCCGTCAACGAGTACTGCCTACTCTCCGACATCCGTAAGGGGCACGAAATTCTAGTGCGCATCGCATGCTTGCTGAACTCCGCCAAGCCGGCTAGCAAATAGGGCGGGGACGATGAATTTCATCGGCTTCTCCAGGATGCGGTTCATCATCTTCTGCCGCGGCTGTGGTTCCTTCGTGCGCTGGAAACTATCGACTGAGCTGCGAGGAGTGGTTTTCCGTGTAATTATTTCCAGCTCTGCCACGGCTTTTCGTTTTGGATACAGGGTCCACACTGACCCCCAGGCGGGTCTAGCGAAAAGAAAAACTTCTACCACGTGGCTCGCAGGTTCGAAGACAATTTTTATAGGCCTGTTTTTCAGCAAACACGCGGTTCGCTGTCATCTCTTTCGCGGTTTATTTACCGAAGCACAGCTTCTTTGTGGTGGCAAGAAACGTGAGGATGCCAAGCAGGTGAGGTCGACCTCGAGAGGTTTCACTGAAAGAGTACGCATTGAAAGCAAAAACGCAGCGCGGTTTCAATTTCAATTTGAAAACAAGCGAGGAGAAGAGGGGGAAAGTTCACAGGTATGCAAATGTAGATGGCTTGATACTATGCCGGTGCAGTTACTGCAGATATTAGATATAAACAAGATCCGTGGCACTGGCACCTACTGAGGTTGTGGAGTAGCGTAGCCGATTTTTGCAGCTTTTGCTTGAGAGGAAATTTTGTTCCAAAACTAAAATCTACTACAAGCGCGTTTTGACTGGCTGGCAGCGCTTTAATAGCTCTATAACCATGCAGTATGCGAGACGACAGACTCATCCATGAGATCATTTGCTGATCTTGCTGCTGAAATTCAAATTGATTCAAATTGCCAAAGTGAGTTTTATCCAGAAACGTGTAAGAATGCGAGTACCTCATCTGCAGCTTTTAGACCACCGTTTGAGTCAGGACGGATTTTTCCCGCGAGCTTCGAAATCACAAAAACCCACCACCAGGCAGGGGTTTTCGAAGTAGTTGTCTACTTATTCGTTTGGGCAGCAGCAGCGAATAGTAAACTCTCTTTTAACCACGCTTCTACACTGATCAGTATTCTTTGTTTCCGCCTTGGCCGTAGCAGCTTTGAATACCATCCACTTACCTGGTCAATTTTTGTCGCTTGATTATCTGTAACAAAGCATTTTTGTCGCGATACATAAAGATTGCATTCTGCACAGAGTGTTGCACCTCCTCCACAGAAGTGTTGCACGCAAGAACGAGACCGCTTCAATCGTCATCTTTCCAATTTAGGAATTGCAGTCAGAGTGAGAGTCTAGTTCTAGATTCTGTGACAGACTTTGATTTCCCGTGGAAGTCGAGCAAAAAAAAACCTCGCACGAAAATGGGCAAGCACACCGGTGTCGTGGCCAAGTGGCTGAACCACAAGGGAATCGGATTTATCACCCCGGACGACAGTGCGGACGGTGGCGACGTGCTGGTGCACTTCGGCTCTATCAAGCAGGGCGACGGGGACGGTTTCAAGTCTCTGGAGGAAGGGTCCAAAGTCGAGTTTGATCTGGATGACGACCCGAAGAACCCGGGCGAGAAGAAGGTGGCTATCAACGTGACCGGGCCGGGCGGCGCGGACTGCGAGCCGAAGACCCGCAAGGGCAAGGGAAAGGGTATGTTGCCGTGTTCAGGTGTCACTTTTCCAAGCGGTTACATCCACTTTTCGCCTGTTAGTGATGCGAGAAGAGAAGTGAGCAGTCAGTTACTCTTGTATTTCAAATTTTTTTTGCGCAATCATATCATACTGCCAAGAACGGTTCTTGGAAACTGTGCATCGCAGTTGGTGAAAGAGAGGATGTCATTGTTGAGAAAGGTAACATCTGCGAGGTTCATAGAATGCAAGGGCAAGGGAAAGAAGGGTAAGGGAAAGGGAAAGAAGGGCAAGAAGGGGGATGATGACGAAGAGTAAACGGAGCAGTTTACAACTTTGGTTTTTTCTTCATCTTGGTGCAAGAAAAAAATGGATCGCTTTAACTAAGTGATCGCTTGCCGTTGCAAATGCAATTAGACGACTACGTTTTTTTGCGTAGCGGTATTTCAACGCTTATGTCAGTTATACCTTTGAAACTTTTAGTTTTACTTACTTGTTAACTCGAGACGTCATCACTTTAGTCACAAGAGCTACAACAGTAGTTCGAATGTGTGTGGTCAACAAACAAAATCTTTGCATTCTCTTCAATGACGAACGACCCAGTCAAAGCACTGCAGACAAGATCGATGTTTTGAGCCCAAGATCTTTCGTGGTACTCAGATATATCAACCTGATACCTCTGATAGATTCTTTTTTTGAAGTACCAATACCTGTAACAGTGCCTATGGCACTTCCAAAAACTACAAAAATTTCCTTGAAATATAACTGTAGTAAGCACTTATCAACAACACTTACACGATTTAGTTCACGTGAACTCAATCAAATCGTACACCACAATGAAAAGAAAGATGCGGAAATATTCGAAATACTGCACGCGCTTGTTTACATCTGCCAGTGTCCTGACGTTGCATACTTGCGCCCCGCGCTGATAACCGCCATTCACAGGTACTTTCACTAGGTGCCGAAAGAACAGAACCGGCAACGTGCAGCTTCTTGCAGTGGGCAAACAAATCGAGAAAAATGTCATTCCAGACCCCTCTAGTATCTATGCGCGTCGCCTTTCGTATGAACAGCGACATCATCACGTGATACAGAGGAAGTTATTGGTGCAGTTGAATGATATTTTAGAAAGGCCAGTTTAGGATGTCTGGAAGCACCACCGTGCGCTTCCTTGCATCCAAACGAGCTTCAGGTTCCTAGGGTTGCTGGGAGAGTAGAGGTATGACACAATATTTGCAATGGCGATTTGCAGCGTAGAGGTCTCCTTTCTCGCCCATGCCTGCAAACACGATATTTGTATGGGAGGACCAGCTTCTCCCTCTGTATTTGTCCAACCTGAGACATCTGGTATATTAAAGAGAGCCGTGTACGTGTTTGTTGTTTCACTGCGTGATATCATACTTCCAGGATTCCGAAGTAAGTACATAGGCAGATGAGGCGACGCCTTTGTAGCATAGCTGTGGACAGATGAAGTCATACGTTTCTATCTTCGAGGCAGATGAGGCGAAGCCTCCATAGATAAAGGAAGTGTCAGTAATATAATTCCGAAGAGGCAGAGGCGCCGCCTCCTGGGAATTCTTGTAGACTTCTTGAGATCCACAGTCTAAGAAAATCTTCGGGACGGCGTTCGCTTTGATATACGCATTATTTTTACTTTTATTCCGTACATTATCATTAGTACCGCACCAGGTGTATGATCATGGTTGTCATCTGACCAGGCTGCTAAAATGCTACGAAACTATAAGTTGAAAAAATAACTTACGACTCGTGATAGATTCTGCAGCAGACCTATTTTCCGAAAGCTAAAATTTGCTCGCTGCATCTGCAGCTGAAATCGATAGCGACGAATGTAGTTGATGTGCACACCAGGACCGAGGGCTGGATAAGTCTTCACAGGTCCAGATATACTGCCCTCGTCTGAAATCAATGGAAGGTTGTCTTGTTTAGACCGAAGTAAGCCTGACGTTCAGTTCTAGAATTTGGCATAGGTCACTTCGTATAGGTAAGGCTACCGCACCAGATGGAGACTACAAAGCACTTTGCTTGTTCGATTCGGGGAGAGTTAGGATATCTGGTATTGGCCTGCATGTGCATCGCGACACAAAAACAGGCGACGTCGCGAAACTCGTTCGCATGCTATGCTATGCACGATAATACAAACTGTACAATAGTGCGGTTTTCGACACTGCAAGCGGCAAATCGAGAAACTGCATTTGGTATGTTGCTTTTCCGATAAAAGCACCAATTTCCAATATGTACGTTTATGCTGAATTTGTCTGATTCGTAGGTTTCAAAAAAACTTGAAAAACATATCTCCTTGCCGACCGCGACCCGGTGTGGTGATCACGACTCACACTTGTCAGTAAAGTTCGACAAGACACAGAACTCAGTGGATTGTTCGCTCGCAGCACGTTGTTTCGTCCTTCGGGGGCTATAGTCTGAACGACACATTTTATCTGGGTTCATCGTGAAACAAGGTGTAGCCAGGATCGTCGGTTTTCGGCCATAGTTGCGGCGTGGATTTCGATCTTTCATTTTGGTGTCGGTCTTAAGAATGTCCGCTTCGTTGCTGTAAATTAATGGTCGACGACAACCCAGTCTAGATCGTTCATCGTATCGGTATCGCATTTTTCATCTCAGTTTTCTTGCATTAGTTTCTAGATTTGCGATTTTCGTTTTCCGTATTAATTTCTCTTGAATGAAACACCTGAATTTGGACATCTAGGACTTTTTTGAATCAACGAGTATGGCTTCGTATTTTTTTTGTTTGAATTATGTTGCTAATGCTATGGATAAGATTTGTTCCAGAAGATCTATCGAAGATAAGTATTTTCACTCGCTAACTACGGATGCGCGGCTTCTTCACTTTTTCAGATTGGGTTGAGTCAGCATCTGTGCACCCTGTTGCGTGGGCAGCTTGACATGGACGTTGTGCACAACTACAACTGCATTGAGCGAGCGGGTCAGTTTGTGTTTTGACACAACCGAAAATTATGAGTACGCCGATCGGAGGAGAGGCGATGTACCCGCCAAACTCAACTAGTCCACTGGAGCCGCAGTTCATCTACAACAGTTCCGGATCCCTTTTGCGGCAGCGCATTAGCAACAACAGTGCGAGCGAGAAGCGTCCGGAAAAGCGGCCGAAGCGGTCCATTCCTGCCAGCGTGGCGACGACTTTGCACTTTCCTGTACTGACGGCCGGAAACCTGCTCGGGGCAACTACAGGGAGTCAACAGCAACAGCCGAGTGCGGGTTCATCTTCATCTTCATCTTCTTCCGCATCCTCCGGCACACCAGCGTTTGGCGGGGAAGCAACAACAAATGACAACCACTCCGCAACGAGTAGCAAACAGAGTTTGTTTCCTGCGAAAGACCACCGTCAGTCGGAAGCTGGAGCGAATGGTCGAAATGCAGCATCCGCTTCATTTTGTTCTGGAGCTCTGGACGGGACTCTGTCTTCGACAGAGTTCGTCGGCACAAGTTCCAGTTCCTCGTCCTCTGGTGCGTTTTGTTCGTCGCGGGTAGAGCAAGAGCTACACCCCCCACCGTCCGCGGAGGATGACAGCGCTGCGCAGGAACGATCTGAAACATTTAACAACGCCATGCAGCCGGACAGCAGCGGAACGATCAGTGCTATGGAAACTGTAGTTCCAGGTCCTTCATCAAATTATCGCAACAGACTCGAAGAACGAGATCACGGACGACTACGTCCGACCGGGCAGCAATCCAGCGAGGATCATTCATCCGGAGAGAGTTCCCTGTACCCAAGCACGCTGTTGCAAGACGATACGTACTATCAATTGTAAAAATGTCTGGGTCTGGAAGATTGGAACTTGTGATGCTACCTTTGGACTCTACATAAAATCTCTATTGCATGAACAGCAAAAGAGGTGTAATTTGTGCTACGCAGAGAAGGCATTTCTCATGCGGTATGAGCATCAGAAAGCCCTTGCAAAATCTCTGATGCTAGGGCATGCATCACAGACCTCATGGGGCATGCGGTCTTTGTGTCGCTTTGGTTTTCTAGGTGCAAAATATGCATGACAAACTCCTCAGTACGTGCGCGAGGTGGTCGTGAGGGATTGCGATAAACAAAACCTTTCTGCTTCAAATGTATGCAAGCACGAGCGCAGACGTGAATGTGGCTAGCTCCGTCGGAGCTCTCGCGTTTTACCTTTCGGCTATTTCTGTGTTCTTTCTTTGCTGTGAGTATGCCTATGAGAGAAGTTTTAAGTAGTGGTGTTAGTTATTGTATATTAGTACTTTAATCCACGTATTTTTCGCGTGGTTGTCCTAGGTGAGCTAGCACCCGTGTCCGTGGACAACCATCTAAGACGCGGAAAATAGCGAGCACTTTAGTTTTTGGCTTTCTCTGGTTTGGTCATGATTTTTGGACCGCTTCTTAGGGTGGTCGAGAAAGCCAGACTAAAGACGGCACGGGCAGAAGTGGATCGGTATACGCGCGCGCTAGCTTATCGTAGTTATAGTTTAAGTTGCTTAGTTTTTTGGGTTTTATAGCGAGAACTAGCTTCTGGACGTGACCATGGCGACCCCTCCGGCTTGAAGTACGCGGACACTTTTTTCCCATCTTGGGGTTTGTGATGTAGTTGCTTCGCCGTTACTGCTTGGTCATGACCCTTGGTGTTTGTGTTGCATTTTCTCGGTCCTTGTGACTGCCCTTCAAGAGGGCAACTACATCGCATCTTTCCCCTCTTACAGATGGTTTCTTTCGTAGTTGGGACTGTGTCATAGTAGGATGATTTACCGCTTTTTTACTATTCTTTTCTCCCTTGACGCTGGTGCTTAGGTTTGCATACAACGTTATCCCTACCCAGATAGCAACAAATGCTCACGCCGCAGCCGTCCCAGGAGCTATCTTTTGTTGTTGTCTCTCGGTAGTGATCACTTTGTCCAAACTTATTCTACCTAGAGTTTGTCGAGTAAGTGGTTACCGTTTTAAGGTTTAGAGAACGACAGGGACGCCCAGCCCTTAGCTTCCCAACATGACAAACTCCTGCACTCTTCCAGACCCAGACATTTTTGCAATCCATACGTACTACACGCCAGGCGACGAGGATGTGGAGGGTAGGGAGATGCTACGGCAAACACTTTTGCAAGAGCGGGGTCGCGCCGCTGCGAGCGTCTTCGGACAGCAAGAGGGGCGCCCCGGTTCGGGCGGTAATAATGTAGGACATTACGACAACCTCCTCCAGCAACAGGAAGTGCCGCAACAGCAACACGGCTTTCAATTGCAATACAGAGTCAACTACCCTGCAGGAGCTCACCACGCGCATGATCAGGAAGATGTTCACGAGGATCACGAGGAAGAAGAACCAGAAGAGCTGCACCAACACAATCGTCCTTACACGCCCGCAGACCTGGGTTTCACGCTGCGCAACGCGTTGACGCCCCCGCACACGCCGGGCAACATGATTTCTCCCTTTGTTCCCGGAGGCGGAGGTAGCAGCATGCGGGTCCACCAACGAATCCAGGCCCAGCGGCTGTCCGCGGTTTTCGGGAACAGCAGCGTGCAGCGCAGTCGGGCTGCTGCGGTGACGCCATTATCCGCGCAAGGAGCTTCAACCGGTGGCGTGCATGCGCTGTCAGCGAACCGCGTTCCACGAATAAACCCGAACGACAGCAGACATTCTCATGGTTCATCCCAGTCATTCGAGGAAGACGGCCGGGCTGGTAGCCTGTTTCGAAACTCCCTTTTCAGTTACCAGACCCCGGGGTCCGGCACCGGTGCAGTCCGGCGAACGCAGTACCTCGACCCGGTGTCAGAGCAGGACGAAGACTTCGAGCGACCTGGTGTCATTTCGGGGCGAAATTCCCTTGAGCAATCGTTTTCGTTCCGCGGAAGTGCGTTTTTGGTCCCAAATGGTGATGAAGATCGTACTGCAGTTGCAGGAGAAATACAACATCATTCGCAGGGACAACTACCCGCCCGCCGGAACTCCAGTCATCGCCAGGTTTCTTCCAGGAGTAGGGAGTCGCCACTCTATCCCGAGTCGAACTTGTTCAGAGAAATGCTGGATAAGCCGGTAGCGAGTATGCTGCACGAGGAGGCGGGCGAAATCGATGGCCGTCGGCGGGGCAGCGGAATTCGGCAGCTGTCCTTCGACGGAAAGGAGAACAAAGCCGTTGGGAATAACAACCGGCAGGAGCAGAAAAAGTTTTCTGCGGTAGACGTAATGCTGCGTGGCTTTTCCCTACCACCTGATTTGCAGCCGAAGGAACTGCCGGTATGAATTTTTCGGTTCGTTTTTACCATTATCCGCTATTCAAGAATTGCGTTTGTGTAAGATTGATGTGTGCTAAAATTCGGAGTAACACAGTCTTGCTGAAATTATTTTGGTCACACAATAATCAAATCAGGAACACCGTAGCCTTGCGGCGGAGAAGGTGCGGGAGGAAATTTTCACTTCGGACGACGACGACTGCAATGACCTGTATGCGGGGTGGCCTGTTAGCAGTGATGCCATGTGAAAAGCAAAAACGCGTATTCTGTGCTGATAAGAATCAGTGACCATTTTTTGAGTTATTTGGTTTCAGTTTGAATTTTTTTGTCTTGTCTTGTTTCTATCATTCTTGTTGCATTGATTTCATTCCTAACATTGGATAGTTACAATTGGTTCACTTGCGTTGCTTTTGCAATTTGATATTGCACAAACAATTGGAGTACGTTATTTTTCGTTTCGCGATTGAAAACATAAATCAAAATTGGAGAACCTAAATGTATTTACACCTTCTTTGAGATTGTCCACACCTCCACACTTGGGCCATCGCTGTTTCAATTTCCTGTATTTACAGAATAGTCAAATTAACCAGCTCTCGACTTTTCAGCACGAGAAACTGGTGAAATTCGCAACTACTTTGTACAAAACTGCTATCTTCACGTTGTGTATATTTTTGTGTCTAGCTTGCTTTAGCAGCTTCCAAAACTGTACAATTTTCTGACTTTAGCTTTACGCTTTTGACTTTGAGCACCTCTACGAAAAGAAAAAAGAAACACAACGAGCTCGTTGAGGTTTTACTCGAATAGAAAGCACACCTCTCGTTGTCGCCGACAAATCTTTGCGGGAGCTCTCTTCAAGTTTCGGGCCTAAATCTGCACTGATTCACTAATCGGACAATATTCTTTTCAGCTGTCGGTAGATTCGTTTCGTTCCTCTCCCTATGTGGCTGTCGGTGTATTAATTGGTTTGTTTCGTTCCTCTGCGTATGCAAATGTTACGTACAACGACAAGTCTGTGTCTTCGTCCGCTCGAGCATCGTTCTTCTCCTCGTGATTTGGCCGCGTAGTCGTCAACGTTCGTTTTCTGATCAATCGGTCGTCGTCCGCTAATATTCATTCTGGCACCTTCTTCTCAACTTTTTTCTCTTCTGAAATGCAGCCCACAGTGACATTATTGAGGAAGTTAGAAAAACCCAATGTATCCCATTGGTCTCTCTTTTTAGCCTTCCATCACGCGCCGGCATTTCTATGGAAATAAGCCATAACCTGGCACTTCTCGAATTTCAAATATTTCAAAACCCAAAGCCAGCAGAACACTACAAAAATTTTCAGTACACTGCAGCACAACTACCACCTGACCATGTTCAGCACGGGCAAGCCCCGCGGCAAGCCCGCAGCGGGCGCGAAGAAGAAGCTGAAGCACGGGGGTGCCAGCATGTCCAACCTGGCTGCGCTGTACGGCGGCCAGGAGACGGGGAAGGAGGTCACGGAGCAGGACAAGCACGAGGAGTTGATGCGGAAAAGAAGAAATTATCTGCAAGTCTCCGCCAACAAGGACCGGCAGCTATTTCAGGAAAAAATGCTGCAGTCCGGAAACACGGCCTTCAACAGCATGCGGAATGACAGCAAAGACAGCAGCAGCCAGAATGAGACTTTGCCGCTCACTTTAGAACAGGAGTTAGACTATGCGGACACGACGGAGCTCAGGGAGCTGTTCGAGGCAACCGATGCCGCCATGGCACAGGACGATATTTTGAGGCGGCTGCAAACCGGGTTGCCCCTCGGGGAGTACCAGACGATTTACATTAAAGACGTGGTGGAAGAGGGGGTCAAGCACATGCGGTCCACAAAGCCGCGCAACTGGGCCGAGTACTTGTACGGGCGGGAGCGCGCCGGTATGCGCGCGAACATGTACATGCCAGGGTCAGCCGCCAGTGGGCAACAGCAGCAGCTACAAGGATTACACCCTGCGCACCATCATTCCCCCGAGCGCCAGAGCACGATTCCGCCGATCGGGCCTGGTTCAGCGTCGAATGTGCTCAAGGACTTGATCGGTGGGGCGAGCCAAGCAGACCAGGCGCTCTCGCAGATGAACGTGTTTATGCAGACCCACGTCGACACGATGGACAGTATCGAGACGCTTTTGAGCGAATTGAACGAAGGCGCCAGCTCCCGCGGCACGGGCCGCGAGACCCCGCAGCGGCCCAGTCTGAAAATCCCAAGAAGTGCTGCGCGAGAAAGCGGCGGGCTGAACGATGGCTTCGACAACATGAATAAAGCAGGAACTTCCCGCGGACAAAAAGCGGTCGGGTGGAATTTGGAACCGCACCGGTTCCGGTTGGACGTGGAAATGGGCCATTTCACGATGAAGAAGCCACCCCGGCACCAGTCCCGGCTGTCGCACCGCAAGATTTGGACGGCGTTTGACCCGAGCGAAAACATCCAGGCGTGTGTCAAAGGCGAGCCGCACAATTTGCCACGGGACGAGTCCGTGCTGCATAAGGAAGCGCGGATTCTCGCACGCTTGCAGGAGGACGAGGACCAGCCGGGCATCCCCTACATGTACGCCTTCGGGCTGAACGAGATTTCGAAGCAGTACCTCCTGGTCACCGAACTGCTCGGGCCCAATCTGGAGCAGCTCTTCGCGCACGAAATTGTCGGACGGAAGGAGGCGTACGGCTTCGACACGAAAACGGTGCTGGGGATCGGGTTGCAAGCCCTGCGGGCGTTGAGCTACGTGCACAAGTGCAACATTCTGCACCGGGCGGTCAAGCCCTCCAATTTTGCGGTCGGCAACGTTACGAACGTTTGGAACAAGAAGTTGATTTACTTGTTGGACTACGGCTGGGCGAAGGATCTGGGACCTGTTGTGGAGGCGCAACGAGAAAAGGATCGCACGGAGAATATCAAGAAGGAAGGGGTAATAAGTTTATACTTGTTTCTAATTGTTGATTTTCATCACACATGAAAATAAAGGCACCGTCGGCATGAATGAAATAATTGGGGATATCAGCACTAGCATTGCTTGCAAGAGACCAACTTGTAAATTTCAATTTCAAACGACACCAGGAGCTTTTGAAGCGGCGGGGCGGTGGTGCGTCGCAGCAGGAGCAGAAAAGCAACGCTGGAACGTCGATCGTTGACGGCGGGCCGACGGGCGACCCGGTCGACGGCCCTCCGCAGAACCAGTTTGTCGAGCTGCCCAACATTGCCGACTGGCCGAGGTACCGCGAGGTCGCGAAGCGGACGAAGAAGTCCTTTCACGCCGATGACGATTTGATTGCCGTCACGAAGGATTTGCCGTACAACAATCACGTGTTGTTCGCGTCCCCCCAGGCGCATCGCAACCAGCTAAACGCCACGTGGCGGGACGACTACTGCGCTCTCGGGTACATGATGGTGTATTGGCTCTCCGGCGGCTCCCTACCCTGGTCGGATCGCATTTCGGAAGAGAATCTCTTTCCCGAGTCCGCCCGGTTTTTGAACCTAAAAGCGAAGGCGAAAAGGGAGAGCGAGCGGAAGCACTTGCACCACCACCGCGGCCACTCCGCTGGGTCGGACGGCAGTCGTGGCAACAAAGGAGCTATCAAATGCAAAAATGTCTGGGTCTGGAAGAATGCATGTTTGTCATGCTCGTCTGGCATGACTCTTAAATCTGTCATGCACGTTACGCGTTGTTGTTGGGCCAACAGCCCCATTTTCTGTCATGCACAAACGCAGTTTGTCATGCAGAATAGGCAACATCTAGAAGCTCAGAAACCTGTCATGCTGAGCCAGCACTTGTGGCTTCCTCATAATATGCCACCCAGCATCACAAGTTTCCAGACCCAGACATTTTTGCATTCCATAGGAGCTGGGTCCGAGCAATCCGATTCCTTCTCGACCACGTCGGATGACCGAAACAATCTCGACGAGGACCTGGATCTGCCAAATAACAACCTGACCCATGAAGACGACGAGAACGACCTCGTCACGCCGGATATTTTCCGCACTGCTTCCGCGGTCTGCTTCGCCCCGAATCTGCGCGATAAGGACGATCAACCGCCGACCTGGCCGTTGCCTCTGCAGCAGCAAATGCGCGGCGACCGAATCCGGGCCAAGGAAGTGTTGACGCTGGTTACTCGCCGCAGGGTGTTGCAGGAGATCGAAGCGGCGAAGACGTCCACCACGTGGACGAAGGTGTGCCAACCCGTGCCGGGGAAGAAGATGCGGGCCAAGTTCATTGAGTTTTTCCGCTACGTGTACGAGGGTCGGGCGATTTCCTCCACGATTGACATGGGCGGCCACGACAGCGACGACAGCAGCAGCGAAAACAAGGGCAGCGTCGACAGCGGCGGGGGCGGCCGGATCGTGAACTGGGCGCAGCTCTTGCCGATCGTCAATTGCGACTCGCCGTGGACCATGCACGCGGAACAGCACGCGTTCGACTGCAACGTGCGGGTCAAGCACGACACCGAGAAGCTGGAAAGGTACTTGCTCGAAATGGCGGAAGGAACCGAGATGGACTTGTCGCAGCCCGGGTTTTGCTGGGACGACGACTACCATGGGCCAGCGCACGCGAAGCAACGGCGCCCCAAGGTGCTCGAGAAAAAGACCTTCCCGAAACAGACCTTCCCGAGTTACGTGCAGCGTGCGTGCGTGCTGCGTCACGACCAGATGCACGGCCGGGTACACCGGGTGCTCGACTGGGAGCGGGAGCTGGGCGAAGCGGAGGAAGCAGCATGGAACAAGCATCTAGCGTATTTTTTTGAATGGTTTTTGTTTTGTGAATCATTTGTTTTGGTGAGGGTCAAAAGATTAATACTTCGCGAAGAATGATTGCACAGGATGAGGGTCGTGTCGTGATATGTTGACTTCAGAAATTTGCTGTCAAAATCGATCCAAAAAAAAACAACAGCCTGATCCAGAAGTGGGCCCAAGCGAAGACGCCAGCCCTGGCCTTCAGCATGCAGAAGCGAAGCAACCCAGTGAAGCGAAAGTCTCTCGTGCCCCTCAAAAGACAGACCGACCTGACGACTAGTTTTCAGGCCTTCCGTGACAGCCTCTATGTTCCGCTGGAGATGCGGCAGAGCTACTACGAAAGCCAGCAAGCTGCCGCCGCTGAAGCCGCGGCGGAGAAGGCAGCGGCCGACGCCGCCGCCGCACAGGCAGAAACTGAAAATTCATGATGACTGTTTTGCGGGCCTCTTTGTGGGCATAGTCATTGCATCATTGTTTATTCATTCCCACCCTTGATTTCTTGTGTTGAGTTTGAAATATTTCATAACCTGAAGTTTTCAACACCTCGTAGTATATTACGGTATCTGAGTTCTCTGAGCAGGAGGAGATTTAGAACACACCCAACTCGTATACAGAAAACGAAGGTTCCTTTTTGGACTACCCAATTTTCGATTTCCAGGCACTATCGTCTGCTGAAAATTTAAAAAAAAAGAATCCCAGATCGCAACCTGGTCTGAAAGTGCACGCTGTCACGCAGTGTGAGTGTTCGTTTGAAAAAAACGAGGGAGGATGTTGCAATAATCACGCCGCCTAAAGGCAGTAATAGCAAACAAAAGGTGCGAGTGGAACGGCTCGAAAGGACGAAAAAACGATTGATCTTGTACTCAATCAGGTCCCCCCCGCCCCCTCCCTCCGGTTTATGTCGATAGGTAGCCTCTGTAAAAATTGCCTCGCGTATAATGTACGTAAAGGTACTGTAGATGGTCTTTCGGTAAAGGTACGACCCCTCGCCGCGGTCATGCCCAGAGAAATACAATCACAATCTGGAACACCTCTGGTGGCTGCACATCTTCTCTTGCCCCAAGTTACATAGCCATGTTGAATCGACTTGGATTTCTTTGACATTGGATTCATCAAAATGGCTGCTTGTGCGGCGCCGCAGCCAAAAGCCTGGCCTGACTTACAGCAGGTCCGGGTGGTGGTCATTTTTGCTGGTGAGGAGGAGGAAATTTTCGCGACCGCGGATTCGAACGAGTGCCTCGAAACTGTTTGGGATGAAGTACTGGCAAGAAGCGAAGAAAGATTTTTTCCAGACTTTCGGTCGCCCGACGGAACGCTAGTGTGTGAGCCTGTGTTTATAAACAGAAACGGCAATGGTGCTTCAGCACCCGGTGGAGACGCCGAAAAAGACATCGTCAATCTGGAAAGAGATGGAAACCGTTGCCTCTCAGAATTCTTACCTGTAGATCCGAATCTGAGATCTTGTGCTCCCGACGAGCAGGAGGGAATAGTCGAGGGGCTCGAGGAAGACAATTTCGACGATTGCTCCCCAGCACAAGAACACGCACAGCATGAAGACACAAGTCAAGAACCTATCGTACCCCAAGTGGAATTTCTTCTCGTCCTTCGAGGCATTCAGGTGCTTGTGTCCTGGGCAGAAAACGTTTGTCTTGACGGCGCCGCGTCTTTCACAGACCCCCGTCCCGCCGGGAGCTGTCTGCTGGAGGCCCTGGAAGCGTCCGATTTCAAAATCGGGGATGAGCCCGTGTTTTTTGACTTTCGTCCGATTTCCATCTTTGGCGGCAGGCGAAAGCAGGACCAGACCAGTAGATTCGAAGCCTCGCCGCGGGAACCACGCGGAGTCTTTGAGCGAACCGGGAGCAGAGATGGCGAAGAACCACGTTCAGAGGATTGTTCGCCGTGCTGGGTACCAAACTATTGGTCCTCGGCGCTGGAGTGGGAAGTAGAGAAAGCGCCCGACCACGACCGAGAGGAGCAGTCACGAGACCGAATGCAACACGCGGCCTGGGTACCAAGCTTTGCGCGCTTGCTCCAAAACCTCCAAAGGCAACACTTGGCTTCCTCGCAGTTCCGAAGCGCGGTAGCGGACGACTATTTAGGTCGGTATGCGGCCATCATTCTTTTAGGTTACGACGATGACTCCTGGTTTCAGAACTCGCCTGCCAACGCAGTGAAGGCGCAACGCGCGCTGCTTAACTACGTGGAGCGAGGAGGATTATTGCTCCTCGAGGGGAACTTGATGGGCGAGAGACCGCCCGTGGACCACGTGATGCGGCGAAATCGCCGGCTGTACGGCCGACCGGTGGGTGACATTGCTGATAAGGTCAATAGGCCCTCCGTGCGGGACGAAGATGCATCGCATAATTCGGACGCTGAGGAGCAGCCGCATGGTGCCGAGCCTCAGTCGACAGAGAGCACGGATGGAGGAAGAGACCACGCTTTAGTAGCAGACGCGAGGGGTCGAGCCAAAAGTAACCGGGATTCTACTACCAGCGGGGGCAGGCACAGGGATGGTTCAGTCGGTTCTCATAGGCTCGGCATCAGCCGCTTGCGGGATCTTTTTAAGCTCGAGAATGTCTGGTCGAACGGGGTGCGGACCCGTTTACCGATAAAGCCCGGCATTGTGCAGAATCCGCGGGACAGCAAGCTGTTTGCGACATTTTTTGGCGAGTCCACGCTGGAAAGTTTGAAAACTAATGACCAGAAAATGGTGAAAAAGGAAAACGAGAACTTGCTCGATCTTGACCTCCCGCGGTCTTATTGGTGTATCGCATTCGAAACCGATAGGGAAGCAACGCTCTTTGAAACGTCGGCTTCAGACACGGTAGCGAGAAATTTGATGCCGACCTGCGCGGTCGGGCTTGGGTATTTGGTCCACTGGTGCGATGCTAGCAATGCGGCAGAGGTCTGGGGTCCCTGGAGGGCGTGGGACGTGCTGCTGAGAAGCTTGATCGCGGGTAAGATTCTGTCGGAGAAGGGACAGGGCATGGACGCAATCGCTTTTCACAATCAGCAGAAGCAAAACCATAGAATTTCAGATCAGTAAAACTGGCGACATCTACTGTGTATTCAAAGCATCTCTCTTCTGCCTCCGCGCATGACGAGGCGAGCATAATATACACCGATTGATGGTCAAGGCAGGATGCGGACGCTCCTTTCGTCAGGCAGACGCCACTGCAATTTGCATACTGAAATGTTCTACCTAGTACGGATTGAACACTAGTTTTTGCATCATTCTCCTCATGAATCGATTTCGTCACACGAATTCACTCATCCGTCCTCGGTTGCCACTGTGATTTTCACATCAGAGATTCGGAACACGATCGGTTGCGAAGTTCTGGTATTGTCGCCCGTGACGGGTTCGGTTCGTTCTGCATGTCTTGAGCTTTCTAAGCTGACTGCTGTCGGTCGATTCGTACACTCACTTTAATCGTTGTCGTTCAACCTGTTCCTGATTCGTCCAGTTTTCGTTCTTTCGCTTAGGCTTAGCCAAGTCAATCTCGTGTACAACCCCGAAGATTTCTTGATTTCTGATGCCATCTTTACAGGACTCATTCTCATGGTGTCGCCAATGACCTATTAAGGATGTAGAAGTACAAGTTTCATCACTGTAAGAACGCTAGTACTTCTACCGCTTTCGCACCAAGAGTAAGTACTACAGGTAGTTTCACAGCTCCATCGAAGGACTACCTCTTATCCCAGCACCATGCCGAAGGTTTTTTGCGCGCAGTGCGAGAAGCAGATCAAGGGCCGCTACTTCCAAAACAAGGAAGGCGCCTCCTTGTGCCGCGACTGCGCCGAGGGGAATGCGGGGTCTTGCTTCGTGTGCGGCGAAACCATGCTGGGCTCTTCGAAGGGGTTGAAGATCGACGGCAAGCCCATCCACCGGGAGTGTTTCAACTGCGTCGATTGCCAGGAGCCGATCGGGGAGTCCGGGTTTCAGATGAAGGCCCGATTGTGTGTGGACGAGTCGAGACGGGAGCTGTTCACGGATAAGGACCTCGTCTGCTCCAAGTGCGCCAAAAAGTTTAGGAAAGCGGAGAAAGCCTTGCGGGATCAAGAGCACCCCGGAGAGGAATTGCCCGAGGAGCCGCCGGTACCCGAGGGCGGGGAAATGATGCACGAAAAGCGGATGAGCCTGCAGCTGCAAGAAATGAACGAGGCGGTGATGCTGGCGGCGGGAAACGCCAATGCGCGACCAGTATCCGGAGTGTCCGAGGAGGCGGGCGATGCTGATGCTGCGCCTGAGCCCGCGCCGGCCCGCCCTCGGGGTGTGAGCCACCAGAAGCGTGACCGCGCAAGCGGAGTTTCAGAGGAAAGAAAATCAGTCTCCCGGGTAAGCCAGCGGCTAGAGGCAATGAATGAAGCAGTAGTGATGGCCGCTGGAAACCCGAACGCACGGCCAGTATCTGGAGCTTCAGAGGAGGCAGACGCAGACCCCGCTCCTCAGGCGAGAAAGTCAACGACGAAAAGGTGTTTACTGTGTGATGTTTTTGTGTTAATAAACAAGTCAGTGCATTTTTCTCTTGTTTTCGCTAGATGCGACTTCATGATAGATTGATTCTATCGTACGCAGGTGTTGAACGCCAGTGAGCAGTACTTACTTGTGTTTGAGTCCATGAAATGAATTCCAACAACTGTCCACAGTTATTACGAGGCTGGCGCGGCCGCCAGGAAGAGCAGTAAACTAGCCGCAAGTGTACCCAGCCAAGACGAGGAAAGGCTTTCCGGCAAGCTTCGCGCGATGCAAGAAGCCGTGATCACTGCAACGCCGCCACCGGCGAGCCAGGAATATCCGGATGTGGACTTTGACCACCGTGCGTCAGGCGCGGCATCGAGGGCATCGCGGAAAAGTAAGCAGTCGCAGTCGACCGTCAACACCTACACAGAACTACCTTATCCAGGCAGCGCTGAATCCACCAACTACAATCCCCCGTCGCGACCGTCCACCCGTCCGTCCCACGCTTCGGGCAAAGGAGGGAGTGTCAACAACATCGTGTGCGCGTTGTGCCAGAAGAAAATCAAAGAGGGCGATGAGACGTGCAAGACCGGCGCTGGCGTTGTCTTTCACAAAGCCTGCTTCACCTGCACCAAATGCAAGACCTCGATTTCCGGCTCTTTCGTCCGCGGGAAGGACGGGAAATTGATCTGTCAGAAGTGCGTCCCGGTGTGTGCGGGCTGCAAAAAGCCGCTGTCGGGCCAGGTGTTGGCCGTCGGTGATAAGGCCTACCACGTGTCGAACCCGGTCGACGGAAGCTGCTGCTTCAAGTGTCACAGGTAAGTACAACGGAATCTATTTCCCTCACGCCGGTGGTTTGTTTGGTTCTCCACTTCAGAATAGAAATAAAGTCATACATGATAGATAGGCATCGTGGCCCTGAGGTGGACGGTACGAAGGCAGTCATAGCTCTGACAAGGACAAAGTGACTCGACTGTGAGTGATTACTTACATTGGTTTCGACGAATCCTAAGATCTATCGTTTGATTTTAACAAAACAGCTGTTCCAAGTCCCTGCTCGCTGGTTACTTCGACGACCCGCAGGACGAAGACCGGAAACTGTGTGCCACCTGCTACGGCGGTGCGCTCGAGGACGAGGAGAACGCCAAGCACCAGGAGGAGGAGGCGCAGCAGCGGGAAAGCAACCAAAAGCTGGAGCTGTACAATGGCTGCGTTTGGTCCGATGGGTTCCGCGGCCGCAGCGCGGACGTCGCGAACTTGTTCTCCACGGCGGGAGCCGGTGTCGTAGAGGGAAAGATGTGCCTCTCCTTCAACGAACAGGCTGGCGAGAGCGCGGCTGCGTTGAATGTGATCCAGCTGACGGATCCGACGAAAAATAGCAACGCCGTCGTGAATCTGGAATACCTCGTTCTCGCCGCTCAATTTTTCAGTGCGAATGATGATGCCGAGCCGATCTTCTCGCTGGACCCCTTCGACCCGGAAGACATGGGCGGGCCGTACCAGGTGAAGAAGTTTGTCCCGAAAACCATGGTGGAAAGCAGTTTCGGCGAGGTCATTTTCCAGGCGGACTACTTTTTGAAAAAAGCGTGTTTCGGAGAGATCGAAATGCCGGAAAGTTTCGGCGCCACATTGTTTGACATGCTGGACGAACACCCGCTGGACCACTCCGGCGTGCGGCAGTGGTTTGTGATTGAGAACGCGTCCGTCTCGATCGGTCCCAACGGGGTGCTGGTCCCGGACTGCGAGCTCGCGGTTGAGGCACGGGAATTCCGATTCGACCAGAATAGTGGCCGCTACCTCGACAAGCACGACTTTGACCGCGCCGAAGACGACATCGCGACCGTGCACGCACAAAAGTTCACCGAGCACATGGAGGACATCATGGCGGTGTCGCCAGAGCTGCAGGAATTGATGCAGGTATATAAAACTCGTAGATTGTTTTGTGTGTCATTGAATTGAACTGATATGTTTTGGATGGACCAACATTGTGCTATCACGACAGACTGCAGAAGATTATAATGATGAATCACTTCATCTTCGGAAATTATCGACACAGGTTGCGAAAGCCATGGTTTTGGTAAAGTACCTTTGCACCAGCAAAAAGCTGAACGTTACGGGCCCCGCGCTGCGCTACGGGCCGAGGTCGGTCCTTGACGAGATCAACCGAGTACGAAAGCAGAACCGATTAGACAAGCTAGCGACGTACCAGATGAAGATTCCCACCCTGACGAAATACGCAAGCGTGACTGCCGTGCAGGAAGATTCGAAGAGAAACACAATAACGAAAAGCCAGGTGCACCAGACCGTCTTTGGCGGCATCGATCTGGAAATAGGAGAAATCGAGGAAATAGTACTGGCCGACCCGGTACCCACAACGGGTCAAAAAATCGCTTTTGCGTTTGCCACACATACATGAATTATTTTTTTTTGGGGGGTCTTCGACTGCTCAGTGGGAGTCGTGTTTTTACGCTAGATACGGTTCTTCATATTTGACTTTTTTTGATGTTTATCACAACATACTTACATGAAGATGATCGTGAACCACGCGTATTTCGACCGAAAGGCACTGGCGAGCAAAACTGCTTGTATCGATCCCGCCACTTACTTTGGATGCCGACCCCGTGTCTCATTTCCAAGATACGCGAACTTCGCGATGTCTCGCAGTTTTCCAATAGGCCAGACCCGGCAGGCCCTTTTCGGTAGGTCGGTAGGTAGTTAAGTACGGATGCACCTCGGTGCATCATTTTCGAGTAAGTGACGGAAAGGACGAGAGTTCTTTGGAAAGGGCTAGCAGATCCCTGGCAAGCTAATGCAAGGCGGCACGACTGGACCCGCATTCAAGGCGGGGGTCGTGCCATGGAAAATTTCTTTCGATCCCACCCACCCACCCGGTGCGCTGTTTCCTCGCGCCCACGTGGTATGCGTGGTGACAGAGGATACATATTTGGAGGGGCCTTGAGGCATCCTTGTAGGCTGTCTCTATGGTGAGGGACCGTGACGCCCTTGCCCTCTCTCCTCCGATCACGCCATAGGGCGCGTCGGGTTGATGGTTCAGATTGATAGGACGATAGGAACGAAGCGAAATAGGGCGATGCTGTGAACTAGATAGCATTGGCGTTAGCTACCTCGAGCGCGGTCGTAGTGTCTTTCCTCCCGTGGTTTTGCCCTCCTACCTACCTACCTTTATCGGGTTGGCCACAGTCATGCACGTCCCAGCGCGGGGCGAGGTACCCGACCTACCTACTACTATCGGCCGAGCTGCCACAGAGCATAGGTCTCGGGCCGCCCTACCTACCTACTAGTGACTAGCCTCCGTAGCTGGTGCGGATCACAGGGCGCCAATCTACCTACCTACGACTCGCCCTATCTCTTAGCAGGCGCCTTTCAACAATTCCCGACGTGCCCTACCTACCTACGTCCGCCCGGCGCCGCTAGCTCGCGCGGGTGGGTCAGAGATGATCTCCGGTCTGCCCTACCTACCTACTACCAGCGACTAGTAGTCGTTGTGTATGCGGGCCGCGCAGATAAGAGATCCCCGACCCGCCCGACCTACCTACTATGGAGCGCGTCCGGGGGTTTGCGCCCCAGCTTTTGCACAGGCGCCCAAGCTAGCCACCGTGGCTGTGGGCTTTCTATCTGGCCGGCGGGGGCCCAAGCTTCTGCAAAATAGGTGATTGGCGGGGCTTCCGCGGCCGAGGGCCGGCCTTCGGCCCCCGCCCCTGGCGCGCGCAGCAGAAAGAAGCGGCGGACACGACTGGGCATGGCCTTCTGCGTCGGTTGCAAATGTGTGGGCGGCACTTTTTCGGTTTCTCAGTAGGTAGGTAGACAGTTGCGCCCCAGATCTCGCAGCAGACCAAGGCCTGGCGGAGCGTCAATCATCGTTGCTCATTTCCAAGATAGGCGAACTTCGCGATGTCTAGCAGTTTTCATACCGAAAAGCGACCGTTTCGAATGGTCTGCAACAAAAGTCCCAAGCTTGGTATAGTGCACGTCGACGCGTGTTTGTTTCACAATTGGGAGCTGCTCCTTCGATTTGTACTTATTTCTGTTGATAGCAATTTGCCTTTTTTTTTTCAGTACTAGAAAGTCTAAGTTGCCTTTTATTTTTGCGATTTTGATGATGTCATGCGCGCGCGCCTGCACCCGCCACGTGCTCAGAAAGTGCCCCCAGCCATGATTTGATGCTTGCGCCCAATACAGAATTTGCAACACGCCCAGGCGCTTCTACTAGGGCATGCTAATTGATGATATCGTTACTTTTGTCTGCTCCGACGCCGAGAACCTCGTCGCGGTGCCGCGTCGAGTTCTCCGGACGCTTGAGTACTATATGAAAAATGCTGATAAATATGTTAGGAAAAAAAAAATGCGCTCGCGCCAGGCCCGCCCCTACAACGATAATTATGCAGATTAATTTAGGAGAAGGAGAAAAAGAAACTACTACAATTCAGACAGCCGCCCGCCCGAATTGAGTTTTTCCTTGCAGCCAAAGCCATTGCCTCGCGCCATCCGCCTGAAGCTGCAGCCGAGCCCTGCCCATTGCGCGTAAGAAAATAAATTGCGCCGAATGTTGTGAGCTGTCTTCACGCGCCCGATGCAGCTATGTGCATCTTTTTTCACACTTTGAAATTTGAAAGCTTTTTTCGTGCAGCTACTAGATGAACGGTACGTACTTACTTACTTCTCGTTCTCCTCCTGAGGTACAGGAGAAATCGGTGCTTGATGGTACGTGCATGATTTTCGCTCGGTCTGAAAATATAATGTTTCGCCGGCGTCCACCGACCTCGTTCATGCTTCGCTCGTCCGAGTTTGGGTTGCGTCGGTTCTTTCGTTCAAGAATTCCTAAACCACTTCGTGTCTACGTATCTGTAGCGAACCAAAAAAACAAAAATAAAAAGTCTGCAGCGGCTCGTTCTACCGTTACAAAAAGATCCACTTGTTTCACCTCACTATTCGTGCTGAATGTTCTCCGCCTCATCGTCCCTCCTTCTTGTTCCAAAACAGTGCCTGTGGCCTACGGAAAGCGAAGAAATACCCGTTCCTATCTCACATGTAGCTTTTTAGACACAATAAAATTACGGTTGGTGAGTGATCCGCCAGTGGCGGTGTGTTGTCTTCAGATTGATGATCACGCATGGGAATAACCATGTGTACATGCAACAGCACGAACTGAAGACGCCTGCTACGGATGAATGATTTCCCCTGAGGACCGCCATGATCGGACATCCTGATCCTGATCCTGCTCTTCCTCTTTCGCTTTAGTTACTGTGTCCCATTAAGATGTGATACATAGTAGAGGGAACTTGTCTCCAGTCTTCTGTTCCCATTAAAAAAGCTGCGTGTGGCATCAAAAATGTTCGATTTCGCGGCGAAGTTTTTTGGGAACACGCTGGACGCCAAGGAGGTGGTGGAACAGCAGAAAGTGGATGAGAAGAACGCACAGGAGGTGTCGAATCCGCAGGTGGAGAAGCACACGACGCTGTTTGTCGGTACCGGTGGGACGAAAACGAACGCGAACGGGGTCGTGGTGAATGCGATCCAGGGCAAGGTGGGCTTCATCGAGGTTCGCCTGTTCGAGATAATCGACAGTCCCATGCAGGAGCTGTTCGTGGACTTCGCGACGATGCAGCGCCCCGTCGACTTTAGCGGCAGCCCGACTTGGGTTGTTGGGAACATGGCGCGCACGAGGCTAATTAGGGGAAAAAATTTGGGACGGATACAGATGAAGCCGGATAAGCTTTTACTTTGCATCCCGGTGGAAGGCTATGCGCTCCTCCGCGTCCGTTTGTGGAGCGCGAACTACTTGTACATAGGCCAAACGACGATATTATTCTACCGCGGGTTCCAGGTCTCTACGGGCGAGCCGATAAGCGGGGTGAAGGGGTACCTGTGCACCGAGTCCGCGTGTGACGGGATTCCGTCGGAATTCAGCTTACCGGAAAACCCGCGTATCGTGGTGGAAGACTACTTAACCGACCGCGCCAATGCGGCAAACCCGCGGGCCCGCGCGGAGGGAGGCCGTCCGCCGAGACCAGAGTCGCTCATTGATTTTATCGAGGGAACTGATGATGATGCGAGGGTGACTAGGCAGACGAATCGCACGTCACGACCTCGGCAAGAACAAACCTCAGGACGAGTAACAGAGGAGTACAATCTGCCCATGCGGGGACAGGACAGCATTTCGATCATGTTGAGCCAAGAAGACGAGAGGCACATAGCAGAAGCAGTGCAAGAAGATGTTGACAGTGAGGAAAATAACGACCCCAGCCTTCGTGCATCCTCATGCCGAATCGTGGAAAATAAACCGAAACTGACCGCGTTGCCCAGCCAAAAAACCCTGCCGGATCACGTGCTAGGGCACACGAAGTCCGGCATATTGGAAGGCGGAATAGAATCCACCGAAGATCTCGCGCCGGCCGCAAAACCTATCTCCGAGGGCGTGAAGCCGGGCGCGATACCGAGTTTAGAGATCTCGTCCGGGGCAATGCTGGAGGGAGATGACGATTCCGACGGGTTGGAGGACGCGGACGAGGCGGACTTCGACCTGTTTCTGGATCAAGAAGAGCACGACGATCTGTACAATCTGACGTCGGAGAATTTCGGGGACATCCTCGATCCCTCGTCTGGCAGCGACGCGCGGTTCAATGACTTGGCCGAGATGTTCAAACTTCCCTCTTCGAGCACCGACATGGACGAGGCGCGGGCGAATTACAGCCGCTTGTGGGAGGAAATTTCCTACTGGCGTGACCAACAACTGCAGAAGCGACGCGCGCCGACGATGTACCGCATCGCCTGTCTGGGCGGCGGTGTTTGCGGGCTGAGCCTGCAAATCCGGCCGATCCTCGCGCAGGCGAACGCGGCGAGTGACCGCTTGGACGCGCAGGACTTTTTCGTGTTGCTGCCCGAAACCATGAAGAAGGGCCGAATGATTGTACGGGACGACGCCTTCGAGAGGCTGATGCAAGAAGTCCTCGCGGACCGTTTTGCGCGGCAACCGATTGAGACCGGTTTTAACGTTGCTGTGAAAACCGAGGCGGTGGGTGGCGAGAATGAGAAACCAAAACCGGCGGCGGCAGAAGGTGAGGCACTGCCTCAGGAGATGAGAAGTAGTAGAGTCAGTGCTGATGCTGCGGGTGTTGATGTTGTGGCCGCCTCTGGTGCTCGTGCATTGTCATCATCATCATCCACCGCAGTTGTGCATCCGCTGATGAAAGAACCCAAATCTTCTGCGCCCGGAGCGCCACCACAGCGGAAATCTCAGCAACCAGGAGCTGTTGCGAAGGGGACGATTATCAGCGGACCCTCGCCTGCGCAGGCTGGTTTGACCGGCTTGACTGTGTTAAGTCGCGAGATCGACGGCAGCCTCAGCAGCGCTTCGAACGCTGAAAGTGCCACGTCTAGCTTGGAGTTTCGCCCACCAAATCGACTCAACGGAAGCAACATTAAGGGACAGAACAACTACAGAAATAACGACGGAATGATCCTCGCACCGGTCGACCGTGAAGCTTTCGGTAGTGGTACTGGCACACAACGCCGCAGCACGCCTCTCTCGTCGGGGGAATTCATCACAGCGGAGTCTGGTGGCTCCGCTATTTCCTTTCTAGATGCTCAGCCACGCGCGCGTCGCCCTACTAGGGCAGCTGAGGGGGAGGGGACGAAGAAAAGAGAGCTCGCACAAATGAAGGCAAACGACGCGACGAAACTGGGTCGCGAATACGACGAGGGTTTAGACACTTTGAGGAACCGCGGTTGCCCGCAATCACTGCTCTCTTTGGATGCGGTGGAGTTCGCGATCCGGCGAACGGCGACCACGAATTTAACTGGGGTGCAACTACTCACCTTTGCAACCAACGCCTACCACTTCTTGCCGCACTTGACGCCCTACGCGAAGTTTCGCGTGTTCGAGATCGCACTGGATCTGCAATTTTTTCCCGTTGCCAAGTTGATATTGCTGAAGACGAGGACGTTCCCGGAGCTTATGCGGCTCAAGTACCTGATCGACACGGGGGGAAAGCGGAACCTGATCAGCAGCATCGACCTGCTGGACGACCCGACGAAGATCCTCGTGCGACATTTCCGCGTCACGGCGCGAAAGTACTGCACCGGGCTCTTCGGCGACAAGGGCTTGAAAGTCAAGAAGGGCGGAACGCACGTCCGCATTCTCCCGCAGTTCAATACTGTGTTAGATTCCGCGATTCGGAAATGGTCAAGGACCGCGCCAACGCACCCGAACGGCTCGATCAAAAGCGAAGATCGGACCCGGGTGCTGGCGCAGCACTTGGAGAAGCGCAGGATTCAGGATTCCTTGCTAGACACCGACTCGGAAGAGGAGGACGTGGTCGCCAATGCGATGATTCCCGCCTGTCGGGACTGCGAAGTGGTGATGCAGCAAAAGGCGGAGGAGCTGGATGTGAAGACCGTCCGGACGAGGCATTTGAAGCAAACCTTCAAGACCGGCTGGAAGGGCCTCAAGGGCTTTTTCAAAACGAAAAAAGATGACGGGACCAGAACCGAGGGACTGCAGGAGGGGTCGGCTCTTGCGATGCCCTCGGGAGATGAAGTAGTCGAAAGTAACTATGACGTCGTGGACGCCAAGGCGTCCCCGCAGCGAGTTTCGTTATCTTTGACGAAGGAAGAGAAGAAGTTGCTCAGGAAAGCGACGAGAGAGGCGCTGAAGAAGAGGGTTCGAGACGAAAACAACATTTATCCGGCGGCGGAGGGCGAAGCAGCCCCTGCCCCGGCGAGCATCAAGCCGGGAGACGCGAGCGAGAGCTCCCGAGACGTCGACAAGCGGACGGAGGATGCGCTCGCATTTTTGTTGGATGACGAGGCGATGGGGATGGGTCTAACTTCCCAGCTGGATGAGCTGAACATCGACGAAAAGGCAAAAGAACAGATCAAACAAAAACTGCGGCAGGACATCCAGAAGCACAGCCGGCCCAGCACGAGGCCGGCACTGACACAGTACGAAAAACCGCAGCCGAAACTGCTGAACAACGTTATTCTGAAATCGGGCGAGGTGATCCTGCTCCGGAACCGGAGTTTGATCTGCGATTTGGTGAAGACCTACTGCTTTCGCCAGGTCATTTCGGACATCGACCAGACGTTTCTCATCACTCCGCACGGCATCAACGGGCCGGAGATGCCCCTCGGCACGGTGCCGGGCTGTCGCACGCTGTACAACATGCTCGCACCCATGACCGTGTTTCTCAGCATCCGACCCGACTTGGACATGATGGCGCAGCACACGCGGCTAAACCTGCAGGAAAACGCGAAGCTATACGGTGGGGACTACGGTTTGTTACTCGCGGGCAATGCCACGTCTGTCACAAACTACCTCGCCGGAAACAACATGCAGAACGGCGTGCGGAAATTTGAGGTTTTCCGCAAGCACCTGCGTGCGTACCCGGAAAGCGATTTTTTCCTCTTTGGCGACTCGGGCGAGGGCGATCTGAGGTTGATGCAGGAGTGCGGTTTACTGGAAAGAAGGTCCCTTGCCTCCCGCCGGTTTCGAAACCAACGAAAGCGTGGCGCGGAGGCGGTGCGGATGAAGGTCGACCACCACCTGTCGAGGAAAAATTGTTACCAGAGGTTGGATATTTCGAAAGCGTTGTCTCGGACGAATTACGTGCGTCCGGAGAGCCCGAAGACGGTGGGAACGAGTGGTACTAGCTCCAGACCCAGTACTAGGCAAGTTTCGGGGCCCACCGGTGCAATGACCTACCAGGTGGGCGAGGCGCCGCCGGAAAACTATCTGCCCGCCGGAGTGCAAAGGAAACAAAGAGCAGACCGGGAGAAGGACATGAGGGAAAAACAGGAGGCAGCTGCGAAGCAGGACCGAGAACGGAGAACAAAGAAAACACAGGTAATAGAGCAAAATGAAGATCCGGGGTTTTTCGAAAGCATTTTCGGAGCTACCAGCTACAGGAACGAAAAAGAACAGCCGAGACATCCCGAAAACAGGATGAAGAAGCGTGTGCGAGGGGAGGGACAGGCGGATGCCAGTCCAGCCGCATCGGACAACGAGTTCTCGCAATCTAGTTCAGACCCTGCGGAAGTAGATGATCAAATAGATTCCGAAACTGTTCCCGAGAACTACAGCAGCGAGCTCTCCTCCGCGCTGAACAGCGACGAGTCTGCCGCTCGAAACAGGAGACAAAACCTGAAACTACCGGAAGGGGAAGCCTACGGTGACTCCGGCCGCATGTCTGCGCGGCCGACACCTGGCTCGAGGCGCGCGCAGGGCGGCACCGTTCGTGTGGGCGACAGCACGCGGCTGCCGGAAAGACGCGAGTTCTGGGACGAGGAGCCAGAAGAGATCGACCGAAGCGAGCAAACTCAGCTGGCCCAACCAGATTCGTTCCAGGAAGTGATCGATCGCCGGCCGGCCCGACGGAGGCTGCATTTCTTTATCCGCGACGTGACGGAGCCGAGCGGCGTGCGACGAATCACCCCGATGAAGGAACGGGCTCGGCTGTTTGAGGAAAGCCACGTCCTTGTCGTGAACAATTCCATCGAGGCGGCGTTGTACTGCTACGAACACTTGCGGATTCTGTCCAAGCCGCAGCTGCGGAAAATCGCGGTGGACACTCTGAATGAACTGGTCGACCGCGACTGGGTCAAGTTTCTCGACGGCGCCGACGGTCCGCAAAACACGGCGGTGCGACAAGCACGCGTGGCGGAGTTCCAAACGGTTTTGCGCAAAGTGAACAATGTGCTCACCGACGGGGAGCTGATACGGGCGATGACAACCGACGGGCAATGGCGAGGCGAGAAGGCCGTGCCCATGCAGGAACTAGACAGACTGTTGGCAAAGCCGAGGAAGTGATAAAAGTGATTCCCTTGTACTATGCGCGCTTACGGCATTTCAATGGTCGCTTCATCTTCGACGCTGGCCGTCGTTTTCAATCAACTACGACTTGTTCGAATCAAAATTGACAAACTTTTGTCTCAGTGTCGTCGCTGGTGTTCATCCTTTGCGTTAGTAGTTTGTTGAAGAGAGCTTTATTCTTCTAGGCATATCATGATCATCACGAGAGGTGTTGAGGGCCGTGCCGAGTTCGTCCTAAGGTCTCCGATGGTGAAAATTGGTTTGCGTCGTGAAATGGTTTCTGAAATTCATTGCTTGAAATCTGCTGAAACTACTAAAATCTATTGAATATAGCGAAAGACCAAGATGCTACACTCGGCTCTGCGCGCGGGGGCGCGCACGGTCCCCCGGCGCATGGCTCAGTTCGCCCGGACGAGGGTAAACGGGTTCCAGATGCAGCAGACCAGGACATTTTGCAAAAGAAGTGTACCAAAACGAGGACACACGCTTGAGGTAAGCTGGTTTTCTAGTCAAGGCCACTAATTATCTTCCACGAAGTTGAAGTAAAACAAACATGACACAACCCGAAGCTTGCTTATTGTGACTGCTCCGGCGCAGCACGATCTGTATAACAGACAAATTCCTCAAACAGACCTACTTTTGTTATCCGGAGAGTGCTGTGAAGATGATGAACCCGCTCGGATACTACTTCTTCGTCTTCATGTGCGCACAGCATCTGCTGATCATGGCCACATCCCTGCCGTGCTACAACTACTACATGAGCGGACGTATAATTTTGATTCCTGTTTCTTTCTGCAAAGTTTTTGCTAGCATATGACAATTTTGTTACACTCTCAACTTGCGCTTCCGAGCACAGTATCGACTATCCAACGCCATCCTGATTCCATGCGTGCATACATGCAACAGGTTTGTTCCCGAAGGAGCAGGGACATACTCTGCTATGCGACAACAGTTGGTAAGGGATGCGATGATGTGAACACATCTTCTACTGCTAACAAACCACACGGGAGCGCGCCGAAGTATGTCCACATGATACTCCAGATTGCATTTGCAACCAAAACTCCAAGCATATCGACGCACTTTCCCGCTACCGGCACCATTGGAAGCACCTGTAGTGTGCACCGTCTGCCGTTGTTGTTGAGAGTTCTGATTCATAGATCGCGTTTCATCTGAATGTGACTAGATGCAATACGATTCATTGAGCAAGGCACATATGCAATGATGACTTCTAACCTCGGTTCCACTTCTAATCTCGGCTCCACCTCTGATCTCGGTTCCTTGTCTCTATCCATTGGCTCGGTCGTCTGATTATTTTTCGATAGCGCGACGCGCTTTTCTATTCGGTTTTCTCTTGGAAAAACATACTCATTCAAGTTCGGTCTTGCTTCCAGAAGTGCTCTTCTGTCGGTTTTGGAGGTTTTGCACTGCAATCTCGGTGCTTTTGCGTCTCATGCTTCTCGTCTTTGGCCGCAACTGGCTTACCTAGGAGGTAAGTATGATTATGCAAGAGTCTTCGATATGAGACTCTGAAGATCCGAAAATTTCATGTCAATGCCGTCTAATTATTCACTTTTTTTCAACATAATCTATAATCAATTTTTCTTGCAAAAACTTCAGGACCACGGGTAGATATTCTACATAGTGTCCTAAATATCGATATTGAGGAGTGTCTTGAAAGTTAATTTTGGTATCGCAACTGTTCTTAATTCGCATTTCGCACTTATGAATTTGAGTTTCCTTTAATTCGGATTTGTCTTGAATGTCTGCTGCTCCATTTTGCAACGTGTATGATAATGATTTCCCAATCACCCTACGTTGATATTTTCTGATGCTCATGTTTTGAGAAATTTTATGAGAATACATAGGCAAAATGAGCACGCACTTCTCCTCATCCTCCGTGTCCCATGCCTCCGAGTTCTCCTCATCTGACTTTGCAGAGGAGAGTACTTGTGAAGAACAGGCGGGACTGTCTACGAAATCGTCGGTGAACAAGAAAGGCAACAAGAAATACATTGCCAGGAACGCAGAAACTGGTTCGACCATCTCCCACCCAGGGTACTACACAGCAGAAGCAGAACTAGGACACAGCGCCGAGGAATTTGAGTATTTACACGTTTTTGGTTGATGAAAATGAAAATGAGAAGGAGGTATAGCAAAGCAATGCAATGCAGCCGAAATAACTGGAATTCTTTTGACGGGATTTTTGCATTCTTACCATTCTAAAAAAACTCAAACAGTTCGTGGACCGTAGAAGCGGGGGAAGGCCTGCGCGGGAGGGCAGCCGCTGCGGCAGAGGCGGAGGGAGAAGCTCCGATCCACCAAACGTACTACGGCCACCACATCAACCACAACATGGCAAACCAGGAGGGAAAACGGGAAGCGAGGCCCGACGATTGGGGCGGCATGGAGAAACCAAAATGCCCTGCGTTCGTCACCATGGGCGCTGTCTTCCTCGTCATCAGCTTTATCTGGGGAACCTATTTCTGGCTCCACACACTCAGACTAAACAGGGTCACAAATCTTGGGGGAAGCGAAAGAGTACTGATTTGTTGTTTGGCACATTTGCTAAGTTAAAGTTTGTAAGTTGGAATTTTCTCAGCCTCAGGGCATTAGTCACCACTTTTTCGTTCGCGCTGTGCCTGAAAGAAATTACTGTGAAACAGGACTTCATCATCAATTGCACCGCGATCGCGAACGTGCTGACTGCGTTTCTTCTCGCGCACTACTGGATCGCGCACTGCACCAAGGCGGGGTCCATCCCAAAGAATTACATCTGGGTCGAAGGCACTGCCCACCATTGCCTAGAGACCAAGGGAGACGGCGACAAGAGGTAATTACTTACAGCAAGTTCAACTTTGCACAAGTCTCATCAATCAGCATTGATTATAGTCCATTTTTTGGCGAGCGAAAAAGAAAAATTTCTCAGTTGCAGTACGTGACCTGATGGTTCTTTTGCGGTCTTGCTACTCCTGCCACTTCAAAAAAAAAATCCGCTCTTCCCAGGTATTGTAAGTGGTGCGAGGTTTACAAACCCGACCGTGCGCACCACTGCCGCATTTGTGGCGAGTGCGTCCTGCGGATGGATCACCACTGTCCGTGGCTGGGGAACTGCGTCGGTTTCTACAATCACAAATACTTTATTAACACGGTGATTTTCGGCATGCTGTCCGCCTGGTTTATGTTCGGATCCATGATTCCGACCACCATGAAGGAGTTCGACCGGTTCAAAGCAGGGGGCCCGGACAAGCAGGACGCGCTGTTCTACTTCGTGTTCTGCATGATTGTCCAGGCGGTGCAGGGCTTCGTCGCGGTGGTGCTGACGGGGTTCTTGATTTTCCACCTGCACCTGATGTGCCGGGGGATGACCACGATCGAATTCTGCGAGCGTCGCCGGTCCGAGACCGCGGTGGACTACAGCAACGGCTGCTGGGGCAACTACACCGCCGTGTTCGGCGAGAACCCGATCCTGTCCTGTTGTCCCTGCCCCTGCGCGCCCTGCGCGAAACCCAAAGGGGACGGAACCCGGTTTCGCGGCCGCTTGACCGGGCCGCCGGTGGTAGAAGGCCAGTGCATCGAAGCCGGCTCCTCCAGCGAAGATGAACTGCTTTACGCGCCCATGCAGGGCGGAACGATCTGAGGACTCACTTTTTGGGGTCTTCACAACGGAAAAAAAGCGACAGCGACAACGACAAGTAGGGATGTTACGACGACAATATCAGCGCAACTGAAGTGGAATTGGTACACCCAAGAAACAAGCGACCACCCGTCAGCAGATGATGTGTTGCAGAGACCTTTATTGCAGCGCCTTCGAGTTCAAACCATGCCAGGAGGGACGTGCGATCTTTCGAATTTTTTTGGAACTCTTTTTAACGTGACACGATAGCAGTTGCGAATCATACCGAAATTGACATCTAGTAAATTGACAACGATGTATTGCCTCACTTGTTTATGCATGCAGTGGGAGACTGGCACTGGCATGCGCGTACTATTGTTGATTCGAGTTTCTAGTTCTACATAAAAACAGTTTAATGGCTTTTCATAATTGACGAAAATCAAAGCCCTTTCTTCATTCCCGTGGAATAGATTTCAGTTTGTTGGAAATTCATGACCATGGTACACAGACAACATCACAGTTATGCTCAACGTATTTAAGTGAGTCACACATGAACATGAACTTGCAGACGGTACTAGCTCCTAAATTTGATAAGTTCATTTTATTTCTGGATTTTGACGAAACTCGAAGCGGCCACGGGAGACAGCAAGATGCCGCGACTATTTCACGAGAACCTCCACGAGAGGGCGCTGCAGTGATTTGCAATCTAGATAATTTCGCATCTGCGTCTCCGCAGCCGACTTACGTGGTTTCGATTTTGTAGCTCTACGAAATTGCGACATCTCATATTCATAATTCGGCGAAGTATATTTTCATGCAGTGACGAGTCGGCAAATCCAAGTTTAGTGAAAGCATGGAAGCTACAACTACATAGATACCACAGAGATGGACTGAGTTCTATCGGATCACCTTCGGAGCAAGAACTTGTTTCATCGCAAGGAAGTATGCCTTCAGCATTCGGAACAAGAGGGACAAAAGTTCTGCACCTTTCTTCGTGGAGGTGTGTCATGAATGCGACCCAGTTTTGTTTACGCCGAAATACAAATGACGCACTCTGGTATTTGCGTCTGTCACCTTGAGGTGATGCTGACAGTGCAGGTAACGCAGTCAAAATGTGTTCGACATGTTCATTGCACTCGTTGTGCAACGCGCAGCTTACCCTGATCGGATTGATGTTAACTACACTTGATCGGGAGTGTCGCGCACGTATCAGCGAAGTTCAGGAGGATTGCCCCGGTGTTCTTCTACTCGGCCCGAGTTTCTCAGACGGAAGAAATCGGCAGCCTGGAGCCCGCGAGCCAGGTGGGGCGAGGTCCTCCTGCGTTGGCCTTGCAGGCTGCCCGACTTTGCAGGGCCGCCTACACCTCCACCGCGCGACGGGCGGCCCCGATGTTCCAGGCCGCCCCACCGCGGGGGCCTACCGTGCCGCTCTTGGCCCGGCCACGCAACTGAGGCCCTAGGCGCGCCCTTGGTCGCCTGTGGGCCAGTGCCCGCGCCCTGTCCCTGTGTCCAGTATCTCCCCGGCGCCGCGCTTCTTTGCGGGCGCGCTACGTACCGCGCAGGGCAAGACACCCGGCGGGCCGGCACTGATTGCGGCGATGCACCCGATGGCGGAGAGTATCCTGCGGCCGCTTGCCGCAAAGAAAGGGAGGCCAGCGGACCGCCCCCGCATGGAATGGCATGCGTGGCGCTGCGCCTTGTGCCGGCGGGCCTCGTTCGTTAACATGCCCGCGACAGGACAGGCGCCACGCGGCCCGGGCTTTCCCTCGCGCACCGCTAGAGGCGCACACATATGACCAGCGCACGCGCAGCGACCGACGATTTCTCTGGCGTATGTCATCGATGCAATCGGCAGCGTGCGCATTTTCCGCAATTGGGCCGGCGACCGCCGCGGCGGGCGGCGGGCAGGCGCCACGCACCTCGTGAAACCCGGCGCAGGGGTTTGCGGTAGATTTGGCGGCGGGCCTGTGGAAACGAGGCGGGGGCGCGCCAGGGATGTGCACAGCGCGGAAGCCCAGCAAAAGGGGCGCGCGCAAATTCTGAAGCCGCCGGGCCGGGGGCGGGTTGGGCGCAGCTGCAAGGGCGCGCGGGCCCCCCGGCGGGCGGACTGGCTTGCCACCCCGGCGCGCCAGGGGCTTGGGCCCCCCCCCCCGCGCGGGGGGCGGCCGCCCGGGGGCGTCGGCCGGCGGGCGCGGCTGCGTTTTTGCCTGGGGGCGCCTTGATAAGTTCACGAAGGGCGAACCTGGGCGCAAAGCGGACCTAAAACGCACTGCGGGGCGCCTCTTCAAATAAATTTGGGGGGCATTGCAGGAGGAGTATATGTCTTCGGAGCGGCTCGCCTGTCCTTCCTGCTTCGATGGCCCCCGGCGCGCCCCGCCGGCGCCAGCCCTTTGCTTTGTTGAAGTTGTCCGAGTACGGCCCGGCCCGCCCCCGCCCGCCCGGGCGCCCCCGGGCCGCCGCAGCGGGCCCATGCCAGCCTGCGCCGCCCTTTGATTTTGGGCCCCCCTCCTTTCCCGGTGGGCCCGCCAGCGGCCCTCCGGCGCGCCGCTGCTTCCGGGGAAAGGTTTGTCGCTAGGCTGGCCGCCGGGCCCGCCTTGCGGTTTTCTACTGTGCTGCCCTATCGGGGCGGCGGCGGGCGCGCGGCGCAGGCGGCGCCCTCGGCGATCCCACACCCACGCTGCCGTGCTCTGTTTTACTTCGGTGAGCCAGCTTATCGGGGCCGCGCGCCCCTGCGCCATTTAAGTGTTTCAGACTTGCCTCTCCTCATTACCGAACGAAAAGTGACAGGAGGAGGACTCATTTTTCTTCTACCATTGCGGCGGCGCTACTGCCAAAGCCAGAGTCATGGTGTTCTGGAATCACTTTTATCAGCCCGAGGCATTTTGATCACAAGGAGAGACGCTCGGCATCCACAGACGAGTTTGCTCCGCCAACGTCGGTCCAGATTTAAGGTTTCGAACTGAGCAACATCTTGCTGTTGTGGGAGAAAAGAGCTCCACTTTCAGGAAGATCTCTTAAGTTTTATATGGCTGTTTCAGAATTTGAATTGGAATTCCAATTCGGTTTGTGAGGTGCTTCTGTCGTTTATTCGATAATGTTCTTCCTCTCCAGCGCACCCCGAATCAGTGGTCGTCGACGGCTGGATCTATTTGAACGCTGGTGGCTGGAGTTTGAGCCGATAAAGCAGTGGTATGTCGACGGCGACAACGCGGGGGTGAGGCAGAGTGCACGGAAAAAGTGGAACCACTACGTGGCAAGTCCCCGGTGGAAAGCAAAGTGGGTTACTCAGGAACGTTATCGATATCAATTTCGAAAGCACGGCTACGACATGGATGTCCCCAAGTGGGGTGGCTAAATGTAGTTTCTTGAAACCCGCGAATAAAGAGCACCCCTCTAATTCTCAGAATGCCTACTGTAGTTGAAGCGTGAAGATGGAAAAGACCTGTTGTGTGGAGACTATGAGTTGGAAAGTGTTTGCTTCGTAAATGTTGCGGAGAAGAAGATCCTCCATTGTTGTTGAGCGTTGCAAGTTGTTGGATGTGCGTACTACGAGGGATCACGAGTATGACCAACGAAGGATCTTGTCTTCCATTATGATGACGAGATCAGAACAGTGGCGCTCATGTGTGGCGCCGTGACGATCATACTGTGACAAGAACCAAAGGTCGAGTACTAGCGAGAGAAGGTGTTTGTCAGAGCACCTAAGCTGTACCAATGTCGATGTCCTTTCGCGCGCCGCCGGGACAGAAGAACGGGAACCCGGCGTTGTTGCACTTGGATCGCGTTCTCTTTCTGGATGTGGATGGCGTACTGCATCCAGCCTATCATTTGTAAAAACGTCCCCACCCCAGAGTCAAGATGAGGATTTCGCAACACAAACCTGAAAGTTTTGGGAGCCACGCATGACAAGTTGCAGGCTGTAGTGTAATGCAGTTTGGCAAGGGAAGCCGCATAACAAATCCATCTCCTTATCCTGTTCACAGCATTACAAGTTCCAAAACACGATGGGAAATGCCTCTCATGGCGATGCGCATTACAAATGCTCTTGTGCTTGCAGATCTGCATCACAACTCTGGGGTGGGGATTTTTTTGCACAGGATACAGCCTACGTGCAGTTCGCGCGGCAGCAGTTTCGGCCGCAGAACATGCGGCTGCTGCGGGGAATGGTAACTGACTTCTTATCCAACTACAACTTTCAGTCTGGTGAGCAATTGTAAAAATACCTTTCTTGTTCGGTTGCCTCCGCCTGCCGGGAAACAATCCAGAGCTGCTTCTTCGGTTGCAGCTGTCGGTGTTACTCATGCGTAGGGGACCTGAGCATGACAAAGACAAACTGCGTTTCTATCTCAGGTTGAAGCCGGGAAGTTGACCATCGTGCTCAGCTCTAGCTGGCGGCTAAACATGGACGCGAAGAACCACTTACGCAAAGTGTTCGAGTACTACCGCGTACCCTTTTGGGTGTCTCAGACCCCGAGCATTGGCATGTACGCCCGAGCGCGGGAAATTCTCACCTGGGTCAGCAAGTACCAGCCAAAAGCCTGGGTGGCTGTGGATGACTGGGCGCTATTGATGGAGAGCCGGACCTTGCAGGGTATGTGAATGTGAATGTGTTATACAACTTTTCGTAATAAAAGTAAAGGAGGGAGTTGTTACTTATCCTCGTCCTCGTTCAACACCAGCGTTTGGTGCAGTAGCATTTTACTACCCTTTTCCAGGTCACTTCCTGCAAACGAATCCCAAGACGGGTATTACACCGGCCAACGTGGAGACGATTTTGCGTTTGTTCGAGGCGCAGGCGGCGGCGGCCGTGCCCTCGCCGGTGCCAGAACACCCGCCACGGAAATTCTTGCGCGACTTAGACGGTATTCCTGAAATCGGCGGGGAAGGTGACTCTGCAGCCGGAGATCATGGAACGCAGCAGCGGAAAAGCCGAGGTACTAGGGGCTTTTTTGAAATGTACCAAGGGATGGTAGTAACATGCGAGATGAAGAATTGCACGAGTTGTAACGACGTTTCTCTAAGTTGACACGCTCGTGCCTTCTTGAATGTAGTTCAGTGTCAATGAAAGCAATTTATTCCACAGCGACTATCGAGCGAGAGCACAACGACTGGTTGAATATGACACTGGAAGATGCAGCTGTGACTGGCACTGGACTTTATGGCAGACGGTCCACCACTCCGAACGGCCCTGCCAGTGCACGAACCATTTCCGCCCCCCACGCAAACAGCAGCACCGGCGCTCCACCAGGCTCCATAACCGGAGAGCAAATCTCACCTGCCGGTGCTCAGTCGCACTTACTAACGCCGAACACGCTTGGGGAGAAGGAAAGACAAGCACAGCAGCAACAGCAACCTGGTTTTCCCCAGAATTTGATGAAGAGCGCGGAAAAAATGAAGAAAACCGACGAAGAGCGTCTGCCGAGCCGGCTGCGGGCGCGAGGGACGTCGAGTCACAACGACGCAGGCGAGTCACAACAGAATCCGCAACAGCTAAACGAGCAGTCTTCGATGCTTCTTGCGCACGCGGACGATAACGCCACCAGTTCCTCCTCCTCTCGTGGTGGCTCGAAGCAGTCCACTGGACCAGAATCAAAGCCGCTGCGAAAAGAGGATCTGACGATAAAATCCGTGAAAAGGCACGAGGAACCAAAGGACTGGCCAAGCAGACAGCCGCAGATGGTCCTCTTGCAAGACGAACACGGAAAAGTGTCGTTCGCGAAAAATCCGAAACTCACTTCCTCAAACAGTGCGACCGCGAGCTCGCGGGCCAACTTGCAGGGGGCGAACAGTGCACCTGCTGCGAAAGGTGGTGGCAGAGGACATCATGCAATGAACCACAGTCAACTGCACGGTGGAAGTAGTAGTGCCACTTCTGGTTCTGCAACAGCAGCAGCGCAGGCGACCCATAAGCCGAACCCGTACGAGGAAGACATTTCCGAGCCCATCAGTTTCCCTCCCAACAAGTCGTGGTACGTGACGCGCAATTACAACTCGACGCGGCAGTTGTCAACCGCGAGTTCTATCGACAACAAAAACTTGCCCCCAGCGGCGAGACTTTCCAATCTCGTGCAGCAAGAAACTCGGCTGAAGCGACAATCAAATTCGCAATTGATCGCCCGCCGGGGCAGCGGCATCGGCAGCGGGCCGGGAGGCGGGATGAAACATTCGGTGCGGGCGGCGTCGGCGTCCAACTACCCCGAAAGAATGAAGAAAATCGCAGCGGGGATCGGACTTTTTGCTGCCAGGTATAACAAGGGAGAAGAGTTGTGGACGAAAATATTAATTGAAAAGCATTTGTGTCTGGTGGTTTGACTTGCGGAGTTCTTGATAGATACTTCCATCATTTACGATTGAGAAACGACAAGCGCAAAATGAATCAATACCACAGAGAACTCGTCTCTACCAGTTCGATACCGCAGCGGCCGAGATCTACGGGTAGGTGACACCGAATGTGGCTTCGGCAGCGGAAGAAAAGTGTATGATGCAAGGAAAGAAGAACAGAACCAGAATTTACAGAACTGAAGTCAAATAAGTACCTAAACCTAAACCGAACCGATTGAATTTACTGTAAGATGATGCAAAAGTGAAGATGCAAAATATGGTAGCACGACGTGGAAGCCTAGCAGCCACGTCTTTGTATGCGGTACGCGATTCTGCAGAAAGATATCATTTTTTCACTTTTTTAAAGAAGCTATGGAAAGTACTTTATGTACGTGAAGAAAAATTGCGCTTTGGCTCGCAAACGTCAGGTTGCATCGCAACGGCCACCTGTCCTTGATGTTCTCGCAATTTTTGTTGTAGTGCCCTCTGCTAGAAAACTGACCGAAAATTTTTCCGGCCTGCCTCATGATCGTGATCTACATTGTCACTTGCAGGACCTCGCAGCAACTTTTAGCTCCGCATTTTCAGTTTACCCCCTACTTAGATACGCAGATCTTTCTTGCTGTCAGTTTTTTCCCCAAGATATACTGGCATCAAGAACTACTGCCCCTGCTCAAGAGATGAAGTAATTACTCTCCTTCTGTTTTTTCTGCTGCTGCTGCTGCTGATAAACCACAGCGCATAGAATGCAGTAACATAAGTTTTTGCCTGCCCGTTGAGCGGGCCAGAGGTGTTTTCTGATCAGAAGATTGCTTCGCCTGTAAAAGAACGAAGAAACACAACCAATGTCGGCGTTCGAGGAACTCGGGGTCTGCCCTGAGATTATCCAGGCCATTGAGGAAGACGAATGGTTGCTACCAACACCTGTGCAGCAGGATGCGATCCCGCTCATCTTGGGTGGCGGCGATGTGCTTGCCGCTGCGGAAACTGGGTCGGGAAAAACCGGTGCTTTTGGCTTGCCATGCCTGCAGATTGTACACGAAACGCTGCGCGGAAAATGCACCTTGATGAGCCGGGCCAGCAACTTGAAGTAAAGAAAGCTACTTATTTTGCTGCTGGTCCTTGTCTACACTTAAACCGCAGTTAATATCATGCGTTGAAACTGCAATTTATATTTAATTTGTCTCCTATTTCATTCGAAGTACCAATCATCTGCATCCAGGTGCGAGCTGAACCTGAACGACAAGGATATCCTGAGGAAAAACGTACCCACACCAGAGTCAGGATGGGGAATCTGCTAGACAAATCAGCCAGCTTTGGTTGTTTGGCATGACAAGTTTGTCCGCGTAGTGTAGTGCTGTTTGAGCTAGTTCAGCAACATTACAGATCTAGTATCTCGTGCTGATTGGAGCATGACAAATTTCAAAACCGCATTAGAAAATGCTTCTCATGGGGCTCCGCATGAGAAACATTTTAAGCATGCAGAGTTGCATGACAACTATGGTGTGGGTACGTTTTTACTCAGGATAAAGGACATGTTTGTCTTGGTCACCGAGGATGGGCTGGAGTGCAAGTCCGATGATGAAGTGAAGTGGAACGGCATTCGAGCGAACATAGAGGTGCAGAACGGAAAATACATGTTTGAGGTGTTTGTCGTGGACGGGATGTGCCGCATCGGGTGGGGCGCGGCCTTCGCGAAGCTCGAGGTGGGGGCGGATGACAAGAGTTTCGGGTATGGTGCAACCGGGAAGAAGAGCTGGAACCGAAAATTTGAAGACTACGGCGAGTCGTTTCAGGCGGGCGATGTTATCGGGTATTTTTTTTGTTTTTTTGCTGGCAAAGAAGGCAGCTTTTTACTTTGTGACAAAGTTACCTGAGCGACGAAACGCAAGTACGCACCGAGATTTTATTGTTCAGAAACGTTTCGAATGGAGGATTTTTTGGTTTTTACATCAACAGCAAAATGATTATGAACAGCTGCCTGCTCGAGCGCAAAGACGGCGGCGGTAAGATTTCTTTTCTGAAAAACGGGCGGGAACTGGGCCTCGCGTACGAACTAGACCCCAACCAGTGGGAGCGCACCGGCTTGAAGCCGCAGATCTGCGGGAAGCGGTTCAATGTGGAGTGCCGTTTTGACTTTTGCGAGTACCCTGTGGACGACTACACCCCGCTTGGGCAGATCGACCCGAAGGACACCCCCCAGGGGCTCGGCGGGACGCGGGGCAAGCGGCCGCTGCTGTGCATGATTTTGGAACCGACCAGGGACCTGGCGGAACAGACCTACAAGTGTATGATGAAGTTCTCGAAGTACCTGGAGAACCCGACGGTTAAGACCGCGCTGTTCGTCGGCGGGGTGGACGAAAAGGAGCAGTACCGCGCGCTCACCGAGGGCGTCGACATCTGCGTCGGCACGCTGCAGAAAACGCTGGACCACGTGCGACGCGGCAAGCTCGACGTGTCGCAAGTGAAGTTCCTCGTGCTGGACGAAGCCGACGACCTGCAGAAGAAGGACGACCGGAAGGAACTCCCCAGACTGAACGCGCAGATCAAGCGCGGCCGGCGGGACCGGGTGCAGACGCTGTTCTTTTCCGCAACGCTGCACACCCCGGAGGTGCAATCCATGATCGAAGAGATCACCACTCGCCCCATCTGGGTGGACCTGAAGGGCCGCGACGCCGTGCCCGACACGGTGCACCACGTGGTGTACCAGGTGGACCCGCGGCTGGACTTCGACTGGATCCAGAGTAAAGACTACGCGATGCACAGCAAGAACCCCATGATCCCCGTGCCCAACGACGAGGTGCACACGAAACCGACCATGTCGGACTTCGACCGAACCCGGATACCCGGGTCGGCTTTGACGTATTCCGCGAAGATCAAAGAGCAGAAGTTCCAACTCGTCGTGAAGATCGCGGACGCGTTCAAGATGACACAATGTCTGGTCTTCTGCCGCACCAACGTCGACTGCAACAACCTGGAGAAATATTTGAACGAACTCGGCGGGTGTCCGGGCGGGTTCCGGGGAAAAACGGAGACCGGCAAGGAGAACCCGTACAGCTGCGTGGTGTTGGCGGGCATGCGGGACCAGGACGAGCGGCGGATGAACTTGGAGGCTTTCAAGGAGGGCGACATCCGCTTTCTCGTCTGTACCGACGTGGCGGCGCGGGGCATCGACATCCAGGGGCTGCCGTATTTAATCATGGTGACCTTGCCGGACGACATCGAGAACTACATCCACCGGGTGGGACGCGTCGGACGTGCCGAGCGGGTGGGGCTGGCGATCTCCCTGGTGGCGACGGAACGGGAGAAGGTGTGGTACCACAAGTGCAAGTCGCGGGGCAAGGATTGCCGCCCCTGGCCGGGGAACACTTGTTTGACGGTGCCGTTTGGCACGGACGGGAAGCTGAAGCGTGCGGACCCGTCCGCATGGTGCGTGGACGAGGGCGGGTGCAGCATTTGGTACGACGAGCCGGACTTGATCCAGCGCGTGGAAAAGCGGATCCAAATGCCGCTGAAGCACATGGACCGCGACGACTTCTCCATCGAGAACCTGCTCCCCAGCCCCCTGACCGAGGCGGAATTGGCCAAGAAAAACAGCAATAAAACCGCTGCTGGAAAGAACGGCACGTCCGGCGTGGGCGAAAAAAGCCGGCGCGGGAAGCAGGCGGCGAGCGCGCAGCAAACCGCGGTGGTCTACGGGAAAAAGCAGAACGAGGACGTCGGGACGAAAAAGATTTTCAACGAGTTGGTAAATTCGGTGAAGGAGCTCGCAGAAATGGAAAAATTCATTCAGCAAAGGTTCGTTTCCACGGCCGTGGTGACCACAGGACTGAAGAGGCCGAAGATAAACAGTTCTTTTGCAAGTATCACCGCGGAGCGCTTGCGCGGGATCTTCGGCGACTCCTTTGTGCAGCCACCCGCGCCTGTTGCCGTCGTGGCACCACCGGCAGCGCCGCCCGTGGCTGCACCACCCGTGGAAGGTATTAAGTACTGATTTTTGCATTTGGCGTTGTTTGATTTGTAGTTGCTTCGATTCGAGTTGCGAAAAGGACGATAACGAACGGTGAAGCTCGGATGAGTACTGACTTGGTACAGGACCTGTCGTATTCATGGATTTGAGCAAGTGTACAGTAGATCTCGGTGGCAAGAAAAGTACGCAAATCGATCCTTTTCAATTATTTACAGTCTCTGCGCCACGGAAGCGGGGCAACGAGGATCAGGTGCAGAGCAGCGAAGGAATGTATGATCCGCGGGCCCCAAAGACACACATGGCCAACGACGAATGGACTATGTCCGAGAACCTTGTCGCGCGGCAGGACGAGATGCAGGTTGACGAGACCGCCGCGATACCAGCTTCAAGACATGAACCACCGGCACAGGCTACAGGAAGTACGACAAGCGACTGGCCGATGGAGGTTGATCCTCCGAAAGAGCTTCCGGTGGAGCCCCCGCGGCCTGCGGACGAAGAGGAGGCTCCGAAGGCAAAGAAAGCAGCAACCGGCTGGGGTGCGCGGCCAAAAAGAAAAGCCAGGTGGTAGAGTTGTGCCACGGTTGGTATCGGCTCCATCGTTTCTGATTTGTCTGCCCGTTCATTGATGTATCGTTCAACTCTCTAATAAGCGACAATAAGAATAAACCACCTTCTTGTTCCAAGAATGAATAAGTAACTACGACATGAAAAATGTATATGATAAGAAGCGCGCATTGTGCCACCGCAACCAGAACAAAGTGTGTGAAAAAGTGAAAAGTGAAGACCACTGTCTCCGTCGCGCTGGGCGCGCAATGCAGTGGTCTGCATGTTGACCGTTACTTAACTAGCAATGGAGTTGCTCATGATGCGTGTTCCCTGTTGTTTGTGTTGAGGGCAATCTCCGGACATGCGAACTCTGGCCCAACGAATGTCAGTGATGCGGTCATTGCCGTTTCAGTTCTTATATGCGGTGCTGGGCTCCTGTTGACTGCTTGTTAGCTAGTCCACGTGTTCACATACATACATACATACAAGCTCCTTCGTTCAGCTTTCCTCCGTGGTTTTTCTTTCACTGCTCGCTCGCCGAGCGCGAGCAGATAGCGTGAGAATGGAACAAACGCCGAAGCAAGCGGCTGCTCCGTCGGAGCATGAAAACGCGCTTGCAGAGGAGAATGCGCGTCTCCGAAGACTCGCGCAAAAGCTTCAAGAAGAACGGGACTTCTTCGTCGAAAAGTACACGAGCTACGAGAACGAGCGTCAATTTTTGCTCGAAGAGGTCAGCCGGGTACGGGGAGACGTGCTCAGCAGGTGTGGTATGTTGGAGGTTTCATTTGTTGTAGTAATGGCTATCGCTATCGTTCAAACTCAATGCAGAAGAAGGTCAAGATATTGACTGGAGAATACGTCATATCGCGCACCGCACATGACCTCCGATCCTCGCAAAATCCTTCTAGGTACAGATCGGAGCAGTCCTCGTCGCCCGCTGGTACTCCGGTCGCCCAGCCGTTTCTATTTGCGGAAGCGGAGCCCGCGACGGGCGGCCCTACCAGTAGCGAGAACGAAGAGATTTCTCCGGAAGGGGACGAGCCTGATGAGCACATGGAAGCTTATCGTGATGCGGGTTCTCACAACTTTCGAGCCTCGGGGATAGAGGAAGGCGTGCAGGGAGACGTGCGAGGTGACTTTTTGCGCACGTATGAGTCCGCGCTTCGCAATTTGCCGAGCAACAAGCGCCTGCTTGCCGAGCACTGGGACGTGCAGAACAACAACGAGCCGACGTCTCGAGCCTCCGCGGCGCAGAATCTTTTTGTGGGCGAAGAGGAACTACAACTGCAGAAGCCAGTCGCACTGCCACGCAGCAGCCTGTTCGCAGAACAGGACCAAGAAGGACTGCAGAACGTGGAGGAGGAGGACTCCGTTGAGAATGACGTTCTTTCACAACAGGACGGAGTAGAAACGGATGAGCAAAGACATGCGTCCTCTAGTGACAGCCAGCGGGTTGCGTCGAGAAAATCCTCCTCCCAGACAGGTTCTGGGGATGAAGGCAAAGGAAACGAAGCGGGAGCCGGCGAGACTCCGTTTGTACCAGAGGAGCAGGCCCCTGACACGAGCGACAGAAAGCCGGGACAGTCTACTTCGGAGGGGCTCTCTTCGCGGATATTGAAGGAGAGCCGTCGGAACAAAAACGCCAGCGCCCAGAAGCTGAGCCAGCGATCTTTGATGGAGGTTCCCGCCAAGTTCCGCACGGGTTTGGCCTTCCGCGTGCCCACTTGCAGAGGGATCGATGCCACCAAAGCTGCTTCCAGTGGCGCGGTGGAAATGACACGGCGAGCAAGTTCCTCCCTGGTGGCGCAAACGCTGCAGCTGGTTGCAGAGGACAAGGCTTTTCTGCCTTTCTCGACGAAAAAGATGCTGGCCCGCGACTTCCGAACCGATCTGGCGCAGAAGCAGGATTCTCTACCGGCCGCGATGTTGCACGATCGACGTGACTTGGTCGCGAAAATGGGCGAGAACCTGGACAACGTGATCCCGTGGAAGCAGGCAACCTGGGAAGACAAGCTGAAAACCGCGACCGCGGACCAGTTTGTGTCGAATTCAAAGAAGTTGCGCAGTCTGATGCACGAACGCGAGGTGCAGGCCATGGGCAGTGACACTTCAACGAACCAATGTCCCTGGCCGCTCGCCGAGCAGGCGGCGTGTCTGCAGCAACAGAACGCCGATGTCTGTCTGGCCAACAGCGAGCTGCCGTACGGGCCGCTTCGCCATGCTGCCACCTTCGAGGGTGTGCACACAAGCTTAGTGTCCCGCTGCGTGGAGCATCCGAAGCTGCCGTTCGTCGGCACGGTAAGCGACGATAACACGTGGAAAATTACCGCAATCGAGTCGGGCGAAGTCGTCTTGACGGGCGCCGGTCACAAAGGCTGGGTCACGGACTTGGCTTTCCATCGCTGGGGCAATGTGGTGGTCACAACGGGTGTCGATCACTGCGTCAAATTGTGGAGCTTGCAGGAAGGTCTTCAGACAGAAAATGTTTTTTTTTTGATGCACGAAGAACGTTCGTTAACATTAGTTACCATCGGTGCGACCTTGTGACGTCAAATGAAGATCAGCATCTTCCCTAATATGATTTTGCGCTTCGATCAGGTCGTTGCGTACACACTTTCGTCCCGGAAAATTGTCGAAATTTGTGGGCTTGTGCGGCGCACGACTTCTCGGATTTCTTTGCAGTCGCCGGCGACGACGGCGTGGCACGCGTTTACGACATGGTGACAAGGAAGTTGCGGCAAAGCATGCGCGGACACGTGGGCGCGATTACGTCGTTGGTGTTCGAAAATTTTGGGAACCTACTCACCACGTCTTCCAACGACAAGACGGCCTCCTTTTGGGACATGCGATCAGGAATTTGCGTCAAGACCCTACAAGGTGATGTGTGTCTTGTGCAAGTGACGCGTTAGTGGCGATGACAGCATGAAATGTTTAGATATACCGCGTGCTTTTGTGTGTCCAAACCGAAATCAAAGAAAAGATGAAATACGATGCTTTATTCAGGTCACGTGGCCCCTCTAAACGCGGTCTCCTACGCTCCTGACAACCACTACGTGGTCACGGCAGACGAGGGCGGCAACTGTCGCATCTGGGACGTTCGCATGGCGCGGGAAACGCTTCGAATCGATTGCGGGCACACCGCCGCCCACGTGGCAAGGTTCGACTGTTCGGGCAAGAGCGTCGCCATCGGCTCCGGCGATGGAACGGTGCTGTTATTCGATGTGGAGCGGCAATGCTTCCTGCAGTCCTGCGACAAAGGAGATCCGTGCAGTGTAAATGATTTGTTTTGGAGCCGGGGCAACCAGAACCTAGTCACTGTCACGGCGAACGGATCGGTCGTTACCTGGAAGTCGTCTGCTCGGAAGTAGCGGTGTCAGATGAATGGGGTTGCCATCACGTGTCATTTCTGGAACCTGGCAGCACAGTATGCCGAAGCTCCACTTCCAGCCAGTTAGATTTGAAAAATTTCGTTTCGTAAATTAATTTTGGAATGATCATGAACCAAATGCACAAGATTTGCGTCCGCTCTTGGGCGGACAGGGGATTCGAACTACCTTGTATGATTACATGTACTTTGGAAGAGGATGAAGTTTCAAGATTACAAAGTAGTTTGCACCGTGACCACCGTGAAGCGACACGGAAGCTTTCGAGCATCTCAAGTGAAAGTGTGTGCAATGCTACCGATCTTCATGTCTGTCTGTCTGTCATCGGTTTTCTCGGAAAGAGCGAGAGCCTCGGTCCATCTGCATTTCGGGCAAGTATTTATGTCTTTCTTGTCCACTACAAATATCGGCGAAACTTGTTTCGGTAATAAGATTGGAACGATTCTTTCTCCTAGAAAAAGCACACGAAGAAGGGAATAAAAGCCCGTCATGAGGACAGGGTGGATCTGAAGTGTATCGGTTCTTTCGGTCACATTTATTTCGCTGATCCGTATGTGAAGCCGGAAACAAAAACAAAGCAGTGACTCGCTCTGAAGATGAACTATTGCGTACAATGATTGTACCCGACTTGATGACGTCTCAAGTGTAGAAAAGTCACATTGATCCACATAGAAGAAGATCACTAGTCCTTAACCCGATGACCATTTCTCTAGAAAACTACGCAAAATATTTTCACGGGCGCAAAAATGTCTCCGAGGGAGACTGATAAGTTACCTTTTACCAATCAAAAAAGCGTTGTCTGTGGGGCGACGTTCGCTTTGGTAGCGTATAGATACATAGAAATACTTAACTGGTTTTGATAGTTTCTGTTCCACTTCACAGCACAGAAAAACCAACCTTACCCGCTGCGACCATGTCGCGTGGTGCAGACCCACGACAGGTGTCGTCCGACGTGGGGCTGTGGATGTACATGAACAGGACTGAACGGCGTAACCAGCTCGAGCCCCTGGACTATGACACCATCAATACTTGGCGAGACAGTGCGGGCATGGCCGAGGCACCGCCCTCCCCCGGCCCGCCACCAGTTTCCCCGCGCAACGGGGAGCAAGATCAGACGAACCTTTATTACGGTGGTGCAGAACAAAACTACTCCCCGTTCCTCGGCGCGGAGATGGAGCTGGAGCGGCAACAGACGGCCACCGTGCATAACCTTCCAGACGAGGTTGTTGCCTACAAGGAGCGGTCCGGTTCGTCGCTGGAGCCGTCGCCGACCAACGCCACCGCGACCGCCCGGCGGTCCCCGGTAAACGAGCAATTCGTGATCATGGACCCCGCAGCCGCGGTGAAGCGCAGAATAGAGCAGTTCAGTGGCGGAGACTACTTGCCCGGCCCGCGGCCGCTTACCTACAAGGACGGCATGGTGGCAGACAAGAAGACGGGGCACTTGTATGTGCCCACCGCCTTGGATAAGAAGCTGGCGCGGCAACAGAGGAAGGAACGAAAACGGTGGGAGGAGACGGGCAGCTTGCACCAGCGTATCACGATGCAAAACTACCGGGACTTTGTCAATCCCGAGGAGGACAGGGCGCTGGTGCGGATGAGCAAGCGACGCGACATGCGCGAGGCTGTGCGGGGCGGGCATCTGGTGGATGCGAGAGATCTGTTTTTCCTGGGTCCCGCGGATTTGAAAAAGAAGTCTGATTTGGCTAAGCCTGGGATGATGCAGCGCATCCAGCGCAAGTCGACGCCAGAGGCGGATAGGGAAGAGAATTCTAGTACCAATACAGGAAGTGGAAATGTTAAAAGGAAGTCCTTCGGAGGTGGAAGCGATAATCAACACACCACCGAGGACATGGTTGCTATTCAGACCCCAAATGAAAAAGACCAGCAGGCCAAGAACACGAATCCGAATCTGAGTATGTACCCGGTTTATTCGGTGCGCGATTCGCAGGCGCAGCAGTACAACGTGCACAGCGGCGCGAATCTTTGGTCCGAGGCAAACAACTTCACGTCGTCGCTGATGCCACAAGATGGGGATTACGGCTACATAGACGACGAAGAGGAAGAGGACTACATATTGGACTCTGCTGCGCAAAAGATGAACATGGCAGCCGATTCCGCGGTTGGCGAGGACGACTCTGACACTGACTTTGACGATGAGTTCTTCGCGCAAGAAGAGCCAAACTCCCAAGGTGGTCAGCCAGCGAGTTACGAGGTGCGATTGCAGGAGCAGATGCGACAGCAGCGCCGGATGGAACTATGGGAGGCGCAGCGACGCCAGGAGTACCTGAACCTGCACAATGAGGTCCACCGGGAGGTTTTTGAATACGAGAACCGGGGGCCGCGCAGTTACGAAAAGCAGCTGCGGCAGATGGAGGAAGACCGTTTTGCCGCTCTGCAGCGTGAGGCCCAGCAGCGAAACCAGTACGCCGCCTTATTTCAGCAGTTGGACGACGTGGAGCCGGCGCAGCCACTGCCGCCGAGTATCAACTGTAAAAATGTCTGGGTCTGGAAGATTGCCAGGTTTGTCATGCATGTTTTGCATGACCCCTGACGTCTGTGATGCATGCCCTAGCATCACAGATTTTGTGAGGGCTACCTGATGCCTATACCGCATGACAAATGCTCTTTCAGTGCAGCAAAACTTGGACTCTCTTTCTTGCTGCTCATGCAATACAGATTTTTTTACAATCCAAAACCAGCATGACAAATTGGATTCTTCCAGACCCAGACATTTTTACAGTTGATACCGAGCTACGAGGAGCGATTGTCGAGACTGCAGCAAGACTACGACAAGTTGGAGCTGAAACGGCAACAGGATTCCTCGTCCCGCATCACGGATTTAAACGAGGCGATGCGGCACCATGAGGAGAAGCAGCCGGACAGTTTTGAGGACCGGCTCCGCCGCCAGGAGGAGCGGGACGCGCGAAAACGCGAGAACGTCCTGCGCGGGCGGGGCGGCGGGGCCGCGGGTGGCGCAGGTGTAGGCACCGGTGGTGGTGGTCACGAGAACATTTCTTATCCACTATCAGAGACAAGTACGGGTGGGGGTGGACAAACCGGCTTGTCATCAACCGGTTCGCGTAGCCGCGCCCATCGTGCCTTCGATCTTCCGAGTAGTGCTTCGCCGCCACAACTTGGAGCAGCGACTGTGAAAAATGCAGCACCAGGATTAGCAGCAAATAAGCAAGGTAGACCACCGGGCTCGCCGCTCCGGTGGTTTGAGGAGCCACACGACCCGATTCCTGCCCGTCCGCCAAGCCTGAAGGTGCCCGACAAGTTGCCGTCCAACAATATTGTGTTGTCTCCGTCGACGGAATTGATTCACGACGGGGTGGTGACGAAAAAGCAGATTCAGATGCGGAATAGCGAACAAGAGCGGCCGTCGCTGGACGATTGGCACCCGTTGTGGCGCACGCCGACAATCCCGCTGGACGAAGACGTGCTGAATTCGGAGGAGAATTCGCCTTTCCAAAAGCCGCAGGTGTACAACGGGGGTGCAGGAGGAGATACGGCGGGGAGTAGTAGCAACACCGGGATGAACATAAATTACAACCCATTCGAGGTGGGCCTGCTCGAGCCGAACACCGAGTCAACCGGGAACCAGACGTACAATACGGTCACGCACACGCCGATGCCTTCCGAGCCGCGGACCATCCAAATTGCAGGCCGCATGGGAACTACGAACACCCCGACGACTTCGGCGTGGACCTCGGCGGAAACGGCAGCGACTAGTGGTCGTTCCTCGCCGGGCTCCAGGACGACCGGGATGATGAAACAAGAGAGAAACAGCAAGAAGCTGCAGGCTGTTCCCACCGCGGAACAGCTGCTCCAGATGCGGGACGACGAGGAGGTCGTGCAGGACTACGTGCAGTCCGAGGATCAGGACTTCATCACGCCGCACGTGCAGCAGCATCTGCACAGCGGGAAGACGAAGCGGAGCTCGTTACCGGATTCGCAGGACCACGCGTGCCTGCGCGGGTCCTCCGATGCCTACTTCTCGGAGGCGAGCGGCGGTAAAATAAACAAGGGCGTGGCTTCTAAGGGCGCTGGGTCGAAGAGCAGCGCGAGGTCCGCGGGATCCAAATCGAAATCTGGAACATCTTCATCCTGGGTCCGCTTAAACTCAGAACAGCAGCTTAATGTCCCGGAAAGCGTAGCGCACACGGGCGACACTATGAACCTGTACAGCTCGCGAACAGATGTGAAAAACAGTAGAAAGTCTTCAAGATACAGCACGGCGTGCTGTGGCTGCGGACCCATGGATTAGCGATACCTCGGTTACAGGTTTTTTAAGTGTTACTACAGCTTCCTGGTTGTGGTGTTGCAGGTTGCGCGGAGGAATTATTCTTCATGTTCAACATCTCGCTGCAATGTAAGCGAAGTCGTTTTGACTCGGGCACATAAGGAAGGAGAAAAATGATATGGTGCGCCGATAGCGATAGCACTGAATGTGGTTTATTGTGTCGTTGATACGACCCCACAAACGACACAACGTTATATCGATTTTTTTTGTGGTGTGATGAATATAATAATCGCAAACTAGAAAATCCGAAGCACTTGCTTCTCTAGCCATAATACTTACTTAACTTTTTTTTGATGCGCTGTCTGAAATATGTAGCTATCACGATTGCACCTACAACCCTGTATATGATCTGTATCTGCTCCCCCTCTCTCTCTCCCTGTGGAGTACCGGGTAGATGACAGCTTGTATTTCCGTCATTTTTCTGGTCATGTTCTGTCCAAGGTGGATCGAATAGGAAACAGAATCTTGACGGCTACAGTAGCATTTCGCGCCTTGTGTACCGCATATTAAAATTGCGCAGCACGAATAGCCAGAAGTAGTAGAGACACGGAAATATGCTTGTATACCAGAGGTGAGCTTGAGCCATAGCAGGTAGGTATTCTGAGGATGCGTGTCGACAGGGGTAGGTTGCAAAAAACAATTTTGGATATCAAGCAATGTATTATGTTTTGCTCGCCCGTCATCTTTTTGAAAAAAAGAGGTAGTTTTGCTTCGCATGCTACCGTCAAATTTTGATGCGTTCTATGCGGGCAGGGAGAACAGCTCATGTGTCGTCGTAGGGCTTGGCTCGGTCGTTACACACTGGCATCCGCTCTTCCCGAGTACTGCGGAAAAGTAGGTTCACAAGCCTTAGTCGTGTTTGGGAAGGGAAAGACAATCTGAATCGTTTATCGTCGTGTCCCTAAATGGCGTCCGCGTTGGTCGTTTCACCTAGTTTCGTGAATTTGGTTTGCGCAAGCCTGTGCCTATTCGTTGGTGTTGTGGTTTTGTGTCTTCTAGTGGGCCGTTTGGAGACATCACTTACTGTGTTTTTTTGAATAGCACCTGTCATGATTTTCTTCTGCACCTGATGGCAACTACGCGGGAGCGGAGATTTTTGCAGCGCAGCCCGGCTGCGGCGCTGAGCTTCGAAGAGGAACTGCGATTGTTGCGGCAGCGGCGGTGGCCACAGATGCCTCAAGGGGGCTCCTGGAATCCGAGGTGCTTGTCCATTCCGTGGAGCGCGACAAAAAACTTCACTTCGTCCTCCGGAGCCCTCTACCACTCCCCTCCGCGTCGCGCTATGCTTTTTATGCAGAACGAAGGTGCCCCCACCCCGTCTGAGTCTGACTACTCCAAGCTGTCTGCGGTTGGGAGAGTTCAGGACGGTTACACTGTTTTTCCTGAGGAGGTAGTCCGAGGCACCGGCACAGCCTCTTCGACAGTGGAAGACCCGGCGCAGCAGGAAGGTCGCGCAGCCGCCGGAGCAGCGTCGGGTGTGAACGTATCCGTGCGCTCGTCTGCTGCGGAACACATGAACGACTTTGTCGGGCGGGGGTCCTCCGAAATTCACAGCTACGAAACATATCCCGAGACAGCACTAAAAACACTCGACGTGGCACAAAAATCGTCCGAGAGCACTCATGCTCCTCCACAGTCCACTGAAGATGCACAGGCCTCAGTCCAATCGTTGCGCGCGGGTCTTGCCGAGCGGAGGGATCGCGAGGACGAGAACGGAAGTGCAACGACTGGGAAAATAAACAAAGATGACGCCAGCGCGGCGGGTATCATTGACGAGTCAGAGCACGAAGAAGACCAAGACGTAGACGGCACAGGTTCGCCACGACAAGGTCCGGATAACACGACTCCAGAAGTCGTGGACGAGTTGGTTAGAAGGGATGCAGAGGACGATGAAGGCATCGTTGACGAGATGGATCCGGAAATGGACGAGGCTGAGGCAGTCGAGAACGCGGGGGATGACGGCTTTGTCGGGGAAGATGTCGACCAGGAGGATGTTGATAACGACGAGCCAAACGAACCTTCGGTTGTCGAGGATTACGAAGATGCTGATGAAATTTTGCCGCAACCGGGCGACGACGGCACAGATCGCGACGGAGACGAGGAGGAAGCGCGGCGAACCCGGGAACAGAAGCGCAGCTTTTATTTGCAGAGTGCCGATGGACAGATCCAGGCGCTCGGCGACGACGCGATAAAAGCGAAGCTTGCCGCGCCTTTGTTCGGTCGGGACGCCGGGGGATGCAGTGATAGTCTGATCGTTCCGGCAAAGTGCGTCCGAAATTGGTTTTTTTGTGCTCCCAGTCGTCAGCAGATGCTCGCAGACCACAACCTTCCAGCGACTCGGGGCTGGAAGCTAACTGGTGAGGGAGCGCCACGGGCTTTCGAAAGTTCTCTCCTGTCGTTGGGAACTGTCGAAGGTGACAGAAGCTGCTCGTTCGCGTACCAATCTCGGCAGAAACTGCTCGACCGCATGGGCTCGGTGCTAGAGCACGTCGTTCGCAGTGACAATGGCATCGCGCACGGAGAGCATGCAGCCAATTTTGCGGAACGGCCAACCGTTCTAGGGGGTCGGGGAGAGTATCCGTGCCCATCGGTGCGCCGCATCACGCGATCACTCGGCAATGGACAAAACGGATTTGCGTCTCCAGTGGAATTGTCACCCTCGCACTCGCGCCGCCTTCGCACTTTGATGCATGATTCCCATGACAGGAATCTTAACCCTGATGAAAAAGGTGACGGTGACGTGACAGAAAACGCTCAAACGGGGGCGACGTGGTCTCCGTCCACCATGGTGGACGCGAAAGCTGCTGATGCCCGCTCAGTGTGGCCCCTGGAAAGGCAGGCGCGTGCTTTGCAGAAGCTGCACAGGGAGCAGCTGGGCGAGTTTTGCAAGCGCAACCAGGAAGGAAAATTCGCTTTGTCATCCTTGTTTGATTCGCCCGACGATCGCAACAACGCCGAGCCCGAAGACAGCGAAAACACCGCACGCGACCGATGCGAGAAGCGGCGCCGAAAAATTAGCTCTTGGACGGTGCCTGAACAGGTATTGAACCACTCCGCAATCACAGTGTTCCAAGAACATCCGACTGAAAGCGCGATGGTATTCGGCACCGAGTCCGGGAATTGGCACGTAGCGAGGAGGGCAAGGGGGACCTCGTCGGAACAAGAAGACACAGTCGACGATGTGGCATCTTCGAAGGATGACGAGGCGAAGGGGGAGAAAGACCAGTACACGGTGTCTTTCACCCGGCAACACGCGCACCACGCCCCGGTCACGTCCCTCTCGTGCCACCCTCGCGGAAGAGTTTTACTCACAGCATCAGCCGATAGATGTCTCCACCTATGGGATTTTCCAACAGAAGGAGAGCTAGAGGGTAAGATTCGAAGGATAGAAATGAGGATAGGTAGGATAGAAATCGATGTCGTACCTTCTCCACATGCTCGTCTTTTGTTTCAACGCAAGGGAAAGAAACAGTCTCACGACAATTCATGCGGCACAAGTGATTGTGAATCTCAACCCAACCTTTATCGATCTGGCACAGGTGCTTCAACCGTGGAGGAAGGACACCAGAAACTCCCACGAGACCCGGTCCTTTCCCACGCTTCGGCGCACATGTCTCACTGTACGGCATTTCACGACTTCTCTGATTTTTTCGCCTCTGCCGACAGCGACGGGAACATCCGTGTTTGGGATGTGAATCGTGGGTTCACGCGGGGGCCCTGTGTGACCATTTTCGGGCACAAGGCCGAAGCGCGGTCAGTTTGCTTCGAGCACTTCGGAAACGAGATGGTGTCCGCCAGCGGCGACGGAACCGTTTCCCTGTTGGACATGCGTAGCGGCCTGTGTGTTGCAACGTGGGAACATGCGGAGGTTTCCTCTTCTATTAGGAGCCGCATCCCGCCTCAAAGCCAGTCGCGCGGACAGACCAGAGAAGACCACCTTCGAGTTGCTTCAGCCGCGCGATATGGTAAAAAGCATCAGCTCCCGCTGTCGTCGCTGAAGATGCCGGTGGAGTTCGAGGGCGTTAACCATGCCTGTTTTTCGCCATCTAACGACTTGATTCTGTCCACCGCGGTCCAAGGGACCTGTCGACTGTGGGACAGACGGTTCGTGCGCAACAAACAGGAGCTCATACGCCTCGACTGCGAAGGGAGCCCCGCTTTTAAGGCGTGTTTCGACTGGGGCACCATGGGGACGAGAAATCAGGTCGCCGTGTGCTGCCCCAGGGAAGTATTGGTTTTCGACATTCGGGAGCAAACTTTCCTTGGAGCGCTCGCGGTCCCAAGAAGTGCGACTTTGCCTTCAAGCAAACGGTTCTCCGATGTTGGCTTTTTCAAAGAAAATCGTAGCCTCACAGCAACGTGCGGAAACAGTTTCGTTTTCTGCGATCCCCTGCAAATGAGGCTTGATGAATCAGAATAATGAAGTTCGATGATCATGATGGGTTTTTTTGGAAAATGGGTCCTTTGTCAAAATTTTGGAGCGCCTTGGCTATCCAAAATGATGAATAACGGCAACGACTCTGGAAGCAGAAGCAAAACCTTGCAAGCGAACAAGGCTTGTTTCTTCGCTCTATGAAAAAGTTAGACGTTGCTTTTTCGTTGTGATCGTACAAACCGTGATGGCAAATCGGGTCGTGTAAAGCTTCGTGAATCGTTGAACTGACACAAAAGCTCCTCTTGATCGTGTTAGAAAATTGACTGCGTGGCGCAATGAAGGATGGAACATCAGCAATCCAATTCCAAGCCGCAGGTCATAAGACAGTCGGTCGTATGATGGATTATCAGGACACATGGTCGTACTCTCTCACTCTCTGACAAGGAAAATGTCAAATCTTCAAATGCGTGGTCAGTTTGCTTCGTGGCAATGAGAACAACGACATAAGAACATCAAGAACGGCCGGCGCGAGCGGGTATGCTCGTTTTGTTGATGGTCTGCAATTGTTATGTGTAGATGTAGTGTGCTCGTCCAGATTTTCAATTTTTTTTGTTTTCTAACACAGACAGTCTCAAAGTGACGCACAGTCCCCATGGCGTCTGCGGTTGTTTCTCACCGCGTGGATTGGTGCGTTGGAACGAGCACAACTCCGGGTCTGCATCCTGCCGCAGGGACGTTAGCTCTCGTATGTCACCATCCCAGCGACAAGCAATCCTAGTCGGTTCACGACGAGGGTAACAATGTCTTCGGGGATGAAGCGGTCTGGCGGCACTCCGCAGCGAAGCCTGGCCGCGGAGCACGCCACCCCTGGACCGGAGAGCCAGTACGCCCAGGTTTCTTCACGCGCACCGGAACAGCAGGGGAGTTCTACTCCTCCGCCGGTGGTTCGCGTGCCGCCGCTACTGGCGGCGCTGTCGGCGGCACAGGCGGACCACCTCCAACGGGTCAACTTTATGGGACTGGATGTGGATGAGCCGGGGCGTAATTCCCCCACGCCGTCGGGCGCAAGCGCACGTGCTCGACCCGGACAGACGGACAAAAACTGCATGCCCGACAGTCTGCGACGCCGGATCGACCGCCGGGTGTCGTTTGTGGTGGAGAGTCCGCGGTCCATGATTTCGACGACGCCCATGCCGAGTCACCCACTGAACTCCGTGCTCAGCGATCGCAGCTCCGGTAGCGCGCGGGGAGCCGGAACCGGTCCGCAGCAGCAGGTATCCATTCCCAGTACGAGCACTCTGGTACCGCCACCGTCTCCAGGGACGGCAGGCGCGCCGTCGCGTAACTACACTGCGGCTGGATCATCGGTCTTTGGTTCTGCTGCGCCGCTGCAGGAGGGCGGAAATTCGACCGTAGGAACTGGCTCCATGACGAAACCAGGCGCCCAGTTGGTCAGGGACACAAGTGACGACAGTGCTGCAAGCGGTTTCCTCCTCGAACCATCGATGGTGCTGTCACCCGACCACGTTGTCGGCAGCCGCAACTCAGCGTCTGTCATGCCGCCGCAGGGCCAGCAACCCTTTTCGGTTTCCTCGTTCGCTCGCGAGCCCCTTGAGCTGGATCAGGCAGGTGATCCGGCCACGACGGAACGACAGCCCGAGCCCGGCACAGAGCGGCACCAGGAAAGTCTGTTGCACAGTAAGATTGCTTCCAGCATGCTGCGGTCCTTTGGGTCGAAGCGGGTTCTGCGGCGATCGTCCGGGGCGTTGCGCATTGACACGAGCTCGAACTCGCCACCTAAAGAGAACGACGGCGTATCCCGGTCCGGGCAGCACAACAATGCGCAAAAGTCAGCGGATGACCGAACCAGCATGTTGCGTCGCGCCTCCCCATCGCGGGCGGCGGAGCTCGAGAAGGGCCGCAACGGCCGGAAACCGATGCTGTCTCCAGCCGCGTTCGCGTTTCGCGACCCCGACCACCCGATGCCGGACCGGAACGCCCTTGCCACCACGCCGGTGCGATCAGTGGCGGGTGGTGTCCGAACACCCGGTAGTGGCGGAGTTGCTGCAGGAGGTTCATCTTTGAAAAGGGCGAGCACGCTGGCGTCTTCGGCCTCCCCCTTGGTCGGTGCGGCGCAGCCGGGAGCTTTTTTGCAGTCGAGCCCGCTGGTGGGAGAGATGAACTACCTCGGATCGCCTGCAGTTACTAGCGCCGCCACTGCCGACGATGAATCAAAAAGTTTCCGTCGGGGGAGCCCGTTGACTTCCTTCACGCTCGGCACCTCTCTCAAAGCGCATGCCACGCGCTTGTCCACGGCCACAGGCAAGCGACGGGTACCTGCGCCAACCTTGGGTCCGGGAGAGAGCTTTAAAGTCCCCGCTCTGGCAGGGGCGTTCCGTACCAACGTGAAGACACGATCTGCCGGAACGAGCTTGGCGCAAGCTTTTGTTGACGACGCAGGAGCAGCTGCACGCACGCCGGAGACACCAAAAAGAGCGGCGGCCGGGGGAGTCACAACAGTTGCGGTCGAATTAGCTGCGGAATCAAGTTCGCCAAAGATTCGGGTATGGATTTATTCGTTTGACTATGCAGTACGGACTGCTCCTACAACACATTTAGTTCTGGTTTCGAGAACATGCGTTCTTCGTGTTTTTGGATTCGAGTATTTAGATCGCTTTCTTATCGACCTGGAAATTTCACAACTGAAAAAATCACCGGACAGCGCGTCTCGCGAGACACGGCAGAGCAGCAGTCTTCGAAAGTTTCGAGCATCGGGTCTGTTCGTGAGGTGGAGCGGGAGTTGGAAGCCGCGAGAGCCATTGTGACCAGTACTCCACCTGGGGTGGCGGTGATCCGGATGGCGCTACCGCAGACTCCGGGCGGCGGGATTCTTGGGGACGTCATGCTGCAGCCACCTGTGACCACTTCGTCCAGCAAAGACTCCTTTTTGAGCCAAAAGGACGAAGAAGATTTTCTCGCTGATGAACGGGAGGGGCCAAAAAAGAACAAAAGTGAGGAGGTTACCGTGGTGTCCACAGGACATCAAATGACGCAACAGGCAGAGTCTGCTTTTTTTGCGGGAAAAGACGGTAGCCCGCTGGATCGTGCAGGAACGCAACAGGACAAGGCGGTCACGACATCCAGCAAAACAAGTTCAGTGCATGACGAGGTTCCGTCTGGTCCAATGATGAAGAGTCAGAAGATTGACGACGCAGAAGAAATACCAGGCGATCTTGCAACGATGAAGAGTCAGATCGGCGGAGGAGCTGGCCCTTCGTCGATGTTGGGCGCGAGCTTGCCTATCTCTCCAGTCGGTTCGGTTGGGCGTTCCGGGAGTCCGTTCGACGAAGAAGACTACGGAGATGTCGCTGCGACCACGGTGGACGAAATCATTCTCGCTGGGGCAACCGCGGCGGACACGCGACAGACAGGGCTCAACAGAGATGGCACCGGCGCGGCGGCGCAGGAACTGGACGACCTTGACTTCAGCGGCGACGAAGGTGGTGCACAAAACAAACGTTCTCGAGACGGGGGTCTGTGGTTGAAACAAAGCGGCGGGGCGGGAGTGGCGGAAGTCGTGGGGGGTTCGGGTTCGCGGCGCGGCGCCGATCGGACCCCGCCAAAGAACAGAGCGCAAGAAATTGACGAGGCGGAGTCGTTTTCGGCTACCTGGGATCCAGCGACCATGGAGGACGACTTGGCTGCCGCTGCGCGATCTGCGTCCGAGCTCTTCTCGCACGACAGCGGTGAGTCTTCTAACAAGCCGTCAGGAACGGATACCTCGCAGCAAACGCCCCCGTCCCGCCAGCGACCGCCGCACGGCGTTAGTACAAGCGGACCAGTGCCAGATCATGGAGGTTACAAGACGCCCCCACCTCCAGTGTCGAAGTCGCAAACTGGTGCTGGCAGGTCTTCCAGCAAAAATTCAGGAGAAAAGTACTATCGGGAACAACACCAAACCACGAGTGGCAGTCCCAAGGGATCTGCACGGCATCCGCACCATGCGCACGGTGGATCTACCCCCGAATCCTTTTCTGCGCGTTCGGGTAAGCTCCTGCAGCTCGCAGCCCAACGCTACCCAGGCTCCACGTCTACTGGAGGTCGTGGGTTGCAAAAATGGAACGACCAAAGCGGTGCGGCGTACCAGCGAAATGTTTTTGCGTCGGCTACCTGGCCAGCAAGCGGCACTGCGCTCAGCACGTCGAGCAAAGGCACCATCCAAGAAGACCAGTTCTATCTGGAGCAAGCGCCCGTGGCGAAGCGGTCGGCGCGAGCGGAGCACAAACCTACGAATAGTGCTATGGTGGCTGGTATTAACGACCCGTCGGGGCAATTGAACCCGCCGAAATCGGTGCCTTTGCTGCATCGGGATCGCAGCGGCAGCAGTGGCGGCAAAGGTGGGAAGCCGCGGAGCCAAAGCCGGGAACAGTACCGTGAGGAATTGGAATCTCCCCCGCGAGGGGAAGGGTCACCTTCAAATACGAGGGTGCAACAGCTACTGCACCATCAAATCCTGCACGGTACCATCATGTCCAGCGAGCAGCAAATGCAGCTTCAAACGAAAGCCTCGAGCCCGCGACCGCCCTCCACGTCCCAACCCGGCTCAGGAAACAAGCGGGGCATGATGCCAATAGAACTACCTGGAGTCGGGGGCACATCGTCTACAGCACCAGGAGTACTACAGCAGTCTGCTCCGCCATCTTCCTCGCACGCAGGACCGCATGCCGTGAATGCAGGGCCAGGCGCTTCACTGCTCAGTTCCGCGGCTTTCCCGGTGGTGGTGGGGGGGTCCGGAACAGCTGGGCCCGGCGCGAGCCAGTCGCTGCTGGCGGGATCTTCATCCGCTCTGTATCTGCAAATGTCTTCGCTGGAAAATCTTGCGCCGCTCGTGCCATCAGGCACGATTCAACAGCAAGACCAAATACAGTTGGGATCACACAGTTCGTCCGGAGCAACGGCATCAGCTGCGCACGCGGCGATGGCGTCCAGCCTGGCAGCGAGTCTGGCTGCATCCAAAGTGGGCGCCGCTCGTCTGAGTCCGGTGCAGTCTCCGGATCCCATGGTACGAAGCGGTATGCCTGGCGTCGGCCATCCGCGCGTGCCGCCACTGCAGCTCGGTAGTCGGGATTCTCGCCGCGGTGCCAGGGTGGCCAGTCTGAAGCAGACCGCGGGGCTTTCCGACGCAAAGGCGCCCGCGAAGCGTGGATTTTGGCGGGAAATTACCGCCGCCAATTTGATGAACCGCGATCATCGCGGGGCTCCGCCGCCATCGCAACATCCAAACATTGCCAGTGCGGCCGCTGCCTTCCTCCGGAAACAGGGATCTGGGGCAGCGGCGTCCGCATCGTCGCCCTTCCCGGGCGACCAGGCGGGGCCTCGGTCCCGGTCTCCGAACTCGCGGGAGGACACGAGTTCGCAGAGTCCGCGGAGCGCCCGCGATCGATCACGCGGGCGGAGGAGCCGAAGTGGGCAACGAGGAGGCAACGTCGGGCAATCCGAAGACGTCAACAAGAGCAGCAGTTCGACCGGACGAGGGTCTTCCGGTCGCAGACCAACGTCGGGATCCAGCCGCGACACGAGTGCGCTGCGGACACGATCGGCGTCCGCACGGGAGCCGCAGCGTGCGGCACGGTCCTCCGCGAGTCTTCGCGAGGCCGCCGCGGGGCTCATCCAGCTTCATACCAGCGCATGGGAAAACCTGCCGCACTGGGCGCAGGGAGAAACCGTGATGGCGCGCAGCGAGACGCGGTCCTCGGGGTCGCCCAGTACGGGACGGTCCTTACTGTCGGGGCGCAAGTCTTCGGACGGGGTCGACAAGACCGGGCAACCACATCTTCGGTCCCCCTCTCCCCCTGCGATCCACCCCAAAAGCGCGGTGAGCGCGCCAGCAGCGGCAGTGAGCGCGTTTGCGCAGCAGTTGGAAGAGACTGGGCGCTACGACGACCGGTCGTCCGCCTTGCTACGAAGCATGTTGGCCGTCTACGACCGTGGGGGGCCACCCGCGGTGCTGTCACGAACGGTAACGCGCGAAGACCAGGGTGGGATCTCGTCCACGAGTGGGGCCTCCTCCTCCAGTACTTCGGGCGCCGTGGTGTCCAGTAAGGTCGACTCCTCACGCAACCAAGACCGGACGCCGGGTGGCCGCGCCGAGGGCATTTCGAGCAGCAGCTCCAGTTCGTCGAGCTCCTCTTCGTCCACGCCGCCGGGCGGCCAGCGGAGCGACCGATCAAGGGAGCGCAGCCAGCGGGGAGAAAAGAGGAAGGCTGAGATGCCGATGAACCAGCAGCAGTCGGTTGGCCCGTACGGTGGGGGAGTAGCATCATCGGGCTTGTCCGTTGACGCCTTTGTCGAGCGATTGTATCGGCCGAGGTCCGGCCAGTCTCTATCGCCTCGGAGCCAGCAGCAGCGGCACGGGGAGCGCCAGCTGCCACTGGATCACTCCTTGCCGGTCATCACCTCCGCGCAAGACGGGTCGCCATCGGGCTTTGTTCTAGCGGGAGTCATCTCACCAGACGGTACTAAGGCCCCGCATCAACTTGGGGTGTCCGCGCCCGGCAAGATGCGGTCTGATTCTGACGGGGGTGCCTTCATCTCGTCAGATCCCGACAGCGGCGGCGGAGCCTCGGGGCAAGCGGAAAGTGCGAGCCCAACTAGCAGTCGGAAAGTTGTGCGCCCGCCGCGCCGCGACGAGTCGGACATCAACATTCGAGCGGAGCGCGTACCCCATGGCACCCTCCTAGACCCGGACGCAGGCGGGCATGATGAACGCGCTTTACTCGCGCGTTCCCGGCTGGGACCTGCCTTTGGCCGTGGCGAGGGATCCGCGTCTATGCTTCTGGGCACGGGCGACGAAACCGGTGAGGAGCACCCCGACGGCATTATGGTGCAGGACGATTCCTCTGCAACCGATCAGGAAGGCCGGGGCGCATCCGAGATGCAGGACGCTGTGCAGCGCGACATTTCCATGAGTCCCGACATGTACGAGCAGTTTTTTTACAACAAGGCACTGGCGGTCGGGAAGAACGCACCCATCCCGCTCAGCCGCTTTCCTTTCGTGGGTCGCCGGCTCGCGTTCCCGCCCGTAGTGGTCTACAGCTACTACGCCTGCACCCTAGTTTTGCTCGCGTTGCTGCTTGCGCTGGCCGTGGATGAAGTGCTGCCTTCGGTCTTGTTCGCGTGCTCCTTCGCTGCGGTTGTCGCTCTAGCCTCTGCGGCAGCGGCTCTCGCCACCGCAACGACGCAAGCGTCCGCGCTGACAGCAATTTCCCTGGTGCGCCCGTCCAAAAGCTCGGGGAACGGGCAGAAGCTGGTCGCGGCCCTGAGCTCCGGCACCATGTGGCAGAGCGAGGCACTGGCGACCATGTTCGTGTTGCTAGTTTCCGGCGCATTGTTCGGAATTACATACGCGGAGCGGGAAAAAAGTAAGTTTCCCGGCAGCCCGGGACTCTCGGCATTTGCACACGTCGTGCTCTTTCTCTGGTTACTGTTCACAATAGTCCTGCTTGTCTCCGGGACAGTGCTGGTATCCATCCTTGCAAAAGTGCAGCGGGCCAACACGCAGCTCTGGAAAAAGTACCTTCTCACATCGCAGTCCGGCACCGCGGCAGCACCAGACGAACAATCGCGGACGACAGGCGGCGCGCCTCGGTTTTCACAACCTTCATCCCGGACGATGAGGCTGGAAGAAGACCACGCCATGCAACAGAATGCGAACTTCAGTTTGGTTGGCACAAACGCTTTTAGCGTTGTGCCCGCAGCAAGTGCAGGAACTGCGGGACCACGGGCTTCCCCTGGGCCAAACACGCCCGCTGTAGAAGGAGTCGAGCCGGCGTTGCCCCCGTCATCTTCCCCGCCAACGGGAATGACCGCTGGCAGGACGGCTGCCACGGGGATGCACCGATCAAGCGCTGCCGAGGGTATTCTTTCTGCATTTGACCGGTACCGGGCGGAGACTAGTGGAGGTGATAATACACACCCACAACCTCCCTCAACGTATTCGACCCTATCGCAGCAAGCCCAGCAACAGTCGCTTATGGAAAATATTAACGGCGCAGATGACCAATTCCAATTCGAAGGCCAGCACCGAGCAGACGAGCCGGCACACGATTCTGCGAGGATGCGTGATCAGCTGAACGCAACGTGGCGATCGGACAGCATGCCTCTGCGCGTGGTGGAAATCCCGCTTTCGGCGGGTCAGGAGCACAACCAGAATGGGCTGCGTCTCGACCAGCGGGAGAACGGCAGTTATGGCGTTTTCCAGAACAGCCGCGGCAGTTACAGTCCGGGGGGAGGTCACCAGCACGCCATAAACAGTTTGGAGAGCAGAGTGCCCAGCCTGGTACCTGCCGCGGGTGCAGCAGGCGGATCTACTGTGTCGAATGCCTCTACAGGCGGGGCTACGTTCCTGGCGGGAGCAAGTGCGATGTCAAGTAACACACTTATGACATCGACAGCGGCTGGCGGTCGTGGCAGAAGTGGTGCTAGCCTATCTGAAGTCGGTCTGGAACTACAGCAGTTATCAGCAGCAGATCGGCATCAAGTAGAGCAGCTGCAATCTAATGTTTATCCAGTTCACCTGCAACCAGGGCAACAACAGCCGCGCCAGAGTCGTTATGTTTCGGGAAGCGCAGGTCAGCGGGCGACGGCTAAAACCTTTATCCGCGGCGCACCAACGTCATTTTTCGCTGCAAACGCCAAGCAGCTTCAATCGCTGATGGAGCAGAACTATCAGATGTAAAAATGTCTGGGTCTGGAAGAGTCATGCTGTTTTTGCATGACACAGAAGGTCTGGCATGGAAGCTCTAGCATTAGAGGTTTCGAGAAGCTTCCGCAATGCCGAATCCGCATGACAAATCCCCCACTTTGGTGACAGAAAGTGGGCAGCTTTTGCTACCCATGCATGAGAGATTTTTCTGTGTTCTGAAATGTGCATCACAGATTCGGATTCTTCCAGACCCAGACATTTTTACATTTGATAAGAACGGAGCGGTCATGGTCTTGTCTTTGTCTGCGGCGGTCACCTATCAAATGCAAAAATGTCTGGGTCTGGAAGATTGCGAGATTTGTCATGCTTGTCTGGCATGACTAAAAAGTTTGTGATGCGTGTCCAAGAAGAGACCCTTTTGCCTGTCATGCAAAAACGCAGTTTGTGTTTGTCATGCGAAAAACGCAACACAAAGAAGCGCAGATATTTGTTTCTCATGCTTCGCTGTGCATTACAGAGCATTCACTATTCCCAACGCAACATTACAAGTTTCCAGACCCAGACACTTTTACATTTGATATCACCATCATGAACCTCCTGGCCCTCGCGATCGTCACAGGAGAGACTAAGTATGGGACTGCGAAGGTATTTTCGTCTTTTCAACACTCATCATTCATAGAATTCGAAAGTACTATTTGCGCTGAAGCCAATTCCACCAATAGCCATGAACCCTTGATGAAAGAGTCAACAGAAAACAACTACGGGATGCAAATCAACACTCAACTTTTCTCAGTATCACTTCTTCGTGCTTTTTTTCCTGTACGTTGAGTGGACGATCTTGTTTGCGGTCCTGTGCAAGTTGCTGCGTGAGCTGATCATGTTGACGGCCGACATGCGGGCGGTGGATCCAAGTCTTGGCCTGTCGCTGTTTGGGCATAAGGTGGACGCCAGCGCCTTTCGCCGCACCGTCGCCTTGCCGATACTCACACTGCTCGTCGCGATTATGGGCAGCCTGCTGTCCTCGTGAGGAAACTAGCTACTGGCAAAAGCGGTGCAGCCGTCTGCAGCCAGTCACCTCGTGTGATGAATCTGAAGCGAAACTATTTTTGATGAGAATGCACTAATCAGGCACAATATTTTCTTGAAATCGTCGATATTATCTTGCTTTTACTACACTACTCATACCTACGCCATGTACGATATGCGTCTTTCCTTTTTTTCGTGTCATCTACACGTACGAAGACCTTGTTTCGAATTCAACAACTTGAACTTCATGATTCATTTTTCATCGAACAGAGTATTGAGTCCAAATGTAATTTTTTTGGCATCTTTTCGCTGTAGATCAGGAATTTATTGGTTTTGGACACGACCACAAATGACTTTGACGAAGAGCATCTTTTGCACGTATTCTTGTTTTGGCATGGATTTCATACATTAGAAAATTGGAAATTATGAAAACGACACACACACCCCGAACCGGGTTGTACCAGATTGTGCGTCGGACGGTCGTATCGTCGTCGTATTTGGGGTTTTGTTTACAGATTATGAGTTCGTGTAACTGCAGATACAGTTTGCGGCTTTTTCTTCGTTCCATCCTGTCTGGCTGACACGCGTTGAGACATACTGCTCGACTGCCACGAGGCTTAGAAAATAGATTAGGACTGACGAGAGAATGCTGACAAACGTGCGAAGAGAGCACCATTGCAACTTCATCACGAAAAATGAGTCATTGCACGAGTTGGATTCCGTTGCTCATTTGGACGGCATCCACGACCCTGTCAAGCGTGCTTCCAACGACATTTGCGACAGAGACGAATCGCGTCGTTGACGGTGTGCACGTGATAACGCTGGATCCCGAGGGAGACCGATTTCGAAGTTTTCGCGAGAACAACGAGCACTTGTTCCCGCGCAGCGACGTCGGCCCAAGTACTCCATCTACACCAGGAGCGTCAGCAGACAGAGAAAAAAATCCGGCGGTGGAAGCCGTGCGTGGGGTGAACGGCTGGCGTTTAGACATGGAAACGTTGGTAGAGCGGGGTGTCGTGAGCCGCGAAATGGCGGAGCGCACGGCGTATTTCCAGACTCCCGGTCGGGCGGGGTGTTTGCTGAGTCACCTCAAGACTTGGCGCCGGATCGTCAAAAGAGCAGAGAGGAAAAAACGAAAGCAGCAGAACCCCCGGGAGAACAACAAGGAAGACATGCAGCTCCACCTTGTCCTGGAAGACGACGCCATCACGAGCCCGTTTATTCTCAGGGTTTTTGAAGTCGTGCCGAAATTCATTCGGTTGCTAGCTGAGAAGAAGCACAACCTCGATTTTTTGCACTGCGGCCCTAACCTTGACGGCATGGTGATTTCCGAGCCCCCGGGGGGTGGCCTGAGCACGGTGTTGTTTGCCCCTCGTGTTTCAAGCCAAATCTACCGGCACCATGCTGGAGGTCACTGCGCCTCCGGGATATTCGTTCCTCCCTGACGCTGGCTCTGAAGCGGAGAGCCAACTGGTTGCGGCTGGTGAAAAAGGTGTGTCTTGTCCAGAGTCCTTGATTCGAGATTCAAGCTTGCCCATGTTGAAGAGTCACGTCGAAAGTCCATGCACCGTGACGCTGACAACTATTGCTGAGGAGTCGATGATGGAACAACCATCCGCATCTTTGCAGGTTGCGAAAACCAATGGTGACGTCGACGGGGCAGCGGCGGGAGGAGGAAAAAGCAAAGAGGCAGGCAGTACCAGTGAATCCGACACGGCCAAACCGAGCGCCAAACCACCGCAGAAGGCGCAAACCATCCGTCTGGACCTGAGCGACAAGGTAACGCCGAGCAGACCTCCGCGAAGTGTGTGTTGGCTCGCGCGAGGAAGCGAGAGTGACTGGTATGAGAAGAACAAAAACTCCAAGCTTTGTCTGATTAGGCACCCCCGCACCTACCATCTGACTGTTGCGGTCGCGGCGCCGCCGGGCCTCTGTGAGGGTAATTTAGAGCGGAGTGAGATTGGGTTTGACCTGTCCGAGCTGCGCTGCAAAGAGGATCCCGGGTTCTGGAGTTACACCGTCAAGGGCGCGGCTGCCGCGACCACGGTGCGCGCAAGAGCTCACCGGCGGGTGATGAAAGCCCGCTCCGTCGTCGACACTTTTGATACAGACAGTTTCGTGACGGGTGCCAGTACGTCTTGCGGTATCTCTCGACCGTGCCCAGCAGACAAGCCCTACTGTCGGGCAGAAATTGACGGCGCTTGCACCTCGGAGCCGGAGTGGCACGGCATACCACTGCAGAGAATGGACCGCCCGGCTGGGGTGGATGCTGGGGGGAGCCTGCAAGAGACAGCGAAATGAGCCAGGTCCTGCGGGGGTTTCTCGTGGCCTGACAAAAAAGTTTTGTAATTAAGCAACATCATAATTTATCAAGGGAAGCAGTCCAGTGCTTATACTTTCTGTTGCCGAGGTCAGTTCCTGGGTGGTAGAATCGACGCTACTGAAGCGGGATTTGTTCTAGCAGCGTTTGTTGGATGAAGTGGAGGCTTCACAAAGCAATGAAAATTTGTTTCAATCCCAAACTAACTCAAGGAACAAGCGGCCCTATTTCACTTCAGGGTGCATCATCGCTAGCAAAGTCTTTCCCAGTGTAGAGAACGCCGGCGAGGAGCGAGCGATTCAGCATCGAACTAAAGAAATTCTGCTACCATGTTTTTTTTTTTGTTCGACAGAAAATCTGGATCCTTTCATGCACACGAAAATCGTCATTCCTACTTCTTGCTCTTCCAATTACGCGTTGGTTATCCAGCAGAGATCTTTTGTGAACCGAATCATGTCATTGCAAATCTCTTGCCAAAGAAGATCATTTTTCGATAAAATTCAGCGCGATCTATGCAACAGAAAATTCATATTTGCCTGAGCCTTGAGCTTGATCTCGACAAGGTCTTAGTTTGGTCGTTGAATTTCAGATCTTCTGTATGTTTCTTCTTTTTCTTGGTCTCGACGGGTATTTTCATTTTGACAAAAGGCGCCAACAGGAGGTTTTGGTTTACTTAGTCAGTCAAACGAAAGAGAACAAAGGCGTACTAGCATTTAGTACGCTCGCCTCTGATCCAGCAGATGACCGTAGCAGATTGCAATGAGACGTCGCTGTACAACTGAGTCAATGTCGGTGGTTCGGCGTCAGACTTTGAAGCGAGCACTCTTGTGCCAGTGCGCGGATAGTTTATATCGGGAAGAGAAAGTATCTTGAAAGTCTTAGTCAAAGTCACAGTAGTTCGTAGAAAGCAGCCTATTAAGCGCGACGCCATCAAACCAACCATACCATGACGTTGAGCCGCGAAGATGCAGATTTTTGTGTCGATAACGAACCGCGTTGAGACGAGACAACGGTCGCCGGACGAGCTGTTCCTAGAACTCTACAACCGACCGAAAAATGTCTTCGCCGACCCCGCCTCCCGGTAGTGTCGGCAAGATATGGGGGCCGAAAAAGCCTCCTTCCCCGACGGAGCAGAACTACCCCTTGCTTCCTGGGGCGACAAGCGTTGCACCGTCTTCATGGCCGGCATTGTCCTCTTCGTCGCACGCCGGCACACCGGGCGAAAAGAGCGGCGAGGAGAGGCAAGCTGCAGCCGAACAGAGTGGATCCGCCGAAGACCCGGAGGGAGAACGGGCAGCAACTCCAAATGCCGGCTTGGGAGATGAAGAAACTGCTCATGAGTCTGTCGCAGACGTGGAACATCATAATGCAGACCCATCGTTGCCTCCGAAGATGGCCTTTGCGCCTCTGTCCCGGGTAAATTCGGTGACGAGCTCTTCTAACGAGCAGCTGTCACGGGTCGGGTCCAAGACGGAGTCACTCGCCGGCGGCAGCACGCCCGGCGAGGCAAGCCGAGACCCGGGGGACCAGCGTGTTGTTTCAGCAGGCCATGATCCGTCATTGGTGCGGCCGCAGCAGGAGCCCGGCAGTGACGCATTGATGTCGCAGCAGTCAGACTACCCGGGAACAACCGAAGTAGCAGCCTCGGGTGATGGGCTTCTGGACATTACCGTCGCCACTTTCGGACAGTTGCAAACAGCAGGGAGCGCGACCACTAGGGAAGAAAGTCAAGACCGTCTTCTTGTTCCGGGGCAGGAGTTGTCGCAAATCCGCCTGACACAGCTGTCCTCAGGCCACGAGGTGGAAAGCCTGAACTCTTTCGACGGGCGGCGGTCGCGAATCTCTGACAGATCGGAGTCGACGCCCGCAGTGTTGACCGTGCGCGTGATCCCACCGCCGGAAGACGCCGCTGACAGTACTCCCAACCACGACGGCACTGCCTCACAGCAGGATGAACCGTCCACAGAGATCAGGCCCTCGACTGTCTTGAAGCACGCCGAAACGGTGTCATCGGGCAGTTCCAACACCGAGCCAACCGCCTTTGACGGGAAGTCGTATGCCGCCCGGGCGGGTAAGCAGCCGGAAATTGATGTGATGGGGCGAGTGGACAGTTTTCCGGCGCTTGGCTTCCCCGCCGCGCCGTCGAAGCGGGCCAAGGCCAAAACCGTGGGAGGTGCGAATGCGGCCGGGGTGCAGCGCACCGGGACGCGATCGACCGCTGCGACCAACGATAGTACGATCACGGCAAGCTCCCAACAGGCGTCCCCCGGGCAGCCATCAAGCTCGGCGTCGTCCTCGCGTCGCGGGTCGGGGCGGCAGAGCCGCAATCCGTATTCGGGTACGCCATCTTCCGAGCGCGTGTCCGTTGCGTCAAATCCGGAGCAGGCCTCGATCCAGAATATCATCAAAGACTTCGAGCCGGTTACCGGGTTTGCGGGGCAGTTCGTCTCCGGGCAAGTGGTGTCCACGGGCAGCATTTACGGGGGTCCGAAAAACGAGCGCTCCACTTTCTGGGGGCCGGCACAGGGCAGAACGTCGTCGCGAGACGACCAGCACAGCGACAACGCGTCGGCGCTCGACGAGGTCTGCGGCGGAACGCCAACGCCACATAGAGACCAACCGTCGCCCGGCACCGTCAGTACTAGTTCTGCAGCCGGAAGTGGGGTCGTCGTGGGCCACCAACTTGCGGCCAACAAGCCGCCGGTGATGCTGGTGCCGAATCCGCTTCCACTGGAGATGATGGGCGCGGACCCAGCGTTGTGCGACCGACCGTTGAACAAGTTTTTAGTGCAGAGGTTGGAGCGGACGTTTGAGGACCTGAAGCTTGGGCACTACCTACCCGGGGTCCGCGCGGCCTGCAACGTGACCGAGGAAAGAAAGCGACCGACGTGCAGACAGCTGTGCGAGCGGCTTCAGATGAAGCCTATGGAAGTCCGGCGGCTGGAGCGATCCCTGGACACGTTCCTGAAATCAGACGACTACCTCTCTTCCATGCCGTATTTGCTCGACAAGTCGAAGTTGTACAAGTACGAGCGCGCTGCAGAGACGTATTTGCTGCAGCGACGCGCGGAAAAGGGCTACGACGACGGAGACGAGCGGCCGTTCTTCTTGCGCCTGTACTGCCAAACCCGGGACGGCGACGCTGAGCGCGAGCGGGAAGTGCGGAGCTTCATGCAGCATCTAGGTTTGAAGCCGCTGGAAAAGAAGCGGCTGGATACCGAGCTGCAGTCCCTTGCGAAAAGAATCACTCGCAACACGAGCCGCCAGGGGTCCATTCGGGATTTGGGAACCTTTCCAATAGCCTACGGCGGGCCACCAACATCTTCAGGTAATAAGCTGGACGCCGAGGATTCGAACCCGTCGTCCTCATCGGGAGCAGCCCCCGGCGTCGGATACAACAACCCCTCCGCGGCCTCCAGCTCGAGCAGTGCTTCGCGGGGCAGGTCCCAGCTGGCCACGGCCCGCACGAACTCCGAAACCTGGAAGCAGCTGATGGTGCCGCCGCGGGCGCTTTTGCCGCAGCATGAGGAGCAGAACGACGACAGCCGCATGCGAGTATCGGACATCGTCTCCGAGGCACTGGGCTACGAGGACGAAATGCAGAGCGAAGACGCCACGCAGGTTCAGATTCCCATCAACAACGGGGGTGCCTTTTTGTCCGGAGGTGGTTTCGGCAACATGCAGTCGAAGTTCCCAGGGATGAGCCCACCGCTGAAGGCGCTCGGACCCATTCCGGAAGACGAGGACAGTGACTCCTCCGACGGCGAGGACAGCACGTCGGGCACGCCTTCCCCAGGGAGCATGAGCCCGCCCGTGCGCGCATCTTTCAGCCGACCGCGCATCAAACACGCTCGCAACCCGCTGGACGCGTTCGTGCTGTACGGCGCCGGATCTTCGTGCAACGGCAAAACTTCCGAGCTGCCACTGCTTGACCACCACCCAGATGGCGACGCGGCTGCCAAGCCTTTTCAAGGACTGCCTGCACACCACATCGAGCGTGAGCACCTGGACGCAGAGTACTCGCACGAGCACAGCGACGCTTCCTCCGATGCCGACACCGAAATGATGACGCATTTGGACATGCTGGAGGAGCAGCAGCGGGAAAAGGACATCCAAGCCCAGACGGAAACGCTGGCGGATCGGTTGGCGCGCATCGCGAAGCAAAACTCGCAGCCGCTGCTGTTTCCAACCTTCTCCCAGCTAGGTGTGGGCGTCGGGCCCGTCGGTGGAACGAAGGACGGTGACCCGGAGGCGCCGAAAACTCCATTTGAGGGGGAGCACGACCACGCGGCACCAGGGTCGTCTTCTTCAGAGCATGACTGCAGCGCGACAGCGAGAGGAGACGGAGGTGATTTTCACGGAACAGTTGGCGGCCACGGTGTGAGAAATGGTGTCTTTGTTTACCCGCAGCAGCCCAGAAGTTTGGTGCGCATGATGAGCGCGGAGCACGCTTCTTCCCCGCGGAACCGACCTGAAATGGAACTGGCTTACGAGGAGGATGCGGGGAATGAGGCTTCCGGGTCCGACAGTTCTTCTGACGATGACGGTGGGCCGGGCCTCGCGCTCACCCGCAGCACCACGATACGCACGAGGAGCAACGGGGTCCGCAGTGGCAACAAGTCGCAAATCGCTCCCCTGTTCGGTGCGCAGACCATTGGCTCCGCGGGAAATTCTCCGCGGTTCTCCACGACCAGGTCCAAGCAGCGTGCGCCCGGGTTCTTTGGCACGGGCACCGGCAAGACATCAAGCACCAACGCCCCCGCGCCCATTTCCGACATTGAGGAGCGGCTCCATCGACACATCTCGTTGCAGCATTTGGGCACCACAAGTAGTTCCGCATCTGCCTCTCCGGCTTCGGGTGGTGATGGAAGCGAGGTAAACGTCGCTGGTGCGATGGTGATCGAAGGTAAAGTTGATCAGGAAGAACAAGCTGGAAGTGCCTTCTCTCCCTCGTTCAATGCCGACGCATCACCGGAAACAAAAGTGGCGCAAGGTACTTGTGCAGTTGTGCGTCCGCCTCGAGAGTCTGTTCACCTCCAGCTGAAAGCGCTACCGGAAATCGAAGAGGACCAGAGCGGAAGAACTCCTACTTCAGCGCGGCAGCACGCTGGTCTCTTTTCTTCATTGCACGAACAGACGTTGCCACTGTTTGGCCCACCAGCAACTGGATCTTCTACTGCAAGACAAGTTTCGCCGCGAACTTCAGCTAATGTTGCTGCAGAGGCACACAACAACGGGGGGCCACCCTCATCGCCGGAAGACATGCCAACTTTTGGCAGCATGTTCCTCCCGGGTAGCAATGGAGTGCAGGTACCGCGATCTAGTGCGGCGGAACACAATCTGCATAACGTCTTCTCGAACGAGAGCGCAGGGAGTCATGTGCTGCAAGCCGCTTCGTCGCCGCTGGAGGTGCCGCACTACCCGGCATCGTCGCCGTTGTATCCCAACTTCATGGACTTTCAAAGCGCGAGCCGCTCCGCGACGCCGACGTCCTCCAGTAGTAGCAGTTCTGAGATTCACATTTCGCAACACCCAGCACAGGTTCCCGTTCCCGAACCGAGACGCAAGCACAGCGGGTTTCGCTCATCAAATGTGTCTCCCCGAGGGGTCACCAGCGCGGTTGTGCACACACCGGCGCCCCCGGGGGCGGCCCTTCCGGGGAGCAATGCCCCGACGCCGAACACGGACGTGAGCAATAGTGGTTTTCCCTCATTGTACCAGCACCCGTATAGCTCGCCTGAAAACATCAATACCGTGCCTGCAGGAACAAGTGCTACGGCTAGCAGTGCTCGGCTAACTTCTTCTGGCGGCGTTGGTGCAGTCCGCGGTACGGCGGCAACGCGCGATGTTGTGGTTACCCCAGTCGAGCAAGTGTCCGGCGACCACAGTTTGCATCACCACAAAAGCGGCGCGAAGTCGAGCGGACGCACGCGGCGGCACTCGCGGCACCACCACCAGGTCGACCGGAATATGGAGCAAGAGCTTTTTGGCGCGGCGGAGGAACTGTTGCGGGAGTTCCAGCCCGAGCCCACTCCGGCAATCGACTATTTCGGCTTCGGAGAAGTGATGATGAGCCCCGCGGTGTCCGCGAAGTCCTGCAGCCCCTTGACCACGCAGAGTGGTGGTCCTCAAGGGGCCCCGCTGCTCCACCACCACCACTCCGGTAGTATGATTCCCCCGGCGGCGGGAGGCAAAGGCGCCAACTTGCACTACCGAGATCCTCAACATGTGCTGTCGCACCCCGTACAACACCAGCACTACGGTATTCGCAAGGGCTCGAGCGCAGACAACCTGGTCCTCACGCACAACTCGGGTCGCGCGAGCACGAGTCCGACTGCGGCAGTAACTACACGCACGGATGTTCATCTTGTGGACAATTATGCGTCAACGTCTTCAGCACTGGATCTCCAGCACCCGGGCCTCCAGGAGCAGCAGCTCCAAGTACCGCTGTGCACGACCGCAGACATACAGCGTGACCAGAGTGGTATCAGCGCTTACTCGGGTACCTTGTCCAGCGGCAACAGTGGCTCCTCGGAGCAGGTTGCGCACCCCGCTGAGCAGGCACAGACTGTGCCGAGTTTAACCACGCTGCCTAGCAGCAGTGATCCGCAGCACGCGCCGCTTGTTTCCTGCGGGGGGACAGCAAGCAGTGAGTCACAGCTCGGCCCAGACTTGGGTGCACCTTTGGCAGCTGCAGCTTCTGCTGGAACCAGCACTCTTCAACAGATGGACTTATCATGTGCGGCTAATACTTTGTTTGGCAGTGGCGCGCTGACGAGCAGCAGCCAGCAGTCCGGCGCTAACACGCGCACACCTTCAAACCAGCAGCACAATGACCAATACCTCCTGCCCTCCTCGGAGCAGCACGCTGCCCCTGCGTCGGCTGCTACCCCATCGATCAATATCAACATTGTCGGCGCCTCCCAGCTTCCACTCGCAAACCACACCGGGGAGCAAACCCCTGTGCTGATGGGAACGAGCGAACGCGACGTGACTCCCGCTACTCCCGCTTTCCAGTACGGCGACGGCGCCACGCACCGGAGTCGTCGGGAGTCGATGCCCAACATCGTCACCCCGAACCCGCCCGCACAGAAGCGGTCCAGTTGCCGCAGAGGGTCCGTCGTGTTCACCCCACAGCCGAAGGGCCGCACCTCGCAGCACGGCGGTGACATCATGTGTGCTCACCCCCCCGTGGTTCATCCGGGGCCGCGCACAAGCGCCAGGTCTATCCAACAACAAGTAGCAAATTTTCCGAACAGCGCTGTGCAGGGTGTTTCGTCCGCGCTGTTCGCGGATCAGCTCGGCGACCTCGACAACCACGGCGTCGTGGTGCACAGCAGTCGGGGGTCCGCCCCCGATGCGCCGCCTCTATCCACCGGGGAGCAATTCGCACAACAGGACGACCCTAAAAATGTCAGCAGTAGTACATCAGAGCAACAGAAAGAAAACCCTAGCGGCCGCGTCGCTTTGATGGGACCCACGACGACCGAAGGTGGTACGAAAAAACCTGGTTTGTGCATCAGTGCGAAGTTCGTGATGCCATCAAATAATGAAAATCAAAATGACTCTAGATCTAGTTCGAGCTCCTCTTCCGCCTTTGCGGGAGCAGTAGAACACCAGCACGCTAGTAGAGAACCAGGTCAACAACCGCTCAACAATTATATCCCAGGGGTAGACAAAGACACCACCAGCGCCAACACCGTGAAGACCCCGCGCAGCAGCAGGAGACAAGATCATCACTCGAAGGGAACGACTGCCACCAACAGGGGAGCGCCGACCGGTCGCAGGGGGTCGATGCACCAAATGCACCACCACAACCACCACGTATCGGAGGAGGACCAGCTGAGGAACGAGCGACAATCGAACGTGATGTACAAAAACATCAACCAGCAGATGCAGCAGATGGAACTGGACTCGCAACAGAACCACTTGAACTATTTTGAGGAGACCGGGGCGCCGCCCGAGGACGAGCCGCGCGATGCGGAGTGGGAGAACGAGACGATGTTTTTGCAGTCGGACACCTCGGGTGTCCGGACCCAGGTGCGAACTGCGCTCGACGAACTAAAGCGCTTGGTAGACGCCCACGGGATCCGGAACAAGACCAGCAATAAACTACTAGAACTACCCGGGACGAGCAGTAGCAGTAGTTCCAAGTCGCAGACGGACGTCGAGCAAGAGCAGGATCTGAATTTGGGCACGACGATCGCGCAGCTCGAAAAGGCCATCGCCCGCTGCCGGGCGCTGGAGGAGGAGTTTATTGTGCAGAAGGACATCGACCACGAAGACATGCTGCACGACCGGCAGCAAACGGGTTCGTCCTTGGGCTTCTCAACTCACGGGTCGTGGAGTCCGGCAGTTCCGGAGCAGTCCGCCGTGCCGTTACTGGCTGAGCAGAGTGCAAGAAGTAACGCGAGCAAGAAGAGTAACCGCTCCGGCCGCGGTGCTGGGGAGCAGTCGTTTCAGGTGCTTCGAACCGCCACTGCGACGACCACACCGGCTGTTAACGTTCCGCAGACGCGCAGATCGATGACGAATGGGGTCGGAAATACCGTGACAAACAGCGCAGCCAGCGCAAGCGATCTTTTGCCCTTGACCAGATCTTCGCGGCGCTCTTCATACTGCAGCGTGGCAGCGCGGGGAATGCTACACCATCACCACCCGTGGCGGTTTAACTCCGTGCTCGCAGCGGCTCAGGGATTGCTCAGCACGCTACACGAGCGCCGTTCCGTTTTGCAGCAGGAAATTTTGCTTGTGTCGCGACTGTGCAAGAAGCGCCTGACCGTTGCCGCAGACGATGCGCGCAAAACCCTTGCGGATTTCGAACGTGTTGACGACCTGGGCTGCATCACCGCAGATGGAACTTCTACAGCGGCAGCACAAGAAAGTAGTGGCCTTCATGAAAATGGGCCTAATGCTGATACAGTTGCTTCAAAAGAAGAGAGTCGTAACACCTACCGGCTCGAACCTGAATTGCTGGAACTTCTAAAGGACGAGTTCCAGGAAGCGAGCTGCCTCGTCCCCGGAACGTCTTCCGCGCAGTTGGATTATTTTCAGCACAGACGCAACAAGGTTAATACCGCTTTCGGGGACCACCTCCACCCTGCGCACCACAACAACTCGCCACGGAATACAACATCCCACACCCCGTCGTCCAGGCGTTCGACCATGGAGAAGTTCCCCTCGTTGCCGTCCGCCCCGACGCTGAACCGCGACCGGTCGTTGCTGCCGTCGTTGAGCGAAAACAAGAGCCCACTCGGAACCGACATGATATCGGACGAAGAGGGCGGATCAGCATCTTCTTCCGCGGCTGCGGGGCGGGAAGTAGAGGAACATCTGAAGTGGGACCCGAGGCGCATGACGGTCGACTTAGACGACGCCGAAGCAGCGCGCATGGTGCAACATGTTGGAGGAGGTGCAGCAGGAGCTCCTGGGCAGCAGCAGCAAGCTGTTGGGCAACAACATAGTGGATCTACTTGTTTGTACAACTGCAACGAGCGACCGGACATTTCCCCGGTTCATTCGATGCGCGAGTCGCACGGCTCTGAGCAAGACCTGGAGCATGACACGAACCTTGCCGAACAGGAGTACGGAGTCGCGCACCTTCCACACAGGAGGATGCATACGTCCTCTCGCAAGGTGATCCTTACAGAAGAACAGCAAATAACTGCTGAAGACGCGGAGCAGGGCACCATTTACCCACCGTCCTTGCCCCATTTTGCACCTCCTCGACGGAAGGGAAGTACTGGCACCACTCGGGGGACCGCCGCGGCCCAGCCGGGCGATGAAGCGGCACACGACCTTTCGGGCAGCGGAACGCTGACCCCCGCACACAATGCCTCGCGCGACTCTCGTGGCCACAGCCAAGAGGTGGATGCATTGACCTTTGTCGGGCAGCGATCGTGCATGCCCACGCCGAGAAGAGGCAGCGCCAACAACGGGGCGCAGCCAAAGAGAATGGCGAAGGCTGCTTCGCATCCGGCGAATGGAAATGGCTGCAAGAAAGGAGAAAACAGTAAAGAGAGCAAACAGCAGAACTTTTGTCCCCTGCGGTTCGGGGAGAAGGCAGCTATGATTGCGGAGGAAGGTAACGGTATGAATGATGCCGCAGAAGGTGTAAATTTGTCAGAGGACGTGGTGGGGTCCATAGTGAGAACGCTGCCGACGTCGAGCAGTCAACCCACGGTACAAATAGCTCCCTCCAAGAACTGCAAAGCGAACGGCTTATCCATGGGAAAGACAGCTACGACCGGCGCGACGCCTGGCGCGGCGAGGGCAATTTTCGGGGAGGGAGAGATGGCTGCCCCGCTACTGCCCGCAAGAATGAGTCCAGAAACGAAGGAGAACCTCACGAGGAAGCTGGAACGATGCTCCTTTACGGACGCGGCGGAGGAGTTGGAAAGCAAGGTGGCCCAGATGGAGAGCCTCGGTTTGAAGAATGCGATTCCCCTGGAGGTCGAGCAGGAGCACAAGTCGCTCATTTCGCAACTGAAGCGGGCGGCCGCGCGCGACCTGCACTTGCAAGAGCTTCAGCGGGTGCAGGACGTTCTTGGGGACGTGCGGAAGCAGTGCAACGAGTGGTACGCGGAGCACGGAGAGCAGTTTCTGGCGGAGTCCTTGCTTCCCCCGGATTTGCAACAGACTGCGGCGCAGTTTCGAAGTTGGCGCGCCAGCCAAGGAGCATCGACTACTTCGGCGTCTATTCTGGACCACGTGCACCGGTTTGCCGAGGCAAATGCGAGGAATCCGGGTACGGGTACCAGCCAGGAGCACACCAACGAAGAATTCAAACACGAAGAAGCACCATCTTGATCCTCAACAGAAAGCGTGTGAAGAAAGAAGGAGGTGGAATCCGAATCTTCGAACCGAGTCTTCCGATTGGATTACAAGCGACGGGAACGCTTGTAAAACAAACGACGGGAACTCTATTTTCCATTGAAAAGAGACTGGAAGATCAGCGTGGCGACAAAATATATATAAATTCTTATGCAGCCTGCGATCTCTAACTCTATCTCTTCGTGAGTACTAGTAGCACGACACCTTCCCTCACGAACACGACATAGATCTACTTAACAAGTTGCTTCTAAATGTGATTTCGACATATCATATGATGAAATATCCAAGCCTGCGACCGCCCGCAAATGAAAAGTGAGAATTACCAGCGACATTCTATTGTGTTTCGTTTCTTGTCTTTGCGCATTCTCGCCTGCAATTTGGACATTTCTGAGGCGTTCAGCAAGCGGCGTGAATGAACAACGAAAGATCGAAGCCAAAACACAGCAGTGCTCGGCGAATCATCACAGCGACCCAAAGAAAGGAAAGATTGCACCACTCGGAGGATCTCCGGAAGAGTGAAGGATCGATAGTTGTTAGTTCCATTCTGTTCGAAACTACATACCCATACACATCCAACCAAAGTGAAGGGCATGAATGCGAACGATCGTAGCGTCAACCTGTTGAAGTAGAAACCTGTCTACAAACGTTCCACGTTGCAATTACGTTTGTCACTTGCTCCCGACAAGAACTACTTGACATGTGGTCCCTCCTTGCGTCGCGTTTTTGATGTTGTCTCAACGTTTTGTATGAAATGGCAACGCCTCGTCTGGAACACGATAATTTTTCAGGACATTGGTGGAACATAGTGGAGGTGCGAGATGCGCTTGTTGTTTTTTGTTGCTCTTGTACGTATGATCGGAGATGATCCGTACTGCTCGCTATGTCTACTGGCTATGTGTTGAGATTTAGCATGTTCTCGCTTATAGAGGTAGCGAAGTACACCAGCATCAATTACAACTTTTTCTGACTTCTACGTTAACGTAAAAATAAGTTTTATTTCGCAGTCAAGTCTTTGTGTTGGTCATGCAGTGTAAGCAAACATGCAGTGTAAGCAAACAAAGTGAACACATAATCTATCTTCAGCGTATGGGGATATTAAAATCGGACGGCGTACTAGTATCAAGGATGCGATCGCGACGACTATGAGGGCGGAAGCTTTAAGGAGTCACGAGCAGCAGGCACAGGTCGCTGAAATTTGCGCCGCGCTGCGTGCTGCGAAACTAGAGGCTCTTGTCGGTACCATTTCTCCGTCATTCGTGGCACAGCATGGGACCGACCCGGTGGCGATCTGCGAGGCCTTGCATTTGAAGCAGCTTCAGCGGAAACGGTTTTTGCAGGCATGCCGGACACCCCTCGCGACCACCGCAGCGTACGTAGAAAATAACACAGCTGCGGGCACAGCCACAGCCGGCGGTGGCGTCGGACATCCCGTGGCGTTCTCACACATGATGCGGATGACATCGCACTCCGCCTCAACCACCATTCCGCAGTCGACGGCCTCCTGCGTCTCCGCGCATAGCCGTCACCATTTTTTCTATGATGACACAGAGGCTGGTGCACATGATCATGACCAAGAAACTGTGCCTCCAGAAGATCATGATGAGCACGTAACACATTCTGGATGGCGGGAGGAGGAGGTGCATGGCCACGACGTGTACGAGAAAAACAAAAAGCACGTCGCAAGACTTACGGTGGCAGCCTTGAGTGCCTTGCGGAAGACTACTAGTAGTGGCTCCAAGAATCGTAAGGGGAATCATCGCGATGCGTCACCCGGCGACCACACGACTGCTACTCCGGCGTCCAGCCCGGCGACAGGGGAATTCGAAATTGAACTCAGAGCACGAGACGTCGGGTTCGGCTCCTTTGCTGCTGCAGGAGGACCACCAGCCTGTGCTGCTACTACAACTGGTTCTTTGAATCAGCAAGAAAATGCAGTAGAAATGAAGCAACGAGCAGATGACTCTTCAATCAAACATCCGGAAGCTGCAATCATGCCAGATTGTAGTTCGACCATTTCTCTTGGCATGGCGCCCCCGCTCCTCCGAGAACAAAACGAGGAAAGCGAAAAACCTACTGCGCCCGGCGATGCTCCTGTTGCCTCTTTGACGAGGACCGCAGGTCCGTCGCAGATTTCTTCGTTTTGCGTCCTTCGGAAAAGACTTGACTCAGTGATGAAAAGCCTGCCCAACCATCATTCCGACAACGAGGCGACGAAATTGATGGTGCGTAGGCTCCGGGCGGTTTTGCTGAAGGAGGAGAAAAAGTTGGAAACGCTGGAACACGCGGTCAGTGTGAATCTGGAGCTGGCCGTCCAGGCCTGTGCAACCGACCAGCACGCTGTCGTGCGGGCACCATCGGCGAATACGACCACGCTGCACGATTGCCAGGCGGAATTGCTCGAAAAGATTCAAAATGTAGAGAACGCTCTGGCATTGAAAAAGTCCGCAAAACAGACGCCGAAGGGGGGAGACAGAACGACTCGATATGATCCTCGCGGATGCGATGATCCGGCTCGGCGTCGGCCGGAGCAAGATGCGGTCGCTGCGGATGCCGAAGCTGTTCTTCGGCAGTTGACGTCTGTGGACTTGCTGGCTCTTGCGGCAAATTTTTCGAGCAGAGAGGACGACCGTGCTGTGCCGCTCGAACAACGGTTGGACCGACTGACTGACGGGCTTCAAGAAGTCGGTTGCTGCGAAAGCAATCAGAACGAGCTGCACCTTCTTGTGACCTCAACCCTGCCGACGGAAGCAGCAGGAGGTCATGCTTTTGATTCAAACCAAAGTTGTGACAAGTTGGGCAGCATCCGTAGTGCTTCAAGCTGTGCCTGCACTGATTTACTCACAAAACACGCCAAAGAGCTGCACGAGCGCATCTCTGCGACACGGGAACAAATTCGGATGGCGCTGCAAGATGACAGGCATGGTGATACAGAGACCGCACTAGAGGGAATCCGATTGAACATGCCTATAGCGCTACGCTACCCTCGATTCCGCGCACGCGCTGCGGACCGGGAGCTGGCCGATGCGCTCTTGCAAAGTTACTTTTCTGCCACCGGGCACGTGGCCGCGTTTGCGGAGTTTTGTTTAAACGGCGAAGCTGAGGCAGCTGTTGCACATGAAGATGCTCAGAAAGACCACAATACGTCCCCACCTCCGCGGCCTGAAGATACTACCGCGACCAATCGGGCCGCACTTTTGCAGCGCGCCTGGGCACGGCACCAGAGCCTCAGAGACAACTTTCGCCCTCCCACAACAGCGGGCGTTCTTTCCGGCACAAACTCCAGTACTCGAAAACAGTTAGAGAAAGCTGTATTTGCGAGATTGGCCAGGGTACATGCGAGCAGAAGCGGAAGCAGACAGAACTCCATAGCATTCTCGCCGGCGAAAGAACAGGGTTCCATGCGGGCCGCGCTCGGGCAGTGGCTTTGGCTCGCCATGTTTCGACCAGAAGAGTTCTTGCAGCAGCTTCCAGCTACGTGGTTGGAACAAACGCAGGATCAAGCAGAACAACATCTCTTTTCTGGCATAACGCAAGATCGTGTAGTTGAAAAAGGAGAAGGAGAAGCACAGAAAGATACTACGAGCGCCTGCTCTTCGTCAGTCCCTTTCCCTACCGCGCCGGACATTTCCTGGCCCGGATTCTGGCGCGAGGTCACAGTGAACGTGCGTGGCGCCACGTTGTCGAGTAAGGAGGGCGAAGAGGCGTACTTTCGAGAAGTTGCCCATGGAAGTGCAAGTGCCGCGTCTGAGTTGGAAGATACTTTCCGATGTTGCCCTTCAGTGAAAAATCCTGGAAAACTACGTAATACGGTTCACGAAAGAACCAGTGAAGATGCGGACGTCGAGCCCTGGAAGAGCAGCGGGGCTGCCATTTCGTCATCTTTGCCGGCTTCTCAAACAAAAGCAGCTTTTGCGGCTGTGCTCGTGCTCCGGAGACTTTGCGAACGATCGTCGCCCGAGTTGAAAACCACAGCAGCCGATCTGGTTGATCTTCTGCGCAGTCTATGTTTGATTTTGCCGTCTTTCGTTACAACTTGCTGTCTCACCTCCAACGGACTCGCTGCGATGCGGACCCTGCTGCTATCGTCATCGAGCAGCAAGAGTGGCAGGCTGCGGCAAGAAACCGAGGGCTTTGATTCATCTGAAGGAGCTGCAGTTGCGACCACCGGCGTCGAGCCCTCTCTGACAAAAGGAAAAGAAAAAGTATTAAGCAGCTCTTTCTCGCATCAAGAGGAGGGAGGAACTTGTTCTGCTTTTTCCAAAAAAAATGCAGGCTTTTTTGAGCAGGGTGCAGATGCGTGCATTGGACAGAAAATCCTTCTTGCGTGGACCAATTTCGTACTCAACAACGGGCACCTGCAAGAAATCGAAACCGCCGAAAAGCGGTTTATTGAGGAGCAGGAAGCTGCCGTACAACTCGCCACCGCGCTGCAAACCGCTGTCGCCACCTCCCCAAAGGTGATGCGCAATTTACACGATGAACTGAAGCTAGACCATGTCTCGTCCTCGCAGCGGGATCATGCCGAAGCAAGTGGTGAAGTGCATCACTCCGCGCACGCCAGCTCTGGTGACGAACAAGTCAACATGATGCATGCGGCTCTAGTTGCGTATCATGCGGTTTCCCCGAAGAGATTCTTCGAACACAAGCTGCACCGGGCTTCGTCGCTCATGTCGCTTGTGCCACTCGTCATTCGGCTGCTACGGACCTACACGGACACATCTTCAGAAACGGAGGCGCTGCTGGATAGTTTGGTCCGATCGCACGAGAAGGGCGTCCCGCGCGGGCGTGCGCAAAAGCATCTGATAGAGGATGCCGCAAAGTGGGTCCAGACTGTGGCACTGCCTGCGTGTCACTTCCGCATCCCCGCAGCAAGGACTACTGCAAAGTCCGAGTCAAAAATCTGGCTTTTCCAAAATAAAATACCAACGCCTGCTAGCGTTCGTGCGGCGCAGAAGTTGCTCACAAAGATTCTCGACAGTTGTAACAAGCAGCTGCAGACGACAGTTACTGTTGCCCGGGCATCCCGAGCCGTTCAGCTCTCCTTGCGAAATGACGTTAGCCATCCGCATCTGAGCGAGGACGTGTCCGCCGTGCAGGAGGCCGCTTTTTGGGTGCTCGACTTTCTTCCGCGGCGACTAGCACTGGAGGATGGCCAGCTCGCTACAGCTCTATCGGCACTAAATTGGGTTACAGTTGTCTCTGGTACAACGACAAACCAAGAACGTGCATGGCAAACGGAACAAAGAAATGAAGAGGCAGTTGTGACGTCGTCGGCCTCCCGGAGAGGAAATCTTCACAACGACGCCGCGCAAGACGACGACTCAGACGTCGCACCGTCGCCAGCGTCCTCCAGTTTCTCACATGTAGTGGACACCACGATGCACCAGCACCTCCTACCCCGACAGGTGAGTCGCGAAGTTAAAGCGCGGCAGACGCAGATTATCGGAGGTGCAACGCCGGCGGTGCGGGATGAAACTGATTCGACTCCGCGATTATCGCCTACCATGGATCCTTTCTCGGGTCGGATTTCCCTGGGTGAGGGTAGCGGCAGCAGCTGCAGCCCGGAGCCGCGACGAGGAGGTCCTTCGGGGCTGGCGAGGAGTTTCCCAAAAGCCTCCGCGGAACAGATCTTTGCGCCGCTTCGTGGTTCCATTAGTCAGGACGATATCAAAAGCAAAAAGGCGCCTGCAACTTTTACGCAGCTACACGATCCGCACGTGGTGGTGCGTCAGTTCGAAGAGGTTCTATCGCTGCTCCCAGAGGTCGCGGGGCACCAACGACAGACTCGTGATGTTGTTGTTGAGATGGCGGATTTATTTGTGCAGAAGAACAATAAGCTATTCCCGGATAGCCAGCCTGGTATTCGGGTAGCGGAGGAGTATGTTGCAGTTGTTCGTCCGGCGCTTGACCGGATGAGCGAGTCCTTGCAGAAAGCCATCCGCAAGGGAACCGTGGCCGCACTGCAAGCGGGTCTCGATCGCTACCGGCGGAAACTGTACAAAGTCGCACAGGGGACACTCTTCGTACAACTGAAGATGGAAAGTGCAAGAACATCTGCCGAACACGGAAGAGATGTTTCGGAGGACCAAGAACCATGTTCGAAGAAAGGGGACGCTGAGCACGAGCAACAAATTATCCACCCGCAGAAAAAAGCTACCACATTTGCAATGAAATTGAATTATGAAAAAATTAAGAGATACACTTCAAAAAAATCTTGTATAACGGCTGAACCAGCATGCTGAGGGCGCATTCGTGTCACATCATTAAATTCATTTTCGAATTGAAAAGGTGTTATGCTAGTAGATTTTTTCTGTGGGATACAAGTCGAAAGTTGTTTTTTCCGACCCAGAAGCCAGAGCTTTGATCAGCGGACACAAGCTGCGGACCAAAGTATGACATTCAGCTTTCCACCAGTGTATGAGCAAGCCGATACCATGTTGCGGCAAATGGTGCAGAGTCGGCTAACCGCCCAGGCAGCGCTGACCCGTGCCATGGAATCGCGCGACGCAGAGCAGCTCCGCGCCGCACTCAACCGCGCGCGCGTCGTCGGCTTGGAGCCGGAATTTTGCGAACCCGCGATGACCATGTTGGAGCATGGCACTGCCCAGGACGGGAAGATGCAAGTAGCCAGCACCGACGCCGCGTTAGCAGGCCGGCAAGAAGAGTCGCATCCCGCACAAAGCGGGACGGACGAGGACTCGGAAACAGATGAGCTGGCTCGACAAGAAAATGAGGACCGAGCAGCACGCTTGCAACGAAAACTGGAAAAAGGCCCGCAGAAATGGAGCTACCAGGCGCCCGGCATGACGGCGGCTCAGAAAAGCCGGCTGACGCAACACTACCGAACTGTCGCTGCCCAGTACCAACAAGGAAACAACCCGAAGAAACAAGCACTTGAACAAGACGACACTGCAGAAGCAGAAGATGCTGAAACCGCTATGGACGCCGACACCACGGCTCTCTTCACTTCGACAACTCCAATTGCCGACCCTGCCCTACCGGGAGGAGACCGGGGTGCGCAACGCACTGGCTTGATGCATCATCAGGTGAGCCGATTTCTGTTTGAAGTACTACATAAATAAATTTGATGCACGTTGCCATCGGACTGATGAAGAATGTGCTGACGACGTTTTGCTCTTGTAAGTTTGCTGCTTGAGGAGCGCGACATGATGAATTTGAAAACTGCAGGTGATTGACGCGAAGCCGCGCAGAAAAGCAAAGGGAAGAATTGGCGACGCCACGATTTCCATCGAGCCGAGTGAGTCTCCTGATTTGCACCGTTCCAGACCGCCTTCGGCACGCAGTTCTTCAGCGACGGTCTTTGCTCATTTCAGCAGCGCGGGAGGAGCGTTGCAGCGTAGCGAGTCCAGCGTGCCGAGTAACAATGCCTTGGACCACGTCGTCGGAGACAAAGCTAGTATGGCGAATAAAGGAAACATAGGCGAGGGCATCGGCGTGGAGGCGGTGTCACCGCCCACACAAAATCATGCCGCTTCGGTTTTGCCGACCGACGATCCTTTCACATTCCCGTCACTCGGCCCGATCGGTGGGTCCTCTTCTAGCACAACTACTTTCGGGCGCGGCAATACGAGCTCCTACAGCTCGCAGTTTCAGCAGCGCCTACAAAGCCAGCCGCTCGACAGGTCCCCGCGCGACCAAGTGGAGTTGTTTTCCTTCCGTCCCATGATCACCGTCCCCGCTCGCCGTTGCTTTCTGCACCTCGACTCGCACCTGCAGCTCGAGGCTGGATGGTGGGGCATGCGTGTGCTGCAGGCGCACCAGGCCGACCTCCGCCGTGGGGACACCATTGCGACGATTGGGCGCGAATCGCTGCAAGGATTTGAAGACTTGGCGGAGCTGCAACGCCTGTTTGAGGAAAACTATTGTTCAGACCTCACCCCGATCATCGTGTATCCCGAGGCCAAACTCGAGGGGGTGATACCGCACGGCATTTGCCAGCGCGGACTCCCGGACGACTTCTACGAGGATTTGGAGGCCTGGCAGGACGGTTACCAGGTCGACGCAGAAGTGGTGATGGCGGAAGACTACGCAAATTCCGCCGGGTACAATAGCTGCCCGCATATTTTTAACAATGGTGAGCAAGCCAGTGTGCTGACCGCGCACAGCAGCAGCGGCGTCCTCTCGACGTCGCACCTCCACGAGAGCAGCTGGAGTAGCAGAGAGGAGCAGGTGGACCACAATATGTCTTTTTCGCTTAACAACTCGGCTGCCTCCTGCTCCTCGTCGTCCCGCTCCCAGGGCGGAGGAACGGCAGGTGGACACCTGCAGCAGCACGATCTGCTGGTGGTGCGTGGCTGCGAACAGGCTCTGAATGCGGGCGTCGAGGAACTGACGCACCTTGTGGAGCACTACTTTTGCGGCTCCCCGTTGTCCTGCTCGTCGGTTTCCAATGATGCGGCCAGTCGGAAAATTTCCCCCTTGACAAACAGTTCGAACCACCCCGTGATCATACTCCAGCGGGCTGCCACCACCGCGGGGGGGAGTGCCACGGGTAAAAAAACGGCGGCTCACCAGTTTTGTCCCGCTCCCACAGCGGCACCAAAATCCGCTTCCAGTCCCGTACCTATTCCTGCGGATCCGCGGAAGGTTGTTCTCGACGCAGATACTACTTCCGGTGTGTTCACCCAGAGCGAGGGGCCACACGAGGAAGAAGAGTAGAATGTGTGGCGCAACGACAAGATCAGATGTCAAATTTTGCAATCACGAGAAGCGAGCCGACGAAGTGAAGTGTGGCGACGACAACTTCTGGATAACCAATTTTTTGCTTTTGCGTTTATATCGCGTTTCCCTTTTGCTTTTCCGATTCTAATTCGATGTTGTGTTGATAGGATACTAGCATCAATCGCCCGCATCAGCAATAGCATGCGCTTTCTTTTTTCTATTTCTCGCTACAGGTTGCGTTCGAAGTGATACTTCTATCTAAGTACGATGAAGTAGCACAGTGCAACGCATTCATTTCTGACGAGAGTAACTAACAATTGGGGAGAACGTACAAATACAAAAGTTTCCCTTTCACATCGATATTTACAAAGTGGAAAATTTCTATCGCATTCCAAGATAATATCTGTGGCAGTGGCTGCAACAGACCCTCGCGCTGAACTGATATACGACGAGCCGATGTTTTTTTTGCCGATTCTGCATACAAATAACATCATCTATCATCGGCTGTTGCCTGTACCTGCCGCGCGCTGCGATTTTTCATTTGTAGTTGCAGATAAGCCCTTTTGGCCATGTATATGTCTCACATAGATAGTCTCCGGACACGCATGAGTTTATGTCTTCGGGGCCGTTCAGTTCTTCATCAGTCACAGGGGCAAGCGCTTCAAGGTTGCAGCGCTCGCCGCTGCAATTGCGACTAGTGCGTTGATAATTGAAGCGAGATAAATCTAACGAAATGCTCATCATGTGTTATAGATCAGTGTGAGCTGCCGAAAATAAAAAATACTACGAAAGATATATGGGGTTCGTTACAAGCGTTATATAGAGATGATTCATTGAAATTTCAATTTCTTAGATAAGATATTTATAAAAACCGTAAAGAACAAATTGTGCGATAGCACGTTTTTTTCCAACGGATTCCAAACGAGTTTGTTTGATCTTAATGGGTTTAAATCATGTGGATGCGTATGCACATGATGAAAGAAAGCGAAAATAATGAGATAGAGCTTCTTGGCGAGAAACAAGATAGTGACAGACAAAAGACAACAGGGTCTTGCGACATTACTTAGTCTATTTGTTATTGTTCTTCGCAATAGCTCTTGCATTCCGGTTTCTGGCGTTCTGTGTCAGCAGGTATTTTTCGTTCTTGAATTTAATTCTGTGTCTGGTTCTCCTGGTCCTGGGCCTAGAGGCCGGTGTCGTCGTGAAGCGTATTCAATGGAAGCAAATGTCGCGTTAATGTGTGGTCTTGGCTGCTTCTATCCAGTACAGTCTATGAACCTTACCTATGCAGCATCTCGAAGTCGGTCGACAAAGGCATCGGCTTTCAGCACTAAACTTCAGAAGGAACGCGGGTCCTTTGGAAAAATGTCCATGTTAAAAAAATGACGGAGTTAGACGCTCAATTTCTTTTGCTGCGGAGCGAAGTTCTTGCAAAGAGAAGATGGTGCATGAAGACAATGCTACGGTGATGCGAGGTTCCCCACAGACCACGATTGCATCTGAGGAAGCACGAGAAGGAGATTATAGCGTTGCCGAGAAGCCCGTGCACGATCAGATCGAAGTAACGATCGACATTGAAAAGAAAACCAGCAGCAGCATTCCCGTGGGCGACAATAACATTCAGCGAGGTTTGCCAATTCCGACCCCACAGCGAGAGGGACCACTGCTCCTTCCGAAGGTGGAACAAATCGGGCACATTGATCCGATGAAATTGACGCGCGAGCAAGCTTTCTGCAAGTATGGGACGCTTCCTGGGAATGCTAGTACTGCAGAGCACGCTTATTTTCTCGGAGCCGGGAACAAAGCAGCGAGCGAGGGCGAACGCGAAGCTGATTCAGCAGGTGCAAGAACGAAGAATCGCCGAAGCAGAAGAGCCTGGTGCGGTTCGGCAGTAATCACGCTGGGAATTATTGCCGTGGTTCTGTGGTTGATGGCGGCGGTGCTGCTTTTGTGGTACGAGGTCCACAACCCAGCACCTGATGATGAAAATCTCCTTGACAACTTTGATGCAGCCGAGTGGGAGAATGTCGGTCTTGACGATCTCGACAACCTCAACCTCAACGGAACCGGATATCACAGCGAAATGTTGATGAGTCAAACCACCTTTGTAACCTACATAGTACAATGACAATGAGGATAAACATAATTGATAACTGCACCTGCACGTGCATGGTAGGCATGTATGGTCGAAAAAAAAAAGCGAGGACAGCTTTGGAGTTGCGTGGCATGTTAAACAGCAGCACCAGTTTTTCGCATGTTCAATACTACTAGCCTGAAGAAACAAAAAATGAATCGGTGCAACATCTGCAAAGCGACAGCAACTGAACGCTCCCGTAATGGCTCTCCATTTTCGCGTCAATACTGAAAGTGAAACGAACGAGAATGCCACCACCGTTGCACCCCCCGCTCCCGTAATGCTCTTGAATGGCGACAACGGGAACGGCGGCGTTTTCATCAATGGAGGCCCGGGACTCTACTTCAGCGTGAGCAATGAGACGTTCGTGAATCTGTTGCAGCTTGCCAACAATTTTAACCAGACTCTGAATTTGTGACGGACAGGAAGTAGAGACAATCGCCAATGCGCAGCAGTTCTTTCCGAAGAAACTAGTCTGAGGATGAACGTGCGACCAATACAAGGGCGCCATTTATGTTGGACGAAAATTGGAGTATGAAGACGAAGAGGGATAAGAATTGTTTTCGGGTGGTCCGTCGTGATGTTGGCGTGGGAAATCCCAGACCTCGCAGCGTTGATGTGGTGAAATATATTAGACCGCTTGCTGTCAAAGTCAATGTCAACTTTTATTGTTCTAGTTCCTGCATCACCTTCGCGAAGTAGTAAGTACTCTAATTTTGCGAATATAGTTTTGCTTAGCTTAGGTCCGATCCCTCTGCTTTTTCTTCGTCGCACTTTCCTTCGCGCGCCAAGGAAAAGTCCGCAGCTTGAAGCGTTTGCGAAATACTTGAGAATACTTATATAAACGAATGCATAAAGTTAAAGTAGTTGAGAAAGGTTTTCTGTGCCACAACGGACCCAGAGGACGCAAGCAACGACCCGTGAAGAAATTTTGATGTTCTCGGTTCTCGTACAATGAAGTTGGAAAGGCGTTTGCGCGTTTATTCAGCGAAATTAGTGTTACTGGTCAGAAGCAAAGTACTCAGTAGACCACAATATGGAATAACAGTACAGATAAAAATTTGAACCTCAATAAAGATTTCTCTCGGTTCGATAAAAAAAAACCCGACAAATTATATCGGTTGATACCAAGAAGAAGCCAACAAGAACTTGCTGTGCAGAGTACTACTTAGCAGTGAACGAAGAATGCCACGACGTACGACCGCCATTCAATTTTGCATTTCGTCCATGATGCTTTGATTCCAGCGGTGACAACATGATGATGTGTGTGAGCACGACGACGCCTGGTTCAACCAAGCATGATTTATACTAGCAATAGTGCAAACAAGTCCAGTTAGTTTCGTACGACCAGTCGCATCACACGCAAGCAAAAACAGCTGGACGTACACGCAGCTGTGGTTGTACTGGTCAGGAAGCTGTACGTTTTGAAGAATTACGTTTTGAAGGATAAGGAAAGAGAACGTTTACACTGTCGTAGAACTGCTTGACGTCCTAATGCTACGGTAGAGGCTAAAGAATTGACAAGGAAATATATAAGTAAGTTTATCACTGCTCGTCGTCATCTCCGCTGTACGTACCACCACCAAGAGTCAATCCAACATCTCGTTTTCAAGAAATCACGACTCCTCCATTGCTGCAGCCACCACCAATTTTGCAACCTCAACGCACCCGCTCCCTCCGCGCAACTACACCAAGTCCTTGCACTTGTGTACTAGTACGCAGCTGTGTTTTACTAAGTCTTCAGACCACATCTCAACAGGCACAGCTTTTCTTAACACCTCCACCCGGGAGTCTGTAGTTGATTTTTTTTTCGAAAAAACCCACCTCCAAAAATGGCTTTGCGACGCGTCGGTGCTGCTGGCAAGGGCAAGCAGAAAGAGCTTACCGAGGAGCAGAAGCAGGAAATCAAGGAAGCCTTCGATCTTTTCGATACCGATGGCTCCGTACTGATTTTCTTTTCGTTTTTCTGAAAGTGAAAAAAGAAAAACTTTTTTTCATGCATGATGAATCGATTTTGAATGCCAAAAAAATGACCGACCTTCACTAAAACAGGGTTCCATCGATGCTAAGGAGCTGAAGGTTGCCATGCGCGCCTTGGGCTTCGAGCCGAAGAAGGAGGAGATTCAGAAGATGATTGCCGATGTCGATGACGATGGCAGCGGGTATTCAAGTTTGACATGGTTTGAAGATGCAAAGATGATATTGGATTTTATGGAAATGCGCGAGTACACGCGCTACTATCTTTCATTTCATGACTACTATTCAAAACTACAGTTCCATCGAGTTCGAGGAATTTTTGAAGATGATGACCCAGAAGATTCTGAACCGTGACCCGAAGGACGAAATTCTGAAAGCCTTCCGCCTCTTCGACGATGATGAAACTGGTACTGATTCAATTTGGTTGCTTCATACTTGATAGCAAGTGCCTAATTTAATATTGCAGGAGCTTGTATTGCATTTGCATACAAATGCTTATACCAATTCCAATTATTCCTGTGCATCTGCATGACGTGTAATCATTTGCATAGCCATAGATGCAGTTGCACTGTGTTTTAGTTTTTCCCAGTGGGGGCGGGGCGCGCGAGTGGGGGGGATAAAAATTGGTTTAACATTCATTACCCACAGGTAAAATCTCCTTCAAGAACCTGAAGCGGGTCGCGAAGGAGCTCGGGGAGCGCATGACCGACGAGGAACTGCAGGAAATGATCGATGAAGCCGATCGCGATGGCGATGGTGAGGTCAACGAGGAGGAGTTTTTGCGCATCATGAAGAAGACCAACTTGTTCTAAGTTGCGGGGCGTTCTAAAACTCACTCTTCATTTGCAGCTGCAAGAACACCAGAATTTTTCTACGTATGGAAAAACCGCGCGGCATGAAACTTCTGCACGCGGTGAAAATAGTTTTAGGAAAAATGTTTGCTAATGCATCCTCCCGCGACCACGACCAGCTTTTGATGAAACGGAAATTATGCAAAGTTCATCTTTTTCTGTCACGACTAACACTAAATTTATTGTCTAACTATAGCAAAACTTAACTTGTCATGATTTATCAGTCTGCTACAACTTAAACCGTTTTTAGTATCACAATACGCATTTGGAATAGGTCGATACGTCGGCTGTAAAAGTGTCAATTGCTAAAAGTCAAGTCTACTACATTAGATCTCTTACTAAAACCGTAAGAAGGACATAAATCGTATGCTACATCCAACAGAAGCTCCCCCCAAAATGCCGGCTGCCGCAGCAGTGCTTGATCTTATGATTGCGAAGCAGCACGGTATCGATTTTTTAGCTCTCTTGTATCCACCCACATTTTTGTTGCCCCCCACGAGTAGAAATTAATTTGGACGACGGCGACGTGCGACCACTTCCACCCCCGGATAAAAGCGACACGACGACACTCGCGCAGCTGCCTCGAAAACGGAAGTGGAGGAACAGAAGATTGCACACTGTCGGGATCTTCGATTCCAGCTATTTCCCAGCGGACAGAAGGTCGGGCTTTGGTGCAACAGCCACGTAGTTGTAGCTTCCGAGATCAGGAGGAAAATCTAGCACCAGCAGTATCGCGAGGAAACAAGGAAGGCCGCAGAGTAAGTTCACTAGGCTTGTTCGATCTTCTCGACTACGACTTTTTACCCCCCACCTTACAGGAGTTTTTCGAAAAAAAACCGCGATCCAAATTATAATCGGACGATGTTGGTCTCCCCTGATATTCAACACATCACGACCTCCCTGACTGCTAATGCTATTCTTTGGCTTGCACAACTCATTTTTCCCGTCCTCTCGCAGGGCGATGTTTGATGTTGCACCAGGACTAGTACGATAATTGTCTCCGCGTCGGCGTTGCTCCTGCACGACGTGCAATCGAGGCAGGGCGCCCTTGCTCTTCCTGCCACTTCTGGAATTCATTTGATGTTCCACTTTGGCGAAACGATCCAACAAGCAGATTCACCTGAATGATCACGAAACGCGATGACGATCGTAGACATCAAGACTCCTTGACGGGATGCTGCACCAGTGAAGAAGCGCGCAGATGAAGATCTAGTTCTACTTTGTTAAGTTTCGTGACCGGACTCGGATTTGAAAAGATCTACTACGTAGTTGACGGAGAAAGTTCAGACGCTCTAGTTATTTTTCGCTTGGGTGCATTGACGAGATTGGTTCTTGCGATCCTAATTTATTCTGGTGTCGACCCGTAGTTCTGCGTGTATGGTATCCTTCATTCGCTTCACGCCAAAGATCATTTAGTTTTTGCTACTGCGTTGATCATCCCGCTCGGGATTTCAACTTGTATCATCGATCACACATGCTAAATTGTCTACTGAGCCTGTAGTGGTCTGACTAGGAGCTGGAGCATCTTTGCCATGAATATGTTTTAAAGATAGCGCACAGTTGTTGCGGTGGTCTTTTTTTAAAAATAATTTTACTCGAGTCGGGGTCTTTGTTGGGACCGCCGGTCAGAAGAAATATTACGGCAAATAGAGACATCGGAATAGTTTGGTGTTACATCTGCATTTTATTTTTCTGTACGATAGTAATTAACCGCTTTGGCTATGGTTACGACGTGCGTGAGGTTAGCTGTCACAGCTTTGGAACTTTGAGCGAAACGCGAAAAGGCGCGAGCAAGCGAAACACGCGAAGCACGCAAGCGCGGCATCTTGTGCCGGCCCCGCTGTGCCTACGTCGGGATTGCATTGCGAGCGCCAGTTTTTACGTATCGAGGGGCGCGACAGGCCTCACGCGCGTTCATGTATCTATTTGCTTTATTTCTTTCTCTTTTTAGCCGGTGCGGAGTGGCTGGGAGATGCTCCAGCAGCGTCTTTGAGCTGTATGGACTTCAGCAGACACGGGAGCGGGGTCGCTTTCGGATTAAGAAAGCACTCCGCTTCATAGTGCATCACGCTGTGCATCGTCTTCCAACCACCAATCTTCTGGACGGTTTCCCGGACCGTTCCACCGAGTAGGAGTGCCTGGGCGCCACCTTTTCGGAGTCCGTGGAGGCAGAGGAGGTCGCGACTGCGGCCTTCCGCAATGCGTTGCACCTTCGCCTTCCGGGTGAGGAACTTCCAGGTCGTGCGGTACTGCGCAACCGATAGCCGCGCGTCGCCGCCGTCCTTGGTGAGTCGTTGCGCGGCCTCGACCGGGCACACGACGGGGTTTGCTGGGTCCGCCACGAGTCGCACGGTTCGCCCGACCCCTTCTGGGTCCGTTTTCGTGCGATCTACTTCGAAGACAACCTCATGGCCGCCCTTGGTCTTCTCGACCCCGATGGTGGCGCGGACGAGCTCCTCGGGCCGCCACACAAGGCGGAACTGGCAGACCGCCATGTCAACGCAGGCCAACTCGTCCACGGTGGTGGCCGCCTTCTGCATGCTCTCGAGCATGCTCGCGGCGACCGGCTCGTAGCTCTCCGCCGCGCGGTCCCTCTTGAGGGCGTTGTTGATCAGCGTCGCGTAGGCCTGCTCCCCGAGGGAGAGCTCGTGATGCCGCAGCCGGTTCTCGGTGCGGACATGGGACACGTAGGCCGTCGCCGTGTTCGCGGCCATTTCCCCGGTGTGAACCTTCACGCCCAGCCTGGCGGCAAAAAGCTCCAGGTTTGTAATCGACAGCGGGAAATCGACGAGGCCGCGAGCGGAGCACATCTGCTCATACTCCTGCACCGCGGATGCCCTTGCGCTCGACGTCGCCTTCGCGTGCATCTGGCCCCGGAGCATGTCCAGGGCGGTGCCATCGTCGATCGCGTCCGACATCTTTATCTCGTTCCGGGAGGGTGGGCGGGGAACGAGAAACCAAAAGGCCCGCACGTCGTTGCCCGGAGCGGTGTCGTCTCCGTTAGCTGGCAGCGCTTAGCCTCATTTTGCTATTGATAAAAGGGACGGACGCAAAATATCAATTAAAAATTGCAACCAACTAATTCACTTTTGGAGTGGAAAATGTGCAGAAAATCGACCACCGGGTCTGGCTCTCGAGCGCGCCATCGTATGATGGTTGCCTCAATAGTTTTTGCGGGCTGCCGTGGGATCTTTTTCCAGAGCGGAATTTTTTTTGTCGACGCCGTCGCTTTCGTGGCTCCGCACAAGGTCAGCAAAAAGAGGTCGTCTACGGAAGGCGAGGAGCTCGCGACTCCGAAGACACGACCAATCGTCTGGGCGGACGTAAAGGAAGATGACGAAGAGGAACCAGCTCCAGTGCAACAGCCATCAAGCGTACAAGGAGTTCAGGCGTCGCAAGAGGAACGCACTTCATTTGCGCAACAAGGGCCTGCAAATAATAATAACGCAAATGCAGTATTTTTACCGACACCAGAAGCTGCAGCCACAGTTCCTCCCCCGCCCGCACCCTATGTGCGTTCGGCCGGCACAGAAGGGCACGAATATGGACAGTGCGCGCTTCTGCATTGTAAGTACGCGGCAAAAGTAAGGGGGTGCAAAGACGGGGCAAACTGCGTGCGGTGCCATCTATGCCCGAGGGACGTTGGTAAACCGAGCACGTCGGAATCGTCGTGGTCCTGGAACAAATCAAAAAGGAGCTATGCGACAAGATGGTACAACAACGACCAGTGCGCCGGAGGACCATGCTGGGCTGCTGAGGGCGGTAGTCGAAACGTCAAGACCCGCGGGGGCCCAGCTGGAGGTGGTTCTGGTTCGTCCTCCTCCGGAAGTGGCGTTATGAGGGTCGATTGACCATAACCATTCAGCCCATTTAAGCCATTCGCAAAAAATGAAAAGCAAAACCGTAGGGGCTTGCTCTCCGGGGTCTTTTCCTGGGGGCAGGCTGGTTGCAAGTATAGACCTACCCCTCGGCGCTGCGGAGCCTGTCTTCCTCGTCCCCGAACTTCGGGGCGTGGTCTCGCGGCTAAGCGGCGGGCTCCGCGTCATGGCACGGCAAAATAACCGAAAATGACAAGGAGCCGAGCTGGAACGAGGGGACTTGTTGATGAACAATTACCGGCGTAGCTACTTCGTTTTGACTAAATTCGGACCATTTTTCGTTGTTGCAAAGTTGCGCGCTTCGGGTCGTCTTTTCGATTTCGGCCGCCCGGCGCGGCGAGAGAATTTGTTGAGAGAGGAAAAAATGCAGCGCCTTTCAGGCCAGAAAAAAAAAAATCTAGCTCAAAGCGCGCGCTGGCCATTCGGGCCATTCGAGCCATTCGCGCGGGCCGCCAGGGAGCGGCCGGCGCACCGTTCAGGGGCAGTCCATTCGACCCATTCGCGCGCGCGAACGGCCCGAATGGGCTGAATGGATCGAATGGACCTAACGGCCTGAATGGCTCGAGTTTTCGGTCCATTTAGGCCGGCCCGGTGGGCCGCTCGATCCATTCGGGCCCTGCGAATGGGCCGAATGGGTCGAGTGGCTCGAATGGATTTCCGGTCGTTTTTCGAATGGATTGAATGGCCCGCGGCTGAACGGGCCCGCGCGCCGGCTGGGCCGGCCTAGTCCGAAGGCCTGGCAGTCTGGCCGGAAGCGCTGTGGTGGAGGGCCGGGCGCCTCGTTTGCGTCATATTTTTTTGCCTGCTGGCAGGATGACGGAATCGAAAATGCCATAGAAGCGGAGGGGAGCATTGGCTGGCGTAGCTGGCATCTTGCGCTGCGTGCGCGTGGGCCCTTTGCTCCGGCCGAGCCTCGGGTCGTCGTTTCGCCACCATCGCGTCTCGGCTTGGATTCGCGGGAGTTGTGCGAGGGGTGGCGCACCAGGTCCCAGGTGGAGATAATCTGGAGCAGCATTGCTGTCGGGCTCCGTGGAGATGAATGGCCGAAATGTTCAGCAGTGCCACGACCGGGAACACAGATGGCGGAGAAGCTGGCCCCGCGACCATTCTGGCTCAAGTTGGTTTGCATGGAAATTTTTTTTTTTTTCTTCAATGGTCTAAATGGCTCGAATGGTTCTGGTTCGTCCTCTTCCGGAAGTGGTGCACAACGATTGTTCCCCACAGACAGCAGAAAAATCGGATTCGGATCGCTGGCCAGTCACCCGAGCAACAGGGCAGCTGTGGACCGAAAGGAGCGGAGTGATGCTGCAGACGCGACGCCTCCGAACGCGGACACTGCATCGACGAGGACCAGTCTGCCTTCCAAGGGCTCGTTTTCTTCAATTTCGGAGTTGTACGATCCCGACCGAGCAGACCGGGCGTGGCAGAAGAAACAAGTGCGTCGTGGTGGTAATCGTGGCAGAGGAGGACGGGGGCGCGGTAGAGATAATCCGTGTGCAGAAGGAACAGAAGCCTCTTTGTCCGACGACGCCTCTCCCACTGAGGAACAATGGCAAGAAGACCCTGCATTCCGGGAATCGGAATCGGCAATGCAAGCATTTCCGCCAGGCGACTTCGTTTCCGCAATGGAATCGGACGAAACTACTTTGCCAGTCTCGATGGTGTGGGTTGGTGCTGATGGCACTTGTGTTGTGTCTCCCGCCTCGCCCGGCGAATGCGAACAGTTCGGGTTTGCACTAACTAGTGCACCAGAACAGATGCAAATGATGGAATCACAGTCGTGTTATTTCGTTCCGGCACAGACGAGCGGCGATATGCAGAACTGCTGGAGCCCGGCGGATTATGATCAAAGCGAAGAGTATGGTTCCATATCTTGCGCCGCTGTTCCTGTTGTTGTACCCGATGCGCCCTGCTATGCACTCGCAGATGCTGTGGCGCAAGGGGTTCATGTTGACAAAGACTACTTGCAACGACAAAAGGAAGAGGAATGGAGCAAATTTGCTTTCCAGGGCGGCCCACAGTCCGGGCTGACAGGTGGGTGTTTTGTTCCGCCACCTCCGGTTCCGGTTGCGCAAGCGCGACGTGAAGGGGCGGACTCGGTGGGATTCATTTCTCAGCTTCCCTTTCGTCCGACAGAAGGTGCAGGGGCTCTTCCACCGTCACCCTTTTCGCCCGAGATATCGGGAGTAGTACCGGTCCTGCTACCATTCTACCAGTTTGATGAAACCGCTACTACTCCTACATACACAAGCCATCATGGGAGTATGACGGTCCCTGACGACTTGCGAGCAGAAGGAGCGTCGGAGCGACTTCGCGACACGAGATCTGCCACTGCCGGTACAGCTATGTCTTTACTTTTTTGATTTTAAAGTGGAAAAATTCGTACTCGTAGTCGAAACAAGGTTCTCGAGCACGCAAAAATAAAGTGGATTGATCCCACAAAAATCATCATTGAACAGGCCACTCTGCTCTTGCTGAGCAAGTCAGCCCATCCCCCGAAGTCGGGCAGCCCAGTGACGAATCTTCTCTGGAGGCCCTATTTCCACCGTCAGCTTCTTCTGGTGCTTCTTCGACAACCGAGACGTTTCACCAGACGAGACAGTATTTTTTTCTTCAGTACCTTCGATCGAGACGACGGCTTTTGTATAAGTATACCTCCTAGAAGTAGAAGTTTGATATTTTTGTCAGTTGAAAAAAGCCACCTAGACACCGAAGCAAAAGTTGAATTTCGAAGTGCAAAATGTACTTACAGCACGAGCTCATCTGACGGGGAAGAGGGTGACCTGGGTGTCCCTGGCACACCGAAAGGCATTTCTTTGCGGGCCTGGGCGGAGATCAACGGGGAGTCGATGAGCAGACAAAGACAAGCTGTACAGCCCACCACCGGAAAAATGGCCAGCCAAGGACATGTGAGCGAGGCGATCACGTCAAAGCCTGGACGAGTTGCTCACGACATAACGTGTGCTACTACTCGTGAAGATCATTCTAAGAGCGGGAGACCACGGCGCAAACAAGCCATCTTGCGGCGGACCCGAAGTGAGAGCCGTTTCGATCGGCAGCCACTCCGGCTGGAGAGTCGTGACGCCGAAGCGATCGAAGGCGCAGCGCAAGCAATCGCGGCTCCAGCAGAGAGTGGAGGATCGGTGCGCACTAGCAGCCGGCGTGCGGACCGTAGAAGCGGTGGGTTGGGGGATCCGAATGCAGAAGACTCGGACTCCGGGTATGGTTCGCTCAGGGGTTACAATCTCAACGTTATCCTGAAAATCGAGATCTCTACCGGAAATGCTGCATAAGCATAAAATCTGTACCCGGTCCTCTCCCGACAGAAATTCCCATGCGACGTTCTCGAGCCCAAAACTACACTACAATCTGGCGTAATCAATGTGTATTGCGAAAATCGCAAAGCTCTAGGTTCTCACCTCCCGAAAATCCAGATTTCCTTCATAACGTTTGAGATTGTAACACTTGAGATCGTGATACCAGCATGGACACGGGAGACGAGCTCAAACCCGAAAACACATTGAACCCACACATGCCGGAGCTTCGAGATCACATGCAAGTGCAAAGCATGACGTAACATGCGAGCATCACGAGCAAGAAGTTCTCTCTCTGCCTGGCCATCCGCTAAGAAAGTCAAAATTGCACCACCTCATATTTAGCAGGCTGAACAGAATTAAAAATCGCGGAATGTATAATTTCCGTATTACTCGTCGTCGTCGTCGTATAGTACAGCTGCGGTTGGATGTAGTTACTATTGGAACGGGACTAAAAAAATAAGGGATAAGCCAGACAAGAAGCTTGCCACAGTTGAAACCACCTGTCGCGCTACTTCGTTTATTAGTACTTGAACGCGCTTTTTTTTTGTTTATAGTTTAAGTTCAAGTTGCGGAGTGGCCAACGTTACAGGATACGATAGTTTGCATGTGCGCAAGACGCATGTTGTGCGGCTGTATTGCGAAATTTCTACAAGGTGATGCGCACTTGCAGCTGTCGAAGCAATGGCAAAGGTCTATTTGCGCTATCTAAGCGCGATGAAGAAAGTCCATGTAGATATGGAACAGTGATGTAGTAGAGGTGTAAACACAGATAATCTCTTCGGAGCGACGGTTTCCGATAGAGAACCAGCCATATGATCACATCATAACCGCGCGGAACTGAAAGAAACTGTGAAAGACCACCCCCGCCCTGGTGCCACTGGATTTGCCTTCTTAAACGAATGGCCACGTTGACTTTCTATGTCTCACCGCTAGGTGGAGCTTTGCTGTTTTGCTTTTGTGGCGAGGGGCGGGTAGGGCGGACGATTGCAGCAATGCCGAGCAGAAGAATAGGTTTACTATGTTGATCTTGGTTGTGAGAATTACGAATTATCTTTGCGAAGTAGACAATGATGACACCAGAAATGACCGTCCGGCCGGCGCTGGCCGGGCGCAAAACAAATACTTTTTACTTACGTACTTTTTTAATGAATTTTCTACGTGCAATTAATGAGCAGCGGCGCTTGTTTAATACGTGCTGACACGCAGAGGCAGAGGACTTGATACGCAAATTATACCGATTCCGAGGCCGACAGACGTGCTTATAAAAATGAGAACGAGGAAGAGGGGTCTGACCTAATATCCATCTTCTAGTGCCACCACCGTACTTTGAAGAACATATGCCGCACTTTTGAGCTCGCACTTAATCTTGTTTTGATGTTTTGTGCCGGGAGATCACAAATCTCATCGCGTAGCAACACGAAAGACAAAGCTGCTGTCGCTTTTGATGCATGACCGATTCGTCGACGTATCTAGTGAACCGGATGCCAGGATGGATGTTAGGCTCATACATGATGATCATCGCACGGGAACTGCATAAAGAGGACTAGATATATAGTGAAAAGCACATAACGCGGAAGCATAAGAACCATCAAGCACCCAACTGTGACTTGCGATCAGAAGACTTCGACTTGCAAAAGCGTCTCCGCGAGTGGCAAGACTTCCAAAACGGAAACAAACATGAAGAACATTCGCTGCATCGTCCGAATCAATTGTATGAATAGATAAATCTGCAACTACAAGCGACATTGTATGTGTTTCACGTCCATAACCATATCAGCTCTCCGCGCCACTCTTCTCACTGGATGCATTTTCCTCTAACTTTGATTATGTATGATGTCCGTGTTCACTCCGCGTGAAGCTGGTTTTTCGGCCGAGAGAGCAAAGCACTGCGTTGATTCGAGAGCTGGTTTCATTGATATTTTTTGATCATGTCGTCGTTCTCGATCGGCTCGTGTTCGGCCGCTGTGTGTGACATAGATAGGCGCAATTTCCTCCTTCCTTTTCTACACCATTTCTATAAAAACAAATGGAAAACACAGCTCGTGTTTTATATTAACAGCTGAAATAAAAAAGATTAGATCTGTTTGATGTACCATCAGATACTACTCACCAAGTCGTTGTAAAAGTTGTTGCATTTATTGTTCAATTCCAGTTTTGTCGTTTACGACTACGAGAAATGGAGCCGGGCAGTGAGTTGCGGGCGCGACGGCGCGGGCTTCGCGACATTTCTAACACGCCTTCGGTGCCTGGAATCCAGACTCCGTTGCACGGCAAAAGTAGTCAGTTCGACACCCCAGCGAAAAAGCGACCGCGCATTGCGGCAGGGACGCCGGGGCCCAGTTACAATGTCCAACCGATGCGGAATGACAACCTCAAGAGCGGGTTTGCGAAGAAGCCGCCTGTGGCTGCAGATCCTGTCCTACCGCAACAACCGGGACGGAGAGCGCTGGGAACGCCAGGCCCAAGCTACAACACGAATATCCAGAAGAACAACACTAACAATGTAGCCGCTGCTACGGCCTCCATGAATCAGCCGTACCCCGCCCCGCATGATAACTTGTCCAAGAACAGAGCTGATCAACAACAAGGGCAGCAGCTGCAGCAGCCGCCCGCGTCTTTTCAGCCGCGATTGCAAGAGCCCGTCGTGCCGGTAGTGCCGTCGAGTTCCTCCTTTTCGAAGCTGGTGGCCGCAAAGCAGGCTGAAAATCCGTTCTGCATCACAACCGGCTCGTCTTCACAAATTCGGCAACCGCTGCAGAGTGGTGTAGCACCGTTTCTTCACACGAACACAAATAGCACATCTGGGGCTGGACTGTCTTTTGCCGACCGGTTAGTGCAACAGCGTGAAGCACAAAAATCTGCTCGGGGCGCTAACCCGGCAACCCCGCCACGAAACAGCAACAAAGTTTTCGCCAAGATTGATGAGCCCCAGCGGAAACCTGGAACGCCGGGTCCAAGCTACCGATGCGCGTCGCCGGGAGGAAAAGTGAAAGCTGGGAGTGGAACGCCTGCCTTTGGCAATCGCGGGGGCACGCAACCGACGTTGCGAGACCGAGTGATCGCGGTACGTATAAATGATATAACTTTTCTGCATGATGTTAATGCACCTAACCAGTCTACATCACTTGCGCTTGCCTGCGTCTTGTGGATGTCCCCGCGGCACGCAAAGATGAAAAGTGCTTGTTTTTCAGGATTCGAAAACTATCAATCAACATTTCCATTGAGGTTGCATCAGGAACCAAATTGGAATCGAAGGTGGATGTGTGGAAGACTTCTTCATCCTCTGACTTCCGGTTTGCACCGGACCAATCGAACGCCGTACGGTTTGCTCCTTCATCTGCGGGTTTTCCTGGACTAGCACCAGCACCGGGTAAGACTACAGCTGCTGCCGCAGTGCAACCACACGAGAAACGGCCAGTCAACCACGTAGTAGCCCAAGAAGTCCCCGGTCTGCTGGCGCACCACACGCCCGGTCGCTATGCTGGCCTAGTCGAGCATCCACATCCGGGTCTCGCGCTGCAGCCACAGCAACTCGTGCTGCCGAAACGGCACGAGCAGCGCAACATTGGTGCGGCTTCTGGCCTTGTCCAGTCCGCAAAAGAACAAGTTCCAGAGCCTAGACACAAGAACTCTCGCGCCGCCGGCCCAGGAGGGCCCGCTGCAGCACCGACGAGCAGCACGCCATTCAGTCCCTTCAGTGCCGTGCAAGAAGTGGAGGAGCCGGTTTTTACGTTTTCCTCGGAGGAGGATGAAGACGAGGTCAAGCTCCGGAACACCGGCCGCGCGTACGAAGGTACCGGAAGCAAGAAGTACATGAAGGCGATGAAAACGACTGACATGCAGCGAAGTGTTCACTTCGCAAACACGTTTGAGAGCAAGGAGTTTCTGGTGCAAGAAGAGGAACCTCTTTTTGCGGACGACGGAGATATTAAAGATGGTCCGATTCAAACCTTCACTGACAATCGCACGGAAGACGAGAAGCGCGAAGCCGCTCTAGGGCGACCACTCATTCCGGCTGTGGACCTGACCGGCTTGGAAAAGCGGCGTCTGTCGCAGGTCCTGGGCAAGCTCTTCCCGAACGATCCAGCGAGCCCGGACTTCGCGTTCCAATCTCCCGTGGGCAGGACTCACAAGAAAAGCCGGTCATCTGCAGCGCACCCGCAGGGCGGGGAGGCTGTGCGTCGTCCGGGGGAAATGAATTTGTTTTTGGCGTCGAATGGGCACCAGCAATCGCTGCAGATCCCGTCACCGAGATTCATCGACGACGACGGTGAGGAGGAAAATTTCGCAAACTTGAACTTCGAGCGCTCACCCGCCCTTTTCTAGGATGAGGGCGGGAATCAAACGACAGATAGTACTGTCTGATGCAGTTGTTGCAGGCACAAAAAAAAATTATGCACTTTGCTTCAGGATCCAGAATCAATATCAAAACACGTGTCCACCTTGGGACTCTATTAACGCTGAACTGATAGACTGTATTTCTCTGATTCCTTCTGAAAACCAAACCGTGAAGGCCGTCTCGGTCTCCTACAGACAGCTAAGTATGCTCGCCAGCATGGCTTATGGGCTCGTCCAACGTGCGAGTAGGACACAGACGAATCAGCCTCAGCGACTCAGTCTCACTCCTGTGTTTGCTGAGCTTCCTCGTCAAAACATGTTCCCACGTCCTCGACTTGCTATTTGCTTCAGTCTTATGAGCCGCGTGCGCATGAAAATGGATTGGTGTTAATTATGATAGAGGAGCCTTAATATTAGAGGAACTTTGTGTTGAGCGTGAGCTTTCTTATCTAAAATGCGAAGAAAAGGAAAGTGGCACTCCGGCTGTCCGGGGTTTCAGGCTACTTCGGTTTTCTTGCGGCTAAGTGAAGCATGCACAGCGTAAAAGCTGCTACGCATCTGCAGCACGGAGAGTGCGAGTGTGAACTAATTCTGGGCGAGTTGCTGACGTCTCAGGGGTTTATGCATTATGGCAATGTTGGCGCCGAGGCGTCGCTGACTTACTCGCGAGTCTGCTCCAAAAAATTCGCGATTAGTGATAGCTAGCGCTATTCATAGGTAGTTGCCTATCTTCTCGGTACGGTCGAAAGACTGGTTCTGAAAGCATTGGTGCCGCAGCAGGTCAAACTACGTCTTTCCGCTCTCGCTTCTCTTGCTCTGTGCTTTGTCTTCTGGAGGAAGGCGGCTCCTCGCGATGTCGCGAAGTGTCGAGCATCCTGGTGCGCTGGTGACGAGGCGCCGACCGCTGCTGCTACAACTCGCCTTTACGGTCGCTGCACTGGGGAACGTTGTGCTAGATGCGGACACGGCAGACCGGTATTCGCCCGAGAGTCATGATTCGGCCGGTTCGGATCGCGCGCGGCCGAAAAGAGCAACGAGGGGGGGGGACGGAAGTCCATCCCGGCCGTGTTTACGCACCCTCCGCCAAGCTCTTTATATCCAAATGGAAAATTTGCTACGCGGCGGAAACTCTACTTCCAGCGGTTTCCACGAAGGTACTTATGTACGGTGTGAGCACCTCCTCCTACTTATTCTCTTTCTGCGGTGCTTCTTTTTCACTTGTTGGATTTGCTGCTACCACACTGCTAGAGTTTTAGCAAGAGAGTTTCCTGCCGCCTCCCCCGATGGTAATATTTATGGCTTTCGTTAAGTTTTTTATATCGTGATCTTCATCGTAAAAATGGCCACGCAGTTGTACTCCCTTCAAGTTGAAGAATTTTAAAAGAGGTTGTTGAGCATATACTAGTAAACTTCTCCCATTCATCATTTCGATTTCCCAATAAGGTACGCAAGTTTTGCAGATGTCAGTGTGAAGAACGCGGCTGGCGGAAGGTGGAAGGACAAGAGCCCCCGTTTGCCTGTTTCGACCCAGCGGCTTCTCAAAGAGGCGGATGCATTGGCTGCCACGCGCTCAATCGCGAGGCAGGCCCATGCGGTTGCGGACGGCATGGCCGACAGAATCCAAGTAGACTACAATTTGACGGAGTACGAGGTTGTAGTGATGACGCGGACTTTCTCCTTGACCGGGAACGTTTTTTTCCTGAACAATTTCCTGTACTCTCCCGATCGCTCGTTTTTGCAAGCGTTCAAATTTTTCGACGTCGACCGCAGTGGCGACGTGGACGTTACGACGGAGTGGGCATCGCGCGGTTGTCCGCTTGACACGGACCGGAACGGCGATGGTCGAGTCGACGACAACGAATTCCAGCAGTTTTGCTCCGTGCCAGATGCGCCTATGCAAATGTAGCAAATGCTTGCGTCTCGGTCTGGAAGTAGGGATTTTCAGCAGAAGAAAATTGGAGTGCTGGGCGCGTTGCAGTTTCCTAGCAACTGAAATACGGATACGCAGTGTGACTGGGCGAAAATACCACGTATGCTGCTGATGCAGAGTAAGAGCTAGAAGGGTTGGTGTGCAAAACGAAGCGCCTTTTGCGTTTGTAGTAATGCGCAGCAAACAAGAGCTCGTACTCAACCTCAATCAAGCCCATGTCCTTGAGTTTTGCATTTTGCAATGAATTTATCCAATTTTCGAGACTCAGTCTCAGATGGATTTGCATTTGGCGTTGATCTTGATGCCGTCGTCTTCGTCGTCAGCAGGAGGCGCTCTATTCGCCGGCGCCTCGAGCACACTGGAAACAGAACCACGCGAAGATACACGAGTCGTGGACACTGCGCACGACTACCTGCAGTGGCGGTTTCGTGATAAAAACTTTGCCGCAGACCGCCAAGGTGAACTGCAGCCAGAAAAACTCAACAGGATCCGCGAAAGAGCGAAGGTGCTCTACGAAGAAGGAGCGCAGAGACGAGCGGTGGAAGAGGACTCCGGTTGGAAAATCACCAGCGAAGACAGGCGGCAGAAGATTTTCGATGCCATGGATCAAGCACGGACTCTAGATACCCTAGACGACGTGGCTAGGATGAATGAGATGAACGGGGGAGAGGAACAACTAACTACCTTTTCTAACTTTGGCAGTGCCCCAGAGGAGAAGAAGGGAAACGAGAAAGGCTGGATTTCAAGGTGCTTGGGAAGGTGCTTCGAGAGGCGCAGGAATGACGAAGAGCCACTCCTACCGTGAGGGGATGTCGGACGCTAACGACCTCCCCGTCCTTCAACCTGAGGAGATGATTCTGGGGCGGGCACTGGGGAAGCGCCTGGAGGTATTAGTGGCCTGCCGAATCCCACACCGCTGTTGCCATTAACCTAGAGTAGTAGAGGGAGGGAAGGAGCTGGAGCTCATACAATGCAAGATCTAGGTCTATCTCTGGGTCTGCGATCACGATGGATAGCAAAAGAAGAAATTGATGAAAATCTTCACTGACAAATGTATGGTGACTGAGACTGAGAGCCACAAAGAGTTACCCTTTTTTTAAAATCAATCAGTTTCTCATTCTCCAAGAGATTTTGAAATACGGACGGATTGTCATTAAACACTTGTATTTTTCAGAAGGAGTCACATTGTACAATTTAAGATAAAGATACTCGAACTCGTACTCGGGCCGGGGTACAGGCTTGTTGCATATTTCAGTACATACAAACTAGAAACACAAGCATAGCTCTGCCTCTGTCCAGCAGTCCTTGCAGAGATGATACTTACAGTATAAAAAAGAGTAGACGACGAGATAATTGTCGACCGATGGAAAGTGTAGAAATGTCGCTTCCACCAGGGAGATGATGAGGGTCCTTCAGATAGACAGAAAAAAGTATTTTGCTACCGCTTTCTGTTCTATTGATTCCCGTTTGGGTTCCAAGATGATTTTTTGAATGTGTCGCTGATTCATTTCATTCGCTTGCGATCTGATCATTTTTCTGAGGACAGACTACAACCATAAACGTAAAGCGGTATAGGAACATCTGGATCTGGTCCAAGAACTCCGAGATCATGATAACGATCGTAGCCCCTATGTTTTCATGCGGTGCTCTTTTTATGATACATTCGCTCAAAACGTAAGATCTTGGTCCACCGGATTTCTGAAACCTGTAGTAAGGACTAACTGTGTCTGTGGTCGCGGACAACGCAGCGAACTTATCGGGTAACTACTACAGCAATAAATATGATCTATGAATAAATTCATTTCATCAGCGACTAGCGAACGGAAATAATTTTTCTTTGCGCGGAAAACAGATTTAATAGAAATACGGTGACAAGTGATTTACCTTAAATTTCTGTAGAACAGATACACGAACATCATGCCAGCCCGCGCCAAGAAATACATTTTCAGCAAAAAAGCAGAAGAAAACGAAAAGACATGGCCACGCTTAGAAAACAGTGCAGCACCTCGCACTGTGGAAGAACATGACAGTAAAACAATCTGATCTTCGGCGACTGCAGCTTCGGAATAAACCGACGGACGAGGGATTTTGTCGGAAGGGATTAATCGACTAAGTCATCAATTTTCCCAAGATGGCGTTTATGAATCGAAAATTCATTTGGCTGGGTCTGGAAGACTGCAGGTTTCTCTTCGATGCCATTCGTACATCGCCAAACATTCTGCTTTGCAGGAAGGAGGAGCAAAAGCTGTTAGTTTTTTTTTGGCGGAGATTTATGGATTTGTCATGCAGAATGGGCCTCCAGTGAGTGTGCATCAGTATCTGCATTCGCAAAGCCAAAAAGCCTTGCTAGAACCTGTGATGCCACGCTATGCATTGTAGACTTTGTGCGGGGATGAGATGAAAATCCGCATCACACAAAGGATCTGCACTCTCCCAGACCCAGACATGTTTGCGGTGGATAGCGTCTTCATCCTCGCTTCCCGGAACCGGGAATAAGCGATCGAGTGCGAATTATCCTCAATGAAAACTACGTACCCACCCCATTGTTCTCAAGACAGTTAGGAATTCTGCAGGGCAAATCAAGAATCTCTGTGAGTAGTGCACCATTACAAGTGTGGGTCCACAGGATAGAAGACATGCTTCGCTTACGTGGCCGCATCACTAAGCCAGTTCCGTATTCTGATTCGAATTCCCAAGCGCTTGTGATTTCGATTCGAGTATGCAAGGGGCGCTTGTGATTTTGATGGATTGTTTTCTATGGCGAACTTCCTGGAACCTCTACAGAACGCGCGTCATGAGGCTGCGCGCCATGAGACTCATTCTGGGCCTGCAGACAGGTATACTATACCTGTCTGCAGGCCCAGAATGAGTCTCATGCCATCTGCGTCGAGCCGCCGTCTGCGGTAGGGCCCTGTGTGTTCGTGTTGCAACTCCTCTACGCAGGACATTGATCATCGGGTGGGTACGTTTTTACCTAGGATGCGAATGGAGTGAACAACAGTCCGGAAGATCGGACTGCGAAAACGCGACGCCAAGGCGCCGCAGGACAAGAAGTCGCGCCGAGACCGAACTGGGAAAGAGGGAAAGCAAGGGCGCCCTTTGTTTTTCGGGATGCAAAGAAGCAGACGTGGGAGGTGGCCGACGTGGCCAACGTGACGATTATTCCAAAGAAATCGAAAAACAAAAAGTCCAAATTGGCGGAGGAGAAGAGGATGAGGCTGCAGCAGTTCGCGTTGTGTCCGCCGAAAAAGTCAACGGTGCTCCTAGACAGGCGCGCTCTTGAATTTACGCCGCAGGATCTGGTACTGTGCAAAACGTGACTTCTTCGTCTCTTTGCGATGGCTTTGGCCAGGTTGATTCTCTAGTTGCTAACACAAGGGAGTTCGATCATTTTTTGCTAAGCCAGCCCTGCTGTAATCATGTAAATTTCACCCGCGTCGTGTAGTTGATTTTGTGCTATTCACTGCTTTTGTTTTAGTTTTCATCGCTAATTTGCAACTCTAACTTCATGATACGGCAGGTACGCAACCTGCTTCCGCGCAGCGAGAGAGACCCCGCTGTCACAACGAAGATCAAGACGCAGAATGTGCCGATAGAGCAAGTCCTGGGTTGGGGAAAGGGGACGCGAAATGTTGTCTCTGAGTATGAGCCACCAGATGAGGGCCCGGAGCCCGCCTCGTTTTCCTCGTTTACACAAAACCGAAAAACGGCGATGGCCCCAAGCGTATATGGACCGCTACGGCAATGCGACCACAAAAGTGACTTCATGAGTCTGAAAGAACAAGAAGAGTTCGAAAGGAGACGAAAAAGAAGGATGAAGGAGGTGTCCGCCAAATTTCCGACCGTTGACGTAAGGATTCCTTTTATTTCGCTTGTTTATGTTTTTCTTGCTGTAGAAAAAAAGTAAAAGAGTCTGAGTCGATATCGATTTATTATCGCCATTGTGCAAGCAAGGCAAAAGGAAAAGCAGTACGATAACCAGCTATAAATCGCAAAAGAGGCCAGGAGAAGCAACTGTAGAGTATTCGCGCTTAGTATTGATGAGTTCCTACTTTCATCAATTTGCAAAAGTAAAGACCGCATAACTTTTCAATACAGAGCACGAAGGAGATGATTGACAAGCTGTGGAGTCTCCGGCGCAGGCGCATGGACGAGATCTGCACGAAGAGGGGAAACGTTTTGACAGAAGAAGAGATTCGCGGCGTGCTGTGTCTTGTGCGCGAAATCATGCTGGATCAGCCCATGATGATCGAAACGGATGCAGGCGACATCAACGTCGCGGGAGACACCCACGGCCAATTCTTTGATCTTCTGCGGATTTTTACAGCGAACGGGCTACCGGGTGAAGCCAGCTACATGTTTCTCGGAGATTATGTCGATCGCGGGAGAAACAGTATTTCTAGAAATATGTGGGTCGATTGAATGTTCCTGCAAATGAAAAATCTGATTGAATGCTTTTAATTTGAAGAAGAAGAAGTCAAGTCATTTATTTTTGTTGCGACTCTGAAGTAGATGTAGAGGTCATGGATTTTATGCATCAATTGAATTTTTTCAGGTTTGGAATGCATGTTGCTGTTGTTTCTCTACAAGCTGCGCCTGCCCGATAACATGTTTCTGTTGCGTGGCAACCACGAAGCGCCGGGCGTGAATCGAGTGTACGGCTTCTACGATGAGGTAAAGAGGAAGTACAACGCCGGCCTGTGGAAGGCCTTCCAGGACGTCTTCGCTGTGATGCCCTGCGCCGGGCTGATCGCGGGGAAGATTCTCTGCATGCACGGCGGAATTTCTCCGCGACTGACCAACTTGCGCGAAATCAACCAGATTCAGAGACCCTGCGGGGTGCCGGACAATGGACTGCTTTGCGATCTCTTATGGTCAGACCCGGCAAACGAATGGCAGGCCGTAAATCCCGGGAAGGCGGTGAGCGCAAGTCGCCCACCGAATCCTGCTATGAAAACCCTGGAGCCTGTCGACGAGCACTGGGGCTTCAATGCAAGGGGGGTCAGCTGGATATTCGACGAGGTCGCGGTGCAGGAATGTTGCGACAGATTTGGCCTCGACTTGATTGTTCGCGCACACCAAAAAGTCGAAGATGGCTACGAGTTCTACGCGAAGAAAAGGATGCTCACCGTGTTTTCAGCTCCGAACTATTGCGGCACCTTCGACAACAATGCAGGGGTAAGCAAGTTAGTATGATCGGGAGTAATTAATATCTTCGTCTTCAGGCTAGTTTTTTATATATGCAGCGTAGTGCCCATGCCTTCAAAAATGGCAGACGATACCAGTTCTGGAGCCGAACAACGTCATATATCAATCAAAATCAAGTATGTTTAAGTTTATCAATTGCGCATATTTTTGCAGCGCATGTTCGCCCGCAGGCAAGCCTTCAAATAGATGCGCAATTTCCCACAAACACATTGATAGGTTCTCAACGTGTCCCGGCAGCTGCGATGTAAGCTGACCGTTTTGGAGCCGGAGCATCACATTGGGAAGGGCAAGTTTCACACTTGGCCAGGAAAAGAGAGAAAGGCAATGGAGTTAGACGAGCTGACGCTTTTTCCTGACACGGAGGACATTTTAGAGCGACTGAAGGAGGTGGAAGACGAGGATGCGCCGCCAGCGGTATCGCAGTGGTTACTTATTTGGTTCGATATTTGTTGATGCCCCAAAGTCAAGACATATTCCTTGTTCGACCTGCACGACTTGATAAATGAGTGGCCGTATCTCCCACATGGCTGAGACTGTATAAACTGCACAAAATAATCGTCTTTTTCGTGTATGAGGAAATCTGAACCAAAACAACAGGAGCTTGCTCGCCAAGCGTCTGCTCCAACAGCGTCGCCGAACAAAGCCATGCCAGATAACGATCCTACGGTCCCAGACCCGCGAAAGATCCAGGTGAATGCACATGAAGGGTGGCCGCCTAACGACCCAAAGCACCATCCAGATAAGAAGTTCTACGTGACCACTGACCAGATTCGGGAGGAGATAGCTCGGCTCGAGCAGGCAAAGCGCGACTTCAGGCCAAGTCCCTTAGTGCGCGAATACACCGAGTCCTGGCGGGTATTTTCATTTCAGTTTTTATTTTTTCACATTCAAGTTAGTTTGAGTTTTTCTGCTAAGGACCAAAATAGTTAGAAGTACCGTATCGTGTTACGTGAGCCTCATCATCTTCTTGACTTGAAAATGCAATGTGTCTTCTTTGGCGGCAAGCTCGTTGGTCTTCGTCTGCGCCCCACTATACTAGTGAAGCCGACTTTTCAAACATCTTTAAAGCATTGCTCTACCACTTATATCCACTTCAATATGTTTCTCACTCTCAGTTCCGTCCGCTTTGGGACCGGCAAATGTTGACCGGACTGTTCGCGAACCCCGAATTTACACTACCGCAGAAATGGCGTGAACTGGGACCGAAAAAGATGGAAGGACGAATTATGAATCTCTGGAAGCAGGAGAAGGCTAGAGATCCAAAGTGGAAACAAGTCGCTGTCTTGACACATCTCAAGGCACTTCAGTTGTATTTTCCTCCGAAAGGCGGCGCCGCCGGACCTGCTGGTCCCGTTGGAAAGCCACCAGGTCCCACGGCTATTGACCGCTTGCTTCAACAGCATGGCAACGGCAAAGCGCAAGGGCAAGGAGCACCGCCGAAACAAGATATCGTTGGGCAGGCACAGCACCAGCAGGTGGCCCCACGCAGTGAAGTTCCAGCCTCCGCGTCAAAGCTCGACGCGCTAAAAGCAGTGCACCCGCAGTTACTGAGCGAAGCAGATAGGCTTTGGGCCAAAAGTGATCGGTTACGTTTTGCCCTCCAACAGGCTAAGCAAGATACGACCGAAACCCTGGAAACTTCGCTAAAAAGGACTCTTGAGTTGGAGCAGAAGCAAGCAGATCGAGATCGCGCGGAGTTTTCCGATTCAAAACAGTGCCCCGGGTGGAAGATTTTCGAAAATGGGGCACAGATGATTGCGCTGGACGGAAGTCTTGGCCATCGGAGTAACGCGGTCTATGTGGAGGTCGCAACCAATGTGGGCGCAGTCATTCTGAAAAGAGACGGAATGGGCCGCTTGCAGATCGACTCCAACTGCAAGGATAAGCTGAAGATCTATGGGGTACCAGTTGCGGGGAAAAAATATTTGCGCGTGCGGTCCAGTCCGGCTATCACTGTTGAAGAAACCATAAGAGGAGGCCACCGCTATTACATGGTTCATGTGGGCGCAGCGACAGGGTCGGGCGAGAAGAAACGTTTTGCACAAATCAAGATCGTGCAAGACCAGTACAGTGAAGACCGTGGAGCACAGCAGCGGGACAGGCTGCTTAAGGCATCGCTCAAGCTGCAAGCGAGAAAAAAAGCACGGCGCCAGCTTTTTCTGAAACAGCTTCTGTGGCTCCGGGCCGTAGCGAAAACCCCCCTCCCGAGGGAGCCTCGGACTCGCATGCTGATGCTGGAGCCGGACTATTTGTGGTTGCGCTACCATCTGGAAGGCAAGGAAGCAGCATCGCTGCACAGGAGCTGTTCGGCACTGCAGAGCCTTATGCGACAGTTTCACATCGAGCACGTGATGAACCGACACGAGTATAGCGACAAATCGCTTCTTCCCCGGCTAGACGAATACATAACGAGTCGTTATCGGATGACAAACAGGCCGCACAAGCTCCTTGAGAAATGCACGACGAAACTCGGAGCTCTGTATCAAAACGAGGATGTTTCGCAGCCGGTCGGACCGCCGCGGGTGTCGGAAGGTGCCGGGATTGCGACCACAAACGAGACTCTTAAACTTGACGAGATGCAGCTCCAAGAACTCAAGATGCGGGCAACAAGCATTCAAAAATTTGAAGCCGTGCAATACGTTTCCGGGAAGCGAACCGATGAAGCGAAACTGCGAGCGTTACTGCAGGCAGTAGATCAGCAGCTGCAGGATCATGCTACTGTCGCGCAAATACCGAACGCGCCCTCCGGTAACGATTCAAATACAGGCCTTGGGATAAGCAAAGGCAAGAAAAACAAGAAGTACAGCAGCCGCCTCTGCAATACAATGCTGCTATGTCATTTTACCGCGGAGATGTCCAGGACACAGCGCGCAGGCCAGCGATACCAGGACGCAGTCTTCTACGAGTTTCGTGCTCAGAGAAACAAACACAAGTTTGAGTACCTTCCTCCGCTGTCCGAGTCGTCCATGTTGTTCGGCGGGGAAGTCGCGTCAAATCGGGTGCTGGAGGACAAGTCCAGCGAATTTTCTGTCGAACCCACGGTAGTCCCCCCAGGACAGAAGATGACAGAGGCCCTGATGCAGGTATCCCGGCGTGTGGAACATGAGAAGAACGAGGACAAGGCGGAGTCCGCCAGGAAAGCCGCCACGGAGGTCTACCTGCTCTTTCTAGAAATGGCCACCCAGTTCATTCGCCAGCAATTCGGGACTTTGGCCGGAGGGCCGCGGCGCTGGGAACCAAATCCGGAGATGGAGCTTCGACGACAATTGAGCATGCTCACTTCTGCCCAACAGATGGCCCTGCTATCCCGTCGGAGAAAGGAAATACCCTTCCGCACTTACTTGGCAGCGCTACGAAAGAACCTGCAGGAAAACATAGAAGACAGGCAATCCAAGCACGAAAAACGTTTGGGAAAATCGCTACGAGCTATCACCGCGTTTTCTGTGGCACAGGACTCAGCGGGTTCCGCAAGCAGTGAGCTGTTTTCCTTCAAACCCCCCGACAATGATGGTGGTGCTGTTGACGACGGACCATTGACGTTATCACTCGTTCCTCGGGGTCAAGAGCAAAGCGGCGGTGTATCGTTTGCAGCTGCGCTGAGACACGTGCGGCGTGCAGGCAAGAAGCTTTTGGCTGCTGCTCGAGACAAGGGCGCGGTAGTCCGATACAGACGCCATGCTGGACGACCCATGAGTATCAAAGTCCGATCTGGCGGGAGGGTAGAAAGACGTCACGTCCTGCATTTTCTGAAGCAAATGAAGCGACCGGAGCGGACTGCAAGGCACCTGTTGGACGCGGTTTTGAAATCCGCCGGTGTGCCGACAAAATCCCGGAAGGCCGCAGCTGCTGAGGAGAAAAAGGAGCAGAAGTTTGTCGCCAAAACCATGTCCAGTCTGAAACGGTCACGACACGATGTAGTGGGAACTGCAGGCGCTCTCGGCAAAGACGGTTTGCCCCCGGACGCTGGTGCACAAGCAGAGCTGAACGGCCAGAACAATTATGAGAACCACTCAGGAGTAGGAGCACTGGACTTGGATGATCCAAAAGCTCTAACAAGAAATCTTGTGACGCGTTCCCCGAAGTACCTCCGCTTCCGACGTCTTCTGCGACTATACATGCATGGGAAAAAAGCTTCTTCCGGGCTTTTCAGAAGCAGCAAGAAGGCCGTGAAGACAGTTCCATCAACGACGGCACATCACGCGAACCAACTTGAGGCCGTAAAGCAAATTTTCCTGCGCAGAATGACAATGGCAAGGACAGCAGCGGACGCAAGCAGTTTCCTGACCGAGAATTTTGGCATCCTCAAGAGCAGCCGACAGCTTACAAGGTTGGTTTGCTTCAACGAGAACCTTACTTCTCAGCAATTCCGGCGGAACTCAGCAGAAAAAACGAAGGTCGATCGGCAAGTTGGTGCTATGAAAGAGCTCGCCAGGAAGCTCATTTCCGAGAGCGTCCACTGCCCATCCGATGCTGGCAAAAGAAAACTTTTAGAAGGCCGCGCCCAGGATTTGCTAGACAAAGCCGAGGAACTTTTGTGTCGATACATGGAAAATCTTCGCAACGACAAACAGCTCTGTTTGTCCAAAGATCAGCGACGGAAGTATCGACAGAGTCTGGCAGTCATGCGAGTAAAACGGGCTAGCACCAATGCACAAAATCGGTCAGTCGACGACAAGAAGCCAAGCGGTGAAGTGAAGAAGAGCGGCTCTGTGCCGCAGAAGCCGAAAACTGGAGTGCGGAAGGGAAACGCAAAACCTCCGAGGGGTGACGCTCGCCGAAGACAGAGGAAACTGAAGCTGGCAGCTGCAAACAGAAGGTACACATGTTGTACAAAGTTGTATTCTTCGTCGAAGAGAGTTTGAAAATCAATATATTTTCCTAATATGCTTACGCTTGCTTTTGCTGTACCCCATGATTTTATATAAATGCTTCGCTGAGCTTTTCTCTGCATGATCACCGGCATTTTGATTTTTTACATACATCCAGGTTTAACGTCAGCAATCCGAAAAGTGTCTACGCACAAAAGCTACTGAAGATGATACGGGTAAGAAAAGCTGCTGCTGCTGCTGTGTCCGCAAATAATTCAGTCCCGGAAAAAAATGAAGGCTCAACCTCAAGCGCATTAGCCCTCATTAGCTCCGAAGCGAAAAACTTGTTAGACGCCCTCTACCCGAAGAAGAACGACAAGAAAGGTTCACTTTCACAAGCAGCGAAGGTTATGATCCGCAACGGACTGAAGGCGGAAATCATACAGCGGACAATAACCGAACTGAACGCGAGGGGGGACAAGGCAGCAGGTATCAATTAGCTTTCAGTTTTTCTTGTTGATGTTGATGCCGTGCCCGTGAACATGTAAGAGCCGGATCGCTGTCGCAGGGACAGCGATTTATATTTGTATACAATCTAAGCCCTGAGGACTCTACAGTCGTTTCGATCCCATATTCCTAGTTTCTGCATGAGTGCATGTAAATGAAGTTGCATTTCTTGTCACATCGTTATCGCCAAATCGACACAGGTTCTGCAGAAGCAGAGAAGATGGAGATGCGAAATGCCGTGGCTAGCGTTTTGAACCGGTATGTTCTCGAGGAGATAAATGTTAAAAAGCACAGGCCGATCTTGCAGGCACTGCGTGAGGTCGTAATCAAACTGGCACAGGAGCAGCTGGCGGACAATGTTACATCTGTAACCCGGGGCGGCGCTGCGGATGACGAAGCGAAAAACGAGAATCGTGCGCGGGGAAGGTCTCCTTCGGTAGACGAGTCGCGGCAGCGGCAGCAAAAAAGAGCAAGACAGAGAAGCGAGAATCGAGCGAAGTTCTTTGCGCCGCGGGCGGTTTCATTTCGCGAAGCCTTCAATACGACGCTGCATCCAACTGCCTACGAAGAAGACCTTTCCGTGCAGACCTTTGTTGCGGGAGAGAAAGCAACCGACATTGTGGACAAGCTGAATAGTGAACATGCCCACGCGGAGGAAGCGATGAAGAAAGCCAAGAGCATGAATTTTTTGGGCTCCCTATCGCCGGGCGCCCTGCAGAATGATCCTTTTTCGCCTACAATTTTGGAGGAATCCAGCCAGCCGTCAGTCGTAATTCCCGCGGCTGCAACAGCACATCCTGCACCAGACAGCCTTGCCCTGGTCAAGACCATTTCTGATTCCTCGGAGAAGGCTCGAGACCAGATTTCGAATGGACGAGTTGTAGATGAAAAGGAACTCCAATTAGTATCGCCTAACTCCAGCGACGAGAACATGATGAAAAACGTATCCCTACCGATTCCGGAGACCACGAAAGCAGTTCTTTCCGAAGTGAACGCTCCCAGTTCATCTTCCAGTACTTTGTCAACTCTTCATCCCCTTGACAACTACTCGACAGTGAGCAGTGGAAATGTACCCTCGGAGCGACCCCTTCATCCCTCGACATCAAATGGCGAAGCTTTATTGCAGGAAGAGCTGAGCGCGATCCTGCCGAAGGGTGACACAAAGAACACTGCACGAAGGTCCGAGCAAGCAGCTGAGCATGCCGCTCGGGAGCCGCGGGAAGACGTCGTACTGGACAGGCCTGGCGAAGAACGCGATGGCGCTTCGTCCCGAGGACTGGCCAGTGGAGAAGTAGCAGTAGGAGATGCGGTAGCGAAATCTGATGAAAATAAAGAGGACGAAAGGAAAAGCAACCAGACCCCATTGTCCAGAATAAATCGCGACAGCGTCATGCGCATAGTGCATGATGCTCTACAGCTAGATGACGACAGTGTAAGTGACCAGCAGGGACAACAGGACCTACGTAAAAGCACGACTCCGGCTAGGGCGCAAGAAGGCGAACACGCAGATGCTGCTGCACAGCACGTGTGTGTTAGTAGGCGCACCGGTGCCGAGAATTCGGGCGCGCAGGAACAGATTTCCAGTGCAGCTGTCGCAGCACCGGACGACGTGGTGAAGAAGTTGTCAAACGGGGTTCCACCTGCGACGACTTCTACGGTTGAGCAACACGGCGACTCTTCATCGGTGCTTGGGCTTGAGCGGAAAGCGAGCGGTGATCTGGCTGACCAGCCATGCGGCGATGATCAGACAGCAGCTCTTGCAGAAGCGGCGGCGTCACCAGAAGTGGAAGAGCAGCACAGCATGATTGCCGCAACGCCAAAAAACAGCAGCGTCGTGGAGAGGCCGGCCTTAGCACCAGGGGACCTTGTTGTGGAGAACGCCGGCGCAACCGCATCGAGTAGCTCCAGTGCTCCTGCTCTCGCTGCGGGAACAACGGCGGATCCCGATCGGTTTCCTGCACGATCTTCGAAAGAAAGCCAGGACCGACCGGATGCTCCGTTGCGAGCCAGCGAATCCACGGGAAATAAGCGCGGACCCGAAGCTGTTGAATCGGGCGGTAGGAGCCGCAGTAGCGCAAACACTGCAGGCCGCGAAAAGAGAGATAACAATTCATCCGCTGAAGGCAACCGTAATCCGGGATCTACCGCTTCAGGACGACGGCAGGGCCGGGACAGTTCTGTCGGAGTGAATCCTAGAGAATACAACCAGCGAAAAGGAAGAAAACGGGACTGCGCGCAGTCGAAATGACGAGAGCGACGGCGACCAGAAAACTACGCAAGTACACGTGTAGTTTTAAACCCAACCAAGTTGGAAGTAGCAGTTTCAAGCAGAAGTAGACGGGTGATTGTATCTACTGTACTAGCGCATCGGCATCCTCCTCTTCGCCGAAGGGAGGGAGGTCTATCACCAGAATGTTATGAGTGTCCATGGCAGAACCGAATTGTTCACGAACCAAGTTGTTGAGGAATTTCTAATTTCAAGTACGTAAAACTAAAAACGACACCAACCCAGCATTTTTTTTTGGTCATTTCTGTGGAACCCAATTTCGCAGAAGAAGGAACAAGAAGAAGAAAAACGCATTATTTATCAGGGTCACGGTAATTCCACCCATTCCAATGAAGGCACGTTTGAAACTACGCCCAATTTGTCTGGCTAGATGTCGTTACGCGCATCATCGTTGGTGTCAGCGCACTGTACGTAGTCAGTGTGTTTCACGTTTTTCGTGTCACCGTCCTCGGTCGAATTCGTCGTGTTGCGCTCGTTTTGGTGAACAAACTAGCTTTAGGTGTGCTGGACCAGAGATCTTCGTTGGTTCCCCACCCGGTTTGCTTCGTCCTTTTCTTCCAGTACGGGTTTTGTACCGGTTCGTTGACGTTTTCTTTTGAATCTGTAAGCATCCGCAAAATAGAAGGTTCCAGTGCCGGCTTTTCACTGGGTGCAGGTGCGTGCGGCGGGCGCTTTTGTTTGACGAGAACGAGGATACACTGGAATCACAATACATAGAGCACAACCCTTTATGGAGCGATCAATGGGCGGCGGTTCTTGTTGTTCTCGCCACGGGGTTCTTCCGGCTATTTGATCGAAGCTTGGTCGTGTACTTCTTTCTTCCGTTTTGCTTTTCCGGAACACATCGGGTGTTTTTTCGGAGGACTGGTTGTCTCCTTGTCCCGGTGATTTTTCGGCGCGAGTAGTGTGCCACCTCCAAGCGGAACAAGCCGGCGTGGTTCCTGGCCAGCACGCAGGGTCGTCGGTAAAAAAAAGATGCCTCGACGTAGCCAAGAACCCTGCGCGGAACCAGAGGGTGAGGACGGACAGTTCGACGATGAGGAGTTTGTTGGCAATGACAACCGAAATTTGCAACGCGGACACCACAACGAAAATCCAACAACTACCGGAGCCGCAAGTGGGAGCCAAGCGACGTCGCGCTCCCAGCACCCGCCGACCCCGGAAAAGCCGATGCTGACCCTCGGCGCAATGTCGGACGATTCAGACTCCGAGGACGACGAGGAAAGGAGTGGCAACGGAACGAGTTCGTTGTCCAGCACCATCGGCTATCCTGTGCAAAAGTATCGTACTCGTAGTAATCGTAGTCATGCATTACAAATCTTTATCCCAAGGCAAAACAGCATGACAAATTCCATTTGTCATGCTGAGCGAATTTGTATTGCAATTACTACTAGTACGATACTTTTGCAGTTCATATCGGCGATCCGCGTTCACGGCAGCGGCAGAACCGCGAGCAGAGGCGGTCGTCGAGAAACACGCGGAGGTCGCGGCGACATGAAGACGGACAGCAAGTTGCGCGCACGCGGAGCCGCGGGGACAAGCGCGCGGAGTGGCAGGTCTTGCACGAGCAAGAAGCCGCACGCTTAGCGAAAGAAGCACAGAAGGCGTTCCACAAGACTGCGTGCAAAGTTTTCCAAGCACTCATGCTCGCTTCCTGCCTGGTTTTGCTATCCGTCCTCGCCTACCACCAGTACCTGCAGCTGCGACAACAGGCCGCTCACGGGGAGAATTCTTTACCCGGCAGCGGTTCGGCAGTATTTCCAGTGGGGAAGGGCAGAAGCGGCGCGCGGGAGCAAGCGCGAAGTATCGTCTTGGACGATCGCAGCGACGTTGGCAGTGACACTGACGACCCGCAAGAACGGGGAGTACAGAATTCCAAGCGCGAAAAGATTCGGCTGTCGCGGAAATTCGAAGAGCGGTCGCGCGGTTTCTCTACGGATCATGTCACTCGCCGCGCATCATCGTCCTCGACGGGGTCTTCCCGCCTTCCGCCCGACCGACACAGCGGCCGCAACTCCCGCAGCAAGGGTGGGGCGACGCGACGCCACTCCTCCCCCGGTACTGGTCGCCGCCCGTCCCGGCGCAGTGGTCGCGGCTCGGCGAACTGGAAGCGCGGCGCGTCCGACGGTGCAGCTGGTACTACCACGGTCGCGTTGGTAAATGGAACTATTGCCGGCGCTTCCGGGACGAGACCGCCACTAGATGACGGCGCGGCCTCCAGTACGGACGGAGGATGCAACAGTGCGGATGACTACTCTTCTACAGAAGAGGACGACGACACAACTGACTCGGACGTGGACTCGGCCTTTGCTGGCGCCCAGAATGAGGACGCGTCCGACCTGGAGCTGAACACGACCGCGACCAGCCGCCGGACGAGCAATCGCGGCAACTGCAACATGTACGCGAACAAGAACAAGCGGCCCCGGCGTACGTCGAAGAAGTACGTGCACTCAAAGACGAAAAACTCGGTCGTCCACAACTACTTCACCATTCAGCACATGAGCGACGAGGCCGGACGCTACTTCTTCGGGAACGCCGCACGAGCGGCGGGTTTCGGAGGCGGGGGCGGTAGTGCGGGTGCGCAATCATCTTCGCAGGCCGCGCCAAACTTCCAGTACACCCAGCAGCCAGGGTCGTCCACGGGACGAAAGAACGCTGATGAACACGACAGAAGTGCAACGCCGGGCGATGGTGGCGTGGACGCGGGCGTCCCAACAAGAACACCCTCCAGTGGAGCACAACAACATGACAGTTCGTCAGTTGTGTCCTCTTCCGTAGGTGGCAACAGTGAAGATGTGCTAGCACGGAGGAATCAGCAGGAGCTTTCGGGAGTTCAGAATATGCGGGCTAGCACGCCCGGAGGTGCTACTCCTTCGCAATCAGAAGTAGTCGAGTCGGGTTCAGGGAACGGGGAGACATTCTTTTCGGCCGCAAGCTCGTCGATCGGCGGTGACGACCAAAGTGGATCCGGGCGAGGGTCGCCAGCCTTGGAAGACCAGATTTCGGACACGTCGGATGCACGGAACAAAAAGAAGCGCGCACAGCAACTGGAGAAGCAGCTGCAACTCGCGCTACAGCTCGGAGATACGTCCAACCAGCCGGCACGGACGAGCGCAACCTTGCTGCCCCTTGCGGATTATGTTCCTGGGTACTTCAGCTTAATACTTCTTGCGCCATAGGTTTAGATAGATAGAAGTAGAAGATGAAAAACGCATCTGCAGAATCCATCCATGATCGCTAAGATTCATATGTTCACTTTTGGTTTCGACTTTTTTCCGCCCAACAAGCTAAAGCGACAGCTAAAGCAGATGCACTCTTCTTTCATGAACACTAAAGTAATTCCGAACCTCAACAGAAACGGCAGCAACGAGGTTGTCATGCCTGCTCCTGGAACACACAACTTCACGCATTCGGGCGCAATCGTTCCCGTAGTTGTTGCTCAGCAGACTGCTGAGAGTCTCGGATCTTCGTCCGCAGCCCCAGCACTGCGAAGCGGCCAGCTGGCCCTGGAAGACGCACCGCCAGCAGCTCCGCCGTCTCCCGTGGGAGTGCTAGATTCCGCGAACCCGCCGCAGCCGCCAGCATCTCCGGTGGGGATACTTGACACCTCTGGTGGATCTGCAAGCTCTCAACGACCAAATGCAGGCAGCTTGCAGCATTCAGCACATCTCTTCTCATCAATCCCGCCGCAACCGAGTGCGCCACTTCCACTCGTCGATCCCGCTGAGGTTCCCGTTCCGCTTTCCCGGCCAGGGGAGGTGGATGCTGATTTGGTTGAGACGAGCGATGCCGCTGCGGATAAAGAGCCAGCTGATACTTCTAACACCAACAAAGCGGATCTATCTAGGGAAGCTGCTCGTGGTCCAGAGGATGGCACTAGTAGTACCGGACTGGAGGAGGTGCCGTCCGCTACTCCGCTTCTTGACCAGGCCGCACCTTCGGAAGGCGAGGGAACAAGCAGCAGCACTTCTGGTTCGCCTGCCCAGAGCGGGAATGATTCACCATCCGGTTCTCCTGCAGTTCCGCAAGAGGAGGAAAATCCCGAAGCGCGCCGCCAGGTGGATACCCTGCGGCGAGAAATTCCGGTGATGCTCGCGTCACTGAAGACCTACGCCAATTTGGTCATTCGGCTCCACGACGGGCGGAATCGTGGCGGAGCGAACCCAAACGGCAAGAAACCGAAGAAGCACAGCGCGTATCCCGCGCGACTAGCAAAGAAGGCCCTGTCCGCGTTTCTGCCGACGCAGGGGAACTTGCCGACGCCCGAGGAGGTCTTGGACCGTCTCATCGATTTCTTCGGCGTCGACGGGTCTGCCAACACCTCCTTCGAACGGAAAATGAATGCTGCTTCGTCCGCAATGGACGGAACAAACGCGACCTCCTCCGCGCAGCCGGGGGGCGAGAGCAACAACGGACAAGAAGATGTCGGGCCAGGAACTGCACCAAAAGAGGATTCAAAGAAAAGACCGAGCGCTTCTCTCACCCCGATTCCGAGCGCTGCGCCTGCACTCATTGAGTACTTGAACGCACGGAAAACGCTGGTGCAAGTGACCATGCAGAAGTTGTGGCTGTTTGTGTCTGGCCGGGTCGGACACTTCAAGCTGGATTTGCGAGCCGACTATGAGCTGCAGAAGGTGCCGCCTAGCGGTACAACTACGGGAGGTGGTGCTGCGAATCAGGGACAGCTTGTGCCGACGACCTCGTCACAGAGTGGCGCGAGCTCGGGAACCTCCACGCCGACGTCCGCGCGCAAGCACAGCCTCCCCATGTTTCTCTTCGGGGAGCAGCCGGAGGAGGCGATCCCGCCGACGGTTTACCAGCACAACGTGAAGTATGAGTGTGATTTCCTCGGCGTCAAACCACATGTTGTGGGCGCGCGCGAGCACGCGGGTCTCGTTCACGTGGTCTCCATGAACAGCTCGGGCGACAGCGACGAAAATAGTACACACGACAATAAACAACATGCAGAGATGAAGCTCGACACCGGCGCGAATGAACTCGCGCGCGGGAAGACAAACGAGTTGCGTTTCGCCCCGATTTTAGAACGTTCTCACGAGTCGCAGGAGCGATCGGGGGACTGGTTGCGGAACTCGAAAGAGAGCGGCGACCAGCCACTGGACATTAGCGGAATCTTGAGTAAGATCATGGCCGAACACGAGACCACCACGGTCGCGTCCGGCACGGCAGATGCTGATGGTCCAGCATCAGCATCTCCCAACGAGGGCGGACGAAACAAGCGCAACGCACCTTTTTCTACCAAGCAGGAGGCCGCCTCTCAAGATGAAGCAACGTCAAAATCGGACAGACCGGGAACTCGCGGGGATGGTGCTGGTGGTGAAAATAAAGATGCGTTTGGGCGCTCCCCCTCTGTTGGGTCCGACCTGTACATACCAACCGGGGGCGAAAACTGCATGCCGTCGATCCCCGGAACACCAAGATCAGGCAGCGACATTGATGCCAACATCGAGGACATGCACAGAAAGCCGTTCGCGTTCGGCGGCGGGCGAAGCAGCGGGTCGTCCGAGGTGAGGCGCAGAAAATCGAACAGCGTCGATCCCTCCCCGGCGTCCAATCGCAACCGAGGACGGGGTGGGGATCAGACCATCTCGATGGCCATGGTGCAGCTCCCTGTCACGACGTACGGTCATAACGAAGTAAACAAAAAGCCGAGCAGCCGCCCAACTTCTTCTACCGGCGGAGCTGGTTCCGCGCGGAGTAGAGCCGCCGGAACAGGGGCAACTCACCATCATCCAGCACGCCAGCTCGTTTCCGCGCCGACGGTGATGCCGCGGCCGAATAACTGGTCCCTCTTGAGTGCAACCGAGGCGGATCGGGCATTACAAAGCATCCCACACTTACCCTTTGTGCGGGGATCCGGTAATGCCGAGCAGACTACACAGCTCCTTTCCCCGAAAGAAAATAATTCGTTTGCACCTCCTCCTGCGACGTCGCTGCAGCAACCAACGACATCTAGTTCTTCTTCTTCCGCGCCCCGAAAGGAGCGTCAAATACCTTGCGACGACGGTGCTTGTTTTCCGGCGTTGCGTCGGCGTGGCACTGCGGCGAAGAAAGCACAGCTGCACGATATCGGCGGTTTGCTGAACCGCGAAAATCGCCTGATGCGCACGAGCATGGAGAGCGATTCCGCGCTCGTCGGGCGCGGCTCGATCGTTCCAGCGAGTCCAGCCGGACCGCACAACACGCCAAGCAATTCCGCCGGCAGCGACCCGGAGGGCAGCGCCTTTCTTTCCGATGTGACCATTTCCATGCCCATGGTGATTAAATCCAGCGCGGCCCAAAATAAACTGCCGGAAACGAACGCAACGACCAACGGAACCGATACTCGTCTTCAAAATGTTTCCGACGATGCACAACAGCAATTGCAGCTATCGCAAATATCGTCGAACGGCGCCAGCGCAAAAGCACTTGGATACGGGCTTCTGCCGTCCCAGTCGGGGGACGGCAGCGGGCCGGCGCCCTACTCCCAGTTGAACGACGAGAGTGGTGGGTCTCTGCATGGCATTCCTTTTCCAGAAGACGACGGGTCGGACACCGCTTTCGCCGCGCGCCGCATGCTCCCCAACGAAAGCGAGTTTTTCGACGGCACGCCCGAAGACGAGCTGGTGGACATGGTCACGGGGGACACGGGAGAGGAGAATCCGCTTGTCCTCCCCCCGCGGCGCAGTAGTCTGGTGGCGTCCCCGTCCAAGGATCGGAAGGCCAGTGCGGGTGACAACATGCTTGGTAAAACAGAGGTAGAAGCAGGAGAACAACAACGATTTCTCGATGTTGACCAGGGTCCGGACACAGGAAACGCCGCCGCCCCACAACTGAGAGCTGCAACCGGCGCTGAGATGATTAAGTTGGCCGCTCGTGGTGAAGCTCCGCCAGCGCAAGTCGTCATGGAGGACAGCACGACTACGCCAAGATCTTCCGCAGCGTCGCCGAAGGGGATTTTTAGGAACAGCACAGACCACGATGAAACTGACGTGGGACAGAAGCAAGATACACCCGGCAGCTCTAGCACCGGCCCTGCGTCCGCCTTTGCACCGCAGCAGGAAGCGATGCCCCCTCCGCTGTGGGCCGGAAGTGCCGCGAGCAAGGTCCGCAGTGGTCACCGACTGGACCAGAACACCTACTGCGTGACCGGCGATGCCTCGCCGGACCAGTCCCGCGAAGAGTTGCGTGTGCCGAATAAAGCACCGTCGCCAGAGAAGATCCCCTTTGTCGGCGCCAGCAGTATCAATAACTTCAATCCGCCGGAAGTGCTGTCGAAGACGAGAAGCAAGAAGCGCTCCACGGGGGTCGACATCGAGCAACTCGCCAAAATCGATTTCTCCGCGGCGAACAGTGCCATCCTGGGCACGTCGCCGGAGCAAATTTCCTTCTGGAAGACGCTGCTGTTAGAGGACCCCCAGGAGTGGGACTCGCTACCGGCCGTCTCCTATCAAATGTAAAAATGTCTGGGTCTGGAAGAATGCATGTTTGTCATGCTTGTCTGGCATGACTCTTAAATCTGTCATGCACGTTACCCAAGAGCTGCGTTTTTCTGTGATGCAGAAACGCAGTTTGTCATGCAGAATAGGCAACACCTACACCTAGAAGCTCAGAAACTTGTCATGCTGAGCCAGCATTTGTGGCCTCATCATGAGACGCCGCCCAGCATCACAAGTTTCCAGATCCAGACATTTTTACATTTGATATCTCCAAACCGGGGCTGAAGCAGAGTCAGCTGTACGATCGACTGCTCTACTATGGAAGCGTCAGGTTTGAAATCGTCAAAGTTCAAATAATTCGTAATGCATAAAATGCGACACAAAAAGTGACTCTATTGCAGAGGACCCACGAGAGGCAGATTATAGTCCTGGCAAGGGTCAAAAATTGGCCTGCTAACTAGCATGACAGAAAGCAGCTCTTTTGCTCTAAACCGCATGACAGACTCGCTTCCAGGATTGGGAAAATTTGTCATGCACCGACTACAAACTGTAGGTCTAACTGGTATCCGTTTTATGCATGACAAACTATTTCAACTTTGACGATTTCAAACCTGACACATCCATATCTACCAGTGCCACCAAAAGGAAACCGAGCGGTTTTTCCGCATGGAGCCGAAGAAGCAGGAAACGGGGGCCGCGGGCATCCTGAATGCGCTGTTCCAGGTGGGGGGCGCGGGCGCCCACCGCAAACCGGGGAGCGAAAGAACCTGCACCATGGTAGACGCGCGGGGGCTGCCAAAACCACTGAAAAATTGGGTTCCGCTCAACGAACAGTACGATGCCTCGTTCACCGTGCCGATTGGCCACGACCAAGCGATACTCGAACCCTCCGGCCTGGGTCACGATCACCAGTACAAAACTAAGTGGAACATGCAGATCGAGCGGAACCCACTCACAGGAGGCAGTATTGTTCTGTTGATTTTCCTATTTTGGTTTCAAAGACGTTTGTAAGTAACTTCTGCTGTGAATCTGAAGGCGTTTTCAAGAGCAACGATAGGTATCAATGAAGGACCACAATCATGATCATGCATAGGCAAACCCAAACGGATGAAAAGTTTTTTCCGCGAAATCACAGGTCCACGCGTTGTTGTGAAGCGGGAGAGCGTCAGCGAAACCGGAGACCGCAAGGAAAAGGCGTACACTTTGGCACAGCCCCAAGAAGCCGCGCGCTTGGCGCAGAAGCTCAGCATTCTTCTGAATAACGAATATAGGAATCTCCAGGGTATGTAAGTAGTATGTATCCAATTCCAACTAACTCCAAATTTACATTGTTTTTGAGTTGTCGAGTAGCCACTGCGCTGACAGCGCGCAGCTGATGTACTCCTTCTTGTGGTCAATCCACGAGAAGGCTGCGTCATACCTGAATTTTGTAAAGACTCAACGTTGATCTTGCATCGATATCTTCATGTATGACGGTTCTGTTCACTAGTAGTACTAGCGATCATTCAAAAAAAAAATAATTTCAGAAGCGAAGAACGTATCGTTGGCCTGTGCTAAATTGCAAAAACCTGCTTTATTGACATTAAGACATCTATGGTTTTCATTTTGCAAAATGTAAAACAGAGCTACCGCTCACCACGGTAGGCGACTGCGAAATTTTTTCTCATGAAGTACAAGTTTCCTTTACAGTAGAGTCTCTAGGTAAAATGCCTTTTCTGTGAAACGCTACAGTACACTAAGATAGATGCCACTGTTTCCTCGTGGCAGTTTTGAGGTCACTCCCAAAAAATCGCGGTTGCAGTATGAGGAGATGAAATACCGAGAATATGGAGCAAACACCTGCACGGCAGTGCAGTTTGTTGTTGTCGTTTCATCCGCGACTATGAATTAGAATTTCGATATCGATTCTTCACTGCATGTTGTAGGCAGTGCCCTTGCCGCCCTTGGACTTGCGCACCCCGTGTGCCATGTGTTCTCGAAGACCGAACAGGCAGCATGCATGGCCATGGTGAATATCAATACCTCTTGATGATTTCCTTTTCCGGTACGATCTGAATACGTATCGTGTGCTTGGATTACTCGGCGTCGGTCCTTTATTCGGTTTCCATCATCGATCGCCCCTCTCTAAATCGTGTAGCAGATGCTAGAACTAGAAGTACAAGAAAGAAATCATCGCCATCGTTGTGTTCGATTCATGAACTCCAAGTCGTCTTGGCAATGGTATTTTTGAAGCCGGAAGCAGAGTTGAAAATCGAGAGATACTAGTACTTACGACTATTCCAAGAAGTGAAGTTGCAGTTTTGCCTGCGAATCCATTTGGCTTCAGTTTTTTTCGAACTCATCGTCCTCTTTTCGATTGCAACACACTATTAACCAACTAACACCAGGTGTGAGTCAAATTTCTCGGTCCCCACTCGTTCTCTCCCCATCCCGAGAATGTGTAGGTTGAGCTGCAGTACTATTGCAGGATTTCCATGTCAAGACTTATCTCTTGCCTTTTCTCAAGCAGTAACACGAGATCGCGCATTATGTTTTGGTCGCCCCACACCTCGAACTCTCTTCTCTCACTCTACCCTAAGTGACTTTCATACGAGGTTGTCATGCCTATGCAGCCTAGTAAGTTTTTTCAGCACCTAATTGTACTTTTTTCGCCTGGTGTACAACTTTTTCAATGAGCTAAGCGAGACTCGTCTCTCTTCGTTTTTCCACATTTCCTCGATTTTCCCAGAATTAAGAATGAAGTTCTCCCACGCCAAACTGCATCACCGCACTCAGATGCGTTTTCTGCATTATCGCAGAACGCAGACGCATTTTGTGCGACGTTGGTTCTGATTCTAAGCACGCATTCCTCCGCCAGGCCTCAACGAACAAAGGCAATGGACCCAGTCACGGCGCAGACACGACGGTGACGTTGAGTTAAAATCCACGGTGCCGCACAAAAATTAGAATTGCGATGAGTAGGGCACAGAACAACACTCTTTCCGGGCCGTGTTCCAGCCGACGGCTGGCCGCGCACACTTGTTGTCCAGTACAACAACTGTGGCCATTTTTACTACTTGTCTTCCTCGTCTTCGCACCAATGCCAACAGTCGCGCAGCAAGCTCTGACCATCGAGGAGGTGTCCTCCCGATCGCCGTACGTCAACGCTTTTCCCGTCCACTTGCGGTTGACGTGGCAAACCAACATTCCGACCACCAGTTTGGACGTGAAGTGCTGCGTGACTGCTGTGAAGGGCACCATGGACAGCTCGCGGACCGAGCTGTACCTGGACCTGCGCACCGCCAACAACGGCGTGTCCTTTGACGCCGGGCAAGCGAACTGGCACTTTCTGCCCCGGATCCCCTACTACCTGAGCGACAACACCACCCAGGCCACCGCGTTCCAACACTGTGGGTTGCTGGACCCGAGCATCGAGCTGTACTTCGACAGCGACAACATCCGGCAACTGCGGAATCCCGAGATCTCGGTGTACCAGTTCACGATCCCCGGGTCGCTGATTACGGCGAACAACCCGACCCTGGTCTTCGACTTGCGGAACGCGGCGAACCCGCTGGAGGCAAACGCAGACACGGCCGAATTCGCCTCCATCACCGTGTCGCACTCCAATCTGCGCTCCGCGAGCGGGCGGCGGCAGAACGTGTACCACTGGGCTTCGATGGAGGTGCTGAAGTTTCAGGTGCAGCCGAACTTCTACGCGCAAACTTCCGCCACGTTGGAGCTCACCTTTCGGTTGCGGGGGTTGAAACAAAGGAAAAGACTGCCGGGCAACAGCTGGATCTCCCTGAACGCGCCGATCGGCTGGAGGTTTTCCCTGCAGTCGCAGATCGTGGTGTACCAGCCGGACCTCACGAGCGACAGTTTTCCAGTTTTGTTCACCGACTGCGGGAGGATCGGAAATGTGTGCACGGGCGGGTACCTGGGCGCGCAGTTGTCGGCGACGTACGAGTACAACAACCGCGATTGGGAGTCGCAATTGCGGAGCCTCGTGTTTCCGAACTCTCCGCACGTCGACGCGGCGACGTATTTCGACTACAGTCAGAACACCAGCCAGGTGTACGTCCTTGGTCAGGCGGCCGGGAACGAGGTGGTTACGTACGTGAATACGACCTCCTGGGACAGCTTGCCTATCAAATGTAAAAATGTCTGGGTCTGGAAAATTGCGAGATTTGTCATGCAGATTTTCCATGACCCATGAGGTCTGGAATGCGGGGCCTAGCATGACAGAGTCTGTGAGGTCTCTGCCATGCCTATCCCGCATGAGAAACTACCTCCCAACTTGGTCGAAAGTGGACAGCTTTTGGCACTCATGCAACACAGATTTTGACTTTTGCACTATTTGGATTTAGCATGACTTTTCCAGACCCAGACATTTTTGCATTTGATATTGCCCATGGCGGACCCAACCGCATGGTCGGCGGTGCCGGCGCAGGCCCGGTACAAGCGGGCGGTGATTCAGGATGTGAACACGGGGGATTTGCAGTTCTCGGTGGACGACACGGTGCTGCTGCGCGTCAGGGTGACGAACGTGGAATCTCCCGGGAACAAGGCAAGCAACGCTGCGGACGAGTTGGCGATGAACACGTGGACCTTTCACTACGGGTTGATCCAGTCCACCGCACTGGACAAGAGACTGGCCACGGTCACGGTACGGGCGCGCGACGTGATGCTGGAGGCGATGGAGGTGAGTGTGAAGGTGAAAGGCTTTCAGTCGTCCGCAACGACGCCCGATGCCTTCACCATCTCCTCGGCCCCCTATGCCTCACTGGTGCAGCTGGTTTTCACCGTGTCAAAAGCAATCGCAACGAGCAGCAGAAAGAACTACTTCTATCTGTGGACGCCAGCGGTTTCTGAGCAAGGAAACACGTGGAAATTTTCCAGCAGCAATTGCAAGGGCGATCTCGGGGTACTGAACTGCTACAATCTGGATTTTGCCTCGGCGGGAACGAATTCGTTGGTCCATTCGCTGGCGACGAGCTACTTCACGGTCTTTGGCGAAACAGTTTTAGATACGACGTCTGGAGGAAGTGCGTTGCAGTTTTCTATGTTCGCGACAAGCCCGAAACCTGGGTACAGTTCAAATGCGAATTGGCGGCTCTCTTTGTCCGAGGATGGGACGACTTTCGCGAAAATTTTGAATCACGCCAACGGGGTTTCGCACGCGAGTCTGACGCTCGTCGAGCTCCAGGATTTCAACGCGGTCAATTTGAATTTCATCTCGATGCACACCAGTGCCGTCACCCCGCCCCCACTGTCGTTCGCGCCGAAGTTTAGCGTGTCCGCGATCCCGGCCATTCTCACCACCAGCACCATTGTCGAGTTCCAGTTCCAGCTGCGCAAGTTGGACTTGGCCAGAACGAGTGCGCGGGCGACGTCAGTAGAAGCCACCATGACGGGATTGCGGCTCACGGGCCCGTGTGAAATCAAATCCTACAAAAATGGATTCAACTTAGCCAAGGTGGAAACCGGAATCGCCGATTCCGGGCACACGCTTTTTATTCCAATGGCGCACGTAAAATTGAGCAGCAACAACGATGCTAGGATTATGGTAGAAGTTGAGGTGTGCGCCAGTGCTTTGGCGCCAGCGAATGCAGTGTCTCTTGGGCAACCGGATTTTGGAGCAGCAGTGGGAACTGGAAACGCGTTTTTGTACACAAACGCGGAGGTGGCGGGGAAGTGGAATCTAGAAGTGATCGGAACGGGCAACGCGGTCCTGGATCTCGCGACGGTCGCACATTTTTCCGTTGCGACGCACGCCTGGGACCAGCGGTCCTCTTTTTCGGCCATTTCGGAGAACAGGGTAGTCTTCCAAATCTACCTACCCGCCACGACGTCGCTAGACCCACTCACGTTCACGATCCGCGTCAACGGCTTGACCCTCTCTGCCTGCACCCTGGACCGGGTCCCCGGATCCGTGTCCGAGTTCCCGACGAATACGGCATCAGTGGAAACTTTACTCTGTGCGGAATCGTCTTCCGGTTACTACTTTCAGCTGTCCCAGATTCCGGTGACGAGGAGCATGTTGACGTTTCAAGTGCGAGCGACGTTTCCGACCCCGGACGGTAGCAGTGTGGAGATCTGGGAAAGCGTTTCCCGCCCAAATACGACCGTGACGACCACGCTGAGACAGCACGCACCCTTGAGGATAAATTCCGGCCCGAGCAGCAGCAGACGCTTCAGCCAATGCGGTTCGCAAGTATCGCTCTCGAGCTCCGTCGTGGATCCCGTAGGAAATGTGGTTGTGGTTCAGCAAACTGCCGCAGCTCCTACATCTTCTAGTTCCAACACGTCGAGCAGCGCCTCGGCAAGTCTTGTCGCGAGCACAACAACAGTAGCGCCGATAACGAACACCGTGGCGGGCACCATCAGCGAGAAAGACCTACTCACCACCAGCCCCTCGATTTACCCCGCGCAACACGCGTTGGGGCAGTACTTCAACCAGCTGCACAGCGGCAACAGTCGGGTGCGGATAAAAACCATTCCGTCGCTGGGAAACGCATACGTCTTGCAGGACGACCAGACGCAGGAATTTCTCATGTGGTCCCCCCTCGAACCGACAGACAACGTCTGGCTACGGGGCGGCTACAGGTTGGCAACGGTGTCCGCGAGTTGCAACGGGCTCGCCGCGGAGAGTTCCGCTCTATACGGGGACGTGGACAAGGACGCGGCGGACCAGGCCGACGAGCTGTGGCAGACGATGATTTTGATCGTGATTCTCGCCCTCGGCTTGCTGTTCGGATTTGCGCTTCTGTACAATCTCGCCTTCCACCGTGAGGACTGCTTCTCGCGGTTGCGCTTAATCCTGGTGCTGCGCTACAATTGGAGCGGCAATCTGATGAGCAAAAACTACTACGATTACTACGGCGAGGAGGTCGGAGACGACGTCGCCCTGACCTATCCGAGCTACTGGAGCATCGCGGACGAACGGAAGCTCGCCAAGGTGCAGCAAAAGAGCAACAGCGCGTTTCGCGCACTGGCCAACGGGCCGGCGAACGAGAAGCCGGCCAAGTCGAAATCCAGCCAAGATTGGCCCTCGAAGGACGACTACTACATCCCCGCTTTGCCCCCCGGGGTCGATGTCTACGATCTCATGGACCAAGACAAACAAAATTCCCCCGGGAGAAACAATGGATCCCTACCAACCAATATCGCTAGCAATTACGCCGCGAGCAAAGAACGCAACCGCAGTGGAAGCACAGTTGGGGAACAACATCAAAGGAAGAACAGCCTGCTCAGCCTCGAGGGAATTCCGCCAGACTTGAACAACAATGGGACGGACCCCTCGCCCTTACCGAGTCCGTCCGTCGGCAGTGACCACTACCACAGCAAATTGAACTGGGCGCCGAAGCGCACCATGTCAACACAGCAGCGCTCGAACACCGGAGACAAGTTGGAGCAGCCGCCGAAGAGGCAGAGTTCGACTGGGTCTCCATTGAAGCAAGCGCCGAGTTGCAAATTTCACATCTGCGACCAGTCGGTGGTGGAGGGGGTACAGCGCATGTTGGACGAAACGTGGAAATCAACCGCAACGAGGGACCGAAGACGGCTCGCCGCGCGGATTGGGGGCAGCGCGCGGGTCCCAACGCGGTTGGAGGTGGGCTACGTGGCGCGCGTGGAAAACACCGCCCTCTGGCGGCAGTACGCGGGCTTGCGTTCCTCGATGCTGCAGCTCAGCCGCGGGGTGGACCTGAAAATCCCCGCCCACAAGCCCATACCCCTGTCGACCAAGACCTGGGAGGCTGCGGGCTTGCCGCAACCGGAGCTGTTCACGCCCCTGAACGAGTTTTTGTTCTTTCACGGGACCTCCCCCTCCGCCGCGGACAGCATCGCGAACGAGGGCTTCAAGCTTTCGCTCGCCGGAAAGCACGGGGGGTCGATGTACGGTGCGGGCATCTACGCGTCGGAGTCCTGCACTAAGGCGGATGAGTACTCGCACGACGAGTGGCTGGAGGACGACCGGTACTGCGCGATGCTGGTCCTCCGCGCCGTCGCGGCCCGCGTGTACTACACGGCGGACCCGCACCCGGACTCCAAACACATCGAGTCTCTGTGCAAGTTCAACCGGTTTGACTCGGTTTTGGGGGATCGCGAGAAAGCCCGGGACACCTTCAAGGAGTGGATTTTTTTCAAGCCGGAACAGGTGTACACCGAATACATCATTCGCTACAAGCGCAGGTACGACGTCCGACCGCCGAGTTACGGAGCGAAACTTTTGCACAACGTCAGCTACCGGGCGTTGATGCCGGCCGGTCTCGGGGGCAGCTTCTCCGGCTTGAACGCGTCCAAGTACCACAAGCAGATATGGGCCGAGCACTTGGCTGCGGAGGAAGATTTGAAGATGAAAAAGAAGAAAGACACGACGAAAATTACGGTGGACGTCGAAGACGCCAAGGGCAAGTACACAGCGGACAAGAAGAACAAAAAGGCCGATGTGGTGAAGCGCGCGAGCAGTGTGGGCGGCGTGTTGGACGAGGAAACAACCGCACGCGATCGCGAGGATAGGAGTGGTGCCAAGCGGTCCTCTTTCCTGAACCGTCCTCCCGGGGAAAGAGACAATGGCAGCAGCAGTAGCAAGGACAAAAACCCCACCCCCAGCACGACGTCGACGGACGGTGGCACAGCGGCAGAGCAGCCAGGGGGGGTGAGCAAGGCCAAATCGATCTCGGAGCAAGTCAGGGAGAGAGAATTGCTGCAGCAGAAAGAAAAGGAAAAACAAGAAAACAGGGACCGCAAAGGCAAAATCGCGACGGATAGCAGCTCAGCAGCTGCGGCGATAACCGCAAAATTGGGCGGAAATAATGGGGCAGACGACGATAAAAGAAGGGAAAAAGCTGCGAAAGAAAACAAGAGAGACAGCAAAACGTCCCGGCAGAAAAACAGCCTCACGGTCGAAAACGTCAAGCGGCAGAGCGTGAACCTGCTCCGGGTGGAGACGGACACGCCGGATACCAACAGCAACCGCTCTTCGGTACCCTCAAGCATCCTCGAAGGGACGCACGTGGCTACGACCCGGGTTCCAGTGCCCTCACCGAAACACGAGAAAAACTCGCGACTGCAGACCGAGTTCGCCTCGAGCTCCTCCGCTTCCGACACCGAGCACACGACCAAAGTGAAATCTCCCCAGCGGGAACGAAAAGCGAGACTTCAAGACATGTCGAGCGGGTCCGATCTAGAGGCAACGCGGAAAACGCCGTCGAGCTACAGGGCAGGGCGGACGAAATGATGTCTTCGAGTTATGCACAGCTTTACGCATGAGCATGATGAGTAGAGCTGCTCACGCCGAAGAACGCAATGCTCCGACACAGGTAAAAAGAAAAGGCTCTGTGGGTGCCAACGAACATACGATGCTCAACACACCATGAATTTACGAACTGCAACATCTATCTACGACGAAGACGCACTGAGTGTGACGTACTCCTGCAATCTATAGCTGCGCTGATCCTTGTTTCGGTATCTCAGTCCCTTGCGTTAAGTCGCATTCGCATTCTTTCGGTGTCGAGAGTAGTGTCTCAACTCTCAAAGACACGCTTCTCTTTCGGTCGTGCCAAATGAAAAAGTAAAGTCCTTTTGTCTACCTCAGGATCGGTACTGATTCCGAACAAGAAAAAACAATCGGTATTCTCGTGCAAAGCGAAAGCGCCCTTGATGTGAAAATTCTCGTTCTCCTCGGTCTTGTCGTGGCAAGCTATGTCATCGTGCAAAAACATAAAAGTTCTCCATTCGTCCATCTGATACTGACAATTCGTTCATGCTTGCTTCGTGGGATGCTGATAAGGATGATACCACACTGCAGACCACAGCCGCCGCTGTCGTCTTATTTGGCCTTGTTTCGTCTGGGTCGAAATCGAGATAATCGTGCCGTCTTGATATCCCAATTTTTCAGGTGGATCGTTTTGCATAGATCCGTTTCGGTATTGACTCCAACCCGTAAGTATTCCACCCTTCTTCCTAAGAAGATGCCACCCGCATCGTATTTTTTTTGAAAAGCACCACTTCATATTCAAATTAACTCAGCATGGCACCCTGGCAGGGGGGTTCTTCGTTCGAGGGTCCGGCGGCGGAGGACGAGGATGTCAGCCTCGGTTTTGATAACCCCGCCGCGGAGCCCATAATCAGCCAGAAGGAGAGAACGTCGACGGACAGCAACTTTATTGAGGAGGACGACGTGTCCATTCTCAACTCAGAGGCCGCCATTGTGGATTTGGAGGGCCAAGATTTGATTTTTTCCTTCCTCGAAGTCACGTATGGTTTCATCCTCCGCCCTTGCGCCGTTGCGTCCGAACATGTGTTTTCTCAGAAAGCGCGGCGGAACTACAACCAGCTGCTGGTGTACATGAGCAAGGCCTTCGGCCACAACGTCCCGGCGGAATTCCAAGAATGCGTAGACACCGAGACGATGAACGTGCAAAGGAAACTTCGGAATCAAAGCATGTACTACAATTAGATACTTCAGATTTGCGCCGCTCACCTTCTTGTTGGCTGGACAGTTACTTTTTCAATCGTTCTGAATCTGATCCTAGACAGAGTTCGTAGTTTTTCAGTACAGCATGACCACGGAAAATCAGTAACACATCAATCAAAAATCTATGCTAAAACAAAAACAGGCTCTACGTGCCCCGGCTTCTTCCGAACGCGGTGATCTGTGACGCCAAGCCGCAGTTCAGCTCCGAACAGCTCCACGACGAGGTTCTCCCTCTAACCGTGTATTCCACGAACTACACCGGTGAGATCAACAGCAAGCCCTTGTTGAAGAAGCGAAAATGCTGCACCGTCGGGATGTCGCACATATTGGACTACGTCCAGGTGTTGTCTTTCGCGTGGTGGCGACAGCGCAACCCGTTCGGGAAAATGCTGTTCGGCTTGGTCTCCGCGTTGCTCTTTTCCGGCCTACTCTACGGCTTCATCGTCCAGTTTCGCGACTGGAAGTGGCCCGACTATGGGCAGGTGCACTTCTTCGTGTTCTGGTACACGATCTTTCTCGGCCTCTGCACCTTACACTTCGGCGTCTTCAACCTGCAGTTTTCCAAGGACCGCTCGCTGTTCATCAACCAGCTGCTGTATCTGTACTCGCAGCAGTGGGAACACTTTCTGCACGACCGGGTGTTGGAGAAAAAGAAGCAAGAAGAGGAGCGGAAGCAGAGGCAGCAGCGACTTGCGCGGGCTTTACCAAACTCCCCGAATGATGGAGGTGCGGATAGTAAAATGAACTCCAGCACGCAATCGCCGTTCTCGACCGGTGTGGACAGCCACAGCACCACGACCGGGTCTGCTGGTGTCCGCGAACCGCTGCAGTCCGCGTTTCAGCGTAGCTACGAGTCGCCGGAAACTTCTCCGGGCATGACCACGCGACTGCTCGCGGCCACGGGGAGCTACGGCACGACTGGAACAACCGAAGAGGAGCTTGCGAACCCCGCTTTGCCGGTAAACACAGCAACAAGTGCATCAATACCTGGTGCGAACAGCACTTCTGTGACCACTACTGCGCAAACTATGTTCGGACAGCAATTATCGAGCGCTGACGTCACAAAGGAGCTCGAGAGACCCTCTTCCTTTAACTTCTCGCTCACCCCCCGCGCATTCAACCGCGCCACCGCGAACAACCAGAAAGCGCAGCTGAGAGCAGCCGGGTCGCCCGCACCGGCGGAGAAGCTGTACGGCACCTACCGCGGGCCGTTTCTGACCACAGTCGGTTCACTGCCATCGGACGAGCAAAACTGGTTCCAGGATCATTTGTACACATCCCCAGAAATCCAGCGCCAAAATTGGGACTTCGTCCAAACCCTCCGTCGGTCCAGCGGCTGTTGGGCCGTGTTGATTGGGTACAGCTTTCTGATCTTCGTCACCATGTGCAGCATCAGCCTGGCGCACTGGTCCAACCCGGGCGTGCTCCCCATCGGGGCGCCGAGCGCGAGGAATATGTTCGGCCTATCGGAGTTACAACCCGCAAAGGACGTCGCAGCCGCCGCTGCGAGTTCTACAGACCCGCTCACCGCGACCACCACGGCCGCGCCCGAGCTGCAGAACATCTGGAACGTGGACCCGGAGCGCGACGGGTTCGACCCGAACAAGTCCGAGGGGGTCACGGACAAGGAACGCGAGGCGCAGGCGAAATTCGAGGAGAACGTGAAGAAACACATCCAGGGTGCCGCGCCGGGCGAGGGATTGCGGTGGTGCCGGGAGACCATGCAGTACCTGCCGGACAACGCACACTACTGTAGCTACGACAAGTTCGTCGTGCTCGGGAGAGACCACCACTGCCCGTGGGTGGGAAATTGCGTCGGGTTCGGAAACTACAAGTTCTTCATTTTGTTCCTCTTCTGGTACTGGATCATGGCCGTCGTCGGGTTTTTCATCAACATAAGAGGTATCACAGGCTTTTTGCTTTGCAATGCTTTTATTTCGCTCTCTTTCCATTCACTCCTGGTGGTCCAAGCAAAAAGAAAAACGTGTATTGATGTCGCGATTTGGATCTCTCCTCTCGTGTTTCTAGTTATGCCAACCGCCCCTGTCTACTCTAGGTCTAGCCTCTAACTATCTAAAGAGTGTGCGTGTCTTCGTGTTACTACAAACGCACTTCCAGATGTTGTAGCGTCGATAAAAACGAATACGGAAAACAAAAACTACAGCCATCGCGTTCTATCTTTTGTCCGACGTGTGTGGTGACACGATTTTCCGCCAGCGCGGCCCTGCGTTAACCAACTTCGTTGCGGAGCAGTTTCCGCAAGGGCATTCGGAGTGGGAGTACGTCCGTGTCCTGCTGTTTTTTGTCGTGAAGCGCAATCGCTACACCGACGAACTCGACTGGTCCGACGAGTCTTGGGGAACAAATTCTTCGCGCAGCGAGTGCAAGGCCGTAACGTCCGAATCCGAAGAGGATATGAGAAACGCCAACTCAAGTGGAGCAGGTAAAAAAATTAGCAATGATGTTTCACACTCGTGCTTTGTGTGTAATTTTTCGAAGCACTTTTGGTTCTTCTTGGCATGTCATTGGCGTGCCAGGCCTAGGGCTAGGATAGAAAATCTGTATCTCACTGCAAAGCGGAAACGTGACTCACTACAACAAAACAGCTGTAGTTTCCAAGTCCCCGGCGCGACCTGCGAACGTCCCCCAACTCCAGAACCTGGAGCAGATGAATAAGAAGCACCTGTCGGAGCTCTCTTTGAAAACGAGAAGGTACAACCGCAGCTTTATGCAGCGGAAGTACGGTTGGAATTTCGTCCGCTACTACCTCTCCGGCGTGTTTTTCAATCTTTCCGACGTGCGGATCTTCGCCCTGTGGATGGGGCTGGTGTGGTACGGCTTCTGCGTGGGATTCGTGTTCCTCGTCGGACAACACCAGCTCGCGCAGTTTACCAAGGGAAAGATGCTGGGCTCCTGGGACAAGTTTGCCCCGGACGAGCACAACACGCTGTACCAGAACACCTGCCGGTGGCTCGGCGCCAACCCCTTGCTGTGGTTCATGCCCATCCCGGGCACCGGGAATCCGCACAACGGGTGGTATGAGCCCGGTGCGGACCAGTGGAACGGCCGATAAACCGACCGGGTGCTTTGACATCGAGATTTTTTTACAAAAAAATATAAACACTTGTACCAGCCGCATGTACTAGTCCATCATGATACACGTTCGAGCCGCACCGATACTATGTGACGGGTGCAATGTAGTTGTTGAGATATTTCGAATGTACTAGGCGTTGGCCCACCGAGTTTATTTTTCAAGCCACACGTACTGCTTACTTGATAAATCAATTACAACATCAATTTCTCAACACGAGCACACCCGCATTTCTTCTTGACGTGTACTTTCTGTTTCCATGAACAAAAGATGCGAATGACCTTGTACATAGTGTTGTGCGCCGTGTCGTCGTGCACTTATCAAAATTAAACGATATTGGTCTCTGCATGTACAACTATTTCACTTCCCGATTCTATGATGTAAAAATAAAATTTGTTTCCGATGCTTCTGTTTGTAAAGAATTTCGCTGAGACTGAGTCAAAAATTGGATAAACCCGTGTACAACTACTCGCTTTTTGATCGCTGTCCTTGACTGACAAGTTTCCACAATATCCTGTGCCGCAAGTGCAACCAGTCAGCCCCGACAGTGTTGCAATATTGTTCGCGTTCTAAGTTCGCGTTGCCTCCTGCTTGCGTTCAGTTTGCTTGGGGGTCTTGACAGAGAATGATATGCTTACGGCATTTCGGAGAAGTAGATTGATTCATTCAGTGACTGCTCTGAGATGACATGAAGACGATTGATTCTGGACGAGAAAGACGATGAGAAGTAGTTTGTGTCTGCTGAAGTTGTATCGATTGTCTTGGCGTTTTCGAAGAAAACACAGTCTTTTACTCTTGGGTCATCAACTCGCATCAGGAAGAAATTCAGCAAGTATGATTTCAACACCTGAAAAAATCTGCAGCGTACTGAAAGACTAAACCATTTAGCGCACGTTGTTGTATCTCTAACATTCATGCAAAACATAAACATTCACGCTTACCACCACCAGCACACGCATGCTCCACAGAGGACCGACTTCTGAATGCAGAACCGAAGACCTCATCAGATCGAGCCAGAAGCAAGTGCCGAAAACTACAGCGTTTTTGAAGAACAAGTAGAGCAGCGGCATCATCATCAACAACACTAAGAGTGCAAGTTTCCGACGCAAAAATCTCGACAACACTACCCTCGGCGCCATGTACGTAGTAAAACGGGACGGAACGCGCGAAAAGGTCGCGTTCGACAAAATCACGCAACGGCTACACAAGCTTTGCTTTGGTTTGAACAAGGAGTACCTCGTCCCGGAAAAAATCGCGCAAAAAGTGGTCGAAGGCGTTTACGATGGCGTCCACACGTGCGACTTGGACAACCTGGCCGCGGAAACCTGTGCGTACATGTCCCAGATGCACCCGGATTTCAGCCTACTGGCCGCCAGGATAGCGATCAGCAACCTCCAAAAAATGACAAGTCCATCGTAAAAACTACTTTTAAATGTTTTTTGTCCTTTACGTTTTTTTCGTATTTGATATGCTTGACTGATTTTCATCTCCTGATGACGTTGAGGTTTCGACATTGAAAAAACAATAGATCGCGCTGCTCTATTGCTTGGCTCAATCAACAAACCCACAGGTTCGAAACCACCTGCAAGACGCTATTTTTCTACACGGACGAAGGGGGCCGGGATTGCGCACTGCTTTCGAAGGAGTACTTTGATTTCTGCAGTCAGCACTGGGACCAAATCCAAGGCGCATTGAAATACGAGCGGGATTTCACCTACGACTACTTTGGTTTCAAGACTCTGGAGCGGAGCTACTTGTTGAGGGTGGACGGCAAGATCGTCGAGAGACCACAGCATTTGATTATGCGCTGCGCGCTGGGGATTCACATGGGCGACATCGAGTCTGCATTGGAGACTTACGACTGGATGAGTCAGAAGTTCTTCACGCACGCCACTCCAACGCTTTTTAACGCAGGTATGAGCGTATAGGTCTACCATCTAAGTTTTTCACTAAAGAACAATGGAAGGAAGGAAAAAAATAGAAAGTCGCCCACGGAAAGTCAAGGAACAATTAAACTGTGCCCAAGTGCCTTCTAGACCTGCTTGCTGCGAATTTATGTCACCAGGTACACCGAAGAACCAGATGTCTTCCTGTTTCCTTCTTTCCATGTATCCACAGTAAATTTCCCGTACACGTACAACTGCGGCCTCTGCATGACAAAACTTGGCATCGATCCTAGTTTAGCATGACAAGTCTTCAGCTCCAAATTGGTAGAATTTGTGATGCATCTTGTACATGTACGGGAAATTTGTATTGCATACCATGGTCTCCGACAGTATAGATGGGATCTACGATACCCTGAAACGGTGCGCGAAAATATCAAAGTCTGCCGGCGGCATCGGCGTAGCGATTTCGAATGTGCGAGCAAGCGGAAGCTACATCCGGGGAACCAACGGTTACAGCAATGGATTAGTCCCGATGCTCCGAGTTTTCAACGACACGGCCCGATACGTCGACCAGGGCGGGGGCAGGAGAAAAGGCGCGTTTGCGGTACTACTATGCATACTCTAGATGAAGTTTTGACAAAACTACGAAAAGTTTGTAGGTCGAATTGTTTATGCTGGATCGACAATTTTTTTCGGAGTGAAATTCCCAAGACTGTTTTCCACGAACAGATGTACCTCGAGCCGTGGCACGCCGATGTGTTTGACTTCCTGGAATTGAAGAAGAACCACGGGAAGGAGGAAAACCGAGCGCGAGACTTGTTCTACGCACTCTGGATTCCCGATTTGTTCATGAAGCGCGTCATGGATGCCGGGGACTGGACGCTTTTTTGCCCCGATGAGACCAGACACCCGGAGACGAAGAAAACTCTGCAAGACTTGTGGGGCCCGGAGTTCGAGGAAAGATACGTGGAACTGGAGAAAGCAGGTACTTACAAAAGTAGCTACATGCGACGTGCAACCTGCTGCACAATCTTTGCCCTTGCCTGGACCTGGTGCTTGGGCCCTCTTCTGTCTTCACTATCAGTCGTGACTGTGCACGACGACTAGTAGTACAACAAGTAGGAAAAAAAAGCATCAGCATAATTTCCTCAACTCGACCAGGTAAGGGCCGCAAGACCATCCCCGCGCAGTCACTTTGGAACAAGATCCTGGAATCTCAAATGGAGACCGGTGTTCCATACATGTGCTACAAGGACCTATGCATTGCAAAAGTAACGTACTAGCATAAATTGCATTACAAATTTTCTCAAGAAGAAAAGTGGAATTTGTAATGCTGTTTTACCTTTTGAGGAAGATTTGTCATGCATATTTGCAATTAGTACAAGTACGATACGTTTGCACAGCATAGGACCACGCTAACAGCAAGTCCAACCAGCAAAACCTGGGGACGATCCGTATGGCGTTCTCAAACGTTACATTCTCAACTGTTACATGGTTTGTCATGCGAAATTGCCTTCAGAAGCGACACCATCAAGCTGCTTCGCATGACAAATTCTCAGAGGGCCAAATAGGGTGATAATCGGCGCCAAGTCTGTCATGCAAGACGCGCAAGATCTCCCCTATTACTTTTGCCATTCTTGCATTACAAATTTCATGTAACAGTTGAGAGTGTAACGTTTGAGAACGCCATAATCCGCTGTTCCAATCTGTGCACGGAAATCTTCGAGTACACCAGTCCCGACGAGGTGGCCGTGTGCAACCTAGCCAGTATTGCGCTGAACATGTTTACCAAGGAAGAGGCCGTCGCTGCCGCGCAGGAGGGCGGGTCCAGTTCGAGCTCGAAGGTGCCGATACAGGAGAAGTACGACTTCGAAAAACTGAAGCTTATTTCCAAAATGGTCACGAAAAACCTGAACAAGGTGATTGACGTTAATTACTACCCCGTGGAGGCCGCGGAGAAGTCGAACAGGAGGCACCGGCCAATTGGTATCGGCGTTCAGGGATTGGCGGACGCTTTCATGAAGCTCAAGTACCTATCTATCTTCGATCGAGTTGTTTTCGTCTTTCTGACTCTACGGTTCGTGTTTGTTAAAACGCGAGCGCGGCACGATTTTTTTCGGGTTGGTTTTGATTGTTGTGGACAGAACAATACAGCAGGCCGGCTTTTTAGCTCGTGGTCACTGGTAGTGGTGAGCGAGCCAAGGTAATTGCTCCCGCTCTGCGAAAAAAAATCAGGATACCATTCGAGAGCGAGGAAGCGCGGGAGCTAAACAAATTGATTTTCGAGACAATATACTTCGGCGCGTGCGAGGCATCAATGGAGCTGGCAGCAAAGAACGGCCCGTATGAAACATGGAAGGGTTGCCCGGCTGACAAAGGTAATATGCAAGCTTAAGAATTTTGCTTGAGAAAGAAAATCATAATTTGCTCACCTCGTCCGCAGGGAAATCTTAGTGCTGCTTTTATTGAAGTACTACAAACTAACGATGATCTTTCTGTCACGCACCCATATCCAACCTGACAATCGAATCGCGACACAGGTAAACTTCAATACGACCTGTGGGGCGTGACACCAACGCCATTGCACGACTGGGCGGCTCTAAAGGAAAAAATTGCGCAGCACGGCATGCGCAATAGTTTACTGCTTGCCCCGATGCCAACCGCCTCCACGGCACAGATTTTGGGAAACAACGAATCTTTTGAGCCATACACGCAGAACATCTACGTATTGAAGACGTTTTCCTATAATTTTTTGACATTGATGACGCCGTGCACGTGCTGCATTTGATGGAAAACATTCAAAAGTGACTATCGTCTGCTGGATTTCTCACCTCGCGATAATTTTATCAGGTCCGTCGTGTGCTATCCGGTGAATTCGTGCAAGTGAATCGGCATCTTTTGAAGGACTTGATTGACAGGGGGCTCTGGAACCAGGACATGAAAACAAAGCTCATCGCGAACAACGGGTCGGTGCAAACGATTGCAGAAATCCCATCCGACATGAAGGAAATGTACGTGAAAAGATGTTGTTGAAGATGAAGTCAAAGTTTTTAACAGCGTGGATGCCTTTTGGGTTTTGTGAAGCCGTTCTGATTTCCTACTAATTATTGTAATTGCGAAATAAACAAAAACCACCGCAGATACAAAACGGTCTGGGAGATCAAGCAGAAGCGCATTCTCGAATTAGCAGCCGACCGCGGTGCGTTCATTGACCAGTCGCAGAGTCTCAACGTGCACATGACCGGTTGCACGACCCAGAAGCTTTCCTCGATGCACTTCTACGGCTGGAAGCTCGGTCTCAAGACTGGGCAGTACTACCTGCGAACGAAGGCGGCTGTGGAGGCGATCAAATTTACGGTCGATGTTACCGACACGAAGAAAGCCCAGGCAAAGCTGAAGGCGGAGCAGGATGAGAAGAGCAAATACGAGTGCGTGGGGTGCGGCAGCTGAGGAAACAAGTTGCTTTGAATAGTGGCTGCAAGTCAACATCCTCGAGATGAACACACGCCACCTGTTTTGCACGAGATAGGAGAAGAATAATCTTCACTTTTAGTTTACTTTTTGACCGATTCCAATTCAATTAAGTATACCTATGCAGGAAATAAATGAGAAGTTGTTGCTTTGGATCCATCGACGAACTACAAAAATCCGTCGTCTGGATCGAAGCTGACTCGTCTATTAACATTGATTTTCACTTCATTTTTCGATTTCACTTGCGCCAATGGCGAAGTGAGCGATGGCGGTTTTTGAACTAAATTGCATGCCGTTTTGAGAACAAGTGCCGTAGGGCTAGGAATACTCGGTTCCGGCAGGTTAGAGGAGCTTCACGCGAAGATATAACCGGTGAAGGTTCTAGAACTTTAATACCCACTATCAAGCGAACTGTATTCTACCTTTTGAAGGTTCTTCGTCTTTCTACGAAAGGACGACAAAAAACGAGATAATTTCAACTTTTTGGCAACAAAAAATGCACTGTATTTTCAAGAATCATGATGATGATTTCGATTTGAATTTTTCCCGCAGTAAAATGCTAGAAAAACTTCGTACGAACACGAAGCGTCGTCGTATGAACTACTTATCCCGGGAGGAATTTTTTGTGCAGAACACACACCCGCCCGGGTTACCTATGAAGAAAAAAACACGATCAGGGAGGCTGCAGCCGATCGATTTAGTAATGGTGAACCCACTGCATCGAGTGCTGAGGTTCTATGTGTACAGAGAAAACTTCTAGCAGCACAACAGAGCAGACAGACGCTGTGCAGTACGTGGTTGTGTCTGTGTGCAAATAACTGAGCAGCGCGTCTGTGTCTGAAGCAACGCTGAACCAGGTAGCAGTAATACCGGCTTCTAAGTAGAGTGTGGAGATAGCTGTTTCGTTTTCGACGTACCGCTGCTGAGTGACCGTGAAATACACGAGGGATAGCAAAGATTAAGCTAGAGCGATTGAGAGCGACACCAGCGCGCTAATTCGTGGTTACGGGCAAGACCCTGGCTTCTCTAGTGCGATCCCTACATATTGACGTTCGAGGAGTAAGACAAATCGGCGAAGCGCTCAAATCGTTTCGTACTGTTGATCGTTGGTTTCTTTCGTTTTGCTGTGGCTGGGTGTTGACCCATTTACTCTTGAAAATTATGTAACGCGTCGTGCAAATGCAGAAGGTTTACGTTTAGGTTATGGGGGAGATGTAATAGATTCATATTCTTTCCGCGATTTTAAGACCGACAGTGGACGCCTGACAGGACAGAAAAACCCTATGCCGTCAGCCCGTCCGAGCGAGGTAGCTGCTGGCGGCAGCAGACCGCCTACCCGCGAGAAAATCGATCAACTCAAGGGCGACGCGAAGGCGATCACTAAATTGCTCAAGGACAGCAAATATCAAATGTAAAGATGTCTGGGTCTGGAAGAATCCGAACTTGTGATGCTGCATTTGGATTCTAAAAAAATCTGTATTGCATGACCAGCAAAGGGAATGCAATTTTGGCTACGCGGCGAGGGCATTTGTCATGCGGAATAGGTATCCCGAAGCCCTCAAAAAGTCTGTGATGCTAGGGCATGCATCACAGACATCGTGGCCCCTGCAAAACGTGCATGACAAGTTTCAGAATCTTCAGACCCAGACATTTTTACATTTGAAAGCAAAAAGTGGACCGAGTTGACGCAGAGCGTTTTTTCTATCCTGTGCAAAAGTATCGCACTCGTACTAATCGCATTCATGCAATACAAATTTCTTTCTAAAGTTAAATCCGCATTACAAATTTTCTTTCTCATGCTGACGAAAGTTGTCATGCGATTTATACTAGTACGATGCTTTTGCATTTCATATTTTCGGAGCTGCAGCAGAAAGACCAGCTCGAGAAGAAATTCAACACCGTTGTCAAGCGGGCCGACGAGAATGAAACGAAGGTACTATTAGAGGAACTAAATTCACACACTTTCATTTGATTCGTGAATTGTGTTTGGGATGATTGTGATTGCTTCAGACTCCCGACTACTTAATTTGAAGCCGAATTGGAATTCGCACTCGAGGCGAGTGTGATAATTGCGAACAGGAATGGGTTACACATTGTCTCTCTCTTCACTCGCACAGCTCGCGAAGCTGCAACGGGGCCTCGAGGAGGAAAAGCAGGCCCTTTGGGCGGAGGCTAGAAAAGAAAAATCGGACGCAGTGGAGCAGCTGGCAACGGTGGAGGAACACTTGTCTGAAGCCAAGGAGCAAGTCGAATACCTCACCAAGGCGCTCGCGAAACATGAACACTCGTATACTATGCTACAGCTGCCGCCGTGCTTTGTTTGGTCATACGTTATCTTTGCTCTCTGCGAAGAACAGACCCTCACCTGCGTCAAAGATGGACTTTGCCATATGTTTTCTGGCGAACTTCTTGCGTTCTTCCAATTTATCTTGTTTGTATCGGGAATGAATCTTTACTAAGGTCCGAAGAAGCCGGGAAGACTACGGCCGGGCTTGAAGCAGAGGCGGAGTCCTTGCGCCGGCGGAACAGTGAGCTGGTTACACGCTGCAGTGAGTTGGAAGGCCGCTGCAAGGAATTAGAGACGGCAAACTTCGATTTGCTGAAACACAGCGAAAAGCAACAGAAAGAGTAAGTAGTTAAGTACTTATCTAAATGTCGACTTAAGTAAGTATTTCTTCGTCGTTGTGCACGAGGATGAAGTGATTGAAGATAATGACCTTGCAACTGCGCAGCTGGCCGTTTGCGCTCGCGCTTCCCATGTAGATGGAATTGAAAATTCTCAGACTCTCTTCCCTAATGGAGGCCAATCACCAAGCCAAGGAGTCCGCGATGCAGTACAAAACCGAAAGCGTCCGGATCGGCAATGCGTTGAAGGACGCCACGCAGAAGATCGCCGAGATGGCGAACTTTGGAAAGAAATTTCTCGAGCCAACCCCGCCCACTCCCGCGGTAGACGTGCGTCCCGGAAGCCGCGGGCGCGTGAGTTTCAACAGTACAACCGGGAGTGGTGGGAAGAACAGGGTGGTATTGGATCCGCTACCACTGTCGGTCACGGGCACACAGGAACCCATAGTAAGTCCAGTGAGCGGGTTTCAAAAGTGGGCAAACTTCTACGGTCTGCCAGAAAACGGAAAGCCGGAAGCGGCTGGTACAATGTTGAGACAGATATTTTCACAATCACAATTAGGATCTACTACTTCCTTGACCGTCAGCTAGGTTGTACTACCTGGCACTAAATCAATGGCAAAAGCGCGATATTGATACGTCGCTACAGGTGCGTCGCTGGCTAAGACCCTGAAGCAGTCGTTCGTGGAATCCGTAAAGAAAAAGTACGGCAACTTGATCCGCGGTTGGCGGGTACTGGCCGCCTATGCCTCGCAGGGAGACTCTTTGACTCTTGCGGAGTTTTCCAACGCGTATAAACAAATTGCTCCTTTACCTTGTTCATTTCATTGAAGAACGTTGATGAGTCTCAATGACAATGTAGTTCTGGGTCTCGGTATCTTGGATGAAACGAAAAGGAAAAGAACATACCCACAGCATGTCTATAAGTCATGCAACACCTGAATCATCATCGAAAGTCTTGAAACACCTCCGCTGCAGGTGCCACGAGCTTCACCTGATCTCCGAGAAGAACATGAAAATGACCTTCCACGACTTTGTCGGGAATTTCCACGGGAAGCTGACCCTACCCGACCTCGATTCCGAATCTTACCGCGCCTGGAGCAACCTACGGCTGAAACTGCAAGACCTGTTTGGTTCGACCGTGCACGGGATACGCGAGATGTTTGGCCCGAAAGCCAGCCTCTCCGCGGAGGACTTTCTGCACTGCGTCGAGCACATCAAGGTGCAGAAGGGAAAACTGCTGGTCACGTATCTGCAAGTCGAGAACCGCGTTTACTCCGACTCGCTTGTCCTGAACGAATCCGAAGTGCCGGCACTGAAGGTTGACAGTCAAACCTTGCTCGAGATGCAGAAGAGCGGCAGCACCCTGTCTCCCGACGCAAAAAAATTCCTCCAGCGCGAGCAGGCGCAGGAAAAGCGCGCGAGCCGGGCGAGCGCCCCATCTGCTGCGATGAGGCGCGGCTCCCCGGACTTGTACACATCAAATCAGCCGACGGACTCTCCGGAACTCGGTGGGACCACGCTCGAGCCGCCAATGAGTGCGAGTTACTACGCGACGAGTAGCCCGATGCTAGAGCAGTCTTTGAAGAAGGAGAAGCTCACCGGGGCACAGTTGTTTGAAAATTTGAAGAGGCTGCTCATCAAGAAGTATCGGTCCCTGTCCCTCGCGTGGAAAACTGCCTTCGACGTGCAGGGCCGAGGCCACTGCGGGTCGCAGCACTTTGCTGCGGTGTGCCGCGGGTTGGGCTTCGAGGGGGCGAATAGCGTATGGCGGGAGGTGGTGCAGTGGCGCTCAAAGAGCGGTTTGTTGACCTACGCGGATCTCGACCCCGAGGGTGCGCAACTGATCTACGAGTTAAAAGCCAGGATGGTTGACAAGTAAGTACATGCTTGCAATAGACGAAAATTGTAAAGTTATGCGTGAGACTGCTCCTTCGTTCTAGAAGTATCGTGGAAGATGTTTATGTTGATCAACATGATTTTTGATCAACATGATTTTTGATCAACACGCTCGTGCACCCCAATAAACAAGGTATCGCGACTTCGTCACTGCCTGGGTCGTCGGTATCGATATGGATGGCAGCAACCGCGTTTCTGAGGCCGACTTTGTGAATACGGTATCTAGTGGCAAATTTGGTGACTTTTCGGAAGTGGAATCGCGGCAGCTGTTCCGTTTACTGCGCTCTGCGGACAAGAAGTTCCTGCAGCTCCACGATATCGACGTCAAAGCGGGTCAACAGCTGATGGACGGCAATCTGCCTCCCTATGTGGACCAAATGAAGGCGGAAGCGAGGAAGCAGCTCAGTCGCGGCATGAGCCGGGAAAGGAGAACCGAGTTTTTGGTCAGGCAGAATTCGCACGAGGTATCTTGTTATCATTCACCTGATCGTGTCATGAGCCCATAAGCGCGAGTACCTTCTTCTTCTGTGTCTCTCTGCCTTTTGTTTTCGCTGTGTTGATGAAGTATCTATTGAATGTTGTCGCTGGATTCCATTCTATTTGCACTAGATCCACGCCTTCCGGACGGAGTTTGCGCAGCACAAGCGGCAGCAGCTGAACGCTAAGGATGAACGGCGGCAGAGCCGGGACATGGGGGCGAGTTCCAAGGAGGAGTTCCTGAGCTTTCTGAAGCGCAAGTACGGAAACCTGCCCCGCGCCTGGCGCACGGCCTTCGACACGGACGGCAACGGGAAAGTTTCGCAGCAGGAGTTCTTCAGTGTCTGTCGACACCTGAACGCCTTTATCGGCGACGTGAGCAAGTTGTTTTCCGAGTTCGACGTGGACCAGAGCGGCATTTTGTCCCTCGCGGAGGTCGACCCGGCGGCGTGGCGGATTTTGTCCAATTTTGAGGACAAGTGTCTCGAGGCGGTGGCTGCTTCCTCCTCGCGGGGGGCGGTAGTGGTCCAGCCCCCCTCTGCGTCCACGACGATTGGCGGTGCGCAATCCGGGTCCGACGCGTCGGAGCCAAGCGGTGCAGCTGTTCCCCGTGGGCGCACGGGAGCGTTGGCGAAGTGGTGGAGCGTGTTCTTCGCCGATCAGGATTTTGCGGAGCACGACCTCCTGCGCCGTATGCAGGACAACAGCGCGGTGACGGCGACAATTCTGAAGATCGATTTCACCAGGTTCCAGGCCATCTGTGCGAAGGATTTGAATTTGCACAACGAAGTGACGGTCAGGAAGCTGTTTTCCTACTTTGCAAAGGAGGAGGGATCCACGTTTCTGACCGAAACGGATTTTAAGGCGATGGACATCCCGAAAATGCGGGACATGCGCGAGCGCAAGCGTCGTAGCAGCAACGCATTTGGGGGCGGCGCGCGATCTCGGAGCACGTCGCTCCAAAGCTCAAAGCAGGCGAGCGCCAGTCCATCCGAGAACGAGGGAGCCAGCAACGTCGTGAGTCCTGCGGTCCCGGAGGAGGGGATTGTCGGTAGTACAGCCGGGGCCGCGGCCACCGAAGTGTTGAAGGCCGCAAAGCCGGAAGAAGCGAGCAAGTCGGAGGAAGAAACAGATGCATATCACAAGAAAAAAGTGTTACAGTTACACATTTGTTGGAGTTTCTGCATCACAAATTTTCTCTGTGTGGCAGGGAAAACTTGTAATGCGAAGATCATTAGGGAAAACAGGAAGGAAACGAGGCTCCCAAGCATTTCCTGCATGAGAAAGGTTATCTGTGTTGCTGGTCTTGCAACACAATGTGTAACTGTAACACTTTTTTCTTGCGATACTGCAGATGCCGACCACAGCAGCAGCACAAGCGCCGAGGCAAGTGGAGGTTCCAGCACGGAGCCGGAACCTGCAGCGGATCAGGTCGGTCTTGCAAAAAAGAATGACGCCGATGTTCTTGGAGCGAGTGCCAGTGAGGAAGAAGATCCTATCTTGGGAGCCTCACAGGAAACCGCAGAAGAGGAGGAAGTAACGAAACCAGCAGGAGAACAGGATCCAAGTGCTGCTACAATAGACAAGGCTGAAGAATCTTCTGCTCCGGAGGGCGGACAGGAAATTATCATTCCTACTCGATCTGCAGCGAAAGATGACGAAGAGCCGCCAGCAGCAGTAGAGGCTGCGACCACCACGACAACGTCCGACATTGACGAGTTTTGCGTGACCTTCGTCGAGGCGAATGAGGGTGACTGCAGCCGCGCGTGGGGCAACCTCTTCGGCACCGACGAGGATGTCGAGGAAGCCAAGTTTGTCGACTTTTGCAAGGCCGTGCGGGCGAAGGGGTTCCAGGGCAACTTGAAGCTTCTGTGGACCAAGTTCGGTGGGACGGATACACTCTGCCCCGGTGACATGGAAGAAAAGCTGTTCTTCTGACTCTAATCTTTGGAAACACATTCACCAAAAAATGAATCCTGCTCTACTGCGAATGTCAAAAACAAAGATGTCAAAAACAAAGATAGAAAGATGGAACTTTAACTAGACTCGTCATGATTGTCCTGGACCTAGATGGCAATTGACGAAGCGAAAATCTATGTGAAACTTGCAAGACGGTGCTATAATTTGTACGATTGTATCAACTGCGCAAAAGTAAAAATTCGAATGAATACAGACCGATTTCTCATTCTCTTGTTTCACTAGCTACTTCTATTTGCATCTTACTTGTTGATGATCTTTCTTGTTACATCAGCAGGGCCAAGAGCAGGGCCATGGTAGCCTCAGCGATTGCCAGTCCGACTCTTGGTCGCGGTTTCTCCAGATCAAATGTACGATTCCTCTTCCTCGATGCTTGACTATCTTCCGAAATGCAACCTTAGGCCCTGATTTGAAATGGAAATCAACGATGAGAAAAACGTGGCCTTCATGTTTGATGCTCGTTTCCACCGTCATGGCCCAAACATGGAGCATCAAGCGGACGAATTTAAGATACCGGTGGAAGATAGAGGATTGGCTATCGCTCCAGGTTTGTAGCCACAGCGCAAACCACTACCACATCCAGCAGCGGGGCTTCACCCACAGAAAAAAAAAATAGATTGTTTGCTCAACCGGCTACGCAGACAGCAATGCAAGTCTAACTCGACAGTGAGGTTGTCAAACTATGTCTCCTCTACTTGATCTCTAGCTTTAGAACGTGTTCTGCGTGCCCTGCTTTCGAAGCTTCGAAGCTACGTGAAATTTTCCTGTGTCGAGCGTGGCAACGTGCTGTATAATTTCCTTGAAGTTGAAGATCCTTCTCCTTTGTTTTTCCTTTTTGTTCGGAATAGTACTTCTACTACCCATTCAGATCTGTCATCGCTTTCGGATTCTTGTTTGACTTTGTAATGCAGCAGCGGGCACCAGCGGCAGGGGCAGCATCAGCGTCACGTTCAAAAAGAAAATCGAAACTATCAACGCTGGCTTGGTAGATCTCAGCTCAAGAAGACAGCCTCCGTTCATTTCGTGTTTAAGTTTGAAACTCTATTTGCAGTTGTGCAAAAAGCTAGATCCTTCTTTTTGTTGATGACCCAGTGGCAGTGACCACGGCGATCGATGAGCTTTGTTTGGAACCTCCTGCTGGCTGGCTTTGCACATTATCACAAAAAACTATGTATGTGATGAGAGCAGCACTTACTTTCTTTGATTTTCGCTAGAGACCGGTACGCGCTGAGGCCTAGATTTGTAATCACCATGCTACGATGAGGGTTACTATTTTTGTGTCGCGCATACCATCGGGGAAAGCAGGGGGCCCCCGCCTCCCGCCCTCTCGGTCGCCCGCTGCGTATCCCGCTTGCAGGGGGCCCCCGCCCTTCCGCCTGCCGCCTCCACAGGGGGCCCCCGCTCCTCACCGGGGCCGCCCGCCTGGTGAAACAGGGGGCCCCCGCCCCCCGCCCTCTCACCCGCTGCGTATCCCGCCTCCGCAGGGGGCCCCCGCCCTTCCACCTCCGCAGGGGGCCCCCGCTCCTTTCCCGGGTCGCCCGCCGGAGGCCACAGGGGGCCTCCGTCCTTCTCCGCGGTAAGTCTCTCTCGCCCGCAGGGGGCCCCCCACCTCCACCTTTGGTGCCCTAGGGGGCCCCGCGCCTTTCTCTCCCGCGCGCAGGGGGCCCCCGCCCCTGACTCCTGGGGTCCGCCTGTGGTGCCCAAGGGGGCCCCCCGCCTTTCTCTCCTGCCCACAGGGGGCCCGCCCCTCACTCCTGGTGTTCGAGGGGGTCCCCCGCCTTCCTTTCCCACTCGCAAGGGCTCCTGTCAAGTACATCGCTCCGCGCCCGCAATAGGGGAAACGCAGCGGGGCCCCGCCCCGCATTCACCCCCGTTGCCGCAGGCCGGGAGCTCGCGCTGGTGCCCTGCCCTCCCAAGAAGTGGCAACACATTCATGGGCCCCGCGCGGCTGAAGTACATAACCAGTAGCGCCGCCTAGGCCTCTGCGCGGGGCCAACCGCAAATACGCGGCTGGGCCAACCAGTAGCGCCGCGTGGGCCTCTGCGCGGGGTCAACCGCAAGTACGCGGCTGGAGCAGGGCAGACGTACGCAAAGGCCCGCGCATAGCGCCTGAACACACGGCGACGGCGACGTGGGACGGCGGGCACAGAGTTGGACAAGCTGACTGTGGCCGCCGACGTGGGTACGCACGCTGCCCGCGCGTGCCGAGGTGATCGGCAGGGGCGGCCTGCGCGAGCGGGGGGCCTCTGCAAGAATTAGGGGCAGCAGCCCTGTTGGGCTGTCACTGGTGCCCATGTTGTTTAGGAAGGCCGCAGGACTTTTGTGCTCGTTGGTTGTCAATGCGCCGTATTGACAACGAACCAGAGCAGTGTGTTGGGGAATACTGCCCACATGCGCCGGCACACGCACTACGCGCGCGGGAAAATATTGCCCCCAAGCGTTGGCGCCAACATGTGCCAGGGCACGGACGCAGTGCGCCGAGCAGCCGGAGCCGTGCTGTTAGGGCGTGCGGATTCTGACCCGCGCCGGCAAGGGCCACCACGGAAAAAAGTAGACACGCGCCCGGGCGCGCAACGGAAATACTGCCCACATGCGCCGCGGTGCGGGCTAGCGCGATGCCAGGCAGCCGCAAGCCTGGCGCGGAGCGTTGCAAGGGGAGGCGCTCCGTGAAACAGGGCCCACACCGTCGCGACCCCAACGCGCGACGGTCGCGTCAAACCACGGAAACCAACTCCGGACGCTGGCGCCATACCATTGGGGTTCGAGAGAAAGTCGCCGCGCTTGTTCCGATTTGTGTCACGGCGAGACACATCGTGAAAAAAGGACCCTGCCCTCGTGATTCGGCTGCGCGGCTTTCGCGAAATATCGCGGAAAAGCAGAAAAAACCAATGCCGCAAACAGGGCCCGTAGCATCGCGATTCGCGACGCAAGCGGTAATTTTTTGCTCGATTTTTTGCACGGTGCAAATACTCGTGCAATAGAGGCCCTACCATCGCGATTAGCATAGAAAACACAGCAACTTTTGCACGATTTTCACCAGTTTCACGACAAATCCCGGGACTCGGGAAATCCCGGGATTCCGGAAAGACGTGAGTAAAAGACAAAAGCAAAAACCAGAAGACTCCGAAGGGCCAACCCGCATGGTATGGTGCGCGTAGGCCAATAAAGTCCTTATGTTTTCGTAATGTAAAAAAAGCCGCTTCACGAGGGCACCACGCCCGGGCTTCCTAGCGCAGCTTCCTAGCGCTTGAACTTACGAAACAAGAAACCGCACTACACAGGCGATTGCGAATGCCCGACGTCGTGTCCGCACTGAAGAATATTGTTGCTAAGGCACGCAACAACTCGAATAAAGGACGTGCTTCAGAGGGAGCATACTAATTGTTTGACGGACAGCTCTTCCGTGCAAAAGATCAATTGTAATTCGAAGGACCTCGTCGCGCTCGCGGCTATGTGGGGCTTGGCGGCGTTATTTTCCGGGACTACAAAAACAAAAACCTCCTCAACTAAGATGCAGTCGGCGCAGCGATCCAGGCGCGCTCATCTTGCGGGATTGTTGTTTCTTCTTGTGACGGACGCAACGGTTGCCAATGGCGCAGCCAACACGCCAGCGCCACGGTACCCTCAAAGCTTCAATCTGCCACCGGTCAACAACCTCGGCAATGTGCTTGGGCGCAACTACAATTATCCAAATAATGGGCTCGGTAGTTTGACTTCTTTGAACAACCAAGCTTCGCTCGGTCCAGGAACAATCACCGCGACCTCCGTCACCGCTTCCCAATTGCGGGATCGGATACACGTGCCGAGTGCACGCGTCGTGGAGATACGTAATTTCCACTCGGGCTTTGACGTCCCAGACATACCGGCATCCGACCACAGGGAAATTCTGCTTGTCTCGACTTACGTATAGTTTTTGACTTTTCAAAACTTCATCTTCATGTACTTTTGTTATTTCGACCTTCAGGTCCAGATGGGGTCCTTGAATCGCGTCCTTGCGTAAAAGCGGTTTAAATCTCTAAGCCTAAACACTATGAATGTTGTGTACGGTACGTGAACACACGCCAGTTGATTCGTCGCGAGCAGCAGTTGTTCAGAACCGTGGACAGGACGGAGCTGCCCGCGAGCGCCAATCTAGAGTATCAGCGCATGCTGGCCCGAGTGCGGAACCGGCGATCTTCGGACGCCGCCCTGCAATCTCGGAGTTGCGTCCTCTGGATGGGCGCGGACGAGCAAGATGAATTCTACTTGTACGGCAAGGCGCTTGGAGTCGAAGGTGCAGCCGCCCACCGCTTGACCATTCGCGAAATCAAGATCGGGAGAAGTAGTTTCACTGCAGCCTCTCGGTACTATATAAAAAACGCTTTGTCGACGATGAAAGATATTCGACGGCCGCAGGTGCTTGCTGCACACACTGCCGTAGCCATTTTCACTACTCGAAGGAGACCCTCCATATGCTATATCCTATCCATACAAAAATATTTTCTGAGTCGTTTCCTTCGTACAGAAACCTTTTCCTGCTTTTAACGCTCTTTGTGGTCCTCACTGGTTCTTGTGCCTGGTGCATGATCCATCTTGGCTCAAACACTCACCTTTTTTGTACTTCAGCGTCGACGAGACCGCACTGCAGTCCGCCATCAACGAGTGCGAGGTGCTGAACCTCGGTGGTGGCAAGCCGGCGCGATTTGCGCGCAACCTGCAGCATTTGCAGACCACCCACAGACCACTCTGGGATCGCATGATGACGCTTATCCGCGAGGGCAAACTGATGGTATTCGCCTACAGTGCGGGGGCCGTGGTAATTGGCAAGACTGCGGAACACTGGCTGGACGACATGGACGAGCCCGTGCCTTCGGAGATGACTACCGACCAGGCACGCCACTTCCTCAAGGAAGGGGCATTGAAACTCCTGGGACCATATCAGGTTCCTGGTTTCTGATTCTCGATTCTCAAACTCATTATCGTTCTTCTATCCACACAGTATTCCCTTTACTTATTCCTATGGACGAAACTCCTTAAGAACTCCCCTTAAGACTTCCCCTTAAGAAACTCCTTAAAAAAGGGGGGGGCGCGGAATCGATGACACCATGGGGGTTCATTTTTGCGCCGATGGTATGCTGCGTTTTTCTGTGTGCGTTGGCGCAAGGTTTTGGCACCCAGAAAATCGGGCCCATAGCATGGGGATTCGGGCCGAAAGGCTTTAAGGCGATTTCTTTAAGGGGAAATCTTTAGGGGGCATCTTTAAGGGCATTCTTAAGGGAATCTGTAAGGGGGCCTTTAAGGGGATGCTTAAGGGGGCCCGTAGAGCGGCCCGCGCGATTTCGTCAGGAGACAGGGCGCAAAAAGCTAACTATTGCAGTGCCCTGCGTGCCGTGAGCAGAGCGGCAGCCACGGACCGCAACAAGAGAGCCACCATGCGCAAGGCAGCCGGCAGGCTAGCGGCGGCCGGTAGGCCTGGAACAGCCGGCAGGCTAGCAGTGGCCGGCTGGCAACCAAGCGGCAGCCGGAAGGCTAGCCGCGGTTGGCAGGCCAGCGGCAGCCGGCCGGCTGACAGCGGCCGGGGGCTATCTAACTAGCGGCGGCCGGGCCGGCCAATGGGCTAGCGCGCGGCCGGCCGAGAGGCTAACGGCAACCAACCCGATGCACGCGGTGCGGCCCGCCGACAGGCAGAGGCAGCTAGCGGCACTCGGCCCGCCGGCAGGACAGAGGCCAGCGGCAGCCGGCCCGCCGGCAGGTAGGACAGAGGCCAGCGGCAGCCGGCCCGCCGGCAGGTAGGACAGAGAGAGGCCAGCGCCAGGGCAGCCGGCCCGCCGGCAGGTAGGACAGGGGCCAGCGGCAGCCGGCCCGCCGGCAGGCAGGACAGAGAGAGGCCAGCGGCAGCCGGCCCGCCGGCAGGTAGGACAGAGGCCAGCGGCAGCCGGCCCGCCGGCAGGTAGGACAGAGGCCAGCGGCAGCCGGCCCGCCCGGGCAGGTAGGACAGAGGCCAGCGGCAGCCGGCCCGCCGGCAGGACAGAGGCCCGCCACCCAGCGGCAGCCGGCACGCGGGCAGAGGCAGGCCAGCGGCAGCCGGCGCGGGCGCTCGCAGGTCAGGCAGCCGGTCCGAGGCAATTGCCGCCGGTGAATTTTTTTTAAATTTCCATTAATTCTGGGAATCGCGGGTCGTTTGGCCTGGTGTGCAACCAATTTGGTGGGCGCCCCCGCCGGGGTTGGTGGCGCGGCGTGGTGTGGCGTCTCCGTTTCCAGTTTTCCTTGGCGCCGTACGCTCTCGGGCCTCTCCCCCTTGCTGTGTGTTCTCCCCCATCCTCCCGGAAATGGGGGCCGCTTTTTGGAAACCCTTTTCGCGCGTGAGGCGCCGCGGCTTTTGGTGGTGGCCTGCCCTTTGGTGGTCTTTTCCCTTTCCCCAGGGAAAGTCTCGGGTCGGGCCCTTGCCCGGGCCTTTGGTTTTCTTTGTCCGGTGTGGTTCCTAGGGGAGGGGGCCACGTGGTGTGGTTTGGCTCATGGGGCCGCCTCTTCGTGGCCATGAGCCAAACCCCTCGGGCCCCCGCTCCTTTGCATTTGCCGGGGGCATCGCGCAGCGGCCCCGCTTCGGGAAATCAGGCACGCGCGACGCCGGGGCGTTTTGGTTTTCCAACCCACACCCGCGGCCCCGGGCGGCTAATGATGAGGGTAGTCCCGGCGGTAATTTCCGGGGTTAATCTCACCACAACGAAATCGGGAAGGTTTCGCTGGTTTTGAAATTAAACCAAAAATCAGCCCTCAGATTAGAATATGAATTAGACCACAAATTACCCCCAAAACCCACGAAATTAAACTCCGCCCGGAAAACAATCACTCCGCCGGGCCACTTGGTGCTCAGTCGCTCGGTGCCGTTGGTCATTGGTTGTCTTGCTTTTTCTCGACACGCCGCCCGCCAGCAGTTCCCGCCCACTTGTGTTTTTTGTGTCTTTGGGTGGACTCCCTCCGGCCGCTGCCCTTTTCAATTTGCCCCGAAGATTGGGGGGCGGCGTTCTGGAAACCCACAAACAGAAAGCCCGCCGGGGCAGTGTTGCGGCCCCCGTTTTGTTTTGGTGGGGGCCTCCCGTGCGCAGGCTCTTTCAGCCGGCCCCGGGGTCTTTCTTCTGTGCCGGGCCACCCTTCGGCGCCTTGCCCGGCGCGCGCCTCCCCTCATGAGGGGCGCAGGGGGCCCTACAGGGTGGCGCCCGTGGTGGCGATGTGCCTTCGAAAATATGGCGGTACCCCCGGCGCGCCTCCTAATCTGGCCCCTTCGGCGCCTGCTCCCTTTCGCGTTGGGGATTAGCCACCATTCAGCCAGGAATTAACGAAATAGCTTGCCACGGGCCGGCTGCCTGACGCAGGCAGAGGCCGGCCAGCGGCAGCCGGCACGCACGCACCGCAGGCAGAGGGAGACGGTTGGCACGCAGGCAGAGGCCGGCCAGCGGCAGCCGGTTGGCACGCAGGCAGAGGCCGGCCAGCGGCAGCCGGCAGGCAGAGGCTAGAGTCGGCCTGGCAGGCCGGAGCGGGGCAAGCAGCTGGCGCGGGGTTGTCGAAAGCCGGCGCGCGAACGCGCAGGCACAACGCCCCCACTGACATCGGGCCCCCTCTCCCTGTCTCCTTGCAGTTTACTCAGTCACCGACGTACCGGGCGCAACCGACAAACCCAAGCCCAGGCGAGCCCAGCAGGGCTCGCCCCGAGGCTTGTTTAATATTAAAGAAGAGTTACGACCCACTAGCATCCCTAAAATCCTTTTGCCGGAGCCGGACGAACAAAAAGTATAAGTCGACGAAAATGCATAGTGTATTATACGGTGTGCAGTAGATGAAGTGGGACGTAGTTGAAACTGAAAGTAAGAACGATGAACAATCGAAGTGAAGTATTAACGGTGAAGAAACTACATCTACTCGTTTTACCAATCTGTCATAGGTGAAGCCGCACTTCAAGGTCCTGGTCCCCATCATTCCAGAGCAGCCGAACGGCCCTTCAGGGGCCTCGCGAGCTGCCATAGCCATGTCTGCTTACGGGACCAACAACCCTGGCTCCAAACTGCTGGTCCTCTCCGACGCCGATATATCACAAGAAAAAAGTGTAAGTATACACTTCTGTGTGCAGCAACATCACAAACTTGCTCTGCATACCGGAGAAAACTTGCAATTTAGAGTTCATGAGAAAATAAACCACGTCTGAAGCTAGGCTCCTCGTGAGCGTATCCGGCATGACAGAGCTTATCTGTGTTGCCTGGAATGCACCACCATGAGCAACCGAATGGCATTTTTTTCTTTGCATAAACCATCGAGCGCATGGACTATTTTAGCTTGAGCGGAAATCGAGCGACCTTCAAACAGTCCGATCCGTATGCGGTCTTTAGAAGGCCTCCACCGATCACGCCTCCGATCGGCGGTGGAAATCAGAATCCCTCCCAACCGGCCTCGAGCCCCCCGCATTCGCAGCCGGACTGGAATTACAGTGCTGGGCAGTACGGAGTACACCACGAGGAGGTACCGGTGGGAATCGTCCTGGGGCTGGTATTTGGGTTCTACCTGCTGCTGGGCTTGGGTATTTGGGGCTGCGTGTGCTGGACCACGAAAAGAAACCGCGAAAAAGGCGAGCGAGAACTCGCGGAGCAGAAGAAGTTGGCGGAAGAGAATCGGCACTTGCTCTACAACCAGTACCACACCATGAACGCTTTCAGCAACCCCTACGAAAACGGCTTCCATCAGGCTGCTCAACAAGAAACCACCCCTGGATCGACAGATGTTGGCGCCACAAACAGTGGAGCGGGAGGACCAAAAAGTCAAAGCAACATCCATACCTTTGGCACGCTCCAGGGCGGCGGCGTAAGTGGGGTGCAGCACCAACAGCAGGCCGCGCAGCAACCGCTTGCACAGATGTACGGGGGTTCGAACAACAACATTTACGGCTTCAACAACAGCGCACTGCAACAACCCGCGATCATCAACTACGGCGCTACCGATCACTATGCGTGAAGCAAGCATTTTTTGTTACTCGCTCCTAGTGTTCTGTTTCTTTCTGCTGCTGCATAGAGGAGAACATGGTAGAACAGGACGCTCAACGTCAACAAACTGACAAGGGGTTAAACGTTGAATGCCATAAAAATGAAATATCATGTTCATGTTTTGGAGATGAAGATGTTTACTAGGAGTTTTTGAGTTTTTGTAAACAGTGATTCCTCGCACTGGTTCTCATGCCGCGATGCCCGCTCGGCCTCGGACGATAGTACTTGAGAATCATAGTCGCATGATTGAAAAAAGATAACTATGGGAGTCTCAAGATGAAGGATAATTTGGAATGCAAATCAATTTGACGGTGAAGATCCGTCGCGACCTAAGTTTAGCATAATCACACCGACTGTAATCAACCTTATAACGCTATCTAGGACCTATTACGCACTATAAGCCGAACACAGACGCCCACAGACCGATAGATATTTCGGATACAGAAAAACAGCCTCTGCTTGGTCCGTCAGCGAGAATGCTCGGCGCTGCGTTTCTCGCACGCACGCGCATTAGTCACCTTGCATCATCAGGAGGTGGAGGTACACGTTGATTTACAATTTTGGAATAGATATATAAATGAGTAGATGCATCATGCAGGACAAATTTATTACGCGTGAACCAGAAACGACGCAAAGAGTCTGAGAATACATCGGTATTGGTTGAGCAGTTCGAAAATTTTGAGAAAATTCGGAGTTCCCCCGCTAGGACGGCAAACGCTTACGCGTAGGGTAGTTTAATTTGTTGCTCGTGCCGGCTTCCGCTTTTGTGCCCTGTGACGCAGTTGGTTTTCCTTGGCTTCTACTCTTCATCTTACTGTTACTTTGTCAGTTCGCACTTTTGGTTGGAGAAAAAATTTCAACTTAATCTGGTAACCAAATGCGTGCGCGCGCGCGCGCAGAGCGCGCGCCGGCCCACGAAGCCGGCGCGCGCGCTCTGCGCGCTTGCGATATTGCTTAGCAAACGCAGCGCGAAGGCAGTTGCCGTTACCATATAGGGCAACCGCCGGGAGGCGTGAAGGTCAGGGAAATGGCCAGAAATGAAGCGGGAGAAGGGAAAAAAAGCGGACCAGATGGGAAAATGGCCAGGAGGTCAAAAATGACGCAAAAACGGCAGAAACCAAGCGGGAGAAGGTGAAAAAAGAGCATTTTTGCGGTCTGGCCCACTTAGTATCTGAAAAAGAGGCGGACTATTTTTTGCTCCGCCCGCTGGCCAGCTGCGTTGGAGCAGCAGGCCCGCGACCTGTTCGGAAGCCTTGGGCCGCTTCGTAACTGGAAAAAGTTGGAAAAAAATGGCGAAAAATTGCTTTATAACGTGGGGGGAAGCAATCGCCGGATTTTGTGCAGATCACCCGGGCCACTTGGAAAATGAAAAAAGATGAGAAATTGCGCAAAAGCGCAATCCTTCCGCAGGCTTCAAAACTGCCAGTCAGATGCGTGCGGTAAAAATGTGCAGGTCGCCCGGGCCACTTGGAAAATGAAAAAAGATGATAAATTGCGCAAAAGCGCAATCCTTCCGCAGGCTTTAAAACTGCCAGTCAGATGCGTGCGGTAAAAATGTGCAGGTCGCCCGGGCCACTTGGAAAATGAAAAAAGATGATAAATTGCGCAAAAGCGCAATCCTTCCGCAGGCTTTAAAACTGCCAGTCAGATGCGTGCGGTAAAAATGTGCAGGTCGCCCGGGCCACTTGGAAAATGAAAAAAGATGATAAATTGCGCAAAAGCGCAATCCTTCCGCAGGCTTTAAAACTGCCAGTCAGATGCGTGCGGTAAAAATGTGCAGGTCGCCCGGGCCACTTGGAAAATGAAAAAAGATGAAAAATTGCGCAAAAGCGCAATCCCTCCGCAGGCTTCAAAACTGCCAGTCATCTGCGGGCGGTGAAAATGTCCAGAGCCCTTCGGCCACCTAAGAACCAGAAAAAAGAGCGAAAATTGAAAAAAATCGAGAACCCTCGGCAGGCTTACAAACTGGCCGCCAAGGGCGGTCCGGCGGGCGCGCGCTTGCGCCGTACCATCGCGATTGGGAAAAAAAAAACGCACTACAAGCGGGCGGAGGCATGTCCCAAAGTCCCGATTTGGCCGGGGTTGTGAGCACCAATTCGGGACCTCCGCCGCGTCTGAAATGGCCGATTTTGGTTGCCCGGAAGGGTTCGCGGGTTTTCGGCTTTCCGCATACCTTCCTGGCCAGGCGGCCAGTTTGTCACGCAGGGGGCTAGAGAGGATGCCCCGCTGCGAAATAGCAGACCGGATTTCGCCTTCAATGCTTATCGCAGGAGCCTGCGGGCCGCCGCGGGCGACAGTAGTTGTCCGCGGCCCTTTAGGGCCGCGGGGAAGTGGTGGAGCCCGCGGCGGCCCGCAGGCTCCTGCGATAAGCTTTGAATGCGAATCCGGAAGCCCCCGATGACCCAGATACCTTCCTGGCCAGGGGGCCAGTTTCTCATGCAGGGGGCTTGCAGAAGAAGGAGTGGGACTGTAATCAAAAATAAATAGCGCCAAAGCGCGGCCCGCAGGGCCGCGCTTTCGCCGCGCGGCTGGTTAGGCTTTCGCGCTGGTTAGAATTTCGCGCACGCATTTGGTTACCAATATCGCCCTCCGGGCGCGACCTTCATACAATTAACGATGCCCTTCCGGATCTTGTACTTCAATTTAAGTAAGCTACGAGTGCAGAAAAAATGGCACTGACTCGAGTGGAAAATGTTATCTCAGGTTCATTACACCTGTGCACCCAGGGTCGGTGTCGCCGCAAGCGCGTTGGCACAGAACCCGAAGTCATATGTGAAGGTGGACACATCACATACGTCTCGCATTGCGGCCACGATACGCATGGTGAGAGAGTGGCAGCACCGCTGTAGAAAAGATAGACACAGACGCGCACGTAGTTTTGTGGAAGCAAGAATAAACTGCGAGGACGTCGACGCTTGCGACGTGAGTAGTAAGTCTACTGAATCTCCTGTTTGGCAGAGGCTCTGCCACAAGTCGAGCGAGGATTTGGATGTACCCTAGAGCTAGACGCAGCTTTCTGGGCCGTTCTGTGTCTTTCATGGAAAATTACCTGCAGATCACACAGCCGTTGAGAACGAAATGCAGATGGAAGGATGGATCTCGCAAAAATCTATGCAAATGATGGATCCTCGAACAAGAAATGAAATAAATGCTCAGAAAGATCGATGAGTCGTGCTGGTGGTAACCACGAACGCAGGCATCGACGACGAGAGGTACTGTGGTGAAGCTAATGAAAGGTGCCAATTTTCGGTATGGGTTTCTACTTCTGCAGAGAACGTTGAGCATTGAGAAACGAACAATCAGCAGCATTCACCTCAAGTGCGTAGTACTTCCGTGTTTGTGTACGATCATCGATACGAACTACTACTGAAATTATAGTTCTCCATTTACTTGTACAAAACTAATTTTTTTACTCATTCGCTCCTCTTACGAGTTTTATGCCCCCAACCAAAATTGCAAAAACAATGGCGGCCGAAATTTGTCCTCCTGCCCCGATTGAGTGCTGGGCTGCCATCGCGTTCGAGGCCAAGAAGCCCCTGGAGATCAAGAAAGTGACCGTTCTGCCGCCACAGGCCGGGGAGGTACGTGTAAAGATTGTTGCGACGGCACTTTGTCACACCGATGCGTACACGCTGTCCGGCTGTGACCCCGAGGGGCTTTTTCCCGCCGTTCTCGGCCACGAGGCAGCAGGGATCGTGGAGTCGGTCGGCGAAGGCGTGACCGAATTTGAGGTCGGCGACCACGTGATTCCGTGCTACCAGGCGTACTGCGGAGACTGCAAGTTCTGCGCCCGCCCGAAAATCAACCTGTGCACCTCCGTGCGCGCGTTCACGGGCAAGGGGATCATGAAGGCGGACTCCCAGCCGCGATTCCTCTACGAGGGCCAGCCCATCTACCACTTCATGGGCACCTCCACCTTCGCGGAATACAGCGTCCTGCACGCGCAGTCACTCGCGAAAATTCCCAAGGAAGCACCTCTGGAGAAGGTCTGTCTTCTTGGGTGCGGGATCAGCACCGGGTGGGGTGCCGTGTGGAACACGGCAGACGTGGAGGCGGGCGCGACGGCCGCAGTCTTCGGCATCGGCGCCGTCGGGTTGTCGGTCATTGAGGGCCTAGTCAAGGCAGGCGCAAGCAGGATCATCGCGGTCGACCTGCTGGATTCAAAACTCGAACTGGCAAAGCAGTGGGGCGCAACCGACGTGATTAACAGCGGAAAGTTGGACGTATTGACATGCTATGCGTTTTTGTGTTTGTCATCATCTAGATCTATTTTCTCATGAACATTTTTGCTTGATTTCTTCAGTTTCAACAAAGGATGGAGCCACAGCCTAAGGTGCTACCTATTCATCTGACACCATCAATTTTGATATGAAAACAAACACCACAGAAACCGGTCCAGCAAGTCATCATTGGGATGACGGAGTTTGGCGTCGACTACTCGTTCGATTGCACCGGCAATGTGGAGGTCATGCGCGCCGCCTTGGAGTGTTCCGCGCGCGGTTGGGGTACCAGTGTCGTCATCGGCGTGGCCGCGGCAGGCAAGGAAATCGCCACCCGACCCTTCCAACTCATCACTGGAAGAACGTGGAAGGGCTCGGCTTTCGGAGGCTGGAAGAGCAAGCCGCAGGTAAAATTGGCTCCAGATTTTCATCGTTGATTTGGATTTTCCGTGCGCTTTTCTACTTCTGTGGTTGTTCAGTCTGACATGATGATCTAGATTTTCTTCGTTCGCACCAGGGAGAATGTAGTACTTTCTGCATCACATTCACACTCTGCCTCAGGTTCCGGAGCTTTGCGATCGCTACATGAAGGGCGAGCTTAAGATCGACGAGTACATCACGCATAAACTGAAGTTTGAGCAAATTAACGAAGGCTTCGAGCTTCTGCACAAGGGAGAGTGCCTCCGCTGTGTGTTGACGTTTTAGGACGGAAGGCGTGAAGATTATTCTCCGCGACAGTCACGAAAGCGAAAGCCAGCAAACGACCAGAACGACCTATAATTTCGAAAGAGAAAAGACAGCAGAATCTACATCACTCAAACGACAAAAGCCACAGGAGTCGGGCATTATCGAGACGACAACGATATCTCATGTCCCGGAGACCACGACAGAACATCGATGTAGTTCAAAAGCACTACTTGATGAATCTTTGAAAGTTCGACGTGTTTTGACACTAGTTCTTGAGTTTATCAGTGTGAACAGCAACGGCAGAAGCACAACGATACGAACGATGGGCGTGTGGCTACTTCTGCGTTCCAACTCCGAAGGCATTCAGGTCGTGTTTATTGCACGTAAATGCCGCGCACGAGTACGTACGTGGCGTTGCAGAATGATTTGATCGCGCTTTCTTTTTTTCGTTTTGACTTTTTTCTTCTTTTCGCCTTACCTTCACGTCGACATTTTCGGCACCAAATATCAAAGAGAGTCTCGCAAAATGCTTCGTAGGAGCGCCTGCATCGCAAAGTTCGTTGCAGCATGTTATGACCAGAGAGGAGCGTTTTTGAGTGTCGACCCGCAAAATGCAATTTGGAGAAAGAAGGAAAACCAAGTGACAGAGTCTTTCACTACGAGCGCCTCGCCTCGTCTAGTTTCGTCAAATTTGGTAAATTGCATTGTGGACAATAAAGTTGCGGTTCTTGCATTCTGGCATTTGTCTGAATCTCAAACGCAAACATTGCGGAAGAAACTCAGTATCTGATTCTGGGGTTACTTAGATCATGGTCTCACGTCCGCGTTGCGTTTGCGCTCCTGGAGGTTCGTTGTAGCTTGTTGCGGCCACATATCAGCTCGATATGGCTGATTCGGCGAGTGTAACGTCGACGGTGACGGCGTCAGCGCTGAACACGCCTCGGGGGAAACACGATCCGAATAAACCCGACTATGAGGTGCAGACGCACTCTGGCGTTCCGAAGGAAAAGAAAAAAGTCGTCAACTATGCGGTGGGGACTACAGGTAATGCTAGCTCGACTAGCGAGATTTGCTCCTACAAGGACGAAATACAGGCCTTGCCCTTGTATCCACACGTTGACATCATGAAGTAGGCCGAGATGAAGTGAGTTCAAAAGAGATTTTTTGTATCGTTTCACATCACAACATTGACATTTCCAAAAAAAACAGTCGGGCACCGTGAGACCTTCGGCGACAACCTGCGACTCAGTGCAGGGTACCCGCGGATTTTCTTCCAGACCACGTATCAAATGTAAAAATGTCTGGGTCTGGAAGAATGCAACTTGTGATGCGGATTCTGGAACAGGCCAAAAATCTGTATTGCGTAGTCAGCAAATTGTGCCAGATTTTTGTCTCCAGAAGTGGGCATTTGTCATGCGGAATAGGCATGGAGAAGCTCAGCTGCCACAGAGTTTGTCATGCTCTGTGTGCATTCCAGACCTTTTTGTAGATGTAAAAAATGCATGACACATGTCTGATTTCTACCAGACCCAGACATTTTTGCATTTGATACCACAACGCAGGTGACTATAGAGCTGATGGTGGAGCGGCCGGCCGCGGTGATCTGCCAGTGCGTGGAGGTGCCAGACTCGGCACGGAAGCACGACGCGTACCAGTACGCGGATGCGAGTTTCGAGAAGTCACAGACGGTGACGATACGGACCCTAACCCGGGAAAGGGACCTGCTGATTCAGCGTCTGAGGAAGAAGATGGAAAAGCCCGGGCTCGACGACGCGCAGGACTCCGATGAGGACGAGGAAGTTCTGAAGCGCGACGTCACGGACACGGGGCGGGAGAAGCCCTACGTCAAGCCGATCAGGTTTGAGGCCAACCTGCACGGCTCGCACGCCCGGCCGAAGTTTTACGAGCAGTTTCACTTCGCCACGCCCATGCTGGTCCGCTTCCACGCCGGGCACGTGCCGAAGACGCTGCCCCTCGTCGGGCTCAAGGCCGACGGGCAGTACGAGTTCTACGCGACGGTGATTGACGACTCGCTCGTTCCGTTCTACCGGAAGATGGTAAACGAGACCATTCTCGCTTCCTGGATGGTGCTCACCGCCTGGGAGGTGGATATGGCCTCCGGGACGAACAAGAAGAACCAGAAGCAGAGCGAGGGGCTCGTGTCCAAAGCCGGGCACCAGCGGATCAGCAACATCAAAAAAGCCTGCACGGAAACGTCCACGAAGTTCCCGTTCGCAGCGGACCAGCGCTACCCGTCCCACCCCCTGCACACGGAGCTGTCCTCACTACCGCAGCCCTGGAACCTGGAGATGATGTCCGAGAGTTTGCATTTCTACGTGAAGCACGGCCGGGATTTGAGTCCAGCGAGCAAGGCGAAAAACAAGGACGCGGACGACGACCTGCCGCCCGGGTTTTTCTCGCGGAAGGGCGTTGATCCGGAGCAGCTAACGACGCTGGTGTCGTTTGCGCGACTGCGGTTCGAGACGTTGTCGAAGCACCCGAAGTTCTTGGACATCAGCTTCGTGCCCAACGGGGTACGGTTTCGGCTCGACCGCCCGAACTGCATGGTCTACTGGGTCCCGGTCAACCCGGCTCGGGACGAGATGGCGCAGAGGGTCCGGGCACAGAACGCGACTGGAGGGGTCCTCGCAAATAAGAGCGCTTCATCAAGTACATCGGCTCTGGTCCCCCCGACCGCGAGTTCGGTGGCTGCAAAAAAGATGAACCAGACACATTTAAACGAGCACGACTTCTCTAATACAGGGATGGCGCGAACAAGACGAAACGACGAACTGGATTCACTCATATCATCCCCCGGTTATGAGACGACAGAATGTCCTTTGCTCTCCCTCCCCCCCTCATTTGATGTCATGCGAGTTTAAAAGTTGTGATGCAGATGAAGCTGCTACGAAACTCTTGTGATGCTGTCTCAAAGACGGTGCCGTTCAAATCAGGGAAAGAGACTCACTTGTGCCCCCTCATACCCGTGGACGGTCGGACAAGAACGTGTTCGATGAGCTACTGGAGCAGGACGAGGAGGAGAAGGACCGCGCCGCTGCCGCGGACGACGCGGAGAACGCAAAGTCGACCGCAAACAAAGAGGACGCCGGCTCGCAGGCTACGAGCCCCTCCGCCGTCTCCTCCTCGCCGGCTGCCCCCTCGGCGCCGGCCGCACCGGCGCCCGTGCCCTACAAGGCCCTGGATCCGAGACTGAAGCCCTACGCACTCGCGGCCGCGGGCGATCTGGCGGGGACCGGCGCCCCCGACAGCGACGACGAATTTGCCGTGAATAAAAGCCTATCAAATGCAAAAATGTATGGGTCTGGAGGAATGCAACCTGTGATGCTGCGTTTGGATTCCAAAAAAATCTGTATTGCATGAGCAGCAAATAAGGGAGTGCAATTTTTGCTACGGGAAGAGGGCACTTGTTATGCGGAATAGGCATCAAGAAGCCCTCAAAAAATCTCTGATGCTAGGGCATGCATCACAGACGTCACGGCTCATTTAAAACTTGCATGACAAGTCTCAGAATCTTCCAGACCCAGACATTTTTGCAGTGCATAAAGCCCGAAGGAGCAGGCCCCCGACCAGCACTTCGAAGCGAGTCTGATCGTCCGCGATAGGGCGATCGCGGCGGGGCACTACCTAAACGTGACCGGGGAGAAGGGGTTCATCACCCTCCCGCCCGCCTTCCAGGGCCGTCCGCTCGACTTTGTCGCGGAAACCATCCCCGACACGACGCGAGCGAAGTCCGCGGTGGAGGTGCAGCGACTCGGGCCCGGCAGAGACAATTTGAAGGACGTAAAGATCCGGAAAATGTTTGATCCGTTGTTCTCCTCTCTCCGGCCGCGCTCCATGATGCCAAAACCGTACCGCCTCTTCTACCAGCAGCCGCAAGTGCCGGAAGAAGAGCTGGAAGCCACGATATCCTCGCCGTTGCGCACCAGAACTTCTTCCGGAGGTGTTGGCGGGGGACCAGCAGCAGCCCCCGGTGCAGCTGCCAGCAAGCTGTCCCCGTTTTCAACATCTTCGCCGTTCGGCAGTCGGCGCGCCACGAGGAATTCAATTTCCGTGAGCGGCGCCGGCCCCGCGGCCGCAGACAAAAATACAACTCCCGCGGGGAAGTTTATCGACCGAAAAGACGCCAAAGGGTATTTGGACACCCCGCAAAGCGCGTACGCCCCGGGCGCCGCGGTGCACTTTGAGAAGACGCCGCAAAACTTGCAGCGGTTCGCGCTGCGCCGCACCGACATCGTGAGTGGCACGCCGGATGCGGAGCTGGTGCAGACCTTCGGCCCCGACGTCGTCCCGGAGGTCTTTCCCTACTCGCGGAAACTCGTGTCGGTGTCCGAGTCGCTGAAGACCAGCTACGGCCGTCCGCCGGAGCACATCAAGATGCAAAGCAGCTTGGACGTGGAGCTGCAGGAGCCGCGGCCCTTCGTACCACAACATACGGTCATCACGGACGAAAATCGGTACGAAAACGACGGTATGCATGGCAAAAGTATCGTACTAGTATAAATCGCATTACAAATTTGCTCAGCATGAGAAATGCAATTTTTCATGCTGTTTTACCTTGGAACGGAAATTTGTAATGCATGACTGCGATTACTACCAGTACGATACTTTTGCACAGGACAGACGGCGAGGACCCGAACGCGGTGAAAAAGGCGAAGCCCTACTACTACCAGCAGCTGCAGTATGGGAGTGTCAGGATCGAAATCGACAAAATCGAAAAACTTGCAATGCATAAAATGTAGGGCACGTAAGGCCTGCGTTGGGGAGAAGGCAAATGAGACCGATTGCAAGCCTGTTTAGGGGAAGAAGACGCGTTGCCAGAGCAGCATGACAGGAGCAGCCTTTTTTGCCCAAACAGCATGACAGACTGGATTTTGCAGCTCCCGAAATTTGTGATGCGCCAGCTGAAAACTGAGGGCCCAACTGGTATCGATTTTATGCATCACAATTTTTTCGATTTTGTTGATTTCGATCCTGACGCTTCCATATGCAGAGGACAGCGAGTACCGACCTGACGTACCCGATCAACGTCTTCCAAGACCTCGACGGCGCGAAGTTCTACCTGCGTGGGGACAAGAAGGAGCGGAAGAACGAAGTAAACTGGTCCGCCTTCGACGCGGCCATCGAGTGGAACCAGGACACGAGGTTGAACGTGTTTCAGCAGAACCTGTGGCGGCCGATCACTTTCCCCTGGTATCGGGCGGGAGTCGACGAGCGCGGCCTGCGCGTCCGAGTTGCTTTTTCCTTGTCCGTGCCGACGAAAAAGGCCGAGCGGGCAGCTTCGTGGGAAATCAAGTTGGTGGCGGCAGGCGGTGGAGCAGCAGCACAGGCCGGTACTTTTTGCTCGTATTCCTCAGGGTGTTCTTCTTTTTCATCGAAGTCATCCAATTATGTAGTCGCTGATCTTCGTACCACACGATAGATACGACTTTGTCACATGATATCTTGTGCTTTTCCTATGTTGTTGCTACTCAATTCAGTCTCGAACGAGGGTCCTCCCGATCCCGATGCTGACCCTTTCGCCGGTCTCCTGCTGTTTCTGAAAGTCAGCGACGTGGACAAAAAGATCGTGGTCAACGACGAGGAGTACGGTGGTGACGAAATCAAACAGCTCGTTGACGGCGATCGGGGCTACCAAATCTTTTTCCGCTACAGTTCAAGCGAAAGGGAAACCTGGGACATCGTGTTTCACAGCCCCGGGATACCGCTCTTCACGGTCCGAACGCCGGTGCTGGGTAGTGGTCCCGAGCCCGCTGTGCTGGACTACATCACGTGCAGTGTCAGCACTGGCGTGAGCGCTTTCCTGACACCGTACACGCTGCCCCTGTTCTATGAAGCGTTCGACAGCGGCGGCGCGCTCATGCTCGGTACAACATTAACATTTTTTTCTTTTTGCACCGCACTGCGGACCGCTTGATTTCTTGATGTTGATTCTTCGCTGCACACAGCTCCTTCATCGGGCATTCATTCCATCCTTTTTCACTGAAGCTTTACTGTTTAGTTTTTCTCGTCACATCACACCAGCCCACGGCAAGGGTACGCTATCGAGCGCGAAGGATCTGACTCGGCGGAGAAAGATTATGAGTGAGCTTTCGAAGAAAGTCCGTACCAAAGACGAGGAGTACCTGTTCATAACCTGCCGTGTGTGCGGCTGGAAGCAGCGGCAAAACCTCAGCCAGGATATTCAGCGGTGCAAGCGGTGCGGCAAGAGCAACCCCACAACCTACCCCTCCATTGTGCGCGTCATGGAGCGGATGCGCGAAAACAATGATCCGGATGCCGAGGATTTTGTGCACTATTGCGAGAATCAGGCTCCGCCCCAGGACACGCGGTCTTGGCCGACGCGGAAATTTCAGTCAACGAACGACCACAAAGCCGGAAAAAAGAAAGCGGACTTTGACGTGGCACTGCTCGGGTTTCAGGAGTAGTAAAGACATGGCGTGGACGAGGTCCGTCGTGCTCTGCTGTTGCTGGTCGCCGGGGGTCGTTCTTGTTGATATATGCTCTGGACGCGTTCTTGCGGCACTTGTGTGATCATTTCGCAGCAGCGCAACTGCTGGAGATGAATAGATGCTTGCTCATGCCCGAGCGCAGTGACACAAGAACATACACGCCGCGTGCAAAATTGCCGCTGATACTTCTTTCATCATGTTCTTGACTAGTCACGTGGAAAAGAACGAACGCACGACATTCTCAGATCTGATTAGACATTTCTTTTTCTTTCTTGGATCCAGGACCAAACACCACTGCTGTCAAGCAGATGAAATGATCTCGCAGATCCAACAATCGAATGCTTCAAAGGACTACCTCGACACGTGTACACATGATCGTATCTCGATTTGCCGAAGAGCAAGATCATTCGAGAAGCGAGTATTTCCGCGGCTAGACAGAAATGGGACCAAGATCAAGATGATCCAAAGTACCTTGAGGGCGTGGAAGATCACACGCAGCGTTCATGAATTCCTGGTATGCCCGTCCGCGAAACATTTCCTACATGATTGTGACCCATTTTTTCAGGAATCAATCGACGACCTGAGTCCTCCTTATGAATGTATGAAGGTTCGAAAAATTTGTACTAGTGTTGAGTATAGCAAGCGATCTGGTAGTCAAAGTTCGGCGAGAAAGATGGCCGCATCCCTGCAGCATGACGAGAACAGCAGCACGAACGCTGAACACGAGCACGTCGAGAAGTCATGTACGCCGCTCGATGTGCGGGTGTTTTCGAAGCGCACCCTGGGAACGAAGCTGTTTTTCATCGACGCCATCGCAGTGTTGCCGGGGGAGACGGATCCCTGCGTAGTCGAGTTGTGCATCGCCGGAAATTTGGAGGCGACAAAAGATCAAGAAGAAAGGAGAGCGAAAACACCGGATGTTCATGTTCTGTCTCCCAAAGCGACAAATGAAAGCAAATCAACAAAAGTGCAGAAGAACGAGCCGCATCAGCACGAGAACAAAAGGCAGACCGGGGCAGACATTCGGGTTGGGGACGTTCTGCGCCTCTTGAACTACGACACCGAGTCCGCCCTTCCGCGACCACCGCGAAGAGCGATCCTGAACGTCAGCGCCTTTCGCTTCCAGGAAGCTTGGCACGACTATTTCAACGCGTTTCCCTTTCACCCGCCGATATGGTTTGCGCCGGAAAAGCAAAACCAAAACGCGAAACGGAAGAAGTCCGCGAGCGGAAAGAGAATGACAACATGTGAGGAAGATGGAAGTAATGCGCATCTGGATGGTTGTTCCGCTGCCGGCCCAGCTTCTGCGGAACATGAAAACAAACAAGACCAAGACCCTGATATCGCGTCGTCCACCGCTGGTGCTCGCGCCCATCAGCTTCCGGCGTACCGACAACCCGCACTGATTCTCCAGTGCCACCTGCCGCAAGCCGAGCGCGTGGCGGCGTACTTTGGGGGAATCGTGGCTTCCAATTGCACTAAGGATCGCTTGGTGTACGTATTTGACGATGAAGATGTGCAGCGAAGCCCTTTCAAAACGGCGCTTTTGCGGTTAAGAAAAAACAACTTCGCCAAGGTGCAAAAACAACACGAACTCGAGGTACCTACCTTCTTCAATAGTGTGGTGCATCGCGTTTACTTCGTCAACGACAATGCTCCGGTCTTCGTTTCGGAGGCAGATGCGTTTGATTATCTGCACCGCGTTCGCGGTCTGGGGACGGAAGACCCACGACAGCAGAGCCGCAAGACGCTGTGCTTTCCGCGGGAAATGGAAACGAAGCTGTTTGAAAAACGCTTGGGAGAATGGGAACTCAAACAGGCTTCTCAGGCTGCGAGAGATGAGATGAGCACCAGATTAGAAGCGGACGAGGGGTCTACAACTTCATCTCCGCTTCCAAATAAACCTGCTTCCTCGACTCACGATCTTTGCGACACGGTATGCTATGCGGACGGTCTGTACTTTCTCGGCCTGAACGTTCCGCGGCTATTGATTCCTGAGCGGGCGAAAAACAGCGTACCGTCCGCGGCGTACTGGAAGCTTTTGGAAATCCGCGACCGTTACCTAGTTCCAAGGAACTGCGCCGACAAGTTTACCAACCGCGATCTCGCAATTGATCTCGGCGCGAGCCCCGGCGGCTGGAGCTACTGCCTGGCCGAAGAGTTTGGCATCAAGCGGGTGCTTGCAGTGGACCCCGCTGCGCACATGCACAAGCTGGTGAGAGACAGACTTGTTACGGGACATGGAGGCAAAAACGAGATGGAGGAGCCGGTCACGACTTCCAAAAAAGAAAAAAACGCGGACAAGGACGATTCGTGTGAGCAGGACCAACTTGATGATAAAAACAATGTTCATCGACCTGATCTTCCCGACGGTGAACCAGGAGGATCCACACAACAGGCTGGGAGAGGAAGAACAATACCGCCACCGTCAGCAGATATTGAACCAGCTGCAGCCAGTTCCTGTGCACTTGCGACCCCGCGTCGTCCGACAAGTCCACCACGTCGGGTCATCGAGCACTGGCAAATGCGGTCGGATGCAGCCATTCCGAAACTGGCAGAGGAAATTATCCAAATCTCCGCCGATGAAGATCCGAGAAAAGTAGCGGTCTTTGTTTGCGACATGAACGATGAGCCGGAACAAAATGTGGGCCAATTCGAAATGTGCTTCCAGAAAAGGGATAGTGAGGAAAACGGAAACAATAAAGTCAATCTCCAACAAGAGCATATCTTTGACACCCGCAGCGACGGAAGCCGGGCGTGCCTCGTAGTGATCACGATGAAGAATGTGTACCGCAGCAAGGGCGAATTTGCGACGAAAGTTGCGGTTTGCAGAAAAATTCTGGAGGGGCTGGGCGTTAGGGACCTAGAGGAAATCCACCTCTTTGCGAACACGCGACTCGAGACCACCCTGGTGGGGCAGTTGGTGTAGCAGACCACTTGTGTCATCAAACAAGTATCCTCCTGGTGTCATGCACCGAAAACCTGCGAAAAGTTCAAGTTGTCACAATAAGCGATCATAGGTCTTGGAGTTTATTTGTTCAGGAAGAAGAGCAGCAACGTCGCGCTACTTCAACTTCATCAAATGAAAGATGAAGCACTTGTAGTTTCAACTTGTTCATCTTGATGTGCTACCCGTCTTGGTGGCCTATTCCACTTCTTCTGTGTCTTGGACGAGTGCTTTGCGGCATCGTTTCTGTCGAGTGAAACTCTCTCCATGAGTGTCGTATCATGTTTTTTTTCAGCTAGAAGTACTAGAGTGAGGCAGTAGAAGCAATTCAGTACAAGAAGGTTGGAGATATTCTATTAGACGGCCGTGAGCGATTCACCTCGACGGCCATGAGCGACAGTGACTGGGTGACGGCCATGAGCGATTCACCCCTTCAAAACTTCAAAACTAGGCTTACGCTATCAACTACCAGTAATGCAGAGCCATGCAGCATTTTATCCAGCGCGCATGGACCGCGGAGTCATCTTCGTAAATGTCTGTCACCGTCTACTCCATAGCTGTTTGAAAATATGTTGCTGAAAAGAATCGCATTCATCGCAGTTCATTTCGTCCCACGGCACCTTGTTAAGTTCGTCACGGGACGAGTCGGAGGCGGCGCGAAAAAGAGTTCCAGTTCACGAGAAACTCCTGATTCCTCAGTTGGGCCGCAGGCCGAGCTGGAAGACGATACACAAGAAGACTTACAGAATCAAGACCCCGCACCACCTGATCCACCTGATGACCCTGCGCTCTCGTGGCTGTCGTTTGTTGCGTCAATTGATTCCAGTGCGGACCTCGACCCTCCAGTAGACAAGGAAGACCCCCATGGTGCGCAAGACCCGCTCGTAAAACATGACCACGACCGCGTAGATCCGCACGTTGAAGTACTGGATGAGAGACCCCCTAGGCTTCGTGGGACCTCCAAAATCCGAAGGCGTGACGTGGAGGTGCCACAAGAAAAGGTGGATCTCATTTCAAATAGAACATCGACGTTCCTCGAACAGCGCGAAGACGACGCCGACACAAATTTTGCCGCCGATGTTCATCTTGAGCCACCGTCAAGCGATGCAACTAATGCAACTTTAGCTGCCGCGAGAAAGACAAAGAAAAGAGACCATAGCAGCCCTGCCGCTGGTGCTACTACAAGTGCTAGTCCAGAGCAAGGAGACGCCGAGGATGAGGACTACAAAAATATTATTGATAACGCAGAGGATGAGGACATCTCGACTTTTCTGCACATCAACACGAATACCGGCACTTCGAAATCGAGGCTCGGCGGTTTTTTCAACAGCATCGCCAGCGCTTTCCGCACGAAAGCGGGACTACGCGCCGAACTCGATGCCGAAATGGAGGAGGGTCGGAGGCGCATTGCGGCACTGCAGTCTCTCAGCAACGACACTCTGCAGACGCACGCGCAGCTGCTGCTGGCTGCCCACGCGGAGGACAGCGCGGCAGATAAGGATGGCATGAGCGCACAGTTGTCTTCCGCCAGCAAGATGCTTCCGGAGCTGCTGCCGCCACTGCTCGCGATGAGCAGACTGACGGAGGCGCTCAAAGAGCAAAACCAAGGGCAGGGGACAAATCAGTTGAGCAGAGATGAAAATGAACACGACGGCGCATCTTCTCCGTCTTCTAAAAAAGATGTTGGAACCCCCACCACCACATCAGCTGCCCCAGGTGACGAAAATAAGGAAGCGGCAACTGCAACAAAGCAGAACGAGGCGGTCGTTGCGGACGGAGGTGGGACAAGAAGGGAGGCGGTCGGCGATGGCGGAAAGAACGACGGGGACGCCCTCCACCGGGACGGGGATCCTGCAGTTGATGAACCCGAAACTCAAGCTGCGATTGCGAAACAGGACGCCGTGGAAGACCGGCAGATGGAAGAGATGCAAGAGAAGTGGAGGAGCGGGCAACTGGGGAAGAGCGAGCTGCAGAAGCTCGCTGACCAAGAGGGCTTTCTGCTGGAGCTCGCACGCAAAGTGTTGCAGGACTACGCCGCAGCTTTGGACGCGATCGACGCCACTCTTCGCGGAGCAGAGGAAAGCGCTACTGCTACAAAAACTTCGGGTCCTGAAGGTGCTCTCGATGAGTCTAGCTCCGCGACCCAAGAGCAGCTGTCCTCCTCTTCATCATCTACGCCCGCAGCATCAACGGTCCCCCGAAGTGGTGGCGACCCGGACAAGTCGGTGGTGCGACATTGGATGAGGGGCATGAAGATGATGAACGACGGGCTTCAGCGCCTGTGGGAGGCCGGATCCGAGGACTCCGCGTTGGTAGAGCCTGGCGACAAAAGTGTGATGGAAAGGAAGATAAACGGGTTTGCCCTCTGCCTCAAGGCCGAACTGCTGCTTGGCACGCCCGGTCTGCGACTTCCCGGCCGAACCGAGGACAAAAAAAACGCACCCCCGCCGGGGATGTTAGATTTTTCTGTTCTCGGAAACGGCCTACTGAACACGTTGGTCGCCGACATTGAACGCGCGCGCAAGAGCCAACAGGACGATTCCTGCACGGCCGATGGGCGTCCGAGAACGAGCGTGGTAGTTCCCGGGTTTCTGGAGCTGCTTGGACTGTCCTTCTCCGACGAACAGGACCCGTTCGTCGTAACATCGATAACGCCCAAATCGGTCGCCGCCGAGAGCGGGGTGCGGACGGGCGACCGTCTCGTGGCTCTGCTGCGTCCGGGCGTGCAGAACCCGGATGAGAAAACGATAGTTGTGAACGGCAGCAGTGGGGAGGTGGAAGAAGATGAAGTTCCGATCGACCAGGTGCTGGAAAGAATTCCGTGGGTCGCAAACAACCCGGACAATGTTTTGTCCTCCACGTCGGTCGTCTCTACTTCATCTGTGGGGGGCGCGCCAGAGCAAGTTTTGGAAAGAACATCGAGTAGCTTTTTTCAGGAAGACGAAGCAGGAGGTACTGGCGGTGTAGAAAGAAATCCGGATGGAGATGATAGTACAACAACTGCGGCTCAGGCAACGGCGGTCGAAGAGTCCTCGAACCCCATATCCTCGCCCGCCACCAAGAACAAGCGCAGGCGTAGAAGGACGAAAAGAAAAACTTTCACAACCGCACATCTTTCGGCGTTCCTGCGGGGTGTTGCAGACAAAGGGCCAGCAGCACCTCCTTCTTCTTTTCTTGACGATGGTGTCGAAACGACCACCAGCAGCAAGGACCTGCTTGCTTCGACGGAATTCCGCAAGTCTGCTCTCGAGAAGATTTTCAACGAGTTTCTGCTGCCGCGAAACTACGACCTCGTCTTCAAGTCGGAAAAGACAGCAGCACAAATTGCGTCGGCACGCCGCCTGCGTCTCGACCGCCTTCCCTCGCGCCTGGCCGCCACTGCCGCTGGCAAACTAATCGTCGACCCGGTCACGAAACAGGTGATATCAAAAACAGGCCAGACCACCGGCACCAACTCCGACAACGGAGGGGCTTCATCTTTCGTTGGAAACGAAATTCCGCTGGGCTCGACATTGGAAAGGGTTACACCAACCGCAGATCCCGAGGATGTGGCGGCAGATCTGAGCGACGTTCTTGACCTCTTTCCGAAGAGTACTTCTAAGGCCCCTTCTGCGACGGCGACATCGCTTAGGCTGGAAGAAGACTTAACAGATGAAGGTTCAGAACATCAAGAAGGAGGTGGTAATGAAGTAGCCCGCATTTTGCGGAGCTCCCGGCTGCCTGTGATTCTAGATTTTGTTGAGCCGGCCGGAGTTGTTGGGGCAACAGGAACAGACGAATCCGCACCCGGAGCAGCACATCATGAGAGGGACGCAACTGATCTACCGGCAAGTAGAAGCGCCGCCTCTGACGAAGCAGAAAAAGATAACAGAAACGGGGCGTCTTCTGGAACACCACCTAAAAGTGCGTGGTCAATATCAAGTTCAACGTCGTCGTTGTGGTCTCGTCTGACCGGCGCAGGGACACCTGGGGAACAGAAAGACAGCAGTAGTCCACCTCCTAGTGACTCCACGACCAGTGACCCGGCGGCGGAGACGCCGGAGGAAAGAGCGAAGCGCCTGACCAGCGAAGCCGAAATAAAGCGAATTCGTGACCAGCTCGCCTGTATCTGCGGGCCAAACGGCGAGAAGGGAAGTGGAAGTGCCACTGTGGCAATGATGAGACGGGCAATGAATGTCTTCATGGAAAGAATGGACCGAACGCTGGAAGGAGCGAATGACACGCAGGAAGGTGACGCGACTGAACATGAACCCGAAGTAGAGGCTGGAGCACACGACAAGGACGAACAAAGAGCGAAGGAATCTGCAAGTGGTGATTTCTTGGGCGAAAAGAATATAGAGAGAACCGGAACTACTGGTACTGCCGCAAGGAGAGCAGCTGCACCAGACCACACTGCCTCGCGGGAGGACAACAAAGAGAGCGAGCCGTTCGCTCCGGAAGGAGGCGCACCAACGACCCGTGAGGACAAGAAAGAACCGCAGGACAGTGTCCCGCAGCAGAACGGTATGAACAGTGCGGAACAGGAAGAGGAACAAGAGTCCGCGTCGTCCTTGCAGCAAACTCCGGGACCACACGAAGATGATCCTCAGAAGACTCACGAAAAGGAAAATGGCAATCATGCAGACAGTGCCGAAGAGATGCGACAGGCCTTTGCGGCGACATTGTCCCAGTTTTTGGTTCGCACCATGTCCGGCTTGCCGTTGGCGTCACCAGCAAAAGGCACTACTTCAACTTCTTTCGCGGACGAGGAGGAAACTGAGGAGGTATCCTGCAGAAAAGTAGTACACCCAGACCAGAAGAAGAGTCGTCGAGCTTCTGCCTTTTATTTGCCTGCTCAATCTCACATAAAATTGTCTCCTTTGCAGTCATACGAAAACCTTTTTTTTTCTGGTATGGGTGTACTTTTGTGGCGGATAGAAGGCTGTCGAAGAGCAAGTGGAAATGATACAGCAAGCCGCCGTATTCTGAGTAAGAACGTCCGCACCCCAAAGTCTTATTCAAGATGGAGATTCTGCAAGACAGGTCCGGAACATTTAGGATTCGTCCTCACGCATCAGAAGTTTCTTTGGCTGCGCAGTGTAGTAAGTCGTACCTAGTAGCTACTTCTGCATATGGAAGTCGACCAATCCACTCTCTGACGCATGCGAGATTGATGTCAAGAACACACAGCCGCTCCCATGTGTAGTTTTTCGTAGCCTGAGCTCATTGCCTTTTCCTCTCTGGTCGAAGCGTTCCTCGGACGGAGATAGGCTTCGTGGGCCAGGCGTACGCGCCGCTTCGCAGAGCTGTGTTGCTGGTCTGCCAGCTGCTCGGAGCGTGTTGGGGCGTTCTTCTGTGCAGTGCCTTGTGCACCCCATGGATGCTGGACCCCGCACTCCCCGCCTCGGTAGGGCAGTCTGTCAAGCATGTTGACAGGTGGTCGTCTCCAAAAACGACTAGGAAACTACACTTCCCATCCGGAGCCGCGTCTAGTTCAGAGATTTTCCAGGCATACATGTGACAACACGTCTCGGGAGGTCGTGAAGACGTTTTTACTCAGCATACACCGACGGTAGCTTCTCCTCTTTCCTCGAGCGCCGAGCGTCATCCCGGTCGTCATCGAGAAAGCAACCCAAACTGAGGACTTTTGGAGACGTTGCGTTGATGCGCAAGATATCCTGTGCAAAAGTATCGTATTCGTAGTAATTGCAATCATGCATTACAAATACAAGTTTTATTCCCAAGGTAAATCCGCATAAGAAATTTTATTTCTCATGCGGAGGGAATTTGTTTTGCATTTTTTATACGAGTACGATACTTTTGCAATTCATTTTCATACAAGAACAAACGCGACGCGAACGCCGCAAGGGCCAGGGCAGATATGCCGGAGGAGTTCGATGAAAATTTGGACTACACGAGTTGGAGTTTCTGGAATGAACCTAAACGGTACAACGACGTGAGCACCAAGCTGCCCGAGTTCAGGATGTTTCTTACCGAAGGGAAAGGGGACGATGTCGGTTTGGAAGCACTGCAGACTACGGGTGGCGCACTGAAAGCCCTGATCGGAGTTCTGATCACCGTCGCGGCTTTGGTTGTCGGTGTGAAATTCAGCGGTCTTGCTATGCTCATCGGCACGCTCGGGCCGGTGGCAGCTTTGATCATTGTCGGCGCTCTTCTCTTCGGGTACTTTCTACCCAATGCAACAATGTCTGGGTCTGGAAAAATGCAGAACGTGCAAGGAGAACGGTCTGCAATGCATGCAGAGCATGACAACACCGCGGAGCAGGCATCTCCATGACCTGCATGGGAAATATCAACATCTTAATCTTTCCTTCGGGGAAAAAAAAAATATGCAACACAAGTTCCATTTGTCTAGGTACTCCCGACTCAGCATCACAGGGAAGTTGCAATGGTCCAGACCCAGGCAGACATATTTGCAATGCATACGTGAGCCTTCCAAGCAACTTCGCCTGGCGATGGACCTCCTTTTTCGTGCACCTTTTCATCTCTGTCGTGATTTTCTTCTTCGTCTACATCTTTTTCTGGGTTTTGAAAAACCAGAAGTTGGTTCTCTTTTGGATCGTCATGTCTCTTGTTGTCCTTCCTTTGCTTCACTTGGGCGGTGGACCATTCCTAGTGCTGGCGGGAATTCCAAAATTCGGCGCTCTCGCGTCTGTGGCGGCTTTCCAACCTCCAGTGATGTTCGCAGGAGTCGTCAACTTTCATCAAGTATCAAATGCAAAAATGTCTGGGTCTCCTGGAAGATTGCGAGACTTGTCATGCTTGTCTGGCATGACCAAAAAGTTTGTGATGCGTGTCCAAGAAGAGATCCTTTTGCCTGTCATGCAAAAACGCGGTTTGTCATGCGAGAAACGCAACAAAAAAACGCGCAGATATTTCTCATGCTTGGCTGTGCAGTACAGAGCATTCCCTATTCCCAACGCAGCACTACAAGTTTCCAGACCCAGACATATTTGCACTTCATATCAAGCGGTGATCGGCGGCTCTTGGGCGGCGAACCAAATCTGGAAGATCTTTGCATTGCAAAAGTATCGTACTAGTATAAATTGCATTACAAATTTTTCCAAGAACAAAAATGCAATTTGTCATGCTATTTCAGGTAGAAAATTGGATTTGTCATGCATATCTGCAATTAGTACGAGTGCGATACTTTTGCACAGGATAAGATCCTACCATCGGCATATCTCATGGAAAAAGAAGCTAGCAAAGTTGTGCCGAAACAAGCGACAGGATCATTTTTGTCTTCATGTAGTGTGAGTGTGGAAAACGATGAATATGTAAAAATGCGTCAGGTGTTTTAGTTTTTTTAACAGCACCCTTTGAACCCTTTGCCTTTGTTTCGTCGCAAACATCAAGCGACGTGCAAAAGCGCTTATTTCTTTCTCTTTGCGCCAGAAAACAGCATTTCCGCGTTCTCATGCGGTTCGTTCTGCACGATCGGATCATGACAAGAAATAGTACAACTAAGTAGAAAAACTACAGAAATAAAGAACATTTTGTTTCCGAGCATCTAGGGCTAGCGTCTTTCCAATTCATTCGGACAGGGAGTTCGGCATGCAAGAGTTTCTGTGGAACTGAGAGTACTGGGAAAGGACGTATTAAACGCAAATATGGCTGGGCCTGGATGAAACCGAAGGAGATGTTTTGCGCTTGCATACAGGTTTTGGATGCTTGCAGATGTTTGTCATAAAGGTTTTTTGGGTGCCTGGGATGCAGGAGGATCTACTAGCGTCACAGGTTCAGCAGAATTTGCTCAAGGTCAACATCCTACATTCGTGATTCACTCTTGACACACATAGTCCGAGGTGGGCATCTTTTCCTGCTCGCGCTACAGGTAGACAGATAATTTATATGTGAAGACCCACAGCAAGCATACCTTTTGCTTTTCAGACCCACGCATATTTGCATTCGATTACAACAATACGGCGGAGGAATAACTGCAGGCACAGCGGATGGTCGAGAACGTCTTCGGAGAAAGCAGGAGAAGCATTTGCATTTCGTGGTGTGTGCTAAAAACAATACAAATACGAGGTCGACCAGATCCGAACCACGCACCTGCGCTAGTCACGAAGAGCCACAAATGCTTGATCATCCAGTAGTTTCAGTTTGTTTTATTTCATTTGCGCTCGAAAAAACGACTTTAGTTTACGGCTCTCTTTTCAACAAAACAACTTTTCTCAAAAACACGTTTGTTATTTACGACCGCTTTTAGTTTTTCCCTTTTCGCGACCTCTACCTTCATCTGTTTTAAAATTTTTCTAGGAGTTTAAGGCTCTCAGCAGAAGTAAGTTTTTCTAAGACGGGTGCCAAAGCAGCTCCGTCAGGTTGTGCTTTTTATTGAAATAGCGCTAGACACATGAGATGAAAGAACGACTTTCAACCGGTTCCATGTGACCACTCGCAACAAACAAACAACAAACAAATTTAAACAACATGACGACGACGACGAGTGGAGAAAAAAAAATAAAGCTGCGTGCGGGTGTCGCATGGCATGTTGGACGACCGAAACATCAATATCAATGCATATGTTTTCTGTTCTAAGAGTCAGTCCGCGTTCCTTCAAATACTTCGGGAGGAGGTTTTACTACACTCGTTGTGGTACTTTGCGAGTCGGTGTGCTGTGATTAATCGTAATGATAGGGACCGTGAGTTCAATGCACGTTTTTTGTTTTCCTTTCCAATATTCCATATTGATATTCATTTTCATGGTCTTGTTTGATCGTATTCGCCTTTCGTGTGTCGGGCGATTTGATTTCGATTCGTGCGGGGTTTGTAGGAAGGTACAGGTAGTTTTTTCAATTTTTCAATCGTCTGCGTTCCATCTTATCATGGAGACGAGGAACGCGTGAAATCTGTGCGCCCAGGAATTATGACTTGTAATACCTAGAAGAAAACTATCGTCTTACTTGTTCGAAAGGTGAAAATAAAAATCAGGAAAATCAGAATGTTGATACATTGGTATCTATTGGTAGAAATGGCATCCGTATCTAATGTTGCATTTTCGTGATCGTGGGTGACTACAGCTCGTTGACAAAGAGCAAATGTTTAAGTATCACGAAAAGTGCGCCTGCGTACACTTTTCATTGTCTAGTTTAAGAGCATGAATGGCAACTCGTTAAACAAGAAATCGTTTGTGTCGTCTTCGACTACAGCCTCACATACATGACCGTAAACCTAGTAGCTCTACGTTGCTCGGTCTTGAACGTAATCTGAGTCAGCTGTTTGCTATACGTTGGTTGGGCTTAAAGATCAAAGGAAAATTCGACGCGGCTCGCGCCAAGAATAAGAAAGATACCTGCCGCCATAGATAGCGCTTCTTCCTGGAGTTTCCCAACACTGTCTTGCCGATTCCGCTTCCGCAGCAGGAGAACTACTTACTTGTACGTAGCAGATCTTCGTACGAAAGCCTTTATATTCTTTTCTACCGTGTATGTTTCCCAGTCAGTTGTTTTTTTGTGTTTGGGTGTAGCCAGGGAGATAGTCTTAGATTATATTCGATCAGAACAAAGAACTTCAAGGGCCTCGTCCTCTCATTTTGTTGACTCAAATTTTAGAAAAACCAAGAATAGAGAAGAGTATGAAATGTGGGCTCCTTGGGGTGGTTGGCGTGCGGCTCCTACGAGTTACGCCGGCGTCTGTGTGAACTACTCCATGACCCCCCGCCAGCGCAAGTACGTCAACGATTTCCTATGAACTGCAAAAGTATCGTACAACTCGTATAAATGCATTACAAATTTCCTCAGCATCAGAAATAAAATTGTAATGCGGATTTCCCTGAAGAAAAAGATTTGTAATGCAAGACTTGCAATTTATACGAACGAATACGATACTTTTGCGCAGGATATTTCCAATCCGAGTACAATTGCGAGTATCGTCCCTGCGTGTACGTGGATCCCATCTCCGACAAGTACGATTTCGTCCCCGATTACCCCGTGGTGAAGAAAGAAACACACTGTCATTGGGAAACGCCTCGGGTGCCCCCGTACCACCGCGTGCATTTGCCTCTTCCCGCAAACACTAGGTTGGTGGCGGGTCCTCGCGGGCACAACAGCCGGGACCGAATGATCATGACGCAGCCGCCTGCCATGGTACTTCGTTCTAACGACCCATCGGTTTTGATACAGAAGTTGCGCAACATTCGGTTGTTTGAATCTCATCTTCACGATGCATACTTGTAGTTACAAGCAACTGAAATAAATAGAGAGCAAACTCATTCATCAGATTAGCGCTCGGAGCAGTTCCTCGCGGTCCTACAGCTCGGACCCGCACTATGACGCCCCCGTGCACCGTCTCTACCAGCAGGACAGCGCGGCCATGCCCGCACCGTTGCGACGAAAGTTGCGCCGACACCAGCAGCGGCTGCGCGTTGAAAACGTCGCCGCGCCGGGGATGAGTTCGCTCCCCTTTGCGAACGACGAGGACCGGTTGATTCCACACCCGGGATCCCGGCGTCGAGCGCACTCTGCGCATGTGAAGAGACCCAACTGGCGGGTGCTCGGCTCGGAAGGCATGGACGAACCCGTGCAGCGGGCTTGGATGGTACAATTTAGTGAAAATTTATCTTGCTGCTGTCCTTGCGAAGAATAGCGAAGCCTCAAGCAAATTCCGCCGATGCATCGATACTAGGGAATATGTTCAATGTTGATGCATGGATGTTGGTTCTGGTTGTACTTATCAAAAGTAAAACGCATTTTCTACGAATTATATGACTTTAAACTGTAACTGCGGTCACCCTCACCACCAGGTGAAAACTGGTTACGACCCGAACTGGAAGCCTTTGCCGAATTACTCCTCCGCCTGGAGCCGCCCGGGATTGAACTTTCTTCCGCGCTCAATCGACATGATGCCTACCGGCACCGATTGGCAGAGCGCGCACTGTCGCACGCGGCAGGAACGTGCCTTGCTGAAGCAGGGCTGGTAAACACGGGGAAGCTTTTCTGAGAGCACGGTTTTTTGTCGTGGTAACCAGCCGCGAGAACGAGAAGTAAATACTGTGTGCGAGGAAGAATAAAAACCTCGTACACGACACGATTTACAATTTCGCCGCAGAGAACAGAATCGTAATCAAAGAACAGTAGAAGGCTAAGCACACACCAGTTCGTTGTAACTTTTTTAGTTTGAATTTCATTTTTCACTTTCACTCTTATTCACACGTGCAAAAAGATGAATTTAACATACTACTACAGGAAATCTATGCGAATGTGCTGATTGTGCTGTACATTATTTTGTTAGTAATCCGTCATGGGAGATGTGTTAGTGTTACCCATTGTTGAAGTAAAGCGTCTTCCTTATCTGCTGCCTCTTCACTTTCGAACATACAAAGTCCAGTGCGATATCCTTGTAAAGCATTTATTTGTTGATGTGCTTCGAAAAAAATGTTGTCACACTCAAGCTCACGGGTACTTTCTACTCTTTACACTGTACCAAAAAAATTGTTGGAAAAGAAGACGAGTAAAAGAGAAAATACATTATTTCGTCGAGCACGACCACGAAAGATGCAAGATTTTCTTTGATGTTCTAGACGCTCGTGTTGCTGATGCAAAAAATCGCTTTCGCGATCGAAAGGCAAGTCACCTGATGTCGGATTCGTTCATCGCATATATGTGGTCTTCATCTTCGGTCTTGATCTGCGATTTTCACTCCTCGGTATTCATGAAAAGAAACTATCGGTTTTCCTTTGTATTGCTTCGGTTTTGATACTTGTCTTATACGAAGACGAATAGGCAAAGACCACGCTTTTATCGTTCATGACATATAGATTCGGACCGTCACCGTACTCGTGCAACAAAGACAGACCAAACGTCGTAGTACTATCGGTCATCAGTCTAAAGCATCGTACATATTTTTCCGTTTCTGCTTTTCGTTCCGAGGAACCGGCCCCATGCAGTTTTCGTCGTTATGGTGTATTGAGCAAATGTACCGCTTCTAATGATTGTGATTTTCTGAGTCTTCTGATTCACTACAGTTGCGCAAGACTAGGTCCTCCGTGACTCGGTCGAGGTCGACTTGCAACACCATCTTCTCCGGGAACCCCCCACAAATTTCATTATATTTATGTGCCTACTTTTTTATCTTCGCCTTTCATAATTCCGTACTCGTTTCAATTTGTTTTTGTGCAACCTTGCAATCAACAAACGAAAACGATCACTTTTTTCCCCGATATTAACTCTGTGCCTCCACGAGAATCAATTTCGAATTTGTATCTCAATTTTATCCCAGCATCATGAGTCAAGCTTTCAAGCCAAACACGCGCAGTGCCGCGAGCACCAAAAAGCAGGCCTCGAAGACGGCGGACCAGAAGGCCACTGAGCTGCTGCAGCGCATGAAGCTGCAGGAGGGGGATCACCACGCCCCTCCGCAGACGCCGGGCAGCATCAAGAGCTCTGCCAGCTCAGGCCCGGCCCCGGGCATGAAACTGAACGAGATGCCATCCGAGCGGCTGATGCGCGTTCACAACGACATGACGGATGTGATCCAGGCGATTGAGTTGCTGCAGCAGGAGAACCTGAGAATCAAGTTCAAGGCCGTCGGACAAATGCAAAACCTCTGCGCTTCCTGGTTTTCGGTACTGACATTTTATTCAAGAAACGATGACTCTGTTATCTTTCTATGGCTGGTCCCAAGCGCTGACGTACTTTTGGTTTGTTCATGAATCTGTTGCGAATTTTGTCATATTAAAACTACAGTCGACGACGAAGATGACTCTGAAGACCTCTTTTGGAGCCTGGAAGGAGCTTCTGCACAAAAAGCGGAATCTGGAAGCCGTGAACGCCGCGATCAAGCACACTGAGAAGCAAGCGAAACTGAAGAACCAGCAGTCGCTTGAGGAGCAAAAGGTACATACAACTTGTAGTTCGCTGCATCGCATACGCATTTTTGTGTAGTTCGTGGTTTTTCATCATTCTTTTCCTTGCATCTGCTTCTGTGACCAGAAGCATGCATGTCTGTGTTTCCTCTGGATCATGCTCAGTTCCTGCTACGTGAACTTCCGTATTCGTTTGCGCGTAAGAACCAGTCCAGTCGTGGCATGATTTGTTTCTACCTATTCAATACTTTTCCAGGCCGAGCACGACCGGTTGCTTGCGGAGTACGTGGCGACGCACAAGGCGGAGGTGGAACGCATCCGTGCAGCACACATCGGCGACAAGGAGGGCTTCGCCGCAGAGTTGGAAGCACGCCTGCGCGGCGAACACGAGGAGATCATTCAAGGCCATTTAGATGACCACTCGGAAGCCAGAAAAAGCCAGGTAGATATAAGTGCATTTTTGTCGAAAAAAGATACGTAGCATTTTTGTCGAAAAAAGATAGTAGAACCCGAACCGTAAAAACCGGATGAAGGTGCACGAGTATCAAATTTATCAAATGTTCACACATATGATTGGTTGCTGACCCCACCCACAGCCACAGCTCTGCTCATTATTCCATGAAATAAATCATCTTAAAAAATTTAAAACAGTCGGAGACGCACCGAACAAGCATTCGCGATGCGGAAGTTAAGCGGCAAAGCATGCACGAAGAGTACGACCTGAAGCATGCCGTGCAGGAGAAGGAGATCGCGGCACTGGAACTGGAGTTGAAGCACCACCAGAAGAAGCTCGCGCGGGGCGTGGCCAAGCTGAACGCTATGGAGCGGGCCATGATAGCGGTACGCTCCGCCATGGGCACCTACGAAGTGGACCTGAAAAGCTCGACGCTGACCAGCCCAACAGCGGGAAAGGACCCTCTGAATAAGAGCATGGAGGCCGCCGCAGACCCAGAAAACGCCGAGCAAAGGGAGTACATGAAAGACGCCCTGCACGAAATCCTGGAACAAGTCGACCCGCGCTACCTCGGCCGGTCAAACGTTCCTCTCCGGAGCTAATTGAACATATTTTTCACATGAGGAGGAGCGAGGACGAAAAATCATCTGAATCGACACAACATCACCAGGATCATGTTTCGCATCAGATTTTTGGCATGTATTGCCTGAGAATTTGTGCTCCACGAGCACGACGAGCATTATGACCGATTAAAAAATTTTCGTAAAGTAGGTGCTATCTACTAGTTGTAGGTGCCTACAGAAACAGGACTAGCTCGTGCTTCGTATCATCAACAACTTCACCGCAATTCAGTGCCGCCTTTCTCTGTTGTATACGCATGAATCCACATGAATTTCCTCGTACGTTTTTTTTCGTTTTTTTCAACTTTACATTAGTCCGTTTTTCGTTTTTCATTTGACATTTTAACATCAATTTACATTCAAAACAGTACTAAGAGTTTAGGCTGAGATCACATCGAGTTCGAGCGCGACAATTATTTCCCGAGTCGTACGGAGAATTGCACATCAGGTCGCACGTGCATCCCTAAAATTAATCATTTTCAACAAGTTTCCCGAAATTAAAAATCGTAATTTTCTCCTCAAGTATTCTCACTTCGTATGAGTTTCGCCTGCTGATTACACATAGGTTCTTTCTTTACCTGATTTTTCTCTTTGTTTTTGTATGCACAACAGAACGCAGAGATAGAAGACCGGCATCAAGTAGAGTAATGATCGACTTTGTTTTTGGGTGGGTAGCCCCCACTCGGTGAAGAGTCGAAGGAGGGAAGACCAAGCCAGGGCGTATTCGCACCAAGAAAAAGCGGAATAAAGATCACTCGCCCTGGGGATTCTTTGCACCGTAGCACCACCAATCAATGCTTTATGTCAGGTTAAGGTAGTCGAAGAAAATATACCGGCCACATGTTAGTATCCGCATCTCGTCTTACGGGATTGAGTAACGTTATCGGCATTGCCTTGCTGTACTGTTCCTCCTGCGATCCGAAGCATCAGGTATTTCGAGGATCAGGATGCTCGCAAACAAAGAAGGTGAAGGACTACAAAGATCGGTTTGGTTGCATCAATGCTTTCGACGAGGGACGGTCTAGCTGAACGAAGATAAAAACAAAAAAACGCTAGCAACTTGCAAGTTCTGATTTCCCACGCCGGACTTCGAACAAGAATGAACGTATGTGTGGCGCGCTCCCGTAGGGGTTGATTCACATACCTGAAAAGTATTGGTAAAAAAGCTCCACTAACACGGTGTCAAGCGTGCTCCCAGGACCTCTGTTGCCTCCTTCAGATACATCGCTCCACCACGAGCGAGGACCTGTTATTGCTTTTCAAACACGATGATAATGACAGTACGACTCCAGCAACCACAACGCTAGTTGTAGGTAGGACGTGTGGTGCAACAGAACATACCAGTCCCAGTGGACGAATTACTTAGCTTCGGATTTGGCATCCATCTTGTTGAACCCGGTAGTAAGTGCTCAATCATCAAGAACCATGTCTTGGTCGATACGCGAAGACGAGGAGTCAAAGCGTGAGTTTTTCGATGACGAGGAAGCCCTGCTGGCAAAAATAAAGTACGTCGCTTCCCTGTTAAAAAATGCCAAGCACGCGATTGTTTTCACCGGAGCGGGGATCTCCACGTCCACCGGTATCTCGGACTTCCGGTCCGGCATGCAAACCAAATCGCCCGGCGGCCCAGGGTTTTGGGAGCGCCAGGCCGATTACGAGCGGAAAACGCGGGGCGCGCGGAACGAATTTACGAAGAACGACCCGCAGAGACCCAGAATCGACCTCGACGCCATGCTCGGGAAGCAGCCAAGCTACACGCATTTTGCGATCGCGAAGCTGGTAGAACTGGGGATCGTGAAGTGCGTGCTGTCCCAGAATGTCGACGGCCTGCACCGGAAAAGCGGTATCGTCAACGACCACGAGCTCGCAGAACTGCACGGCAATCTGCTTGTCGAGTTCTGTCCGAGGTGTTTCCACAAATACGAGCGGAATTTTCGTGTGGGGCCAAACCCGGGCAGGGCGCACAAGACGGGGAGGTGGTGCGACAAGTGCGGGGATGTGGAACTGAAGGATAACTTAGTGCCCTTCGGCGAAGATTTACCGAAGCACGAGACTGACAAGGCCTGGCACCAGTCCGACGTCGCCGACTTCTGTTATGGGATTCTCAACTGTTACATGAATTTATCATGCAAGAACAGCAAAAGTGAACGCGGGAAGATTGCGCGCTTTGCATTACAAATTTGGAAAAGATTCAGGCGGTGTTTAGCCCTTCGAGAATTTGTCATGCGAAACACCTTGATCGTGTGGCGGCTTATGGTCATTTTGCATGACAAATCATGTAACAGTTGAGAATGTAACGTTTGAGAACCCCATATCTGTCTCGCTCTCGGCAGCAGCCTAACCGTCACGCCGGCCTGCGACTACGCCGGGTGGGTGGGACAGAAGAAGAACTACGCCGGCGAGAATCAAAATTCGCATCTATCACAGTGAAAAATGCCCCCCACCCCTGAAATTGCAAGAATTTGTGATGCGAAGTTTCCAGATGAAAGCTTTTTGTCATGCATGAAAGGAGTACGAATCTTTCTGATGCAGATGCTAGTCGTGTTTCGCATCGCTTGCATGACAAGCACCGCTCTTGCTGGGATCTTTTGCAATACAAATTTTTGCTATTCACGATCGGAAATCTGTGATGCTGATACACGCAAGAGGGCGGATGTTTCATTTGGAAAGATTTGCAATACAAATGCTTTCAAGTTCGGGGGTGGGGGCATTTTTCATTGTAATAGCATCTGGTTATCGTGAACCTGCAGAACACGCCCTACAATCACCACGCCACGGAAGTGGTGCATGGCTATTGCGACCGCGTTATGGAACTCTTAATGAAAGAAATGAGTGTCCAGATCGGTAAGAGTGGGACCGAGGCACCAAAAGTCTAAACGTCTGCTGTCGGCGGGTCGTAGGTTCAGCTAAAACTCGAAAGTACAAATGAGTGTGTGCCAATCGATGCAAACCTCAAAAGACGAATTTTGCCCGGGTGTTTATTCGTATCCTTTGTGCAGAATTCTAAGCGCCATTTTGATCGTTCTGTCGTCAGACACGCCAATTCCATTTCCATTGCTATCACAGTCGTTCCATATCCATACCACCGTTTCTAAGTAATTTATTCACACCAGTTAGTAGCTGCAGTACCTATACCTACTGCGCTACCTCGCGACTGGGCTAAAGCAATCTTTGTGCAGACGTATTGACGCGAACGCGATCGGACACAAAATAAAAAATCCAACAAAAGCCATAAAGGTATGTACACTCACTTTGTCATTGATGTCTGTCTCACGTCACTTGTACTCTATGCGCCTAATTCGACGCAATTGATACGCTGAAAATAGAAGATTAGTAGAAGTTGACAGCTCCTTCGGAGTATGAATATAAAAGGCGGAAAAAACTAGCGGTATTAACGAAACTCGCTTGTCCTGAAGTGCAAAGTGAAGGTGTTACTTCGTCCAGTTTGTGGCGCAGTGCGTTCTGTACTGATTGAATACTTTTCTAGTGTGGGGATCGACCACGGATCGAACAACTTTATAGCTGTCGAAGAACAGAAAAGGGAAGCGCTGAAATTCACAGCCCCGCAAAGCTAGTCGATCGCTCGTTCTCATTTGCTGTTGCTGTTGGACCGCTCGTTCGTGACCCTCGTGTCGTTGCGTAAGTTGGGGTCTGGGACAAGGGTAGTTTTGTAGCGCAAGAAGGTGCAACTGCAACTTCTCGACAAAGATACAACTTCTGACACTCAGATTGTTGTAGTAGCTGGAAAAGAATGTTGCCAGTAGATGATTTATGTAGAAGTTATAATAAAAGTTGAAGTCTATAATTAACGTTCCTGATATATCTTTTGACAAGAGTTTGAGTTGACACGTCTCGAGCAAACAAAATGGGCATCACTGGGTTCTACGACTTCCTCGAATCTCAGCCCGAAATGGCTCGAATGCGGCACCTGAAGGGCGGGGCCGACATCGAGGAAAATCTGGCGGGGAAGGTCGTTGGCATCGACGTCAGCATGTGGATTAACCGCGACTATCAGTCCACGCGCATGTGGACGAGTGGAACGGAAGAGCAGAAGAAGCAGTTTCCAATCTGGCAGATGTTTAATCGAGTGAAGAACTATTTGGTCCACGCAGGCGCGAAGTCTGTGGTCGGAGTGTTCGATGCTTCGAAGTCCACAGAGTCGAAGCTGGTGCGCGGCAACGTGACGAAAAACGGCCACCATCTACGGCGCAACTTGTTCGGCCTGAATAAGCAAGTGGAAACGGTGTTTACGCAGTTAGGACTGCAAGTGCTGCGCGCTCCGCCGGAAATCGGAGAAGCGGACGCGTTGCTCGGTATTCTGCAGAAGGAAGGGCTCGTCGACATTGTGGACAGTGATGACAGCGATGTGTTTGCGTACGGGGGAAGGCAATTGCTGAAAGATGCGAAACCCAGTGCCGCCCTGGGAGACGCTGGTAACGATTTGTGGACGGTAACTGACCCAAGCCTCCGCTGGGAGATCGCTTGTTGTGCCGTACTCGCCGGGAGCGATATGAGCCACGGGGTGAAAGGAATTGGTTTGAAGACCGCCTGCAAGGACCTGCGGAATTTCTTGAGGGGCGCCGCCGCAACTTATGAGTTCTGCAAACAATTTCTTCAGCACTACCCCGCCATTCCCGACAACGTTCGCGCCAACTTTATTGAAGCGTTCGAAGATTACGCGATCGAAAGAAAACCACAGTTGCAGCAGTACCTGCAGACCCAGAAGGAGAAGCAGCAGCGTTCCCAGCACCTGTCGACCTGGGGCAGGGTTGAAGTGGACCGCTTGCGGAGGCTGCTGGATGACCGGAAGGACAAACAGTTCGACAAAAACATCCGCGCGATCGTCTTCGAGCGCTACCTTCGCGGCCTGACGATCCCAGCAGCGGCACCCCTGCCGTTCTACAAAATTCAAAGAATCCGCGAGAAGAAAAAGAACGGGGAGTGCTACCAAATGCTGGCTGTGCTCGATTTCGACTGCAAGACGCACTACAATTGCCAGGCGAAAACGTGTCAGTGCCGGGAGGTGCTGCTGCGAAAATCGCTGTTTGACTCCGCTGACTCAGCCCGGCGGACCGATTTAACTGAAAACAAAGTGGGCGCCGCGTACTACGATCGCGCTTTTGGCGGAATCGGATACCATATGGGCGGCGGCGGGGGCGGCGGTAGCAGCAGTTCGAGCAGCGCAGCAGTAGGGGCACAGACTAGCAGCGGCGCGCATGGTGCCGGTTCCTCATCTTCCGCTTTTTCTGCAGCGGTGGCAGCAGATCGAGAACCTGCCAGTTCCGGCGTTGGTGAAGCCGCGGCACCGGGGGACGAGCAAAGCACCTATTTCACCGGAAAACCAAAGTTCATACAAGATGACGACTTCCCGCTGCAGGGCGCGGTCGTTAAATTCACCTGCAAGTCCGAACCACGCAGGATTCTGGAGGAACACAAGGACTACAGCAAATACGGCTGCACCATCCCCGCCGGACCGCCCAACGCGTCGACGACATACTTGGTATGCGGTGAGGCGCCGCTCGATGATGGGCCGTTTGCCGGGAAGGATTACACGTTCGGCACGAAGTACCGCGACGCACAGGAGCTGCGACAAAAACCCGGCTGCAAGTGGATGCTGACGCGCGCGGGGCAACGAATTGCGCTGCCCGTGCCGATCCGAGAGCGAGAATTCTTGCTTCTTATGGAGCGGCAGAAGCGGAACGCGACGCGGGGAGCGGTCGGAGAGTTCAAGCGGAGCGCCGAGCAGGAGCAGGCACCATGGGAGGAAGAGAAGGCCGCGCTGTTGAAGCCGGCAAGAAAGGCCAAGGCGCGGAACTCGGGACAGTCCGGTCGACGGCCCGGCGCCGGGAAAAGAGCAATGGCGCAGCCGGCGGAAGTAGAGAGCGCTTTTGGTTCTTTCGCCGACGAAGGCCCAGAGGACAGTGGCGGGTTTGCAGCCGAATTTCTGCAACGGGACAATGAAATCGAGCAAGAGCCAAGCCCGAAGCGACACAAGATCAGCAGTCCGCCTAAACAAGATGCCTCGTCTTCCGCGACGAACTCCCTGCTTGATCGCCTTCGGAGGGCGCGAGACGAAGCCGCACGCAGAAGTGTACCAGCCGGAACTAGTACAGTACACCCCGGCACCGCAGGCGCAGCGCAAGCGGAGATAAAGCCACCGCGTTCCGCCCTCGATTCGCTTTTCAGTATCGACAGAGTCGATGTTCCATCTTCCGGAGAAAGGAACGGTGTACCCTTCACCGCCGCGTCGTCGAGTAAATCCGGTCCTGCTGCTGCTTCCTCTGCACCACCGAGGTCTTCTGTAATCGAAGCCACAAGAACTACTGTCGGAGGCAAACTTCACTGCCAGTACGCACACGAAGTAGAGCAGCTTGCCGAAATGGGATTTAAGGACACCCAAAAGAGCGCAGCCGTCTTGGCCGAGGTAGCCGGGGATCTGGACAAGGCTATCGACATACTGTCGGCGGCGTCACCGGCATCTTCAAGTGCGGATCCCGTCGGTAATGGCGGTGTGTCACCGCCATTGCTGGCTATGGTTCGTCCCCCGCCAGCACCCGCTGCGGTCGCCCCGAGAGCACCAGCAAGAATAGAAAGCCTCGAAAGTAGTACGAAGTACCGCGACCAGCTCCAGCAGCTCGAGAGCATGGGTTTTGCGGATCGGGAGAGGAGCACTGCCGCCCTGGACAGGTGTAATGGAGACGTGACTGCGGCGATTGGCCTCCTGCTCGGGTCATAACCGTAAAAACGGGGGTACTAGATCATGAGCCTAGTGTGTGCTGTCCGCGCCCTACGATGCTGTTGAGTTCGAGACTAGTAAATTCCTCCTTCTCGCTTGGCAGATTGATATGTGATGTAGTATGTACAGTGTCCTAGCCATTCCCAATGGTATTCCATCATTTGAATGCTGAAATAAAGAAGAAATAGAAAACGTGACAACAAGAGTTGTAGGATGGCAGATTTGTTTATACTCGATGCTGGAGCGTGTATCGTCCTTGAGTAGGAGAAAAAGCCTTCCTCTGAACCAACTGGAAACGTAGTACAGTAAGTGCAACCTGAATATCAATGGCGCAGCTGGTCTTCTGAGTAGATATAGATTCGGAAAAGTTTCGCAGAAGCTGACCGGGGGGAGCGCTCTACTGCTACTACCAACCTAGTAGCGTGTTTCTTCCAGTCTCTCGAAGAGCGAGCCAGCTGCTCCTGCTCTATGTACTACGTTAGTTATTCCGTGCGATTGCAGCTAGTGCTACCTCGACTAGGAGTACGACACGAGTGTCCCGCCCGCTATGAAGACTAGCTGAGTGGTCGTGCATCTACTCGATAAAAAAACGAGTGTCGTGAGCGGATCATGAGCGCGAGGGTACTAGCTTGGAGTGTCAGAACTGGTATGTCTTCAAAAGACGCCAGGAGTAACGAGACCGTCAGAACATATTATTGTTGCTTGCTGTAGAAGTTCTTGCAATGCATACTCATTTCTTTTCAGTTGGAAACCTGCAATATTGTACTAGGTGGAGCTATTCGAGAACTAGTTCAGAAGCAAGTAGAATCGCGACGGTACGTTACTAGACAAAAAGTGCAGAAAAGGCAACCGTCAGACCCGAACTCTCGTCGGCGCAATCAAAAAAGATGCTGGATGGCATTGGTGCAAATTCCGTGCCCCCGCTGTGCAGCAAGCAGTCTCACCCGCTGGCGGCCTACAACCAGCGCACCCATTTTCAGATCGGTGTCGAGGATGACAAAGGCGCTCGGGAGCAGGGTGCCATGCACCGGACGTTTACCGACCCAAAAGTGGTGTACTGCCGCTACATTCCACATATGCATTGCAAAAGTATCTTCGCACTGGTATAGATAAACTGCACCAGCATGCCAAATGATAATTTTCCCACGGAGAAAAATCGAATTCGTCATGCAGATCTGTATCTGTCATGCTCATGCCGCGCTGCAATCAGTACGAGTGCCATACTTTTACAGAGGATACCACCCGACAAAAACGCCAGCATCGTCGGGATGACGCAGGGCGAGAACGCTGACTGGGTGTCGGAGCAGCACGCGAGGTTTCTCAACAACGGGCCGCAGAAACGACGGGACGCGTTCGAAGGTGCAGATTCGGTCGTGCACTTTGGGGACGATCCCAGGGAGGTACTTATCTTCAACTCAAAGTTGCTAGTATGGGACTGACTGAGCGGCAGTCTTTCGTCTATCCATGATTTTGATTATGACTTTATTTTTAGCACCAGAAGTCCTCGTTATTCGCGGATCCAATTTGGTATCAGCAATATGAATATTATCGATAGAGGAAACAAGGAAAATCCTGCGATGCGCAATGAATTGCATCACCTTCGACTCGCGAACCTAAGAGTGAAGAAAGATGCAAATTCACTTAACCACTATAATGGAAGGATCTGACAAATAGGTGGAATCCCAGTACACGTTTACCCACAAGCCGGGGCAGAACGCGAAAGAGATGCCACCCAACACGCACAAGTGGCCGGAATGGCCCAAGAGCAATGTGCTCACCGGCGCGATACGGACCGACTTGGAGCCCCGGTTTCGTAAGGACCAAAACCTGAAATCGCAAAATTTCAGCCACATCAACGAAGACAACACGAACATACGTAACCCAACCACCGGCGTGTACCACGCCCGCCCGGTGCACAACGGCCCCACGTCCCACGAGTACGTGCAACGGGAAAACAAAACCGTGCATCCATTGATCAGCAGTGGGGCCATTCGCCAGCGAACCAGTATGGATCGGCGCTGAGCTGCTTTATTGCAGAGCGATCGAATTACAACGATGAACTGAAAGGTTGATCTTGATGTAATACTAGTAATCGACGAATATGAAGAAAATGAATGCACCGTAGCTTTGCTCTTGAAGGAAGCTAGTTTGGATGACATCAAACGCACAACTGAACTTTTCGAGTTCAAGAAGCTTGGATGATTATTGTATTCTGGCACTGGTGCTGCTGTGCTGCACTCAGTATCTATTTTGGGGATTGATTTGTTATTGTTTCTCAAGTATACACTTTTCTGGTTTCGAGGATGAGGATCTTCAGCGATATTTTGCGGTGAGAATGATAGTTGCTGCGAAGGATCAAAACCTGCACGTTCACATGCCGATGTTCATTCACTTTCTTTGGGCATTTGGTCGCCCAGTTGTGTTTTCTTGAATTCGAGGAGGACTTGGTTTTGCCTGTTTGCTGGTCCCTACAGATTTTGATGTTTCAGTTTTTCCTCTCGTCACTATTAGCGGCGCTGTGCCACGAGGCATTGATCGGCATGTTTTTGTTTGTGATGGCAAGCAGATAGTTCCTTTTCTTCACGATCCATAGACTTATTTCGTCTCAATAAACTCTAAGTCTCGGTTGCAGAATCAGGATGAGGAAGCGTTCCCGCCTACCGCCGGCCTACGTCGGTCGTTCTTGTGGCAAACATGTTAAAAACACAGCATGCTTGGTCGTTGGTATGTTGTCGGCGCCGCGGAACACCTGCCTCGCAGACGAGACAGCACCCAAGCTGCAGCAATTTTCTCAAATCGAGTGGCCGGACGAGTACAAGTCTCTGGACGATTTCCCACGGCTCTCCCGCATTACTAGCGTTTCCGAGCTTTTGCTGACAAATTTTGTGGAAAAACGGCTAGAGCAACGTGCGCAACGGAAGCGAACGATTGGAACTCAAAGCGATGATGAAGAACAAAAACCGGAAACGCAAGGGTCAGTGGAGATATCAAAACCAAGTAGAACATCGGAGGGACCAACATATCCGTTCCGACTGCCAGCTAGCCAGCGCGCTCACGCAGAGGTCCTACCTGCAGCAGAACAAAAGCAGATCAGTCGCTACGAGAATTATACCGAGCGGGTTATCAAGAATGGCAGCGACATCACCATCGAGGATATGATGCAGTGGCCGGAGATTCTGAAGGGCAACGTGGACTTGCTACACACGAACTATTCGGCGTGGGTAATTTGGACCGCCCTTCTACGGGACGAGCTGAAAAATCGCTGGCTTAACGAGTCCGCGTCGATTCTGCGCACCGGCGGAGTTGTCACGGTGGATAGGAATGTCACGAAAAAGTGGTTCGGTGCAGTTGCCCCCGCAGCAGCAACAGCATCGGCTCGTCTTCAGGTTCAAGGGGGAGCGCCAAGTTATTCATCATCTACGGTGCCGACAAGGGGAAGAACATCAGGAATGTCGGAGTCACCGGACCTGAATGACGCGCCTACTCATTTCAGCTTGGTACGCTCCTTTGCGAAGGCATGGGAGAACCTCCTCGCCGCCTCGTCGGCCTACTTTCTGTACATGAACGGAGAAGTGGAGCAGATTAGCCTGACCGGAGATTTCAGCATTTTCGCGTGGCTGCATGACAACTTTGCGAGCTCCTACCACTTGCCCACCATCGAGGCCTGGGAGACGAGTAAGGTTTTTACTTTTTACTCGCTGTTGCTTTTTTTTCCATTGCGATAATTTCCTTCCTCTCCAGAAATTATTATGTGCTGGTTGTGGTGCTGCTGTCATGCGACATACAAAGGCCCAGCGATAGCGAATACTAGATCGATGTACCCGCAGCTACACTGCCCCCTGCTTGACCCACTGAAAAAAACCCCTTCATCTCCACACACCAGACCGCAACGCTGCAGTTCTCGGCTTACAGCTTTCGCTACTTTGGGTACACGAGTCGGTGGCATCAATGGGCGGTCGCGCGTCCCGACTTCGCGGAGTGGGAACTTGACGCGCTGGAGCAGGGCAAAATGTTGTCCCAAGCGGAACGGGAGTCCGCAGAGCTGGTGGACGTCGAATTGACGTCACCCGTGGAAGAAGTTCTTGTACCACCTGGCAACCAAAGCCCGTCGCGTTTCCCCCCTGGTGAAGCTGCTCCACACGACCAGGAGGGTAGTTCTCGTGCGAACCCAGCAAGAAATAGCAGGTTCCTCCGGTACAAGAGCGACCGGGAATTTGGGAAGTTTCGTTACCTCCTGAACGAGGCTACTGTGCTGGAAAACCTGGACGAGAGCTACGCCGCTCGCGTTGGAAACCGCCTCTGGGAAGAGTATGGCAACCGGGCGGGGAGGAGCCGCAGTCAGGGAGCCAACGACCGCATGATCGAAATTTTGCTGGATTTGTTCGGCCGTGGTACAACAATGTCGCAAGGGGGAACGCAACATGGTGCGCCCAGCAGAGAGCTGCACATCGACCACGACCACCTTCCGAGAGAAAAGCAAAAGATCAGCTATGTGGAGTTTGGGTTCGAGACCGGGTCGCTCGAAGACAGCAAGCAGGCGAACACGCTGCGGCTGTGGGCGAAGCGGAAGAAAGGACTGCTGCTGGATGCGAGGAGCGAGAACAAGACGATCAATCTGCACCAGCACTACATTGACAGCAAGAACATCGCGAGGATTTTTGAGCAGCACGGGGTGCCGCTGGAGTTTGATTTCCTATCCATCGACGTAGATTCCTACGACCTCTTTCTCCTCGAGGCAATTTTGAAAGCGGGCTTTCGCCCGACAGTGATATCAACCGAGTACAACCCCAACTACCCGGTCGATTTGTCGATCGCGCACGTGGATCCAGCGTTGATTGTTACTCCAGGGCAGAAAGAAGATCGTGCCAAGAGTACTGGAAAAAGTGGCACTGAAGCAGGCGCGTCCGAAGCGGATGATGAAAAAGCGAACACTCCACCAAACGGTCCCGCAGGAGAAGTCGCAGCTCTACATGCAGAAGGCCGGCAGAGCGTTCCGCTGCCCAAAATTTCTCCGATCCACCTGGTCGCGACGGAGCGTCTTCGCAGGTTGAACGGGCTCGCTCCAATTGACGACTTGGACGACGGCAAGCGGTTTCGCTTCGGCGACTGTAGTTTGGGCAGCAGCGCCTCCGCGCTTCGTGTGGTTGCGGAAAGATTTGGCTACGTGCTAGTCGGGATCATTCGCCACTTGGACTTGTTCTGGCTGCGCAAGGACGTGCTGGACCGTGTGAGATCCGCCGCTTGCGGAGTAGAGCAGCGTCTTGAGTTTTCGCAAGAATCACACAATAAGGACATCAGCAAAACAACTTCTGACACGGGTGGCCGCGAGGGGTCCACCTCCGTCGTTTCGGCACTGCATGCTGAAACAATCCAGATACGACAGCGAGTCTGCGACTCGTACTTCCGAGTTCCGCCGTTCGAATACTTTTTTGTCGACCTCTACGCGACGCAGCAAGAATACCAGCTTCTCCACGCCTGGCCAGCTTACCACCTAGCACTATCGCCCCTGCGGCGGGAGCTAGTGGACTTAAGGACGTTCGAGGCCACAGGCAACGCGACAACGGCACACGCCGTCGCGAAAAACAAGTTGCGAATGAGAGATCAAATCCTGTGTTTCAAAGACGTGTATCCGGCACTCTGAGGCGTGAACCAATGCGTGTGCTCTGTTAGTCTGTAATTCTGCTAGCACATAAGTATTTGGATTTGCGCATGATGATTTCTCCGAGATGAAACTCGAACTCTTTTTGGCGCACTTTCACTTTCATGATGTTCTGTGTTTTCTTTCCCATCCCGTCGTTCTCCGCCTACTGTCGTTGCGATTAGATTCGATGAGTGTGATGTCGCGGGTTGGAGAGAGGAAGTTGCAAAATAGGCCAAGAAAAGATAGACAAATTGACGCGCGAATCGGAGTAACATCGTTGAGCGACAGAGAGACAACCAAAAGATGCACCTTCTTTTAACGTTTGATTTTGAAGAAAAGGTACTAATATGGATTTAATTTGATTTTTGCGAAGAAAGATTTGACGTGTACGTCGCTGTAGTTGCATCGTGACACCCATTGGGCAAAAATGGGACCCTTATCGCACCACCTGTACGGCATTGCAACCAGTTTCCTCAACGAGACGCCCGCTGATGATGTGGCGCCGGCAGATGCAGCGGAGGCCGCAGGTACTGAACAAGGAGTGTTGATGAAAATTTGATGTCATGGTATGCTTGGAAATGCTACTTTGATCGGTGCCTTTAGATGCCGCGACAACGAAAGGGTTTTTTCACAGCATCCAAGATTAGATTTGCATGAAATGTGGTCGCGTCTTCTACACGAAATATCCGATGGGACACATGCACATCTCTCGCACGACAGATCCTTCCGCCGTCGCAGACCAGGGCGAAGACGCGGGCGTGAATCAGGGCTTCGAAGGCATCGTTCCGGCCCAGGTGGCAAAGCTGAAGGCGGATATGCAGGGAGAAGTCAACATTCCGCAAAAAATGGAAGAACTCTTTGGCAAAGCTCCTGTAGTCGACAAGGGAAAGTTGGATTTGAATGTAAGTAAGTACATTCATTATCGCTTTGCTTGCGACTCCCCCCGATTCCATCACAAGTTCTTGCTGTAATCGAGCGCCTCTTGTGGGCAAGACTCGCGCCTCTTTGGGGCGACGCGAGTATTTCGAAAATTAAACATACGAAAACTCCAGGGCATGTCGTCTCTGCGTCTGGCCGCTTTTGAGGGGGAAAACGCGGACGCCGCGCGCACCTGGGCAGCAAACCTGGCGGAGCTGAAGAAGCAGTGCTTCGTCGACAGTGGCGTGGAACCCTGCAAGGTGCTCGCAACCGAGAGCATGTTCATGGCGGCCAAGTACTACCAAATGTGGGACGAATCGATGAGCATGTGGGATTCGCAAGGTGAGTAGAATTACGCCCTGCTGCCTGAGTCTTGCTTTTTATTCTCTGAAAGTATGACTCTACGTCGTGGCGAGGAACGTAGATTTGGCAGAAGAATCAAGTCAAAACCTAAATTTTCTAAATGTCAGGTAATGTCGATGCGGACGGCATCGGAGGGAATGTCGATATGGAAGGCCTGGGAGGTGAGGAGCACGCCCATGACAACTTGGGTGGGGCGGAAGATGCGGATGCCGCCGCTGCGGGAGTATTTTTGGTTAATATGATTATGTGTTTTTTCCCTGCATGAACATGTGAAGAGGTAGTGCTAGTATTGTCGCAAGGACGCGCCGCGTCGGGGAGACTAATACTTCTAATGTCGGTCGGACATATTCCTCATAAGGAAAAGCACGCCGGTGTACCACACTCAGGTGTCAGCCGGCGATGCCGGCGCGGAGCAAGCCCCAGCGATCGACTCGGAGGCACTGCAAGTTGCGCAGGCGAGTATGGGTGCGGGCTTGGCAGTCGGCGCATCGCTGTTCATGACGTTCCTTGACAACAACAAATCTGATACGCAATCAAAGAATCACGCCACATTGCTTTGAAGGTCACACACATCAAGAATATGCAGATCAGTTCCGTTAATAGCACCTGACCGAGGGATCTGCGCAAATTGGTTCAAAATTACACACGATAGAAGGTCACTGGTCATGATAGCGAAACTCGAGAGCAATGAAAAAGTGCACGAAACATGGATCTGAATCCTTTACGGGCAGCCTCCGTTTGGCATCTTTGTTGTAACTGATGCCAACCCGTTTAGCTGCCCTAAAGTAACTCAGCTCTTCCTATCTCCAGCATTATTGATATGCTGAGAGATGATGTAACGCTGGCACATCCACATACACATCGATTTTTAGGTTTCTCCTCTAAAATGCGAAAACGCATTTGTAGTACAAGGAAGGTTCACTGGTTTACATGCACCCGAGCTTTGTGGTGATTCTTCGTTTCCATATCGAGCGTGGCCGGCCGCGCGAAGAAGGCCCGGGAATTCCTGTGAGGGCGCACTATTACGGGTGACAGAATCACTTTTGAGGAGTCCTGCACGTGGAGGAAGCCTGGGAATGTCGAATCTGCTGTACGCAGTTCCTTCGCATCAAGAAATAAAAGAGAACTCGTTTGAGAATATCGAGCTGTGAGCTGTGTTTACTGTTTCGTTTAACTTTTTGCTTTCGATGAACACTATGCTTAGTGTGTTGATTTAGAAATGTGTGACGGTCAACAAAGGTCCGCTGCCGGATGTTTATGCTACACTACGGAACTTTAACCTTTTGCTTTTGCTAGACCTTACATCTAAAGATTTTGAAGAGCCGGCAGAATTTTGAACTTCTCTTTTACGTTTCGGTTTCCTAGAACTTATGTTTATGAAAATTGTTGTTGATTATAGAGATAGAGGACACAGGCAAGAAGGGTCAGATTTGGTGACTGAGAGGAAACCTAAATTGTCGCAGAGCAAGTGTGTTTCGAATTCGAAGTTCAAGTATATATTTTGAAAATTTCAGCAAACAGAAACAAGATACGGAAAGTGAATGGCATGGCTTTACGGGAAAGCGGAGTTGTTCTCTCCAGTCGGTTCTTGGAAGATGTTTGCAGTCGGTCTACTTGTAATAAATTGTTGTAGGCGAAAAACTCCTCGTCACTGCATGACGATTCGTGAGCCTCTTGACTGCAGATCGAGTGAGTGTGAAGATGATGCAACGACCGTTGAATGATCTAAAGAACAGCTGAACAAAATACATTGAAGGATCTTCACGAAAAGGAGCCGATCCACCACATCTAAATTCGTTGAGTCGATGTTCCCAATGCATGAAGGACAAGGATCTGAGTTACAGAGGAAATTGCTCAGCAGAAAAGAGATCAAAGCCACGATCCGCCTACCTTGCTACCGTAACCAGAAAGATCAAAATCTTGGTTCTCCCGCTGGTCCGATCGGATGATAGAAAATAACTGGGATCAAATTCACATTCAAAAATGTCCGAGCTTAGTTTTTAGATGCTTACCTCGCCATCGTAATCATTTCCATCCTGCACTTATTTTCACTTTCACAACAGGGACACGAACCTAAATCTGTTTAGGTTCTGTATTGTGGATTTGTGAATCGAGACATCAAAACCAAAACCAAAACTTCAAAATGGTGACCGCCCAGAAGCGATTGGCCGCCAGCATCAAGCGCTGCGGCGTTAACAAGATCTGGCTGGACCCCAATGAGATGACCGAGATCAAGGCCGCCAACTCCCGCTTGGCAATCCGCAAGCTGATCAAGGATGGTCTCATCATTCGCAAGCCGCAGACCATTCACTCCCGGGACCGCGTCCGTATTGAACTGTTGTTTTCGGCTGATTTGGATTTAGATTTGGATTTAGACAATTTTGAGTTCTTGAATGCAGCAACATCATCGACAAAGTGAGCTGAGCTGGCTTGGTATGCATGAGAGATTCACTTCAACTTGTTGAATATACGGTCGTTCATCTTTAAAACGATTCCTCCCCGCAGGTAAAAACTTGGCTGCCAAGCGCAAGGGACGTCACACCGGAACCGGAAAGCGCAAGGGTACCAAGGACGCCCGTATGCCGCAGAAGGTTTTGTGGATGCGCCGCCAGCGCGTCTTGCGTCGTCTGTTGAAGAAGTACCGTGAGGCCAAGAAGATCGACAAGCACCAGTACCACAAGTTCTACCTCAAGTGCAAGGGTACAGAATTATTTCGATTCCTTTTTTTGTTGCAAAAAGTTCTTTCTTTGAGAAGCGGAGATTTTGACCCACGTGAGTTGTGATGCACTAGGTTGCATGACAATCGGTTCTTCGCATGTAATCTCAGCATGACAACCTTACAACACTATCTAAACAGGTAACGTGTACAAGAACAAGCGCGTCCTGATTGAGTTCATCCACAAGGACAAGGCGGAGTACATGAAGAAGAAGGCCCTGATCGAACAGCAGGAGGCTAAGAAGACCAAGGCCCGCGCCACCCGTGAGCGCAAGGCCGTCGCCAAGGAGGCCAAGATCGCCGAGGAAAAGGCCAAGAACAAGTAAATCTGAGGTCTCAACAAGCGGAACTTGCTTCGGTTTTTGAGTGAAGAAGAGGGTCATGTGGAGATTATTGACGTTTGTCCGGAGCTGCGATAGTGTAGTTCTGGCTTGTCAGCAACTTCACGATGTCTGATTTCGAATCTTCTGACTGAGAAAGATAAACCATTTTGATGTGGTTCGAACGTGAACAACCTGGTACAGTCTCAATTCACAATCCATAGAACAAATAGATGAACAGAGAGAGCCGCTGTACGAGGGCTCTTTTTGCCGCATGGGTGTATCGGTGTCATCAAAAGTGTTCATGTCGTCTAGAACAACAGAGTAAAGTGCGTTCTGAGTCTAGTAGGTACGGCGCGTCGTTTGACACACTGAGTGGGCGATGCACTGCACGGATGACCGTGTCTGCGACGTTTGTATCTTCAAAGAGAGATAGGCTGCAGTGAATCTAAAAAACTGTTTAAACCCACTACTTCCGCTTTGGGCGAGAATTTCCCCTTCTTGTTCTCGCTCTAGTTCCGGAACTCAACCTGTCTGTTTGTACCGCGAGCATTGTCCCCATCTTGATTCGTCGATTTCGATGCGCCAGTGATTCCATTGAATCTGAAGGTGAAAGAGTGAGCGACTTTTGGACCACACACAAAGCTCTGAGGATCGACACGTCGGCACGATTGAAAAAAATCGCGGAATATTTCCAGTATCTGCACCAGGTCGCCTTCTCGCAGCATCTCGAGTCACGTAGCCGATTCATTGGAAACAGCGGACGGAGCGGATCATTGTCCTCTTCCTGTTCCGATTTTCGACGCCTGAACAATAGATACGAGGCAGAGACGGCTCGTAGGTATCGGCGTTTTGTCCAGTGTTGTGGAGCAATGTTTTGATTGCTTGCCGTGTAGGGACATGAAGAGCTAGGAGTTGGAGGAAACTAGTTCGGCATGTTGATGTAGTCACTAAACAAACGTCCAATTCCAGCGCTGCAAAGTTGAAGTACACACTCGGGGAAGGATGTCAGCCTCGACAGTACAGCGCATATCTCGCGAGCTAGAGGAGCTCACGGGGAAACTCGACACCGTTAAGGACATACTCGGGACTGCGGATGCGAGCTCGAAGGCGTTTGTCGATGATTTCTATGAACAGGGAAGTGGCAGGCTTTTCCGCACCTGCCTTGCTTTGACATGCTTGTGTATCAGGGTCTGAAGATCAGTTTCCGGCACATGATAGTTTTTCAAAGTTGTGCCGGTCGCAAGGCAGATGTGACGGGAGGGCTATGCTTCTTCCGTTCGATAATTGTATGACCGAATGTCGGCAGCACCACGACTTTTTGCAGGGGAAAACCGAGTACGTGCTCACAGAAGGTACTTCAGCAAAGCCGTTGTGATCATGAATCCTTTCGATACACAAAAGCTGATGTCTCTCGCGTAACCGTCGAGACGCAACGCGGGATAATGCCATCTATCGTAATCGTCAAGTACTTTTCTATCCAGGTAGCCAAGCAGACCCTTCGATCGATGGGGAGGTGTTGTTTAGCCAGATGGTTGACGCGCTGGAGAAGTACAATCAAGTCGACGTGGAGTATAACGAATGGATCGCAAAGCTGCTTTACCAAGGTGACGCGCAAGCCGAACCCGGAATGACTGCATCACAACCCGCACCAGAATCTAGATCAGCGCCGGCGCAGCACAAATCCGCCCCTGCGCAACCAAGCACTTCCTCGCAACAGAGCCTCGCGCCGGAGTATACAGGTGCGGGTAGCAAGAGCGCCCCACCCCCAGCCGCATCTGTACTACAGCCCGTTTCGTTACAAGAACCGCCACAGAGTAGTGCCTACTCGGACAATTTGTCGCAGAAGTCGCTCGGTGGCCCGAACGAAACCCTGGCTGCCCCGGCGACGGGGTCTAAAAAGAAAACCGGTTCGAAAAAGAAGAAGAAAGAGCAGCAGGCTGACGTGTTTCGCCAGGGAGGTGACGTGTTCCCGCAGGACAGCGACTTTTTTCCCGGCGCCTTTGATGCCTTTCCCGCCGCAACGGAAGAGGTACCGGCGTTCGACGCCTTCCCCAGCGTCACCGAGCAGCCAGCAGCGCCGTCCGTAGTACAGCCGGCGTCGTCACTCGGGTCGAAAGAGATCGCCGCGACAGCCCCAGTGATGACGCAGTCGGTACCTGCGGCTCCTGTAGTTTCAGGAGCGGAGCAACAGCCGCCAGTAGTGACAACCACTTCCAATCTTGTAGCACCCGCCACGAATGTTGTCGCAGCGTCGATGCAGCAGTCTGCACCCGTGGTCCTTAATACCGCGGATACAGCAACCGGCCCAGCAGCAGTTGCAGCGCAGCAGGTATTTGCGGCACCAACAGCAGGTGCAGGAATTCCAGCAGGGGTCGTGCCGCAAGTAGTCGCGACAGCACCGGCGGTTTCCGCGATTCCTTCAAGCGTGGTGGCGCCCCCGGGACGGATGCGGTGCGTGTTGCGGCTGTCGAACTTGAAGTTGACCGACATCGAGCAGACCGTGGGCACCGAGATCTTCTCGCAACTTTTTCAGGGGCACGTGGCGCAGGCGTGTGGGGTTGCGCCGGAGAGGATCGTGTTGACAGGCATCAGCGACCGGGTGTCCCCGGCGGTGCCGCAGACCGTGCCCTTCTGAGGGTGGAAGTCGCTGTGAAAGAGAAGGAAGTTAATTATGCAGGCACAATTCAAGGAAGAGAAACAGTGAGTATAGAGAAACAGAAAATGAACCGCTGTGTTGAGCAACACGACAGGATTCAATCGAAACTTGATGAAGAGATCGGTGTGAGTTTTTTTGAAAGGACGCACACACACCATCCGAAATGAGCGAGAAGGAATGATATTAATGCGGCTCAGAAGACATCCTCCGTCCGTCTCCGTTTTTAGAAATACGATCCTGATTCCGACCACGCGCGGGAAGTTGCGTCGATGTGGCCAAGAGTGCCTCGCCCTTCGGCTCTGCAAAGGCATGGGCCACGACTCAAAATGATCGTTTTTCTTTCGTCGGCGCTACCTGAACAGGAGAATGGAAAATTTTGACCTGCACGTAAATACGCAGTCCGATGGAAAAAATTTTGTGTTGACGCAGCACATACAGTAGGTAGCGCGAGAATGATAAAAGATTGATACCTGGTGAGAACAAAGCCGTGTATGTTGGAGAAAAGAGAGGATATGCCGCGTGGCTGATGTGGATAGACGAGAATCTACAATCAAAAAAGCTTGTTTATTCCTTTCCTATCTTTGACTTTGCAGTCATGGTCCCTTCCGTCTGTCGGTTTGTTGTATCGCAGACATTTAGCGACGTGGTATATTTCAGGTGACACCCTCGTCTTTGATTTGCTCGCTCATCAACATGGTGCTCGTTATCGATGTGACTTCGGACTTTGCTTGTCCTTGGTGCTACGTGGGGTTCAAGCGCCTGGAGAACGCGGTCTCGAAAAGTTCCGAGCAGGTGGACATCCGCTGGCACCCCTACATGATTGACCCAGCCACGCAGAAGAGCGGCGAGCCCTACCTCGCGTACAATCGTCGTCGCTGGGGCGGTGATGGGTGGGTGGCCGGGATGAAGCGCGATGCCCTCCGCGACGGCTGTACATTTGAGAATTGGGGCGGGCAGAATCCGGACAGCGTCTGGGCACACACACTGCACGCCCACCGTTTGATGCTTTTCGTGAAGGACCGAATCAAAGTCGTGAATGGCAGGGAAGGACAAGGAGATCTTCAGGTGGGAACAACAAATCTGGAGCATTTGTTGAAAAAGAAACTTTTCGAGGAGTACTACGAAAAGGGGCGGAATATCTCGCTGACTTCCGAGTTGACCCGGATCGGCCAAGAGTTCCTCGCGGAGCAGCACGGGTGTCTACACGAACGCGGCATCAAACTTGCTGAGGCGTCGAGTGCAGCATCCGAGGGGGCAGCTGGTTTGTCGCTGGAAGACCTGCAGGAAAAGCTCGCCAAATTCATGGCCTCGACGGACGAGCGGGACGGGTACGCGGAGGTGCTTTCGCAAGACAAGCGGGCGAAGACGCGCGGGGTATCTGGCGTGCCGTTCTTCGAAATTCGGGGGGTCAGGCACAAACCCTTTTCCGGGGCGCAACCGACGGAATTTTGGGAGGACGTCCTGGCGCAATTGGCGGAAAAATGAAAAACAAAAAGAATTGGTTTTTTCGCTTTGAGTTACCGCAGTCATTCATATCGAGAGGGAAAAACTAAAAAGAACATAAAGACGAATGCAAGAATGCTCCTGAATGGCATCAGTAGGTCGCTCCTACATGCTTGCCCTTGGGTGTCAAAAGTTGTTCAGTCCAATTGCAATTTTCGAAAAGCTTGTCGTCCTTGTTGATTCTTTGTGTCACGAAAATCGATCTCTTTGTGGTGACAAGTAATGCCGCTGATGCATCCGTCGAGCTAGCGTTCCGTGCGAGCCTCAATGAATTGTGTCGGCAAAATAGTTTTCGGCGTAGGTTACTTTTCCATCAGTTTTGGCTTTCAGAACGAACTAGAACTCTTCGCGGAGAACATCATGGCTTCCAGTTCGACAACGCAGGCGCCGGAGCGTGCAGAGACTCACCCGCCTGGGTCTCATGTTGGCCTGATTACCGACGTGGTGCAGCAGTTCCTTTGCAAAGAGGAGCAAATTGACCACCGGCCTCTGTGCCTTATCGTGTGTGCCATTCATGCGCAGGAAGGGCGACATTGTTGTGCGGTGACATGTTGCACGCAGGTCAAGCGGGGAAGACATGGAGAAACGGCCCGGCCTTTATATACAGCGCATTCACTGAAGACGGGGGAAGATGGCAAGGATCCTTTCCTCAACATTGCTGCTGTGGCTGTGCAGCGAGAACTGCATGGCACGGCGCTGCACGAGCGTTTCCATAAGTACGAGGTTCGTGACTACTACCAGCCAAGCGACGTGGCCGCAACGTTCTCGACCACTAGCCCCGACGCCCTCTGCTCGCTTCTCTTCAGCGCTTACTTTCACGCTTCGGAGAAACTGCAATGGGCCAATGTTTTTCGCTCGAACAACGATCTCCAGGATCTTGGTTTTTTTCTTGTGCCGATGTCTTGGGAACCTGAAAATGAAAAATCTAGCGCAGTTTTTGGGTCGAAGCTGCTTCGTCCGCCGTTCGATCGAGACCCCGCACCTGCGCGCGCGAAGTTTTTCGAGGAGTCGCGGGGATGCTTCAAGTCTTTCCTCGACGTGCTTGAGTCGACACAATTCAGCTAGCCTTCTACGAGATGCCACAAGAGCAGACATCAATGATTTTCCCTTCTTCGTCTTTCTGTGGTGCATTTGTTCCGTGGCGCGCAGCTTTGATTTTGAATGCGGCTGCATTTTTTTTTTTTTTTTGCACGGCCGGACACCGCTAAAGCGGGCGGTGCCTCGCCATGCAAGATGTTTTAGAGTTTCGCTCTGAAGCAGACATTTACTCGCAGAAAACTCGACAGTGCCCAGACAGTTTCTCGCCCACCTAGAGGCGAACACACATGTTGATTTTGAATGCGGGGACAGAAGATCCTCTCTCTGACACGCACCCAAGATTAAAATGGGTGCTGTATGTAGCAACAAGGTCGCCGCGAACGCAAAATAGAAAAGCAAGCCTGTTTGCAGCTGCGCCGCCCTGCATACGCCCGCGGGTATTATGTTCCACCCAGGATCGATGTTGGCGAAAGGGGTTCAAGTTGCACCAGAGCAGTGCCTGGATGACCTGCGTTTTTGACTTTCGTGTTGTTCGAGGTAGAATGCGCGTGATTGATGCAGATGATCAAGTAAGATGGTGTTGGTGCCTAAGCCAGCTACATTACCAAAACCAGTATGTTTATCTGCATCAACTCCGCACCACACTGACCGCGATCAACTTCGTCAGCAACGCCACCGTATCACATTCCTCCATTGATTCTCACTCTCGATCTTTATTTGCAGCAGAAAGATCTCGTCCTACGGCAAAGTCAATTTCTGGATCATCATCCATCGAAAAAACTTGCGGTTGCCGATGACGCACAGCGGAGCGACGCCTTTTACGTAGATCCATGTTGCAGATTAGAGGATCGCATGTTTGAAAATGAACATGAATGAAGATGAGTACAAAAGTCGCACAACTTAACCGAAGCTGTAGAGAATTCATTCTCTCTTGAGGGAAAATTGTTACAGAACCTCGTTGTAGAAGCACCCCGACGGTTTTTAGAAGATCACATGGCTTTCGCTTTCTTATGCCTAATAACGCAGGTGGATAGCCTCTCCTCGTTCTCAATTCGGATATGCTGAAAATCGACGAGCCTGAAATTTGAATACACAGTTCCGATGAATAAAAAGCTCAACTACAAGTAAGTAAATCAATCCCATGCGTAGTAACAAGCTCAGGTCCTCAACAGTCACCTGCTTCATACATTACATAAAAAAACCAATTCTTTCACATTTCGATTTCTCGTATGACTGGGTAGCGTATTGGTTTCTTACATAAAGTTAGTTTCGTTGAACCACACCAGCACAATAAAAAAGGGCTAAAGCCATGAGCCGACAAGCGACGGTGCAGGCTTTGAAAAACAAGCTCACGGAGTTGTACAGGGAGCACAACCCGGAGAAAGTAAAAGACATAGAATACCTGCTGAAGAAGTACGAGAACAACGAGAATCTCCTGTACAACTCAGTATGCCAGAAATACGAAATCCCAGGTATTTTTTCTGTCGTGGTGTAGACTGTGCTATCTTTACCTTTGTCATGTGCTTTTTGTGGGATGTAGTTTTTTGGAAACAGATTGTCCGTAACCGCACTGTTTTGTATTGGCCGAATAAAATAAGAATAACAAAAACCATCACGCACAGCTGATCCGCTGACGAGGAAAGTAAAGGAGTGGGACGCAGCAACGGGCAAGAACAACTGCCAGATAATATGCAACACGACGGGCGAAGTTTTAGAGACAATAGACGAGGTAAGCTTGTTCTTTTTTTTTTCGACCTCTGGAAGGCGTCCGATTCGCTTGTGCGCTGCTCTGCGAGAGTTTCCAGCGCTTGTGGAAAACAAAAAAAAACAAATCCATCAACAACTACATTTCAACAGGACGGCGACGCTGAGGAGGACGAGTATGATCCCTTCTCCGAGAATCCGTCGCAAGACAAAGACAAAATCACAGAGCAGGTGATAAAAGACATCGACTGCGCGCTCCTCGGGGAAAAAGAATCGAACATGTTCTCCATTCCAAAAGACGACGCACCCATGGAGGAGGAAACGAAGCTGAAGAAAGTAACCGCCGTGGATTCCATGGGAGAGCTCTAACAGAGAGGGTGCTTCAGCAGAACGTATCCATCACGCCAGCGACACCAGGAGCATTGTCGAAATCCCAGCGATGCTCGGAATGTACGTCCAATGTGCTGCGGACGGCGCACTTTCTGTACGCAGCACCAGTACCTAGTAGCCCCTCCTTTCCAGCATCCCTGGAGAGACCCACAGATTTGACCGAGCGCAAGCGTTGGACGGCCAACTTCGATAGCAGTAGTTCAGCCGCTCATGATCAGAATCCTCGTCCCGGCGAAAAAAGTCCTCCTAGATGGGTAAGTTGCGCACACAAGGTTCGTCGCGCGCTAAGTAACGGGATGCCAGCTTGGCGGTTGTAGGGCATCCATGCTAGCGCAACGTACTTGGACAAGCATGATACGCAAGCGGAAACACGAAAGTTGCCTATGCTCGCAAGGGATGACGAGATACAACGGAGCCAATCATGAGCAGCGGCGTGCGACTCCGACACGCGCGCGGTCCCCCTGCTAGTACTAAGTAGCACCATCGCAATAGAACAAACTGAATCGGCTTTAATATTTGCCGCAGAGACTCCATCTTGATCGGATTCGGAATTGCTGTAGCAGATGTCACCAGAGAGATGTGTTCGCTTGGAGTTCTTGACCAGATGCAGCTCTCACTAGACGTTATTTCTTAGTGCGTTTCGTTTCGAGTTCGTCTTCGTGCGTGAGGACGAGGAGTGAAAAGATTCTGACATAAGACACTAAGAAATTGCAATTTTGTTCGGAGCAGCATTTATTATTTTGATTATCGAAACTCAAACTACAAACCGCCGCCCTGGTTTTTTAAACAAGCACTGAAAAGAACCTTCATGCGTCTTTATCAATCTTTTATTGGTTGGAAAAGCTCCGCGTCCGCTTGGCGTCTCGAATCACCTCATAACGCGGTTGGCAAGCTTAGTACTTGCTCGACTAAGCTTATCGTTTTACTTTCTGAAATCTTCTCGACTGCTTCTACATACGTATGAGATAGGGCTAAAGTGGTCACAAACCGTAGCTGCTATGATAATCATCTTCCGCCGCTTCGCTACTTGCAAAAATAAATTTTCCAATGCTCTGAAAATAATCTAAATTCTTCTAGCGCTACCTGGAGAACACGCACCTAGAAACTGAATTTTCCCAGCCATGGTCACTTTAGCGTCGGCGCCGTCATCTTCGTTTTCCGCAAGCCAACGGCAGGAGCGGAAGCGCGACAAGATGCGGCATTCGATGGTTGACATTGCGCTCGTTGCGTGGGAGCACTGCACCCGGAAAAATTTGCTGCCGCTGGCCTGCTATGTCTGCCTCGTCGGATCGGTCCTCGCGTTCTGCACGTAAAATTTCCTCTGTTTTTTGTCCATTTTTCGGCCGTTCGTTTCCGTTCGTTCACAGTCAAGATTCAAGAAAAACTGACAGTCAAGAGGACCTTTTTCATGATATGTCACAAGACCACAGAGGAAAAGCAACACACACCAACCCTTACAACTAGGTGGATCGAGTTCGACCTGTTCAAGTTTCTGATCAAGAAGCGGTACCGCAACGCCATCTATATGTGGGCAGTGCACGTATTTATCGCGATTATCACCTGCAAGTACTACTACAACGAGCGGGTTCGGGACGTGTTGAAGCGGTGGATGGTTAAGTGTGTCATCCTGAAGCGAAAGGAGCGGCAGTCCTTCTTCTACTACAGCACCACGTCGCGCCGCACGGTCGCGACCCAGTGCTCCCTGCTGTCGCCGGAAGAGGAGAGTAGAAATGGAAGCAAGGACGACAGTGCTGGTGCAACTGACGACGCAGAAGCAGAGTCCTCGCCGTCGTCATCCGGTTCGCAGCGCAGCCGCGCCGGGTCGGACGACGAGGTCAAGATGGAGGCGTTTGCGGGCCTCGAGCCCTCCGAAGAGGAGCGCAGCATCGTGCGGACAAACTTCTTTGCAGCGATGGGCATCTACGCGGTCGTGTTCGTTGCACATGTGCTCTCACTCGTGATGTGCTTGCTGCTCACGTTCACCTTGGTGCCGGTGTACTCGCTTGTGAAAGACACCGTCGACTTCTTCTACGCCATCGGGGCGCGCTTTTCGCTCGCCTTCTCCTCGAAGCGTGAGGAGCCACAAGCGAGCCTGGTGCACGACACGGGGATAAAGACAGAAGGCGACAGCGCCACCGTGGGAAGTGATGAGCAACAGGTGACGAAGAAAAGATGATAGAGTGCTACTTACCTGTGTGAAGCTGCTGCTTTGCTTAGTGAAGTAGGCACATTCTTCAGTTACTCCCTTATTTTCAAACGAACTGCAAACGTCTACCGTAAAGCTAAGGCAAATCAAAGAAACACTCGCAAGAAATGAATCAGGTTGCATGTGACTTCCCAGCGCAAGTAAAGTCCATCTGGATGACGGAAGAAAACAAGCGGCTGCTGAAGGCGCAGAACCCGCGGCTCGGGCAGGAAAGGCTGAAGATCCTCCTGATCTGCGAGTACGCGCCGTGCGAGTTCCACGGGATGGCGGTACGCCTGAAAAATTGCGTACGGGAACTGAGTAAGGATCACGATGTCCGGATCATGACCTCGAGAAACAAGGAGCAACTGCAGAAGGAGGGCTTCAACGATGTGCACACCATCGACTTGTACCGACAGATGGGCTATCAAATGCAAAAATGTCTGGGTCTGGGAGGATGGAACTTGTGATGCGTCCTGTGGGTTACACAAAAATCTGTGCTGCGTGATTGCCAAAAGTTGTCCTTTTTTGACCAAAATGAGCGGGAGTTTCTTATGCAGGATAAGCATGATAGAGACATCGCAGAAGTTGTCATGGTAGGTCCTGCATCCCAGACCTCATGGGGCATGGAAAATATGCATGACAAGTCTGCATTCTTCCAGACCCAGACATTTTTACATTTGATATGGGCTACTGCGTCCAGAACTTGTGGAACCCGGGAAACAAGCTGGTAACATGATATCGATGGATTTTCATCTGAAATGGTGAAAATGCGAAAAAGCATGTTTCTAGGAGCACAATGTCGCATATGGTGCAAATTTACTGGTGGAAATCAAATCTTAATCTTCACACAGTGGTACGCGCCAAACCTGAATCTGGTCGAGAACTTCTTCGATTTTCAACCCGACGTGGTCCACGTTTTCTACCCCTGCATCGTGACACTCCCCGTCTTCGCGCTGAGCTACTTGCTCGATGTTCCCGTCTACTGCTCCCACCACGTAGACATGACTTACTACATCGGGAAGTACTGGAAGAGCGCGCTCTGCCGGCGGATGTGTTACTTTTGGTACACGTTGCACGCGCGCCTCCCGGCCTACCTCCTCGGCGACATCAACGTGGCCCCAACGAAGAACGCCCTGGACAAGGAGTTCGAGGTCCTGTACGCGAACAGTTTTTTGCGCAAGTGCGTCCAGCTCTACGAGTCGTTTGGGTGCTTGTCCTTTCCCGACGACAGCCCGGTGTACGCGGATCTGCAGCGGCAGCACCTGGCGCAGCAACGTGAGGAAGAGCTGCAGCTCGCCGCGGAGGAGGAATACGCGCAGCAGTTTGACTTCGTCAACACTTTGGAGATGGACAGTAACTACCCACCCCTGCCGCCGTCCTCCGCGCGGTCGTTTGAGCTGACCGCGTGTGACAGTCCGTGCACGACGGCATCGCACCGCTCGGACAGCGACGGCGAGGAAGAAGAGCTGCCGGAGGTCAGCCTGGACGAATTTCGACAGATGACAAAGTGCACAACAACTACTAGTACTACTGCGTCGCCGGCTCCGTCCTCATCTGCACAAATTTTGAGCAACAATTCTTTCAGCAAATCTTCTTCTGGTGCCAGCAGCAGCTGCGGCAGTGCCGACGGGAGTCCGCAAGTAAGCAGGAGAACAACGACAAAAGACCACGAGCTGCTGCGCGACTCGCCGCAGATTCTGAACCTCTCGCCGAACAAAATTGACAAGCTGAGCTTTGGCGAGAAGCTGCGCGCCTCCGCGAGAAACTTTACTCCCGAGTACTTGCAAAAGTACATGCTGCAGCGCGGACTAGAGGGAAGTAACGATACGGGCAGCAGTTGTTGTGCGGTCGAGCAAATGAACCCGCCCAACCCGTCGGGTTCTGCGATCCGCAAATCCGTCTCCCTCGACAGTTTGGAAGATAGAATGACCGCCAGTACGTATTCCGGCATGTCGGAAGACCTTACCAGCTCGCGAATGACAGTCGAGACGAGCAGCAGAAGAGCTAGCGGAAACAACTTTCTCCCCGGCGGTAGTAAGCTGCAAGCCGGGCCGTCCTTTGACTTCTCGGACTTTATCATTCCAACCTCCGTGGGCTCGTCGTTTCGCGGATCCGATGCTGGAGCGGTAGCGGGGAATGCGACTGCCGCAAAAACGCCTGTGCTCGCGGAAACCAGCCAGAACCTGATTCGCGGAAACATTCCAATGCACAAGGACGCGAAAATCATCCTCATGGTGCAACGGGTAAGGACATAATTGATTCCTTACGAAGCCTTTTTTTACTACGGAATGAAAGAAGTGCAAGAATGAACGTGGATGTGATTTTTCCAAAGTACATCACAAGTCAAGTCAAGCAGTTTGCAGCTAAGAACATGTACGTAGGCAGTTGGTGCTACAAGAGCAATAACCATGAACTCTCTCAGGTTGCCCCCGAGAAGCGCGTCGAAATGGCGCTGCGCCAGATGCCCAAGCTGGTTGGAAAATTTCACTTGGTGGTCGTTGGTGATGGCCCGGCTTTCCAGCACTGCGTTGACGTCACCACAAAACTGTACCAGTGTGGGGAAAAGAACATTCTGCAGAAGAACTTTTTGTTCCAAGACAACGACGAAAAGAAGACGAAGGTATCGCATGATCAATCGCACTTGAGCAAAGACATCAACGTCACCTTTCTCGGAATGGTCGCAAACGCTAGACTCCCGGTGCTGTACCAAAACGCGGATTTCTTTCTCAGCTGTGCGGTGTCGGAAACCTTCGGTACTATTAAAGCAGAATTTAAAATATTTGGATAATTAGTAGTTTTTGCTGCTGTTGTTTGCTTCATTCGGTCTGTTCGTGTTTTCCCTGTGCCTGCGTGGTAGTTTGCGTCGAGTTGGCGCTACTCATTTTCAAGACGATGACAAGCTGCTGGTGTTTAGTACTGTGTCACGTGATGAAGAACAGCGAGCAAAAGAACCTCTCAGCGCCTCACGACCCATCAAAACAAAACAGGCATCACCGTAATCGAAGCGCTCTCGTGCAACCTGGTGCCGCTGCTGGCCCGTTGCCAGGTCTTCGAGGAGCTGTACCGGGACTCGAAATTCATCACGGACTGCATGTTCAACACGGAGCAGGAGCTCCTGGACACGTTAACCCGCCTCGCCGACAGGAAAGAGCGCATTCCGTCCGGCGAGGAGTTGCGGTTTCAGCTGCGAAACAGCATTTTCTTCTCTTGGGACCAGGCCGCAAAAACCCTGGTGTCGCAATACCGACAGTGCCAAAAGGTGCGAGCAGCGTTCACGTAAGAATTGCGCAGGCGCAGCGAGCAACAAAAAATACTCGCTTTTGTCTAAGTGTCACGCGATGACAGCAGCTTTTGTGGGCTGTAGTTTCACCATGCTTCGACATTCTAACTCGTAGTCGTACGTTCCTGGTTGCAAGAGAAGCGACGCTGCGTTAGACTTTCGTCTCAACACGAAAAGGAAAACACATTTAAAGTAGAAGCAGCTACTGCTACGTACATAAGTGCTTAACGAGATTAGGTGGGCGCCGTAATTCCGAAAGCGAGATGGGGATTCATTCGCAGTCCAAGGCGACAAAAAATAGTGCTTGTCCATTACATGACGGATGACTACTTCTACAAGAAAAAGAATTTATTTCGATTGCTGACTGTGTTGCCGACGTAGCCGTCACCTGTTGGTCGTCATCGCTGACGATAATCAGTAGAGTTACGCTTTCGTTGCAAGACCATGCGCCATGATCTTCACGAAATGGAACACGACAGTTGGGAAGCGTAAAGATATAGAAAAAAATATGCGCCTTCTAGAAAAACAAAGAAGTACATTATCTTCTACCTCTAAAAATGTCTCGAGCTTCCTTCAGCCGGCAGAGCCCCATCTATATTTTCAGCCATCAAGGCGGAAGTTCAGCCTATAAATATATATTGATATAGTACGTAGCTTTTTCCCTCCCCGATTGCCAGAATTGGCTTAGTTATTACCTAAAAGCAGAAGCAAGCATTCCTTCGCGAAAGCCTCCGAAGAAGAGTGCAGCGCATCCTAGAGGAGCTTTGTTTTTTTTTTCCGCGAGGCTTTGAAAATCTGGTGGCGCAGCGGCAGCTAGTAGGTACTCATCAAACACGCTCTATCAATTTCATGCCAGTTTTTTACTACGCTGCGTCTGCCGCTGCCGCAAAGCCCGCGGCCACTCTGCGCTTGAGGCGTTCAATTGTGCAGATGGTGTATCACGGCGGCAGAAAGTATAGGCGATATTTTCGCGCTCGCGCAGAGCTGCTACTCTATCGAAGTGATGAACACGAGAAATACCACCGCTTTATTGAAACATTGTGGATGCCGTAGCTTATCCTTGTTGCTTAGTTGACGAGTACTTTGGGTTTGGGTCGACAACTGTCGATAATGAAGATTTGTTTTACTTGACCGACCTCCTCGAGGAGCTTCTCTACCACATAACACTATTCAAATTAGGGCGGAAAAATCGGCAAATCTCATCATTTTTGCATGCGAACACTTTGGGGGGGTAAAAAAAGTTACTCTTTTGGGTTTGTAACTATTTCTCTTTTTCCTCATCGTCGTGTGCGAATCATCTTCAGCCTTCGTTGTCACTGTCCACCATTAGGTCCTGTCCTTTTTTGAGTGTGAATCTCATCACTTTGTTGAAATTGTTCAAGCCCGTGTCCTACCAACACGGGCAACACTTCCCCCTCTGCCCAATCCAGTCCTGGACGCGATCCCAGGTCTTGCCATCGTCCTCCATGTCGATGCCGACAGTTGTAGTGATGGCCTTGGCGGTCGAAGCTGCCTTTTGCTGTGTCCCGGGAACGATGTTATCCTGCTCCTCGTCCTCCTCTTCCGCGCCCTCCGGTACAAAGCGCAGCCGGCCACCGGTACTGCTATTGGTACATTTTCCGAGCCACACTGCCCCCAGACGGTCGTGGCACTGCGAGCAAGAAACGTCTGCCATGTGTCGCTCCGGGTTTTTTGCAACGCCTTTCGCCCGGGTCAGCTCCCTCTCGTTGTCCTGAAGGCGCGTCGCGGCCGGTTGTGCCACCTCCCTCTCCCGTCTTGGTGAGCGTTCGCGCCGGGGCGCAGCTTCAGGACGCTTCGGCTCAGGGAAGGTGTACTCACGCTGGACCTGCTGGTTGGGTGGTGGAAGGATTCGTGGCAGGACGCCGGTTAGGTCTTCGTTCGTCCACTGTCCCTCGAGCTCCTCCCGTGTTAGTTTTTCCAGTCGCAGGGAGATACGGCCGCTGCACAGAAAAACTAGCCCTGCCCCGGGCCTGGTGTGGGTTTTGAATATTGCAGCAAGGGGAGCCCCTGAACACAAATGTTCTTTCACGGTCGCCATAAGGGCTTTTGCGCCCCACAGGGCCCGCGCGGCCCTGTGTGGCGCGGCTGTGCCTTTTGCGCGCGGCCCCTGCCTAGGGGCCGGCGGCGCGCACTGCCAGGGCCCAAGTAGAGCAGGAAACAAGAAAACGCAAAGGGGGCGGCAGCCGCGCTCCTCTGCATAGCAGTCGCGCAGCTGCTCATGCTTGTTTGGGTAGTTGCATTGCTGCGCCACTTCCGTGGCGGGCTGTAGAACGAGGGCTCAGAGGGATGAAGCAATCGCTGGTGAATTGATCTCGCTTGCGCTGTCGCAATAGGCACAGAAACATAGAAAGGCTGAGGGATGTGAAAACAATGGACCTCCTCAAGATTTCGGAACTGTGATCTGGTTGCATACTTGACCGACCTCCTCGAGGAGCTTCTCTACCACATAACACTATTCAAAGATACTTAAATACATCTTGAAAAAAAAAGGACTTATTTATACTAAACACGGGCACGGCATACAATAGGATAAAACTGCAGAAGTACCCGCTACCCCACGGCAACTACACCTGGCCTTTCTATCAGGTGCTCCTTCGATTTTTAACAGGGTCTTGTGCTGGGTATTTTTTCCCCGCTCAGTACAGGAGGAACTCCATCGGGGCTTGTTGTCACCTTTGCTACCAATTCAGCCACATTGTTCTAAGAAATATATCAAGAATGATTCTGCAATATGAACCACTGTATATTACATGTTGACGCTGTAGCTGGATATGTTTTTGCGCTCCTTGTATACTACAATTTCAATTTCGCACATTGTGATTGGATCCTCAAAAATACGAAGGGTCCTTCGGGCTCTATTTACCCTTCGTACTTTCTACTAGCGGCTCGTTCTTGGTAGAATGAATTTTCATACCGAAGGAATTCGAGGGCGGGTTTTTGCAGGAAGGAGAAGCAGGAACAGGATTCCGATTCGAGTCACGAAATCAAATGAAAGAAGAATATGAAAACAGGGAAACTCAAAGAATTTACAAAGACGACATCGAAAAAGCTCGACGCATGGCCGTGGCCAGTGAGGGGACTACTCAGCTTTGTCTTCGATAAAGTGCTTCGCGACGTGTTCGCATTGTTCCTAAAACGCACGTGAGTAAGACGTCTGCGCCAACATCACACGTTCGCACAGCACCGGCGGTCAGCGCAAGCAGCAATGAAAACGTCTGTGATCGATTTCAGAATGACCAGTCTAGCGTGAATGGCGACGAGGAGTTGCGATCCCGTAGTAGGTCGATCTTCATTGGGTGTGTTTGTTTGAGATCTGTTGCGTGTACTAAGCGGAAACCGCGTTGAGATCAGTTCCGTGAAAGATGAACCGCATATCGGGTCGCGTTGGAACAAGAACGCTAGATGAGTGGTCGAGTCCTCAGCGATCAAAGTCGCTCTCGAAGTTACGCTCCCCTGCACCACAGCGATATGTATGATGAATTCCAATGTGTGTGCGTATTGACCAAACATGAAGTCAAGGAGTTGATCAAACAGGATAACGAACTAGAACAGGAGCCGTGCCTAGAAGTTGTACGTTATTGGCTGGAGCAGCATCACCATCAGCATCCATCGCTATCCCGATTGGATCATTCGTCTGTCGTGCGAATTGTTGCGGAGCGTCAATGATACCGTCTGATTAAAATTCTTTACCCAAAACCAGAATCGAAGAGCAACAGAGATTGATTGGTAAGCGTGGTATCGCTCGTCGAGTAAGTACTCGCATACACCAGGAACTAAAAAAGTATACACAACACAGTAAGTTGTAAACGAGTTGTGTCCTGATACGTATACTCGAGAACATGAACAAAGAGAATAGAGACGGACCAAACGAGATCATAGATGAGAATAACAGAACAAATACACTTGTCGATGAAGAGATGTGAACATGTCAAGTTTATCATCGTTTTAGAGTATTTGAGACCGTCGGTCAACGAGAAAATTGTGGCCCCGTACCACGTACACGTACGGAGAAACAAACATAAGGAATATCTAGAAGTAGGAGTACTCCTTCTACGTTACTACAAGTCGTCGACAACAATTTCATACGAGAACACGCTGCGATTCTTCACAAACACAAATTCTCTGTAATTATTTTGATTCCTTTCCTAGGAAATAAACAACAAGAGGAGCCCGAATGAAAGAAAAGAATAAGAAATAGAAACGTCGCCCCAAGACGCCTCAACACGACCCGTACTTATTATCACCACTTGATCGACGGTTCACGACCCAGCAGGGCGGGGGAAAGTCAAAAATGGTGGAACAATCTCCGAAACAAGCTACAAAGGCGAAAACAAGGGAGGCCGCGGCGCAAGCTTCGTCCTCTACTTCCAATGAGATGAAACAAGACCAGCAGAAGGAGATGCTGGAGAAAAAGGAGGCTATTTCCAGCAGCCGCACGCGGGCGTACAAAGATTCATTGAAGGCGATGAAACAGAACAACTACAGTGGGTTGGCGTCGGCGGTGGACAACGATGACGGCGTGCCGGCCCATTACCCGGTGATATGCATTGCAAAAATAATATCGCATGGTCGGAATTAAAATTATAAGAATTGATCACACGGATAATTCGTGTGGCAGATTGAAACTTTTGAAAGTCATGGAGAAATAGCATTTGTCAGCTGAGCATTTACTACTTGCACAAGCAAGTACATCTTTCACGCAGTGTACTTGCAATTATTTCGACGAGTGCGATACTTTTGCTGTGCATAGGTTAGCAGTGGGGGCAACACCTACGCGAGTATCTTCGGCTCCCAGGATTCCACCGCGTACAGTGGGTCTACCACCTCTACCCTGGATTCCGCGGGCTATGCGACCTCGGCCGCGGCCAGCGTGACGGGGCCCTTGCCGCCACTCGCGCCGGGTTCTAGTACCGCAGGACCTGCCGCAGGCGGGTTGCACCACCAGGGCGGGGGTCAACATGGTCAACATCCACAACATGGTGGACCAACTGGTAGCCATGGTGCTGCGAACAACCTTCCGTACGGTTGCAACCCCTACCACGGCCAGGACGTGAACCACGCCGCTGTGGCAAGTTACGCACAACAGATGGCAGTCGCCGCGGCCATGCAGAACTACTACAGTGCGGCCGGCCATGCGCACGCCGCGGCGGCGGCGAGTAATCCGCTCGGGATGAATCACGGTGCGAACACCTTCAATCCCGGCCCGAACGGCTTGATGCCGCCCTCGATACTGGATCATCAACATCAGAGCAACCCGTTAGCCGGCCCCGGCGGACCACCCGGTGCAGTGGCGGCCAACGGATTCCACCCCCAGATGCCGAACCCGTACCATGCCGCGGGTGCCTACGGGCTGAGTGCGGCGATGCATGGATTTGGTTTTCCGAATGCGTACCAACAGGCGTACCAGCAGCAGCAGAACAGCTTTCTCACCGCCGCCGCGCAGGCCCACGCGGCCGCGCAGGCACAGGCTGCTGCCGCCGCGGCAGCGGCAGCCTCGAACAACCACGGTGGATCTAGTTCTGCGGGGACCGGCGGCGCGCCGCAGACGCCGGGCAGCAATGCGGGCGGTCTGCCACAGATGCCGCAGTACGTACCCGTCCCGGTTCCAGTCCCGGTCCCGGTGACCCAGATCCACCAACTCCCCGAATACGAACTGGAGAAACTGATACTGTCGAAGCGGTACAACAAACAGCGCATGCTGGCGGCGGCGAGCGCGAGTAAGTTCTGGGCGGCCGGGGCAGGCGTGTACAACAACGGCCCTGGTGCGGCGAACAAGGAGAATCTGAATCAGGCCATGCTAGGGGGCAACCGCCTGGATTACACGCAGATGCGGGGAGGCGGTGCAGGAAAGGGCGGTGGACTCGTCGACAGGGACAACATCTGGAACAATTTTAACCCGCCGAAGCAGCACGCGGCCGGCCCGGGGCCGCAGCAGAACGCAAAAATGAAAATGTACGGACAGGATATCGGCTCGCAACTATCCAGTGCCAGCACCACACCAGGTGAGGACATTGTTTCTTTTTTCGAATATGTTTATTGGGTGGTTTACTTTTTTGTGACGTAGACGCCAGACCACCAGCACCTCCACCTTACTCTGTTCAAGATTCATGTATGATGATGAGACAAACGTACGAGCTGGGACGTGCTGAACTTGCTGATGTATATGGTCTTTCTTTGATAGATACAGTAACAGTTGCAGATACAGTCAAGCCGCCAAAGCTCAGCTACGCCCCTGAAAAAGAAGAAAATGAAACCGACCTCGAATAGGTGACGACGCCAGCAGCGGCATTACCGACGAAGGGCTCTGTGACGGGCCGCCGACCACTGTGATGATCTGCAATATCCCGAGTTTATTGACGCAAGAAATGATGCTGGACGTCATCAACAGTTACGGCTACAAAGGAAAGTACTCATCTACTTTTGCTGATGTTTTAGTCGACATCTCTGCGGAAGTGAAGGAAGTCAAGCTCTAGCTCAGATGATCATTCACGACCACGATTAGCCACTGGCAGGTCTTCTGAAGATCATCAATGAATATGAAGATACTACTCGATCTACTTCGTTGCAAAAGATCTACGAAAAATGAAAAATGTGCTTACTTGAGGTACGACTTCTTCTACCTGCCGATCGATTTTTCGACGAAGGCGAATTGCGGGTTCGCGTTTGTGAATTTCCTGATGCACGACGACATGCAGGGGTTCATGAAGGTGTTCCAGAATTTGGCCTTGCACGAAAAGTCGAAAAAACGAACCAAGTGCGTCCCGGCGGATCTGCAGGGTTTTGAGAAGAATGTCGAGTACCACCGCAATTCGGCTTCGAATCGGGACACCATTCCTGCGGAATACCGCCCGCTGATTTGGGATGCCGATGGTACTTACAATGGAGCCGTTTTTGTACTGGAAATGCGGTTGGCGTTGGTGGTCCATCAATCGCATACGGATTCTTGGATCGATCATATTTGATTGTAGTTCACTTGCAGGCACGACATAGTGGCTTTCCGTTTTTCACGAAATCTGATTTGTTCTGAGTGTTATGTCCGCAAAGAGGATTAAGTTAGTGAACAAACTTCTTCTACTGTTTATTCCTGCAGGTACCGCCTCGTGTCTGCCCCCGCCCTCTAAGAAACTGCGCCCGATTTTTCTCAAATCTTGGAAGAAAAATGCAGCCACGCGACGCGGCCCGCCGGCGCGCAATCTGGAAGGTTGAAGCCGGAGCGGGAGGATTCGATTTGACGCCGAGTGTTTGACGACTTGGTGAATTTTATGTTTGTTGATATCAAGAAATTCGATACGTAGAGTTGTAAATATGTTCTTCCTACAGTATTAAAAAAAAAGTAGTACAACGAGATATCTGGTTTTGGACCCTGAATTCGTTTCGGTCAGCTATACAGTATTGATAACGTACAGCATGCAGAACATTTTAACATAGAGTCTTCAACCAATTACACTGATTCAGATGCCTTCCTCTTCTCATATTTGTTTAGTTAGCCCCAACGCCCTCGCCCAGATTTGTTATGCAATTCCCCGCCCTGACAAGCGACTATCCCAGCCTTGTAGCAAAAAATACTTGTATGAACGACCGTGTACGAACTTTTTCATAAGGAGAAACGCGCAGTTACAGCACTCTACCTCATTGTTGTCTCCTAAAACGCTATTGTCGTACAATCTTTCACCCAGAATATTACTGCTCCCCCACCCACGAGTCTCTCCCGATTTGCCGCCCTCAAGACGTAAACGAAAAGTAGACGAATAGCACATACATGGGTACACATCTTCTCTGGCAGCGACCCTCTCCCTTTTTTTCGACGACGGTCGGGAACGATGGAGGAACCGGGTGGATGCTAAACGTCAACGAAAGAATTGTATTTGTTTTTACACAACGAACAACTTTTCACAACGAGCGATGTACGTGTATGACCACGACACGCGGAAGAAAAATACCACTTCTAGTAGCAGTAGGTGCCATTAATAAATGTGACTGCCGTGCCTTGCTTCTGGAAGTGGCCGGGATTTTTTGACCTATCAAACGAAGCGTGTACCTGCTAAAACAAAGCTATTCCGTCACCACAGCTACAAAAGTTCTTTTACGTACTCTCGCCCGCCCAGCTAAACGGCAACGCTAGTAAAAATGTTAGTTTTTTCATGCTTTTATCACAGATAGAATGCGCAAATTTTTTATAGTCTTTATCACTTCTTGTGTTGATATTATTCAAGTGCCGCAAACTCAGCCAGACTTATAAAATGATACAGCTCCACCTCACGTCGCTGTGAATGCGGATTTTGCGACGACGCGACAGAGCGCTATGCTATATAATTTTCATCGATGAAGAACGAAAACTGGTAGTTATAGCGCACACAATTTTGGTTGGAACAAAATATTTTGACTCTATAAAAAAACAATCGAAATGACCACATCAGGAGAAAAAGGCAGCTCGTCTTCTTAACCGCGACCGTGTGCTATGCATAAAGCACAACATATCGTTCATGGTTGGGAATGGAGGAAAAAGACGGCGCTTTCTTCGAGTACCTCTCCTAAAAGTACTGCACTACTACGACAACAACTTTTGAAAGCGATTAGTGCTGGATGCCTGTGTGAAGACACAGCGCTACGCAAGGCTACCAGATGAGAAATTTCATCAACAGCCGTCAAGATTTTATTTAAGCGCCCTTATGTTTAATGCAGATTCACTAACATAATTTCAGCTGTAATTCTAAATAGTACAATCCGGCAACCGCCCAGTATGCCTAAGCGAGGCTCCACGTCTTAAAAAATTTCTTCATGGCTTTATATGATTTTTCCGGCAACCGACACTGAGCGTGATCCGTTTAGAAATATATCCTTCCATTCTGAGCAGGAGCTCGTCCTTGCTTTTCAAAATTACCCGTACTCGGAGTTGTTTCAGCGATCGATTTTGAGGAGGGTAAAACACTACTGATTTCAGAAATTTAGGTCTCCTTCATCTTTGACTCGTGATGGGGGCGACCCAATCATGGCAAGAAGAAGGAGAGGACGACGACGACGATTAAAGCTAAACCAAAACTTATATCCCTAGCGAGGTCTGGTGATCGTTGACACGACCACTTTTACTACAAGCCTGCGGCGGTATCTTTAGAGTTGAGAGAGCGTGAAGCCGACAAGCGCACTTTCACATCGGGCGCAAGAACGAGCGACGGCTTTTCTACATCCGTGCGTCTTTGTTGTAGTATCTACAGGGGACGACGATATATGTGGAACAGGCCCAGCAGCAGCGGCACCGAAGGAGGGGTGTTGGAAAAAGTAGACTATGATGTAGTTGAAACTCAAAGCGCTTCACGAGGACCAATTATTTATTTGCTAGGTCCAGGAGAACACGAAAAGCCCCTCTCTACTGCGAAAGTAGAATAACTCCTTGGCTCGATGAAGTTGCTGCAGATCTTTTAGATGACCTCTATTAGCCTGATATACGATGATGGATTTTAGTCTTAGGGGCAGATTTTCATTTTGGAACAACAGGCAAGCGCTGCTGTTCATGGCGGCTGCCTGTTATTTTTTAAATGTATGAAATGAAGTCAGGAAAGAGAAGATCGCAAGAAGTTGCGGAGTGGTTCATGCGCATGCCCTTTCCCACGAGGAAGTCTTCGGGGCGGAGGAGGCAAAAAATGCCGGGGAATAGAAGAAGAGGATCTATACAATGCAAAAGACAAGCCGGCTTTGTGCTGATTTAGCAGTCGCTTTATTTCAACACAACCGGGCAGTCAGAAACCAAGCAGACCAATAAAACGCCGCTCCCCTCATTGATACTTACTCTGCAACTTCGATATTTTGCTCTCTAGAGTCTTCGCATAAGACTAACGACGCACCTCATGATGATGAAATAGAATCACGCGAAAAATAATGACCACGACAAACGAAATTTAGTTTTTACGGCTTTGCAAATTTAGAAAGGAAAGCGGAGGACCCCAGCTCCTGTGGCTTGGTCGAGCAGGCTCAAGGCGTGCACGAGTTTCGCTGCCGTCATTACGTCTTCTAAAGCACGACAACGCGCTGTCCTGCGGACTAATTAACGATGATGTCCGAAGTGATTCTGATCCAGATCCGAAACTTTGTGCAGCAATTGGATGAGGCACAGTGAGATCTGCTTTCATGATCACGACGATGATGAGCAGCTACAGATCAAAATGTTCATCACAATAGACAGCTGAGGTGAAGATCCAACAGAGCTCAGTCAGAGGAGGATCCTGATCGAAAGTGAAATTATAGATCTGACGGTTGAATTTTTGGTTTCTCTATCATATGTTTATTCCGAAAATTTTGGACATCTCATAAAAAAATGAATTTGGTTATGGTTTGTCCACTTGAACTTGCAGTAAAAGATATCACTCCCGAAATCAAGAACCAGACGCAGGCTATTAGATGGTGTGGTGTTTTGGAGAAGTGATCAATTATCGTTCATCGTGTGCATCACAGTATTAACCCTTCAGCCTTGTAGTTTTCAGTCGGGTCAAGTATATCGATGGTTCCTCTGCTTTTTTCAACATTTTCTGAGCAAACTTATAGTTACAGAAACGAAAGCAATATATAGCAAAATGTCGTCCGTTGCGAGCTCGAGCACACCTATCCCAGCTTCCGAGGTCCTTGTGACGCTTGGGGGATACGACGGGCAGGTGAGTGGGTATGACGTGGAGCAACAAAAATTCGTCTTTGGTTACACCACGCACTTGGGCTCGGTCCGGGATATGCACGCGTACGGAAAAATCCTCGTAAGCGCCTCGTCCGACGATACCTGCAAGGTGTTCGACTTGCAGCTGAAAAAGGACATTGGGACCCTGCTTGCGCATGAAGGCTCCGTGAATAAGGTGCTGGTTTTAAAATCCCACATCATCACCGGCGGAGAGGACGGAAAAATCTGCTTCTGGAGGCGGGGCGACCTGGAATTGTTGCTCAAAGTCCAAACCAAGGGCGTGGTCAGCTTGGCTTGCGATCGCGAAGAGAAGATTCTGGTCTCCGCGCACTCGGATAACAAGGTGCGCATGTGGGACATGAAGGACGGCAAACCGGTACTAAAAACATTCTTTTCTGTGAATCAACGTAGGAACTGCATCTGCAGATCTCCCAGAAGTGAAAGCAAGTGTATTTCTCTCTATGAATTTAGCAACCGTGAAGATGATCCCTCCTTCATATCGGAACTTTTCCAAACCGTATTAACTTGACAAACTGCCAAAAATAACAGGTGTGGCACTTGGGGCTCGATCTTCCATTGACGGACGTGTGCTTTGACAAGGAGCACCTGGCGCTTTTACCCCGGGACGGCCGCAACGTCCAGATTGTCCACGCGCCCACATCGGCGGTGGACTCCATCACCACCGATGCCTTTGAAAAGCGAGTCACGGCAATTTGCTTCAACAAGGATGGTTTGCTGCTGGGAGACGCCGAGGGCGCGGTGCGCTTGGTGCGTTTGGGGGAGGACAATAAAGTTGTTCCAGGTGGCACGACAGCGAATGCTGAGGAAGCAGATAAAGAGACGACCGCAAATCTCGAGGACAGCGACTTGGACGAAGAGGAAGACCTTGAAGAGGAGCTGGTGGAAGAATCTGAAGACATGCTTGACGACGAGTTTCCTTCAGCAAACACGACTACAGCTGCAAATAACGCGAGCACCTCTGCCGGTTCTACTTCTGTAAGTTCCAAGGGAAGCAAAGAAAAAAATCAGCAACTCCGCCCCGCATCCGGTAGCCGTGTGCGCTTCCTCTCCGCGCTGGGGGATCTAGTCGCTGTTGCGCTGGCCAGCGGCGAAGTGGAAATTTACAACACGGCCGATGGCGATTTTGTGAAACTGACCTCGTTCGAAGTTCCCTTCCGCTGCACGTCAATGGCGCTGAGCTTTGTCGATAACGAACAATTGAAGAGCCAAGTGCAACAAGCCGGAAGAAAAGACGACAGTGCGCTTCTTGCCGCGGAGCAGTCGGATTCTTCTGAAGATGCGGATGAGCAAAGCGAGGGAGCGGCAGGCAACAAGAAGCGAGTGACATTTGACGATGCCAGCGACGAGGATGATGATGACGACTCTGAGAACGCAGGAGGTGACGAGGGAAAGACGCAAGCAACGCAGAAAAATACTGCTGCCCCAGCAACAGCAACCACGAAACCGAAAAAGAAACGAGGGCGGCGCGCGGGGCAAGCTGCGAAGGAAAGGGAACTGCAGGAAATCGAGCAGCTGGCACTGAAGAACATCAACAAGGAAAGACAAAAGGCAAAGCATTTGAAAACAAGCAAGAAGGCGATGGACAAACTTTCACAGAAAAAAGTTGAGCACGAAAGACTCATCAAGAAGCAGGTGCAGCAAGCCGACAAGAAGCGACTTTTGGAACACAAGCAGAAGGAGCAGGAGAAGGCGAAGAAAAAGAAGGACGCCAAGGACGCGAGAAAAAAGGAAAGGGAAAAGAAAAAGGAGCAGCAGCAAGAGAAGGAAAATCGGGCGAAGCTAGAGCAAAAGAGAAATGGCGACAGTGGCGCACCAGCTGGACCAAAGAAGAGCAAGGGCGGGAAAAAAGGCGGCGTGAAAAAAACGATGAAAAAAGGCAAGAAGCCGGGACGCTGATACTGCATTCAATAGAGACGACTGCAAATGAAGTATAAGTAGTTCCATACTCTTCACGAGAAACGATTGGGTTTTCTGTTTGCGCAAAGAACGAATGTGAGGAAAAAGCGTGTGCATCCGAACTACACAGTTGCCGCTGGTGTTCTGAATGATCACCTTTCATTGTTGTGAAGTAGATGGCATCTGGTTCATATAGTTTGAGACTGAAATCTTCCAAGCGCGGGTTTGAGGGAAATGAGAGTCTCAAAATAGCGCATTTTTGGTAATAAAGTTCTACTCGCACCCACGTTCTGCTCCCTGCGCTGGCCACCCAAAGTTAAGAGGATTGTTGCTGCGCTCTTCCACGTCTTTTTCGTACGCACGCTGCAGTGCAGCCTTACCTTTTCTTTTCATATGTTTGGCATCGGTATCTATACCATGCATCAAGCTGGTGTCTACTTCTTACTCTAGTTTTTGACTACTCGGCGACGATTGCTATTTCGAAGTGTAGTCTCAAGCTGTTGCTTGCTTCATTTTCCTACTTGCCACGTCGATTTTGTTTGTCGTGCTCGAAGAATGGCGGTCTCGTCAGGGGCCGACGTGAACGGGGACGAGGTGCAGCAGCTGAACACCGCCAGCCTGGACGAAGGTGCCGTGCCGTCCAAAGACCCTCCTGGCAATAAGAAGCGAGAATGGGTATTAACAACTTGTGATGGGCATGATCGGCAAAACAAGAAATCAAAATACAAAATCCTGCAGTGAAGACGTCGCCAAAGAAGAATCTTCAAGGCTTCTATCGGACGTAGTTTGTTGTAGTGAAAGAAACATGATGAATGTTGTTCGAAAATAAGTCTTCAACCACATCAAAGAAACTCAAAAGTGAAGTTACTTCCTCAATGCGGTTTCTAGGTCGCTCAGTTGCACCAGTCGGAGAGCGAGATCCAGAAGGCGCAGCTGGAGAGCCACCGCAGTCTGATGCAGACCAAAGCCATGGCCTGGGAACACGTTTGCGACATCAGAAAGCAGACTGAAGAACAGGACGCAAACCGCGTCAAATGGCAACTCTCCGTGTACGATGGCATGCGCAGGTTGCGACAGAAAATCCTCACGCTTTCGGACCAAACCGGCGTCAGCGCTCTAGAACAGAACGGCGGCACAGCGGGGGCTGCGGTTAGCAGTGGTTCCTCGAGACCCCCCGCGAAACTGTTGTCAGGTGCGAAACTGGCGAAGACTGTGCAATCGCTGGAACACGAGCTCACCGTCTTCAAGGAGCGCCAGCGCCAGGACTACGATGAGTTGACCCTCGTCGAGGCGACGACGTTTGAAACTCTGAAAGCGATGGAGGAACGCTTCACCGCCTGGCAGGAGCAAACGGCGAAGGAGCCGCTGGTCAGACCAAAATCCGCGCCCCCAAAGTCGACGTTGCTCCAAAAGGGCGGCAGCCGCCCGGCAAAGGATCCGAAGCAAGAGGAGCAGGAGATGAAAAACCCTTCGGTAAAACGAACCTACACCCTGAACACCGCAAACGCAGACCGGCAGGTGTCCGAGCTGCGCGACGCGCTGGACTCGTTGACCGCGGAAATTGAGCACGACGGCGGCGCGACCGGTGGGTGGCTAAAGGACGACCACGAGGCGTTCATGCGCATGTACGCGAAGTGCAAGTCCATGGAGAGCCCGACCTTTTACGAGCAGGTGGCGCAACTGGTCCACTGCACGCACGAAGACATCGCGGAACATGTCGTGTGGTACAAAGAGTGGTGCAGGAAGACGGAACTGAAAAAGGACCTGCTGGCGAAGTGGAAAGATCGAAGACGACAGGCGCTTGAAGTACAATTGCGATCACATAGATCAAGATCTGTCAAATGCAAAACGGCGAGCGACCAGCCAAGTGGCTTTTTTTTTCTTGAAGTGGTCGTGGTGGATAGTTGTTTGCGCATAGATATGACTAGGAGTGCAAATTCAGAAGAGCAAGAAACACTCTAAAAATGTACACAGGAAGCCCACCACCGCCTGGACGAGAACCGACAGGAGGATCTGCAAATTGAGGCGGAAGAGCGCAAACGTCGCGAGGAGCAGAAAAAGCAGGACGACGCATTTACGAAGCAGCGCATCGGCGCCTGGAAAGAGGAGCGGGCGGCAAAACTTGCGCAGAAACAACGCGAAGTCGAAGACAAACTTGCCGAACAGAAACTGAAGGACGCAAAGCGAATGGAGGAGCATTTACGACGGCGCGAAGCCATTGTCGCGTATTCGCAGAAAAAGCGGGAGCTGCAGGCCCGCACCAAAGCAGCTTCGGGGGAAAAGAAAGGGGGCGAGGTACTGGATTATCACTCAGATTTGTGGTGTGTGACGGTATGAGCATCATAAGCATATCAGTGTGAGAAACGCCTTGTTTGGAACTTGTTTATATATTTCATGGCAGCAGATCGTCTACTTACATTGCAATATATCGTTATCGATAACGATATTACAATCGCTGAAATTTTCCCAGGTCATATTAACCCGCGAGCAACGCGAACACCTCCGCGAGCGCAGCTTAGCGTACGAAAGAAAACGCGCCCAGCTGCTCGAGGAATGCCGCGAGAAGGAGCGGCAGCTTTCGAAGGGCGAAGAAGCCCCGCCTCCGAGCAAGTCTGGCAGCACCTACACACACATCTCGTCCAGGCTCCACGACCAAACAGAGGCACAAATTCAAAAACTCAAAGCACGCGAAAAGGACTTGAAGGAGGCATCGGTGGCGGGGAGCGAGGGACAAAAGTACTTTCTTACTATCTGTAGCCGGCATTTGCAACTCTATGCGCATTAATTTTCCGCGTTCTTTTTTTCTCGAGAAGCAGAACTGAACAGGCCTCCACACGTCCAGGCAAAAATGCACACTTAAAACACTTAGGTATGGAGTTGTCCCGGGGAACTTTGCTGGGCAGATCGGGGTGCAATCCCGTGTGCAGGGTGTCCCGCAGTGGAGGCAGAAGATATACGGATGAGGACCGTTCTGACGAGCATCCACAGTGTGCTTCCAAAAAGAAAAACAAAAAGCCTGCATGTACTACAAAAGATGACAATTACAGAAACGCCACCTTGTCAGGCAAACGGCGCAAGTCGTGATCGAGCAGCGATCATTCGTGAGAAGGGACGCAGGGTTGTGATCCGTACCCACCGCAGTCTTCTTCACTCGTCTTGTCGCTTCCATTGATATCATGAGGAAGTTTGTTCGAGCCCTTGCAATTGTATCATTTCAGAGAGAGTCTTGAACTTGATGAGCGTCGACGGAACGACGAATAACATCTTCGTGATCGCGAGAGCTTATGCATCGAATGCACGCGTTGTACCGAGAGGCGAGCAACTCAGATGAGAATACGACGTCATAGTGAAATCGATTTCGTTGCGACTGCGCAGTTGTGCAACAAGAAAAACATCATGACAAACAATTCCAGCCTCAGAAGACCTCTCATCTCTTCATTCCCAATACTTCTAGCCCCGAACAGAAGTGGTGGTTTAAAAAGGAAGTCAAATAGCGACGGTTCGCTAAGCAATAGTCGTACGTCGAAGCCAAAAAATTATATTGCAAGTCCACTACCTGCGGTGGTCTTCGCGTCCTCGTTGAGTTGGTTCGCAGATCTTCACTTTCGAGCTCCTGTGTTGCTGGGGAGGAACAAAACCCCTTGGTTTTGCAATCATCTTCTCGTAGTTTGCAGTTCAACCGCAGCGTGGCGCGCGTCAACCGCTGCTCTGCTTCCAGGTGTGCCGCTTCGGTGAGTAGCCGTCTCGTTGCCATACTCCCGCGGTAGTCCTCGACCAAGATGGGTAAAAAAGGGAAGAAGGACAAGAAGCCAAAGGCCCCCGGCCTCCCGCTGCAACCGGAAGAATTGAACCTGGATTTAACATGGCAGATCGAAACATTAGAACGAGACTTGCTGGTGAAGCAGAGGATAGAAGAGGTACATAGTACAAGCAAGGCAGTTGTGATTGATAAACGTTGTAAAAAAAGGGCACGCACCATATGTGATTGCGTGTCTCTCTGTTTAAACATTTACTTGGTGAGTCAGTGGTTGACTGAGAGGCTTATGCCGCGGGCGCATCTACCGAATTTGAAATCTAATTTATGTTCTTCACAGAACCTCCGAGCATCAACGATGAAGATGCGCGACAAGGTGGAGGAGATGCAGGACGACTTGAAGCAGGAAAAGAAGATCACATACGCAGTCACGTCAGATATGGCACGAAGGTACAAGTCTCTCCAGGAAGACTTGATTCACAAAATCAACACGCTGGAGACAACACTAACAGAGCAGAAGGAGGAGCTGGGTACTGCGATGATTTTCTTTTTGATTTTGAATGTATCACTTTCAACACAGCAATCCCAATCGCACTTACTGTAAGTTACATTACAGTTTTTGAAGACTGAAAAGCGTAGTAAATGCTCCGTGGTCATCAATTGACACTCTTGACTTCCAAAACAGATATGACGAAGCACGAGCTATCAGAGCTAGTCGCGGACAAGGACGACATTATTGCGCACAAGGACCAGGTGATAGCAGAACTGAAAAACCGAACGGAAATTATGTGTGCGGAGTTCCATGAGATGCTCGGGAGCACTCTGAAACTCATGAAGGACCACATGGCGGCGAAGCTGATACAGGTAAGTACAACTACTTTTTGTGTTGTGAAACAAGGCAGCTTGTACGAGCTGCATAGTGCAAAGTCGACAACTATGCTAGAGCGTGTGGTCAGTCAATCATGTCAAAGTTTTGCCTTTGCGTAAAACGCGAACGCCATTTTCACCATCCAAAAATTTTCGTTCGACAGGACCCCGAAAACGGTGACCGAAACGGCAAGAGCAACCAGGAAGCCTATGCAGCCAAGTTGCAAGACCTCACCACAGTCGCGAGGTAGACGAAGAAGAGAGGCGCATTCGTTTCATGACAAAGAAAAAGACATGTCTACCAAGTAGCTCCTGATGATTACAGCTTACCCTCACTCCCTGTTTTTCCGTTTCCCTCTGTACCGCTGCACAGCAAAAATAGAACTTTTGCTTTCTCTCTGAATCCTTCCTGAGGTGCTGTCCTCTCCTCGTACGCACAGACGCGCTATGCTGCTGTTTGCCAACTACATCGCACAGAATTACCTCGAGGCCTTTCGCGGTGCAGCGCTAGTTGTGCCTTATTGTAGTGCCGCTCCTAGTACCAAGTATTCCTCGTTCGCTCGAGCTACCCACCAAGAGTGAAGCAGAACTGCACTCGGCTGACTATGCATGGTCCTCCTCGTCATCTCAACTTTTGCGTTTCTGTTTTTCCCGAGCTGTGGATTGCAGCACTTACATACTGCGCATTCTGTCTGGAAACTGGAGCCCTAGTCGCATGAATGATCCAAGATCGCTTTTTCTAGCGTATGATTGAGGAGCGGGAGCCACTGATGAAAACTCCCGAGGACGGAAAATATGTAAGACTGCATCTGTTGAAGCGAGGTCAGGATCGTATATAGTGTTGCTGATCCTCGTGCGACACCAAAGCCCAAAGAACGCGCTCTGCCGACTGCAATCGACGTGGAGGCATCAAGGTGCCCAATCTATGTCGTCTTCATTGTGTTCTTGTTCATGAAAATCAGATGGATTTCTCGTGGCTACGGAGGGACGAAGAAACATGTTATCTTCGCCAACTCCAACGTCCGTGAGCGTCCAAGACGTCAAGAAGGGGTACTTCTGTATGAGTCTGAGAATGCCACCGACCGAGAGGCACTTCTTGTCCCTGACTGTTTTTTCTAAAAGAGCAAGAAGTACGCGACAGGAAGAGGCAGTATGTTGCATGGAGTTCTTTCACGCCGATTGAAACATACAAATAGTGGAACATACACGCTGCGTTGAATTTGCCATGGTTCGTTTTTCTGGTACTTAGCCCAGTGGTTACAACTTGTGTGTTTAATTAATGCAAGGGACAAGCTCAAGATGTCGGGGGCGCTACCATCTGCGCGCGTCGTTTCCTGGCCGGGGTTGTCCGCGTTGAAGCGAGGAATTCCTGAGGCGCGAAGAGTGCTGCAGCCGGCTCCATTTTAGTCGTGGGGGCGAATTGAAGGAAAAAAGGCGCGGCGCGGCCGAGAATCGGAGGAAAAACAGCAGTCGAGCGAAAAAGGCACGCGGATGGCGCGACCCCCCCTGGGAGCCGCGCGCCACGCCCGCGGTGTTGCGCGCCCGCTGTGGTTCTTCCGCTGCCCGCCTGCGCCCTGGTTTTTCTGGGTGTGGAGGTGATCATGGGCGCAGCTCGGTAGCGGCGATGGTTTTGTGGCGATGGCTTTGCGCTTCATGCTGTTTCGCCTCCGGGGCTTTTTGTTGGCCCTCCGTCCTCGGTGAAAGCTCCAAGGAGAACGCCAACGCCATCGAAACCGCGGCGAACGCAACGGGCCAGCGAAGGCGCGGCCGCGATCCTGATTCGTGTGCCTGATTAGTCTGAGCGAACGCAAGCCGGGGAAGCGCCGACGGCCCGGGCGCGCCTGCAGCCTTGCCCGTTGATTGTTTTGAACGCCCCGCCGCGGCGGCGCCCGCCCGCGCACCGGGGCCGGTGAAAGCTCAGCCAAGGCGCCTGCGCTGCCGTTCCCGCCTACCGCGGTGGGGCCGGCCCGGCCTGCCCCTGTTGTGAGTATGCTCCGCCCGCGCCCGGGGTGCTCCACTCTCCTACTGTCCACAGTTGTGGCGCGGGTCGCGCTTTGATTGCGCCAAGCGCGCGCGTCGGAGATCGTGTTTTGCGTGGGGCATCTATTCCGCGCGCCGAGAAAAGGCAGTGAATACACACCAGCGCGGCCCGTAAAACGTCCGCGGTGCCGCAGCAGACGAGTTCTGGGCCCCCAGCAGTGAATGCCAATGTTTCGCGGGATTATCGCGTGCAGCTGTACGGATCGACACATCGCAAAGCCGCGGGCCAGTTGGCCCGCTTCGCCGAGCGCAATAAATGCCATGCAGTAAATGTTCGTCTTCCTCTTCTACCATTCAACTGGCAGGTGCAGTCTCGGAGCGTGGAGCGCGTCAGCTTGCTCGGTGGATGAGCGAAGCGGTGTGAATTGTCGTAAACTAAGTTGAGTGATCGCTGCTGATTGTGACTGTGATTCGTTTTGTCCATCAGCCGACAAAATGCACGCTTGGCTCTCCGTACTCGCTCTGAGTTGCAAACATGGCGGTCGGTCATGGCTGCCGTCTTTCCACCAACATGCGAGAAATCACTCTGAAACGACTGTCGAGTGCTGTGGCGAAGAATAGAACTCTGCACGCAGATGAATTAAATGAAAAAAAGCTCCTGTGTACGTAACCAGTAGAATGACAAGCATACTAGCGCGGAGAAATATGACAGCTAACGTCTGTCTAAGTTAATACTCGAACTTAGTTCGAGGTCGAGCCGCCACTCCTTTTCGGTGAAAACGCAACAAGATGCCCTCTTCCAAGGAGCTTGCGAAGCAGCTGAAGGAGGCGGAGAAAAAAATCGAGAGCGTGCGCCGCAAGGAGAACGAGAAAAACCGGGCGCGGCGGTTAAAGGAGAAGGCGGACGACGCTACGCGACTGGAGAAGGCCGACGAGAGGGCGGCCGCGTTGCGTCAGAAGATCGAAGCGGCCAAGGCTGAAGAGGCGGCGAAAGCACGCGCGCAGGTCGTGAAGACGCTTCGGAAGCATATCGGCGAGAAGCTGGGTGAGAAGGTCGCGGCCGGTCAGTTCCACGTGGTGAAGTTCCAGATCGATAATCGCAGAGATCTCCGAAGCGTATTCGAGATGGACCTCAATGATCCGGCCTTGGCGGGTGAATACTACAAACGGGAGAAGATCGTCAAGAAGGTTTACGGATTCGAAAAATTGGGATTGGCGGCGATTTTCGGATCCTCCAAGGTGGAGTCAAACAAGTGGGGCAAGAAGACGAAGGTGACGGGGGCAGAAATGAAATGGGAACAAGAATCCGGCTGGATGACGCTGCGGGTCTTTGAAATGTCGCATGCGTAGGGAAGAAGAAGCTGCATGCTTTTTCTTCGAAAAATATGGAAACCATCTGAGTTCATGGACGACTAAGGTGGCCCGCAGTACACTAAAGTCGACAGGTTCGATGAAAGCGCCATGCCCGGCGCGATGCCGGGGAGGCCGCCCGAATGAAAAACTCTTTGCACGCGGCCGCCCGAGAAATGGTGATGGTCCCACCAGGTGAGTTCTTGGTCAAAAGGGTTACCACAGGAATTTTTTCGTAGGAAAAGTAAAAAGAAAAAGTCTTACGAGTTACTACTGATGTCAACGTGTTACTAGATCTGCAAAGGCGTGTTTTTTCGGAAAGTGAAGCGAGGTGGAGAACTTCGGGAGAGTTCCATCGGCCATAGTGAAGAAGTTCAACTCGGAGTCCTTGTTGTTGTTCGTCTTTACAGCTCGTGGCGGAGTGCCTCCTCCTTTTCGTCGATTGTCATGCGCACGAAGACCAAGAATATGAAAAAGAAACCACTTTGCCTTTCTTTGTTTTCTGTGGTGTACCACATAGCTGAAAGCTCTGCTCCGGTTCTGTACTAGCAGCCACAAATTTTTTCAATAGACAAATAGAAATAGTTCATCTCCGGAACAAGAAGTTCGGAGTTGCATAGTTAGCAGCGTCGGAACTTTCATACTTCTGGCGTCGTCCGTTTTCACTTTGTACAAACATTTGAAAAATAAACATTAACATCTACCTTTGTGGGTCAACACAACATCTAATCTCCTTGAGTGCTGACTGGATTCCTTTTCCTTTTTGTCATATAAAAGAAATATGTTGTAAACTTCATCCACGGCTTTCAGGGTCCTGCTCATATTTCGTCCTCCCTGTGATCGTCGTCCTGTACCGACCAAAATTTTCCTGGGCCGCGAACAAGTGGCTGCTTTTCCGGTTTTGTATGATCTCCTCTTCTCGTCGTCGTTTTTGAACAAACAGAAGTAGATGTACCCGCGTAGTGCAGTGGTGTGTGCCCCTCCTTCCTTCAACTCTACGTGGTGCAGCGCTTGGTCCTTGATAGCAGACGGGACCTCTGTCGTCGCGACGAGTAACCATCACTAGACCGCTGGCGTGGATTCCTTCGAGTAAATAGAGCCATATCAGAATCAGAACAGTGGCACAAATAAAAGCTGACGAGCAACATCTTCTTGAGCTAAGAACTCTTCGACAAAAAGTACAACGAAGCCCAGCTCATCTCCACGATGACAGCCGTGCAAGAGAACGTTGCCGGAGATAGCCCAGTCAAGGTTCGTCTTGTTGGAAATCATGTTTTGAACATGAAGATGAGCGCCTCCACACCGATTTCGTGCATGCACAGACTACATTGACGCACCAATCCAATCTGACAATCTGTTTCTTCTCACAGAAACAAGTACTAAGAGTTCGAGTCACATTTTAGAAAAAAAATCCTATCACAGGGCTCGGACGAGATCAACATTTTGCAGTCGACGTCCACTGCACCGCCCGACGAGATGGACGCGGCTACTTCCACCACTACGCGGACCAGCCGTACAGCCTCCGACACGAGCGACCTGCTCCCAGAACAACATACTGGCACGAGCAAGTCGAGTTCCTCCTCCAGCACCTTATTCCGCAAGATGAAGGCGGACAATCTCCAGAATGGCAAGCACAAACAGATGACGGCTTTGCTCGACGGCAGCATGGGACGGCAGTTGTGCGAGGAGTTCAAACTTCCCACGGACGACTTTTGGTTCCCAAAGATTTGGTCCGCGGCAGCTTTGGTCAAACCGGAATTTCACACTGCCGTCGTCGAGGCGCACAAAAGCTACATCGAAGCCGGTGCGACGCTGATCACGACGAACAGCTTCGGCACGCAGCCGACGTTCTACCCAAGAGCGTTTGGGGAGGATGAGTGGGTATTGAGCTTTCTTGTTTTTCTCCACGTGCCTCAAGCTATCAAAGCCGGTGCAGTTTCTTCAAAACTACATGCAAAAATTCGAACGAACAAAAACACGACATCAATCAGGAATCTCGCATGCTTGCGGACGCTGAGCTGAGTTCCAAATTGGCGGTCCAAGCGCGGAATGAAGCCAACTCTACAAACGATGTGAAGATCATCGGCTCGTTGCCATCGCTCTTTGAGTCCCATCGACCGGATATTTTTCTCAAAAATGTGGAGGAGAAAGGCGAGGAATTTGTTGTGCATTACTATCACAAGATTGCGGAAGCGCTGGTATTTGATCTGTTATTTTTTTGTCTGAAGGTGGCACGAGGACGAGCACGACAGTCGGTCGTATGCGTATCGTGGGGCCCACGAGAACATGACTCATATTGGAAAACTTGACTAAAAACCGTATAAATAAACCCACCAACAGCTCCGCGGCGGCGCAGACGCGATTTTGTTCGAGACCATCAATTGTTGGGAGGAGGCAGCGCTCGGGCTGGAAGGCATCAGCAGACTACCGCAAGAGATGCAGCCCGAGATCATAGTTGCACTAGAGGGCGCGTTCCGCAACCTGAATTTGAAACCGAATCCGCACCTGTCCGCGCACGCGTTCCGCGCGCTGCTGCCCAGATTTGCGCTGTTCGACACCTTGCCAGAGCACCTCGCCACCGCGGTGTCGCTTTCCCCGGAGGAGCACGCGACGGCTTTTGAGGAAAAGAAGGGCAACTTGTTGGACCCGAAAACCGCGGTTATTTGTCACAAAGCGGAGCCTGCGAAATTGCAGGTGTCCTGTTTCGGGTTCAACTGCGCACCACCAGAGGAGATTTTGGACTCCTTGCGGGCAGTCCGGAACGACTCTGTCCTGCACGAGATTGTGACGGTACAAGATGTCAATGTTGTCAAATTCAACGACGAATGTTTTTACCTGGGTACTAGTAGAATGATGCGCATGTCGACCCGATTTTGACCCAGCCGTACACGCAACGGAACGTTTTCAAAAACAAAGCCAGAAACATTTTTTGGATCCGAATTTTTTTTAGGTTTCCGGTCTCGAGCTCTGCGCCTACGCGAACGTGAACGATCGGAAAGAGGCACATGACAACGGCTTCGAGGTGCGCAAGGACCGCGCTAGTGCGATCAAGAAGCGCACCGACCTGGCTCGCGAAATTTCTCCTGCAGAAAATGGCGCGGCGACAGATGACAAGGAGGTATGTTGCGGGTGGACGATTTTTGCATTGACCGACGTCGATATTCGTGCTGCGCTTGGTCATTAATTTCTTGAGATGCACTTGGACGCCTTGTCTCCAAGAGCAAGATGAAAATTGAATTTTGATGCTCTACTTACTAAGGGTGAGAATATCTGTCGACGACGACGCACTTCCTCGGATCAATACTGTATTCGTGAAAAAAACAGAATCCGCCGAAGAAGCATTATGCGTACGACGGTTACGTTGACCTGGTTTGCGAGATGGTGGACGCTGGCGCAACGATTGTTGGCGGTTGCTGCGGATGCGGCCCCGAAGGAATCCACGCCCTCGGGCATCGATTTTTTTAAAGAGAAAAAATATCTCTCAGCCTGAAATTTGAATTTCAAATTTGGTATTTCCCCATCATGATCATGTCTTCTAGTACTACTACTCCCGTGCGCGATGCTTGTTCTGGGAATCGCGACTTGTAACCAAAAGTAAGAACAAATGCGTCAAAAACAACTCACGTCAACGTCTAATATTTTCATACGAACTTGAACAAGCAAAGCGGTGTCGTATGTGGTTGTCCCATGCACTGCTTTGCGAGTCATATACTGACACCAATTCTAGATATTTTTGACAAAGATGAAGGATGAGTCTGAGCTCACCCCTCAGACTTTGCCGATGAAAAGTAATAAATGGTCACTAAGTATTAACTCGTCCAGGAACTTCCTGTTCTGGCCGAGAGCGAGATAAACCTCCACCCAGTACCAAAAATTTTCTCCCCCACGAAGAACAAAACAGCACGTTGCTCTCAGCCGGTGGACAGGACCGCTTGCAGTACTTTCTAGCCCGACCAGCTGCGAATGACTTCGCCGAACTACAACCCTCATGGCCTATCATAGACTACTTCTCATGATCTTCCTTGGAATGTCAATGTAGTAGAAAAACTGGTGAGTCCCTTCCGCGGAGGAACAACGTCCATCTGGGGCGGGACAGATATTTTTTGTCGAACAAGAAGCCTCATGCCTTCTGCAAAAGAATATTTTCATTTTGTGCTTGCAGAAGTTGAAGGGGCTGGGGCTACCACCTATAACGTGTTAAGATAGAAGTTTGACGGCTGGAATATCGTACGTTTTCCGCACAGCACCTGATTCATACTGCTGATTTTTGCACATATTGGCAGAGGGGGTCTTCTTCAGTTGTTGCCTGACCAGCAGGAGTGAAAAGGTGGAGGCGGAGTACCAGAAGCTACTGCTATTGAATAACCTGCTCGACAAATAATTCAAATTCCGATTCGTGGCAAGTAAACCTAGCGAAATTTTGGTGCAAGCGGCAAAAAGTAAAGCCGACGTTTTGTTTCTTCATGACAGCGTGTGTACAACTTAGGTGGTGGAGCGGGCGACGTCATCGATGTCACTACCGCCTCATTGCAACATCCGAAGAACAAGACCAAATGAGGAGGTTTGCTGCGCTAGAGTTTACTTCTTCTGAAGCTTGCGTAAGATGATTGTTAGTCCTGAATATGGCGATAGCGGCTCTACTCTAGTACTGGTGCTACACTAACGAGTGCCGTGTATCGTTCACAATGTAAAACCCTTTGCCTTTCGTTGCGGGATAACTCACTGTGTGCAACTACAGGTAGTACGATTGCGGCTGTTCAATCGGCAGCTGCACAAAATAAAATGAAAAACTGACATCGCGAGCAAGAGTTTAGATTTTGGCCCCCGCCTCACATTAGAGCCTCGAACAATTTCACAACATACCCATACCGATAAGAAACCCAGATGATTTGTGGTTGCCCTTGACTGCGCGTATTGAAGGATAGCACAGCCCTAAAATGAAAAATGATGAGAAGAAGTTTCAGACTACCAAATCAACACCCGGCCAAAATGAGGAAGTTCAATGTTTTAGAAGGAGCAACCGAGTACATTTTACTAGAGAAATGCAGGTACTTAAAACTCTTTTTTCTATGGAGCTGCCGTGAGAAGCTCTTTGTTTTTCAAAGTGTTCGTAGAAGGATATTAAGGTACAGGGCACGTTGTAACTGTGGAGGCTATCAGTATCACAATAAGAATACTTCAGAAGCAGCAAGTTGTTGGATTCCAAGTCAGTTCGGGCACAATCGGTTTATTTTTTCTGGTGCGACAAATACAAAAGCAAAAGCAAAACTTGACTGTGCTTTTTCTTATGCTTAACCTCAAGCCTACCCTGCTGCTGAAGATCTGGTAAGAAACGTGGACAAAAAGGAAAATGGGGTCTGCAGCTAGTCGCTATGCTCGGTCATTCTTCTAAACATTTTTCAGGACTGATGTGATCTTTTCCCCGGCCCCGATTTTACCCAATAACGCAAGAAAAGTCCTCTTGTGGTGAAGTGGTCGGTCATCTTAGTCACACAAGAAATTCACGGAAAGTAAGAAATCAAAATTAATATCGTACAACTACAAAGCCCTCTTCTTCGTGCCAATGTTTTTCACCCCCTCAAGTTTCAAGATAAAGGTTTTCACATCGGTTTAGTTCGAAAAATATCAAGCACAGCATCAAGCAAGGAAAAACGCATCAACTTTGGAAGCGAAAAGTCTCTAATTCTTGCGTACTCCATGATCTAGGTATCTCTCTGCTATCTTAATCTAGTGTTTCTTGTTCTTGCTACTTTTTTAGTGGAATAGACCTTACTACGTACCCCTGATCCTGAAGCTACTAGACCCACGGACCACCCATTGCCGTCACCATCATGCTAAATATCTTGCTACCCTGCCCTGGCACGACAGTCCACGTTGAACAAGAAAGGTAGGAATCAGGAAAGATGGGCGTGGTCGCAGAGCAGCTGGCTACCCTGCTGTACAAGGATCTGATCCTCCGGCGGCGGGCGCCTTTCGAGACATTTTGTCTGTGTCTTTGCCCGTGTTTGACGATTATTCTCGCCTGCAGTTCCTTCATCTTCATCGAAGACTTGCCCCATGTTGTGCCGTTCACAACAGAGGAGAACGCGTATCGTTACTTTTTGCTTACAGGGCACTGCTCATGTTGTTCAAGAAGAGGCAACTTTACATACAACGACATCATCAAAGTTTGATAATCGAGAAACTTTAACTTACATTTTTTTACAGTGCCCAAGCTCCGGTCGGCCCTTCCTCGACGTTCCTCTTCGACCCCTTCCCCCTCGATTGCGTTGCGGTCGACGCTATCAAATGCAAATATGTCTGGGTCTGGAACGATGCAAGGTTTGTCATGCACATTTTGCATGACTCCTGATGTCTGTGATGCATGCCGTAGCATCACAGATTTTGTGAGGCCTTCCTGATGCCTATATCGCATGAGAAATGCCCTCTCGCCCTGGCAAAAACTGGCCTTCTTTTGCTGTTCATGCAATACAAGTTTTTGTAGAATTCAGACGCAGCATCACAAGTTGCATCCTTCCAGTTCCAGACATATTTGCAATGCATAGACGCCGTCTCGCTGCTCGCACGCGGAGACATTGACACGGAGGGCAACGGCGGCGGCCCGATTCAGGAGGTCTCGATTGGGTTGAAGTACACGACCAATTTTGACTGCTTTCTCGGGGCGATCGCGAGCTACATTCCGCTCTGGAACATCATGGTCCGCCAGTTGCGCGAACGCCCCTCCTGGGTGCCGACGCCGCGGACGTTCGCTGTTATAGATGAGACGCCGGTGCCGCATGGCGGCACTGTGACACGGGGCACCAGCTTCGCGAACTACATGGAGAAACGGTACAACCAGAACATAGCCTTGGTCATGGTTTTCTACAACCTCACCGATTCCTGTTTCCGGAACGAGCAATTGCACTACGTGGACAAAAATTTGAGCCCCTACGACGTCGTCCCTGTGTTTGGCTCGTCTGCTTCGGGGTCCAGCTCCACGTCGCCATTCGCCTCGCTGTTCGCCGCGAATGCGACGAGGAGGCAGTTGACTGTGAGCGAGAGTGGTGACCAGTTTGGGACGAGGGGGGAAGAACAAATGGGAACAGAATCTTCCTTGAACTACTTTGAGCGGCGCGACGACATCCGAGAGCTCGCTGTGCCCCCGGGATCCACAGTGGACGTTTCGTCATTCTCCGGCCATGTCACGGACTTTCCGGTGAGCAATATCTACCAAGACTGTATCACCAACCGCCCGATGGAGTGCTTCAACGCCTGTTTTTTCCAGGACAACAGTTTCCGCACCAACGCGATTGCTGAGATCCAGCAGGCCATGTCCGGAAGCTCGGTGGTCGCGTCGACGTCCTCTTCGAGGCGGAATCTGGTGGCCGGTGAAGAAGATGTTAGCGAGGATGTGGTGGATTTCATGAAAAACATCGAAAGTGAATACCGGAAAAATCAACAGACCATGGCATTGGAAAAGAAGCAGAAAGAGGAGGAAAAAAGGCACGAGCTTCTTCAACAAATAGACGGCAATCAGTGCGCAGACCATGATCAACTATGGTTTCCGCGCAAGAACCCCTTTGACCTGGAAGCGCTGGCAGAGTTTCTCGAACAAACAGCGAAAGCTGTGGTCGACGAGGCACCAGAAGACGCGGGCTTCTTCTTCCAAGGACGGCTCAAACAAGGTACTGAAACAAGCAGAGTTGTCTCCAACAAGCGCACGCTGCAGAGTAGTTCCACTACTTCGTCCGGCAACAGCGGCAACACCGAGCAAGTGGATTGCCGGTCGCTGACCTCCCCGTGCGAATGTGCGCGCCACCGCACCAGTCACGGCTGCCAGTGGCGGCAGGAGTCCCGACTCCTGCACGGCATGGGGCGGTGCCGCGCGGGCAACAGCCGGCGCAGCGACACGTCGTGCGCGGAGTGCTCCAACCAGGAGGGGTGTTTAGCCGTTGACTTGTGGGAGCGGCTTGGCGCCAGCCTGCCGCGCTTGTCTCCCGCCGTGCGGCAGTTTGGCGCGGAGTCGGACTTGGAGGATTTTATCGCGAAAGTCAATTATCCGGGGGAGCGGACGGAGCAGTGGACCAACGGGGTGAACGGGCTCCTTGAGGATGTCATCGTTTCGGACAGTATCTGTGCCGCGGTCGTTTTTGCGGACAACGGCAACCGGGCGGTCATCCGGCCCAACGCGACAAGCTCCGCAGGGGTGCAATACGGGCTAGATACGTATCGCTCCGTGTCGCTCCGCTCCCGCCCAGGCAGCATGCAGGCCTATCAGCTCTCCGGTTTTATCGGCTCACAAGCGGTGCTGAACGACTTCTTGCAGTGCCGTAACGCAGTCGACATCAGCGACTGCTTGCCCGCCTCGAGGCAAATCGCGCAGCAAGTGCAGCAGCAACAGATGAGTGTAGGTACAACAGTGACGGCGCAACCAGAGCCGACGAAGAACTACGCCAGTCAAAACGTCTCTCTGATCTCCATGGGAAGCCCCGCGCACCAGCGCAACCCGGTGTTGCAGTACAGTGGTTGGCGTTTGTGGTCGCAGATGTGGATCTCGTTCTGCTTCCCGGTTTTAACCGTTGCGGGGAAGATTCTGCGCGAAAAGGAGTCGAAGATCCGGGACGGTATGCGGATGATGGGTCTCCGCGACGCGGCCTTCTACTTGGAAGATTTCGTGTTCAACGCGATGCTGGCGTTTCCGATCGCCCTGTGTGCAGTGATCGCGTTGAGCAACATGCCGCACATTGTGATCTACAGCGACCCGTTCTTCCTGTTCCTCGTGTTCTTCTTCTGCCTGTGGCACACGCTCTCCTTCGCGGTCTTCCTCACGTCCTTCTTCAGCAGCTCCTTGTTCGGGAAAATCGTTTGTTTTGGCATGGTGTTCATGAGCCGGTTGTTTCTGGAGTTGACCGACGGGGGCTGGACCACGAGCCAGATCCGGGCGCTGGGGCTGTTCTTTCCCAGTTGTGCGTTCAAATACGAGATGATCACTTGGTACAATTTGGAGATCAAGACCGACGGGCTGACCGCGGCAACCATCACCTGGCGCAACGACAATTTTTCCGCGCAAGACGGTTTGATCGTGCACATAATCGGCATCTTCATGTACACACTGTTTTTCGCCTATTTCGACCAGGTGATCCCTACCGAGTTCGGCGTTCCGCAGCCCTGGTACTTTCCTCTCTCAAAAGTCTGGTGGCAGCAAACAGTGTTTGCGACTTTCAAAGGATCAAATACGAAAGAAGAGCAGACGTCGGCTGCGGGGGAAGTAGAAGAAGAGGAACTGGCAGATGCCACGACTATGGACCGGGATCCGACGTGTTTTGAGAAAAAAACGGAACAGCAACGCGACGCGGAGCGGCGCGGGGAGTGCGTGCAAGTGAAGAAGTTGCGGAAGGAATTTTTCGTCGACGGGCAAAAGATCGTCGCGGTCGACAATTTTTCCACCACGGTCTACAAAAACGAGATCTACGTGCTGCTCGGGCACAACGGCGCGGGGAAAACCACGACGTTCTCGATGCTCACCGGATTGATCCCCACCACCGGCGGGACGAGCAGCTTTTTCGGCAATTCCATGCAGTACCACTTGACGAACTGCCGGTCCAAAGTCGGGATGTGCCCGCAATTTTCCGTGCTTTGGCCGCAGGTGACTATCAACTGCAAAAGTGTATGGGTCTGGAAGAGTGCCAGACTTGTCATGCAGGTTTTCCATGACCGAAGAGGTCTGGTATGTAGGACATAGCATGACAGATTCTGTGAGCGTTCTATCATGTTCATGCCTATCCTGGATGAGAAACTGCCTCTCGATTAGGTCAAAAGTGGGCAGCTTTTGGCAATCATGCAACACAGATTTTTTACATGATGCAGATTTAGCATGAGATGTTGCTTTGTTCCAGACCCAGACACTTTTACATTTGATAGTGACCGCGTTGGAACACTTGGTCTTGTTCGCCATGTGGAAGGGCGTTTCCAGGGCGGACGCGTACCGCGAGGCCGAGGAACTTCTCCGGGAGCAAAACATGGATCACAAGAAGGACGCGCTCGCCCGCACGCTGTCGGGCGGGATGCGGCGGAAGCTCTCGCTCGCGATCGCCTTCACGGGGAATCCGGAACTGGTTTTCCTGGACGAGCCTTCGTCCGGGTTGGACAGCAGTGCGCGGCGGGAGATCTGGAACCTGCTGCGGACGCGGAAGGACAACCGGGTCATCATCCTCACCACCCACTACATGGACGAAGCGGACGCTTTGGGCGACCGGATCGCGATCATGTCGCAGGGCCGGATCAAATGCTGCGGCTCGCCGAACTTTCTGAAGAACGTGTACGGCTGCGGCTACAACTTGAGCTTCACACTGACCGAATCCGCCGTGGTCCGAAACAGCGGTGCGAGCCTGTTTTTCTTCCTGCAGGAGGTGCTGAAGCCGTTCCATGTGAAACTGCTCTCGGTTGCGGGGAAGGATTTACTGTTTCTAGTGCCCTTCGAGGCGTCCGCCTGCTTCGAAAAAGCGTTCGACCGAGTTGAGAAGTACCAGCAGGCGTTGAAGATTAAGTCGTGGAATTTGTACGTATGCAACCTGGAGGAGGTGTTTTTGAAAATCGCGTCGGACGAGGAGGTATTGCGCGCAAAAACTGCTTCCACGGTCAATCCCTCCATTCTGGACATGGGAACTAACAACACCGCACGCACCGCGCCTTTCGACGACGACGACGAGCACGCAAGGCTGACGGAGAAAACCGCGATAAGCGAAGATGTTGAGGGTACTAGGCATCAAACCGCAGTGAATGAGCACTTCGACCTGCACCTTTCCGCGGGTGCGCACGCCGCAGACCACCACTTGGCGTCTGTCGTCAAAGGGTCGTCTGAAGTCGCGTCGCGCCAGAACAGCAAGGAAACCATTGAGAAGATTGTGAACGGCACCATGCTGGGCGGAGCCGGCGGACGCGACAGCTTCGGTACTGTCGCGTCGCAAGAGCGGTACAGCGAGATCGTAAAGGCACTGGAGGAAGGAGGTGCTTCGTCGGGCGAAGAGCAGAACTTCGCCGGAACAAGAAGTGGTGCTGGCGTAGTTGTGACGCCTGTTGGTGTTGATGATCCATCCGCTGTTCATACTTCAACTTCCGACGGTGTAGTTTCTGCTTGCCAAGCGGAAGACCTGGCCGACCACGAGCGGGTTCCGACCCCGCCGGAGAAAAAATCTCCGTTCACTTCCGATCAGGTTCTACCCGAAGTGCTTGGCGTACCGACGTCAGGTGGAGGTGGTAAGGACAAATTTTCGGCTGCAACGGGCGGAATGAAACACGGTACACTTACACACGGTGGTGACAGCATGCTCCAGTACACGAATGCCGGGTTCTCAAGGCAGATGCAAGCCCTCCTTTGGAAGCGGTACTTGAACTCCAAGCGGGACTTCTGGACGACCTTGGTCCAGCAAACCTGTCCGGTGTTGCTGACATCGTTGTCGATCATTTTCCTCATCCTGAACCTGAAGGATTTACCCTACCGGCAGCTGACCTACGAAAATGACTACAACACGGACATGGAAGCTCCGGCGAACCGCTACATTGTGCCGGTCTCGTTTTCCTCAGACGACGTCGAGCAAAACGACTATCAGAGCGGCATTCCTCCCAAGGTGTACACGACGCAAAAACCCGCTTTGGCATTGTGGCCGGAGAACCAGCCGTGCAGCACGAAAGGCGGGTGCCAACAAATCAGCAGCGGGCTGAGCACCTCCGCATTGCTGTCCGCGACGGATAACAGCGTCTCCCAGTCCGAGAACACGGCGTTCGTTATCGCCGGGAGTCAGTGCCCGACCACGCAGCAGGGGGTGTACAGTGGGGTGTTGGATTTCGTGTTCTCCGCCTTTCAGAACCAAGTGAACCCGCTGTTGGGTGGCGGCTTCGGCGGCGCCGCCGTGACTGCGGATGCAACGGCAACAACGATGTTGAATACGACAGCCACGGTCACCGCCGCGCCGCTGGTTTTCGCGACTACGTCGGGTTCCTTCAGTACCAGCTCACTGGCGACGTCGCGGATCCCAACGGCGGAGCAGAAGAACAGCTCGATACGGTTTGTCTACGCACTGGAAGATCAGATCCAGTACCGCAAGCCAGATGAGTCGGCGTACGGGGGAGTGCTCCTTGCCGACAACCGGAATGTCTTACTACACGTGAACCACACGGGCTACCACGCCGCGCCGATCATGCTGCAATACTTCTACAACTACGTCGCGTCCACCGTGTATGTCAAAGACCCAGCGACTGGCGTGGAGCAAACACTGCACCACGGCATGACTGACCTCGGGGTCCACCCGCTCCCCCAGACCGCGGACGAGAAGGACTTCCGCCTGCGGTTCCAAAGCTTCGCCATCGCGTTTAACGTCATGATCTCCTTCGCGTTTGTGTCCTGCTTCTCACTCGTTTTCGTCGTGATGGAAAAGGAGTCCGAGATCAAGGCGCAGCAGTTTATCAACGGCGTGGACATCCCCACCTACTGGCTCGCGCAGTACGTCTACGACTTTTGCACGTTTTTGTTCCCCATCATGTCGCTGCTCATCGTCCTGCCCTTTCTGGAGGTCTGGTCCCTCGTCGGGGCGGACACGCTGCCCGTGTTCCTCATGCTCATGCTGCTGTTCGCGTTGGCGATCCCGAGCTTCTTCTACATCTGCGCGCACGGGTTATGCATTGCAAAAGTATCGTACTCGTATAAATGCATTACAAATTTCCTCAGCATGAGAAAGAAAATGCGGATTTGCCTTCAGAAAAAAGTTTGTGATGCAAGACTTGCATTTATTATACGAGTACGATACTTTTGCACAGGATACGGGTTCCGCACGGCCAATTCGGCCATGACCACGGCCTTGGTGATGAACCTGCTCGTCGCGACGGTTCTGTTCATCGTCACCTTCGTGTTCGAATTGATGCCGTTCGTGATCACGCGGAAGGTCGGCTACTACATGTCCGCGCTGTCCCGCATCTGGCCGGTTTTCACGTTCGGCGAGGGCGTGCGCCGGATGGCCATGGTCAGTTTCATTTGGACCCAAAACCCGCCGGACACGATGACGGACTCCTACTACAGCGACTGCGAGGAAAAATACGACAGATTCGAGATCGGCGCGCACTGGTGCTCGCAGAGCATGTGGGACAAGTTTGCCGCCGGGCAGGCGTTGACGATTTTAGGCCTGCAAGCGGTCTTCTACATCACGATCGCCATCATCATCGATTTGCTGCAAGAGGACGTGCGGTTTCGCCAGATTTTCTTCGAGCCCAAATTTGATCCGAGCGTGAACAAAACGGCAGAAATCCGAGCGCTGCGCGACCAGGACGTGGTAGACGAGGAGAACCGCGTGCACGGCATGCTGGCGCAGGGGCAGGGGGGACACATGATGACGCCGATGACCAGTACGGGAGGTGACCCTGAACAAGATCGAGATCATCCTGGGCATCGACAACAAGTCGATCACGACCAGACCGCGGACGATCCAACCACGCGGACCACATCGAGCCACAACCATCGACCTGGTCAAGTCGCGTCGCTGCCGCAGATAATTGACCCGGAACAAAAAGTGTCGATCTTCTTCAAGAACGTGAGCAAGCTGTTCAAAGTGAGCACGAAATCCACCGTGATGGGTGCCCCGGTGGTGGCAAGCGAGACCGGTAGCGGACAGGGGGTCACCCTGACCGGGGCGCCGGAGTTCAAAGACACCAGTTTCACCACCTTCGTGAAGGAAAGGTGCTGCTGTTGCTGCCCGTGTTTTCGGAAGAAGACCGAGGTCCGCGACGTGCACGCAGTGCGGGACTGCAGTTTCGCACTGCACAAGGGCGACGTTTTCGGGTTGCTTGGAGCCAACGGTGCGGGGAAAACCACGACGTTCCGGATGATGTGCGGCGTTACGGTGCCCGCGAAAGACCCCGACACGGACATCCGCATTCTCGGCAAGGACATTTTCACCCAGCGCGCAGAGTGCCGCCAGCTGATCGGGTACACGGCCCAAGCCAACCCGCTGTGGATGGGCATGACGGTCCGGGAGCACCTGGAGTTTTACGCGATGATCAAGGGCATTCCCCCGCACGAGCTGGCTCTCGTTGTGGAGAAGCAGATGCAGGACCTGGACCTGCTTTCCTACGTCACCAAGCGGGCAACCAACCTCTCCGGCGGGAACAAACGCAAACTCGTGATCGCCATGTCGCTCATCGGGGCGCCGCCCGTCTTGTTTTTGGACGAGCCGTCCGCTGGGATGGACCCGGCGGCGCGACGGAAGATGTGGAGCATACTCCACTACATCGCGACGAAGCGAAAGCGCAGCACGGTGATTCTCACCTCGCACAGTATGGACGAGGTGGAGGCGCTGTGTTCCAAGCTGTGCATCATGACCAACGGCGTGTTCCGCTGCATGGGGTCGCTCTCCCGCATAAAGGAACTGTACGGCAAGGGGTTCGACCTGTACGCCAAATTCGAGGAGCCGGAAGACGTGCGAATTAAGGCCGTCGTGCGCGAACATTTGATGACGACTGCCATGATAAACAGCACCGTTTCTACAGCAACTTTGGACGACCAGCAGCTCGCGACCAAGACCGTTTCGTTGGAAGAAGCGCAGCAAATCCTTCTGGCAGTAGAGGACGTCCTCAAGCTGACTACATCAACAGAGGCTGGTGATGCAATGAAACAAGAGCACACAACTTCAACTTCTTACGTCACAAGCGTAAAACAGCAGTTGCAGCAGATGCTAGTGGAAAAGAACTCGCCGTTTCCCCACGCGTCCCGCCTGTGGAGTAAGGAGGTGAAATCGAAGGACGACCTGAAGCGCATAAAGGAGGACCGGGTGCGGCTCCTCGCGCTTGGGGAATGGTTTTTGTTTGCGTGTTGGCGCATCCGCTTCGCCAGTTTCGTCCAAGAGCGTTTTGCCCACGCCCAGATATTGGAACAGAGGCAAAACGTGTTGCTGTTCCGGATCGACGCCACGGATTCCAGACGCGTGTTAGACAGTACCAAGAAAGAGGACGACATCGGCGATCACGGTAGTGGCGTGCCGCCGGTGGATGAAAATGCAACTACCACTGCCATTCCCCATGTGGCGGTAGACGACCACGAAGATGCCGCGTCGCGCATAACAAATCCCGATGAAGCCAGAGGTGCTAGTACGAGCGGAACGAGTTTCCTAGGTCCGCTGTTTGGACTTTTGGAGAAGCACAAATCCGAATTCCATATCATGGAATACGCAGTGACCCCAACGACACTCGAGCAAATCTTCAACCAGTTCACGTTGGCGCAAGTCGGAGAGGATGACACACTGTAGGCGGGCTTGACAAAGATCTACGTAGTACGCGCATCAAAGTCGAGCACGTTGTTTGCAATTATGCATGTGGTCACAGACGAAATGCTCCCGACAGCTGTACGACTCGACGCGTTAGTTCTTGCTCAAGAAACAGAAAGAAAGCAAAGGTAACTTCACGCGTCGCGGAATGTTGTAAGATTTCCCTTGGTCCTACTAGTTTGTTTCTGTTTCGCTCTTTTTGTTTTTTTGGATTTGTCGGTTACGATTTTGAAGCGATGGATCACGAATTCACGATCTGCGTCAGCACTATTTTCGATCGACATGCCGAACAGGTTGTGATCGACGAAAGAAAGTAAGAGGAAAGAACCACTGGAAGTTCAAATTGGCAAGAACGCGCAACACAGCGCGCGCTGCAACGGCACACTAGTAAGTGCTACTGGAGATGTTCAGCTTCAGCAATGATAGCATGACGCAAGCGCGCCTACTTGCAGTCTGATCAAAATGAAAGCTCAGTTGACCGACGAGGTTTTTGCTCGCATCCGAAAAATCAAAAAAGATCTCCGCCACAACCCCGATCCTCGCCTGCCGCTTGTATGCAAACAGCATCGGCGAACTGCAGGCGGCACACAAGAGTTGCGGGAGGAAACTGCGTTTTTCTTTCTATCTCTTGTTTCTTCCGATGCATGCCATTGGCGGGAACAATAACAAGAGATAGAAATGAAAATTATCGTCTAGCAACAAGTTCAAGTGTAGCTGTAGGTGTGAACAAGCGATCGCTCTCTAAACTTGCTCAAGAGGTAAGATCCTTGTGATGACGATCAATGTCTCGTTATTCCATTTTTCACTAAAGTTAGTTGTAATCTGGCTGTGCAAATGGCTCCCTTCTATGTATCTATGTATTTAATGTCAGCATAGCATCGTTTGTGCCTGCCGTAATATGAAGTTTCTTTGATATCAATCAACTAACTTACAGCGTAAAACTAATACCGAACGTAACGTCAGAGCAGCTTCGTTGCAGCTCTAACGGCAACTAGAAAAATCCAGAATTTCGAACCCTGAAAACTTTTCAACATCCAAATCTGTACACATTGACTGTTGTATGATTTTCACGTAGTACATTCTCGTTTTTACACACGACCCGTGTAAATTTCTACTAGCTAGACTTGATTTATTTACTTTCGCTTTCTTCCGAACCTCGACAACAGAAAACCGAGATCAAAAGATGGTGCGCGCATCACGGGTATTGCTGTTGGCGCTTGGCGTCAGCAGCGCAGTAGCAGTCAAAATGGATTTTGGCAAGTTCCTCCAAAATTGTGGGAATGCGGGCTGCCGGGCCATCGAGGAAATCCGCAACGTTCCCAATGTTGGAGATGCTGAGCACTGGGGACAAGCGTTTCAGCGAATCGCGGAGTCTCAGGAGGCCCAGGATGTTCGCGAGGAGGCCGAGCGTGTTCGCCAGGCCTGGGAAGAACAGCAGCGCCAGGCAAAGGAGACCGCGGAGCGTTTGTCTACGGAGGCCGCCGCTGTCTGGAACACTTGTGAAAACGACGCGAAGATGTTACTGGGCAATTTCCAGCAGGTTTTATCCGATGCTCATCAGTCCCCCGCGGTACAGAAAGTAGTTCTCGACCTGAAAGACCTGGCGCAGGAAGCGGAACTACTCATTGAGCGAAAAGGCAATGACATTGCGGAACGGGTGCGCGAGGTGGCGCAGCATGCTGGGGAGACAGAGGCGGGACGAAAAGTGCGGGAAGCCGCCAAGCACATCTCGGAACATGCTACAAAGGCTGCGCGTGAGCTGGAAAAGCAGATGCACCGCGCCGGCGAGCAAGCGCGTCGGCTGTCGGAGTCCTTGGCGAAGGAGGCAGACCGGCTGAAGCGGGACATCGAGGCCAAGGCAGCGGAAGCAGTACGCCACGCGGGCGCTGTTGCCGAACGGATCAAGGAGGAAGCGCCGGAGGTTGCGCGCGACCTGAAGGAGCAAGCCGAGAGCCAGGCTCGACAGATGGAAGGGGAGTTACGCAACATGCGGAAGGCGTTGGAGCATTTGGAGCACCAACTTCGGGATCGGCGAGCGGCGGAAAAGCTGCTTGAGTCGGCGAAGAAAACTGTCAAAGAAGCCCGGGAGAAGGCCAGTGCAGCGACAGAGAAGGAGCTGCAGAAACTGCTGACGGAAATCCACCGCATCACTACGGAAAGCGATTTGATTGACCAAATCAAGGCGATATTGCCGAACTCGAACCACCCGTAAGATATGTGAGGAGGAAAGGCTCGTCGTCGTGCGGCGGACTCATTGACGACTTGGTCGCAATAAGCAATGTACGAGGGCGAGACTAAGTCTAAGTATAAGAGCAGTCCTCCTATCCTCGTCGGAAGGTGGAACAACAAACAAAGGTCACACCTGATTGAAGGTTTTGTGGTCCTTCTATGAATAAGCATTCGAGTGAAGCAAAAATTTGCCCCCTTATTGACATCATAGATGATGTTGTTGCCCGCTAAGCAACAGTTTTGATTCCTCAGGGGACCGCCGCCCACAAGAAAATCGTCTTCGCGGGGTACTTCAATAAAAAGAAGTAAAGGTTTTTTTACAACAGCCACGAATTTGGTGTGCTACTTTGATGGAACAATTCTCACACCGTGGATGATTTTTGAGATGGCGTACAGAAGCAGTAGGTGTGGCTCCGTCGCAGGGGCATGTATACCAACAAAAACTAAATAAACCAAATGGGAACTTGTAGCCGCATGCGCACTAGCGCTGAGGAATATTCCGAAAAACAAAGCTCGGCTCCGTGCGAGCAGAATTATTTCCCTCACAACCTTTGACTCATCTCCTAAAAACCATAAAAAATTGTTTTCGTGTCACAACGTCATCGTCCCACTTCTCTCGGAAGCTGCACCGTTCAGGGTAGCGGTTGCACGAATCTATCATGCGCCTCTACTCATCTACCGTTTCTCTCCATCTTCGCCTACGCTCTGGAATAAACTGCATTTACGCAATGTCACCGCTCGGGATGTTAAGAAGTGCGGTTCCTGAAAAAATTGCGTTTCTATGTGTGCACTTAAATACCAATGCTGGATTCAAGGCAGCTGGTCCACTTTATTGCAAGTACTAGAGTCGGGACAAAGCACAAGCAGTCAAAGACCACGAAAAAATTCGACGGCTCCGTCGCGAATAAATCTGCGTAAATCAAATACAAGTTCACACAAAAACGAAGATGAGGATCTGTGGTCCGGTTTTCGTTCCCACAACATTGATCATGCCCAACCCCAAGTTCTTTTTTTGAAAGTCCGATGGATCAGTCAAAATTGGTTCAATTGGTGCATCTCGCCATACATTTATGAGATCAATCGCGTCATCAAGGAAACTTCTTTAATCTTCGTCCAAATAACGGAAGCCCTGACGACTCTAATTTAGCAACTTCTCAGTTCCACTTGTCGGGAAGGTCCACCAACTCGTTGTAAACTTGTAGCAACTACCGATATTAGCGTTAGCGGTACCGGTATCAATCCAACAGCAACTTCTAGTTCTACTTAGGTAACTCCACAGATCAGTCAGAATTACATTAACATCGCTTTACACAGCAAAACCTACCACGCCCAGAGGATACCACCAATCATCAAAATGGCGGGATCCATCCGTAAGAAGTTGACCAGCGTGGCGCTGGTGGCGGCGGGCCTCAGCAATTTCAACGTCGTCAGTGGACGCAAGTTCCTTTCTGCAGCAAATGCAAATAATGGAGCAGCAGCAGAAGTAGAGCACGGGCAGCTGCAACCGGGGGGAGGGGCAGAAGTCATCAGCGCGGCTGTCGCGACTTCTCAAGAACCCGAACCCGTCGTCGAGCGGCATGCTCGTTATGACGCTTCTGTCGCTTCTTCGAGTATGAGTCGTGAACAAGCAGAACAAGATGTTGAGATGATGCCCGAGGAGGACGCGGAGCACCAGGACGCTCCTGTTTCATCTTCCCCTGCTGTCATCGAGGAGGATCAGTGGAACCAGCAAGGGTTCTTCGCCGAGCCCGTCGATGCGCAGGCCGACGAGCAGCTCGCTCCTACTGCCGTCATGTCGACTGACGGTCAGGAAGCTCGTGCTCTTGATGACATCGAAGCAGAGCGTCAACATGCTCAGAGAGAAGCCGAAGAGATGATGGAAACAGCTCCTTTGCTACCCGCACAGGCAGTCTCTGAGGAAGAACCCGCTCAGGCTGCTGCGCCAGCATCTGATTCTTTTGTTGAAGACGCAGGACAGGAAGTAGATCCGTTGAAGCCCGAGTCGGCAGAACCGGAGTCCGCTGAGACGATGGAAGGCTCGGAGTCGCAGACTGTGAGTGAAGAACCCGTCGTCGAGCTGCATGCTCATGATGCTGCTCCTGTCGACGCTCCTCTTTCTCAGGTGGAGCCGCCGCTTACGAGTGAAGGCGAAGATGTTGAGATGACGTCCGAGCAGGGCAACGCGGAGCACAAGGACGTTCCTGTAGTTTCTTCCCCGGTCGTCGACGAAGAGCAGCAACGGGAGCCGCAATGGTTCGCCGGCGCGCCCATGGTCCATGCGCAGGCTGAAGAGGAAGCTCCTACGGGCGCCATGTCGACTGACGGTCAGGAAGGAGATGGCGAAGTCGATGCTCAACTTGTTGAACGAAAGGAGGAAGACGAAGAGATGGAAACAGCTGCTCCTTCGCTACCCGTACAGGGGGCAGTCTCTGAGGAAAATAAACCTGCTGAGGCTGCTACGGCATCATCTTCTGGTCCTGTTCAAGACGCAGGAGAGCAGGCTTCGTTGACCGAGCCGAAGCCGGCGGAGCAGAAACAATCCGCTGAGCCGATCATGGAAGGCTCTTCAGGGTCGCAGACTGGTGACGAAGCTGTTACGATCACGAGCCGTGGGGCCGTTTTGATGGAAAGCGGACGCGCCCAGGCCCTGCACATGTGTGAGCAGGCACAACGCGGCACCAAACGCGCTTTCCTTGCTGTACAGTCAGAATGCCGGTCGAAGGTTCGAGCGCTATCGGAACGGGCGCGGGGTCGCGCTGCCGAGGCACACGCAGCTGCGAGAGAGTTTCACGAAAACAAAACTCGCCCGTTCCTCGCGAGCGCCGCGCAGCTGAGCTCCAACGCGGGTACCAAAGCCTCTGAAGGGGCTGCGGCGCTTCGGGAAAGCGTCGCGCAGCTGAGCTCCAACGCGGGTACCAAAGCCTCTGAAGGGGCTGCGGCGCTTCGTGGACACGCCGTGCAGGCAAGGGGAGCCCTCAACCGAGCCTGCGACCGTCGTCGTCGGTCCCGCTCTCCTCGCGGAAGGGCTCGTGCTGCTGATGAAGGTGTTATGACGGCCGAGGCGGATGAGCGTGCGCAGGAAGAGGAACAACCTGCAGCTGAACCGTAACTAAATTTTGATACTCCAAGTAGCGCCAGGCTTACTTTCGCCTGCGGGTGGTCCACAAGTGTGCATTTGTAGCGCCGGGCGACTGGTGTTGTAGTTGCGCACTGAGTATGAGTTTGTAATCTGCAGCTACAAAACAAAGCTCAAGAAAAAAGACATAGACCGCAAGCTGAGCGGCCGCAAGGTACACAAACTCTACTTTCCGACGTGTGGGCTTGAGTGCGTATCTTCCGCGTTTTTGTAAGTCACATAATAAAACTGCGATGAGCAGACAATGAAGACGAAGATGTATGATAAATGAGGATGTATGATGAATGCTCTACGTCGCATGGTGGACATGACCTTCGATTTTCGAGTCATGCAGTAGAGGCAAATATTATGATGTATAATTCCCGATTTTTTTGTTGTAGTTGGTGTAGAATTTATTTAGCATCTTTTACCCTTCACCGTTATCTCCCATATCGGACCGAGTCTAGCGATCCCGATCCTTCGTGGCGATTGCGCTTCTCAGAAGTACTTTAGGACAATCATGCAGAATAAAAACTACTGCCTTATTCGTATTCCTATGCACGCGAGCACGGAGTAGGGCATCGCTGTTGGCTTACTCTCCGCCTAGTCATTCTTTTTCTGTCATATTGAACTAACACGGCCCAACCTTCCTATTCTAAAAACCTGGAAACCATCATCGGAAGACTGTTTTCCATTTTGTATGACAACTGTATGATGAAATGATAATGATGATGAAGGTAGCAATGACCCCGACCACATCAATTCTCCTAAGACGAAAAAACTCGACTCCTGCGCCGGATGAATGTTCTTCGTGCCACATCCCACTTCTGAAAGTGCGTTCTGTGTGAGAAATGATCAAGATCATGGTTCTTGCAAACGATGATCAAATTTACTCTGACACAAGTGACAAGTTCGACACAAGGAAGTGGCAAGTTCGACGAAGCGATCAGCATGTTTATTTAACATCGCGATATTTTTCGGTTCAACAGGCGCTGCTGAAATACCATTGATCGGTTGCAATATCTTCACGACAAACAAAGCAAGCGCTGGGGTTGAAGGCACAGAAAAGTATTTGCGAATTTTTAGCATCCGGTCGTGATCTGGTAACGTAACCAAAGCGCTTCATTTTTGCAGATGAACCAGTTGGATGTTAAAATACTGTAATTCAGTAGTTCTGGAGCAACTACACTAGTGAGCTACTTTTGTGCGTAAAGAGAAAGACTAGTAGCTTCTGGTTCACCGTGGGGTGAAGAAAGCGATACTCGAAGTCGTAGCAGCGACAAGGCGGAACTATGTCGATTCCACCGGAAGATGGTGGCTCGAAGCCAATCCTGATTTCGCTTCCCACGAACAATTGTGCGCGCATCCTGCTTTTCCTGCGGCTTTCCGGTCTCGAGGACCAGGTGGAAATAAAGACGCCAAAAGATTTCGGCGGCCTGAACTCTCCGGAGTACCGGAAGATCAATCCGCAGGGCAAGTTTCCAGCGCTGATCATTCCCCGGTCGGAAGCCAGCGTCGAAAGTTTTTGGTTCGAGGCCCAGGTGGTCCTGGACTTGCTGAAGAACAAGCTTCTGGCAGGAAACCCGGACAAGATAGCGTCTTGGAATGGCGGGGCTGCCGGCAGCGCGGAACAGCAAGCGAAGGTGCGCCTCCTGATACAAGTGCACGACTTGTACCTGGCTTCGCCAAACAGCACGCAGCCAGGGTAAGAATAGTGTTCCTACTTACTTGGATTGACCACATTTTTTATGGTTTATTTCGTAGGTGCGCTTCTTTAGGAACTGAAATTTTATTGAGAAGCGAGAAAGTAAATGTCCCAGGACTTTTCCGCGCTCCTCTTTCGAAGTCGAAAATGCACTGCAGGACTACTTCTACACTTGACTATATCGAAACAGAATTTTCCTACTGCTCAACAGGAGCATCGCGACTCAGGGGTGCCTCTACAAGGGCGACGTGCCACTGAAGGAGCGCAGCTCGCGAGCAGTGGAGCTGAATAAGCAGCTCAGCGTTTTGGAGTCCTTACTGGACGAGAGCGGCCCTTACTGCTGTGGGGCAGAAATCACGCTGGCGGATCTGGTGATCTACCCCACTTTCCTCTTCCTCGCTCCGCTCACCGAAGCAGCCCTCGGCTGGCCCGCCGGAAAAGTCTGGGATGGCAGGCCGAAGCTCCAAAAATGGTTTGGAAACTTTGAGAAAGCGAATCCCGAGGTCGAAGGCATTTGCAACGACGTGCGTGGCTTCGTGCAGAATTCCTTCCTTGGGAGTGGTCGGATCGCGAAAATCCGTGAAGCTGTCGAGTCAGAAGAAGGAAAGGCACTGCCTTGGATGTAGAAGTTGTAATTGAAAAAACTAAAACATTTCGTAATGTCCATCGGACGGATTTACACAACTGCAGCGCTTTCGATTCATCTAGCAGATTTCTGTGCTTTCGTGCGGCTGAAAAGCATCAATCTCCATTGACTGTTCCACATGGCAGGAAGGAAGAAGTTTCAATGCTGAAGATGCTCTTTTCTACATGCGTGCGCATCGTCCTCGTCATACTCGACGAACACGAATTTTCTTTAAATTCGTTGCAGCAACAGCGCCTCTGCATCAGCGTCGGCAGTGGTATGCGTCAGCGTAGCACGGCGCGTTTGAGAAGAGCTGTAGAAAAAAAACTCTGACGGAGTTTTTCTATCGCACTAGCGATCCTTCGGGCGCTGAATGTTTTTCGAAACAGTTAGTTCTTTCTTTCTCTGGCGAAGGAAGAGAAGATTTGTAGCATCTGCAGCGTGCGTGTCCAGCAACCCGTGTTAGCATTGAGCCAGATATTAAATCTTACGTGTTTATTCAGAAGATCGACTTGGTTGCTTTTCAGTTTCAACAAGGCATTCTGAAGAACTACAGGTGGCCGCATGAACTGACATTATAGACGCTGACTGTACCAGAACCAGGGGCGCATCTGCGATGATGATCATGCTCGTCTTTTTGTGTCTCGTCCTGGCGTGTTGCTTCCGCTCTGCGGACGCGGCGCTGCCACAGAGGATACCCAAATTTGAATCTCGACCGGATCCAGACTCCCCAGTTGCGGTTCCTCTCAAGGCATATACCCTGCGAGCCGACCAGGAGCAAGCCTTGATTGACCATTACAACGGCCTAGAATTGGAAGACGCGCCGGGCGGCTGTAGTGACGTGGACGTCCCCTCTCCTGCAATCACAGCAGCATCGTCGACCACATCTTGTTGCTCCAACTCGCGGCGCGACGCGCATCAAGATGCCAAGGGTGTAAGCGCCAGATCGACCTCTTTATTGAGAGCTAGGAATTCTCACCGAGATAGGCGCTTATCCACCGTGGCGTGCAATCGCAAGCATCTCGAGGCTGATGAAAAATTCGATAGCATTAGCAGTAGCAGAACGAGCGAGCAGGGAGATAAGGAGGAGGAGGAGCAGCTACACCATGACGAGCGGATGAGTCAAGGCACTCTTTGTCTTTCCGCCTCAGGAGTGTCTCAAGAAGGCGAGCACGATGAACAGTGTGGCTCCAGTGATGAGGATGGCGATAGCGTTTTTAGCGATAGCAGCTCAGAAAGCGACGAAGCGACTGACGAGGACGATGGAAATTCTACCACTGATGCAGAAACTTCCGAGGATGATGAGAATTCTACATGCAGTGATGTTGAACGACGAGGCTCCGAGGCCGACAGCACCACGTTGCTTTCCGCCCTTTGCCTGGCGAGTTTGCAAACGCCCTACAAGCACATGAAAACTTTGCCGATGATGCTGGGGAACTGGGAGAGCCTGGACGGGTGCCGGTCCGACGCGATGCTGGTTGCGAAGGTTCTGCGGGACCGGAAACACTTCCAGAAGACCAAAGTGTTAACCGGGTACGCCCAGTCAAAGGAGATGCGCGGGCGGGTGGCAAGTCGCCCGTTGTTGCGGAAAAAGGACGCGGTGAAACACTTGAAAGAGCTGTTTGCAGAGGGAAACCACTACGAACGGGCGCTCTTCGTTGTCTACTACAGTGGTCACGGGCACTGTGCGCACGGGGAAGACGACAAATACAAGGGGGCGTGCGTGTTCGCGGCGGACAGGAACCCGCTCGGTACCATGTACCTCGGATTCAAAGACTTTCTCAGCATCTGGCAGGACGCGCGAAAACATTTTCCGAATTCCGGACAGGGGCACAAACTGCTGCTCATCGTGGACGCTTGCTATAGCGGAAAGCTCGTGATGAAGCTGCGGCAGCACGTCGCCAGCGTGAGGCGCGAGAAGATGCTCAGCGAAGATGCTTTCTCGGAGTCTACCGAAGCTTGCGGGCAGGATAATACTGAGGCCGGAGCGAGTTGCTGTACTTCTACACAGGGACGAATCGTAAAGTGTGGAAAAACAGATCCACGAAAGGTGCAAACGCTGTTCAATACCGCGATGCGCCGTAGATTCGGAAAATACGTTCGCTGCTCGCCGCGTGTCCGAAGAGGCATACTGAAGAAATACGCGGTGATGCATTCGCCATCACGGTATAAAAATGCGCCTTTGTCTGTAGAAAAATCACCGACAGCAAAGGTCGATCACATGAAGGTAGCTCCAGTGCGTTCACGCGAGAAGAAGGAAGATAAGATGCTACAGGACGATGAGGACAGCTGTCTTGGTCAACCAGTGAAGATGTGCAAGACCAGGATGGTCCGCAAGGGTAGTCTGCGAAGCGATAGTGTCAGCTGCTGCAGCACCGAACTCAGCGCCGGTGATGGAAGCTCCTGTGCGGCTCCATCTGGAGTCTCACTTTCTGAGGTTGAGCATGGTTACTGGGATGAACCTACTTCTACGCCCTATCGCGAAAGTAGCAGCAGCTGCAGCGGCTCGCGGTCAGTAGGATCACTAGGACCGTCCTCGATGGAGCACTGTGAATTCTTCGATCCCGTGGGCATTGCAATTCAATCCGCGGGGGATTCAAGGCAGTCTGTCTGGGAGCGGGAAGCCACGCATGCCGGTAGTTTCTACTACAACGGGGAACTGACAAGCTGGTTTGTGGCACGCAACAAGGCCGCTCCCGCGGAAACGGCCTTCACACCCGTAGTTCCGGGTGTCCGGTGGAGTTCTGCGAAAAATTGCGCACAGTATCCGGACTATTTTGCAAGTTGGATGTCTCCTGCCACTGCCCTGCAAACAGGCCCTATCACAGATTTGGACGATTACGTGCCGGGAGGAATGGTCTTCATGCGGAGAAGAAGGCCAAAAAATTCGGCTGTCTGACTTTTTGGAAAAATATACATACGCGTGGATACTTACAGAGAATGACAAATCCTGCATGAATACACATCCTCATTTTTCTCTTTCTGTCTCTGTTCCCACTTGGGTGCAGCGCGACAATGCTGCACTCACGATTTTTAGCCGCTGAATGAAAGTGGATCGCACAGGTACTTATCAATCTATGTATGAGAACACAGACGCGAAATCGAGATCGAGCTATTCAACAATCCTGGGACTTTTTGACTTTGCACATTGACAAGATGAAAGAAATCCAAATTAGGCGCAAGAATTTTCGTACAACCACCGCTGGCGCTGTCGTCAAGGTGGGGTTGGATTATTGCCCTGGTGCTACTGTGCATATCAGACGATTTTCGAGCACAGGAATCTACTTTCTTAGTAAGGTCGTGATGTATCTTCGCTCGACTTCGATCACGATCTCGATGTAAAGAACAAATGGAGAAGCAACTAGAGGTATACAGTAACTACAGGACGACGATCATTAGAAGATCCCAACTTTTCTGTATGTGCTGCTAGATCCGTGACGATCATGCTCTTGTAGTTCTCAAAACTGCCCTTATTCATCATTATCACGCCATCTGAAAAGATCTATGTCCCATGAAGATCACCGATCATGTACGGAAGTTGCGCGACCGGGCGTACCATCTCAAACTAAAAAAACGTGCATGGCGATACATATATCGACCTCTTCCAGATAAAATTTGATCACTATGAGGTATCGATGTCGAGACCAAATTTACATGATCCATTGATTTCCAGCTTTCAGGACGAGCGGACCAGCTCGCTTGTGCCGTGGGGTGGGCACCTAAGTATCATACTTAAAGAAAGTAAGTAACGAATTGGTTTCCAAACGTGGAAGCCTTGTATTACCTTCGAGAAGCAACGTTTTTATCACCATGAGCAATCTCCAGAAGATGGGAGATCATCAGGCGGAAGCGGCCGCCGTTTCTCCGGAGCAAATTGAGATGTACAAGGAGGTGTTGCAGCTCGGCTCGGACAACAGTCCCAACCCCCAGTTCCAGAAAGCCGTCGCGGAAACCTATCTCGAGCTGGCCGAGGACCGTGCCTTTCTCGATTACGTGATCAACCAAGGCTGCCGGAATATGGATGTGTCAGGATCGAAATCGACAAAATCGAAAAACTTGTGATGCATAAAATGTAGAGCACTGAAGGCCTGTATTGGGGCGCATGCATATGAGGCCGATTGTAAGCCTGTTTAGGGGTATGCAATGCGCTGCCAGAGTAGCATGACAGGAGCAGTTTTCTTTCCCAAAACAGCATGACAGACTGGATTTTGGTGCTCCCGAAATTTGTCATGCGCCAATTGAAAACTGAGGCTCTAACTGACATCGATTTTGTGCATCACAAGTTTTTCGATTTTGTCAATTTCGATTCTGACACTCCCATACGGAAACTCTGCCGCCCGCTGCTGCGTATGGTCGAGCGCGACGCGGCGGATGTGTGGGCCTCGGTGCTGGACATATCAAGTGTAAAAATGTCTGGGTCTGGAAACTTGTAATGCTGTGCTGGGAATAGTGAATGCTCTGTAATGCACAGCCCAGCATGAGAAATATCTGCAGCGCTTTGTGTTGCGTTTTTCGCATGAGAAACTGCGTTTTTGCACGATAGGCAACAGGGTCTCTTCTTGGACACGCATCACAAACTTTTTAGCCATGCCAGACAAGCATGACAAATCTCGCAATCTTCCAGACCCAGACATTTTTACATTTGATAGGACAAGGTCGAGTCCAACAACAATGGCCACGGATTCGCGTCAGAAACGAAGAAGCAGAAGGAGCGATCGAGCGTGTACCAGCTGACCCGGGAGTCCTGCAACGCGGCACTGCAGGCCATGATCAATTTAGCCGCCACGCGCGCGATGGCAGTGTGTTTCTTGGAACTGAATGCCCAGGTGCGAATTGCGGACTTCATCACCAGGCAGGCAAAAACCTTGCAAACCGAGGCTGCTGCCGATAAGAACAACACGACTGAAGACGAAGCAGAAAAAAAAGAGTACTACGTTTGGTTCTGTGCGAAAATCAAAATAGAATGTGAGTGCTGTGTTGCTAGGACTTATTAATATAAGTAAAATTTGACAAATTACGAGCCCCTTGTCAGGAGACAGATGATGCTGGTTAGTCAAATTTCAAGCGAGATTCTGGCACTAGTATATCGACGAAATGAAAAGGGAGACCAAAACATACAAATGCACAACATATTTATACAGGAGCCAGCGCCTGCTTCAGGAGAGCATCCAGCTGTCCGTGATGTTGCTCGGAAACCTCACCGGACTGGTGTGCCAGGCCGCGCAAGACGCCGAGCAGGACAGTTCCAAAGATGCAAACGTGCAGAAACTGCTGAATTCCGTGGTCCCAACCCTCCTGAACTTCTACCTGCAGCCCCCAATTTGCGAGAAGGACCTCTTCGTGCCCGTGGCCACCACGCTGATTTCCGTCTGCGAACTGAAGGAAGGCCGAGCCCTGCTCGCCCAGCCCATGATTCTCGCCATCCTTGGACAGCAGCTGCTTGCGAGACAAAGGAGAAAAGACGTGCTGAAGCTGTACTGCAAGCTCGCCGCCGGCGCCGACGAGGAAGTGCACCAAATGTTATCCAGTGCGCAATTCCTCCCCCGCGTCTGCTGCTACTTCTTCGAGAAAGCGGACGTCGCCGCAGCGAAAAAACAGTCGGAGATGTTGACCGCAGCGTGCAGCGACAAGACGATGACAGCGGAACAAATTCTGGAAGAAGAGTTCCACCCGCTAGTCCTGCAGGAGGCCCAGGGCATCTCGCAGGATAGCGATATGAAGCAGTTTGGGATCGACCTGTTCTACCAGTTCACAAAAACCGAAAACGGAAGGGCCGCCCTGCGCGAGCAGCGGGTTCTGCCGGTGCTGCGCATGTGGCGAAAGAGTGAAAGGGACGCCGAGGTTCGGGGCAAGCTTCAAGTGGTTATTTCCACCGCGTCAGTTTTGCAAAAGGACGGGGACGCGGTATTGGAGACGCCGCTGCTGATCACCTGCGACAAAGACGGAAACATCCAGAGCTTACGCGCGGAAGAAGGCTCCACGCCGACGAACTGCAGCTCAGGATCTTCGCCCGCGGGCTCGTGTGGTGGAGATGCTGTTTCGTCACCTGCTGCAGAAAGAGATGCGTGGGAACAAGTGGAATCCTCGCCAGCGACATTGTTAGAAGAGGAGGAAGCTGAAGAAACCGTGGAAGAGATTGTGCCCTTGTTCTGACCACGACGAGAACGATTTTGCTTTTGCTGTTGGATATGGATCTCGCCGAGGAATAATTTCAAAACTTGGCACAAACAAGTAGGACCCTGCTTGCAATTGTGGTGTGCGAAAGCATCCAAAGAAGCGCATAACGAGTCTCGAAACGATCTTGACGCGATTTTACGGTGGCCTTGTTTCTCGATTGTGATCGAGGTTTACACCTACATTGTTTTGTTCTGCCTGAACGTGCGGGATCTTTCTCAACGTAACCACTCACTCTCACACAATAAAGCAGAAACTCAAAGCCAGCGGGCACTCCTGCTTACGATGCCTCGAATTTGAATCACCACGGCTAGACCTAAGATCTGAGAATGTAGTGGATCTTGTTCATGTTTGCATATGATTGATTTATGCAGCTGGAAATTTTCCTCAGAGTAAACGTAATGGAAAGTTCCTCGTCATCAGATGTCGAGAAGCGAAAGCGATCTGGATGTGGTGTGTAGCAAGCACCGAATCAATAAAGTTCCGTTCCGTTGATTGTAGTGATCTTCGCTCGGCGCCAATCTCGATACGATACCAACAGCATTGCGCCAACTTCATTCAATCTCTTTTTCAACACAGGATAGCTTGAGGCCGCAGCTACGTTCATCTAGTTTCACATTTAGTTCTATATGATATCGCAAGTGCTCCATTTTCAATTCAGGAGCGGCACAGCATCGCCTTAGCTCGCCTGGTTGCTATAGAGCTAGAGTCGATAACGACTTGAAAAGTACTTAGAAATTGCCTCAAGATGAGCGACCCAGCACCGACAGTCGTGCCCAAGCAGGGAACCATGACTACACCAATGAATCCTCCAGCAATTATTGGCGGAAGGAAAAGCGCGACAGGGTCGTCGAGCACAGCGGCGGCACCCACAGGCGGCGACGATGTTGACGGTATACGGATCAATGCGGTCGTGGGAGCGAACCCGACCACTTCCGCGCCAAAAGCTCCACCAATACCACAAGGACAGACGCCTGCATGGGCCGTCCTCCTTCCGCAAATGAAGCGCCCCGTTCCGCCCCCACAAACGGGAAAGGGCGCCAGCAGCAGCAGCAGCGCGTCCTTTCAGGCAGCACCGACGTCTACTGCAGGCACCGTCGTGCAGGGTAGTTTCCAGGAGACCGAGAAACCGATTGCTGTGTTTCAGGATGGTACCGACCACATTGTTCCGGCAAGCCCACTGAAGCCCGAGCAACCGCTGATGAGCGATGATGGCGCGCTGGCCTCGCACGTGAACATAAAACCGGCGCCACTGCCCCGCTCGTCAAATCCGAAAATGTCAGCCCTTGCCCCCTTCAAAAGACCGCCGGCGCCGAAATTGCCCGGAACGCAGGCACTGATGATGACCAGCTACCTCCACGCGTCCGCCGCGGTGCCCCAGACCAATAGCTCGTTAATCGCGGCGCATAGCTCTTTATCCAGCTCCGCCGCCGTGCTAAACGACCCCGACAACTTCCCGGAAGCCGACCGGGACGCGCAATTAGCGCAGGTGTTTCTGCAAGTCTATGGCGACGCCGCGAAAGGGAACGGCGCGGAGGGCATACAGAAGATTCTGAACCTCCCCCAGACCGCGGCGCTGCTCGGCCCGGCCTTTTTCGCTGCTGTGGCCGGGCCGCAGCTGAAGTTCCGGAACAACCGCTGGGAGCTGGTACGACTCCCGCCGACAAGAAGACCCAACTTCGGCGGCGAGGACGATGAGGAAGTCGAAAAGTACGAAAAACACACGACCAACCCTGACGGGGAAGACGGTTTCGATTTCTATCGAAACGCGAAAACCCGAGAGTGCGTCTGGGTCATACCCACCCCGGATCCGCTGGAAACAAGTAATAGGCCGCAAACTGGTGGTGGGAGTTCCTCCAGTAGCAGCAGCAGTTCTTTTCATCAGCCCAACAACGCGATGTTCTTTCCCGGCGCGCAGCTCCCAGGTGCTGGTGGAATGATGATGCCCCCACCCCCCGGCGGCGGATTCTATCAGCAGCAAACGCACAAGCAAGTTGTGATCGAAGACAAGCGGCCGAAGATCGGCAAGCCGGTGAACTGGCCGGCCATTGGCAGCACCGGGTGGTTTAAAGTGACCACGGATACCGGACTGGTGTTTTACCACGAGAAGAAGTCGAAGAAGTCGTTCTGGGAATGTCCCGAGTACATCAAGACCGCACTGGAGGAAATGGAGGAAGCCGAGGCAGAAATGGACGAATTCATCATCCCCGACGACGATGCGGAGATGAGCGACGAAGTCGTGCCGCAACGGTACAACGAGGGTGAAGACGATGATCAGCAGTACGGCGAAGATGAAGACCACGATGACATCGACTACGACGCTGGGCAATATGAAGAGGAGGTCGGCGGAGCACAGCAGGAGGGCGATGAGAACAACGAAGAAGAGGACTACAGTGACAGTGACGACGAGGAGGCGGCGAACCCTGGGCTGGACGCCTACATGAATTTCAAGCAGATGATCATAGACTTAGAACTGCTCGAGGACGAGTTCGCGACCGCGTTGCCGAAAATGCTCCACGAGGACCGGTTCAAGCAAATCGCGGCGAAGGAACGACCCGCGCTGTTCGACGTGATGAAGAAGAAAATCGTGCAGGAAAAGCACGAGAAGGAACTGAAGGAGAAGCAGGACAAGATCGACAACTTTAAAAGCCTGCTGGAGAAGAACACACGCGTTCAAGACACTCTACGGATGTTCAAGAACCAAACCAGGCCAAACTTCAATCTCCTTTGGCGCGGTGTGGAACGCCATGTGGAGCGTGACCCCGCCTGGAAAGCGCTGGAGCGAAAGGAGCGGGAAAGGCTCATCAAGGAAGCCCTAGAGGCCGTGCAGAAGAAAACCGTAGAAGGGACCGCGGAAGCGAAGAAGGAGTTCATGGAGCAAGTGGATCTCTTTCTGCAAGTACCGATTTTTCGCTATGTTTCCTTTTTGTGATTTGATACAATGGTCACGTCTTAAGCTTTCATCTTCCTGGTGAAATGTTTTTCTTCTGAAAAAAAAATCAGAATAACTGGAACTGCGCCAGCGTCGAATTCCACCTCAAGAATTAGAATTTGAATTGTTATAAATACCATAATTACGCGTTTTTTCCCACACACTCAGGGCTTCGCCGCGCAAGCGAAGCGGGCGGAGGTCGAGGAGCGGCGGCTGCAGGAGATTTCATCCAACAAGCGGCCCAACGAGGAAAACAACAAGTACGAGCAGTTGAAGGCGAAACTGGACAACTCCACCGCGGACGTGGTGTTCCCGCAGTACGGACAACTCGCCGCGAAACTCACCCACAAGGGGCTGACCGGCGCGGAGTGCGAACACATCTACGACGAGGTGGTGCGCAAACACTTCCAGGCGAACCGGTTTGTCACCGCGAAGCGGCGGCGGGAGGAGCAGATCGAACGGAACGCGTTGGAGTTGATGGACCTGAAGAAGAAGCGACTCCAGAACGAAATCTACACCGTGGTTTCCGCGGCGATCTCCGAAAAACTGAAGGAAAAAGCCTGGACCTACGAAACAGGTCGGGAAGTCATGGAAAACAGCATTGGAGAAAAGAGATTCATGGAGAAATTCGAAACGCAACTCAGGGTATTGAATTGATAAGTTGATGGAGTTGCATTTTTTTCTTTGCAATTGCACGAGCACGAGGCAAACCGTTTAATGTTTTTTGTTTCTGATAAAGAAAAAGATGTACATGCTACTCATTGAGTCGGATAATTACCTAGGATTCAGTTCGTCAAATTGGAATGCAGAAGATACCTATGTGCCTCAACAAACGTATCAAAACAGGAAGCCTTCATCAACGACGAGAGTCTCAATGTGGAACTCGACAACGTCTTCAACCGGTGGAAGGTTGAGTTCCTGGAGGAGCGGAAGAAGCTGCTTTTCAACCAGCTGCGGCTTTCTTTTGGCTCCGTGGATTCCGTCGACGAAGACTCTGTGCAACAGTTCATCCAAACGACCCCGGGTCTGCACGGCCTGGCGCAACTGTCTTTCCGCGACACAATAGTGCCGTGGTTGGAGGAGTGGCGCGGCACGGTGCAGGAGAACCTGAGCAGCAGCTTCCAGAAGTACCTGATGCAGTGCCAGTACTTTGGCGAGCTCGACGTTCACAAGTACCTCACCAACGCGGACGACTTCGCCCGGCTCGAGGCCCGGCTGGCGCAGAGCAGCCCCTTGTACGCGAAACTCGGTTTCGCGGCGGACGTCCGAACCAAACTGATCCGCGACCACATCGAAACGATTGTACGGAAAAAGCTCCAAGCCGATGAGGATGCCACCAAAGCGGACGCGTTTAGCTCCATGCCCTCGTTTTTAACGACCGAAGAAATTCAAGCGCGACAAAAAACCCACAAAACCGACAAAATTCGAGGCGGCAAGTGATTTTTCTGCTGGTCCTTGATGTGTAGTGAACAGGACAAGAGATGAATCGACGTCGTCAAAGCCACAACTAAGATTTTCATGAAGCGAGTGATAGATTTTTTCACATACTCAGCAAAAAGTAGGCACAACGATGCCAAACAAAGCGAATCAACTCGAAGTAGAAGCAAGTTGCTACTCTAGAAGTAGGTGCGACGAAGCGACTTGTTGAATGTTGTTCGGTCCCCCATCGAAGTAAGGGAGGGAAATCTTTGTTTTGTAGAGAGAGCATAGAGCAAATGCTCATTAGGAAGATCATGATCGTAACGGAGCGTGCAGGTCGTCCGGAAGAGAGAGCTCGTTTTCACCACGGACGAGGTGAATCTTGTTTGTCGCTAGCATTCATTCGGAATCGTGAACGTGCACGCCCAAATTACAAGCTGACAGTGATGGATGAAGAAACAGTGTATGTAGAAGAAGAACAACAACTAAAATATCACGAGGGGTGCGCACGTTTAAATCATGACTGCATCAGAATCACCAAGTTCTGCTCAGAGACGTCCTCGACGTCTCGTCATGGCGCGGCCACTCTCCAGGACGACCCTGTGGCGCATTTTCTTCGTGACATCACTAGTCTTCACCCCGACCGCCACTAGGCGGCGCATGTTGCGGCGGGAGAAGAGGCCCCAGGAAATCGAGCAAGAGCAAGACCAGGAGCACTTAGAGCATGAGCTACCTGCATCCCCGGTTGGTGCGGCTCCTGCGACGGAGCCGCCATCGAGTCCTTTCCACTCGGCGACCGCCGCGGTCATGTCGTTTCTTCAGACCACGCTGTCTTCAATTACCCACAGCGCAGTAGCAGACGACGAAAAGGAAGACGGACAGCACAGCGAAACGTCTGGACAGACCACCACGAAAGGGGATGTGGACGAGGACTCAGTGCAACCAGTACAAAACACAGGGGCTGTCAACCTGGACGAGGAAGAGGATGAGTCATTCAACAACGCTGCTGCTTCTACATCTTCGAAGACAGCACACGACGAGCCTGCGACGTCTTCAGGGCGAGAAGCTAATCCGCAGAAGGAATTGTCTCAAGCAAGCGAGGGGACCGAGTCTTCATCAAGCACAGATAAAGCTGCCTCCACGGACGACAACAAGGTGCAAGATTCACGAGTAATACCCAACGAAGAAAGTGGAAAGGTATCGAAGGAAAAAAACAATGGATTCTCGCCGACTGACGGCAAGAAAGCCAGTGCCAGCAGCAGCAGCGAAGATAGTTGGAACACTCACGAAACAGCAACAGTAGATTCTGATAAAAAGACGCACGGAGCTCCAACTCAGCAACAGCAGGGAAGCAAAGACGAGGTGTCATCATCTACGAGAAGAGAAGACACTCAACCACACGAAGAAAGGAACAGCCCAAGCAGCACTACCGCGACAGCCACTACCACCGAGGATCCGGCACCACATGAGTACACGCCGGAGGAGCTCGGGGAAGCCGATATGCACTACGAGGACCCGGAAACATTTTACTATTCGCGGTATGGCTATGGGAGTGTCAGGATTGAAATCGTCAGAGTTGAAATAGTTTGTCATGCATAAAATCTATACCACTTGGACCCCCAGTTTCCAATCGGCGCATGGCAAATTTTCCTGGCCTCTGAAGCAAGTCTGTCATGCTGTTTAGGGCAAGAGGGTTCCCCCCTGTGATGCTAGCCAGCAACCCAATTTATGACTCTTGCCAACCCTATAATCTGCTTCCTTTGCGTCCTGTGCAATAGAGTCAGTCTTTGTGTCGCATTTTATGCATGACAAATTATTTCAACTTTGCCGATTTCAAACCTGGCACATTCATAATGGCAACGGGTATACGGAGGACGACGACGACGGGTGGGTTGACGAGCTCGAGGCGCAGTCCGATATCGACAGCACGGGCTCCTTTTTGGAACGAAAGAAAGTCACCGAGGAACGCAAAGAACATCAAGGCACCGCGGCAAATGCTGCAGCCCCCGTTACAACGGTGGATGCGGCGAAAAAGCCGAAGAGCCTGAAGAAACTGAACCAGGAGGCTGCGGACCTTGCTCGGGAGGCCTCCAGCATCATCCGTCTCAGAGAGCAGATGCACATGGGGAACAACCTCGCCCTGTACGCGCGATCCGACCCGGCACTGTGGAAGCGCAGAGTCCCGGAGAGCGAGTCGATCCGTTCCCTGCTTTACGAGATGGGGTTCCCCATTCGGGACGTGTCCGCCCTCACGCAGAATTTGAGCTGCAACCGGGACCTGAGCAAGAAGCGGCAACGGCTGGTGTTTGCGACGAAGCTGATCGGCCGGGAAGCGGTTGACCAGGGCAAAACCACGGCGGCCGTGGCAACTTTGGAAAACAACGTGGAACGGTTGCAAACCGAAGTGCGCCCGAATTACAAGATTGCGGACGAAGAAGACAACGACCTGCGCCAGTGGCCGCAGAAGATGATGTTCGACAGCTTCACGGACTGGCTGAACAAAGCCGAGAAACCGGTGGTAGAGTTCAAAAAAGCGATGAAGGTGAACGCGGAGAAAATCCTCTCTTCCCGGCTGCAGGCGAAGTGCTACGGCTACACGCTGCTGAAGCACCCAAACAAGATGTATTGCCTCATGTTCACGCCCGACAACTTCGTCCACTTCACGCGGCGGAGCAACAAGTTCAAAACGGCGAATTTGCAACAGCTCGAGCACTACCGCCAGATGGCGTCCGCGCAGTACGACTGCGACAAAAAGGTGCTGGGGCTCGCGCACGACATTTTCCAGGACCAGGTCCGCACCTTGCAGAAGATCCGCAACAACATCGACAAATACCAGCGACTCCACGAAATCAGCGGACGGAAGTTCATCAACCTGATGAACGCCGTGCGCAGCAGGGACGATTCGTCCACCGGCGCGGTGAGTTTGCGGGACGGGGAGCAGGTGAACCTGGCGGAAAACGCGGCCCAACTGGTCGGTTTGTCCGAAAACATCCGCGACGACGGAGTTACCAACATGGTGGAGGACCACGTGCAGCACGAGGGCGCGCGGTTGCAGGCCATGTTCTCCGGTGACACGCACCGCGTGTACGCCTGCAACAAAATCGACTGCGAGCCGGTTGCCATCCCGGGTTCGAACGGCAAGAAGCTGAAGATGTCGGACGTGAAGCGGTACGCCGCGCTGTGGACCGGCATCAAAACGCCCGTGGTCGAGCTGGGGTTGACGAAGGTGGTCCGGGACCCGGCGACGGGGAAGTTGCAGTACACGCCCAGTTATGAACTGCAAAAGTATCGTACTCGTATAAATGCATTACAAATTTCCTCAACATGAAAAATTTGTAGTGCGGATTGACCTGCTTAAGAAAAGGATTTGCAATGCATGATTGCGATACTTTTGCATAGGATACCAGTCCGGACGACGTTGACGAGGAGGGGGTGCCGGTGGACCTCGACACGCCGAACGTCATGCTGATCGTGTACCCGCGGAAAACCATGAAGACCGGGCAGGCGTGGAATGTCTTGCAAAATTGGTGGAAAAAACGCTCCCCGCTGGAAACGGACTTCGAAGGCAGTCCCGGGGGCGAAGAGTCATTTGTGGAAGTCGTGGGGGAGCAGGAGAAAGGAGAGGAAAAGGAGCAGATGAATCCTGCTTCGTTTCCGTTAGCAATTACGTCACCCGACCCAACCACAGATGGTAGTGGCGACACCGATCCTGATGAAGGAGAAGCTGCGGAAGACGAAGAAGATGATGGCTCGGCTGGTCGGAAAGTCAGCACCGGTGGCTTCGCGTGGGATAATGTCGATCTGCGGGCAAGTCATGATCATGCAGACGACCAATCTTCTTCATCTTCAACCACACATCCGTCATCCATGCTGGAAACCGCGGTGAAGCAGTCAAGCAGCAATAGTGACCTTGAGAAACTGCTTCGCGAATTCGAATCAGAAATGCAGGCGGCTGCGAAGGAAACTGGAGCGAAGGAATCTTCTTCCAAGAAGCAGAAAGCTACAAGAGCGAAATCTGGTTCATCCCAATCGCCAAACGAGTCTGCAGATCCTACGAAGAACGCAGCGGGAGATGCAAACAGGGAGGCCGGCGGTGATGCTCGTCCGGCAGGCGGCATGAAAGCTGCAAGCAAATCTCCTGCTGATAAATCTTCTGAACCTGATGAAGGTTCCCCTGCGGAGATTGGCGGTGACGCAGACAACTCGGCTGAACAAGACCAAGACGGAGAGCTGCCAGATGGCTTTGGCACCGATGAAGACGACGCCGGCGAAGATGCAGTCGAGACCGACGCTATGGTGGACGAAGACTCCAGCATCGAGCCCACGGGCCAGCCGCAGACCAGTCAAAAGGACTGGACTGTCGAACTGCACACGACGTCAAGAACGCGCAAAAGCAAAGGAACGGGTGGAACATCATTTCTCGAGGAAAGCAAAAGCAAAACCGACCGTGCTCGTCCCTCCAGTGCAGACCACGTCGCAAAAGATGGACCTGAGTCGCGACCACAAGAGAGGAGAGCGGAGGAGCATAGAAGTCGCTCCTTGAACGAATCTCCACAAAGCCTACCTACTCCCGGACTTGCAGATCTGATCGACGACGACGTTTTTGACTACACCGCGATTTTTTCTCCCGAGGGTGTCCGCGTGTTGAAACCCGTGGTGACACATGTACGCAATAGCATGGAAGTCGAAAAAAAGAAAATGAAAGATGAGACTTCTGCGCCGATGTTGCAAGAAGAAGAAGTACTAGAGAGGAGCAGTTTAGCTTCGTCAACTTCTTTTCTGCAAGAAGGCAATAAGGACGCTGCGACGCCTCCGGCAAGTGATGAAGATGCATCTTCAACTTCTACTACTGCCACTAGCAAAGAATCGTCTGAGACGCAGCACCATGCAGAGGAAGCAGCAGCATCTCAACAGCGCATTGCTCCTCGCTGGTTCGCGCATGTCGACAACGAGTTGCGCACAGGAAGAGATCTCGTTGGCGGAGCACAAAGCGAACAAGCACCTGGTAGCAATACCAGGAAAAAAGTAGAGGAGAAATTTGACCAGCTTGGGGACGAGGCGGTGAAGTTGAAAGAGGAACACGAGAAAACCTTACGAGGTTCGACGCAGGACGGTGCTGTGGCAGCACTGCTGGATCTCGGGAGCGCGTTCGAGCAAGAGGAGGGGGCGGCAGGTGAACTACTGCAAGCCGACCAATATCAAAACCCAGCGGACAACAATGAACCTCATATTGATAAAGCACTTCCTGTGAATTCAAATTCACACTCCAAGCACAGCGGAAATAGCGACGATGGAGCGGCGACTGCTCTCACGCCCACAACTTCTAGCGACGATGTAGTTGACGGACAAAAAGAAGAGAACGACCACGCAAAAAAAACTGCTGATCCCGATGAGAGCTCAACTTTTTGAAATGCACCCATTTTGATTTGTAGAAATGCAATCTGTCTCAAAGAATCCATTGTTTCTTGTACGAACCTATTGTTTCAACGACCCAATGAACAAGTGATTTGAAGTACAAACGAAAATTGATGAGGACGCGAAAGAGTTTTATTTCATCACACCTCCTGAACTCTTAAACAAGATCCTGTTTCTTGATCTCTTGTCTCATTCAAGTTGTTTTCTGCCGGAGATGAATACCGATACAGATTTGTGTGTCTTCAGCACATCGGGATATTAAGACTTGCAATTTGTATCCTACCGTCACCCTCACGGGACGGCTTCCGTGTACTTGATGAGGTTTCCATGTTCTGTGACACAAGTAAAGAAACATGCAGCTATTCTTGTGGCAAGACCAACAGATGAAGAAGGACCTGGTGATCAATTTTATTCTCTTGTCGTTTGAGGATCAGCGTGTGGGAACAAGATCCAGATGAGATTGATGGTGGTCAGATGGCAATGCGCGAGCGTTTTTCCTCCTGTCACTCAAAGTTGAGAATAAGTTTCTGTTTCATGTTCAAGTAGAAGTAACAGTAGCATTATGCACGCACGCACGCACGCCCGCACGCACGCACGCACGCACGCACGCACGCACGCACGCACGCACGCACGCACGCACGCACGCACGCACGCACGCACACACGGTCGCCCTTCTGTTTCTTTTCTTAGCATGCAGCGTTTTGCTTTTGGCTTTCTATTTCCCTCTTCATTCTTTTCTTCAGGAGCAAGACCAAAAACGAGAAAGCACAGAACGGAGCCACGCATCCCGATTCTGGTTGGAAAACGCAACTCGAAAGCAAAAGCGAATTCTATGTACCTTGGTAAATTCTAATTCTCTATGAAAATTCTAATTCTCTATGACGAGTGGTTAAGGAAAGGCGTAGGAAAGGACTATTCGGAGATTTCGGCAAAAGCAAAATATTTGAAAAGTGAAGACGTTTTATATCCATATCATTTTTTTCCTTGCTCGGGTTGATTCCACTTGGCGACTGAATAGATACAAAAATTCGAAGTGCCTCCAAACTGCGAGTTTGAGCTGAAGGCATTCTCTTCATTTATCTCTCTTTCTCAACCATCTCTTGTACAATATGTTTTTAAATTTTATATAAAGGAAGGAGTACCTGACGGCAGGCCTCCGAGTTGCTTCATCTTACCATCTTGGGAGGCAGAAATAAGTTGATCGCAACCGCGAGGGTCCTTACCTCACTTTCCGGGCTTGATTTTTAGTAAACTGAAAAACGATCATGAACTATTTCTACCTATGTCACAATAGATTTATTTATCATCTCGAACACTCCACTTCATTTCATTTGTCACGCTAATGAAGAACGAGAAACGTAGTAATACTTCGGAATTCTAACATTTCTCAACGAAGATTTTAGATTCAATATACCGCTCGTCCCGGCGCAGTCTCAGATTTCATAAATTTTAAAAGGTATAGGTTTTAAAGCAAGGCCCAAAGCGCCAGATTGCGATGCAAGCCTCAATAAGAGCAAGCGTCGTTTGTCGTCAACGGCGGCACTACAAGATGGCGTGGCTGATTTTTTTCGGACTGCACGCTGGCATTTTGTGTGCACGAGCCGCAACATTTTCTTTTCCGGCGCCGCCCGACGAACTTGAAGCACTTTCTGTTGCTGGCGGTGGAACAAGCCGAGAGAATCAACAACTTCAGCGCGAGGCTGACCTGCGACATGATTTTTCGCCGGCCAAATCTAGTACTTTACGACCCGCACTTGAAACGTTCGTCTCCTTTCTGTCCTCTGCCTCCGCAGCAGTCGGCCGACGTTGGCTGTTCTACGACTCTCCGCCTTGCGGTCGTAGTACGAAGCCGGACCATGTTGTGCATGTTGATCAAAGGCAGCCGACTTTGTTCTCAGCGAGTGGTCAGGACGACGAAGATGCTGCGCCTGCGGAGAGCGTTCTCACAAAATCCGATCTGCCTGAGGACGATAAACTTCTGGCGAACGCGCAGATGAATAAGAAGCCAGGTAGTCATGATGCGATTTCGTGGATCAAGCAGCCACGCCTGAGCAGCGGACTGCACAACTTTTTCGAAAGTGAGGCTGGCAGCCCGACCGCGAGTTCCTCTTTTGGTGCCTCCGCGTCGACCTCTTCTTCGGGAGGACTCCGGCAAGAACACGACTTCCAGAACCCACGAAGCGGCATGATGTATTTCGGAGATAGTGACGGAAGTCCCTTTCCATCCCCCTCGGGGGACTCAGACATGATGTACTACCACGAGGAGCACGCGGACACAGCATCAGCTACCACCACTGGTACACGGGAACAACAAAACGGCACTGCGCCCTGGGCGTTGGAGCCGTCCGCAAACTACACGATGTTGCGGCAGCCACAATTACACCTCCGATTGCCGACCGCTTGCAAAGGTGCGCCTGGAAAGAAGACTTGTGCAGATGAAGGCGTGCGGAGTTGTAGTAAGCAGATGAAAACCACCAGAGATCATGAGGTCATGAAACAAGACATTGAAATTGAAATGGATGGTGGGGTGAGGATCAGCGGAAAACGCAAAGCCAGTAGTCTTTGCTGCAGCTCCAGAAATGAAACCGGCAGCTCGTCAGCAGTGGCAGACGGTTGTTCTTGGGCGTCCCCCGCACTCCTGCCGCAAAAGTTCGAAAAGCTGGACATCCAAAGGGAGGAGAATCATCTAGAAGTCCTTTCTTCGACCGAAAGCTCTGCCAAAAAGAATCCTTCAAAAAAGAAAACAAAAAACACGAAAGATGTCCTGCCTCCTCGAGTCAAGCATGAAAAGAACGCGACGGTCTTTGATGAAACCAGTTCTGCTTCCTCAAGGCCCCCTGCTGGTTTTCTCGCTGCGCGCATCGGGTTTACGAAGGAGGTTCTGTCGGCCGTCTTACAGAAGGAGACGGAACAAAGGCACAGAAAATCCAGGCGCGCCGGGGGCGGTGGACCTCTGGCGGCATCCGTGTGGAGCAGGGAAATTGGCGGGCCCCCACCTTGTCGCTGCCACAGACCCGCCGATTTTGCAGAAGACAAGCATTTTCGGCCCATGAGTTCGCCAAGAACTACACCGACTGCGGCGAGCCCCGACGAGGACGACATCTTCGATGATGATGATGATCTGCCTGTTGAATCCTTTTGGACCAGGGCAATGGGCGATTGCCCACCCCCCGAGCGCTGCTTCAGCCCCGCGGATTTCCTAGAAGTGGAAGAGTCTCGGTTGAGTTCGCCAGCCCCAGCAGCGAGTCCAGTGTCGGCGCGGTCGCCGGTCGCACGCAATTCTACTGGGATGGACGGTAGCCAGCTTCACTTTGAGCTTGTGGAGGAAGAGATTTATCCGACCCCGAGCTGCTCGAGGGGGAATTATTCAGATGTTGCAGCTGAACCGAAGCACGGTCCTTGTTATTCGACGGAGCTGCAACCGCAGATGAATTTTGTTGAAGATGGCCTTAGATGTACGTCTCCCACGAATACCAAACTTAGATTTCTTTCTCCCACGAAAGGAAAAGGTAAGAATGGCACGAATGACGCGAAACATGTTGGTCCGTTGTGGCCGTCGAGGGAAGAAGATCTATTTTCCCAGTTTCTTTGCAGTGGCTCCCACATCAGTGCGTCTGGCCCTGTTGGTGTCGCCGACGATGTGAAGAAAAGTACGTCTTGGCCTGCCGGAAAACGCGAAAATCCAGACGTGGTCCTTGAATCAAGTTATGACTTCGTTGCCGTCGGGAACGAAAGCTGTCGCTCCGGATGCAGAAGCTTCGGAGCTTCTTCCATGAAACCAAAACAAAAACCGCAGCCGGACCCAACACGGGCGGAATCTGCAATCGACTACGGTTGCTCGACGGACGAAAGCGAGGTCTTGGAGGAAGCCGAGGACGCAGACGACTCGGAGGATGCAGCTGAGGGCAAGAAGAGAAAGGGGAAACAGCTCCCTCCTCTGAAAGCCAGAACACAGAAGACCAGACGAGGTCACCTCGAGGAGGAACTCGCTGGTCAAACTCAAGAAGAACATGCCGACGACTCTTTTCGTTCGCATTCGCTTCCAAGTAGCAAACAGCCGAATAAACTCGTTCTGCCGATAGAATCGCGTCGGCATGCTGTTGGGAACAAAAGCAGCAGAGCTACTCATGTCGGTACTCCCCAGACCCAGAATCGTCCAGATCACGAACGGTGCGCAGCAGCTGCAATCGAGCGCGGCTCCACGACGACATCAGCTACGCCTATAGAAGTAGACTCACGCAAGAACGCTGCTTTCTCGGCCAGCACGACTCACGATTTCAGTCACCACGGTCAAGCGGTTTATACGCGTAGTTCATCTTCTTCCCGACCCCGGGCACAGCTCAGTCTGCTCGGAGATTTGAAGAATCCGCCCTTTGCTGAGCTGACAGGCAGACACGACCCGCTGGGATGCATGCTGCCTCCGTCACTGCACGAGTTCGAACAGCTTCGGAACTACCAGGAGCGCCTCAGAGCAGGCGAGGGCGAAGGGAGTCAGGAACGAGCCCCTCCGACAACGGTGGACGACGTTTTGTATGCCCCAGGGGGGCGGGGCTGGTTTCTCTCGTCGGACACGAGCGCTGCGACTGCTCGCAGTCGCACTATGAAGCGGCAAAAGACTTCCACTATCGAGGATTCTTCTCGACGAGCTCGTCCAGCTCCAGCGAGCGTACAGCAGGGGGAAGAAAGGAAGTAGGCCTGGATATTGAAGGTGGTGGTGGTCGCTCAGAGGAAGAAGTTTAGGAAGGCACAAGCTCAAGCAGGCCTAGGTAGTATGTATAGAATATCAATGTGTTGTGTTCCTGTACAACTAGATAGTATGTATCGATCTCTATATTTGTCAAGATCCGCAGCTGACCGTGGCAAGAACTAGGACAACGAGAAAGTACTTTATACCTTATTTAAGCATTCTGTTTCAATGGCGTCATCATGGTCATATTATCGTGAACGGTTATCGTCATGCTCCTCGCGAAGTAGATCAGCCCGCATTTAGAACTACTTTGATAGATAAAATAGTAATAGGAGCACAAAAATACTATTTCTAGCTATAGCGATTCAAGTCTCGTCTTCTTTCTTTTGTGAACGCGTGATTTTGTGCTGACTTCTGCTCTTCACCAAAACAAAATATAGACTAGAGAACAACGGCCGCTGTCGGCGTACAGTCAGACGGTTTTGCGGTCATAGTTTCTCTTTCATATATGTAAAGCCTTCAACTTGCCGAAGACTGAGGTGCACCAACACGAAATTTCGTAAATCACGAAGAAGCTCTCGGTTCTAAAGAAAAAGAACGCTGTAGGTATACATTGCAGGTGTGTGAAGATTTTAGCGCTAAAGAAGAACGCTAGATTTTAGCGCTAAAGAAGAACGCTCTGGAGGCTATCAAAAGAAAAAATGAATGAAGTATTCCATGCATTTTTGTCTAACAATTTCTCTGAAAAACAAAAAATAAAAAGATGGGATGCAATACTTTTCTGCAAGAATATCATCGTTTCGGACTGTTATCATCGTCCTGTGCAGATACTACAACCCCAGAACCAAAACGCACTTATGAATGAACTGACATCCGCGCGGCGACACATCGACGCTGCTTCTTTTTCCGAAGAACTTTTCGACGCATTTGTTGTGTTTACAAACCACTGCCTTTTTTCATGAGTGTAAGTTCCGCTTCGTTGCCAACGCTGGGCGATTTCAACCGTCCTCTCGGTGGATGGACGAGTACAAATTCTTGACAGTAAGACCTCCCGTTTTTCACTGAAACAAAAGTCGTGTTGGCACTCATTTATGCATTCGCTTTGTCTTCGATTTTTCAGAATCGTCTTCGATTTTCAAACTGTTCGCGGATCTCACATAACAGTGGCTTCTTCTGGTTTTGCAGTGTTATTCGCCGGTTGTCAAACACGTAAACCACGGGGACGAACGAAGACAATCAGCAATTCGATATTTAACTATCTTCACAGTCATCACGTTCACGACACCAGCACATGCAGGTCCTCGACCCCGATGGTGACAGCGACCCCGGGGACGATTCGGACTTCAGACCCACCGGTTTTCCGGCCGCCCGCGAGCGCAGCAGCGGAGCAGACGGCGACGAGAATTTGTATCATGTGAAACTAAAAATTTTTCACACAGGAGGTGGTGGTACAACAACATTTTCCGGTTCCTATGCGGTGCAACCGAAACCACCCGGACAGCAGCTCGTCCAGCAGGACCAAGAGCCGTTGTTCCAGCGCATCGAGATTTTGGAGGTCGCCGTGAGTAGCTACGAGGACCTGGCGGAGTTTGTGCGGACGCACCTGCAGGACTGGCACTGCGAGTGGCAGATGCTGTCGGGCGCCAACGTTCCCTTCACCGAGGACCTGCTGTACTCCCGGCTCTCCAGCCGCCGGCTTCCCGTCTTGGTGTTCGTGCGCAAGGTATCCTGTGCAAAAGTATCGTACTCGTACTGATTGCAAATATGCATGACAAATCTCCTTCCTAGTAAGGTAAAACAGCATTACAAATTCCACTTTTCTTCTTGCCAAAATTTGTGATGCAAGTTATACTAGTACGATACTTTTGCAATGCATACGAGGCCGCGAGCCTGTACCAGCGGGAATTGCAGGAGGTGGTGGCGCGCGCGGAAACCAAGCTGCTGGAAAAGCTGCAGGACGACCAGGAGGGGCGGGAATTTTACCTGAAAACCATGGAGGCGCGGGTGCAGGAGGCCGAGAGGGGCGTGGCGGACCTGAGCGACCTGTTCACGCTCCCGCCGCGGTCGCCGTCCGCGAAAAGTGTGTGGTTCGTGGTGTCCGCGGAGCTATTGATTCTGCTGGTGTTTGCGGTCTGGGTGGTGAAACTGTCCGTCGCGCGCCTGGACAAGGACGAGATGAGCGTGCGCCACTGGGTATCAAATGCAAAAATGTCTGGGTCTGGAAGGATGCGAACTTGTGATGCGTGTTGCGGATCATACAGAAATCTGTGTTGCATGACTTGCAAAAGCAGGTCCCCATTTCTAGCCATGCCGAGGGGGCATTTTTCATGCAGAATAGGCATCACCAAGGGGCTGCAGAACCTGTGATGCTAGGCCCTGCATTCGAGACTTGGCGGAGCTTGGAAAAACTGCATGACAAATCTCAGAATCTTCCAGACCCAGACATTTTTGCATTTGATACTGGGGGCAGCGGCTGAACCGGTCGCTGAACGAGCTGGAGGTACTACGGATTGCAAATATGTCTGGGTCTGGAAGAATACAAACCTGTGATGCGCATTTCAGAACACAGAAAAATCTCTCATGCATAGGTAGCAAAAGCTGCCCAAATTCTGTCACCAAAATGGGGGATTTGTCATGCGGATTCGGCATTGCGGAAGCTTCTCGAAGCCTGTGATGCTAGAGCTTCCATGCCAGACTTTCTGTGTCATGCAAAAACAGCATGACTCTTCCAGACCCAGACATTTTTGCAATCCATAGGTGCAGAGTGCGAACAACTTCACCCTGGCTTTTGGCTTGCTCGAAACGGACAACCGAACCCTCTCGCGCACGGTGAACACGCTGAACGTGACGACGACTGCGTTGAACATCTCGGAGACGCAGGTCGCGCAGTTGGGGACCGCGCTGAACACGAGCCACGCGAACGCAACCCGTCTTGCCGTCGCGGAAAGGTTTTGGAAGCAGGATAGTCTGGCAGCGCGAACGGAATTGAATGCAACAAGTGCCGAGGTGTCCTCGCTGCAGATCCGGCTTCGGGCGTCGGAGGCCGAGATTCTGCGGCTGCAAAGCGCCCTGCAAACCGCGCAGGCGGGGGAAAGCGCGCTGGGAAGCAGGCTGAATGTCTCCTACAGTGAGCTGAACAACACCCGAGCGGCCCGGTCCGATTTGCAGCGTGCGCTCGCGGACTCGCAGGGCTTGATCGCGCAGCTGCGGGGGAAGGAGGGCCAGGAGCAAGCTAAAGTTGCAAATTTGACACAGGAACTGCAGCGACGGGAGACGGCGGATGAAGGCATCCGCAGCAAGCTGGCAGCGACGGAGAAGGCGTTGCAGGACACAACAGGCAAGTTGGGCAATATGACACATCTGAAGGACGTCCTGCAGTACCAGCTGAGTTTGCTGACAAGAGACCTCCGAGACACGAAGTCGCAGCTAGGGAAGGAGGTCGCAAGAGACCGTACCTTGGAAGGGCAGGTCGCGACGCTACAGAGCGAACTCGATGCAAGTCGGAGCCAAAATGCCGATTTGATTGCGGAAGTTGCGGCCGAAAACCGAACGCTGCAAGGCGAAGAAGCTGTGTTGCGGCAAAGAAATACGTCGATCGCAACGACGGAGAAAGAACTGCAATCCGCACAGCAAGCGAACGCCGGCCTTAGGCGCAGTCTGAATGTCAAAAAGCAACAGCTCGCAAACGCAACCGAAAAAGTCGCGCAGGAAAGGGCTGACGCGGAAGAGTCCGAGAACTCACTGGAATTGTCTCGAACCAAGCTGGGTCTGGCGGAGAACGAAATTAGCACTTTGCAAGCCACTCTGCTATCGTCGCAGAAGAACGCGACTCGTTTGCAAACCGCAGTCAACGCCGAGGAGGTCCAGGACCGCAAACACCTGAATGCGTTGAGCACTACGCAAGCCTCACTTGCCTCCTCTCGCGCAGAAATTTCCAGCCTAAACGGCGCATTGGCCTCCGCAAACGGGAACGCGACCGCGGTAGCGAGGGAAGAGCAGGCTGATCAGACGACAATCAGCGATCTCCGGGCCAGACTCTCCGCCGACGTCGGGAATGCGGCCGCATTGCGGACGCAGTTACACGACAGTCGAACCCGGTCGCAACAGCAGATCCAAGCCTTGCAGGCCAAACTTGCGCAGTGTGAGAAGCAGAAATCCTCGACAATTATTCCGCCGACGCCTTTGACTAGTACGTCTTCAACGACGACGAGCACAACAACACTACCATTCCCGCTCCTCGGTCTTCCGCCAAAAGAAAAGATTCCCTCAGCCGAACAAATAAATGGGCTCTCGAAAAGTAGAACAGCATCCGTAGTCGAGGAAATGCTCGAGCTCTTTCGCTCGCCCACTGTCTTCTTGGGTCCCGAAGCTAGATGGAGCAGCATATTGCGCGGCCAAAGTGGAGGAGATGCCTATGACGACCGCGTTAGCAAAACAAGAGGCAGCTGGATTGGCGGAGATGAACCAGATGCCCATGGCCAACAGCTTGCTCCGTTGAAGTAGTTAGTGCTCCTGCTGATGAAGAACTTCCACTAACAACTCTGACATGACACAGTTCCATGTTCCAGCCAAACCACTTACTCTCACTGAAAGTGAAAGTTACAATAATCTTTTGATGTTGTAATTGTTGCGCATGCTGCTCACTAGGACTCCTAGACATTCGTGCCTCTTTTATGCTCTTGCGCGGCAAACGCGCCAACTTAGACCGTCCAATCCGCAACTACTTGCGTCAGTGGGATCACGATGCAACGAGCATGATGCTTTGATGTACCGGCACCTGTCGAGTGTTATGTTCTACTTGCAGTTACGATCGTCTTGGTCTTTGGTATGCGATGATTCCTGCTGCCGCTCCTGTTTTTCGATCTTCATCTTTCGACCGATAGGCCCACAAATATTCATAAATCAAAATCGCATGATTCAGGTATAGTTTTTTGGCATGAAATCCGGTAGAAACGCGTAGTACGTACCTTTCCACCTTCTTCCTCAAAAATTAGCACCGCCGCAAGATGGTCGTGAGTAAGGGTGGCGTGGCAAAGTGGCGGAAAATGCAGGCATTGTTGGAGAACATTCAGCTCCCTGCACATTGGTCGGTGAAACAGTCTTGTTTGTTTTTGCTATCTCCCGAGCAACAAGCACAGCAGGATGAGCACCAAGACAAACCCCGTGTGGTTGAATCGGCCTGTACTTCATCCGTGCCGCTGACACACTTTCCAAAAAGGATTAGGAACTACACGGAGGACGACAAGAGGCTCTTCAAGGGAGAAAGGCTTTATTCCAGCAACTCGACGACTGATGGGGATGCAGCAGATTTTTTCTGCAACGAGGATCAAGCAGCTTTTTCCTCGGGTGGTCGTGGTTGCGGGCGGCCGCACATCGAGCAGGCGTCCTCGAGACTACAACACCCTGAAAGATGTTGCCCCACCTCAAGCGAAAAAGCAACGTCATCTCCATCGAGACCAAAAATTCCGATCGCCGCTTTTGACTTCGACAATACGTTGCTGCGCACGCAAAGCCGCCAGGAGGCGCTTTGTGAGAAGCTGCTTGTACAGCAGAAGTGCTGGCTCGACGACAACGTTGCGAGACTATTCCACGCGCTCCACAGCAGAGGTCACCGGCTTGTCGTCTTCAGCAACCAAAACGTTCTGCGCAGAGTAAACGACCTGGACCAGTGCCGGGACGCTGTGGAAAATTGCATTCGCAGGTTCACAACCTTCCAAAACGCTCTGCAGAAAGTGATTTTTTCGAGGGACGAAGCCGGCACCTCAAGAACAGGCGCAACTGAAAATAACGCTCCGTCGTCAACAACTTTTCCAGTCGATTTTTTCTTGGCGCTAGGGCGTGGAGACACAGGAGATTGGTACCGCAAACCAAATCCGGGGATGTGGCACCTTTTTCGGGACGAGCTGCGGGCGCAAAGTTGTGCAAACGACCCAAAGGATATCGACTACTCGGCAAGTTTCTACGTGGGCAATTCGGCTGGACGTCCGCTTGACGCGACCGATTTCGACCGCCGATTTGCTGACAATATCGGCGTCAAGTTCTTTACGGAAGAAATCTTCCAACGGTTCGCAACAGGCGAAGATGGTCTTTTAAGTGTGAACGAGGAAACGCATAATTTCCCAGTGCCATCCTACGAAAATCAAGTTCTTTTGTCTTCAAGGATCTAGCGTTATCAGGAGAAATTTCCCTGTCTGCTCCTGAAGGACCACGAGTACTCTATATCTAGTGATGTTGTAGTTGATGAGTCTTTGTCTATCGTTCATCTTCATGTTCTCCTGCCACCTAAAGAATAAAAATTCAAAAGGAAAGTCATAATCGCATGTCTCTGTCTGTGAGTCGTGTTTGTGATGTGCTCAATTTCACTCCAAGTTGTAGTCGATATGGGACAGGCCTGCGGCTGATTGTAACCACAATCACTTCTATTTCCGCGTTGTTCTACGTCATTAGCAGGAGCTCTCTTACTTTGCAGCAACACCACGCAAAAACAGTGGCTCATTGAATATTCGGTACACTGAGTTATGGTGTTACGCTCGGTCCATTTTCTTTTGACTTGTGAAGAGGGAAAACCCGAAATTATCTCTATCCTGGCCAAAGCAGGCTACATGAAGCGGCACGTACTAATGTCCTTCGCCAACTGTATTTAAGGTTGACCGAAAAAAGAAAAAGAAAGAACAGCTATTTGTCGTCGTGAACAAAATCTTCACAAACTTGCTTTCGATTTGTCGGTTTTGAGCGAGCAGAGCGACATGCGTCGACATTTGTGTCTGTGGACAATCCAGCGATTCAACATTGGCGCAGTCAATAGAGTTGCATTCACGTTGCTACTTGCCTTTCATTTGATCCTCATTGCGCAGTGTCGTGGACGGAGTGTCTTACCCCAGTAAATAAAGTCTTACCCTTTACTGTTGTGTAGAACGAGCTACGTTCGCGATTTCTTTCAACATCTCCTGCTTCAATTTTCGAACGGTCTGTCTGTCAACTATCCTCCTTTTATAAAATCGCCGACAAGGTATTCCTCGCTTTGACTATAAGCCTTGTTGCTGTTTTTACTTTGTTTGCGCGAGTAGTTATTCGTGCCTACAAACTCCCATAAGTATCGTTTACTGCTATTTCCCCACTTTGTTTCTAATCCGAAGAGGTAGACACTACGGGTACAACCTACGCAGTTCGAAGAGCGGTAAGCCCAAATACACCTCCGTTACTGTGTGAGGATCGATGACTAAAAGCATTTTCATCTGAACAAACCGATCGCACACCAACATTCATTTCAAAAATCGTGTTGAGAAGTAGCAGGTTCTACTTTTAATAAGGTAGTAGTAGAGCTGCTGGCCGATCGGTTATTTTTCATCTGTCTTCTAGAAACAAGACGAGGATGTTGACCCGGCTGCAATTGGTGGTCGGGTCCGCGGTGGTACCGCTCGCGGGGGCTACCACGGGGGCCACGACGCCCACGGTGCTGGCGAAGGCGGAGGTGATGCCTTCGTCCGTGACGGAAAAGTCCATGGAGTGGACGAAGGACTCGGACCAACCGACGCCCCAGTTCATGGCCATGCAGTTCGACGTGATGAACGTGAAGAATCCCAGCGGGGACATTTACGTGAACATGCCCGGCTGCCCCGCGGGCAAGGAAATGGTGAAGAAGATCAGCATCTCGTACGAGGGCACGTTTCAACAGAGCGACAAAGACAGCAACGGCAAGATCAACGTGGTGGACAAGTGCTACCAAAACTTCTACCTGGACACCGCCACGAAGCCGGCTGCCGGCTACACGGAGTCCCAGTGGGGCGGTTTCATGATGGACGAGAACGGCAACCAGCTCAAGGGGTGCAAGGGCATGATGATGATCGACGAACTGCCGTCCATGTGCTGTACGCCGCCCACGCTGGCGGCCGGCCAGACCTGTACCCCCGGCGAGGAAACGTACGCCGTCGAGCTATTGTGAGGAAGAATCCCCCCTCCCCATATCGAAAAGGAAATTTGTGATGCTGATTGGTGGCCACAAATCCGCTCTGTCTTGCATATGGGGCAATTGGGAGCCGTTTGGCGCATTCCACAGCCAATCTGTGATGCGCTTTTGCATACTGCAAAGGTGTCTGCCATGCCTAACTGCTAGCCTGCTGCATACCCAATCAGCCTGAGGAAGTGCCTCCAAGCGCTTTCTGCAATACAGTGGTGAATTGTGTACAGAAATCCAGCAACAGAAATTTCCTTTCTTCTATGGGGTAGGGGCTTTTTTCACTTTGATACGAGCACATGACCTTCATGGGCGACACCTCGGTCGCCAAGTGCGTGACGGGAAACTACAAGAAGTACCAAATGTAAAAATGTCTGGGTCTGGAAGAATGCAACTTGTAATGCGTATTTCAGCACACAGAAAGGTCTCTCATGCATACGTAGCAAAAGCTCCCACTTTTTGCCAGCAAAATAGGGGACTTGTCATGCGGATTCGGCATTGCGGAAGGTTCTCGAAACCTGTGATGCTAGAGCTTCCATGCCAGACCTTCTGTGTCATGCAAAAACAGCATGACTCTTCCAGACCCAGACATTTTTACATTTGATAAGAAGGGGGGCATGACCATCGGCGACGCCGCCACGGAACTGGACTTCACCTCGGGCAACCCGACGAAATTCAAGGACTTGTGGGGCACCTTCGGGAAGGAAACCAGCGGCATCGCGCAGATGTTGGGCGTGGGCATGGAGATCGAGGACTGCGGCTGCGTCAAGCCGCCCACCGCGCAAGCATCGCAGGGCAGTGGGAGCACCACCGTCACCTGCAAGAGCGGAAGCAGCAGCGGCGGCCAGGGGCAAGGAAATACCCAGCAAAGTGGTACACAAACGTCCAGCGGAATGCCCTCGACGGGGACGCGTGCATTAGAAGCTGCTGCTCCGAAAATCATGGCCAAACACGATCTCCAAAAAGCGACGGGTGCGGCTGCTGGAGCGGCCGCGGCCCCGGCACCACGACACGTGCGCCGCGCAAAGGTCGCAAACATGTGGCAGCAACGTAAATTGGCCCGCGAGCGAATGGTGCGGAACCGCAAGGAACGGATCGAGGCCCAACACGCGCACAAGTACTATCGGGAGAACCCGATCATGTGGCTTGCGGACGGTCTGCAGCTGCGCCGCCAACTGCGCGAAGCGAGGAAGTTCCCGAACGTTTTTCGTGCCCGCGCACTGACGGCCAGTGCTTCAGGGGGGCAGGCGGTGGACGTGGGCGAGACCATCATCACCCGCGAGGAGTGCAAAAAGCAGAAAAAGGAGGCCATGCGGGGCGGTGGCGGTCACGGCGGACCGCCCGGTGGCATGCCCGGTGGGCCCGGACAAATGGGTCAGTCGCATCGCCGGCGTCTCGCAGAGCGGCACTTGACGCGCAAGGAGAAGGAGGCCCTCACGGCCGCGGCGCACCGCCTCGTCCGGCGAAACCTGCAACGCCAGGGTCGCAAGGGCAAGAGCTTCGTCTACAAGAAGCAGTCTGTGCGCGCTGGCATTGTGCCGGCGTCGACCGGTGTCCACCGTCGTCAACTGACGTCCTCGTCGTTCGGAGGTACCATGCAGCCAGGCATGGATCCCAATGCGATGGGAGGCATGGATCCTAACGCGATGGGAGGCATGGATCCTAACGCGATGGGAGGCATGGATCCCAACGCGATGGGAGGCATGGATCCCAACGCGATGGGTGGCATGGATCCCAACGCGATGGGAGGCATGGACCCCAATGCAATGGGAGGACAAGGGCCGAACATGGGCCCCAACGGGATGGGTGGAGGCATGGATCCTAACGCGATGGGAGGCATGGATCCCAACGCGATGGGAGGCCCACCTGGTGGGGGCCCCCCGGACATGGCAAACATGGACTTTGACGAAATGGACCCCGACGAAATGATGGCGTTGGAGTTTGACTCCACAAACGTGCAGAGCGCTGGCTTCAAGCCTCCGCCGGGAATGGAGAACGAAGTGGATGGGGCTAGCTTTAACATGAACGCGGAAGGCGAGATGGTGATGACCACGGCGTCCGGCGTATCAAAATGAAAAATCCCCCCTCCCCATATCAAAACGAAGTTTGTGATGCTGGATTTGCGTACACAAATGAGATTTGTTTTGCTGGAGAGGAATGCAGGCCTATATCAAGCCTGAGTAGAGAGGTTTTGGCCTAGTCGCTTAGCATGAGAAACGTCTGCGCTGTAGGCCTACTAGCGACACAAACTGCCTGCATCATGCGGCGGAGCCTGTGGAATTGCCTTCTTGCATGACAGAGATGATTTGTGGTCGCAAATCAGCATTGCAAATTTTCTGCGGCGTACCTTTTCGATATGGGGAGGGGGGATTTTTCACTCTGATACGGCGAAGAGGTGATCATGGATGCGCCCATGGGCCCCTCCGAGGCGGCTATCGCCGTGGCGCCCTTCGTATGCATTGCAAAAGTTGTAACTCGTACGACTACTAGTACTAATTGCATTCATGCCTGACAGATCTGGTTGCCCCTTACCCAATTCAGCATTACTGTTCCTTCGAAATAAAAACTTGTAAATCTAAATGCGATTTATAAATTATAAATCGCATTTAGATTTACAAGTTTTTATTTCGAAGGAACAGTAAAATACTAGTTGTGCGATACAAGTTTTGCAATGCATAGTTCGCGAGCGACGGGGTGGCCAACTTCTTCAAGTTTTTCAACCCGACCACCTCCGGTCGGTACCCGTTCGGGGAGAACGAGGATCCGACCACCAAGTACACGATTTTCGTGGACGCGGAATCCCGGTCCGTCAACGACACCACTACCGGCTTCGTCCCGAAATGCAAGTATGGCAGCGAGTTCTGGGTGAAACTGGGCCCCGGGGACCGGACGGGCGGCGCCGGATGGACCGCGGGAACCAGGACCCCGCATTTGGGGGGCAATGATTTTGTCAAGCTTGTGCGTGTGGACGGGGTGGACTGGAGCTGCATTTCCAGCTACACCGACGCAGTTCCAGAAGAAGTTCTCGCGCTCGACATCGTCATGGCCCTGGAGGCGACCTCGGGAGCGGTGCCTCCGGTGACCACCGGGAGCAAGGTGCAGGTGGAAGTGATCAACAAGTCTGGCTCCACGGAAATTCACGAGATCATCATCGGCGGCAACCAGGGCGTGAAAAACTACAACCAGTTGCGCATGGTCATCGAGAAGAAGCAAGAGATGGTGTGGGACGGCCTGATGGGTGACATGATGGAGGACATGTTTATGTCTGACCTCGGCATCGATCCGATGGCCATGGGAGCAGACCCAATGATGGCAGCAGACCCGGGCATGTATGCACTGCAAAAGTATCGTACTAGTACAAATCGCAATACAAATTGGTTCAGCATTACAAATTAAATTTGTAATGCGGATTTACCTAACCAACTAGATTTGTAATGCATAACTGCGATTACTACGAGTACGATACTTTTGCACAGGATAGCATGGCATCGGCGGCGATGTATGGGGCCGCCGGTGCTGATCCTTCGGCCAAGTCCACCCCCAAGAAGGCGAAGTCCTGCTTTCGCGGCTCGGTGATGGCGCAGGTGGTGAAGCCCAAGTGCTTCCCGACCTGCGCGCGCACCGGCGTGACGCGCGCAGCCAACACCGAGGAGGCCACCGCAATCGCGGCCCTGAAGGGGGACGAGATTCCGTTTGTGTTGCTGAAGAAGCGATACAATCTGAAGACGCTGAAGGAGGACAGCTCCTTCGCGGCCTCGCTGCCGGCGGCGTTCAAGGAGGGAACGTGCACGGCGCGCGTGGGCGGGCTCGTGGACGCCAACGGCGGAGCCATCTTCCGCGAGAAGGTCTCCGTGCCCTTCAAACCGCCGTCCTGCGACTTTCTCACGATGAACGGCACGCGCACGGACCTGGAAAACATGCTGACTCAGATGCAGTCGAAGGTGATGGAGGTGAACGTGAACGCCCTGGCGCGGTACGAGGGCACGGACACCTGGTCCAACTGCCAGGCGCTGCTGAACATGGGGCTGAAGGACGCGGTCGAGACCATCACCGTGAAGTCCGTGGGGTGCCCGCACACACCGCCGTCCTGCGCAGGCGAGACCGAGTTTGAGATTTGCACGCGGGAGGCGAACAAGAATCATCCGTGGTGCAAGGACCCCTGTTGCAACATTGACATGCAGAAGACCAAGTGCTGCGCGGAACGGGACGTGCAGAAGAATGTGAAGTCGTCCGAGGTGAACCCCATGGCCTTCGGGTTCTCCTGCCCCTTCGGCGGAGCCGACTCCATTGACGGCATCGAGATTGCCAAAGCCACGCAGCGCGTGCTGAACAATCCGCAGACCTGTTTTGGCAAGGAATCCGCGTCCAAAAAAGCCAAGCTGAAGGCATTGAAGGACGCCGCTGAGTGCTGTTATGCGGCGGTGTTCGGAAACGATCCCTCCGAGGAAATGTTCGCAGCTGGTACTTACCTACTGCTAGCTTACATCAAATTCAAAACCAATGCAAATGATTAAAGAAACGCTGTTCATCTGCTTTCCTGTAGGTACAGCATACTACATGCATCTTCTGGATCTACTACTTCTTGTCAGACGCGGAGAGCACTCCAAGTCTCGAAGCAGCATGGAGAAACCGAATGAATATTGGTTGAAGAAAGTCCACAAACCGCATGCTGCACATAACCAATACCAAAGGCAAAGGAGATGGAGATGTACTAAAATAAAGAGGGAGAAACAGTTATCGGTCCGAATTTCAAATTCAATACAGGTGGCGGTAGTGGCGACAGCAAGAAGAAGAACAGCATTCAAACCTGCAGCTCCGACCTTGATTGCTACAGTGGTACGTGCATCAAGGTGAAGTCCTCGTCATCCGGAGGCGGCGGCGGTGGTGCGGCCGCGGGCGGCGGGTCGTCCGGCGGCGGCTCGGGTGGCAGCAGTGGCACCGACGCGACGCCGCCGAAGGCGTTCAAGCACTGCTTTACGACGGGCTCCGCGACGAACAAGGGGCCTTTCACCACGAAGGGCAAGTCCTACACCTGCGCGCTGGCTCCCATGGCCACCGCCGGCACGGCCCTCGCCCAATGCCTGAAGGACCGCTTCGACAAGGACGCGGCCGGCCTCGCGACCGCGTGGGCGATCGTGTCCGACTTGTACGGACAGGGCGGGGACGCCAACGCGGACGTGTCCACCATTGGCGCGCAGCTCGTCAGTGCGGACACGTTCCAAAGCTGCGAGGGCGAGACGGGGTGGATGTACAACGCCGACGACTTCTTTGTGCGCGAGGTGCTGAAGACCTGCTCGGACGAGTCGGACTGCGCTGCCAAGTGCGTGTCTGAGACCAAGTGCAACTGGGCACCCATGGGAACGAAACTTACCAACGACGAGTGCCTGAACATGTTTCCGTCGCAGACATCCTTCTGCAAGGACCCCGATGGAGCACGATGGGGTAAGGATCTAGTACCTCACTATTTTGAGTATTTCTACGCGATGAAATTAGGGGGCTCGCACAAAGTGGAAGATATGTTGAATTACAGTTACTCGCTGTTCTTGTTCAGCTGCAGGGGTTTCTACTCTGTGCGTGATCGCGGTCCTACCATTATACGGCGTCGTGGCTCTGTAACGACCAACTTCTTGTTGGACTTCGTACACGTAACTCTAACTATGTTATAAGTATAACCACGTCCACGTATAATATGCAACATGACAAAAATGCATCACGACACCGAGCCCGACCGAAAGTATGTCCTCTATCACTATCTCTGCTCGCTGCAAATACAATTTTTGGTTTTTGCCGTTGTCTCAAACACTCCCAAAAATTTCGTATTCCAGGCCAGCCTTCGAAAACGAGGCCGGCGGTGTGCCAAAGTTCGACGGTGAAAATTTTGCAGTCCTGGGATATGTGGTCGTACCAGCAAGACAAGCTGCAGGGAGTTCTCCGTGCGATGAACGTGTCGGATGCCGAGTGTGCGACGATTGGCGACGGTATGACAGTGCACACGCCCCCCTCCGCTTCGTTTCCAATTGTCATGCAAAATCTACTAAGTCACCAAAGTCACGCTGCTGCCTTGTAGCGCTGTTTGCATGGCAAACTATGGAAGCCCAAGCAGGAACAGTACTACAGTCGGCGCAGGAACTTGTCATGCTCAGCCTCCACGTGTGCTGGTGTTTGTGTTGCTTTTCATGCCATACAAATGAGGGCGAGGGGGAGATGTGCACTCTCATAGACGGCACGATGCGGCGGACGTTCACGGGCATGTTCGATATGGACATGACGTCGTTCGACATGGACGACCCGATGGCCATGACGGCGATGCCCGAGATGAAGCCGGTTTACACCTGCGGCCACCCCAACGCGACCACCAAGATCGCCTGTCTGGAGGAGTGCATCGGGGACTCCGGGTTCAAGCCGTCCGCCAGCTACCGCTGCGAGATGCCCACCAACGCGGACGGGGGGTGTCCGACGAACTGGCGCGTGGAGCAGCCGCCGATGGAGTTCGACGCCATGGGGATGCCCATCTTCTCGCAACCGGTGTGCGTCCCGGACGACTACGGCCTGACGTTCTCGGGGGCCAACAGCCCCTACACCGGGTTCACCGACGGCGTCCACACCTCTGGCCTGTACTACCCCTGGGATTTCACCTGGTTCACCGACGCCCAGCAGGGCAGCACCGACCGCTGCGCGGTGCTGGCGGCGATCACCGGCCTGGAAACCACGGTGAAGCGGCTGATGGACGATGGGTCCGGCTTCTGCTTCGACGACATGTGCTACTTCAACGCCACGGCCGCGGGCATTGCGGACTACGGGGCCTGCATGAACAAGGTTCCCTCGGACCAACAGAGCTCCTACAGCACCATGTTTCAGCAGGACTGGATGAACGGCAATGGCGCCTGCGTGATCATGCGCAACGACGGCTGGGGGGACATGATGACGAGCATGACGGACTTTTCGACCTCCCCGCGGAAGCCCGCGGACCTGAACGCCTTCAAGACCACCTGCGAGGGCTGGGGCGGCAGCTTCTACGAGGGCAAGCGGTTTGAGGAGCCGGCGGTGGACACGCAAGAGCTCTGCTCAGGGCACACGGAGTGCGAGATCGACATGGGTTACAAGGTGCCCGGCCTCACAGCCGAGGAGTGCGCCAAAAACAAGCGCTGCCTCGACAGCAGCGGCTGGCCGGCGTCGTGCCCCGGCTGCGAGATGGACTGGAGCCAATACGACGCGAAGGATGGCGCCTGCGTAAAGAAGGTGAAGCAGAAGTCGGATTGCTCGACCACGACCTTCTACCCATCCAAGAGCACCGCGCTTACCGGAGCGGGGATCTGCTACGACGCCACCAAGATGCGTGGGGATTGCGGGTCCGGCTGGGAGTATCTGGAATGCCGCGAGAGCATTCCGGTCGCCAGCTGCAAGGCCGCCACCGTCGCGAGCGGCACGTGGGCGGAGCCCATGACGCTGCTGAGTCAACAGCTGAAGTGCATTCCGACGGTCTGGGGCAAGTGCAAAGACAAAGCGGACTGCGAGGTCGGTGGCATGTGCACCATCAACACGGCGGCGCTGAGCAACGACGCCATGATGGATCCGATGATGATGATGGGCATGGACCCGATGGCCGGGATGATGGGCGTTCCGCAGGAGGTGTGGGGTCCCACCGAGGCGTCGAAGCTGACCAAGAAGTCGACGGGCAGTGGTGGATCAGGTGACCAGAACCAGCAGCAGGGCATGGAGGACGATCCGTTCATGATGATGGAGTGCATTCCCCACAGCAAGTACATGACGCCCTACTTCTTCGACAATGTCTGCAAGACCGACATGTCGGACGTGGACGTGCAGGACCCGATGAACCCGTGCGGGATCGACACTTCCTTCACGCGCGTCGAGACCGACAAGTGCTCGGGTATGGTGTACGACCCCTTCGTGTTCTTCGACGGGAACGCCTGCTACCACTACCTGACGGCGCAGGCCGACTGCACCGGCGCGGGGAAGTCTTGGGTGGCCACCGGGGCGACGCAGGCCACGTGCGAGGGGAAGAAGATCTGCATGGGGGGCGACGGCTTCGACACCGGCGGCCGCGGGAAGAAGGAGTGCGAGAAGTGCAACGGCCTGTTCGACGTGGCCAACAAGTGGATGGCGAACAAGTTCGAGACCAGCAAGCTGACCAACGTGACGGGGGAGTGGACCGCGCGCGCGGTGGAGCCGGTGAACAAGCTGATCACGACGATGGAGAAGGAGCCCTTCATGCGGAAGCTGGGCGAGGTGAAGCGGCAACTGGAGGCGGAGGAGGAAACCCAGGCCATGATGTGCTACTTCGGCCGGACGGCGACGCAGCTCGCGACCATCGCCTCCATTTGCGAGCAGAACCGCGCGCCGGAGTACGTGCCGGCGTCCACCGACAGCAAAAATGTGTACACCACCGCGGCGGAGAACAAGGTGGGCGGCGAAGCCGAGGCGCAGGTGGCGATCTCGGCGAAGACCTTCAATGCCACCACCGGCGGGAAGCGGAAGCAGGTCGGCATGGAGACCACCACGATCAAGGCCGAGGTGCCCGAGATCTCCTCGGCGGCGGCTTCCTCCTCGCGCCGCTCCTTGGAGGAGCTCAAGGAGGAGCTGCGCCTGCTCAGCGCGGCCGGCGCCACCACCAACGACCCGGGGTGCTATTCCGTGGTGAAGAACGCGAACAACAAACTCGTCGGCCAGCTGACGGGCGACTGCTTCGGGATGAAGACGGCCGACGGCGGCACGTCGATGGACGGTGCCGCGGAGCTGTGTTTGAACGAAAAAGAGGAAATCAAGAAGTCCCCCTCGTACACCGTCCCGGCGTTCGCGCTGCGTAGCGGGTCGGCGGGCGCCTACACGTACTCAGCGACCGCCAAGACTGTGAAGAAGAACGGCCCGAAGCTGTGCGCCTCCGTCACGGAAGCGAACACCTACTTCTGTCCCGCGGCCACCGTCGCCAACGCCGCCACCCAGACGGCTGACCAGGGCACCGCCGCCTGTCCCGCCCTGAAAACGCAGCTCGACCAGGTTTCCCAGGCGGCCACGCTCGTGGGCGGCACCGCCATCCCGGGCACGTCGGCCCCGGCCACCACCTCGACCGCCGCGAACACGACCTCGGCCGCGGCGCTCCCGGCGGGCAGCGTGGTCGCGTCGACTGCGGAGTTCGGCATCAACCTGCCCAGTTCTGTGCAGGAGTCGCAGCTGATGGGCCTGCTCGGCGACAGTATGAAGACCGGGATCGCGATTGCGGCGGGCACCGCCGTGGAGGCGAGCCAGGTGACCATTTCCGAGCTGAAATTCAAGGTCCGGCGCAACCTGCTGGAGGCGGCGCCCATGCCGCAGGCGCTGGCGCATCCGGAAGACCGGGACGAGCGCCGCCGGCTGTCCACCTCCGCCCCGAAGACCCTCGCGGTGGATTACAGCATCTTTATTCCCGCGACGACGGCCGGCGCCTCCGCGCTCGTCGCAAACCTGGCCGCCAAGATGTCCACCGGTACGACGGCCTCCGCTTCGTTCGCCACCGCGCTCATGTCGGGCTTCACCTCGGGACTGAACGCGGCCGGGCTCAGCTCGCAGTTCACCGTCACGAGTGTGGCCGTCACGGGCACCGCGACCACCACCCAAACCGTGGCTTCCAGTTCCGCCTACACCACCATGCTACCGTCGTTAGCGCTGGCCTTCACCTCGCTGTTGGCCACTTTCATCTTCCTGTGAGGAGAATTTTAGCACTTCGTATCTATTTTTACTTGTGAGTCAACAAGTTGTGATAGCAGGAGAGTAGTACTATGTTTGTGTCACCGCTATAAATCTTACAGCAACATTGTTCGAATCCGTGTATGATTATATGTACTTACTTTCGACTTCATTCTGGAGAAACTACTAGGTGCCGATATTTCAAAGCGAGCTGTTGCGATTTACTTCATGCGGTCCACGACAAGAATTCAGCACTCTCGTCTTTGGAGCTTTTATCGCGCGATGCCGCTGCGGAGCCCGTGCGTTCATTCTCTGTGTGCGTGTGCGACAATATAGTGGCCAAAGGTCAAAAGAACTTTTTCAAGATTACACAGATGGAACCTATTTGGCACACCCTTCCCACATCTAGCGAGTTTTAATTTCTCCATACTATCTGTATGTTTCAAAAAACAAAAAGGAATACATAGCGGTACACGTTTCGGCTCCTCGCCTGAGATGTAAATATGGCATATTTTTTTCTGCACCTAGTATCAGCTCTTCGTCTTCGTTGTTATTCTGTCTTGCGTTCTTTCTTCAGAATGCTTCTTTGGAGAATAACAAGGCTCCAATAATTCATCGTGTCACCCAATCCCAATTGAAGTAGGAGAATTGTTTCAAAATCTCATTCTCATGTGCACGATTGCATAAACTATCAAAGCAGAGCTAGGTACTTAGACTAATGGCTCCCTACTATGAATTTTTGAAGATGTAAAGCGAAGGACAAGGATAAAGCCGTGAAGCTAAGTGGGTTGCACTTGTTGGCAACTTCGGCGCATAATTTCCAAACAAACACACAAGTGGTTCAAACTATTCGAACAGAAGAATGTCACCGATTAATTGCCCAGATGAGAGATTCTTGTGCAACATGATCGAACCACATTCGACCTTGCTGTTAGCTGCAAGATGGGCGGGCTATTGTGAGCTCGCTCTTCAATTTGTTGTCTGCCTCAGACCAGGGTGGTGCGTGTGGCGGTACATTGAGCCGTCAATAGAAGGAAGTGTTTCCCTTCTGGTGAAATGTCGAGACCGTTGTCGTAAGTGTGGGTGCGCCTGAAGGAGAGATTTTCGTCGCCAGAAGAAGAACGCAATAATGTCGTGAGGTAATAGTCGTCGTTCTGGTACTGGTAGACGAGGGAACGAGGTTTCGTGTGAGTCAGTCCTGCAATTCTTGAGTGATATCTTGCGCGTCGTCAGCATTTCGATTTCGCTTTTCGTGTAACTACTTCACATTCTAGATTTTCATTTTCTCATATAATTTGTAGCTTCGTCATTTTCGTTTTCTTGGAAAAACCCCCTGCAATTCATTGTTCTTACAGCTCTTTTCCTATTCCAAGGGCAGCAGCAGCACCCATTCTACGCAAAAGAAAATACCTCCCAGCAATATGTCATCGTCCGACGCAACTACTTCTCTACTTCCGTCATCCGCACCATCTAGTGCCACGGAGATGAGCACGAGAGGTGGTCTGTTCCAACTTGCCCGGGTCGCGCCCAAGCCGGAGCTGGGCCCTCTTTCGGAGTACGACTTACTACTGGATGAGGAGGAATTACAAGAGAAGTGTTTCGTTACCAAAGAGCAGAAAGAACAACGCAGCGACGTGTTCGAGTTTCGCATGCAAAAGGCGGAAGAAATTTTCTCGGGGATAATGCAGCAATTGAAGCAAAGGGATGGTACTGGTGAGAGTGGTCACTCGTCCTCCGTCGAAAAGGCACGTGCCGAGGCAACTGCGGGCTCCTGCACCACCACGAGAAAGAACTATACCAAATCCGTTCACAATGGTCTCATTACGGCGTGCTACCAAGCACTGTACCAGGTCGATTACAGCTTCGGTCAGCGGGCACAGTTTCAGGCTCAGCACCTAGCGGAGGTGCACGCCGCACAACAAGCCTGCCTCGGCGCGCTCGCTAGACTGCATCACGAAGCTGCGACACAAAATTTTGACGAGGAAATGGCGGACATCAACACAGGAAACTTTATTCATAGTGCAGCTTGCGACAAATTCGAGGAAATGGCGGAAGCCCAAGCGAAGCGAGCGCTGCAGCTCCGTGCAGGAATCGGTATCTTTACATACTCGACTTGTTTTTGGTTCCAAACCTCCTCCAACGTTGCCACTCTATCATCAGAAGAAAAAGTACGGAAAATGTCGTTATTTCGAAAGTTTCTTTTATCGATACAAGATGGGGGTCGGCCGTTTGGCCGACCCTATCTTGATGGACAGTGGGCAGCTAGAAAAAACGGCCCCAAGAAGAGGGCGACTTGACTTCGAAACATAAACCCCAGCGGCCATATGCCCCCGAGGCCCCGCCAGGGCTTGTCCCCGAGGACAGCGCGAGCGGCTTTGCGAGCGCAGGCAAGCCCCGAGGCTTTCCCAAGGCCTTTGCTCCGCCTCCCCAAGGCCTATGCCAGACTGCCTCCCTCGCGCAATGCTTTCGATTTCTTTGCATCGGCTAGCAGGCTCGGCCCACCAGGATATGGCGTTCGTAGGCCCTGCAAAGGCTCTGCGCCGCCTCGGCCACAATGTGCGTGGCAGCCGCCTCATTGGCCAGGCAGGAAGGATCTGGCCGCGGCTAGCAGGCTTCCATCCTTCGCCGAAATAAATCTAGCTGCGCCGCACAACCCCGGCCGCGATCAGTGAGCTGGGTGGCTGGCATCAGCTAGCCCGATCGCAGGCTGAGTGGCCTCGCCACCCAGAATCTTGCGCCGGCCGGCCTGCCGCCTCTGGCGCCCCCGGGCACCGTCCAGCACCGCTAGGGCCTGGCGCCGGCCGTTTGGCAGGCTTGTCCAGGGCCTGGCGCCATCTGGCTCGGATGCCCATAAATGAACTTCTACCGGGAACCAGCTGCCTTGCTGGGTCTCCGTCCCTTGTCAAGGCCCGGCGCCGGCCTTCCTTGGAGCGCCCAATCTGGCACCGCCCCGGCATGAATCCGGCGCGCGCGCGCGCCCTTCCGCTAGGACGCCTGTTGGGCGGGCCGGGCATACCACAACAAACGGGCATTGGCGCCGAAAGCCCACCAAGGCCCGGGCTGCCGGCCCGCCCCTCGCTCAAGCAGGCGCGCACGCAAACAACGAACTGCAGCCGCGGCCCCGAGCGAGGGCCAGGCCGGTGGGCCCGCGCAGGCAGTCAACAAACGCAAACAAAGAGAAGCGCGCCGCATGTTGCGGCAGGGCCGAGGCGTCCTGGACAGAGAACCGAGGCGGGCCCGCCCCTATTACACCGGCCGCAAGCCGTCGCGCCGGCCCCCGGCCGGCATCCATCTTGTTTGGAGGCAGTCTGCCAGCCAGGCGAAACAGAGGCGGCCTCGCCGATGGGTGCCTGCCAAAAACTTAAGCGGCCCATGGGAACTCGCACAGCGAGAATCTGCGTCACTTGCGCTGGCTCAACTCCGGCCGCGGCCACCTATATTAATTCCAGCGTCCTGGGCCCTTCTGGTGTGGCTCAGAGCGCTGGGAATGCAGGCGGTTGGCCTGGCCATGGACGCTCAAACCCCCTCGCAGCGCGAGCATCTGCGCCACCTTCTTGCTCCCAAGCCGGCCCGGGCGGCCGCCTACCTTCCGGCACCCGGGACAGAACTCTTCTGGCGTTGGAATGCTCGCGGCCGGTTGGGCCACGGGAACATCTGCGCCCAAGCGCGCCTTGCGCTCAAATGTGGTCCGTCGGCTACCTTCCAGCGCTTTGGGCCCTTTTGGTCTGGCTCAGGGCGTTGGAATTTAAAGAGCTGGCTCGGCCGCGGAAGCTCGCAGGCGAGCCGAGGCACAGAAAACATGTGGGCCACCTTTGCCCAAATCCCGCCGTCTATGCTCCAGCGCGCTCGTTAGCTGGACTCCTCTGGCGCGGCTCAGAGCGCTGGAATGTAGGCGGCTGGTTTGGCCACGGAAACTCGCACAGCGCACATCTTCGCCAATTTTGCTCAAGTGAATGGGCCCAGGCGGCCACACTCCAGCGCCGCTCGCTGACCCTTCGCTCTGGTGGGTGTGGCTCACGCAAAGCGAACATCTGCGCCACTTTTGCTCAAGTGACCGGGCCCGGCCGCCTACACTCCAGCGCCCTTGACACATCTGGCGTGGCTCAAAGCGGGCGCGGGAATGTAGGCGCCTGGGCTGGCCACGGGCAACTGCAGAGTGAGCGAACACGCGCGCCACCTGCGCTCAAATCCAGCCGCCTACGTACATTGCAACACCCTGCGCCCTTCTGGCGTGGCTCGGTGCGCTGGAATGAATGCAGGCGGCTGGCTTGGCAGGCCACAGACACTCGCAGAGCGAGCATCCGCGTCACCTGCGCTGAAATCCAGCCGCCTGCATTCTAGCGCCCTGGGCCCTTCTGGTGGGGCCCAGGGCGCTGGGGTGTAGGCGGCTGGTGTGACCACGGAAACACGCAAAAGGAACATCGACGCAACTTGCGCGGAAGTCCAGCCGCCTACATTTCCAGCGCCCTGGACTCTTCTGATCCGGTTCAGAGTTGGCGCCGGAATCTAGGCGATTGGCCCGGCCTTGGAAGCCAACTCGCGAGGCGAACAGCTGCGCAGCTTCTGCTCAAATCCAGCCGCCCGCCTGCAAGGAAGCGCGCTGGGCCCTGCTGCTGAGGCCAAGGGCGCTGGAATATAGGCGTTTGATTTGATCACGGAAGCCCGCACGGCGAACAGCCGCGCAAGTTGCGCCCAATTCCAGCCCGCCGCCTACGCGAAGGCGCTCTGGGCCTTTCATTCTGGCGTGGCCCAGGGCGTTCGTTGGTTGGAATGTGGGCGGCGGTCTTGGGCACGGAAACTCACACGGAGAGCACCTGCGCCGCTTGCGCCCAAAGCCAGTCGCCCGAATTCCAGCGCCCTGGGCCCTTCTGCTGTGGTTCAGAGTGAGCGCTGGAGCCCACCTAGGTGGCGGGCTTGGCCCCGGACACTCGCAAGGCGAACATCCGCGCTACCCGCGCGCAAAGCCAGGGTCCAGGGTGTTGGAATGTAGGCGGCTGGCTTGGGCAAGGAAGCTCGCAAAGTGCGCGAACATCTGCGCAACTTGCGCTCAAATCCCTCCGGCCCGCTTTGTTCCAGCGCCCTTGAATGATCCTTCTGGCGAGGCCAAGGGCGCTGGAGTGTAGGCGGCTGACTTGGCGGCCTTGGAAACTCGCAAAACAAACAGCCGCGCAGCTTGCGAACGCGCAAATGAATCCGGCCGCCTACATTCCAGCGCCCGCCCTGGACACTTCTGGCGTGGCTCAGAGCGCTGGAATGTAGGCGGCTGCTGCGGCTCAAAGCGCTGGCTTGTATGTAGGTGGCGGGGTTGGCCACGGGAACGCGCGCAGCGAACATCTGCACCGCTTGCGCTCAAATCCAATCGCACACATTCCAGCGCCCACCCTGGGCCTTTGTGGCGACGCTCTTCGCGGTCGCTAGTAGTAGTTGAGCCGACTGGCAACTGCGGGGCGCCCTCCCCTCCGGTTGCGTGGTGACTCAAGCGCGCCGGAGGAGCAGGAGGCCGAGCCGGCCGCAAAGCTAGCGGGCGAAGGAAGCAAGATGGTGGCGGTCGCGAAGCCGAAGGCGGTGCCGAGGCCGAGGCCGAGGCCGAAGAGCAAAGCAAGCCGCGGGCGGCCCCAAAGAAAGGCGAAAGCCGCCCCGAAGGCCAAGGCGTCGGGCAAGCAAGGGGAGGGGCAAAGGCAAGAAGAAGCAAGCGCGCTGGCTGCGTAGCGCGACGGAAAGAACCGAAGCGGCCCCGCCCGCCTTGAAACTAAAGCGGCTCCGCCCGCCTTTGGAAGAATACTTACAGACGAAAGAAAAGCGGCGCCGCCCGCGCCAAAAACTAAACGAAAGAAACCACGGCGGCGCCGCCCGCATTTGAGACTGCAGCGGCCCCGCCCGCACTTGGCCGAACAACCCGCCGAAGGGCGTGGCGCCGTGGGTGATTCGGGTCTTGGTTGCCGTTGTTTCGGCCCCACGCAAGTGCGAGACCCGCAGCGCCATCGTAAAGAAAGACGAACGAAGACCCCACGCGCATTGCAAACCAACCTTCTTGGCGTCGCTCGACGGCGTCCGCCCGAGGGCCCCCGAAGACCCCCCGAAGACCCCCCGAAGGCCCCCGGAGACCCCCCGAAGGCCCCCCGAAGACCCCCCGAAGGCCCCCCGAAGGCCCTTGGTCGGAGGCCCCCCGATGGCCCCTTGAAGGCCCCCCGAAGGCCCCCCGAAGGGGTGCCTCGAGAAAAACAGAAATTTACTACGCCGAAGGCCCCCCGAAGGGGGTTCAATGAGCCCCCGAAGGGGGGGGTCAACGGAGCCCCTTTGGGGGGCCTTCGAGGGGCCTTCGGGGGGCCTCGAAAAACGAAGGGGTACCCAAGGGGGGTCAATGAACCCCCTTCGGGGGGTCGAAGACCCCTCAACGACCCCTCAATGACCTTAATCATCATTAATAGTAGTTAATTTTTGAAAACCCTTACTTTCTATTTCGATCTTGTTTGTCAGATTTGAAATCGTCCTCTTCGTCTTCGACTGGATCAGCGGCTTGTTCTGAAGTAGTACCGTTCCCCCCCGACGCCACAGACTTGCTGTTTGCTACGATTCTCTTCCGAAGGGGAAAGAGTGAGGAGGCGGCAGACGTTTTGAAAAGCATCCTCGAGGAGTGCAACAGGAAGCTGGTGACGATTAAAACAACGACACCTAGTACCGACGTGGAGCTCCGGGAACAAGCAGCCCATCTTACGCCTTCCCAAGAAACAGGATCTCGTCTTTCGAACAGCAAAGATGCGGGTGAAGTAGACAACTACAGCCGTAGTGAGTGTCAAAAGATCAGGCAAAGTGCTCGGGATTTGTACGAGCAGGTGCGCGTTGAGGTGCTGCGGCAGCGAAAAAAGGCCAAGAAAATTTGGAGCGGTGCGTTTCTCGGTGCAGCTGGAAAGACAGAGCTAGACCGGCTCAGCGAACAGAAGAGCACCTCCTCCCTTAACAAAGGCGGTTTTACAACAAGCCTGAGAGACACGGCCTCCTCCGTCGCAACGGCCTCCACCGTCGATGAGAACTCTTCGGCGACATCAAGTCTGCCCGCTTCCAACTCCGCAACCAGCTCCGGCGCTAGCAGTTCGGGATCCGGGTCCTCCTCCTCGGCTAGCGGAGAAGAGGACATGATCGAATTGGCGCACGTCGGGCCAGCAACGAAAGAATCTTCTGGCGCTGGTGCTTCACGAAACAAAGTGTTGAAAGTAGATGACAAAAAAAAAGCAACGACAAGAAATGGCACTAGCTCAGAAGATACAAACATCTCTACTTCAACTTCTACTTCGAAGAGCTACAACTTTTCCTTCCCCTCCTCGCTGCAGCGGGCCTGGAACGTTGTAAACCCACTGCAAAACGCCACTGCAGAAGAGGAAGACGCATACTTCCTCGATAAGATTCGCGGAAAGGTTCCGGAAGTTTCCCTGTGGTCAGGGTTCCTAGAAGACATCGCCGCAATTTTCTCAGAAATTTGCAACCGCCGACAAAAGCCTGAATGAAAATGCACATATTATTGTGGACCAGGAGTTTGGTTGAAGTAGAAGTACTTGAGCCTAACAAGAATAAGAACGTCATCCTTGTTTCATCAAGAAAACGCAAATGCACAAGCTACAACGAACTCTATAGTCATTCGTGCTGAAGCAAGCTACCACTCAATGCTCTCTATTTCGGATGCAAATCCATCGCCCTGCGGTGTTGTGTACTTAACCACCCTCCAAGGCCCGTAGTTGCAGAGCCAAAGATAAAGATCTGGATTTTCTACACGACATTTTGTTTCGTTTGTGTAGGTTGAATGTTGTGACATTTCCCAAGATTGATAAGCAACACCTTTGTTATTGTTTCAAATGGAATTCGATGTTCTTCATCTTCATCGTGCGAAATAATTTTTGCCTCGTTGTTTACAAAGTGGTATCGACCTCGAGATAGTTGAGAGAAAACAAAAGCGCAACACTATGAAAAACGTCACACCGAGTGTTTCTGCTTGTCGAAAATTGAAACGAAGATTTATTCCCAGGCGAAGTCAGTGCAGTACGCAGAAAAAATGCCCAGTGAAGGTTGTTTTTTTTTCTTTAGCTTCAGTTCCTCGTGTGGTCGTGTTGCTCGACACAGTGAAGGTTTTCGTTTCTTCTTTCAATTGCCTTTCGCAACATGATAATATCGGAAAGAACCAACAGCAGTTTTTCCGTTTTCATTGAGCATGTAAGGAAAAGGCCTTTCTCTGTGTCTTGCTAAGTCTAAGGCAATCTGATTGTAGTGATCTTTATCTTCAAGTGCTACTTCTACAGTTTTGTGTAAGTCTTGTTGACACTTTGCAAAGGAAGTTTTCACCATGCAGGGTACTTCGAGTTCGTCGAGCAGCTTCCTTGTGAACGCGTCCGTTCAGGCGGAGGCGTATGGCCTGCACAGATGGGACTGGAATTTCAACTGGAACAAGTTCGGCACTAAATTTTTTCTAGAAAAATGAAAAAAAAATGAAAATAATTCATGCTTGGCCAGCATCATGCGGATTGCGATGTGTTGTGGACTTCATATGAAAGCGTGCCACACTAAACCCAAACGCAAATCTAAGATCACCTATCGCAACAGTTTGAAGCACCACTTGTTCCAGTTGAAATCGCTCATTCCAGCTGAGCACGGCATAATCGGGAGAAAAAGTTTTTGTTCGACTACCAGAAGACCGGCGTCGAATGGTTCCAAGGTCTATACGCCAAGCGCAAGGGCGGCATTCTCGGCGACGAGATGGGTTTGGGCAAAACAATTCAGGCCTTGTCCTTTCTGGAGCACACTCCCGACATCGAAGTTGCTCTGGTGTTGTGTCCTCTGTCGCTATTGGACGTGTGGGAGCGCGAGGCGAAAACCTGGGCCCCGCGTTTCAAGACCATCTGTCTCCGCTTGCAGAAACAATTCCGCAACAAGAAGCGGTCCAACTTGGCGCTCCAGAAAAAGTTTTCCTCCGCGCTGTTTCGCCAGTATATTTCCGTCCCCGCGGTCGGTGTAGTTGTACCGAGCGGAAGCAGCGGCAGTTCCTCATCAAGCGCCACTAGCACGGCGGTGGGTGGGTCATTATCTTCGTCGAGCAGCAGCGGCAGTGCAAGTGCGTCCTCGTCTTCCTCTAGTAGTGCGGCGATCGCGGTAGTCGCAGAACCGGACGTAAGTTCTTGGACGAGCAGCGCCGCTAGCGGTCCTCGCGCGAATAAAAAATCCGCTCTGTTGTTCGTTGCGAACCTGGATCTGCTCACGAACCGTCCAGAGCTGTTAAAGCAAATCTCCGTTCGCAAAGATCTCACGGAGCAGCAGGTACTGCTACCTAGATTGAATGAACTTAAACCGATGGATGACCACCCACGGCCAGCGCCAGCTGCTTTGGTTTTCGTGGAGAAAATGAAAATCAAAATAGTACCTGCGTTGTTTCATTGAAAAGACAAAGAGAGAAGATAGCAATAACTGCATTCTTACGTCTTCACTACTTTTCGTCATGTTTTTTTTTGGATACCATGAGATGATCCCCCTATTAAATCAACTTCAACTGAAACCGCAGATTCGGTTCCTGTTCAAGAAGAAACTGAAACTGCTGGAGAAGCTATCCAAGAAAAAAACATTGTAGGTGTAACTTTTTTGGAGGGACAGCATTACAAATTTGTCTGGCATGACAGACAGCAAAAACCTGTCATGCGCAGATAGAACGCGAAAACGTCCTTTAATGGACCCTACGATGCATGCCAAGCATGACAAACGCAATCATCTTACATGTTGTGCATCACAAATTATAGTTATACACTAACAACGTTTTTTTCTTGGATAGAAGCACTCCGGCGACGATTTCATGCAGGACGCGGGGGCGCTGGATCCGGACGAGGAGGACACTGAGGACTCGGAGGGCGACAACCAGGACGACAGCGACGACGCTGCGCCCCCAGTCGGTCGCTCGACGCGCAAGCGGCCCGCGTCTCCTAGTACACTAAACTCAGCCTCCAAGCGGCCCTTCCGGGATCCGGCCACCGCGGTTTCCGCCCCAAGTCAACTTTCCGACGAGAGCAACGGTCTCATGGGAAAGCAGCACGTACTAGTTGCCCACGTCGGCGGATCGTTCTTGAGCACTTCCGCTGCATCAGCCGTTGCAGCTTCTGAGGGAAAGGATAAAAGCAGCAGCAACGTGTTGAATAAACCGCCCAGCAATAGTAAAGCTCCTCCGTCCCAGAAGCGATTTCGATCGTTTCTGCCGGACTCGAAATACCACTGGGACGTTATAACCTGCTCAGGTGTTACAATCTCAAACGTTACAATAGAATCTGAGATTTGTCTTGCATGACCAACATGACAGACTCGGACAGCGTCCCACTATTTGCAATACAAATTTCACCAGATTGTAGTGCGGATTGGGACTCCAGAACTTGTCATGCGCAATCCTGTGGGAGTAGGGTAGATCATGCACTTCTTGCAACACAAATTCCAGATTCTATTGTAACGTTTGAGATTGTAACACCTGAGCGGGTTATAGACGTGGTTCTCGTGGATGAGGCCCACCGTTGCAAGGACCCTAGTGGAATATCAAATGTAAAAATGTCTGGGTCTGGAAGAATGCGCGATTTGTCATGCAGCTTTTCCATGACCCATGAGGTCTGGAATGCAGGGCCTAGCGTGACAGATTCTGTGCGATCTCTCTCATGCCTATCCTGCATGAGAAACCCCTTCCCGACTTGGTCAAAACTCGACGACTTTTGGTAATCATGCAGCACAGATTTTTGCATGCTTCAGATCTAGCATGACAAGTTCCAATTCTTCCAGACCCAGACATTTTTACATTTCATATGGAACCCTGTCGCGCAACCTCCGGGCGGTCCAGGCGGTCGCGAAGTTTCTAATCACCGGCACGCCACTGCAGAACGAGGTGCGCGACCTCTGGAATCTGCACGACTGCTGCAACCCGGGGATCCTCGGCAATCTTCAGTCGTTCACGAAGAATTTCGCGACGCCGATTTTATCAGAGTCGTGCACAATCCTCGCTTCTTCTTATTTGTCGTGCAGAAACGCAAGAACTCCAGGCCCAGCTTTTCCTATTGCCTTGGCTTCTCGTGTCTATTTGCACTACCCCGCATGACAAGCTGCGGCACCGAATATACACTACTACGCCGGTTTTATTCCGCACACATATTTGTCATGAAGAAGCTTTATTTTTGACCCTGTTTTCTCTGTCTTTCTCTTTTGCCATTCTTCCCAGCAACTGACGGACGAAAAGAGGGCCGCTCTGTGCACTCTCATAGATCAACAAGGGCATGCTGAAGAACGCTGGGGAGCTGGACGTGGAGCTGAAGAACGTGCTATCGGCGCAGCTGCAAGACCGCACGCGACCCTACTACCTGCACCGCACCAAAAGGCAGGTGAAGACCATGGGCGAGGTGACCAAGACAGATGTGGTGCTGTGGCTGCGACCCACAAAAAAACAGGTAAAGTTCTACCAGACCGTGCTGCAGAACGCCAGTTTCATCCAGGAGGCGCGGGAGAGCGGAAAAATGGGCACCATGGTGTTCAAAGCTATCACATACTTGATATGAACTGCAAATATGTCTGGGTCTGGAAGAATACAAACTTGTGGTGCGCATTTTAGAACACAGAAAAATCTTTAATGCATAGGCAGCAAATGTTGCCCACTTTCTGTCACCAAAATGGGGCATTTTTCATGCGGATTCGGCATCGCGGAAGCTTCTCGACCCCTGTGTTGCTAGAGCTTCCATGACAGACCTTCTGTGTCATGCAAAAACAGCTTGACTCTTCCAGACCCAGACATTTTTGCAATCCATATTTGAAAAAATTGAGCAACTCCCTGGTCCTCTGCCACCCGGATTTCGTCACGGCGGGCAGCTGGGTGGACTACGTGACCGGGCTCACGGATGACCTGACCGGTCTCGTTAGTACCTCTATGCAGGAGCCAATAGGGATGGACCTGCAGCAGGTGGGCACTACACTGGAAAACAGAACCGCTGGCGCTGTCACAGGACCTCGACCTGCAAAAATTGCTGCGGAGGTGCAAGCCAAAGAGAGCCGTGCGCTGCCTGCCACAACATCTTCGGGCACCAACCTTGCTGTGCTTGGTCTTCCAACCGATGAAATTACAGCCGAAAAAAGTATACTAAAGACTGATCTTCTCGACAGTGCCCACCACGAAGGCGGTCGAACAACTGGAAAGGACAACATCACACACAAGAACACGTCAAGTAGTGCCAGCAGCTCTACGGCCGCAGCGGTTGCTTTCTCAGCTTTTCAGGACATGAATAGTACCGCCTCGAAAAAGAGCGCGATCGCGGAAGAGTCTGAGTTTTACGACGCAGCATCCGGCGACGAAACACCCTTGAAAGAGGCGGAAAGCGAAGACGAGTTCATGTCTAGTCCGGATGAGGGCGTCGAAAAACTTCTAAATTACCCGGCGCCGGGGAAAAAACCCGACGTCCCCTCACCCCTTCGGAAGCGCAGTCCGCACAAATTTGCCGAGGAGCAGCCTGATGATCATGCCGGTATTGTCGCGCCGAACAAAGCCGCGATTGGCGGGGCAGCTGGTTCGGCAAGTTCTACTTCCACGACTGGTTTATTTGGCGGATCGCGAAACTATTTTTCCGGCGCCCTCTCTGCCGTGGCAGCAGTAATCTTGCCGAAAAAATTGTCCTCTGCAGCTGGCGGCTCACCTCCTGATGGGGCGGAGGAATGGGTGGAAGGCAGGGGAGCTGCTGTTTCTGACGCTCGAGCGACCAGCTCCTTTTCATCGTCATCCCGAGTCGGTGCTTCAGCGGAGCTTCTGCAAGAGCCGAAACACGACAGCCTGAAACCAAACCAAATACACACTACTACTGGTGGCCCATCTACTCAAACTCACGCGAATGTTGGAGACATCGAATCGTTGGATGTGGCAGCGTCCTCGAGTGGTGGTCCTAGTAGTGCAGCTTCCGGCGCTTGTAATACTGTTGCATCTTCAATCCTGCTGCCAAAATCGTCACCAATCACCGACGGGGCCGCCGGTGCGGCGTCTTTGAAAATAATGCCCTCCGACCCCGGCGGGAGCCAGCAGAGGCACGACGACGAACTGCCGAAAGCTCAGGGCGATTCCTCCAACGCAGCTGCGCAGTCGCCCACGCAAAAGCGCCGGTCCTCATTACTGAAAAAGGAGGAAGTAAGCCTGATTTCCGGCGCCATTGAAGACAAGGCCGAGACGCTGATGCAGCTCCGGGACGACGCGATCAAGCTCGCTTTCCTGAGCGAGTTTCTGCCCGTGCTGATCGCGCGCCAGCACAAGATCTTGTTGTTCTCGAGCTCCACGAAGATGCTGGATCTGATCATGTGTGTGGTGCTGAAACCGCTGAAAATCCGCTGTCTCCGCTATGACCTGCTCAAACGTTACAATCTCAAACGTTACAATAGAACTTTGATTTTGTGTTGCATGACGAGCATGACAGACCCGGACAACATTCCACTTTCTGCAATACAAATTTCGCCAGATTGTAGTGCGGTTTGGGACTCCGGAACTTGATGTCATGCGCAATGCTATGAGAGTTGGCTACATAATGCACCTCTTGCGTCACAGATACAGATTTCGACACTCTATTGTGACGCTTGAGATTGTAACACCTGAGCAGGTTATATCCGCATCGACGGGTCCACGGAAGTGGAGGACCGCAACCGCAAAGTGCAACGTATGGCGTTCTCAAACGTTACATTCTCAATTGTTACATGAATTTGTAATGCAAGACTAGCACAGGTGAGAGGGAGAGCCTTGCGCGTCTTGCATTACAGGTTTGGTGCGGATTACAGTGCTATTTACCCCTCAGGACATTTGTCATGCGAAGCAGCTTGATCGTCTGGCGGGTCATGGTCATTTTGCATGACAAATCCATGCAACAGTTGAGAATGTAACAGTTGAGAACGCCATACAACGCTTCCAGAACCTGCAAGGGCGCAAGGCCTTCGACGTCTTTCTGGCGTCCACGCAGGTCGGTGGCGTCGGTCTTACCCTGACCGCCGCGGATCGTGTTGTGATTATCGATCCGAGCTGGAACCCGAGCACGGACCACCAGGTAAAAACATATAATTAAAAGCACTGAAGAAACGCACTAAGTATGAAGTAAATAAGCATGGGCACGCTGTGGACAGCAACTACATGTCGAAGTATTACTGATGTCAATGTGCTAACTCGTCGCTCGTGATCTTGCTTTGGCCCGTCTAAAAGCAAAGCGTTAAGGTTAGTTTACTTTGCTATGCAGCTTATTGTTGTATTTCTCTTAAAAGCAAAGCGTTTAAGTCTGCAGGTTGCGCAAAGGAATCAATCACATGCCCGAAAATTGTGTTGCGTGGCAGCTAGTTGTGCCACGACCTAATTACTTGATATATTAAAAACGTGAAGTACGTGCGTGTAGTGTCTCGAACTACAAGGATGAAGATGTTTTTCTCATGCTGAAAACCCTGCTCACGTTCACCGTTCAAGTTTTTTCCAGAATCGACATTGCAGGCCATCGACCGTGCATTCCGCGTCGGGCAAACGCGCAACGTGGTCGCCTACCGCTTGATCGCCACGGGATTGATCGAGGAAAAAATGTTTCGGTACCAAGTGTTCAAACAGGGCCTTGCGAAGAGCTGCCTCGTTGCCGCCGGCGCGGACCACCACGAGCGAGAAGACGTCGTCTCGGCGACATCCACCGACCTCGTTGCCGCTCGTGGTCATCTTGACGGGAAAATAAACGCAAGCAGTAGTTTCGGGGAAAAAAATAACCCGACTTCTTCTTCGTCGTGTTCTGCTGAAGATACTTCTGGGGAGAGTATCGTAAGGAATACAGCCACGACAACTGTCACGATTGAGGCCCAGACGCTATCAAGTGTAAAAATGTCTGGGTCTGGAAGAATGCAAGTTTGTCATGCTTGTCTCACATGACTCTTGCATTTGTCGTGCGCATTACTCAAGACCCCCATTTTTCTGTCATGCAGAAACGTTCTTGTCATGCAGATTAGGCAACACCAAGAAGCTCAGAAACTTGTCATGCTGAGCCAGCACTTGTGGCCTCCTCATGATACGCCGCCCAGCATCACAAGTTTCCAGACCCAGACACTTTTGCATTCGATAGACGCGGTATTTCACCAACAAGGACATTCACGACCTTTTCGAGTTCCTCGAGCCGTATTCCCTGCCAATTTACCATGCAGCCCAACATCTTCCGAATTGTCATGCAAAACGTGACGTAAAGTCGTGTCGAGTTTATTTGTCATGCGAAAAATGGATGGGGAAAGATGGTTGATTTTCAGCGGATAAGGCGGAGCAGCTGGACACTTGCAACCGGTTGGAGGAGGAGCACGGCCGCCCCGACGCTGCCTGGGAAGCGTGGCTGCGAGACAGCGAAGACTTGCAACATTTTTCCACGACACAGCCACAAGGATTTTTGAAACCTGTCGATGACGACGACGAGGATGAAGTAGAAGAACAAGCATCTGCCCCGGCAGCAAAGCGGCGCAAGAAGGAAAACCGAGTCGAGGGCGCTGATCCACCTCATAGTACTGAAGTTGGCGTGAAAGGACCGGCTGCGGAGAAAGGCACTGGTGCCCGAGTCGCTGCGTTACAGCACATGGTGTTGGGCTTAAGTGACTACAACTGTTTGTTCGGACACCGGGGCGGCAAAACCAAGATCACGTTCAACCAGGAGGAGCATGAGAATCTATTCCTCGATAATGCTGACCAACTATCTGCTGTGCCGTCTGGCTCTGGACCGGCCGGGGCGAGTGGACCGGATGCTACAACTCCTGGTGACGGGATTACTATGGACCAACACCGCAAAGTGTCCAAGTTGTCGTCCTCCGCGGGAGGCGCCAGTGAAAAGCAGCAAGACCCAGATACGCAGATGAAGAAGGACCTGGACCAGAGCCTCCAGGGGCTACCGATCGCGGAGCAGAAGCGCCTTCTGAAGAAGGAGGTGACCCTACCCTGTGCAAAAAAGTTGTACCCGTTCTTACCCACCACATTTTAACTGATCAAGAGGGGAAATCAATAGCATGTTGTACAAACTCGAATCCTCCTGCGCATTTTTGAATTCGTGGTTCGCACCAACATCGGCCACTTCAGTACGCCACTTGTTTTTTCTTGCTGTCGCTTTGATTTCAGCATTCCAACGAGCTCCCATACAAGACTCGAGGGTTATTGATAGATACCTCTCACGGGGACGAGTCGTGTCCGCGTGCGAACGCTCGGCACTCCCAAATTTGCATACTACTTCACCCGCTGGAGCCCTCCTCCTCAGGGTCAGGGTGCAGGCATCTGCATGAAAACACAATTTAGTTTTACAATCGCAATACCAATTCCAATTCTTATAAAATATATCGCATGACAACTGGTGGGGCGGGAACGCGTATGTGTTTGAACAGAATAGACCGAACTGTCTCGGAAGGTGATGGAGTGCTCGCTGAAGCGGCAGAAGGCGGAGAACGACCGGAAGGATGCGTGTGCCGCGGTGGCCGCAGCGGAACAAACATTGAAGGACAAGATCGAGGCGAAACGGACGAAGAAAGCGGCGGAGAAGGGTGCCAAGCAGGAGTGGCTTGCCGAGAAGCAGGCCCTGGAGGACGTCGAGCGCGCCAGGCGGCTGGCCGAGCGGTCACTGCAGGCCGCCGAAAAGGCCGAAAAAGGGCTGCAGCAGGAACGGGACGCCGCCGTGAAGAAGCACCAAGACGCGGAGACACGGCAGCAGACCGCTAAACTATCATAGCGAAAAAAGCCCCCACCCCATATCGGAAACGGAAGACGCGCGAATTTGTGATGCTGTATCTGAGTACACAAATCGACTTGTATTGCTAGCAGGCCAAGAGACGAAGCTGCGGCATGAATTGCAGGTAATCTGTCATGCTGTTTCCCACTTCCAGTTGCCTCCTGCCATCCTGGAGCTGCAAGGCTCTCCCACGCTAGGCAGCACTACAGTCCGTATCTTTTGCCTTCTAGCATCACAAAGCTAGTTTGTGACCACAAATCTGCATCACAGATTTCCGTTTTGATATGCTGGGGAGGGGGCATTTTTCATTGTAATAGAAACTCGAGTGCGACCAGGCGGAGCAGCGCATGATATCCTGTGCAAAAGTATCGCACTCGTAGTAATTGCTGTTATGCATTACAAATCTTGTTCCCAAGGCAAATCTCCATTACAAATTTCATTTCTCATGCTGAGGAAAGTTGTATATGCATTTATACGAGCACGATGCTTTGTTTTGCATTTCATACATGAAGGAATTCGACCACCTGCTGACGGATGCCGAGAAACAGGCCTTGGACGATTGCGAAACCAAGCAGGTGGAGTTCGAGTTCGTGGACCACGCCGCGGGCGATCGGCAGACGAAGCGCACCCAGCTGGACCGGGCGATCGAGCGCACCCGGGCCGCGCTCACCTCGTCCAAGGCCTCCGTGCGCTCCTTCGAGAAGATGTCCCGGCTCCAGATGCAGTGGCACGAGACGCGGTGGAAGACCCAAGAACTGCAACTGCGGGCCCGCGACGCAGAGCACGCGGTTGGAGAGTTTCAGGAAGTCCAGACCGCGACCGCGGAACTTGCTATCGACTGCAAATGTTTGTCTGGGTCTGGAACAAAGGTGTAGTGCTGAACGAGACTCGAATAGCTTCGCCCGCTCGGTGTGACATCGCAAGCTTGCGCTAGAAGGAGCATTTTTCACAAAGTTCGCCCCTCGCTGCGGAGCGCGCACGTTTTGCGTATCACCTGGGAACAACACTGCTGCGTCTCGCGCCGCATCCCCCCGCGGCCTAGTGGATGCATTTTCAAAGCATGTCGAGCCGGAAACGCGGCTAGAGACGCCTTCGCAGTGCGTTTCTGGTTGGAAATCTAGCAAGCGACGCCGTCTCAGTGCGTTTCTAGCTGGAAACCCACCTAGCGACGCCGTCTCAGGGCGTTGCGAGCTAGAAAGCCAGCTAGCGACGCCGCCCCGGTGTGTGTCCAGCAGGGAATCCAGCTAGCAATGCCGTCTCAGCGCCTTTCTAGCTGAAAGGAAACACAGCCGGAAAGGCAGCGGCAGCGTGTTTCCGGCTAGAGATCCAGGCGGAAAGGCATCGCCAGCGCGTTCCCAGAACGAAATCCAGCGGGAGAGGCATCGCCAAAGCGCCCCCGGCTGGAAGAAATTCAGCCGGCCGCGTCTTTGCAGAGTATTTCTAGCGTGAAATGGAGCCGGGGACGCCTTTTCAGAGCATTCCTAGCGGGAAACCCAGACGGCGGCGCGTTTTTTTCTAGCCGGGAGGAAATCCAGCAGGGAGGCAGTGCATTACTTAAAGAGGCACCCGCAAGCAACGCGCCTCCAGCTGGAAACCCTTCGAGGGCGCCTCTTCGAAGAGTATCCAGCTGGAGACGCCGCGGCAATGGAAATCCAGCTTGCTGGAAACGCCTTTTCGAGGGAAATCCAGATGGAAACGCATCGAGAAGGCTTTTTCAGCGCTTTTCCGCCCGACCTTTTCAAAGTGTTGGCAGCTGGATTTCTAGTAGAAGACGGTTTTCGATTTCTAGCTTGGAATCCAGCTGTGGGGAACACTTTGAAAAGGCATCCGCGGCGCATTGTTAGCTGGGATTCCAGGTCAAGGCGCCCCAAGGTGTTGCCAGGTGGATAGATTTGCGGGCGAAGATGCCTCGGGGCATTTCCAGCTGTCAAGAATCGCGAGGCAGCTGATTTCTCTTCGATTTTCCGGGGTTTCTTCCCGCGTTAGCAAAACTCTTCTGGCTACCCGGGGAAAGGTTTGCCTAGAAGGATAGTGGGTAGGTATTGGGAAGCCATCGGGAAGGGGTGGCAGAGCTGAAGCTCTTCTCGGGTTGTTGTGCTTAGCACGGCTCTTCAGGCTACCCGAGGCAAGGATCTTCTAGTAGGGTCGCGGGAGGGTGTTCATTGGGATAGTGGAAACGTATTGGGAATTTGTTTTTTTTTTCCCGAGTTGCTGTGTTTAGCACAGCTATTCTGGCTACCCGGGGCATGGGTTTTCTATCTAGTAGAATGCTGGGAAGGTATTGATGGAGGCACCCATCTGCGCCATCGTTGCACGCCTTCCAGGTGCAGCGTCCGTGGCTGCGGTTGCCGCCTTCCGTCTCCGTCGGCTGCCCGCGATGTCTCCGTGCGCGCGATCAGCCAAGGTTTTTTTTCCTTAGGGATTTCAGTAAGAAAGTGACACGCGATCGCGCGGATCCGAGTGACCCCCTACGTCACTCCCCCCGCCCTTTCGATGTGATGACATTGCGCCCCGATCTGTATGAATGGTTTGAAGATCTAAGATGATAAGAGCTAAGATTATGACTTTTAAGATGAGGACTCACATGCGGGGGGCCCTCGCCCCCCCCCGCGCCCCCCCGCCCCTTCGATATGATGACGCTGGGCCCCAATCTGTGTGAGTAGTTTTTATTTTTGAGATGAAGACTTACATGCGGGGGGCCCTCGCCCCCCCCCGCGCCCCCCCCGCCCTTTCGATATGATGATACTACGCCCCAATCCGTATGAATAGTTTGTATCTTTGAGCCGAAGACTTAAATGCGGGGGGCCCTCGCGCCCCCCCCGCCCTTTCGATGTGATGATATATATTGCGCCCCAATCTGTATGAAAAATTTTGAGATCTAAGATTATAACTTCAAGATCTAAGATCATGACTTTTGACATTGCGCCCCGATCTGTATGAATGGTTTTAAGATCTAAGATGATAAGAGCTAAGATTATGACTTTTGAGATGAAGACTCACNCCCCCCCCCGCGCCCCCCCCCGCCCTTTCGATATGATGATACTGCGCCCCAATCTGTATGAAAAATTTTTAGATCTAAGATTATAGCTTTAAGATCTAAGATCATGACTTTTGAGACGCTTGATCATTGATTTACTATGTGATCTAAGATTTAGATTAAGACTCACTAAGATTCAGATTTAAGATTGAGACTGAGATTGTGACTTAAGATTGCGATTTAAGATTGAGCGATGAAATTGTAAATGATTCTGAGATAGATTTAAGATTTCTTAAGATTTGAGATTGAGATAAGATTTGATAATAAGATTGGAGATTCGAATAAGAGCTAAGATTTAAGATTCAGATTGAGATCGAGATTGAGACTTGATACGAAATTGAATTATTCAATTTGAATTATTCATGAAGTTGAGTTATTCAATTTGAATTATTCACGAAGTTGAGTTATTCAATTTGAATTATTCAGGAAATTGAATTATTCGTGAGTCTTGCGATGAAATTGTAGATATGACTATCAATGGCCATACTGATTGAGCGCGCCTTTTTTAGATCGTGTAGTGAAGCACAAACTGCACAGGAAGAAGGTCGTCGTGTGGCCGCGCTTTTGCTGCTTACGCTCTAGCGTGCGAGACACGCTGCAAAAATACAAGTGGCTCTGCAACCTTTCGAACAAACGCAGATATATTTGCAATGCATACGGGCAGAGAAGCGGCAAACGGTCCGGGCGCAGGAGGCAAAGATCGAGGAGAAGAAGAAGCAGTACGACGAGGCGGTGGCGGCAGTTGCGGATGCGGAGCGGGAGGAGGAAACCGCGAAGACGGATGTGGCTGCGAAAAAGCAGCGCGCTAAGGACATGCAGACCTATCAAATGTAAAAATGTCTCGGTCTGGAAGAATGCATGTTTGTCATGCTTGTCTGGCATGACTCTTAAATCTGTCATGCACGTTACCCAAGAGCCCCATTTTTCTGTGATGCAGAGACGCAGTTTGTCATGCAGAATTGGCAACACCGAGAAGCTCAGAAACTTGTCATGCTGAGCCAGCACTTGTGGACTCATCATGAGACGCCAACCAGCATCACAAGTTTCCAGACCCAGACACTTTTACATTTGATAAGACCGACATCCGAACCAGTCGCGACGAAGAGAAGAAGATGACTCGCGAGTCGGAGCTCAAGCAGGCGGCATTCGCCAAGTTGGAGCGGAAATTCCAAATCTTCGAGGAAAAAACCAAGAACGGACTCCGGGAAATGGAAACCGAGGGCTACGACGAAGAACAGATTGCAAAACTCGCGAAGAACAAGCAAGACTGAGCCCTGCGCCGCGTCGTGACTGAGGATCTGCGACCTGCGACCCTTCAACAGGGACCACACACATGCGTAAGTAGTGGCAAAGTTTTCATCGTGCCTGGTGATCGTTGAACTTCTTTTGATGTCTGGTAGTATACTACCCATAGTACCGTAGAAGTAGATGATTACTATTACTTGCTGACCCTGCCCGCCAGATAATTGGGTAAGAACGCGATAAAAGTTCTATCGCTGCGCTGCAACTATCCAGAGTGAGAACTAGAGTTGTACGGTCACGCACAACAACTTCGCGCTGTCGTATGGAAGATCCTCATTTGCTGAACTTTTCATCTGAGCTTCGACGTCATGACAGTGTCGATTCACCATGTGTCGCACGGCCTCGACCAGCGTTGGGATGTAGTTGAAGAATGTTCCTTCAGGATAGAAGAAATGTCATTCAACGCACGGCTGTTCCTGCTGATTTTACTGTTCTACTGTCTATTCTAGTGCACCAGCTTTTCCCCCAGCCCCACGAGGATTATGCAATTATATAGGGGCGCAAATACTACATACATGTTCCCGTCTCTTGGCAGACAGGAGCAATGTTGACCCAGCGAAGAAGCCCTCATAGAATGCTTGAATGATCAACTCGTCCTGCTCGGCTATTCTTAAGGTACATGTATTCGATTTTGAAACTACTACGCCAGATTTTTTTGCGAATCAGTGCTTGGAGTTTGAAAGTGGAAGATTTTGGAACTACACAGACTTTGAGTGGATCCGCGGTAAATATAGCCTTACACCACGATCGCGATAGATCAAGAAAGCTGAACTGTATTTGCAGTCAGGAAAATAAACCTCATTGACCCTTATTCACAGCCTATAGCCCCAAGCAAACGAAAAGCGCACGCGTTTGGCTTGGTTAGGAGGCTCGTGGTAAAATAATCTGACGTTCCGCCACAGAAATTGTCTTCGAGAAAGGAAAGGTAGTCGCTCTCTGAAGACTTGGCGGTGTGAAATGTCAAACATCATCGGTATCGCGTGGTACACAAACACAATGAAGATCATGATCTCACTCGCCTTGTGAAATGATTGCAGTAAAAAATATGTACGTAAATAGATCGGAGGAAAGGAAAAGCCAGGCAACACGAGAAGATCTACGCTTGTAGATGGTGTAGAAGCAGTAAGGTCTTTTCAATAAACACATTCTTTGACTTTGTCAAAGTCGAAAATAAAGTTCGGGATGATCGACAAAGCAAGACTTTCTTTATTGCCAATATGAATATCTTCAAGTAGTTTCATCGTGCAATTGAATTTGTTGCGCGCATTTGCATTTCTGCCGACAGGGTTTTTGCAGTTGATCCATCTTGATCGAACGGAACAATATATTTGTACCGGTTCAACAAACAACTCTACTACTCGTATTTCCGGCTTTTTCACGACATCACCGTCAACGTGTCGTGTGGAGCTATCCGGGCGGAGGGACGCGCCACAAAAAATGCCAAAAAAATGCCCACAATGTTACTTTTTTACAGACGCAACTACTACAATCATCGATCATAATCCAGACTAATCTCATCCCCATAAATTCAGAATCTCATCAGAAACATGTCCGGCCAGCTTTCGCCGAGAAAAGAAAATCTAAATCACATCCATCCAAAAAGCTATGCGCGCCCGGGAAGTCTTAAGCTTGGGTCTGGGTCGGCCCTAGACATTCGCAAAACCCGACCACCCCCAGCTCGGGCACGACAATGCGCGCAGGCTATGTCCAAGAACATTGTGCCCCAAAAAATAACTTCCCAAAACCTAGACAAGCCCGAAGCGATGGGCACGCACCCGCGCCTCGCTTCGCCCCGACGACAAAAAAAGCCCGCCTGTGAAGGGGGGGGGGGCTAAAACCCCATCAGCTGCCAGGTCGCGCAGAACCACAGAGGCACTCCGGCTACATAGTAGGTGGCCTTGCCCACGCGTGCCGCCCTGCTCCCACAGAAGCTCGGGGCCCCTGCCCGATGCAGGCGCCTGCGCTGTGCTTCAATCCATTGCTCCTTTTGAGTTCTGGAGCCAACAATGTGGCGCCTTGGAACCCTGGAGTTCCCGGTGGGGAGTGTCAGCTCCCGAACAATCGCCCGCGGGAACCCGGAAAGCAAAATGCCACACATCCGAAAGAGAAGAATCAAAAGAAGAACATTCGAGCGCCATCGGTTATCTCGAATCAGAATCGATGCGGATATATCAAACATTTCCCAACACGAGCGGGGCCGGCCTGCTTCGAAGCCGGCGTTAGTGGCGGCGACTCTAGAAGTTACGCCATGTCGGTTTGTCATCTTGCAGTGATCCGGTCCAAATCCGCGCCGCCGATCCGCTTCTTCGCTGAGTAAATTCAAACACTAAAAATACGTGAGGCAAAAGGCCCAAAAATAAGCTCGCGGTCTGTCCTATAAAGTGCCTTCAAATTTTCTCTGTGGGATTTTTACAAAAGGATACAAATGTCGGTCAAGATGCTGCGCATTTCGAACTGTCGAGTTCTCATTTCTTATCCCTGGTACTGTTGCTGCTTGATTTTTTCTTAAAGTAAAGCTCGCTGTCTCTGGGTGCTGATTTTTTATGTGCAGCGCACGCACTCGCTGGCGTCCATGTTCACAAATTTTTCCGTTCTTTTCATACAAACTTCTGGTCCTACATCTGAGTGATCATAATTGGTTCTGTGTTTCTAAATTAGTCTTCGTCGTCGTTCTTCGCAGCGGCCTTGATTGCCGCTGTGTTATACTGGGACTCCAGGTTCCGTAGCGTGGTGGCGTCGGTAGCCTCCAGGAGGAAGCTGAACTGGTTCAGGATGTTCAGGGTCCCCTTGATCGCTGGGTTGGCTGTTAGAGATGTTTTTGGATTTTGTAGAATTGCTTCTTCAGATTGGAATGCAGGCATATACAAAAATAAGGCTTTGCAATCTTTTGAAGCAATTCGACAAAATTCAAAAACAAATCTGCACCGCCTGGTATGCAAATCAAAATCCCACGGCAGCTCAGATTTGCAATGCTTTTCGTGGGTTGGCCCGCGTGTGAATGTCGTAGTCTTCACATAAAAGGAGGACCGCTTGTTGTCATGCACGACATGCGTGAGAGATTTCATGCAAAGGCGCAGCCAACCCATGGAAAGCAGACTGCAAAACTGAGCCGCGGTCTATATGCACCAGCATAGGCTTGGCCACATTCTGCATCATCTTCCCCAGATTCGCCAGGAGGGTCTTCGCGCTCTGCAGGTCCATGCCCTCACAGTTCTCGCAGAGCTTCACGAGGTATCGGTGGGAGTACGACTGGTCACCATACTCGTGGAACCACTTGTACTTGTCTGCATGCGCGATTTTTTCGAACTGGGTGCACAACTTCTTGACGTTTTCATACTCCTCCTCGTGTGGGCTGTTAGCGATGTGCACCGACGGGTCCAGCGCAGTCTTTCCCTCTTCGACGACCTTCTCCAGCATGTTCGCGATTTCTTCGGTTTTTTTTTCGCAGTCCTCCTCCAGGCACTGCAAATCGAAATCGATAACGGTGGAGCCGAGGTTCTGCATGGCCTCCACAATAGAGTACCTGGGCGTTGGGTGGACCAGACGATCTGCATCAAATTTGTCATGCATATGCGTATCCAGATTACCAAAGTCGGAAAATGCAAAACGAAACTTCTGGCACCTAGTACAGATGCTTGCGCGGGTGCCATAAAGCAGGTAAGTAGTTCTGTACATGCTCCATCCCGCTTTTTTTTTGTTCCGCAAATCGTCGTAGGCTTCGTTGCGCGAGGTGAGGAAGGTGCCGATCAGCGGCACCTTTTTCTTCAGCGGGTCGAGCTTCGCCGGCTTTGGGAGTGCGGGCCGCGACTGCAAGATACCGAGGTAGCCCGTGGCCTCCGCGCGACTGAAGAGGCCATGCGTGTTGAAGGCCTTGGCCAGAATGGTGTAAAATTGCCGGTCCTCCATCACCTTGTTCGCGCGGGCGTTCTTCAGCTCTCTGTTCAGTTGTTCCGCGGTGCCGCCGTTCGCGTACTCGGAGATGGCCTGGAGTTTGCAGAGGTTGTTTTCGAATCCACAGAGGCCGGACATCGCCCTGCGGCCAGGTAGCAACGCAAAAATTTTCTGCATGACAAATTTTTTACCTTTTCGATATCCACCGCCCCAAGGTCTTCCTTCAGCATGTCCTCGATTTCGCTCAGGTATCCGGCTAGCAGCGGCATCTCCGCGGACTTCAGCAGCTTCTTCATCTCCTGCAGCTCCTCACTAGTGACGTGTCCGGGCTTCTTGCGTGCGGAGGAGGAATTTTTCTGCATGTTCGGGTCCAGAAACAGCTCGTCGTCTTCGTCCACGTCCATCTGCGCGTCCTCCGCTTCCGCCCCCCCGACGACCTTGTTGAACTCGACGACCTTCTGCCAGCCCTGGACCATGTTCGGGGCACAAACTTCGAACGTGTCCTCATAGCTGTGTCATGTTATTTTTGCAGATGTCGATGTAGCGAGAGCATGCATACAGCCGGGGAAGGCCCCAATGAGACCACGAGGTCTCTCTTTATGCATGACAAGACGACGCATAGGCTCCTTCGTTCTGCAAAACAGATTGGAAGCAAGGCAAGACATATACTCTTCGATAAACTGCAACACAGATCGTGGCTCGGGCTTTTTCTTCTCCTTCTTCCACCGTTCGAGCATATTGGCCCGCACGAACGCGCCGGCTGCTTGATACGGCTCGGCAACTGTAGTTTGCAACTTTGAGAATCACTGAGGCCTGCATGACAAAAGAATTTAGGCGAAAGGGTGGCGCACTCAGAATAAGTAACAAAAAACCCCGGCAGAGGTTGTTGCCCGGCCACAAAATTCACACACTCACACTAAGTCCGGACGGCCGGTATTATGCATGACAAAATTGAGAAAACAAGATATGTACAATTTTCATTGCTGGTAGGGTGGTTGATGCCCGTCCGCATCATGAAGATGAAGTTGCTGACCACGGTCAAGGGGCACTGCCGCCCCCTCATTTCCGCCACGAGCTTCTGCGCCTCGGTGCTGTTCAGCGGGATGTACATTTCTTCCGGAAGAGTTCCGCAGAAGTTGAAGTTTGCCGTCCCCGCCGCTTTTTGCTTTTTCTCCGCGTCCTCCATAATGGCGTCCAGGTCTGCCATGTCCGCGCTCAGCATCATCTGCAGGAACGACGCGGGACCCGAACTACTGGCCACGCTCGTGTTTACCGCCCCACTGATGTTGCTCGAAGACGCCGTCGTGCTGGAGAGCAAGCTGGTTGCGCCACTGCTGTTGTTATTGGCCGGGGCCAGGGCGCCCAGGGAGGAAGAGGATGACGCAGCCCCCGCGGCTAGCAGGCTAGACGACGCGATGGTGGTGCTGGTTGTGCCGCCAGTTGAGGTGGCCGGAGCCTTCGGGTGGTTTGGCATTATCATCCCGGCAAACGCCTTCGGGAAACCACGGTCCTCAATCGCGAGGCCATGGTGGAAACACCACTCCCCGATTTTTTCGTTTCTCGCCGTAACGCTGTCCTTCGAGGCCAGGAGCGACTTCAACGACTGCCGTACCTCTTCGCCCAAAGCGTCCGCGCGGATGTCGATCAGCCCGTCCAACACCCAGTCCCGCAATATGAAACGAAAGCCAGGGCGAGGCTTGGCTTTCATGCGGCACAGACCTTGATATTCAAAACACTATGGACACACAGACCCAGACCCGGACACCCAATTTCGCCCCAAGACTTTCACAGACATAGACTCGTGCTCTTTGATGTAGATCCCCTGCATACTGACTTCCTTTTTTTCCGCCATTGTTTCCACAATGAGCGACCCCAAGTACTCGAGCGCAGACATGTTCTTCTTCGTGTTCGGGCACATGCCGAAATGGCCAGCCTTGGTCTCGAGCTGGGACTGCTCGAACCGGGGCCAATAATCCCTGCGGGCCTTGTTCTTCAGCTTCTTCAGCGCCTCGACCTGCAGCTCTTTGGCCGACGTCTGCTTGTCCGGCGCGGCCGGCAGTGTGGCGAGCCCGGTGGACTTCTTTTTTGTCTTCGGCCCGCTCGCGGTTTCGCCCGCGAGGCGCTTCCGCTGTTTTGTTGTTCGAGTTTTTCTTTTGCCCAGGAATGCAGGCGCGATGGGAGTGGGAGCGGCGCACGCTTCACAGGCCATCTCGGCCGGGAGAAAGGCACGCGCAAAGGGCGCGGAAAAACGCGGACGCCCGGTGGAGGGGCGTCAACCCGAGAGGCCGCATGGCAGGGGCGCCCGCAGCGGCCAGGGCCTGCGCACGGCCCCTGGCGCGTCTGGGCAGTATTTCTTCCCGCGCCGGCGCCTACCCCTGGCGGCCCAAAAACACAGGGGCCTTGCGCACGGCGTCGGCCCGGGCCACGCCGGCGCATGTGGGCAGTATTTCTAGCTCCGCGGGACTTTGGTCCCAGGCCACACAAAAAAACGCGCCCGAGAACAGGCGCTGCCCACTGCGGTACGCAGCGGCCCGGGCGCGTGCTGGCAGAGGGGCGCGAACCCGGCGGCCACCCGCTGCGCCACGGGGCACCTGCCCTGCCTGGCGCGCCTCTGGCCCGCGGCGCCGGCGCAATTTCGTGGCGCTAGCCCGGATGGGTTTTCGAGCGCACTTTTGCCAGCGCTTTTTTTTTTTGAAAAAATGCAGCTCGAGCTGCCACTTTTGCTGCCACAATTAGCTGCCACAAATTTCAAAAACGGCAGCCTGGGCTCCGGAAAAAAATGCCCAGAAATTCTGCCACAATTTGGGCGCCACAATTCGGGTACGCAAAAACGCACCTGTTTCGTTAGAAAAAATTTGTGGCAGGGTCGGGGCAGCGATTTGTGGCAATATTTCTGGGCATTTTTTTTGGGTCGGGGGACGATGAAAAAGACGGTCTGAGGGGCGGTTTCTGGAGCACCAAAACTGCTCATTTGTGGAACTACTAAAAAGCGCACGAAAAGACTCGCGTACCTGCTTTCCCGCTGTCGTCTCTGCAGCTACGGTCTGCGTGGACGACTGACCGATACTCACTGCGGGAGAGGCAGCCGGGGCATTTTTCTTCGACCGACATATGCAGACCAAAGCTTGCCCGCCCGGTGCACGAAAACAGACCAGCTGCTGCCATGGCACAGAGAACGCATGGCAGGCAGCCGAAAGCCAAAAAGGCCGGGCGGGCAAACTCATCTTCATATCTACCAGCGGAGCGACCACTGGATTCGGATTTTTGGGGCCGGACTGCGGGCCCGAAGCCCCTGTTACCTGCTGCGGCGCTGTTGCCGGTGCTGCTGTGGCTGGTTGTACTGGTGGGCCCCCGGAGTTCTTGTTTTTCTGCTCTCCGGCTGCTGCCACACTCGTGCTTGCCTGATTTGCTGTTGAGGAAGAAGTAGTTAGGCCACTGGCGGGTGCGGTTTGGTTGACCCCGGTTGTTGAAGAAGCAGCTGCCTGCTTTTTGGCAGCGGCCGTCGACACTGCGCTGGTGCCCTTTTTCGCAGCGCCGGCAGGCGCCGTGCTGCCGCCCTGCGCGCCCTGATTCGTTCTGGGCGCCATATTCTTGTGTTGCTGCAGCTGCTGCTTGTTGAATGATTCGGATTTGGTTGGGAGAAGCAAAATCCCGCAAAACCCGATGTCGCTCACACACACTGCCAACACAAAATCGGGGAAATGTCGCTACTCGAGCACTGAGGCCTAGCGCGCTACAGACCTCAACTCGCCGCTCATACTCGCTAATCTCTCACAACAGGTCGGACAACGAACGCAACGAGCAAAATGGACCGAGGCGAAGTCGATCTGCTATGCCACGACCAGCCTAGTGCTGGGCTGCTTTGCTTTGTCCGTTGGTTTAGAACTGTGCCGCACGTGGGTCAAACTTGCCTTTCACTACTTCTTGAAGCGATATGCAACAGAAAAGGGCGAGGGGGAACAGGTGCACGAAACGCACTACAAGATCTGAGGGCACAATATCAGTCGCATGCAAGTCGCCGCCTTGCACTCTCTTCCGCGCTCGATCTTTCATCTGCATAGCCCTGTTGTAAAATTTGTAGCGGGAAGCATGGGCCCAATACAGCTTGCGTTCGTGGAGGAAATCGACCACGAACTTTACCCCTTCGGCGACTTCCTCCGCGTAGGCTTCTCGGCAAGACATGGTGTACAGGTCCGGCTGCTCGTTTGCCGCGAGCGGCTCCCCAGTGGCGCCTTTTTCGACGAGAAAGACCAGCAGCTGCGCAACAGAAACCGCACAACGGGCTACGATTTTCAGATCCTCCCCGAAGGTGTCCACGTAGAAGCTTTTGGACTGCTGCGCGGAGGAGAAGAGAGAAAGGTCCCGGAGTCTGGTCAAGAAGTTCTCGTCGGTCGTCGTTATGAGGATGTTGTCGACGGTATTGCTCTTGTGCTCCGCCGTCCACTTCCCTCCCCGGTCGACCAGGCTGAAAGGAAGTATCGAACCCCGGCCGCCCATCTGCGTCACCATGTCCTCCACATCCCGCCCAAGCTTGCTCCGCAGCTGCTGGAAGTTGTCCGGCACTGGCGCCAGGACTTCTTGCGGGGCCGGTATGCTTCGCTGCTGTGGTGGGGCCGGTGCTCCGGCAACCAACCGAGGGCCATCGCGTTCAGAGGCATCGCCCGCGCCCTTTCTCTCCACTTTCGTCTTGGCGTCCCGCAGGTGAATCGCCTCCGACTTCTTGCTGCCCAACTTCGTGGCGGAATCAACAGCAGCGAAAGTATGAAGAAAGGACCCATTGTCGCACACTAGTCCTGGCGGGACGAAGAAGCAGGTCGCGCCCGTCTCCATTTCTGCGAACTCCAACGTGCGGCCCTGGGGGAGAAGAGAGTAAAACTGCGCCGCCGCGTCTGGGTCCTGGGGCGGAATGAGGGCCATGGGGGTGCCACCAAGCCGCATCGGGTTTTTGCCGGCAAACGTAATCCGGAATAGGTCGCAGTTGGGGGCCGACTTTCCTCGCCGGTGCCCGACGAAAACACACAAAACGCCGCCAATGACGGACCGGGGCTCCTTAATGTGCATGCGGCAGAGCTCGGCAACCACCCCGTCGATCCGCTGCGGAAGCTTTGGGCCCAGCGCGAGTTTCCTCGTCGGCGCCGGCAGCTGCTTCTTCGGCAGGGCTGTCTGTAGGAAATTTGCGGCCAGAGTCTGGAAGCGCGTGACAAGGTGGGAAATTGGCTGCTGGAAGAAGGCCGCCACCTCGTCGTCGGTCAAAAGATCATCGGTGTCCAGGGTGTTCGTCATGCTGAAGCACCGCGCCGCCGCCTCCGCTTCCTCCTGCATTCTCGCCACAACGCGCGCCGCCGCCCGAAATTTCTCCCGCTTCGCGTTTGCTATTTCCTGCCTGCGCTTCGCCACATCCTCCGCCAGCTTCATGTCCTGCTCGTCCGTCAGGTCGTGCGCCTTTTCGCGCAGGAACTTGCTCGCCACTGCCTTGTTGGCCTCGAATGAGTTCGCGTGCTTCTCCCCCCGGAACATCATCGTGTTCTTCCTGACCTGGCTCGCGGATTTCTTTATTTCCCTCGCAAGGTCCGCAAGAGAACCGGCCCCGGCTGCGCCCTCGCGATCAGTTATTTTCAGGCGCCTCCCCTGCGAGGTGTCGGATGAGTTTCCGTTAAACTGGGCGAACAACTTCAGCAGCACATACACTACCAGGGTCGCATGCTGCATCCTGTGCCGCCGGCTGATCTTCGCGGCGTGGGTGTGCAGCCGCTCGGTGAAGATCGTCGAAATTGAAATCCGCTTCAAGGACAAAAGCAGCCCGTCCAGCGTCGCGCGGTTGCGGTCAAGCAAGGTCCCGCAGTCCCGTAGCCGCAGGATCTTCTTCGTAAAACCGAAGTCCAGGTCTTTCGGGTCCTCCATTTCCGCCAAGCCCAAGAACTGCTCCACCGTATCCGACACAAGCACCCCGCGCCACGGCCACTCCGATAACTTCGGAAAACAGTCCAAGTACAATTTCGCGGCCCCCATTTCCAAAACCAGCCGGCTCTCATCCGCGACACTGCTGGGGAGGTTCAGGAATCCGCAAAACTCGAGGGTAACTCTACTGCGCTCGTCCTCCAAGGTCTGGTCGAGGATGGTCTGCACCAGGTCCAGGCTCCCTATTGTCGGCTGATCCAAAAGCACCCAACCCGCCCGCGCCAAACCGGAAGCCCCAAGGGCGATGATCCAGCACCGCCGCACGAACGACGAAAAACTCATCTTCTTCGACCGGAGGGCAGCCTTGAGGAAAAATTTCTTGCTGGACGCCTCCAGAGCCAGCTCCGCCACCTCGTACAAGCCCAACAAGCCATACAGGCAATACCGCTGGATCGGCTGAATGGCGTCCCCGAATCTCTGAAGACTGACTTCCTGCGGCTTGTAAACGTCCTGCAACAACAGTGCGGCCGCACCATGCTGGTCCGCTGGCAAATTCCCGAGAAGCAGCCCGCCCTTGTACCGCAATTCGGCGGCCAGCAATCTCGACACAAGGCCAGCCGGAAGGCTGTCCGCTACTAGGTTGATGATGGAGCGGTAGATGGTCCGGTCCGCGGGGGAAAGTGGCTGGTGGTGGTATCGCGCCTCACAAAAATCCGCACAATACCCGCGAACCACGGGGGAGCTGCCATGCAGGGACGACGCGACTCCGGAAAAGGCCTGCTGTGTCGCGTTATCCGGTAATTGGTAAGAAACGGAGTACTTGATGCCCAGGTGGAAGTCGTGGACCGAGCACCTGCTGATGACGAAAAGGTCGCAGATGAGTATCGGGCTTGAAATTCCTCTGAACACCCGCCCCTTCAGAACCAGGCCTAACAGAAGATGGGAAGAGCCGCGCACACGCCGCTCGGCGCGAGCTGTTCACGCGAAATGCAAAAATCATGCAAGTTGGCAATCTGCGTACTGAGATTGCCGCTTGGCCTGGTGCTGAAGTTCTGGGTGGCCAAAGAAGTGCCATGCCATACGCTCCTCCAGCTCCTCCCCATCGCCGCAATGCCGGTGGAGGCGCGGAACCTGCCCCGTCAGTGTTGCTGCGGATGCGCCATCGCCCCCGTAGATACTAAGCGTGCAGATGCCGTCGATAAAAACTCCCGCGTCCCGCAGCTGCTGTCGCAATGGCCGGACCATCGCCGCAAGGACCTGCCCATTCTGTTCCGCAGTGTGCCCCGCGTTCATCTTCACGAGGGGGTGGAGGAGCCACAACCGGTTCACCTCGTCGCCGCAGACTTTCCCGAACGCCTGAAGGAGCAGCATCGTCTCATAGCTTATCATAGTTCCGGAAGTTTCGTCCAGCGTTGATATCGGGGTCCCGTCGAATTCTATGTGCGTAAAAAAAGCACACGCGTCCGCCTGCCCGCCGTGTCGCACAAAAAAATTCGCCGCCTGCATCTGGTGCTCCAACAATAACAAGGCGAAACCCTGCCGAAACTGCTCGAGGAGGTCCCCGGCGTACTTGTCCGAGTGAAGGCGCGGGTCGTTCTTCTTTGGCCAAGTGCCCTCGTTGGCGTAGATCATCATCTTGGTGCAGAAGGTAAAAAACCTGCCCTGCACACGCTCCGGCACCTTTGGAAGCTGAACCAACTCGCGGAAGGCTGGCGTTGGTACATTGATGTTGGACACAGCAACAGCGCTGCTCTGCGCCCCGTCGGAGCTTGAACTAGCCGACATCGCGGCTCCGGCCAGGTGCAGCTAATCAAACGGGTAAAGCTGCATCACTCCCCGTGCACACGGAGACGCTTCTTCGACGATCATTTTGCGCCGGGGTATGGAAAACGGCTGTAACTAAAATCGAAACACAGAACCAATTATATGCAAAAGATGAACCAGGAAAATACATGCCTTCTCTCGTTCAATTAGAAGTTTTTTTTTTTTCCTTTCACCTCGCCCCACCTCGCTTCCATCGCCATGGCTGCCACTGCTCTCAGACATCTCAATGGAGAAAGCAACAACAACTCAAGGGTAGGAAGTAAGTCTCTCCTACTTCTCGCTTCCTCGGACTTCCGAATCGCAAGACGGAGACCAGGGGAACGCCAACACTGCGGGTCGCCAATATGTGTGGCACGTCGTCCTCACTCCTTGATCTAAATTCTAAAATGTGGGCATTTTTTTGGACAAAAATCTGTGAACGATATGGCCCGGGACCATCCATATGAAACGTGTACAATTTTTTTATACGATTTCCCTTTACAACAAGTTGCTCCAAAAGAGCCAAATACAAATTCTTTATAACGGACAAAAAAAAGGATTATCACCTGCTTGAAAAGAAACAAAGAAGATGGTCATGCTTGTGGCTGCTGGTCGCAGTGGTCGAAATAAGACGCCGCGCAAGTTTGCGAAGCGTGCTGTTGCAGGAGGAACCAGAACTGCAGTGGCGATTTTTGCTAGTTTGTACACGTTACAACTACCGGCGCTGGTCGATGCAGCGGGTGCTGCATCCTCGCCGCTGCTGCCCGGACGAGATGATGATGTTGTCAATCAGGTAACGCAGGGCTTAGGAGGTATGAGCTTAAACGACCAGGTCCAGGCCGACTACCCGGTCATGAAAGACATTACGGATGTGGCGATATACATTCTGGACAACAGCGCCAGCATGTGGTCTACCAGCATTCGCGGGGAACCAGTGCGGGCAAAAGAGATCGACTACGTCCAGTGGGAAACGCACGAAGAGGGAGAAGGGCGGGTCTTCCAGGAAGGACAGATTCCTGGTTGCTTTACCCACAACCAGCAATGGCTCGAGCTGGTTTCCAAAACCGAGCAAATCGCGCGATACAACGTACGTCGTCGGATGCCCGCATTGTACATTATGCTGAATGGTAAAAAGAAAAACGTACACCAGACACGTCACGTGTCATCTGAACGTGAACAAAACAAAGACTACGTGCTGATCCTGCCAACCGACAACGAGACTGAAAATACGGAGAGGCTAAAGGAATTGCGAGCAATGATCGACTCGCGCAACGTATACAATGCAGGTGGTTATGCAGGGAAAAAAGTTCGTCTCCATCATCATATGAATTTTTTTTACAAGGTTAATATGCATCCATTTGCACATCCTCTGTGGTTTGTCTCACAGAAAACAGAAACAGTAAACAGATCGCGTACTTACTCATAATTTTATAAAGCTCGTCGCCTTTATGCCGGCGGATTGTTCTGGTTTTTCAAAAACAATTTACGAAAGTAGATGACGAAGAGTGACTGTGGTGGACTTTTTTCTGTGGATAAGGGCACGCCTCTTGTCACTATGACCCGTGCTCTCGGCTCTTGGCTGTTTAGAAGTATTATCCCGGAAGCAGATCCTCGTAACCAAATTTTTGCCGACTCACTGTTGCAGGATTTCGGGAAATTAATTCTCAAACGAGCGAAAGACGTAACGGTGGTTTTCGTGACGGATGGGATGCCGGGCGATGGGAATATGGCGTCTTCAAGCGTTACATTCCTCAGCGGGTACGATTTTATGGTGCGTTCGTGAAGACGCAAAGGCAAACCAAAAGTGACACGCAAAGGAGGAGAGCAGCAGGTGATCTTGCCACGTTTCATATTGCCACGCAAGATTGGTATACAACATTTCATTAGGAGACATGTCCTGGATCGTTCTGTATGTTGGGCTGTCGCGCTCGGCTAGCTGGCCGGGCTGTACTGATCAGGTGCGGTGTGTAGCTCCCGACTGGTTGGTGCTTTTATTGGGGCGACTTGCCGTGGTAGCGCTCGGCTTTTGTATGTTGAGGTCGCCGAAAGTGCTTCCTCGCCCACCCCCCGGGGAGGGGATCCTTGACCTGTGGCGCTGGGTGCGGGTGTCCACTACATGATGATGATGATGATGAAGACATCTTTGTCAGTGCTGTGTATTTATTAAAGCATCCGATGTTATAGAGAGTGCTTATGTCGTGCGAAGATGGGGAAGAAGGAAAAGGCTGAGCGAATTGGAAATGAACGGCAACAGGTATACATAGGTCAGCATATGAAGATATAATTTCATCGGAGGCGGCCAGCTCCTCAAAGTCACGCATGCGCTAGGCTAGCGATGGATACTGGTAACCGCTGAGGACTGGTAACAACATCTGAGGACGCCATACGCCGCGTGAATCAATTCCATGATGCGATGCAAGATGTAGCGAGGTGGGGACATCAAAACAGAATCAGCTTTCTCTTTACCGCTACGCTCTGCACGGAGTGCAGGGAGGTTGTAAACGAGTACAACGCGCTGGATGAAAGAGTAAAAGGCCTCGGTGAAGGGCGCACCTTTAAACTTGACGTCATCGATGATTTCTTCGGGGAAGCTTTGGAGGTAGCCAAAAAAAATCCAGCCTTTGTGTACAGCTTCCAGCCCATTCATGAAGCCCGCCAGGCTGGTTGGAATGCCCCAAAGCAGGTCGGCGACAACTTGGACGAGAAGGCGCTTAGCCTGGTTGAAATGGAGCTGTTGGCGCTCATGGTCGTACGTGCCGCTTTCAAATATGACAACCAGCGCAGGGAGTTTTTCCCACCTGTGGACTCCGCCAACAACCGGTGGCCTAGCCCTAGCAGCAGAGAGGGCTCCTCCAGAGCTAACTACAGGTGGTTGTATGAACTTATTGCTCCCGCCAACGAGCATGCGAAGAAAGTGTTCAATGTGATCCCGTATCCCGAGCAACTCCAGCATTACTATCCGCCGCAAAAGATACTGATGCTGACCCTCTGCAGTGTGTGAAGTGACTTCTACTACCCGTCCCCTGAAAATTGAACTTCAGACTGCCATGCCTATAGCTTGACACTGCAAGACTCATTTCTCGTGCGAAACGCATCGAAAAACGAAAGTGCCGACTGCAATGCTCTGAAACGCGCTGATCGCCTCTTCCCCGTACGAATAGAAATATTCACACACCTGTTTTGTATCTTTCTGTGTGCTTTTTATTTGTACGACGACGAGCATACATGTAAAAGTTTGCGCAACATTTTTGCGACCAATATTTTTTATGTAAAAAATCTTTTTATGGAACGCATAGGCATAGGTGGCAAAAACCCGCCGTGGGCACGCATTGATTTTATCCTTATCGTCGAACAACTATCAGGGTCACGTTACAGCAGAGGGTCAGTACAACTTCAGCCCTCTTCTATAAAGATTCGATTTCGGAACCGCCAAAAGTTGGATTTCTGGAATCCTTGTTGTTGGGCAGCGCACCTCCGAAACCGGGATACGGCCGGGAGCATTGCCAAATTAAAATGAACTGCATGCGGCTGCCGCACCCCATTCTCGGAACCGAAAGTGACCGGCCTTCCGTTTCCCGGGACAAGCAGGGAAACTGTTTTCAGGACCGTGGACGCGGTCTCGAGTTCTTACGTAAGTATTGCGAGAAAGGTCTGGTCTCGCCGATTCACGTGGACTTGCTTCGCATTGCTATGGAAAACGCAAATACCACACCGAACCCGAAGATCAAATTCCAAGCGCCCCCAAGTGCTCGTGACTCCTCCAGTGCATACCGCCCCGCTCGCCGGGGTTTGTGCAATTGCCGTAACCCTCAAAGAACACGTGGAGATCCGCACCTTCCTTCGGGTCCGCCACTTCGTCCGTCAGGAAACAATCCTGTTTGGCAGCCGTCACTACCTCCCTCAAAGACGCTGACGGTGACCAACCGACTGGCAGGCAACGCCAAAGGTTTACAAGATGTCCAGCAGCCGTCTGACGCTTGCGGCGTCAGTGGTGTGAAAGAAGAAGTAGCCCCGATTAGGATCCTCTCCGTAGAAGAGGCGAATAACCTGCGCGGGGGCTCTCCAGTCGATCCAGCAGGAGATGCCTGGGAAGAGCTCGTCAGAGCGCAGGTCGTGGGGAGGGGTTGGCGTTCGCGAGGCACTACGTCCGACGCGCCTCCGAGCCGTGAGGGGCCGAGAGAGCACCAACCCCGGGCGCCGCGAGGGATCCTGCCGTAACAGGTCCACAAATGCACTGAGATCCAATGGGCCCCTTGTACGTACGATGTTTGTGCACACCGATCGCTCTTGCCTGTGGCTTCGATAATAATAATAGACGCCAGCAACTCAATCTGGGTTTCACGGAGAAGGACTAATTAAGTACGCGCTGACGCTCTCTGCGCAAAAGGTAAATGGCACGAGGAGCGTATATAAGTAGGTATTCTTCGATATCGATTGTGTAGCAAAAGCATCAGAATTTTCATAATTTGTGTCTAGTCTCGACCACTTAGGCGTCTGTTAATGTGACAAGATGTCTACAGTTAAGAGCATGAAGGTGCGCTAACATTCGATCTTATTGATGAAGCCAGCAGCGGGCACCTGCTGATGCTGATGGTACTACTCAAACAAGAAAAACATAAAAGAATTGAAATTGATGAAATACAAAAATCAATTTCAAGCTTGCATTTCTCCGACTCTCTCGTCGTGACACGAGATTGGGAGAAAAAAGACTCTCTATCATCGTCTGCCTGAAGGAAACGTGCTGGAGATAAATTTTTTTTTTGTGGAGAACTCTGACTATCAAACTTGTACAATGAATTGCCAAATCAGACTTTATTTGAATTTATAGATACACCTTATCGGTATTACCAGGTACGGGCCTTGAATGTTGCTACGTGTTTCGTATGTAAGTCATCGACTTTCGTCACCGTTGCCGTACGCTTATACATACATTTCCTTTACTAGTCATACTTAGTGGCCATCTTTTGACTCGTCGCTGTTCGCACGACACAAAACTTCTCTGCTCATATTTATTGCAAGTATCTAGAAGATCTTCGTTTGACGCGGAGGAGTAGCTTGCTACTCACTTGCACGAAAAACTGCAACAAGAAACTAACCTGACTGGATGTCACAGCGCATCATGATAGAGAAACAGTTGTTATCAGCCCCGCAAGAAACCCGAAGCGGTACCGAGGCCCACGACCGTCTTTCATCATGATACTGGCAGGAAAATGTAGTTGTAGGGACAGGATCACGAATAAAAAACTAGAAACTACAACATCTGCGCCCTTGCGATTTCCAGGACAACGAAGAAGATATGGAAAAGCAACGGAAAATCAAACGCTGCGTCGAGGGAGCATTTGCTTTTCCGACATAGCACTACATGTCTCCGACATAACATCCAAAACTAACAGGTGATGAGGCGCCTCTGATTTTCGCTCGAATTCACCGTCAGTTATGCTTTTCCTCTAGTATCGTAAAATGCGCCCAGCAGAAAATTAATACATAGCTAGTATGTTACAAGTGTTCACAGTTGTAGGAACAGTCACACCCTGCTACATGATCTTAGCTCTGCAGCTTATAACAAACGGATCATAAATTAAAGGAACGGCACTCTGCATGTTTCGTGTCTCCGACGTCGCGGAACCGTTTGAAGAACTGAATGCGATCCAAAGGAGTCCGTGCAAAAGGATATAACGATCTGGATCTTGTACTCCTCGACGCTCAAGCATACGCATGCAGATGCACTCAGTTCATCCTTTTTAGGACTTGGTAACTAGACTGAGGTGCCGCCCATGCTGTTTGGTCTGATGGATGTTGACGCGCGTAAGCGGTCTCGACGATTTGGCTGGACATACTGTGTGGCTCAGCCGCACTCGTTGTCGTGTCGGTTTCGACCCTCACGCGGCGACAGCTGCCTGTCTGGCAACCTGTCACCGCCTCTTCGTGGCCTTCGCCACCGGTCGTTTGTGCTCGACCCTGCCTCCTTTCGCTGTGCGACTGGGGGTGGGTCTCGGGTACAAAACGACCGTCCCACCTCGGGGGAGAGGTCAACTTCTCTTGTCCTGTATGACAAAGTTACCACCTCTTGGTACACCATCGGTTCATCTGCGATGAACCTGTGCCCTTCGGCACTGTGGCTGCGTCTCCGCGCCACGCTGCACCTCACGCAGCGCTGCACCTCACGCAGCGCTGCACCTCACGCAGCACCGTCGCGTCGTCGCGACACTGTTGTCTCTCACAACACGCGTTGGTGGTGCGCAAGCACCCCTTCGCCCCCCCTTCTGCTGTCTCCAGCAGACACCTCCGTCGAGGTGCCGCTACCACTTGTGCGCGGCTGTGTCCGCGTGGTAGCACCTGTGCTTGCCTCTGCAGCACGCTTTCTTACGCTGCCAGCTCCCCGTGTGGGACCGTGCAGCGTGCGGTTGGACACCGCAGGCCGTGTGTTATGCTCCTCCGGTGCGCAGGCAAGTTGACCTGCGCGCGCATCGGTGTCGGCACTCACACGTCATGCCTAGGGGGCGCTGCTCTGGCAGCCGCTGCGCCCCCGCCGCCTCGCACCTCCCCGTCTGGTCCAGATCGGGTTGTGCGAGTGCATAGGCCTGTGCGTCGTGCGACCTCGTAGGTGAAGGTCGGGCGCTACGGGCCTCCCGCCCGCACATCCATGTGCGGCGCGGGCGCCGTCGTGGGTCCAGCGCACCGCTCGTGCGTCTGCGACCCTGACGTCCTCCCAGGGGACGCGCGCAGCGCCCCCTGTCCACCTCTCGTGCCGCCCGCGGCACCGGCGCGCCCTGTCACCACGATGTGGTGGGGCGCTCCTCCTCTTTTCCCCTCTGCACTGCACGCGCGGTTCGCGGCTGCAACGGCCCGTTGCACCCGCGCGACCAGCGTGTCCAGCCGCCCCTGCTGCATCCCCGCTTGAGCGCGCAAGCGCACTCGCAGGTGCATGTGCAGCGGCGGCCACCGGCTCTCATGCCTGTGACAGTGCAGCATGCGTGAACGCGCGGTTGCGCGTGCACGCACACGTGCTACAACACGTGCGGGTCTCTGCCCGCACGGCTGCGATCAAGCGCTAATGCGCTTGCGCACGCGAGTGTACGCGCTGGCGCGCAATGCCAGCACGCGTGCACACGCGCAGGTCACGGCTGCGTATCCACCGTGTCGCAGCACGTAGCCGTCGCCCCCGACGCTTCACGCTGCCACCTGTGCTGCCGCACAGCGACGGCTCGCTCGCAGCTGTGCTGCAGTACTGCCCGATGTGGGCTACCGGTTGCTGCAGGTCGCTGACCTGGGCAACTGGTGATCAACCTGCTCGCACCATGCACGGTGCCAGCAGGCGGTGTCGCCTCCCGTTGCATAAGCAGATCGACAGCACCACCATGCACATGTTTGGCATCGTCGCAGTACGCGCTGAAGACCTTTGCGAACGACCTGCACCTGCCTGCGCCGGAACACACGCAGGTATATCGTAGCACGTTTGTCATGCACACAACCACACGCCACCACATGACTAAAGCGCTTTTCCACCCAGGGTGGAAGCGGTCTCGACGATTTGGTTGGACATACTGTGTGGCTCAGCCGCAGGAGGCGGCGAGTCGGTCGAGAACCTTACGCGGCCGCAGGTGACTGAGATTGGCATGACCGTCGTCACGCCGGGAGGGATGCCGCACAGGCCTCCTGTCCCTATTCTCTTGGTCTTTTTCTGCCCACCCTGACTCTGACCCCATCTAGGGCCAGACATGTCTTGGCCTCCAGTGAGGCGTCAGGAGTCTCTCTGTACGGTCTTAGTCTTGCCACGGCACGTGTGCATGCATCCTAAGGACAACGCACCACCGCCCTTCCAAGAGTATAGTCTAGCTCACACCAGAGCCGCAGGCTATGTGTGCTCTAGGGGTGGGGCCCACTGCCCGCCCCGCCACTTCTGAAGGACGCTCACGGTGCGTTTCAGCGTTAGGGTGTGTGCTCGCGCACCACCAAACGGCGACCCAGCCCCCTTCTGGGGGCGGGGGCCGCTGTAGGCATCCATCGGTCCGTGAACGGACGAAGTAAGACCATACAGTATGGGCATTGGCACCTGCATAATAGTTAGGCGAAGACAAACAAGGGCAGAAGCGATCACACCGAAATAGTTGTTAAAGCTGCGAAAAAACGTCGTAAATCGACTGTGAATGAGCTCGCGGTCGAGGTCGGATCTCAATCTCTGTCTCGTGTGCATATTACTAGCTGAAGCTTTATTCGATCGCATTCTCTGTCTCTCCACCACCTGACTTGCTCTTGCATTCAAAATTTTTCCTCATGTCATTTTCATAGAAATGAAAAAGGTCCTGTTCCTAAACGAAAATGTCAAATGTGTTCCATTTTCCTTGTTTGGGATTTTGATACTTACAACCAGGCTGAACGTGAAGCGTTTTCTCACGTTTCACATCTACTTACAACATCATTTTTTTGTTAACTTTTGTAAAATCATTTCTCTGAATTTCACATTACAATTCATTTTCACCTTTCTGACACGTGCACACGACGACGGCTTTGAAATTTGGTATGGAATTTGCTAATACAACATTCTCCTACCTATAAGTATCTCGAAATTTATCAATTTTTTTTCATTCGTGTAAACGATAACGACACGGCGCTACTAGTCGGCTTCGCAACTGAATTTTCATGACGATGCTTCGCAAATCGTCAGTTTGGGCCGCGTTATGGCTCCTCGGATGCTGCACTCGCAGCTGTAGTGCTTCTGGAGCACAGGGATTTGCTGCTGTCGGGGGCGGTCCTTCTAGGAGAGATCCGCAAGATGTTGGCGTGGATTTCCTCACACGGCAGTTTCCGTGGCTCGCCATGACCGATACTTCTCCTGTTCGGCAACAAATCGGACTGGATACGCGGAACGCCAGGTCCTCCTCCTGTCCAACAACAGGCGAACGCAGTACACCGAGATTCGGGACACCTGCTGCAGATAAAAATCGTCGACGCTCGAGGTCGTTGACGCAGACAAGGACGCAGGACACCAGAACGGCGCCGGTAGTTTTGCCTGGTCAGACGCTACAAGGAGTTGTACCGCGCTCAGGCTCACGTGGTCGTGGGGGTCCGACCAGAAGTAGCACCAGTAGGTGCTCGTCCTCCCGGTCTCGCCTGCATTCGCGCTCGGCCAGCGCGCAGCGTCGGCCTGCTGAGCAGCAGTCACAACCAGCTTCCAGCTACGCTGCGCATCCTGATGGAGAACTGATGGGAATGGAACAGCCAGCGGCACCGTCTGATCAGGGACTGCCGGCATCAATGCTTGATCATGCACTGGGTGATCAGGCACTGCGTTTTTCCGCTGCACTGTATGCTCCCTCTGCACCGCCCCCTCCTGCCGACCCCGGCGCACTGGGACATGACGGTCTGGTCTCTGACCAGACTGTGGAGCCTTTGCCTGACGGACAGTCTGGGGAATCTGAGGAGTATCCCGTGCCCGAGGAATTGTCGGAATTCGCTGTTTTACCAGATGCAACTTATTGTAATTTGAATTTTCATGATGTCTGGGTAGGCTTCGCGTGAAGGAGGCGGAAGAAGTGCCGAGCCAGGCATCGATCAAGTCATCGCGTATGATTCTTGAAATATGTTGCACAAGATGAAATTTTCAACTCTTTCTCGTGCAGACTTCGAAAACACTTGCATTTCTTTGACGGACCTACGAAAAGTTTGACAAGCCTCTGCCCTTCGCATTGCGCATGTCATGATACTAGCCAATCTCCCCTCTTCTCGACCACGTAGCAAAGGCAACATATCTATCACATATCCTAGAGGGATTTGTAATTGAAGCAAGTTGATGCGGTTCTTGTGGTTGTCCTCAATTCAGTAAGTTTTCGTCACAGATCTATTCGCTTTCTACTTCGCTGTAGACCGCGAGACCCCCCAGACATGTTTGCACTGCATACCCGTACGTGATCGACAACAGTCCCAGCATGTGGAAGGACGACGACGACGTGCAGGCGAAGGAGGTCGACTACGTGCAGTTCCAGGAGGATCAAGAACAAGATCCAGAAAAATGGTACGAATCGGATGTCATTGGTCTGCGGATTGATGTAACGAAACAGTGGAACGTACCCTTTGTGAAACCGTCCCCACGAGCACGACCCCAGACCTGTTTGGGCAAATCTGCAAGTAGCCTAAAGTGTTTCTGGTGCCTGCTCATCCCAATGACCAGCGGTTTCTCATGCTGTCTGAGAGCTTGCCATGCTAGAAGCAGAATGAGATGGCCGATTTGTACTAGTGATGCAGCTTGATTAGCCCAACAGGCGAACACTGCGAGTCCAAACGTGTCACGCCCGATAGGAGGAGCCAGACCTTGTTGATTTGTGTACTACTAGCACAAAGATCCCCACCAGCTTGACTCTGGGGTGTTTTGTATACTGGAAAAGACCGAACTAAGGGACAGAGAAACATCTTAACACTGGGGTAGGGACGATTTCGCAAAGGATAGAACGAGCTGCAGTCGAAGGTGGAGCAGATTGCCCGATTCAACATCCTGCGCCGCATGCCCGCTCTGTATCTCATGCTGAATCGGCGCAATGATTCTGATGAGCAGCCTCAAGGGGGAGCCTCGCAGAGCCCTTCGTTCGGTCAGTGGCAGGAAGACATAGATTTCGTCTTCATCCACGCGTCGGACGAGCACGCCGCTGAAGACGGGCGCAAGCGGCTGCGCAAGATGCTGCGTGACCAGTACCAAAGCAACCACGGAGAGGGTACGCCGCTTAACGTCATGACGCGCGCAATCGCCACTTGGTTGACGGGTGTTAATGAGATGAAAGTCAACAACAAGTATCGCGAAGAGGGTGAACATCTGAGGCGCACCAACGCCGATCTCCCGTACGGCCGAGAAGAGTACTCCCTGGACTTCGACATCGACTTAAGCGACGGCGGACAAAAAAACAACAAACAGGTTTTCGAGTGGCTCGAGGAGCAGGGTCTTATGACTCCAGTCCAGGAAAAAGAAATTCGGCGCAGGCAGAATAATCGTGTCACTCCGGGACACATCCCAGTGCGGGACGCCCATGAAAGACTGCCACGGCATTTGACTCAACTCCAGCAGGAAAAGAACGTTCCGAAAGCCTTGATCTTCGGCTCCCCGTTGTTGCAGAACCTACAAACTGACTTGTTCGGCAATCCGAATAACCGAGTGAAAACCTGTACGATTGTGTTTCTCACGGACGGCGAGCCAGAAGATGGCATCAAGTATCTGTACGACGCTGCGAATCAAAAAATCGGCATGGGCAGCTTGGCGCACGTGGGACCGGCCGTTGATGGCGATGATCTCCTCAAGAAAGAACACTCCCTGGAGGAGTTCAAGGATAGTCTCGTAGCGACGAGCCTGCTGGGACACCGCAGTGGCTTAAAATTCTTCTTCACGGTGGTGCTTTGTACGGGAAAGGAAGACGTAGTGGAAAACTACAACGAACTTGACACGAAGGTGAAAAAATTAGGAGAAGGCGCTCAGTTCGCACTGGACGTGGTTGATGATTTTTTCTCTGAGTCTAAGGAAGTCCGTGCGAAGAATCCTTTCCTGGTGTACAGTCTCCACCTGCACATTGCCCGCATGGCCGGTTGGAATGCACCTCACAATGTCGGAGACAAGCTAGACGAAACACGGTTCAGTCTTCAAAACCCGCAAGAGGACGCGAAGTATATGAAGGCGCTTCTGCAAAGCGTGTTCGGAGAAGCCGAGATGAAGGCGGTGGGCACGCCGGGGACACAAAGATGGTACGAAAAGCTTCAGGAAGTCAGCAAAAAGGCTCGTCGCGTGTACAATATTTTGCCGTACCCAGAGGAACGGGACGCACTCATGAATTTCGCACTGCGATCAACATTGCACTTTCGCCAGGCCGTCGCCACCGGGGTTTCGTTGGTCCTGCCCACTCCGTCTGTGGATTCCTTTCTCGCTGCCCAACGCCAAAAGGTGGCCGAATTTTCCAGGGAGGGGGTTAGCGACTATGCGGCTAAGTTCCGCAAGGTGTACATGGACGAGAACAGGCACGTGGACAGCATGTATCGTAATTGAAAGCGCCCCCAACCAACGATCCAACAAACTATCTGCGCACCTCGGCGTAGTACTGCGAACAGACTAGGTTTTATTCGTGTGCCCGCTACTTCTGTACGAGGCAGTCGGCTCGTCCTTTGCAAAAAGAAAACGCGACTCGGACGAGAGCGCTTTCTTTAATCGCGGTGCTACTTTCTGTCGTCGCAACACATTCTCGGGGTGGCGGTAGGATCGTCATCGTGTGCTGTCATTTACAAAAGAGACGCAGACTCGTCTGGAACGTGGCCCGCGGGGTAATCTTTAGCTTGCATTGCCTCCGCGTCCGCAGTGGTTTCTCTTTGTTGCAAATTGTTCTTCTCCTTAGCCCGCTACCTTCAATGATGGAAGCGTTTATTTTTGCACTTTCATCTATATGCTTTGCCTATTATTGTTTATTTTTGCCTATGATGGAAGCGTTTATTTTTGCACATTCTATTATTGTTTTTCTATATGCCTCTGTCTCGTTCCGCGCCGTCAAGTACTTATAATACGGGACGAGAAATGTACTAGATAGCGATACATATTGTACTCGTCTATGACATCTGTGCGCTGTGACCGCTGCCCGGAAGGGTGCAGCTCACGTTTCTCGCATTAAGAAGTAGTAAGTCGTGGCTTCGTCATCGTCTAGGAATTCGAGCAAGAGCTTACCCCATACCGACCTGGCGCCACGGGAAGGCACTGGGATGACTTCATGTGGGGGGGCTGGCGAACCACATGCATGGGCCTTGTTTTTTTCCCGTTTGGCCAGCGGGGCAAACCACAAAAATCGGTCACGGGTTGAGGGTGTGTTTAGGGATTTAGGGACCCTAGTGGGTTGACCGCAGCAAAGTGTGAATAACTTCGCGTTGATCACGGCGCTCGGTGGCGTTGGGGTGACTGCTTCTTTGCTTTGCGCGAAAGAAGTGGCCGGGCAAAAGCTTGGAGTGGGAATTTCCACTTCGACTTCGTTAGAGTCAGGGTTTCTGCAGCTCTTGGCTCTTACCCGGAGGCTTTCGATGGTTTGATCGGTGGACGGGATTCGCCTGAACAGTAAGGGTGGGCAGGTGGTAACCCTGGTGGACACCAAACGGCAACGGGTGCTCGTCCGCTACTAAAACGGGCGGCGTTCGGACATCTGTGACGCGGCTGGCGACTGACCCAGTGCAGACAATTAACCTTGAGGAAATTAACACATCTCTCTGACAGTTCCTGGCTCACCTGATAGCTTTCCTCCACTATCAAAGAAGCTTGCCTCACATTGTTTTTCTATATGCCTTGCGTTCGTCCAGACATGCCGGCATCTCGTTCATCCGGGAGCGTTTCGGCCGCCCGACCGGCACACCCCCGCCTGCCTCCATTTGGAATCTTTGCGAATGGCGGGAATGGGGGGTCCCCAGATGCTAAATCTGGATGAAATTTTCCTGACGGAAGGTATCCTGAGCCACGCCGCTCCTTCGAGGGTCGTGTTGCTAGGTTTTCGAAGTGCTGCTACGTCGAGTATCGGCTTCACAGGTAGGAACTCCTCGCTGCTTTCACGTCGGAGACCTTTTCAGTGCCCCTTGTTCTCCCGGTGTCTTCCCTCCAGGCCTGCCTCGGGCTGTCCGGGTTTCCCACCTTAGCCGAGGGTCCGCACGAACCCAGCCTCCTTAAGCTTATCGGCCCCGCCCTTACGCAGAGTTTCGGCCCCTCCCCACCGCACAGCCTATCAGGACATCCACCTCTTCACTTCCCCGGCCTGACCCGCAGTTACTGCCCCCTCCTGCGAAAGTAGATTCTCGCTGCCCCGTTACAAGCAGATACATAAGGCCCCTAGGATTAGCATTGAGTTAGTAACTATGGCCTATCTACTGGTACTGCATCATCATGAACTACTTAATAAAGGTGGGGCATTTCCTTTTCGTTTTCTTCATCTTTGCGCAAAAAAATCTAAGCGACAGTAAGGATTTAGGTGTTTATGTGATGTAACGCGCACGCAGATGAAATTGCAATTTGAAATTGCAGGATAATCGTGTGAGGGGGCGCAGTCTTTGACCAGCTTGATAAATGCGAAGCTTCAGGGGCAGTCCAGTTCGAGAATTTGCGGCAGTGGTGTGAGGGCGGGATGAGAGAGCCACTGAACTTCAATGCCCTGGACAGCATTGTATCAGCAGATTGCCGCGGTGCATCGACGGCCTCGCTGTTGAGGTGCGGCAGCCGCAACACGGGCGGTGCAACTGCAAGACCGCCTCCCGGAGTGGCCCCAGAGGAAACAAGTCAGCGTGAATTCCCCCGGGCTTGGCGAGATGGGCGCACACCGATCCATGCAAAGATGCTGACGTCAGAAGAGTTACAAATACTCTCCAGTAAGGAAAAGGATCGGAAGACGGAGCGGATGAAGGAAGAGGCAACCGCGAAAAGGCAAGCTACCTACCGTGTGCGCATGTTAGAGCAACCGCCTTACCCGTTCTGGTTCAAGGCGGAGCGACCGTTTCAGCTAAAACAAACATTGCCTGAGCCCGACGTCGAACAACCTTAGTAAGAAGCAACGAAGATGTTGCATCGGTTCCGTTGCAGCCGCATCTACTATGCACCGAGACCGACGCGCGACGATACGTCTGGACCGTCGGCAACGCCACCGTTACCGTAGTGACACACTTGCAGATGAGGATATTGCAGGCAGTTCCACCTGGCGGGTGTGTGTCCCCGGACAAGATCGAAATAAATCTTTCAAACTCTGTGTCCACGAACGCAAAATGTTTATATGCACTATATTTATATCTTCGCCTTATTGTTCTCCTTCTCGTTCTCCCTTGAGCACGACCAGGATCGCGAGGCCGAAGCAATGGTATCTTATACAGCTAAACTTGTAGAATTTCCGATTTTTTGAAAACATCAAGAGCACTTGCCCACTCGAGAAGAGTCCGTGGGATGTAAGTACGTAAGTAGCTGCAGAAGGAGGACCTCAAAGAAACAACAATGAGCGCCGCATGCACCAGTTGCTGTACAACTACAACGAAGAAAACCTGCGCTCACGCAAGGTGCGATGCACGAAGAACAAGTGCCGCACTGAGCCTGAAGCGTTGTATGTATTCGTAGAAGTAGAAGTGCCGACTACTATATGTAAAGTTATTTTTCTATGTTGGATTCCCGTCCGAAACCGGACAGGACACGGATGGCCCGGAAAAGCAAAAAGTTTTATTGCATCGCTTTCGCCTTTCCAACCTACGTACGCCACGCGAAAAAACAAACACCAAGACGAATGTAAGTTAGTACTAGTGGTAGACGGGTCACACCGAGATAAGCGTCAAAAGGATTTTAGCAACACGTGGAATTCTTTGGAACCTGATGTTTTCTTGCATCTCGTCCATTTTCTTCCTTTCTACCCGATGCAGGCAATTTTTTCGTTTTGAAGGATCATATATAACTGTTTCATCTACTTGTATTTTGGGCGCAATACAGGCACAGCACCAGCCAGTGTGAAGTAGAAGTAGGCACGACTATTACCTTTGGGCGGAACATTGCAGAAAAGATGACGCTTTCTCTTTCATCAGTGTTGAATTTCAACAAAGAATTCATCATGCTGGGGAAGATGCATTATCCTTTGTTTTGAATTTGAAGCCAGTATCTTTACTGTTTACTCTTTCGAGGGGCAGAGAAGCAGCTCCGAGAAAAAGAGACCATCACTGGCGTTTCTCACGCTTTGAGGCCGCTTATGAAAGTTTGTGAACCGGACGATGACTGTCGTGATCTTCCGTTCCAACTGCACGAGGCCAAAATGAAAATGTTACTGAAATCGAAAAGCATTATTTTGTGTGTATGATCTATATTTAACTTTAACTTTAAGCAAAAGCACCTGCAACACCGTGTAAGGACGAAACATGAGGCCTCAGGGGCCTACTAAGGGCGTCAGGAGTACCGCGTAAAGCTACAAGAAAATGCCAGTGGAGTACAAACTAGCAAACGCTTGCGCACAGTTGCTGCGGAAGAATGCTCCGGGGGAATCATGAAGATTCCGAGTTGTTAATCTGGCAGTTGCTTAAACATTAGCAGTGAGTAGAAACCGCAGTAGCAAGATGATCGCATTCATTTGCATGAGATGAAGAGAAGGCGCTCTTAAGGTCCTTGTATTTGTATATCCCGGTGATCATGTTACATGCTGACTCAGAGTCAGAGCATGAACCCTAGCATGTTTTTTCAACAACGTGTTTCGCTGTTTCCTTAAAGTCACCGGGGAGATCCTACTTGTTCAAAAGAAAGCGCCCGCTTACCCGGAACACTTTTCAGATTTACCGTTTGCGTTTTCATGGCGAGGTCGTCTGTTCGAATTCATTTTCGTTTACGTTCACTTTTTTTCTAATTCGTGACCCGACCCCAGGCATGTCTTGTCTTCTGGTTTTGCTGCGTCATTAATGATATGTTTCCATCGTCAAAATGCCGCATCCTCGTATTACATCTATAAGTTTTTTGTGTCAAGTCAACAACATCATGCATCATGATCGGGGAATTAGTTGGCTTAACATTAACTTATCTCTTTTTGCCACGTATCAATGAATAAAGATATGCACTGGATGTAGAGAGAATCGCAATCGTATTAAGTATTCGATATTCACAATTACACAAAAAACCCCACGAGATTCATGTTGCCGATATTTTTACTGAATCTGGAGATTTTCCAGATTCTGTTCGCGGCGTTGCTTTTGTTGAATGTCGCTATCACATAGAATAAAAAAGAACTACCCAACACATCATGCAATTGCGAAGATAAAAAACGCCTCGAAACAAATAGTACTTGTCATGCCGGGCCGCCCAACATAGCATTCCATTGACATTGTACTTCTTAAGTACGATACGCAATGCTAAACAGATTCGTGCGGAATAAAGTCGTTTTTTCTGTGTGATAGTGACACGGACCTACAGACCGCTCACCCAGTTCTACGATTGGTTTGCATCCTAGGGGAGTGTCACGTGTGCAATCGTCAAAATCAAATAAAAAGATAGGAAATAGTAATTTGTCATGCTCCTGTAGCAAAAAACGGCCGCGGCCGCCAGTGGCGTTGGTTCTACTATGGACCTACGATGTCTAATCGGCGCATGACAGATTTTTTCAGACACTTGCGCCGAATTTGTCACGACGTCGGTGTTCGGGGTAAAGAAGTGCTTGCCCTGCTCCCGTCATGAAAGTCAGTGCCCCCTTTCGTGACGTTGATCGTGCCGGGACTTCTAAACTCGCTCGGTCTTCCTTACTTTCTCTGCATCAATCCTGCACGAATTTTCTTGCATCGCGTGGGCTATTGTGTTTTTGACGATTTCCCACCTGAGTTTATTTCCATACGTTCTCCGGGCTCGAGATCGCTAACCACCGGGGGTATGGGCAAACCGCGTGCAAGTTTTATTTGGTGTTTTCCAGCCCCTTTCTCTCCCCGGCTGCGCACCGAGCCGCCGGTGTGGCATGGATGCTCGGACTGCTTGCACTTGCCTGCTTGAACGCTTACGACCTCGCCTCTCCGAGTGCAGCTGGTGGCGCCCCGACGTTGATGACCAACATCCCCGCCCACGAGCACTACGACGACGTTGCGGTGCCGCTTTTCGCCGCCGCACTATGGCTCTTGGTGATGCTTTGCTACCACCTCTACATGTCACAGCTGTACTGCGAAGCGCATGTGGGCGCGCACGTCACGATGACGATTCCGCCCACGATAGTTCATTGCTTCTTCTACAACTGCAGCAAGGCGCACTGTCTCGTCGCGTTCGCCGCAAAAAATTCTACTATCCCGCAGACGACGACGACGACCCCTGCAGATGATAGCATTTATTCCGTCGCGCTTTCCGAGATGAGAGCTGAAAATGTTGGTGAAGAAGATGTGCAAAATAACCGAAAAATCCTGACCTTGTCCGTGGTGTTCGCGTTTCTTATTAAGTCCAATCTATGGCGTTCTCAAACGCTACATTCTCAACTGTTACATGAATTTGTGATGCAAGAATGGCAAAACTGAAAGGGGGAAGATTGCGCCCTTTGCATGACAGATTTGGCACAGATTCTCATCCTGTTTGTCCCTTCGGGAATTTGTCATGCGAAGCAGCTTGGTCGTGTCGATTCTGATTGGGATTTTGCATCACAAATCATGCAACAGTTGAGAATGTAACGTTTGAGAACGCCATACAATCTGCTGCTCGCTTACTGCTGCGCCGGGTTTTCGAAGTTGAAAACCAGCGTGAAGCGCGGACGCTCCTGGATGGACGGAAGCACGTTGCAGGCTTGTATTTTTGAAGCGCTGTCCCTGTCGAAAAACGCAGCAATTCGGGCCAATATGCCGGTCGCGCCTGCTCGAGTGGATGAACTACAAGAAAGAGAAATAAACTCAGAAGACGGAGCCACGACAAGAAATGAAACCTCAAGACGACTCAACACTCCAGGAAACACGACAACCTGCTGCAATGTTCCGAACTACACTTTCGGGGTGCCCACTCCTTTTTCTGATCGTCTGCAGGATATGCCACAGAAAAAAGCTGGCAGGGCATAATATTTCTATTTGTAATGCAAAAATAAATTTATTTTTGCATTTCCTGGTTGACCAGTTGGTATGGTCGACTATAGGTGCCACCCTCGTTTCTCACCTCCAGGGGCCCTGGGCACCTCACCATTGATGTTTCACTTGGTGGAAGATGACAGGGCTCTACGAGCTATTACGGGTGTCTATTGTCTATTTATTTTTGCATTACAAATATGACCTGCCAGTTTTTTTCTGTGTGATACAGGAATGGATTCTGGACAAAGTGCTCCTGTTGCGACTCGCATCCGTTATTTCAGTCTGGTTCGAATTCCTGGCACCACTCATCTTGCTGCCGAACTTCTTCTTTTGGGTGATCGATGTCTCTACTTCGCCGCTACTTCTCCCTGAAGACGAACCATCGCAAAGTAGTCCTGCTCTGCCCCATGAGGAAATGACAACAGAAGTGCCTGTTCTTCTGCTTCTCAATTACGGATTCTTCGTCTGTGGCTTGCTCTTTCATTACGGCATCGCTCTATTACAGAATGTGGACTTCGTTTCTTGGTGGGCACCCGTGTACTTTATTTTGCTGACGGACCCCGCCCTACGGCTCTATTACGCTACAACGGAATTGGGAGCACCGTTTCCGCACATCTTTGACGCCATCGTCGCTGCACTTCAGATTTCTCCGGTAATGCTGTCTTGTGTAGTTTTTCATAAAATCGCGCTATTGGTTGAACGTTTTTGCTCATTTTGGCCTTGTCCTGCATTTAGATTCTCATCTCTGTCTCTCTTGCTTCCAATATTATAGCAATACAATACTCCATCGCAGCTATTGGAAGCCATTTGTTGCTGTCCACGACCGTCATATTACACCAAAAATCATGACAGGTGTTTACCTCACTGAGCCTCTTGTACTTTCTGACGCACGTGATTGCGGCGGCCTGCATCCAGAGTGGGTATTTGCACCCGGGGAACGAGTATCTTCCGTATTCGGGCTACGCCATGTTTTCGGAAATTAAGGATCTTTTTGACGGAGCGTACCGTAAAGCGTTTTGGCTTACTGAGAAGGAACATCTCACTATTGTAGGGAAAAATCCCCCCTCCCCATGCTGAAAGTGTATGCTTGTAAAAATTTGTGATCCTGATTTGTGGCCACAGATCCTGTCTCTCGTGCAAGAGAGCAAATCCGATGAATCCACCGCCGACTTACGCAGGCGCTTTGTAATGCTGTTGCGCCTACATCACATGGCAAGCCTCTGCTATGCTGAGCACCTACACCGAAACGCCCCTGCGCAGGCTTAGGCTTTGCCTGCAGTGCCTCGCTGCAAAACAGAGCGTCCACAAATCCAGCAGCGGAGATCTCCGCTGCAATATGGAGAGGGGGGATTTTTCACTTTGATACTCACCGGCACCCTGAAGAATTACTGCTTCCCGCTGCTCGGGCGCCGGCCCATCGTGACCGAGGAAGAGGTTCTTCGTTTGTATAACCTGCTCAGCTGTTACAACCTCAAACGTTACAATAGAATATGGCAATCTGTGACGCAAGAGTGCATGACCTAGCCTACTCCCACAGGATTGCGCATGACAAGTTCTGGAGGCCCAATCCGCACTAGAATCTGGCGAAATTTGTATTGCAAAAGGTGGAACGCTGTGCGAGTCTGTCATGCCCATCATGCAACACAAATTCCAGATTCTATTGTAACGTTTGAGATTGTAACATCTGAGAGGGTTATAGTTTGCCTTTTCGGTACATGGTAGTTGCGCACAACGGGCTGAAACCACGAGAACAAGCACCACTCCCGCGAGAAATAGAAGCAGGGTCTCTTGCTCCTGCTCAAGAAATAAAACTCAACGACACGTCGAAACCACGGCCGAACGATCATTTTTCGCAAAATTATTACCTCTCAGGCGACACATCGGTATCGAAAAGTAACGGTCTGCGTTCTTTGCATAGCGGTTTTGGTGACGCCGCATCGGCCAGGTTTGACGACCGAGGGAGTTGTTTGAAGGAAAAGCTACTTCTGCGCACATCACCGACAGCACGAGAAGCGTTCTTAGAGCCCAGCACAGTGGATGACCTCGTGGCCGAACCTTTGCGCGTGGTCACCAACGTGGAACTCACGCCCGAAATGGAAGTGCTGCTCGCAAAAATCAATCTGCTCGGCTGCCTCGGCAAGGATAAGTTCCGAGACGCCAAGAACGTTCGCCAGCTGTTGCGGCTCTTCGAACAGTTGCGGCACCACTTTCTCCGCGCGGACCGAAAATCGCGTCTCGGCACAAAAGCGAGAAATAACCGAGTTTGAAGTTGTCCTTGATGTCCTTCGAAACAGGCCGATTCTGCATCGTCGTGATCGCTTGGAAACAGCACCACGAATTGTAAGTACTGAAGTAGTACATAGCTGCGCATACTCGTGCTTTTTGTTGTACGCATTTCCATTTTCATAATTTTGATTTTGCTGGCCTAGCGGCACAGGAAATAACTAGCTTCCTGCAACTTACTATACGGACATTTGTTCAAACTTCATGTCTCCGAAATAAACTTTATGTAAATCAATGGATTGTTTGAATCATGTCCATCGCGACGTGTTGGTGTTTGCTTATGCTTGATTAAAGATTTCCTCCGCGTACGCAAACGCACTGTCACCCTGAAGGACGCCGACGCGTGGCATTTTTGTCCGCTACAAATTTTCTGCTGCCACAAGGGCTTGTGTTCGACCATGGACATCAAAATGTCGACTTTCTGGGTGAGTAGTTGCACCAACCAACATGCAAGAACCAGCAGTCGACGACCTCGTCGAATGAACTGCAGTTTTTTTACTCATCTTCGGAGCAGCGCCACATGAATCGGCGTTTTAGTTTCTTGAGATCAGTCACCACGAGTAGAACACACTCCTTGTTCAAAGGCAAGCTTGTTCCTCCGATTCTTGGCGTCATTCGATTTAGTTTTTAGTATGGGTGCATCATGCACATTTTCATTGCGAATTCGCGAACAGAATGTGTTCCAGTTGGTGCTTCCCTTTTGATTTCCGGTAAGTACCGGTGTGCACCATTGCACCTTAATTTAGAACAGGTTGTGCCTACTTTTACGGCACCTACTACTATCACTCGAGCATTTTCGATTTCCTCGCTTGTAGCTGCCGTAATAGATTGCCGTGAATTTAAGAAAAAAGCTAAAGTTGGAGGCCAGCGATGCCAACATCAAAACTAATTTTGTTTGGACAGGTTTACTATGTATGTTTTTGTTCATCTTCACGGACATGGAAAATGAAAAGAATGAAGATTCATGATGTTGAAACGGACAATACATTCGCACAACTCAATCGTAGAATAGTAGTGAAGGTGGATAGAAGTACGTATTGAATTCGATGTCTACTTAACTGAGCAAATGTGTTGCAACATAAAACCTCGCACTGTAAGTAGGGATATTATGGTTGAATAAAAGAATACTGAAGACCGTGTGAAGAAGAAGAGGAACAAGAGTAAATTTTCTTCCGATTCGGATTCCGGCTTCAAGGCCTTCCGAGTTTTCCTACTCAATGCGTCCACCGCTAGCAACCTCCGACCACTCAAGGATGATGCAGCAGCATGTGCGGTGTGCTGACAAAAAAATCTGACTGATTTTTTTCCTCTCTTACATCATGTGTGCCGTGCCCGCGCTACGACCTAAATGCTATTTGCGAAAATACCTCGTCTTTTGGTTTTGGGGTCTGTTGCAAAAAACATATTTTTCTTTTTTTCACCAGTGTATCTACTAACCATGATATATCTCTAAAATTTTTACTTGGAGTTGTTTTCCGATCTAAATCTTCTGTCCCGCAGATGACCGATACTATGCAGCAAGCAATCAAAGAAGAAGAAAAAGCATCTGTTGGGTCGGGTGGTCCCCAATGCCCGTCTGAAGGGAAAGCTTGCGAATTGCCGGAGGAGCCCGGGTTGTTCGTGGCCATTGCGAATAACGGTGAGGAGCAAACGGAGCAAAATGCGCAATGTAGAGCGCAGCTACAGGAACACCACGGAGCAGAGCAGTTTCTCTTTCCTAGCCCGGACGAGAAGAACACTCCGACAAACTTGACTTTATCTAACAGCGGCGATGAGCAGGACCTACGTTGCAGCCAACATGTTGCTCACCGTTCCTCGTGTAAATCGCATAATTCCTCCATGCATAAAGATGGTAGGGACTCTGTCCTCGTCTACAACCGCCGGGCAACACGGGTAAGCTCGATTGAGTCGGCTTCACCCTTGGCGAAATCCAGAGCAATAAGCCCAAGGAATTCCGTCCTGCAACCACGCCGGAAAAATAGGTCCACCATCACGTATTCTTCGAACGTGCTGCTCTACGGTCGTAATGGGCTATCGCACAGAATGAAAAGCACACCCAAACTGAAGTCTCTGAATATTGTTTTGCATCCATATATTCTTAGTTATAGTTTTAGTTACATGCGTTCTCGTTTCCTTTCCGCTGGCGCCGGCCTAGTGCCAGTAGTAGGATGAAAAACGCAGGGAGCTACATGTGCCGGAAAGTGACGCCATGATGGGTATGCTTTTCTAATTTGAAATTCGAGCTGCGACACAGAGTCACCGCTCTTCGTGCAGCGTGCGACAAAAACGATGTACGCCGCTTTACCGCATTATGAAGATGAACAAGAGAGCGATGATAGCCCTGGTTGGTTTCCACCTCCCGCTCTGACAGATGAACATCATCATGCAGTAGCAGTAGAAGAAGACGCGCAGCGAGGCATCACGGACCGCGACGACCATGTGCAGGACGAGCCAGTACAATCTGGCGCCGTGGTCATTGTCCGAGAAAGGATGATATCAAATGCAAAAATGTCTGGGTCTGGAAGGATCCGAACTTGTGATGCGAATTCCACTACACGCGCAAATCTCTCATGCAAAGGCAGCAAAAGGTGCCTATTTCCTGTCACCAAAAACAGGGACTTGTCATGCCGATTAAGCATTGCGGAACGTTCTCGAAATCTGTGATGCTAGGGTTTCCATAGCAGACCTTCTGTGTCATGCAAAAACAGCATGACAAAAATCTGCATTCTTCCAGACCCAGACACTTTTACACTTGATAGATGATCCCACCTAGAGAGGAGGAACATGAGTACGACCTACAACAACATCGTAGGGAGCATTCTGGCCGGGTAACTATCTTGTGTAAAAACGTCCCCACACCATAGTTGTCATGCAAATCTGCATGCTTGAAATGTTTCTCATGCGAAGCCCCATGAGAAGCATTTTCTAATGGTGTTTTGAAATTTGTCATGCTCCAATCAGCATGAGAGACTAGATCTGTAGTGCTGCTGAACTAGCTCAAACAGCACTACACTACGCGTCCAGATTTGTCGTGCGAAACAGCCAAAGCTTGTGGATTTGTCTAGCCGATTCCCCATCTTGACTATGGGGTGGGTACGTTTTTACATAGGATAGTAACCGAGTTTCCGTCTGTCGACGACCTCCCCCCGTTGAGCGACTCGACTACACGACTGCCCCCGGCCTCTCATCTTCCCCCCACCTGCTTCTCGCAAGCTGTGGTGTCGCGACGCAACTCCGAGCTTCCCGTACTACCCTACATGCGCAGGAGGACTATGCGGCACACGTCGCTCTGCTTGGCGCGAAGTTCATTCGCTGAAGTCGAAGGTGGAAGCCCCGTTCCCACACTGACACTGGCGCGGGATTCTGTACGACCAGATGAAGCCATTTAATATTTCCTTTTCCCCGCGGCGTTTGCATTATTACACGTTAACTTTTTCGAGGACAATGCTAATGCATGCGGCTGACGGCGCGAAATCGAAATGCAAGAACTGCCAGGTACTTGACAAGCAAGACAAGCAATCGAAGTCGACGTCTTTGATGCAGCTAGAAGAGCATCTGACGCGAGCATGAGGCAGCTAGAAAAACGGGTAAAAGTGGAGTTTTCATCTGCATAGCTTCTTTGGGGAATTACGACGCCTTCGAATTGGGGCACCCCGTGCGACAGCATGCGGAATCGCCGCAGTGGAAGATCGTCCTCTACCTCTTCGTATCTAGGAGGTCGCTTTAATCCAATCCCGCCCAAACTGCAATCGCGAAAAAGTAGTGGAACACAAAATCCCGGCCTCACCGTGGCTGCTGTGCCTTTCACTCAACAACAAAATCACGAGCAGATGATGCCTGCGTCGGGACCACCCGCCGGAAACGGCGGCTTACCTGCTGCACCCGCGACCGGCTTGCTGCAACTACCAGATTATAGTTCGACCTGCAAAATAAATACAACCGCGGACGATAGACGGCTACCCTCCAACAGCGGCGTCTCATCTCCGCAGGTCACGATGCCTGCTTTCGGTGCAGCTCTGTCGCGAGGAGCTAGTGACGACTTCCCCTCGGAACAATCATCCGCCTTGTTGGTTCTGCCTCCTGTTGCTGGTCTGTGTTCCAACAGGGCCACGGCTGAAACTACCTCAGCCGCGAGGGGACCGCCGGGGGAGTCGACAATTGGAACCGAGGGTGGGCGAGCGGCGGCAGCTTCCGAAGAAGCGGGGGACACTACTACAGGGCAGCTGCATCTCGTGCCTGCTATGCGCTTTCCACCTGGTCTCGGCCTGGAGCAGACCGAAGAACTGATGCGAGCGCTGCCAGCACAGCAAGTCTCGTCTCCGCAAGTAGACCAGTCGCGGCGCCAGGAACGTGATGATCTCCACGCTGCGCCACGAAACAAAGTTGGGGAGAACTACGAGAAGAACCCGCCAGAGGAAATCATAAAGATGAACCACCTGGACCACATAGAATCGTCTTCCGCAGGCAAATATGCATTGCAAATATGTCTGGCTCTGGAAAGGTACAACTTGTGATGTTGCATTTGGATGTCAAAAAAAATCTGTATTGCATGAGCAGCAAAAGGAATCTAATTTTTGCTACGCGGAGAGGACATTTGTCATGCGGAATAGGCATCGAAAAGGCCTCAAAAAATCTGGGATGCTAGGGCATGCATCACAGACATCATAGCTCATGCAAAACGTGCGTGACATTCTTCAAGACCCAGACATATTTGCAGTTGATAGCAAAACCACATCTACCGGGTACCCGTCCCCGGAAGTTGACATGTTGGCCGTGGAATCAGTACCACCAGAAAGTGACCACCAATGGTCTGCTCTTTTCCACCCTGCTAACACCTCTTCTTCCCCAGCACCACGAAAGCAGTCTCCAGTGCTGGAAGAGGGAGCTGGAACCAAGGGCGTCGGCAGCGCTGCAGTGGTTCCTGGAATTTCTGAAAGCAGCAGCAGCCAGCAAGAGACCATCACTGAAAATGGTATGCATGTTCCAGGGTCGACGCTAGCGCCCCACGGCGAACCTGTCTCTGACGATTTTGCTTGTTACCCGATATTAAGCTGTTCGAGCGTGGCCGACGGTTCGGCAAAAAATTCATCCAGTTGTGCTGTTTCTAGTTGTTCAACTTTTACTTTTATCAAGAGGAAAAGCTGCGCCCCGCTCCGATGATTTCGAAGTGCTTCCGATGCACCGGAGGCATTGCTGTAAGCAAGCACTTGCGCTTCGTTGTCTGGGCATGATAGGTGTCGGAACTGTGCGTGATAACAATAAGCATACGGCCATAGGCATTTTTTGTATTTGTTTGGTAAGTATGAAGTATAATGAAAGCGGGGCACTTTTTGTTTCGATAATTTTCGCCGGTCGGATGTCGCACCAGGACCAGGATCACGACCCTGCCGAAGAACTACTCTTGGGGCCGCTGCCTCGTACAGAGTCGGCGAACACCAGTACCAGCGGCAGCGTGCAATTGGAATCCCTGCAGCGCACCATTTCCATCCGGACGACCAACATGTTGGCGCGTACCTTTTCCAACAAATCAACATCCACATTCCCGCCCGGGGAGGGGATCATGCAGCACCAGCTTACAGAGAATGGCTGCAGTCTCGCCGCTGAATTAATGGCGGGGACTACACAACATCACGGGGGAGACGGAGCAAGCTGCTGGGCGCCCTCAACGTCGTCGATGGTGGAGGAGCTCTTGTTCAGGCTTGCACGACCCTCAAAGATGTCCAGAATTAGCACTGTAGCGGAGCAGATGGCGGCCCCAACGGGCGGGGGAGCTGCTTCTCATGAAGGTACTGGAACTGGCACAAACGCGCTGTATAATCACACTGGTTCGGTGCCGGTTCTGCCGAACACGTCCGTGTCAACATCATCAAACCAAGTCGTCTCGTGCCAAGGCGGTGTAGCGGCAATTCTGCCGGCCGGAGCCGTGCAGCAACCCACGACCTCCACAACAACTGCGAGCATTATACCGACAGCAGCGGCTGCGACCTCCACCTCCAGCGTGAAAAATGTTTCGCCGAGTGTCCCCCACCACATGGCCTTGCTGCCACCGTCAGCGCGATCTGTTACCGGCTCCACTACCGGCGGCACGGGAGTTACGGACACGCACTCCTTCTGGTCGGGCGCTCGAGGGTATCGAACAGAAATAAACAAGCACACCCGTCCCATGATTGCAAGATATATCTCGCGCTGTTTCAGGTACTATCGCAGAAGGTTGTCCCTCTTGTTTGGCTTTTGTTCAGGATGCTGACCAACTTTGTAGGAAACGTCTGCATCCCTATGTTGCCCATTATTCGCATTTTTACATCTCTCGCATGGCCGACGACGCCCAGAAAGCAGGGAGTCATACCCATATGATCGGTAGCACCATACTGCACGTCGTGCGGAAGATCTGAATTGCACGTCGTGCGGAAGATCATCAGCATTAGGACAGAAAAACAGCATAAGACCGCAAACACATTTTGTTCTCTGGTACTACGGGAGGTGCGTCTTTTCTCTTCGATACAGATTCCTCGTCCCGCTCCAGTTCCTTCGCTGGCGGTTTGTTGGCGAGGGGCGGCGGGCCCTACAATGTGCGAATGGCGGAAAAGCTACCCTCCATTGAGGGGACGAGTGCAGCAGCTGGTGCACAGCACGTCGCTGCAGCAGGACCTGGACCTGCTTCGTCCACAGGTGGTATAACAGCATCACTTCTTGCGGACCAAACCGCCACCACAGCCACCGCCGGACGACATCAGCCCCTTGTGCATCCAGACCCCCATGATTCTCTGCGCCTGCAGGCAGCTGCACCGATGCAGTGGCAGCATTGTTCGCAGCCCAACGCTCAAGATGACCAGCATTTTGTTTATTCCGTGCAGCAAGGTACTTCTGCTTGCGTTAGTGCGAGCACCATGCAGCAGAGTTGCACCACAAAAACCAACATGGGAGCCGCGCCCTCCGTACTGGCCCCACAGTATCTCAACAGTACTCCGCCATTGTACAAGACTTTGTCGACGTATGAGAGAGAGAGTGCACACCTGCTTCCCCTCCCCCTCATCTGAAAGGCCTGGGCACATCACAAACCACGTCAGAAATGTACTAATCGCCTGAAGGGAAAATTTCAATTTTCGCCTGGACGGTGGTGCGGCTTGGGGTCTTGAAACATGTCAGGCAACTACGTGGTACATAAAGGGAGCAGCGTGGCAAAGAAATGAGGTAACCGTAACGCAGTTATGCCTTTGCATGACAAATGTTCGGGTGTTCCGGGCTGTGCTTTGTGCTCCCCTCGGACCCCGCACCCCCCCGGGCTCAGTAGCGCAGTCTGTTAAGCATGACAAATGAAGCTCGCGATACTTTTCGCGGTTCTGACCCTAGATCTCCTGCGGCCGTAGCTGCTTGCGGCGACGGTGCAAAGGTTTTCGATGTGGCGCAGTCGGGTATGCATGACAAATGAAGCGGACGGGGGGAGTTGTGCACTCTCATACGACGGGCACGGAGCAAGATTGGACGCAGCTGAAGTTACCAACTGCGAGAGAAGAGGATAGTGAAGACAAAAACATGAATAACGAACAGCACGGAAGCGACATGACAGTAGGCGTTATTGGTGTGGTTCCTGAGCAGCTGCACCACCTGCGGAAGGAGCAGCTCTCCAAAACTCCCTCAGTTCATCAGGCGCGGCCAGAAGGAGAGCTTCTCGTTGTGCATGATCCGGCTAGAAGAGCAGCAGTGCAAGTTAGTTGTACTTCGACCACAGTAGGAGCATCAATCGAGGAACAACCTCAGAGCGTGGTCCAACTAAATCAACTCTCCAGCATCGGCCCCGGCCACACCAGCAGCTCGGGGCACCAGCAGCTGCAGCACCCGCACCCCGTCTTCAACATCAGCAACCACGACGTTCTTGTTCCCAATCAACAGCAGCACGAAAATATTGTCCGAAGTAATCACATTCAGCACCTACCTGCGTCAGCATCATCTACGCCGTATGCCACAAACTTTCCATCGCACAGCAAATACAACAACGAGTGCGCAGAAGGCAACGCGAACGCGCAGCTGCAGAAGCGCCCCACGACGAACACTAATTTTTACGCCAGCAACAACGATGCATTTTTCAATTGCAGTGCAGCACAAGCTAGTACCAAGCAGCCGAGCGTCTCCCCCGTACAGGCATACCAAGACAATTGGGCGTGGCCCGACCCGGCCGCCATCGCGTCGGCCACCTACGCGGCACAACTCCCGTCGCAGATGTTGGGTGCGCAGTCGCACACGGGCATCATTCCCAATCCGCAGCATCAGATTTGTAGTTTCAATTTCGCAGGCGCTTCAGGTAACGCATACTCAAACCCGATGACCAACTGGTCAGCAGGCAAAAACGGTGGGCCGTACAACCAACAGGCGCCTCCGTCTGCTCCGCAGAACCCACAAATGTCGGTATTTGTACTACGCGGACATTGTTCTCTACTCTTCATGTTTTCAGAAGATGCGCAGGCATCTAACGACCACAAAGGTCGCTGTTTCATATTCCGCGGTGCTGTGCGTTTGCTGTAGTTAGCCGAGTTAGATATTGCTGCTTGTTGCGGTGTTCTTTCTTTCTTCTCTTTCTCTGTTAAATGGTACTGGTACCAAAGCTAAAGTTTAAAAAACTTTATACTTAAACTATAACTATCAGATGGACAAGCACTACCCTTCAAACGGGCCCGCGAGTGTCGGCTATCTGCACAGCACCGCAAACCATGGCTCCTCTTGCACCGGACCACATGCGGTGCCGCTCCAAGCACCGGTCCTACAGGAGAGCGCCTCGAAGCTGCAAGATAAAAACAAAAAGTACAAATGTAATATACTCACTTCAGTAATTTTTCCTGCACTCTGGCTCTGCTGGAGGTGCGCGTGCGTAAGACACTATGAGTAGCGTTGTATGTAGTAAGATGTCAAGAACAAATCTAGGCAAAAACAGAAACGGATGCTGATAAGTACAGAAGATGAAGTTTTTTTGTTGCACGACCTGCTGTTCCAAACTGTGCCCCCGTTTGGTCAAATAACAGCTCTACTTCGTCGAAAGCAAGCGCCTTATGGAGTGCAAAAATGTCTGGGTCTGGGAGATTGCAAGATTTGTCATGCATATTTTGCATGATCCATAATGGCCGTAATGCATGGCCTAGCATCACAGATTTTTAGAGCGCTTCCTTATGCCTATTCCGCATGACAAATGCCATCTCCGCGTACTGCGGGAGAAAATAGAAAAAGCGGAAAATGAGGTCCCAGACCTAGCGATAGTAATGAGAAGGGGAAAAGGTACTGCAGACAGAGCTGAAGTGAAAAGAAACACCGAGGAAGGGAAAAGGGAAGAAATACCGCTCAGGGTGGCGAACGTGCTCAATCATGACAATGAGTACACGGAATGGGTGCGGTTTGATTTTGGGCCGAAGCGGATTCCACTGAAGCCAGTGTGGGAATGGCCGGAAATGTCGAAAATAGAGAGGCAAGTTTATATCCACAGGAAAACGAAAGAAAAGGAAACCGGGGGAGACGAAAAGAAGAAAAAAGAAGACGTAGGAGACGGAAAAGAAATCGGACAAGATACAGAAAAAAAAGACAGGGCGAACCCTCAAAACACGAAAGCACCGAAAAAGACCGGCAGCGCTGCCAAGACAGGAGAGGAGAGCAGCGCCACAAGCAGCCAAGATAAAAGAAGCCAACCGGATAAAAAAGACAAAAAAGAAGGAAAGCGGGAGGACAGAAGGGAAGGCGAAGCGCTGTCTGAGACAATTCTGCGACTGATCGAGAAAGAAAAGAGGAAGGCAGAGGAAAATGGTGATGAGATGGCACAAGGGGCGTTTAGGATAATTCAAAAAGCGACAAAACTGTTGCAAGAAGTCGAAGGAATGGAAAAAGATGAAGGCAAACGCATGGCAGACGAAAAAGCGGAGGTGGGGGCGACGGACGAGAAAAGGGACGACAACAGTGAAGATAGAGAAAAGGACGAGCAAAAAGACTTCTACGAGGCAGAAACATACGAGGGCACCCGTAGAGGATATGTTTTCAAAAGAGGGATGATGGGACAGGGATACTACATAGATCAGGGCCCAGAAGAGGCAACGCGAGCTTTTTTCAGAAATCTAGTGGCGTGGGGAGAGGATGAGAAAAAGGACGCGACCAAAAAGGAGCAGGCGGAGATAGATGGAAAATATACAGAAGCGAAGCAGGAGCAACAGAAAAAGAGGAAAATTGAGAAAGAAGGCGAGCAAGTTAGCCACGAGGACGGATGCAGGGACGCGGGGAAAAAGCGAGAGCAGGAGGCCCATAAATTCCCCACAGTCGAGCAATTAATGGCGGATGGCGCGATACTGGAGCAGGAAGAAGAGAAACAAAGGGAAAGCGAGAGAAGAAAACAGGAAGAAAAGAAGAGGAGGAGGCAAATGCAGTATGAAACCCCTATGCAGAGAGAATTAGCCCAGATGTATAGAGCTCCTCAAGAAGACAACAGCAATAAAAAACGAACGATGACAGCAAGAAACTTTGAACATTATGCAAATAAAATAGAGGCTGATGCTTGGAAAGTATAGCAGAGGCAGGAAGTGGCCTCAGACGTGACAGAAAAAAGGAGACCCAAAAAAAAACGGCGAAGAGGAGTTAGACAGGGGCTCAGGGCGAATAAGGCGAATGCGGGGTGTTCTGGCGGGTGCAGAGGAAAGAGTGAGGGCAAAAAGCAGAAACGTAAGTAAGAGTGAAAACAGAAAAACAAGACGGTCACGCGTGAACCCCGATTCGAACCGTCCTTGTTTCGTATCGTCTCCGCCTGCCGATGGGGCATGGCGCTGCTTCTCCTTTCGTTTCCGCCAATTAAAGGCGCTGCTATCCAAAACTAATGAGGAGGAAAAGAAAGAAAAACTATATCAAAGAAGTGGCGCCAGGGTTGCTAATTTAAAGACTGCGCTAAGGCAGCACCCCCCTTCCCCAAGGGGCCCCCCCGGGGCGGGCGCGGTGGCGGCTCTGCAAATGCGGAGCTCCGCGGGCCGATTCTCTGAAAACGCATAAAGAAGGGTGCGGGAAACAGATCGGTAAGAGGTGTCTGAAAGGGACATGCCGTTGGGTCGTCCGCCATCGTGATAGGATCACCGTGTCTGATCAATAGGCCCCCAGTATATTTTTTAGCGCGCAACCGGCCACAGAAGTAAGAACCGAGCAAGTTTGTAAGACTACCCCATCAAGGCGAAACTGGAGCTCCACCTTGCTCGCGGGCTTGGATGGTAAGGCAGGTCAGCCACACATAGCGCCCACTGGTTGCAGCCATGCGTAAGTAATCGATAGCGGTTTTGCAGGTGCGGCCGGGTGGTAGTTAGGAAGTGGGCCGGGTCTCCACCTAGGGGTATCGGCAGAGGCTAAATCTGTTCTAACGCCCAGGTATTGGCAGAGGCTAAATCTGTTCTAACGCCCACCCGCCAGGAGTTAAATGGTGCTACTACTACTACTACTACTACGCGTAGCAAAAAAAGCGCTCCCTTTGCTGCTCATGCAATACAGTTTTTTTTGGAAACCAAATGCAGCATCACAAGTTGCATTTTTCCAGACCCAGACATTTTTACATTTGATACGCCTCCTCCAAGGGCAAAAAAAGCGGATGCTCGTGGCCCGCAACGGCATATAATGGAGGTGCCTATTGAAAGGAAAAATCCCCCCTCCCCATATCGAAAAGGTATGATTTCGAAAATTTGTATTGCTGATTTGAGGTCACAAATCATATGTATCTTGCAAGAAGACGAGGGCGGGAGCTTTCGCCCCATTATGGAGGCGATTTGTCATGCTGTTGGGCCTAAAGGGGAGCCGTTTGCCATGCTGAGCAACTAGACACATAAGCCCCTATCTAGCCTGGAGATCTGCCCGAAGTGCCTCTCTACAATACAAAGCTGATTTGTCTACGCAAATCCAGCATCAGAAACTTCCTTTTGATATGGGGAGGGGGGATTTTTCCTTTTGATAGTGCCCCCTCGATGTCCTGTGGAACGCCATCGTATCAAATGTAAAAATGTCTGGGTCTGGGAACTTGTGATGCTGGGTAGCGTCTCATGATGAGGCTACAGATGCTGGCTCAGCATGACAAGTTTCTGAGCTCCTAGGTGTTGCCTATTCTGCATGACAAACTGCGCTTCTGCATCACAGAAAAACGCAGCTCTTGGGTAACGTGCATGACAGATTTAAGAGTCATGCCAGACAAGCATGACAAACATGAATTCTTCCAGACCCAGACATTTTTACAGTTGATACATCGACCAGCACGACGACTCCGGTGCTGCATCTCCTACCACCTTACCCAGATTTCAACCACGGAAAAGCAGCCACCTCCCCCGCCACACGGCCGGACCCGCGTGCCGGGCGAGGGAAGGGAAAGGTCCAAAGCAAGGATGCAAAAAGTAGTAGCGAAGATCCACACCAGCAATTATATAATCACAGCCCAGGGAACGCGAACCAGTCCCACGAGCACCCTTTCGCTTACAAGCACGCACCGGGGGGCAACGGCTACAGCAACATCAGCAAAAGTGGTACCTACATGAATAGCGCGCACAGCAGCACCAGCAGCAAGCGACCGTACGCTGCGGAGGGCAAAAATCAGACCGTGGCAAATGCTCGACTGGCGGAAATCATGGATCTTGAGTCGGGCCGAAATGGCACTCAGGTTTGTCTTTGCTTCATAAGTTTTTCGATATGGCGTCTGCTATGGCTAAATTTTTCTGTGTTCCATGTTGCTGGGCACAAGCCTTGACGTTGAGGATAAAGATAATGCATGGTATATATAGCATGTTGATTGGGAAAAACAAGATGAAGATGTATTTATTAAACAGGACGATGCCGAAAAGATGATTTCGAACGCCGAGCTGCAACGAACCTTGAGTAGCGGCAATGTGATGCCGCGCTTACGTCTCCGCGGTCTTCCTTTCACCGCCGCTGAAGCAGACATTCTGGTATGATATAGCGATGACAATAAACCTTTCTGTCTCATTACGCGCAGAGCACAATTCCCATGCGAGTGCGACAGCGACATCGAAAAAGAATACAAAATAGTCCCGTCCTATGCCATGCGTGTTTCCCACTTCGACTGTCCCTTGTATTCTGTATGAAAGTTCCTGTTGCTCTTGGATACCTATGAAAAACAAAAGCGACACTGACATTGGGTACTTGGTCATGATGAAGATCATGGTCATCAAGTAGATCTTCATTGATGGACGTTCACAACCACAACAACAGCGCTGGTTGCAGGTTCACTGCGTGAACAGCTCGCGGATTGTGTGCATCGACCTGATTATCGCAAGAAAAAACCGTCTCACTCGCAACTTTATATGCGGAAGCTTCTTGGAGATGCAGTTGCTGTCTCTTCTTTTGTCCCGCTCGACATGCAAGAATCGTGTCTTTCGCACGTGCACGTGCTTTCCGATTCGGTTGTTTATGGTGCATGAAGAAATGCCGCTCATGTTATTCTGAATTAATACTACATTTGTGTTGCTGAGGAGGAGTGCGCAAAGCTTTGGGACCACTTTTTGAGGCAGCTTTTTCGTGGGATACCTATGAAGCGGCCAGATGGCAAACCAAGTGGGCAAGCGCGGATCTACCTGCACGGAGGTACACCGCAGGACGCAATCGAGATGCAGTCCAAGTTACAGTTCAAATACATGGGAAACCGGTACCTGGAGGTGTTTGTCGAGAACCCGCCAAACCACAAAAGAAATTATTCTTGATGAAACTAAAGCCACTCGTCCACTTGCAGCAGAAGACACGTACTTTTTTTTTTCTCCTTTTCCTTTTCGTACGGGCCGCCGCTCATCTTGACCTCGTTGCGGCTTTTTGTCGTTGACAAGCAAGGAGGACAGAGATGCTATGAATTGCAAAAGTGTCTGGGTCTGGAAGATTGCAACTTGTCATGCTAAATCTGAAGCATGCAAAAATCTGTGTTCCATGAGTGCCAAAAGCTGTCCCCTTTTGACCAAGTTGGAACGGAGTTTCTCATGCAGAATAGGCATGGCAGAGGCCTCGCAGAGTCTGTCATGCTAAGTCCGGCATTCCAGACCTCATGGGTCATGGAATGTATTGGTTGAGGACTGATCCCTTCATCTAAGTGCCATCAGCCATGGTATCTGGAAAATCTGCATGACAAGTCTACACTCTTCCAGACCCAGACATTTTTGCATTTGATAGATGCTGTTCCTGTACGTTCCCTCAATTTTTTTCCACTCCAGCTGAGATCTCTAGTCCCGCCGACCTTGATGACCTTCTAAAAAAAACAGCGACACCAACAATATCCTTCTCGTGTCTCACTTGTTCACTTCTGGCTCTCTACTTTAGTGAATTTTTTTTGATTCTGTGTCCTGCGAGTTCACCTTCACCGAGTTTGGCGAACCAGCGTTATAACTTGCAGCTAGTACACGATTAGATTCTCTTTTTCAACAGGATTTTGTCCTGCTATTTCCTCCGGCTCCCTACTTCTAATACTACATGGTAGTCACCGGTAGTTTAGCTTTAGACTTGCAGTGTCGCAAACGCGCCGACAAAACTGTTCATTTCACGCCGGATTGGAGCTCCGACACAGCCGTTCGGAACTCACAAAGGAACTCTGCTATTATTCAGATTATCATCCGCGCCCCTTCTTGCTGCTCCTGCACTGGATGAGGGGGGGATACTTGTGCCGCAGCCGCGCCGCTCTCCCTCAGCGACCATCTAACCTTTGCAGACGTGCAGATTGTAACTTTATTCAATATGAACTAGTAGAACTTTGAGCAGCATGAGAAAAATGTGTGGGGGCGCTCTGATAGTTGTTGAGGCAGTGGCTCCATTAAAGAAAGATATACAAATCTTTCTAGTTCCCGCGTCCGCCTACGTTTAAAGGTAGTTACTCTATTAATCAGCTCTCTCTAGTTTGCAAATGGAGCGGTCTTTAAAGCCATGCGCAATGCTTAACTTGTCTGCGGTCTGTCAGCCTGCATTGCCGCAGATGAATGCAAATTGAAATAGAAATACCTCGTTGAAGGTGCGCCAAATAAGCAAGGAGAAGGGAGGACCTCCGACCCAAAAAGACTACGTCTATAGTAGTAGCAGGTATATTAGGGCTGCAGACTAGATATCGTATCGTAATGAAATTGAGTTTTTTTTGAAGGTTTCATACAAAGTTAGAAAAGTGATCTGACGAATCGACTCTATGAGCTACGACGCGATCTGCAGAGGGCGCGAACAAGAGGTGGCAACAACGTTATTTTTTATTCTTTGAACTTTATCCCGTTCTTGTCGGCCCTACCGCGGTAGTACCTGCTTCTGCTATTTCCAGACAAGAATCAGGCGGACTGCATTCCTTTCCTGTAGCTTGCACCTGCAGGTGGGCAAGCTGGACCGCCGTGGTCCTTGCAGCTTGCAGTGTGCCTACGATTGCTTCGTTAGACGTTGTGTGATAGAAATGCAACTTGTTCTAACCGTATCACGATGCGTCGATGGTGGACTCCCACGATGATCGCTTTAACTTTAAATGTGCTCTGAAAAATGTGCTGCAAAACACGACATGGAAAGATGGGAATAGAGCTGCTATCCCCGTTTCTACGAGCTCCGTCATCTTGAGTACCTGAGTGCTTAGTTATACACGTCCACTTGAATACTCACACGGCGTGAGACTGCAGTGCAAGAAAAAATAAGACACAGTTGCTGCATGGTAAAAAGACCAAGAAATAGTCCTACCGAGGACATTCTCGAATCAGTTTTCCCTTCAGTTCAGTACAGAGTGTGCGAAAATTACCATACGCATGCGCGGAATACGAGAAATATGAATATCAATATCAATATCAAAGTGCCTTGCATTAATAGAGCAGCATTAAGTACTTACTAGCTGTTGTGCACACACCTCCACCAGCCTTCAACATACTTTTTCGTCTTTTGAACTAAAACGCACTACTCGTCCCACATTTTTAGATGTCTCTGAGGGTGTGCTGGTGCTGAGTGTCTGGATGTAGGAGCCTTTTTCTGTCAAAAGAGAAAAAACGAAAACCCAGGAGGCAAACTGCTCCCTACACTTTTTCTTGTACACCCGCGCCAGAGAAGTCGGTAGCATATCCCAAGGGGGGACGAGTTTACTTTTTGGATATGCATTTTTAATTTTGTGAAAGAAAAAGAATAACAATGCTCGTGTTGCTAATTTTCTCGTACTTCTACTTCATCTTCACAAACTAAACAAACTTCACGCTATTTGCCCGCTTCTCTTTTCTATACCGATTTTTTTCCTTTCATTCTGCCCTTTTACGTGCTTTTTGACCTGTGCTATGTGTCCACGCATACGCGAAGAGCTTAACATGCCCCTTTGAAAGAAACGGGAAGGGCTGGAGCTTCCACGGCAAGGGCCGCTCGCTACATTCCACTCTGCCCGTTGGTTCGCTCTCCCATTTTCCGAAAATACCAAAGTAAAACCCACTAGTCCCCACCTCCGAGCGTACACGAGAAAATGCTCGCGAAACTACTTGCTTAAGCAACACATTCTTTGACCGTGTGCCTTGCAAGAAATGTATGCACCAAAAGGAAGAGCCAGGTAAAGATATTGAAGGAGGCTGAAGAAGCCACGGCCAGGTGAAAGAACAAAAAACTTCTTTCATAGTTCTTTTTTCTTACAGTGAAACAACAAACATAAGATGAGACGGATAATCGAGAAGGCAAAAAATAACTCAAGAATGACCACGAATAACGAGGATGACCTTCGGATGAACACTTTTCTTTTCTTCGATGTCGACAGATGTGAATTTGAACCTTTTCGAGCCTCAAGGTCAAGTAAACTTGTTGCCAAGCAGCACGACGGAGAACTTTTTGGTTGTTTCTGTGCAATCTGCTCCTATGAATATCACTGATATTCATAGGAGCAGATTGCACTGATAATCAGTATCATGTTTAGATTATCACATTGCTACAAATCGTAGCAGAAGATCTTCAAGCAGAACAAAGTATATGATGTGATCAAATTCCAACTTCAAGAAAAAGAATTCCAAGGTATTACAAAAGCATGATGAATTTGCGATCGGATGAAAGACGTTCCTCCTCAGGATCAGTTTTTTTTTTGATATTTAGATGACATGGTGTGCTAGATCCATGGTGGACAAATTGAGGATCAATCTGCGATCTTGGCAAACAAAAAATAGATGTTAGCGCACAAGAGAGTATGGTCGTGAATTTGTGTGTTGTGTGTGTTTTTATGTTGCTCACGAAGATTTCTTGTTGACAGTGCTGGTTGAATTTATTCGGCATTCTTGCCACTTTTGGGAAAAGATACGAGTAGTTTGAATGCTTTCATCTTGCCTTTTTGGCAGACACTTTTAGTTCTCGACCCTCTTCCGTATGTTTCACTAGCCCAGAATCAACAAAGCTACTATGGTTGTCGAAGCAGAAGCTCCCGCGGTAAAGGAGTCTGCCGCGGCCGCGCGTCGCCGCAGAAAGAAGGCGGCTCAACAAAAGGAAAGCAACAAAAACAGGGGCGGGGCTACTACAGCTGTGAGGAAGAACAAAAAAAAGAAAAACAACTACTGGGACAAAAAACAATATGGTGATAATTATGCCTACAGTGGCTGGACGGGCGGTCGTGGGAAGTCGTATTCTACTTCTACCAGCAAGAACGGCACCAACAGCGCAGCCACCGGGCCACATGCACCCACATCTTCAACAGCATGGAGCACGGAGCACCAATCGCAAGCAGAGCCGATGCAAAACAAGCCACCACAATTTGCAAATGTACAAGCGGACGATCACTGTGAAACGCCCAAGGTCGCGTACGAAGACGTCGCGGGCTTGCTGGATGCGTATGTCGACTGGCGAAATTCATCCACGATGCGCCGCGCGACGAGCGAAAATGCCTGTAGTCCCTCTCTTGCTGGCGATAATTGTTCCTCGTCGTCCTCTACTTCATCATCCAGCAAACCTTCAACACAAAAGCTGACCCGCGCCGGTTTGCGCCTGTACGATCCGTATTTCTGTACCGGGAAGATGAAGACGCACTTGGCGAATCTGGGGTTCCACGATGTCTACAACGAGCCCGTGAACTGCTACTCGCAGTGGAAGGAAGAGACTACCAGGAAGAGCTTGATTGACTCGTTCGATGTGCTGATTACCAACCCGCCCTACTCGGGCGACCATCTGCTGAAATTGCTGGACTTCTGCCGGAAAAAATGCAAAGTGGCTCCGGCCAAAGCAGCAGAAGCCGCTGCCGTAGTACCTCCGTCATCTGCAACTCGTGGTCCACCGGAGCAGTCCGAGGGCGCGAACAAGAAGAGGACCACCGCAGAGATTTTGGACAACGAAAGTCAGCCACTGCAGGAGAACGTCGGAACAACAAGCGTCAAGAACACATCAGAAGATGGAGATGCACACCCACCTCTTCTTCCGTACAACGGCAAGCTCTTTCTCCTCTGTTTGCCGAATCACTATTACATCAAGTATGCGAATTTGTGTCGGGAAATGCGGTACGTGGTCCCCTCCACAAGGTATTCCTACGCACGCTACTTTGGAAGCAGCGCGAAAACTGCCCCCTTTTCGAGTTTGTGGTATGTCTTCGCGGATCAAGCCTTTTTCGACTTTCTGGATGACAGGATGTTGAATCAACCGCTTAGGAAACCACCATCTACAGTTCCTTTTGCAAAGGCTCAACCGACCGCGGGTCCTACTTCCGGCGGCACTTCTAGTGCTGCAGCAACTATGTCGTTTGCCGAGCAGTTGCTCATGGCAGATAATGAGGAAGATGCAGATGCTGGAGAAAAGGAAGACGGGAAAAGCATCCCCCGGTGCGGCCAGAACTGCGCAAGCATGAGTTTTCAGTTGGTGACCGCTGACAAGATTCCTGACCTATGGAAGTGCGACGAAGATCCCACAAAGAAGTACGTGAAAAAAGAAAAGAACTCCAAGGGTCTGCAGGTCTTTGCAAAATGCGGACAGACACTCGGAAACTGTAAACACACACGAGGAGTGGAACTGAACAATTCGACAGCAGAATCATTGCCACCGGGTGCGCTACAGAAAGAAGAAAAGCAAGCGAGAATGACAAAGGAAAAAGGTGCAGTTACGGTTACTGACGACAAAGAAGCTCCGCTTGTCGCGGCTGAAAATACCGGCGATTCAGCGAAGAAGAAAAAAAAGAAGCGAAAAGTGGTAGGCTCGTAGCTGATGAATTGTGCAAATGTATTGATTTTCCACAACAGACAACCTGCAAAATTATGATTTACAAAAGCGACATTTACAACAGTCATTCCAAAAATCGCAACGAGCTTGCTGATCTTTCCAGAAGCCGCTCGGACGATGAAGTCACACAACGGATCTCTTCCACATCAGGGCGTGACGAATCGCAAACTCGTCAAGCGATCACGCCCCTGGAGCATGTATGTGTTGCTTTATCACCTTGACTTAGCGGTTCTCACTTGATATCATCAAGTAAAGGATCTGCAAGCCGGGCGAGGGCAAGATCAACAACGAGGTTCAGGATCCACGAAGGATCTGCAATCACGAGATCTGAAAGCCACGAAGTCCTAATTCACCAACGAGGCTAGTAGGAGGACAGCATCAACAAGATCGATACGTATATGCATTTGAAGCAAAAATGGCATCGCGACTCAGATCCTCCATCTAATGACTTTGTTGCATATCCAGATGGAGGACGTGTTTGGTGGGGACCTGAAGGAAAATGTTCGAAAATGCTCGATAGATCAAATTTTCGATGAAAGCGCGTAAGCAAATTTGGATCTTCGTCTGGAATGTCCTTACAATGACTTGTATGGACAATTTTGTTCCTGAAGTGAAAGCAGGCGCGTCTGAAGTTGAGAACTGTTGTCGGAACACGTAGAAAAAAAAAGTTCCCAAATATTTACTCGTCATCAAGGAGGGAAATATCGATACATAGCAGAAAGATAATACTCATGTCTCTTCTTGCTGCGCGACGCCTAGCTTGGAAACGCACACGCAATTGGAGGCTTCGCTTTTGCGCTCCAGTTTTGAGGAAAGCGAAGACGGTGTGCGCAGCGAGTGAAAGAGAGCTTGAGATTCGGCGCAGATTGCTTTCCTTCTTTCGAAGAAGTTCGAGGAGACAACGCCAGTCAGTCAGAAAAGCAAGAATGGACGAAGCGCGACCTGCTGGCGCGGAGAGCAATAAAGGGAACAATAAAGCGATGCAGCCGCCGTCGGCAGGTTGTTCCGTCGCAGATCAAGAAGCTCATGGTACTACTACACCGCAGGGGCAAGACAGCTCTTTCTCACCAAAACCGAGGACATTCGAGGGTTCCAGTTCATCACGCTCTACTTCATCGACGACAAGACAGCGGGTCCTCGAGAATCCACGGCGAGACGAGCCTGATCATGCTCTTGGAACAACAAACGACAGCGCCAACAACAGCAAGTTCGTGAAGATTCTTCTCCCGAAAGGCTGGCGCGGGGGCGTTTCGTTCGGGCTCCCTTCTGCTGACGTGGATGACGATGAGATGGCTGATGAAAAAATAACCAACGAGGACAGGAAGCTACGAAGCAATTTTACCACCGTCCACGGCCAGAAGATCGCAAACTACCTCGTCGTCACAGAAGTTGCGAAGGTGGCCTTCTCGTCGAAGAAATTCAATGCGAAAAACCAACTGGACGATGTTGCCCAAGGCGATCGCGTCGTCGCGGTGAACGGTTTTTCCTTTGCGGATTTGGCCAAGGAAATACTGGAGGACGGGTTTATTTCGGAAGCGCCTAAACTAACGGGTTCGTCTGCTCCTCCGGCGAGTTCGAGCACAACCGCCGAGAAAACTCCCGGTCAGGCAGACAGCGACCTCCTGGCAGGAAAACTTGGCAGTTTGAGCCTAGCGGAAAGCAAGAACGGCACGCGGGAGGATGAAGATCCGAGAACGGAGGCAGAGAAGCAAAGAGCAAAGAAAATGATGCTTCTGGACATGAGTCTAGACGATATCAGTGCGAAGAACAAGGGAACAAATAAGCAAGGAAACAAGGGCAAGAAAGGAAAGGGGAAGGCCAACGCCAAGGCAACAAAGCACGGAAAAAATAAAGCGACCAGCGATAGCGAAGCATCAGCTTCAGCGAGTACAGCGATTATTGCGAATTCGGCTGGCAGTGCGGCAACCGGACTTGTGGACGGCAAGGAAGATGCACTAGTCTCTTCCCCTACAACTAAACCAGGGCTGTACAATACGTGCCACAAGCATCCCGTGCAGAAACACCGCATCGGCTCGGTCGGAAAATTTTCCGATCTCGTTTGCTCGTCCTGCGACTTTCTAAGGACGGTCAAGCAGAGTGGAGCGATCGTTGCCATTCCGCTCTGGATTCGAGCGGTCAAAGACGATGACGACACGCGGATCACACTTACGATTGAACGACGTGGTTCGTCCGAGTAAGTAGAAATACGCGGTCAATGCGCAGCAGAGAACGCTTTACTTAATATGTTCCGTTTTGATGTGGTGCATTTGTGTAGTTTCAACGGCCTTTATATCGCAAGCGACGCAAAAGAATGCAAAGACACATTTATTTTGGAAACCAGCCTGCGCATAGCCAATGTGGACGGCAACTTTAAAGAAAAACTCATGTGATGTTCTGCGTGAAACATTATTAGACAGTACGTCATCTATCGATGAGATTCTCTAGTCAACCAGCTATGGTGTCGTATTTCGTGGTGAATCGTGCACTGCATACGTAACTCCTGGAAGTGCATCAAGAAAAAGTTCGTTTTTTTTTTTGAAGATCCCGTTCGCCACTTCTTAGTTTTCTTGCACATGCAAGCGCCTAGCTCCATGTCCATGCTTTCTTTCGTAACAATAGCTCGTCGTTTCGATGCGCTGTCATGCCGACTTATTGCTGTGCATTCCCATTTCTCTTTTCCGTGTGCTTATTTGATATCGCGTCTCTGTGTACAGTCAAGCGTTCTACTAGCTATTTTTGCATTCTATGAATATTCAGAGACGGTTGCAAAAAGAAAAATGTTGCGCAGTTTAGCAAACTTCCAGTTGAAACAACATGTGTGTTCGCACTACTTCCCCCCTGAGGTCGAGAAACAAAGCGAACCGGTGGAAGGGTTGGCGCTTCTCGGGTCCGCGCAAAGCAGCGAAGAAGCTTTGCTGGCCGCTGCTCCTAGTTTCATTGACAGAAACGATCGGCCGTGCGCCGGGCCGCGACGATGGGGGCGCATCAGCACGCGAAAGCGAAACCGCGGCAGCATACAAACAGAAAGACCCAGTACAAGAACCAAGACCGACGAAAGCGCAAGAAAACAACTACCACGAGAGCCGGACGACCACCGTTCCGCTCCGTATTTGGGGCGAGGACACACCTTTACCGGACCCGGTAGACGAACTGAATCCGGATCAGAGGACCACTTACCACGAGCTGCTCTGCCAGCAGCCGGCGGTGGGCCACTTTGCGCTCCGCGAGAGTCTCCGCCGCCTGATGCTCTTCGAGCTGCGCAACGTGGGAGAAAACCCCGCCTTTCAGTTTGAGCTAATCTACCGCCACCTGCAGAAACTTCTCGGGTCTGTCGAGCGGACGGCGAGCACGCCGGAGGCGTACTTCAACCCCGGGATTCGCCGGGCGTACCGCGAGCAGTCCATTTTCCCCGGCCGGAGTTACCACGCGGCGAGTCTGCAGGTCGGCAAGTGCCTGATCGCCGAGGCGGTCGTGAATTTTGTGCAACTTCTCACTCTGGACGTGGAGCTCGCGTACCTCCCAACCGTCAGGCAAACGCGGCTACACTTCTCGCAGCACGCGCAATGGCTCTGGAACACGTTCTTGATCACGTTTGACCGCGTGGTGTTCAACACCGTCCTGACCCCGCGACGACTTGTAGACGACCGGGGAATCTTGGCGAAGAGTCGGGAGCCGCCAAGGCTCCAGGCAGGAACACAGATCAAAGAAGAAAAACGAACCGGGTTCGAAACCCGGGTCCTTGCTGGCATCGAAAGCGCTGGTGGCAGCGGACGCCGCTGGGTTATTCACGAGATACGGAAGCGGATTTTTGCAGGAAAGAAAACCACAACCGAAAAAAATCATGATCTTGATCCTGTTGAAGATATGAACGGTGACGCCTCGGGCAAAAAATCGCCAAAGAACTACAATGATGCTCACGAAGTCGACGTCGGCAAAGTGGTCTTCCTCAATGAAGACGCCAACGCTGGGATGAATAATGCAACCCTGGCAAAACAGCAGTTCCTGGAGTCGGCTTTCGCCACCTCCGAGGCCGACGCCCTTGATACGCTGATCGCCTTCCCAGCTGATATTGAGCCCTCCACTTTCAACATGGCACTCCATGCCCAGCGGTACACGTACTTAACGGACAGTCTGCTGCGGTCCACGTGGCCGATCTTTGGTTTGCTCGCGAAACTGCCGACCTGGGAGTCGCTCGCGAACAAGGTACTCTTCGAGGCCTTGCAGTGGAAGCGCCACCAAGCCGGCTTCACGACCACCGGGAGCGCGCACCTGCCGAGCGTTCCCGTGACCATGGACTCGCCGGTCGCAGTCGTGGATCTGCTCACGCACCACCCAGCGCTCCAGAACCTCCTGACATGGCTGTTCTTGTTGGAAAAGTATCCGGCCCTACGCGTGTTGGATGTCGATAGTGGTGGGACGTCTCTTGAGGACCAGGAACACGAAGGTCCTGCTCCTGCTGCTGCAACTAGAACTACCGGGCAGCACAATAAGACTCGTCTGCAATACGCGAAAGCTCACCTTCCGGACATGTTTCTGCACATTTTGCAGACAACGTTCCAGCAGTTGCTCTACTATTACAACCTGCGGACCGTCGGCATCGGCGAGACGCTCCAGGTGTTTCGCAAGTTGCGCGGCCAGCCCTACCCCCACGGGCGCATGCGAGAGCACTTTTTCTCCTCAGAAAAAGCGCACTGGTACCGGCTGTTCCGCGCCATTGACGGTGACGTGCGCCTGTCGGACCCGGTGTTCCGCTTCTTCACCATGCTTTGCCCGCCGGTGCACGACACGCTTGCCATGCCGGAGCAAAACGTGAACATTGACGCGGCGACTGGGAATCCGAGTACAACAACTGCGGGTAGAAGTACAACAGCTGATGACAAACAAAGCGCAGGGGCGACCGAGCGAACGCACGTCGAGCACCAGCACTCTGTCTACCACCTCGAGTCGGTCGTTGACATGGCAAAATATGAGGCGCGCGCTCGGGAAAAAATCGCTGCGGAGATGCTCCGCTTCGGGCCGATTGAAGTGGACGACGTCATTAGCAGGCCCGGAAACTTTTCCCGCCGAGAAGAACGCTTGCAGGGTTGCTTGGTACAACCTCCGCGGGAAAATGGCAAAATGTCCCTCCAGACTTTCGTGACCTGCCCTGCGAATCGGCGAGTCACCGACGAGATCTTCTCTGACCCAGCGCTGCAACGCGTCATTTGGATGTTCCTCTTCGTGGTGCTGCACGAGATCCAGTCGCTGTACTTTGGAAAGAGCGTCTGTGAGATGGAGGACGTGGTGGAACGAAGCCCAAGCGAGAGCAGTGGCTCAAGTGAAACCACAGTACTAGAGAACTCACCGCCTTCCGCCACTGAACACAGAGCAAACTCTGACCAGCACCCGCTTCTTCAACATAAGAGCCACGACCGCATTGGGATGGTGCTGAGCCGGTCGGCGCCCCACCCCTACTACGTTTGCATCAGTCACGACAACGTGGAAGCCAATCAGGAGGCAGGGGGATTCTTCAAATTTGGGTATTATATGGGCTCGCGACATTTCGATGGTATTTTCAAGCAGCAGGAGCAGTCGCTAGGGTACGGAATAAAACTGCCGTCGCCGCACCTGGCAGGAGGAGCAGATCAGTACAACAGCACAGCATCACTCGAACTCGATGACACCTCCCACGAGCGACGAGAGACGATGAATGGCGGCGTGTCCCCTTCATCTTGCAACTACGTCGTTGACGTTGGCGCCAACCTTGGCATGTACACAGTTCCCCTTGCGTTGCGGGAGAAAAATTTGAAAATAATTGCTGTAGAGCCCACAAAAAGCGCCGCCTGGGATTTATCCAAGACGGTTTTGGTGAATGGACTGCAAGACCGCGTCCGAGTGATCCGAAAGGCGGTTACAGACACGAGCGACACCGCAGAACTCGTGTTCCGCGACCAGGGCGGCGCGCACACGGGAAACATCCTGCTCTCACCCGAGGAACTGGCAAGGCCCGAAACGACGTGGGAGGGTGAAATGATCTTGGCAGGAGAGCATGCAGTGGTCACAGCTGGAACAAGTACAAGTGAAGATAAAACGCGTGAAGCAGGCGAGACCTCCTCCGAGGCTCCTCTTGGAGATGCTGCAGGTCCTGATCATAATTTAAATGCCACCTACTACACCGTCCCGACGACCACGTTGGATCAGTTGCTGAAAGATTACGTGTTGCCTGACCCGGACTACCGGGGTATCTGCCTGTTGAAAATCGACGCGGAGTGCCAGGACTTGGCGGTCCTGCAATCCGGTGTCGCTTCGCTTCAGGCGAAGCAACCAGGAGTTGCATCTGCCGACCAAAGAACGAGACCGGTCATCTTGATCGAGCTCGCAAACGCGTATTGCACCCGGAAACTCCGGCGAAACCGCGCGGAAGCAACGTCTTCCTCCCTCGACGCGAGCGGCGGAAGTAAGTTGCTCCGAGTTTTGCAAGAAAACCTTGGATACCGATCCGTGCAGAGCTGGAACGATTTTGTAGATCTCGACCACATCGAGTATCAGGAGCACTACCCTGATTTGCTAGTGCTGCTGCGCGACCTGGGCATCGGAATCTTCTCGGAATATTACTACGCGGATGTCATGTGGGCTGCCGCGGTCGAAACTAGAAGTACTACAGTTTTGCCATCGACCAACGCTAGCACAACAGATCCCTTGCTGCCGGGGACCTCCGCTTACAGAGATGCTCTGCTCCCTCGCGTCCTCGTCGAATACGCGAGCGATTCCGCGAGCTTCCAAGAGGAGCTGGGCGCCGTATTGGTCAAGACCGTATTCGCAAGCAACTACGTGACCGAGAAATTTTTTGCGGAACCGGTACAGTATGACATCGAAAACCAGACAATGACTATCCGGGCGCCGCCGACGGTGAAATTTTTGTTGGAAAAGTATGGGAATCCACTGGAAGAAGTGGTCTATTCAGAGAGATCATCTAGTAGCGCACCTGGCCCGGCACCTACGACAAAGGCTCTTTTGTCGCAGCTCAATCGTTTGGCCACACGACTATTGGAGCTTGCGCTTGGCGGGCACGCTCGTCCTTCCTCCACGAGTTTTTCTGAGGATTTTCCCTCGTCCGAAATCCGCGTCTCCGTCATTGCTCCAGCCGTTCTCCAAGGCGTCGGGAAATTATTGCTCCGTGTGATAAAGACTTCGTTGTCAGATGACATTGAAGAAATTGATGTCGAAACAGGACGAGACAATGACGTGGAAGCCGCAGTCGAATCCCCTGCTGAGCAAGGTTTTTCTTCACAAGGCGGAGCACCTCCAAGCTTCAACTTTCACATACTCGCTGCGTGGATCGCAGAGCTGTTGCACAGAATATTCATTTCACGCCGCTGCGGCTGCTCCTTCCGATACACCGCGAACGAAGCCCAGTGCTCTGATGAGGTTGATACGCTACTGCGAACCAATTTTGATGTTGAGGTCGACGATGGTGGCAACAAGCAGAATCATTCCGATTCGTTTCACAACGGCGTCAGAAGAGTTTTCGAATTTTACATCGGCGCGGTCCTGCTGAAATTCGAAAGGAGCCTGTTGTCCTCGGATGCTTCTATAATTGATGCACTGGACAACGACAATTCCTTATCTGCCTCCTCTGGTGCTATGATCAACGAGCCAAAAAGAATTGCGGCATCATCGTCCACGATGAACCAATTTTCTTTCTTCCAGTCGCTCGTGAAATTCTCTGCAGATCCGAAGATCCTTGCTAAGACACTTGCAGACCAGACCACAGCGCACGACAGGGCATTCCTCCTGTGTGCGACCGTCTGCAACCTCTACGTGAATCTCGCGGGTGGCGCAGGTTGTCGCGCATTTGATGTTGAGTACGTTCATCTGCCCCCAGAGAACGAGGAAAATCGGGAGGAGCAGCATCCACTTGCTTTCTCGTGCCGACTTTTGAATGATTCGCGTACGTTTCAAGGGCACGAAAACGAGCCAAATTTTCTGCCGTCTAGGAAGGTAACGTTGCGACGAGGTACGAACTTCGACGCGGCAACTGTGGGCATCAAATCCCGTGCGGGAGAAATCGAAGTGGATCTAGTCGCGTGGCCGTGAACGTGATCATTGAAGATCGACAGATTTTATGATTTTTACACGCGACGACCACGAGACCCCTGACAAATTGTAGTAGAACAGGAACAGACAGCCTCGCATGATGAGCGCACAAAAGCATCGCCCTGATCGTCCTCCAGGTCGAGGAACGCCTTTTACCGGCGAGCGAAGTACAGAAGCACGTCACTAGTGTTCACAGAGTCGTTACTTGTGGAATTTTTCGAAAAATTTGCAATTGTTTTTCAAGCTAAGTACTTATCACCCTCAGCTGTGACTATGTACAAGTATCGATCTTATCGCTCTCGCCAACGATGAAAAGTATCGATCATAAGCTGAAGAGCAACGCGGGCGTTTTGCTGCAACGTCAACGTCGTACGTTTTGCGCCGGCTCGATCGAAGGTTACTTACGCGAAAATAAAATTGCAGCTACGCGACGGATCTAACATTCTTGACTGAAGCAGTAACCAAGGCTTTCGTTAGAACTTGAAAAGAGATTGATGGAAAAAGAAAAATTGATGCCTTTGCTGTTCAACTTCTTCTTCTTCATCGTCTTCCTCGCGGCTAGAGAGAAATAACGGAGAAAAAATCACAAACTGAGAGAACTCAAGACCAAAATCATGAGCAAAAACAAAGTGCGACGTTTTGTTTGATAGATTTCAGTGCAAGATCAGCAGCATGTGACAAAGAGGCAGGTGCTTGGTTTTAATCTAAAATGTAGAGACACGGGCACCACAATCACATTCGATTCAGCAGAAACTACTACACGTAGGCAAAAAACAGCAACAACCAAGCAACCGAAATGGTAAATTTCTCTTCGATAGAAGCTGGCGTGTTGCACGAGTGGGACCAGGGGGAGCAGCTTATGCTCCGCGACGAAATTGAGCATATGGAGGGCAGGGCGGTTACTTCGTGGGCCGACTTGCGCAAAAACTACGTGACCTTCATGATTGCGAAGGCCCTCGAGGATCTCGATCGTCCGATCTGTCCGTTTCCTGAAGTCGCCACCGTGTGGCGTGCGCACTTGCTGAACACCTGCGAGTATCGCAAGTTTGAGACTTTAGTTTTGCGCAAGTCGGGCAGTACTAGATCACACCTGGACCACAGCACGCGTGTGATTCATGCCGCTGCTCAGCGAGCGCGTCGGCAAAACTTTCTCGATATGGTGGACGCATCAAATACTGGTCGTCAAAGTACTGAGCCACAGTCAGCTACTCTGGCGATACAAAACCAACGAAATCGGTCCCGATCGCCGCTAGCGCGTCGCGAAGGAACGGGCACCGTCATGGCCGAAGACGACGAGTCCGCGCAACCAGCTGGTACCGACTGAGATCATAAAGTTAAAGACGAAATAGTATACACATTGTTCATGTTTCAGGTGCGCCATGGGGAGAAGATCAGAAATATATCCAATGAAGAAAAACCTCAAATCGCATCAGAGCACGACAAAATAAATCTTGGACAGGCACGACAGACGACGTCCCTCGTGGCGACTTAGATTCTCGCAGTAGACCACGACCAGAAACTCCTTTAACACACTTCAACATTTTTTTGACTGCTGAAAATTTTTCTTACCCTGGTGGCAGACGAACGTGTGTGATTCAAGTGCACAACTGGTGGACGGTTTCTGACGTCAAGCACAAGCTGATGCTCCTAAAATCGGAATCCTTGCCGCCATCATTACACCAGTTTGGATTGCGGAAGGGCTACAACAGAGTACTCGACGAAGATCGACCTCTCGGAAAGCGAGAGCGAAACGACGAGCTGCAGGCACGAGATGCATCTTCGAGAACCCTTGCGGAATGCGGCATTGAAGAAATGGACACACTCTACGTGTTTATCAGATTTTCCAGACTACCCCCCAGAAGCACAAGGTCTTCAACCCTCGAATCGGTCTGTAAGCCGGCTTCAAAATAGAAAGAAGCATACTTTTTGTGACAATCTGCATTGATGATTGCCAACTGCAGTCCCTGCAGGATTGCCTTTTTGTCTGTCTCACGCTTTGTGCGAATAAACTCATCGCATTCCTCGCAGCTCATTTTCATTTAGCACCGTCCTGATTTTTGCCTGCTGCTGTTGAGAAGACGAAATTATCGTTCGTGATGCTTGCAGCTCACTTCGAACTTGGGGACCATCGTTCTAAGAAAGGGGCCGTGTCAACGTCATCAAATGATACCGAGGGAGTGTCGTTCCCCAGTCAACATCGTGGTCGTCGATTCTCTTCTCCAATTCGTTCATCGTTCGTGCCTGATGAAGGCCCTAATTCTGTAAATACAGAAAAAATAAGCTGTTGATACGTTTTTTTAGTCGTCATCTTTGGTAGCTACGTAGGTCTTTCTTGTGGCGTAGGAGATTAACGCGAAAAGTCTGTTTGGCGGCCGGCGGCGAAGCCAGTGCCAGTCGTGCCTTGCCTGCGGAGACTAAAAATTTCTACTGCTTATTCACAGAAAATCATTCAACAGACTTCTGTATCTTAGTTTTTAACCAACTGTTGCCAAGAAGCCATGGAAGTGCTAAAGAAGCCTCTGCACATCGACCGGGTGATGTCCGGGATTTTCGCGAAGAAACTCCGCGACGAGATGTCGATGAGCACCCCGCCCCGGGACCCGCTGGAGGAGGCCGGCGCTGCGGGCCACGGGAAAAAGCGGCGCAGCCAGGTGCGTGCGTATCGGGACAAGTCCGCTTTTGAACTGCTCGAGGAAGACGCGATGGACGCCTACGAGAGATTGCGCAAGGATCCCGAATACTTTGTCCACTTGCTCGAGCAGGACCTCCCCCTCTACGACGAGAAGAACGTGCTGCGCAACAACGAAAAACGCCGGTCCGTCATCACCTCAGAGGGCAAAAAGGCGGTTGAAGAAGCGATCCGGGCCTTGCAAGACTGGGCGTTAGAGACCCGCACGTCGGGGAAGAAGCCAAGGCGAGTGTTCTACGACGAAAACTTGAGCAAGGCGGCGCGACAACACGCGGCCGACATCGGTCGGCGAGGGACCCAGGGGCATCGCAGTGTCAGAAGACCGGAGGACGGGCGGCGGTAAAAACAAGTTTTCTGCGAATTTTTTTTTGACTCCATGACGTTTGATTTGAATATCTAAAAGTTTCCCATTCATTGTGCATGACCGTTCTTCTTCTTCATGTGCGAGAAATAAAGGCAATGTTCCATTTTAAACTCAGAACTTCCGCCTCCGAGCGCATCGACCAGTACGACGCCTGGATCGGCGCCTTCGCCGAGTGCATCAGTTACGCCGAGAGTACGGGGGAGGCGATCATCAAACAGCTTCTCATCGACGACGGGGTGCCGTCGCGAGGGAACCGCAAATTGTTGCTGAGTCGCCACGACTACGGACTGGTGGGCTTCGGCTGCGCCGTGCACTACCAGTACCGTTTTTGCTGCGTGCTGTGCTTTGCGGACGAGCTGGAACAGCGGAAGCGAAAAGAACAGCTTGCCATCGACCGCGCGCTGGAAAGAACCGCGGCGGAGGCCTCCAAGGTGGAATTTGCGGCGGAGCGCGAGCGGCAGAAGAAGGCGGCCTTTGGCGTGGGCACGAAGATCTCCCAAGTGGAGAAGCACAGTACCGAACAAGCGTACCTACCGGCGGTCATCTCCGACGCTTTTGTCACGCACAACGTGCTGGACTCCAAAACCAGGCTGGCCAGGTTGAAACAGTAGAGGAAGGAACGGTTGTCTATGTTGACAGACTTGAAGTTCCGATCTTCGGCGGAGCCAGCACTCCCACTCCGCTCGGACGCTTCGACTTTGTTGACACCAGAAGTTGAAAGTGTAGCGTGTTTTTTGTTGAGTTGACATGATCCTTTTGACAAACAATGATATGACTCGTATTTTTGTAGTAGCATCTTCTTTCAAAGAAACGTCGCAGTCAGACGAGACCGTGCCGATAGCGATGTGCAAAGGTCGCACTGTACAATAGATTAGTTGAAGTTGATTGAGACGACACAATGACACTGTACACCAGATTCAGGTTTAAAATTGACCTTCTGTTAATCAAAGCCCTCTTGCGGGTGGCGTGAAAATCCTACGACCTCACGTTGTCATCTCACCGTTGTTCTCGTACTTGGAGTTGCACTACACTGCTACAGGCTGGACGAGTAGACGCTCGTAGAAAGACCTTTGCACGATGTTAGGCATGGCGCATAAAATATCTTGAGGTCCATGGCGCTAGATAATCTCTGTTAAGAATGGGTTCGAACGCAAAGCAGCAAGGTGGTCGCTCGGCCGGGAATAGAAACGCCACAGCGTGACTGAAGACATTATCGCGGGAGCTACAACTGCAGCAACACGCTCCGAAAAGAATAATGATCAAGTTCATTTTTCTCCAGAACCGGCAGGGAAAGACCCGGCTCAGCAAGTGGTACGAGAGCGGCCTGAACCTGGCAGAGAAAATGAAGATGGAACAGGAGGTGCACCGCATCGTGGCGGGAAGGGACGCGAAGTTTACCAATTTCGTCGAGTACCGGCACTACAAAATCATCTACCGACGATACGCCGGACTGTTTTTCACGCTTGGCGTCGACATGCACGACAACGAACTGGGAATGCTGGAACTCATACACCTTTTCGTAAATGCTTACTGTGCTTCCATCACTTTTTTACCTCTCTTGAGTTTGCTTTTCTCGCACTGGAAGTAGAGTCTGGGAACAAATAATTGACGTCGCCGCTCCTCTCAGTGGCTGGGCGAACCCTAGAAAAAAAATACGTGCAGTGGCAATGACTGACCGTATTACCTACCCGAATACAAATCAAAACTTCGTACTAGGTCGAAATTCTGGACGGATACTTTGGAAACGTGTGCGAGCTGGATTTGGTATTCCACTTCGACAAGGTGTACTTGATTCTCGACGAGCTGTTGCTGGCCGGCGAAATCAGCGAAACTTCATCAACACTAATATTGCAAAAGCTGAAGCAAAGCGAGAAACTCGAATAGCAGAAGTGTGTTGCATTCGCTAGTACACAAGCTGCAGCTCGACTCCTTGTGTCGTCCGTTTTGATGGTTCGTAGCTGCGTGGTGTGCGTACGAGAATGCACATAAATTCAAATTTTTCATGTTCGCCACTCTCTGTCGAGCACAATTTCGAGAACGTTAAAGCTCTACTTTTCGTCAGCACGCACATTTTCCGATGAGAGCAAGAGAGTTCGAAGAGAAATTTTCAGAGCATAGCTGGAGAGCAGTCTGTATCTATTGTCGTAAGGAATCGACTCGGAGTCGGATCCATGTTTGTGGTTTCTCCCATTTATCATCGATGTCAAGCCAAACACCGGAAGCAATCGTGCATCTCCCTTCTGTGCTGGCAAACTTCAGTAGGAAGCTTCTTCTGCGGTTGAACACACAAAAGGCCGCCGGGAAAGAGGCAGAAGAAAGATGGTGAGCCTCCAGTTTGTCGAGACGCCGATAGGCGATGGCTTAGGGTTGGAAATGGCAAAGCTTCCGGGAGACGACGAGGGGGACGCTTTGTTAGTTGCGGTACGGATATGATGTTATGCCAAACTTCTTTTGCAACATTGCAATTGCTATTGCATTTGCTTCCGACTTCGGTCAAAAATTTGCGAATGCAATTGAAACCAATTTCCCAAACGAAAAACACAGCAACGAAAAGTGGAGGCTGTCGCGGACGCGAGGTGCTCAAAAGTCGTGTTCGTTGAGAACATACCCTCCGTGCAGGATCAGGGCCGGTTTTTCGAGTTCAAAGTGGAGGCGTGCCTTACCGGCTTCATTCCAGGATTGGCCGTGGGCTTCAGCTCCGTGGACCCAACAGGAGATGGGTTTCCAGTTCCAAGAAGAGCCTGCGAACTCGACGAGACCGTCATGATCGGCTATGTTGGTAGAATTATCGGTTTTTTTTATCATAGCTGTAGCTGTACATACAACGAACATTCTACTGAATCAATTAGGCGGGTTTTTGGTACTAGCGGTCGCATGACGAGGAGAGTTATGACAAAGAGATTCCAACTAAGCTGGCGCTACTTCTACAAAACAGGTAAAGTCTACGCCGACAGTGGAAACAAGAGCTTTCCGATCAAGTGGAACCCGGGTCGCAGCGTGGTCGCCCGCGGCCACGACAGGATCGGTTGCTTGCTGACGCCCAAGGGCGAGATCGTGGTCTTCCAGAACAAAGAAGAGGTGGTACGGTGGAGTTCGAAAAAAGATAAAGTCGACATCTCCGGCCTAATGAACACCGACAAACTGTACGGCGTCGTGGACGTGTACGGAGGGACGCAAAGTACAATAATTTCTTCTGATGCTGCTCTTTTCATCGCACATTGCTGAAGTCGAATCAGATTTGCATCTGGTTACACCACTTACATTCTTCTGTTGCACGGGAAATAAAACCACGCACATTCTAGTACTTTTGTTTCAACGATGAACACCACAGGAATAAAGCTGAACCCGGCCGCTAATATCGTGTCGCCCACAGATGACCCCGAAGACGGGGCAGAGGAAGAGGGTGGCTAGCTGTAGATCTAGAAAACTTATAAAAAGTACTCAATCAAAGACCGCAAAATGAACAACTGCAACGTGATATACGCCTGGCCATTTGGCTTGGTGAAAATGAGAACAAAGTCACACACGCACTGACTCCGCAACCATTTGTCAATGGCAAAAAAAAAGTTTTATGAAATTTCATGTTGAGAGGGAGTGCTTGCGCAGCTCTGCGTCAGCACTGCTGTTGCTGATCTGTGTGAATATATGATAAAAAACCGCAAATCAAAGCACATTATGGAAATGTTCGGTTTTTCTGAATACATGTCCGAATCCGAGGCAGAGCCAGTACAGTACTGCGATTGCACGAGATACAACAAGCATCATGCGAGGCTGCACCGTGTGCAAGAACTAAATTAATATCGGTTTCCTGCAACAAATACAAATTGGAATTGCGCCGTACTTCCGCACGATACTTCTTCATCGGTTGTAATTGCTGCGGCGCGAAACGTCATCATCGGTACGCCTAAATGTCACGATCCCTTGAATGACACGAACACAGAAATAAATTTTGTTGAGTGGCTTTTTACGACGAGACGAAGAAAGCTTGAGCCATTTTGATCGTCCTTTCCAATTTTTTGTTACACAGGAACCTCCTGAGTTGTTCTACCCCGTGTAAGTAAGTTTTGAACGCCGCGACGACCGTGTGTAGAATATGTGTGTACGATGATCCGGATCTGTCATCTGCCCGATTCGTACTTTCATCCTGCCAACAAGACAATTTTTAAATCCAATTTGACATTGACTCATAACAATTGTAGTGTTGTTTTTTCTGTGCCCTCCCGTCCGACTGCGTCTTGTATTGAAATTTAAAGTAACTTTTTAAATCACGGACGTGGGGAGCTACAGTGGTCAAGGCCATGCTGAGACTTTAATACTGCGCTGTACGATAATCGCACACACAGATAGTAGAAGCACAAGAGCGCGTATCCTGTGGACTCGCACCGAAGGTTTGTACACTGCAGCTGCTGCGTTTGCGAGCACTTCTTTCTCGTCGAGATCAGCTTTCGGCGGATCATATCTTCGGACGCACGAACTTCGTGGCTCACCCTGCTACGGCTCATCTAACCAATCGAACATTAGGCACATGATAGCAAGCTTGATGTGTTAACCGCAGAGAACCGCAGGAGCTTCTGGAACGCTATTATCAGGCCTGCTCATACCACAACACTAGCATTTTCCTACTTCGGTAGGAGTACACTACTGTAGTTGTTGTCCTGAAGTATAATTTTCTTGCTTGTGAAGCCAATTTCACGGAAAAATTTTACCTCAGATTTTACGTTGACAATTCTCCTTGTCGAAGCTAACAAGTTCGTTGTACTTGGTTGAAATTTTTAAAACAAGCTGGAATGAGCCCCTCGACGACAAAACGGGCGCTACTGACGCTTTCCACTACTGTGTACAACTCCCCGCTTGCTCATGGTACCCGGTAACCCCTGCTTTTGCACCCCGCTTTTTCAATGCACAACGAAAAGTTATACTCACCTTGAACAATTTTTTATTTCGTTTTGAACAATAACTGAACTAAAAGACCATACGACATACACAGACATATCCTATCGATGGTCGTAGCCGCACTACAGCAGGAGCGATCCTAAAATTGTACCTTACATATTGCTTTACCCATTGAAGAAGAAAATCACGGCAAACGAGATCGAAATATAGTACATAATCGCTACGGCTATCGTAAAAAATCCCCCGTACGAGGAAGGAGCTGCCTTTCCTGAACATAAACAAAAAGCGCTACAAAAATAAAGTAGTTTAGTCCAGCTACCCGGCGAAATGACATTTTCAGCATTGACCGCCGCGGTCCGCGAGCAGGATCAGATGTTGTTGAAGGCGCGGACGCTGAGCAAGCACGAAGAGCCGGCGTCGCAGGAGCAACTCCAGCCGGGGCGGCGGACCAGCTCGTTTCGGGAATTTCTGACGCCCACCCCCGAGTTTTCCGATGTTTCTTCCGCGGAGTCGATCGCGGCGCTCTGTCGCCAGCACGTGCCCCAGTGGACGAATTCGGAAGTGCACGTGAGGAAACTGACGGAGGGACTCACCAACCAGCTGTTCCAGGTTTCCCTCGTGTTGCCCGATTCGGATGTGGACGTCAGCACCACTTCCGTCGATGACATCAACAGCCAAAATAGCAACCCGACGCCGCAAGCCCTGTCAAACTCGCCCGCCAGCCTCGACGGTCGTGTAGGGGGTGGTGCACGACCCGAACCCGCTTTTGTCATGAGCTACGCGGCGACAACCACAGGAGCGGCCGATGGTACAACTACGACGAGTGGTCTGCAAGGAACTACAACTACTACTGCTGCTGCGACGACACATCAAGAGCCTCCTCTTAGGTTGCCAGAAGTCGTTGGAACAAATGGTGCCACCTCGGACGTCGCTGCAGCAGTATCAACAAAGCCGAATAAAAGCAAAGAAGTTATTCTGGATCAGAACACGACCAGCATCACCTCAAGTAGCACCTACGCGACGTCGAACGGGGGCGTCATCATCCCGAGTCCGCGTCCGACCACCGAGGCAGTGAGTATTCTACCACTTCCCGGACAGACCTCCGCAGCCAGCCCGCGGCAAGCAGTGGCACCGCTCATAACGGTCGTGCTCTTTCGCATCTATGGGAAAGATATCCATAACTTTTACGATAGCGACGTCGAGGTGCGCATTTTTGAGGCCTTGTCTCGACTTCGGATCGCACCGAGGATGTACGCAAAAGGAGACGGATGGAGAATCGAGGAATGGCACTTCGCAAAACCGGTCTCCACACAGATCATGGACAACCCAAGCATATATTGCCAGGTATAATCCTTGTATGTTTTGTCGCTGATAGATACTCACTGCAATGTGCTTGCTACTCGTACTAGTCTCGTGCGTGCAGCAACAGAATTGTAAGTAGTTCCAAACCAATTGGATTTGAATAAAACCCTCTCATCTCCAGATCGCCTCCCACCTGGGTCGGTTTCACAAGCTTGCCTACGCGGACGAGTTTGCGCCGTTTAAAAACAACCAGCCGACGGTAATGAAATGGCTGGACACCTGGGTCGAGCGGGCTTGGGCGGCGGACCAGGAGCGACCGGAGTCGTTTTTTGCGAAGTACCCGGAGATGGCGGAAAACGCGAAGAAACAGGCGGTTTACTTGAAAACGGAGCTCGAAAAACATCTTTCCGGCGATCAAAAAACAACGCCACTGGGCTTCCGAGTGGTCTTCTGCCACAACGACTGCCAGGAAAACAACGTCTTGCAGACGCAATACGGCTTGAGACTAATCGACTTCGAATACAGCGGCTTCAACTTTCAAGGGTATTTAGGATGGTGTTGCTTTGGTTTTTGTATGTATTCAACTACGCTTGGTATACCAGATTTCTGATTGCTTCAGCATCTGTGAGTTCTCTCTTTTTTTTTTGTGAACTAGCATGGAGAATTCGAACTGAATTTCCCACTCCTCGACAGGCACGACATCGCAAACTTCTTCAACGAGTGGCTGATAGACTACATCGTGGATGACCCGCCGTATTTCAAAGTGGACGAGGCCCGCGGTCCCTCGGAAACGGATATGAAACTCTTATGACAATGCACAACTCCCCCTCCCCCTCATTTGTATAGCATGAACGGCAATACAAGCATCCGCAAGAGCGTCGGTTTTGCATGACAAATTTGCACTGGATTGTAGTGCTCTTTGGGCTTCCAGGATTTGTCATGCAAACAGTGCTACAAGGCAGCAGCTGGATTCGGGATTTTGCATTGCAAATGAGGGGGAGGGGGAGTTGTGCACTTTCATAACTCTTCGCCAGCGTCTACTTGTCCGAGTTCCTGGAAGAGCCCGTAAAACAGGCCGATCCCCGCGTCGCGGAGCTGCTGCACTCCCTCCACCTCTTCCGCCAGGTGTCGCACCTGCTCTGGGCCTTCTGGAGCGTCCTGCGGGCGCCGCAGAGTCAAGCCTTCGACGAATTTGACTTTCTGGCGCACGCCAAGTGGCGGTTCGACAGTGCGTACGATATCTACCAGAAGACAACAGCGAAGTAAAGGTGGAGAGTGCTGCTGCATTGGTTGATTCCTGAGCGGATCATATCAGATGAATATTGAGCGTCCTCCCTACAACTGCTTTGTGGGCGAGCTATTCTCTCGTTTCGATTTTCAACCACGACGCTTCTGCTTAGGCGACCGACACTGATACGAAAGCTCCTTCTACCCCTTAATTTCAAAAAGAGAAAGACATTGCGCACATAGACTTGACGAGATACGCCTCCATGTTGCCAACATGAAAATATAACAACCCGAAGAGGACCAACTCATAATGTACACGGAGTGCATGATCGATGCCGGGTCAGACTCGCTCTTACATGGTGTGTGTTCCAGCTTAACCGTTTTTTTGACACGATTTGTCATCGTTACTAAACACGGAAGAGCTTCTTGCGATCTTGATTTTCCCGGATGAGTTCAGCATGAAAATCATGACAAGACGATCAGCGCACGGATCTATTGTGATTGAAAAAGGCACATTCTATGCTTTGGCTTTCCTACGATCTAATTCTTTTGCAGCTTCTTGCTCGGTCACTCTTACCTTGACAGCTACAACTATCTATCTACGACTAAACTTTTTGGCGAGCTTGTTGCTGTATTTCCATTTCAAAAAAGTAATCACTCGAGCTCTACCACAAGACAAAAAGATAAGGACGAAGAACATCTTTGAGGTGGCAATAAACGTCGTCTATCTAAAAATGGAGGATACAGCCAAAGTAAATGAAAAGATGCGGCTTCGGATCGACCTGTGTCGTATCGAATCTTGTCTTGATCTTGACGCAGAAGAGGCAAATTGGACGAAATGGAAAGCAACAATGTTTGGCACTCCGTGCCAGCCGATGCCGAACAAAGCCACGTTGGAGGGCACGACCAACGCCCAATCTTCACAGAAAATAGCAACCCTCAAATTCTATATTGCTCGCCACATCGGTGAGTGGACGCGTATGGATGTGGTGATGTTTTGCGATGGGGAGACTCAGGACCTCTACGAGATGTCTGAGGCCATCTTTCTCTCCGAAAATCACCCAGGATTCCAAGGATCACTGAGATTGAAGCCGTGGAACGGTGCGGCCTCCGGCGAGGCGAGCGTAGAGATCGAGAACTTGATTTGCGTCGACGAGTACAGACTCTGAGCCTTGGCTTACTGATTTTTTTGTTGTTTCGCTCGTGAAGAATCTGAATCTGTCCTGCCGCTCTCTTTTCTTTCTAAGTACTTTCGCTCGTTCTTCGCAACCACCGCAGCAATATTCGTATGTACTGCTTTTGTATTGCCGTGTTCATTATATGACCTATGAATTGAATTATGTGTAGTATATGTTCTATGAATATAAAAGATTTCGATTTCCGCATGTTACCTATACCATGTATTACATTTTTTCAGGCTGAAAGTGGAGGCTGGATTTCAGGGGATGAATTACGATTTTCTTTTGCTGCACGAGGTGATCAAGCAGCAGGTCCCGACTTTCTTTAATCTGAGCGGCACCGTTGTGTCGTACATGGACGCGGATGAGGCTCCCGAGAGGAAGAGCGCTTACGAAAGCATGGGCTTTCGCCGTATAGCGGAGACTGACTACTGGGCATTGCATTTGCACGCGAGTACGGACATATTCACACCGCGTCCGGCTCCGAAGGTGAAGGAATTTTGCCCAGGGCTGTGCGGCGATGGGGGGGAACCGCCCGAGGTTGAAATTGACTATGTGGCGGACACTGAGGACGAGCCAGAGACACCTAGTAAACAGACCCCGAGCCCGGTCGCGTCACCGGCTGGAAGATCGGTGGTGTCGCCGGAGGAAACGATGCCTTTGCCGGACCACCTTGCCCGGCTCGTGCCAGAAGGTGACCCTATCGCTCGCGTTCGGGTGCCGAAGACGGGAATCGTTTACCAAAGGGGACAATCGATCTGTTTTGCGCCGCGTGAAAGCAGTCAAGAGGTTATCAACAACTTGCAGATGGAAAAAGAATACTGGAAAAACCGGGCTCTTAGGCTTGAAGCTGCAGGTGTGAAGGCGACCAAAATCTTGCAAGAGGCCCTGCAAGAGTCCCGCGAAGGCGAAGCGACGGAGTCCGCAAGAAAGCGACAGCGACTGGACAACTAACTCGAACGGGGACAATTTGATCGGGGTGCTTGAAACTCGGGCAACTACGAATGCGTGGCCTTTCGAATGTACTTACACGTCTTCAGGGGACAAAAAGATGCCTCAGCACTTCTGTTCGAGTATGGAAATGTTGATCGACGAAGTCATGCAACACCGGTGCTGCTCTCAACTATGTTCACTATTATGATCGCGAAAGGAGCATCTGTCTTCGTGAAGGCTTGGGGCGCATCGATTTAGAACCGGATGATTTGCTTTCACAGAAACCGTGTAGTTGTAGTTTTTGCCACCTGTAGTCGTGACCAGGGGACAGAAAGCTTCTGATATCAGCGTTTCAGTTTGAGAACTCTACGAAGGTCACAAGCGAGTGTCATAGGCGAGCGAAACGCACGGCTGACTGGCTACGAAACCCCTTGGCACTGAGTAATTTGTTCTTGCGCGCAGAAAATTACATTCGCGACGACAAGCGCAAATACTTCTGTCTCAACATTACGATAATAGACCCAACGCTCCTGTTGTAGTTACTTTTTGCGAACCTCAACAGCATGGCGGCGTCAAGTCGAAATGCACCGCTTTCTTTGCGGGTGATCATGAAGCATTGCACCCCGGAATGCAACGGTGAGAATGAGTGGTGCGAATGGGAAGGTCGACTTGAAGGGCGCAACGGGTCGTCTGCCGAAACCGATGTGTGGGATGTCATTGCGACGATTAAGTTTCATGCTGTACTTGGTCTTGGAGGAGGTCAAAGCTACGAAGACGCCATGATGAGCTGCGATGCTGCAACGAACGAAATCTATGATATGGCAAACAAAGTTTTCGAGGAACCTCAGGAGCTGACACAGCAACAGCGCGATCAACGACGTACGGCCATGGAAGCCAGCGGAATGCCGCCGGAACTCATTGCCGACCTCGAGCTAACTCACCCGTACATGCTGTTGACGGGTAAAAAGTGGCATACGCCGCCGCCGGCTCCGCGAACTGATTTGCGATTTGGTGGTGACGAAATCGGCATGTCGTTCTACGGCATGTTTTTGTTTATCGACAGGTTCTTATGTGAAGACTTCCTCTTTTTCGTAATCGTAGTTCACCCTTCATCACGATAAAACAGGCGTGTATCTGTGCTATTGTGTTTGGCCTTGGCGTCCTGACCCCTGAGTGGAAAACTCATTTTTACTTCTTTTACCAATCGCACAAACAGGGTTGAAACAACGCCTGGCTACGCTGGAACCGGTTACGGACGCCTGCTCCTAGCAACCGTCATCGAACATCAGTGCCAGTGTCGCGACGAAGACGGCAACATCGTTAGGGAGGAGTACAGCGCTGTTGTGTTGAAGCCGTCCCCCCTGCAGTGGAGCGAAGTCTACGAAGGTCCTCGTCTTGCGAGGCATCCGCAGCACAGAACAAACCTACCGTCCAACTGCACACCGGAACAGCGCTATCCACAGCCCCTGTCTCCCGAACTCCAGTCGCAATTCGAGGAAGATCGTGCGAAATGTATCGCAGTCTGGGAAACCATGGGCTTCCGGCGAATTGCAGATACGGATTACTGGGGACGGAACGAAGACTTCATATCGCCAGGACCAGAAATCTTCTGTCCCCGTTCTATTCACGACACGCTAGAAGTTTTCCGCGAGAGACCAGACACTGAACAAGGCGGAGATGAACCGTCGGACGACGAAGACGAAGAGCAAGAGGTGTTGGAAGATATAGTCGGTTTGGCGGCTGCGGAAGCTCTAGAGGAGGAGGATATTAGTTCGCTTCCACCACAGCAGAGAAGAAGGCTGTACTGATTGCAGCCCAAGCGTGGAGCACTTCAACTTTTTAACCTTATTGAGATCCTTCATTCGCGCGTCGTTCTCATCTCCAATATTCCGCGATGACTAAACAAACTGTACTTGTATATGTATTCAAGTTTTCTTCCATCTTTGCGCCATTGCAGACATGGCAATCAATGGACCGACACTTGTAGTTTTTTTTCATTGATAACGCTTTGATCAGAACAAGAGCAACCATCAGACTTGTTATACGTGTTGTGTTGTGTTTTCTGTTCATGCGAGTGTCGAGGTGAACAACACCTGTAGAAGCGCTAGGGTCAACACGATTGGAAATCCGGAGAGACAGCCCACCTTGAGGGTCTGATGATTTATCTGGTCAATGGGTATCAGCGCTTCTGTCGTTGTGCAGGCCGATACGAGCAGTACGTCAACACTACTTACTTATTTCTATTTGTTTCCAAACAATCATTGAAAATTAAGTAAAGCATTGTATTGCAGAACGTCAACATAGTAGATGTGCGACAATTCAACACAGCAAGTGTGAAGAATTTATGTCGCTCGTGCCCCTGCTTTCCGAACCGGGTCTGTGACGCCGACGAAACGTGTGGGACGTGCGGTGCGTGTGCGACTTCAGCACGAAAGAGTGACTCAAGATGCGTATCTACCTCCAGCACGTGGACAGCTTTATCGGGCGCGCGCTGCTCAAGGAGCTCAAGCGCAATGGTCCCATCTACAATCGCGTCTTCGGGTCCCTCAAGGATCCAAAACACTCGCAGAAGCCAGCCATGGTACGACGATTGGTGCAGAGCACGGACAAGCGGTTTGTGGAAACGGTTTTGTCCTGTAAGTTGATCGTTTTACACCTGCGTGAGGACAACAACGATGAACTCGAATTTATCCTGCAAACACTGAAAACCGCCGCAGCAACGCTGGAGGAACCACTGACGTACGCAGGACTTTTTTGTGACACGTGTGTGTTGAAAATAGTATGTCGTGCTCGTGACTGGTAAAACTGATGGGTCTGTATTCGAATGATTCGCGTTCAAAAAACTGCAGGCTTATCGTCGTCTCCAGCATCTTTGTGTGGGGAACCGGCCACGACGTCAAGGAGGCTGACTACCATGACAGACAGCCACTGACACCAACGTATTTTTTGCTTCTTGCATTTGTCATGAAGATGAAGATGATGAACTGATGTAGTTCTTGCCCGTCAAGAAAAACTCCCATGTGGCAGTGATCCCGTTGTTCTTCGAAACTGTACTTCAGCATGAAAGCGTGGAAAGATTACGAGGAGCGCGTTTTGGCCTTCAACCATGACGAAGCAGCACAAGTCAAGGCACACGTCGTTGGCTGCGGTGCGCTCTTTGGCGGCGGTGAATGCTCACACTTCGAAGGCGTCTTCAAAGACGCGTGGCTCGGGAACACAGTATTGATTTTTGAATTTTTCTACATGTGCGCAAGAACACTGTCGCTTTAATGGCCTCAAAATGGCATGCGGATGGGACCGATGACAATTGATGAAATAAACATCCCTAGGTCGCCCTGCCCTCCGTATTGCGACGTACACACTGTGTGCCAACCGTCAACGTCTTCGATGTCGGGCGTATGCTGAACAAGCTGGTTTTTCAGACGGAGGTTGCAAAGGGCGAAATGCCCTATCTTATCTGCTGCGATACGTCACGAAATACGCTGACGGAGCTTTGGCAGGCCATCGTGAATGAGGTAAGAATTTCTCGCTTTCATGAAGAGGGAGGGCGTAGGCACTTCGGCTCTTGCGTTGCTGAAAAAATCCGATTGACTTTTCGTTTTCAAAGAAATAGATAACAAAAATCCTCTCTCCCCACAAGTATCACAGATGACAGAAGCGTATACGATAAAAGACGAGCCATCCGAGGAGCATGAGGACCCAAATATTGTCGGCGCCAGCGACCTCACATGCATCCCGACCGAGCTGATGTGCACTGATGATTTTGCCTGGAACGCCCCCGGCGGCCTCACCGTAGCGGCCAACGCCCGCTTTGCAGGAGCGGAGTACGCGAAGGGCAGTAATCAGCAAGCAATAAAAGTGCTGCTATTCCGGGAGACGCCCAAGACCGGCGACCCGTCGGATAAAGCGGCTGAGCTGGAGCGAAAAGCCCACGAAGCGGCGTGCGTGCGCTACGTGAGCTTTCTGAAGGAGGAGTTCGGGATATCAAATGCAAAAATTTCTGGGTCTGGAATATTGCAGGCTTTGTCATGCATATTAATTTTGCATGACCCAGGATGTCTGTAATGCACGACCTAGCATCACAGATTTTTAGAGGGCTTCCTGATCCTTACTCCGCATGACAAATGCCTTCCCCGCGTAGCACAAACTAGACTCCTCTTGCTGGTCACGCAATACAGATTTTTTCAGAGTCCCAAGTTAGCATCACAAGTTCCAACCTTCCAGGAGACCCAGACACTTTTACAATCCATACGGCATCACAGAAATCAAGTCCTTCGGCGAGATGGACTCGACAAACACGACGCGCTATATCCCACAGAAAAAAGCTGGCAGGTCAGATTTGTAATGCAAAGATAAATACACAAAACAATCTGTATTGCATATCCGAAGCAGCATGCTATGGGGCCGCCCATGACCAATTTTTCTGTGTATTTATTTTTGCATTACAAATATGAGTATGACCTGCCAGCTTTTTTCTCTGGGATACGCTACCGCGGTTACGTACTCGAAGTGCAGGGGGAGTTGACGCTGGAGACGTGCAAAAAGGAATTTCTGGAAGAAATAGAAGTCGAGGAAGTCGTGCAAAAGGAAGCGCCAGCAGAGGGAGAAGAAGGAGAGGAGTCGCCCGGCGGCCAGGAAACCGAGGTCGTCGTCACGGTAAGCAGAAAATGCTTTTCCACCATCGCAATCTTGTAAGTTTTTCTGTGACTCAGTTGAAGACGTCGAGATTGCGCAGAAATGAACCATTGACACAAAAAAACAAACACAGAAAAAGCTGGTGCCAAAAGCGTCTGCGCCGGAGCACGTAATTGCGCTGGCGTGGCCGTCAGACGCTGAGGAGGATAGCTCATTTGTCACGTTCTTCCGCGAAAACTTCCCAGAGGAGAAATCAATACTGTACTTATTTGTTTTGCAATGTCATGATTTGTCCCTTCGTTCTGGCACATGACTATCGTCCGTTTTGAATTTGAGCATCTTTATCTTATATCTTTTGCATGTGGTTGTCCGGATTAAGTACAAGATCCTCTCGTCTCGTCTCAAAAAACCCGCAGCTACCTGCCACCCAAGCATGTCCCTGAGGAAGTGGAGAAACAGATGGAATCCGTGCGAATATACATGGACGGGACCAACAAGAGGCCCGATGGGACGGTAGGCCGTGCGTTAAACGCAAACATGAAGCCGGAGAAGCAGGTCATCGAGGAAACACTCATCAAGCATGAGGAAGCGGCGGCAGAAACCGAGGGCATGGCGCAAGACGTAGACGACGACAACCTGGACGACCTACGCAAAAAAGAACCAACAAAAGCAGAAAAACTCCGCTCCGAGCGACTGGTATCGATTTTTTGACCCTCATCAAGTGAGATACGCGGTAAATTTGTCTGCAATGGATGAAACGAAGACCTCCTAATATCGTGAATAATACCTAGAAACGCGTTGTCAAAATTTCCCTACAGGATGCACTGCTGGTGAAGGAAAAGCAGTTGCAAAGCAGCACGATCGCGGATTACGTAAATGAAAACGTGGTCCCGACGCTCACCGAGGGGCTGATCAAGCTGTGCAAGCTGAAGCCCGAACAGCCAATCGAGTACCTGGCAGATTTTCTCGAGAAGACTGCGGACGATCTGGCGGCGAGCTGAGGCCGCTTTGTGGACTCAGAGTTTCGTTTTTCTTGAATGGAAAAAGCGAGCACGCATGCCGAACTATGTTGATTACCGATCATACTACAAGTGTGTCAGGGATTAGAATGTGTCCTTATGTTACCTACGCTTACCTACGCAAAGACCAAGACACAAAGTCGAAAGAGCTGCAAAAGGCTTTTTTTGCAAAACAGATACTTTGCAATTATAGTTGCGCAAGCACAAAAGATAAGGTGTGTGTGTGGTTCTACTTCTGGTACATTAAATCAAGAACAAGTCTGCCTTCATCAATACCATCAAAACCTCGATGCGCACGCTGGGAACATCATCTTTGTTCGGCATCGGAGAAGATGAAGAAGATAGTGCCAGATCGGGTTGCTTTTCCACCTCCACGACACAATTCGTTATTCGTATTCGGATGATTCTAATTTTTCTTAAACACCGATCAGCTTCCAGCAACGTAGAGGTAGAATTAGATCGATCATCAGGGTTATGGAGGAAGATTCTCAACCCCTGACTCAAGCTTCATCCAGAAATCATTAATAATCATCGCGAGCCGTCGTGTTTGCATTGTCTCGCGACAATTGTTCTAGACAGAGCACATGTGAAAACATGTTAACCCCCGGCTCCCTCCAGAAGCTCGAGTTCGCCGTCGACAATGTTTTGCGTGCCCTGTACGAAACCCATGCGATAAAACTTTCCGTTTGCACACTTGCCGCAGGCGTGCAGGCTGGGGCGTGGTTGTTGCAAGTGCCCGGTGCGAGCTCAACGGTTTTGGAAGTGCAAGCGCCGTATGCGAGAGAAGCCACGCTCTCCTACCTCCGCAAAAATGCAAAACACAGCACTGGACTCAAGTTTTCTGGGCCGGGAATGGCACAGCTCCTGGCGGAAACGGCGCACCAAAGGGGTTTGCAGTGCGTTGCAAAGGAGGGAGAAAGAGCCGTGGGCGACAAGGCGTTACAACCTCCTGACGTAATCGACTGCGTTTTGCAACAGAGCCTGGATGCTGCAACGAAGATGGCAGCAGAAAAAGAAGTTTGCGCAAAGCAAACAAGAAGCGACGCAAACAAGATATTACCCGCACCACTACCAAAAATTCTCGGGGTCGGTGTTGCAGGTGCACTGTCGTCAAATTACGAGCGACGCGGAGAGTCTGGAGCTTCGATTGCAGTCTACGACGGCTGTTCGGGCGAGCCGCTGGTGACCAAGCAGATTGCATTTCCAAAAGCAGAAGATAAAGAATCGAAAACGGACAAGTCTACCACCGTCACAACACCACCGACAGGACAGCAGCGCCGAAGAGAAGAGGACATTCTGGTTTCCACCGCAGTTGTAGTAGCGATTGGCGAGGCGGCGCTCCAGTCATCACATCCTGCCACTGAAGACCTTGCTCTGGCAACGAATTCTCTGCGAGAGAGCCTTGACGCAGTGATTGCGGCCGCCCATCTTCAAAATGCTGTATCGATTACGGCGCGAAAGCGAGAGGCTTCGCCGGATCACGATCGCGAATTGACAGCAATCCATGAGTTTCTTGGATGGCGGGACAGCAAAACTGCGCGTGACCCAGAACTATCCTCTGCCTATGCCCGGGCGCCGTACTTGATACGCTCGGCGTTTTCTTTATCGTCCTCAAATTTCACTTGGATCCCTGGTCCTTTACCCTTCGGGCCTAACACCGTCGTCGTTTCCGGCTCCTTCAATCCGATGCACGATGGGCACCTCGAAATGGCTCGAGCTGCCGTCGCGAGGCTACTTGATGCATTCGGCGAGGTCAACGTTGATGTCATTTTCGAGCTCTCGTGTCAGAATGCCGACAAGGGAACGCTGGACATATTAGAGGTCCGGACACGAGTGGAGCGGTCGCAGCAGTTGTTGAGTCAGCGTAGGGCGTTTCTAGAAAACGCTACTAGCGCAGGAGGACAAAACGCCAAGCCGGGCAACAAGATTCGTGCCTGGATCCTCTTGACGAAAGCGATGCCGCTCTTCTCGCAAAAGGCTGAGCTATTTCCCGATACTGGTGCATCTTTCGTGGTCGGCACGGACACGAGTGCTCGCATCTTGAACCCGAAGTATTACGGAGATTCCGAAGCGCAGATGATTAACTCTATCAGGCAGATGCGGCCGTCCCTCTTTTTCGTTGCTCCCAGAGTTGTTGCCGAGGACAATTTCATTTCTTTAAAAGACCAAGTAGTTCCATCAGGACTGGAGAGCATGTTTTTCCCTCTAGACGCGTATTTCCAAAGAATCGACCTGTCGTCTACCGAACTGCGAAAGCAAGAGGTGGAGAACAAAAAGCGAAAGCGATAAAGAACTACGGGCATTGGATTCTAGTCTCTTCGCTTAAGGCCACATGTGTCTGCGTCTCGCTTGGCGTTCGCCTTCGTGGCTTTCAGATTTTTGCCTCAGAAAAGATGAAGATCAACCTGGATCTGATGATGACCTTTTCATCTGATCAAACGAGATCATCAGTGAAGATCCAGCACGAGGTTCACTTCTGTGCCTGTTCTCCAAAACTCGTCGGTCTTCGACTTCCTTGAGGAGTAGCCTCATGTCAGTGAAACTTGTTCTTCACGATCACGATCTATCTGTGCGAGCACGCCCGAGACTCACAGAACAGAACCAAGGAAAGACGTTGCAGCCACAACTGTGAAGTAGTTCTAGTCGCAGGTCCTGCACTGTTTTAGCAAAACTAGGTACATGAGAAGTATACGATGTCGAACGACGACTTAAGATTTGATCTGGAAGATCTGGATCAGGCGAAGGTACACATCGTTGACCACCAGGGAGTTCCTTTTGACACGAAACCCGACGCCGAGTATTGCCCCGAGCGGTGGAGGATATTGGCGGATCCTTGGGCCTTCGTCAATGTGACGAGTCACGGATGGAAGGAGGTAGGAGGTGGCTCTTGTTGACTTTTTTGACGGCACGAGGGAAGAAAAGCATACGATTCCTGTCATCTCATCACAAGAAACAAAGTGGCTCATCTCCCTGGGTAGGCAGGGCAGGCATGAAACAATGAATTATCGGCTTTCTGTCCCTTTTCACGTCAACTTCTATCCCCGAAAACCGAAAGGTGCGGTGTATTCTGTGCGACAAGCGGGCTGACAACGACCACCTACCGAGCAAAGGGCACCGAAGAAATCTGGAACAGGCAAGTCATGATGAGGCGAAGGAGCAATATCGGAGAGCCTTGCAGGAGGGCCGGATCCCCTTTCCGCAAGACGGAGTAAACTACAGAGACAAAAGCACCGGCGCGGTAGTGCGCTCCGGAGCGCCGAATAGCATCGGTCCGGAAGATCCCGCGCCATACAGAAGTTGTGCAGCTGCCGGGGACGATTCTTATGCCTCCTCCTCGCTGCGACCTCTCTCTCCTCCTCCCGCGAGTACTGCCGGCCACGGAGGCTCGGGAACTGCGACTGGTAGGTCAACAACGGGGTCACCTCCACACCAGCCAGACAAAGATGACTACGATGCTGGAGCCTCTTACTACTCGAACGACCGGGACTGGGATGGTGCGGAGAGTGTGTACACGACCTCCGAGGCCACTGACTACAGCCGTAGCTGCGCTACCTCGACATCATCGGCCAGGGGATCGTCGATGTACGGATCAGCTTCTGAAATGGCCGCGGTCCGCAATGTGACGACATCCAGAATGAGCTCGGCTGCTCACGCGGCGAGCAATCATCGCCTCCCCACAATCAACGAAGAAGAACCTCCGTCCTCTCCGGACCTGTACAAGTTGCAGCCAATCGATCGATTTTGCCGGCCCATCCCGCGGCGCTGCTGGAAGTACGACGGGGAGGAAATTAAAGAGGGCGAAGCAACCTTTTTGCTCGAACTTTACAACAATCCCCAGTATTACGAGCTCACAGCAAACCCCGGCTGGGTGGGGTTGCGGTGCGCGCTCTGCTTCTCGCAATTCGGCCGGCCGTCCAACATCACCGCGGAGCACACGCCTGTGTCTAATCTACACACCCGCGGCCTTCGGGGGTACCAGGCTGAGACGATGGCCCTGCAAGCAATTTGCCCGGCGAAGGACGCAGAGCTTAGGCGAAAATGTTCCGAGCTGCCCCCACCGTTGCGGCCCGAGCAAATCACAGAAGGGATCCACGTGCCTGAAGGTTTTAGCAAATGGGGCGAAATTCCGCGGGTAGAGTTCATTTTTCTCTTTGCGCGAGCAGTCTTTCGGATAGACCATAGAAGATAACCATAAGTAGGCAACTCTAAAACTATGATGCGACGTCTGTGCAGGAGGTAGTGTTTCGTTACGTTGCCATACCGCCCACCGTTTTTCAATGATTATACGCCAGTCAGTAACTCTTACAACAGCAAGCGGGATTGTCTGCAACTATGCTTGAGAAGTACGCAGAGAGCGCGCCCGCTTCAGAAGTTTCTCCATCTAGTGCTCCTTCAGCTGTAAGTAGCGATGCCGATGCTACGGCTTCGACATAAGCCTCTCGTCGATCGGTCCAGCAGCGCTCCAACGTTTCGGTGGCCGCATTTCCTGCTGCAGCTTCCTCGATCTTTTCAAGAGCATCGGCTTCCGCTATGTCGTCCGGCACGATTGCGACACAGTATGTCTTCGGCGCTGCGCGAGTCAATGCAAGGCAGACAGGAACTGGTATTTCAACCAGTCTCTTCATGTTCATTCTGAGGATCTGAGTTGTGAACTTGGAGTCATGTTCTTATGAAGCCGCGCTAGCCGCACTTTTGATAAATGGATCCATCCATTGTTGTATTCACGATCACGACTACAAGGTTCCTGTACATCAAGCACCACTGCTAGCAGTGCCACTCGGACAGCCGAGCTCTTGCAACAAGAGTGCACTAACGCGAAAAGCAAATGCGCTGACCTTGAGGCCGAAGTGGAGCGGCTTCGCCTGGAAAGCGCAACAGTGAAAGAGCGGCTTGCCAATGCTGAAAAGGCACAGGATGCCGCAATCAAAGACCGGGATGCCGCCATTGAGGAGCGGAAGGCCCTGCGTGCGGAAATGGCCGCCTGCGAATCCGCGCGACAAAAGCTGGCTAGGCGAGTGGAGGAGCTCGATCGGGAAAAGGATAAGCTAGAAAGACGGCGGGATCGCTATCGCGAAAAGTACCGGACGGAAAAAGCGGAGGCAGATAAGTACCACGACGCCTACTGGAAGCAAAAAGAAAAAGCGAATAAGTACTACGACGCCGCCAGAAAACTACATCGGGATCTGTATTTTCTTGCTCGTAATCTGAGCCTGAGGCAGATACAGATATTAAGTGTCGTTTCAAGGGCTTTTAAGGAATTATGAATCAGCGCCAGCTGCAAAAAATTATAAACGATATTTGCACTTCGGTTGAATCTGACTATCGTATCCGATGCCAGGTACAAAAGCGGCAAATCTGCGAACAAGACGAAGCACGCGCATGGTAGTGTTAGCTCCCCCTCAGAGTCGTCGAGCAGCTCAAATTCCAGCTACAGTACTTCCCAAAAGAACAAGAACGAAAAGCTGAAGAAGTCCTCCTGCAGTGACGGTCCTTCCTCTTCCGTCCAAAAGAAGCAACACGACCAGAATGGAGATGAGATTATAAGGAAGACACAGATGTTGAATACCTCTTCCTCGTTGTTGTCATGTCGTGACAAGAACGCAACACGATCGCCAGCTGAAAAGTCATCCGGCACAAAAGCACCTGCTGGAGCTACGCTTGTGACTCCAGAAACTACCGCCGCCTGCAGCAGCACATCGTGTTCTCCTGACGACGCTGAAAAGAAAGGACACGAGTATCATCACTCCAAGGCGAGTCCTGGCCGCATGGGCTCCAGCACCAACGATGACTCTTGGTCTTGGTGGGAGAGCGATTACAACTACGGCCGATGGAGCTCACGTTCTTACGAACACAATAGAACTGCCAAGTAAAGCCACTTGAATATCACGTCAATTTTCAAGACCATTAGCGCACGAGACGAGTCCCTTTCATTCCAAATAGCGCAAGCAAATCAAACTTTTTGACACAATTCTTTTTCGGTTCTAGCGCTTCCTTAAAGAACTCATTCTTCTACTGTTTATGACGCTGATTCTTACCTCCATCGATATCGAAAAAGAGCAACAACGATGCAACACGATGACCTCCTCGGAAAGAGTCTGTTTGCAGCTTTCGTTTTCGTTTACACCCCGACACGAGTCAGGAGTAGAGAAGTGCGATTTCTTTGTCAATCGAAGCACAAAGCAATGATTGTTGACAAGAGAGAACTCATGAGGGCCCTAATATCGTGAAGGAAAAGCAAAGAGGAGCTGTCGTTTCGGTGCCCTAGCCCTGAGGGAACTTCGTACAAATGCAAATATCACTTCTTTTCTCTTTTGAGTTTAGCCTTGCATTTGTGACCTATAGTTCTTGATAAGAAGTGATGCCCGCTGCTCAAGCCACTATCACGATCATCAGCGATGATCATGATCCAGACGGACCGTCAGATAGACCACTACTTACTCGTCCCGAATCCGCTTCAGCAGTGAATGGCGCCGTGCAAAAGTCGCCCCGGACGTGCTTCGCAGGCTGGGCAGACCTACAGGTGGGAGACAAAGCGAGAAGGTCACAGCGGTGGTCTTTCCGCTACCTTTCGGTCGGCAACGGCATCCTCGAGATTCTTCGACCACGAAGGAAAAAAAGCAAAAACGCTGCAGTTCGCCAACGCCTCGTCTTGGAAGAGGTACTTACGTATGCTTTTGGAAGGCTTTTCCGCTCACGTTGAGAAACGCACACGCAATTCAGTCTTTGTAGTCAATTAATCACGTGTCTGCCCGCCTACTGAAGTCAGACTAGATCTAGATGAAAACTTTGCTATTGATTCCTTCTCCCCCACAACCCCAGCGCCTGCTCCTGGTGAACCTCCACAAGGCTCGCACCGTCCCCGGGAGCGAGGGAAAGCGTGAGGTCCGGTTGTCCTTTTATCCCCGCGCAGCGTCGTCTTCGCGACGCACCGAAGTGTTCCTGCGGGTCGCGGAGCCGGAGTTTGAGTCTGCGTTTGTCAGCAATGGGCTGTGGTTGGAAGCACTATCGGCTGCCAAGAACGAAGTCAGGAACCGTGTCGACAGCATCGAATTTGACGAGGGTGCAACTTTAGTTCGTCCTCTGGAATTACGCGCCTTCGCTCCGTCAGCTGCAGATCCACTGCTGGGACGAGGAGAGAATCTTTCGTCCACTAGCGATAGCAACGCCGACTCTTGCAAAGCTTCTCGGTTGCCACATGAAGAAGATTCTTCCGGAAGCGCAGGTAGGAGTACATCCAGCAAGATGCCGACGCGGCGAGCAAAACGACCCCGAGCGTCGGTATTGGCGTCGTGCTGCTTTGTTGGAGGAGGTTCTTCTTCTTTGGAGGTGCCAGCAGAAGCAGAAGATCCGCCAGCGCGTCTCCGTTCGAAGGAGTCGTCGTCTTCCAGCTCGTCCGCGTTGACTTCTCGTAATTCGGATGCGACCCCAACGTCACGGTCTCGGTCTCCCACTTTTTTATCAGATGTTCGTTCTGGAGCAGGTCAAATGAAGCTTTCATCTTCCGCCCCCGAACAACAGGGTTCTTTTACCACGAAGCTGCAGCTGAAAGCTGGCCACAAAATCAAGCTTCTCGACATCGCCGCGCTGAACGTGAACAATCGCCCAGCAAGCGCGATGGCGACGTCGGATTTGCAGTTGCAAAACCAAACCCACAGCGCTCTTGCTCGCAGCCCCGATAGCAACGGCGCGTTGTTGTCCGACGGTTGCATCGCTGTGTTGAGTGGCGAGTTCGGAGTCATCGGGTTTGTGACGCGCACCGCCCTTCTGGAATCTGTCTCAGACGCAAGCGTCGTCTATCACAGCGCCATGCTTCTGCTACCCGCGAGTGGTAGTCGTCGAAGTAAAGCAGTAGTGCAGGACCCTCATGATGTTGCTGCAGTTGAAAAATCTACCGTGTCGACGCAGAATGTCAACGCTGCTGCAGATTGTTCGTCATCCGCCTACAAAGACGAGCTAGAAGAAGCAACCTGCATCAACAACTCATCTCGCGCGGGACCGAAACGTTATGTGCAGGCTCCAGCAGTAGACAGGTTCATCTCGCTAGCGGACCAATCGGACGATCTCCTACCCGTGATCGCGGAAGATGCCGAGCCTGAGGCGCTGAATCATAGCCAGAAAAAACCGGCATCAGTGCTTGACACTTACGGACCGGAGCCGGTCTTATCTGAAAAGGACGAAAAGCATGATCGCTACGCGGACGACGAAGAAGCGGGAGCGGGAGAAGACGTCTCGACGGCTTCGCGTGAGGAAAACCACTCCAACAGTCACTCCGTCTCGGCTCCGTCCTGTTTCGAAGACCCGCTTCTTGCGTCGCCCGGTCTCGAGTCTGCAAGTTCGAGTTCTAGTACCTGCTTTCTCGCCGACGGGGTCGTGCAGCACTTTAGTACACTCGCGCAACCGCCCTTTGCCGATGCCGTGCGGCTCTGCAGCTTCAGAAACACATCCTCGGAAACGATAACGCCACCGAAGCAGGCCGAGCATGTTGCTGGAAAAAGTACTTCTAAACTTCCGATTGTACTACTTTCCTCGTCCTCTACCAGCTCCTGTGTGAGCACAGTTCGAGTCGCAGGACCTCGAGGATGTGCCACAAAAGCAGAATCACCACCGCCAGTGTTTGGTTCCGCAATGAGACAGCACGGAGCCCTTTTTTCGCCTCAACATAGCACGACCCTAGCAGTCACACCAGTTTCAACAAAAACGACAACGAAAAATCTTCACGAAGGGCCTGGTAACCAGCAGGATTCGACGCCCAATGAAGTGTCGGCAGAACATCAGACTCCGGTTATCTGGCCCACTCCATCTGAAGTAGCAATCGACGACTTTTCCGGTTCCTCCTGGCCCAGTCTGACACCTCCCTCGAAACTAAGCGAAAAACCGAGACTGGTGCCATGTACGAATGCCGATCTGCTGAACAGCTCAGGTTGCAGTGACGTTACGTGGCCGCAAGTCACACCCGCAGAACTTTTCGGAGAGTGGCCGACAGAAGATCCAAGCGCGAGACCTGAAGAACAGGGTACTACAGACGACATCAGGAAGACACCACACCGAGCGAGACCTTCTTGTGCGCGCACCAGCAGCGACAGCGCAGACAACATTTCGTGGCCGTCGGTTTCAGCACCCAACACCCCCGCGCAGCCACGTCTGTTGTGTACTAGGGGCACATCACCGGACCTCGATTTCATCCGGCTTGCGCTCGTCTCGCCAAATCCATTTTCGTGAATTTTGTGACACCGGGTAGATACAGTTAGTTCCAGTGACTACGGGTAATTCTAGTTCTTCTGTTGGTGGTCGCCATAGCCCAGCCATGATCATCCATGAATAAAGTAGCAATGGCGTTTCTAGTTACTTACTTCTGTGTGTGGTTCTTGGCTCGCTGTTTCGATCAAAAAAATGAACCTGTTTCCCAGGCACCGAACTCGGCCAATCTTGTTTCTGTATCAAACGCACGCACGTTGTACCATCTTGGAATTCACTTTTTGCACATACAAGCATGGATCATCACAAGCTGTGTGCTTGCCAACACTTTTCACCAACTTCGGACGATCAATGTGTCAAATTTATGTCCAGCTAATTCCAAGCAATGGCTGAACAAAGAGACTCCTGCTGGACGCTGACTGCTCATGTTCAAAGATATCTCGGGCAGGACATTCTGTTTGTTTTTTTCATTGTTCATCTCGAGTCAGTTTATTGTGATTGTCTGTCGTTTTTTCTGTCGCTTCGAAGCAAGCCGAAACAAATGTTTTTTCTGACAAGGGTTGAGGTGCAGATGGAGGCGACATGATTGGATAATGCAAGCAATGTGTCCCCTTCGATGAACATGAAATATGTGATGTGACTTAGACTTACCTTGTTTTGAAGGAACTATTTCTTGCTTCTCGATTGCAGTTCCACAGCGAAATAAGTGCAGCAGCTCGGACGAGTCAAATCGAAAAAACAAGAAAAGATGTTTTTCTGGTACTCACACGAATAGTAGCCTAAATCTGAAACAATTGGACTCATGCGTTCTTTATGGCTTCTTCGCATAAGTACCAGCACAGCACCATGCTTTCTGAGTGTAAGTTTCAACTGATCAACATTCCGTTGTGTTGCTCCTCGATGTTCTATCTTGTTCTGTAAGGAATAAGTCTATTGTCCGAAGCAGAATGGCGGCACAGCACATGCAAAATTGGTGTATCCGTGACTTGAAGGGCGAGACTTTGACGGCAGCACAAAAAGCCGATCCCGCACTACGCAAGCAGTATTTGTCTTGCTGCCGGTGCCGGCAATGCTACCAGACCGATGTGGTCCGAGCGTGGTGCGAAGCAAATGGCAACGGCGAGAAGAACGATTTTCAAACCCTCTCTCACCACGCGTTCACGGTCGGGGACTGGGTGTGCCCGAGATGTCGCTTGCAACTTTTGGACCCCTTCTTCGTCACGGAACCTCGGCCGCTGACGGCCGTGCGGCAGATCGCGCGGCGCAAGGACCAAATGGTTGTGAACCCGCTAGACAAGTCCGAAGGCCCCCGGGTCCGCACCCAATTCACCATTTCTACTGATTTCCATCAAATACGCAATCGCGGCCTCCAGATGCACCTCCGCAGCGTCCGGTGCGACCACTGGGACTTCACCGGTGCTTACTGGGCCAACGTCGTGCAGGTCACTGTTAACGAGAATACCCTGGTGAAGGCGAAGAGCGACCACTACAAGGCGAAAAAGCCGGACGAGACGATTTCCAAGCCCCAATACGGACACATCCGGAAGGAGGTGCCCCACCTGGACCTGCTTCCCTTCCTCCCACCGGAAGTATTCAAACCGAAAACGGTCCGCCAGGTAACCATCAGCGTGACCTGCGAACTCGCGGTCGAACGGCAGGAGGACGGGCCGCCACCCACCGCGTTCGCGCTCGGTGTTTACTTGGTGCGGGAGGTGCCCATTCCGGAGCTGAAGCAGAAGGTGTTGATCACGATGGAGGGCCTCGGGAAGACCCAAGACATGCACCACCGGGTTTCCCGGTACTACCGTCGATTGAAGGCATTGAGCGACGAGGTCGAGGTGGTGCACGAATCCGTCGACGCGGAGACGAATTGCGTCTCTCTGACTTGTCCGCTGAGCGCCTTACCGATTCAACTGCCGGTGTACGGGCAGTACTGCGAACACCTGCAATCGTTCGATTTCTACACGTTCCTGGACCTGCAGATGAAGACGCCGATGGCGAAACGGTGGCGGTGCCCGATTTGCAACCATCGCTGCCGCCCCTTCGACCTGCGCTACTGCCAGTACACGAAAAGCGTGCTGGAGAAGGCCACGTACGACCCGACGAAAGACCGCGAAGACGGGCTGAGTTGTGTGTCTGGCTCGACCGCGGAACTGCAGGCGGAGCTGGTGAGCGTTCGCGCGGAAGCAGGACTACTTACAGGGAACAAACATCCCACGAGTGGGTGTACTAGCTCTTCATCCTCCTCCAGCAATAATCACAAAAACGCGGCCAGCAACATCGTCGAAATGGTGGTCCCCGGCGTGCCCGACCCCCGCGAAGCCGCGATCAGAAAATTGCTGCAAGAAAGGGCCGCACAAGCAGCACAGGGCGATGACTCCGAGTTGGAGGACGAGCCGGAGTTACTGTTCGAAATATCCAGGAAAAAACACCCATCCCCATCCAATTTGTCATGCAAAACATGCATAATTTGCAGTGTTTCTCATGCAAAAAATGGATGGGAATGCATGGGTGTTTTTTCCTGGATACGAAAAGGCGATCTTCTACGAAAACGGGACTTTTACATTCGACTACGAGGCGGTGCAGCGGGAAGAGCGGGAGAAAAAGTTCGGAAAAGTCTGCGACGTCGAGATGATCGACGGTACGCCCACGCCCAGAGCAGCACAAAAGCAGGAAAAGAACGCGAAAGAAGAAGAAGCCTCAGCCTCCTCCGGATCCAAAAAGGTGATGCAAGGAGCTTTTGTGTCGTCGCGCCCGAAGAGCGCAGTTGAGAGCGCGGTCGGGGGCAGTAGGAGCAACAAGCGGCCAAGCAACGAGAATCAGAATACTAAAACGACGACTCTGATTACCCTAAGCAGCGACGACGAGGACGAGCTGGTGATCTTGTCTTCCAAGCGGGCCCCGGGCCCACAGAGAAACATGAGAAAATAGAGGAGAAAAGTTGTTAGTGGCAGAGCGAAGCAGAAGTACTTCAGAATTGCTACACATGTAATTCCATCAGCCGTGTGGAACCAAGCGCCGTCCTGGTCCTTTATTCAATGTCCTCTCCAATTCAAATTCACGTTTTTTGAGTTTTTCTTTTTTTAAGTGTATCAACAATGAATGTGGTGTTACTAGTGTGTGACTAGCGGTCGAATTCCAGGCAGAAAGCCAGCGTCTCTCTGTCATAGTCAGTCCTTGTAAACGCAAAACCCGGCCTCGCTCGTCTTAGTCTTTTCCAAGTGCCGTGTGAATCTGCGTGCGCCGGTCCTGGTGTCTTCATAGTGTCTTCGCACCTGTGCGCAGTGCAAAGCCGAAAAAATGTCAAACTGAATTCCACCGCGTCGGATCCGGTGTCTTCTTGATTGCGAGCGAACCGATCTTTGATGCAACCGTGACGGTAACCAACTGGTTCTGTGTGTATTGAAAAATGGTCACCATTTTCGAGAAGCTGTGTTTTGGTTCAGAAACCATCGCAAGGAAGTTGTAGATCGCGCGCTATCAGTATCGTCCCAAAGGCGAGGAAAGAGATTCTGAAGACTCCTGCTGTCGTCATTTCCTGTCGTTTTTTCGTGCACATGGCGTCTTGATCCGCCTGGCGCTCCTTTGATGAAGGTCCTAATCGTTGGCCTTTTGTCCTATCCATGCATGGATGGATGGTGAGTATTCACAACTTTCCACTTCTGCATAGAATTCGCTCGCTTCCAACAGCAGCAAAGACACAGGGCGAAGAAATAAGTTCATAGATGTGTTTAGTGGCTACAACATGTCGATCTGTTGTTCGAAAGTGTTTGCGCCAAATAGCTGCACCGTATGAGTGCAGTCTCTTATCGCGCTTCTGTTTGTTATTTCTGTAAAACAGAAAAAGCCCACAGCAGCTAGCCATATCGTAAGTAGTTGGATTTACATTTACCACTTAGAATGTAAAGCGAAAAAAACCCATCTAATCTTCTGCCAGCCGTGACAATGCGCCAGTCATTTTCCACCTCCGCGATCGACGCAGAGACCTCGCGAAGAGGCTTCGACCGCGCAATGGCGCGCAGTACCAGGGAGACTCTGCAGGGCGCGGACACATACTACAACATCAGGCCGAGGGAGCAGCAGCAGTATTCTTTTCCTTGGTTCTGACTCTGAGCCGCGGCCTTCCTTTTTTCTTTTCCGCTCAGCCTCAGTCTCGTTTTCTCATACAACATAGGCATGACGCAAAAACCCTCAGCATGAGGCGAGTTGAGTATCGTCCGACATCGACTTTGATGTAACTCATACTCCCTACAGGTACTACAGGACACACTATGGCGATGCGAAAGTCGACGGCTGGCTGAAACAGATGCAGGAAGTGGAGGGCGCGCTTCTTGCTTCGGAGATGGGGAAACTGAGCGTGGACGAGAACAAGCAGCACAGCAGCAAAACAACGCAGGACGCCGCAAATGCGCAGCAGCCAAAGCCAGCAGCCGCGACCACGAGTAACGCCTATGCCGAAAAGATGCGCGTGTACATGCAGCAGCGAAAAGACCAGGAAGCGGAAAAGAAGAAAACGCAGGAAGCTGCCGCGAACAAACAAGCCAGCAACGAGCAGAAGAACGCGGAGCCGGCAAAAAAACCGGAAGAAGATGTCTCGTGGGGTGCTGGTGGCGACGACTCTTGGTGGGGTTATTCTACAACAGCAGCGGGGTGGGGCGACAACGCTCCAGGTTCATCTTCATCAGGCGCTGCTCCGGCTGCGGACGCCAGCGGGGAGTGGGACTGGTGGGGTAGTGCGGGAGACTGGTCCTCTGGTACTGGTTGGGCGGGAGCATGAAAAGACTAAACTTTCACCTTGCTCATCGTATACGAATATATCAAAAAGTCATCATTGACTCGTGTTTTCGTTTTCGATTTAGTCTGAATCTCAAAAGCGCACAACTGAAAGTGCAAAAATTAGGGAGCCATCACCACAAGACGATAGCCCAGCTCCTGCCTGTTCCTTGACTTTATCTCGTCTCATCGGTTCCAGTCGGTCGGAGGTAGCAAGGGGTGGCATATCTCAATTGGTAGCAGGATCGACCTCTTCCTGTGTCGCCTATCTTCAGATTATGTATTTTCTTTTTTGCAGCGCATTGACTAGGTTAATCCTCTGCCAGCCTCGGTTCTTGAAAAAAGAAGAATGGACGGACCCACGAAGGTTATTTTCGCAGACGCTGGCAGCAACACCTCGGTGGCGCAGATTCCGCAAAATGCAAGCTGGCCAAGCGTCATCAAGAGCGCCGCACTTTGGAAGCGCGTCCCTGTGTCGCTCATCGCGTTGCTGCCACTCGATCCGGACACCGGTGAAGAAGTTCCGGATGGCGAAACTCTCGGCCCCTCCCCTCGTCCCGTTGCTGAAGCTGGCGCAGAGCCAGAAGGCTCGCCGGAACAAGGAGACGAATCGAACCCGCCACCCACCGCAAGCCCCGCCCCCTACGCAGATTGGCGAGCTTTTTGCGAACAGAACTGCGAGCCTACTCTGGCGCATTTTCGTTGCCTGGTAAGGGACACCTCCGCTTCTTTCGTCGTACTGGACAAGAGACTACCAAATGGCCGTGTAGATTTTCGCGAGAGGCTACTGGAAGACTGCAGCACGGACCTCGATTTGCAGGAGAAGAATGCAGCTTTAGCAATGCCCGCGCTCTTCAGCACCTGCTTTTTTTCCGGGCGCGCCGACGAGTTTGCCTATTTCTTTCCTCACTGGGCCAAAAACATCTCTCTGATCAAGCAGATCTTGGAAAAATTCGACAGCCCAAACGAGCAGCGACGGGAAGGCATCGCCGCGTACGAGCTCGTGAGCGCGCTCGGCGCAGCGTTGGGAGGTGGTTCTGGTGTGAAACATGATACTTTGCTGGCTTCCTGGACCACCTGGCCATTGTTGTTCGAGTCGAAAAATGCCGGCCCAAAGCTCCCGCCCTGCAGTTCACAGATTCTTCTTCCTATTCGCATGGAAGCCTCCTGTCAAATTCCAGAGCAGCCTGAAGGCGATCAAAATGGTGCATCCGGGGGCACCGGAATACCGGAGAACATTGTGACGCAAGGCGGAGACACAGAGGAAACCAAGGTTGATATTGCTGCAATCTCGGAGAGGAAGCTGCGCCACGCGCTTTATGACCGCCGATTCAACTGGGCCGTCCCTTTCCCCGACACGGTCCTTGTTGTCGTCTGGTCATTCGAACGGTTCGCCCCGACTTTGCTGAGTGCGTTTCTCACGAACTACGTTTTCACGGTTGTCAGCGTCAATCTGAGCGACATGTCGGACCCAAATCCCCGAGTCATTCACCAGCGCATGCGCCAAAACGCATTGGCGTGCCGACGCCCGCCGACTCCGCCGGACCCAGTGGGAGCTCGGTTTGCGGCGGCAAAGCGCGCTGAAGAGGACTATGATGGAAGCAACGCACAGGGGATAATTTCCTCGTCAGTACCTAATGCAGCTGCGCTAGACACTGAGTCTGATGATTTGCTCTCAGATAGTGACCACGAAGGCCTTACGAAGTCCCCCGGCGTATCCTGAGTAAAAACGTCCCCACACCAGAGTTGTCATGCAAGTGTGCAATGACAGGGAACATTTGTAATGCGCAGCTCCATGAGAGGCATTTCCAATCGTGTTTTGGAATCTGTAATGCTATAAACAGGATCCGAAAGTGGCTTTCTCATGCGGCTTCTCTTGCCAATCAGCACTACACTGCAGAGGAAAATGTGTCTTGCAGAGCTCCCAAAAGTTGGAGATTTGTGTTGCTAGATCCCCAACTTGACTATGGGGTGGGGACGTTTTTACAAATGATACGGCGACCGACCGCGGTACGACGAAACGGAAAACTTTCGCGCATGGATAGAAGAACTTGTGAAGAAGGGGCCGCCAGACACTTTGAATTTTGCGGAGACCGAATTCTGGAAGCGCGTGCAGCCGGGGGTGGAACACGACCGGATGTACGGTCGCATGGATTATCCACATGCTCCCACGGTTTAAGGATTGCAAATATGAGTTTCCGTCTGGACGAAAAATTCACGCGTTTGTTGTCATGCAGCTCTTGCACTAAGCAGATGGTGACGTTCTGGATCTGGAATGCACGCAAAAGAAAACTATGAGTATTCGCATTTCCGCAGGCGCAGACCTCTTAATACCTAGTGTTCCTCATGAGAACTACTTCGCTCTTTCTTTCCCAAGGACACTCTTGTGGAGCTGATGCGACACAGATTTTTGTCGTGTACTCGAGAGTTAGCATCCTTAGGCGAACTCCTCCGGACCCAGTGGTATCCTATTTGCAACGTATACGATTCCTCGCGCTACTATTTCTGCGCTGTTCGAACTACCTTCGCTCCACCAAGCCGCGCGCGCGCTTTTAAACCGGAGGCACGAGACGGGCGGCGGCGCCGTCCGCTACCTCGGCTCACACGTGCTCGACGTCAGAACTTTGTTCCTACCAGACGCCTTCGGGGGATGGAGCGCTTTCTGTGCGACCCTCGGCTTGTCTCGTACGTGCGAGACTGCAAATCTACGCCTGCAGTATCGGCAACTCCTTGGGCAGATCGAAAATTTTCTCGGAACGCAAGGACCGAAGCAGACGTCGCAGAAACGGCACGGATTCTGGATTACGGAAGTCGTCGCGCTCGCTGACAAGTTGCACCGACGCGCGCTGACCTTGCTTCTAACTCACGGGCTGCGCGACTTGACTAAAGCAGAGGAAGCCTTTTGCGATCTTCTCGCGTCTGTGAACGACGAAAATCGCCGCGCGGAGCTACTGCAGCACGTTGAAATGAAGAGCTTCAAGTGGGATAAAATCGAAGGCGCCGCGCAGGACTGGTGTCGCTTTTGCAACATACAACAGTTTTGCAATTGGGAAAAGAAGATCGGGGACGACATTGCGGAAAGGCGGAGAAGAGCACGTATCAACGCATTCGACAATTGTGTTTGGCAGATAGTCACGTTCGATCTGTGGAAAGAAGTCGAACCGTTCATCTATGGTGTGAAGAAAGGATAGCTTCGCAGTCTGCACCTATTGGCATCGCAACTGCAACCTCAACTTGTAAGAAACGGAACGCCACCTCGCCGCAGAAAGGAGGATATTCGTGCGTCTGGTGTGGCCAGCACACAAAATGATGGTCCAGTGTGTGGTCTTTCTCCGTTGAATTCGTGATGTCCATGTCATATCGGTTTCAGTCGGTTGCACGGATGGCACCTTTTCAAGTGGTCCTGCAAATGTATTTCTGCCCTATGTATCACTATTTCTGTATTTGTCCTCTCTTTGAAGGTTCGTGTTGACAACTCTGGTTCAACGTAGATCTTTACGGCTGTGAAGATGCTCTCTCCTGCAAGAATAGAATTGAATAATATGTACAGTCGCTGCGCCATTTTATTTTCTGTTCTATGGTAGCGATCATGCTCATGCAAAATGCGTTAAAGGCGTAGATCACATCCTTTGATGAAGACTTCGAATTCGTTGACACAGAGAAACAGTATAGTAAGTACTTTTTCCGACGTAGTTCTCCACCATATTCTAGCTACAACAGATCTTCTGCATGAATCGGATATCGATCGACGCTTCCTTCTCCTGCCACAAGCTAAAAGCAGGTTCTTCACACAACGACGTACTTAGAGATAGTTCGGAATGAAGAAAGTAGTGCGCTGTGAATCTCTCCTGTATTGGTCCTGTATTTCTGTCCCACACTCACCACCAACGGTTGCGGCTCCGCACTGATCTTTCCCCGTAAACGAAGTTTCTAGCAAGCCTCAATTTCAGACAAGCTACTTTCAGTCATCGAATGAGCAAAGCGATTGTCATCATGTTCAAAAGCAGGTATAAACAATGCTGGTGAACACCAACACTCAGTATAGCCTTCGCGAGACCGAAACACGTTCCTGGCAAAGCCCTTTGCCTACATGGCGACACTGACGGCACCAGATGCCGCCCTCTTCTTCCTCCTCCAAGCAGAAGAAGCCGAAAGTATGCTGGTACTGGAAACACGGAGAAAAGTGCCCCAATGGTAAGAAATGCAAGTTCTTGCACTCGGAAGCTGCAGTGCCAACAGCAGCGCCCGAAAACGCAGCGGCGGCTTCCTCCGAGGGCGTGCCGGAAGATGATTACTGGACAGAAGATGCACCAGTCGTTCACGCGAATGGCGGGGGGCCGCATGCTGCAACTTCCTGCAACGAGCAGCGAGTAGATCATCAGCATCGGGGAAGTGAAAGTGGGAAAGGACCTGCAAACATGGACTCAAATCGCCTCGACCGCCTTGAAGCGCTCCTCATACAGTGCAATGACATGCACGCAGCGGGCCTGGCGCAGGTGAATCAACGGCTAGATTACCTACTCGCTCGGGTTGAAGCACAAGAGAGCCGGGTTGACACGCTAGAGAAGTTTGTCGTCAAAGGATTCGAGAGGGTCGGCCGTCGTCTCCGCGAACTTTCCAGTGCTAATACAACGAGCATTAAAACCCAAGATGGAGCACCGCACGCAAAGCTAGTAGAAGCGCCGCCCCCCTGCCCCGCAAAGAATGATCGTTCACCTGCTCATCTCGGTTGTAATGCCCCCTGTGTAGTGAAGCAGGAAACCCCGGAACCGCTGCGCGTGCCCACCAAGAGTTGTGATAAAACTACATCCACTCCTGAGGCAAGTACACAGCAGGTGACTGAGACGCGCGTGAAGAAAAAGATTTCGTCGTCTACTGCCAGTAAATTTTTGGCTTTCATCCGCGAGGCCGGAGTACAGCTACAACCTAGCGACGAAGCTGCAGCAACAACGACCTCTCAGACTTCCAGCCCGAACCGGGAAACAGAGGTCGCAGCAACACGCGCTTCGACAGAATGCAGCGATCCGGGTACGGGACCGGTAGCTGGCTTCACTGAAACTCATGTTGGAAATGATGGGCCTAGATTTACTGCAGCCAACGAACTGCACCACGCGCAACTTCATACAATACATGAAGACGAATATGATGTGCAGCTACAACAGGAACAGATTGAACAGGACGAGTGGCAACGAAAGGCAAACAATTCAGAAGCAGACAGAGTCGAAGCACCGTTCACCCCGCCGCAAGAAATTGCTGAGCCGCCTCCTTTTTTTTCCTCGTCTTCCGTACATGATGATGCCGACAGTTTATACATCCCGCAGCTGCAACAAGTGCAGCCGAACCAAGAGGAACTCGATGCACTGTTCGACGAACTCCCCTCCTCTCCGGTTTTCGCTGCCTTCCAAAAAGGCAACCAGTTTGCAGAGTCCGAGTTTCCGTCACTTTCTGGTCTGACCTCGAAACAGCTCGCGCAGCTGGGTCCCGCGCCATCATCGGCCTCGATTCCGCGAAAAAAGGGCGCCCCCGCCGGAAGCCTCGCTACTCCGAACACCGGCTACACGGCTGGCACCAAAGCGGCTGCCCGAAAAACCCACTTTTCCGAGCACGCAGCGAAGCGACGAGAGGAGTGGGGCATTACCAGCACGGATGTGCATCACACGATTGCGCGGGGAAAAAAGTCGCAGGCCAAGGCGGGACGAACGCTGTATGAAACAGAGCGGGCGCAGGTCATCGTGGAGCCAAACACACAGAAGACAATCACGGTCATGCCGCCGAAGGGGGCGCAGTTGCTTGAAGGCGGCAACTCGCGTTCGATCATAAAGACCGCAGGTGGAAAACAGGTGTTTTCCAAAATCGCGCTCGATAATGGAATCCTCGCGGAGTTGGATGCGCCTTTATTGCTTCCTTCTGATCAGACCAAAACGGCGGGAACGGAGGGAATCACCCATGCCACAACAGCCACCTCGCCCTCAGCGCACGCAGCAACACCAGCGTCTAAGATTGACAAGCACGAGGAAGCTTGGCTTGCGCGGGCCATGGAGCGCTTCCAGCCGCCGGAGCTCTCGGACCGCTATCAAATCCAGTTTACCTGGACGGATCGTAGTGCGGAGTTCCGTCTCGAACTACAGGAGCAGAGATTCGTTTCATCCCCTGAGGAGGTGAACTGCAAGAGCAGAGACCTCGTTGACGTTTTCGAGTTGCAGCTCTCCGTTGAAGCAAAAAGCACTGCCGCAGGAGGGACGGATGCTTTTTCTGGGGGCACGACACGAACAAACGAAGCGCACCAGTCATCCTCTTCATCAAGCAAATCCTGGTCGCCGCGACATACGCTCTGGTTCCGCACACTGTGGACGTCCAACCTGGTTCAGAGCCTGAAGCAGCTGCCCGAGCGCGAGGCAAACAAGCGTCTCTCGGTGGAAAGCGTTTGCAGTGCGGTGTGGACGTTGATTCGCGGCGGGTTGTCTGCCGGACTCGAAACTTCGCGTTGGACCATGGAGGAGCGCCGCGCCTTGAACGACGCTGATCATTCGAATGGCCGGAGACTGGCCGAGCTGGCCACCGAAACCGCCGATCTTTCGTCGAGTGGTGCCTCTACTCATGGCAGTCTGGTCTTCACTGTGTTGAAGTTGCCGTCCATTTGGGACGACGACGGCCCGAAAGTGCAACAGCTGTTCCTCTGGGACGTGGGCAAGGAGGACGCCGTCAGTGACCTCAAGTCGTTCCTTGCAACAACCATTCCCGCGTTGGACCTCCGCGATGGCCTCACGCGCGACACCCGTGGTTGCGAAGCGGCCGCTGAGCAGGGCGAAGGACCGGCGCGACCGCTGATGTTCTACGAATACGCACATGGCCTGGAGTGGATGGAGGCGCCCGTTGATGTGCATCGATTCAAGCCGGAGCCGCTGCGAACTACCGGCGATGGTTCCACCTCTGAGAGTGCGAGCGAGAATGAGCTTTACGAAGACACCATGGACCTGTCATGCGAGCAACTCGACATTGTGTCAAACAAAAACCCAACCTTCATCCAGGGCCGCGGCGGCACGGGGAAAACCACGACACTAGTCATGAAGGCCGTCGCGCACGAAATTTCCTACTACGCCTCGGACAGCGGATGCGGTGCGCCGCCCTTGACGCTGATTGTCACGCAGTCGCCAACACTTTCTCGGGACATCCGCAACAAAGAGTATCCGAAGATGCGCGAACGGGTTTTGCGCGCGCTAAAAAAACGCGACAAGGAAACTCCAATAGCGGAGAAGGTGGAGCACAGCATCAGTGTGGCAGCCGGCGCGCTCCCGCAATGCCTCGATGATGTTGAGGGTGTTGGCACTTTTCCGGTTTCATTTGTGGAATTTTTACGCGTGTTCGATCGATCTATTGGTGATGGAGACTACTTTTTTGAGGACCAGGTAGACGTCCAGACAGGAACAGGACGAGAAAAGGAGGAAAGCTCGTCTACTACTGGCGGGTCGATACTCTACCTCATGGATCGGCTGCAGATCGGGAAGAGCCCAGCGGGGACCGCAGGGATAAAGCGCATACAGCAGATAGCGCCCAATCATTCCGGCGAGACCAAAAAGCGGCATCACTTAGGCCGAGAGGTCACATACCATAGATTCAAAACCCTCTATTGGGAGCGATTTCTCAATATCGAAAGGAAAAATCCCCCCTCCCCATATCGAAACGGCATGACTCCGAAAATTTGTGTTGCTGATTTGAGGCCACAAATCACGTCTGTCTTGCAAGAAGACACGCGCAGAGGCTTCCGCGCCATTATGGAAGCGATTTGGCATGCTGTAGGACCTAGGGGACAGCCGTTACCGTTTGTAATGCGAAACAACTAGACCGAAACGCCCCCACCTAGGCTGAGGATCTGGCTACGATGCTTTACTGCGTGACAGCGCGCATTTGTGTACGGAAATCCAGCATCAGAAACTTCGTCTCGATATGGGGAGGGGGGATTTTTCCTTACGATACTCAAACCAGCTGCTGCCGGCGGCTTTTCGGACGATTATGCAGTGTACCGAGAAATCTTGGCTATCAAAGCAGGGCGACGGCGGCACGAGGTAGAAACAACTTCGGCAACTGCAGCTCATGTTACACCCGTTTCAAAAAGACCAGGACTAGCACTCTCTCTTGTTTCTGTTTGCCTTTATTTTAGCTTCTAAGTACCACTTTCCTTTCCCTCTGATTGATTGTTCGATGTTTTGTTTCCAAATTCCACAACACAGGACCACACGAGAGCCGACGTGCTTGAGCCGCAGAGTTTCGAGCCTCTTAGCGAAAAAGAGTATGTGGAGGGCAATCAGCTGCTAGAGTCCTCCAAAACCCTCTCTAAACACGACCGTGCGACTATTTACAAGCTGTACAGGATTTACCAGACCCAGTTGCAAACACCCCGAACCCGCGTGGACGAACACAGCAACTCCCCCGAGCAGCTCGACAAAGAAAAGGATACCGAGTGGGACATTGCCGACTGCGTGAACGATATCTATTGGCGGTGGAAGAGAAAGAAGCGCGCTAGTGGCGGCGTCGGCTTCCACGGGCGCCAGGTCACCGCGATGTGCGTCGACGAGGCCCAGGATCTGCTCAGTCGGCAAATCCGGCTTTTTACCTGTTTAGCAACCTCACTGGGCGCTTTTTCTATTGCCGCCGACACCGCCCAGGCGATCGAGCACGGCCGCAGCTTCTCCTTTGCCGCACTGAAAGACGAAATTCTGGGGTACTGCGCCACAGGGGGAAGTCCAAGTGACCAGCTGCAACAGCTCGACCTCCACCAGAAGAACATCCACGATTTGAGCGAAAATTTTCGCTCGCATCAGGGACTTCTGAACTTCATGGCAGCGCTCGTGCGCCCAGTGGTCGAACTCTTCCTATCAAATGCAAATATGTCTGGGTCTGGAAGAGTGGGAGGTTTGTCATGCATCTCGTGGATCACAACGATGCTCTGGAATGCAACCAGAAGCATCACAAATTTTGCAAGAGCATCCTAATGCCAATTAGGGATGAGAAGCCTGCCTTTTGTTTGGCGAGAAATGGGTAACTTTCGCGGTTCATGCAACACAGATTTTTTCACGATTGAGATTTAGCATGCCAAGTTTGGACTCTTCCAGACCCAGACATATTTGCTATGCATACTTCCCTGACACCGATGATTTGCCGCGTGAGTGGTCCAAGAAAACAGGAACAGCCCCGACGATGGTGGTGGGTGCGCCGCCGGATCAGTTGCTGGATATTTTGGCTCCGAGGACCAATTTGCCGCTTCGCCTCACGACGGACCACATGGTCATCGTGCCGAATGAAGCGCAGCGGCTGCTCGCTGCACAGTACTTCGAAGGCGAAATTTACACCGTCCGCGAGTGCAAGGGGCTCGGCCGCAAGGACGTGCTTTTGTGGAACTGTGTGCGGCACGACGCATCGCAGCCCGACGATGCAAAAGCGTACGACCGTCTCTGGCCCGACGTTCTGGACTTTGTCCGCCGGAGGTTGCAGGACTTTGCGGCCCAAGGCGACGGACGGGAAGTGGCTTTTGACAGCACGCGCAGCAAGAATCCCCTTGGACTCGACGCGGACCGGTCGCTGTTCGCCATTAAGCTGAAAGGGTTGTACACGGGGGCAGCGCGCCCCAAGCAATCCTTGCTGATCTACGAGTCGGAGGCGAGTGTCGGCTCCGAAACGCTCCGGGAATACTTTTTGAAGCTCTTTCCCGAGTACGACAAACAGCGGCGGCGCTTCGAGCAGACGGCTCACCCGAACCAAGAGTCCGATCGGGGGAAGCCCATTCTGTACTACTACGACGAAGCCCGTGCATCGTTGCTGCGGCAGCACTACGCCGGGTTTTCCTTTGACCACAGCTGGACCCGGGAGATCGACGCGATGCAGCGCCAGATCTACGATTTGGAGTGTCAGGGTAAGTACCTGGAAGCGCTCCTACTCACCCGCGAGAGAAGCTCACAGGGGTTTGACGGCTTTATTGACAGTAGCACCAACACGCACCGCGGGCGCCCTCCGAGCGGAATGTATGCGGTCGCAGGTACGGCCGCGCAAGACGTTGCGCAAAGGTGCGCGTGGAGCGCCAAATTTCGCGACACCGAGCAGCTCCTGTCGAAGCAGGTGCGCGAGTTCAGTTTCTTCGACGATAAGCGCGTATTGTGTCTTCAGGCAGGCGCGGATGCACAGAAGGCGATAGAGTTGCTAAAGCCGCTGGGAGTCGGTGTGAAGGACCTGAATGAGGAAGACAAACTGCTTCCGCTACACAAGGCAGCCGTGGCAGACTACCGGCAGGCACTGAACTTTGTCGCCAAGACCGATCCGTGGAAAGCGACCGAGATCAACGAAAAGATCCTCGGCGCCGCCCTTGCCGGATCCGACTTCCTCAGTGCGTGCTTTGGGCAGCACCTCAACGCCGCCAGATTTGCCCTGCAGGAGCTGCGCAGATTCTCGTTTTCGAAAGAGCAGATGCCGAAACTTGAGGGAGCCGTGCTGCCACTAGTTGCGAGCGCGCAGAGGTACTTAACCACTTCTACACATCTTTCATGAGAATAAGTAGAGCTGTTTTTATGTCTTTTTTAAATTTAAAACGTGATGAAGAACGACTGCTTTGAAAATGCACAATAACACTCTACTAAAAGCATCAATCTTTCCTACCCAGGCACTTCCAGCTTGCAGCGGAGCCTCTCGAATCGGACGAAGCGGAGCAATGCCTGTGGAGCGCCTGTTCCGAGCGAGAGTTTACGGAGCTTCGGCCCGCGGAAACAAAACAGATTCTGCAGCAGAACCTCGCGACGCTCCGGCGAAAAGTTAACCCCAAAAACGCGCCAACCGTGCAGATCGCGGGCCTGTGCATTCAGTTTCGACTGTGGGAGGACGCGTTCGTGACCATCGAGCGGGCCGCAGAGCAACGGGGAAAGAAATCGAAGCGAAAGAAGCCGAAAGATCCGGAGGCCGAGGAGCACCGAAAGCGGGCGATAGAAAGTTTGATCCGACAGTGCAAAGACAGCCACTCTGCTTTCTACTGGGAGATGTTTTTGGAAGATGAACCGCAGCGAGCCGCACGCCGCCTGCAACAGTTGCCCATCGGCAGCGCGGAGACGCCGAAAGAGCACCTTGTGGAGGGACTTCGAAAATTGACCGGCCTCGGCAGCGGGAACGACGAAAGCACGCGCATCGCTACTGCGGAACGCAGTGCGCGCTACTTTTTCGTGGCGGCCCGAACCGCAAACTGCAGTGCTGCCGATCGGCAACCTGCGTTGCGCGTCGCGTGCGGGTTGCTGAATCACGCGTGGAAACTGAGACTCACCGAGAAGAGGAAAGACAGCGCGAGCACAGAGCCGATTACGCAAACGCTCGGTTGGTACAAAAGCGGCTTGCTCTACCTCGCCGCGCTCGCCAGTTTGTACTGCACAGACATGCAGCAGAAGCTCGGATCCCCGGCCGACGAGAGCGCGTTTGAAAAGGCCTTGGCGGCGTACAAGGAGGAGTGTGCCAAGTTGCAGGCGATGAAATGCAACGACGCGGGGCAGAAGCTCCAAGAGGAAGAGAAGCAAAAACTAAAAGATCTGAAGTTCGAACACAACGCGGAAATGATACGCTTTGGGTTTCGAGAGAACGACTTGATGAAAGAGATGGAAAAACAAGCGGATACGCAGATGCTGCGCAGATTCCAGATCACAAAGTTCAAGCCGCTGCTGTATCGGTTTGTCGCCAAAATGGTTGTAGAAAGTGAGAAAACTGACGGCTGCTACTTCCTATGTCCTTGTTGCCAGACCAAGGAAATTGGAAGATTCATCACGTACGAGGAATGCCACGCGAAATGGTATCTCGAGCGTGCAAGGAAGAAACAACACGAAGTGTTTCATGATTGCGTCGAGGAGGCAGACTTTGAAAACGGGGAGTGGTGCACAGAATTGGAACGACTTGAGAAACCGCTGTTAGCGCTTGCGCTGTCCTCCATGGAGAGTGAGCTACTAAAGGCCGCGGGACTAGTGAAGGAAAAGAACGCCGAGCTGGAAGACCTCGACGAAAAAGCTAAACACTTAGACGAAATATTTCTGGCCAACGTGAAATTCCCGCTGCTGGATCCGAGTACTCCGCAACTCGGAATAGACGTCGCCCGGGCGAAAGAGTGCTTGAAAAAGCGCATGGCCAGCGTGCAGAAAAAGGTAAACAAGACCGATGGCCAATTACGCAACAAAACCAAGATGATCACACCGCAGAGCCTAATTGATGGTCCAACGCCCCTCGTTTACGAGTGTCTCCATCTGCGATTTACCGAAGAAAAACACCAAGATGACTACGACGTACTGGAATTCTTTCAAGAGCTGTGGCAGGACCACGACGAACCTCTGGAATTGGTGATCAAGGCAGAACGAAAGAAGCACGTCAACAGCCTCAATCTTGCGCGTGACCAGCTGCTGCAAAAAGTTGCTCACCGGAAAGCGGACGCGCTCCAAGAATGGGAAAATGACGTCGGAGTGGACTTCTGGAGTGTGTCGTACCATGAGGATCAACCCTACTGGGCGTTGGTGACTTTGTGTAACCGACGTCTGCGGCATGTGTGGAAGCCTTTGGTTCCTGGAAGTAAAATCGGGAATAAAACGTCGAATAGCGGCAAACAAAGGCAGTACAGAAAGCCACCAGGAGCAGCCGCTGCGTCCACCTCTACAACTGCAGATAATCTTGCGGCGGCCGCGGCGGAAGTCGCACAACAGGAACAGCTGCTCTTTCCCATGATCGATGCGTTTCTCCGATCATTTTCTCAGCTGCAGCAACCAAAAGCTAAACATAAAGCGAAATCGGAACAGCGACCCATTGAGAGGCCCGGTGATGTTGACCCGCGCTCGACGCCCCAGACGGCGAGACTCATCGCCCACATTGGCGCGCCGGACGATTTCGAGCTCGTCTTAACGGACCCGAGCGAAGCCGTTTGGCTCCACCACGAGATTATCATGGCGGAGGCCGAACACGCAAGGATCGCGGAGAAATTCACCGACGGCCGAAAGCAACTGCAGGACGACAAACAGCGACTGCAGCTGAAACAAGAGCTTGTGATCTCGATGCAAGAGACCAAAATCCGAGAAGCGAAAAAACAGATCGACGCAGACAAGGCGGAGTTTCAGGAACGGAGAAAAAAGCAGAAAGAGGAAATCGAAAACCGGGAAAACGATGTGAAGAGCCAGCCGGGGGTGCTGGAGGTGTGGTTTCGCAGGCTGCTGATCGAGGACGGAAAGATACCGGAGAACCGCAGCTGGGTCCGGCAGTTCAAGGAATCCAGCTACATGAGCTTCCTCCACCGCATGATGTTGAAATCAGGGTCCGTCGGGAAAAAGGTGGCGGAGGTGACTTTGGGGAAACGGGGCCAGGAAAAATCCGTCGCGGTCAGCGACGTCAAGGAGTTCTTCACGAAACACGCCCAGGAGCTCTGCACAAAGATCTGCGACCACACGAGCCCAGGACGGAACGGAGTTCTCACTGTGCCCGATCTCGATAAGCCACCAACCTTCCACGAGCAAGACGAGCGCGCGGCGCGCGACATCCTCGAACAACTGGAAAGCGCAATGCCAAGGCTAATCGCGATCGACGAAGAAATAAAGGGAAAAAGTACTGCGAAAAGCGGTGGGGCTTCGGAACAACAACGATGTTCCGAACCCACCAACGACCCGGGACTGAATCCCCCCTCGTCCGCGACGAGCAAACGAAAAACCGGGAAGAATGCCCCGAACCCGGAAAACCAAAAACCCCAAGAACGCAGACAAACTCGAAAAGAACGGCAGGAAGAGGCCCGCGCGGCGGTACGAGAGGCTGCTATTGCGTCAGCGTCCGCGTCGTTAGCAGCCTCAAGCGCGACGGAAGAAGAGGCAGAGATGCTGGAACAATCTGCCTCCGATGACGAGGAACAGATTGAGGATCTTGTAGAAGACCCATGGAGAGTTTTTGAACGACATGACGCGATTTCATAAACATCAAACAAGTTTTTTCAGCAAATCTTTCCACCAAATGAAGTATTCCACCGAATGAAATATTCCACCGAGAACAATTCCACCACAATATAATCGATGATAAAAAGAATGGACCTATTTGTTCAATCCATCGAAATTCGATTGGTTGAAGACTATGGGTTTTCGACTCTCTCTGATCTGGACACAAATTGATTTACCACATTCCAAGAATCTGATTTTGGATTCTAATCTTTCTATTGATTCTGGGAAACTAAAAAAGGTATGATATTAAATTCTCCAATCATCCTGATGATTGATTTCAATTGGATGATGTTATCGATTGGATCTCTTTTATTTTTCCTCGATCTGAAAATTCGAAAGAACAGGGAAAAAAGAAATTTTCTATAATCTGTATCGATATATAAATACCTCTGATTTATTTCTTCAAAATTATTGTGTTTTTTTTTGCTGTAATTTTTTTTCTGATATGATTGGGATTTAGGATTTTCTGAGAAGAATATTGGATTTTTTATTGATTTTTTTTCCTTCGAAAATTTATTTTGGTCTTTCCGAGATGAGATTTTCAATCTCTTTGGATCGATGAAAAGAATTTTCCGAAAGAAATATGATGATATATCTCATAGATTTCAAATCTTGATCCTCAGAAATTATCCTCGAAATTGGATAGATACCATATGAAAGAATATGAATGATTTTTTTATTTTTTTATTTTGAATATTTATAAATATTTGATTCAGAAAAATGGAATCTGAGATATTATCGGATGAAATTGAAATCGACATGACATTATCGACATGAATAATCTCATTAGATGAATCATTCACCCAAAATTTTTTTGAATAAGAATATTTTTGATTTCTAGAAAATCATATCCACAACCAAATTCATCGAGAACCTCATCCAAAATTTTCAAAATTTTTCTCATGAAACATTCTGGAAAATAAATTGATCATGGAAGAACGAAGAATGAAACCAATGGCTATCACTATTACAGATGGATATTCAATCCTTCCAGATGAGATCGAGATTATAGATGTCAAATTCTTTCGATTTATAAAAATCGAAATCAGAAAATCATCTTCCAATTCCAAATGATGAGAAAATCAATCGTTCGGCCAACCGAATGAGGTTCTATCTATGAAATATTCATCAAATTTTTTTCGGATTTTCATTCATCTAAAATTTGATGATATCGTTGGAATGGGATTGAGAATTAGTTTTCGCTCTATGGTGTAGGTAGAAGGCAGGTAGGTTTACTCAATGATGGAGTTCCTATTGTTCATGTCGGTTGCTATTTTTCGTCAGTATTTTGGAGCCGCTCAGTAGGATTTGTGTTTGTACCAGACTTTTTCCATTTTAGTTTTTCAAGCAATACCGAAACCGAGTCATCACACATGTACCGGGAATAATTTCTCCCAAACGCTAACACCCGGCAGATTGCCGCAAAGGCCAACAAGGCCACTAGGGAGTTCGCAATGTGATCCGTCTCCGTGACATCAATGCCGAAATTGCTCTTCAGCACCTCTTCCCCCGTTTTGTATTGGCAGTCGTCTGGGTAGAGAACAAACTCCTCGGTGGAGCATGTGTCCAGTTTTACGTCGGTCCAAGCCCAGACAATCATCGCGTTAAAACCCCAGTAGGCCAATGACAGGTATTTCACCCACCGCATCCATACGGGCAGTAAATCCAAATCCAGCATAAACCCGTTCAGCAGCAGCATCGGGAGTAGTATCATGAGTAGTATCGCAGTCGCGATGTCCGGGTCGTCGGTCTATGGATTGTAAAAATGTCTGGGTCTGGAAGAATGGAAGGTCTGTCATGCTCTGCCAGCATGACCCCAAAGTCTGTCATGCACGTTACCCAAGAGCCTCGCTTTTTTGTCATGCAGAAAAGCAGTTTGTCATGCAGACCAGGCAACACCTCGAAGCTCACAAACTTGTCATGCTGAGCCAGCACTTGTCGCCGCCTCATGATACGCCAACCAGCATCACAAGTTTCCAGACCCAGACATTTTTACACTTGATACGGTCAGAGAGGCGACGAACGCCCCGGCCGCGTTCGCCGTCAGCATGACACATTCAGAAATCAGCAAAAAGACGAAAAACTTCTCGAAGAAGAACCCGGCCGTCACGTCGTCGTCGACGCCGAAGATGCCGTGGAACTGCACGAGAAAGCACGCGGCGATCGTGAAGAGTAACGGAAACAAAGAGGAGATCGGCAACTCCCCTGTCATGCGGCCCACCGAGAACGCGCTCAGACTGTATAGCCGCTTCGTCACAATTTCGCGCCGGAGAAACCGCGCGCCCTGGACCAGCATCGTCATGGTCTCGAACGCGGCGGAAAAATTCGGGTGCACGAAGAAGAAAAACGCCGCGCCGTGTCGCGTGTTGTTCATCTTTGGGTGCGGCGGGGTGCGGAAAAAAATCCACCCGCAAAGTGCCAGCAGCGCCCCGTTCGCGTACAAGGCTAACCACGTCTCGAACCTGCGTCGCAGGCGTGCCCGGTACGTCCGCTGGTGCAAGGCTCTCACCTGGGTCCACCAAGAGGGGCGGTCTTGCTGGTTGGAAAGAACTACACGGGTTGTAGTAGTGCTAGCGGTCGCATGAACTACGTCTTGCGCGGTCGTTGCGCCAGCTGCTTGATTCAATGCCTCGTCGTGCGCCACCACGGTATCAAGATCCGGCGGAGGCAGCATCTCCGCGTACTTGGACAAAATGCGCTTACTAATTTGCTTCGGGTTTTGGTGTTCTCCCACTGGAGGTTCACCCTCCATCGGACCGCTCCTGTCGGCCGCGTTTGTCGCAACTACAGTATCCTCATCTCGTCTGACTTCCTCTGCGCTGTCCCGTAGTGCAACATTGCTCCCAGATAATTCTCTGTAGGTCAACAGCAGCTTCTCGCGTTTCTCCTCATTCTGGATTAAGTCCAGCGCGAACTCCGCCGCGTTGTAGCCTCGGGGGAATGCAAACCCCTTGTCCGAAAGCTCGTGAGCCATGGAAAGTCCCGGGCCAAAGTAGCAGCACTCTCCCTTTCCTATGAAGTACACTTCGCGGATATTACAATGAAAAATGTCCCCACCCCCGAACTTGAAAGCCTTTGTATTGCAAACCTTTCCAAATGAAACAGTCGCTCTCTTGCATCTATCAGCATCGCAGATTTCCGATCGTGACTAGCAAAAATTTGTATTGCAAAAGATCCCAGCAAGAGCGGCGTTTGTCATGCAAGCGCGGCGAAACACGCCTAGACTCTGCATCAGAAAGATTTGTACTCCTTTCATGCATGACAAAAAGTTTTCATTTGGAAACTTCGCATTACAAATTTTTGCAACTTTGGGGGTGGGGGCAATTTTCCTCGCGATAGCGGAAGCGGCTGTAGATAAGTGACGACGGCTGGTGGATGGTAAACAGGATGGTTGTTTTTGCATATCATTTGTAAAAACGTCCCCACCCCAGAGTTGTGATGCAGATTTGCAATGACAGGCACGTTTGTAATGCGCATCTCCATGAGAGGCGTTTCTAGTCGTGTTTTGGGATTTGTAATGCTGTAACCAGGATGAGCAAATGCATTTGTGACGCGTTTGTCCTTGCTAGGCTGCACTACACTACGGACTGCAACTTGTGATGCGTGAGCCCCAAAACTTCTAGGTTTGTGTTGCAAAATCCCTAGGTTGACTCTGAGATGGGGACGTTTTTACTCAGGATATTGCATTCTGAGAATTCATTGCACTACTGTGCGAAGAGCTGGCGCCCTGTTGTTCTTCCAAGCCGTCGTCGTACAAGATATCCACCACTTCCCGTGCCATCGTGCTGTCCAGTCCGGACGTTGGTTCGTCGAGCAAAAGTACGGACACCTTTTCGTGCAAAAGCTCCTCGGCGATCGAGAGCCGCTTACGCTCACCGCCGCTGAGGAACCCGATCCGGCGGTCTCTGCAGTGACTCAGGCGCAGGCGGTGCAACACAGTCGTGATCTTCTCTTGCTGCTCCGCTTTCGAGAGGCGAAACAGCCGCATTTTCGCATGGAACTCCAACTGCTCCCCCACGGTGACCTGGTTTTCGAAAAAATCCTCTTGCTCCACGAGCGAGACCAGCTTGACCTCCTCGGAAAACGGATAGCTTGTCGCAGCAAGTTCCTTCCAGCTAGTTCCGTTGCAAAACACGGAAATCGTGCCCGAATGTTCCGGAAACTTTTCCGCATTTGGCGTCACCTGGCCGGCGAGCATACGAAGTAGCGTGGTCTTTCCAGACCCCGACGGTCCCATGATGGCCAACGTTTCACCTGGCCCGACTTTGCCGCACAAACCTTTCAAAATCGAAACCTTGCTCCCGGCGCCATCGCTCGTCTCCCCGAGCTCGGAGCTCGCCGTCAGGCGGAGGTTTCGGAACTCCATGGCGCGCTCACGATTCGAGACTGAGACGTGTCTGTTGCTGCATCTTGAATCATTAATATTGTTTGAAGAAGCTGCTCCACGCACGTGAACTCATTGATATCTCACTTTGGTGCGGCACAGCAAGGATTTCGTTTCTGACTGTCTGACGACCTCACATCCTCCTCAGAATTGATCCACTTCTCTGGGGTAAACACTTGAAAACAACTTACTCCGAGGTTCGACTTTGATTGCGTTCCAAGTAAAAATCGCAAACTGCCTTCAGCTTGAACAGAAAAACGAAAAACCTGCTCTTGCATGCATTGCACAAGCCGTTTTCTGCTTTTTCGAACACAAAGCGGAGTGCTCAAGGGGCCACCGGGGCTTGTTCGGTGGGTATAAACGACCACGAAGAGCAGGTGTGACTGAGGACCTTACTAGCATAGAGCGATTAGATTTGAAAATTTGAATTTCTTGCTAAAAAAAGCACGGATCCTTTAGAAATAGAAACTAACTTAAAAGACAGTCCAGATAAGCAGCTCAATACTTGAAAAACATCGATCCAGACTGCGATTTTCTTTTTCCGTCATGGACGTCTTCTAGCCGGTTCTCATCTTTTTTTCGCAGAGCCTGAGCCAGAGTCGATGCTGTCAGTTACGATTGAATTGCAATCTGTCACGAGCAATTCGTCACTCTCCTTGCGACAAACTAGCGACTGGCCAAATTCGCGAAATAAAATTTGCGAGACTAGAAGAAGAAAAAAAGGCTGCTCAGTCTTGCTTCGACATCAACATTCTTTTTCTGTTTGATGGCTATGCTAAATTTAGCTCTTGCTGAGCATCATGCTAGGCACGTACAATGTGGCACGGAAGGACGACCCTAGCTTCGCAGGTTCTGGCTTCAACTCGACTTCGTCTACAGCCGCACAGAAGCTGCGAAAACCTAGGATACCTCCATCTCCATCCTTCACTTATTATATCGTGCGACTAGAAATTGGTAAAAGGAAGCTCAACGAAAAAATAAACATGTAGATCCGCGTGACGACGTGATCTGGCAGCGAAAGCGGTGCGCCTCCTGCCACTGACTTTGGTGAGTCAGCAGGTGACGATTTTACCACTAGCTGCAGGGACAAACCTTCTTATTGCTTTGTGTGCTTTTTCTTGCTTTTTTCCCTCGTCGACATTGATTGAAATTACCAAATATTCTGACTATCCGAGGGGGTATCATGGTGATCCGCTTAAAACCACGATACCTCCTCGGATAGTTGTGCGTTTTTGTTTTTATGCAGAGCTGAATTGGAATGGGAGGCGTAGACATCTATAAAGCATATTGAAAAAGGATAATTCTATCTCACATCGATTTCGATACAGTCTTCCATTACACTATCACATTTTTTTTAGCAGAGTCAGCGGCTTAAATTTTCGTCTTAGATGGGGTCTTTAGCACCGGAGCATGTCCTGAACATGGAATAGATAGGAATCTGTCAAAGCCTACCCTTGTCTTTAGCCGCGACACATTTTTTGCTTCGAAACTAAAAATGTTGGATGCAGAGATAGTACGTCTGCAACCTCGAAGTACCAACATCAACATGTTGATGTTGGTACAATAACGAACGGAACTAGTCCGTCAACAAAAATACGTTTATGTATTTACTGCTGCGGACAATTCGTTCTGACTGTCAAGAAGACTCGCAATCTATCAGTATCTATAAATATCACCATGTTTGCGCAAAAAACTGTTCTCCGTCCTGCTCATCTTCGTTATCGTTACCGAGCGGATAGTAAAACTCCTCACCCCATTTAGTTGCTTGGCATCGATGCCAAAAATTTCTTCATATTCTATCTTCATCTTCTCGGATCAATCTGAATTTTGTATCCATCTATGCGCTTGCTCTTCTGCCGCACATGACTTTTGAAGTTATAGTTCTACATGATTGCGCAAACTTCGTCATCGTTTGAAGACACAACATCTGGTGCAACGGCGCTCTGTCGTAGTGTTTCCATGCGATCGTGTATCAGATCCACAGTGTCCAGGCCGAATTCCGGTATTGTTTTCTTAAACAAAGCATGGAGATACAACACTCCCACTAGAACTGTGTTAGTCTGATGCATCATAACAGAATGCAACGGACCGTAGTTCTTCTTTAACTCCAGCAGCCTGTACAAGATGACAAGCGCCTGATCTCTCTCCAGAGCCCGCAATAAATTCTCGCAGACCTGCTTGTTTCGGATTTTGCTAACAACTTCCACGCGTATGTTCTGCGAGGCAAGTACGAGTGGGTAGCGATCGAGTACGAAGGTTTCCTTCCATTCTACAGTCCGCCAGTCAGACAAAATCGGGTCTGAGCTGGCGTCCAGTTTCTTTATCCAATTCTGAAATCCGCCAACGCCTCCTTTCTCGAGTTCGTCAAGCAGCAAGGCCCGTTGAAATTTTTCGTAGGCGTCCCCGCCATGCATTTCATCGGCCGCCACGAGTCCGCCCTGCTTCTCCAGCTCTGACTGGCAACGAGGACAGAAACAGTTGGCACCCCAGCCGATGCGGAGCATCTCAGACCGACAACATGCACTGAGTATCAGATGATCCATGCCGACATAGGAAAAGCAGACTTCTTCACCTGGCTCGATATCCTTGATCGCAACCAACACCAAGTTCGTCGCACCGCGCACCTCGCAATTCGGAGCACAGCTGTGATTGTAAAGACCGCCGAAGTGGTGCAATCCGTCGTCATGAGCGCACAGCTTCGCAACGGCCAGGCCACGGATCAATTCCTGGATTTCCTTCTCAGTTGGAGAGCCACCGTGCCAACATTTTAAGCCATCTGCGAAAATTCGACGCACCTCTTTGTCGACTCGTTGCAGAGAAGCGACCTTATCACGTGGAATTTCTTCGTAGGTTCGTGGAAACAGGCCGTTGACCTTCGCAATGTCTTCAGGCGTGGTGTTCTGCAGGTAATTCAGAAGTTTGTCCTCGATCTGAGCGTAACTGGCGTGCCAAGGGAGAACTCTTCGCTCGCCACTGATTATTTGGCCGTTTTGAATAGGGACCGTCGCACGCACCACGTATCCTCCTTTTCCGGAACGTTCCACGTAAAGCCCGGGAGTAAACTGAAAGCACAAAGGAGACGCGGTGGAGATCACTTCACAAAGTTTGACCGCACGAGAAACGTCAATCTTTCCGAGGTGCAGATGGTCAGCGACACCGATGTAGGCTTCTGTCGCACGTTTGCTACTCGCGAGGAGACGCAGTGACGTCTCGTCCAGCTGAACTGAAGTTGTCTCTTCCATGAACGCAGGAACGGGATCCATGGTGCTGGGGACCTCGCTGCGCTGACGGCTGCGAAGACGCTCTGCCTTTGTATCATGAGGATGAAAAGAGTCCGGTGATGTCATTCTGCTGCTGCTTCGTAAAAGTGCTGCTCGCGGTTGTAGTTCGGGTTGGTGTAAAAACAACGACGTGCCGACAAAGAAAATGGAGGCGCTTCTATATATTTTGTTGGTTTCGCTGCTGCTGTAAGAACACAGATTAATAACGTCAAAGACAAACAGCCCTAAGCTTTAGAGAGAAAGATAGTCTACGACACCTCGTGTCCACGTTACTAGCCCTGTAATCATTGCAAATGTTTCACGTTCATGTGATCAATCAGGCTAGTCCTGTAGGCGTAGACTTTGGATCAGTGTCGTCATTTGGGATCACGGTGGTACGGGATCCCTTGATCCTGATTCAGCTGATGATCTATGCCAACAGCTGCGGCAACCTCGACGGCGTCCCTAACCGTAATGTGAAGCGATCGAGATCTTGGAAGTTGTGAGCACCACAGTCACAGATCACGTCGAGATCTTCTACCAACAAAATCTATTTGTGTTATGGTCCTCGAGATAGAGGAGAGTCTTGTCGAGGAGGAGACGTAGAGGCACTTGGCTTTTCGTGCCAGCTACGGACACGGTAGTTAGTCCACCGCATCCATCTACTTGAATTTGTCGGACATTCCATGGCGCGTTCTTTCACGCTTTGAGATCATTAAGACGCAACTGTTGCAGCATGAACGATTTTCTTTTTTGAAGCTGCACCTATTTCAGTTCATACATCATGATCTTGGTCAAGCACTGCAAGGTCATTTTGTTCCTAAGTGTCTGACGACCTCGCATCCTCCTGCGGATTGATGTAAGTACTTGCTTCTCCGGAGTACACAGTTGGAAGCAACGAGATCAGACTTTCGCGTCCAAAGAAAGAGTCGCAGACGGAGTTCTTCATGTGAGTCCGCAATAATTGCACCAATGTGGCAGCGCCCTGGTCCGCAAAACAGAGGGAGCAATGGTTGCAAAAAAATGAACTACTTCGAATGCGGTCGTGCAGTCGTGGAGATACTCGAATGAAAAAATGCAATCAGATTCATCCATGTGATTTGTATGTTGCGCGACAGGACTTCACTTTCCTAAAACTCAAACTGAAAGCGACAGAAATCACTTTGGGTCTCCCATAACTCAAGCTTTCGCTTCCTCTTCTACTTCACGGGGCGGACCCCCACCTGAAGATCTTCACGAGTGCTTCCAAGGAGGAACGGCGTCCTTTTGCAGGTACTGCCGGCGTTGTAGTGTTTTCCGCGAGCGGATCGCTCAAGTGTAGGGCCATCAACCAGTTGTCGGCATATTCGTAGCGCACGTAAAAGCGGAAAAAGGCGAGTAGCCGGGTGATGACAGTGAGCAGCAACAAACACAGCAGGGCGTTTCGCTTCAAGTGCGGATTGTCGGCGACCGTGATACCGAATCTGTGGTGCAAGACCAGGTCGCCGGACCGGTACAGACTGCAGTTCTTCGGAAACTCCAGCTGCTCTTGTGCAGAGCAGGACTCCATCTCGAGCCCCTCCCACGTCCAGCTCCCGAACGCCAGGAAGCCGTAATAGAACTGGCTGCAGTGCCGCACCCACGCGATGCTGACCGGGATCAGACTCGCATCCAAAATGAAGGGGTTCAGAAGAAAGAGCGGCACGAGGACGACGATTCCCAAACTAATCGCGACTTCTACGTCCTGAGTGAGAGATCCAATGAAGTACCCCAGCGACTGCCCCGCGAGCTGGCAGATCAGCGAGATTCCGAGAAGTTCCAAATTCAGCACGACCTCCGGGTGGAACTGCATCAGCGACCAAGCGCCAATCGTGTAGATGAGCGGAAAGATCATGATGATCGGCAATTCACCGGTCGTGCGCGCCGCGAAAAAAGACGAGAGTCGGTAGAGCCTCTTCGTTTGGAACTCGCGTTGCAGCACCATTCCGGACATGACCAGTGGGAGCATGGCCTCGAACGTTGCGGAAAACAGAGGGTGTGTCAGGATGAAAAACATGGCGCCGTTCCTCGTGTCTACCTTACTCGGATGCTTACCCACATCGAAGAAGAAGATCCCGATCAAAATGGTCACAAACGTGTTCTGGATAATAGCGAGTTTCGTCGCGTACCTCTGGCGGAGGCGCGCGATCAAGGTTCGCTTCCAGATCTCCGAAAACTCGACCCACCAGGGAGCCCGTTTCCGGCTCGCCAACAGATTTGCGACGGAATTCCGGCTCTTCGACGAGCGTGCGGAGCTTTTCGCCTTCTTGTGTCTCCCCTTAATCGATACGTGCGCTTGCTTAGTTTCCTCGTCCGACACCGGCGTTCGTCCTTGCAGTTCCTCCATCTCGCCTGGACTTCGGGCCCCGCTGCTACGAGACGGTGTGTACCGGTCCGCGTCTGACCCGCTTTCCCTTTCGTCATCGCGGTCCGCCGAGATATGCTCTGCGTCGTGCTGCTCGTCATTAGTTGTACCATTCGATTTCGTGATGCTGGTGATGCTGCGTAGAATCTGCAGTTTCTTCTTCTCGTCCACTTGCTGTTGTTTCTGCACCAGTCGTGCAAGTTTTTCGGTGTCTTGTATCGTGTCCAAGGCGAACTCCGCAGCGCTGTAGAAGGGTGGGGAATGAAATCCCGCACGGGACAGCCAGCTCCCCAGCTGATCGGCGGGGCCGAAGTAGGCGCATTCCCCCTGCCCAAGAAAGTACACACTCGAGAAGCAGGAGTAGAGGAGGCTGGAGGGTTGGTGAATCGTGAAGATGATCGTCGTGTCACGCACTTCGCGCATAGCATCGTCCTGTTCCTGTTCGGGGGTAGAGTCGTGCTTTAGAGCTCTCCCGCTGGTAGTACCGCCCTCCGTAGTTGTGTGATCGTGAGCATGATCCTGATCTTCAGCATTTGCTTGGTCGAGCAGTGCGGGAGGTACAACAGCAGCTCCAGGCGACGACATCGCCTCCGTACCCGATGGTACGGGGGAGTGTAAAGCTCCAAGATCAGCAAAATTTCTACTGCCCTTTGCTGCACCACCGGAGGAGCCGCCACTAACGTCGTCTCTCGGGGGGCCAGGGCTGGCCTCGACGTGCGTTGCAGCTACCAGCGCGCCGGTCAGGCCACCGCTTGCCGCGGCAACTGAAAGTTCTACGGCGCTGTTGACTGTTGACTTGGATTCCTTGCTAGTAGACCTGCCTGCTGCAAGGCTCGGAAGCAGCCGTGGTATTATCGTGCCGCTGGCACCTGCGGTGGATGCTGAAACCCGGTTTTGATCGTCGCTCGCAAGGTTGACCACGTCGGCGGGCGCCGCACTGTTGTTGCACAAGATGTCGACCATTTCCTTCGCTGACACTGAATCCAAGCCGGTCGTCGGCTCGTCAAGCAATAAAACGGACGTCTGCTCATTTAGCAATTCCTCGGCAACCGACAGGCGTTTTTGTTCTCCGCCGGACAGCAAATACACCTTTCTGTGCTGGCAATGCGACAAGCGCAACCGTCGCAAAATCGCGGCGATCCTGTCCTGCCGCTGCTTCCTCGGAAGGTGAAACAACCGCAGCGCCGCGTAGAAGCTCAGGTGCTCGGACACGGTGACCTCACCGATGAAGAGATCTTGCTGCTCGATCAAGGAAACCAACTTCACGCCCTCCGAGAAGGGGTAGTTTTGCAAGCTAACGCTCTCCTCGTTATTCAAGCTCACACTTCCACTGATGGTCGCGCGGCCGTGCAACGCACCGCTGCCCGGGCGGCCGCCGCTGCCTCCGCTGGCGGACACGGTGGTGCGGATCTGGCCTGCTAGCGCTTTCAGCAAAGAGGATTTGCCAGACCCGCTGGGGCCGAGGATGGCGAGGGTGCCGCCACCTTCCACGCGTCCAGACATGTTGCGCAGGATGTCGGTCTGCGTCCCCGTCTCCGGATCTCGTGCGGAAAACACCACCTCGCGCCACTCCAGAGAGGCCATGGTCGCTCCCCGCGTGTGGAGTGGGTGTTGCAGGAGAGGGCAGCGCGCGGGATGTTTGGAAGATGTAGCTGTGGCTGGTAGCGGTGCTCAAGCACCATGTGTTGCTTGGTTACGGCTTACGCTGATCTCAGTCGCTCTGCTCTCTAGATTGATCATGCACTGAAACGGGCACAGCAACCGGGATCAAGAAAAGCCAGATCCGAATCTTGTATCTGTAGGTTGATCTTTTTTTGATCTTGCTGCTGTGATCGTGCTCAGAATTCTGCGTTACAGTGCGTGGGGCTTGTGATCGAAAAGAAAAAAAAGGCCACCATGAATTGTGAAAATCTGAACAACACGAGCGAAAGTGACATGGTGAAACTCTGAACAACAGCTACCTAGCATCCGTTCAAAAAGTAATTATAAAGCAGAGTCTTGGCGTAGTCGATTGCTTTATTTGTTGCGTACTTCTTTCAGTGTCGCTGTATCCTGATATTCGCTATAAGCGCAATGTGGTCAGAGGGATACTCCGAGTTGGGGAGTTTCTTGGGTTGGGAAGCAACGTGGGTGTGAAAAGCGCTTTCAGATTCGAAACCTACAAATTCTAACTCCGCTTTGCCAGTCGCGTCTATTTCCGCCGAATTCTGCGGTGTTGCAGCACTACTTGTGCCATTCTTTTGTTCCACAGACTTCTGCAACGCCAACAAACCGTCTCGTGTCGTTCCGTTTTTATCGTCTGTCGCGATAGGTACAGCAACCCCCGGTTTCCGCAGAAGAATGTAGTCGAGCACCGCCTTGACATCGCGATCCTGCCATCCGGCCCACGTCGTGTACTCCGGGTAGGTGTCCACTTCGGTACCACTTGTAGAACCTCCGCTCTTCTTTTTCTCGACGCTTCTCCATCTCCCGCTCTTCCGGCATATGTTTGCGTTCTCGAAGCCTACACTTTCGAAAAAAGGCACCGTTCTTGGCAGCACCGGCCCGTCGAGAACTTTCAGCTCCTTCTTCCCCGTCGCGCTCTTCATCCAGCACGTGTTCGAGTAGGTCCTACAGTGCGAATTCAAGTCCGCGCAAATTACGATAGGGGGTAAAACGTGGGTCTCCTTCTCCTCCGTCGTTGCGGACAAGGCGCAAAAGTCCTGCAGGTGTTGCCACAGACTCTGCGCCTGCTCCAACCGCAGGTCCTCCATGCTGTCGGAAAAGCCCGCTTTGAAATGCGTCGTACACACGACCACGTGATCGGCCGGCGACAGGGATGCCGCTGGCTTCGTCGTCGCGCCCTCGGGTAAGCGTACAAAGCGGCCCATCACGGCGACCATGATTTGTTTGTCCTGCAATTTCTGGCGGTAGGGGCGCAACAGCTTCCACTTCTTGCGATTCCACAGCAGTGCAGACCCGTCTTGGGCGAAGCGCCCGCGCTTTTTGTAAAAAATGCCGTCGAGAATCTGCTCGGCCTGATGTGTGGTTTGTTGACCCTCGGTTGATGGCGTTGGTCGGGCAAGTTCCGTGTAAAAGTCTTCCTCGATCTCCTGGAGACAGGCAAAATCCAGGTCCGCATGTTGGAATTGAAATTGAATCGTGTCGAGGATTTTTTGTCGTCGGGACGTTTGCCAGTCCAGATCTTGCGCTGTCGCGCGAAACACGTGTAAACTCTTCTTGCTGGCGGCCGCTTCCTGCGCGGGCGCCGGGTCCTCGAAGTAGTGCACGCCCCCAGACCAGGGATCTGTTGGAACGGAAAGATCGGGAAACTGCGTCTCCTCTGCCTGTCCCTCCGCGAGGGTGGGCGCAAGAATGTTCCACTGAAGAAGACGAACTTGGAGAGTGTTCGTATCCGATTGCGCTTTGCTTCTGTCAGTCGAGCGAGAAGTAGAGGATGAAGCACCTACGTTGCCCGGTGTCACACCTGCCGACGCAGGAGGAGCTGATGCCGTGCCACTACCTGATTTTGCTGTCGTGGAGGAATCAGGTGCAACTTTTGCCGCAGGTGTAGGGGAAGGGGCAGGTTCTTTTTTGCCATTCCAACGCCCGCGCGCCTTCGTTTTGGAAGCTTGTTCGCTGGGCAAGGCGCTCTTGGAGCTTTCTTCTTCCTTGCCTTTCTTCTTCCGTCCGCTGTTGCGTTTCGGAGATGGCGGAGATTCAGGATCTGAATGTGAACCCGAAGAGGACCCATCGCCCATCAGCGCACCGAAGCGGTTTTGTAAAGCGTGGCGGGACATGGCGTTTCAATTTTTTGCAAATGGATCTCTCATAAAAGAAAGGCTAAGAAAGAGAACTTAGAAGATTGGGCAGGTCGCTTTTTTGAATGTAAAAGGTCTGAAACGTCTACCGTGTGTGTTATTAAGCAGCACAACTAGTGAATTCCTAGCAATAGAGAACGCGCTCGTAGACGAAAGTAGATGACTGAATCGAAGTCAATTCGAATTCCGAGATACGACAAAACATCAATCAGCATGGCGAAAAGTATTTCTCTACCCGATGTCTTTGGAGCCGAGTCAATGCTTTCGACGAACCGCGGAACCGTGAAGCTTAAGTGGTCTACAGAAAAGCACTGTGTCAAGCGGTGGTGGATCGCAGTCCGTCGTACGTTGAGATACAACTCTTCGGAAGTTTTTTCATTCTGGAACTTTCTGCATCGAACTTTGTCTCTCAGTTCTGACGAGATGGTCGATCCGATCTTTCCTTTCTGTGAGTGTACTCTGTGTGAGATTTTTCATCGATCCTTCGAAAAGCAACAATAGAATAACGACTCCGAACACGACGGCAGCACTTCGCTTTGTGCTGCAGTTGCCCCAGCAGCGCTCCAGCAGGGTCATTGAATACGGCGGCGACACTTGCAAATTTGCGAAGGCGCGCGCATCCGGTCCCGGCTGGCGTTCGTCTGCAGGGCACGGCGACATTGCAGTGGGCCGCCGAGCAACGCGACGGCAGAGAAACGTCTCCCGGCGCGGTCCCGCAGTAACACTTGGTAGGGGGCGCGCCTTCAGGGGCACAGAGGTGGCCGGCGCTCGATGGAAAAGGGGCCGGAGGCTCGCGAAGAAACTACCGCGCAGGTGCGCGCAACAATCGCAGGCAGCCAGGTAGGGCCACGGCACGCGGGGGCCTTGGGGCCTCTGGCGACTAACGCGGCCCGCCGCAGTTGGGCACAAAGAAACGGCAAGGCCCCACCACGCCCAAACAAAGCGGGGGCCCCACGCAACTGGATCCCAAGCAGTGGGCGCGGCGCGCATCGCTGGCAGCTTTTGCGACCTTTAGCGCGCTCGCGGCACTAGTGCAGCTGCTTGCGGACACTGTTGCGCCCGAGACCGGCCCGCTCCTTCCACGAAGTCCGCGCAAGCTGCGCAACCGCCGTGAAACAGAGCCGCGAAGCAAGTAACTTGCGGAACGCAGAAGATGACCCGCAAGCAAGCGGCGCAGATACTGCCGACCCGCAGAGAAGAACGCACCGAGTGGCTGCGTTGTCAGTCGGCTCCTCCGTCCGGGCGCCCACTTAGAAAAAGCTCCGAGCGATGACAGCCGACGCCCCCTGGCACAATCCCGCCCCCGCTCCATTTGCATTTTTGAGACTCCGGGGCGACTACATACCTCTACGCTTACGCAACGGGTGAAAAATCAAGTAAACAAGGCATAGCCTCTTCTCATACGTCCTGCATCACTCCGCGAAGCCTGTTTTCCACTTGGTCACTTACTTATTCCTCAAGGGTTCGCACATGGGACTCGAACCAATACTCTTTGTCGCGCCTTGGCCTTCCTCGGTAGGGAACGCACGACATATCCGCCTCTCACTCCTTTTGCGCTCTAGAGCTACGTGCACCTTTCGCAAAAACACAGCACACCAAACGAAACCTTTAAATCCGCCAAGATGAAGATGCGGAGGACGAAGCGCCAACTAAAAGCAAATCTACTTTCATTTTTTATTCACAAGAAAACAAATCAAGCTTCAGAAGCAGATTTGAAAGCTCACGCGGTCAACGGCATTTTCTGCAGATCTAAATCACAAAATATCCTCAGCGGCAACAGGTTAATTAACTTGCTTCGGAAAAAAATGCACAGATCAAGGGACAGAAAAATCAGTTCGTTCAGTGGTCACATAGAATTGAGGCTTTTGTAGAATTGCAAGTCGGGATAAAAAAGTTCGCGAAAAAAACGACGTATCTGAGGTTGTCCTTTTGTTGCGACGGAGTCTGGCGCCCCTGTCGAGTTCACCTGTGCATCTAGTATGATTGTGACTCGATTCGCGTTCGATAACATAAGTACTACATCCAAAAAACTCCAGCAGGTGACTCTAATGCCATGACCCATTGCTGTTCGGGCAACTTCAACTTCTTCATCTAAGTTCACACGCTGTTCACCACGCCTAAGTTCGCTTTCATTTCTTCCTAATCGAGTAGTACATGACAAAATAGACTAGATTCGGCATTTTCTAACAATCTGAGGACAACAATCTTCTAGTTCATCTCTGAATTATCGCTCAGTTCTCGCGTTGTAATGTATCGCGTAGTAACACGGTGTTGTGTAGAATCCAATGCTCACTTGTCGCAACCTTGTTCTCCTTCCACAATCCTTCACTTCTTCTTTTTCCCCTTTTTCTTTCCGAATTTCAGCATGGGGTCGGCCATGTAGGGGTTAAACTGCAGCAAGGGCACGGCCACGCTGATCCCGTCCTTGACGCGGAAGTTCTCGTAGGGCCGCAGCAGGGCCTCGGTCAGGGTCTTTTCCGCCACCGGGATACCCCTCTCCGCGAGCTTCTGCTTGCACAGCTGGATTTCCTCCAGTTGCGCCGCGCGGCGGTCCAGGTACGCGTTCGGCGTCTTGTGTACGTCCGACCACAACTTGCACGTTTCCAAATCCTCCGCGTGCACGTCCTCGGCGCAATTCTGGATGCGGGAGTAGGCCGGCAGTTCCTCCGGCTCGTGCAGAAAGTTGGCCAGCTGGTGGCGGAGGCGCTGCATCTCCGTTTTCCGCACGTCCTCCTCGATCGTGGCCATCTCGATGTCCCCGGTCTTCTGGTCCCGGCAGTCCCCGTTCTGCAAGTACCCGTGCGCCATCACCCCCTCGGCATCAAAAAGGTCAAATTCGGACGGTTGCGTCGCGTCCTCGTCTTGTTGGGAGGCAGACCTTGGTAGGGAAAATGCATATGCAAGGTACATATGCATTCATCATGTTGTAAAAATCTGATGCACATTCAGTGACTGGGAATCTGCTGACACACAAGATCGGTTTCGAAAAGAATGAAAAACATGCGGAAAAGAATCATACTTCTTCTTCGCCGCCTCACTCGCCGCTGCCATGGCCGCCGTTCGGCTTGCTGGTGCACTCTGCGGTCGCGGTTTTGTCAGGTACACATTGGGTCCGCTGGGCCGCAGGTTGCTCGCACTGTCCTGCCTCCGCACGGTGTTCTCCTCGACGCGCGTGCGGAACTCCCGCCAGTTCGCGATGGCAGCTTGGATCTCCTCGTGGCGCGCCTTGTCCTCCAGCTCCTTCTGGCGGAATTCCAGCCACCGTTGTTGCATCGCCTCCGCGGGCGTTTTCGGCTGCTTGGCCGGAATGTCTTCCGCCATCATCATCTCAAATTCGTCCACTTCCAACGCTTCCGCAGGTAACGGGTAGTGCGACCGGAACGTCCCGACAGAACGCAGACTGGAAATGTTTGATGGAGGAAATGAACCCATGAATTCGAATCAGGACGACCAGTCCCTCCGACGTCATGATGATCAAAGGAACAACTACTTCTACGATCGAAAAGGCTTGTTCTTACCTGCTAGCACTGCTGGGTCTCGTCATGTTTGCGATGCGGCGGAGTTCAGCTGTTTGCGCACTGTGTGGACGCATGACCGCTGAAGTCGGCCGGGAGCCCGGTCGCGTAGTGCCTGAGCTCGGGCGCGAAGTTGAGGCGTCGAACGTTGCTGTAGAAGTTGTTGGCAAGAATTTCATAGACGTCTACACTCACGCCCACACGGAAAAATGACTATCTAGCAGCGCACGTTCTGTTATGCGAGGGACAAGAACCTAAGACAAAGACGAACACAACCACTACAGCTGGTCCCCAAGGCACTGTGTGGTCGTCCACCGTACGAAGCTTTTGCACTGTGCGGTCGTGGTAAATGGCGATCTCGGATTTCCGCAATCGGGCGGGCAGTTGCACTCGCGGGTCGTCGTGCCGCGCTCGAGGGGCGAAGCGTGGTAGCACTTTGCGGCCGCCGGCTGAAAGCGGACCACGGCCGGGACTGAGACACTGTGGGTAAGTAAGTAGGTATCGTTTTCGAAAACGAAAACACATTCATCACAGCGGAAAAATCACGTGCTCCAATAAACCCGATGAAAGTACTTTGAACCAGAACGGAACCCCGCCTTTGCGAAACCAGCAACTATCTAAGAAGTTGAACTTACTGCTCGCGGTAGACGCCGCGAAACTGCTCTGCGGTCGCTCGAAGGCCGAAGTGGATGGTGGCCTTGTACTGAGGGCCGACAAGGGCCGGGGGCGACTGGAGCGGAACTTGGCAGAATCTGGGCGCTGTGTGGCGGACTGCGGACGCCGTTTGGCCGAGTCCGGCCGCGTGAAGTTCCAGTTCGTGGGCTTCGGGCGAGCGGGTGTGGTGCGTTTCGTGGGAGAATAAACCGCCCTTGGTTGCTCAGTGCTACTCTGCGTACTGCTTGCGGCGGCAGAAAATCGACTGCTGCTCAGCCTCTTCGAAATCTTCGCGGCGGTGCTGTGAAACAAGAATCGGATGCGTTCAAATTCTTTTCAATGTCGTGCGCAGTGCATCTACTTACTTTCATGGCTCTCAGCTTCTTCAGAATGCTGCAAAAAGATGAATCTATCATGCTACACTTCTCATCGCAATCATCAATTCTACATCGCGCTTCCCGGCGGCATTTCCTTCGCGTCGCGAAGAAACGTGGAAAAGTTCGGGTCTTCCTCCTTTTTCTCCAGCGGGTCTTCCCGCGGGTTGCAGTACAGCTCCCGGTGCGTTTTGTAGAACGCGTACATGCGATCGACGAATTTCCGGCAGTTCTCCGGCTCCTTGTAGGGTATGTCGTTGAAGAGGTTCCGCACGCGCCGGAAAAACGCCTCGTTGGGAAAGAATTTCCGGTCTTTGGGCGGCTTGCTCTCGTCGTCGTCCTCGGAGGACGCGTAGCGATGCTTGTACTTCAGCCGATAGTACCGCCCTAAATGCTTTTTCACCTCCCGGTACTTCGGGTCTGCGGAGTAGATATACTGGTTTATCTTCTTCTGCCTTTTGCTCTGCATACCCTTCTCTTTGCTCTCCAAAATCTGCTTGACCGACTCGTACTGCGGCAAACCATCGCCGCCCCCGCCTGCGTCCGCGGCAGCATCGGTCGGCGGGGAAGCGGCCGCCGCGCCTTTCGCGTCCTTGGCCGGTGCGGCGGGCGCAGCGGCTTTGCTGTTTCCGGCGGAGGACTGCAGTTCCTTCTTCACCTCCTTCACCACGTCCTCGCCGATCACGGAGCGAAACTGCAGGCGCGGATCCAGCGCGATTTTGGAGGGGCGGGTAGTTCCGCTCAGCACGCCCCGACGGTACCGGAACATGTTCATCAGGCTGTTCAGCTCCTCGTCCACGGTCGGCGGCTCAAACCCCGACCGCAGCTTGGACGCCGTCGCCAGGTCCTCAGGAGACGGCACCGTGGAAGTGGAATCCATGCCGTCCTGGTCCGCGGCTTTCGGTTGCGGCGATGTAGTAGTGGTCTCGACCGAAGATGAGATGACTGTCGTCGTCGCCATAGTGCGTGTGGTCTGCAGGTAGCGAAGTTGGACTTGGTTTACGTCATGAGTGGGTAAAGACTAGAAGAAGACGTCCTTCGTGCAAGAACGGCATTTCAAAATTGTATGCACAGCCTTTTCTCACAAAAACTCCTTGACTCCGCTCACGAACGTCACTCGCTAGCAGAGCGTTTTGCGTCGCACGACATGCAGAACATCACTCGATTTCACTCATCAAACTCGAAGTTTTTGTCGATGCAGCCTTTCACACGCGGAGTTTTTGGCTTTTTTGCTTTCTTAGATATTCTCTCTCTCACTCGAGGACAGTAGAAAACGATTAAAAAAAGCCTTTTCCGATCTCTCGTCACAGCATTCTCGGGTGGGTGAGAGCAAAAATGGCCGGCCAGTCGGTCGCTTTTGGTCACAAGCAGCTGCGTCGTGCGCGATCGGTTAGCCCTCACCTTCTATTGACACTTGTACTGGCTCACGGTCACATGTTGATCTGCTCATGAGTCAATAGCTTTTCCTTTCGTCTCTCAACCACATGGTGGTGGGCTGTGTATATTCGAAGAGTTATAGTAGTTTAAGCTGTCCGCAGTGGCTGTAACAGTCAGATCAGCAGTGGGTGTTTGTGTTTTTGTCACGAATATCAATATTGGGTCAGTCAGCAATGAATGTTTTTGTCACGAGTATCAATATTGGGTCAGTCAGTGTCAGCAATGAATGTTTTTGTCACGAATTATATATAAGTACTGGTTTCAGAATCTACCGGTCAATCCATTGTCTTGCTACTTTTTTTATTTTCATGTGTGTGTCTCAACTCTAGGTCTAGTCTAACATCACGCAATCGACGCTGTCCGACTCTTCATCCACGAGATCTATCACTTCTGCAGCACTTCCGTCATCCACAGACGCACCGTCGTAGTTTCGCACTCTGACATCAAGACCGTCCCCCATCTTCTCGTGCCACAGCTCTTGGATCCGTTTGATGTGCAGCGCCACTTTCGGATCTGTAGTGATCATGTCCATGGTCATGTCGTGCGCCTTCTTCTCTAGCTTTTCCAGCGACAGGGCGCCCGGTTCCGCGGTTTCGCGCAGCTTTGTTCGGTTTCGTCCCTGCAGCGCGTCCACGTATGCGAGCATACACGGCGCCGAAGATTCCCGGTCGTTTCGGAGCCTCGCTGCCTCCTTGAAGCACCAGAGCCGCCTGTTGTCTGCGCTCCAGTACTCTCCGCCCCAGAGGTAGACCACCAAGGGAGGGAAGTCCGCCGGTGTCAACAGGCCTGCCGCCAAAGCGTCCCGCGTTGTTCGGATGGGGGTCCCGTCCGTGAATTCCGGGGAGATCGCAGCCTGCGAGTAGCGTAGCCGCTTGACTGCCAGCATGGTTCGCTTGGAGTTGAGCCCAACCGACCGCGCCGGGGTCCTTTTGCGTTTGTGCACGGCGTTGGTCTTTATCGCGAGCAACTCCGTCGGGAAGACCTCGAAGGGGATTTTGAGCAGCGGCATCAACATAGTGCAGAGCGACTTCGTCTTGTTCGGCGCCAGGCCCTTCTTCCGCTGCCGCTCGCTCCGAAGCTCCATTTTTCGCTCGTGTTTGATCTCCCGCATACAGATTCGGTAGACCTCCATCGCAATTGCACAATTGCGCTCGCGCGTCTTCTCACCCTCCGCTGCACCCGAACTACTTCCCGAAGTTGCCTCTTCAAGCGGCCAAAAGTCGGCGAGCTCCCGCACGCCGAGAGACTGCCGCAGCGTCTTCTGAAGGTTGTCGAAGAATGCCCCGCCGCTGCCATGCCCGAGCTGTCGGTAGCGTTTGTATGCTCGGAGGTTATTCATGATCGCCACGGTGCGCGCTTTCTCGGGGCCGCTTGCGGTTGACGAACTGGATCCGCGGGAATGCTCGACATCGGGCGCGTCCAGAGCAGGGTCCTCACCGTCGGCAGACAGGTCCTGATAAAAGTCGTTTTCCAGAGGTCCGTCCGCGTCGCTGCCTTCGTCGCGCCCGAAAACTGCCATGTTGTCGAAAACTTCCTGGTCCTCCAAATCGCAGTCAGGATCGTCTTCCGCTTCGGGTATGCAAGTGAAAAAGTAAGCACGTACCTGAGTCATGCACGGAGTTATCTGCTATATGCGCCAGCAGCTGCTTCTTGAGGTTGAGTGGCAATCTATTTTTTCATCGTGGGTCTGAAGTTTTTAATTTTGATTCTCGCATGGAGCGGTCGCGAGAAATACACAACCTCGCTCAAATAATGTAAGTAGTGACGCACTCCTTCATTCTGGAAAGAATTACGGCGAGAGCGAGATACTGAAGCACTATACAACTCAGGCACAAACGGGCTTTTCATGGCATAGCCGTGTCCACGCGGCTCGGCTCATCCTTGTCCCCTGCACTGGAAAATCCCACCTGCTCCGGGGCCGCAACGTCGACCAAATCCGGATCTTCAGCTAGGAGATCAGACACAACTTCACGAATGTCTCGGTTGGTTAACTTGTGCGCCCGAGCACTTTTCTCGACGTCCTTCGTTCGCATGCTCAGCGTTCCGTGCCCCTTCATCGCCGCGGCATCCAGAATTTTTTGTGCTCTAGCCCGATCGCCCGTCCGCCACGAGGCCAGCGGAACCGCTCCCAGTGACTGCTCTGCCCGCAACAGCTCGCCCAGGCGCCTTGGCGACAAATTTCCCTTAATCATGTCCAGAACAACGCGGGTCAAGCAAGCTAGTCCGATTGAGCGCGGATGCGCAGGACCGAATTTCTCGACGACGTTGAACCACCGCGCAGTGACTTTCCCCGTTATGCCGCTGGACGTCTGCAACCCACCACCGTGTTGCGTATACCGTCGAAACACAGCAAGCATGACGTCCTCAAGCAGATTGTCGTCGTCAAGTTCCCCAACGGTGCGCGCCAAGTTCTCTTCTATCCCGAAGTCTTCGTCGAGCGTGCTGTTGCTACCAAGCAATGGGGCCCTGTTTTTGGAACTCGTCGCGCCACTACTGGAGGAGGACGCGGTAGAGCCAACCTGCTGCGCAAGCGCGCCGGGCTTTTTTTCTTCTTCCCCCGCGTCAGCCGCGTCGCCTTTTCTGGTGCTGTCCGTCAGAAAGTCTTCGATCTGCTTCACACGTCCAGCCCAGTAATCGTCCCCGAGGTTCCAGCAGCGGATCTGGCTCCTGCCGTTCTTGCCCAAGAGAGTCAGGAGGTCGGTATTCCAGCAGACCCAGTTCAGGTCGCCATCGTAGTCGCCTCCGCGGAATTCATCCGCGCCCCCGCGCTCACAGTTGTCCGGGTGCGCCGCAAGGATCAGCAAGCTTATCAAGTGCAAATATGTCTGGGCCCGGATCTGGAGGAAGGTTGCATGATCATTTGTCAAGATAAATCTTTTTTGATTTTGCATGCAAAAATTTGCATGAAAACATTTGTCAAGATAAATATACCGCCCGGGCTTCGCATAGCCTAACGGGCCTGCCATGCGCGCTCGAGCACCGCAAGTGATGGCTCCGCGTCCGCAAATGCAAGTCCTATCCTGCATGACACACGTTGCCTCGGGACGCCACAAAGTGCGTGGCTTTTGCTGCTCACAAATTACAGACTTCTGGGACTTTTGTGTCTCCCAGACCGAACACGCAAAACACTTCCTCCAGGCCCAGACATATTTGCGTCTGATATGGTTTTTACCCGTGCCAAACCGACGCGCAAGCTCCTCCTTGTAGACAAAGCGGACCAGCTGCAGGTCCGTGGGCAACACCGCCGGCGTCGCTCCCACGACGCACCAGCCGCGGAGGTACTTATCTTGTCCGTCCTTGTCGCGAAAAACGAGCTGGGCCTGTCTCCTCTTTAGAAGTCTACCGGTGTAGTCGTAGGCGACGTGGAAGAAACCGCTGTCCTTCATTTTGTACTGCGGCTTTTTCCGCAGCCTCTCCGCCTCCTGGAGCTGACTCTTTGCCTCTACTGTCCACAAATGAATCTGCGACGTCTCTTCAAATCCGGCATCTTTCAACCGACTCAGGAACTCGTGCTGCCCGCGCTGCGCATCCCCCGCCGGAAAGGGGTTTCGGTCGCCCGCTGCCTTGGCCTGCGCCGCCTTTGCCTTGCGCCTCTCCTCGTGCACGGCCTTTCTTTCCTTCTGCAAAGCCCGGGCGTACCGTGCGTCATCCGCCCCCGCGTCGTGGAACTGCAGTGGCCGGGCCCCGGGTTTGACATCTTTGTCCCGGTTTCGTTCGGCCGCCGATCCAGGCTTCGGATCATCGTGCTCGTGCCCTCCGTCTTCTTCGCCGCTCCGCAAGGCTGCATCCACGCTTTCTGCTGGGGCCGCTGCATCTCCGTCTCGATCTGCAGAGGAGGACTCGGACGATGCCTCGCTGGAAGCAGAGCCTGAATCCGATGAAGTTTCCGTTTCTGTGTCGCTTTGTTCGGCAGAGGAGCTTGCTAGCATATCTTCCGGATCGTCCTCGTTTGTGTCTCTTTGCTCCTTTGCTCCAGTGCCTGCGCCGTGAGCGCTGGAGCTGCTGGCCGTCGCACCATCCGGATGCTGAGCGCCCTGATTGTAGTTGCAGTTGTACTTGTAGCAGTTAATTGGCACGAAGCATCAGTTTTCCGCTAGACAGTGACAGAGACCACGATCTTGAAGTATACTACCTGTATCTACCTACTTAAAACAATGAGTAAACAACGATGTCGACACTTTGGCTTTTTGTTTTTTGTAGATCGATGCAAAAATGAAAAAACTTTGTATCTCTACCTGTTTCCGCAGAGCCACCGGAGAAGAGTCCAGGGACAGACCGGGGTCGTGAAGCTGCAGCGTGTCTTCCTTCTTCCGCTTCTTCGGGTTTTCCGCTGGAGCATCGAGAGTCGTCGCGGCCTTCTTGCTTTGATTGCCGATCTTCTTCTCCAGGTCTACGAAGTGGAACTTTTCCTCCCAATGGCTGTCGTGCAGCCCCTCCAAAAACTGCAAGAACGCCTCCCGCTTTGCGTGGTTCACAACAAACTCGCCCGCCTGCGCCTCATCTGCAGATGCCTGGAAAAGCTGCACTGCGTCGCCCGCCACAACTGCAGACCTTTCCCCCTTCTCCGGCGTCTGTGGCTCCGGGGTTTCGCCGCTTTTCTTTTTGGCGGGGCCCGCGCTCTTCTGCTGCTTTTTTGCCCTTGTCTTCCGCTCCTTTTTGGAAAGCCTTCGCTTCCCCCACATTGCCTTCTTGCTGTCTTTCTGCGTGCGCGGACCGGTGTCGACGTCTTTCTTCGGCAAAGTCTCCCTCCATTCCCAGGCACAGAGAAACTCGAGAAGTGGCAGGAACTGCGCATTGAGCGTTCGATCCCAGCTCTGGCGGTCGGTTCTAACAATCCCCTGCGGACAGACCTCGAGCGTCAGCTGCGATTTCTCCAGCCTGCTTTCGTCGCGCGACCCCTTGCACATCGAAGAGCGAAAAAGGATGCTGGGCGCCGAGTCGTTGTCTGGTATGGCAGTATCCAAGAATAGCATTCCTTTTTGCACCCCTGTCCGAATTTGGATGGCCGTCAGCCAGCTCCCGGGCTCGAAATATATGCCGCAGGTGCTCTCGAGGTGTGCCTGGACGCGGGCCATCTGGCCGATCGAAATGCGCCCGCCACCGTCGGAAAGAATTTGACCTGTTGCAAGTGGAGGCGCCATAGTGAATTGCTATTGGCATGACGACAATGCTGCATTGATATGGCTTACCACAGATCACAAATTAGAAAGCATGGCCGAAAGGAAATGTCTTGTAATGCAAAGGCCACAAATGAAATCTAAGAAGCTGACTCCCATCCAACTCGTCGCGTGCCGCTCACTATGCATTTGTTTCTAACCAAAAAGAAGAAAAGTCTGCTAATCTACCAATACCTGTCTTCTTCGCCCGAATGTCGTCTTCGATTGTCCGCTGGGAGGCCGGAACGACGGCAGTGCGGAATGTTCGAGATGACAACAGCTGAAAGCGCGCCACGAACTTCCCCGGCTTTAGACCGCGAACGTCGGCCGATGACATGGGCATATGCCAGGTCCGGAGTTTCGTCGCAACTGTACTAGGTTCCTCCCCGCTGAAATACTCGACGAAGATCAGCTTTTTGTTGGCGTCGAACTCGTGGTGGGGGCACAGAAAAACGAAGGTCCGGGGACCGCTCCGCAGCTTGCCGCGAGCGTCCTCGCTGGCCGTCGTGGTGAGCAGCTTCACTGTTCGCGGGAACTCGTCGATCCGCCTTGTGCGCCGAAGCATCGCTTTTACCGCCACACCCCCCGCGGTCGCTCCCTCTTCCTCGTCGGCAGCTCCGCCGTCCCCTGCTCCACCCCCCTCCGCCGCCTCGCTTGCGCCGGGCTCCGCGTCCTTCTTTGGTCGTATCCGTTGGAAAAACGTCCCCAACCCATTGCGATTCTTCTTCTTATCAGGCAACAGAACTCGGCTTGTTTTTAGTCTTACGAATACAAACTCAGGCTTAACTTTTCATTCTCAATCGATGGAAGTAAAAGTAGTTCACACGAGCTGACACACGACTCGGCGTCACATTTCGCGGCGCTTCAGCGAGCGCTTCTGCGAGGCAGCACTGCCCTGGCCTTCAGTTCGCTTTCCAGCGGCATTTCCCCCAAAACCAGGGGGAATATTTAAATTTTAACTCGCCCGCAGGGCGAAAACATGGCGTTTTTGAAAATTTTGCGATAGTTCCCCACCCTCTGGGGCTGTAGAATTTGGCTTTAAACGAGCCGAAACCGAGCTCGCGGGCGGCCGCTCACGGCCTCGACTCTCATGTCAGCTCGAGCTTCTGCATCCTTCAGCAAAGGGGCGATGGTGCGCAATAGCATTGCAGCTGCCAGCAAGTGGCGGGCCTTCGCCCTGCGAGAGCCTCCTCTGAAGCATTTTCACTCTTCTGAGCATTTTTTTCTCTTTCCTTGGGCGGTATCTCCCGCCCATTTCTTTTCGCCGAATGTGCGGGCGTGGGAGCTCTGCCCCACGGCTACTTCTAAGCACTTTGCGATGAGAAAACTTCCCACATGACGGATTTTCCGCCGGCAGCATCTACTTTGATGTGATGTTGCGGCAGGGCAGGGCTCTGGCCAAGATCCTTCCGTCCGAATGCGACTGTGTGTCATGCGCAGCTCTATACTGACGAGCGCCTTCATTCTAAAAAATGGAGCTTGCAAGCTTGCAAGCAAGTTGTCATGGGGTGGGGGCGTTTTTCCACTGGATAGGTCGGCCCCGCTTTTTCGGAACCGCGCGGCCCGGTGGCTTCTTGTTCTTCTGTACCTGGGGGCTCTCTCCGCGGCCTGCGGCCCGCACGTGCTTGGCGCCGCCGTTTTCATCGTAGTATTCCGGATTTGGCTCCCATACGTATGGCGGCACCCGCACGGTGATCGGCTGCCGTCCCTCCTCCTGGCACTTTTCAAGTAGCCGGGTCCCGAGCGTTGACGGCCCGCCGCCTCTGCCGCTTCGGTTGTGCCCGTAGTCCAAGACAGAGCCGGCGTATGGAAGGAAAATCTGTGAGCGCGTTTGCTCCTTGAAATTTTGCTTTTCTCGATGAACGAAAGCGAATCTGAAATCAAAATGAGACAAGCTTAACAAGCCGGCCTTGGTAAGCGCCCACTTTCTTTCAAGAACTACGGCAATGCATGTACAAACAAAATTATGAAAGTCGTCTTGTTGTTACCCCGACAAAAAAGCGCGACGCGCTTGTTGGACTAGTAATTCTAATTTCAGCAACACAAATAAACTCCTCCACGTAACAGGCCAAAACGACACTCCCAATGCAAAACGCGCATGAAATAGAGATAGGACTCGCAAGCACTTCCGGCATGACAGTAAAAGTCCTTTCTTTGCGTAGTCGTTGCAGCTACGTGCACAGTCCACGGTAGCAGGAGCACTCACAGATTGACAGTGCTAATTTGGTTCACGGTACATAACACCACAAAGATTTCACCAAGCACTTGCTTTTCCACTATCGGTCTTGGCCGCGATTGCTTCCACTCTGGCCCCTTGCCCGCGTTCTTGCCGTCCCCCCGCGGCCTCTGCTCCTCTTGTTGGTCGGTCTGTGTCTCCTGCGCCGCGTCTTTGCTGTTGTTCTTCTGCCTCTTTGCCTCGGCTCGGGCTCGTGCGCGCTCGTCTGCCTGTGCGAGGTCCGGCAACAAGTCCGCCAGCGGGGTGATGTCCGAAGACGCCGATGACTGCTGCGGGGGCATTGAGGACGAAGAGGACTGCGCCCATCCTCTTTGTTGGCGCGGGTCCGCCCGTGCGTACGCACTCCCCTCCATGGCAACCGGGTCGAACAGCCGGCCAGTGTCGACGTGCGTCGGCACGCAGCGGCGGTCGCCGAACGCATTCCGCCACTCGTACGGAGACGGAAGGCAGTAAGTGAACGCGCGGAAGTGCTGGTCGCTCTTCAGGAGGGGTCTCCATGTCGACGAATCCAGTAGGCAGGTGGCAAAATCCCGACTATAGCGTCCCTCCTGGTCCGCCAGCTGTTGCACCTTGTAGCTTAAGTCACACATATTTACATTGTCATGTAATATCCCAGGGGGAAATTCAAGTTTTGAAATAGCACAAACACCAACATATTAATGATTGCGTCGATAAAGCCATTTGTGTTTGTCGCCAAGGAATAAAATCGAAATAAATTGTTTGTCGCTTAAACGACAAATCATGACCGACCAAAGGTAAAAGTCTCGCGCTGTTTTATCAATGCCGTTGCTACCGTCGGGCTTTCGTTTCTATTACTGAAAGACTTCAAAGCTTCCATATACTGGCGCGATAGTAGCGCAGCATATTGCTAAGTCGCTGCAAAAAAAATGAGCGGGCAGCAGGCCGATTGAGAGCACACAAGTAACGCCACCGCACGACCACATCACGACCGAGCGCAAATGAAAGCATCGGAGCGAAATACATCTACAACTTACTACTCGACGAGATCAGCGACTGATTCCACCGCGGAATGCTCATCATCACCAACAAAGATAGAGGATCTTCACGCTGCCGCAAGAACGCTGATGTTGAGCGCATACCGAACATTGCCACTGCTTATTGATCACACTTGGAAAAGTCCTTGGCACAGCTTTCAGCTCGTCCACAGCTACTTCTCATAAAAATTGAACATGCTTTGGGCACTTGTCACAGAATCGAAAAAAGCACAAGAAGTGTGGCCTTGAATACACGCGCAGACTGCAGAAACGCCAATCTAGGGAGCCGGATACATACTCACGACCGATCAATCAGATTCCGAAGCCAAAACCAGACGAACACACACGCAAAAATCTTATCGGCACTATTCTCAAGGACTGCCACAGCCCCCAAGCTCTTCCATTCAATGCCGGTCGAAACAGATGAATCAAAAACAGTGTAGCTGACACGGAAGTCCGTCTCGATGTTTCGTGTTTGTTTCTGCAACTACATGGAGTGACTAGTAGTAGGACAAACTTTCACTCGTTCTGAAACACACGAGGAAAGGGAAACATCCAACCAGAGAAAAGCTCCATCATGGATCATACATTGTTCCGCGAAAAAGCTTCCAAAAACTAAATCGTACATTAGCATTCAAATCACCGAGCAGACATTCACTTTCCGCGCCCACTGTTTCCGCCCAACAAGCACTCGAGCAGCCGCTCGACCGAGCGAAATCGTTTTTTCGCCTTAATTGCTTGCAGGACTGGCACCAGGTCGAGAATTTCAAAGCGGGCGTGGAGCCACGGGCTTTTCACGTAAGGTTGCACAAACTCCCGCTTCATTTTCGTGTATTCCAAGTCCAGGTCGCTCGTGTCGAGTGATTTCAGCTTCGCAAACGCCCTGCGGAGCTGGAAACTGCTGGTCTGGTAGGAAGCACTCTGGCTCATGCCCTCGTAGGTGTTGTTGACCTTGCAGCTGAACCACATCTCAAATTTCCGTAGCAAAGACCGAAATCGGTAATCCCGCTCAATCTCTATAAAGGGCTCCTTGCGAAACAGCTCGGGTCTGTGGTTGGTCAAGTAGCTAGAATTATTTCTACCGTGGCTGTTTATTTTCGACATCACATTCGTACTGTGTAGTTGTGTTTCCGCAGTAGAAGTAGAGACACCACGCCTACTATCCACCTTCCCGTGCTGCTGAAGACTCTGCTCGGTGCTCCGGATGACCTGGAAAAGCCCCGACATGACGTTGGTCTTGACAAATCGGTCGATTGGACTCGGCACGTGACGGTGGGGCAGCGGGTGTTCCCCGCAGAAGCAGCGGTAGTCCGGTTCGCCGTTCGGGAGTTCGCTGTACTCCACGGGGATCACATCGTCCATGTTTAAACTGGGCCCGCTGTTCACCTCGAGCAGGTGCATCTTCATGTCCGCATCCAACATCAAGTCGAATCCGAGCAGCTGCGCACACCGCGCTTCGTTCTTTTCGTAGAAACTGCGATGCTTCGCGTTTTTGTCACACGAAAAAGGGCGGTACGTCGCCAGCAAGTACGGGTGTACCGCCTCTGCCCACTGCCCGCAGATGTCGGACAGCTGTTCATAGAACTTCTCTCGGTTGAAGGTGTCCGGAAACTCCTGCTCAATCTGGGACAGGACGACGGATAGTAGACGCTTGGACGCAAGCGGATCGCTTGAAAGAGCTTCAAAAGACATGGTGGCACCAGGATCACTTCCTGCTGCAGCGGGAGCGCCGCTCGTGTCTAGTTTCTTAGCTCCTGATGTCGCGGGGGGCACTTTGCAGTTTCTATCGGATGTTGGAGCTGCTGATGTACCACAAAGATTTTTCCTCTGATGATTTTTGACGTCAACGTCAACTACTTTCGGTTTCTGGACTACGGGCGAACAGGGAGTAGCGATCAGATCGTCATCTTCTTCTTCCAAACCAGCGGAGAATTTTTTATCCGTGTGCACGACTGCGACCTCGCCCGTGCCGTCATCAATCTGCACCTCTTCCTCCGATGTTGAGCTGCACACACCGTTTGAAGACGCTCTTTCCGGTGCAAACAAATGAATGCCTCCTCGCTGTTGCTGCAGTTCCGCCCCACTGTAAATGCCTGAGTGCTTACTGCCTGCCCCAACGATCTCCGCGCGACCGTTGCGGGCCAGCTGCTTGGTGCACTGCTTCTCCAGGGCCTCGACCTCCCGCAACCATCCGGAATAGTCAGGCTTCATGTGCTGGCTTCTGTTCTTCCCATGAAGACTATTCGGACTAGAACCAGATGCCGTTGCACCTCCACCCGGCGAGCCGCCCATCATTCCATTTCCCGCCGTGATGGTCTCGGAGGCCTTCCACTTGCTTTGTCGGGCGTTCCCGGTATTATTGTTCAGGTCGTCGAGGCAAAAAACGCCAACCTGCGTTGGCGAAGAGGAATTCGAGGAGGAATTATTTGTTCCACCGGACGGGGACGAGAACAAACTAGAAGTCGTTCCGTGCTTGCGGACGAATTTCCGGTCCGCCAGAGTCGACGACGCCTGTTTCTCAAACGAACCGTTCTGCCGGGCCTCGCTGGACCGCGCCACGATGTTGCCGCTGGCTGTTCGCGTCCACTTGTGTGGCTGGTCGGAGGTTGCGCCCTGAGACGGAGATGCCGTTCCGACAGACAGGTTGCAAGAAAGCGCAGAAGTAGTATTGCCACCTGCCGCTGCTCCCAAAGTGGAGGGAGGTGAAAATGTGCTCTTGAAGTTGTTTGTTCGCAGCTGCTGCACCTCCAGTTCGTTGTCCTGGCTGCGGTTCATATTTCCGAACTTGGCATTCCATTTGTCCTTCGGGCTTCTGACGGCAATCCCGAGCTGGTTCACGCCGACGCCGTTCGCGGCGGTGGAGGCAGCAGCACCTGCAACAGTTTCCGCCCTTTGCCGCAACCGCTCACGCTCGTCCCGCTGCTTTTTCGCGAAATCCTGCATCGCAATCGTGGTGGTTCGATTCCGGGCGCCGGGGTTTGCTGCGAAGGCATTTCGGCTCGGCGGTCGATCGACAGGCGCGTGCAAATCGTGGATCTGCGGGGCATTGGCCGGGAAGCTGTTGATCTCTTCCATGATTTCATGCGGATCGTACCGGTCCGGGTCGTCATCGGTCAGTGTGTAGAAAGACGCCGTGTTTACCTTATCGTCTTCCGTCGTACTCCCCTCGGGCGCCTCAGGGAAGTGGTCGGTGAATGGAGTTCTTGCATTGTTTGTTCTCTTGATGATGTTGTCTCGACTTATTTCGCTCGGATCTTCGGACTCCGCAGCGCTGTTGCTCTTTGTTCCTGGTGTTTCGTCAGGAACAGTGGCGTCGTTTGGAGGTTCTACAGCAGCGTGTCCGACTTGATGCTCCCCTGCATCTTTTTCCCTTACATCTGCCCCTGAAATTTGAACGTCCGTGGTACGCACGGTGGTTAGATGAGTCCGACCTTGCTTTATTTCATCAACCTCTGCTGGCGTCGCATCGCTTGTTCCATCGTTTGCTTCAGCCATACCCTGGGCCGCATCTGTATCGACGTTTTCTGTCGCGACCGCTGTCGGTGACGCCGGGACCACTCCAACTGGCTGCTGCGGTTGCTCGCCCGCGCGGACGTAGCCGTCGCACTTTTTCTGGATGCTGTAGTTGCACAGATGCCGCGCTAGCTCGTCGCTGTGTTCGTCGATGAGACGGTGCGTTGGGCTGTTCCCAACTACATTATTTGCACCCGCGGTACTCCCACTGGCGCATTGGTCGCCGAACGGCTGGTATTTTTTCGTGCAGAAGCGACAGAGCGCTTCACGGCCAACAAAGATCTTGAAGTTCTTGCCGAACCCCGACATCACCACGTACACACGCATGTCGAACTTGTAGCCGTTGAGCAGGAGCGGGTTGTCCAAATATTCTTGCAACACCAGGTTGCTACGACTGACGCTCCGCACCTGCAAATCCCGCATGCGGGAGAGCAGAAAGATCCCCTGTCCCTGCGACGAATCTTCGGGCTTGCAAATCAAAGTTTTCGTCGGGTTATCCTCTAAAAACTTCTCCACCAAGGGGCGGTCTTCGGGGTAGACCCAGGTTTTCGGGATGTGCTCGTGCAACACGAACGGCCGGCGCAAATAGTTGGTCGCCTGCTCTGTCGGCGTACTGATATTCGCATGGAAGTTGTCGCGGGTTAAGTTCGCAAACAACTTGTTCAGGGGATTCGTGTTCTGCTGGCTGTATTGGCCCGGCCGAGTTGGGAAATTCGAGTTCGTCAAAAGAACGGGGGTTTTGTTTCTCGCAAGCATTGCACTAGAAGACAGGTTGTCGTCGAACGTGATTTTCTGAGTCGAGTCATCCCCAGCTTCTGGATCAACACGAGCGAAATCTTTTGTCTGGGTCAGAATTTCGCCCTCCTCTACTGCTGCGCCTACTTGACGAGGCAAGCGGTTTCGCTTTGGCGAGACCAGGGCCGCACACGTCCGCGACATGAGATTCGTGCCACTTGGTCCGGACTGCGCTCCTGCCGCAGTTTCATTTTGGTATAGCCTTTTCTTCACCTCGCGATTAACGGGTGACAGTGTGGCTGCGGCGTTTACTTCCGTTACAGAAGAAGTTTTCCCCGAAGTAGACGTAGCCACATCGACATCCGTAGGACTGGGGTTCAAACTCGGTAATGGGGGCAGCCGCACCTTGTTCTGCTTCGCCGCTTTTTGTTCCGGATTGTTCCGCACGATCCCGAACGCCGCGTCGAGTTGCATCGCTGCAGAGCTCGTCAGATGGCTGGGTTGCTCCAGCAAGCTGCTCTCTGACGGTTCCTGAAAAGACGTGATCGACTTCAGTAAACCGACGGCTTTCTGGACCTTGTTCTTTTTCTTCTTGCCCTTGCGCTTTTTCTTCTTCTTGAAGTTGCTTGCGGTCCCGCCCATCATCTTCACCTCGTCCTCGTAAAACGTCGTTTGCATATTAGCACTTGTGGTGGCATCAAGAGGGCTCCTCGTTGACCATCCGGGCGCTTCCTGATTGTCCTCCTCCGATTCGTCGTTCTGTTCCTGATCGAGGTCTTCTCCAATAGGATTCTGATTATCCCCGCTCAGAACATCAGCGTTGTCATCGTTGTAGAATGCTGCAAAAGGTGCAGCGCTTGCGTCGACGTCCGGGGAAGCTTGCTGTACATGATCCGCGTCGTGGTCTTCGTCGCCCGACAAAAGATCAGGATCCTCATCCTCATCCCCAATACCGTCTGCAGCTTCATTCGTAGTTTCACCGTCGACTGCGACTCCGCCTGGTCGCCCTGCCACAGCCGCCTCTAGAGTGCCACTCGTCGTGTTTCCTATTCTCTTGCTCTTCAGCGCCGACGGACCCCGGGGCGCGGGCTCCAAGGCGAGCAGCTGATCGCCCAGACGCCGGAAATACCGGGCCATATTCACCTTTGCACACATCTCGGCCATGCCCGGGTAGCGCGTGATCCAGCAACCGCCGCCAGCTTCCTCGAGCACCGGGAGAAACTCGGATTGCTGCAGGATGAAGCACACACGATTGATGCCATTGTTGGTCCTATTCCCGTTCTTGTTCCTCCGCCGGGACGGCGAGCTGTCCGGCGAAAGCGAGCGGTCGTCTTGTGGAGTATTATCGTGGTCTACTGGAGTGGAAGCGGTTGAAATTAGGCCGCTCGGAGGAAAAGTTGGCGTCAGTGTGTCGACGAAGCCCCATTTCACCGTTGACAGGAGAGGAGCAGCGGGATGCTCCTGCAGCTGTCGGTGTTGAGTTCTGCTTTTTCTATTCCTTTTCAAGGCGGTCTCGTTGGTTCGCGTTTCTTCAAGCGCAACTGCTCTCCGGATAAGGTCCTGCCACTTGCCGGGGCGTGGACTCAGCCACACAGACCACTTCTCTTCTTCGCCGGTAGGCAAGTAAGGGGCCGCGGGATAAGGGGCTTGCGCCATCTTCGTTCAAGGCAGACACACGAAAAAGTAGATGGCAAAAGGAAATAATAAAACCACCGAACGTTGGCTGCGGAGGATAAACTTCTAGAGATGTTCCGCCTATTCGGCACAGGCAGGAGGTTGCCGTTCCAAACTTTCCCTCAGGATAAAATTAGAGATTCGCATGGCCATCTATGTATGTTTCGAGGGTAGTAGAAGCATCATCATGCCGCGACACTGCAGAGCCGTCTTCAAAAAAAGTTGTCGGAAACGAAAACTGCACTCGGCCGTTTGAAAATGATTCAGAAAAAAAAGGAAGGAAACTCGAGGACTATTGTACTGCACTTGTTCAACAACCTGGACCTGCATAAATACCATCATTCAAAACGGCAGCAAATTGAGATGCATTTCTTCGGCAAAGACGAGAAGAAACGAACTCGAAGTATAGAAATAATGGGCACGATGGAAGAACGTCACGCAGGAACGATGGATGTGATGGGTGTTGTAACGGAAGAACGATCAAACCGGAAAGTATGAACGACAGAAAAACTACGAAGATGCGGTGGCATTCAGAACGACGACGAGCCACAGGCATGTCACTGAAAACCAAGTCGCTGTTTTGATACGAGAAATAACTCCATGCTGGTGCAATGCGGTCATTTACTATCTATTCGCGCAGATCGGGTCAAAAATTCAATAGTCTATCTCTGCAGTTCAGCAGTTTAATCGTGTTGCTCGTGCGGCAACTCCAGCACATGAATCAATGTGGTGTTGACATTGCTATGTGTAAATGGGAATCTTCTAAACAATTTGCGCTCCTCCGCAACATGCGCAGTCAATACTTTCATTTTTATTTTGTTTTTGATTCTCCTACTAAACAGGCACTGATGTTTCGAAACTTCGAGAACTTCTAGCACGATTGCTTAGAGATAAAGACACTAAAATGAGGAAAAACTGAAATTCGAAATTACCTAAAGGCTGCTGATGACACCACCCCTCACAGGTACCCCTCTCGCAGCCAGCGGTGCTTGCAGTGGTTGCGCATGATGGAAAGCAGCGTGTGCCGCTTCGTGGAGTCGACGACCTGAAACGCGAGCAGCGTACTGGGTGACGACCGGACACTTTGGAGCTTCCTGGATATTACCGAGTCGAAGATCTGGCCGCGCAAGCGACGCTGGCGCGTTAGATCCTTCTCGTCCTCCTCCCCGCTGCCGTCGTTGCAAAGCAGTGCCACGTATGCACTGCAAATATGATGTCTAGGTCTGGAAGAGTGTCTCTTGCAGGTTTTCCATGACCCTTGAGGTCCGGAATGCGGGACCTAGCATGACAGAGTCTGTGAGGTCTCTGCCATGCCTATGCTGCATGAGAAACTCCCTCCCAGCTTGGTCGAAAGTGGACAGCTTGTGGCACTCATGCAACACAGAGTTTTGCATGATTCGGATTTAGCATGACAAGTTGCAATCTTCCAGACCCAGACACTTTTGCAATCCATACCACGCGCACCTCGAAAAAGCAGGGGTTGTCCGGTGCCGGCGGCCGTGCTGGATATTACAGTGAAAAGTGCCCCCCACCCCTCAAATTGCAAAAATTTGTGATGCGGAGTTTCCAAATGAAAACTTTTTGTCATGCATGAAACGAGTATGAATCTTTCTGATGCGGAGTCTAGGCGTGTATCGCATCGCTTGCATGACAAGCGCCGCTCTTGCTGGGGTCTTTTGCAATACAAATTTTCGCTATTCACGGTTGGAAACCTGTGATGCTGATAGGTGCAAGAGGGCGAATGTTTCATTTGGAAAGGTTTGCAATACAAATGCTTTCAAGTTCGGGGGTGGGGGGATTTTTCCTTTTGATACTGGATTGGCGTTGTTGCGAGGACTTCTCCCAGTAGCTGTGGTGGACGAAGAATTTGTACTACTTCTCAACTTCGCCCTCTCTTTTTCCGGCACCCGCACGTCGCAGGAGAGCAGAATTGCATTTCCAACCAAATCGATTGTCGACACGTAATTTCCAAACCGGACCTTCTCCTCCAGTAAGGGCTCCAGCACAGGCTGGTTTGCACTTTTTTGATCTGCAGAACTGCTCGTTGCTGCTTCCTGTTGAGACGATGAATCTCCGAGATCTAGCTCCACAGTGTACTCTTCCTCTGTGTCCAAGGTTTTGCACGCGGTTTCATAGAGCTCCCGCAGCGTGCTGCCACAAGCCGCCCAAGGCCCACTGCGCGGATCCAGCGACGCGACACTGTTGCCTTCGGAAAGGGAAGCGAGAAAGCTAGCGAATTTCGACACTCGCACCGCTGTGATTGTCGGTTTCGTGGTACAACTACCGGAGCATGCGCTTTTACTCGAAATCTCTTGCTGCGGGGGTGAAAGGCGCTGCTTATTTGAAAATCCAGCGAGATGTGACGCAGTGTGTAGTCCTGGCTCACCCTCGCACAGGCTGCTCGCTTTCTTCAAGCGACCAGACTGCAACCCGTCCTTGTCAGCAACGGTAGGCCCCGCAGAATCAGCATCGTCGACCACGGGGTCGTGTGCCAAGCTGAAGATCTCTGAGTGAGCATTGTTCGTGAGCAGGACGTAGGCCGGTCGGTGCTCCTTAAACTCTGTCTCGATGAATTCGTCGTAACCATTGCGTAATGGTAAGTGTTCCACATCATCTAGATCTTCTTCAGCCCCCTCTTCTCGCGGACTCGCCCCATCTTCAGGGTTTGTGCAAAAGGAAGTGGATGCGGACAAGGATCCTCGGCTGCTGGGCGCCGTGGTTGGCGATAGCGCGCAGTCCGCGAGCTTGCACTGCTCGTCGTGGAGGATGGTCCCGCACGGAAGCATGAATCGCAGGTCCGTGCCACGCACGTGCAAGTCCTGTCGCAACTCGCCCAACGTGGCGTCCGGCCGCGCCCTGCAGAGAAGTGTTCCTCCCGGAGACACGATGGGGACTGCATCTACTTCGTAGTTGAGGTGAAACTTATGCTGATCATCCCCGTCGGAGGCCTGATGGAGATCCGGGACATCGTCCAGGGGCTTCGGAATCTCGCGAGCAGTGCCGGCCCTGCTGGAGGAGGGCTCCCCCTGCGGCACAGTTGCACGGGCGGACAATAGCGCAATGCGGACGGACTCCACGGTTGTCGCGCTTGTAGAGATAAGGACGAAGAGTTTGAAAACCTTCCGCGCAAGGTAACCGGCATGCTGTTGCCGCAACGCCGCCATTGTTGCACTCGCAAAGTGTAGTCGTCACAACATAGGTGATGAAGCATGGAAAATCATAAGTGAGAACGTATTCAAGTGAAATAGCGTTCAAGTTTAAGTTTCGCAGACAAGAAAAACACCCAGAGCTTTATCATTATGTACGCAGCAATTTCAGGACGTTCTGAAGCGGCATCAAGACCACCTCTTTTTCGGTGTCCTACGACGGCGGAAAAATTGTGTTTTAGTGTTGCGGCGAGATAAAACTCGATAAACAAGTTGCTTGTTTTTACTCTAGCCGATCCAACGCTGGACGACCGCGACGTGTATCTGAGGGCAACGAACCGCGAGCGAGATCAAGAAGGCGTCGTCGCGAGAACACCAGCAACACCCCTGTAGCTCTACATACGCACAGGAAAATCTGGTCGTCCCATCGTTTCATGCACAGCGAAACGGTACTCGAGGAGGAAAAAAAATATGTTAGTTTGGAGAAAAAAAATATTGTGCTTGCAGCCATTTTTTCCCGACTACAACGACCAGCCTGTTCAAGAACCCTTTCCGTCTTTGATGCGTTCCGTCAATCGGTCAAGCTTCGCCCGCAGTCCTTTATTCGCGAGGAGCAGCTCGGTGCGGGTTGCCAGCAACGACGTGTCGGCGAGACAAGCCGGATCTTCGTCGTCCGTTTCCTCCTGGCGCTTCTCCTCCGCTTCGACACGCTGGCGCTGTAAGTCCAGCGGGAGCTCCGCAAACTCATCCTCGGTCAACGCAGTGGGGCGATCTGAAAAGCCAGTTTCATCTCTGGTGAGAAAGCAGCAAGCTGCGAGGGAGTGGGAGCTTCGTACACGTACTTACAACAAAATTCTTTTCATGGAACAAGCCCAAGAGAAACAAAACTACCAGAAGTTGTATTTCCAGTAACATCAAGATGCCACCGAGACGCAATGAATTATTTGATGTTGATGTTCCGTTGTACCTGCCAAGGTTGCAATTTTCAGCGCGGTGTCTCGCAGTCGCTGCTCCTCCTGCTCGGTGGTCTGCCTCTGACTGTCTCGCCGCTTCGCTTCCTCAATGACCTTCTCGGATTTTTCCAGCATGGGCGCTTCGGCGGAGGCAATCGCCGATTTCGACCTCCTGACCGCCTGCGCAACCAACGCCTTCCCTTGCTCCGCGCGCTTTGACAGCACGTCCGCAAAATGCGGCGCATCCTGGATGGTCCTGTCGGTTGGAGTTACGTTGGAAGGTGACTTGCGCTCTCGAGGCGAGGTTTTTTGTTTGCGCGCGGCCGCTTTCGCATCGTCCCCGGGAACTGCTGTTGGTTTTGCTTTTTCACCTTCCGACGCGGCTGTCGGGGGCTGCGCTAAATTATCCGGTGTCGCGAGTACACTCTGCGACAAACGCTTTGCGAATTCTTCCAACGACAAAGGCTTCTTTCTCTTCACCGCCGGTGCAACTGGATCACGCCCTTGTGCTTCCATACCGCTGTGAGTTTGCGCTACCTCGTCCTCTCCGCTATCGATTCCGTTTCTGGGCACTCCCGGCAGAGAATCCTCGTCGTCGGAAGCAGACTCTCCAGTGCCGATTCTAGCATTCGTCCGGTCATCGAACTGTTTCGCAAATTTATCAAACTCGTCGACACTCTCCGACCACCACGCATGGTTCAACATCTCCCCGTCAGCAAGATGCTTTTGCGCGACATCAGCACTTGCTCTCTCTCCTGGCTCCTCTTCCGCCCTCGCATGATACGTCTTCGCCAGCTCTTTCATCTCATTCCCCAGCTCCTGCTTCCGGAAAAACTCCCGCAGCTTCTTCTTGTGAATCAGGTCCTCCTTGTGCAGAACCTGTTTTCCCAGCGCGACCATGTTCGCAAAAGATGTTGGTGGCTGCTGCTCCCGCTCGCTGAATTCACTCATGCTGCTTTCGGCGCTGTCAAAGGTACGAGTGTTGTCCGCCTGGTCAATACTGCTAGTAGAAGTACTAGTTGATATTTTCTCATCCTCCTGCACCCCTTCGGCTCCAGCGAGCGCTCTTTCCAAAATTCGTTGCGCTCGACTCATGTCGTCACCGGAATTCTTTGAGGAGAAATGCGCTTCCTGCAAGAAGGAAAATGGTTCATTTTCCCGAACAGACTCTACTCCTTGTGCTTTTCCTTTCCCCGCTGGGGTTGGGGTAGATTTTTTGGCATTTTCGTCAATGACCTTGAGCAACTTCAAATTTTCCCGTGCGACCTCGCGGTTCTGCTTAGACCAGAAGTCCACCAGCGCCGTCTGCGGAAGTACATTTTGCTGTGCCGAAGGGCACGTCCGGTACAGCAGCTGTTGGTGACGCAGACCCCAGAAAGCCCGCTGAAAATCCACTGCCGTGACCCGCTGCTGGTGGTCCACCGCCCCACCTGCTTTCATCTCCTTCAGCAGCTTCTTTTGCCCGGGTGCTGCTCCCGCAGATCCTTTGCCTTTCACTCCCGTGGCAGTAGTGGCTGTCTTTTCCATCATTCTGGGTTGCAGCAGTGCAGCCTTCCGTCCGTCACGCGCACTGCCGGCGCACAGACGCGAAGCAATTTCGTCCACCGAGAAGTCCCGCAGCAGCAGTTCTTCCTGACGAGAAGACAATCGCTGTTCATCTTGTTGACCCGTGCTTTCAACTCCGATTTTCCGTAAACGCGCTACTGTTGCGTCGCGGCATTCCTGCGCTGACATAGACCGCACGCCCTGGTCTTGTCCGTATTCCCCCTGGTTGTAGACGCGGAGCAACAAGGAGCGCATCCGGGAGGACAGCGATACCTGCTGTTTCTTCGCATTCTTACTATCCCCCCGTTGTACTGACGCGGAAGCCACCGCGTTCCAGAAGGCAGCACCCTCATCGCGACCGACTTTTGCGTCACTCGCCTCTGCAGCTGCGGGCGAAAAGAGCAGGATCTTCGCGACGGAAAAAAAAGAAAACCAAAACCGGCAAGAACGCCCCACCCCCGGCGACCACAATTCTCGCCGAGGGGCGACCATGCCACCCGAAATGGGTCTTTCGCTCACCCCCTCTGGCGCTGGTCGTGCTCCTCTCCACGACCTACGATTAATTTTTCATCGAGAAAGAAAACAAGGTCAAAAGACAAATGATCAAAAAAGTGGAGATCTCTCAATTGGCAAAGTTTACTCATTCTGATCTGATCGGTCGGTCGGGAAAACGAAAACCTTCCGGAGGCACCGGGAACAACAAAAATAGTTATGCCTCGATTCAAAACTGATGCATTTCCCATGCAAAGCAATGGCAGCACGAGCCTAATACTTATATTTTTTCGATTGCAGCAAAATCAGAAAACCGTGCAAAAGATCAAAAGCAAACGCGAGTCATCATATATGAGTGTGGAGGTCTTGTATTCGTCCTCTTCACAAACATTCTTTCAATCAGCCCACAGTTAATATCACAAGAAAAATCATAATACTGATAAGCATGCACGCACTGTCATTCTGTCATATCCCTTGCCTTCGTAGTCGTATGTAGAAGAACTCTATTCTGTCATTAATTTGTTTTTTGTCATGAATCTATCCAAAACCGGGAATCTAACTCATCAAAAATGCTGTCTTGTGTCATACGCATGATTTCAATCAATTTCAATAGTGCTCCAAGTTCTGACGCCAATAGGTCGATAGGAGAGCAGACGGAGACGCTCGCTTCAACAGTAGCGTAACTAGTACATCCTACTTGTCTACTTCTGCGGACGTCTTTCGACTGTCTTCCTCGAGTAAAAAAGCCGCGGTAGGAATAATCTCCGGTATGGACGCGTCGCTTCCTAATATTTTTTTTTCTGCGGCTTTATTTCCCCTGACGCTCGCAGCAGCGATACTTTGTCTTTCTTTCTTCGCTTGAGCTCCCCTTCGCCGCATCGGTGGCAGTAGTTGCAGGAGTCCGGAAAGTCACAACTTCTTGGCTTCCAGAACCAAGCGCAAGGCGAGCATCCTCTGCCGTGTATCTTGTGTAAAAACGTCCCCACACCAGAGTCAAGATGAGGATCTCGCAACACAAATCGAGAAGTTTTGGGGGTCCAGCATGACAAGTTCGTCTAGGTATTGTAGTGCAGTTTAGCAAGCACAGCAGCAACACAAATCCATCTACTCATCCTGTCGACAGCATTGCAAAGCGCAAAACGTGAATGGAAATGCCTCTCATGTGTATGCGCATTACAAATCTTCCTGTAGCTGCAAATCTGCATGACAACTCTGGGGTGGGTACATTTTTACTCAGGATACCGTGAAAGATGGAGCCGCTGTTCATCGGCAGATTCGGCGTGGAAGCTGGCTGCTCCGCCGCTTGGGTCGACCACCCTGGCTCGGAAAAAATGGTGCTCGCAGAGGACGCTCCGGGGACAAAGCAGAGAGCGGAATCAGACAACTCCGAAGACAATCCACTGTCCTTGCGAGCCATCAGGCAACGATCTGCAGGATCAGCTACGGGTGGAGTGAGGTCCTCGGCAGGCGGCGCGGCGTCAGGCGCATCTGGTTTCTCCTGTTCGTCCAAGAGCTGCATCAGAAGTTGATGCTGCGTCTTGGGTGTCAGGACACTGCTTTCTGCGTTTTGAACCTCGGGCCTCCAAGCTTTCCGCTCGATCTCCTCTTTCGAGAGCTTGGTCCAGCACCTGCTACTCGAACTTCCTACTTTAGTGCTAGTTCTCGTCGTCCCGTCCGGAGGAACCTCTCCATCGCACTCATGCGCCGCACGACAATCATCGGTTTCGTGCGAACGGTTCCAGCCGTGCGTATTGCACCACTTTTTTTGCTTCTCCAGGAGGGCTGCGTTAAGCACCGCATCGCCGGACTTTGTGACAGGAACCCAAGAATTCCAATCCTTCTCGAAGGACTCGAAGACGGACAGAGACTGGTCGTCTTTGGTCTTCACAGAGATCAAACCTCTATCCGCATTCGCACCGGCCAAATTTCGTACCTCGGTAGTACCGCTACCACTTCCAGAATTAATATCATGTTGCTGCGGGAGCAAGCTTCGACACTGTTTTTTGCTCTGCATCAGAGCGTTGCACGTGCGCAGCTGGTTCTCAAGCATGTACTTGAAGCACAAAAGGCTCTGTTCCTCATGAAACTTGGCTTGCTGTTGTAGTTGGTCTACTTGCCTCTGTACCTCCTCTGGAGTCGCAGCTCGGAGTCGAACACCATCGGTCCCGCCGCCGCTATGGTTCGTTATCTGGCTCTGCTCCATGGGAAAAAGCTCCCGTCCATCGTACGTCATCACTAGGTGCGACGAGGCCGGATCGCTCATCTCCTTTGCGCGCGTTCTGCTGTCTAAGCACGAGAGCTGGTCGTGTGAGGGAACGGCGTGCCCGCAGGCTGCTGGTCCCTGTTCCTTCCTCTCGTGAGTGTGAGACGTGGTGGGCCGCGCAGTGTTGCAGGTCTTTTTAGTTCCAGTGTCGCTGCCTTCTGCTGGTACGTCCCCAGTATCTGGCTGATTGGCTACTTCCGCGGCGCGTTTTTGCAGCGAGGCATCTTCCGCGACAGCTAGCTCCTCTTTCATGTCCACGTCTTCTAGCGTTCCGCCTTCCAAAGGCTCCTCAGCACACGTTGCAGGGAACGTGCTTTGCAGTTCCTGGCCGAGGCCGGTCGCGGTGAGGTCGTACCAGGATTGATGTTGAAATGCACTCGCTGCGAAAGAACTCGCGTTTGCGAAAGCTGCGCATGAGTTGTTCCACTCGGCTGACAATGGTGCGCCCCAGCCGTTAGGCAGCCAGGCGTTGTTTAGGGCGGCGGCCGCGTATCCAATGCGCATGCTGTTTTCCAGAACCTCCTGCGCCTGAGCATTCGGAAGGCTGCATTCTGCGGAATTACCTTGCAGAATCCAGGGTTGCATCGCGGCCGCGGCGGCGAGAAGGTGCGGATCCGAATATGTTGCTGGAGAAGCAGAACTACACGCCAGTTTGTCCTGATCTGGTTGTCCGGACAGGTCATCTGCATTCGCAAAGGAAGACGTGCGGGTGCGGCCCCCTTGCCATTCTCCATCATCGTGTTCATCCCACGCTTTGTCCGTGTTTTTCTTCTTGCCGTTCTTGCGACCTTTCCACGTGGATTTATGCGCGCCTGGTTCATCCCAATACCGGCCAGAAGTATAAGGAGCACTCCATTCCGCTTGTTCCCACCAGCTGTTTGAGGCGCCGAACGCGCGAGTGTTATCTGCGTAGTGCGTTTTTGGGTCTATTGCGCAGTGGCTAGCATGCACTCTATGAGAGAGTAGGAAAAGGAATTCAAAAAGGAGAATGTACTTCTTAAGTAGGCACAATAAACGCGACTTTGCGCTTCCTCGGTAACCAAAGCATGGTCGAAAAGTATCCGAAACAAACGGACCTAAAAATACCTTGCGCGACATTGACATTCTGAGTCTTATCTTTCACTGGTACTTGTTTCGGTTTGCTTTTTTGTTTTTCCTTTTCCTCTTCCCGCGCCCACATTGCGTCCCAACTTAACTGCGCATCGCTCGCAGTCCATGCTGGTTCAGCCCCGGTCAATCTTGGTGCTGCTGGAGCTGGTTTAAGAAAACTATTGTTTGCGCCCTTCGCTTTTTGATATGCCTGCTGCTCTCGTCTCATCTTATCTTTCTGCGATCTCAGAAGAGGATTTAAAATTGGTGCCGTCTTCTTTCCAACTCCGTCGTGCCTTCTAGAAGCCCGCCCTGTTATTGCGGCCGGCCCACTTTTTACGCGTTTCACGGCGTCGCGGTGAGCATCAGAATCTGATCCCGTTGCCGCCTCTTCCTTCCCCGAGCTTAGGCCGCTCGCGGTCGCCGCTCTGTGCACTACCGGCAAAAAGAAATCCTCGTCGTCTGACGCGTCTGCCCAAATTTGAACCCGGTTTTGGCCCTGCAAAGGTGTCCCCACTGACGCGAACGTCGAGTATGCAGGTGATACGGGTGTCGCGCCGTCGTCCTCCAGCGGCGCTACCGGCGAAAGCCCTTTCTTTATCGAAACACATGGTATCGGCTCGTGAAACAGTACCAAAACTGTGGAAAGCAAAATGTTGATGTTGCTTACCAAAATAGAAGATCCAGCCTCCGCTCGAGAGCTGCGTCTCGTCGAAGATGGAGCGCTTTGTAGTAGTACCATACTGTTCCTACTGCGTCTACAGTGCGACATACGCAGCTACTTCTTCTTTGAGTCGTTCAAAGTCAAACACGAAACAAGAGCGTTCTTACTGCACTACCTCCAAAAGTCTTTTTCACAAACTACATACATTCAGATTCAATTTTTCCAAAAACAAAGAGACGAATTATGCAATCACTGATTTCAGGCAATCATTGCCATTGGTCAATCCGGATGAGAATGAGTCGAAGTGAAGCAGCAAAATCAATAAATCATGCAAGATGCGCTGTTGCAACGCTATTGAATGTGCAGGTCGACAGAGAGTACCAAAAATGCAGGCGATCTTGGTAGAGAAAAAACGCTGCCACTCCAAAACGAAGGGTGGGAAAACGGGAAGATCTTCCTGCTGCTGTTCCGACTGCATAGTCTATGTGAGATCGACGACGAGCTGAATGATCTGTCGTAAGATATGAATGGAGCAAGAAATAAGGCCGTAAGTAAGTTAAAAATTGCTGTAGCTTTTCTGATCTTGCGCCAAAAACGAGTAAGTACACAGATAGATCTTCTCTGTTGCTGGATAAGTATCCTCGGGGCCTTGGGACTGGCGAATTGAAATCGAAAAGACCCAGCGCAACAAGCATAATGGGTCAGAAGATGAACGCAATAGTGCTTAGAACAGATCTGCAATCAAAGAATCGACTGTAGTAAACAATGTCGTTATCGAAAGTCTCGGCAGCTTTATCCTCGCATGTCAAAAGAAGTTCGTGTTCGTTCCCTAGTGGGCGGATACGCATGGCATGATCCGATGAACGTAAGAAAGCCTTTATCACAGGTAAGTAGCAATGGGCTGAAAGGAAAAGCAAAGCACTCTCCCTTTCGTCGTGAATCGCGGCAGCACGAGGGTACCGAACCTGTTCGGATTTCTCTTTCTGCGTAGAATCAGACGAGTGCAAGGATATAAAAACCTTCTGAATAAAAATTGATCTTGCGTGCCCTGCGATATGACAAAAAGCGATTCCAGTTCTTGAAAAAATCGTGACATCGCTGAAAAAACCTGTGTGATGACTGCGCTAGATTTAGTTTTTCGGGTGAAATCGAATGACAGATGCGATCGTGCTCCTGACAACTGTCAGCCGGTATTTTGTCATTCGAAATCGAAAATCGAAATCGAAAACAAATCCAATTACAATATAATTACCGTGTAGTACCTATTCATCGCGCGAAGGAGACAACTTCCGCGTGATCATAATGATGTATTTTCTGATTGATAAGCCTGTTTTCTTGAAAGTAGTCGGGTGAAACTCAAACTGTCAACAACAAAAAAGGGGTATATCAATATATAATTATGTGCATTTTATATATAATTACGGAAAGTCGTCGTCGCCGAAAACCATTTCGTCCTCAGATTCGCTCTCCTGGTCCGGGATCAGGTGTTTTTCGTGCAGAAACTTGTTGGCATGCTGAATGACGTAGTCGCGCATTTTCAAGGCGAAAACACCCTTTTCCCCGTCGTTCTTGACGCAGATCTGTGCGTACAGGTCCGTGCTGTCCTCGCGAATCGCTTGTGACGACGCACTGCACATCTTCAGGATGTACTCAAGCCTGAGATGAAAAGTTTCGGTCCATTAAACATTGACTCTTGCCATGATATTCTCAACATGAAACTAACTTGAATAATCCCATTCCGGCAACTACGGGAGTCTGGTTGTACAATCCTTTAATAGTAAAAAAATGCCTACCAGTCTTTTGCGCTGCACGCGACATGCTCCTCCTGGGGAACGTAGGTGACGATGCACAAGTTGTTGTCGTCTGCCATCGACATGACGGTCTTGCCAATCTTGCCAGAGCCACCCTTGCGTTCTTCCTCGCTCGGGTCGGACTTAGCATTCATCGCCTTCACACTTTCGACCTGGACAAGAGTTTTTTCGTGTCACGCAAACAAAAATGGTCTTCATCTTCCACCCTTCGTCACACCATGCGCAAATATCCTTCCAAAAACTGAAAAGGCCAACTTGTCCCGAACTCTACTTTGCTCGGTGGAAACACGTTATATATTGGACTTTCATAAGTACCAGCATATCCAAATCTCCAGCGGGCTCGAGGACTTTTGTGCAGAAGTACTTCAAGCCACCCATATCCGCGGCTCCTTCGATCTCGACACCGCGCTTGCCTGTGGTAGGAAAAGGCACTTGAAAAAATGATTACGAGCTTTGAATTTATCGAGAGTGAGATCATGAGAAGTAAAAAAAAGGTTGGGGAAAAAATGTCCTCCGTCGCGAGGACAAATGCAGTATCCGGTGGTACTAGCAGGCCTCGGAGCTGTGCCTGCGTACCATAGTGTACTCATTTCTGATACCAACTACTTATCATCTTCTCATCGGGTGATTCATCAATTAATCCTTCTTACCTCCCTCCTTGAGGACTTTCTTCATCTTCTTTTCGAGCTTGTCGGTAGTCAAGCGCTCCGGACAGGCTGGTGGTTCTATCAAATGTAAAAATGTCTGGGTCTGGAAGAATGCAAGATTTGTGATGCAGGTTTTCCATGACCCATGAGGTCTGGAATGCGAGACCCAGCATGACAGATTCTTTGAGGTCTCTATCATGCCTTTGCTGCATCAGAAACTCCCTCTCAACTTGGTCAAAAGGGGACAGCTTTTGGCACTCATGCAAGACAGATTTCTGCATGATTCGGATTTAGCATGACAAGTTGCAATCTTCCAGACCCAGACATTTTTGCATTTTATAGGTTCGATGGTCTTACCAGTCTTTTTCGGGGCCACGTAGTCTGGGTTGCGCTTCACGGACAAAAGCAAATGCGGGCGCTTGCCGTAGTCCAGTTGTGTGTAGGCCGTCTCGACTTTGGTCAGGGAGGCAACCTGAATTGTTTTTCATTCAATGTCGATCTGGGTTTTGGCGCTTCTAACGCAAAAAGAAAACTAGTGATCAACACATTTGATATTTTTTCAAATTCATATGCAGCTGTGATCGGAGAACTACTACAAACCTTGTTCTTCTCGAGAAGGCCGACCACAGTTGCGGCGGCCGGGATAGCAGCACCGAGAGCGGAGATGACAACTTCATCGAAGATTTTTTTCTCTACTCCGTCCTTCCCCGTAATCCCCTGAAGGAAGTTCGTGGCTGCGCGCACATAGAACGAGGCGTTGTGTGCCTTGGAGATCCGGACCACATTGTCGGTCTTCTCGGTCTGCTTTTTCGTTTCGGTCGTCATTTCGTCTTTTTGGGTGGAAACAATGTTGCTATCACGGTGAAACTATAAACGTAAAGCTACAACCGTACGTAGTGGTGCTTAAAGTTATGTCGCCAAAGTATTCCGAGTGTATTTCAAAGTCTGCTTTTGTCAAAGATTTTTGGAAAACAGAAAAGTTTGTTTGGGGAGTGAGAGAAAATCTTGTTCTGGGATCATCAGAAACCAAACCTCAAATCGAGTAGATAAAGAGCTCTTAGGTGCAAAGACAGGAGGCGTCAAATATGTTTTTTGCCTCTTCAATTTGGTTACGGTTGTACGTTTTCGATCCATTCAGGTTCACCATCTAGCTAATAAGTATAGTATCATCTTGCCAGGATCCTTGTACAACGTGGCCTTTGCAGTTCACGGGAAGCGAGCAGTGCATCTGTCGGGATCTAGCTCTAGGATCGATCGGTCTCAGTGCGATAAAAAGAGCAGAATCACAGAACGTTTCTTTTTGATAATGGAGCCCTTCACAGGAGCAGGACCGCAGTTTGTTCTATGCATAAACACATACACAGCGCATCTGTTGGATGGAGTGCCTACGATAGAAATGGAACATCAATTCTGTTTTCATAGCCAAATTGATATTTGTTTGCTTTTCTTTCTTGACCGCATGCGGTCAGCGCATTTTTCTTACTTGCGTACTCGAGCACTCAAAAAAGTCGTTCCATGGGGAAAAGAAAAAAAGTACCCTCCGCTATGAAGCGTTGCGAGTGATAGCGTGAAGATGATGTTCTATCGCGACATATGTATCATACAAGTGTGCTGCTACTAAGTAGGGACTATTCTGTGTCATCTGCTGGCCAATGAATCTTACAAGTCGCCGGTGCTAGCATCAAGAAGAAAATTGTACATGTCGAGTCGTCGGAGGTCGAGGGATACTTGCGCACAATTTCCAAAAAAAAGGACTCGTTTCGATTTTGCATGTCGAAAGTGACTTGTGGCCCCTGTAGTAAGTCCGTCTGGTAGTTTTCATAATAATTTTTGTTGCACCAGAAAGCAATTACGAAAAGGGAAAAGCACGCCATATACGACTTTTGGTGCTTGTTTCTCACACAGCAGATGGCGGCGAAACCGGCTTCGGTCTCCTACCGTCGAAGCTGTTCACTGCACCTGAAAAGCGCGAGGCTGGCGTTTGCTCCTGCAGCGTGTCTTTTCCGCTTTCTTCACTTCCTCTGATAGCCTTTTGTTCAGCTTTTTCGTCCGCATCTGTGCCTGCCCCTATCCGCTTCCGTGCGGACGAGCGAAGTTCTCGTGTCGAACTTCTTGTTCCACCTGTGCCGTCGAGTTGTTCTACATATCCCACCTCCGGTACGGAATTCTGGGTGTCTCGAGGACCTGTTGCACTACAACTTCTACCGTACACTAGCTGTCCCGTGCTGGATGCAGTCGTGCTGTTGCTGTGTCTACTTGTTGCATCAAAACTCTCTCGTCCCTTCTCTGCGTCGTAAACGGAACTGTCAAAGCCGTACAGGGCCTCGTACTCGGCTTTCTCCTTTTCGTACTCCGCGAGCTCCAGACGGTATTGCTCATACTCATCCAACTCCTCGGCGTACCGCCGCATGCTCTCCATGCGGTACGCGAGGTGGTAGTCGTCCTCCTCCTTCGGGACAAACCCCGGGGCGCGCTTCACCTGCTCCCAATTGACTCTGTCGACCACGGTGGGCAGAATCGCCAGCACGAACAAAAACCAGCACTGCTGCAGGAGTAAAACCACCCACTCGGCGAAGTTCGCGGAACGGACCGCATCCTGGTCGGGCAGATTGCTCTTCGCCCAGTGGCCGATCAAGTAGAGCAACTGGAGAAAGCTGACGAAGCACGCGCCGCTGGAGAGCAAGTAGAGTGTCCGGCGGGTGGGTAAGTCCGTCAAAAATTCCTGCAACGTGTCCACGAGCAGAACGAGCGAATGTAACAGTTGGTACAGGAAAACCGCGGCGAACGCGACCTTCTTAAAGGCGTCTGCCACGTAGAAGGAGACGCCGGGGTCGTCTTCGTACAGTTTGGTCGAGCTGTTGTCCGGAATCACCACGTAGACAAAGCTCAAAACCAAGGCCACGGTGCTCAGAGAGGCGGAAAACACGTTCCACGGCTGTTCTCGCCCTTTGTACTGTGGCACGTGGCGGTAAATCACCCCAATCGTCTCGAGCAGGAAGCCAAACAGGAAAAGCGCCTTGCCGAAGATGTGGGACCAGGCGGAGGACTCGGCATCCAGGTAGGTAGAAATGGACAGGTCGTACCAGAACGTCACGTTTCGCACCCTGGTTTGGTTTTTTGGCAGGACTTTGTCGTCCGGAGTGACGTCTTCGAGAATGAGCAGCACCCCGACCAACACGGAGAGGACACCCAAAATCACCAATCCGGGGGTCCACCACCGCTTCAGCTCCCTCTGCACCTTCACCGGGATGTTGCAGCAACAGGATCGGAGAGTTGTTGGTGTCGCGAGGGCCGGCCAAGGGGCCAGGAAATCTTGCTCCTTGTAGTACTCTTCGGGAAAATCGATTTTCGGAAGAATTTCCGCTTCCCGGATGTGCTTCCAATCAGCGCGCGTTTGGGGGTACACGAGCAAGTTCGCGGTGGCCTGCAACTGGAAACTGAGATGATAGTACGTGACATTTGATTGATTCGTTTCCAGAGCAGACTTCAATTCTTCCTGGAGGTAAAACAATTCATATTCATTGACAAAGAAAACACCACTTGTACGATACCGGATGTGCAGGCAACAACATGACAAAATGCAGAAGCGTTCGACTATCCTCTAGATGTAGATGTAAATCCTAATCAATCTATGTATACCTTTTTCCCAGCCTACTCGATTCCTCCCCGAGATTCTTTCCTGCTGTGGCTTTTTTCTTCGACCCTGCTTCACCTTCCGCAGCGCCATCCTCCATGTTCCCTTCATCCCGCTTCGCTTCGCCGGTAAAGAGCTCGACCAACGCGGGCGCCCGCTTTTCTAACAGGACGACACGCCGGCCCCCGAGCACGCGCAAGCGCTGCAGCACGTCGTCGCGATAGCTCGGGAAGTGCGCGACCCGGAAGGCGAGCCCGGTGGCGAAGCCGGCGAACGCCAGCACCACGAACCCGAGCTGCGTAGCGCTCCACCACTGAACCAGCGTGAGCCCCGCGAGAAACCACGCGGTCAACAGGAGTAAGAAAACGGTTGAAAACGTCAAGTCGATCAGGTACCGGGTCTCTGCCGTGTTCTGCACATGCAGGAAGGAGGCCACGCTCCCGAGAAACATGCCCACGCCGGACATCCACCAGCCCAGGTTCAGGTCCCCCCGGTCCTGGCTCGAGGGCGCGTAAATCCCATGGAACATCACGCACAGGGTTTGCACGCCCAGGAGCGCGAAGGGCACGACGCTGTACAGTGCGAGCAGGAAGAGGCGGCTCCATTGGTGGTCGAGCGGGGGGGCAAGGATGCGGGCGGCCGGCGGCTTGTACAAAGCGTCGCGAAGCTGCACCATGATGATGTGAAGTTGATGCGAAAGATAAAGAAGTGTGCTTATTACAAAATACTGCTCTAGGTGGTGGAGCGAGTAGTCAAAAAACAGGCTTCATTTATCAAAACTACTTAAACGGCATCTCAAGTTTTTTGACTTTACGATCGCCTGCTCGTGTTTTTTTGGTTCAGGTGCTTTGATTGTTCCTTACCATCCATTTTTTGCCAAAAAAAAGGAAGGAGATCTTCAATAGGTATCGTGAAAAATGTCAGGTAATGTGTGATCTGGTTTTCGTTTGGATCTGGTTTTCGTTTGGATCTGGTTTTCGTTTCTGCCGTGTTGAAGCGCACGGCTTGTGTTTGATCAAACCAATTTTTTCCTAACGTGTAAAGATCCGCTTTCTCTTCTTTTGATCCTTTTTGAAATCGCAAAGCAAATTCTGATCGTGTTCGCGTCTAGATAGGAGAACAGAGAACGCGCCGTCTGCTTCTAGACGAGAGTGAGCTACGTAGCCTCGGCCGGTCGATCAAAGTGGTTGTGCCTACTGCTGATACATAGATAAGTACATGCGTGCGTGGTAAACTTCAGGAGGCTGGTGCCAACACTTCTTCACAGTTGGTCGGCAGCTACCTCTCATGTCCTTTCAAACTGTGGGCAGTTCCCGCGCGGCTGGAAGTGCGCCGTGACAGGCTTGCACGAAATTTGCCGGCGACAGTACAAGCAGGAGTGCTGTCTGCAGTAGGGACAGCGCAGGTGGTTGTTCACATGATTGGGGTTGTCAAGCCACCGAACCACCACCACGCGACAGACGGCGCACCGCACGCGTTCGTACAAGTTCTGGTCCACGTACTGTGCCCCGTCCTGCAGGGCGCGCTGGAGCCCGGCCTGCCCGAGCCGCGCCACCTCCTCGTTCCACTGTCGGATCGCGTCCTGGTCGAACAGGACGCAGGATTTTGGGTTGTCGGAGCGAAAGTGGTCGTAGCTGTCAATCACCTATCAAGTGCAAAAGTGTCTGGGTCTGGAACAGTCATGCTGCTTTTGCATGACACAGAAGGCCTGCCATGGAAGCTCTAGCATCACAGGTTTCGAGAAGCTTCTGCAATGCCGAATCTGCATGACAAGTGCCCCACTCTGGTGACAGAAAGTGGCCAGCTCGAGCTCTTGCTGCCTGTGCATGAGAGATTTTTATGGGTTGTCAAATGCGCATCACAAGTTTGCATTCTTCCAAACCCAGACATTTTTGCATTTGATATCACCTTCAGACACTGCCAGCAGAACACCGTGCGGCAGTTCTCGCACTTCATCTTGTTGCACCCGGAGATCTTCTGGATCGCGAAGCTGCAGGTCGGGCACTTCCGGCTGGTCTGGTTGATCAGCATCAGGGACTTCGCCTCCGCGACCCGGTTCTGCGCGGCCTGGCCCTGGTTGCTCAAGATCTGGGCCCGGCTCGGCGCCACCTCACAGAACGCCCGGTCCGGGTGGTAGACGTCGAGGCACTTGGCGCAGAATTGCAGCCGACACTTCTCGCACTCGCAGTAGTTGTCCTCCTGGATGATGCACGCTACGGTTTCCGGTTTCGGCTTCTGGTCGGCGCACCGGGGACAGTACGCAATGTCAGTCATTCCGTCCAGGGCCCGGCTCAGCGTCATGGCTTCAAACTTGTCGAGAAGCGCCTGGTTTATTGCAGCCTCGTCGCAGGATGAGCTTCTACCACTCTCAACAAGAACATCGAAGGTTGACTCAGTTTCAACATCGCCCAACAAAATTTCCCGTACCAGCGTGGTGTCGAAGGGTTCCGCGTTCGCGTATCAACTGTAAAAGTGTCTGGGTCTGGAAGAATTCATGTTTGTCATGCTTGTCTGGCATGACTCTTAAATCTGTCATGCACGTTACCCAAGAGCTCCGCTTTTCTGTGATGCAGAAGCGCAGTTTGTCATGCAGAATAGGCAACACTTAGGAGCTCAGAAACTTGTCATGCTGAGCCAGCATTTGTAGCCTGATCATGAGACGCCACCCAGCATCACAGGTTTCCACCAGACCCAGACATTTTTACTTTTGATATCGCGGGCGGGCACACCATGCAGCGAATGTGATCCAGCGCCCCGTCATTTACGTGGACTTTGACCAGATTGACCAGACATGCGCGGCAACAGCGGTGCGCGCAGCTGGGGAGGGAGAAAAAATCCTTTCCCGCCTTGACGGTACAGCAGATCGGACACTCTTGAGGCGTCTGCCGATAAACCGCCTGCTTCTTCCGCTCGTCATTTTCCAGCAACTGGAACGCCAGCCCCTGCGGCAGGTCCAGCGTCGTCGTGATTCCCAGCACGGAGTGCCAGTTGTTCTGCACCTCGGAAACAAAGAGAATCGGGTCGATCGGAATGACAACTGCTTCGCTGTTTTCAACATCTGCGGCGACGAGGTCGGCCGCGGCTTCGTTCTGCGCATCCAAAGCGCAAGCGGCGACTACTTCGGCGCATTGCGTGGGGGAGAGAAAAGCGCACGTCAGCGAGCGCGGGACCCAATAGCCCTCGACCTCGGTCTCAGCAGGCCCGGAGGTTCTTCTGAACCCGAGCGCGATTTCGAAGTCTGGCAGAGATTCCACAGAACCGCAGTAACCGTGCATCAATAGACCCGGAGGTCCTGGAAGATCTTCTTCTAGATCTAGTCGTTGCATCATCTCCACCTCCTGCGTGTCGTGGTTGGCAAGATTACTAACACTCGACCTGCCTCCTACGTTGTTGTCAGCCTCCACTACTCGTTGCTCACTCAACATATGCTCAGCCAGCCGCTGATCATTGCCGTCAGAATTTATTGGTGCTTCTTGTTCTGCGCCCTTTTTTCTTCTCCTCCTTTTTCCCTTCCCCTTGCCCTTGCCCTTTGCCTTCCCTCGCGTTTCAGTTTCGCTCTGCGCAGTCGGAATTCCGCCCTGCTCCGGCGGAGGGCCCAATGCTGGGCGGCAGATAACATCTTCAGTAGTTCCGCTTCCGCCGTCTCTTCCACTACCCGGCGCAAGCCTACTTCTCGACACGAAAGCGGCTTCCTGCGCCGAGATTTCGACGCTGAGCTTCTCCGTCGGCAAGATGGGTGCGATGCACACCGAGAGAAGAATCTCTCGTATCTCTTCGTCGTGTGTTGATTCATCGCCATTTATATTGCCGTTTCCATCATAGGAAGCTTCCAACTCGCCGATTGATGATCCAGCTGGTCGCTGCTCGTCAATATCTTCATAGCGAAACACTATTCTCGCCGTCAGGCTCTCCTCTTCAAGCATGCAGTACAAAGCCTCGAGCTCCTCAATGGCGGTTTCCGAGAGTGCGGCCAAAACCTGTGCCGGTAGCTGCGCAGCAGCACCTTCCTCCATCATATTCTCGATTGGTAAAACATTGACATGAAGGCGAAAAGCATATCAGCCTTAAGTGTGCGTGAATAATAAAGGGAAAGAACAAACATAAGGGAATCTTATTTTTTTCCAAGGTTATCGCGGGGGTGAACGGAGCTGAAAGCAAGATAGGTCGAAGGAATAGTTGAATGTCCTACGAACTTGAAACTTGTACTGTCTCAGCTTACATACTAGATATTACACATACTTAGGTGGGAAAATAGTAAGGTCATGATCATATAAGAACGAAGTGCGTGGGGTCCGCTGCAAGGAAAAATAAAATCGTTCAAGAAATTCCTTCGCATTCAACCCTTTTCTTTACGAAAAGAAAAGCATGTATATCTGACTCGGTTCCGAGAACTATCGTTTTCTTTTGCAAATCGACGACCTTTCGAAAAAACGCGCAAGTCGAGGTAGGATATGATAGGAGTTGCCGAGGTCGAGGTCGAGCGGGCGGCGTTCCAAAACTTTGAGAGTGCAGCTGGAGCTATTCACGAGCTAATTCTTGACCATGCGTACTAAATGCTACTGGAGGCGGCTAACAGTGCACTTATCCTCGTCCCCTCACGACACTACAAACCCCGGGCCTGTCAGTCAACGCGACGGCGTCACGCTAACCGGGCTCAGCTCAGCTGCCCCGGCAACCCTAACCTCAAAGCCAGCCTTGTAACCGGTTTGCGTTTATCAGAAGTGGACTGAAGTGAACTTTATTTCCAAACTTTAAAAACGTAAAAACAATGCTCCGGGGAGCTGAGTTGGAGTGGGCGAACAAACTATGCTCCGCAGAGTTCCGATTTGGCGATTCGATAGCAGTAGAAAAATTTGAGATCTTTTGTCGACATAAGACCTAAAGATCATAGTCGGGTCGTGAAAAGGCGATATCAATGAAAGCAGGGAAGAGTGAGAACATACGCTTGTAGTCGTAAGCACTCTCCCGACGCTAGTATGTGTATGGTGGATCAAAACATAGAAATAAAACGGAAGGACAGGAGCCAGCCTTCTAAACCCCTTCGTCCACCTCGAGCAAAAGTAAAAGTTTAGAAAACCGTTTGATATTGATACCACGAGACTTCTTGATGGCGTTTCCCATTAGACTCAATTGCGTTCTTTCCGATTGTCCTTGCTCTCCCCTTTTCGCGAAGGTTCGCTGTATGATGTGGCTTTCGTAAATATTCTTCAGCCACACTCTGCAAGAAATTCAACTAACTTCAGAGGAGTTCGTGGCCCCTCTTTATTTTTCCCAGAAGTACAAACTAGTCCCATTCTCGGTTTGGTTCCATCCCGAAACCCATTGGCACACTGACGGGTCCCTCCATGCGTGCGTGCCCCAGCTGGTCCTGCACTGCAGCCATTGCTGGCCATTCGCAACGCTGGGCCCCCTCCAATTCATGGCTCCTTCTTTCTCCGTCGTCCAGAAAACGTCATAAGCGAGCCGGAGATTTGCACCGCTGCCGATCAGGACTTGCTGGATATGGATTGTAAAAATGTCTGGGTCTGGAAGGTTGGAACTTGTAATGCTAGCTTTCCATACCTAGAAAATCTGTATTGCATCACCAACAAAAGTCGCAGCCTCTTTTGTCATGCATACCCGACTGCACCACATCGAAAACCTTTGCACCGTCGCCGCAACCAGCTACGGCCGCAGGAGATCTAGGGTCAGAACCGCGAAAAATATCGCGAGTATATCTTCATGTTCATCCCCGGGCGCCAATATTATCTTTCCTTACTTCTCGCTAACACTATACGAGCCTCTTTTGTCATGCAAAAACGCAACTTCTCATGCGGATTGCCTATGAGAAAGCGTTTTGGGAAGTTGTCATGCCGGACTGCATTCGGATGTGTTTTCATCGTGCACATTTTAGCATCACAAGTTTCCAGACCCAGACATTTTTGCATTTCATACTGGAAATCTTCCGCAACTTGTCCGCGCGGTAGGGCAAAGCGAAATGAGAGGCTGTACATGACGGAAAAGAACGGCAAGAACAACACGCACAGGAGTGCCGCGACCTCCAGTGAATAGGCAATCTTCGGAATCAGAAGGCTGGCGCTTCCGTCACACGGCAGGAACACCGGAGTGGATGACGCCGCAGAGGCTCTTCGGCTGCGATTCTGTTGAGAAAGCGGATGATTTTCGGGCGGAAAAACAATCAACCAGCCAGCCACAATCGCAAACGCACCACAGAAGATCCACGAAAACAGCAGGAACAGAGCGCGAAATCGGAAAAGCGTTGGTGCCCACTGCACACGCACGTACTGCTCCTCGGGCGTGCACGTGTTGTCACCAAACGTCTGATAATGTGCCCACATAAGCAGTGCCTCGTCGTCGACGACCAGGCGCTCGTCGATCGTTCCAAAAATCGCTACCGTCAACGAGATTCTTTCCCCAAAAGCAAACGCGTAGGTCTCAAAAGCTACCAACACTGCCATCGCCAGAGGGGCACATACCGTGTGTATGATCACTTGCCAGCGAGTGTTTTGCACACGATAGTATTCTATCGCGTCATCGGATTCTTGTACGCGATGGGTTTCCGTTTCACGCATTTTACCCTCTTCCTCCTCGGTAGCAGAAGGTATCAGTTGTCCCACTTGTTCGGTGTTTTCCTGTTGCGCTGCCCGCAGAGCGTCGTCGCTGGGGCTGGGCACAGCTGCCGTGAGCATGAAGCCGACGCACGGAAGCACCAACCAGAGGACGCGAGCCAACATCTCCGCAGCTGACATCCCCGCTAAATTGTACAGAGGGGTGAACGCGAAAGCACTGTCTTCCCCGGCCCCCAACGGGTCCACGCACCAAGACGGATAGAGACCGGCAGCCGTCGTGTACCGAGAAAGTAGCGCACACACAGCGTAGACGATGAGGCAAGACGTCCAGATCTTTCCCGCGCTGCTGTCTTGAAACTGGCAGACACTCGACAGAGTTCCATGGATTGCGAACGCGTGCGGCAACAGCATAAATTTTTGAAAATGTCGCTGGCGCTGCTCGCGGAGCGCGCCCACTGCTGCATCCGTTGTTTGTTGTTCGTCACTGCGGTCGACATCTTCAACTGGGCTCTGTGGTGTCGGGACCGGGAGGTAAAGGCCGGGCGGAAAAAACACAAGCCTTGTCGGTAAGGCCAGGCCTATCAGCACAGACACATAGCCAATGAGAAGCAGCACCAGCATGACGATGAAATCCATGCGCATGTTTGCAAGCGTATATGCGACGTGGGTTTGCTCGATAATCTCGTTGACTGCGCCCGCACTCACGATGCGAGCCGCGGTCTTGTTCTGGAAAACTTGCTGGGTTGCCAGCTCTTTCCGCAGGTGCCGAATCGTCTCGCCCTGTTCCCGCAGAACCTCCCCTTGTTGGCTTACTAAGTCCTCCAGTTGCTGCACCTTTTGCTGCCACGCGAGGCCACGACCAGTTTCAGTGCCGTCCTCCGCGGCGGTAAGCGCTGAGTTTGCATTTTCTACTTTCTGGGTGTAGCTGCTGCCGACTTTATGATCGTTTGACGGCGGCGCATAATCAATATCTTGCTCTACTAGAAGGTGCTGCTCCTCTTGTCCGCCCTCTACCGAGACCGGACGTTCCCCGACGAGTCTCGCTTCCAGAAATTGAAACGCAGGTCCAGGCGATCCCGGTTCTTCTGGAGTTTTCGTTGCAAGAATCTCGGAATACACAGAGCCGGTCGTCTTCTCTTCTTCGACTTGCGGATTTTGTGGCAAGACGCGCAACTCAACTCCGCCGATAGCATCAACCCCCGGGCGCGCCATCGTCCTTTTGTCTGTCTCGGTCTGCAGTTCCCCACGCGCAGCGCTGGTAATCCTCTCCTGGTCTTCCTTGATTTGCGCGAGGACACTGCCAGCTCCAGCTTCTTCTTCGTCAGCCCCTCTCCAAAAATTCACTGCTTGCTCCTTCTGCTTCGCGGCTGCACGACGACTGTTCTCGGAGACTTGCGCCTCCTTGGCCGAAGGCACACGGGTGGTCAGGCGCGTAGCCAGAAGTCGGTGCTGCTCTTCGTGTCCTTGATCACCTGGCTCGTCTTCCCAGCTACTTCTCCCTCCGACCGAATCAACAGTTGACTCTGTTTCACTACCTTGTTCCCCGGCCGCTACAAGAACAACATGCTCCAATATTGCACAGCCTGCAGCAAAGATCGACAGGAGCGCAACGCAACGCAGATGAGAGAAGACGAAATGACACCACAGCAAATGTCGACGACCCTTGTTCATGATTCCGGCCCCTTCCATGTATTAGTATTGTTATTCTTTGCCAAATACTATTCAATAGTATTTCGTTGCCCTCTGTCGGACTTGCTAGAATCTTGATCTTCGTACTGATTGTCGAAGCAAAAGGGCGCAACTCGTGGACATCGACTTAAAACCAGTCACAGAAACGGGACTGACAACCGACGTCGATTGCACTGAAACCTGATCCAACATCACTACGAACACTGAGCGTGACCGCCGAGGAACTGGAAAACAAAGTTTTGTATCCGAATCAAGAGCGAATTTTCCCCGCTCTGACCTGCACATCCAAATGCAAATCCAACTTTCCCGTCACGGACTAAAACACTTTTCCGCCTCACTGTAAGAACTAAAGTTGCAGCTATTCCGCCAGACTGTATGTGAGAACTGTGCGAATAAGATTACCAAAATTTGACTTTCTTCTGGTGTTTGCCCATCCACTGCGCCAGGAGCATCCAAAAGAATCCATAAACCAGCACTATTGCCATTGCCGGAGTCGGTGGAACAATGAGCGTCCGGCACAACTGACCGACGCACCCGGTAAGCACATTTGTGAGAAGGAAGAAAAACAGCATGGAGTCCTGCAGTCCGGAGAGCAAATGCGGCAGCGGCGCACGTTGATGAGTAAGGGTTTCGTTCAAAAACCGCAACGCCGCTAACAGAAACGAGTTGCAGGACACAATGTACAGGACGTAGGGCACGTCGCAACATCGGCGGCTGGGGGACTGCGTAAAAAGCAAGAGCACTGGAAGTCCCGCTCCGACCGCCCATGCCCCAAAGGGCACTTCCATCACGCCCTTTCGTCCGAGCGCAGCCGCCAGTAGAAAGAGCGCTTGAAACCCGGGAAGCGACAGGACTCCCTCCTTATTCGCATCAAGAAAACCGAGGTTCCACCTTGGCTCAATATTCGCGAGCGCATACGAACGCCAAGAAAATCTCGCTCGAAAATCCACGTCTGAAGCCGGCAAAAATTCCGCTGGTACATTGAAGAGGTAGCCAACGAAGCCCAGCAACGCAAAGGCAACAGCGTGCAGGCCATTTGCTGACCTGCGCACGCAAAACGCGACCAAGTCACCGCCGAGATGCACCGCAAACAGCGTCACGAAAAAGTTCCAATGCAGGCCGTATTCCTCCGGTGGCACGTGGTGTCCGGAAACCGCAACCGTGATAAATCGACCGAAGCCTAGGCACAAGGTGGGAAAGTGTCGGAAAAACTTTTTGATTACAACCTGGTTGCCTCGCTGCTGCTGTTGCTCAACGGCGGCGACAGAGGTATTCTTCGTCTCACGTAGGGTCTTGCGCCACCTCGCACCCACGACTAGTCCGTTCAGAAACACAAAGCTTCCCACCCCGAGGTCCATCGGGCTGTAGCCTTCGGTAAGGCACTTCGAAAACCGGCGCGGAAAGATAGAGGGAAAGTCGACCGCAAGAATCATCAAAGATGTACAGCAGAGTAGAAACGCCCGGTATTCCGTCAGAATCCGCTTTTCCGTTCGTACTAGGCCTTCGCTTTCGCTTCGTACACCATTTTCATCTTCGCTCGATGTTTTTGCAACATCTTCAGGACTTGCTGTGCCCGGTCGTGTTTCATCTCTACTACATCGTAACAGGCCATGGAGCAAAAGAGTGCCGGTCAGCAGTAAAGCTACATAGTCAGCAAGGTACTGCGGCTGCGCACCGAGCGCGAGGATCGGCAGCATGAGAACCAAAAACTCAGTTTTTGGCCCGTGCTGGCTTTCGACCATCTGCGCTGTTTTTTCGACCGCTGTTGTTTTTGCCGCGCTTGCATTATCCTCGTTTCCATCGCCGCCTTCTGCGTGATGTTCTACTTGAGCCGGGCCTTCTCTTTTGCGCGATCTGTACGCGAAGATCAGATCGTAAAAGTGCAGCAGCACTGGGCACGTGGCAAGGTACACGTAGCAAAATCCAAACTCCACCCCGCCATGCTGCGAGGAGAAGGCAGCCCTCTGCAATTCCGCGTAACTGACGTTACCCAACCGATCGCCGTCTTCCAACCAGGTCCGCAACTTCCGCTTCTGGAGTTTCCTCATCACGGAAGAAAACGACCACTCACTTTCACACATTTTTCGCGGTGGACCTCTTTTTGCGATTGAAATCGGTACTAGACAAAGCAAATCGAAATACGCAAAGTGTGATCTACTTAGTTAAGATTGGTAGGTCCGTCCCTGAAGAGCATGAATCGCAGATAATTCGGCACAAAGTCAAAAAAGGAGGATGTGATCGACGAGGACCCCCTTCGGGCAACATGGACAAAATCAAAGTTTGGTTTCCAAAGTGCGGCACGGACGAAGCCGAAGTGTGGATATTAGATCGTAAACGACACAGTTCGTTGTACTAAATCCGTTCCAAGACGTCGGAAAGAACAAGCCCTTCTTCTTCTACTGTGCCGGTTTACTTATTCGTGCGTCGCAGGCAACCTTGGTTTGCTGCTCCACTCGTCCCACTCCGGGGTCGTTTCATTGCACCTCTTCAACATCAGCTGAATTTTCTTCAAGTTGATAAAATCTCTTCAACAAGTCTCGATTCTATTGTACTTAAACATCCTGTGCGCTAAGTCCTCCGCCTTACTTAGTTTTGCACTAAGATTGATGCAGTTTTTCGTTTTCCATGTACGACAGCACAAATCGCAAACATTGCTCGGCTTTCCGTAGTTTCTACATAGCCAACTCAAAACCACCCAGGTGACGCTCACTGCTTCGTTTTTCTTGGGGGCGCTGCCTGATTGGTCGTGGAGTGCTGTCCTAAAATTCTCCGAATGGGGCTTGGGGTGTACACCATCGATACGCTGGGCACAATCGAGTCTAAAAACTGACCCTCTTGCTGTTTTTGACTCGGCGTAAAATGAGCCTCCTCTGGGGCTTCTTGTGGTGGATGTTCTCGTTTACTTTTTTTCCCCGGCGGTGTTTGCACGGTTTGCGCCACGTGGTTCGGACTTACCAGCAACGACGGAAACCCGCGACCTGTTTGATGCTCTCGGGGAAGAATGTACTCGCTCATCATTGGTCCATCGTGGGGTATCGCATTTGTGGATCTCGCGTTGTAAGCGCTTTTTTTTACCGCAGCGGTGTTTCTTGTTGTCCTGTATGGCTGTTGGAACACAGACTGCATGCGCGGGCCCACGTTCGTACCTCTCTTCCTTCGCTGCCCAGAAATTAGGCCTCCGTCGTCATCCGCTTCAAAAGATTCCTTTGCTTCGACAAAACTACCATACCCAGAACGCTCCGTCGCGAACGCATTTTGCCTGGCTTCGGCGGCAGGCCACGATGTTGAAGCAAATTGAGTCGGTTGCCTACCTCGATCTTCTTGACCACGGGCATCAAACGCGTAACGACCGTCGTCTGGCTCCACCGCAGACGTTCGCCGTTTGTCAACCGGGACCACCTCGTCCAAGCTTGTTCTTTCATCGTTAACTTCCTCCGCTTCGGTTGTTGTAGTTCCGGCTTGCACTGGTCGTTCTTCCGCAACACAGTTGTACCCAGCTTGCTCTTCTTGTTGTGCCCGATACAGCACTTCTTCCAATCCGCGCCCACAGATTGCGAGCTGGCCGGCCACATCTTGCAACTTTTGGTCCAGCACCGAGCGGTCCTTGAGCCGCTTCTGCTCCGCGAAACAGAGCTCCGTGCGCAACTCCTGATTATCAAGTGTAAAAGTGTCTGGGTCTGGAAGATTCTGACACTTGTCATGCACGTTTTGCACACTTGGAAATCCCCTACTACCGCTCGGGGGAGCTGGAACTTTCGCGAGACCAAACGAAATGGCAAGCGAGGTCCGCGCGCCCCCCCTGGAGGTGAGATGCGAGGGTGGCCCTGTGTTGTGATCTGCAATCTGCATTAGACCACACAGGAAATGAGGAAGTTGGAGAAGGATCAGAAATGATCTGGAGCGACACTATGGAACGCTCCAACAACCTCAGCCAACCACTGCCCTCGCATTCACAAGAGACCTGCCGAAACAGACTCAACTCCGGGTAGCCTTCCCGAAGCCGACCTCTAAGTTCGGCCTGGTCGGCAACGAGGCAATGTCCTCAGGGGCCGTTAGGAACCTCCCGAAACAATCGTCAACGAGCTTCAGCGCCGAGAAGCCGCTGACGAAAGAAACGCACAGACTGTTCCCAGTGGCAAGAACAGAAAGGCAGGGACATAGGTGAACCGACAGTGACACCAACTCGACCAAGGTAACCCAGAGTTCCGGACCCGGGGAACACTGGGGACCACGCGGCAGAAGCAACAGCACAAAGACGCCTGATGTGTTCCCAACCGCCAGTCAAGCAGCAGCCAAAAGTCAACGGAGGCAGCAGCAAAAGCCACTCAGGTACTCCACCGAGGACGAGAGGAGCCACAAGACCCGGAGCAAGCTCCGACGGCCACAACAGACGCTTCTACTATCTCAACACCGCTGGGGGCGAAGACAGAGAGCAAGGCAAGAGCCTCGCGCAACGGGAATTTCCCACCAAGCCTCGTCAACGACCTCACATGAGAAGGCGCACCAGAACGGCCACGAGAGGGGTAGACATAGGGCATCCAGCATCCAGACACGTCGCCAACACCGAGGCGGTGAGCAACACCCATCATCTCGTTTGCGGGATCCGTCGCCACGCGTTCATGTTGGTCGGCACTGGCTTCCGCTCGTATCTCGTCCTCGTGGGGAACCCAGACATGGCTACTACCTCGAACGGGAGAGCTGGAAATGCCGCGCGCGCTCGCATACGCATCTGGGGCGGAGAACTCAAGATACGTCCAGCAGCCCGCCGACTCCACTACCGTAAGCCATTTAGGAGCACCCGCGCCGCCTCGCGAAGCTCCTATGGTCCCGCCCTGGCCTTCGTTGCTGGGCCACAGTCCTGTGCGCAAATGCCCAGAATCCAAACACGCTCTATCAGGGGTGCCGCTAGAGTCACAGCAGGGACTTTACGCGCACAGACTATCAGGTCTGCCCTGGATTCTGGGGGTGAGAGAGATGCGGTGACAGCGCAGGAGAATCTTGGTCGAGAGACAACATCATCTTCCAGGGTCCACAGGAAGAGCGGGCACCTGTGATTAAATTGAGGCAACAGCGGGGACGGACATGTTCCGCCCCCGTGCACACAACAACAGAGTAGTAGACCGGCCAGATGATTGAAGAGAGAAGGAGACACAACGAAGCTACTTCACATGCAAGGACTTCAGAGGAGGAAACCAAAAAGCACAATAAAAATAGCACTATACTACTTTGCCCCCCCCAGAAGATCGCCATCACATGGCCGTGGCTCCAGCGCGCGCTCGCGTCCCGTGATGCGCGGACCCTGCGCGGAAGATGTCTTCCCGAAAGCGTCCGAGTCCACCCATGCTGGGGATTGTGCGGGGCCGCGTGTGATGGCCAGCCTTCTCATCGAAGACAGTAACGAAGCGCCCTTTTCCGCTCGTGTTGTGCTTTAAACCGGGGCCCATGCTATGCTTGTCATGGCGCCTGCCCAATCCACCGGCAGTCAATGTCGGCGTGGCGGTCCTCGTTTACCGTGCTTCTGGGCGTGGGCAAGACGGTAAGTCGATGGCTGTCGTCGGAGGAGAGGCCATGTGCGTTGTCAGTGTGCGCACGGACGCTCGGGGCGCCGATGCTCTAGCTAGTACTACTGTAAAGGGGCACAGAGGACCCGCCACGTACGGGTGTTTATCTACTTTCCTTTCGAAACTCCACTGCAGGGAGTCGGGGGAGGTACCGACGTGGCGTCAGTGGTAGTAAAACAATTTAGGAGATCAACAAACAGAAAGGTCCTACTCTACGGCATAGCTCCCCCTGTTCTACATTGATGGATCTCAGGCAACAAGACAAAGTCTTGAGCCAAAATGGCTACGGTTTTGCATGAGCCCTGATGTCTGTGATGCATGCCCTAGCATCACAGACTTTTTGCGAGCTTCTTGATGCCTATTCCGCATGACAACTGCCCTCTCCGCGTAGCAAAAATTACATTCCTTTTGGTACTCATGCAATACAGATTTTTCTGGACTCCAAATGCAGCATCACAAGTTGCATTCTTCCAGACCCAGACATTTTTACATTTGATACTGCACCAGCTCGCGAGATTCCTCCACCGTGTCCGCGGCTATTCCGTCGACCTGCGCAAGGAAACCCCGCACCTCGGCCTCCGCGGTTTCCAAACGGGATTCGAACCCGGCGCGGGCCTCTTCCAACTCCTCCCACTTCTTCGCGAATTCACTCTTGAAATTCTTCTGCTTCTCCAACAAGTAGTCCGCACTCTGCGCGAAGAGCACCTTCGCATCGTCGAGCAGCAGCTTGTGCTGCTGCTCCAGCAAGCTCTGTTTTTCCGCCTGCTGCTCGATCAGCTCGCGCATCTTCCGCTCCCGGGTGTGGACTTCGGAACTCAGCGCGCGCGAGCTTTCCACCTGCGAACGATTTTTGAGATCCTTTTTGTACACAGCAACTACTACGCATCAAACTGCTCTACACGCCGCCAAAAATTATGCTGAATTACTTACTAATAGAAGCAACCACGACTTCCAACCTGATCCAACCTGGCGTCGAGTTCGCGAATCTTGTCTGCCCACGTGCGGTTTTCCGCGCGGTCCAGCAGCAACTCGTTTTGGTGTCTGAAAATGTCGTCCTCCAGCTGCAACTGCCGAAACTCGAACTTCCGGAGCGCGGACTGGATGTTCGTGTCGTGCTCGACGAAATGCGCCTCCCAGCTGCTCTCCGTCGTTTGGAACTGCTTCACGCAGGTCTGCAGCTCGTGCTCGATCCGCTCCACGTGCTCTTCCATCTGCTTGATGGCCCCGTTTTGCCGTTCCAGCTGCTTCTGCACCTCGAAGTTCGTCCGCTGCTGGTCCTCGGTGACCTGCTGCAGCTGCAAAAAGAGCTTCTCGTCCGTCTCCTCCCCGTTCGCGATCAGCCGCTCGCACTCGCCCACCCGGTCGCGCGTGTGCTCGATCGGTACGGAAAACGCGTTTGTGGTCGCGACCGTACCCGCCAGGTCCGCGATCCGCACGCTCTGCTCCGCAACCACCTGTTCGTTGTTGATGATACGTTGCTCCAGCTGCTCCATCGCGCGAGCGAAGGTACGCAGCAACTCGGGACCCAGCGCCGCCGCCAAATCCGAAGTAGAGGAGTTCATGTGGGATGCAGCGTTGGCACTTGCTGTTGCGGCGGAAGTCGTAGTAGACTGCTGGTGTAATTTTTTGGTATCACCATTATTCTCCGCAGGGCTTGCCGAAGGGTCTTTCTCTTCCGTCGCCCCGTTCTTTCGGGAATTAGATGCAGAACTGGAAGACATTGCTGCAGTGCGAAAGGCAAACCACAAGCAGAAGGCCACGGTGATGCAGCAGGCGGCGAAAGGAGAGACTCCTTAGTCAGTGAGCAAGTACCTTCTCAGTGGCAACGACAATCAGAGTCTGGCCATGAAGACGGGATTAGCAGCTCTTATCCTGATTCTCCGCTATTCGAGCCATGCTGATGAAGACAGTATACTCACTGCTCTCTCATGACGACTGACACCTTCTGTTTTCGTTTCCAGACAGACAGTATTTCTATTTTCAGCCAGAAGTATCAGCATAATGACGAGGGAAAGTCCCTAGTTCCGTTTTTCTGTCGTATCTAGCATAGAATCTTTGTCCCCTTTCAAGAAGACGAAAGTGCGAAAATGAACACCGGTTGGCTTTTCGGCCAACTCAAAATTCCGAAGTGCTTCTTGTAGAAACAGGTCGGACCGCAAAAAGGCGCTGCTTATATATCTGTAAGCTCCAGAATTCTTGTTACCCCTCCCCCAGGGAGGAAATCGAAATGGAACCAGTGCGATGGACTTTAGAGTACACAACAAGAAGAAACCAAAATCTCAGTCGTGCGTGGCCCTGTAGCCGAAATGTCTCGGGAAGTCGTTCGAGAGTCTCTGCCCTGTTTTCTTGTTCTTCCAGTGCGAGAAGTGGTAGTGGTAGCGCACCGATTTGAACTTCCCGACCCACTTCGAGCTGGGCCCGCCGTAGCGGTGCTCCTGCGATATGTTCTTCGACGGCTCAAACCGCATCGGCAGCTCGATCCGCTCCCGCTCGTACTCCAGTCGGCGGCCGTACCCGTTGATGCGGTACCCGTGGCCGTCGAACAGACACGGGGCCTCGTGCTCAAACGGGTAGTCGCTGTCCGAGGACCGCCACTCCCGTGGCTCCTCCTCTTCCTCCTCCTCCAGCGCACCAGGAGCATCCTCGTCGTCGTAGTACTCGCCCGCCTCCTCCGCCGCCTCTAAATCCTCCCGCTCTCTCCGTTCCAGGTGCAATAAATGCGGGTTTTTCCGGTGCGCCCGCAGCGCCAGCACGTCCTCGGCAAAATCTTTCCCGTCGTCCGTCGGACTTACCGTGTACCGAACCTCCCCGGTGTACCAGTTGTAATGGTAGAAAATGCCCTCACGCGTCCGCAGCCCCTCCCACTGCTGCTGCTTCGTGATTTTGGGCAGCACGAGCTTGTTTATTTCCTGCTCGTCTTGCTTTTTATTTCTCCGCTTCTTACTGGTGGGTACCTTCTTGCCGCTGAGCTCCGCCGCTTTCTCCTCGTCTCTCTCGCGGGCCTGCTGCAGCCGCTCCTCGAAGTGCTGCCGCAAGCTCGGGTGGATGTGCGAGTCGATCAGTTCCGGCTCCCCGTTGGGCGAAAACCGGGCGTAGAGCAACGCGTCCTTGTGCTGCTTCTTCTGCCCCAATTGCTGCAACACGGTTGAGACCTGCGACGTGGCGGAGCTGCTCACATTTGTCACCGCCGACTGCGCGTCGTTGAAGACAAAAGTGTCCCGGTTCGGCTGCCGTGTGTGCCCGACCGCGGAACCGCGCGGATCCAGCGGCGGCAGGCGATTCAAGCTGGCTGCCGTCAGCATCGCTAGTCGTTTCGGAGATTCGGAGATCGGCGCCGCCGGGAACTCTTTTCAGCCTGTTCAGCAGACTACCTAGTTATTGCTCTGTTAGGAAATGACGCGGTCCACCGAATCTGAAAATTATTGAACAGTTTTTCTCTTATTTCCATCATGTTATCGAACATTGAGAACAAGAAAATGGGTAGGAGAAACAGACGAAAGATTGGGATATGTTTAGCTTGGTCAACATCCTGTTTTGTTTCTGAAATTGTTCAAAGTCGAAGTACACGTGAGATCTTCACCAGCAAACGGCCAAAGATATTCGACGTGACCACCCGGTACTAGCCTTCCTATAGTCAGAACGTGGGCGCCGGGCACGAAGAACGTATCTGAAGACGAGGGACGCGCTTCCTTAAGGCCTGATCAGTTTATTTGTCTTTGTATCTCATCTTGTTGTACGACAGATATAGAGGACGATAAGAAGGACGAACGGACCGCAGCGACGGTAAACGAAAGTGAAACACGCGCACGACGACGAGATGCATGAAGCAGACACGGCAATGACACGTTAATGCATGATCCACCTGCTATTGGTCTGACAGGCACGATGAATCCAACAACAGAGAGGATGAGAACAGGTGAAAAGGCGAGATAAAAACCTTTCCTTTGTTGGTCACGATTCTTTTTTACTAATTTTCCGAAGCGAAGATTATCCGTAAGGCGCAACACCCTATTAAATTTGAATAAACTCGCTCAACAAAATTGGTACTGCAGCGCACCGGTTTGCAAAACATGCAACACTTCAGTCTAAAAAATGCAGGACATCAGGCGCAAACTGCTTCTGCGTTTCTGAGAATTTCCTTTCTGCGAAAGGGTGGCAGATTGACTGCCATCCAAAGTCTTAACCGGTTCTCCTGGGACGATCACCACGGGCAATTCTACTGCTTCTTCCGCGACCGGACTGACTTCGCGAAACAGAGTGGAGACGAGGACCGGCACGTTGCTGACTGGCTTAACTGGTTCTTGTTCAGACCTCTCGTGTTTGCCTTCATCTACGCGCTCCTGGCCGTGCCCGAACAGCGGCAGTTTCTGGCTCCCGCGCTTCATCTCGGATACCAGCGCCCACGGACTCATTTCGGATGGAAACGTTCTTGCGCGCGCGTCCGCCACACGCACTCTTCTCTTTAATGCCTCTGCCCGCCGCCGCCGCCTTTCTTCCTTCGCATTCAAGATCTGCCGTATTTTCGCCGTACCATCTTCGTCGTCTTTATTGTCCAGTGCGCGGCATGAAGATGTCGGCAACAACATCTTGCTTCCTGTATAGTACGTGATCCGGCTCACGATCATAGACGTCACGCAAGCAAACACCGCTCGGATCTCCTCCCGCAACCAGAAGAAGGCCAACATCGCGCAGCGGCACCAGTTGTACTCGCGCCGCAGCAAAAACTTTCGCACCTTGCGCCGCGAAAGTAAGGCACCTTGGGCGCGCAGCAGCTGCGCCTCTTCCTGGTGTCGCTCCGCCATGGTGAAAATATCACTGCGTGCGATTCTGCGACGCAGCGCCTGCAACCGCGCCACCGCCTCGCGAGGTAGAAGGGAGAGGACGTAAACCAATGCGAAAATGACGACCACCACAACGAGTTGGACCGTAGCAATGACCTCGGCAAACGTCCAGCCTTCCTTACTACGGGAGCTGGACAAAAATTCCCGCTTCACAAAAGCCCACCACCGGGAACTCTCCTCCTCTTGTTCCCGAGAGCTAGATGAAACTGGTCGTGTCGTGGATCTGTTCATCTTGTGCAGACTTCAGCTCCAGCTGCCGAGGAAAGTATTGATCTAGAAGTGGCCGAGAAGATGTTAACACATTCAGGGTTGTGAAAAACGTAGTCGATGAACAGTGAAATGTATGTACGTAGTTGTAAAACTAGCGGAGAGGACCTCCCACGCAAAGTATTGGTGAAGTTGCCAACAGCAAATACTACTGCACGATATCAGTCTCGCCGGGAGGCAAACGCAAACATGAGCATAGCTGTGCCTAGTATAAAATGTAAGAAATACTCCAAGAGTAAATAGAGGTGCTTAAGATGCCTGATATCACAGCAAACTGTTCAACGGGTAGGGCTTACTTGTTCACAGCGTCCGTGCACGAAAACGACGAACTTGTGTATGTACGAATGTGTGTATGTACGAAACGTAAACAGCAACAGGCCACTGAGTGGGAATTCTAACATTCCAGACGAACGACTTCGACTTAGCTTCGGGGTTGACGTGGACGATCCGTCATTTTGATTTTCCAGAAAACGTAAACGACAACACCGCATAATGCTGCATGACTCGAACACGTTCAAGCAAAACGGAATGTCCTGAGGCCGCGTTGTAAAAGTAACGCGGATAAAGTACCTCGACCTTCTAGCACGGCAGGCGCGCTGGTTTCATTCGCGCTTCTCTTTTCTATCCGCCTTTTGTGTTTGTTCTAATTTTCTTCTTCAACAGCGTCAGCTTTGGCGCCACCTGGCCAGCGTTGAGACTCACGGCTGCACACCGCGAGTAGTTCAACCCTGCGCTCCCCGTGCCACAATCATCGGCGGGCGACGAAATGGACAGTTTGCGCACAATGTGGTTGGAATCCTGCGAGAAAGCAAGCTCGTTGCGCAACTCGCGGTTGCCGTAAAGGATTTTCTGCGCAGGGCGCAGCTCGTCGTGTGGTGCCCGCGAAGAGGAAGACGCTGCGGGGACGAGGAAACTTTTTGGCGTTGATTCCTTGTCCGATGCCGCGCCGTGCTGCGAAAACACGTCTTCCTCCACCTCGCTCGGCGGACCGCTGCACTCCGGGGAGAGGTCTGGTGGCGCTGCAGGGGAAAACACTTTCAATATGTTTTCGCGGAGAATCTTCGGCGTATCGGCATGGTCCTCGTGTGGAGGTCTTTGCACTACCTGCTCGGCGGCGGTCAGCGGTTTCCAGAGGGACGCACGGGCTTGCGCCTCGCGGTCGTCCTCAACGTCGTCGCCGCGAGCCGCGTCGCGGATCTCAAATTGTTCTTCTGAAATTTCGTCCGCGTCGTCGCATACATTGTCAATGGAGCGCGGTAGAGTTCCACTCTCTCGCGTTCCGGGAATCGCCGATGACCCGGTTTCCTGATAGGATTATTTGTTCAAATAGAGTTTTAATATTGGGCCTGTTGTACATAGCAGACAAAATGCCGTGTGCCGGTGGATGATTGAGTCTGTGCCTATCACTATCACACGGAGTGCGACGCAGAAACATTAACATTCTGCAAAAAACGCAACAGGTATAGCACTTGCCTGTCCGAGCTGGTGCTCCGGTTCGTCGAGAGAGGAGAAAAGACGTGCGTTCTTTTCGAAGTACGACGCGAAACTCATTCGTTGCGAAAAAGAGCTCGTCCGCGACCGTGTTGCCGAGGAAATGGACCGGGTTCCAGATGGTGCTACCCCCGTCGAATGAGCATTTTGCTGGTTGTTCCCGGGTAGTGTGGCCTGGTTCGCGTGGACCTCGTCAGTCGACACGAAGGCGGTGCCGTTTTCGCCGTCAGCGCAGGGAAAATTGCTCACTGCGGCCCCGGCTTCGTCTTGTTTGCCCGGACCAGTACTAGCACCAACCGAAGGGGCGCGCCTATCGCTCCGCTCCTGCGAGGTAGTTGTACCTAGTGGCTGTCTTTTCTCTCGCCCTGCAGATCCTCTTTCCGAGCTGTCCAGATGATAGTCTTCAATTTCAGCAGGAACACAGTGCAGTTCCTCTTCGTCGGTTTCCAGCTGCCCCGCGTCGTCACTAATCGCGGCAGGTAGCCGGGGGACCTCTTCCAGGATTGTGTGTTTTCCGTCGGGCGTGTACAATGGCAGGTACAGCGGGTTGTCCGAACGCGGAAGGGGTGCAGAGTTGGTGTCTGCAGAGTCCAATACGCGAAACCACTTAGAGTACACTTGTCCCAGAAAAATCTGGTCCTTACTTGCCACCAAACTGCTTTTCGCGTCGAACTGTGGCTTCGTACGAAACGCAATGCCCTGCTTCGGAAATATCACCTTCATGTAGCGCGGTGGTGCCTCGAGCTGGCCCGTGAGATCCTCGACGGCCTCCTGCATTTTCGCTTCGGCTACACGCGACAGTTTCAACCTGAAGGAAGCGTGTCGTTTTTTTGTGAAATTCACTGGCTAGTGGTACGTCAAGCACTATTTGCTCATACATCTGTAGACTAGCAACTGATGCAACTGACGAATCATCACGGGCGGCGCACTTTCCTGATGCGGACAGAACCAGAAGTAGTTCAACGGCCCCAAAAAAATCAGTCTGACCTTTCGGTGAATCGAGCAGCCTTCTGTATTGCTTCCTCCGGATTTAGTGCGCCCATGGCTACTTGCTCTGCCGCTTGTCCGGCCCACTTGTCGCGGGCCTGTTCCGCTATCTCCACGCATTCCACGCGGAGCCCGCCCGCGACCCACTCGCGGCCGAATAGCGCCCGGTTGGGCACTACGGTCACCACCGTCTCATGCGCCGACCAAGGGTGCCCGCAGTTGCACACCCAGCTGGCCTCGAAGCACTTACACGGACACTTTTTGTTCCGCTGCCCCGGGACGTGACCCTGGCACGCGAAAATTTCCAGCCCCTGCGCGTTATATTTCCCGGTTGGCTTATGGTCGGACCGCTTGTGCTTGCAACTGCACCGCACCTCCCAGGCACCCTGCTGCACGTGGAACTGAAAGCCCTTGCAGGGACACTTCTTGCACTTGGAACCGCAAGTACTGTTGTGGTCTTCGAGTTTGTGTCCGCAGATGCACAGCGCCTTCTTCGGCTTCAGTCGGCAGCACGTCGAACTGCTTGCCGGTTCGCAGAGCGTGCACCGCCACACCACCTGTAGCATTGGTGGTTCCACGGGCTGTTCTTCGGTCTGCCGCACCAAATCCAGCTCCTGCTGTGCCGAACTTGCGGCTTGGTGTTTTTCCAAAGCGAGTTCGTCATGATTGTATCCCGCGGTCAGTCTCTTCAGCTCCTGGGTGCTGGAGGCCCCGATTGGAAGCGAGAGACCACGCTGCGTCCCCCCTAGAAGTCCTCTGGGCGGTGGCTGGAAAAAACGGAAGTCGATTTTGTCCGAGCCAAATTGGGTCCCGAACACTTGTTTATCCAGACGCTCCGATCTCTTCATCACCTTTCCTCCTTCCGCGGTCGGGTCAGTCGCGGCGTGCTGCGTCGCATTCGCCTGCTGCGGGTGCCCTCGTGGCCTGGAGCTAGCGTAGTTACCATCTGTTGTAGCCGCCACGCCGCCTTTTGTGCCAGAACCCAGATTGAAAAGCCCATTCTCTCGTGCCTTTGATACCAGTTCCAACGCTTTCTGCAGTTGCAGAAACTCCTCCTCCTTACCCGTGTGTTTGTCCGGGTGGCAATCGCGAGCCCGCGCTCTCCATGCGGAGCGCACAGCATCCTCGTAGTTTGCTTCCTCAGCTGAGAGGCCGAGAAACTGCAGCGCCGTGCGCAAATCCATGACAGCAGCTGCCATGTTGCAGAAGCAAAGTAGGTTGTGATAGTGTTTTGTAAAGTCAATAAATTGGAGTAAAAGCAAAAGACATGACGCTTTGTCAAGATTAAGAAGAACATGGACAGCTACACATGCTAAATGTGAGAGTAGCTTTTTTGTCTTGTTGCTTAGCGGAAGTTGTCAGGCTCCCGCACTAACAAATATGGTCCAAAAGTTACAGAGGGCCTCGAGGACTCACTGCACCCTCGCCGAAAACAAAACTCGTCAAACTTTTGCGAAAAGGAAAAAAGCCTTTCGCTTTCCTCGTTGACCTGATAAACCAATCCATTTATCCGGTCACGAGGACGACATGTGCGACAGTCTACGAAAATAACGACAAAAGCTGCGACCGGTGCCATGAAACAGCATCTCTCAAACGATTTCGTCGTTGCAAGCAGATTTGGAGTCACTCAGGCAGTTTGTCTGACTACGAGCTCTCAAAACAAAAACAAGTTTTTCTTCGAGAACAGAACCAGAAGAAGTCATGATGCCGTGCTCAAAAATTAGCATCGCGGTCAATTTAGTTCACAGCTTTTTTCACAGCAAAGCGGTAGAGGTCCTTTTTTTCCTTTACTGGTCCCTCAGACAAGGTTTTTGTCTTTTTGCAAAACAAAACTAACCTCAGGTTTGTGCTTTTGTAGCATCGTAAAAATGTCAAAACCGCTCACTTCGACTTTCGTTCCGCTTCCTGTTCCACTCAAGTGCTGTGTTGTAGCCCGCCACTAAGAAAGGTCACATGTCTTCCAGAAGTAGGTTCGGACACACGCCTCCGAACACCGAAACATCTCCCCGAGTTCAAAAAACCTCCTTCATGTGGGCAGCAGTTCATTCGGGATCACCTGAATCCGGATTTCTAACTCGTCTTCGATATCCCGAATGGTCTGGTCTGCTTCGTCCAGATCTACAAACAACAGCGATATCAGCGTCGTGTTTGCGTTTGCATTCTCGCTGACGTTTGTTCCCCCCGTTTTGTTGTTCCCCCCATGCTTGTTGTTTGCCGCTGCCGCACTGCCAGTATTCTCCGTTTCGTTCACCTGTAAGGCCATCAGCCGCAACCCGTATAAATGCGTTTCAAGCACGCCGAAGTGCACCACGCACCGCAGACCTTTGGGCACTTCGGCGCGGAGGATGATTGGATTTGACGGCGTGAGGTAGAAATCGCACCCGCCTGGTACGTTTCGCGCATCGAGCGTTGGGTGGATAGATAGCTCGTGACTGTGTCCGTGCATCAGGTCTTCGAGAAGGGACACTTCCTCGTGATAAACCTGTAAACAAATATACACGCTTTATTTCGCAGTCTTACTTTCCGAGACGGTGCATAGGCATACGATTACGAGGACTCTTGCGTACACTTACATAAAGGAAAATGGCTGTTGCCACGTGCTCAAATAAGTACCTCTGAAAGTTGCTTTTTCAGGGCTGCTTTGTTGCCGCTTTCTGAGCTCCGTGGCGCGGGCTTGTTGTCACTCAGATCCTCCTTGCTATCTTCGCGGGACGTCGCAGCGGACTGCTGCTGCTGGGCTCGCGCGCGCTCGGCGGCCGAGAGCGGCTTTCGTATCCGCGGCTTCGCGGGCGGCGACGCCGTCTTTGGTATTGAAGGACTTGCTTGCGCTGCAGGTTTACTACTTGCTTCTCCGTCGTGCTTTCCCTTGCCATCGGGGGAAGCGGCAGACTCGGTCTTCTGGTCTGTCTTCACATCCGCACCGGAAGTTTTCGTAGTTGCCTTCCCCTCTACTTCTCCCGGATCCGTCGTTTCTGCATCATCAGCTCGAGCATTTTCTCTCTCACTGCCTGTCTTCGCGTCTGCCGACTGGGAGTTCTTGTCTTCGAGCCTAGAACGCTTCAATGTTTCTTCTCCGGCCGATGTCTCGTCTGGACTGGTTGGGCCGGAGGCATTATATCCAAGAGAAAAACACCATCACAATCACATTTAGGAGGTTTTGCATCAGAAATTTGTCTCGCATGACAAAGTTTTCTTGTATTGCAAAAACACAAGGGGAAACGCTTATAGCTCTTTACTGTGATGCATTTTTGCGCATGACAAAATTTTTTGTATTGCAAAAATGTGCAAAAGTGATTGTGATGGTGTTTTTTTCTTGAATACATTACTCGTAGTTTTCATCGATTTTTTCTTTTCCGGCGAAACTACAACGACGTTCCCGCCCATCGAAAACTTCTTCTCTGTGACTCTGGACCGTTGCTTGATCAACTCTGCATTCGATTTGAAGCCCCGTTTAGAGGACGACGTGGAGTTGCTGGGTGTCGAGACGCCCGAGACACCCGATTCCTTACTGGACAGCCGCCCCTCGGATGTCGTTTTACCAATCTTCGTCGTTCCGCCGGTTGTTTGCTCGTCACTCGGCGATCCACCCGGAAGAAGAGATTCCGACAGAAGACCCACGGTAGTCGCGGAGCCCGCGATATTCGGCACTACTCCACCGCCGAGGTTGTTGGTCCCAAGCGTTCCCAGTTGCGTCGATGCGGTTGCTGCTGCTCCGCCCGTTCCCTGCGCCGCAGCGGCTTGCGCGTTGTGGTCAAAAAATATCACGCCCATGGGCAGCGACAGCGTCTTATGCAGGTCCGCCAGCAGTTTCGCCCACCGCTTGCGGCGCGCAACCACGGCGTAGTGCTTCACGTGGCGGCGCGCGCGCGCCCGGATCTGGTCCTTCCGCAGGCCGAACAGGTTCTGGCCCTTGATTAACGAGTTCCGCAGCGACCGCAGCATCGTGCTGTGCTGCTTCTGTCCCTTGTTAGTCAATGTGGTCAACATCTTGGACGTGGTCCCTGTAGTCCCCGCAGCGCCGCCAGTCGTGTTATTTTCCTTCTTGTTCATCTCCGCGTTGTTCCAGAACCCCGCGCCAAACTCTCCGCCCGTGCCGTTGGCGCCAAAATCGCTCGCGTTCAGCGCGCTTTGCGCGCCAAAGTGATTGCTCAGGATGTACCCGCTGAGAATTATGAACCGCAGCTTTTTCCGGCTGAAGAACTTGCAGATCTGCAGAATTTCGCACACGTCGTCCATGCAGTTGTTCTGAATGAGCTTCTCCGCGTCGTCCAAGACAAACACCTCCAGCTCCCGCAAATCCACACCGTTCCCGCTACTCGGCCGCAGGTTGCTGCTGCGGTTCAGGTTGGTGCGCAGCAAGGACAAGACCGTCCGCGGGTAGCCGTACAGCACGCGCGGGTAGTAGGGGCCGGACCGGTCGCTGAACTTCGCACTGTGGTCGTTCGGGCCGCCGTCGATGAAGCTGATCGTCGTCTGGTCCTTGCCAAAAGTGAAATCCGCGATTTTCCGGCACATCTCCATGCTGTCGTGCACGAGCACCATCGTGTTCAACGCCCCATGCCCCGACAAGTATTCCATCAGGTGGTCCGACTCGTCACGGGAAACTGACCCGAGGCCTTTGCTGCCACTTAACATCCCCACGGAGGCAGTGGCAGAATTTGTACTACTCCCGACCGTCGCGCTGCTCCGGCTTCTCGCTGTGATCCTCGGCCGTGGTGACGAAAAATTGGAAGCAGAAGAAGTCGTGCTTGGCGCCGCGGGTGCGTTACTCTGCTGCTGCTGCGACTGCGCACCGCCGGGCTCGACTACTCCTCCAACAGACCCCACACCCGAATCATCAGGGGGAGAAAACGAGAACAGCGCTAAGTCCGGAAACGCGTAGACCGCGAGCAAGCTGATCAGCAGACTGCTGGTCTTCCCCGAGTCCGGAGGGCCTTGGATCATGACGAACCGTTTTTTCCGCATTTTCAAACTTTCCGTGATCACCGGCACGATGTACTTCTGCAGCTCCAACGGCAGGTCGATACCGTACCGACGCAGAATCGCGGCGAGCGACTTGCTCAGCGACTGAAAGTCGTTCAGACACACCGCCTTCGCGGCGCCGTTGCTCTTGTCCGACCGCGTTCGGCTGGCGACCAGGTGGCTGTCCCGCTTGTTCGAGTTGTCCTCGAAGCACTCAATTTCCAAGTCGTTGTAGTCGAACACCGCACACTGGCTGTCTATCGCGAGAAAAAACTGTTTCACTGTGAACTTGTGATGCATAGAACGGAACGCAAATGTGTTTGTCTTGCTACACATGCAAGACATTGGATTTTTAACTGTGTTTTCCCTTAGGAAGCACGCATGCCAAGTTTTCTTTGTCATGTGTAACAAACTTGTGATGCAAAACTTGCAAAATCATCACAGTGAAACAGTTTTTTCGTGGGATACTGTCCCGCGCGACGCTACTGTCATCCAGCGAGGAGAAAATCGAGGAACTCTTTCCGTCGCGGGAAGACGGCGTGGCGCACGACTCGGTGTGCGAGTTTTCGCGCTCCCGGATGGTGGGCAGGAAAGAATCGTCCTGGCTCCCGTTGCGCAAACGCGCCTTCACACTCATCCGCTGCTTGTACAGGTGCTTGTTGTTCTTCAGGCTGGACGAAATTTGGATATCATATGCGCTGGTGTGCACCACTGGTCAGAATGATCGCATAGAAACGTAAGCACAAAAACATCTTCATCTCGTCTGTTCTATTCTGTTGCACTACAATCTTCATCATCACACCAAAGCTATTTCCTGCAGTACAATCTACCCAAGAGTGTTGCTCGGGGCGGATGCCGCAGACGAGGCGCTGCTGGGCTGCTGCCCCGGCTGTGTCCCCGCCGGCGCTCCTGGCGAGGAGCCGTCCGAATTGGGGGACTTCTGCAACGCGGCAAACGGCTGCCGCTGGGACGGGGAACGGTGCGAGGGACTGGAGGCGGATGCAGCGGTCTCTTTCGACACGACGGCAGCAGAGGTGCTGATGCTGAGAACTTTTCCGCGCAGCCCGGGTTTTTCGTCCGGGTCGAACATCTCCACCGCTTTCTCGATGCTCTCCTTTCGAGACTTCAGAACTGGAACTGAATGAAGCGCAGGCACGACGGAGAGTGGCTTGCCGATCTGTAGTTGTCAGGAGCATGCTTTATTTGGCGCCAAGTGTCCTGGATAAGAGACGAGGATGACACCTATTTAAGCTCGACACGAAACAAAAATGGCATGCATTTCCTTCCTAAGAGGCGCTAAAAACCACGTTAGTACCGCGATCTGCTGGCGGTTGAGTTTCTGACTCATGCCAAGGTAGTTGGTGCCCACCAAGTTCGTCGCCATCTGTTTCTCCCTTCGCGGGCCTCCGCGGCTCGGCGGCGAGCTCGGGGAGGACGGAGACGCGGTCTGGTGATCATCCAGCAGTCTTGGCATCACGCCGTCGCTCGACGCGCCGCGGACGGGGGGCAGCGGGCCCTGCTTGGGGCTCGTTGCGCTGGTCGTGGCTCCATGTTGTTGGGAGGGCGAGGCGGGCTTGGGCCGGGCGGCACCGCTCGACGGTGAAGAAGGAGACGCCATCTTTGGACACAAAATTGCAAAAGCAAATCACAAACAACGCGCACGAGAAATACACCGCATAGCCCACAATCTTTCTATATGGTGTGCTGACATTCTCCAGTCACTCGGGCTCTAACGTGTTGCTCTCTACACTTCCTGTAGAAACCTCTCAACTAAAGTCAATGCCGGACACTCGACAGGCGGTACGGATGTCCTCCGAGTTATTTCCGTACGTAGCTACGACGCCTGTAACCAAGAAGGTTGAACAAACACCGGAAATCGCTATGGTGCGACTGTAGAAAGAAGAGCCTCCGTTGCTTTTTCATCGTGATATTCGTAGAGCTTTGCAAAGTACTTGCGCATGAAATCGAAGTTCACAGTACATGGATATTACAGGTTGTCGCGATTCCTACACATCTGTGCCGGGCTATTCCATTCACTTTTTCTTCTTTTTCTTCCACGCGCCTTTGCCCGCGTTCTTCTTCTTCGCACCGTTTTTCTTCACGATACTGCCCTCCTGGCCCCAGGCACCTACTTCGTTAAATCGCTTTCGCGTAAATTCTTGCACCCGCTGGTCCTTTAGCGTCTCTTGCATGAAGGAAACGCCCTGAATTTCATTTGGATCATATCAGATTCGTGATTGCCACTTCATTTGCATGCGCATTGTAGTTAAGGATTCCGGTGCATTCTCATGTCCATCGTACGTGAAACTTCACACACACTATTCATAAAAAGGACAACCCTTCAACGAATTCACGAAATCAAGTGTACCTTGGTCTTCTTTTTCTTGTCGCTGACGTAGGTCGGTCGTCCATCCCCGTGCACTGGCGCCAGGCCCTGGCTGCCTCCCACCTCCACTCCCAAATGGAAGTGTGTCGGCAGTTCCTTGGAGTCGTTCCCTCGGTAGAACCTTGTTGGATCCGCGTAGGCGCGCATTTGCAGGAACTTCAGTTCCCGCTCGAGCTCCGGGGTCAACTCCTGTTTCGGCAAGCCGTTTCGGGTCTGTCCGCGCAGCTCCTGGCTCAGCTTTTTCTGCTGCTTCACAAACTTCCCGGTGCCAAGCACCGGAGCGATTTTCCCAACGGTCGGCCGTTTCGAAGAGCTGGACGAAGTGGAGTTATTAGATGAACCAAATCTCCCCAAAACCTTAGCCAAAATGCCGTCGTCGCGTACACGGTCAATTTTCGCAAGCGGAAGAACTTCTCCTTGGTCATCTTCCGCATGATCGGGAGCTACTTCAGACGCATTTTGTTCATCATCATCTTCATCCTCGCTGAGTGCAACACCTTTGCGTGTTAATCTCTCCGCTTGCTTCCGCTTCTTCTTAATACCCGCCTGCTTCAGGTCGAGTTCTACGGGCTCAAGGGTCGAAACCCCCGCCGCCGCCCCGACATCCAGTTTTGACTTCTGCTGGAAGTACAAGCTCAGCGGACCCACGTCGATATCCCAGTCCAGTGGGTCGTTCGAGCGGACGCGCGTGTGATCCGCCTCGCCTTCGTTGTCGCTGTTATTCCCGACGCTGGTCGTGTCGCCGACCGCGCCGAAAAGGTCGCCCAGATCGAGATTCACCTCCGACATTATGGTGAGGCAGTGAGGTTCGCTAGAAGTAGCGAGGTTTGGGTTCGATGTAAAAGTCTCTCAAATCGCCATAGGTAGATGTTGCACGTACAAGGGTTTTAAGGATGCTGCTGACGCTACGGTTCTTATCTTGACTTGAAGAGTTGGTCAGTGCCGAACTACCTCTGAGAGAAGAATAGTTTGAGCATATCATCGAGTCCGCGCGCCTCCGCAAAATTTCACGACATAAAGATCCACCTCTTGACAGGACTATTTCGGCCGAGTTCTCGACATTTTTCTGATCCAAGAACCCGGACTTTCGGGGTTGCCTCGTGGGATCGCTGTATCTTTGCGTTTGATCCTTCAGAATACAGATCGCATTACGTGTGGAGGAAAATTTGAAGACCTCAGAACGATCATGTTTGCGATCGATTGATTCGAAGAGGCGGCAACTGGATCTGAATCTTCGCAACAACCAAACTTCATCAAGCATCGGCTTGTGGGTGAGCCTAGCTATATGTGGCACAGCAAGCGGCCTGGTCGTATATTTTTCTTCAGAAGTGGCTAGTAGATACAGGTTTATTACAAAATGAATCCAGCACGCCTAAGAAAAGACGCGCTTTATTTTGACAGAGGCACAGTATCCTGAATTTATCCCAGTGAAAAAACAATAGGTCTAATGGCGACACAAACGGGCCCAGGCCTGATCATGGTACGAACAGCGGGACAAGCGTCGTGACGGCACAGACTATGAGAGGAATCCAGATCATGTGACCCCCCCCTTGATCCGCTCTGAAGGGTAGGGCAGTGCAGGCCAAAGGGGCCGGCGAGGCTCCGTAATGGGGAGGAACTGCAAAGCAAGGCGGGTGATCTATACACAGAACCTAGCCCAAAACGGTGTAACCCGCCCCGACTTTTTGACCGCCAGGTCGGTTGGGTACGGGTAGGCAGGAAGACTGACAGCATGACAAAGAGGCAGATAGATCCGGATCCTGTTGGTTCATCCAGATCTATCAAAGATGCATACGCAAGCCGAAGCGAATTGCGGAAGCAGTTCGCAGGGCTCTCCCGGGTGGAAGTCATATCTATCCGCTTCAAAGGGGGCAATTCGCTTCTAAGCTTATGACAAAAGAGAGCAGCTCCCGGGCGGGAGGGAAATCCAGAGCGGCCAACATCCCGCGCGCGTGTGCATGTCATGCAACGCAATTGATTTTCCGAAACCAGCTCAAAACAAAACGCAGACACAATCTGGGAAGGACAGACCATACACGGTCGGAAAACAAGCGTCCAGATGGCATACAATTTGTGCTGTTGCTCCCGCGACTACCAAAAAAGAAAGTTCAGGGGAAAGGGTAGGACACACATGCAAGAAGGTAGTCGCCTACGAGAGACGGGTAGGGCATCTGGCCAGACGCAAACACGAGCCAGGTAGCTCGCAACTGACGCGAGTATCATCCATGTACACGAAACACAGACGCACGCGGCAAAATATATGCCCAGGCGGATACGTCAGCCCATGCATGCCTTGAGCTAAACAAGCAACATCGCCATGCATCGACGAGAGATTCCGGAAAATCAAGAGCCGCCACTCTCTAAGAAGTTGCAGGAGATGCACAGCGCATATTCTGGAAGGCAGTATGCAAGACAGGGAACGAGGGTGGGGAGGGTGCCGGAGGGCTACTCCATGGGCAGGGGCCAGACACGGACACAACACCTGGCAAGGCTGAATAGACTGGGCAAGGTCCGTAGGGTACTTCCAAAGGACGGGAGGGATGAAAGGGCTAGCGCTATACATCAGATCCAGCACTCTAATACCGAAAAAACATCCTGCGGCCAGCCGTTCGCTACGGCGTCGCAATGTGGTCAAACCTGCGCCACTGTCGTACTGACGCTGAATGCCGAACATGCAAGCCGTTGTGCTTTCGAGCAGGCAGAACGCATCGAACATGGGGGATAAGGCTTGATCTGACGGCCCAATCTATTCGTGATTCAAATTCAATGTGAAACATGCATGATGTTTGAATCACAAAGCAAGGGGGTAGGGAAAAGGGGGGGGAGGGTACGGGTTTAGGCGGGGGCGGGAAGTCATGACAAAATATACAAAAGGCCACAGCTGGGGTTCGGGTACAGCGGGATGCCAGCTGCTGCTCTTTGACAAAAGAAAACCATAACTATCCGTTTTGGGTGTGCTCATGCAAAGTCATGTAGCGCTTCCTAAAATGCAAAGAGGTGGACACTTTGACTCGAAACAAGTTGTCCGATGCACTACGAGCACTCTAGCTAAGATCCTCTATCCCTTCTGCATGCAAAGTCTTTATAGTAGTGGCAAACTAGTACAAACTAAAACAAGGGATGAGGCAAGTTGCAAACTGGGCTGTTCGCAAAATATCCTAGAAGGGGGCGACCTCTGTAAACGGAGAAAAACAGAGCCTTCTAGTGGACCTTGGTTACCCGGCATCTCCCCCGGGGGCACAGTATCCTGAATTTATCCCAGTGAAAAACCTAAGCAGACAACTTTGTATCGCTATTGTAAATTGTGTTTGAACGTGGCACGACTCATTAGCACAGTTAACATTAAAAATCGCAGTCAAATTGCAAACGTGTCAGCTTGAACGTAAAAATTGAAATTCTGAGTACTTGCTGTAAGATAGAGCTTGACAAGATTCAAATGCAATGGATCCGATCGCTTCGCAGATGTCGCATCACATATTCTGTTTCTGAACTCCTTCCTCCATTGTCCGATTGCTCGTGTGAAAATCAAGCTTTCACTTCGCCACCGTCTTTCACGACGACCTGAACCTTCCGAGTTGCCGCTACACCGCCTGATCCGCATTGGGATCCTGAATCACGATGAGCAGATACTCCTTGTCGGGCGCCACCATGATTTCGTGTTTCTTGCTGCGGATGCGGAGAAAGGTCAAGTCATTCATCGGATCCAAATCGCGCACCACAGAACGGGCTTTCGCAGTCAACTGCGAGATCAGACTCGAGTACTGCAGCGTGAACTTCAAATCCAAGGTGGACCGGATCGGCACGCCCTCGGCGTTCACGATCACGATCCCCTGCACGCCCTTGTGCGTCTTGATGCGGTTCAGCGTCTCCTCGACTTCAGACATCTTGCTTAGTTATTTTGTGTGGTCCGAGCCTTATTTCTTTCCGACTGGAGTCCACTAGGAAGAAAAGAAGAAAACCGCTACTCACGATTTTCCACCCTAACGTTGGTTGTAGATTTGTTTTGAATGAAGTCGAAACTCACGCAACGATAACGCTATTTTCTTGGTGCTCCGGGAAGGCGGGGGGGGTAATGACAACGGTGGGGGCGAAACGGCTACGACCCAAAGATGATAGGAGAAGTCACTTCTTTGCTATTGTCAGAGTCGTCCAATGATCACGTAGTCAATTTCAAACCTCAGGTTTCTACGGTAGATGAATCATGCCTGTGATTTGCTACACACAGCACTTGTACACAACGGAATGCACTACCCTCGCTTAAACAATTCAATCAGACAACATACAACTCTCTCTCGACGACGAAAGAACAACAGCAATTTTAAAAGCGTTCAAAACAGCCATCCAGCGCAATGTCTTTGAATCTTTGCGATAGTAGTTTTCAGCTTTCTTTTCGTTCTTTTTGTTTTTTTGATTGTCGCGTAAGAACTTCTTCAACGTGCAAATGTCGTAATAACACCGCCAATCCTGCTTTGATGATGAAATGCGCGAGATGCAAAGCGTTAGGTACTACAAATTCGCTGATTTGTTCTGTGGGTCGGAGTAAGTGGGCGACGGAAACAAGGAGCTCACTATCGCTTGCCTCTGCAGTACGGCAAGATGCTCCCGCTGGCCCGCTATAAAAGTGGGATTGTAATCCACATTTCTTCTCCAGTCTTCGCGTGCCTGTAGTGAGAGAAAAGCTTTAGGTGGATAGAAGCGTTGTGATGGATCGAATCTGTCATGCAAGACATCGATGGATCCTACGAGACATCAACCATGCTGAGATTCGAAAACAACAAAGCCACAGTCACAAAAAATGAATGGTACCCTTCTGAGGAAGTAGCTGCGGAAATTGTAATCCTGGAACTTGTGTGCGGCCCGCAGGATGGACCGATAGAGCACGATGTTTTGCCGCATGATGTTTCTGCGGGAAAACGCGAGCTTCTACTTGCGGACGGTGACCAAAACCAAATGCTACCTCAGTGCGCTGGACATGAAGTTGAGTGTCTTTTTGTCCCCCTCGCAAAGAGAGGATAGGGACGGCAGTGTGTAGAGTAGCAGTGAGTAGAGTAGCCTTGGCGTGACTGAAAAGCAAGCTACAAAAACTTCTATTCTGTTGATTGTAACAATCGCTATAGTCGTCTGCGATACCGGTCAAAAACGCTACACAAAATACTTTAAGTTCAAACAGAGAAACAAGGGTCTCGTTTTTTCAGCGTCTTCTTCGTGTCCTGGAATTGGAAACAAACCGTTGTAGATCAAAAAACAACAAGATCATCAGTGCATAATTGATCCTTCGAAAATAGCGGCGTGCTTACCATAAGTGCTAGCTCTGTCGCTAGTGCTAGTGCAAAAAGCGCTCTATTATTTTTCTTTCGTAGGAACTACTCGCGCCGACGGTATGCGATGATCCATGTGTGACCGAAAAGTTTTCCCTTTTCGTCCGCGATCTCATGAGCGGAAGGTACAAAACGGATCCTCAGATTCGTGGCCGTAGGCGTAGCAGAACACCAGTTCATTCTTGTCTTCGCAGCTGATTTCTGTGCTCGTGAGTGACACGCGCTCTTCTTTGCAATCAAAACCATTTGGCGAGCGTTTCACTTGTAAATCTCGTGAGCAGAATGATCTTCCATGTGCAAGCATACGCGTTCTGTATTCTTCACTTTTGTCTCTCTTTTTCGGACTGGGGAAGAAAAAAAAACGAAGATACTCGCTAGACAAAGATTGCGAGACTCAAGAAAAACGCAGCGTTGCTCAGTCTTGTGCAAGATGAAGAAAGACAAACAGCTACTTTGATCTAGCAGATTAAAAAAATCCGAAAAGCCTGCAATACCGGGGGTAAATGTTCACGAACGAAGACAGATAAAGAAGGTCACAGCATGGGGATACCGTGGATCGGCTTGATTTTGATACTACTTGCTGCATGAAAATCAACTGGAAATAGAGGAAAAAAAGTAAAAAAGGGGAGGCAAGTTTCCAGATCCGATGCAAAATCAAACTTGTAACGCAAAAATGAAAAACAGACTACCCGACAATGTTTCCCTTGTGCAGGTGCTGGTGGATGTATTCTGGGTATTCGAACAACTGATCCTCCAGCAGCTCCGCCAGCATGTGCTGACTGAACAGCCCCTCCTCGTCCGTATCGTACTTTTTCACCATCTTTCGAAACAGCGGCTCGTCGTGTGCCACGTGGTAGTGCCCAAGGGCCTGCAGAAAGAGCGCGGTTTCACGCAAACTCAGCACGCCGGTGTCGTCTGCGTCAAAGTCGAGGAAAATTTGTCGGGCCTGTCGTGTTGCGATGTTTGATTCAATTGTCCTCTCAACTGCAAATTCATCTTGCATCAAAGGAGGTTATGATGTCTGTGTGGTCTTATAAATATAGTTACATCATGGTGACGTGAGCGTGACGCTTCATAGACAGTAGAGAGCGAAAAATTATTTACCTCCCCGGTCAGGTGTCGTTTCTCGTCGGTTTTGTTGGTTCTGACCGCCCGAGAGAGCGGCTCGCCGAAGTTGGACATAATCCAGTCAACGTCATTGCTGCTGTAGTGGTGCAGGGTGGGAGCGATTTCGCAGCCCCGCGGCATTTGAATCAACTCGCCCGGTGCCTCCCGGTTCTGCGCAACCTCGTTCAACGCCCACGCGACTTCCTCCCGCTCCAGAAACAGGTGCGGCGGGTGCTGCTCGGAGTGCAGCGAGGTGGAAATCTGACTGTCGTTCGTCAGCCTCACGAAATCGTCGTTTCCTGCAACCGCGCGATCGTCAGCCGCGGCGGCCTCGAGCGCTTGACGGCACCTGTATTTCAGTTTTGAGAGATCGGTTGCGGAACAGCATATAAATATAAATATATGGAATTCATCATCATAATTAATTCGATCTAGCGAAAACGCTAATTCCACACTGTCTGTGTTGACCATCCCTAGTAAAGATAAGCTGAATATCACTATTACCGTTCCGCGTGCACGTTGTCGCAGTATTTCAGTGCAACGATCAGATCCTGCAGCTCCACGTAGCCCTTGGATTTCGCCCGCAGGTAGCGCTGGTGGAAGAACCAGGTGAACCAGCTGAGGTCGCTCAGCACGCTCTTGCACTGCGCCCGCTTCGCCGGGTTGGCCTGCTTGTAGGCGTCCATGATGAAGGCGATGACGAACTTGAACAGGATCATGATCATGAGAAATTTGTAGAACAGGAACAACGGCGTTGCGAAGTCGTTCAGCGCGAATTCGTTGACTTCCATGAAGAGCGGAAACTTGTTGAACGACTGGCTGTCCACGCGCGCAGTGCTCGCGGGCTTGTACAACCCCATGCACGAGAGAAACAAGTTGTAGCTCCCCGGCAGGACCTGGTTGAAGCCCTGGTCGTAGCTGCCCAGCATCACGTTGGCGATCGCCGCGAAACCGACCAGCGTCACGAGGAACACGACGAGCAAATGAAAAAAGTCGCCCCCGATCCCCGTGAACGTGTCAATGATGATGGCCAACCGCTTTTGGAACGCCAAATGCTCGAAAAACATCTGAATTAGGAGTAAAATCACCAATCCGTTCAGGCAGTGGTAGAGGGAGAGCAAAAACTCGCAGGTGATCACGTGCTTGATGAGCGCGCGCACCTTCGATTCCTCGGGTGCCGCGGGCGGCATTTCGTAGAGCGCAGTAGAGGTGCTACTTCCATTCGCTTGTTCGAAGAGCCGCATCTCGCCGGCTTCGAGGGAGGATTGGTCCAGGGTCGAGAACTCCTGCACGAGCGAGACGCAGTACATGTGATGGTAGAAGAGCAGCACGAACCAGAGCACGAAGCAAACCGGGAAAACGCAGAACCAGAGCGCCTTGGCGCTCTTTAGGTACGGGAATCCGGCGTGGTCGGTCGGGAGTTCGCGCGTAATCGTTCCGACGACCAAGTCGTCCTTCGGTTTGTACACCTGCACCAGCACCGGTCGGATTTGGATCACGGCGAACACGAGAACCAAAAGTTCCACGAGAATTCTGGCGCAGAGCTCCACCAAGCCACGCACGTCAAGCCCGCTGCTCAGCACCCAACTGTCCTCCTCCGGGTTGACTGGGAGATGGGATTCCTCTTCGTCGAGTTCTTGGATGGAGTCGCGCTCGCCGGTTCGTGGTGATGTTGAAGACGGTTTCTTCTCTTCTGGCTTTTTCTCACCATTATCATGATTTTCGTGCCCACTTGCGGTGCTTCTCTCATCATCATCGTCGTCATCGTCACGCTCGGATTCTTTCCTGCGCATCCTTCTGTGAAGATGCTCGTGATGCTTTTCGCTCTTTCTGTTCGCCACAGCGTAAATGTGCGGGTACAGGGAATACGGGATCGACAAGGGGGTCAAGCTCGTGGACCAGAGCCCGGCTTCGGAGATATCTGCCGCAAATTCAACCACCGTGAGCACCTTTCGTGCCGGCGTGGCCGCCACCCACCGGACCGTCATAGCGTAAGTATTGGGGGACAGCAAGCCCTGCGCCTGGTAGTAGTCTAACTCCGCCGCCGCGTCCCGGCCGGGGATGTACACGGTGTACCCCTCGAAAAACGGATCGTACGCGACTCTTTGCCCGTCCAGCAGCGTCACGGACTCCTCCTGCAAGTTCTTCTCGCTCAGACACAGTGCGCTCGGCAACCCGGCGCAGCTGTGGCTGTTCACGTACTTTCGTTTTGACGTTACCAACAACCCGGTGAGCACGTCCTGGCGCTCGCTGAGCGCCTGGAATTCCGTGGTGGTGTTGGTCAGGGCCCCGCCGACCGGGGTGTGGTAAATTTGCGGGACGAGGGAGGTCTTCGTGTAGCCCCAAAACTTCTCCGCGGTGATGGGGTTGGCCGGGGGCATGGGCATCAGCGGGTGCAGCCAGGCCTGGTTGGCGTCGTGGATGCGGTGGATTTGGTTCTGCCACACGACCGCCACCAAGTAGAGCGCGACAAACAGCAGAAACGTGAACAGAATGCCGTACGCGGTCGAGGCCCGCACGTACCACACGTACTGCTGCCGAAACTGGTCGATCACCAGCACCATGCGCCGGCCCTCCTCCGCCTTGCTTCGGTCCGCGGCGGAAATCGTGCTGACGCGGGCCAGCGAGGTCTTCTTGGCGTCGCTCACCTTGGCCACGTCGTTGGCCCCCTGCAGCAGCGGGTCGTTGAAGTTGGTGGCCAGGGACAGAATCTGCTTGCTGGCGCTTTCCCCGAGCGTCACCGGCGTCTTCACCGCCGTGACGCCCTGCTTCCCCGCCGTGCCCATGGGCAGCAGCGAGTTCGTCTTGGAGCCGCGCCCCATGCTGCGGGTCGGCAGATTAGTTTTTGAAAATGTTCACTTGTCTACAACAGCAAAGTGGGAAAGAAGTGATTCTAGTTTACGGCGTAAACGTAATATGTCGTGACGACAGTTGGAGGAATGATAGTCGGGCTGCTCACGGGTGATACAGATAGCACACAAGATAGGGACATTAACATGAAGATGATGACCTGGAAATGAAGCAGCGAGCATTGCAATGGTGAGACGGTAGGAGGTTTTACTACGAAGCTAAGTGATACTCGAACGCTGGGACGATTGTTCTGCACGACATGAACGAACGAAAACCACGTAAGAACTCCTTCCACATGGAGGCATCACCTAGGATCAGCGCACGATACCGACCGGCAGAAAGTTCCTGACACAAACCGATTATATTCTGTCTATGTATATGACGTTCTTACATTGCAGTGACCGACGCCATCTTCAGAACGAAAGAGTACGACGCATCGCGATGATGCAACACATGCACCGAAAAGCAAGCGCTCTCTATCAACCGAACTGCCACATCGAGGGCACGTCATTCCAACGACCGACTTTTAGGCTCTTTGATCGACGACCTCGAGAAATTCAGACGCGTTGGTCCAGTATAGCGACCTGTAAAAAACGTGAGGCATGCCTGCCGGCGCGACGCTCCTCACGCGTAGCAAAGTGCTCTTTTGGCGCTGGCGTGGGTCTTTTCGTAAATTCAACAGTGGGCTTCACTTCGAGTCTAATTCTGGAACCAAACCATTTAAAATTAAATGAAGAAGCCATGTGATTCTGATTCACTCATTGAAGCTTGTTTTCTTCTCCCAGATCTCCCGCTGCTTCTTCGTCCGCATCGGCGTCCTCTTCCGGGTCTTCGGAAACCTCGTCTTCCAGGTCTTCGGCGGATTCTTCCAGGTCTTCGGAGGGCTCATCCAGGTCTTCGGAGGATTCTTCCAGGTCTTCGGAGTCCTCTTCCTCCTCATCGGTCAAATAAATCTTGTCGGGCAGGTGCGCTTGCACAAAATCTTGGAACAAGTCACCATCCCCATGCTTCTTGAGCAGTCTAAGGTCTTCGTCTAACATGGCCACACAGCTAAAGCCGGCGTCTGACAGCCATGTGCACCAACTCCTGCGTCCCAAGACAACAGCTAGCGCGAGCGGATAATCACAGGCCTGGTCCAAAATGAAGTACGCCTGTTCCTCTTCTTCCTGATACTCGTCATCCACCTGGGGATGATTCTCATGCCAGCTGCGGATCGCCGCGGTGATGCCTTCTGGGCAGGACTCATCGGCAGAGGCGCCAGAATCCAGTAGCTTCTTCATCAACACGTGGAGCGCTGGTTTCATGCCGTCCATTTTTTCTAGATGGTCCCCGACGTTCGTCATACCTACGGCCATGCTCCAGCTCCAAAGCACCATTGCACCTGTGAGCACTTCCCCCTTCGCTTTGTTAGTAAAGGGCATCGCTGTGGCCTCTTCTAGTTCCAGCAGCACGCGTCCGAAGAAAAGGATTCCGCGAAACAAAATCGCAACGAAAGCATCGCCAGGTTGCTCAGTTTCAGTGTAGAACTTCTTGCGGACCGACACCAAAAGTTCCGCATTGAAGAACACGTCCTGGAAGGCGCATAGTGTCGGTGGCTGCTTCCCGCGCAAGCATTTCTTCACCACACGCACGGCAAACTCCTTCCGCTTCTTAACTTCTTCGTCTGACAATGAACCGACCGCCTCACTGAAGCCGGCTTTCCAAAGTAACTCGAGGACCTCCCGCAGTAGATCCGCCAGTCTTGTTACTCCCAGGATGCTGTCTCTCCCCGTCTTGAGCACGACACCCAGAAGGGCCGGAATCTCGTGTCTGCCTGCCAAGACAAAAACCATCTCCAGGAGCTCCTTCCGCAGCGCTGACCCCTTCAGGGCCGCCGTTGTGAAGCGGGGCGCGTGGCTGCCCGCGCACTCTTCCTCCATCTTTTCCAAAGCCTCGGACTGGAACTGTTGGAAGGCTTTCACAAAATGACGGCGCTGCCCGACGTTTGCAGTGGCGTAGCTGTTCGGCTGTGAGGGAAATTGCACAAAAATAACCCACCACGCCAGGCGCACGGGTGCCGGGTCCCACGGCCGACCCGCCACCACGTGCGCCCGGAAATATGCGTCCTCGGGTAGGTCGAAAATGATCCGCACTGCGAACTCCCGGCTCTTCTGCTTTTTTTTCGCCGGCTCATCTACTTCACTGTCGCCTCCAGAGTTGTCGCTTTCATTGCTTTTGATAATCTCCTTTCCCCCCGATGCTTCCGCCTTATCCCCATGCGTAGTGGCAACATCATCCGCGTTGGATATTAAGAACTCCTGCAGCATTCCACCCACCTCCGACCCGGTCACGATCTCCCCCTCCGTCTCGAACTTGACCCAGTCCATGAAGATCCCTATCGCCACCCGCTCCTTCCGGCTTTTCGGCAGACCCGTCTCTTTGTCCAGCTCGACCCCAGCAAAGCCGTACGCGTGCGGACACACCTTCGCCATCACGTCGAAGAGCATGGTGTTGCAAGCAGCGACGAGGCCAGCACCGCCGCTGTCCGAGCTGCTTTCCTTTTTCTCTTCCTCTCCTGGCTCAGTCACTGGCTTGCCAGCCAATGCCGCATCGGGGTGATCAAAGAACTCCTTTACCTGGTTGATCGACAGCTCGTGGGCCGCTCCCCCGACCCCAACATAGACCGTAAACGTCATGATGATGAACAGCAGAAGAAAAAATAATATATAAGATTCAGTTGAGATTGAACTCGAAATTCGAATGAAATTCATACAAATAACCACTCAAAGAAATATACGAAAAACTTTTCAAAGATAACGTGAAAAACCCCGTCGCATTGATATACTGAGAAGAAGTGCGTACAAAAATCCTTTCTCAAAACTCTTAGTGTAATGGCTACGATCGACTAGTTGAAAAACGGATAGCGAAGTGAAACAGTCAATGTAGTTCTAGCTTGCTGGTACTATTGTCTTGTTTTCCTTACCGACAATTTTGTGCTAGTATGATTATCAGTGGGATGTAAGAATAACTATCAGTGGAGACCTGTGAAAAAGCGCAATCATCTTCATCACGGAACCGCAGTCGGGAAAAGCACTACTTTGCTTTCAAAAATCGTGTCTCCTCTTGCCACCTGTGACCAGAACCAAGATCGACCTTGAGGAAACCAGATCGCCCTGTGACCAGAACCAAGATGACCAAAACCAGATCTCTGAAGATCCCAGCTCTGCATCCGAAGACGAAAGATCCTCGGCTACCTGAGGAAAGATCTCTGAAGATCATCCCAATCTGTTTTCATCCCGGCTCTCGCTCCACCGAGCAGCCTATGAAGTACATGGAACACAATGTCACGCGCACCTTCTTGTTTGACTCCTACTTATTCGCTGTTCTTTATTGCGGTTGTGACACGACTATAATTCAGTCTTCTAAACTTTTGCCGCTTGTTCAGTTGGTGTTGCTCTATGATCGCGGGCTCCGTCGATCGGGGTTCTTCAGGGGACAACTAATGTTTGGGGTAGTACTCACACTTCCACTCCTGGGGTAGTACTTTTTACTGAAATCACCTAAACACAACTTTTGGTGCGGAGAAGGAGGAGAAGCGAATTGACTATAAGTACTTTCGCTTTCATCTCCGGCCTTTTCCGCCACCGCCGCCCATCATGTTTAGCAACGCGCTTTTGCCACCGCCTTTCCCACCCATCATACCTTTCATGGACTGCATCATGTCTGCCATGCCGCCCATGTCGCCGCCCTCCATCTGCTTCATCATGTTCATCAGTCCCCCCGCGCCGCCCATTTTTCCGAGTATCTTCGGGTCCATGGCGGATTGAATTTTGCGCATGGCCTCCTGGGGATTCCGCATCATCTGCTTCGGGTCTTTGGAAAGTAAGCCGGTCTTCCCCATCTTGCCGATCATCTTCTCGAACCTGGAGAATTACACATATCACATGAGAAAGTTGCGTTATCTGCACTTGCGCACCAGGGCAGATTCGCGTCTTTCTTTTTCTGCACTTCCTTCAATTACAAATGGATTCCATCCAAAAACATCAAATTTACACCAGTACTAGTACCTTTTGTGTTCTGCTAGGAGTTCCCCGACATAAGCTGGATGAACGCCCGCGCCCCGTGCTATTCTGAGTATTCTAGATGGCGTCTTTTCTATTCTGTCGCCCTTGCCGTCAAGTTCAGCGTCGGTCATGCTATCCATCATCGTAAGAAACCTGTGTTTCAGTGTTGGTTGATCTGGTCGTACTTTTATCTAAGTAGATGACTATGACGACCTTTCAGCGTTTTATATTCGCCTCTCGACGTCATGTACTGTGGCATTGATAACGCAACGCTTGCAAACTAGCAGCAACTCTTTACCTTCTGACCCTTTTCTGCGCTTCCTCTTCATTTCCTTCGCCCAGCATGTCTGTTGGCATCCCCGGTATCATGCCCATGAGATTCGACAGACTTCCCATTTTCGTCATATTCTTCATCTGTTCATACAGGTCTCGCAAGCTGAAATGCCCCTGCGACATCCGCTCGATCATGCGCTCTTGCTCCTTTTCGCCGGGCATCACGTCTTGGAGCGTAGTCATAAGACCTGGAGGGTGATGTGATATTTTTGCTTCGAGGATTGCGCTGCTCGCAGCTATTTCCAAATGTATGAAAATCGCAGTACAATCGTCTTGAAGATAACTCAGTCTATCAGTTGAGCCCAACCTTCATGCTGATAGCGATAGTCCGTCGGATCATTCTTGAAGCAAATTAAAAGTACCTCTCAAGTCGCCCATGCCCAATAGTTTCGAAACGAAACTTTCAGCCTCAAACGGCTGGAAGTCCTGAAAGTGCTCGCCAGTACCGAGGAAGCGAATCGGCGCGCCTGTCGCAGCGACGGCTGACAGTGCACCACCGCCCTTCGCGTGCCCGTCCAGCTTGGTCACGATTACGCTGCCTATTGACCTGTAGGTGGAATCACAGTCACACATTTTCATAGATTGAGTCTTGCTTTCTTTAAAAATATCGCAGGTATATGACACGAACGACCTCCACCTAGTTGATTAAATTGCATGCAACTACCACGAATCATGTTGCTACCCGCAAGCGTCGTGAAAAGCCCGCGCTTGGTCGTGGCACGCCTGCCCAATGTGCGAATCCATGACAAAAATGATTTCTTGGGGGTCAACCGCGGCCTGCACTTGCTCCATCTCTTCGAAGAGGGCCTGCTCCTGCTTGTGGCGACCAGACGTATCTACGATGATGAGCTGTGAGTTTTGGGAGCATGGTTTTCAGAAATCAATCATTTTCGTAAAATCGGGAAAAATCAAATCGTGAAAATCAAGTCTCACGCAATGCATTTGTGCGCTTTTTTTTGATAGCAGAGAGATCCCTGCAAAAATTCTGTAGTCAGATATGCCAAGAACAACGGGCTACTTATACCTCGTATTTTTCTTCCTTGAATTTTTCCACACCCTCTTCGGCTATTCTTACCGGATCCGTGTCTGAGTAGGACCCGAAAAATGGTATCTTTACTTTTGCTGCGTTTTGCTTCAGCTGGTCAAACGCCCCTGCGCGGAAGGTATCTGCACAAACTAGCGCTGTTTTCCATCCTTTTCTTGCGTAGTGGTGCGCAAACTTGGTACAGGAAGTCGTCTTTCCCGCACCCTGCAACCCGACAAACATCACCACGTTCGGCTTCTGCTTCACAAATTTGTAGGGCGCTTGCGGTGCGGAAACCTGAAGAAATTTCGAAGGATTTATTCTTTTTTCCAAGGCTATCTTTGCCGCTGCGGTTGCCCTATCAAAGATGATCCATCAGAGCCCAAAAATATACAGGTACAAACATACAGCTTCGGCACAGACCCAAAGCTGTTGTCAACCACGCAACATCAACATTCAATGAGCCTCGGTTGTACCATCTCCACTAGGCTCTGCATGACCAGCTTCTGGATGTTTTTCCTTTTGTTGATTCCCTCTTCCTGCGCCGCGAGTTTTTTCTTTATGTCTTGCTTCATGCGCATCACGTAGCTGATGTTGACGTCCGCCTTCATCAGGGCGTTAGTGATTTCTTTCAAGCATTCCTCTATCACTTCGTCGTCTACCACGGTGGCAGCGTTCAGCTTTCGCAACGCGCCCGTGAGCTGGCTTCCCAGATCTGCGAGCACCATCTTTTACGGTACTTCTCCTGGTGTCGTCCTTCGTGTCTGCGGCCAGTGCCAGTGGTTGCGATTCTTAGCCCGACGAATCTTGTGTCCGTCTGCAACTCCTTATCCTTGCAGGATCGGCTGATTTTTACAAACTAGTGCTCGGGAGTCAGAGTCACGTCGAAACCCTCACGCGCCTCATCTCCGGGACCAGCTAGTAGTAGCGTTTAGTGCCTACTGCGCTCGGCGACTACCGCGTTTGTCCTTTGTGTCGCTTCTGCCCTGGAGGGTCGCTAAAGTTGCTGCCGCAGCGCGCTCGTTCATAGATATCGCTACTCGTAGTCGAGACAATTCACAACTTCAGCCAACAGTTCAAATTTTACGTGAGAACAGATACTAGGGATCTTCTCTGCTCGGACAAAAAAAAGTAATCATCCGCGGAAACCCGCGACAGCAGGAAGCTGCTTAGTTTCTTCTATACCCTTGCCTTGCGAGGAAGGGCCTGCTTGTAAATCATTGACTAGGTCGCTGAACGTGCTGGTCTGTGAAAAAGTGCTGGCTCGAGAACTACGATCGCCGAAATTCAGTGAATCATCCGATGGAGAGCAGAGCAAAATCTATCAATAGGATCCTTTGCAGACCTGCTGCGCGTGATGCTTCAAAAAGTGGACTGATCTTTTCCAAATTCAGAACATGTCTTCGGGGTCGGTTTGTCGCGCATTGCAATTATTGATTGTGCACGTCGCTCATGATGACACGTACTAAAACTCGTGGCGTTGGTTTTTCAATAGCTCTACTAGAGCACTCTACATTTCAAGACAAACCCTCTACTTTTATTTGATTATTTCACGGACCATCTACAAAAATCCTGATTGCTTTTGCAGCAGCAGTACCTCGATAAAGACCTTTATTTCTTCAGCTTTCTAAGTCACTCGTAGAACTTTTACTGTTACTGTTACTGTTTACTCACCAATAGAAAGACACGACCACTACAAAGACCACGGAGCACTGCTCTCCTTTCATTCCGACTCCAACAGCGTAGCGTTCGTCACCCCGGCCACATTTCGCTCCCGCAAAGTCACTTCGGCGTCTTTGTCCTCTTCCTCCCCCTTGCTTACTTCCAAGCCAGTTTCCGAAGCCATTGTGACGCTTTCCACGTCACCGCCAGCAGCGCCCTCATCCGTACTGCCGTCGCCCTGCTCTTCCTGCTCACTGCTGCTATCATTTTCAGTTGCTTCTGCTTCTTCGCTTTCATTTTCAATCTCCTTCTCGTCGGACAGCTCGTTGCCCGTCTTTTTATCCGCCTCTCCTTCGGTTTCTCCCGCAGACCCAGGGCCATCGCCCTCCTTGTTCTCAATGGCGAGGGCAGTCGGCTTTTTATCTTTTTCCTTCTTTTCCTTGTCCTCATCAGTCTTAACTTCCATTTCCACGTCGCTGTCCACGGAGAACTCCCAGTCTTTCGGCATCTCCTTGGGGTTCCTCTTGTAATAGTAGTCCCACCCAAGCTTCCGCTGGTGTTCCGACGGTTCTCCATCGAAATAGGGGAAAAACGCAAAATGAGCAATGAAAGCACCACCGCCGTACCAGATGTCCTCGAAATACCTGATTGACATTGATGTTTCTTTGATTGTTCTCCGGAACATTAGTGCCTTGTAGATTGAACGTTTCCATGTATCAATGATGTCGGCCGCGCGCGAAAAAAAAATACAGGTACATCGCCATACGTACCATGTGTAAAAGAAGATGCCCGCAACAGTCAGGGCTGCGGCTATCAAATGTAAAAATGTCTGGGTCTGGAGGAATGCGCGACTTGTCATGCAGCTTTTCCATGACCCATGAGGTCTGGTATGCAGGACCTAGCCTGACAGATTCTGCGCGATCTCTCTCATGCCTATCCTGCATGAGAAACTCCCTCGCGACTTGGTCAAAACTGGGCGACTTTTGGTAATCATGCAACACAGATTTTTGCATGCTTCAGATTTAGCATGACAAGTTGCATTCTTCCAGACCCAGACATTTTTACATTTGATAGCGGCTACGAAGCCGTTAAACGGCATCGGTATTTTCAGCTCCCAATCTCCACTCTCCCCTATCGGAATCTCGAGGCTGTTTGTGTTCGTGTTTTCTTAATACATTCATGTCGACTTCGATGGGGAAGAATAAGAAACCATCGCTGCCAGCCGCGCAAGTGACGCAGCATTACCTTCTCTATGTTCAACGCCACAGTAAAGGTTGAATTGTACTTACATGCATTGATCAGTCCATTGTGGGTGGTACGTGCCCGGTGTCCAACGACGGTGGTACTCCCGTAATTTCAACCTCTGCTCATCCAGCAGCGGACAGGCCGCCTGCCTTTTAACCGTCTTCTTCTTTTTTTGATCAGCGTCGCCGTTGCACTCTTGCTTTTCTTTTCCGCTCGCTGTCGTCGCTTTGCCGCCCGGCTTTGCTGCGTCGTCTTTTGTTTCTCCACTGTCAACGGAAGCCTCTGGGGGAGCACCAGCCGCAGAGTTGTCAACACCATCATTTCCGTCGGGCTCGGAAACCTCCGTCTTCACCGCGGCTGGTTTCTGCGAACCTCCCGTAGCTTGAGTTTTTCCCAACGACCCCGTCTGCAGCAACTTGCGATGCCGTGCGCCCATCTTCTTACGGATAGGGCAAGTAGACTTTCCTTGGTTCTGTAATTTAAAGAGACCAGGGAGCAGAAATTATGCGCATCCTGTCAGTCCTGTCACTCACTTTTCGCTAGCCAAACAACACTCGACCTTTGATACCTTCCCCCTCGGTTGCATCCTTTGTAATATGCCACAGACGCTCAATGAATCCTCGCGGCCTCTCAGAGTGATACAACGCGAACGCACAACAAGACAACAATACGATCAGAAACACAGAATGAAACGCTCCGGCTTCAAGAAGAAGAAAAAAAAACTGCATACAAAACGTTCGTTCCCTTGCTTTGTGCATGCGTAGTACAAGTACAACGCGCTACATAGCGCATCAAAATTTCAACAAAAGTTGTGTAAAACATGTCATCAATATGCCGAGACAGGGATCCACCTCATCGTAGGCTGATTTCTACTAGGACGGCCCTTACTCCGCCGCTGCTTGTCCCGCTCGCGCTTTCCCGACCGGAATCACCGCCCCCGCTGCTCCCTGCTGCCCCTCCACCGCCGTGACCCCCATGGGCGCAAAATTCTTCCTCACGGGCGCGTTTTTGAAGTAGACCTGCAGCCCGAAGTAGACCGAAATGGTGACGCACAGCATCGCGATCCCGACCCACGAGAGCCAGGACTTTACCGGTTCGTGCAGGATAAACAGGGATCCCAGCAGGGAGGAAAGCATGCGGAGCGGCTGGAAACTACTGTACAAAGTCGGCCCAAGGTGTCGCACCGCGTTAATCTGCTGAATGTTTGCCCAGTAGAAAATGACGAGCGAGAAAACGAGGAAAAGTGCGTAGTCGAAGGCGCCGAGTTTCGTGAAAATTAGCCAGCCTCGGAAGGAAAAGCCCTCGGCAAAAAAAGTGATGATCAAAATGGGGACGAAGTTCATGACGTTCTGATAAAAAGCCAGCTCCTGCTTGCCCAAACCGACCTTGGAGGTGAGGGTCATGCTGACCCGCATCAGGGCCGAACAGAGGATGGAGAAAACCTGCAGAAACACGCCCGCAATGATGCGGAGGGGATGGTTCGGATCTTTTTTCGATCTCGGATTTACGGTCGTGTCTGCATTGCCGTACTTCGTGAACGGCACGATATCGCCGCTCCGCACCCCGGGATTTTGCGCGTTGATATTTTTGCTGAAAAATGATTTACTTCCCGAAGGATTATTGCTGTTATTCATCGCGGCTGGTTGTTTCGACGCGCCCGATGAACTTGGCTTCTTGGCGCCGAAAAACGGGAGTCCGGAAATTGGGCCACCTGTGAGTTGCCGAGTTGAAAAATTTTCTCTTGGTATCATGTCCTCGTGTTTTTCGGCGGGTGCGGGTGAGAATACCGAGAACAGCGACCATGGCGCCGACCAGGTACTAGATGAGGTGTTCTCGAGAGAAAAGGCTTTTGATGCTGGTGCCGAAAATCTTGACGCGTCGTTGATTGTGTTGCTCTCCGGCGAGAGTCTTCTTGTATCGGCAGCGGTTATTTCCGACCACAGCGACGCCAAAGATGCAGGAGGTCTCGCTCCGTCTACATGGTCCTTTGCGTCAGTCGAACCGGGTGTAAGTACGATGTCCGTGATAGTACCAACCAATTCCCGCAAATGCGAACTCCTCGCTCGGCCTTCTGTGATGTTCTCGCCTGCGATAACGAAAAACGACCCGACCATGCACACGAAGCAGGATGCACAGAAGCCGCGTGGTCGGCTTTTCTCCCCGAGAAAAAGCATGCTGAAGAGCGCAACCACGTACGGATTGAGCAACGAGACGCTCTGGATGTAAAACGCCAGCGTGAGCGAGGCGGAGAGAATGTTGGTCAGAGCGCGGATCAGTGTCAAAAGTCCGTAGGCGGACCCAAACACCGCTTTTTGCGCAAAAGACGTCGGCTGCTTTTTAGTCTCGCTTGGTCTGGACGGTTCGTTTACAGCGGCAGTGTTGTTCATTTCCGTATCTTTTTGATCTGAAGCGGTTGCCGTCTTCTCACTACTTGAGACTTTGTCGCCCGAGCCACATAAGAAAGAGCTGCACATATTGACAATCCCGCTGAGAAAATGCCCGCCGCCGAGGAGGTACATCGCAGTCAGGGCCGGGTTGGAGACGTTTTGCAGGTACCGCACCACGGGATGGTACATCCCCCAAGCAAGGTGGGTGCACAGTGCCAGCACAAGATAGCGACCCTCGGCCATGATTCTTCTTTATCGCGAACAAGAAACAACAGCAAAAAAAAGCTCAAGCAAGATCCAATCGTGACTGAAACAGAAGTAGAAAAGGGACGATGGTCTACAAAGATTTTAACTCTCATAAATTTTTGTTTTATCGACTTTCAGGTAAGCGATCATCCAGTACTCGAGTGTTCCGGATAACCCAATAGTACATTGCGCGGAGTACACTGAAATTCAGACGGAACCCGGAAACTCAAGTAAAAAGGAAGCTGGGAGCAGCCCGCGTCCGTGCAGCCTTTCGATTGTATAACGCGTTGCTCCTCCCCGACACCACGGAGGCGCTCTTTATCAAAGTTCGTCTTTTCAGCACGTATTCTTCCAACTACAGCAAATCCTGTTCATCACATTCACGAGCCCAGAGTGGTCTCAGACGACTCTCTGGACATTCCTCTTATCGAACGTTACATTGCGGAGCAAGCGCTCTCTTCTTCCTCCTGTTTCGGCTCTTCGGAGGTCTTCGGAGCTCCGTGGTCCTTAGCGCTTGCATCGCTCTTCGGAGCTCCGGCTGGCCGCGGCCTCGAACTGCTACCTTCACCGCGGTCGGCACCTGTTTTTTTCCCGCCGCCCTCGCCGGCCCTGTCTCGGAAATAAGCCTCGAGCTTTTTAGCCCCGTCGCGGTACCGGCCCGCGCTCTTCACGTCTTCCTTGTATTGCTCGTCCAAGCGGTCTAGCTTCTCGTTGTTTTCCGCTAACTTCATAATGTTTAGCCGCATCTGGTCCGCTACCTCGTCGGCCTTGCCCTTCTTCCGGTTGACAGCGTCCTCCTCCAGTTGCTTCCGCGAGGGCCGGCTGCCGCTACTGGGGGACGACTGGCTGGCTGGCCCGTAGTAGTTCCCAGACCGTAGCTCGTCGTCCGCAGACGACCGGCTCGCGGCCCGCTCCTGTTGCCTCCGGAGCTGCTGCTCCATTTTCCGCTCGATCCTCTCGCGCTCACGGCTCGCGTACACTTCCCCCGCGGGCGCAAACGAACGAAGCTCGGAGGAACCCATGCCGACTGTTGTATTTGTGCACCAAAGTTTGAAAATTTCAAGAGTTTAACGCGACAAGCTATACAGTTTCGGCTACCCATAATTTCGAAAAAGGCGGACCGACAGTGAAAACAGAGTATCGACAAGTACAATCTGATATGCAACTGTTAATATAGTTTGTGCTTTATGATTTTGTGAAACACATCAAACGTACTCTCTGCGGAAGTAGCCTCGCTGAGGAAATTGTCAACGCTGACAAAGTCCCGGTCTCGTGATGCCAACTGCGACGAGTGCTTCGCCATCGAAGCGGGAGTAAAGGAAGAGGGTAGAGTGTCTACCGTCTCCGTGCGGCCTGAAGAGAGTAGCTGGCGTTTCTTCTCCACGCGACTTTCTATCTTCTTCCGACGACGCTGCTCCTTATCGCTCGTAGCCGGGTAATACTCGGAACCCAACTGACTCGCAGGCGAGCTCGAAGCGGGCGAGACCGCTCGGCGCTCCTTCTTTTTATCGTGTTCCTGCAGTATCTGTGCGAGGGATGGTTCCTTCTCCTCGCGAGGCGATGGCGTGGGGCTTTTCGAAAACGCAGTAGCAGCCAGAAGTTTCGGCCGGAGCCGCCCGGACCGGGGGCTCGGCTCCCTTTCATGAGAGTTCGTGGCCATTCCTCTACAGGCACAGTGGAAGTTGTACAACTTGTAGCCTCTTGTATAAATTGCGGGGCTTTGTATCTATTGCACCCTTTGTTTCAAATAAACCAGCTCCGATAGCTAGAACTGAGTGACGATTTTTCCATTCGGGCCCGAAAACGCCGGTGAACCAGGCATATACGATGGACTGCTAGGACGACGAGTACGAAAGCGAAGCGACAAAGTTTTTCGGAAATTATTCCGAAAGACAACGATTGCGAAAACGAATATGTTCAAATCAAAGGTTGTACACGAACAAATCATCTATCATCGATCCTCTCTCACATCGACCTTAAGGAGTGACGGATATTAAACGATGAGGCACGATCAGGCGTAGCAACAGCATCTACAACTGCGCTGAATAGCTTGCGAAGCGAAAAACGATCGTTGTAATCACGACCAGGCACGAAGTGAGAACACCAACTACGACCGCGTCTATCCCTTTTTGCAATCAGGATTATTCCTTGTGCTATTCTTGTTTCATTATTTTTGTTGAAGATAGGTCGTCGTGGTTCACTGAGCATGAACAATCGTTGCGAGGAAGGAGCGTAGTAGTTGCTTCTTGGAAGTAAGCTGTTGAAAACTGCGCTTTACTTCCTGGGTTCATCTGCTGCGATGCGAATGGCTTGGTGGATCGCCTGCAACTCCCGCTGCTTCTCGCGCAGGCAACTCTGCAACTCCTCGTTCAGTTCTGTCTGGTTCCCGAGCAGATTTACGACCTGGAAATCATATCAGAAAAGGTTAAATGAAAAAATTTAATTCGAAGGTGATGGCAGTGAATTTCAATTTGTTCATCACCGTAAAACCCGATGTCGCAGCGTGAAAAGAAACTCATCGGGAAAAAAATAATTTTCAGCTTACCTTTTGGAGGGTCTTCTTGGACAAGGTGGCTTGGTTGCTGCTTTCGTCTTGCAACGCGAGTCCCTGAGCTACATACCTGTTTGGCAGTTTGGAAGATTTACTCATGGAATGCTGTGCCATACTTGTCCTAATTACACAAATCCTTTTTTCAGGATTTTATAACAAAATTATAAAGATTCGCAAAAATCACGTAACAATGACTCATTAATACTGTAGCTCTCCCAGGTTGCAGATGCGCTGTAACTCGGCCTCCATATGCGTGAAGTGGTTTGTCAATTCCCTCTCCCGCTCGTAGTCTCTCCTGCAAGCACCGACCGCTATTGCCGACGACTCCAACTGCGTGAGAATAGTTACGAGCTGCTGGGTGAGCTTCACGTGCGTCTTCTTCAAAGTCTCAAGTTGCGCGGTGAGCTTTCCCTCCACGTTCGTGCGGAGCGTCTTAATCGCCTCCTCCAGGGCTTCGCGCTGTGATTTTTTTTAGGTTTTCGTGTTTGAACGAACGTCTATTGAAAAGAAAAACTACACGCACACACCACGTCTGTAGTAAAGCTGCTTCGACGTTGTAACCTAGAGAGGAAGGTGACAATTTCATCAAAATGAGCCAAAAATACCTCCGCCTCTTGCTTCTGCAACTTCTGTTCCTGCTCTTGGATGTGCGTTTTCAGTTGCGGAAAATCCAAGATCCTCTTCGGCAGCGCAACACTCACGTCAAACGGGTTCTGGGCCACCGCCATGCGAAACTTGTTCGGATCCGGACCGTGTTTTATGAAGTCGTATTGGGAAAAATTCGCGATTTCCGCTCGGAGGACGTTCGAATCCACGCCTGGGGGGACGGCGAGGTACCTGAATCCAGTTTCGAAGTTATTTGCATTATAGGAAAAAATTGGTACAAGAAGATATTAGCGCTTAAGGAGCCACGCCCAACCCCAATCGGGGGCCGCGGCCACATAGCGTGCTTACTCTATCGACGATGGATACTACAGTTAGAAAAACCACCACCACAGAAGCACACAAGAGTATTTAGTACGTCCAGCCCACGTTTCGCATCATGCGGTCGTTATCCAGTTTGAGGATTTCGTCTTGGACATTTTGTATTTCAGCCTGTTCCATCAATGTTTTTGCCGCGAGCTGTTGCTGCGTCAGGTTGCTCTGCTGTGACATCGCGTTGTTTGGCGCAGCGCCGTTCGCATTATTCGTGCTCCCGAATAAACCACCACCTTGCTGTTGTCCTGTGTTCCCGCCAAACAAGCCACCGCCACCACTTGGTTGCGCCGCATTGTTTGTCGATCCAAAGAGACCACCGCCTGCATTCTGCGCGGGTTGCTGGGCAGCTGCGTTATTTCCAACAAGGCCCATCGGGTGGACCCCTGGTTGTAATGTGCTTCCGAAGGGTGCGGCACTGGTCGCGTTACCAAACAAGCCACCGCCCGCTGGCTGCGACGGTGCCGCTGCTGTGTTGCCAAACAACCCACCACCCGCTGGCTGCTGCGTATTAGTGGTGCTTCCAAACAAACCGCCACCTTGAGCTGGCTGTTGCGGTTGTTGCTGCGCGCCGCCGCCAAACAGTCCGCCACCAGAAGTGCTACTGGTACTGTTACCGAACAGTCCGCCGCCAGCTGGCTTTGGGGGCTGCGAGTTGGAGGCGCCCCCAAACAAGCCCCCGCCGCCGGTGTTCGCGGTGTTGCCGAAAATGCCGGCCATTGTCGTGGGCGTCGCTATAGGGTTCTATGTGAATCTTTTCTCTGTAATCAAAGCTTGAAGAAACTCATTCTAACGTCTGGAAACGCAGTTTTCTCTTTGATATTTTGACTTCACTAATTCTGAGAGATGTCGCTAATGTCGCTGTGGGGTAAGGAAGAAACGTGGGTAGAAAGAGGAACATCAAAAACCGCGCGAACGGATTTGTTTCATCATCTGGGACCCATCCTTTAATTATCTTCGCATCAACCAAATCAGATCACAGAACTTCAAGGACTAGGATCCTTTTTTTGAGCGAAGGATCAACCAAGAAAGATGCAACGCATCACTGTGGAACTCTTTTTGTCAGTGATGAGCAAATTGGTGGAACTACTTCGTCATTGTGCTGCAAAATGATCTCTGGCGAGTTTTGAACTTGTGAACAACGAAGAGCAAAACCGCCCTTGCGTTTCTGCGTTTCGCAAAAGCGAAGTTCTCGTCGAATTCAATCTCTACAATGACTAGCGAAAGGTCAGAAAACCCATTATTTAATAGTATTCCGCAACAGAAACAAAGAATGGAAACGAAAAATGAAAACAAACAATGGAAACGAAAAACGAAAACAAAGAATAGAAACGAAAAACGAAAACAAACAATGGAAACGAAAAACGAAAACAAAGAATAGAAACGAAAAACGAAAACGAAAAACGAAAACGAACAATGGAAACGAAAAACGAAAACAAAGAAGAGAAACGAAAAACGAAAACAAAGAATGAAAACGAAAAACGAAAACTAAGAATATAAACGAAAAACAACAACAACGAAACGCAGACAAAGCGCCCAAGCTTCTAAGCGGCGAAGCCTCGAAGCGCCGAAGCAGCGAAGCCTCGAGGCAGCGAAGCCTGGAAGCAGCGAAGCCTGGAAGCAGCGAAGCCTGGAAGCGGCGAAGCCTCGAAGCGGCGAAGCCTCGAAGCGGCGAGGCCTCGAAGCGGCGAAGCCTCGAAGCGGCGAAGCCTCGAAGCGGCGAAGCCTCGAAGCGGCGAAGCCTCGAAGCGGCGAAGCCTCGAGGCGGCGAAGCCGCGAAGCCTCGAGGCGGCGAAGCCGCGAAGCCTCGAAGCAGCGGAGCCTCGAAGCAGCGAAGCCTCGAAGCGGCGAAGCCTCGAAGCGGCGAAGCCTCGAAGCGGCGAAGCCTCGAAGCGGCGAAGCCTCGAAGCGGCGAAGCCCCGAAGCCTCGAAGCGGCGAAGCCTCGAAGCGGCGAAGCCTCGAGGCGGCGAAGCCTCGAAGCGGCGAAGCCTCGAAGCGGCGAAGCGTCCAAGAGCCAGGACGCGGACATGCCGCGTCCACGAGCCAGGACGCGGACATGTCGCGTCCAAGAGCCAGGACGCGGACATGTCGCGTCCAAGGAAGAGTCAGGACGCGGACATGTCGCGTCAAAGAGCCGGGACGCGGACATGTCGCGTCAAAGAGCCGGGACGCGGACATGTCGCGTCCAAGAGCCAGGACGCGAACGTGTCGCGTCCAAGAGCCAGGACGCGGACATGTCGCGTCCAAGGAAAAGCCAGGACGCGGATATGTCGCGTCCAAGGAAGAGCCAGGACGCGGACACATCGCGTCCAAGAGCCAGGACGCGGACGTGTCGCGTCCAAGGAAAAGCCAGGACGCGAACATGTCGCGTCCGAGAGCCAGGACACGGACATGTCGCGTCCAAGAGCCAGGACGCGGACATGTCGCGTCCAAGAGCCAGGACGCGGACACGTCGCGTCCAAGAGCCAGGACGCGGACATGTCGCGTCCAAGGAAGAGCCAGGACGCGGAAACGTCGTCTCGGGCGACATGTCGTCGGGCCGGTTCCACGTCGTGGCCAAGCCTGCCCATGCCAGATCATGGCCAAGCCGGTGCCGGATCCATCATGGCCAAGCCTGCCCGTGCCAGATCATGGCCAAGCCGGTGCCGGGTCCATCATGGCCAAGCCTACCAGCCGGCGCCAGCTCATTGCGGAGCCGGTGCCAGATCACTGCCGAGCCGGTGCCAGATCTTGGCCAAGCCTATGCCAGGCCGTGGCCAAGCCGGTGCCAGATCCTGGCGAAGCCTGCCGGTGCCAGGTTGTGCCCAGGCCGGTCGGTGCCAGATCATGGCCAAGCCAAGCCTGCCGATGCCAGATCATGGCCAGGCCTAGCCGGCCGGTGCCAGATCGGAGCCAAGCCTGCCAGCCGGTGCCCGGCAGATGGAAGGATCATGGCCAAACCGGTGCCAGATCATGGACGAGCCCGCGCCACCCAGCTCATGGCTTGGCAAAGCCGACGCCAGGTCGTCCGTGCCCAAGGATGCCTGCCGGTGTGTGCCAGATCATGGCCCGGACCGCTGGCGCCAGGTCGTGGCCGAACCGCTGCAAAATCATGGCCAAGCAAGCCTGCCAGCCGGTGCCCGGCCATGGCCAAACCGGTGCCAGATCATGGCCGCGCCTGCGAACGTCGGTCTGCCAACCTGCCCGCCGGTGCCAGATCATGGCCAGGCCGGTTCCGAGTGGTGCTGGTGGCCAGACCGGTGCCGGATCATGGCCAGCCCGTTGCCAGATCATGGCCAAGCCGGTGCCAGATCATCGCCAAGCCGGTGCCAGGCAGGCCGTGTCCACGCGGGCCGGTGCCAGATCATGGCCAAGCCGGCGCCAAATCATGGCCACGCCGGTGCCAGATCATGGCCAAGCCGGTGCCAGGTCGTGGCCAAGCCGGTTCCGGGCCGCGGCCAAGGCGGTGCCAGGCAGATGATGGCCAGGCCGGCGCCAGAGAGATCATGGCCAAGCCGGCCCCGGGTCGTGGCCAGGCCTGCTTGCTCCAGGTCGTCCGCGGCCGCGCCCGCCGGTGCCAGATCATGGCCAAGCCGGTGCCAGGTCGTGGCTAAGCCGGTGCCAGATCATGGTCAAGCCGGTGCCAGGTCATCACCGAGCCGGTGCCAGATCATGGCCAAGCCTGCCCGCCGGCCTGCCGGTGCCAGATCATGGCCCGGCCGGTTCTAGATCATGGCCAAGCCCGCCGGTGCCAGGCAGGTCGTGGCCAGGCTGGTCGATGCCAGATCACAGCCAGGCCGGTGCTCGCTCATGCCCAAGCCGGTGCCAAGCCAAGCTGGTTCCGGGTCGTGGCCAAGCCAAGCTGGTTCCGGGTCGTGGTCAAGCCGAAGCCGGTGCGAAATCATGGGGAGGCCAGCCAGCAAGCCGGTGCCAGATCATGGCAAAGCCGAGCCCTTGCGCCAGATCATGGCCAAGCCGGTGCCAGATGGATCATGGCCAAGCCCGCCTGCCGGTGCAAGAGCATCGCCAAGCCGGTGCGAGCTCAAGGCCATGCCTGCCAGTGCCAAGTCGCGGCCAAGCCGGTGCCAAAACATGGCCGTGCCGGTGCCAGATCATGGTCGTGCCGGTGCCCGATCATGCCCAAACCGGTGTCAGGACCTGGCTAAGCCGATACCAGACCCTGGCCAAGCCGGTGCCCGACCATGCCCGCCCCCCGCCGCCAGATGGATCGCGGCCCCGCCGGTGCCAGCATGCAAGATGGCGGCAACGGCCAACCTGCCAGCCGCGCCGGTGCCGGATCGTGGCCAAGCCGTTCTGGCGCTTTGAAAATCGCAGGCAGATGGGCCTGCCTGTGCTGAAGCGCCGACGACGATTTTCCACAGAAAGACGCTGAGTGCTACCATTCATCTAGCGGAATACTATTAAGTCTGCAGGTTACTGGACACGGGAAGCGGGATAAGGCTAGTATCACTATCACATTGCATTCAAATTACCATCACAACTTATGCAATACAGTTCTGTCGAGCGGCGGCAACATCACTGTTGTGACCGAGTTGCTGATGAAGCTGGACGCTAAGTCGGCCTCCCAGTCTATGTGTTGCCGCTCATCGTACACTAAGGCGTGCCAGACGTGAATCCGCCGACTGCTTTTCTTTTTCCTGTTCCCCCCTCTCAAACTCCAAGCGACCGAGTGCGAGAGCCAGGACGGATACAGCACGAGCTCTCCCGCCGCCGGATATACGAAATGCGTGGCCCCAAACGGCGGCACCGCGCCGCGCGGATCGTAGAACTGCACCACAATCTCCTCGTCTGGCTGCAGATCGCAGAAAAACATCCCCGCGAGAATCGCCCCCGCGTGCACGTGCGGACGGATGTTGCCACTGAGCGGTAGAAGGACCTCCACATGTAGAAAAACTTCCAGGTGTTTCATCGGCGTCGGCAGCTTTTTCTGGAAGTACGCGGTCGTCAACTGTTTTATTCGTTTCTGCAAATATCTTACTTCCAGCAGCGAGGGCTGATGTTTTGGTGGGACCGCACGGAGAGAGAAGGCGCTGCTGTACATCGCTTGTAGCGTTGCTAAAATGCCCGTTGGAAGCGCGTACTGTTCTGATGAGCCTACCAACGCCGCCTCTCCTGTGCTGGAGCTGCAAGTTTGTAGTTTCTGCGCCGAAGCTGTAGAAGATCCATCTGCGCCTACAGCCGCGCTTGGCTCAGCGTCACACTTCGCCGTTTGATTTCTGCTTAACAACACCGCACTCCACAACACCTCGCCCTTGTAGTCCCAGATTTCTGGGGAGACATCCTCGACTAGACCGGCCTGCGTTTTCTGCCACCGAAGAAAAAACTCTGACCGCCTTCCGCCGCCGTCCAGGTTTCGAAACTCCTGGCGCGCTTCCGGAAACTGTCGTAGCTCCGCTATAAGTGCTTCCCCCTCGTAGTAGTCGTACAGACCTTTTGCCGCTTCTGTCAGGAGCTTCTTGTCCAGCTCATCCACGGCAATGGAAGCAAGATCCGTTGGGTACAGCGAAGTGCGCTCGAAGCGTAATTCTTTGAGCGAGTTCTTTCCCTCGGTTGTAGTTTTTTGCGCCGCAGCAAAGGTGCAGAAGATGAGCACTGTGTGCGGGAGCAACGAGAACAACCTTGAATCTTTGTGCCACATCTTATGATGTATCTTTCCTTCTACTTCTCCCACGCCGGCTCGTCTACTTGAGCGGGCCGCTTTCTCGCATCATAGGTCGTGCACGAGATCAAGCTGACGCGACCAGAAGAGAGCCATAAGCTGCGAAGAAAAACCCAGCTGAGCAAACAGCTGCTTACTCAGCCAAAGTTGAACGCATCGACGAAGGTCTGTATTGGAAGATTACGAAGCGGTGAGCAATCACTTCGCATTCGCTAGGAACTTCTTGCAGATCGGTTCTACTCTATGATCTCTTCTTCTTCACTACTTGACGGCACTGCAGGAACAACGTTCGGACCCTTATCCTCCTCCTGCTTTGCATCTTCAGGAGATTGTTCCTGAAGTTCACGTTCTTGTGCGGTCAGTGACTGCTCTGCGACCATCACCACTTCTTCCCCCGGTAGTTCTCGCCCCGTCGGACTCAAACTATGATCTTCCCCATCCCCGATCGGATCGCCTTCGCCCAACTCCGACAGGTGCACACTGCTCCGACTGGTCTCCTGCTTCGTTGTCAACCCGCCGGATGGCAGGGCCGAAGGCTGGGGCCGCATTTTCTCTCCCGCTGAGGTGATCGACCAGGACCCGGTCGGTAACTTCCTGGTCGTCCCCGCTTGTTGTGGGGATCCAACCCGCGGCTCCGGGGACAGCAGGCGCTGTCCCTGCAAAATCTGCTGCGACTCCGGGCTTTTCGGTTCTGGTCGGAGCTCCACCTCGGGGGAAGAAACAGCGGATGATTTGGACTTGATCACGTTCGTCTGCGTCGGTGTCTCCTGTCCTTCTTCTTCTAGCAACTCTGCTGGTCTTTCTACTGGTGCAACGGGATTTTCGTTTCCAGAATTTCCTACAAGAACTCCTGCACGAACAGCAACAACCTCATCAGAATTTTCGTGGCCCGCGAAAACAGCTTTAGTACCGGTTGGCGACTTCGACTTCTGAGGCGTTTGCCTGTCGCCTGCATCCGCAATATTTTGCTCACGAGTATCTTCTTTGCTTTTGGCCTCGGTTTCAGCGCTTCGCGTAGTTGTTGGTGATTTATGCCCCGGTTGGCGAAAATCTTCCTTCTGCCGATCATCTCCTGAGGGTGCAGCCACTTCTTCTCGCGAATTCGAAGGACTGCCAACCATCTCATCACGACGACCTTTGGCATTCAGTGCCTGACCGTCGCCACTGTTGAAATAGACCACTTCATTCACCACAACGCCCTCATCGGGGATCACTTCCTCCCCGTGCTGACCACCCTCTGCGTCCACTTCCCCGAGACTTTCCGCGCCATCTTGAGCTATGGTCTCAGGCTCGTCCACAAGCCCCTTCACGTCCTGGTCGTGCAAAAGTCCCAAACCCTCGACCGCGTCCTCCTCGACCAGCACATCCTCGGGCTCAGTGTGGTACAGTTGTTCCGGTGCGGTAGTCTCACTGTCCGCGCCGAAGACTCGCAAAATCCCGCCAAACACCGCACCCGGTGTGGTTTTTACCCTTTCCGTAGCGCTCTCCTCGTCGGACGACGAGGAAGAATCGTGCGGTCGGGCATGCGACTCCACCTGGGCAGACCCGCCACGAAAACTGCTGCCTTGGTTACTTGTTCCTTGGTGCTGCGCGAGCAACAGCATCCGCTTCCGGGCTAGCTCCGCAGTCCGACGGAGCTCCTCGTCCTCCGCTTCGTTCTTAGTCTGCTCCATTTTGCGCACTTGCTCTTTTGTGAAAACCGTCGGCTCATCGTCTTCTTCCTCGTCGGAGAAGTTTGTCGAGCCGACTTGAAATCGCAGGTCAGGTGACTTCTTGGTAGTCGATGATGCGTCTTTGTTGGCATCTTCCATGTCATCGAAGTCCGTGGAAACAACTTTGATCGCAAGATCGGACGACGGGCGCGGAGGTGGCAGAAACGAAGTGGAGCTCTGGTGCTGATTTTCCGCAGCGTCTTGAACAGGGGAAAAGAAAGCGTCAAAATTCGCGAAGTTCGCCTTGTGTCTTTTCACCCGCTGGCGAAAATCTCGAAATCGCTGATCTGGATCATCTGCTTCCTGCGCTTCAGCTTCCTCCGAAACACGAGCCGGTGCTGAGTTCGTCTCAGAAACGGAATTCTTACCCTCTACCTCCTCGCCCGCCAACTGCCCCGGAAGAGTTCTCGCGTAAACCGCTCGCCGCCAATTCCTTTGCAGAACACCGATGGCTGTGCGCTTCCTACCAGCGATCTCTACCGCTTTCCGTCGCTCCCGCAGACCACGATACAGCTCGCCGATACGGCGCGCGGCTTTTTGATTCTCTGCTTCCGGCCAGATCTCCTCTGTCGCGAGAATGGCGTCTAGGCCCTGCTTTCGTTCGTCAAAGGACGTTGCGGAGGACGAACGGTCCATCGAGATAAGCCGCATGTTGATCACGCCAGACCCATACACCTCCTCCGCGATGACGATACCCGTTGGGGTGCCAGGCGATCGCTGGTTTTGTAGTACAACCACGCCACCAGCACTTTTCCCGCCATCGCTGCCGGGAGACGAACCCTGGAGATCTTCCTGTCTGGTGCTTGTCAGCGGCGACCCGGCGGCGCTTTCCTCGTAGGAAGGTGGCGTGCCGGGCCCCAGAGCCTCGCGCATCTCAGACAAGGCCGATTCCAAAGCCTGCTTTCGCAGGCTCTCCAAGTCCAGCGGGCTGTTCTCGTCCGCGACGCGCCCGACGTCGTCGTCATCACCCACAGCGTCGTGGTACTCGTGAGCATCCTTTTGTTCCTCCGACGTATCGGATCGTTGGGTTTCCTTTTTTTGTGCGTCAATTATGGCAGGTCGTGGTGGACCTTCTGCATAAGAAGTAGACTCTTTCTCAATCACTGCTGAGACGACCTGCAAACCGTTTTGTATTTCGCCGTTGGCGAAGAATTCCGATGGCGAGACTTTCTCCTCTAAGGGTTCGGCTTCTGCGGTTTTGGCAATGGTTTTCCCGTCATCCGTCCCCGACCAGCACACCTCCTCCGCCGTCGGTGGCATGGACCCTTCTCTTCGCATCGTCTTTGACGCGACCTTTTCCGAGTGCGACGGGTGACGGTCATCACTGATGTGCTCCACCTGCTCGTCGACATCCACGCTCCGTTCGTAGTCGCTGCTACTCGCTTCCGATTGTTGCACGAAAGAAGTGGTGTTCGCTTCATATTGGAAGTCGAAGTAGTGCCGCAAGTAGTGCTGGTACGGACTGGTTCCCGGGAAGATGAATCGGCGGGAGTACATCGCAAAACTTCTGCCAGTCACCGAGATGTCGCGCAGCATAGCTTCCACGATCGCACAGCACCGACTGCGATCCGCTGGCGGCAGGACCCCCGCCACGGGGGAGACGAGCAGCGGAGAGCAAAGTGGTACCACCGCACTGGCGACCACGGCGGCGCCCAACAGCGGCCGGGCCGCGTGCAAGAACTCGAAGAGGGCGAGGACTGTGGCCGGCGTCGGCAGAACACTGTTGTACTCACTATTCCGGTTGATGTTCTGCTCTTGCGCAAGCAACTGCGCCCGCTCGGGTAACGACGCGCCACTGCTGCTCTGGTCATCTGACCGAGGAAGCGACTCGTGGCTCTTCGCCCCGAGTCCCGCGATCAAGTCTGGGACGTTCTGGCTCAGGTAGTTTAGCAGGATCGCCTCGTGCTGTGAGGTGCTGGAGATCACGTCAGACCTCGTTGTTTTCAGCGCAGAAGTAGCCTTGTTTATTCCACCTGCAGTTGTCAAAGCACCAGTGCTGGAAGAGGACGGCGAAGATGAAGAACCTGCTTGTGCTTGCAGGATTCGTCTGCCAAACAGCAGCACCAGTGGCAGGATTTCGTTGCGCAAGTCGTCCCTGGTCACATACTCGGCAAAGTGCTGCAGCGTCAACAGCGCAAACACGTAAACGCGCTCCACTTCTGCTGATAACTCTTGCTCCGAAAGTTGCTCTTCGTGGTCCCGTGTCGGGTGCAAGAGGAGTGCGTGGCTTTCTAGCAGAAGCCTTGCAACGGGGAGCAGTAATTGCGATTTCACTTGCCGTGCGTCCCGCTGCGGGCCGGGAGCGGCCGCAGATAGTTCCTGGTACAATTTGGTCTGGCTGTTGCTGCGGCTCGCTGGGGGGCTGCTGGCGCTACTCTCGCTGCGCAACAGAGATGTCGTCGACCCCACCGCTGGCATGGGATCGGTTTGCAATTCCACAGCTGTCGCAAGATTTTGGCCGACCATTGCACCTTTGCTATTGCTGTCCTGCTGAAGCCAAAGCCCAAACAGGCCTCGCTTTGTTCCTTGCTTATTTCCCTTCTGCTCGACGATAGGATTTCCTTCTTTTGAAGCACTTGCCAAGTCAGCTTTTTTCGACCGCGACAGGCACACCCTTAGCAGGCCGCAAAGTGCTGAGACCGCGCGACGGATCTTCCCAATTCGCGTTTGCTCAAAGTCCGTCGCGGAAGATGACAGCACTAGTGCCTTGTGCAGCAGCTCGAATAGCAAGGTGCGCCATATCTCGCTGGCGGAAATCACGTCTTCCAGTTCCGGAAGGCAGGACAAAACCGTCTGCTCGCGCTCGACCGTGCCGGAATCGGTGCCCCTCAGTCCCGTTTTCACCGCATCAAACAGAGAGACGTGAGTATCGGAGAAAAAATCCCGGCCGCCGCCAGTGACAATGCCGGAAGTCGCGGAGAAAATCAAAGAGAGCAGAATGTCAATGTCCGCGACCTTCCGCGGTCGGATCCGGTGGCTGTGCTGCCACAGATTGGCAAACAAGGGGAAGAAGCGCGTCGGCAAGACCAGTGACACCTGTGGCTCGTGCTCCTGCAGCAAGTCCCGCACCGGGGTGGCGCGCGCGCTCAGGGGGTGGAGGGAAACTTCCGTACCGTATTTGTACTCGGCGGTATCGATAGCGCGATCCTGGTCTACAAACCACTTAATAAATTCGCCGGACGAGGTGGAGGAGGAACCTGCGATACAGATAAACTTTGTCCAAATTACTTGTGGAGAATTCGAAACAAATACGGCCCTGTTGATGCAACACGAAAAGCTTCTATGCAAAATTTACGAACAAGAGTCCAAATTACCTCTTTCACTCCGCGCACTGACACTTGACCGACCGGTCGCCAGCGAAACGTCCGCCCCGGTTGGTTTCACCCCGTCGCCCGCCGACCCGCGCGCCTCCAGTCCCAGCAGCACGTCTTGCGCTCGTTCCAGCTTGCGCAGCAATCCGTAAGGGTTCTGGCGAAAAAACGGGCAGCTCTGCCACTCCCCGACCGATTTGTAGCGCTCGTTCGCTTCAGGCGACAGATTTTGCAGTAAAGGTTTCGCCAGCTCCGCCAACCCAGCATCCACTTTTTGCATCTCGATTTTCAGCTTCTCGCGCTTCAGAGGCAAGGCGTAAGCCTTTGCCAGCAACACTGCCACGCCGAACACGTCGCTTCTCACATCCGGCTTCTTGCCTTCCTGGAGAACCACCTCGGCAGCAACGTGCAACGTAGAAATTTGACTCCGCAACAGGATCCGCGCGACACTGTACGTCTCTGCGGATTCATCCTGTAGTTCGGACGCGTCGCTCATCTCCGCTTCTCCCTTGGTCGACGACAGTGCGAGCGAACAGCCCAGCCCGGCAATTTTCGGTACGGAGTTGTGGGCGAGAAAAATGCAGTCCGGCGTCAGTCGCCGGTGCACGCGCCTCACGGTGCGGTGAAGCCAATACAGCCCCCGGCAGACGCCGAACAGGCAACTGCGGATCTCCAAATCCGTGAGGGCGAAGGGCGCTGCATCCTCCGGTGCGGTGCTGCCTTTGCCATTGCCACCTCCTTTGTTCCGCCCAGCATTTAAATTTCGTCCAGGCGCGCCACTCCCCCCCGCTTGGGCTTGCGATCCTCCCGGAGATGGACCACACGCGGGGTACTCCAACTGCAGACCGAGCTGCAGCATGGCGAGCGTTCCGAGTAGCCCGGGCCCGATGAAGAACAACACATCCTCGGTCTCCTGCAGCGGAAAGATGACATCCAGGAAATTCGGGTGCTTCAGCCGCGTCAGAATCCGGACTTCTCGCCGGAGCACCTCATCCCGTTCGTGTTCGGTTTTGTGCGCGAAGAAGAGAGTCACCCGGGTTTGCCGTTGCAGGCACAAGCCGGGGACCAGGTTCCAATCGCCCGTGACCGTCTCGCCAAACTCCACAGTCGCGGTGTGGTCCGCCTTCACCGTCCCATGCCAGTTCCACTCGTACTGCCGCGGGAGTGAGCGGTGCCACGCTGCATAGTACGGCAGCATACTCATCCCTGACCGGTGCGGCGAGATGAGACATCAACAGTTTTTCACGACTCCAAAATACTTACTTTCACAAGCTTTTTCGTAGCACCTTGACTCGCTGTTCATCTGGTGAACGCTTGCTGCCAGTTTGATAACCCCACTACAGTTCTTCAAAAGGCAGATCGACAAAAAGATCGATGGGCGATGAAATAAGATCCCTCCATCACAAAATCTTCCGAAGATGAATAGTATAGATACGAAGCACAATTTACATTTCAATGAAGACCTTCCTCACGATCTTCTTCGGCTCCACGAAATGAAAACACTTTGCGTCTTTCAGTGAGTTACTATGACGATAGAGCAGCTTTCCCCGACTTGCAGTTCGGCGACTGCACACAGAACTCTGCTCCCTCCGCAGCTCCATCACAATAAAGGATCGGCGAAGTTTTTCCCCCAATGCTGAAAAGAAAACGTCGCGGGACGACTACCCAAGCGATCACTACTAGTCCGGCATGACTTTATTCTCGAGTTGTAGAAAAAACCTTGCTGGTACACCACCAGAGTCGGTGCATCATGTGTAGAAAGTACTCCTTCTGCCTTCTTTGAGTAGTACTTACACACACCTAATCCGCAGTCGATGCGTTCTGTTCCATGAAGTACTTCTCAATTTTTTTGCACTCGTCGGAAAAAGGAATGGCCTGAGACAAGTCAAATTCGTCTTTTTCACTGTGCAGGGGGTCCTCCGGGTCGTAATCCGCGATTCCCGCGTGCCTACAAAGATTCAGCTGCGCCAGCTTCCGCAGTCGCATTTTGTGGTTTCGCGCCCTCCTGGTACTCTCCACCAGATCTACGCTCTCCTGCGATTTGACGCACTGGCCCGAGGCCTTGAAAATATCCGCGTCGCACACGTTGTCCCAGGCATCCTGGTAAGCAGCCTGCGCTGCCTCCTCCAGTTCGCGGGCCGGGCGGATTTTTTCCGCGAGCATGTCGCGCTTCATGTGCCATTTTCTGATTGTTTTCTCGTGGTTGGACTCGGCCGCAGCGGGAAATTTCGTGCAGTCCACGCCCCTTTCCGGGTGACGGAGAGCAATCAAGTTGACCTGCCCCGTCTCCTCCGCCTTTTTCTCTGCCCTCTCGCGTGCCTGGTCAATTTGGTACTCCGTAAACTGCTCCGCCGGTGTTGGGGGTTTCTCTTCCGCCGCGACTTCCACCGGATCCGGGTCGCGGCACGGCTCCCCACGGCCGGTCAGCGCGTTGCATTCCTCGAAAAAGCGCGCCCGCATGCTGTGGTACCCCTCCACCTGCTTGTTCGTGGCTGCTAAGTCTACTTGCGGAACCGGTAGGCCGCACTGAATGGCTCGGCGGTACCACTCGACCCCGACACAGACGGACTTTTTCTCCGCGGTCCACGGTGCCGGTGCCACTTTGTCCTCAAAAGTGAGCTTGAACGCGTGTGTCAGCCAGTCGAAAAAGGGCGCGCTGCTCGGTACCGGAAGTCCGGTGATGGGGTTAACTTCAGGCTGGTTTTGGCTAGTACCGGAACTACCATCCCCTGCACCTTGGTCACCGGTGGACGACCCTTCACCTACTTTGGCACCTTCACCCTCTTTCGCACCTTCACCTTCACCGCCCGCCACCGCCCACTGGCGCGTTCCCGCGCCGCCGTGCACACAGATCAGTCTGGATTGGGCCGGAAACCCGGCCTCCCCGTGCGGCGAGTCGTTCTGGCAGAACACGTCCGCCTTCGTGCTCGACTCCGAGGCGTAGACACAGGGTTCGAGCTTCTCCCCGTACAGGTTCGTGTCGCGCATCAGGGGTGGCACTAGCGGTCTACCATCAATCGTGGTCTTCCCCCCGTAGTACTCGTACCACGGAATGGTGTCATCGGGCCTCTCCGGCTTATCCAACTCCAATGCCGGTGCTGCTGTCGATGCGGGAGCTTCGGGCTGTTCTGCCGCCGGTTCATCGGCCGGAGTATCAGCAGCTGCTGAATTTCCATCGTCCTTGGGCGCAGCTGCTGCATCGTCCTTGGGTGCAGTAGCTGCTGCATCGTCCTTGGGTGCAGTAGCTGCTACATCGTCTTTGGGTGTAGCAGTTGCTGCATCATCACCGTCGTCTGCAAACGACGTAACATGACGTGCTCGGCTGCGTCCGCCAATAGTCTCGTACAGTGAAGCGCTGCGCAAAAGCGACAAAATGTCGTCTAGCACATGCGCTGATGAGACCACGCCACGCATTATTCTATTCTGGTGTTTTGTGTCTAGTGTGGCCCCTCTTTCACTTGAAAATTCCGTGGAAATTGTTTGCTCGATGGACGGTGGCTCAACCTCAACCTGCGGTAGCGACTATATCCGTTCTCTCTACCGCCACGACCGAATCCTCGCGATACCAAATGCAGTCTCGGACGCATTTTACAGCGATCTCTCTTCTGTTCATTCACGTACAAAACAAGGCCAAGAATCTTGGACTTTTTTGAGTCAATCATATTTGAGCAGCTTAGCGTCATGCGAGAAACGAATGAAAAAAGGGTCGGAAAGGCCCAAGCTTTTGCGATAGCGCCTTCGTACGCAAGGAAAGACGGCGATGGGTGCTGTTTTTGACGGTGACTCTAAAGAAGAAAATGAAGAACATCAGCAATAGCTAAAGCAATACGACCCCTGACAGCTTAGCAGAGTCGTTCTTCCAACTCATGACTGCAACTGCTCCACGCTTTGTAGTTCCGGAACCAACTTCTGCTTCACTTCCTGTCGACGGTGCAGTATGCTCAGTAATTTTTCTGGAGCGTCGTGACAACTGACGTCAATGTAGAACTCTGCTTGGCGCCGAGCTTTCGATACCTTGTCAGGACAATTCAGACGCGGGATTACGTACGGAGGGTAAACCATAAAGGACTGTGCTCCAGTATTCTGTGCCGACGAGAAACACTCCTTCATCTCCTCCCGTGGGAATACGAAGACACCGAGCAACTCTTGTGTCGCAACACACACGTCCATAACACAAATAACATCCAACCCGAGAGCCTCTTCTTGTGTCAGCGGACGTTCCTGGGTTTCCCCGTGCGCGTAGTTTGCCGTTGACAGCTTCACCCGCTTTCTTTTGTTCTGGTACTCTGGAGGCGATGACGCCAGCTTGTGAAGCACATTCAACCCATCGAGATGCGAATTGCAGGCAATTTTTCGTGGGTCAGGCGGCGGAAATGAGAGCCGTACTCCGCTGCGCCTGTACAGTAGCCGGTCCGCGGAGATCAGGGCGCGCGCAATTGCAAAGTCACTGGTGTTCTCAAGAGCAGGGCCGGATAACACATCAAGGAAACAGTCGTGAAGTCCGAGTGGAGACGCCGCAAGCCAATGCTTTTGCAGCACCTCGGCCAGGGAACCGCTGCAAAGCCCCGCAGATTGTCGAAACAACATGTTCAACCGCCGCCGGCTTCTCATTTTCCCATAAATCCATCTGCTTGCTCCGCCAGGAAAGTTCTCAGTGAAGAAAGTGCCAATTGTCGGGGCAACACACACTAGCGGAAACCGATGTGCATGTTGTGCGCGAAGTCGGAAACGAAACTCGGCTTCCCCTACGCTTTCTCGATAACGCGACTGCCGGACGCTTGTCTTGACAACGAGTGGCAGCCATAAATCTTCACTCGTCCCGTACCGATAGAGAACTGTAGCCGGCCATCGAAACGGTAAGTTGTAAAACTCAAACTTAGCATCCTCTGCAAGGACAGCGCGACAAAAATGATCGAAACCTTGCCGGTTGATCATGTGCGTTTCTTTTCCAGCCAAGCCGGTGTCTCGAATCGGGTTCGCGTCTACCAGTGAGGAAACATCTGTTGCGTGACTTTCTGAAAGGCTGTACGGCATTCCGGGCATCTTTCCTCTGGCTTTGACGTGACGACACGCAGCATATCCCCCAAAGTATCGTGTGGACGGGGCAGAAACGAAGGCTCCATACGGGCTCCCACACCGAAATGATGAAAGAGAAGCCACCATCATCGACATATTACAATCAAAAGCCTGCCCTATCCGAGAAGAGGAAGAGCTGTATACATTGATTTTGCTGCCAACAATTCATCCATTTATGATGATCAGTTGCGCTTGCGTCGATAAATCTAACGCAGCAGCTGGCATTACTAGAATGCACGCTTATTTGCTGAAACGACATGGTTAATAAGTCTCGTCGTGCACTGGATCTTCCGCCAATTCTGTCACTTCCTGTATTCCAGTTTCATTCACCCCTCTGGCAATGCGCGCAACTCAGTCTCAATCCAGCGCTCTGCTATCACATAGGCTAAGCTGCTTCATCTGGCTTTACAGTGATCTCTCTGTTGTTCACGTTCATGCCACATATGATGGATCATGAGTAAAGATTAAAAAGTTACGAACAAAATACATTGCAGCTGCGTCCGCAGTGCAAGTCGAAAACAGCCACTCGCTTGTCACTTGTCGCCTGCTACAACGGGCTGAATACACTCAAACCGCGCAACTGTTTTCAGCTCACTAAGGCAGAAGCCGAGTCGTGATGGTCCGGTCGATTTTCACTACTGTTTCCATCGCCATCCTCGCTTTCCGCAGCTGGCTTCGCTTCGCTCCGCATCGATGCAAACCAGGAAAATGAAGGGAAAACGCTCTCGCTTCTTTCACTGGTGGGATTACTTTGTGCCAACTCCTGCCGCGGCATTTCTTCGATCTTCGCGTTCCCATCGCTCGTTTTGCTCGTCCGCTTCTCCAAAAATTTCCTACTTTTCGAGCCCGGAGCCGCTTCGTAGTACAGCTTGACGTCGATGCACCCGATCGGATCCCCGGTTTCCACGTCGTGATACACCTGCCGACTGCGATACCAGCCCAGCGGCGTGAAGGGGGCGAGCTTGGCGTGTTTGGTCTCCAAAATTCGGTGGTCGTTCGGCTGCAGCGGGCAGGTGCCGGGGTGGTCTTTGCACACGTCGAGCTTCGGGATGTACACGAAAGTGATCCAGACTTTGCCGAAAAGCTTGTACATCTGTTGGAAGCTCGCTTCCAACTCCCTCCGCTCCGACTTCCCGTGATACGTGAACTCCTTGTGGATCACCTGAAGATCGAAATTGTTGTTCAGAGGTAAATCTACATGTAATGTACATATGGATCAAGATGCTAATCGCCCATACCACGGATACAGATTCGAGAATTTTCTATTCGCAAAAAGTATCAAGCGGACCACCTGCTGCACATCTGGCGTCAGGGGGTCAGGCGATGCGGAAACAGTCGTCCATTCCATTTCTGATTTTGCCTCGATTTCCGTGGAACAGTCGTACCAACGCGCATGGTGATCGCCGGCGATGGATTTTTTGTAGCCCGCTGCCGCAGTGTCATCATCGGCCAGCTCCACGAATTTCACCCTTTCTGGCATCAGCGGGAGCGAGTCGCGCCAAAAGCCTTGCAAGACCTCAGCGCCACTGCCGCAACATACCCAAGCACCAAAACCGCATAGCACGGAAAAGCCCAAAACTTGTAGCAGAACGCCGGCCATTTTGCGAGTTTCTAAGTAGTCACAAATGACAAACCGTCTACGTCTCTGAATGAAGAAAAAACCAGAAAATGTGCGAAGAAGTGGAAGTTTCGTCGTTCTTCCCACAACGCTTTGTTCACAAAGTTGAACACTTTTGCAAAAGTGCAGCCGAACGCCTGCATTATGGACGTGGCAAGAATATGCCTTGGCCTTGGCCAAGGCTGTTTTTTTGCTATTGCGCGCAAGAAATAGCTGTTTTCGGAACCACTGGTCCTCCTAGAAGCATTCGCCAATACAGCGTGACGCTCATCTCCTAGGGCTACAAACGGTCCTGTCCCTCTTGGCGCATAGCGAGCTCTCGCTCTTTTTGCAGTACCGGGACTATTGCGCCCAGAAACCAGCCGTCTATTATCCGCGGATCCTCCTCCCGGTAGGGTTTGCACTCGCGCAACCCGTACGTATCCAGGAAAAAAGGTGTGCAAGCGTAACTTTCTTTGAGAAACAGCATCACAAATTTGCTCTACATGACAGAGAAAACCTGGCATGCGTGGCTTGTAAGGGAAAACACACATGAAAAGAGGACTTCATGGCTGTCTGGCATGACAGGTGTAACTCTGTTGCATGTTCTGCAATAGTACAAATTTACACTTACACAGTTTTTTTCTTGCATAGTACGCGAGGTCCGTGTATTGCAGTTCCTCAGCCAGTTCTATCCAACTGCGGTACCAAAACTCGTAACTTTTGTAGTTCTCGCGGGCGTGTGTTCGCGCGAGCTCGTACGCGAAGACGGCGATGAACGTGGTGCGCACGAAGCGCTCGAACTTGGCGAAGTTCATTTTCCGAGTGGTCACCCGCTGCACGAAGTCCGTTTTTGGCTGTTGCGGACCTGATAATTTTGGGAAATGCGAAAACGAATGTCACAAAGAACCAGCGGAGTTTTACAGTAAGCACGACGTCGTGTCCGAATTGACGAAAGAGCAGTCGCTCATTTGCAAAAGGAATTCAAAATACCCGGCAGGTCGTACGTGACCTCCGCCTCCATCGGGCAGTCAAAGTACACCCCGATTTTTCGGAAGAGGAAATCTATGTCCGTTTTCTCCATGTGCCGTGTGGCGGCGTGCAGGTCCAAAAATTTGATCATTCGCTGGTAGAGCAGGTTTGTCGCTGGCTGGAGAAAGCAGTCGACGGACAGGCGACAGTACTGTGCGTCATACTTCATGTGGTACATGCCCCAGTCGAATCTGCGGTGTTGGGTTCTTTCTTCATCAGCAATTGTACAAACACATCAGTTTCATCACTTCTGTTTGCTAAACAATTTTATCTCAAAGCCCAGGCCGTACGACCAAGAAAAAGCGATGCGCAGCGAGAATTTTTTATCACAACAAGTTTACATGGGCCAGAGACTGTCGAAGCTTTCCCAGTGGAGGCAGAAGAGCGACTTGGTGTGGAAGTTGAGCAAGAACTCGTAGAGCTTCAAACACTCGCTCCGCACGCTCCCGAGCTCCACCTGCACCCAGATCTTGTCCAGCAGATTGTTCCGCGCCATCCAGTCCGGCAGGTTCTCGTCGTTTCCAAAATCGTACTGCGTCGGATACTCCGCGAGGTCCACACCATCCTGGACGGCAACCTTGGTCTGCTTCACGAAGAAACACGTGCCTAAAGTATCACGAATGCTGCAGTGACGGATGCACACTCTCGTTCCGCGCAGCGTTCGCATAGAAAAAATTTGGGTTTTACAAAACTCAACTGCAAAAACTAAAACATAGATGTCGACTCAACATATACAGTTGTGATGTCACTACTTTAGTATACCTGGCTCGAGCTGCCACTGCACGGGGAACGGCGTTGGGTTGGCCTTTGCGTTGCCAAAGAGATCGTACTCTCGTATGTAGATGGTCCCGTCGAAGACATAGGGTTCCTCGCCAGCGGGGACTTTTATCTGTTATGATTCATTTATTCGTTCTTGCGTGGATGCTTACATGAGCCGGCAGGGAACGAGCCACAAGAAAACACGAAAGCATGACACATAACGAAGGAGCCACGACCAATAACAGTAAAAATACCATGCTGTGTATCTCCCCCAGCCCTGGCTTCGTCTGCTGGAGCAGTGACTTCAACTCCGAAATCGGCATTCTGAAGGGCCCGTACGTCGTTTTCAGCAAAGGATGGTCCTCTTCGTCGAGCCTCTTCGGGGTGCTGAGTTTGTGCACGTAGAGCTTGGAACTACTCGAGTTTTCTATCCTGCCCAAAGTAGTGGACAACTGCATTTGCACGATTTCGCCGTAGGCAGACCCACCACCGACGTTTTCTGCGAACGAATCTGGGGGAAAGGGCGTGTGCGACACAAAGTAACTCGTTCCGCGCTGGACGAGGGTTGAGTCGCCCGCGCCCGGGTCGATGCCGGCGGTGCACGCCGGTTCGGAGTTTGTGTCCATTATAGTGAGGTTCCCCTCCAAGCTGTCGCCCTCCCATATCGGCTCGGGCTCCACCGTGCAGGCTGTTTCTGGCGTTACCCATCGGAGCAGCTCGAAGGCGCGTCGCCAACAGTGCTCCAGCGTCCAGCCGGCGATTACCGGCGGACCAGTCATCTTTTTTGACTGTCTTTGGTTCTTCGGGGGATAAAGTTGTGGACTGAATCACTGCGAAGATGTACGAGGTGGACCCTTAAGATTTCAATATTCGCAGTAAACGACACTGGTCTACTCCCGGGATGGCTACGCGATTCGCGGTTTGCGCGGATTCTACTGCCAGCTGATTGCCGAAGCTGCGAGGGGAGCAGGGCTGATCTTCGATCGCTGTCACTGAGTACACCTTTCTGCACTCTGTGCCGTCTCGGCTTGTCGGTTTGACCTCCGCTTACCGTTTCGCTGAATGTACCAGCTGCAACGATGTCGAGCGACTGACCGCACGGGAGGCTATTCTTTTTCGAAGGCGGTGACTCAGACAGAAGTTTTCTTCTAGCTAAAAGCAAGCAGAAGTGCATTCTGAATCCAGTTGCACAGTTGTACAAGAACTCTCTTTCCGATTGCTCACTCCCGTACTCTCTTCCGACGGAGACGACTACCGTTTGCAGCAGCTGTCATCGCTCGTTACTGTTCCACTGCCACGAAAACACGACTGCGTTCTGGCACGATATCATGACGGACGATTTTTCTTGACGATAAAAAGCCGGCGAAGAACATAACATCAGAAGATGATATTTATAGCAGCTTCTATTCACCATTGACTACCGTCGCAGTTGTATCCCGATTTTTATTTGGATATGCAGCATGCGTTCGCTTTTCCTTCATTCCTCACATCGAAGATCTCACACTATCTCACTTTAATCCTGCAACCGCAGCGTTCTTTTCCGCGAATCGCTGCGCTACGCGTTGTGAGTAGGACATAAACTTCTGCACGCACCGCTTTGCGCACCCCTCCTCCGCGTCGTCAAGGGCTTTGGATCGGAAGGTGTTCACACATTCGCCGAAACACCTCTCTACAAGGTTGTTGTACCTTTTGGGGGTTGGTTTTGGTTTGCACAAAATTACCCAACATGATACATCAACGCTTTTCATGATACGGTTTCGCTACAACTTTTTTCAGTTGGTTTTCATTTTGCAAAACCAAAAGTGTTCCGCAAATAATTAAGTACGTGTTCATCGACTCCGCCACTTGCATGTCGTTCATCTGCGCCAAAACCAGCTGCCGATCCTTCGGCGAAAGCTGGTCTATCATGGCCGGATCCATTTTGTCGTTGCTATGTTTGAATCAGTTTAGTGAACAAGTAACAAACTACTCAAAGCGCTAGTCATACGGTGTCAAAAAAACAGGAGCGGCTTTACTTCTCAGAGTAAAAAATCACGGGACCGAAGAAAACTGATCGACCTGAAGAACAGTTTTTTCGCGAATTCAAATGACCGCGATGGATCGAACCAACAGCACAAAATTCGGCGACAAAAGCATGCGTCATGCGGATAATCGCAACATCCATAACAACTTCGGTAGATCTTTTCATCGCGGTGCTTCTATCGAGATCTTCGGTTGTAACACGAGTCGCGGCGAGCGTTTGTAACAAAACTTATGAGAAAGGTGACCTCCGCACTTTCTTTCCCAAGTACTTTCTTGCAAGATCTGCAGTTGGCCCAATTAGGCCTTTGATCCTGCAGGAAAATTTCGTTGCTTCAAAACAGCAACAGCCCGGCACAGAAGTCTATGCTATGGTGGTCCGTGTCATGGCGTGACAGTGTATTTCTGGCAAGTAGCTGCGCGGAGTCGGGGCTATACACCCTCTCGTCTCTGCAATGCGTGGAAAGTGAACAAGAAATCCATGCAAATTTTATCGATTGTCTGCAGAAACTGTGCTGCGCAACAAAAGCTGCACCAATTCCGCGAGTTCAGTGCGTCTCGTCGCACAGCCCCTTGAACCACAGATCGGCCTTCGCTGCGCTGGAGCCACGAGAAGCCGCACTGACGTCTCCAAAGAGGTCGAGCAAACCAATGATGAGCAGCATCACCGTGCTTACGAGGATAACGCCAGCAAGGAGTAACGCGATGACTGACGTTCGGTTGTATTTCTTCACGTAGTAATTGATTACTGATTTCCCCAAGATCGCCCCGCAGCAGCACACGACCGCGAAGAAAAGCGAGTACGCGAGGGGCGCTTGGCCGCCAATGATAAAAATCGTACTGGCGGTGGTGGACAGCATAAACAGCGTCGTGGCGGTAGTCGCGGTTGTTACCTGCGGTTTGATGACGAAAAGTAATCCCAACTTTTGCTTTGAATCTTTTATCGCATGATGCCATTGGAAGATCATCTCTCAGTAAACTAAAATTTCAACAAAGCACACAAACCTGGGGCCGCAAGCCCATCTCCATCATGATCGGACCTAGTAGCATGCCACCCCCTATGCCGCACATTGCGGCTATGACTCCAGCGCCGTATGCGTAGAAAAGCAACCGCAGTGCGTTTTCTCGTGTGTCAAAAAACTCCCACGTGTCGCGATAAGACCTGAAGTGTGACAAAACCAAGTCGTATTCTGCTGCGGTTTTTCTTTCAGTAGGGTGTCCTATGAGAGGCAAAAGCAAATATGAGAATCATGAACGCTTCGATCGATAGTAGAGAATAATACTTCGCTTCGACTTGCTGCCCGTTGCCTCCTGGTGTAACGGACACGGTTTTCCTCTCTTCGTACTGCTTGACCAGGCTCTGCGCGTGTCTGTAGGCGAGATTATCCCACAGAAAAAAGCTGGCAGGGCATATTTGTAATGCAAAAAGAAATACACAGAAAAATCTGTCATGGGCGACCTCGTAGCATGCTATTTCGGGTATGCAATACAAGTTTTCTTGTCCATTTATTTTTGCATTACAAATATGACCTGCCAGTTTTTTTCTGTGTGATAGAGATACAACAGAACGGAGGTGGCACTGAGGAGGATGAGCCAAAAGAGCGCGGTGCAGTAGCCCAAACTTGTCTTTACCTTGAGGGGGATCGAGATCGAAGTCGTTCAGTAAAATAAAGCGAAAACGCACTTAGAAATCTTTATTTTGTTCAACGAGCAAAGTCATTGCATTAACACAACAAGTAGCCACAACTTCTTACCCCCGACACGACGAGCATGATCATCCAGACCCCGAGAAGCATTTTTTGGATTCCGGCGTCACTGACCTTTCCCCGCGAGGACCTCGCTATTGTAGACGACAGCTCATTCACCGGGGACGGCTGCGCGCTATCCACCGTGTTGCCCTTCCCCGCGCTCGGTGGTTGTATTCTCAGTGTGCCACTCGCCACTGGAGACAGATTGTGGTCGACACCCTTTATTGGCGAATGATTCTTCGCGATCACCACTTGCTCCATGTTGCTGCCGTTGGTGGGCACCAGAGACAGAGAGGAGGAGTGCGCAGACGAGAGCGGGGACGTGGTCAACCCGGTCTCCTCGCCAGGACTGTTTTTTCTTGCAAGAGTTTTCGGATTATTTCCATGGTCGTCAATTTCCCCATGATCTCCGTCGGCGTTCCCGATCACCTCGGGCACATCCGCGTCCTGAAACTCCTGGTAGCTGGTGGGGGTGCTGCCCACCGAGGAAAGTTTCTGACTGATCTGGTAAATCACGTTCGGATTGGAGGTGCTACCGGATTCGGTTTTCTGCAAGCCAGGCCTCGCTCGGGCTTGGTTCTCGTCTCGCCAGAGGGATAAGCCTTTTCGCAGGGTCCTGCGGCCCGAATCGGTCAGAACTGCGATGAGGAGAAACAGGATCAGCCAGTCGGGTGATATCTTGTGCACGACGGCGCCCATCTGTACACCGGCCATGAGAGGGAAACCGAGAATGGCGGTGAGGTCGAAATCCACCATGGACCGGGATTTGTCGGTGGGGTGGCGCTGCTTCAGATTGTAGAGAAGCACCGAAATCGCGCCGCCCGCGAGCATGGACTGCATTTTATTTTTCGATAAAGCAGTATTTACAAAACCATGACGTCATCAAAATGTCGCAGCAGCACTGCAGTGAAAGAACTACTTACCTGGTCACGAAAAACTCTATCCGAAAAATCCTTAAACAACCTTCCTCCCTCACCTGCGAAACCGCCGTGGCTTTGTGTGCTCGAAACCTTAGCAGCAGAATCAGAAGTGGCACATAAATGCCGCCTCCGCCGACCCCGGCGGACAGTGCCAGGCCAGAGCCGAGAAAGAACAAAAAGGTTCCCAACAGATCCATATCGACTGGATCCGCGAATAACTCCTTGTGCCTGCAAACCCGCTCCGCGTCCCAGAAGTCGCAAACCCGATAAGGATATGCCGCGCACTCCCGCGAGGAGACGCAGGTCCGATGACACCTACCTTCTCGACAAACTTCCGTATCGCCACACGTTGGCGCCGTCCACAGCGAAGTCGCCCAGTTTGTGGCTGCACCGCTCTCCTGTTGCGGTAGATTTGCGTCGTCGCCGCAAGAGACCCCGACGCGGACTTCCTTTGATTTTGGCTGGAAGGCGTACGTCCGGAAGATACTGGCCGAAGCAGCCGTGCCCACCGCGTCCTCCGCACAGCGCCCCAACATCGGGTCCGCGGCCCGGCAAGAGCCGCGCATCACGCGGCAGACACTGGAAGTATCCCCCTTGTGTACGGAGGCCGGTGCGTTTTGCAGCGTGCTTGCGTACTCGAGAAAGTCGCAGTTGCTACTTATGCAAAACTGTTTGCACTGCGCCAGCGTCGTGCCGCGCTGCCCCGCGAATGCGTGGGCGGCCAGGGGGTCTTTACAGCACCCGGAGCCTTCGTCGATCCACACATCGTGTCCGGTGAAGGACAGCTGCTTCTGCAGTACGTCCCCCTGATAAACCAAATCGTTCGTCAAATTCCGGACTTCCGCGGAAAACGTGTGCTCGGGCCCGTCCACCCCGGCGTTTTCCGGCACGACCTCCAGAAACCGCGCGTCGCACACCCGGAGTGCGCAGTGCTGCGTGGCGGCGGGGGTGTAGCAGGAAGCGGGTAGGCGGGAATACGCCGTGGGGCCGCTGCGGAAAATCAGCGGGCCTAGGCTGCTTGATTTTGACCAGTCCGATACCCCGCCGGGGTCTAGTTTCAAGTGTACCACCGTACACCCTTTGCTGCAGAGTGCCGCGGTAGTTGTTTCACTAGTTCCTCCGCTTGGCGCCATGGTGTGGCAACTGGCTGCCTGTGTGCAGTACTGCGCCAGCCCACGCTCCTCCTGTGGGGAAGTCGGACACAGGTGCGGATTTGTCGCCGGGCAGACGTTGTGCCCACCGTGCGCCTGATCGCAACACGCCTCGCCGTCCGAACAGGTCGTCCCATCGTAGCAGGTACTTGACGTCGACGGTGTATGGCCTAGCGGGCAGGCACGAGAGAACGGGTAACTGGTCTCGCCGTGGGCTGGGGCATGTGTGGGAAATGTCGCTGCGCAGCTTAGAAGGACAACGGCCCGTTTCCGGCTTTGTGCAGTGCCGGTGCTAGGCCCGCTGGTGCCGCAAACCGGACGCTTTGGTATGAAGCCCTCCATCTGGTGGTGCAGACGAGCAGTGAAGATGTACCGCTAGCACGTGCGACGGGCCTTCATTTTGAAATATATTTCAAGAACTGGGACAGAAACGGTTCAAAACTTCGATGTAGTTTTTGGTATCAACGAAGGCACATCAAAACCATGTCGTGGGCACAAGATAAACACGAATTGAACGATCGCGAATTCGGTGTAGATACCGAACGAAATATTGCGAACACCACCATTGCTGTCAAATTTGACTGGTTCAGTCAGGAAGGTTGCAACCCTTTCACCGTCCGTGTAGCGTAAAAATTCTCTTCTTTCGAAGCACTTGAAAATTCGCAAAAAAGAACTCAGTCCTCGCGCAAACAAAATCTAATGATTTCGATATCCCCGGAAGCAGCCGCCTATCCGAGGCTTTTGTGCGTAGAAATTATGTCGCTGGTGAAAAGATTGTCCATCATCAAATTCGGCCGTGGTTGTTAGGTCTGCAAGAACTGTGTTTGTCAGGACAGCGCCGGCGACGCAGTTGCGTTTTTCCCAAATATTCTGGAACCGCCGACGATCAGAAATGGTGTCGCGAAAAGGAATATCAAATGTAAAAATGTCTGGGTCTGGAAGAATGCAACTTGTCATGCTAACTCTGAACCCTGGAACCTGAAGCATGCAAAAATCTGTGTTGCATGATTACCAAAAGTCGTCCAGTTTTGACCAAGTTGCCGCGAGGGAGTTTCTCATGCAGGATAGGCATGAGAGAGATCGCACAGAATCTATCATGCTAGGCCCTGCATTCCAGGCCTCATGGATCATGGAAACGCTGCATGACAAGTCGCGCATTCTTCCAGGAGACCCAGACATTTTTACATTTGATAAGGAAGACGAAGTGACTGAGCGCGTTGTGATTCACGTGCGGCATGATTGGGTGCAGAGCGCATGCGGTTGGGTTTTCTATCCAAGCGGCGCCGCACGCGCGCCCGAGTGTCGTCTGCACTGCAAAGGCACTAATTGCGACTACGAGACCGAAGAGAAACACCAGCGGTGCGTTGGTGCCGCATACGCAGAACGCTTTGGTGTACCTGTTTATTTTGTGGAAAAGCAATTCACGTGCAAAGGTTTTCTTTTTATGAAACAGAAACTCGCCAAAACAAGACAAAACAAAAAAAATGCAGAACCTCAGACTATCAATACCTTGCAACGACTCCGCCGAGCAGCAACCACGCGAATAGGTAGCAGCCCCCCAGTACCAAGAATGGCAGCGCGACAACGAAGTGCGTGAGGCACAGCAGAATTGTTGTTACCGTGATAACCAGGTCCTCGGAATATTCAGTGAATGCTCTCACGCACAGGCCATTCAACCCTTTCCCCCGTTGCAGAAGAGGCTGCGCTTCGCTTCCAGGGAACACCAACGCTTTTGCATGCTGGTCGTGGTCGCGTAGCGGGCTCTTCTTGCTTCCCCTCGTTGATGCCGAAGTGCTACTTCTGGACGGACCCGCAACGCTCGCTCGCGAACTCAGTGCTATTTCAGGGCCAGTTGTACTGTTAGGGCCTGCTAGAACTACGTTTCTGCTCGAAGAGCCCGGTGCTCCGAATTCCCCGGTGATAATTCTTGATGTTCCTTGCTCCACCATGGGAGTGTTCACGTCTTGCGACAGCAGCTCGCGCCGCATCCGGCAAGCAAGCAGGCACAGGAAGGCCGACCCCGCGAGGCATAAAAACCCGGTTGCGGACCAAAGCAGGTGGTCTATCGGCCGTTCGGCCGGGTCGTCAGACGTGCACAGCAGGTGCAGCACTCCGCCGAAAAAGGTGCCGAGCGCGATACTGTACCAAGACAGTTCGTAGAGATATTACAATGAAAAATGCCCCCTCCCCATATCAAAACGGAAATCTGTGATGCAGATTTGTGGTCACAAAACAGCTTTGTGATGCTAGAAGGCAAAAGATGCGGACTGTAGTGCTGCCTAGCGTGGGAAAGCCTTGCAGCTCCAGGATGACAGGAGGCAACAGGAAGTGGGAAACAGCATGACAGATTCCCTGCAATTCAGGCCGCAGCTTCGTCTCTTGGCCTTCTACTAGCAATACAAGTCGATTTGTGTACTCAAATACAGTATCACAAATTCGCGCATCTTCCGCTTCCGATATGGGGTGGGGGCTTTTTTCACTTTGATAAGAGAAAGAGGTTCATCTGCGAGCTCTGCAGGAGCTGCTGTAGTCGCCGCGCCGTGTAGGACTGCGAATCTTGTTTCCCCTCCATGATCTCGGCGGTTGGCGATATTATATTCCCGATCGTCCATCGCGCGCGGGATAAAAACCAGTAGGTCAGGAAAATTTGCACGGCGGCATTCAGAAAATCCGTCGCGAAGGTGCCAAAGCTGTTGTCGCAGCCGTGCTCAAAGTAGAGCCGCCCGATCAGGTCGCGCCGGTCTAGCTTTGGCTGCGCCAAAAGGTCAAAAGTTGGGTTCGTCATCGTTGTTCTCAAAAGTCAGTGGAAGATGGGTGGAAGATGGTGATAGTAGTACTGCACAAAAATCATACACAAAATGCGCGGAGCGAGATCAAATGGTGCCTAGATGTTGATGAAAACATATATTCTACAGAAAAATGATAGATGGTAGTGCATGCGCGTTTCTATTGTACAGCAAATGTCTTAATGACGGGCTCGATGCGTGACCCTGTTACAGAGTACCAATAGAGAAGTGGAATGAGGCGTGCAATTTAGCGAGCAGCGGTGTTGGAATGAATTTACTTACTTACTTAGCATCTCTTCTATGGAGATCTTGCATACACATTTCGATCACGAGACGCAGAAGTGGACAGCTCCTGCGACCCACATTTGATTGTTTTCTCGACAACAGACGGCACCGCTTTTTTATCGTGTGGCAGTCAACCGAGCGAAGTATCAAACTAACTCCGCATAATTGCTTGCTCACCGAGAAAGTTGCATGTTCACGAACAGTTCTTCAGACCAGTACGAAATGAAAACGTAAAGCCGACGGACTACAGGACAGTTGTGACGGAATACTTACGAAATCAATTGCAATACTAATGCGGTGTGCTGCTTCTCACGCTTTCAGGCAGCGAACCAGTTCAAGAGCAACGATCTTCCTGCTACTGCCTCAGGGGTAGATAAAATCTCAATTCCAAACACAAATGCAAGGGTATGAAATATTTACGCCGCCTGCTGTCAACCGCGCCAACGCCTTCTCCCACTGCCGTCAATTGTGCATCCGAGGAGCTGCTCTCCCTCCCTCTCCGCGAACTCGCCCGTCACTCCATCAGCACCCGAGAGCCGCGCCGCCCGTCTAGCCGTTCTGCTTCGCCGCCTGTGCGGTTTCGCCAAAATGCCATGTCCGGATGTGCTTCTAGACCAATGTGAGCGTGTTCAGGCTCCCACGAAAGTTATTACTGCGCCTGCAGTCATCCAGACTGCGGAACCTTATTTCCGCTGCGTTCGCTTCCCTTACCAGCTGCGGCACCAGCTCCACGAATAGCAGAGGGTCAAGCAACAGCAGGCCTCCCTCCTGCCGCGCGTCTGCAAGGGGTTTCCGAATCGCGTTCTCCAGTGGATCTGCTAACAGTTGAGACAGCGAAGCCGTTGCAGAGCTAGATCCAAAATACCCTCGATTGCGCTCGGGATCCTCTGCTTCCACTGCCGCGGGCTGTTGTATGGGCGGAATGACCAATCTTGGCTGCACCAATTGCCAGTCAAGCTTCCCGGCGCTAACTTTCAACAGCGTTGGCAACGCGCCTGGGTCTTCTACTAAGAGTAGCTTGGGCGCTGGATCGAGAGTACGCCGGTAGATCCGGAAAGACTGCACCAGCTCGCGTTCCAATTCTTCCTTCTGCCCATACACTGCGCGCTCCCGTATTCGTGCCTGCACGGACAGACCTGCTTTTTGCCAATTCCGCACCAAGTCAGGAAACTGCTCTACGAAGTCTGCGAAAACGAAGACTGCGAGCTGGCCTGAAGATTTTGTTGTCTTCTCATTTTTGTCTTTTTTCTCCTTTCGCTTGCGCTTCGAAGGAGTTTCCTGCTCAGCCGCGGCGGTGTCATACAAAGCAGTCTCGGCCAGCCAGCTATTGACAAAATCCTGCGCCGGTCCTCTCTCTGATCCGATTTTCAGTCCGAGCACTACATTCCCGTCCTCTTCGTCATCGCCGATACAGGTCCGCAGAACCGGATGATTTGCGTTACTGTGGAGGGAGTTCAACGCAAGCATGTCGCTGGGGTTGCCTTCCTGTGGCCATAGCAGCACTCGATTATTACCGAGGAGCGCCGTCAATCCACTGCTGCCCGCAAAAAGCGGCGATTGAGCCGCAGCGTTACCGACTTTGAAATTTGGTCCTCCACCTGACTCTTCTTCGAACGCGCCACCACCAAGAAGAGGCGCGCCGCCCTGCTCGCCCGCATTACCTGTCCCATCGCCTTGTGCGCCCGAACCTAAATGGTCTTCTGTCAAATAGAGCTTTCGGAAAGTGACCAAGGGCTGTGCGTTGGAGGACGACGACGGAAGTCCGTCGAGCAGCAGCTTCTGCCGCTCATCTGCGCGATGCAAAAGGGTTTGCGCCAGCTGGAGTAGAGAGGTTTCCCCGGGCCCGATTCGCAGCACTATTTCGTCTTGTGATGAAAAAGTTTGCCTCAGCCACTCGAAGAGAGGAGGGTCGGACTTCCGTTTCGAGTCAGACGAGGGAGGATCAGATGCCGCAGCTCCCGTCTTCAATGGTGCAAGCGCTTTCGTATCTTTGTCTTTTTTCCCTCCACTTCCCGATGCGACAGCCTTCCATTCGCAAGGAAGTCGCCCAACGGGCACCGGAGCCACCGCCCCGAGCTGGAAGTGGGATAGATAGTTGTAGGCCCCATCTCCCGCTACAGTGCTACAGTCAAAGGTGTAGAGCTGGAAGCGATGCGCGCCAGGGTAAATTGCTCGAAAGACCTCGAACGCTGTGCCGTCAGAATCGATGAAAGCATATTGGGTACTAGTCTCGTGGCCTTCTTTTGCCGATACTGTGCTCGGCGAAGTGGTGTGTGAACTTGAAGGTGGTGCAACTGTTCTCTCCAAGGTCTCGTAGCCGTCAACCCGTCCCGGTGCTATTGTTGATGTCAGTTGCCATTCCCGCTTGTCGTAGGCGCAGTCCGGGTTGCTTGAGAAGAGCAAGGTGAGCATCTGCACGCCAATCAGTACAACAACGCATCCGCCGCTGAATAGCAGACCTCGCAGGATGCGTTGCTCGCGTGAAGAAATTCCGCGACTAGTCGCCATAATTCAGGGAATCGCATAAAATCGCGCAACCAGCGGCGCCACTCTCGCATCACTAATACATTTTCAAGTAGCGCGTGCCTGATGGGTTGCCTTGTGCAAACGTAGATCTGAAAACCGACAAGCGCCGACCTTAGCATAGAACACTTTCTGGAAAAATTCACGCGACGGGCAGAGCAGCTCCGGTGACAACTGTTCGACATGAAGACACACCTGTCTCATGAAGTCGGGCGATTGGAGGTGCCAGACACCGACCCAGACCGGACCCGGCCGGTGTTGGGCGGACTCCACAAAGACCGGGCCGCGCCTGTGCGGGCGCGCCGCGAAGAGGGCCCGGCGCCCGGCCCGGGATAGCGAGGGGCGGCGATATCATCCGAACCCCAAAAAGTTGTGTCCGAGTGCGAGCCAGCCCGCAGGCGCCGCGGCCGCGCGAAGTAGTGCAGCGAAGGAGAGCCAGGCGAAGGCCTCGGCCCGGCGGCTGTCGAACCGGGGGCCCGGGGGCGCTGCGTCCCCGCCTGCCGGCCCCGGCGGCTCCGTTGCCTGCACGCGCGCGCCCTCTCCGCGGCGCCGCCTGGCGGGGCTCGCCCGGTTGTTTTTGTTGGCGGGCCATTTGGGGGGCGCTCGGGAGTCTTTTGCGCAGCAAGCGCGCGCGCCAAATTCTGCGCGCCTCCTACCGCCCGGCGCCCCGCGCTGCCTGCCCCGGCTGCGGGCCTCCGAGGTATTTCACCGCCCCCGGCTTCACGTCTGTAGCCCCCATCCGCGCGGCGGCTTCCCCGGATCTCCTTCTTGTAGAACTCCGCGTCACCGAAGGCCAGCCCATCGTCAACGTGTAGGCAGATAAAGCCCGCGTCTTCCCCCGGGCGGCTTCCGTCCCGTGAGTGGCGTCCCGGCCAATTCCGGACGCATCCCGGCGCCCTACCAAGAGGGCGGGCCCGCTCCGGGCGCGCGCGCCCCGAAACTAACAACAAAGCCCGAGGCGCAACGCGGCGCATTGCTAGGCGAGCCGCGTCGGCGCGCAGTTGCAATTTGCGCAGTAATCGGGGCGAATTTTTAAATTTTAACTCGATCCGGGCTGCACAAGAGGGCTGATTTTTAAAAATTGGGCAGCGTTCCGGGGTGTTCCCTCGGCCCGTAGGCGCCGGCCCCCTTGCTTCGGTCCGAAGGCGCCGAGCCCGCCCGAATGCCGCCGGCCCGGCCTTCGTCAAGAGCGCCGGCGAATCGCACGCGCTGCGCGCCAGGCCGGGCAGGCGCCGCCGCGCCAAAACCCACGCCGGGGCGCCCGCCGGCGCGCGCGCCGTTTCGCCGGGGGCGAAAGCTAGGCGGCCTCCAATGCGGGCGCGCCTTCCCCGGCGGATCGGAGGGCCCCGCCTCCCGCGCGCCCCCTGCTCCGCGAATCCGCGGGCCCCCAATCCCGCCTGGTGAACTCCGCCCGCTTGCGGCCCGCTTCGTGGTGAGCCGCGTGGCGGCCCTAGTGGTATCTACGCCATGGCGGGGCGGGGCAACGTTGCCGCCCGGCCGAGCTGCGGGCCCGCCCTCCTCTCTTCCGCGCGGGGCCGGATGGGCGGCCGCCCCAAAAAGGCGGCCCGAATGGCGTCGCTCGCGCTCCGGGCGCGGGTCTACAATGGCCAGGCGAAGGCAGCAAGCTGCTGCCCGTAGCCGCAGGCGCCCGGCTGCCGTTCTCCTGCGGCATCGTCGCCGGCACCACGCTAGCACGACCCTGGTCCCCGCGGCCTTCCGGAAAGCTCGGGACGTCAACCGATGCGACCGGATACCGCGCCCCTTGGGGCCGCGCCGCCGAAAACGCTGGCGCCTCGGCATCGGTTACACGCGCCACGGCTGGGCCGGTCCTGGGTGAGCCTAGACGCTACGCACCTGGGCGCAATTAGAGCGATGGCGCCGAACTTCGGCCCGCTCTTACAACACGCCGCTGCGCTGCGGCGCCCCACCAAAACCCCAGCGCGCCCGCAGGGTAGAGTCGTCACTATTGCGGCATCATCCGCAAACTCCACGTCGACGGGCAGCTCTAGAGCCGTAGTACAGAAGGGAGCAAGGGGGAACAGAAGTAGAACACAACAACCCTCATTGTCCGCGTCTTGCATCAGTTTTCTGTTCGTTGGCACGTTATTTGGGGATTCTCCCGAAAGGTTCTGACACGACATTCGAATGTTCGAGAGCAGCAATCAGAGTACAGCAGTTCGCATCGTGCTAAGATATGGCTCAATCGCATCGAATCCTTCAGTAGGCACAGTTGCGCTCGGGTCTGGCCCGTATTCTACTTTCTCATATACGGTCAGGCAGCTTCTTGCGGACCCTCACCTTTCCTGAGGATAAAAAAAAACTCGCACTTTTTTCCCGTACTTCTACTTTGACTTTTTCGGAAACAATTATCACTGCAAGTTATTGATCATTCATTCCATCTATCTAGATATCTTTTCTGGAGTAGAGAAAAACACTTTTGCCGTCAGCTCTGGTAAAAATTCAAACATCATCTCATACGGGAACTGCCCTCGTGCGTAAAATCAGATATACTAAAAAAAATCGCTGCGTATTCAAAGGATTCAGTTTCCTCCTTGCGAGGATGACTCGTCGCCAGTGCGTGCTTTCGGCTACTTGTTCCGCACCGGGCGATTTGGCAAAAGCCTTGACGGTGTCCCGCCCTTATCTTCAAATATACGACGCCGGCTCGCATCTCCCTGGTGCAGCGGTGGTTCTGGCACGCCCCTTTTCGTGTGTTCAGACTTTCGTCCGGCATCCGCGTTGTTGCCTTTTGCAGGCATTTCATCACCGCCTGGCTTCGACCTAGCGTTTTCCACGCTATGCCACCCCGGAGGACGCGGTACGGAAGAAGGCGTCGCAATCTTCGATGCCGATGAACTCGAAGAGGATGGTTTGCTTTTCTCTTGCAGCTCCTGCCTCTTGCTCTCATGCTTCCGCGGGCTTGTGCCAATAACAAGATCCGCAATGCTGACTGGCTGTGATGAGGCCGTCCCGCTCCGATTCGCAGAAAAGTACTCTGGCCTTCCGCCCAAGGTCGTTTCCTTCGAAGAGCTTGCGGAACTCCCACTGGCACTGCGAGTGTTCGAGTCGCGCTTTTTCGCATCCTGCGCGTAATTTGCTTTCGATGATACGGAAAGAAAAACTTCTTGTGCTGGCACCGCGTTTCCCGTCATTTGCTTGCTGCTTTTCGCTGATGACGTTTTTTCAACATCAGACACATCCCCTTTTGCAGGATCAATGTCATCTGATTCTTGACCGCTACGCTTTCCTGCAGCGAGACCTTTAACCACTCGCACATTCTTACTCGCCGAACTACTACTCCCGCTAGCCGATTCTTTCGGAAGGGTTCTGCCTTTTGGCAATGGCCGCGCAGTGAAGTGCTTCCTCGCATTCCCGCGCTGGCTACTCGCAGTACTACTGTTTGGAGGCGGCGCTGTTGGTTCGCCGCTTGTTGTTAATACTGGCTGTTCTATTTCTTTTGAAAAAAATTCTACCTTCTTTACTGGATGATCGTGCGATGCTTGCCCGCGCGTTGAAAACTTACCGGCCCCACCGCTCGGCGTATGGTTTCTCGATGTGAGCGCACTGCCGGCTGGTGGTTGTGGCGCAAAGCGATTTCCACTTACCGGCGCGGATCCCGGACCGCCTGGGTCGGCGAAATTGTTTGCCGGAACCAACCGAGGCAGTAGCGGCGCTGCCCCCGGTGGTGCGATCGGTGGACCTCCGCCAGGAAACCACAGCGGTGGCACAAGCGGGAACGGGGGCATCCCCATCATGCCGAACGGATTGAACGGCGGTGGCTGTGCTCCGAACGGCTGTTGCGCCATGGGCATTCCAAACGGACCACCGCCGAAAAGCGGCGCAAACGATCCATCGTAGCCTTGATCTTGCTGTCCGGATCCGTAGGCTGCCGCCCCTGCTGTCGGTGCTGAGGACATGTCGAAGTTCATCTGCGGAGGCAAATCGCTTAGTGTCGTCGGAGGCGTTCCCGGCCCAAAGGGACTTCTCGACCCGCCAAAATTACTGAAAGGTGGCGCGGCACCTGCCATTCCTCCTGTCGGACCAGTGCCGAGAGTTTGTCCATGCTGCTCCATGTTCATGAACGGGTCGCGTTTTTCAAATAACCTTTCGTCGCTGCCTAACATTCCAGGCCCTGGTCCCGCATGACTGTAGTTCATCCCCGAGGACGTCGTGTCAATGACCCTCGCCGGCTTCTCTTTGCTATTCGACGCAGTCAAATCAACCATATCTTCCGCCATAATCGTGATGCTCTCCACGCCCCGGTTCCTCCGCGGAGAGGACGCTTCCGCGGGCGGCGGCGCAGCGCTCGGCTGCACGATCACCGACGACTTTCGCACGCCGGCGGAGGACAGAGTCGTCGCTTCCTCTTTCTTCCCGCCAAAAGTCGGACTCAAATGCATCGTGCTGGAACTCTTCCCCAACAGACTTGCAACCGCCGGCGCCCGATTCGCTCGGGCCAAAAGCTCGTTGTCCGACCCGTGCGGCAACGACGCTTCGGCGGATCCGCGCCGCGCTCCCTTTTTGCTCTTCCCTGCTTCTGCCCCGGCATCCGCGGCTGCCAAGGTGGGCAGCGCCGCCATGCTGTTTCTTCGATCTGCTTTTTTCCCATCCGTACCATCGTCCGCTGTTCCAGTGGCTGCTGCGGTCCCACCGCCGGGAAGAACCTTGTCGGGTTCGATGTCCGAAGCATCGCTGTCGTCCTTGTTCAGTAAGTTGTAAACGTTGTCCTTCGAAATTTCCTTCAAGTGCTTCAACGTTTCCAGCGCGTCGCAGTGCTTCACCTGATTGAACGTCAACCAGGGAAAGAACTCGTCAGGTGAAACGCTCAAGTCAAAATAGTCCAGGTTGTTTTCGCACAGCCTCTCCCACGCTCGGTCCGGATTGAAGTTGATTTTCGTCGCTCCTTCAGGTCCGGCATTCTGCGTATGATCTGGATCAGTACTAGCGGCTTGTTGGTCACTGTTTGATGCTGTGCCGAACATACTTGGAATCGCTCGTGTTTTCTGCTGTCGACTGCCGGGCGGCGTGCGATCGGGGAGATCAGTTTCTGTTCGAACACTCGCGTTCTCGATTGAAAAAATCTTCCGCAAGTCCGACTCTTCGAAAGACGCTGGAAGGCTTGGTTTGTTGCTCTGCGGAGAGGACGGACTACTCTCCAGTCCTGCGTTCGACGCTGGTGAGGCAGGATTGTCCGCGCTGCGCGGCGACAGATTTCCTAGTCGATTTTGATAAGTTGGCGACAGAATCTGCAACGACCCCTTTGTGGTTCCACCGGACATTTGCTTTCCGACCGCAGCACCACCTGGCGATAACGGACTGCCGAACGATGGGGAAGTGGGGCTGCCGCCGACCATCGTCATGGTTTTATTTCCAACCGGCGAAGATAAACTGTCCTTGTTAACCGGGGACGAAGACGAACCAACCCCGCCCCCGCTGCGTGACTTCTTCGACCGCTCGTGTGACTTTTCCTTGCTGGGTTCACGCAACCGGTTCAGAACATCCAAGTTCAGACGGAAGTACGTGGCCATTGCGTGACCCACCGCATAGCCGATCGTCTCCGACCGGAAGGGGGTGAAAACCGTAAAGGGGTAACTCGCGAACAAATTCTTCCCCGGCACCGCCCACGTGTTTGCGGACAGCAGGCCCCCGTAGTTCAACCCGTTATTTTTGACCCTCACCCGCTCCGCCGGTGCGGACTGCGCGAAGAAACTGCTCTCCACGGTAAACGCGTTGCGCACGCCAAACTCCTTGCCCACAACCGCCCGTATGGATGTGTCAGAGTTGAAATCGACAAAGTTGAAATAATTTGTCATGCATAAAATGGATGCCAGTTGGAACCCAGTTTCCAAGGGGCGCATGACAAATTTCGGTGGTCCCTAAATCCAGTCTGTCATGCTATTTAGGCGAAGAAGAGCGATTTTCTCATGCTACTTTAGCAGCTCGAGCTGTAACCCCAAACAGGCTTACAATCGGCCTCACTTGCCTGCCCTGCAACACACGTGCCTCGGGTCATGCATTTTATGCATTTTATGCATTACAAATTATTTCAACTTTGACGATTTCAAACCTGACGCTTCCATAGCCCGCGCGGATTTCGTATGCGATTTCCCGTGCTGCCACCTATCCCCCAGAAAAAGACCGACAGGTCATATTTGTAATGCAAAAATAAATAGACAAAAAAATCTGTATTGCATGCCCTAAACAGCATGCTATGGCCTCGCCCATGACAGATTTTCCTGTGTATTTATTTTTGCATTACAAATATGACCTGCCTGCTTTTTTCTGTGGGATACCACCGGCAGTCTTCGAAGGATATGTCCCGCGTGGCTAGAGACGCGAGTTTGGGAAACAGGGCGCTCTTCGCGTCCGTGTAGTGCTGGCAGCCGTAGAAGAATGCGGAGCACTTCGCGCTGTGCCCGTGAAGGTCGAGAAAAATGTCCACGCTGTCCGGCGGGAGCGACCGGAGATACTCCTTGATCTGGTGGATAACTGGGTGGATGATCGGGTTCGGATCGTGCCAAACTCGGTTTGGATCCACGCCAGCGAGCGTGCAGCGCGCGTTGCCGTGGACCACGCCGTCGATGTTGACCATCGGGATCAGGTGGAAGACGAACTTCTCGCGAAGAACCTTCGCGTAGAGACTTTTGCCAAGCAGGAACCGCATGAAGCCCTGCATCACCCAGCTCCCAACCACTTCCCCACTGTGCTGGCGCGCAATCACAAAAATGATGCGTTTTTTGCCGAAGGTCAGGTCGGCAATGTGCTCTTTCACCGTTTTCCGGATTCCCGTTGGCGAAATCTGCTGCTTGTCCATCTGCTCCTGGGGAAAAAGTTTAGATGACAAAAATGAAAATTGGAAGTAGAAAATCTTAGTATAGTATTACTTCTGCAAAGTATAAAATGGAACCAGAGGAAAACAAAAAGCTTTCCCGCTTGGCAATGGGCACTTACTTCTTTCTCCTTTGCTGTCTGCATGGCGTTGCCCAGGTTTTCCGACACCCAGAGCAGGGGCACCGGCACGCCCGCGATCGTGCGGCAAAGCTCAGAAGCGATCACGTGGTCCTGCTTTTGCACTTTCAGTTTATCCAAGAACAGGCGCAGCATCGTGTAGGTGTAGGGGTAAAACAGGGCGAAAAACACCGTGTCCTCGGCCTGGAAGCGGTACGACCACTGCAGACAAAACCGGTCGGCCTTCGCTTTTTTCGCGGGGAAGTAGTCCAGGTCGAAGCAGCAAAAGCACGACCACTTTTGCTCCTTCACGGAAAAGACGTAGGGCTGGAGGCCCTCCTGGTGCAGACTCTTGTTCTTCTTCAGATTGGCGATCCGGAAGTGCGTCACGATGTCCTTGTCCGTGTACGACCGACAGCCGAAGTAAAACCATTGCGCGCAGCCGACGGTGTGCGTGTCCGACTCTAACCAAAGCTCGTACGAATAGTTGGGCACGGAGGCGTCTTTCTCGAGATCCGGCGACTCCGGGCGGGTGTAGGCCTCGTTCTCTCCCGCGGCGGAAATGAGAGACTTGATAACTTTCGCGTTGTTTTTCGTTTTCGTTTGCGCAACCCGGCTGGAAAGATTTGAAGCGGAAGGTTTCGCGCTGGAAGTTTCGAAGCCGTCCTGCGGATTGCGATCGTTTTGTTGCGGCCCTTGCGGCCGCGAGGATGCGTCGCCTGGCGCGGTTTGCCGACCGGGTGGGAAATTGCTTTTCTCTTCTTGCCCCGCAGCACTTGGCATTTTCGCCTCTGCCTTCACCGCTCCCGCGGGGCGATGCGTCCCTTTCCCATCCGGATCCGAGTCTTCGTCGCTGCTTTCGAGCAACTCCAAGAGCGTCCGCACCTCGTTGTCGGGCGGTTCCGGCGGCAAAGCGTCTTCGTCGTAGTTGCTTGCGCTGTCGCCGTGCTCGAGAGAACTAGTTTTGCTGATTGTGATGGCGGGGCCTCGCGTCGGAAGCTCGGTGCCCGGAATCGCGGCAAACGCAGCCGACGTCCGCGCGTGCAGATGGATTGTGTCTGCGACGGTTCCGCCCCCGCCGCCCGCTGCCTCGCCGGCCGCACTGCCGCGCCGGGGACGCGCAAAGCCCGGCGTCGTAGCGCGGTCGGGATCCGGCTGGCGGCAGCACACGCGCCGCACTTGGGCCAGGTTCGCACACTCGAAGCAAGCATTGAACGCGAGAGGGCCGTGCGGCCACTCCGCATTTGCGCTCGGCGGCGGAGGAAAGACAAGTCCCTCCGGTAGGCAAGGCAGGTGCGGCGGCAGTTCGCCCTTCTCACCCGAAACGTCGGCGCCTTTGGTATGCGGCATCGCTTAGTATTTGATGAGCAAGTCTCAGTTGAAATCCCAAAAGCAACGGAACATAATGCGACGCTAATGTCCTGGTTGCCATCAACACAAGCTGAGTACCTTCTACAGGGTACGGACTGGAAATGTCGTCCATCCGGTGCGCTTGTGCCTTCACCGCGAGGGTGCGCGCCATCTGCTTCCATTCCTCTCCGCGCCGATTATACACGGTCGTGTACGTGTACGTGGGCTTGCTGCGCTCCCACAACTCCGCTTCGCGCTCCACCGGGAACTCCATGTTGATGAGATCGGGCCTCAGGTCGGTAGCGCCCGTCGCCCGGGCAGCGGGCGTTTTGTTCCGGTTGGGGGATGGCGCATGAGCTACCCGTAGCCCGACCGGCTTCTACGGCAAGGCGCGCGAAAAGAATGCTGGTCGTGCCGCAGCATCGAACCGGACGAAACCCGAAGCGGCCGCCGCACGCTTTCCCGAAGGCGCGGCCATATTATCACGGGGCCTGCTACGTGGCACACGACTCGAAGCATTACAGACGCAGCAGACGCTTTGCATTACAGATGCAGCAAGCCCCTTTGCGACTTCAAAGGAGCGCGGGAACACCGGACGCGAAATCGCACCCACCGGCGGGTGCCGCGCCTATGCTGCGTTATTCACGACGAGGGCACAGGCGAGAAACGCCCGCGCTCTGTTATTGGAGGTGGCACGCGGGCACCAGTGCGGGGAAGCGCAACAAAGCGGGTGGCGCGGCCGGACAAGGAAGAGATCAGGTAAGATCCCGCGCCGCCGCATGGTTCCCCGCCCGCACGTGGTGCCACCTGTCCGCGGCCCGCCCGCGTCGGATAAAGGGAGCCGCTTTCCCGGGCCGGACAGGGTGATTTTAATGGGCGGGGGCGGTGGGGAAAGGGCCCTTCGTGCAAGCGTCCAGGGCGCGGAAGGGCATGCCCCCATGGGAAGGGCCTGCCCGCGGAGGAAGGGGGGGGCTATGCTTCTACAAAAATGTGTAAAACATGGCCTAACCGGTCGTGAAAAGCAGGCCACTAGAAGCTTTATAGTGGGGAACTTCCATTCATAAACAGGCACACCCCCAAACAGTAATGGATCTCGACTCCTCCAGAGGTCAGGTCAACCCATAACACTTCAAAAATTAGTACCTTGGTGGAATGTGTTTCAATGTAGACGCATTTGCTATATAGGAGCAGTAACATTATGCGACTTATTGCACACAAGCAAGAAGGCACCTTTCAAGATTGTAAATTATATAAGTTTCCTCACATCTCGCAAAATTGATTTTTTTCATTAATTTTTGATTTGCACAAAAATGCTGCCGATTTGGGAACAATAAGAATACAGAGAGTAAATATGTGCTTATATCAAGGCTATTCAATAGAGTGCTACTGAAATTATGCACAGTTTTCCCCCTAATAATATCCACATTTTTGACCGAGCAAAAATTTCTGAAAAATTTAAGACGGGCAAATCTGCAATATTTTCATAACTACAAGTATAAACAACAAACAACAGACATAAAAAGTACAATTTTAATAAATTTGCCATTCTTAGCCATGATAAAAACAATAGAAATCGTTGACCAATTTGCAATTTATAGAAAAGTCAAAAAATTGTGAAATTATAAAAATTGTCGCTTTCGTGAAAGATTTTGGGTATCTGTGAGAACCAATGGCCCCTTTCAGGAAACAGTACATAACAATTGTGGCGCCAGAAAGCCGTGTGGTGTCAGGGACCGTACGAGGGGGAGTGCACGCCCCACCGTACGGCTTTCTGGCGCGCGATTGTGTCGGCCCTCTCGAGTAGCAATCGTTTCGTAGCTAAGGCTTCAGCGTAGGGGTAGAAACTAAAGAGGCAGCCAGGAGAGAGGGGAGAGAGGAAGAGAGCACCAGGAGGGACATCGTTGATGTCAGGAATCGCAAGGCGTTTCGTGGTAGACAGTACCTGTTTCAGGATGAACACTGAACGAACTGCACTGCTTTCCTTCTGTTTTAGGTTGGTTCTACCTATCTACTGAGTTCGTTCCCGGACCGAGCTGGTTCGGAGGTTCTGCCACATCCTGGAGCGTGTTCAGGGTGTGTTGCTCGATAAGTGGTCGATGTTCCTTCCCACTTTTAACAG